TCCAAGTGCTAGCACTTCAGTGGGCACTACTTCTTTGGTCGCTATTGACTCTTCGACCACAATTTTCGGCAATCACTTCGGAGGCAAATACTCAGATTGCCCCCTCTGGGTCCTTGGTCGCACCGCAATCCCAGACTGTTACTAAGCCCCGACACACTGCAGCAACTGCAACTGCAAGCTCTTCAGGAAGAGATTCCTTAGCAACTGCGACCATCTGCATTATCAAGTACGTTGATCAAATGTAGACTTTGGCATGCTCATAGAAACTAACCAGCTTTACAGGACTGCGGATTTAGTGAATGGCCTCTGTTATTGCTTGGATCATCAGACTATTAGCCTTACAGACGGTGATTGTCAACCCGTCGCCTGAGGGATCCAAATTGTATTTTGTCCTCGTTGATTGCGGCAAATACGGTACCGAGGTGGCCATGCTAGACAGGGAATCTTAATATACGACAACGCCTGAGATGGATCGTATTCTGGAAGCTTACTCCCGAACCTAATCCACTAGAAGGCCTCGGGGTCTCAGTGATGATAACGGTCACGGATCAGCTGCTTTAGATCTGTCCAGTGTTTCAAGATTCATCGTACTGAAAGCATTCGTCTCCGGGAATGGTGAATAATATCTATACTTGAAGCTAGATACAAGAAGTAGGAAGTACCGGGCTGTAGCTGTCTATAGCATTCAAGATCAGTTGATCAAGGAATTTTCTTGCTTCAACATGCCATGAGTTTCTTCTCAAAAAGAGCAGTCACTGAAAACTATATCATGCCCGAGGAGCCCCGCAATCGACACCCACGGCTAAATCCCGCCGCTTCGATGCCAAAAATCGAGCATTCCATGTCCAGTTTCTATCTTCTCTAATTTTAAGATTTAATATATGCCAATTAATTCACTGAGATAGATATAATCTGGACTGAAATAGTTAAATCTACTCTGTTGACTAGTCCTCTCTGGCTAAGCAACACATACTACCTGTTACGGTCATTGGCTACAAAGGGAAAAGAAATCAAGAAGGAAATCGGCTTGTTGCCGTACTGCATCAGTGTGTGCTGGCCCGTTCATTCGTGAGGCAGTGGTAAACACCGTTCGTCCAAGAACGAGCGAGGATCTCCGGTTGTTCAGTCTATATCTAGAGCCTACCTTAGAGTGGCAAAATAAACTTTCCACCGAAGCCCCAGAGTGCTCCGGCCAGACGAGGGCTCACGATGGGCCTTCCGATATATCTGGTAGCGTCTCTGTGCTTTGTGAAAGCCCACTAACTTCTGAAAGTCCAAAGATCGAAGACGAGAAGAGGCGCAATCCAAAGTCCACCGTTGATGATGCGCAGCACAATGAAAGATCTGATTTTGCCTCTGTACTTTCCGGGGGCATGCTTACTCCTGAAAGTAATGATGAAAGATGGCGCAAGCAAAAGATTACCGAAGGCGCTCCAATGGGGTTAAGATACGCAAAAGGTTCAAACAAATCTACAGAAGAGCGCAATGCTGTATAATTGACCTTCAGTCAATCAACCGGCTAGATTCAGAACTAATCTAATGTTTTCATAAGAAATCTCTTTTGTTGCCACACAACTTCGTCGGTTTTTGTTTGTGAACACCCGTGAGCCGTCGAAAGCAACACTAATGCTGCGGCTGTTTTGACTGGAACCAGTGCCCAGTCACGACGTTCAGAATTAAGCTTTTACAGACCAGATACGCAAAATCCAACTTACCACTTACAAGGAAACTTACTTTCTCATCACTGCGACCAAGACAACACAACCACGGATCCGGTTGGTAGCCTACCATTGTGTCGCCAATGTCTGTGCGTTATTCCAAATACCCACCTGTCCCGGCAGCACCTCCTGATCTTGAATAAAATCGTCTGTAGGGCCGGGAATTCAGTTGGCTATTCATCTTGAGGGTACCAATATTACGTCATGATCCGCAATGAGATAGTTAACTACCTAGTTATACAAGTATCTGTTGGGTGCCTTATTCTGCCTTAGGCGGCAGTCCCACGTGGGACAGATCCAGATAGTAGATAGTAGCTAGATAGCTCTCTCTCCCTCTCCGTTCCTTTGCTGCCAGGTAGATTTACTGTACTGTTTCTCCATCTCTGGATCTCCGCTACGTAGATTCTCCATCAGTATCTCCTCGTATATGGAGATCCTATTAGTCCTTGGAGCAGAGGAAATGAGCTTGCGTCAAATCTCCTCTCCACGAACACGACAATCCTTTCTGAGGCCATGTCACTACTCTATGGAAATAACTGCTTTGACTTCGTCTCATTGAGTCCTGAAATTATGCCGGACTTCCTTGATGTTACAGTATGTGTGTGTGTGTGTGATCTCATTTACCCTGACCCCTCGCGAACGATATGCAGGATACAACAACTATATATCTCCGTGTACGTACCTAACATGTAGAGTGTTCCACTTCCTAAAACGTACTTAGAACCTCGTCAAGGCCTATCGCGGCCTAATTACCGTTCCCACTGTTAGGCTTCCCTCGTAGCGCGCGACCACAAAACCTTTGTGACGCCTCGGCGAAGTCCAGCACGGCATTGACCGTCCTGGCTCGCGAAACGGTGTCTGGTTTACCTCCCTCACCTTGACTTGAGCCTCCCAGCAGACTCGGTACTCTATTGAATGCATCTCCAACTTCTCTCCATAACTTCCTTCGAAGTTCCCTCAACCTCGGGCAGTCCACCAACACGTGGGTGGCTGTTCCTTGCGCGCCGCATACGCACAGGTCATCGTCACTGTGGCCAACCTTCTGCGGTAGCTGGATAGCCAGTTGTGGCCAGTGCGCAGCTGCATCAGGAGGTATGCGCGGTTTCCTCGGCAGGTTCCCGTATAACCTCCTCGTGTACTGTAACTAGCCGGTAGTGCGTTGTCGACCTTTCGTAAGGGACCACCCTTAGTGGACGATTTCCATTCTTGCTGCCACTGAGAGTAGATGCTCCGAACGAATGTGCGCTCTCTCTCTCATGAGAAGCGGACGGGATGGGTTTTGCACATGTGTGTGAACGCAGGAGTAAGATTGGTCTATCTACCGCCCTACTTGCCGGTCTTGAATCCGATTGAAGAATTTTTCGCTGAGCTCAAATCCTCATTAAACGCAACTAGCCAATATGACATTAAGGGCCCTCTGGTGCTGTACAGACCCATGGCTGTTTTGCCCAAGATGCATTACCAATGGTATCTGAAATTCACCATCTACCTCTCATAGTATGGGGATTGGGATGTTCCCGGGGTGGAGGAGTGTTGTTGGTCTCTGTAAATAACATCTGTTTACATGTATCTCTCCGTGGTCCACATTTGCAGTACTTTCCGTGTCGTACTAAGTAAACAAGCAAATGACTGAAGTCTGCCATGGCTGGTACATAACTGGAGCTGGATTAAATGACATGAGTCCCGATTTAGGATTCTACGTATGATAAGGGAGCGTTGAGGTCTAATCCTTGACTTATGCACGTCACACTTTCTAAGGGCATGTGTATCGTCTAATTCGGCAAACAAACTGTAATAAAGCAACTGCTTTCAAATCGCGTTCAAATGAATTACTCAATTCTATACGTGAGGGCGGAGGAATGATGCGGTCGCTGTCTAAAAGATAGTGACAGATCACATCCGCTCTTGTATCTTACCACCGACCGAGGTTATAAAACCTGGCCGACCTGCACCTGCTATCAAAAATTCTAACCAGGCAACGCGGTTACCATGCCCAACTCCGAGCTTCACAATCTACGCGACTCTGCAGTCATCACCATCATCGACATTTTCGGATTGACTTACTTTGCTCTCTTTGTCCTCCAATATCTTCTATTCCATTTCCCGTCATCTCCAGATGCGATCATCAATTCACTCTCTGTGATCTCTTTTAGCGGCGGTGGTCTATTATGGTACTTGTCAAGCCTAATTTACCGAACGATATCTGCGTTCCAGGGAGCCGGTGCAGCCCACTGGCAAAAGCTCGAGTTCGCTGGGGCTTTGATCCTTATCTGGGCGTCAACGGTTCCAGCTGTGGTATTGCAATTCACCACACAGCCTTCCATCCAGCTTGGCTATGTGTTCGCATTTACCCTAGTCGCCGTTGGAAATCTGGTAGACTTCCTAGTTTGCGATCCCACTATCTCTACGGCGCGAATGAGGTTTCCTTACCATTGTGTCTCACTGGGTCTGCTTTCCCTGGTTCCAACGATCCACGCCCTGACCGGGACGCTGCCAAATCCCCCGCCGCTGGCGACCCAACTTGGCCATTTCGCAATTTATACTACGATCGGTGCTGCAATCTACAGAATCCAACCACTTGAGACTATTGGGGTATTCAGTAGTTGGCGGTCTAGCCTCTATTTGATGCACTTGATTTTGGCATACAGTGTTGTTGGTTACTCTAGAGTCGTATTGGAGACGGCACTAGGCTCTGCCACTTGATTTTTGGTATGTGCATTGAAGAACGAGAGATGGTATATTTGTGGAGTTTCTGAGTTATGTATGAAAGGACCAATTCGGATGATGCGGCTTGGTTCCTGATTGCACCAGGTTTGTATCCCGACAAATATGATTTCATGTCAAATTTTGCCTTGTTACTGAGCCGTTCCTAGAACCCTTTGACCATTGAATTTAATTGTGACAATATAGTGAGCTACAGTAGAATTCGAAATCAGTTTTAACTCGACACTCTTGCGACTTGATTCGCGAAGCCTAATCTGAAACACGCTAGTCCACATTTGGAATAATGATAGATCCGCGATTTCCAACAATAGACATTGTATTTTACATGACGAAGGTGGGACCCTGGCTTGTGTATCTTACTCGTAAATGCCATACAATAGTAATTCTCTGCCATACCACCCCCTCAAGCAGGAGGCATCTTCACCCGACTATCTCTCTATAACGTCATAATCGACTTCACAAAATGGCTCCGAGACTTCCACTATCCAAGCTGCATCTCATCCGCGACGTGATAGAGAGCCAGTCACTTGGCACATCTAAAATGGCTGAAGAAGCAATTCAAGTAAACGGCGCCATACGCATCTTTAGATATCTGGGAATGTCAGTGAGGCCACAATCAGCGCCACAACTGGCTCGTACCGAATAGAGAGGCCGCTTCAAATATTCTGAGGTTCCTTCAACCGTGAACGTCTTTCCGACGCCGGGTGGGCCACTAACACGGGTTAGGACGGAAGCCACGATATAGTACATAAACAGTTTGCCGACATACTCCAGAAGGATGTTGAGGCCTTGACCTTTTCCATCAATTACGTCGTCAAAGGGTACTGTCGGTATCAGACCCAAGCGGGTTTTCGCCATTGATAAGAGGAGAGTCTTGCTTTCTGGCGGAATTTGCAGGCAGTCAAATGATTCCGGTGACCAGCTCACGTCCCTAAGAGATACGGTATAGACAAGCTATCCGGCATTGAAATGACAGGCGCAAGACGGCTCATGTTCCATTGACTTAGGACAACGAGGATCGCGACTGACATCCACTGTTGAGTGATTTTGTTCAATCCACAATTATGAGCAAGACTTGCGGCCTCCCATCTCCATGGGCACTGCAGCAGAGGGTGAGGTCGCTCCGTGATGTCCACGTTGATCTATTGACAATGCTTCCGCTTCTGACGTGCCAGTTCAACCTCCAATATGCTGACCTGTTCTCTAAGATCAAAAGCCTGTTTCTCTGCTGCTTGAAGCCAACGATTTTGGTATTGTAACTGCGTTTCGAGGCGTGCTTGGACATCCTTCCTCATTTGTAGTCTTGATGTATCTGTCTCTTTCTCTCTAAGGTGGCCTGGGGTGGAAAACACCCCTAGATCCCGCACGTGGCCTGCGCAAAAGACCTATCCTTTCAGATCTTTTGTTTGCTCGATGTTAGCTCTCCGAGGTGGTCAACATGGCGGACGATTTATAAAAATACTATTATCCATATTCCATCAGGGGAGATTAGCCGGTGTCCTACAGCGAAGTGGCTTCGACCTTCCATGTGCCTTGGTCGACGAACAAACTAGGATGGCAACAATGTCAGGTTCGTCAACGTCTACTGAAATGGCTACTTCAGTTCAATCGAGTACGACTACGCCAGGGTCGATCCGCCAGATGAGAATGGCAAAACGGAAGGAGATTGAAGATGCTTCGTCTCCTTTTAAGAGACATCAACCAGACCGTGACGCATCGCCGACTCCCACTAAAGCATCGAATCGAAAGGGGAAGGGGAGAGCTAGGCACCAAGCGGAAAATATTGAAGGTCTGTATTTCGATTCTGATTGATATAGTGGCTGTCAGTCTGACTTTATAAACATGAACCGTCTACTTCGACCGGTGAGCATTATTCTGATGACGATCTTACCTCGGTGGAGGACTCCGACTTCTCTGCTGAAGATGGAACACATGTTGATGGTCTGGAGACTAACCCTTTCAGGTTGATGGATAATACCAAGCACCTAGATGGGTTTCCGGCGCCGGCTGTTACTGTTTCTAAGCCTAAAAAGAAGAAGACTGTTATACTTGCGCCTAACGAAGGCAGTATTGCTTTAGAATTACCGCAGGTATCCATGTAGAAGGTGTAATGCCCAGCCGCGCGTAGCGCGGCGTACAGAGTCTAGTAATTTAGATACCCGACGAATGTGGGGCTTGGACACAGTAGGGGTGGCTACCACCCTGACAAGTCATCGCGGCTCCGCAAGTGATGCGAGGAGTCCATCTGTCGGTAAGGCATTGTTCGAGGATGCTTCCGTTGCATCGCCATATCCCTGTCGGGCAAGGACGGCTCAGGCGGCTGTCAGTAGCACCTGTGCACGTCCCTAACGTCGGGAAACCGACGGCATTTTGCACTGGATCGTCGTTAACTGGCGTATGGAGAAAGCTGGCAGCGGAAAGAGATGTGGACATTACGAGCGCAGCTGACGAGGTCGTCCGCTCTTCACTAGCCTCCGCGGGTGCCGTTTCGAAATTTACACCATCCGAGAAGTTATAGATCGTGTCATCCACAATTTCCCAGGCAATTTGAATGTGACCGTCAGCACATGCAGCTCCTCCGGACAGCTCTTCCAGGACAGAGTAACTAAAGTCGAGACCGGGGGCGGCGACCGCATTCCAGACGTCACTTGAAGCCGATCCTCCTGCACAACGCTGACATCCATCGCCGATAAAGAGCGGTAGGTTTGACTGCTCGCCATTGACGGTGACGATAACCCGCTTTCCGCAATACTTTGACATGTCCAATTTAAGCTGGCTATGATTCATGGCAACCACATAGTTCGAGTTCACGTGGTTCAGTGACAAAGCATTCTGCGAGCTACACTCCAGAGGGCTCAAATTTTGAGCCACAAACGATGTGTCGCAGGCCTCCACTTGCCTCACATCGTAGTAGTATGTTCCAAATCCGGTCCCTCTGAACATAGTTCTCTGCGCACTGACGCCTACCAAGAAAAGCAGACTCACTAAGGTTCGAAAGTTCATGATATCGAAATCGGATTGCGAGCGAACGCAGAATGAGATATAGGCACTATATACTTGGGGAATTTCAACACCATGCCGCTAACATAGGCCCGGTCTCATAGCGTTGAGCGGATACTTGTTTTCTAGGAGTAATCGAACCACAACATTTGAGCGATGTAAATCGATATCAACGTCAAAAACCAAGCGCGGCCCTCATCTCTGTTTATCCTTCAAAGAGTTTTTTTTCATTCACCACATTGCCTGGCATTGTGGTTGAGAGCATAAAAGTCCTGCTTTACATCGTGGTCGGCCGCCAGCCTCATTTTGCAGATATGGTCCCCGTCATTGTATCTGACTCCAACAGGTGGGGAAACCTACTATACTTTGCTGCTGGCGACCCATTGAATCCGGAAATGAACTGGGCATACAGAAATGATCATTGTCAATTACATTTAGATCTTACCAGGTATAATTTATTTTTCAAATAAACTACAGCCAATGTGGTTATTCTGACTGATTAACAGGGGTGGTTGTTAGCCTCATGCTGAATCGTCCAGAAACACCAATAAACATTCCTGAGTATCTAGTCTCAAGAAAATTTGTTGAGATCGAATTTAAGTAATGGAACGATCGGCTTGTACCAGGCGATACACGATGCACTCGGGTGCTCTATCGAAGCTGTTAGTCCGCAGACGTTGCGCGAGTCTGATGCAGGCCCCTATAAAAGTATTAGCGACGAGGTGAGCAACCAATGTTTGCTGGGCTTCCCAAATGCTGAAAAACCCAAGCAGTCAAGCATATCGAAGCTTTCCGAGCCACTCGGGACAGCTTTGGAGAATCATTCTTTCACGGCCACTATTCGACGACTCGAAGACGCAAACCGGGAACTTACTGCTAAGCTTGAACGCGGCCAAATATGTTCAGAGGAGTTACTTGAGGAAAGGCAGCAGTGGGAGGCAAAGTATCGCCGGATTTATGAGGCTCTCGACAATAGCAAGTGTCGAGAATAGTGGGTCATGGTCATGTATATACACTATTCTAGATAGGCTTTAGCGCATGGTGGAGGTGATCCCCGCTCGGCAAGCGAGACACACAGTGTCTCGTTCCCGAGTGCTCGCCTCCAAGCTCGAATATAAGCTGCAACGGCACCATACGATAATGGTATCATACATGATCATACCTGTTCTATGTCACTCTGAAATTACAGATGTTCCAAGTATTGTGGCTTATCTGTTTCAAAGCGGTGGCTGTGCAGGTTGAATAAAACCACTGTAATTACCTCACACCGGTAAATAATGCGCAATTGTATCGAATACAAGCCCAGAACATAGCTGACTAACCTGATTACCGAAATGGCCAGGCTATTTTCAATAGAGTCTCAAGGCGTAATTGCGCTTTCACGCGTCGATTTTCCAGGTTCTAATATGTCTCCTGAGATGTCCTAGGCATCTGGAAGTAGGTTGTCGCGCCTTGCCCATATATCTCCTGTTTTAGCCAATCTCACACACTAGACTGCACCGGGGGCTGTGCTTCGGAGAATTATGGGGACAATTAAGAAGGGATGCGAACGTTACGAGAGTATTCGTTATCGTAGTGGTGATAGAAGGGGCGAGGACTCATTTTCAAGTGTATGTGTGGCATCTTCAAACTGTCTCTTTCGGGTGCGGAACTCCACCTGGGACCTTCTGATCCTCGGAAGGAGTACTATTGTACCATATAAATCTCATCTAAATAAGTAACATGTAAACCAAGTTCGTGAAAGGCTCAGATATCTCACAGACATTGGTCTCTGTTGATGCCTGGCATTTGATGGAGAAGAACGGGCGTCGCGGATCAAACTCACTTGCGTGGAAGGGACTATCGTTGGTTCAGCTCAATCGGGGGAAGCACACCATTCGCGTCTGGGTAAATGACAAAAAGAGCATGTGCAAGTACTGTGGGCTTTAGTACGTGTAATCAGACCGAAAAATCAAGCTAGGATCTGTTCTCTCTCAAATCTCAATGGATTTTACGCTACTAAATTCAGTCAGCCACAGGCCCCTGCAAATTCTCGCGCTCCTCCTGGTAGAATAGTGAGAGTCACTTACGTCTTCCCATAGGTCTTGGCCATATATAACAGATTCAGAGCTCAATAATATGCAAGAAATGGTCTTGCAACTCTAATCGGATGGAATAATTGGATATCTACCAGGTCGGCGGTTTCCTTTGCAGCATCAGAAAATCTGCACAATAGTTAGGTTTTTGCTCTGGCTGAGGGGCTGGAAAGAGACAGACCCCGGAATGCCGACGGTCGCTTGAGCTTATGAGCAGTCTTGAGGAGAAATGCTTGAAGCTTGGATATGTTCACTCTAGGAGGGATCAGTGTTTCTTTTATATACTTTGACTCTCAGCATTATCGGCCAGTCCCCGCAAATACCAATGGGCACCAGCACTTGAGCTCCTAGGATCTATACTCATCTCACCAATCATATTGTCGTGGCACGGAGGGTCTGGGAGCTCCTAAGAAGACCTATTAGGCTTCATTTAGTTATGATGAGGGATTTTCTAAGTGCTAGTTAGAATACCAGGTAAATGAGGAGGCACAAATTCCGTCATGGGCAGGTAGATCATCCAGTAGCATGACCGGTCTAGAATATTTCTGCGAATGTCCAGGTCACTAGAGCTGAATTCGTACTCCTTTGTTCCTAGGAGCAAGTGGCGGCAGCAAGAGCGATAGTCCGTTAGGAATCAAGAGGAAAAAAGAATCAGAATAAAACACTAAATTGGATTTAAAAACCATTTGACTGGACTTTACTGAGATATTCCTCAATATTGTAGAACCAAAAATAGGGGGTTGGATATTTCCCGCAACTATGTAGAGATGTGAATGCGAGACTTGACGAGTTGAATAGTGGCATAGCCGCAGAATAGTAATGCCAACAAATGCGGCCCCACTGTGCATATGCCTCCCAGCTAGAGGCGAAATAACCAGGATCGACCGCCACATTGATGACGCTAGCCTTTCGTTAAGGGGACAACGGTCAAGAGTGCTGGGTGAACGACTGCATTGGGATGGGGCTAGCGTGGTGCATTTTATTGAGGTGAGCTGCTGACTTAGCTGCTCCAACTTTGCTCAGGCGACGCTCAGTGAGCGACTTCATCCGGCTTATGTAATGATCAGGCGATGCTCAGTGAGCAAGTCAGAGTACTCAGGTCACGCTCAGTGAGGGGGATCAGGCTCCTCAGTGAGCAAATCAGAGTGCTCAGGTCACGCTCAGTGAGCGAGTTCACCCGGCTTACGTAATGATCAGGCGATGCTCAGTGAGCAAGTCAGAGTACTCAGGTCACGCTCAGGGAGGGGGATCAGGCTCCTCAGTGAGCAAATCAGAGTGCTCAGGTCACGCTCAGTGAGCGAGTTCACCCGGCTTACGTAATGATCAGGCGATGCTCAGTGAGCAAATCAGAGTGCTCAGGTCACGCTCAGTGAGCGAGTTCACCCGGCTTACGTAATGATCAGGCGATGCTCAGTGAGCAAGTCAGAGTACTCAGGTCACGCTCAGTGAGCGGGATAGGCCCCTCAGTGAGCAAATCAGAGTGCTCAGGTCACGCTCAGTGAGCGGGTTCATCCGGCTTATGTAATGATCAGGCGATGCTCAGTGAGCAAGTTTAATGATTATGTAATACTCAGGGACGTGCTCAGTTTTACTCAGTGAGCAAAAAGCGGCTAGGGGTGAGCACTAAAGCGGAAATGGAAAGCCATGTCGGGCGGCCTAAAATCTGGTGTATATGTAGTTTGACTACCTGGAGAGAGTTCAGGGGGTGCGAATGTTGTGGCCTGAGGCAACAAAGATTCAATCCGCGGATTGTTACTCCTAACAATAAAAGTTCACAGCGCTGGCATTACATGGACATCTAATCATGAAAACATCGATTACAAAGGCGGGCATTGACCTGCAATAGCCATAGAAAGGAAGCCAAAGGAAACAAGGAGATCACGCCGGGACGAGGCCCATCAAAGACAATCCTTCTGTTGCCACCACCCTAAGGCGGTCCAACTTCAGGGTGATAACGTCGTCAGGGTTCCTTCCCGGAAAGGTTGACGTAAAAAGCATACGCCTGGTGAGTCTGAACTCTTGAGTCTGGGATTGGGGAGGGGCTGGGAAAACAAGCTCTCGCTGGCGCATAACGGGTGTCCCGTTCACATCTGGGGTGTATAACTCCGCCATCCCCCCGACCCGGTTGGTACCAGTGATTGTCTGCCACTGCAAGATGATAGTGGCGTTAACCGCACCCGCGCCGCCCACTAGCCAAAGATTCAGATCACCTAGAAGCCGAGGAAAGGATTCACTCCAGCCCGATTCCATGACCAGAGTGGGAAGTCGCCGGTTATCCGGGCGGATCATAAAGTCTGGCTCTTTCCGTGAGCCTGCATACGGTGGGTACAGAAACTCGATCGCTGTAAGTTGTAAGGATGGTCAGCCACCTTATGAGAATGACGGTGTGTAGACTTACTGGTTCCGACTTGTGTCTGCAGATGAAGAAGCTCGTCAAAGGTTAGGACGCCCGAGGCTAGCCATCGAGCCATCTCATCTCTCACCATACTTGGTGACAATCGTGGATTTCAGTAGGCATTATACGGATCCACAAAGTTCGGATGGCCGCGTTGTAATGTTTCCTGTAGAGTGGGCATTTAGTAGAGCTCCAGGCCATCGATAGACTCGTCTAACCTTGCAGAGGTCTGCTCGTCGAGATACTCGAAAACAGAGGACCCCCAAGCTGGTGGAACCTGACTGTATATGATCTCTTCGTGATTTGATGCGGATCAAATTGCTTGCAGCACATGCGTATGAAAGTCTGTCTCGGTGGTAAGGTCGGCCGCTGAAAAGAGTTGCTCGGGCGTATGCGATAGAAAGCTGCCTTCTTGTGGAGGCAGTCCTTGCCTTGGAGGAACCATGTTTTCTAACGAAGCAGGCGTGAGGATCCAAACGAGTATTATTGGAGGTAGCTGTTGTCGAGGGGATGAGCTGATCGGCGTAGCCACGTAGGAAGGTGGACAAGTAAAGTCAAGGGATGAGCTGATCGGTGTAGGAAGGTGAACAAGTTACAATGAACAAGTAAAACCAGGAGGAAAGGGTAGGTATACGAGAGAGGGTGACGAAACCTGTGACCACGCTCCCGCGCAATCGACCAGATACTGACTTAAACCTTAAGTCCGGGCCTATGTCAGGTGTCTCTGTATTTCTAGTTGCACGGTGATCAAACAGTACTTGGGAAAGCCCAGATATACGCTTGGTACGATTACGTTTCAACGCAAAGTTTGATGAAATACATATTTCATATGAAATACGTATCCACTTGACTATATCCCACATAGCAGCGTATGTACAAAAGGCCGGGTGAAGATAATACGTAAAGGCAGAGACGTGGGGAGTATATACACGTATAGAGAGTGGGAGCTCCACAATAAATGAATGAGGAGCCGAGACCAAGCCAATAAATTATGAACCAGCAGAGGAACGATTAGGAGGACTTGCTCTCTGATACTCCAGACTCAGAGCAGCTCTTAGGTTCCGGAATGTCTCTAGGACGGATGCCACTGTTGATCTGAGCTGCAATTTGGGATTGCTTGAAACGCTCGAATGCTTCAGCGTCTTGTTGCTGAGCAGCAAACAGTTCATCCACAGTGGTTCCAAGATGATTGTAAGCCATGTCACTGTCAAAGTCATCGAATTGAGACAGACACTGCTCTTCGTGGAGACGATCGAGCTTTTGCCGGAGAGCGGCAATGTGCGAGTTATTGTCTTCGATGTCGAAGTTTTCATCGCCATCACCAGGAACGAGAGACGGGTTGAGGATTTCGCGGCGGAGGTTCTGGCCGAGGCGGTGGATGTGTCCTTCCTGGGAAGTCATGGCGCGAGAGTGAAGAGAAGTCATGGAGCTCGTGCGTGAGTGGCGGACCGCGTACTGGTCGGTGTCTTCTTCGTCAACGCCAGTATCGTCAAGCTGAGTGCTGTTCAGATTACCGCCAGCAGTGATCGAGCCGGCTCCATCGTCATCACCTGAGTGTTGGGAGATGGTATCAGGAAGCGGAGCAGCGGGGGCCGCCTGGGGAATAATACGGGTCTCTGGATACTCGTCCTCAAAGCGTTGAATCATCCTGTGCAATGTAATGTCCAAGAATTGCAAGCGGCGGTAATTCGCGTCATTGCCAGCACGATCTTCGCGAATGAGAGCCGACTGGATCCGAGCTCGGATATTGCGGGCGGACTCGAGCAAATTCTTCGACATATCGCGCGGCCGCTTGGTAGCAACCGCTCGAGACTTGCGGCGCCGGGGTGTAGTGGTACCGCTAGCTGGCGCAGAGTGCTCCCCAAGGGCATCGAGACCTTGGTGGTCCAGGTTCTTGAGACAAACGCCCAATGCTTTGACGACGCCTGTACCCCCAATAACGTAATCTGCGTCTGGAGCAGTATCATCTTCGTCGTCACAAGGCTCATCGGAGGGAATAGCGTTTCCGACGATATGTTGCAGAATTTCTGGCACGGGCACATCCACGAGAGAGCCAGTGGAGCCAGAAAGCTCTTCCGCAATGGCGCCGCCTTCAAGGTTCCGCAGTGAGTAGGCCACAATCTGCGATGCAAGAGCTTTGACAACTTCGTTATTTTCTGCACTGGGAACGTCGATGTCAACTGCGATGATTGTACGGGAAACACGAACGGCTGCCATCATGGACGCATAAACAGCACATGCTTCTTCTTGGGCTTCCGGGTCAGTAGTAGACGCTAGACTGACAATCTGTTCATTCTCCAGAATGTTCAGATGGCACAAGCTAGGGCACTCCGGTAACACTTCGGCAAGGCCAATGACATGGTCTGGTGACAGGTTGACGTCAGCAAGATGGACGCGCTTCAAGGAAGTCATTTTTGGCAGGAAGCGACGGAAAGCCCCAAGTGCATTAGAATGCGTTGAGAATAGTTCGCGATTATGAGAGAAATCGATGAATCGGAGGTTGTGGATTTGGGCTAGCGATTGGAGCAACGTAGTGATCACAGATGATGTCAAACCGCAATCCGCTAGACTCAGCGCATAGAGCGGCGTTTCAGGTTCAATCGCGGCAGTGACAAGATCGAGGTCGTCCTTGATAACGTTCCCGCCCAGGTCTAGACCTTCACACTGGCCGGCTTTGAAGTACTCGACCACATGTTCCAGACCCTCTCTCGTCAACCCATTGCTCGCAAAGCCAAGTCTTCGCAGACCCATCTTAGTGGCCGCCTGGCAGATTTGCTTTACAGCATCGACCGAAGGGTAGCACTCGCTCATGAGAAGTTCCTCAAGGTGATCGCCACCAAAGCGCTCTGCCAAGGCACTGGCAAACACGGCGCTCACATCAGCCGTAGCCGTCTGGTTTGGGCCCGCTGTCCCGGAGCCATCGATCGCAACTTGTCCCTGAGGGAAGGGAATCCCCGACAGATCGATAGCTTTCAAGGACTTTGATAGGTGCACAAAAAGGCTGATATAGCGCCATCCCTCTCGTCCGATCTTCGGATTGTTCTTCAGAGAAAGTTTTTCTACAACGCCATACCGTTCGTGATCAGTAGAGCCTGGAGCTTCCGGTCTTCGCGATCGTTTTCGTCGATAGCGCATCTGCTCTATCGTCTTGGTGGAAAGCAAAGCTGCAAGGATGGCTCGCACAGATGCGTCCGTCAGTGAACAATTCTCAAGGAGAAGCTTGCGGACGGGAACGACAGCGAGCCAGTCGCTGAATGTTGCCAGATCCTGGGAGGTCATGGGGAAGTTGCTAAGATCCAAAGCTGCGACTGTACCGGGTGACTCAGCGAGCGTCGATGAAGGCTTGGAGATTTCATCAACTACTCTCTTGAGAACGGGAGTCTCACGGAGCTGGCAGCAACGGCGGTAGATGCGCACTGGATCAGTTGTCGGGTGACCTTGCGTTTTGGACCGAGAGCCGCCTAATGCTGGTGCCGGTGCTGGACCTCGCGTATACTCTTCATCATGCTCTGGGTCGAGTTGTAATGGCACTGTACCATTTGCCACAGCTTGTCTTCGTTTTCTCTCTTTCCGTTCTTTTCGCTCTGCTTCAGACCTTTTCTTCTTCTCCTGTTTTCTTGTCGGATCAGTCCCTTCTGCACTAGGCGCGGGAATAGTTGAGGGGTTATTATTGATAGCGTCCTTTGGCGGAGAGCTAGGCTGTGCCTTCGCATCTACCGCGGTCTGCGCGCTAACGGGAATAGGAGGAAAGGCAACAGCAGGGGCAGGAGAAGGCGCGGCATCGGAGGTGACAGCAGGAGAAGCAGGAGGAGTGGCGGCAGCAACCGCAGGAACGTCGGTAGGGGCAGGCACCGGAGCTGGAGCAGGCGCAGAGCCATCCTTCCCAGCCAATGTAGCTTGAGGATCCTTCAAAGCTCCAGCTTCATCTTGTTCTTTCGATTTGAGGTCCGCCTTCTTCGACTTGTGATTTGACTCAGACAGAGGCTGCCTTAGTTGATTCGTTGGGGGAGCTTCCTCGTCATCATCCCGATGAGAGATCCCCGCAATCTCAACATCCACACAAAATGCCACACGGTTCAGCTTAGCCTGGTTCAAATCCGCAATCTTGCATCGATGCCGATTTTGATCGATGTTCATCACGCGACGTGGACAGACCGTGCCATTGGGGTGCAACTTGGGTAGACCACCGGAATTACTAGAGAACTTGCGCAGCGCATTGTGGAGGAACGACGGTCCTTTAGGTGATGTCGAAGTAAAAGAATTGGAATCATCCTTCTTCTCTTCTTCTTTGTCCTTCGGGGAGTAAGCGGCGCCAAATGGGTTGTGCGCATCGAGGGGCGAGGTTGTTGTTTTAGGACTCGCGGGACCAGACTTCAGACTGGATTGCGATGGTGGAGTGCTTCCGGACGAGAATTTCGAGCTCAAGCTTGAGATCCACGAGTTCCGTCGTCCGATAGGTTTTGGGTCGGTCTTCCGCGAAGAAGGGGATGGTGTAGATGGCTTTTGGTCCTCAGTTTTCTCCGCTATTATAGGTTTCGCTTGTACTGGAGCTGGATCGTTCTTGGGGGGCTGGTTCGGGTTCACTTCAGAGGTGTGGGGTGGCGGTGTTGGGCGTGCCGGGTTGCTGCTAGAGCGGGATCTCCGGTGCGATTTGGGTTGTGAAGGCACTGGTTCTGCATCGGTGGCAGGCTTATCGACCGCGGATACTGACTTCGTGCGAGACAAATGGTCTGAGAAGAGAGTCAGCGGCTGTCCCGACTCCCGGGTTCTGGGGTTGTTGGAACCCGGGTTGCAGAGGTACTAGTCGTGCTAGCATATAAAGTGGGACTCACCTTTCTGTGAGTGATGAAGCCAGCTCACATCCACAGTCTGAACACCTTCCATTTTGAAGTCTGAAGGCCGCAAGCTAGATTCAAAGACAAGATGAATTCTCCGGTCGTCGAGGGGTCGCCAGCGGTGGTGGCGTGGTCCTAAGGTGTACAATGACAGGATAGGACTAGATCGAATGGCGCATAATTGGCTGGTCCCCCACTTTTCCGATGGTCGCAAAAAGCGGCGATTTCCAAGCAGCAGTCAGGTGGACAAGGTGGACAAGGTGGACAAGATAAATGACAGACACTAGACGCTCGTAACAAATAAAGGAGAGTCTGTGGACGTGCCGTTGTAAATGCCGGATGATCTGCGACCGAGAGCTCTCTGAATGGGTCTTAGTGCAGCGTTACAGGGGCTGACAACGCGGGGTTGTCGCTTGTGTAATCAGGGAATGCATAATGGAATATAGTAAGAGGAATTTCTTCGTAACCGGGGATTAAGAGAAGAAGTGTGGGGGTAAAGGAAGAGAGACTCTGGAAGCCTCCGGATGCATTAGTAGATGTAAGCATGCCCAGGCGCGGAATTACGGTGACATAATCACTTAGATCGACCTTAAAATTTGGGGTGGATGAAGCTGGAGACCTTTGCAGGATTTGAAACATACGCAGTCAAAACACAGTCAAAACAACTAATGGAAATTAATTTCAAGAGGCGGGAGGAAAGGATTGGAAATCGAGGCATAGCCAGGCTGATCATCTCTCGACGGGAGGATGTTCGGCTCCCCAGTGGCGGAAGTTGAATACGCAATGCAGTACTCCGTACATAGTAGTACAAGGCACCTCTACAGCTGAATATCAGATGAATAGGATTGTTTACTTTCATGAATAATAATTCCATTTCCATTATTTTTCGCAGGATTCATACCTCCTGTCAACCTGGAAAAGTCAATTGAGACGGGTATTCGCAATAACAAGAAACACCCCAACGCCCTGGGAAAAAGAAAAGTGCCGAGTAAAGAACAAGCAAACGCCTTGGAGGATATGCAATGAGAAAAGAATGGTCGTCACGGCGTCAAGCGGACCTCGGGGAACTGGGGTCATTCCGCAGCATTTCCGCCGGCCCCTATTTACTCCAGACCGGGGATATTCTTGAGATATTCCCAGCCATACTCTTCCTCGGGTTTCTCGGCTTCCATGCCCAGCGCAAAGCGGTACGCGCGAACCTCATTCTGTAGACCGCAGATGACACGGGTAGGGACGTCATCTTCTTCGCACTTGAGACGATGGGCAGTGCGGATGATCTCTGCGCATTTCATGGTTTGTGCGTGCCAGTAGTCCCGATCAAGTCGACTTTCCAGATGGGCGTCGCGCTCAGCCTGCAGGAGATTGTTGTAATGTCTCTTCTGGGCGAGATAATGGACGTTGTTGTTCTGGCAGTAGTGGCGGATTTGCTCAACCATGACACCCACTCCACTCTCGAAATCCCGGATCATCTGCAGGTTCTCCTCGCGATGGCGCTTGTGTTCAGCACTTTGAAGCTTTTCCTTGGCAAGAGCACGTTCGAGTTCGGCAATACGGGCAGCTGTTCTAGATGTTAGCGAACAGAACTGAGTCGATTGTCTTTGGGGTCAACATACTCAGATTCTCGGTCTGCTGGCCATTCGTACTAGAACTTTCGGCGATTCCGTTCTTCTGATTGAGTGTCAGCCAAATACCGAATGTAATACCTTCCAGCTCAATTCACATACCGCAATCTCCTCCGCATTTGCGACGATGTTCTTGGCCACATCGCGGTTGTGCTTCAAGACATCACTCAGTTCCCCCACCATCTCGTAAAGGTGATGCAAGTCCATCTGGTGACCCGCGTTCATCGGATGTCCCGCGCTCATGGCACCCATGCCACCGCCGTTGATCTGAGCAATGACCGAAGAGTGGGAGGGGGCGGGAGACTGGGCTGGAGACGGGGGTTGACGGGGAGGCATGTTGGGCACGTTCATCTGCCCCATGGAGCTCTCCACGTAGCCCGAGTAGTTACCGGTACCGTTGCTAACCATGTTGGCGGAGTTGGTGTTCATGGAGACGTCGGCGTCAGCGAAAGCGCGGTTCAGTTCGTCGAGTTGAGGGTCGTCAGGAGTGAAGGATTGTGGAGTGCCGTTATCCTCGTCAAACCAGGAAGCGTGGTTTTCAACGCCTAGGACCTCCGATTGAAACTTCTCAAGGTCACGGCGAGTAACGTGCGTGGAGCGACGGCGATGCCCCCGCGTGAAGGCCTTGGAAGGGGAGGTGGAAGTATCGTCCGCGATGGTGGCGGATACAGTCGAGCCAATGACAGTAACGACACTATCGCTCGAATCCGAATCAATAGCAGTGTCGTGTGCAGAGCTCTGATTAGAATCACGGGCCTCTAAGGGACAGTAGACAATCGTGTTGTGCTGGGGTTGCACGCTAGTCCCATGCTGGTCTAGCGTGGAAATTCCACGTGACTCTGAAGACGAAGATGCACGTGACGGACTTATCCCGACTAGCTCTTTCATCTTGTCGAGGGGATATACTGTGGTAGTTGGTATAGCAAATGAGGATTATGGGATCACGAGAACCGACAAAGAATTGGCCTTGAGGAGTCAGTTTCCCAGCATGTCGGTTGGGGCGAAGCCTATTTCTTTCCCGACCGCCGGAGCGAGGGTGTAAGTGTAATAGATCAATGACGGTCGCTATTTCGAAATAAATTGGGCCCTCGCCCGTTCCTAAATGGTCAATTACCCCGGACGCCATCAATTGTCCGTGCCATTCTTATACTATGCTGCACTTGCAATTGGTACGGACCTGCCATTCTTGTATCCGTCGGACCGCGGAAGCTCTGTGGGTGTAAATAGGAGAATGGTGGAAGGTTCATATGACGCATATCATATCTGCAGGGAAGGAAGTCACTGTATCCTGGACAACGGGCGTTGCATCCAAGCTTACACAAGAGAGCCTACCATGGTCCATACATATAAGACTCCTTAAGGCACTATGTAAATTTCATCGTGTCATGTCGGCGCTTGCAAAGAACTCCGTTGTATGCATGTGGGTACGGGGGTATTTCAGTTTCATCAAGGCATATTCAGCAAGGCTTCCAATCGCTGGTCGGAGCCTGGGAGGGAGTATTCGTGGGTTTCGGGGCCACCGCTGCTTGTTTTCTGTTGTGCAATCCGGCCTCCAACTCGAGCGACTAGCATGCGCATTTTCTCCAATTCTCGAACAAGCTCTCCATCCTTCGTGATTAGATTTGGTTGTATATCCTTTTGCGGATTTTCAAATGGCTCAAGTAAGCGCCGGAGTTGCTGCAACTGATCAAGTCGTCGTTGCCTTGACTGCCGTTGATTGTCGAGATTTGTGAGACGTTCACGGAGCTGTCGGTATCTGTGCAACCGGTGTGAGGCAGGTGAATTCCTGAACGCAGACAAATTCATATGTGGACTGACCTTGCATGCTCCTCGTCAGTTGCTTCCTGGTATTCCAAGTCGACAGGCAGCTTCGTGATGTTCCTAAGCCATGTAAGCAGCCTTGCCAAACCTTGTACAAGGTGGTTCAATCTTACATCTGCCTTGAAAGATCTGTGGTCTTCTCGATACCTCGGGAGAACGCATCTCGACTGCGTGCTTCTTGGCTGACAGACGACAAGTACAAGTTGGCAATCTGTTGGGCAACATGGTGTATCGCTTGGGAGGAATAAACGACCCGATTGTGTTGCTTAGCAGCAGCGTTTACTAAGGGAATGTAAGTGTCTTTGACATTGCCTCAATTTGTGATCGGAGCTCTGACATTTGTGTAGAACATCTTCAATGACCTTATCACTCAGATCATCCTCAGTGGTTTCAGCAGCATAATTTCGCCAGTCTTCCGTTAAATTGAGACTTTCAGAGAAGATGCGGACTTGGCTCCAAATAAAGGCTGATTTCAACTCAGAGATAGTTCGAGAAGAATCCATCTTGGACACACTCCAGATGTTAGAGAAGTACCATTGTTGTGTCTGTTCAAAGTCCCGCGTGATCTTCTCCAAGCGCGACCTTATCGATAAAGCACCACGTGATTATCCCGCAGTTATCTATCTTGCGAGATGGCCAGTGACCGTTTGAGTGTCAAACAAGTTGAAACACCCATGAGACAGCAGGAAGATTTCAGAATAGCTAATCCAGATAGGAATACAGTTCTCGACTGAAATCATAGGAATTTGATATCGAATTCTTTGGTGGAGAGTGTATCCTCGGTCTAAAGTTCTGCAATCGTATACCCGTTACATACCTCGGCAATCTGGCCGTCCCCGAAGTTTAGGTCACCTTCAAAGCGACCCAATTCCTCACCACTTGACGTCCTTCTTAACCTCTTCATTGTTCATTGTACAAGTCTGTTCTCACTGCTTTATACTTCGCAGTCACTGCTACTACTGTTAGCAACCTAACTGTTGTCTAAAGATGGCAGAGATCAAGCGGCCAGTTGGCCTTCTGTTTGACATTGGAGGAGTGTGTGTAAGTTACCACTTGGCCCAACAATGCCTTAACTACGCTGACCAATGTGCAGGTTGTTTCACCGTTTCAAGCCATTCTTGACTACGAGCTCGCACAAAACATTCCACCTGGATGGGTCAACTTCAGTATCTCGCGAACAGCGCCGAACGGTAGCTGGCACCAGCTCGAGCGAGGCCACATCAAGATGGACGCCGACTTCTTCGCAGGGTTCAATGCGGACCTAAGAAATCCCGATCTCTGGAAAGAATTTCATCAACAACTCCAGAAAAAACAAGGCATCAGTGGCGCGCCCATCCCTCCACTACCAAACGTGGATGCAGAATGGCTTTTCTGGGAGATGATGCGGATATCGCGCACGCCAGACCGATATATGTACCCCGCTCTGAAGAAGTTGAGAGAGTCGGGGCAGTTCCTTATGGGCGCTCTATCCAACACTGTTATATTCCCCGACGGGCACGAATATAACAATGTGTCTGACGTTAAGAAGCAATTCGACTTCTTCATCTCATCGGCACACACGGGCCTCCGCAAGCCTGATCCGAAAATCTACCAAGTTGCATTACAGGAAATGGACACTCTAGCCAAGAACCGGGGACTGGGTGGTGTCAACCCTGATGATATCGTGTTTTTCGATGACATTGGTGAGAACTTGAAGGGAGCAAAGAAAGCCGGCATGCGCACGGTCAAAGTTGTTCTTGGAAAGACTGAAGATGCGGTGAGAGAGCTGGAAAAGATTACTGGTCTCCAGCTGTTCGAGGACGGCAAAGCGCGGTTGTGAGGCGATATAGAAGTTAGTAAATTAGGGAGAAGATTGGTATTTCCAACTAGAGAACATTGAAGATAAAGAGAAAGTTTTCCTTAATTTTCTCGATTTTCCCCAAATTGTTGTTCTTTTTTCTGTTGGCATAGTACAAAATTTGATGTTCCGACTCGTCGCCGACCTCACTTTTTGGAGGGGGATGAAGCCACGCGCTAAGCGAATCCCGCACAAAGTCGACCCACGAAATTTCTCACTTCTTCTTTCTCGTCCATCCGCATCGCCCTCGACACCCCGTCAAAATGGTGAGTTCGATCGCTGATGGCTGAAAAGCCATTATGCATTCCTTTCTATATTTTTGTTCTCCGATTCCTATCGGAACCGGGTCCCTGCAAGTTGCTTCGGTGTAATTTCTGAAGCGTTAATTGCTGACTCGCGATTTTGTTCTTAGCCTTTCACCAAGAACCCCAAGAACAATGCCTACTTCAGGTGAGTTATATCGTCTCCGTTATTTCAGAGTCACTAGTTGCTGACTTTGCACAGTCGCTTCCAGACTAAGTACCGCCGTCGCCGCGAGGGTAAGACCGACTACTATGCTCGCAAGCGCCTGATCACCCAGGCCAAGAACAAGTACAACGCCCCCAAGTACCGCATGGTCGTTCGCTTCACCAACCGCGACATCGTTACCCAGATCGTCTACTCTGAGGTCTCCGGTGACAAGGTTCTTGCCGCTGCCTACGCTCACGAGCTCCCCAAGTACGGTATCGACCAGGGTCTGACCAACTGGGCTGCCGCCTACGCCACTGGTCTGCTCCTTGCCCGCCGTGTCCTTAAGAAGCTCAACCTGGACGAGCAGTTCAAGGGTGTCGAGGAGGCCACCGGTGAGCACTCTCTCACCGAGGCCATCGAGACCGAGGATGGCGAGCGCCGTCCCTTCAAGGCCTTCCTCGATGTTGGTCTTGTCCGCACCTCCACCGGTAACCGTGTCTTCGCTGCCATGAAGGGTGCCTCCGACGGTGGTATCTTCATCCCCCACTCCGAGCGCCGTTTCCCCGGTTACGACATCGAGTCCGAGGAGCTCGACGCCGAGACCCTGAAGAACTACATCCACGGTGGTCACGTCTCCGAGTACATGGAGACCCTCGCCGATGAGGATGAGGAGCGCTACAAGTCCCAGTTCGTCAAGTACATCGAGAACGAGATCGATGCCGGTGACCTCGAGGAGATCTACTCCGATGCCCACAAGGCCATCCGTGAGGATCCCTTCAAGGCCGATGAGAATGCTGGTCCCAAGAAGACCAAGGAGGAGTGGAAGGCCGAGTCCAAGAAGTACAAGGTCGCCAAGCTCTCCCACGCCGAGCGCAAGGCCCGCGTCGAGGAGAAGATCCGCAAGCTCGCTGCTTAAGCGTATCGCTTCCTATCTTAAAAAGTTTCTCCAAAGCTTCAATCGAGGGAATGGCTACTGCCGGCGTTTAATATTTTTTTTCCCTGTGATGTAGTTGATGGATCATGGCACATACCACTTTGATTTTATTGGAAAGGGGTTCTTTCCTGGGAGCAATTAGTTCGGTGTTCATTCAAGGCAATTTCTTTACTCTGTTCTAACTGCTCCCTGTCAATGTCCATCAGTCTTGTTCCCTCATTTGCCTCGCATCTACGTATAGGTGGGATTGTAAAGCCCGTAGTATCTAGTCTTCTATGTAGTCTATCATACCCAGCTTATGTCTGCGTGAATCATGCCATTGGGCTTGTACACATGGAGCTAGTCTGAATCATAAAATTAGATCGCCCTGCACAAGCCCCAAGACTAGTACTAGTTTGTGACTGTGCTTTGTGGTCTCAACCCCACGGACACTGCATTGCCAGCGCAGCACTGGGTGGCTGTCAAAACCAGCAAGGATAAGGAAAAAAAGAAAGAAAAAGAAAGAAAAGGAAGGCTTGATATTTCATTGTTTATCATAAAGAAGTCCCCGCTTTAAATAGAAATTCCTCCCCTGAAAACATGAAAGGAAGAATCCATTCATCCGTCCTCGATATATACCCACACATAACCTCCATCGACTCGAACCTTAATCCCTCTACGTCACATCACCCCCATCCACCATGAAAAGATACCAACAACACACCCACGCAAGCTGGCACCGCGCCTACGGCGATACAGTCGAGTGTCCTTGGTGCCCAGAAGGCGCTCACCGGCCCGAAACCCCTCTCCGACCCCAGAGCCAAACCCACCGCAAGAACACCAGCTCGCGCACCGAGTCCAGGAGCACACATAGGACAAACGCTACCGCGACGCCGGTCGGGCATCGCAACGAGCAGGGATCGCGTTTTGAGCACCGGGCTGGAAAAGACTCGAAAGCTGGAACAACCCCGATCGAGTCAAGGACGCCGGATAGGACTCGGGCGGGTGGTGATGGAGGCACACCGGGACAGGAGAGTGTTGATGAGAACTATGATATGCGGCACTTGGGACGCACTGCTGGGCAGGATGGATTGAATAGTGCTCATGCGTCACGCCCGCCGCTGCCTGAGGCGTGGACAAGGGAGAGTGAGGAACCGGAGCATGGGTGAGCATATCCTTTTGTTTGATTAGGTTACGACTGTTCTATGCTGACAAGGGTTGATAGCTCCATGGCATGGAGCGGATCGAGTGCGGAAACAGGACACACTGGGCTAGATACGCCTGGCGATATTCAAGTACCTGGTGACGACAAGATTGGCTCGTCGGAGTTGAATGTGAGGGAGCTGGAGGAATCGCAGGAACGAGCGGATTAACGTGCATTAGAGAGATGATGGATGATTCATGTCTCAACCCAGATACCAGGGCCCTCGGGCCTTTACAGCACACATCTTTATTGTACATATTCTACCAATCCAATATGACCGATATCATTCCCACAGGTTGTGGAGTCGAACTACCAGCCACTCCTGTCCGCGGGTTGTCGATGTCATCAACAGAACTGGGATATAGAATGATAGAATCATAGAGAGCCAAGTCTCATGAGAAGATCTCTACGGACTCGGTGTTTCGAAGGGAAGCCACTGGCACCAATCTAAGGCATCAAATATTACCCAGAACGGCTAGCGCGCAATCACCGGCAAATCGTCGCCAAATTGTTTCAGCATTTTCCGTTCATTCTTTGTTTAAAACAAGGCCGCGATGTTAGTTTTAAAGTCACCATCCAATGCGCTACCTGGTTCTTTCTCAATCACTCTGCCTTTCAGATAGCGGACATCAAAGCAAGATTTCCTCCCACTGCTTTAATCTTGCGAGCCTCTTAAAAAGTTATACCGCAATGCAGCTTTATCTGATACGTCATGGGGAGACAGTACACAATGTTGCGAGAGTCCTGTAGGAGCCCATGTTCCTAGAGCGAGTCGCGATCTTCAAACTTGCGCTAACTACTCGTGATAGAGCAGGCAGCACCGATTCAGCCCTGACCAACCATGGAATGGCTCAGATCAATTGTCTTGCGCAACATTTCGCCTCTAGTCCAACTAAATTCACAGCGGTCTTCAGCTCAAACTTGAGCCGAGCAAGAATAACTGCCGAAGGCATTTGTCGTGCACAGGTTTCACCAAAGGACGAAGTACCCTTGAAACCGGTACTGTCGCCGTATCTCAGAGAGAAAGATTTCGGATCGATGGAATGCCGCATCTGGAAAGCGGCTCCTCCAACGCCATTGCCTCCAGACTGGATTGTTCCCGAGTCCAGAATCTCGATGCGAAACAGGGCTAAACTGTTTTTCGACGAATACCTCCTCCCGCTGCTGATGCGTGACCCAGATGGCCAACACAAGATCGCAGTCGTTGCCCACGGCCTGATCCTCCAGGAGTTATGGTCTCATCTCATTGAGCTTTTTGTTCCAGCGGATTCCGAGCTTATTATTCCTTATCGAAGACCTATGTGGTCCAATACCGGTTACATGACGGTCCTAATTACCCCCAAACCGACAGAAAATATACCGCCACCTGTTCCCATGCCGGGTTTCGCATTGGTAGTTGCGGGTGTTGATAACAAGAAACATCTTGTCGGTCTCCGCCGCACTGGGGGTGGGCTTGCGAGCGTTGCCCATGATAGGAAACAAAAGAAAATAGATCAATTCTTTCGATAGTCGACCGCCTTGCAATCCGTGGCTATGTACAAACACAACGTTCTCTAAAATGGCGCAATCTAATCGGTGTGGAATACTTCCTCTAGAGGCTTCCACCACCCTGGGCCCTCAGCACTGCTCACAGCGCCAGGAATGGGGCTCTCCTATACTCCGGGTCAATGTCTTGATCTCCATCACTTGTGTCTATGTTGAATTGCACATACCTGCATCCCATCAGTCATGGCCCACCACTCTCTCATTCTTGGGAGTGCAGCCATTTTGTCCATATCAGCGTCGATATCTGTACCTGTATATTTGAAAGTAGCGAACAGGGTTCGGTCGTTATCGAAGAAGATGGAGTCTATGCAGAGATCACCATGTCAGCTGTCTGAAACACCCGGGCGCACTTCCACTCTCTTGCTCTACTGGACCTCCACACTTACAATCTATGATGTTGCACTCCTTGATCTTGTCGAGAATTTCAGGCCAGACATTGGCATGGCACTCTTTGTATGCGGCGATAGCGGAGGGCTTGAGGTGGACGATCTGGGCGAAGCGGCGGGGTTGAGGTTGAGCCATTGTGAGGAATAACGAGTTGTTTATGTATGTTGTTCTAGGTAGGTCAATAATTGAGCTTCACCTATTGAACGTAAATTGAAACCGTCAGACCAGAGGCAGAGGGAGCAAAGAGGTTGAGCGCTTGCGCACAAGCAGTCAAATAGGAGATGTGTCGGAGTGTGATATTCAACTAAGGCTAACCTCGGGGTATTTCACTACCGAGCTGGCCAACCCACCTACCAAGCTGACCACCCCCAATGGAAACCCATGGTAAAGGCGATAGTTAGTTATTTCCTACATTAGGTTATGGGTATCTCAACAATCATGAGTTTATTCTGTCTCCTAGGTTGTTTCACGATATGCCATTGATAAGAATAATTAGCCTTCTGACCTCTGTATCAATTTCAAAGTGGATATTAATAGAAAGGCGATAATGTGGAATTGCACATACCTGCATCCATCAGGGTGATACCTACGAAAGATTACCATTCCATGACCCGAGATATATCTACCTATATGTAGCGCAGACAGGGAGTCTTGATTTTCCTCATACTCCCCGGCGATTATGCTAGTTATGACCTAAAAGATGCTATGCTACAGAAATAAGTCCGTATAGACCACCGTTGTTGAGTTACGGTGTTGCGAAGTCTGAAAAAAGAGGGCCATGGATCGCGTTCAATTCGAGGCGTCGTTAAGGTACAAAGACAACGTCAGTATATGACTCAACGCCAGCATATGACCAGTTACTCTTTTTCCAGAGCCTTGTCGACAAGACCCTCAAGCTTGCTCCACTCAAAGGCGAGAATAGGTCTATTCTCGGTGAGATCAAAACCGTTGGCCTTGTACGCATCATGATGAACAGCAAGATGGAGTTCAACAACCCTCCTGAAAGTTGGCACAGTGGGGCTCATCGACTCAACGCCGATGATATTAGCCAGTATTTCCCACATGATGAGGGAGAAGTTGATATCCCAGTCACGCACCCGGACAGGGTCTTTAGGATCCGATAGGGTGCTCTCCACATGCTCTGAAAACTTCCTTATTATTTCAGCCAAGGTCCATATATGCAGCAGCCGGATGGGATCAGTCCTCTCGTACATCTGAGGATCGATCCGCACAACCCGGATAGCAGCGTGAATGAATGCCAGGTATAATCTGTTACCTTCCCGTGCGTGGACGATAAGGTCGTCACGCAAAGAGGGATATGGCTGCCGGGTGAGAGGCCATACACCAGTCGCGCGGAGTCTGCGCATGGCGGCTTCTAATTTTTGGATTCTGTCTGCTGGGTTGGTGCCGGGTGCAAGGGTAATCCGCCTGAGTTCTAGGGCTTCCTGACTTGCTGTAATGATGGTTGCCTTGTCACTCGGCGGGGACAAAAATCGATCCTCGAGAGTGTCAACTCCCTGGATGCACTTTCGGCAGTGACAGTCAAAGAAGTAGAGTTCTTTCAGTTCTTTGCGTCGGACGTAACGTGGCGTTGTGGCGTCGATGTAGGAGATGAAAATTTGCTGGCCCTTTTTGATTGGCCGGGTGGCCTTCACATAGAGTTCCTGGGTGTCAAACCCGATAGCGGAGTTGTAATCGCAGCTGTGGTTGATCAAACTCGCATATGGATGCAGATAGAGACCGATGCGGTCATAAAAGGGAGTTTGCAGCTTGAGGCAGTTGACATCAATCTATATCCGCAAATTAGATGAATATCAAGTGAAGGGTAGAGTAGAATGAGAGACAGGAAAACATTACCTCGCCAGCAAAATTCATAACCGTCCCTCCTGTCAACTGAGTCCCCGAGTGCTCTCTGACGGTACTTGTTGCCTGCGCAAGCCGCTCAAACCGGCCAGCCCCAAACATCTCGTGGAGGTGATTCTCCAGGTCCTCAACGATCTTGAGTGTCTTTACTTCTTGCGATCAATGCGCAGCACTATAGCAGTAGAAGTCGGACATGGGTGGGAAGCACCTCTGGCTCGATTTTCCTGAAGATGGGACATTCAAGAGAATGCGCAAACTTGAATGCGCAAACTTCCAGTCTTTCGATTGACACTCCTGATAAATCAAATGATCAGATTCTGGGAATGAACATAGACAGTTTAGATAGGGCTTACCTATTGCAATATCTCACGACACGGCATCCTGTACATCTCTTTACCGCGCCCTCCCTTATCTCCCTCTCCGGTGAAAAGCAGCAGGAACAATGATCTTCCAATCTCGGTGAGTCTAGAACTGCCGCGAATGGTGTTTTGATGTGGAGCACATCTTGGCCGGGCTCAATGTCAGTCGTTGCAAAAAGGCCATCATAGCCAAAGTCAGCAGCGGGCTGTGAGACCGTCTTGGTTGTCACTGAAGGCAGTGATGTTGTTGATGTCATTTTGGGTTATAGTCCTTCGACATATCAACAGTTGAAGATGTGATGGTGATTCGAGGTCTCAGTTTAAACCTTAGGGTGGAGTCCTGGGCGGTGAACCTACATAACTTGGTTAGGTGTGTCATGTGATCCCACATGAGCCAGCCAATCATGTTCGGTCTGAGCATGCTGAGGACTGAGGTACTGTACGGAGTAAGACTCATCAGTTGTTTACCTATCTCAACAACCATGTATTTATGTATATAGTGGGATGATAGGTCAAAGAGTTTACGTGGTATGAATATTGTCAATTGAATTATTGAAATGAAGTCTACATAAGTTGGAATGTCGCTACTCGCTTCGTAAAATTGTATAAATCCCCCAAACTTCATGAACCAATCTGATTCTTAGGAATTGGCCGAATCCAAGCAACAGCCAAATTGGCCACCAAAGACACAACCCCAATGATCCACATCGATCGTCCATAGCTCGACCCATTATACCGGAAGATGATAGCAAAGACAATTCCTCCAAGATTTCCAAACCCACCAACAATGCCCGAAACAACACCTTAACCACACGGTTAGCTCTCGATACATGACCACAGGGGAAACACGAAACCACATACCATTAGCAAAAGGATGCACATGAGGCACAACGGCAAAGTTAGCCCCATTCGAAGCCTCAAGAAAGAATGCCAATCCAGCAACAAGCCCAAACATCCCAGCCTCCGTCATTGGGTTCGCGAATCCTATCGCAAGCTGGAAGGCACCCATCGCAACACCCAAAAAGGTAATCAAAAGCTTCTTCGACCACACATTACCAGTAGCCCTATAAAGCAAATCCCCAAAGAGGCCACCCGCAGGCCGAAAAACAACGTTCAGTAACCCGAACATAGCAGCCCACTGTCCCGTCTGTGTTTGGCCCATATGCGGAAAATTCTTCGCATAGTAAGATCCCAGAATGGAGTTGATTGCCAGCTCCGAGCCAAATGAGCAGGCGTAGGGAATTGCTACGGACATTGTGGAGAGGCTTAGTGCGACGTTTAGTGCTTCGCGACGGGAGGGTGCGAGGACGGTTTCTGGGAAGATATCGATTTGGCTTGTTGCGTCTTTGTCGAGGATTTGGGGCGTTTGTGCGCCTTTCTTTTCGAGGTCGAGGGCTGTGTTGTTGTGTGGGGTTGTTATTCCGCTGGAGAACGTTCCTGTGTTTAGGTCGATGATGGCGCCGTCTGAAGGAGGGACGGCGGTGGCTTCTTTGGTCCAGAGGTGGCGTTCGGACCATTTACCTGTTGGAGTGTCTTCGCAGAGGAAGAGCATGCACAAGGCTGTCGCGGTGATGATTATGAAGGGGATTATGTAGGCGATGCGCCAGGCTTTGTGGGAGGGGAGATTGCGGTCGACGAGGGAGTCGTAGATTGCTGGCATGAGGAAGCTGGCTTATGTGTTAGTCATTGTATAAAGTCGGGGTTTGGGATTATACATACTATGTGATTCCTCCGCCTGCATTACCCCAGCCTCCGGCGAGGGAATTGGCGGTGCCGACTATCTTTTTGTCAAAGAATCCGGTGCACCAGACTTGGCAGGGAACGAAAGTTCCACCTAGAATTCCGACGAAGAATCGTAGAGCTATTAGGCCATTTGGGCCGGTGACTAGACCGGCCATTGCTGTAGGGATGGCTCCGCATAGGAGAAGGCCCACGAAGACTAAGCGGGGACCATAGCGGTCGCAGAGTGGTCCTGCGATAAATCGGACCAGTAGCCTGCAGCTGTTAGGGATGCTGATATGTATTCGGTCTCATGTTTTGTGACTTACGTTGCGAGGAGTGCGATGATGTTGGAGTTGGCGACATCTTCTTGTGTCATGTTCAGATCTTGTTTGATCGTTACTGTCAACTGGAGAGATTTTATACCTTAGTGAGCTGTGTTGTGCATGGTTCGTGACGTTAATTGAATGTAAACTTACCAGCGGTGGAAAGGCATACCATGATAGGAATGCAACCATGAAGCCGAGCCATGAGAAGAAGAATACTCGTCCGTATTGATCGAATGGGTTTAAAACGGGGATTGATTTGGCTTTGCGGTTACTGGGGTTAATTTCTGGTGAGAGGAACAGCGTCTTAACGAAGTTCAATGCCATCTTGCTGGGCTCGTATAGTTGAGCAATGGGATGGAGGTGCGCTCCGAGCCGATATTGTGACGTATATGACTTCGTTGGCTCGACACCATGGACTTGTTGTTGACCAGGATAGGGCAAGATATAATAATAGTCTACAGGGAATTAATGCAGGATCGGAGGTAAATATCGTGGGCTATATAGACGTATTTGATCTTCCATTCACTGAGGCATCTATCTCAGATACCTTTCATGACACAATCAGTCCCAGCTACAAACACCCAGGAAGTTTGTCTCACGTAACAAAGATCACCGCTTCCTCGAACCCTAAACGGGCTTGTTCCTACCCAAGATGTTCCTGAAACTTCCGCGGAGTTTCGCATGTCAATGGAGAGAGCGATAAGAAGCATATCTACTATCAGGACCCATAAAAGTCCCATATACAGCAGTGCCAAGTTGGGGAAGCCACAGGCTGATCGTATAGATTGAGTTATTCAGTGCACCTCCGCGGAGTTTGCGATAGTGGCTTGAATTGAGGTGAATGCCGGTCTAAATGAGTCTGGGGGTGGGTGCTTGGAGTGAACTTCTTGATAAACGTGAGACTTTTCATTGGACGAACCCAACTTAAATCTACGGCGATAGGGGCTGAAGATTGAGCGCTGTCGATCTGATCTCCGCGGAAATACTTAAACTTGACTTGGTACTTGACTGTTTCTTCGTCTGAATTTCCTTAGAGTTGTTCCGGTAAAGCTGGGTTGAATGGCTGGTATGGTGACAGTGAATCCAGATTGAATTAGGGCTACTCCCAACTTGGAATGACCAATCTAGAACGGTCTTCCAAAAAGATAAGAGGCAATACTCTGTTATAGCTGGCAGCTTCTGTCCGAGTGAACTTGTTGTGACTAGCTGGAGAGGAGCAGGGAAGTAAAAGGGAGCAAGTTAGGGCTTAGCTGGAGGCATCTAGAAAATGTACGAACTCCTCTAACACTGCTCAGATCCTACAATCCTGAATTGTAGACAGATAATTATTCAGAATGTAATAGATAATCTCAGCCTGCTCATTATCATAAGATTACTGTCATCCCATGCGCCATCCTGACAAGAAACCCCCAAACAATAATCCAGACTACATACTGCGTACACACATAGATGTAGTGACTACCAATCAATGGTCTTGGCTGGCTGCACTGTCCGCAAGAAACCATCTGCAACCTTCTTCCCCTTCATGCCCTTGAACTTCTTGTCCACTTTGTGGAAAGGATCTTCCGCCTCACCCTTCCGCACCTTCCACTTCTCCGTTCCCAAGATCGAATCCAACTCCTCAACCGGGGGAAGCTGAACATAAACCCATCCATCTTCCCTCTCCTCAACGGGAAACGTCGCAATATTCATACTATCATCATTCGAGCACCGTCCCGCCTGTTCACCATTGAGCTCAAAATTCCGTTTGTGATACGGACACGACACCCAGTACTTCCCAGCATCATCGTCACCAACGAGTCCATCGGAGAGAGCGAAAGCTCGCTTGTGCGGACACATCTGCTGCGTCGCGTAGAATTTACCCTTGATCTTGAAGATAGCAAGCTGGGTATCACCGCGCTTGACATTCGCCGATGACACCTGCGGGGGCTCGTCGGAGAAATGGTCTGCCCGGATGACAGGTTGCCAGGAGAGGCTTGACCACTGGTGGCCTTTGAAATCTTGTCGCTCGGTGGTATCCTTGGGCCAGTAGGTGGGTCGTTTCTGGGATCGCTCTTGGATGACTTCTACCGTCTCGAGGGTGTCGTTGGTGTTGGCGAATTGCTGAAACACTTTTCGACGCTTGGGATCTTTGATGGTTTCGGTCCATTCGCAGAAGTAGCTGTCAACAAGTTCGTGCATCTGCTTTTCCATGTCGGCGCAAATGCCGAGTTTGTCGTCGACGATCACTTCTTTGAGGTAGTGGATTCCGCCTGGTAGGTTCTCAATCCATCTGGCTGTGCGCTGCAGTTTGTCGGCTGTCCGGATATAGAAAATCAGATAGCGATCAATGATTGGCATCACCATCTCGGCGGGTACGTCTGTTACGAGGAGTTCGGCGTGTCTGGGTTTTGCACCCCCGTTGCCACCAACGAAGATGTTGTATCCCTTCTCCGTGGCAATGAGTCCGAAACTGATAGGCGTTAGTCTTAAGTCGCGAGCATTATTGGACGGGGCTTTCTCACTCTTTGTTTTGAGCCTCGGCACACTCTCGCACACAGCCAGACACTGCCCCTTTAAACTTGTGTGGGGCGCGAATGCTCTTGTACCGCTCTTCCAGGCGAATTGCCATGCCGACACTGTCACCGACACCAAAGCGACACCATGTGGTTCCAACGCAGCTCTGAAATGCAATGTAAACAAATGTTTCCTCAAAACATGATTGAGTGACATACCTTGATCGCTCGAAGAGCCTTTGCATAGGCATGTCCACTCTCCATACCCGCATCGACGAGTTCCGTCCAGATGTTCAAAAGGTCCTGCTTCTTCGCACCGAACATGTCGATGCGCTGGGCACCAGTGATCTTACAATAGAGACCGTATTTCTTTGCCACGGTTCCGATGGCAATGAGTTTATCGGCTGTGATCTCTCCACCCGGAACACGAGGCACCACCGAGAATGTGCCGTTTCTCTGGATATTGGCAAGGAACTTGTCGTTTGTGTCCTGCAAGTCATTGATGCCCTTGTCCATGACGTGTGGGTTATACAGACTAGACAGAATTGAGCCAATTGCGGGCTTGCACAGTTCGCAACCGAGGGAATCTGGGTTCTTTCCAACGGCTTTCATAATGTCGACGAAGCTTTTCAGTTGCTTGATAGCCACGACGTTGTATAGATCGGCTCGGGAATAGGGGATATGGGAGCACACTGAGAATGTTAGTGCGGTGAAAACTGGTTATAACGCAGATTGATATCACCTACAGTTGTTCGATACTTCCTGGCCCATCTCAAGCATTGTCTTGTTAAAAATTGATTGCACCAGAGGCATGCAGCCACCGCAGCCTGTTCCCGCCTTAGTGCATGACTTGACTTCGGCAATGCTCTTGCATGTGCCGCTCTTCACATTCTCGACCACGTCACCCTTGGTGACATTGTGGCATGAGCAGATCTGCGTGCTATCATCTCTGTGGCAATCAGTTAGCTCATATGTCTTGTAGCAGAAATGACGCCGCTTACAGATCATCTGCATTTTCCTCTCCGCCATTCTGGACACCAAGGATGAATTGACTCGGAGGAACCTCAAGTTCTTTCTGGAGCTTAACCATCTGGTTCAACTTCAGATAGTCCTTGGTATCGCCAATCATCATGCCTCCAAGCAAGAACTTGCCGTCCATGGTGAATAGATACTTCTTGTATACGCCACAAAACGGGTCTTTATACGTCAAGGCCTTGACAGGAGGTTCGTCCCGCAAGTTATCCCCAGATATCGGAACAGAGGCAGGCCGCTGACCAGGAAGGAACTTCGGTCCATCCCTGTCGGCAAAGAAGTCGCCGAAACTTGCAACTTCCACCCCGAGCAGCTTCAGCTTCGTGCTAAGATCTGGCCGCGTAAAACCTCTGGGTGTCTGGTCCGGGTGGGTGAGATTGAAAGCGAGCACATCGGCCATCTCAATTCCTGGAGCAATGATCCCAAACGTCTGGTTCTCCCAGCTTGCACATTCTCCGACAGCATAGATATCAGGGATTGAGGTTTGCAAACTGCACAGGTTAGATGATGAACTAATATGCACCCGAGTTCATGCACGAACCTCTCGTTTATAACAAATCCGCCTCGCTCACCACACTGGATTCCAATATCTCGTCCCAACTCATCGCGGGGTTGGACTCCGATCTAAATCCCCGATTAGGACAGCCACAAAGAGGACGGGAAAAGAGTGACGCAGCACATACTGCGAAGCAAATACAACAGCAATCAATCCTCTCCCCATCCTCGAACGTAATTCCAACCACATTATTTCCTTCATCGGTATGAACAATCTTCACTCGCTTCTCGTGAAGAACATCAAGTCCCAACTCCCGGATCTTGCTAGTGACTAACATCCCTGCATCTCCGTCTAGCTGTCGCGCCAGCACCCACTTATTCCGATCGATTAATTTCACATTCCCAAATTCCTCTAGGTCTGTCATTGCTTTCGCGGCTTCCAGACCTAGCAACCCGCCGCCGACTGTCACAGCATTTTCGCCTTTATGCTTAGCCGCGAAATCAATAAGACGTTCTAGATCGGCGATCGTTCGATATACGAACACGCCGTTGGCACCATGACCGGGCGTCTGTGTGGGGAGGGCTGCCTCGGAGCCTGTTGCGAGCACAAGGATATCATATGGTACTGTGGCGCCAATAGATGTTTGGACAGTCTTTGTAGAAGGGTTGATTGCCGTTACGCGAGTGTTGAGGTGGTGATCGAAGGCTCGTTCTTTGAAAGAGTTATACTGATGAAATAGACCCTAGTCAAGATCTGTCCAACAATCTGAGTTGGCTCAAGAAAATTAACTAACCCATTCTGTCGGATTGAGGTATAGATCCTCAATTTTGCGATGTTCAAAGTACGACGATAGTCCGACACGGTTGTAAGCTACGTGAGACTCTTCGCCGATGACAAGGATATCGTATTTCCGTTCTGTGTCTTGTTTGATAATCTTCTCACTGTCTGCTGTTAGCACTCAATTTCCCATTCCAATGTCCGCATATGCACATACATCAGCGAGATAGCCACCATCCCCAGACCGACGACTACAATCTTCTGTCGGTTCGAGGCACTTGGACTGCCGTCAATCGGCTCACCATGTCGTAGTCCATCCAGCACAGGCATGATGGGCACTGATGCAGCATGAACTAAGTAGAACGAGTAGGTATAGTATATAAACACTGACTACAGGAGAATGGATACGGCTATCGTCCTACTTTTACAAGGGCTGCTACCCTGCTACAACGGTGTCTATGACATTACACAGTGAGTCGTACGAATAAACAAGAGGCTAATCAGACCATCGACTCGGGTAAAACAGGAGAGAAGATTCTCTTCGGCAAGGGAAATTGTCCAGTTTGATCTCCGCGGAGATGCTGGTATGGGGATGTTGTGATTGGTCACCGTTTAGGGTTTCAGGGGCTATCTCTTATCTCGACGTGGAGATAAGATAAGGCTGATTGATTGGCTTGGCATTTCACTTCGGGGGTTGATGATTATGATTTCTGAAGTAGAACCGGATTTGATATTGGATATCCGCGGAGATGGAGGGTCATGGCGATGAAGCTGACGTTGAGGGTTACGGCGAGTCTGAGCCGTGCTGAGGTTTGTTCGGGGTATGTCGAAATAGCTTCCGTCGGTTACCTATATTTCGACACTTGTCAAGCAAAGTTATAGCGGCATTAAAGATCATAGCGGAAACCTATCAAGCTACAACTACAAGCCTTGCACCGACATAATGGCCAGCATCACTACACAGACGTTAATCGAGCACGAGACAATTCGGCTGAAGAATGCTCATATCACAGTACACGATATTGCGCCGAGTCCAGGAGAGCCGGATATTCCACTCCCCCGCCGTCGAAGAGTCCTGTCGAGATCCTGGATGTGGATAAAGGAACACCGGATGAGCATGTACCGCGCGATCCACGATTGATTCGGTTGACCGGCGTTCATCCATTCAATGTAGAGCCGCCGTTGACGGCGCTGTACAATGAAGGTATCGAATTGATTTCATTCTCATACCAATGAAACACAAGCTAAATGAACAAGGCTTCCTCACGAGTCCGGAACTATTTTATGTTCGAAACCATGGCCCGGTGCCACAAGTTCGCGACGAAGATATCCCAGATTGGGAAATCAGTATAGAAGGGTGAGGCAAATCAAAACTATGGTTCATGCTAGTGTGACACGGTTTGAGAGAAAGGCTGACTGAGGAAGCAGGCTGGTCGAGAAGCCTTTAGTTCTGACTTTCCGTGAAGTCCTCCAGAAATACGACCAGATCACCGCGCCCATCACACTCGTCTGTGCTGGCAACAGACGAAAGGAGCAGAACATAGTCCGGAAGTCTAAGGGGTTCTCCTGGGGAGCGGCTGGGTTATCAACGGCTCTATTCACAGGACCGATGATGGCGGATATTCTGCGCAGTGCGAAGCCACTTCGTCGAGCGAAGTATGTTTGTATGGAGGGAGCTGATAAACTGGTGAGCATATCCCGGTGAAATTATCGGGAACCTTGAGCTCAAATTGACACATGACACAGCCAAATGGATTCTACGGGACTTCGGTCAAATTGAACTGGGCGATGGATCCGAATCGTGGGATCATGTTGGCTCATAAGATGAATGGCGAGGATCTTCGGCCAGACCATGGTCGGCCGTTGCGGGCTGTGGTGCCGGGCCAAATTGGAGGTCGGAGTGTGAAGTGGCTGAAAAAGTTGGTTTTGACTGATGCGCCAAGTAATAATTGGTACCACATCAATGATAATCGGGTGCTTCCGTGAGTATTCATGTTAAGCTGGGTATGTAAGTGAAGTTGGTTTTCTAACAGTTGCAGGACAATGGTCACGCCGGAAATGTCTGCTCTGGATTCCAAGTGGTGGACTGATGACCGATATGCGATTTATGAGCTCAATGTCAATGCCGTCGCTGTGTATCCGCAGCATGAGGAAGAGATCGATCTAGCCACGACTGGACCTACGTATACAGTCAAGGGATATGCATATGCCGGTGGTGGTAGGACGATAACGAAAGTTGAGATTTCTCTTGATAGCGGCAAATGTATTATTGCGCATTCCCTGACCCCAGAATGGAACGCGGCTAATCCCTGTGGAAATTACCAGCATGGCGTCTTTCTGAGGTCGAATACGCAGAAGACAAATACCGAGACTTCGAAGGTGACCTGTTCGGCGGCAAGGTCGACATGTGGTGGAGAGAAGCATCTTTCTGCTGGTGTTTCTGGTCATTGGAAGTCTCAGTCGCAAACCTAGAAGCCAGCAATGCGATTATAGTCCGTGCAGTGGATGAGGCATTAAGCGCTATGCCGCGTGATATGTACTGGTCTGTCCTAGGCATGATGAACAATCCATGGTTCCGAGTTGCAATCACGAAGGAGGGAACGAAGCTGAAGTTTGAGCACCCTACACATCCAGCCAAAGCTGGGGGATGGATGGAAAGAATCAAGAATACTGGTGGGGATCTGCTTAACGGGAACTGGGGCGGGGGGGGTTGAAGGCGAGAAGCCAGTCGAGCCAGAGCCTGCGAATGAAATAAACATGAAAAAGGAGGAGGTGAATCGAGTGATCGACTTCCAAGAGCTCAGGGAAAATAGCAGCAGCGAGAAGCCTTGGTTTGTGGTCAATGGCGAAGTCTATGATGGCACGGGCTTCCTTGAAGGCCATCCCGGAGGAGCCATCAGTATCACATCTTCCGCAGGGCTGGATGTATCGGAGGACTTCCTTGCAATCCGTAAGTCTTAAGTCGAAATACACAGAAGGACCTTATCACTGACATTTCCCCAGACAGTGAAACCGCCAAGGCAATGATGCCGGACTATCATATTGGCACATTAGACAAGGCTTCTCTCGAGGCCCTGAAGGGTAATTCAACCACAATTTCAGACGAGTCACGCGAGATATTCCTGCAGTCACGAGCATGGACAAAAGCCACACTCACAGAGAAGAAGGATGTCTCGTGGGATACACGATTGTTCGTCTTCGACCTGGAACACACGAAGCAGACGCTTGGCCTACCGATCGGTCAACATCTTATGATCAAGGTACAGGATCCATCCCACAACAAAGCAGTCATTAGATCGTACACTCCAATCTCAGACACAAACCTGAAAGGCAAGATGGAGTTACTCGTGAAAGTCTACTTCCCAACAGCCACCACCCTAGGAGGAGAAATGACCATGGGCCTGGACAAGCTCCCCCTCGGCTCCCAAATCGACTGCAAAGGCCCGACCGGCCGGTTTGAATATCTCGGAAAAGGACAAGTTTCGATCAGCGGCAAGAAGCGCCAGCTACGTTCCTTCAAGATGATCTGTGGAGGGACGGGAATTACCCCGATCTTCCAGGTTCTGCGGGCTGTTATGCAAGATATGCAAGATCCCACGACATGTGTTGTCCTTGACGGGAACAGACTGGAGGAAGATATCCTGTGTCGATCCGACCTGGATGCTTATGTGGAGACTGATGGTCGAAAATGTACTGTTGTGCATACATTGACTAAAGGGTCTGATACCTGGACTGGTCGACGAGGGCGTATTTCCGAGGAACTGCTTGCGGAATATGCGGCACCAGAGGAGCATAGTATGGTCTTGATTTGTGGACCTGTGTCTATGGAGAATTCTGCTCGGGATATTCTCGTTGCGCAAGGCTGGGCCAAGTCAGATCTTCACTTCTTCTAGGTTTGGCAAGGGGCTGGTAGGCTGGTGTCATTCTACGCTAGTGATATAAAGGGGGCTGGTAGGCTGATATATTTTAAGGGGATTGATATAGCGACTCCCCCCTTGAATCATTCGACCCCCCTGCCTGAATTTGGCCTGATTTTTCCTTTTATGTAATTCATTTGTCATAATCGTAAGGCATCGACTGACCGCTTTTCTCGCCGCCTTCTGACGTTCCCGGGACTCAGGAGTGTCCCAGTCCCGTCTCGACTCCGCTGACCGCTCGAGGAGTATGGATCGTAGTTAAGAAATACGCTAACTACATACGACTTAGCGGACTGTGTACGCGTCGCTACGCGAGACTGGGAGTGGAATGTGCCATCGCCTCCGTCTTGTCTCTTCTTCTCTTCAATCAAGTCATTCTAGATTGGTTCCCCGTGGCTTCTCCAATTCTCCCGCTGTATCTCCCACTTTGACACCCCCTTCAAGTGTCAGTATCATCAACATGGCATACTTCATGCCGGATTCTGATTTTGAACTCTTCATGTCGGATTCTGATGTGGAACTTACCCCGGATTCTCAGCTACTGCCTGCCACCCAACCAATGCCAATCTCCGAGCCGAGCCTGGTGCCCGAGCCAGTGGCCCAGCCAATCTGTCAACCAATGCCCCAGCCAGTGGCCCAGCCAGCCTTTGAGCCAATATTCCAGCATATGCCCCAGCAGATGCCCCAGCAGATGCCCCAGCAGATGCTCCAGCCAGTGGCCCAGCCAGTGCTCCAGCAAATGCTCCAGCAAATGCTCCAGCAAATGCTCCAGCAAATGCTCCAGCAAATGCTCCAGCCAGTGACCCAGCCAGTGATCCAGCCAGTGCTCCAACCAGGCGACAACCACGTATATACGTTTCCTCTGCTGTATTGAATTGCTGGTTTAACGGAGGCAGAGGAAACGTATATACGTGGTTGTCGCCTGGCTGGGTCACTGGCTGGAGCATTTGCTGGAGCATTGGCTGGAGCACTGGCTGGAGCACTGGCTGGGCCACTGGCTGGAGCACTCGAGAAGGCGCCTGTCAATCACCCCCCGCCCCCCGTACCGCGTCGCGTTCGTCGCGTTCGCAAACCGCGCCGCATGATCTCTGAAACAATTACATTTACATCTATGTTAAAATGTCCGTGGCTTGTCTGATCGGGAGATGGTTGATATGATACTATCATACTTCAGCAAATAGCCAAATACATGACCAACATCGCTGGAGCCTCAAAGCGTTTCTTGTGTCAAAGCTCACGTGATCCCACTGTTTCTCCGACAGATCGCCAGCTGTCCTTTCCGTTTCTCCTTTCTCCTCCTAAGTGCATTTAGGATACTCGAATACACATGTTATCTTCCAGTACGGCAGTACCTTCCCATACTTTGCCACCTGGCAACGGCGCAGCCTGAGCAGAAAAATGCTCGGTCAACTGAGTACCGCGTACGGATGCTATATGAAGCCATATATGACCAAGATGAGCATATGAGGTGATGAATGAGCTACAAGGTCTCCGAGAATGTTCAATCAGCAGAGCATCCAACGCTGGTCAAGGTCATTTGCAAGGACCTTGCCCAGTTTCATAGACCTGAATTCGGGCTTGGCCAGTTCAACACAGACGAGGCAGTTGATCAACTGCATGTGCCTAAGCTCGCTTCACGTGTGCAGTCCACTGCTCCTAAGTTATGGAATTTCCTTGGTTGTCTGTATCATGACGCAGCTGGCAGCAGCACCCAAGTGCTCGTGATACACGTGATACATCTCAGCGGTATCTTCATGATCTGCATGATGTTGGCTTCAGCCTTTGCTCCTCGGATCTGCGATAAATTCCTCGTCATGCTTGGTCTTCATCTACATTGGATCACGTGTGCATTTCCGCTGTAGCTCCCCTTTCACAATACCACAAAGGCCGTGAAAGAAGGATGCGGGTTCTTATGTGAAAGTTCAGTGAACCTCCGTAAATCGACCAGAGTTGCGTATGCGTCTGGGCACAATTCCGAAGAACAAACGTCGAGCCTTCACCGCCCTACGTTCTCTGCAATTACTGGGAAGCTTTGTATAGGCCGTGCCGCTCGCGAAACTGAAAAAAAGACAGCACTGCGCGAATATCCGCCGGAGGAATACTACTGTCTCGGGGATATTCAAATACGCAGCTTCCCGAGTGGCACAGCCTATACAAAGCTTCCCAGTGGTAGCAGAGACAAAGAACATAGGGTGGTAAAGGCTCGACGTTTGTTCTTTGGGATTGTGCCCAGATGCACAACTCTGGCCGATTTATGGAGGTTCGCTGAACTTTCACATCTGGTAAGAACCCCCATCCTTCCTTCACGGCCTTCAAGGTATTGCGAAAGGGGAGCTACAGCGGAAATGCACACGTGATGGAATGTAGAAAAGCCAAGGGAAGCAATACAAAATGAATGGATGTATTGATTGAGGAGAAGAAGAGACAAAGCGGAGGCGAGGACTCAATCAGGCAAACGGCTCGTCAGGTTTCTTTTACAAAAAGGTTAGGACATAGAGAGAGAATGACCATGCGAATCTCAGTCATTGACGCCTACTGTAGGCAAAATCGTAGGAAAGAAATCTGCCCTGATGCATGTCCCAAGACAATTAAGGCCCCATTAACCGCAGAACAGGTGGGCCGAAAGTCAGGAGGAAGCCATAGTACAGTTTTGCCGTTCAGGTTTATCCACTGTCCTTGCTCAATAAAACACGCCGGATTCCTATGGGTTGAACTAGAAGCATGATGTTGGAGCCCGGACTGAGAATCGAAGGTGCCTAAGTTGGTGATTAGATATGAACCATCTTGAGAAAATTCGAGTTCGGTGACCATTCCCGTGGGGTTCAAGATATGCTGTAGACCACCCGTCGCCGTATCCCAGAACCGCAGGGTCTTATCCAAAGAACCGGACGCCAGCAGTCGGCCGTCGGGCGAGAAGGCTACCGACCGAACCAGGTCCGAATGACCCTCGAGCGTCTGCTGTAGACCGCCCGTCGCGGTATCCCAAAGCCGCACTATGTCATCATCAGAGACTGACGTCAGCAGCCGGCCGCCGGGCGAGAAGGCTACCGACCGAGACCGGTCCCAATGACCCTCGAGCGTCTGCTGTAGACCGCCCGTCGCGGTATCCCAGAGCCGCACGGTCTCATAATAAGAGACTGACGCCAGCAGCCGGCCGTCGGGCGAGAAGGCCACCGAACGAAGCTGGTGCGAATGGCCCTCGAGCGTCTTCTGTAGACCACCCGTCGCCGTATCCCAAAGCCGCACTGTGTCATCATCAGAGCCTGACGCCAGCAGCCGGCCGTCGGGCGAGAAGGCCACCGACCGAACCCGGTCCGAATGACCCTCGAGCGTCTGCTGTGGACCACCCGTCGCCGTATCCCAGAGCCGCACGGTGTCATCATCAGAGCCTGACGCCAGCAGCCGGCCGTCGGGCGAGAAGGCCACCGAACGAAGCTGGTGCGAATGGCCCTCGAGCGTCTTCTGTAGACCACCCGTCGCCGTATCCCAAAGCCGCACTGTGTCATCATCAGAGCCTGACGCCAGCATCCGGCCGTCTGGCGAGAAGGCCACCGACCGAACCCAGTGCGAATGACCCTCGAGCGTCTGCTGTAGACCACCCGTCGCGGTATCCCAGAGCCGCACGGTCATATCATAAGAGCCTGACGCCAGCAGCCGGCCCTCAGGCGAGAAGGCTACCGACTGAACCATGCCCGAGTGGCCCTCGAGCGTCAGCTGCAGACCACCTGTTGCCGTATACCAGAGCCGCACGGTCCTATCATAAGAGCCGGACGCCAGCAGCCGGCCGTCTGGTGAGAAGGCTACCGACAGAACCCGGTCCGAATGACCCTCGAGCGTCTGCTGTAGACCACCCGTCGCGGTATCCCAGAGCCGCACTGTGTCATCATTAGAGCCTGACGCCAGCATCCGGCCGTCTGGCGAGAAGGCCACCGACTGAACCCAGCCCGAATGACCCTCGAGCGTCTGCTGTAGACCACCTGTTGCCGTATCCCAGAGCCGCACTGTGTTATCATCAGAACCGGACGCCAGCAGCCGGCCGTCGGGCGAGAAGGCCACTGACTGAACCGGGCCTGAATGGCCCTCGAGTGTTTGTAAATCTGCACTCCATCTTTCCTTAACCTTTGGGAGCTGACATATCCAACTAGAAAATTCTCCCTTGAACTCTGTACGAATTATTGTTGTTTGAGGTGCAAATACCAATCCTGCGCAATAGATCTGAAGTGGTGCCTCATCGGCTATCTGGCGATTTTTCAGAACAAAGCGCTTTGCGTCGTAGATGAAGTCAGCCATTACAGAATCATCAACACCCTATGCCTATTAGTATAAATGACGAGCGGCCGTTTACTATGTTACTTACTTGTGTAACAGTGCGGAGTATATCAAGCATACCCACAACCTCCGACGTAAGACCCAACAGGCTCATCGCTTCCACCCAGTGCAAAAAATGCTTTTTAAGAAATAGCTGTACTTCTTCTAGCTCAGAAGATAAAACCTGACTTTGTTCGAGGTGGTGTATCCAGTGGCGACAAGAGTACTGTACCTCCGGTGGTAGAGACTGGCGAATATGTCGAGGGTCGATGTCTGCCCTACGCATTCCAGGGCTTGCCAGATTGCAGATATCTTTCTGTAGACGGCCCTGCATAGTCCTGAGACAGAACTGTGCAATTTCTTTTTGCTTTTTTGGCTCATCCATATAAAACTTGGTTTTAGTCCGGACCAGAAAATCCCGAAATGATAAATGAAGAATCCGAACAGGCTGATCTCGGTCACTAGGAATCCTTAGAACTGATCGGAATGAATCCAATCTATTACTGATCTGGTCTGCTTCTATCCCAAGAAACAGCGCTAGCGCATTTATAGAAAGCGGAACATCAAGAAGGATGATGACACCAACTATTTCCTGGAACTCTTGCAGGAGCTGCTGCTGCTCCGACTCATCAACCTCTTGATCGTCCAGTAGTCGCGTCAGAACCGGCAAGTATGTCTTATCCAATTTGGATGTATATTTAGCTTGGTCACTCAGAAGCTCCGCGAGGCGCGATTTGGGCTCCCATTTTGAGTTCTCGATGTACCGGCACACAGTGGCAGCCGCAATAAAGAGCGGAACGGACATCGTGACCAGTTCATCGATGACCTTATCCCCAGGCCAGCCTGCGGCAATACGTCTGTGGAGTCTGATCTTGTCAAATCGGTCCTGTAGGAATAAGTGTATGTCATATTCTGTCACCTCTTCGGGAATCTCATGAAGAGCTAGATCCTGATATTCATGATCCGCGATCTCTGAAAAGCCGAGTCTGATTGGAAGTTCAGGCCTGCTAGTCAAGAAGATCCGAAGACGAACCGCTTTGGCCTGCTGTAGAAGAGGTAGTAATCGGATTATGTTTCGGACATCTTCGTCATGTTCACATTCGTCCAAAGCGTCGATCACCATCACAGCGGTTCGAGGTTGCGGCCCAAGTTGGTCAACATTGAGCAGCGGTTGAAGGAGTAGTTTCTCAAACTGCTCCCTGAGCGATTTTGACGCAATGTCAGGGTCATGGTCGAGTGCCTTTTGCACGCCGGACCGCATCCCAGAGATCCTGAGCATCAGTTGCCTTGTTAATGTCGGGAAAAACCTCTTCGCGTTCCCTCGGTCCCCTTCACCCCGCTTAAAGAAGAAGCTTGCACCTAGATGGTTGGCGTCCTCGAGCGACTTTGCCACAGTCCGAGATATTGTGGATTTTCCTGTCCCAGCCATTCCCTTCAGCCAGAAAATGCTTTTTTGGGACGGTGACATAGACCATCCCATTATCTGCTGGAGGAGCTCGGTCCTAGTACCTTGGAGACATTGGACTTCGTCTCGATCGGAGAATGACCCAAACACTGCCTCCGTTGCGCCTTCCAACTTCCCAAGGTTCATATATTGATTAATACGATCAGTATTGTCGACCACGCCGACCATCAGAGAGCTATACAGTCTTCAAGTCAATGATACAGAGTCATATAAGCGTGCTCGGATATATATACCTCTGATGCTTCTGCAAAGACAAGAGGAATGAAGATTTATATCTCTCGAGATTGCGAATAACACTCTCCACCTCTGTGCGTTTCAGGGGCCACTTTAAGGCTCTTAATCCAAATTTTCTCATCAGCTTCTTTCCTTTTCTCGGATCAAGACTCGCTTCTAAGTCTCGGATGTCGGAGAGGCAATCGGTAATATCGCTGACTAGTCGTGAGGAGGTAGGTAGGGCCTTTCCGTTGTTACTTTGAAGAAACCTCTGCAGGTCTTGGAGTGTCTCTTGAAGACCTTCAATCACCCGCTGTAGGGTTAAGATGTCGTTTCGTGCATCTTTCACCTCTTGAATGTACCCCCCACAAAGCTTCACGAGAGTTCCCGTTAGCTGAATGACGGCGATAACGCTCGCCGCCGAGGATAAACCATCCATTTGGAAGGACAAGGCATAAAAGCCCACGTAGGTAGGTACGATGGCGACGCAAGTATAATGGAAAACTCGGGTTCGACTCTAGGTTGGGCTTTTCTGGCGAGATAAAGAGGGGTAAGTTAGACGCCGCCGCGCCGTGCGCGAGGCTGTGATCCATAACTAGTCCATTTCAGGCGCTAATGTGACTAATCATATGTTCCACTAGTTAACTAGTGTAGTGGGACTGTGGGAGAAATGCGCGACCTCCAGGAATGATGCCTTAGGCCTGCGCTACGTTCACCGCTCATTCTCCTTAAGAAGGGGCACAGTCACAGACAGATCGGACACAGAATACACATCTTTTGCCTCTTTCTCGGTTTTCCAGTATGGTTCTCGTCGGCTCTCTGTAGGTCATAGGACGTCCCTGCTACTGTCTCCTGGGCTGCAGTCCTCCCATCGTCCTGTCTGCGATGTCAGACCGCCTTCGCGCTCTTCCCACTTCACTAGTTAGTTAACTAGTAAGACGCCAAGACTAAAGATGCCATTGTAGTGCACAAGAAGTGAGGATTGACATATATTCAAGGTGAAGTACACGACCTAACTGGTTGTCGGCTCTACTGTCGGCCCGAACCGATCCAGACCTGGGCAACTCGTGGCCCTGCAGCATTGGCCACCTCATCAACTTCTTCGGTTGACAGCACGACAAAGACCTTATGGCGCCTCGACTTACTCCTCTACTACCCATATTATGATATTCCTCGACAGCTAATACGGTACACAACCGTACACAGTATAACTTCTGGACCTTTATTTTGGGAAATTTGTGATGTTTCCCGCATCAGCATCGCTGGAAGTAGCAGTCGGTAGTAGGCTGGTAGCCATGTCCACCGCCTTTTGAAGGGGGAGGCTGAGGTAACTGAGTCACTAACCCGGAGTCCCCGGACTGAGACAAGGATCAAGCGATTACTATGACGGTCCTTCGCCCTCTTTCAAATCGGGCGTTGCTCCGTTTCCTTTGGCTGTTGGGTCCTTCGGCCTCTTTCGAATTGGGTGTTTTTCCGCTCTCCGGACCAGTTGGGTGTTTCTCCGACCTGAGCCAATCATTTTACAATGACTGCCAGAACACTGTTGCCATGTAAGATGGCATTTAGTCTACTTGTACTGGGATCGGAACTGTTTCTTCTGCAATTTGAGACAGGAGACTCGATATCAGTCTAAGGGTCAATGTGCGATAGAAACAGAGGTTTCTAAATCGTCTCTCACAGTCGCCCATCATGTCTCTCCTAATAGAGTCAATCACGCATCCATACATACTACACCTCCTCGCATTCATCTGTGGCGCTCTCACTTACGTCGCATATTTCTTTCATGGCGAGCATCACATGTATGGCTTTTCCTATATCCAAGCTCACACGCTTTTGTTTGCAACTTCGACGTTCCTGCTGTATCGACTAGGGTCCCCGCTGATCGAGGCCTTGTTGCAGACACTTGTCTATGATGGGTGTTTCATGGCTGGTTTATTTGGCTTCCTGTTAACGTATCGCGCTTTTCTGAATCCGCTCAACGCCTTTCCTGGACCATTCATCGCCCGCATCGCTACGTTTTGGATCTCTTTTCGGATTAAGAGACTACGAATGTACAAGGCCTTTGAGGAGCTGCATGAAAAGTACGGCTACTTCGTGCGTGTTGGTAGCCAGGAGATATCGATTACGCACCCAGATGCGGTGGTTGACATCTTCGGGGCCAATTCAGTGTGTCAAAAGAGCACATGGTACGACATCAGCAAACCGCAAGACTCAGTCCTTCTACGCCGGACATTTGCAAAGCACTCTGAACGGCGAGCCATATGGACTCAAGCCTTCTCTGTCAAGGCCGTCAGGGGCTACGAGACTCGATTCCACCCGTACAGAGCCAAGATGCTTTCCATGCTCGATGACCACGCCGGGCAACCTGTTAATATAACCCACTGGCTGGGGTTGTATTCCTGGGACTCCATGAGCGACCTATCGTTCGGTCATTCTTTCGGCTTGCTAGATTCGAAGGACCATCATTGGGCAATGAAGGTCCTCGACAAAGGGATGAGTATCATTGGTCGTCATTTACCAATGTGGTTTGTCCGTCTTGGGAGCTCAGTCCCCGGCGGTAACAAGGATCTGAAGGCCATGTTCAAGTATTGCCACGAGCAAATGCTTTTAAGATATTATGTTTGCGCTCCTCCTCCTCAAGTCTCAGGCGTTATGAATTTGCATCTAACCAGCCTCAAACAGGCCAAGACTGAGCCCAAGGTGCCCGATGTTATGAGTACCCTCTTTGTTCCATACAAGAAAGGGGCTTTGCCTTTCGATGAGACCGCGATCCAACTGCTGGCTGGAGAATCCCACCTGCTTGTCAACGCGGGAAGGTAAGGCGCAGAAGATATACTTTATTCACAGATCAATTCACTAAAACCGTCAATTAGTGATACTTCGAGAATCACCATGATTTGCACCTTGTTTGTGCTTGCTCGACAACCTGAGCTCGCCAACCGGCTCCGGAAGGAATTGGAACCCTATGCCCCCAAGGATCCCGACGAGATGCTGATGGATGACACAATTATGAACCTTGACCTTCTGAATGGTATTGTTCAAGAAGCACTTCGCCTGTACCCACCCAGTCCGAGCCATCCGACCCGGGTGACTCCTCCCGAGGGTACTGTGATTGCTGGTCGGTTCATCCCGGGCAACACGCAAGTTATGGCCCCTCAGTACGTCATCGGACGGGGTATGCATTATCTTTTATCCAAAGCTATGTGTTTTGGTATATACTTTCTGACAAAAATCATCACAGACGAACGCATCTTCCCCCGAGCGACTGAATTTATTCCCGAACGCTGGTACAGCCTCCCGGAGCTGGTCAAAGACAAGAACGCCATTGCACCATTTTCACTGGGGCCCATGAACTGCGTCGGGAAGCGGCTTGCGCTGGCCAACATTCGAGTCACAGTGGCGTCGTTCGTCCTGCGCTACAACCTCAGCTTCCCCGCGACGCAAGCTGACCCGGAACGCGCTTTCGAAGATGGCTTGTATGAGCATTTCAGTCTGCAAGCTGGTCCCTTGATGTTGTGCTTGGAGAAGCGACACAAGTAAGAGACTAGGTAGCTAATGCTTGAATCCGGAGTTCAGACGAACTTGCGATATAGTTAGTAGTTATGGCAGGTTGGGTAGCTCATAGCCTAGTCAATTTTATGGCAGTCCCTCTGTACTCGGTCTTTTAGATGCCCAACGCGGTACAATGCAAACAAGTTCACTGGCGGTTATTTTATACAAAGTGCATAGCACAGGTATACAGTACCTTTCTAAATACCTAAGATATCAGCAAAGTATTCTGTCCAGTTGTCAGTATCCACTTGTGGGTGCCAAATTCCAGACGCGTGTTTGGCGACCTTTCCGCCAACTGGCAAGCCTCCAGCCAACTGGCGAGTAACACCCGAGGTCTTCATGGCGTTATGCCACACGGTTGGCGTCCAATCCGGTTTGCTATCAACTATAGCGGGCATTATATTACATTAAGTACACCGAGATAATATATAGAAACAAAAATTCTAGTGATATGGGTTGGCCCTCTAGGGCTCGACGGCAGGATGGCTGGTTTTCTGCCAGGCAGAATTAGCCAATCAGAATTCTATCACGGCCTGGCGGGGTCTCGTCTCCCGGGAGTTGAGGTTAGGGTTTCCCCACTAGGTTGCCCCCACCTCAGCTACCCGCTGGGGCCGCTGCCAAGAAGAACAAGTACTTCAGTCTTCAGTACAAAAACGTCAAAATAAAGTTAGATCAAAGGAAAGTCAATCTCCGCCTCAGTGACACAGCCACGAGCACTTCCCCACCTTGCTGGAAGGCCTATAGTAGGTTTGTACAGTGCTGTGTCTGCCAAAGTCCCCATGAGATTGTTACACCAGCTGCGCCCACAACTTCATTTTTCCCTTCCGCTCCCTGCGGCGAAACCGCGGAGCCTCCGCGGACTCGTCGCATCTCCGCATGTCCCACCCTGGCTGCTGCCGCTTTTCTTTGGTTTTTCCAGTAGTCCAACTCCAGCACCTTCTTCGTCGGCACTGGAAGCAACCGCTCTATCGCATTGCCTGATTTTTCCTTTACCCAAGTGGCTTCCCAACTGATCTTCGCCCGCTTTCGTATAGTTATCTGTTGCCTATATTAACCGACCACCGTGTTGGTTCTGTCAAGCCAGTATTAATAATTCCTGATGCTACGTATCTTCAGAGCTTCGGCCCAGGCGCCACGATTATCGAAGCCTGGGCGCCTGGATAAGCTGCAGCTCTTAGTTGCAGGCTTGCAGCTTGGCATTTTCAGGCATCCCAGCCTAGGTCCAGGCTAGGTAACGGTTAAGATGGGAGAGGGTCCGTGCCACGAGTAAATAATAATGACAATAGAGAATGGACAGGAGAGCATATATTCGAGAACGAGTGAACGACCCATTGGTCGATCGACTACGGACCGGGCACCGCCCCGATTGCGTATTCCGATTGCGTATTCGGATAGCTGTGCGGGATCGGATAGCTCTGACCTGTAGTCACGCAATTTCATCTACCGGGCTCCACTCCATTACTGCTCTGCTAGTGCTACCGTTGCTGCTGACATGCTCCACCATTCTTCCCGAACACAACTGCAGAAATCGCCTATGTGTCGTGCATAGATGAATACGTACCATCACCGACCCCACGCTACAAAGACACCATTGGCGGGGTTGCTATACGCCCTGACGCGTCACGATATCGTGATGTTTAAAGCAACCAAGCCATCCATGGATTTGACTCATTTATCTTTAAGGTGGGACCGTGCCGTGCCGAAACCTACACATCCACATCTACCTACTCAGGCGCCAACACTAAACTTCCGAATCTTCATAGCAAATGGGTGTTCCCTTCCTATTAGTGAAGGAAATTAGGACTTTCCGCGGAAGAGCTCGGTCAATCAAGATATCTCAATCTCAGCTGCAGAGGCACTTGGTACTTGACTACTCACTAGTCACTACTCCACCTGCCAAATTTCCAGGGAGGCTAGGTAAGACCGTAAGACGACGGCGCGACGCCACTCTCCCATCTCAACTGCTAGCGCGCTGTCCGAGTAAGCACGGACCGAAGCAGAGTCATAATGAAGCGAAGTAGAGTCACAATGTTAGACTAACGTTGGTAAGCCCAATCTGACCTGGCCCATGCGAGCTTATCGGATAATACCCTCAAGCCGGATAATACCTGTAGACCGGATAATACCTCTAAGTAAAAGAATGAAAGATTGAGGGGTACTTCTTTTTGATTTTGAGCCTCGTTCCATGGCCCCAAACTTCCATGGTTCTTACGAGCTACAAAGTCCTGACCTGTGCCATCAATCCCATCATTGTGGAAATTTCAGTACTCAGCAGAACGCTTCGGGAACACTGTCATGTTCGGCACGTTGATATCAACGGAGGTTGACCGAGGGAACTTGGAGTACATTGAGAACCCAGATCCTGCAAATGCAATCAGTCGTAACATACGAGAAAAAACACACGTCTCATGCACCTTTTGCCGCTCTAGAAAGGTATGGGGATTCGAAGTTCCTTTCCATCACCCATCACTGAAGGGTACTTCCGTTCGGTCTATTGTTGCTCTAGATCTCTGACAACATTAATTATAGGCACGCTGTTCTGGAGAAAGAAAAGGGTGCCAAAGATGCATGGCGATGGGTCTCGAGTGCATATACCCAGAAAGTCAGGGCAGGCACAAACGACAGGAAAAGAACAAAAGCCATCGGGCAGTAAGTAATCAATGAGATCATTATTTCTTGATCCATTCACTGACGCGCTCAATTCAAACAGGCGGTTCAGCTTAAAGCGAGGGCTACTGGTCTGATCGTCTGTGATGAAGCAGACCCTTGCGCCAGGAAAGACCAGCCAGATTGTGGCAAAGTCTTGGCTTGGGATGACTTTCAGGACATGGAATTTGATGCCAGAGCCTTTGATGAGTCTCTATTCACGTCTCTGATTATGGATAATCCTAAGCAACACATTTCAAACGGCGGACCCAGCTCAAGTAACAGTGGCACTAGCAAATGTAAGTGCTTAGTTCTGCGTATTGTCCTGGCTTTCTTGATTGACACATCCGATAGCTACCCTGAATCCCACCCCAAGAGAATCGGTGACTCCAGAAAGGAGAAACTGTGCCCCGCTCGCATCCTGGGGCCAGCTTCCGGAATCCCCGACTGCAGAACCGCTTTTGCCTTCACTACTCGGCCCGTCAACAAGAAGCAGCATAGGCGATTCGGGATTTTGGGAAGAAGCTCACGTGCCACATGGCCTTGATATTTGGGCTATGGGTGCCGATGAACACGGCACACCAGGCTCGACGTCAGAACGATTGTCTCTCGAGCCTCAGAACAAAACGCGCACAGAGTCTGACGGCTGCTGCTGTCTGCTGAGCTCTATATCCTTTCTCGAAAGACTAGTTCAGAAGTCTGCTTCGCGCGAGAACCGTATCGACCTATTACTCACCGAAGTTCGCGATTCCATTGAGACCTTGGCGGTGTTTATGGCGTGTGAGAAATGCGCGGCTCGAGTAGCACAAAACATGTTGCTCGCAATGACCACCAGGCAAATAAGCCTCATCTGCAAAGCGATGGCTAACTGCTATAAGACCATGCTTACATGTGGACTTGATGATGCAAACCCATCCCAGCAGAAACCTGGGGATATCTCTGCTGATGCCGTCGAAATTTCCGTGTCGACGTATCGCGTTAAACGATCTGAGAGGCTACACTTGATCAAAAGTCTAGTAGATCTCCAAATTATTGAGTTCCAGCAGTGTATTGATAAAGTCAAGTTTCGATATCGCAATTGGCCAGATCAAGGCCTACCGGAGGCTCTGGTTGAAGCAGAGGACCATCTCAAGTTAGCCCAGTTTGCAATCCGCAATCAGACATGATATATTCACTCTTGATGTATGTTTATGAAGCTCTTTGAAATTGTACCATTTGAACCACTAAATACGTTTCGATCACGTGTCTGCAAGAGAAAACTGGTAGGACAAGGAATCGATGTACTGGCTATGACGGAAGGTGTGTAGATCAGTTGAATCTCTGGGACCGAACATCACTATGTTCGCCTCCTCAGCCCGGCGTAGAAGTTTAACGGACGGACCACCAGAAATTCAGGATCATACACGACCGCCTCTGGCGATGAATCTTCGAATTCATATCGATACACCAACTCCGCCAGTACCAGCTTGACTTGTGTGAGCGCCAAATTGAACCCCACGCAGCCTCGACCTCCCGCTGCAAACGGTGTGTACGAACCCTGACGGGCCATACGCGCCGCAAAACCTTCATCCACCCAGCGGTCAGGATCAAATCGTAGGGGATTATCCCAGTGGGCTGGGTTTTTGTGTATACTTGGAAAGCACGCAATGACAATTGAGCCACGTGGAATCAAATACCCCCCTGGTAAAATCGTGTCTTGTTTGGCATTCCGTGCGGTCTGGAAACTGGGGCTGTGGAGACGAAGAACTTCTTTGACGAAACAGTCCAGAAACTTCATGCTGTGGATTTCTTCATACGTCCAGTGTTTGTCGGTATCACCACGGTGGCTGGCTATCTCCTCCAGTAGACGTTCCTGATTTTCAGGGTACCGGAGAAGAGCATAAAGGGCCCAGGAAAGTAGAGATGAACTGGTGGTGAATCCCGCACCGGCAGTCACCACTACATTACCAAGCACCAGGTCGTACGGTAGCCCTTCTCCATTCTCGTCACGAGCGCGGTACAGGAAATCGGCGACGCAAGTGGCGCTCTGCAAGGCCGTTGGGTCGGACAGAGAAAGAGGAGGACCATCCTTATTGACGCTGGCGTTCATGGCCTCCTCGCAGTTGTCAAGCACCTGCTGACGGACGATCTTCACTTTTGCGGGATCTCCGAAAGGGAGATACTTGAACCATTGCGGCTGCATTGATGATTTCTTCATCAGCGAGAGATACTGGCCAAACAGTCGGATAGGCAGCGATGGCGGCGTCTTCGGCGTTTCGAAGTGCTTGAGGTCTTGGTTTAGAACGACGCGCCAAATAATTTGTGATGCAAGTTTGAACATATATTGGTAGACGTTGACCGCCAGATCAGACTCAGCCAACTCGTCGAATACCGTAAAAATGGATTGTGTGGCATCTTGGATCAGTGGCATGAAGTGGGCCACAGCACGCGGCGACATTGTGGGAGGTACAAACTTATGGCTTGGTGCAAAGGCAGGAGATGCACTATCGCAAGTAAAGAGGCAGGCTTGGTCGCTCATGTAGTGCAGTGGGTGTGATGCGTCGGATGTGGCTTTGGTGAAGAGCTTGTCTTCGCGCAACACATGACGGGCGATCTCCGGGTCATTGGTGTGATAGATGGTTGTTCCCATATTGACGGTCTTGATCATAGGGCCATATAGCGAGAACAATCGGTCATAATTTCCGAGAACGTCGGGATATAACTCGTAGCGGTTGCCGACGAAGGGTATCGGGCGAGGTCCAGGGGGCTCGCGAATGGATTCATGGCGTGCTGCGCGCAATTCAATAACGTCTTCGGTCTCTTGCACATCTTTGAGAGTCGAAAGATGGGCGCGTTGTTTGTCAATGAGCCACAAAGCTATCCTGAATTAGCCCTAGAATGTCAAGGAAGGATGATTCTAGAGCTGAAACACACATTTGGTATCAGCAAATCCAAAGACCTCGGCCAGAGTCCCTGTGAGTTGCTCTAGGGTGGTGAAAGGCGACACGTCTAGACGGTAACGTTCACAGTCGCTAGTACTAATGTAAAATTCTTTGTGCATTTTGTTTTCGCTTGTGTAACGATCATGTATCGATTTTCATAAGGACAAGACTTCTCCATGAGAACGACTCATCTCATACACTTAAGTGTTATCTATCATTGGTTCCTTCTATTTAGTATGTAGTTTCATCTATTTTAGGGCAGCGGCGAAAGGTCGCTTTTGGAAGGCCGTTGACCCAACAGCTTCCGGCCAATCATACTATCGTAGCTTACCCATGCATACGGAGGGCAGGCTTAGCCCAAAGACAGATTAAATGATGCCGTTCAAGCGATGGACAAATCTTGCCCCCTACGAAAGTTGCCTATTGATGAGTCTCGTCTTTCGTTTCATTCTTTTTGTGCCATAACAGGAAGTGTTCATAATGTCCCAGCTCGAAAGCATCACACTTGAGCAACTGGCCACTCATAATACTCCGGAGTCGCTGTGGATAGCGGTTCATGGTCATGGTATGCTAATACTTCCGCAATTCATGACTCTTTGAGTAGAACTGACCAGCTACCCAGTGTACGATCTCACGACCTTCAGCTCGGACCATCCCGGTGGCATCGAGGCACTGGAGAGCTGTGCCGGGGCCGATGGCACAGAGTCGTACGAATATGCCGGCCATAGCGAGTCGAATATGGCAAAACTGCAGCAATACCGCGTCGGCAGGGTTGCCGGAAGTCTTCCACAGATTTCTTCCATTTATTACCCCCCTCACGTGGAGAATAAGCGCATAACGAGCGCCACATCCCGCCTCAAGCAGTTGAAATTCCCTCGGACGAAGTGGGCAGTCACTGTATCCGCGACTGCAGTCGTTGTGGCTCTGTCTTGCCAGCGAAGGGACTTGGTTGATTACATTTCGCCACTGAATATCTCCCAACTCCAATTCAGAACAATGTCGGACCAGATCAATGGTCATGCTTTCTGGACGGGCATGGCAGTTGCTTCGTCGGTAAGCTACGTGGGCTTCCGCTACTTGTATAAGCTGTTTTTGTCGACTCTTGACTATCAAAACGAAGTGTTCAGCTTTCCAGCTACGATACCGAGGAAGACGAAAAGATAACGAATCACCTGACTCTAAAGCAATGAATTTGCAGATTGGTTATGATATATTCGTAGCTGAATCGCCCCGGCCTTCGAATTTCATAATTAGCGTATAAATGCATTGCTTTTCCAAGTACTTTGGAGGTATGGTGTCTGTTTGGAGACAAACCTAACACAGTATGCAGACGAAACGTATAATTGGCTACCTACACAGTAGCCCCCCGTACAGACCAGTCATGCAGCCCCACTAAAAAGTGCGCTAGAGTAGATCCGGAACGGACCGATTTGGTTGGGGCCGATAGGGTAGACGGGAAGTGCCGAGACCGGCTATAGGATTAAATGCTTCATCCGAATTGGCATTATCTATCGAATGATATTTGATTGAGACATTGGGAGCTGACCTAATTGGCATTTCGTTGAAAGGTTGAATTGATGCAAATAACCACAATCACACGGGGATAGAAACTAACAAAACCTCATTTGACAGGACAACCGCACTAGCAATGCGACATGATCCGTGATAACTGGGAAAGCGCTAGAGCCGACACTATTTAGAGTTCGGCAAGTCGGCAAGTCCCCAACTACCCCAAGTACCCCAACTTCCAAGTACCCCAAACAACAAAGATATGATTGAAATGTGGTTGAGATGTTGAGCCATCATCCATGCAGCCCTTTCAACATTACTTATTGAATTAACGCCATTTGATTTCTGATCCTTGTCGTCACTACCTAACCGGCCCCTTTTCTAAATTATCATTTATAACGGATTCTCGCATAATAGAAGGAGGCCGGTTATAGACACAGAAGCCCGCACTGCTCGCCCTATCTTGTCACTTCCACAGCCAGTTTCTTAGCCTCCTGCTCTCATACAACCGTTTTTTATCTTGTAATTGTCTCTTTCTCCTATCATATCAGTCGTATTTTGCTGTTGCGCACCGCCACGATGGGCTCAGATCTCGAGTCTGGCAGCGACCTTCCCTCGCGACATGTCGATGAAAACATGCCGCCGGCCACCCACTCGGTCTTTACCGAGCCCCTCGACGGTGCCGGCACCGATGGCTCGGTCACACCAGAGTACGAGACGGCCGCCGTCAAAGCGGTCGAACAAATGAGCAATCTCCGATGGTTCGGCGTCTGCGTTGGGCTGTACTCGACTGCCTTCTTGTACGGACTGGACTCGACCATCGCCGCCAGCGTGCAGGGCCCCGTTCTGGCTTCCCTCGGCAACCTGAACCTACTGCCCTGGATTGGTGCTGGATTCATGCTCGGCTCTGTGGCCACCATCTCGCTTTTCGGCTCGCTGTACAACAAGATCGAGGTCAAATGGCTGTACCTGGGGAGTATCCTCACCTTTGAGATTGGCAGTGCCATTTGCGGTGCAGCTCCCAATATGAGTGCCCTCGCTATCGGTCGAGTCGTGGCAGGAATAGGCGGCTCCGGTATCTATCTTGGGTGAGCACATACAATGATAATACCAACTGGCGACAAATCAAAGGCTGACCATCGAGGAAAGAGGCGTTAACTACATCTCGATTTTTGTGTCTCCAGCCAAACGGCCATTATACACTGCTTTGATTGGCACGTACGTCTCTCCCATCGACGAAGCCTTTGAATGCGGAAGTATTTGAAATTGACAACCGTAATTAGGTTCTGGGGTCTAGGCGCCATCCTTGGACCCGTCATCGGTGGTGCATTTGCTGAGAGTACAGCAACTTGGCGATGGTGAGTGCGGATAACAAGAAATGCTTCTTTCATCTTGATGATTAAACTAATAATGATCATTTTGTAAAGGGCCTTTTATATCAACCTCGTTATCGGGGCCGTCACATCCCCGATCTACATCCTCTGGTTTCCGCTTCACGGCGCACACCGCCACGAGCCAATCCTTCCGCGCATCAAGACTCTGGACTGGCTGGGCGCCTTGCTCAACGCCGCCGCGTTTTCCCTCTTCGTCACTTCGTGTACGCTCAGCGGCTCTCAGTGGGAGTGGAACTCGGCCACTGTCATCACCCTTTGGGTCATGACGGGTGTTGTTGTTCTGGCTTTCGCGCTGCAACAAGGGACCGCGTTCTTGACGACGAAGGAAGACCGCATCTTCCCCGTGTGGTGCCTCAAAAGCCGATCGCTTGTCCTGTTGTTTATCGGGACTGTGGGCACCAGCGCCGTTTTGAACGTCGATATCTACTACCTGCCTCTTTATTTTGAATTCACGGCTGGAATGGGATCTATGGAGGTCGCGGTTCGGCTTCTACCCTTTGTGTGTCTGATCATATTTGGTACTATGCTCTCTGGAGCTCTTTTACCGAAATACAACCTCTACGCCGCTTGGTACACCGCTTCCGGTGCGATTGCCGTAGTCGGGGGTGCCCTCCTGGTGCGAATCGACACTGCAACACCTACAAGTCATATCTATGGATTTTCGGTCCTAGCAGGGTTTGGTTGTGGTCTGACCTTCCAGGCCGCCTATGCGATCGCTCTTGTCAAGGCTCCAATGGAGAAGGCGTCGTCGGTCCTTAGCTTCATCAACGTGGCGCAGCTGGGTGGTGCCGCCCTATCATTAGCGATAGCAGGGTCCGTATTTCACAATGTCGGTTTCAACACCATGCAGGGCGCCCTCGGCGGAAGGGGCTTTACCTCCGCCCAAATTCATGACGCTCTGGCTGGCGGAGACTCGCCCATTATCAGCAACAGTGACCCTGAGGTGCACGCCATCGCATCGGATGCCATCGCTAGCACCCTTGGAAAAGTCTACGTCTTATCGACCGTTGCAGCGGCGGCAATACTCGTGGCGGGGCTTTTGATGCGGTGGGAGAAAGTAAAAATGGCTTGAAGGGCAGACCAGAAGGTCCTATCTGCCCATGTGGAAACCATCTCGCGAGTGAATAGCTCCTCCGTAAAACATGGTATATAATGAAGGCTTTCGGTTATTGAATATGGACTCAAGAGGGGCAGTTCTTGCCTATGTTGCGAGATGAGGCCAATCTTCTATGCGGCCCGGCGACGGATGAATTGCCCAGGTACAAGTAACACTTTAAGTGTGTACTTTAAGTGTCGGACAGAACATGTGTACAGTACCTTCCTTAATACAAATTAAAATATCAACAAGAATCTTCCATCCAGTTGTCAGTATCCTCTTGTGCCCGGGTGTCAAGTCCCAGACGCGTTCTTAGCGAGCCTTGCGTCAACTGGCGAGCATCGGCCAACTGGCGAGCTCCGGCCAACTGGCAAACCTCCAGCGAACTGGACTTTGTTCCCGAAAACCTGGTACTGTGGGAAACTATTCGCCTGCTAAGTTTATCAAGTGATTGAATCCCTCTACTCGACTGACTCGACTCTCTCGTAAATACGACTCATCACCCAGTTGATCTATAGCAGAAATTCAACGGGCTTGGTGGGCTCCTAGAGCGTTGTTCCAAGAACTCCCTGATTGAAGAAGCTTGATTCCGAGGCTGTTCATAATTCGATGGTGTCTTGGGCTTGCGCTGCTTTGGTACCCGACGTATTCAGTGTCCGGCAGGAGGGGGCTGGAGAAAGGGGTAAAGGGGTAGGGTAGGGCAGGTCACGTGGGATATACCGATCGGGTCGCGGCCGACGGGGGTACCAAAAATGCTGGAGGACCGTGTCACCGTACACCATCGGCTTCTCGTTATGGATGTCAAACAGCTCGCCCATTCAGTTATGTCCGTCTCGATCATGACAATACTAACTAAAACCCGACGAGGCCTTTGCCGTAAGGGCACTGCCGCACTATTGGTTTGCTGTCGTCTCTAGACTATTCCGCAATACTTTTTTGATCATCACAATCAATCGTGGGAAAAATGTGCGGAATTTCTGCTTGTATCTTGTTTCAAGCGGCAACAAACAATGGCCACAGTGAATGCTCGGAGCGTGCAAATGCTCCTTGCGGCGCCGAAATCAAAGACCACGAAGGCGACACGGCGAAGGGCTTGGCGGCAGACCTCAAAGCTTCCGTCGATCTCATCAACCACCGTGGACCGGATGACTCGGGGGTATGGATCAGTATGAACGAGCAGGTCGGGCTTGCCCACTGCCGACTGTCCATCAATGATTTATCCTCCGCAGGCCGACAACCACTGCACAGCAGCGACGACGAAATTCATGCTGTGGTGAATGGCGAAATTTACGACTACGACCGCCTTCGCCATGAATGCGAAACCATCCACAACTACCATTTTCATAGCGACAGTGACAGCGAGCTTGTTTTGGCGCTCTATTGGATTCACGGCGCCCCTGGCTTTCTAACACATCTGCGCGGCGAATTCGCATTCGTCCTCTACGATAACCGCGAAGGAGCCCAGCGCGTGATCGCCGTACGCGATCGTTATGGAATCAAGCCGCTTGTATATACTCGCGTCGGGTCGAAGCTACTCATCGCTTCCGAGGCCAAGGCATTCTTGCCCTTGGGCTGGAAGCCGCGCTGGGATGTACGTGCAATTGCCGACGCTGGCTGGATGTTTGATGACCGAACGCTGTTCCGTGGAGTCCGAAAGGTTTTGCCTGGACACTATCTTGATATTACAGCACAAGGTGGTGTGCGGCAGGTTAAATATTGGGACACTGAGTACGAAGACAAGGTTGGTGCATTGAAATTCCAAGCGCGGGACATAACTGATGGCCTTTCCACAGAGCAAACCTGAAACTCGCACCATCGACGAAATGGTATTGGGCGTTCGCGAGAGGCTGGTCGAGTCTGTTCGTCTTCGCCTTCGTGCTGATGTCCCCGTCGGCATCTACTTATCCGGAGGGATTGACTCTTCTGCCATTGCCGGTATAGTGACGGAACTTGCACGGAAGGAAAATGTCAATATTGGGAACGAAAAGTCTACTCGAGTCACCTGCTTCAGCGTGGCATTCCCTGAGACATCCGGGTATGATGAATCAAGTAAGTTTTGCTGCGCAATGAGCGTTCCCACGACAGCAGCATACTAACAGACATAAGGCATTGCCGAGCGAACAGCCGCCTGGCTCGGAGTGAAGACCATCAAGAAGATCATAACTGAGGAAACCCTGGCTGAAGAATTTGCGGACGCCGTGTTCCACTGCGAGCATCATCACTTTGACCTTAACTTTGTGGCCAAGTTTGCACTCTCAACTCTGCCCCGTGAGTACGGTGTCAAGGTCGTTCTGACTGGTGAAGGAGCCGACGAGCATTTCGCTGGCTATCCATACTTTCCTGGCGAATACCTCCGCGAAGCTGATGAAGCCTTGCCTGACTCTCAATTGTCCCAAAATAGTGACCTTCGAAATGACATGTTCGAGTCCGTACAGCGGGAAATGAAAGGAATCTGGCGAAAAAGTGGTGCAACTGCATACGAGGATAGACCAGCTCTTGCATCCATCGCAGAAGCGAGAGCAACAGACATGAGTGATAATCTGTTGGCGTGGCATCCCACGGCCACTCTCTTTGCTCCTTGGCTACAAACCCAGCAGGATAACTATGACTGCCGCAAAACGGTCCTGAATTCGCTCCCTAGTGATGTCCAAGCCAAGATCCGATCACGATGGCACCCTTTGCACTCGTCCATGTACATGTGGAACAAAAGCTCGTTGTCCAACGTTCTGCTATCATGTCTGGGCGATCGCACCGAGATGGCACACAGCGTTGAAGCACGCACACCATTCTTAGACCATCACCTTACCGAGTATGTCGACCGGTTGCCGCCCAGCGTCAAATTGCGCTACTCGGCCGATACTGCAAGTGATACTGGTGAGCTGGGTCCCATTTGGACCAAGTCCAGTGTAGCCTTGCAGTCGCTCAATGAAAAATGGATTCTGCGCCAGGCGGTGCGTCCTTACATTACGGACGAGCTGTACAAGCGAAAGAAGCACCCTTTCCTTGCGCCAACTCGATGGGCCAGGGACGGGCCATTGCAGCGCAAGTTCAAGACGTTACTGACGCGAGAAGCTGTGGAAGAATTGGGCTTTGTCGACTGGGAAACGATTCAGGAGGCTATGGAGGTTGCTTGGGGCGAGACAGCAGACCCCAAGGCCTTCCGACAGTTGGTATATTGTGGTGCTTGGGTGACGCTAAGTCAACGTATGGGCGTGGCGAAGGCGGACCAATCTGATTGGGAAGCCACTATATAGTAGCTGTCTCAGATCACGAGGTGGCACATTTTACAATAACCCTCGGTCAACTGGCTAGCTATGAGACAGACAACGATAGGCAAAAGTAAAGATATGGAAGTGCCGCAAGACCTGCCCATTTCTTATAACGCCGTATTGGCTCTTCATTGGAAAACTGAGATTATAAGCTTAATATCCAGTATCGAGGCTTACCCAAGGGTATGTCTTTTCGGATGTAACACTGTGCTATCGAAATCCGCCTTGCACGTTTTTCTTTCTTTTTTTGTTTTTGATGAGCTCGATCTCGTGAAAAATGCAGCTTGTTCAAGGCTAAGTATTCAGATCAACACCACAATCTTGCCGTGCCCAATGCCTCTAGAATGAGCAGATTCATAGGCTTCCCGCACGTCACTCAACGACACCACTTTCGATACACGCCCTTTTATATTTCCCTTGGCCACATGTTCCGTGATGCGCGCCATGCTTTCTCTCGATGGCTCAGCAATCATGTACAGTGCCCGAACGCCTTCCTTTCCTTTGCTGATGCCCTTTTCTTTGTGCTCTTCTCTATACCCCCAGCTGCACGCGTCAAAGGACAAGAGGGTGCCGTCTGACTTGATAACGCTCCAGCAGTCCGCGAGAACCTGGGACCCGACAGAATCAACAACGACGTCGACCTTGTCCAAAGTCCCCATGGTTGTGTATTCAACTATCTCATTGGCGCCAATGGAACGCAGAAATGACTCGTTCCGCTCGTTCGAGCTGGACGCTGCAACGACATGGTGTCCGGCCAGGACGGCGAATTGCACGAGGAATGTGCCAATGCCGCCGGCAGGCCCGGTAATCAGAATCCTTTTTTGTCCGTTTTGCGCAGCATCGTCGAGTCCAACGTGTCTGAACAGCGCCTGATCGGCTGTGAGGGCACTCCCGGGAATCGCCGCAGCCTCCTCCCACGACAGGTTATCCGGCTTCTTGACTGCTTCTTCCGTCGTGACGATGGCGTACTCTGCCCATGTACCTCCCCGATTTGCATGCGTCATACCGTACACATGGTCACCAACGCGGAAGTCTTGCTCGCTGTCGTGCACGGCGACAACTATGCCGGAAAAGTCGTTTCCCAAGGTTGCATGGCTGGGGGGATATAGCTCGTTCCACTCCAGATTGTCTTTGTATACGGTAGAGGCTTTCACCTGGATCAATAATTCGCCAGGCTTTGATATTTGCGGTACGGGGACGTTGTCCGGGATTTCAATTGCTGAGGACGGAGCTACATTTCCAGGGAAACCATAAGGTGTCCCGTCAGAACAGGTAGGTCGAATTCGTGCAGCTCTCATGGTTGTAGCTCGGGTTTCAAGGATCTTGTTGCGGGAGAGTGTCAGTCGGACAAGACAACCTTGAGGTATCTATAAATTCGCGGGTGGGCCTAACGGATTTTCGGTGTTAGTACCAATTTACCGGTAACTGCCAAATTGGGAGTGCCCGCCATCTTCGAGGGCTTACCCTTTCCAGCCGGTTGATTGTAGCAGCCGTTTGAACTAGACGTTTTTTTTCTTTGTTGTTATTGACTATTGCACACAGCATGAGATCTTGACTGGTAAACAAGGGATTTGACTTGTGAATCTCTCTAGCTCTTCTCTATGTTATGAAATCTGTGTAGCTTTATGCTTGTGCTATAGCCCAGTCGATCTTGCGAAGTACGTCTTTGATCTCAGCCTGTTTCTTCGGCATATCGTGCAACCCACTATGCAAAACTCGTTTGGAAATGGACTGGTCACATAGACCGCAGGACAACTCAGCCATCCGGATCATATACTCAAAGTCGTTCTTACCCCATACATGGACAGTTGGAATTTGAATCTTTTGCACCAGTGCCGATGAATACATCACGCGAGGAATAGCATCAACTTTCCCGCGACGATATACGTCCATGTCCGTCCACGGGAACAGCGGATCTTGGATAGCAGCTTCTACCACCGTCCGCTGCAGGATCTCCACCAACTCTTGCTCTTCGCTCGTCAGATCTCTCCCGTTGGCTCCTGCTCGATCCATGATGTCGTATTCCATAGCTCGCAACTTTGAGATAACTGCATGCCCCAAAGTAGCATCAGGACTGCACGGCATGGCAGCCGAGAAAAGACACGCAAACTTGACTGCAACTGGGCAGCCGGCTGCCTGCTGTTGATAGAGATATGACAGTGTCAAGGCTGAGCCCTGACTGAACCCAAAGATGCCATCAAAGGGGCCCTCATCTTCAAGGATTTCTTCGAGGTAACCGAGCGCTTGTGTGATGTCTGCAGGAGAATACCCTTGCGTGTGAGAAAAATATGGGCCGGGCTGGTATTCCGAGACGCCTGTTACAAGTGTTAACAACAATATCAAGGCCTGTCCGTCACAAGGGCCTACGCACCAGGTCCCCTTCCACACTCGAACGGCCCGTCCACAAATACAAGCTCGAAGCTGGGGTCCAGTTCACGCCGCAGATTAGACATCTGCTTTTCAAGAATGGCGCCGGAGCTGCCTACACCATGGAGACAGAGAATCCTCATTTTTGCGTAAAATATCGGGTAAACAGCCTTTACGCTGGTAGACTGAAGAGATAATTTGGATTTGGGAGCTTAGCAACTAGACAAGAGACTTACAACGCTTTTTTTACGGCTTCTGCATACTGCCCTCTCTGGTGGGGACTACAGCGGAGAAAACCTAGTTTGAAACGGGCCGCGGGTGATTTGAGTTCAGATTAGTCCCGATAGGGTTTAGGTCCATGGAGCATATCTGGACGCGGCTCTCACTCTCTCCTTTCTCCCCACCCAATAAACCTCTCGCTTGCCTTTTATAGTACTATCCTATTACTTCCTGCCCTTGGTGCCTCGGTCCAGCGTCTTCGCGCTACACTAATTAAGTATGCCGGCAACACAGCCCTTCGGCCTTCTCTATTCGACGGCCACAACCAAATCAAGCAACCTCGTCTTCGGGCACTCGGCTTTTTGCGTAAGCTGACAACCCCAAGAGAGGTTTGATGGGTGTCATGTCATGTAAGCACCAAATCGAGGTTTAAGCGAGTTGAAAGCGGTGCATTGCCGTTGTGTAAGGAACGACGTGATCTTTGTGAAAACATGGAAAGGGAAGCAGAATAATCACAGTGAAATCCATTCAATCTTTACAGAGAACTATCCAGCTCGTCTATCACCAATTTCCGTACCATTCTTCACCCCGGATGATAGCCTCTTGGTGCCAAGTCTACGCCTCGTCACATTCACCGTTCCTGCACCATGGACTTTTCAACATCAGATAAGCAGGAGCCCATCGCTATTGTTGGTGCCGCATGTCGCTTTGCTGGCGAAGTGTCCTCCCTGGAATCACTATGGGATATGATCAGTAAGGTCAAGACCGGCCACGGCCCAGTCCCCAGCGACAGATGGGACAGCAAGATGTGGCACCATCCTGATCCAGACCGAAAAGGCGGAATCAGTCCACAGCATGGGTACTTCCTCGAGCAGGATATTAGCCACTTTGACGCTCCCTTCTTCTCAGTAACAGCCAAAGAGGCTGCTTCCATGGATCCGATGAAGAGGATGTTGCTCGAAGTATGTTACGAGAGCTTTGAAAATGGTAAGTGATATGGACCCTCCAAGGCCGTCAACGAGAATTCGGTGTTGATTACTTGTCTGTAGCTGGCATTCCCGTCGAGGATTTAATGGACAGCCGTACAGGCTGCTACGTCGGTTGCATGACGAATGACTATGAAATGATCTCCTTGCACGACATCTACAACATCGGACATCCGGCAGCAACGGGTTTAAGCGAAGCCATGACCGCTAATCGGGTGTCCTGGTTCTTTGGTCTCAAGGGTCCCAGCTTGACGCTTGACACCGCTTGCAGCTCCTCGCTTTACGCTCTTCATCTTGCATGTCAGTCACTTAGGCTTAGAGAAACCAACATGGTAGGTTTGAGGCAGGAGACATTTTTCCCGCGGACATCGATAGCTTACTTGGGATACTTGTAGTCTCTCATCACCGGAGTCAACCTCATGATTAACCCCAATACCTCACACCAGCTGACTGCAATGCACATGCTCAGCGCTGAGGGTATTTCACACACATTTGATGACCGTGCCAATGGCTATGGTCGTGGTGACGGCATTGGCGCCCTGGTTGTCAAACGTCTGTCGGATGCTATTCGCGACGGCGACACTATCCGCGCTGTGATCCGAGGTTCTGGTGTCAACGCCGATGGCAAGACACCCAGTGTTACGCAACCAAGTCCCACAGCACAAGCCGAACTGATCATCCAGACCTACGATGATGCAGGTCTAGATCTGTCAGAAACGGGGTACTTTGAATGCCATGGCACAGGGACGCCAGTTGGCGACCCTCTTGAACTCGCCGCCATTGCTTCGACCCTTGGTGCAGCAAGGCGTGCTGCTGGAAGGCCTCCTCTTCACATTGGAAGTATCAAGCCTAGCGTAGGCCACACAGAGGGATGTGCTGGTCTTGCCGGCGTGTTCAAGTCCATCTTGCTACTTGAAAAGGGAATGCTGGTCCCCACATATGGCGTAAATCGGGTGAACCCGAAATTGAAGTTGAGCGACTGGCATCTTACTCTTCCCGAGGATGTCGCGAGATGGCCAACGCCAGGACTACGTCGGATTAGTGTCAATTCATTCGGGTTCGGTGGTGCCAATGCTCACGTTATTTTGGACGATGCCTACCACTACCTCCTAGAAAGGGGGTTGAATGGCAAGCACAACACTGTCATAGGTGACTCTGGTTCGGATTCTGGCTTCGAGGATACATCAGACAGTGGAGTCGTCCACAATACACACAGGAAGCTGTTTCTCTTCACCGGCAAAGACCAGACTGGAGCCAAGCGTGTATCCGAGGCCCTAAATGCATGGCTGCAACAAGTTCCAGAGAATAAACAGGACCCATCCTTGCTGGAGAATCTCGCATTCACACTAGCGCAGCGCCGCACACATCTAGAGCATAGAAGTTTCGCAATTGCGGATTCGATGTCCGAGCTCACAGAGAGGCTATCGAGAGGCCTGCCAGCAGCAACTCGAACACAACGTCATGGCGAAAACCTCGTTCTGGTATTCACCGGTCAGGGCGCTCAATGGCCGGCAATGGGTCGCGAACTTTTCGAGAACGCCATCTTCCGTGCAAGCATTGATGCTTCGCAGTCTTATCTCGAGTCCTTCGGCTGCAAGTGGAATGCAATTGAAGAATTGGGCAAAATATCCAACCCAAACGTCAACCTCCCAGAGTACAGCCAGCCCCTCTGCACGGTGGTCCAGGTCGCGCTGGTGGATCTTCTTCGCTTCTGGAAGGTTTTGCCCAAAGCTACAATTGGACACTCGAGCGGCGAGATTGTCGCCGCATACGCCGCATCGCTTCTCACACACCACGATGCCGTCAAGCTTGCCTATGTCCGTGGTCTCAGCTCCGCTGCTGTCTCCAAGAAAGGTGCAATGATGGCTGCTGGGCTTTCTCAAAATGATGCCCAGATATACCTTGAGAAGATCCCGGCCGGGTCTGCAGTCATTGCCTGTATCAACAGTCCCTCCAGCGTGACGCTCTCTGGTGATGTCGACGCTATTGACCAGCTGGAAGCCCTGATATCTTCCGATGGTAAATTTGCCCGGAAACTCAAGGTCACTACCGCGTACCACTCTCCTCACATGCGTGAGGTCGAGCAAAAGTATCTGGATATGATTGGTGAAATAATACCAATGGAAGCCAATGAGACAGACAACAGCCCAGTCATGTATTCGTCGCTCACCGGGTCCATCGTCTCTTCTGCCAAGGAGCTGAACGCCCAGTATTGGGTTGACAATATGCAGAGTCCCGTGAACTTCTCACAGGCTCTTTTAGCATTGCTGAAGCACAAGAGAGTCGCTCCAGGCGGCACCCGCCCCGTGTCCGTACAGTGGGGAAGCTTCCTTGAGGTTGGCCCTCACGCAGCTCTCCAGGGACCCGTGCGACAGATCATTGACGCAAGCAACAACAAGTTTGCCAAGTCCGCACCTTACGCCTCCATGCTTGTTCGCGGAAAAGACGCAACGGAGACAGCCCTGAACGCTGCCGGTGTGCTCTGGGCTGCTGGCTGCAAGGTCGACATGGCTGCGGTCAACCAGCAGCCCTCAACGGGGAGTAACACTCCTCAGATGCTTTGTGACTTGCCCCGTTATCCCTGGAACTACACAAGGAGCTACTGGCATGAGTCGTACTCGTCACGCTCGTACCGCTTCCCTCCACACATGCGCAACGACTATCTGGGAATGGCGGAAGATTCTCAAAACAGCCATGAACCACGATGGAGAAACTACCTGCGCATCTCTGAAAATCCATGGATTGAAGACCACACAATCACCGGAACTGTGCTATATCCTGGCGCAGGCATGCTTGTTATGGCCTTGGAAGGCGCACTGCGCACCGCAGACTCCTCCAAGACGATTGAGGGTTTCCGCATGACTGATGTCACGTTTGAGCGTGGACTCGTCATCTCCATGGATGAGGATGCGCCCGTGGAGACGCGAATCAGTTTCCACCCCCACAGCGTGAAGCCCGACTCATGGCTCTTCACTGTCTATTCGATGAGCAGAGGCTCCCCGTGGGCGAAGCACTGCGCTGGTACCGTTGCTGTCGTGTACGAGAACAAAGCGAGCGAGGTTGAAGACAACAATGCAGATGCATTGTGGCAGAAGCAATCGGGCTTGCGCAAGACCCTACTATCCGAAGCCGACTCCGTACATGTCAACGTGGATGAGTTCTACAAGAATTTGTACACCATTGGCATGCAGTATGGTCCATCATTTCGCAATGTCCAGTCCCTCACGGCAGTACCATCCAAGAAGGCCTCGTACGGATCTGCATCTGTTCCAGACACCAAGTCAACAATGCCCAAGAGTTACGAGACCCCCCATGTGATTCACCCGGCAACCATGGACTCCATCTTCCACCTAGCCATTGCGTGTCTCGATGCCGGCCAGCAAGTCAAACAAGCCGCGGTGCCGTATAACATCGAAGAGATTTACGTCGCCCATGATCAGCCGAAAGAGGCTGGAGCACTATACTCTGGGTATGCCCGCCTGCTGTCCCAGAACGGCCATGAGATCACCACCGAGCTGGTTGTCTCTGACCAGGAGTGGGCAATACCAAAGCTTACTGTCAAGAACTTTGCCCTACGCCAGGTCACTTCTGGACTCGGCTCGGAGGCTTCCGATGCCGCATCTTCTGGTGGTGCTGTCAAGAACTGTGCCGGCATCACCTGGACTCCTGATCTCTCTTTCTCGGCCAGCAGGGAGCATTTTTCGAAGCTCGTTCTCCCCGGAAAGTCGGCCGCGTTGGTCGACAGTTGGCTTAACGCTGTATTCCTTAAGACATCAAACATCACCGCCCTCATTGTCATGTTCGATGAGTCCGAATGTAGCATCGATGTTCTCCGCCGCCTCAGGAGCCACACATATGGCTCCATTAACATCATTGCCCTCGCCACATCTGAGTCAGTATTGCAGTTGATGCAAAACACCCTTGGCGAAGACAATGAAAAAACAACCATCACTTATGAGTGGTTATCGGAGAGCCAGCTTCTGGAGACTCTGGCCCCAGAAGCTAATGATATCGTCATCGGCTTGGGCGTTCCTGGCATCGCCAAGCACGCTGCCACGTTTGCAATGCTGGCTCCTCTGGCGTGCCTCACTCAGGCTGGTCAGCCAGATGGTATGGAAATTATTGTGCCAGGTCGCGAGTGCGTTGGCCACCTAGCGGACGATGAGATCTACGTCCTTTTCGCATCAAGCACCAGTCCTCCGTCGGCCGAGCTTCCCGACTCTGTGGTTCTTCTCTTGCCTGAATCGTCATCCACCATCCTCAGTACATTTTCTGCCACCATTCAGACCAAGCTTGAACGCTCCGGTATCTCAGTCTCACAGACACACCTGACTCCCAGCGGCGTGGCTTCACTCGCTGGTAAATATGTCATTTCTCTCCTCGAGATTGACAACCCACTGGTGTACGCCTGGGATGAAGATCAATTCAACTCATTCAAGACACTCATCTCCTCGGTTGGACACCTTTTCTGGATTACTCACGGCAGTGTACTTGAGAGTTGGTCGAACGGTGTGGAATTCGCGACAACTCAGGGTCTGTTCCGCGTGATGCGCAACGAATACCCAATTGCCACCTTGCCAACTATGGATCTGTCCGCAGTGGCTGACATTTCCAATGTCCAATACGCAGATCTGGTTCTCGAAGTTTGGCGAACGTCTCTGTCTGAGGACGCGGAAATGGAATACGCCGAAGGCAACGGGTTGATTTACATTCCTCGTGCTACTGAAGAGGCTGATTTCGACCACGAACTGCAGTTGGCGAGCAACACCGCGAAGCCAATCGTGTCGTCTCTGGGCGCTGCTGGAAAGCCACTGAAGGCAAGCGAGTCTGCAAACACCCAAGGTTATGTCTGGATCGCGGATGAGCAAGCGGAATCACCACTTGAAGCAGACCAAGTGGAAATCAAGGTCGAGTATGCTGGAGTCGGAATGGGCCAGAAATTGAACTCTGTCCGCCACGCCGTTGGCATCGTTACCCAGATAAGTGACTCGGTCAAGGATTTGCAGCTTGGTCAGCGTGCCATTGTTTTCTCTGACGCCACTGCAAAAACCCATGTCCGCCAAAGCGAGAACCTGGTTGTACCGCTGCCCGACGGCCTTGAGCCACCAGAGGCAGTTGCGCTTGTCGAGCCACTGGTTACTGCGCAGTATGCGCTTATCGAGATCGCTCATCTCAGTCACGGTCAGGCACTGCTGCTTGATGACGCTACCAGCGCCGTTGGACAAGCCTTGGTACAAGTTGCCAAGGCTGTTGGAGCCGACATCTTTGCTCTAGTTCACAGCAGAGCAGCACGCGATACCATTGCTGACCGATATTGCATCCCTACAGACCACATCTTCGACGCGGCTTTGGGCAACTTCGTGCCACTCATTCAGAGTGCTACCCAGAACCGCGGTGTTGATGTCGTTGTCAGCCAGCAGGTCGGCACTCATGTTACTGGCGCTGTGTCGATTCTGAGCGACTTTGGCCAGTTTGTCGACATGACCGGTGAGAGCTCCCGAGCTCTTTTGCCGGCAGCTAAAACCAACGCTACTCTTGCTCGCATCGACATAGCCACCGTAATCCGAGACAGACCCGCCATTGTCAGCAAGCTCCTTCGGAAAGCCTTTGAGGAGTACATCCTACAGGGACCTTTCCCGTTGACAGTGGCGCCAGCTATCAACCTCTCCGCCTCGGTGAATGACATCCACACCGAGCAAGTTGTCATTTCCTTGGACGACGCCAGCCCTGTGCTGGTGCCTGCACCCCCAGGCGAAGAACTGAAGCTCGACGGTGAAGCAGTTTACGTGCTGGCCGGTGGTCTGGGCGCTCTTGGCCTGGATATTGCGAATTGGATGGTGCAATGTGGTGCGAAGAATCTGGCTTTCCTGTCCCGATCGGCTGGCGCAAAGAATCAACAGGATCTGCAGAAGTTCACCGAGCGCTCTGTCCGAGCGGAGGCGTTCAAATGCAATATTACAGATGCTGCCAGCGTTGCCAAAGTCTTCGACTCCATCAAAGCCCGTGGCAGCAGGATTGCCGGGGTGATCCAACTTGCCATGGTTCTCGAAGACGGCATCTTCGACAACATGTCGTTTGACCAATGGCGCCATGCGATTGAGCCCAAGACCAAGGGCTCACGCAACCTGCTGGCCAACATCTGGCCGGGTGACAAAACCTTCTTCATTTTGCTGTCGTCCATCACCGGTGTCATTGGCAATACGGCGCAGGCCAACTACGCTTCCGGAAATACCTTTGAGGACGCGCTGGCACATCACGCCCACACCCATCTCGGCATCAACGCTACCAGTATTGACGTCGGCTTGGTCTCTGACTCGTCGCACTTCACCACAGCTGGCGAATTCGGCGACCTCGCCAGCTACTTGGGCAGATACCAGCACGGCTGGCGAGGCCTGCAGACGAACCTTGGCGAGCTCGGCGTCGTGATCCGCGCTATCATGCGACGCTCGACCAAAGGACAGAGAACGCCCGCCCAGATCATTCTCGGTCTGGGTGATCGCATCGAGCACCAGGTGAACACCGGAGGCTTTTCCAGAGATAAGAAGTTTGAACTCCGTGTCGTAAAAGTCGATAACAAGGCCGGCGATGATACGGCAAAGCAAGATGTGGGCACTCTTTTGGCGAATGCGACAAATATGGCTGAGGCTGCCGCTGCTGTAGAAGATAACATCAAGGAGCTTGTCGCGGCGGCCATGGGTGTCTCTTTGGGAGAGGTCGATGCTCAAAAGCCTCTCTATGACTATGGTGGTGAGTTATAATTATTTCCCCCTTTCTCTGCAAGACAATGACGTGGCTGACAAGCTTTTACTGTAGTCGATTCACTACAGGCTGTCGACATTCGGAATCGTGCTCTTTTGAACATGCGAAGCGATATCTCTGTCTTCGATATTCTGAGTGCTATGCCGCTAGCCGATGTCGCGATGAAAATTGCAGCCAAGAGTCAATTGGTCAAGGTCACTGCAGGTGAGGATTGAGAGTTTGTGGGTATTGTCTCTTCAGGAGTTCCAGTGTGTAGATGATAGAAATAAAAGAGGACAGGCAAATCTCCCTAGTCATTTTTCATTTTCTCTCTATGCAAGGACTCCCGGAAGCGACTCAGTATGAGACTGTTCACCCCACATTAGTTCGTAAATCATGAATCGTGTCCCAAATGGTAGAGTGGACTAAAGTAACAGCTCCAAACAGAACATGAGAGAATTTCTTCCATATTTCCATGTGTGGCAACGGCTCACCCCATTTAATAGTAATTCTTCACGTCTAATCTCACCCGCAGATGTTCAAAGACACTGGTCGGGTCTCTCTCTGTAGAAAAGAATGTCCCCGACTTAGCCATGGACTTTGACGTTGCCTTGCCAGACTCCAAACTGCGAAGGTAGGTGACAAAGGCAGATGTCTGTTTCCTAAAAGTCTGATAGAGATGGAGCACAGCTCCTTCGCTTTCATTGCGCATCCCGATACTATCTGCTCTTGACAAAGGTCCGAAGGCAAGGATAGTACCGAAAATCGACTCAAGCAATTTGGCCGCCTGCGCGTGGCGCTTGCTCAGGAAGAACGCGAACAACATTTGGTCAAGGATGTCTTCGTGGTAATCACGGAGTCTGGGGACCGAGTGGGCCGCTTCAATCGTACCGTCGATATCACCACGGTTGACACGGCGCTCGATTTTATCGAGTGTATCTTGAAAGCGTTGCCAAATGGATCCGACACCAATGTGGAAACAGTAATCACTAACTGCCAGGACAAAATGTTGGGCATCTACTCTGAACTGCTGTAGGATATTTCGGTTGTCCCCTGATAGAGATGTTCGGGAAGTTGAACCACGCACAAGTCCTTTGACGACAGATACCATGCGAATCAATCGAAGCAAGTGCTTGAAGAGACGATCGTACTTATCAAGGGATCGCAAAGTGATGATGGATTCGAGGACCCTGGGCGGCGTGTACTGCAGGCGAAGGAAGTCCAGAGCCTCGATAGCGTTCGGGTTTCTGCATCTTTCGATCTCTTCGGCCGTCAATTCACGAATCCCGAAGCTCAAGCCACCAGGCAACTCGTTGTCTTTGAGCACTTGGCTTTTCTCGTCATCCTCTGTGGGCTTGCTGCCGAAGTAACAATCTCCCAGCAGGCCTATCAACACAAGTCGCAACTCTGAACTAGCTGGCGGCCATGTATCACGACTGCCGAGGCGGAGACCGGTGTCGACACCACTGCGCACTTTGCCAGCCTTTCGTTCTCCACTTTCCATTTCTGGATCAAAAAGGGAATCGGAGAGACGGGCGACGAACGAGCCTTCTCCCAACAACTGGAATCTCCACTGCATATTGAGATGATGACGGATCTTATGTTCTTTGAAGAGAAGGTGCAGGCAAGAGTAGTTAATGAGAAGGGCTTGCGACGAAAGAATTGGCGCAAGAGAGAGATGGAGGCCAGATATCAATTCAGGCCCGAGGTTGCCTCCTTCGTCGGTGCATACAGGATCGAGTGCGCGTGCTTTGCCGAGAAGTTCATTGAAATTATCTCTTGTAAGGGCCTTGGGATCAACGACGGACTCTGAGTCACGTTCTTGATCATCTATGTCGAAGAGTTCGAAAGCTGCGGTTGTGATTCCGGTTTCAGTTGTTTGTCCATTTTGCAAGACAACGTCCGGTGGCGTATCGTGCAAGTCAGTACCATCATGGTACCTCTTGATCTCAGCTCGGAGTCTCGATTCATACTCTTGGGCCTTTGTCTGGATGCGCTCGATACCGGCCCAGCTAGTCACACAATGCAGATGAAGACCACTGTTCCGGGAGAGAACATCATGCCGTGCGATGGGATGGTGAGGATGAGATTGCTTCAGTAGTTGGAGGCTCCGCCCACTCTCAAAGATGGAGCGGGCCTGGTCCGCTGGAATGATTGATGGCATGTGGTCGGATTGATAGACGTGGTCGATTCGACCTGGCCCAGCCTTGAACTTGCCAGGTTCATCAATTTCCAGTCGAACAAAGGTTTTGCCACTAGCCAGAGATTGCCGAAGTGCGGTTTCTTCTGATCGAAGCCCAATCCAAGTCTCGACGAACTTGAACCATGGCTGGGTCACTCGAACTATGATCTCATGCAGAAGACTCTCCATCCAGGGGAACTTTTGGGCAAAAAAGGCCGCACGCTGCGTGACAACTGATATGACCTGTGCGTCCGAGACAGCCTTGTGCGTAGCATCGACAATAGCTGCCAAAACACCTATTAAGTCGCCGCATCGATTGAATAGTGCTTTTATTTGCAGCAGTGAGACGACTTGTCTCGAATGATCAGAGATCTGTCGCTCAAGGATGAGGATTATCACTGCCACTGTGCTGCTCAATGTGAATAAAGCAGAAAGTTCTTTGCACTTGGCTGGCGGGTGTTGTGCAAACAGGCGCATCCGCTGCATGTTGACACCACACTGTTGTACATACTCGATCACACTCTCCAATGCAGGCAAACTGATCCCAGAGATTCGGACGTCCTTCAAATGTCTCACAAATTGGCTGGTGCGTTGATCGTACCGGAAGAACACTGAACTCCAACCAAGCCCCAGACGAAGTAAGGATCGAATGAAGATGTCTGATCGAACAATCCGAGTTGGCGAATTATGTCCAGATTTCTGCTGTGCCAATGCTGCATCAAAGGCCTTTGTTCCTGCTTCGCTAAAGTAGGCAGACACGGGTTCTTGAAATGAACGGTCTTGGAATCTCTCCCATGATCTTTGTGGGATTGCATGGCCAAGGCCCTCTTGTAGTAGATCTATAGACCAGAGACCATTGTCGTCATTTTCGTTGTTTGTCGGGTCTTGTAAGGCATCGCTTGATGTATCCGACTGGCCGTCTATGGAAGCACTGATGATCGAGTCGGCAAATGATTCGGGTTGTTCTAAGCTGGTCGGAAAGATATCCAGCTTCCATGGTGAACCGAGCTTATCTGTAGGGTTTCGAAATAGTTCAAAGCAAGAAGTCGAGTCATCTATCCCAACAACACAAGGTCAACAAACACTCTAGGGAATCCGGTGGCTCACACATACCAGGTAGAGCGGTGTTCCATGGTAGCGACTCCAATGGCTGCAGAGCTTCTATGCTAAATTTGGAGAGTCTCCAGAGGCTCTCGATGGAGAAAGGATCCATTTCATGACCACATTGATCCATAGCGAGACCATGCTCAGTGAGCACTAAGATGGTTGACGCGTGAAAGTCGGTCCCGCGACGGAGATGCCTATCGCCGTGCACGGACCCTTGATAACAGAAAGTGCCTCGCCCTCCTCGTAGCTCAGTCACGACCTCCCTCCCACCCCAATTGCGGTCGCTTCTACCTTTTTAAGCCTCTCAGATCTCATACACACAGTCAACATGCCTCCGAAAAAGAAGACCAAGCGCACACACTCCCCTACACCCCCAGATGACACCGCCGCGCTGTCAAGCGCAAACACCCCGTTAAGCGATAGCGCCGAGAACCCAGACACAGATTACGATCTCATCTCAGACCCCTGGACGGATGAACAAGAAACAGCGCTTCTCAAGGCGATCATAAAATGGAAGCCAGTAGGTGTGTTATATTCGCGCTCCTGTTACATCGAGCGCGCAGCTAACCGTCCTGTCCTATAGGCCTACACAAACACTTTCGGATGCTCGCGATTTCAGAGTACTTGAAGAGCCAGGGGTACGCGCCTTCCACGGCAGAACATATGCGCATTCCAGGAATCTGGAAGAAACTCCGCTCGCTATACAATCTGGAAGCTCTTGACGAGCGGGTAAGTCGCGATCTACAAGTTTCCTTTGCCAGTCCATCTCCCTAATCGCGATACGTTTAAAGGAAGACTCAATAATTACCGATATGAACGAGGATGAGGACGGCCAGAGCGAGATGTACTGCCCATTCGAGCTTCCATATGACGAGTACGGCGATATGATGTTTGAAAGGAGACTCGCGATGGAAGAGTCTTTGTCGCCCGTCACTAGTCGTGCCAGTCGCGCGGGTGGATCAAGGCGAGGAAGCACAGTCGCAGACACAGATGGTTAGTAGCGAATCGATTTTGCGAATTCGAGCTGAGTCCGTAAACTGACCTATTGCCCACCACAGAACCACGGTCTTCGCCTGCCCCTTCTCGAGGTCGAAAATCAACCCGGAGTGCCCGTACCTCCACACGAGGAACACGATCAACACGGCTACAAGCCGAGCTTGGTCCCGGAAGTCAGGGTAAAACATCAGACGAAGGTGGTGATTCGGCGGAAGACACTGGTGCGAATGAGGAAGACGAAGAGGAAGGCGAAGAGGCCTCCGAGGCCAATAGTGACGAAGATGAAGGCGAGGGTGAGAAGGGTGGTCCGCGGAGTACGCGAGCGCAAACTTCTCGGTCCCGAGCCAAAGACAAAAAGCCTTCGACTAGCACCACGACGCGCAGGACTGCGCGACGGCGTTGACATGGTCATACTATATCGAATACGTGGATTTTGACTTTTGATACCTGTGGGTGCTTGATACGGCGTTATTCTCTCCATCGGTAATGTGTAAGATTATGTATGCAGACAGCTATGGATAATGTATGTTACTTCTAGCGGGTGCATCGCCCCTAAATCCAACAGGTCATGATTATTTGGGAAATCCTCCGGGTAACCAAAGAGAGGTATATTTCGATCGCTATAGGTCTAATGTCGTTCGAAGGTACAAAAGGAAAGATTCAGAGAGGGTCATAGTACAAGGGGTCTAAGCAGCGACAGGTTTACAGGCGCTTGATGATAGCCCCAGCGTACTCGTGGGTCTTGGCATTGCCACCAAGATCACCGGTAAGAGTCTAAAGATCACAGAGTCAGTAATGCACGAGGAACATAGGAACGGAGATATAAACTAACCTTGCCCTCAGCAAGGGTGTCGAAGGTAGCCTTCTGGATGCGGGCAGCGTGGTCGTGGAGACCCATGTGCTGCAACATCATGATACTGCTGAGAAGCAGAGCAGTGGGGTTGGCGAGAGCCTTGCCGGCAATGTCGGGAGCGGAACCGTGGACGGCCTCGAAGATGGAGCACTCGTCACCAATGTTACCGGAGGGGGTGAGACCGAGACCACCGATCAGACCGGCGCACATATCGGACAGAATATCACCGTACAGGTTGGGCATGACAAGAACCTTGTCGTTGTAAGGGGTGGGGTCGGTGACGATCTTGAGGCATGAGTTGTCCAGCAGCTCAGCATCAAACTCGATGTCGGGGAATTCCTTGGCGATCTCGCGGGCGGTGTTCAGGAACAGACCGTCGGACATCTTCATGATGGTGGCCTTATGGACAACGCGGACCTTCTTCTTGTTGATGGACTGCGCGTACTGGAAGGCGAAGCGGAGGACACGCTCGGAAGCCTCCTTGGTGATGAGCTTGATGCTCTGCACGACACCATCGACGACGACGTGCTCAATGCCGGAGTATTCACCCTCGGTGTTCTCACGGATAAGAACAGTGTCGACATTGTCGTAGGGGGTCTTGTAGCCAGCAATGGAGCGGCAAGGACGCAAGTTGGCGAAAAGGTTGAAAGTACGGCGGAGAGTCAGGTTCAGGGAGACGTGACCCTTGCCAACGGGGGTCTAGATGGTTGATGTTCAGTATCGGAGTTTAGATGCGAAGGATCTATGGGTGATTTCGAGGTCAAACATACAGCCAAAGGACCCTTGAGGGCGACGTAGTTGCGGCGCACACTAGCAATGGCATCATCGGGAATGGCGGTCTTGCCATCCTTGAGGATAGGAGTAACATCGACGGACTCCCACTTGATGGGGGCCTATGAGTTTTCTTAGCATTCTGATCGCGCTGGTTGGAAGTAAACATGCTGATAGCTACCTTGGCGGCCTCGAAGATGTCCTTGATGGACTGAGAGATCTCAGGACCAATGCCATCACCCTCAATCAGAGTAACAGTGTACTTGCCCTACAAAAAGAGAAGTAAATGCGTTAGAAATGTCGAAATTATACACGGTGGTGGTGTTCTGCGCGATTTATGACCGGTGTGCCGCTGCGCGGCTGGCGCCGGCATTGATGAAAAAAAAAGGGTTCGGGGTGGGAAAAACGTACATCGGAACCCTTCTGACCCTTGAACTTGGCAACGGCCTCCTGCGCAGGACTAGCGTAGAAGCGAATCTATTCGAAAGAGGGTAAAGATTAGTCAATTGAGCTCGCTTGATAGTCAACGGTCCGATGTCTTGAGGGGGTTGGTACCTGCGCAATGGGGGCAGCAAATCGGGGGGCCACGCGGGAAGGGCGCAAGCACTGGCGAGCAGCAGAGAAGTTCCGGGCAGCAATCATTTTGAAAGATCCCTTCAATTTCTGGAGAGGAGATAATATGAGTGGGTGGGGGGAGAAGAGTGGAAGAGGAAGCCGAAGAAAGGAAGAAAGAATCAAATCTCTCGGCGCCGCACCGATCCGAGCGGGAGGCAGACCGCATTGGTGGTTTGATTCAACACGGCCCGAGTCCACTCTTTAGGTGTCCACTCTTGACTACAAGGTACCAGCAACTCTGTCTCTATTAGGGTTCTGCTATCAGATCTCCGGTCGACCGCGGGAGAATCTGTAGCTAGATCCTGGCTATCCCTTAATTTCAATTCGTCCTGCTTCCTCCTCCCTACCGCCCGCCATGGCTGACCTCGACGTCACAAGCCACTACAATCTCCCCACCGAGTTCCCCGAAGAATGGCCGGCATCTTTAGACGCGACCGACGAGCCGGAAGAAGAGCCAACGCAGAAAGACTCCCGTCCGCGCAAATCCCGATACGTTGCTCTCGAACGCAGTCCTAGTGATTGGAGAAGCAACTTTGGTTCACGGAGAGGGAAGGAGGGCAGAGACAATGCGCGTGAGGACGAGCCCGACCCGCTGGGTACTAGCGACAGCGTTCTTCGAATTCTCAAGCAGCGCGGTGTACCTCTAGAGGAGGATGGCAAGTCACGGTTCTTGCTGTCATCAACATCTTTCTCGCCCGCGCTGTTTCTATCACAAGCGCATCACTCAGCCTCGATTGAATCGTTGACGGACGGCTTGGACAATCTATCGCGTTCCATTGACCAAAAGTCGGCCTCACTGAAAGTATTGGTGGAAGCCAATTTCGAGCGTTTCGTCCGTGCCAAGGCAACCATCGATAGCGTCTACGCCGAGATGAGGAACCAGGGTACTGATAAGGAAATGGGCTTGAGTCCACGGAGGTCGGGACACTTCAGAAGCTATTCAGGCCAGCAACGGGGCGTATCTCCAGCTCCGTTTGTGTCTGCTAAAAAGACTGCTCTTGTCAAGGAGAGTGAATATGGCATGAAGGGTATCAGGGGTCCTTTGGTTGAAGCTTCCGTCAAGGCCGAGGAGGTGTGGGGGCCGGCTCTTGGTGGCCGTGAACGAGAGAAAGTATTAAAGTCAGTGGTGGAGACCATGGAGAAACACCGTGATGTTTACGAGATTGGGAGCCACTTGTCCAAGGCCATCCAACAACGTGATTACGATGCTGTTTTCGATCAATACACCAAAGCGAGGACGCTCGCCAACCGAGCTAAGGATATCGCGGAGCAGGCATCGTCCAGTTCGCGCCGACAACTAAGCGACTCTGAAACGCACACCATCCTAGTCATGGGCCGCATGTGGATGGACGTCGACCAACAGATTCAGAACTTCAAACGTGATCTTTGGCGACGCCTTGCCGATGCCCCCACTACGTCCACCACAACCACCGCCTCGGGCCCCGTGGAAGAACACATGGAGTTGATCGGTGCCTTGTTAGAGCTGGGCGTCGAAGACAACCCCATTTGGGAATGGCTTCAGAGTCGTTATGAATTCTTGAAGACAAAGATTACCGGATTCTGTGACCGATGCAAGGTGGAAATAGAGATCTTGAGAAGGAGGCTTGCAGGTGGAGAGAAACCGACCCCCCAGGCTACAGCATCGTATCTCCGCCTAGCGCCTCGTGATGGTGCAGCAGAAACACCGGAGAGACTTGACACGGATCAAGTGGTTGAGTTGTGGGAATGCATACAGGCGTTCCTAACCCGGCTTCTATCCTCTCAGAGCGGCTTGCTGGGTGAGGTGATGGACTTCTGGGAAGTGGCCCAATCCTTCATCGAAGGCAACCGACAGCGGCTTCTGCCGGTTGGGTTTGAGGGAGAGAGCCGTAAACACCATCATCTCTCAGCTGACAATGCTAAGGACCTTGAGAAGGGTGTTTCCGAGTTGGTCAATATCATTCGAGAGAACGTTCTGACCCTTTTCACGGAACCCCCAACCAATGATATATCCTTGCTCTTTTCGCCAGTTCCCGCAAGTCCATCGACCCCGGAATCCCGGGGCGTTACCCCGACAGAATCGCGCTTCAAGTTGGATCCAAAGAACCTACCTTTCCCTCCCCCAAAGCTGGGCGAACATTGGGAGGACTTCGCATTCTGGCCGCCATTCTCCAACTCGCTCAGTGGAGTACATTATTTGAGTAAATTCCTCATCATCGTGGGCACTGCTGCTAGTGAAATGGCAGCCTTACGACCGGTCGGTGGCTCTGGAAAGACATACGACCTTCTCAAGACCCTTGTGAGTGTAGCCCGGGAACGATGTGCCCGTGTGGCCTGTGCTGCCTGGAGCAAAGATGCGGAGATCTGCAAGATGTTAGAGGACTGGACTCGCGATCCAGAGAGGCGGGATCTGACTAAAATGCCTGGGTTACTTGTGGCTTTTGAGAGTGCTATCCTTGGTGGCATGCAGAAGATCCTTTACATTTCGGAAGCTATGGCGAAGCCAGGCTCGGTGGATGTTGTCACTCAGCCGCCTGCCAAACTTCTCCAAATGGTTCGCACTCAGTTTGTATCGAGTGTTTACAAAGCTCTGAGTGGTCTGGTTGAAAATGCTGAGCGACAGACAACACCAGACGAAGAAAATGAATGGATTATTGCTCGACCAGCAATGACAAGTCAAGCCACTGATGCTGCCTTGTCGGTTCTTTCGGCCGATTCCGTTGACTCTTGGAATCGGGTAAGTTCTTGTCCATTGTGATATGAGGCCATGATAGCTGACCACAGTACAGAATGTTCGAATCCTTCTCACACTCTCCAACATCAAGGCTCTACAAGCGGATCATGTCCCCCAGCTTATCTCCAACTTTGAGACATCCTTCTCGGTCAAGCTGACAGAAGAAGCCAAGACTATCCGGGACGTCCTCAGTCAGATTGAAGACAGGCTCTTCCAGTCCTACGTAAACCCAACTACTGCCTCAATAAACAAAATAATCACCGCCGGCATTACCTCCGCAGATTGGGAGCCAACCGACGGGAGGCCGGAGCAAGTCCACCCCTATGTTTATAACACCTTGTTGGCCATGGTGCTGGTCCACACAGAGATCTCTACCACAATCCCGTCCACTGTGTCATCTGGAGCCAGTCGCGCTGCGTCGAGCGCACCTTCCTCGCTATTGGCCACTGTGTTATCATATTTCATGGCCCAAATATCCTCGTCACAACTAGCTGCCTTCCGAGCTCGGACCTCCTTCTCGCTTCCAGCCTTGATGCAAGCTACATTGGATACTGAGTTCATGTCACAGACGCTGAGCGTGTACTCGACTGACGAGGTAGCAAATGTGCAAGGCCAGATCTACACCGAGCTAGATTATCGCACCACAAGCGAAGCCCGCGCTGAACTTCAAGAAGGGCTAGGAGAAATGCGTGTCGTCTTGAAACGCCTCAAAGCCCGAACTAAGGGCGAGTTTGCTTGTTTCAAGGGGCCCAGAAGCGGCAATCATGGAAGTAGTGGTGGAACTAGTTCAGGCAACGTCAAGACTTCGAGATAGTGACCACATCCATAGTGTTCAACTTTGGCTTCGAAGGAATAATTGAATACATGAAATCTTTTTGGGCATAACCAACCGGGTATCATCAACAAAGCCCACACCGTGTGTGGGTTTAGTCCTTTTAACTAATTCTGGCCAACCATCCGCTGCACACGACTGAGGAGTGCATTACTCTCTCGGCCCAGTCGCCTCTTCCCAAACTGATCTGGCCGCTTTGCGCGCAACAGTGCCTCGCGTTCTTTCTGTTTCGCTTCCCGTTGCCTTTGGCGTTCTTCCTCCTCTTTCCTCCGCTTTTCTGCAAACTCCATCTCCCTTGTGAATGCGGAAGGCTTCGGTCGACGCTCCCTTTGCTTGCCATCGCCTCGCTGACGCCGTTCCGGTCTAGGTGCTGGTGCTGGCTCGGGCTCGTTCAACATGGCTATGCGATCCGGATGAAGCTCTAGAGTTGTTGCCTCTTCGGCGGGCTTTTCGTCGTGCTTGGCGATTTCCTTGTCATTTTCCTCGACGATGTCGTAAATGGATTTCTTCGGCGCGGTGGCCAGTTCTTGCGCTTTGATCTTTGCATAGGCCTTCTTCACTTTGGCTTTGTGGATCAGGTCATTCTTGATCTTTTGGGCTATTTTCGGTCAGCTTATAGTCTCGAAGAAATCCAAGGGAATGCCAACTCACTCTTGCGACGATATGTGCCATCTGGGAGGTTTGCGGGACCGACGCTGAAACCCTTGCGTTTCTTGACTTCGGGCTCTCCTTTTGATGCTGGAGCATCACCGTCATGAGTACGTTTCGGTGCCATAATGATGTTCGTTGAATAAGACTGTATCCTATTGTGTTCTGCCCCGATGTGTGTTGAATCCAAATCTTTGGAGAAGAAAAAAAAAAGTGGCGATCTCCGCACGGAACGTTGGTCTCGGCCACTAACAGTACAGTATGTACGGATTCTACGGAGTACCTGCGATAAATAGCAATTTGATGTTGGATTGACTGTCAATTTATTTTCTCTTAGTTAGTGATCAAAGTACAATATCTAAAGTAATAAAGTTATTCTCAGAGTTCATTTCATTATGTATGTGGTCATGTGGACGATGTGGTCATACACTTATCGCGGTCGCTAGTTTAGGTTTGCCCATTCGCTCCCAACTTGCCTTTCATCTTTCCGTCTGTCCTTTCTCTCCCAACATCTTACACGATGTTGGGTATCAGGCCTCTATGCCATTATTGAGACCCGACAATGATAATCTAGGCTTTGCCCAAAGCCCGATGAATGCAGTTGCAGCAACACAACGTCACTGGTCCATCACATGACGTTCTGGAGTCCGGATCTCCGAGATCGACGGTGTCCACCCACTGACTCGTTGAGCAGCACCTGCTCAATAATTCTTCATTCAACTATCTGAACGTCTCAGACAGCGCTAGCTGGCCATCTGTGTTTTTGAAAGTGCAAGCGGAACCAGCTCCATAGGACGGCATGACCCTACATAAACCCATGGCCGTTCCTCATGAATCAGTTGACATACTGACGGCATACACCTGAATCATCTTGACACACCGCATACAAAGGCCCCCACCACCGCACAGCTTGGCCCTGGTTTAGAAAGCTGCTGGCCAAATCGGTGGCTTTTGAACTGTTCCCATCGGCGTTTCTGACCTCAAAGTCTGTCCTTATCACGCCACCATGCCGTTATTTCGAGACCCGGACCGGCGGCGTCATTATCCACAATCACCCGACGATGATAAGCGTGAAGCGCCAGTCACGGGGCCCTCACCACTCCATATACATGAGCCTGCTCGCCTTGAACTCATTCCGCCTGAGATCCCCGCTAGTCCTATGGAGTCAAGACGTTCCCACCCGGCTTCAATACGAGCGAATGATCGTGAAGAGCTCATACATCGTATCAAAGAATCTTCACCTTGGAGACTTCAACACACTGTATGTGAATCTTCCGTAAAGGTGCCTGGCGCTGTGATTTTTGTTCCTTCTTCTTTATTGGCAGAAGGAACGTGAAAATGAATTCCTAGATTCCTTTGCTTTCTTAATACACCACCCCCTAAATTTGATCATGAACTAACACTAAAATATAGTCATCAGAAAGGGAAACCCCTGCAGATTTATCAATCTCTCAAGTATCCCGAGTGTATTCACAAACGGCAGCCAGAGACAGTGAAGACAGCTCTCCCTGTCAAAGACGTCACCTTATACCAGCAGAACAACTGGGATCGCCGGCCGATATCCAAAGACCTCGATCAGCTTTACACTCCGGTGACTTCAGGGAAGGTGCTACAGATCCCCATGATCCGCATGCCCCCCAATTCCCCTTCCGACGAAGGGAGGACTCATCCTTTGGTCATTTGAGCTCCTTTCCCACTCCTCCTTGGCTCAGGGAATATCCAGGAACATCAAGTGCAGTGACCGATGCTCGTCAGTCCGACAATATTGTAAATTCTCGTTCCCGTGCACCTTCACTGGGCTCATATTCGTCAAGTTATGTCTTGAAGGCTCCCACAAGCCCTCTGATATATCAGGCGAACAGCACAGATTTGGACTTTCCATCTCATGTTGAGCATGCGGACGTCTCTGAGCTTGCGGGGAAGGTGAATCGTCGCCGCACTTTGCCACCAGGGAGCTTTGAGAGCCTTCAGCTCTCTCCGTCAAATAATCAGGTGAGCAACCTTCGTAGTCCGTTTCCGCTTGAACGGCAACAGGGAATAACCAGCAATCAGACATTTTTCCCTCGGCGATCCTTGACTTCATCATACAGTCTTCAACTCGCATCCCCGCCTGGCGGTCCGTTTCCATCGTCGCGAGCAAGAAGGTCATCCTTAGCTTCGGATATTTTGTCGAGTTCGAATGCGCCGATGGTGGGGTCTTATGAAGAGTCCATATTGCGCGGCAGGATGTCCATGAATTCTTCCAGGCCACTGGATTTCACAGCCAAAATTTCCGTGGCGGGCAAGCCAAACAGCAAAGGTCATTCAAAATGTCCACCGCATGTCACGGTGCCATTTCAGGCTGTTTTCTATAGTTATCCTACTTCGGGCAGCGGGCGCTCGATCTCGGACGACAGTCCGAGTCCTTATGTAGGACTGATTGACCTGGAAAACTTGCTCCCACATGAGAATCCTACCCGGCGTCTTAGCCCGCCCACAATTCCAACAGAGCCTCATGAAAACACACCCGCCATGCCTGATACCGAAATGCGACGCAGGCGAAAGAGAAGTCGGAGGTCAGTATCGCCTAAATGTCCCCCAGGAGGGTCATATCGGATTCCACAGCAAGGTCACGTACAGGTCATGATCAAGAATCCAAACAAGACTGCGGTCAAGGTTTTCTTGGTTCCTTATGATCTGCACGGTATGGAGCCCGGTACAAAGACCTTCATTCGGCAAAGCAGCTACTCGGCTGGACCGGCTACCGATATGCCGCTCAGCGCGCAAAGTCAAGACAAACGCACTTTGCGATACCTCGTTCATCTGAACATCTGCTGCCCCGCGCGCGGGCGCTTCTATCTGTATCAGAATATCCGAGTGGTCTTTGCCAACCGCGTCCCGGATGACGATGAGAAAGTCACGCCTGAGACCTTGACCCCTACACCACGGTACAGTCCTTACCGGCCGACTCGAGAGTCTTTATCGTCGAACAGAGCAAGCACGACTACACGGCTCGCGATCGAACAGGCTTCTCGCAGGCGAAGCATCGGCCAGGAGCCGATTCCCCACCTTCGCCCACATGCGTCATCTCCGGGCGACTTCCCCTCGCAGCATGGCATGTCAAGACCTCGAGATCCCACGTCTCAGTCTGAGGCTACTTCGTCTTCGCACAGTTCATCTATGTACGGCAAGCTCGCCAAGGGAGATGTGGGCTATGGAGGTCAATCCCGAACCTCACCCTCAAGTGGCTCGGAAGCTAGTGAGAGCCTACTCGCCCAGAGACTTCGAGGCCTGGATGTGCAGAGGCAAGAGCCACGAGTAGATGAACATCATTCACACAAGGCAGGCTGCCATGATCGTTCCTCTTGCGCTCATGACCGCACTCCTCGCTGAAAGGACTCAATGTGAGCACTTCTAGGAGTTCCGAATCCCCCACCTACATTTATCATATTCATGACCCCTCATATACTTGTATCTTGACTTTGATATCATTTTGATATCACTTTGGTTTGACATTGATCCGATGCTCGGATCACATACCATGAACAGCAGAAACACAAATCGTCAGAAAGTCCTGGAGACTATCTGAACACCAGCATAACATGACAATAGGCGCACTGGATGCTGCCGATACCTGTGCATACTGACTTAGATAATAGCACCGATTCTCATTTTCGACTTTCTTCGCACCCCAGTCATATCTGCATTCATTGGGTTTACTGTGTATTTAACAGTCAGTCATCCGCCTGGTTGGTTTCCATCTCATGGCGTGAACTCCGGCCTGAAGCAGGGGGCTGGTGTGTATCTCTTTTCCGTGCATATTGAGGTTCCTTTAGCGGAGTTGTTCGGGACTCTGCGCTTGAGGTGGTATCATTTATTAGGCTACTTATTTGGTCTTAGGACGATCACACATACTCATTCAATCCTATCTCACTCATTGTATATATCGGAATCCATTGTGCTTTAAGGAAGAGCCAAGTTTGAGTCCTGGGATTTCTATCTACAGAGTGCTAAATACAGCAACTAAATTATCGAAACGAGTCTCAAGCTTAGGTATAACCGGAGCTGGCTGACTAGATAGATTACAATATATTCTTCGAGACAAGGAAGAAAATCTGTCCTTAGCTCCCTTGAACCAACAAAGCCAGCCTAACCAGCGTGCTCCACGATCTCGCTCACAACCACACCATTCTTGATGTAACTCTTGAACTGCTCGGGTAGAGGGCACTCCTTGGTATCCCCATCGGTGCCCTCCGGCGGCGGAAGGTTGATGTTAATAGCGGAGGACTTGCTAGTGAAGATTTCAGTGTTGAGACTTTGCTGGCCAAGGTAGACAGCAGCACCATCGACCTGATCCATCAGCAGAGTAGGGACAGTGCCATCAATTTGCACAGCAAACTTGGGGCACTTGATGACGTCCAGACTGCTGACGAGAGAGTCAACGATCAGGGAGAGACCAGTGCAGTTGTCGATGGCAATAGCGTTGGCCTTGTTGGTGACCTTGATAATGGTCTTGTTGCAGCGGGTAATCATGATAGACTGGTTCTGCTGCGCGGGGATTTCAATGATATCGCCGGGGCCCTCGAAGTTCTCGATGAGCCACTTGTTGCCCTCGAGTTCCTTGCGAGGCGGCTTGCGCGCGCGCATGTTCTCGGGCTTGGGCTTCTTGCTAGGAGCTGGGGACTTGCCGCGTACAGAGCTGGAGCCCTCAGAGACAGTGGATCCGGCACGCAGGCTGGGGTTCTTGTGTGTCATCTGAGATTTGTCTACCTTGCGCAGACTAGAGGTGATAGCCTCGCCCTGGTTGAGCTGTTCGAAGACAGCACCCATGTCGGCTGCTGGTGCTGAAGGAGCAGGGGCGGGCGGGATTCCAGGAGGCGGAGGTGGGGGAGGAGCACCGCCACCGGGGACGTTGAGAGATGGGACCGGATGAGGAGGGGGAGGGGGTGGAGGGGCGCCTCCGCGGGCGGGAGTAGGTCCACCCTTGGCCTGCTTCAAAGCTTCCAGGGCGTCGATTCCAGACTCGTTGTTCCATGTTAGACCCTTGGGGAAGTGCTTCTTCAGGTACTCGGCAAGAGCCTTGAAGTTCTGGTAGTAGGCTTTGATATAGTCCACATGCGCCTTATCTCTGTCAAAACGTTAACCTGGTATCCCTCGAAGCTTTGTCAAGGGAATATCTCACTTGTCCTTGTACTCCTTCAGAACCTTATTTCCATAGTATTCAATGCCACCAACCATTTCCGTGACGAATTCCGCGGGCTTGCTTTCAAAGAACCAAGCAAGCGCGACAATACCCTCTGCAACAGCGCTGAGGTGGTTGAATAACGAGGATGCTCGGTTTGATTCGCGAATGTTGTTGATACTATCAGATGCTTTGTGCAGATCGGTCATCAGCTCCGGGGGTTGTGTTTCAGGCTTCTTGGCCTTTGTTACGACGTAGAGATAGGTGCGTTCGGCCTGGAAAGCTTGAAGGACGGCTTTCGACTATAGAAGCAGTCAGCACCTCCTGAATCACCAAGCTTTTGGGGCTGCAGACTAGACATACCTGCTCAGCGACGAGACCACCAATTTTCTCTCCCAGGTTGACAAAGTTCTGCACATCTCCCTTGATCAGGGCATCGAAATCTTGAATCTGAGGCGGAACTGGGGCGGCGGCAGGGGCTGCGGGCGGAGGAGGGGTAGCTTGAGCCCGCTCCGGGGTAGCAGGCACAGAGGACGAAGCGCCCCCGAGGGACTTTGTTGCGCTGGGGTCGTCATACGACATGGCCATATCCTCCAAGCGTGAGGTCGCTGCCTCGAGGCTGTCGTTGAGTTTAGTGTTAGCCAAATGCGCCGGATGCAGTGGTAACACCGTATATGGAGTGGAACCAAATTGTTAAGCGTAGAGCAAAGGACTTGGGCTCCGCTAGAGCAGACACATACCGCTTGATGAGGGTGGTAAAGTTATGCATGTGGCCGCCGGACGCCATGGTAGGCAACACGTTGCTCCAACGGTAATATGAAAGGTGTAAGGGCTGAGTTGAGTAGGTTAAGGTCCAGCGGTTCTGATAGAGTAAAACACCTTATATTCGGTCCGAGCCTTCCAAGTTCAAGAAACACGAGATGATAGGGAGTGGAAAGAAGACGAAGATCGGAGCTCCTGAGGTCTGCAGCAGTGGGCTCTAGACGTGGTATGTATGTTACGGTGGGACCCGCACACGGCAATGACGTTGCGGGGTATATTTCGTAATTCCGTTACAGTCCCATGGTTGATCCACATAGTCGAACTTCAGTCTGAGGTTGTTCTTTGTCTATTTGAAACAACCCTCTTTCTGTGCTATCTATAGCCATAGCTGCAACGATGTCCGTCCAGGTTCAGCATTCCGAAATCGATTTCTGCACTTTGGGGATGTTTATAATTGGTATGCTTTGGTTTGTCCCTCAAACACGGACGTAGACTCACAGCCATTGATGACTAGATGATATTGATTTTGGTGGATCAAGACCTGGAGTCAAGAACGTTATCGGTGGCGCAGCGTCTTATGCTGTCGTTGGTGCCCGCTTGGTGTCAGGCTCGAAACATGCACGATCTGTGAGCTGGATCGTGGATGTTGGATCTGATTTCCCAGCTGAGACGTTTGATGTGATCACATCATGGAGGACGGACTGTGTATTCAGAGAAGATCACAGCAGGCTAACGACGAGGGCCTGGAATGGGTATCATCCCGACGAGAAACGAGGTAAATCCTGTCATGATATCTCTCAAAGCAATGCACGCAGTGACTGACCTCGTAGACTTCAAATATCTGACTCCAAAGTTGAGACTTGAGCCTGAGATGCTATCTGATACGCAGGTGTGGTCCAAGACATTTCATATGGTCTGTTCTGCGACACGCTGCATGTCAATAGTGCAAGACATTCTGCAGCGACGGGATGAATTACGAAAGGCAGGAAAAGCTCCATCTGCCGCGCATGCCTCCAAGCGTCCTATCTTTGTTTGGGAGCCAGTCCCTGACCTCTGTACCCCGGAAGAACAGGAAAATTTCCTTGCCGCAAACAAGGTAGTGGATGTAGTGAGTCCCAACCACATGGAGCTCGGCATGATGTTTGACCAGCCTGGTTGGACCGAGGGGAGCCAATCAAGCCAGCAGCTCGTCCAAAAGATTACAGAGTCCGCCATTGGTCCTGATGGAAATGGTCTGCTCGTCATTAGGGCAGGAAAGGACGGTAGCTACGCCTACTCCAAGTCCTGCAAGATCTGGCTCCCCGCATACCATCAGCCTGATCCATCGGGTGCTACGCTTGTGGTCGATCCTACGGGTGCGGGCAACTCCTTCTTAGGTGCTCTAGCCCAAGGCATGGTCACTGCAGGCAGAGAGCCATTCCAAGTCATTGACGACGTTCTATCAAATTCCAAGGCTTGGAATACAGCCCTTGATACTTGGGGTGATTGCCAACACCATCCTAAGGCACTCATTTGCGCTACCGTCGCAGCTGGCTTTGTGGTCGAGCAAATTGGAGTGCCTCAAATCGAGATTGATGGGGACGGAAAGGAGTTGTGGAACCAGACTGAATTCACGGAACGAGTCCGCCTGTACACGCAGCGATTATCGAGGACACTTGAAGAGTCTGCCCAGAGACACCTGTTGATCCATTGATCAATGGCCAAATGAGGAACGCCCTTTTTTTTTGTCGTACACACAAGTGAGAAAAAGTAGAAATAAAACACGAAAAAAAAGGGTCCACCTCGCTGAAATTCCCCCTACAACCGCCATCCAGTCTTATAGGGTGTCTTTATGAGTCGTTCTTTGCAGCTTGTTGGGCCTCGTGTTCGCGGATTTGCTTGCTCCAGCTATGGTGAAGAGAAGTATAGGTTAGCGTAAGGTGTGCTTTGAGTGATATGGTTCGGGGGACGGACTATCGGCTGGGGAAGAAACGGCCAGGCTCGGGCATCTTGTCACGGTACTCCCGCTCAGCACTGATGCTGAAGGCGACTGCAGCGACACCGATCACAAAGGCGCCCATGATCGCAGTGTTGGCCCTCCAGTTAGCTGGCTGGGCGTACCAACCACCAGCGGGGGACCAGACTTCCTTAGGGTACCTGCGGGACAGAAAGATTAGCACATGGCATAGTACTCAAAGACAGCGGGACATACGGGATCTTTCCACCTCCACCCATTGTGACGAATATGCAATTGAAGGGTTTGTTTATTGTAATTGAGCGTACGGCTGGTAGTTCTCGAAGTTGGAAGCCGAAGGGCCGTCTCGGTCGCAGGTCTGGTGCCAAGGCGCTAGAGCCAGGTTTGGCTTAGCGCGTCCTCACACGACTTGGCTATCCCGTGACTGCCGCGACAATTTCTCTTCTCTCCCGTTGATGGTATGCCAATCGATTGTGTCGCGATTCCTTTTCCTATTTTTTGTATAATCCTTTCACGACACCCATAATACCACAATCGCCCAGATGAAGAGACTGCAGCTCCAACGATGGAGCAGCTCAGTCCTTGCACCTCGGGCTCGGACTGTCAACCGTCTGCACCAACACATCTACGGACAGCGGTATCAATCGACCGTTTCCCCGGTCCAGGCTCGGGATGATCAGACTGCAGCAATTTTCGAGGACTCAACAACACAAGATGAGCAATTGGCTCAAATCGTCAAGGACTCCCACACCCGCCGCTCGCATCTCCAATATCCCTCACCCCCAGTCGAAGCAGCCCAACAATCTGCAAAACTCGCTGCTCTCCACGCTCGACTTTACCTCCCCTCCAGATTACCTGTCCAGACGCTTGCACGCGCACTAGTCGACCAAACCGCAGACCCTAACCCCAACTTCAACAATGCATCGCTGGCAACTCTCGGCCACGACCTCCTTTCCTACTACGCAACCGAGCACCTTATTTGCACTTATCCGCGTCTGCCTTTGACCGTGATTTTTGCGGCCATGTACGCATATGCTGGACCCAAGACTCTCGCTGCTATGGCAAGAGAGTGGGGTGTCGAAATGGCCACCTTGCCGGGTGGAGAGGTTGATCCCGGTCTGTTGCAGTTCCGGAGGGTCGAGCCTGGCAGTGAAGTCGAGACCGGCTCAAGCAGATCGGCACGCCCATATGAACATAACAAACTCTGGAGGAAGACTGTCACTTCCAAGGTCTTCTATGATGATGAATTTGGTGACCCACTCAAGGGCCCTGGGATGTCCGCCGGCGGTGTCACTACCGAGCAAGCGAGTGCAGAGTTCGTCCGCGCCGTCATGGGCGCGATCTACCTGCACGCTGGCCGTGCTGCCGCCAAGCGATTCTTCGAGCAGCACTTCCTCTCACGACACCTCAACATCTCTGAATTGTTCAACTTCCGGGCACCGGCCCGTGACCTGACCCGCTTGTGCGCTCGCGAGAGCTTCGAGCGCCCTGTTGCCAAGGTCATCAGTGAGACTGGTCGTCACAGCAGACACCCCGTCTTTGTAGTTGGTATCTTCTCTGGTCAGGACAAGCTCGGAGAGGGCGCTGGCGCCAGTCTGATTGAGGCCCGCGAGCGTGCTGCTGTCGCCGCGCTCAAGGGTTGGTACCTCTACAGCCCGCTCAATGTGCGCGTCCCTAGTTCGATGGAGGAGCCATCGGCCCTGCCATGGAAGCCGGTTCACGTCGACTTGGGCGAGGTCATTGTTTAAGGTATTCGGTGCAATGGGACGCCTTGGTTCAAGGCACGGTGACATATTATTTCATGTTTCTTTTTTGGGCTATATCGCTTTTCTTTTTCCGGTGTGCTATTCTTTCGCATGGGAAGCTGGCCGGCGGTAAAAAGAGTCATCTATCCTGTCTTCTGCATGACTGGATTCTGTACATTATGGGAATACCAATCCCTTCGATTCACCTGGTGTCTTTCTTCTTCGAATTTTCCCTTGATGTTTTATTTTCCTCTGCTCTCTTCTCCATTAGAATCGGGTCCAAGAGGGCCAAGCCAAGGCGTCCATATCGACGCTGCCATCCAAATATAGAACTACCTTCAAAAATCTATTCCATGAATGCATACCATATCCGATGCCCAAATAAACCTACCGACAACCACTGACCCATACACATCGTCTAGCATTCACATCCATGCCATCAAGCTGGATCAAGAATCTCGTCTTCCCAATTCCCACTATTTCTGCCCACAATCCCCTCAGCAGGGTCATCCAGATACCGGCCATACTCCTCCCATAAATCATCAACCCCAACCCCAAACAGACCTTTCCAGAATGGTAAGTCCTGTTCACCCACATTTTCCCTTTCCCCTTCACCAAGGTACCCAACCCTCAACAGCCGATCATTCAACAATCCCACAGCCCCTCTCCCCACCCTAACATCCTCAAGCCACGCCAGGAAGTACGCAGTATGCTGATACCCCATATCCCACTTGGGCGGCCGATCCGCAGCCGACACCGGCCGTTTCCAGTGCGGCGGCTCCAGCCCAGCCTTAAGCCGCACGAAATCAGCGATACCCTCGATCAGCCCGCCTGGCGGCCGGGGCATCTTCTCATCTCCGGTTTCAGCACTATCAGGCGGCGCGGTGTGCTGGTAGCAATGCACAAGCTCGTGAGTCAGGACCCCGACCAGTTCGTGCAGCGGATCCTCTTTCGCAGACGGGCCGGATGTGCAGTCCTCGATGTACGGGAGGGAGACGTGGATCTCCTTGTGCGCATCGTCGAGCTCTGTGCCTGTTGTGTAGGCTACGCCGCTGTAGTCGCGGAGAAAGACAGTTACTGACCTTGTTGCGGGGATGCTGGGAGTGAAGGAGGGTTGGGGTTTGGTTCTGGAGTTGGGGGGTGGGGTGTAGAGGTATTTGATGATGTTTGCTAGGGCTTCGTCGAGGGTTGATGCGACGTCCGGGATGAGGGTGAGGAAGGAGCTTGAGGCTGCGTGGCGGAGGTCTTCGATGTGGAGGCGGAGCTTTGGGCGTGGAACCTCGGGGATGAGATTTGGTGTCATGGTTGCTTGCTGTTCATTGCTACTTGAGTTCTGTGCTTCGCGCTTTTGGGGGTCGGTCTTGGGGATTGCGGAGGGGTGGGGTGTAGGGGCGGAGGCTGTCATGGCTTATTTTGGCTGATGTAGATGTTGATCGACTAGTGATTGTATTTCAAGGGTCTGTTGTAGGAATTAGTTCTTTGTGATCAAGCCCTATATTGAGGCCGGGTGTATGAAAGTGAGATTCGAGGGCGAAAGGCGGGGAACTGGTGCTGGTGTGCTGACTGTCTTGGAATGCCCTCAACAATGCTGAGGTGCATCGCACTCTCGAGATGTCAATCTTGACCATCAAGCGACTGGCGCCTACCTTTCGAAAGGAAGATTAAGGCGCTCGAGCCTCGATTTATTGACATTTTGCCTATGTATGGATATTACTAAGTTTGTTGACGCTTTCGGAAATTACCGTCAATATAGACTCAAACTCCACATGGAGCCTTCTCTTCCATTTCTATATCCATTCATGAGAGAGCTGAGGATGGGGAACCACGGAGCTTTGAGGGACATCTTTGGATTTATTCACTATGACCAGCATCTTCAACAGATTGTGAAAATGCGGTGATGGATGGGACTCTCGAGACTTCAGCACAAATGATTTTGATACTACTGCATCATAGGACAAGGATTTTTTGGTGAAAAAGTGTCTAACTAGAGATGGTGATCTAGTAGTGCTAGAACTCAGTACAGTAACCGTCATGCAATAATACTTTATCGAAAATTAGCTTTCTGATGATGTCAGTTTAGCATACACAGTTGGCGCGTCTATGTCCCACTAGAGTGCTTGAACATCAGGTTATATTTGTACTAATCGCTTTTCAATGGTACAAAAAGAATAAGTTGCTCTTGAGGAGAATGGGCGTTGGGAACTGGGAGCGCTCTCACTGGTGAGGTGTACTAGTAGAAAGGTGTCGAGAGCTTATATGTACAATTTACATCCAAGTCACAATGTGACAATGCGCATGGACACTGTGTAAACAAGTATACATACATAGAACGTGGCCAGTCAAAGTGGGTTCCTCGGCTGACCATCCCCCGGTTTTCTGGGGTATCACATGCCAACCACCCCCGTCATGGCCCTCCAACCCATTTACCCCATTCCTCCTCTCCACCCTCAACGGCGGACATGTTCGCGCCCAAACCCAGCTGACCAGCATCCACCAGCATCGCCATGGCCGCCCAGTCCAAACTACTGCCGCCCGAACGCTCCCTCAAACACATCCTCTCCAGCCTAACGAGCCTCTACCTCCGCAACCGCACCCGCATCTCACGCGCCGTCTACCTCGCCCTCTTCGCCGCTCTAGCCAAACGAATCCACAATGCCATCTCCGAGCAGAAGGCCGCATCACAGCAGGTCGAGCTGCGTCGACGACCCGGCACAAGCAGTCTCGGCGATGAAGAACAGCCGCGCAAGAAGCGCGTCGAGATCAACCGGGAGTTCTTCAAACACTTGCTCCGCTTGCTGAAGATCGTCATTCCCGGGTGGAAGAGCAAGGAGCTGCGGCTGCTTGTTAGTCACAGTGTGTTTCTGGTGTTGAGGACGATGCTGAGTTTATATGTTGCCGAGCTGGATGGCAGACTTGTTAGCAGCTTGGTGCGCGGGAAAGGGAGGGATTTCTTGCTCGGTCTTGTCTGGTGGATGATTGTGGCTGTCCCGGCTACATTTACTAATTCTATGGTATGTTCCTGCGTCTATGCTAGTGATATGCGACCGTTCGGGACATTTGCTGACTTGGACGTTTCTTTCGTGTTAGCTTGCGTATCATCAGTGCAAGTTGGCTCTCAGCTACCGGAAGCGACTTACGGATTATATCCATGAGAAATATCTATCTAATATGACATTCTACGCCATTTCCGCGTTGGACGATCGCATCAAGAATCCCGACCAGCTTGTCACGGTCGACGTGTCTCGATTTTCGGATAGTTTGGCGGAACTATACTCCAACTTGGCCAAGCCCATTCTCGACATGGTTATCTACAACTACTCGCTTTCTAAGAATGTTGGAGGTGAAGGGTTATTCATTATGAGTCTGCTGGTGCAGCTTTCAGCCAACGTTATGCGTATGCTGACTCCGCCGTTCGGCAAATATGTTGCCGATGAGGCTCGGTTGGAGGGCGAGTTCCGTTTCCTTCACTCGCGGCTTATCGATTACAGTGAAGAGGTTGCTCTTTACCATGGCCATGAGGCCGAGAAGGATACTTTGGACAAGGGTTATTTCACGCTGATCAAGCATGTGAATCGCATCCTGCGTCGGCGACTCTACCATGGATTTATGGAGGACTTTGTGATCAAGTACTTCTGGGGAGCGCTTGGCTTGATCTTGTGTAGTGTACCTGTTTTCTTCAAGGTCCCTGGTCAGGTCGCTCACAGCATGGGCGATCACACTGAAAGTGAGTTGATATCTTCTTCCCTGCAAGGGCTTTTCTTTCTAACCACTCTCAGACTTTGTCACGAATCGTCGATTGTTGCTTTCCTCCTCAGATGCTTTTGGTCGATTGATGTTCTCTTACAAAGAGATCTCGGAGTTGGCTGGCCACACTTCGCGTGTCTCTTCTTTACTAGAGGTCATGGACGATCTACTTGCTGGAAGATTTGAAAAGAAGTTGGTATCTTCCGCTTCAACAGAAGAGAACGCGGAAGTGCTCTCTGGCCGTGGTCAAATCATCGAAAGTGACGCAATCGAGTTCACCGATGTCCCGATCGTTTCGCCGAACGGCGATGTCTTGGTGCGCAAGCTATCCTTCACCGTCAACCCCGGTGAGCACCTACTCATCGTCGGGCCCAATGGATGTGGCAAATCATCTCTCTTCCGAATCCTGGGCGGGCTCTGGCCGGTCTACGGAGGCACTGTCAGGAAACCTCCATTCCAGGATATTTTCTACATTCCCCAACGACCATATCTATCCCGCGGTACTCTGCGACAGCAAGTGATCTACCCGGACGGAGTGCGCGAGATGCGTGCCAAGGGCATTACTGACGATGACCTGTATGAGATCCTGTCCGTGGTTGAGATCCAGTCTGTCGTCAACCGCCCTGGAGGCTGGGACGCAGAGGAAGAATGGCGCGATGTGCTGTCCGGTGGCTTGCAGCAGCGTATCGCTATGGCCCGACTTTTCTACCACCGACCCAAGTTTGCCATTTTGGACGAGTGCACCTCTTCTGTGACGTTGGAGATCGAGAAGGTCATGTACGAGACTGCCAAGAAACTTGGCACCACCCTCATGACTGTCTCGCACCGTCGCAGTCTCTGGCAGTATCACCAGAAGATCCTCCAGTTTGATGGACAGGGTGGGTATATTTTCACCGGTCTGGACTGGGAGCGACGGTTGAAGTTGGAAGAGTAAGTTTTCATTCCATTATTCCCCGTGTCTGGTGATGGTCCTCTAATGACTTAATTTCATGCAGTGAGAAAGAAGAACTGGACTTGCAGCTCCGGGCTGTCCCGGAGCTCGAACGTCGTGTGGCTGAATTGACGGCCTAAGTGAAACGCCAAAATCTATGATGCATGAGACATCCACTTCACGTGACTATAACCAATCATATGAAAGACTCGGCTTCGGGATTCCACAGTTCGGCTTGTCGGGCCCGACCCCTGGGGTCAAACAGCCAATCAGAACACATTGAATCGGCACCCTTCCCCACCCCCGAAGTCACGATAGTTCTCCGTAGTCCCGATCAGACTAGTTCCGATGATGCCCCTCATATGGCCCACACTGATGTCGTTGACGTCCCTACGTCATTTTCCTATCTTGTTTGCCACAACCAAGAACCAAGGTTGCAGGTTATGAGACCCGAACTATTGTGCATCGTGGCTTTGCCAATTCAAATTTTAAATACTTCATTATTTCCTACAATTGCATTCAAATCACCTTCCCTTCACCTCTCTAACTACTACCTGTCTATACACCCTTCCCTCAAAAAAGGTTCTATATAAAATGTCTCCCTCACAACAAAACCCCGACAAGAAGAGAAAGATTATCATCTTCTCTGGTAAGTCTATACCTCCCAGCAGGGCATTGCCAACAAGGCATTGAACAAAGATCCCTGTTTCCTCACACCCCAACCCTGCTTTACCCCAGACCAATCAACCAATCACTTCCCCACATAAACACCCAAAACCAGGAACTAACAAACTATACCCCAGACTTCGACGGCACAATCTTCCTCCAAGACACCGGCCACGTCCTAGTCGACAACCTGGGCTGCGGCGCAGCCTACCGCGAAAAACTCGAAGAACAATTCAAAAGCGGCTCGCGGACATTCCGCGACATCTCCGAAGACATGTGGAGCTCCCTCACAATCCCCTTCGGCGACGGCTTCGACATAATGGAAAAGACCCTCTCCCTAGACGCGGGCTTCCGCGAATTCCACGCCTACTGCCAACGCAACAACTTCCCCTTCAACATCATCAGCGCCGGCCTCAAGCCCGTCCTCCAACGCACCCTGGACCTCTTCCTGGGTGCCGAAGAAGCATCAACGATCGAGATCGTCGCCAACGACCTCAAAGCTCCCGGCGGCGTGCCCTGGAAGCCTATTTGGCGCGACGGGTCGGATGCGGGACACGACAAGGCGCTTAGCGTCAATCTGGCTAGGGAGAAGGCTCAGTCTGAGTGTGAACCGGATGAGATGCCGTTGATTGTTTTTATTGGGGATGGGGTTTCGGATTTGGCGGCGGCCAGGGAGGCGGATGTGCTTTTTGCGAGACGGGGATTGAGACTTGAGGAGTATTGTCTTGAGCATGGGATTAAGTATACGCCGTTTGATTCTTTTTCGGATGTTAAGAGGGAGATTGAGAAGATTAGTGAGGAGGATCAGAGGAAGACTGGTGGTGTCGGGAAGCCGATTAGGTATAATCCACGTGCGAATATGTGGAGGAGGATTTCAAGTAAGGAGGCTGTGAGTTTTTCTTTTTTCTTTTTTCTCTTACTTTTCTTATGGAGATATTTCCATGTGTTGAGCGTGTGTTGATTATTTGCAGGTTCCTACGCTTATTGCTACTGCTACGCCTTCGAATGAGGAGAAGATGGCCCTCTGGCCGGATTATTTCTCTGAGCCGAGCCAGGTGCAGACTTCTACTATAAAGGAGTAGTGTGGGGTTTTGATCGACGGATGCTGATGAGGTCCCATGTTGTACATGTTTTGTTTTACTGCGTTGGCATGGAGTGGGTGTTTGGTCTAGATATCCAGTTTGTTGCTCGGAGGCGGTGTTCTCTGGGCTTGTGAGATAATGCTGTTATACTTGCATCGTGGTTCTGGATATACCAATTGAACGAGATCATTGCCATTGAATCTGATAGTTGAGAGAACTGTAACGATCGAGTGTAGGGAATATCAGATTGATGAACTATTAATGATAACAGCAGGCTATTCATACTGTGTAAACCAATAAAGTGCACGCGAATCAATGCGAAACCAACACTGCACTACTCAGGCCAAGCAAACATCTGCCTAGTCTTTAACCTCCAGAGGCTCAATATTCCAGATGCTATCCGCATACTCGTTAGTAACGCGATCCATGGAGAAGAAGCCCATGCGCGCGACAGAGGTAATAGACTTAGCCAGCCACTCATCCTGATTCAAGAAGGCCTCGTCGACCATCTCGTGGGTAGTGATATAGGAGTTGAAGTCGTCCGAGACGAGGTAGTAGTCACCGTGCTCTTCAATAGAGTTGAGGAGTGCAGAGAACTCATTCTTGTCACCGAACATGCCATCCTTGATTGCATTGAAGACGCGCTCGAGCTGCGGATCTAGCTTGAAGTCGCCGTAGAAGTGTCGGTGGCGCAGGTCCTCGACGTCCTCGGCGAGGTTGCCGAAGAGGAAGATGTTCTGCTCGCCGATTTCGCGAGTGATTTCGATCTGTCATTGTGTCAGTTAGGAAGATCTGAAGCGGCTTAAATCTAGGAAATACTTACGTTGGCTCCATCACAGGTGCCGATTATCAGACCGCCATTCAGCACGAATTTCATGTTGCTCGTGCCGCTGCCTTCGGTACCCGCAGTCGAGATGTGTTCGCTGATATCAGAGGCCGGGCAGATGATCTCTGCCTTGCTGACATTGTAGTCCTCGATGAAGATGACCTTCAAAAGGTCGCCAATGTCGGGGTCTCTGTTTACGACGTCGGCTACCTTGTTGATGAGATGGATGATTGTTTTGGCCATCCAATAACCAGGAGCCGCCTTTCCTCCGAAAATAGAAACACGAGGAACAACCTTCTTCTTCTCCTCCGCTGACATGTCTTTGATGCTCAGGTAGCGGTGGATGAGACCAAAGATGTTGAGCTGCTGGCGCTTGTACTCGTGGATACGCTTTACCTGCACGTCAAACAGGGCATTGGGGTTAACATCGAATCCGGTGGTGGCCTTGATGTGTTGAGCAAGACGCAGTTTGTTCTCCCGCTTGATGAGTGCCCACTCTTTGCGGAATTCCTTGTCATCGACGAAAGCTTCGATCCCGTCCAGAAGGGTGAGGTCCTTCAAGAAATCATATCCTCCGAGTTTTTCTGCAATCAGCGCAGATAGCCGCGGATTGGCCTGGTGGAGCCAGCGTCTTGGAGTAATTCCGTTGGTGACGTTAGTGAACCGGTCCGGCCCATAGATTGTCACAAAGTCTTTGAAAAGAGTCGTCTTGAGTAGGTCGGAATGCAGCTCGGCTACACCGTTGACTTTGTGGGAGCCAATGATGGCCAAATAGGCCATGCGCACCATCTTTGGATGCGACTCTTCAATGATCGATACTCGCGACAATATCTCCCGATCTTTAGGGAAGCGTTTCTCCACCGATTGCAGGAAGAACAGATTGATCTCGTAGATAATTTGCAAGTGTCGGGGAAGCAGGTTCTGCATCAGCGGGACCGACCACTTCTCCAACGCCTCGGGGAGGACGGTGTGATTGGTATAACTGAAGGTCTTGGTTACAATGCCCCATGCCTCGTCCCATTCCAATCCCTCCTTGTCAATCAAGATGCGCTGCAGCTCAACAATTGCAAGGGTCGGGTGAGTGTCGTTGAGCTGGATAGCCACCTGATCAGGGAACTCACTCCAAGCACGCTTCGTCTTCTTGAATCGCCGAACAATGTCGAATAGCGAGGCAGCACACCAGAAGTACTGCTGCTTCAGACGCAGCTCTTTGCCTCGCTCAAGGTTATCATTGGGGTAAAGAACCGCGGATATAGTTTCCGCCCTCTGCTGGTCTGCCACTGCGCTTTCATAATCTCCAGCATTGAACTTCTGGAAATCAAACTCTCCGCTACTGGCCTTGCTGGACCACAGACGAAGATTGTTGGTAGTCTTCGTGCCATACCCGGGGATGGGGACATCGTACGCGATAGCTTGAACGATCTCACCATCTTCCCATGAGTGCACGATCTTACCACTCTCGTCCTGATATTTCTTGATGTTGCCATAGAACTGGATGTCGACTGTGATTTCGTGTCTGGGGAACTCCCAGGGGTTATTGTCCAGCCAGTAGTCTGGGATCTCCACCTGGTAGCCATTGACAATCTCCTGCTTGAAGATACCATAGCGGTAGCGTAGTCCATAACCCCAGGCTGGATAGTTCAGGGTCGCCATACTATCCAAGAAGCAGGCTGCCAGACGTCCCAATCCGCCATTACCCAATGCAGCATCGTGCTCCTGGTTGATGACATCCTCGATACGGAATCCAAGATCCTTCAATCCCTCTGGACTTTGATCAGCGCCATGCACATCCTATATTTAGAGAACGTACCTCGAGCGGCATCCTTCATGCCGACATTTAGCATAGCATTGTCCAACGCCCGTCCCATAAGGAACTCAAGCGACAAATCTATACCAGCAATTAGCTAACCTCGTCTGCTGGTCACCGGACCAGAAACATACAGTAGACTCGCTTCTGGTCGGTGAAAGTCTGGCGCTGTTGGGTCTTATTCCACTCAACGATCAACCGGTCCCTAAAGGCAAGTGCAGTACCCGAATACGCGGCTCTGCGGGAAGACACCCGTTAGTTGCAAGACTAGCGTGAAACAAGACCACCCCGCACATACTGTTCATCGCAGTTGTACAGCGAACGAGCAAGCGTAGTCTCGATATGACGTACTAGCTCTGTCTGCGAGGGTATTAGTCGAAGTATTCAGTACTGTTGCAGGTGGTACTCACCTCGAATTCGTCTTTGTTGCTGAACTCAGTGGCCGACTAATTAATTGGCTCGAGCATTAGTATTTCACGCGGGAGCTGCATGCAGGATTTGTTAAATTCCAACATACGTGCTTCCTCCAACTGCACCCAAGTGATTTCCTTCGTCAGTCCACTATTCATCCTAAAGGTGGTATACAGTACTCACGCCTCTCTCAGTGGCTCAGGAATGCTCGCTTCGACATGTTTAATCTCGGCAGGTCCAAGACCAGTGAATGTACGCTTATGCTTAGGACGACTGAATCCCGGTCCGACAGGTCCTTGGAGGTCAGCGATAGGAGCACCGACGGATGGTCTTCGCTCCCGACGAGACTCGGTCGGTGGCTCTGGGATGGTCGTTGACATGGTGGAAATGAGTAGAAAAAAAGGATGAGGGGTTTAAAAATCAGGTATAGGCTAGAAGAAAAAAAATGCAGAGTACAATACGAAGAGAGGTTGGACTACTTAAGAGGGAGAAAGAGGGGAAGTGCCTGGTTCATGCAGTCATGACTTCCAAGGTTCACTGGTGACACCGGGGGGGAGGGGGGGGGGGACAACGGTTCCTTTTTATAGCTGTTTCTGGCACATGCGGTACAGGAAAGAACGAATGATGACATATTGTTTTAGATAAGGAATCTCTTGGTTTTTTGAAGATTTTCTCGGCTCTTTTGACTTTTCCTCTTCAAAGGTGGATGTAGTGGATACTATATGATCCTCACCTCTCCGTCCTTTTCTTCTTCCGGGCTCTTCCTCTCCACCTTCGATATTCTCGTTAATGATTACAGTCTTAGCGTACTGCATTCTTCATAACATTATGTACTATGTACCCCGTACAATATACATCATACGATGCATAGGCCGCGTTCAGACACTCAAGCCTCAGGGTCCTGTTCACGGATACTCAGTCAGGTGATGCTCGCAGCCCCCTCGTAATTCCGCCAAGGGCTCCTGCAATAAACAACCTTTTTAACCGATAACACGATATGAATCACAATCATTTCAACTATCAAGTCCGCCTTGATTTCATGAATGGCACTCGTGGCTTATTGAAAGAGGACCTTCGGTCTGCCAGAGTGCAGCCAGAATGAGTTATAAACCCTACCTTAACTTACTATTGATATCTACTTTTTGGATGAAGGAATCAAGAGACCTCGCACAGATGACTGATACCTAATCAAATTGAGAATTTGAGATGATGCAGCAGCGTTTGAACTACGATATTTAGACAAATAGCAGACAGCCTGACAGGAACAGTTCTTTTAATTACACGCAATCAAAAGCATAGTCTCACCCAACAGTAACCACCATCTTGCCTTGCGCCTCATTGTTTTCCATTATGCGATGCGCCTCTTGAATCTCTTCAAAATCGAAGACTTTCCAAGGTTCTGCGTCAAACTGTTTTTGGGCAACCATTGTGACAATGTCTTGCAGAGGGACGTCGGTCAAAGGGAATTCGGGCGTTCCAAAGACAAAACTGCCAAAGAAACTAAGATGCACGCCGCTCGCCATTTGCAGAAGCGGGTTGAAGTCGGAGATAGGCGCAAGTCCACCCAGCCAGCCAGCCAGACATACTCGGCCTCCCCTGTACACCATGTTGAGCGAGTCAAGGATAGTGCTGTTCCCGACAAGGTCTAGGATAGCATCAAATCTCTGCGGAGCACGCTCAGAAAGGGCCGGCCCTTCAATGAGTACATCTTTAACCCCAAGGCGCTCGAGCTGTGCAACACGGTGCGTACTACGCGTCGTAGTAGTCACGTGCACCCCTGCTTGTACGGCCAGATTGATGGCCGCTCTTCCAAAAGCCGACGTTCCACCTCGAATCAGGAGTCGTTGGCCTGCTTGAATCTCAAGATTTCGGAACAGACAAGTCCACGCTGTCGCATATGATTCGGGGAGGGCCGCTAGCTGGTCCCATCGCAGACTGGCTGAAGCTGGACCGAGTGGGACGACATTTGACACTTTCGCTCGAGTAAATTGGGCATAACTGCCGCTGATGGTGCGCCCCAAACCACCCATGAGACTAGCAACTGGCGTGCCCTGTTCAAACTCGCCTCCCGGGCATGCATCGACAATGCCGACACACTCGATTCCGCTGATAGGTACCCATTCGGCCCATTCTCCTTTGCGCATGTGCATCTCAGCGTGGTTGAGGCCAAATGCTTTGATCCGAATCACCACCTCTCCATGTTTGGGCTCCGGGGTTGGCATGTCCTTGATGACGAGGGACTCGGGCCCTCCAAACTTTTCGATAACGATTGCTTTCATCGTAAATGTCTCCGGGCTCTCGCGGCTTCAATTCGATCGAACAAAACGGATTGGATAGAAAGACTGATGAGGTTGGCCCTTGACAATTCACCTCGTATTTAAGCGCAAACGATTCCGTCCTATCCGGTACTGATGCCACTTTGTCAAAAGGATGGATGCCCATGGAATGCGGCTTATAAATCGATTGTTTGATTCATTATCTAGCTTCAAAGTGTAGCCTCGTCATCTGAGACGGTGACGCTGGGGATTAAAGCTGATCGAGCTGCTTTAGGTAGGTGCAAACAGGTGCAAACGTATGCAAACCATTCCGTCGTCTCCGGTGCAAACTTACAGTGGTAGAGTTAGTCTTAGTTGACGCCACGTGTCAAAGCATCATGCGTACTGATTGGGCCAGGTGCGAAATGCGGCTAAGAGATCTACCTTTCGTAGACAGAAACGCTGGGGATTAGAGTTTACGGAGACGCCACATTCTTCGGGGTCCCGGGGTTTGGTGTTTGTATAGTTTGGTTCATTTGCATCTAGACAATCTAGACAAGACGAACTTTGTAACAGAGTTAAACGATCAATCATGACTGCAGGTGTCGTTACATCAAGAGCGAGAGATCCTTCTGGTAACTTGCCTAAGAACAGTACTTAAGGATCGTGCCTCCCATGTATTCTCAGCTGGAACAGCCATTCAATTCCAATTTCATCGCATATACACATATACACATCGGCACCATGACACTCGCGCAGACCAAGACAGTCCCTCTCCCCTCTGGAGTTAACATGTTCTACCGCGAGCAGACACCAACAGCAGGAGCACCAGTCATTCTCCTACTGCACGGGTTTCCGTCCTCGTCACATCAATTCCGAAACCTGATGCCCCTTCTAGCAGCCAAGTATCGTGTACTTGCCCCTGATCTGCCAGGCTTTGGCTTCACCGAGGCACCATCGACCTACAAGTACACATTCGACAACCTGGCAGCTGCAGTCGCCGAATTTCTGGATGAGCTCCGCATCACCAAATTCAGCATGTACATCTTTGATTACGGTGCGCCGACAGGTCTGAAGATTGCCCTCCAACGTCCAGATGCCGTTCAAGCCATCGTCACACAGAACGGGAATGCCTACGTGGAGGGCTTCGGTGACATCTGGGCTCCAATTCAAGACCTGTGGGCAAGCAACAACAAGCCAGAAAACAGACTGATAGTCGAGAAGGCAATGTTGTCGTTTGAAGCTATCAAGTTCCAGTATGTGAATGGGAACCCATATGCGGACAGGGTTGCTCCAGAGTCATATTATCTTGACTATGCGCTTTTGCAGCGCCCTGGAAATAAAGAGATTCAATTGGATCTCTTCATGGACTACCGAACCAATATTCCTCAATATGCCGACTATCAGCGATACTTCCGAGAATCTCAGGTTCCGCTTTTGGGAATTTGGGGCAAGAACGATGTCTTCTTTATCCCTCCCGGCGCAGAGGCGTACAAGAGGGACTTGCCAAATGCTGAGATCAAGATGATTGATGCAGGCCATTTTGTTGTGGAGAGTCACACTGAACTCCTCGCTCGCGAAATAACGGCATTCTTGTCTAAAATTGAATAGTGCATGACACTACCTGTGCTTGTGGATACCTGTCTGTCTGCCTTGCCCACTTGGGCTGGTGATTTCCGCTCACTGCGCTTTGTATGTCGAGTTTCTCGCAGCCCTAATAATCAAAGTCATCTTTCGCATGCTTCTATGCCTGCATATTAAGCTGTATGGTAGTTATAATTTACTTTGAATTTATTGTAAAAGGTTTCACATGAACTTTCCCTAACACTAATGGACGGCTAGATCCGGGCGGGGCTGTGTGGATATTAGATCTGTGTTGATCATTGGCTATACAATATCTGATCCACTTTTGGCGCAGATTCTCCTGTTGACGTTGTAGACTAGAACAGACAATCTGATACTACTAATATGAATATGAAAGCCCAGCTCCCTTCCTGGTCTCCCCCAAAGGCAGGTTCGTCTAGCCCATTGTCTATCTACTATGCCGGGCCCTCAACCTCCAAACCCCGCCTGATGTAGTCTTGTAGATACTACTAGATACCCCGCAAACGCCACCTACTGCCACATCACAGAGTGTGAGCTCGTACCCTGCGCCAGGGAGGCAGGTGTCAGTCGACTATGTCCCCAGATAGCAGGTGGTTAACAGCGGTGAAGGCTTTCGGATGTTCTAGCCCGGGCTTTTCGGGCTCCATCGGCCACGGAAAGGAAGGGCGGGGCATTCCAGTTGTTATGATGTGGGTGGCTGGAAGGGTGGAGTAGCACCTGCTAGGTCAGGTAGGTCTTCTCTCCTGGGGCCTGAGCTTCTGAGGATAAGACCCACTTGAATGAGCTACCATCTACACTGGATGTTTACTGCAGATATCAGAGACAAAAAGCAGACTCGAAGAGAGGAACTGATATATCGAGGCTCGCAAAGCGAGTAGCGAACAAGATATGCATAAAGAAATAGCCCGGGACGCACTGAATCTCAACTCCGTCCCACCTGACCGGGGCATCGCGATCTACCACAGGCCATGCTGGATTCGGTGTGTGTAGCACGATAGAAGAGATCCTCGGGGATATGAAATTAAACGCTGAAAGAACCACAAATTAAGGAGAAAGCATGCATGAGAAACGGTGTTGAAAGAGAAAAACATGAGGCGTGTAAGCACTCGAGGTAGTAGGTAAATAATAGCGGTAGTTATAGCAGGAGGAAAAGAGTAAAAGAAACACATAGAATATAAAAGCGCAGAACATGGCGCATTGAATATGGAAAATTTGCCATTGTATGCATGAAAGAGGCTGGAAAGCAGAGAAGCGGACCAAGGGAAGATATGATTGGTAGCGAAGGCGGAGAAACGGGTAACTCAGTGGGTGATGGGAATGAGATATCGAGTACACGAAGAGAGCCCGGCGAGTATTCAATCCCGATGGTGGGATTCCTGCCCGGTAGTGATTTCGGGATTGGTCGTTACGCGAATTCCGGGGCTTAATCGGGAGAGAAGAAAGGCACATGGAACAGGAACAGTAGCATAGATGACTGGCTGACATGCTACTGACACCCTTAATGGAACATATATCCATGTTTAGCAAAGCGAAATTTCCACCTTGGTTGACAGATAGGGATGTCCCTGTTCGAACCCGTCGCCGGCGAAATCAGCCGAGGAAGCTATAAAGGCACCATCAACGCCCGCAGCTGGTCAAAAGCAAGGAATAAAGTCTGAAAAGGGTATGAGTATAGGAGAACTGTTCGGGCAGTCTTCTGAGGAGGGGGATCAAAGAACACCGGGGGGCGACGTCGAGAAAAGGGACGGTGTGGATAATGAGGTCGGATTGAGAGGGAAGTTGTGCACACGAGGTCGCTTGTGCGACTAGATCTTCGGGGTATATTTCAAGCCGCTATAGAATGCCTGAGTCTTTCAAGGCATTTTGCAGAATAGTCTCTTTGACTGCTGCAAAGACGAGGCGGATATTCGAAGTATCAGTCGCTTGGGTGAGACTAAAGGTGGGAGAAAACAATCAGAAATCACGATCCGCAGAAACTGACACTGTTAGGGGTGGACTCACTGTGGGTATAGGTTCAAGTGAGCTCGATTCACTTGATTGAACCGCCATAGGAGGTACTTAGCGGCACGGTGCACGTCATTGCCGCCTGAGTAATCGGGGAAGTAGTTGCTCAACGGTGAGCGGGGCAGCTTCAAGCGGAACAAATCTACTTTGTTCAAGAAGAGGATGATACTTGTTCGCATGAACCACCGGGAGTTGACCACTGAGTCGAAGAGAACTAAACTTTCCATCATTCGGTTCTGCAAGGTTCGTCAGCTCCAGCATCATCTATTTGATATCTCGAGACATACCTGATTGCTTTCTTCCAGTAGTACTTGATCATATTCGCTGAGCGCTACGCAAAAGATGATGGATGTCACATTTTCGAAGCAATGGATCCACTTCTTTCGCTCACTGCGCTGGCCGCCCACATCAAACATGCTAATTTTAGTTAGAATGATCCCAATTGTTGGTGTCGGGTCCTGTGCTCCACGTACTGTATGCTCAACTGGCCCATTGTGAATCGGGTCTCATAGATACCGGTGGTCTTCGTTCTTGCCCTAAGCACATCTGACACATCCGGGACGTAGTTGGGGGACGTTATTCGCTTTGCCTCATCGAAGAAACTGGGCATTGGGTAAGAACTCGACCTCCAGAAAAGGGGGAACCGAAGGGTGGACCTACTATGGCGCCGAGTCCATCAGATAGAATTCATTCTGATGTTCCAGGACCGTTGATGTACAAGGGTCGTTCCAGAGATACGTGATCGCATCACCAATCTTGGAGTCGAGCGCGGTGTTGGGATCCGGGTCAACATTGTACTCCTCGAGGAAAGTGATATAGTCCTGCACTTTTTGGCTGGACGGTTCGAGTTGGAGATAGTGATAAGCTCCGATGAGGGCTTTGGCGCAATCCAGGAGGTTCTTGTAAATGGTCAATCGATAGAGCGCAAGTTCTTCCGCGGTGTAGCCATTTTGGTGGATAATCTTCATCTGTTTCACGATCGTTGACTTGCCACTTTCTCCGGATCCTGCGTAAAATTAGCCTACGCACTCCTAGGCCAGTTCTTCCACTAGCGGACACCCGAATGCATACCCAACAGCAGAATCTTGCATTCTCTTCGTAGTCGCCGGGAATCCTCTTCTAGCTTGCGGTCGATCACTTGGCTTCGCTTCTTCTGGTCCTGGTCCCCCGCGGACTCCGAGCTGAAACAGGAACCCATTATAGAATTGTTACTGGCCCAGACCAGCAGGGAGTAAACTCATTAACACTGCGCAATCACGAATTTGCCAGTCGAAATGGCCGCAGCCTTCGCTGTATTGGGAAGACTTCCGCCCAGCGCCACGCACGGGGGCAAGGAAGAATCAGCGCGACCAGAGTGTAAAGTATGGGGCGCCGAGTGAGATCGAGGGGAGGAACCGAGGTCCGGTTTAATTAGAGAGTATTGTAAGCTCTGAACCAAAGGTTGGGGTTGGAAGAATTGCGACAGGCGAGTTCGGAAGGAGAATGCGTTGGGTTTCGGGGTTTAGCGGTAGATGGGGGCGGGTCGGGAGAGGGTAAATGCGGAGAACCGGGTGAGATGACTCAGGAAGTGAGGATATCGAGGTAATAATAAGGGTAGTCGAAGTAATATAGTATGTAGGTATATAAAAGAGCCACAGAAAGTGAGTGAGTGAGAGGGATTAAGTGTGTGTCAGGTCAGTGCGACCATCGTCATGCTGGGGGAGTGGAGATGCCAGACTGGAGGGAAAAAGGGTAAGAAACGTGTATGGGCTCCGCTTACGTGTAATAAACTCTTAAACCCTTTCAGCCCCGGTTTCTTCCTTTCTCTCCTTCTCTTTATAGCGCTCGTTATTGATTTCTATATCCAATTGAGTTCATTTGTATGGTTCTATGACTTGGTACATATCTCTTTTTTCCATCATTCATCAGATAGCTGGATTGCAGTGTTTACTAGGTAAAGCCACTGGGGCAAATCGGGCACGTTCTGCTGTCAGATTTAGCAGAGAGTACGATCTAGTATGATCTCGTATCGAATTCCGTTGGTTTTTAGTAATAGCACGAGAATCATAAAGTCTACAAAGAGAATGACGTTTCTTTGGAAGTCAACAGAGAGCAGAGCCTCGTTCTAATGCCACGGGGTGACGGGACACCATAGCTGATGCTTTCCAACTCGTCTAGGACATATCTTAGGTTTTGTATCTTAGGAACAAGTCCCCAATGGTGTTTCCCTTTTCCGACATACCTTTCCTGCATAATTTTCAACTCTGGTCCTCTTAGTTAGTAGTCTTGTACGCAATTACTCCGTTTCATACTCTCCAATCCACACTGGAGCTGAAATGGAGCTGAAAAGTGGAGAGCGTTCTGTGCCTTAGGCATGGCGGGGTCCTACACAGTAAAGTTGGGTCTTCGGTGTGTACTCCGTGCGTATCTCTGACAGTCTATCATAACAGGGAAGTCAATTCAGCCCTGTGGTGCCTGGAGCCCGGGACTGGGCAAGAATCAAGCTTGAAAGAGGGGCTCATTGAGATCTATAGGTGTTCTCATCCAACCTAATCTTGGAAGCATGCGGAAGTGTCGATTTTATTGCCAAGCGCCGGAAGAGTCGGCATATATATATCCCCGTGTATCGTCTACACTAGGTTCTCACTTATCCAATACTGGACGGGACCAAAGAAGATAAAACACTGAGAGTACGTTAGACGTCCTATCTAGTCACTGACTCTTCAATGGTCTTTGTGTCCGTGGGAGCGTGGCAGGTCTTGTTTCACATGTCTCAGCCGCCAGATCCGCATCAAATCGCGATAAGACTCGGACGCGTCGAAACTGATATCTATGATTCTATGTATTCAACGCGGTCGCAGGTTCCACTGGAAACAGTGATATGTTGGGCAGTATAATATGCCTGTTACCACGTCATAAGGGATCGAAGTAGCCTATTATTGTGCGTCTGATATCCTCGACGTGCTCCTAGGGGGCTAGTCTACTCCGTAGGCCAACAACGAGTAGGGAGCAATAGTCCGGGACATTCCACCGGACCTATCAGAGCACCATAGAGAAGTCCAATGAACGAACAATCATGCCTTGTATGAATGATCATCTTGTCTGCTTTGGGGAGATCAGTGAGGGGATAGTTACTTTGAATCTGACCTGCGGCCTGCCAAGGCTTCGGCCAACTTGAGAAGAATTCCAGATCTTCAGCTAGTTCTTGAACGGGACTAGGGACAGATTCACCAGAACGTCCAGTGATCTCAATATTTATCGAATGATCGTTCTGAGAATTATATGGATATCATCCATGGGTAGACTTGTTACCCTCTCAATGCTGAAGAACAATGCCTGTCCAAAGGGGAACTTCCAGTGAGATAGACCGGGGTCTGGGCCGCGTGGTTGTGGAGCGAAAGGTAGCCTGCCAAGGAAGTACGCCCAGTCCACATACGGTTGGGAACGACAGAAGAATGGCACTGAGAAGGGCGTAGGAATAGTAAAAGAGAAGAAAAGAAAGGAGATCTTCTCCGTAGATATGTTTAGAAGAGAACTATTGTTAGAATCGAGCGAGATCCATCTCCCCAGAAGTCAAACAAGAAAAACCTTCCTTCAAGCCCCAGCTGAGTCATCCACATAAAACCGGACTGTCGCAACGTCATCGGCCTTGTTTTCTGCGCTTTTCACCCAGTCCCTTCCCCACACCTGCTGCCAACACACTTCACTTTCTTTGCGACCCCTTTCTGCTATTCCTTAACGTTAACCCTCCCCATCTCAACTTCTTACTTCCCTCTCTTTTACCCAACCCTCTTTCTTTCTACTCGCTGTAATTCCTTCATCATGGCGGAATTCGTGCGTGCCCAGATTTTTGGCACGACCTTTGAGATCACCAGCCGGTTCGCAATGCCCCGCCCCTTCTACATTTCCTCCAGCGCTATTAGCAGGCGCTCCAAAATTGGAACAAGATCTCGTTTGCTAATATGGTTTCTAGGTACACGGAATTGCAGCCGGTGGGAATGGGCGCCTTCGGCCTGGTTTGGTATGTCCCACTCTCATGTCGCACGAGGCGATACTGCCCACGATGAAGACTTTGCTAACCAGGCATTCAACGCAATAGCTCTGCAAAGGATCAATTGACTGCTCAGCCAGTCGCCGTCAAAAAGATCATGAAGCCCTTCAGCACCCCCGTTCTGTCCAAGCGAACTTATCGGGAGTTGAAGCTGCTCAAACATCTACGTCACGAGAACGTTCGTACTCAATGAAACACATGGACCAAGATGTTCGATCTCTGACACTACCCAGATTATCAGCTTGAGTGATATCTTCATTTCGCCTCTGGAAGACATGTATGTCCGCTCTATCTACCAAGGCGGGGTCGAACCACGTCAGCTAATGACCGCAGTTACTTCGTCACCGAACTTCTGGGCACCGATCTTCACAGACTTCTTACTTCGCGACCTCTTGAAAAGCAATTCATTCAGTATTTCTTATACCAAATCTTGGTAAGCTTCATGAGAATAATGTCTGGGAGGTCGGAATCTGACTTCTGATAGCGTGGCCTGAAATATGTCCACTCCGCCGGCGTTGTCCACCGTGATTTGAAACCAAGCAACATTCTGATTAATGAGAACTGTGACCTGAAAATCTGCGACTTCGGCCTTGCCCGCATCCAGGACCCTCAGATGACCGGCTACGTCTCAACAAGATACTACCGTGCTCCCGAGATCATGCTCACCTGGCAAAAGTATGACGTTGAAGTGGATATCTGGAGTGCGGGCTGTATCTTCGCCGAGATGTTGGAAGGAAAGCCGCTGTTCCCCGGAAAGGACCATGTCAACCAGTTCTCTATCATCACCGAGCTGCTGGGTACTCCTCCGGATGATGTTATCCAGACAATCTGCAGTGAGAACGTGAGTGTTCATTCTTTCCGGGCTGAAGTGACGCCTTGCTAATACGAGATGATCCAGACCCTCCGATTCGTCAAATCTCTTCCCAAGCGCGAGCGCCAGCCACTTGCAAATAAGTTCAAGAACGCCGATGCCGATGGTATGTGAAATTGGAGTGCACTATGGTTCCTTAAGAAGGATGTGCTAATATTTTCTTCTTTGTTTTTAGCGGTTGACCTGCTCGAGCGGATGTTGGTATTCAACCCCAAGCAGCGTATCCAAGCTTCCGACGCATTAGCGCATGAGTACCTTGCACCATACCACGACCCGACCGACGAGCCTGTCGCACAAGAGAAGTTCGATTGGTCGTTCAATGATGCCGATTTGCCCGTGGATACTTGGAAGATCATGATGTACGTGATTGTCTTATTCGCCCACAGGGACCTCTTGCTAATCCTAAGTTATAGGTACTCTGAGATCCTTGACTTCCACAACATTGAGCAAGGCAATGAAGCTGGCGAAGCTTTGACACAGGGTGCTGTGCAAGGCAATCCTGAACAGGCATTCGCATAATGTTTTGACGTGAATCCTCACATAAGATGCGCTCTTCTGCCATTGAACTCCAGTCTCATGATTTGAGGTCTGGCCCTACTTTTTCAACGGCTCCACGAAGATTGCATTTCCACTTGTGCTTTATTCGATTTTCCTTTTCTATCTTGTTCTATGCTTTTACGTCTTTCTGAAAATCATTGTCTATAGCTCTTCCGGCGTCGTCAGAATGGGTTGGTGATTCGGAGACATCATACTGGGGATCTGATTTAGTTGAGCGATGGCCATCTCATAACTTTAATTCATTGGAATGCTGCAATACTGTCCCTTCCCTTAGAATTGATAGCTCATAGATATCAACCTGTTCTCCATAGTTACTACTTACTCCGTAGTTACTCATTTTCTGTTGATGTCAGCGGGGCTATCCGTTCACCGCCCTCCTCCCAGCCAGTCAGAACGTGGGCGATAACCGTATCAGCTATTTTCCCCTGTTGGCGACGATCTTCGTCTGATGGGAAACTCACGTTGAGGTTTTGGAGGAGAAGCACCTCATTTCTACCTGTCGCAAACCATAGACTCTATCGCTCCACTTTCAAATACCCGACCACTTCTTTCCCGGCCGCATCAGAGTCCCTTTGCTCGCATGATCCCGCGCGATGGCTACTCATAAACATGACCCGATTGTGTTGGTCATAGATTTCCACCATGCACGGTGAGCTAAGACATTCGAAACATCCGTGCTCGTATATCCGAAGCAGGCAAACAGCACGGTAGACCAAGCAACCTGGCTGACTGAAGATATGCATCTACAGCGGTCCCGAGATAGAGCATTGCATAGCCGACGAAGGAACCGATCCAGCAGTCGAGAATGACTGGTCTCTACTGCCATTCATGGCATTGAGCGATGGTGCCCACCTGTACGGCAATCCGTCTTTACAGCAGAATCTCTGCTGTATCTCCCGCTTGCTTTCCTCTGGCGCAAAGGCTAACTGATCCCTCAATCTGCAGGTCAACCGAGGAATTCTCGTACTTCACACTTCGTCGGAAAGAAACACCAACCACACCCGAAACATCTCTCTTCGGCATCGCTTGTTCCCGACAGCTCGACGCGAGTCTGCTCATCAACCGCCCGCCTGAAGTGACTCGGTCAACGGTACAAAAGGCCGTCGTGGTCGTGACGGATACGCCGCAGCGAGTGGGCCAATTGCGCGAGAAGCTCTCCGTAGTGACTTCGGCTTGGTTTGCACAACGGTATGTGCAATGTCTGTTGAACTACTTGCTTCCTTGATGCGAGGCTCGGGGATGTGGATAGGCAAAGGCATGAAGCGGGAATTGGGGCTAATGTTGTTTATTTCGGAAACAGTGACTTCTCTGATATTGATATTCTGAAGGTATTTACTAGCTCAGCTGGGCAAGAGGCTGGATGCTAACATCAACACAGAAATTCCGCGAGGCGTTGGTCATTGCTCTGCTGAACGATGATAGTCCGAAAGACCAGAACTTAGGTATGAATATTTCCCGCTTCAAGATATATCTTGCTAATTCTTGAAGGCCTTTCGCTTCGGGAAATGATTCATGAATTCAAGTCCCAGACGCTGGTTCTTTTCAAGGCACTACTGCTGCAGCCTAAGATGCTCTTCTTCGGGACGCGCTGCGAGCGCCTCTGCATGATTCAGTTCTCACTTATATCCTTAATACCTGGCCTTATCAACAGCCTGCAAGACTGCGCAGATCCTGCCTTCGACAGCTATTCCCAGACTGTTGAGAAAGCAACTTCTCTCAAGACGAGTGATCGAAGTTCTCTGTTGGCATACATGGGCCTTCCCCTGCAGATCTTTGGGAAGGGAAGCATGTTTGGACCGTATACACCTCTCCAGCTGCTGGATTTGCTGGCAGATGATGGAACGAAATCATATGTGGTTGGCTCAACCAATTCCTTACTCCTCCAACAAAAGGATCGATACAGTGATATCCTCATCAACCTTGATGAAGACAGCATCGTCATCAACTCTCCTTCACTTCGCAGTGCCCTGGCCCTTTCCGCAGCCGACAGACGCTGGATCGATCTGCTCACACAAATTGTCAACGACACCTGGGACGAGGAACACCCTTCGCAGCCCAAAACTCTCGGCTTTATGGGCTCAGAAGAGTTCATCCGACTGCAGTTCGAAGAATACTTGCTGGCCTTGCTATCTTCCATGAAATACCACGAAGAGCTTTCTTCAAGCAATGCGCCAGACTCATTGAATCGCAGTAAAACCCCGATGCAAAACTACAACATCGAAGGAGATCCCGCATCCGACTTCAACACCGAATTCTTAGCCCACTGGAAAACCACCTCAAACTACGCCTTATTCTCGCGTCTCACCTCAGACGCACTCCTATTCTCCATAACCGAGCCCCGCCACCCAAGCGCCGGCGGCCTAACAATGGACGACATTCAGCGCCGACTATCCCAACAAGTCGCCGACCTCCACCTCGACGAGCGCGTCCGCGAAGGCCGCGAAGCCCTAAACCGCCATTTCTCAACCGGCCAAAAGAAAGTAAGCGCCGCCTTCAACAGCTTCTGGTCCGACATCGAGACAATGCGCGAAGCGCAACGCAAACGCAACGAAGAAAAAGCAGCCACCCAATCCCAGCGCGCCTCCCTGGACAAAGAAACTCCGACCTCCCCAACCCCATCCCAAGACCCCGTCAACGACGCCTCCTGGTTCACATCCCGTCCCAGACCATCCGTCGACATGACGCAGGCCCAAGCCTCCGTCTCCGCAGCCAGCCAAAAAGCCGGATCCTACCTCAGCTCCTGGGGCTCCTGGGCTAGTGAAAAGCGCCGCGAATGGCAAGACAAGCGCGGTTCATCCCCGAACCCGTCCGTGAACGCGAATGCTACCGATTCTTCAGCGGCCGGTATGACCTCGCCATCTGCACCGGCTTTGTCCGTCGTCACTGAAACAGACGAATCGGACCGTGGTCGTCGTCGCTCGATACAGCTCAAGAGCGAAGGATCCGGTAGTCCAGAGCCGGGGCTTGCTCGTAGTGGGAGCAGGAGGAAGAGATGGAGTAATATCCTACTTAGACGCGAGAGCAGCGAGCTCCAGCGTCCCGAGGGGCTTTCTTCTACTTCTGATTCTGCGGATCAGTCGTTCCCTAAGTCGCCTCTCTCGCAGGGGTTTCCGGCGTATGAGGATGGGAAGAAGGCTCAGATCGATAATTTGGACTCGGAAGCAAAGACCTCGCTGGAACCGGAACCCGTTGATGCTGATGGGTTCTCTTCTGTTGCTCTGACGCCGAATGAAGGGTTGGGCTTGAGTTTGGGTCCTGGTGAGGGTCTGTCACAGAGCCAGAGCACGAGCACGAGCGAGAAGGAGTCTGTACTACACGACGCTGAGGTAGAGACACTTCCTGCAGCCCCGAGTAAAGCGTCGTCTGGTACGAACTGAGTGAGTGGGTTTGCGCTGGAGTTAGTCGTTAGTCCGACTGTGTTCCAATTCGAATTTGCATTTTCCCCTTTCTGCATCCAGTATGATTTGAGTCAACTACGGGTTCTTCCTGTCTTCTGTCCTTTGTCTTCTTCTTGTTCGTACTTGTCTTCGCATCGGTGTTGAATGCAGCATAATCGTTCTGTGCACATTCCTGTTGATTATTCGTGTGGTTATACATACTCATTTTCCCCGTCCCAGGCTCATCCTGGGTTTATTCGAGCTAAGCTGGTGTGCTCGCGCATATAATACCTAGCATAGGCATTGTCAATGCATTGAACGACAAGCTGAAATGAAATTACTTCCATAACCTTGTGGTTGATCTGCGCTCTCTTGTTGTTTTAGATGCCATTGCATGTTGCATTCATCAGACTACATTATCTCCTGCATTTTTCATGAAGCTTGAAAGATTAGGGCAATGTTTTTTGCAGAAACTGGTCACCGCACATTGATCAGTCTACACTTAACCGATATGCAGGACAAAGTTAGGCTTAGCTATGTTCTAGCATTAGAAAATGAGATCCTGGGAGAAAAGCAAGGGAAACATCCAGGTCATCGTTGGTCTGTCGTTTCGACGCTATGAAGGAAAATGTAAAACAACCGCCGACAATGAGGGAAACTCTGATGCTCCTATCGAAGAATGGGGTGGGGGATGAGGTTGATTAAGCAATGTAAGAAATTTCATCGCCGTCCATACGCTCAATGTAGTCCTTCTCCATGAGAGCTTCGATATTCTTCTTGATATCGGGTATCTTGGGCGGGAAGCGCGATTTGACTTGTTGGATAACCTCCTGCACAAGCTGGACGTGCTTCATCTTCTTACGAGACTTCATGATGCGAACAATAGCGGACTGCGGTGAAGTTAGGGTCATTCCTTGTGGGAAATGATAAGTAGACGGGAAACATACCTGGAGCAGAAGCTTCCGATCCTCTTCTATTGTCTTGTGGGTGTCATCTGCCTCAACCTTTTGTTCGGACTTGATCTGAATGTTGAGGTTGACTTTGACCTTCTTATTTTTGAAGCCGTAGTTCAGCGTGAACGAGGTGGAAGGCTCGGGCTTGGCACCTTCCGGGATGGCAGTGAGGACCTTGGCCTTAAGCAGGATAGCAAGGTTGGGGTCAAGGATTTCACTCGCCAGTGTAGTGGCCTTGGCAATATCAGTGTAGGACAGAGTATCCGCTTCATTGAAAAGCAGAAGAATTCCCATCTGGTAGGTCGACACCTGGAAGGTGTAGGGCACCTTGGCGTTCTTGATGTAATTGGCTTTGATCTCGCCCTTGCATAGCTGCCACAGCCATGTCAGCTTGCGGCCACTGTGCTTGTCAAAGTAGAATTTCTGGAAGCGCTCGGCTGTCTTGACAATCTCCGGTGGCGCAAGGAAGGGCGTAGTGGGGGCATTGAGAGGCCAGAAGCCAGTTCCCAGAATCTGGAAGTGGGCGTCGGCAAGTCTCTTGCGGTCGTCATCATCTAGTACTTTGTCCTGCCAGTCCTTATAGTTGTTATTGAGATCCTTGGAGATCTGCATGTCTTGGAACATGCGTTGCAGCTTGTTGGTGTACTCGAAGCCACACGCTTCCTTGAGCTTGCTGATCATGCTTGTTTCGGCATCATCAGAGACAGAGCTGACATGCACAAGACGTTTGGCTAGATTCTTGGAATAGAACTTTTGGAACACGTCCTTGTCTTCGATGTACTTGAAGACGGTCATAATCTGCACGAGCATCTCCTCAAGCTCTGACTCTTCAGCGGACTTGGATCCCTTCTTGAGCAGTGAATCTGTGTATTTCGCCAGCAGCTCCGGGGACTTGGAAGAGCTGGCCTTGCAAATACGGTTTCGGTTGACAAACTCACGGCAGGCGTTATCAAGAGAACGCACGAACTCGGACTCGCCCTTGAATGCCTCATTGACTAAGTTCTGGTACCGTGTGTGAACCTGCAGTAAAGCATCGACGTACAGCTTGGGCTCGAGTGTTTCCCCTTCGGAAGCAACCTTCTCGACCGCAGCCAGACCGGCCCGCCTCACATGGTTCTCAAAGGTTGTGCGCAGCGGATCGCAACCATCCCTGATGCGGGACAAGAGTCGATACATACGAGCAAGATCCTCCTGGCGTTCATTGTCCAACAGGACTTGGAATTCGTCGCGAAGCAAACTGGAATGGGCGGTGACGAGAACAAGCAGACAGGTGTCGGTCAGGACCTTGGAGGCATCCGGATGCAAGTACAACCCAACCCGGGCCTTTTCCTCGTCCAGGCGAGTTTCGGCCTTCTTCATGTATTCCACCACGCTGTTTTCCGCCACGAACTGCCGCGATTCGTTTTCGTAATAGGTTTTGGTGGCTTGGATGAACGGCTTCTGGAAATACTGCCGATACACATCAAGAGTTGATCTCGAGCTATCGTTCTCGTCCAAACCGAGTGACACGAAGGAATCAACAATAGACTTGATCTGCGACTGTTCGATTGTCTCTCCGTTTCGCTGTTTTTCGATCAAATTTAGAACGGCGTCCATGACCTTCTCATGAACGTTCTCGAAGAAATCCCCCTTCCATTTCACTAAATGCAGGGTGTAGACGTCGTAAACGTTCTTCTTACCCTCGTCAATCTCACGCTTGACCCAATGACGGTTGAGGTAGCGGAAGAGATGGTTCACATATTTGGCCGCCGTCGTATAACGGTACCATTCGCGAATGTAAAATGCGAGCAGGCCTTCTTCGGTGTGGCCTTGTGATTGTTTTAGCACGTCAGCCAGATGGCGAGATAGGTATTCGCCGAGCAATTTGTAAAGTTCCTCGCCCAGCAGATGGGCTGCATTCCAGGTCAGTAACTGCGTAAACGTCGATGCGGAATCGTTTGGATCGAACCAACCCCCTCGTTGTCCTTGTAGGCTATGTCCGGTCAGGACGGCTTTTTGAGAAGTGCAGAAATTATGGACGGCCCTAGAATCGAAGTGTAAGCGTAACCCTCGCCAGACAAGACGCAGACTCGGATGGTTGACGCACGTATAAAGGCCCATGTACTGTCCAGGGGATACTCAGTTAGATACTCTCCCAGATAAACTCACGCCTAGGTGTATGTTTAAAGATTCACTTACAGTCTTCATATCGATACCAGATTCAAGGTTGAGCATGACGCTCTCGATTCCTGCCTCCAGGAATGACCAACTAGCCATAGTTAGACCACACTAAACCACCAGTTGAAGGCAATTCCAATCAGGTATTCGCTCACGTTGATTCAAGGTCATCCTTATGAGGCACTGGCGGCATGGTGGGGGGCATGACGACTGCACGAGGAATGGGGGTGGGACGTGTGAGAGACTGAGCGGTCAAGGGCGATGATCCTGCTGCAATAGTCAGTGTGCGCCCCTGATTCCACAAGTGAAGTTCGAGCAACGGATCCAATATTACCCCAAGAGTGTTGCGGCGCCACAAGTCACGTCAAAGATATTGACGTGATCGGGCGACTGTACGCGTTGTGACAGGGATGGGACGAACAGGCTGAGGCGGCAACAGAAACCGAGCAATAAGAAGCGGCCTTCTCGCTTGAGAACAGCAATCTGCAAAGAAATAGGAAGCAGAAGAGAGCAAACTTGATGAGGCTGAGAAGGACCAGAGCGTGGGGATGGCCAGTTGCCGCAGGCGGTGAGGTGGCGGAGCTTTCCCGCCAGGTCGACATCATCGGACCGAGACTTTTACAACGCGCAAATACACAGTACATGATCTTTACGTTAATTCAACAATTCTTTACGGTGTATTGAGCAGCGCAAACCTGCAGTTATTATGCAGATTAGACTGTGCCCATATCGACTGAGATTCAGATCTGGACTATGGATTATATCCACTAGGTCCCTCCCCATAAGGATTCGTCTGCTTGCAGTTCTTGATCTCAGGCTTTTGAATCTCAACAATCAAATCCTCAATCTGTCTAATGCCTCCGTCACCGTAGGTATCCAGACTCTAGCCATTGTTGTATGCTTCAGTTAAGGAGCTCCTGCACCTCACGTTCCCAGCGTCGTGCCCTCTGAAGAGCTAGTGACCCTCCAACCACACTTCCCACCAGTTCGCGAGGTTATACCTATGTCTCGGTAGTCTCCTCAATGTTACTCAGCTGATGATACATATTCTCATTGACAGCGAGGATGCTTTCAAGGGCAGTCCGCCTCCACCCTTCACCCAGCAGAATCAGACTTCTATCTTTCATCAGAATCTTCTTACCCCAGCTACTACCACCCGCGCTCCACTCAACAAGGTATCTATCCTGCATTCAATCCAAATGGCAATCTTCTCCTCCACCACAAGGAACGGGCGTTCACACCCAAGTCTCGGATGATGACTGGCGTCCCGAGCAACCCTCAAAATGAGACCCTACTATGGAAACAATCAGCAACCAGGCCCATAATCTGGAACGCCTTCTCCAAGCGGATGGGTATAAGACATGGGGCTTCCTTGTCTACGGCTGCACCTACGCCAGTGATCTCTACTGGCAGAAATACCTAGATCTCTTTCTCGATGAAGCAAAGTACAATCTGGGATTCTACAGTGGCCTTGACCTACTCGATAATTTCGCCCCCACGGTCTTTGAGGATCTTTCGCCGTATTGATATATTGCTCCGATCCGCCAGATCATGTAGGCCAAGATAATTTAACTTAAGTTACGGTTGTTTATAGTTACCTGAAGCTTATTTTGACAGTCCCATGGTGCTCACATCTAATGACGTCATATATGTCAGTGGGGCAGATGGTACACAATAAGGGTAGATTCGAGAGACAGAAAAGAAACCCTCACTTTAAACCCTCCTTTCCTTTTTCCCGCTGTATCATATATTTCTTCAAGTCGCATGGAAGAGTACCAAGTGGCCAAATGAGAGCCTGCATTTCTTTTCCTTTTGCTGGTGATTTGTGCCCTACAAATTGTTTACCCAAAGGTCACATGTGCTAACGGCGGTCACATGTGCTAACGGCCAACTACGTCAGTTTGACTAAGTCGGAAGAGCTGCACCTAAATGGAATCAGAACTTATTCATCTATGCCAAAGAAACCTTAAAAACTTTAACACCGTTCTCTATGCAAAGCGAACACAGCTAAACAAAAATCTCTCGCAATGATAACCCCACTGCCAAACATCAAGGTGACCACCCACCAAATTCCTGAGTGGCACCACATCCCGAACACTTCGATCCAATCCAAGCCGCTCATGATATACCACGGAGCCTTCAATGCCACAACCACAGAGCTAGAGAAGCATCTGGGAGAAGTAGGCGGGGTTGTCCCTCAATGGGTATATACCATGTACCGCCAAACCCACTTCCACTCCACGACGCACGAGGTCCTCGCGGTGACCTCAGGCAGTGCACGTCTGTGTTTTGGAGGCGAGGAGAATCCCGAGCGGTTCGAGCCAACAGTCCAGCGGGGTGATTTGATTATTGTACCCGCCGGGGTGGGACATCGACTCTTAGAGGAGCTGGATGGACACCAGGAAGACTTCCAACTGCTCGGCGCGTATCCACCAGGAAAGCAGTGGGATATGTGCTATGGAACGCAAAGCGAGGATGCGGAGGTGCAGAGAATCAAGGATGTGGCTTGGTTCCGTCAAGACCCGCTGTACGGCGTTGACGGCCCTGCTTTGTATGTTTAGGCCAAAGCGTCCAGCGCAAATTCAAGGCTCGCTAGGATGGTATACGATATTAGATCAGCAATAAAAGATCAGCAAACATAAAAATTGGGTGTCACTGTGTCACTCTTTCGACGAGTCTAGTAGCGCGTTAGCAGATGGAGCGACACGTCAAGACGGAGAAGGGGGATTACCTGAGGACACTGATCGAAAAAGTCATAAGCCAAGCCAAGAGAGCGACAAGTAGTACAGAGGCAAGTGCCTTTTGCCTCACACAAATCCCATCATTTCGAGGGTCGATCGCTTGATTGACCTCCGCCTCAGTGCAAGATCCTGTCACCTCGGAAAGCGAAGCAAATGCCAAACTCAGATTGGCAGAATCGAACACGATGAAAAAGATGTCAAGGAGTATGAGACGCGCTTTAGCCGATGGGGAGCGCAGACCCAATGGCTTTGACGTGTATTCATCCCATGTGATATAGACCAAGTAAACCAGGGCAACGGCATCAACGATAATTGCCATCAGCGCAGATGGGCCCTGGGGGTGCTGCCCTTCAATAGCCATGTGCTGAATCGATCCTCCCAATGCCAGCGCAGAGAGCGAGAAGCTCCAAACGGTCATTCGAAGAATCATTGGTACTATTGGGCTGCGCAAAAGCGTGTTCATGAAGCGCTTGGTCCAAATCTCCCTTCGGCCTCCACTGTGTAACGGATACTCCGGACTATCGCCCTCCAAGTGCTTTCCTCGCCATGGTTGCAAGTAATCGCCATGGTTCTCGTTCAGCCAGTCCGACGTAACATGCTGTTCCTCTCTACCGGGTTCTCGCGGATATTGGATGGTTCGTGAGAATGTGACCCAACGCGATTCGCGATTGAGAGGTGGTGAGGAATCCTCAAATAGACCATTAGTGGTTGAGCGAGTAGATTGGGGCTTGGATGACGCGTAAGGCGAGTGATTGTGCTGGGCGACAAATGCGTCGTCGGGTTGGGAAGGGAGTAAGCGGTCGGTTGCTGTAGCTTCATGGCCATCCTCCTCGGTCTCCTCAACTGAATGTATCCAGGCTATAGAGACCCATTGTCAGTGTATGGTCGTGCTTCCAAGCTTCAAAGAGATCGTACCTGGTAGAGTTCGCGGGCCGACTTGGGAATAGGTGAGTCCGTCTTCTGCCTGGCCGGCAGACGCAAGTGCTGGATTGGAGGCTCCGTTGCGAACCGCGGATTCCGTATCAACCGTTGGATTCGTTGGCAACACTGATGACTCTGGGATAGGCGGCGGGATCTTCTCTGCGAGCCTTTCGTTGATGCGCTCTGTAGCACCCTCTTTGGAGCTGTCCATGATAGGTAGATCAGGGGAACTTGGGATTCGGGAGTCGCGGGAATTGTGAATCAACAATTTGCCCGCGAAACCCAGGTTCCTTCAAAAAAGAACGAGTGATGGGCGCTTAGATATCAGGAACGGGTTTCAGGGCAGGATGATCTCCGACAACAAAAAGAGCGGAAATGACGTCTCAAATCAGATCCAAGGACCAAGCTTACTTCCCGTCCATCCCTTCACGTCCAACCCACAGAAAAAAAAGTTTCGACTCACTTCTTTATTGCTATCCTCTCTAATTATATACCGACACACTCTCAGTATTTATCAATCTCCTTCGTTTCCCCCTGACGATCGACTATAGTCTGAGACGTTATTGCCATGCGCCTCTTCCTCATTCCGATCTCGACGAAACGAGCTCTCATATATGCTCGACCTCTTCGCAAGGATCTAGCGAAAGAGCTTTCATATCTCGACAGGCTTACGACCAAGGCAGCTGAAACATGGGCGAAATGGGAGGAAGCCGACAAAGGGTGGAAGATGCACCTTGTTAAATGGGGCAATTCTGTCCAGCAACGGATACCATACGAAGAATGGGCCCTCAAAAGCATTCCCTCATTCAAAACCCAACAAAAGATTAATGCAGATCATGGAAAGACCAAGATCGATGTGCTGTTCCCTGGCAATGCGGTACGATTGGAGCGAATTCAAAGCGTGTTGCGCACTATCGCGACAGAAAGGCAGGAGTTTCATCGGAAGAGATTGACCTGGTGCCTGTTTGGCGCGCCGATTACAGCGCCTTTTGGCTTAATTCCAGTGTACGTGCACTTGATGAGTCTGGTTTCCCTGTTGGTGGCATGTTTCTAACGAGGAGCAGGGTTCCCAATATTCCGTTCTTCTATTTGGCATACCGGGGCTGGTCCCACTGGCGCGGTTAGTATGATTCCTCACAGCAATTGGCTCATGAAGCTAATAATGGCTATGGACACAGCGTTGAATGGCTCAAAACACCTGGAACACCTTGTTGAAAATGACCTCCTCAATCCTATCTCATTACCGGAGCTCGAACAGCTATATGCCAAACGAGCATCTTACACGCTCGAAAATACCTCCGTCGGCACCTCGTATTCCGAGATCGCCGAGAACATAGAGCAAAGCAGCGAGGACCAGCTGTTGTTAAAGATGTCAGATGCCAAGAAGTTGGCTGCTATGCTGGAAGCACCGGAGCTTGTGTTGGAAGCTGAGCGGGCAATAATTCAGGTCTCCGAGCAAATCGCAGCTGCAGCAAAATCCAAGGCAGAAAAACAAGACGAGAAGGAAGATTGATAAAATGCGGAGGATCTAAGTGAATCGGACTGGTTTGTTGTCTAGAGGAGGGAGATATCGAGATCAGATCCTAGGGAAAGCTTATGTACTATAATGGCAGGGACCAGCGTCCAGTAGACAAATATATAGACGACAATCGACAACTTCTATGAATATCAAAAACACCCATAATGTTAGCATACAACCTGTACAATCCACATTGTCCAATGACCTCACCCGAGCCCCTGACGGAAGTAGGTAAATCCGACGGCTTCCCCCATTGTTCCCGCCTCATCCTCCACCTTATTCACATCGAGCTCCATACATCATGTCTACCAAAAGGATTGAGCAATGGGAGGTTGAGCGATACTGGGAGATTTTCGCTTCATTGGCAAATGGCCAAAAACATCTCAACAGCTCCCAAGCTGCCTCTGTGCTGAGGAACAGCAGGCTGCGCGATGATCAGCTCGAGAAGGTCTGGGATATCGCCGATGTCGACGGCGACGGAGAGCTCGACTTCGAGGAGTTCTGTGTTGCGATGCGCTTAGTGTTCGATCTGGTCAATGGTGTAGGTGATGCCCCCTCCTAATTCATCAATAAACTGCTGACGCGGCCGCTTATGGAAACAGGAACTACAAGAAGTCCCCAACGTCCTACCAGACTGGCTAGTCCCAGAGTCCAAATCACATCTCGTCCATGCGACCCGGGCACTAAACACTGGACACGAGCAGTTCGAACGGATAGAAGATGAGGACGACTCTCTCGGATTGAAAGACGGCTTCGACTGGTACATGAAGCCCAACGACAAGAACAAGTATACCGATATCTACGACGCCAACCGGAATGCGCGCGGCCAAATAGAATGTGAGTTTCTATGTATAATACGCGCAACGCGCCTAGGAATATACCTCCCATTGACGAATTCCCCCCAGTCCAACAATTACAACCACTCTACGACTCACTCGACGTCCCCGACACCGATATCCGCTCCGCCTGGAACCTGGTCAACCCCTCCGCATCACCCGCAATCAACAAAGATGCCACGCTTGCTTTCCTGCATATCCTGAATTACCGCCACGAGGGCTTCCGCATCCCGCGCACGATCCCCGCATCGCTGCGCGCTTCTTTCGAGAACAACCAAATCGACTACCAAGTTGACAAAGCGGCGCCCGCACAGCGCTACGGCATGGACGGCGAGACGGAAACACGGACAGGCCGCAAGGCCAAGTTCGGCGATACCTACCTTAGCCGTCTGGGCGTTGGTGGTAAGAGCTCGTACCAGCCCAAGGGGACGGATTTCAGCGATACGATCCAGGATGAGGAGTGGGAGAAGGTGCGGCTGCGTCGCGAGTTATCAGAGCTGGAGGCGAAATTAAACTCTGCGAATAAAGCCTCCGGTTCCAGGCGGGATGGGCCGCGAGCCGATGGTCGGCCGAATTGGGTTCTTATCAAGAAGGAGGCGCTCTCGCTGTTGGAGTATAAGGAGCGGGAGTTGCGCGAGTTGCGCGAGGGCACCGGTCGTGCTAAGGATGGTCAGGATCTGGAGCGACTTCGAGAGGATGTCAAGGCCGTTGGGGAACAGGTGGATGGGTTGAAGGCTCACATGGCACAACGGCATGATGTCCTTTCAGACCTTCGTCGCCAGATCGAGGATGAGAAGGCTCGGCGGTGATTGGTTACTGTGTGAATATGGGAGTAGCGGAACTCTTGGCTCGATGCTTTCTCTTCATTTTTGTTTATGGCGCCTTAGTTGCATATATGCCCTGCTTTCTTGGTTCTTGCGAATCAGCATGTACAGCCATTTCCTTACACGAGGGAGCTCTAGGCGTCAATTGGGACTTTGCTTTTTCAATATTGTCTGGATTCTACATAAGAGGAAATACGCGAGTAATCTTAAAGTTATATGTTAACAATAGCAAGGCACAATACCTACTGCCTTGTTCTAACCACGATAATACATGCGCAGCAAGTGATACGAACATGCCTCCCATCCCACCGTATAACGCCAATGAACCTAGGAAAAATCCCGTAAATGTTGTTACAGTTCAGTCCGGTGGGACTGGACATCATCCAGCACTTAGCTTGGACGACAGAAAAAGAAAAAGTAGACAGATCAAGACAAGAGGTTCTCATCCTCCCTCTTAGTCTCAACAGCAACAAACGCAGCCCCCTCGTGATCAAGACCCCTCTCAGCACGCAAATAAGCCTCCTCTGAACGATCAGTCAAAATTTCCAGGTCAGCATCCGACAAGATCGTCGCCGGGTCCGCGCCAGCCTCGAAGCGCTCGAACTCATTCTCACCCAGGACGCGGCGCAACTCGTCGATATCCTGGATATTCGTACTCGGATCAAGCAAAGAGCGGAACTTGCCCTTCTGAATCACGAGGCGTTCAAGACGACGCTTTGAATCCGCCTTCTCGAGTAGAGTCTGCTCGACAGTGCCCTTGGTAGCCAATCTGTAGATGATGACGGGCCTTGTCTGACCAATTCGGTGTGCTCGATCTTGTGCTTGGAGATCCTGCTGGGGATTCCAGTCCGAGTCGAAGAGAATGACGGTGTCGGCGGCGACGAGGTTGATTCCCTGGCCGCCGGCTCGGGTGCTAAGAAGGAAGATTTTGTGGCTTTTCTTTGTATTGAAGTCTTTGATTTGGGCCTGGCGATCTGATTGTGCGATTGCGCCGTCGATTCGGCAACATTCCCAGGATCGGAGTCCTGTTGCCCATTCTTCGATTATGTCGAGTTGGGTCTTGAATTGGGAGAAGATGAGGATTTTGTGGCCTCGCGAGAGAAGACATGTAACCAAGCGGTCTAGTAGGAGCATTTTGCCTGAAGCGGAGACGAGTGTTTCGTCTACAGGAGTTGACTCGTCTGTCCAAGGCCAGTAGAAGTTGTGAGGGGAGTTGCAGGCAAGGCGAGCCTGCAGGACTGGGTTCTGCATCTTCTTTTGCCCGATTTCTTTCTCTGTAGGACAGTATTAGCGATTGACAAAACAAAAGCATTGTGAGGGCGAAAGTGACATACTGGCGAGTTTTAAATTCTGGGCACGTTCCAGTTCCTCAACCTCGTCGTCGCTCGGCTCAGCTTTTGGTTCTTCTACTTCAATGCCCAGCTCGAGTTTGCGAAGGTGCTCATCAAACTCGTCGTCACTGAGATCATTGAAATTCCGACGCGTGCTCCGTCGGCGCCTCAGAGACTTATCTCCATTGCCAGCGGGAGTAGACACTCCACTAGATTTCATACTCTTCACCGGAGTCGAACTTCCACTGCTACCACGTTTGCGCTTCAAACTTTGCGAGCGCGTAGAGCTGCGGCTTTTACTCTCCAGACGCTCCAGAGCCTTCCCCTCAAGATACTGGCGCCCGGTACCATTGAGAATCTCCCGATACAGATCTTTCTGCTCGGCAGTCAGAGGTGCATATAAGATGTATTCTCGCTTCTTTGGCAGCGAGTGCTCCACGTCTGTCTTGAGACGTCGCAGCAGGAATGGCTTGAGGATGGCATGCATGCTCGTGACCAAATTGCGCTTGCGTTTCTCAACAACCTCCGCTTTGCCTGTGTTATCTAGAACGGAAGAGAAGTCAAACCATCCCTCGAACGAATTGAGATCATTGAAGACCTCTGGAAGTAGGAAATGGAGAAGTGACCACAGCTCGGAAATGTTATTCTGGAGTGGTGTTCCCGTAATCAAAAGACGGTTTGCAGAATTGTAGGTCAACAATTCTTTAATCAATTTGCAGTTCATGTTCTTGAGTCGGTGGCCCTCATCCTATGGGATTGATTAGCGTTTTCACATCAAAGAGAGAGGCTGGTGGAGGCAAACTCACCACAACGATGTAGCGCCATTGATACTGAGCCAAGAACTTTCGGTCATTCATGCAGATCTCGTAAGATGTGCACACCACCGGAAAGTCCATATCGCCCTGGTTCTTCATCTGCATATGTTTCTTTCGAAGAGCAGCTCGGTGATCCTTCGAGCCGTGATACAAGACAGTTTTGATATCCGGAGTCCATCTGGCGAATTCATCGACCCAATTGCTGACAGTACTCAGTGGTGCTGCAATCAAGAATGGACCAGACACTTTATTCTCTTTCAAGAAAGCAATCATGGAAATAGCTTGCACGGTTTTTCCAAGTCCCATCTCGTCCGCCAAAATACCACAGAGTCCGTTCATCCACAAGGTCTTGAGCCATTCGAGACCCTCGAGTTGGTACTTCCTCATTTTTCCACCACTCACAAGTGACGGCTGCTGAGTCGCAACAAGATCCTGCTCACCAAGAGCAGTGGGATTTGCCTCATAATCATCGGCAGCCTGCTCAAGGGCCTGCTTCACAGAGGGATTCTCATCAGGCACTTCCACGTCAGCCTTCTTGAAGAAATTTGAAATCGTACTACCGTTGTTCGCGGCAGACTTGCGCTTAGGACGACCCCGATTAGACTTCTTCGGCTCCCCATCTCCTTCGCCACCAGGCGCCTTGTCCTCTGCAGTATCTTGGTCTTGTCTGGTTCGAGTGGTTCGACGAGCAGGTTCAGCAACGGACTTGGGTTTCTTCTGGTTCGCAGCATCTTGTTCACGCTGCTTTATAGCCGCCAATCGGGCTTCTTCTTGTTGTTTCTTCATTTTTTCTGACATGATAGCTACAAAGACCTGTGGATACGAATTGCATCAGACCACTGTAGTCTGGGAAGAGGAAGATTATACTCGACACTTACGGAGCTGGTCTTTAACAAGTGCATCAAGGCCTTGGCTTTGGTATCCATCTCTTCAACTTCTTCCTCGCCCGGAGGTTCGGCCTTTGAATTGTCATCTTTATCAATGGAGGACTTGGAGTCTTCGGCGTCAGTAGGGGTCGTGAGTGGCGACGAGGGGACGGTGGACTCGGGGGCCGTAGTCCCTGCACGAGAGTCCGTGCGGCTATCTGTATCTTCCGCAGACATTGTGTCCAATTAGACCGGATATGATATCGGAAAGTCACAGGATCTAGGTACTGCGAGTACTAGATGAATGAGGATGGTACGTCATTCGCAGGGGAAAGCGAAAAAAGTTGCATGCGGGGAGTCGGATTGCGTTGGAGCGAGGGCTAAAATGAATGTGATATTGAAAAGCAGGTAGAGACAGGCTTCGAGCAGAATAGCCCTCGCAATTCAGACGAACACTGCTTATTATCAGACAGTGATGGAGGAGAATTGGAGTTGAGCGCGTTATCGACGCGGCATTTTCGCGTTCGGTGCACGGACCATCAATAGATTGGTTGGACTACTCGTAGCTATTGTACTTGGATTTGGATTATCGCTCTTCAACATTATCATGCGACATGCATTATGCTTCTAACCTTCTACTGGACTACTTGTACATGAAGCTTCGTCTTATTGAAGCTTTGTTGCTCTTACAATAAAAGACAGTGGTATTCTTACAGCCGGTACAAAACATGTTATCGTACAGTATCATGTGATTGGGGAATAACAATCATCCGTCGTTAATCGTTATCGCCTCATCCATGGACAGATCGGTCAAGCGCTAGTTAGCTAGTATCGTCAGAACTTAGCTACTCGTTGGGCTGTTCAGCAGCTTCTTCCTCGTGCTCCGTAACTGGGCTAGAGTAGATAAATTGTTTCAGATCATCATCAATATTTCCCATTCTCAATCCTCGATTTGCTTGGCCGAAGAACCCTGGAGATGGGTTTAGATTCTCGATCGAGTGGGCTCCAAGATGTGGAGGAATGATTGCACTTACGGCTCTCATTCCAACACCGACGCCCTTATCAGCTCGGCGAGGCGGCTGGAGGGTGTCCTGCCCGCGCATGGCCTGTGCCACAGCCTCCAATCTTTCCACCTGTACCTTCTGGATATTCTGCACATACTTTGCTTGGCTCTCTGAATGATGGGGGAGGACTCGGCTGATGGGTCCGGCAGGTGGAATAAGCAAGGGCTGGCCGGGGCGAGTATTGCGTGATGGCTTGGACGGTGTCTCCACGGGACTTGGACTTTCTGCTGGAGATGATGGTGGGAAGCCCTGCATTGCCTGCGTTTTGTAGACGTCCCAGCGAGGAGGAACGTATCCGTATGCCTCGAGGGTATCCTCCCGATCTTGGATCTGCGCCGCTTTCTCTGGGCCAATCTTGAGTTTGACCATTCCACCTCGTCGAGGCCATTGTGTTACCCATGAGTTTCGGTCCCGAGGGAAATGCTTCTTCCAGTCAAGAATGGGCTCCGGGTCGCCGCTGGGTCGTACTAAATCCCGTGGGTTAACTGTACCGGCTAAACCAGCGCTCCGAATGAATGTGCTCCTGGCATTGGTGATTGGATCATGGGTGGGCACCATGGGGTTCTCAATTTCCTCTGGAGGCGGACTGAAACGAACATGTTCTCTCCACTCAAACTTGTCGTGTTCCGAGGAGTCTGCCACGGAATCTCGCAGGACCACCAGACTATCACCCCAGTCGCCAGCATACTCTCGAGGAAGGCCATGCTGCTTCAGGAACTGTCTAGCTTTGAGAAATTCATGGGTTTGGCACAACAACAGGTCTGTGTATTTGGTGGCTATCATGCCACGCATATTCTCTCGAGTGATCCTTTTCAACACCAATTGAGGCGGCGGGTCGAAAAGCCTCAAGTCGCTGTTGTCAATCCTCATGAGCGCACTACGCTGTTTCCGTCGCATTATCTCCAGCTTTTTGTTCTCGCGTTCGATCTGCCTGTTGCGAGTGTCCAAGTTTTGCATGAACTCCGTTCGCTCGTCCGGTCCAAGGCCAAGCATGTTGCAGATTTGTCGCCAGTCATAGTGCTTCATTGCGTTCTCAATGATCTCGACTTGCATAGCCCGGTGCAGATCTTCCCATTCTGGGTTGGGGATCTGGCAAATTCATTCATATCAGACTGTGCTTCACTTAACAAGATCACACAGCAGTGACGATCAACTTACCTTGTCTAGGAGCGCCTGCGTCACATCTGGCGCAAACGTTGACTCATCACTATCACTGTCAGAAGTCTCCATGCCCTCTGTACCCTCAATATTTGCGCGAGTCGTTTGCGCCATGTTCATGTTCCTCGCGTACACCGGATTGTCCATGTTGTTACTGGCAACATGATCTTCTATCTGGCTCAACAAGGCTTCATTCATCACTGTGGGCGCCACCGCATCGACCAGTATTCCCTCATCAGTGCCGGGAGAACGTGGACCGGCGCGGCTGTCATTTTGGCTCTCGTTGACTGCTCGGTTCTGTCTGGATGGCCTGAGGGCGCTGGAGGTAGAGCCACGATTTGGCCCCGGATTGTCCAAGGTTGGGAATGCCGCCGGTGGCAGGTTGGGGTTGAACGGCACAGTGATTGGCATAGGCCTCTTGTTCAGTGAACGCGGCCGACCTGACTCGTCGAGTTCCATTGAATCGTCAAAGGAATCATCGTTTGTGTTCCGCAGTGAGCTGCGCCGTGGTTCTTCATCGAATTCGCCATATCGCGCTGGCGCGCGGACGCTGTTGCGAAGTCTCATGCCACTCATTTTGGCGATGCGATAGAGCGGGACAGGAGGATCGAGATGGCCAAAGAGGCGCGTAAATGATGATGAGGATTTCTGAGTCGCAAGTCCCCGTCGGTATCGATGGTGGGTATGCGATTCATCGAAGGGACGCGAGAGGTGATGGGGATAGGTGGTCGTGAGATGGAAAGGGTGGTGGGTGAAGTGAGAGAAGAGATGAGCGAAATAGGCAAGAGACTCAACATTTGAGAGAGGAAGTAGAAAGACAAGGAAGGGCGAAACGACTTGAAAGTCGAAGGTGGCAGATGTTTGAATGCATCGACCAACTTGGGACCTCGACACTTGCCAGATTTTGATACTGAACCCATGATTGATCCCCCTTTACAAGGCCTAGACACGTGCTATGCCTGAAGGTATGATCAAGATGTCACGGGGATACAGATATAAGTAGGCTTGAATGTCCGTGTTGAAAATAACTATGAGCAACTTTGGCTCTGGGTATCTGCATAAAGGTTACCTGATGCAACACAGCCGGCAAACAAAATGGACATAAAAGAGCAAGTAGATACAAAGATTTCAGCAATGCAAAGTTCCCTTTCACTCCCTTTCACCTTCCAGCATAGCCGTCTCTGCCTTCGTAGGGTAGTCGTGGTGGTGTCGTCAAAACCAATACCAAAAACGGCTTTGGTGTACTCTAGAACGCGCGGTCCTGGAATGGAGCACTCGGCATTCGCTCATCAAAGCGAATTCCGTCGCCGTCCACAGCCATGTCATCATCATCATCATCATCATCCATGATACGGTCTCGAAAACTTCGCTTCTTGGAAAGCGTCTGAGATTGCGGAGGGGGCGCAAGAGTGGCAAACCCAGAAACAGTAGGAGTTTGTTTCGCGCGTTCAACATCACGCTTAGCAGAAAGAATATGCTCGAAAGCCACGAGGATGCATTTCATATCATCCTCGATCGCGACACTGAAACGACGCTGCTGAACCAACTGTGCACTCTGGGCGTGATTGATACCGAGCATGACCATAAGATATGCAACGACGACACCAGCAGAACGTTCATTTCCTGATTCGCAGAATACAAGCACTTTTCTCTTCGGCTGTTGATCGTCCAACTTCACCCCGTTCATCGCCAGATCCGTGCCATCCAGGTGGTCATTAATGCGTCGAATGGCGCGTGGAAACGCCGAAATGAGCTCTTGGTGATCCATGACATCAACAGTGTCTGCCATGATACCAAGTTCAGCCGCGGCCTTGTCGCCAGAGACGAAGCGCGCAAGAAAGGAGTGCCGACTTCGAACGGCAAGTAGTAGTGTAAAGCCTTCCTCGAGCATGTAGGCTTTATCACGTAGACATGCAGAAGAGCCCAGATACAAGAATGGGAGGACGGACTGAGCCTGGTGCCGCATCGCGTATGTCCACTGCGAAGGGCTGAAGGAGCGGGGTGTAATTGATCCGCCTAGGTCGACGTGATTGGAGAACCTCTCGCTGACGAAGTCACCCTCTGCAAAGTCATGAGTGCTCATTCCTCGCGTGCTTATGGCCTCAATGTCTGGAACAGCTGAGTGCGCGGCCCCGTAGTAGGCTGACGTCCCGAGAGGGCCTGAGGGCCTGGCATATGCTGGGCCAGCTGTGTACTCCTGAGTGCGAACATAATGGGAATGTCCATTCTGCGACATTGGCGCATCTCCCATACTGCTGCCATACACCTGGTCGATGGAGAGAAAGAGAGTTCTGACAGTGATGATCTTGATGTTTGAATGTGATATCGCGACAGGACCTGCTGCTTTGTTGACTTAGGCGAGGACGAAAGGCCTCAACAAAAGTAGATCGACGCGTGGTTAGACTTCAAGCTTCTTTTGGCCGTCACTGGGAATGCCTAGAAGGTGCAAGTTCCATGTGGTCAACGCGTAGATACAAAGAGTCGCGGGTGGTGTTGAGTGAGGCTAATGGCCATTGCAAGGTGGTGACAACCCTTGAGCGCGTAGAAGAAGCCGAACCAAGTCACCCGTTCCAAAAAAACGTCAACACCTTGGATAAAGCAAGTACGAAATGTCTCTCTATGAGGGGAGACGCGAGTTGCGTGATGCTGAAGTGCTGAAGCCTTGATGCCCTGGGCTAGTTAGTTACCGCCTTGAGATTAGGTAAGCCTCATTGGCATGATTGGATGGACCCGACCCGTGGACCCGAGGTCGGAATCGGATACTACTATGTTCTTTATGACCTGCCAGTAGCAAATCAAAGTGTTAGTTCCTGGAAATTGGGGGCCATTCCTAACTGCATGTCGTAGGGCCTAAGGCCTTCTCCTTGTCAGTCATAATTGTCAATGGGTGTGGGATCTGATGTCAGTCAAGGAGTCCTTTCAGCCACCGGAGCACTTGACTGTACGCCGGTTCTCGCTCGTTGGCTATAAATGCAAGTCCAAGGTAAAAACTGTAGCCAACCGAAGACTCGCCGGACGCCGATGTTATCAAGCAATGGGAGGTGATATCTGTTCATTTTGTACGTACAATCCATCCACAGGAAGAAAGGATTGTTCCGAAGCAATGCAACCGAACTGCGGTCAGTTGGTCGTCGTCATCCACGGCGTAGTGAATAATCCACCGGCTATTCTCTTTCTCTTGGTCTAAGAGGTCTTGAATTTGCATACGTCCATTCAGAGCCGAAACCTCAGGCTTCGTCATGAAGCGCCCAATCTTTCATTGCCAAGGGTAAATTCTTCGCCATTTGCTTCACAGTGGTTCTGGATTCCTTGTGAAATTGTAGCTGGCGGGGAACCTCGCCGCTTCCCAGCAATCATGTAGGATAGATAATCTGATTTACTACCTAGGTATGGTATGCAGCTTAGCAAAATGATTTTATTATCCGCTATTTGTGTAAGACAGACGTCCACTGCCACCCTTTTGAGAGCAAAGACACAAAAGCCACGCTGTATCTAAGATACACATGCATGTTTCGGATAAGGAAATGAATAAGACCCAATGGAGGTTCCAAAGGGGACGAAAGATATTTCAAGGTATCCTTAGAGAGCCTTGAGCAAGTCCGGGCCACAAGAGTAAGAGACAGTTAGGAGTCGCAGAGAGGAGGAATGATCGTAGAGAAAGTCAATGAATCCGAGTGTTGGTCACATCGGAACATAAATGATTGACAAGAAAGAGATTGATCATACTCAAGACTGAATGTCTCAAGTGTTAAAATAATTCGTAAAGAGCGTCTTGGTGTCAGACACAGAAATAGAGACCGCCAAGAGGGATAAGAGGGAAAATGACATCCACAGGAAAGCTGAAGGAGGAAAAATATGTACAGATCGATTGATAAAAAATAGACGCCCGCATTGTCGACAGTGGGGATAAGAGAAGGATGTAAGGTGATGCCTCAAAACAATTGCCAGGATGTCGCTATGCCAAGATTGCGCCGGAAATCAAGAAATAAATGGATAAAAACCAATGCGTAAGCGCGCACGTCTACGACTGTGGTCGTTCGTTTGCGGATGCTTCCTCGGTGGATGACTTCTCCTTGTCCTTCACTTTCCAGAAGTGCATCATTCGGCTGAGACGGTGGCCCTTCTTCTTCGTGTGCTCGGATGTATCTCCAGGGGGTTTCTCCTCCTGATTGAGTTTGCTCCGTTCGGCATGTGGTCCACCGACTAGTTTCGAGAGGCTGGCTAGACTAGAGCGCTTGGCGGCGTTAGCCTGGCTGGTGCGCCTGGTTCCAGCGGCCGAGAAAGATGCAGCACGGTCGGTGGAGCCACGCCCACGAGGGAAGAAGGAAGCTGCAGAAAAGCGGTTCAAGGTGTTGGTCATGGTCGATGCGCTACTGGTCAAAGATGGAACATCTTCAACCGATGCGTAAGGATATTCTGAACAAGGAAGTTGATGATACGAGTGACTGGAGAAGTTCTGATCAGTCATCGAGGATGCTGCAATGGATCGCGAAGTATCCGGGGATGGGAAAGACGAGTCGGACGGCGAAACCCCCGGGTGCAACGTGAATGGTGGAATGCTGGGCAGCAGTTCAACGGGCGATGTCGCCGGTCGTTTGTCGACAGCTAAAAATCGAGGAGACACGTCGGGACTAGGAGGACCAATTGGATGATGTGCTGGCTCCTCCGTCTTCAAGATCTCCACAGGGCTTCGAGGCTTCTTGACGAAAGGGTTGCTGGCAGTCTGTACCTGCTCAGCAGCGCTCATTCCCGGTTGCTGTTGGGAGATCAGTTGTCCACCGACTTGTTGAATGCCTAGGCCAGTGTGTTGAGAGGAAATGCTGCGGGCGGTGGGCCTGGTCAGAGTGTCGCCAGTGTCAGCGCTATCACTGCTGTGAGCAGACTTCGCATCATCCTCCGATGACGAAAAGACTGGATCCGCCGTTGATGACGAAGGGAGCTCAGTCTTAGGCGACTGGGTTGCAGCCAAGAAAGCGTCCTCTTCTTCCTCATCGAATACGTCGGGAGTCTCAACTGCGGAGGTTGGGCCAAGACGGAACGCGCCAAGAGCAGAGCGGTCGAATGGTTGCATTACCGGAGCACTTTCCGTGCGCCTATGATATCGCATCTCCGGGCCAACGAATTCGCCCCGTCTTCCACCACTGTACATCCGCTGGGTTGCAACCGAGAAGTTCTTATTATGCGCACCCTGGGTAACAGGTCGCATATCGGGAGTGTTGAAGGGGCCAAGCGCAGCGTCGAGGTCGATGATAGGGCTACTAAGCATATTGGCGTTGGAACCAAGGTCCTGTTCATAGAAACTTCTCGGTTTCCAAGATGATTCTAGCGATTGTCCAGACTGAGGACAAGCCCCGTCGTCTTGTTTATCAGTACCAATGGGCTCCAAAGCAGCAGGAGGCATTGCCGGATTAGTGGGGGTCCGGATGACAACGACATCATCGTTATCAAAATCCACATCCAAAACCGATCCGATACCTGAACTGGTCCGGGTAAGAGCAGGAGGACGAGGTGCGGAAACGCGAGGTACAGGCGTCTCCTCCTCTGTGTCTGCCTTTGCAGGGCGCTTGCCCTTGCCCTTACTTTTGGTACGAGTAAGAATGTGGCCTGCCCAGGAGCGAACACGCTTTTGCTTTTTCTTCTTCGACTTGAGAGGGGATTTGTTGTCGGACGTGCTACCCGTCGCTTCATCGCCGGATGTATCGGTCTCCGAAAAAGAAGGTCGGGTTGTGTCTGTCGTTTGCATATCCCCAGGCAAGAGTGTCGATTCGAGATGCGGGGTTGATTTGCTCTTTCGGGAGCGCGAATGCCCGGCGGCTGAATGTGAACGCTTTATAGAAGCCGAGTCGTCATTCTGCATCTGCATGAAATCCATAACCAAGGATGCATCCGCCGTCTTTGGTCGAGGCTTCGGTTTGTAGTCAGGCCTCGGCGTTAACGGGGCTGAGATATCAGGCTTTCCCACCGATGGCTGGAACTTGATCGTGATCGTACTTTCCGATGAACCGTGTGACACATCAGGCATTGGCCGTTCAACAGTCGACGTCTGGCTGTTTAGAGCCATCTTCTCTTGAATAGCGGCTGGAATAGGCGGAACGGGAGGAACGAACGCAGGAAATTGAGGAGATGCGGGAGGCGTGGGACGGCCGATGCTCATGGCTGACTGTGAAACTGGGCGCGCGGAAACATCGATGACAGACTTGCGGTTAGGATCAGCAGGGGTACACGGCGCACTACCTGTTCCAGAATTGGGGCCGAGCGCTTTTGTGATGGTGTTCAAGTCGACCCCGGAAATCGCAGCTGAACGGCGATGGGCATGGTTCCGTCGTCCAGGAACGCGGCCAACGCCCGGTCCGGGAGGTGGGATAGTCTGATCGATCATGGAGGACGCCCGGTTGTGACCTGGTCCTAGAGTTTCTGGTGTCACCAGGTGGTCATTTCCAACAAACTCGCTTGGGCGCCGACGGTGTCCGCCCGCTCGAGGATTCGACAAGGACGGGGCGGAAAGGTGTGACGATTGCTGCTCTGCTCCAGGATTAAAAGAAAATGCCGGTAACGCGGGTCGTTCCCGATGCTCGACAGTCTCGGATTGGCTGTCAGGAGTATCGGAGTCGTGCGCCGGAAAGACGAAAGGAGGATTAGGCAATGGTGCGTGCATATGTCGACGATCGGTATTGGGAGGCGACTGGTTGGATGTGTCGAAATGCGGCAGAAAGCCCGCCTGGGACTGCGGAAGCGAAATCGAGGCCATAGTGACGAAGGCCAAAAAGAGAGTGAAACGAATGAGAAAAAGGCAGCGGAGTGACGAGGGATACCCAGTCGCAAGATCCAGACGGACGGAAGACCTCCAGATCGACTTCCCTTCAACGACTGGAAAGCCAAGGAATCTGGAGGTCAAGGTTAAGCACCTCGAGCGAGGGTCATTGAATCTTCCGCACCAGGCAGAAGGGAATGAGTTTAAGTCAAATCGAAACGACCACCAGCGAATCCAAAAGTATCGAAAATGAACGGACGGCCACGACGAGGGCCAAAGAGCGGGAGGGGGAGGATGGAGATAGTTGGTCGTAGAGAGGTTGAGAGAGAGAGAGAAGAGACCGAGAGAACAACAAATCCAGGAGGGGAACCTTGGAACCGGGATGGGCCAGTATGAGATTACCATACACGGTATCACCCGTTCCCAGATCTGGAAGAACAGCAAGTCAATTATTGAGGGATAGAATGAACAAGATTACGCCAGAGCTTTGACTAGGTATTGATGACACTTCTTCTAGAATAATTCCTCTCTGTCTCTAAATTCACGCCAAGTCTAGGAAAGAGACAAGGTCATCAGTCCCTGGCGTTGGGAAGTCAGTCTCCCTTAGTAGGGAGATTCAGATAAAATACACAATACGGTAATCAACGTAGTGACTGGACATAAGTTTCCACGGCCCGGCCCCACACCCCTTGATTATCAAATATCCTGCCAGTCCAAAACCTAACTAGATGAGTTCATACTAACTATACTCCATATGAGGAAATGAAAAGCAGGAGATAGCCAGTATTAGATAGCTGTAATAAAGAACTAAAGATGGGTAGGAATAGGAGATAAATAGACCTTTTTTTCAGGTAACTACAGTACTCTGCTTTCTACACAGTAATTTTAGCATGGTTGATATCACTCGTTTTAGGTAGGCGGTATAAGTCCATAGGGACGGTGGGACAGGTGGGTCTAAAGGGGTGGTGAAAACTTATGTCCAGTCACTGTACGGAGTACTGTGCACATGGCATCGTGGATTCTCGGGGGAGATGCCAGATTGGGTGGGCATCTGCCTGTCACAACCAAAAGAGCAAAAGCTTTTTCCGTTTGAAGAATGTGAACTTTTCTTTCCTTCTACCACACTTTAGACCACTTGTTACTACCATCCATTCTGTATGATTCTCTTATTATTCAATCTCGACAATGGAGGACGTCATGACTTTATGTTGCCACCCAGAATACGAATACATGTAGTCCTCCCGCATAAGGTACATACCAATTGTACGGTTCCTGTAAAAGGCACCTTTCAAACCTGGGGTCTTCAAGGCACCAATCAACCAGGAGGCGCATCCGGAGAAAAAAAGCGGGCATGGATTGTCCACTGCCAATCGGTCAGCCTGAATGACCATCCAAATCTCGCTTGACTCGGTGGGTCCGGAAGGGTAGTGCGCCGCCACGCTGGGGGCTGCAAGTGAAGGGGATCGAGTACGAGCATATTCGGGTAGTGTTCATTGCCGGATGACTGGGGCCGTGGTAAGGATGTCATTTGTCCACAGTATGAAACTGAAGAGCCTGTCTCTCTTTCAACCTGTTTCTATGTGGATGCCGGGAGCGTCCAAGATGAAGCTGAACATTCAGTCTCCATTTCCTTTGTCTTGGCTGCGGAGTCAGATCGGATATAAATAGTGGCGCCAGATCTATCTTAGCGCCATTTTGACAGGGGGGACTGGGGAGTGAAGACAGATTTCCACTCAAAAGACAAACGGACTCCTGGCGTATCGGTGAGACATTATCACCCCCTGGCGTCCGTGGGAACCACCTTTCTTTGTTTGATCCAATGACAAATGGTGGCTTTGAACGGGGATTTGAGCATTGGGTTCATGGAGGCTGATCATTGTGAAATCATTTGGAGTGGCAACGGCAGATCCTAGTATTGAATCTAGAAAATGCCTGCATATGCGTTGGTTTGATAGTTGACGTGTAGGATGGTTCGCGCTTGTTTCTCACCATTTCTTTTTCATCGTTTAATCATCGTTCATACATTTGAACCAACTACCTCTTTAACTTCGACTAAGGATCATACAGTAACTACTTTGTGAATATTGAGTAACACTACATGTACCCGGTACAATACATCCTGCAAATGATATGCGTTCAAAATTAATTTGCGCTGCGGATCTGATTCGCGGACCCCAAAGGATCACCACACAAAGTCAGGTAAAGGAGATTACAGTATTGTACGATGTAGTAAATCGGGTTGTGAGACATACGTGGATACCTATGGAGTACAGATCTGTAAATCATACGATTGTATTGATCTTCCATGAACCGGCATGCCGATAATCCATGGAAATCCCACCGGTCGGCATATCGAAGACCTCATCCTTGGAAGGCTGATCGGATATATCCGATTCAACTTTGGTTCGCCGGGTGGTGATGTCACAGGCAGACTTTGATCGCATAAATTCCCTAAAGTGGGAGGTGGTCGATGAACCGATGGAACCACGAAATTGGAAGTCCGGGGCAATTGGTAAAAACCAGAGGTGATGGATCTTATGAACTTCCTACATGTATGTTGTGCTCCATGGATTATGTGCGTTGTGGCGGCTAGTCAATTAGCAGATGCCGTTTCATGACTATCTGAACCGCGAGGTCAAAGTATCTTGAATTCACTGGTGAACAATGGCAGGGCGAAAGTAAAAGCCAAAGAAAAAAAAAAAAATGCTAGGATGGTAATGCTGGAGACTATTCAAATGCTGTGATCCTGAATCAAACAAAGCCCCGGCCTATGGATCGCTGTCGGAATCGACTTCGTCGGCCTCTATATGCTTCTTCCGCTCTTCGTTCATCTCTCTATATGTGCTGAAGCTCAGCATGAAGAACGCCACCATGATCAAAACGCCCCCGATGATAGAGGCCATAGAAAGTGGGATTCCAGTTCGGAACCAGTCCACCAGAGCCACAAGGAAGATCGTAAGTAGAGCGGCTACCGAAGACAGAACGGGCGATGTGAGGGAAATGAGCACGAGGAAAGAACCGGAGAATGCTGGTATCGTGTTAGCTATTGGCTCACCGTTGACGTGCTTAATCGGTACTTACTGGCATTGGCAGCCACTGAGATAATGAGCATCCGTGCTGCTTCACCAGTCGGCCATTCAAAAGTCTCCCATCCTGTCCAGTGCAGAAATGGCAATGGGATCCACAGTACTAGCAAAGTGAAGATTCCGATGAGGCTGCCGAATGTGTTGGCAAAGATAGTCCCCCGGCCAGGGCTGGTACCTTCTGGAGGGCAGGCAAAGCGTTTGTAGAGCACTTCGTAAAGTCCATAGAGGATACTTCCGATGCCAATAACGATGTTTCCAAGTAGTCGATTTTGGGCCGCAGTGTCATCCGTGGTTGATCCTCCTTTCGAGGGCTTCTTGTCGGGCCGATCTCCGTAGGCGACGATCATAACGCCAATAGTAGCCACGGCCACAGAGAGAATCTTGTCCATCCGCAGTTTTTCGTTTAGCAAGGGAATCGAAAAGGCGTACGCGAAAAACGCCGAGCAGTTGTAGATCGCCGTCAAGTCACTGGCAGTGGTCATATTGACTGCCAGATACCAAGATCCACCAGCGATTGTGAGAGAAGTGGTCACAAAAGCCGTAGTCTTCAGCATGTAAGGAAATGGAGATCGACTGGCCGCACGCGGACTCAAATGTACTTCCTGGGACTCTACCATCTGGGCCGTGGTACGAAGGAAGAAGACGTGGCGCCGCCAGAAAGCATCCCACGAGAGTTTTCGTTTCTGTAGCCGAAGGATGCCTAGTTGGACGAGCCAGAGCAGAGACCAGGAGCCATGGGTGAGATAGCTGCATAGGGCAAGAAATGGTAAGCGTTCTACATTCCGGGAAATGGGCTGCGCATGGGCTTGTCGTCGGGCTCTTCGGGTTCGAACTTACAGCATGCAGTACGGCTTCTTCCAGTGCAATTCATTTTGAATATATGAAGCCGTCTCCGTTTGCACCACAAAGCTAATCAGACTGAGCAAGAGGAATCCCGAAGCAATTATGTACTTCTTGCGGGTTGCTAGGGCAGCGTCGCGTTCCGGACTTTTACTCCGGATTGTTGGCCGTCTGGAATGATGCAGCATAGGCTGGCCTTCTATGCTGGCACTTCTAAAGTTCGAATGAGACCGGCGATGGTGGTTATCATTGAGAAGCGGTTGTTGCGAGCGGCCATCAGTTGGCCGGTGCAGTGGGGGTCGAGTGAAAGCCATCTCGTCGTCAGAACTGAAATCGTGGACTGCGTCTGGGGCTGGAGTTACCCGCGACTCCAAGAGCTCAACGCTGTCCGAAGCCACAACGCCGTTTGTGGTAGGTATTATTGCCCTTGACTGGCCATGAATACCACCAGGGGTGTTCTTGTCAATCTGCTACTTTTGCAGGAAAATATAACGGACAAGGGACTGCGAGCCCGTTCAAAGGTCACTCATCCAGGTGATGCAAACGCTGTGCCTAGGGTTCGAGTGCGTGAGAGGAGTTGTCCATTAAGCAGACTCCCACGTGTTCGATGTATGCGGTGCCGCACTATTCTGCTGGACTTGGGAGACTGTTCGGCGGTCGTGGCAAGCTGGGATTCAAGATACCTTTGGCTGGTGGCTAGCGAGTATCCGTTTGAAATGAAGCAAAGGTATTATCCAATAAAGGTAGATAGGCAAGAAAACAACTGCCATGAAGTGAGACGCAATACAGTGACCACCTTCAGTTGGCGTCACAGGGGTCCCGCTTTTTGACAAGTGGAAGTTACTACTTTAACACGTGATACGCGTGGGGCGCACGCTACACCTAAACAGGACTAGCGCCTGCAGCCATGTAACAGGGCTATTTCTGGCCACGCCGATGTTGTCCTCGACTTTGTTAATGAATCGGAATTCTCGTTGCGAGTTATTCTGTGCAGGCTCGCACAGTATACCTTACTTAATAATTAGTGAGTCAGGTGTTTATACATGACCGCAGTTATCAGAAGTTTGTTCTAGTGAAGAGGGAAGTCGCGTGCCTGTAGGGCTGCCGCCTGCGAACTAGGTAATCCACTGGGCGTAGTGGCACCATAGGAGAGGAGAGCACAGGGATGGTCTCAAAGAGGACAAGTGTGTCTTATGGTCCTATCCACGCGGTGAAGCCATTCATATTACAAATGCCGAATAATCCGTGCACCGCGGGCCTTACTATTCCACCACATAGCGAGGTTTTCCCACTACACTAGGTACTCCAGCAGCCCAGCTTATTGTCTGAAGCCCGATGCGATGGTTAGGTGGGGTGGCATACCTAAATAAGTCAGGAGCTTTTCTGATTGCTTCTTCTGCACTACAATCGATAAGCATCACTGCTATGGATAAGTACCTGGGGACAGCAGCCTCCAAGATATCAAATTATGGTAAGCTACACTTTAGACTGGAACACAGCCTTCTGAGTATCATAAGTATACTTCAGATCCAAGTGCCAGTAGTTCGGGGAAGTAGCCTTTGCTACTAGCCAAGCCTGGTCCAAAGCTTGCACGACCTCTTCTGGGAGCAGACCCTTCTGGAGATCGGCAAGGTTCGACTCGAGCTGGGCGAAGCTGCTAACTCCGATCAAGACTCCATCGCGACCGCCGTTATCCATATTCAGAGCAGAGTGGTGTCGGACCCAGCGCAGAGCCGTCTCCAACATGGTGAGGCCGTGCTTCTGTACAACCGGTTCGATGATACTGAGAGCCTCGAAAGTGGCATCTCTGAAATAACGTGCGCGATAGTTGGGTCCAGTATTGTTCTTGTCGCTGTATCTGCCTTCTGCGGGGATATCCTTTGTTTTGTACTTTCCGGAGAAAAGACCACCGGCCAGTGGGTTGTAGATGACAATATCGAGGCCGTAACGGCGGCAAGCGTGGACGAGTTCAGTCTCGATGTTACGAGCTATCGATAATTGTGTCAGCGTGGTGGCCACGATTTAAAGCATGGAAGATAAAAACGGTAACACGTACTGATAGCGTTGTACATAGCCTGGTAAATAGTAGGACGGACCCATCCTCTCTCAGCACAGAGAACACAAATCTCGGCGACTTCAAAGGCTGTGTAGTTGCTCAAACCGAGCTGCACAAACTTGCCCTCCTTGTGCAGCTGGTTGACAGCCTCGAGGGTTTCAGCGAAAGGAGTCGCACGATCCGGCGCATGCAAATAGAAGATATCGACCGTCTCGGTCTGCAGCTCCTTCAAGGAAAGCTCCAGCTTCTCACGGACGATCTCCGGCTTGTGTTGGCCAAGTTGCTGTGGGTACCATTTGGTGGCCAGAGTCAGCCCGCGCGACTTCCAGTTCGCCTTGGCCGTGAATGCCTCCTGCTCTCCACCGACGTAGACACGAGCGGTATCGACTTCATTGAATCCTTGCTGCTGGAAGTAATCAAGGCATTTGTTGTACTCGTCTAACGAGGTGATCCGGGCACCTTTGGCCTCGGTTGGACCAAAGGTCATCAACCCGAGAATCACTCTTGGCTGGGGGTTCTGTGCTACGAGAGGCATGGTGGGCTTTGAAGGGCGTGTCTGAGGGTATTGGAGGAGAAACGAGGTGGGAGAGAGATAGGGAGGGGGTGCTGGAGCCGGGGTGGAGTCGTGATCTAATAAGCAGCCCTGGCGAGACCATGGATTAGCCGTTAGCCGGTTGATATTGGGCAATGATAAGCCGTTATGGCTATCCGGTATGACGAATAGACAAACAGACTTACCAGGCCCGGTACCTAAGTATGCTTAAGTCCGAAGTCACGAAATGTATTTGCAGTTTGCACATCTTTTGGAGAAGTCCTGGGGATAGCGGGGTTGCGGAGGGCCCCGATAAGTGATATCGACAGACGCCATAACAAGTTTCCAATATAAATATTTCTCCCGGAGAGGAACGGCCCCTTCTTCTATACTTCTATACAATTGTGACTACTATCTGAAAATGACTTCTACCGTGAAGCCGCAGTACGACACTGCCGAAATCACCCAGCTAGACCCGAGGAAAGGCGAGCGACAATATAGCGTCTTGATTATCAACCCCAACACCTCGACACACATGACAGAAGCATTGAAACCTATACTGGCCAGCATGAACTACCAAGATGTGCATTTCGACTACTTTACTGCTCCCGACTCCGCGATTGAGATCGACGGAGTCACAATCGAGCCGATCGCCAGCATTAACAACGCCGAAGAGTCATGCAAATCAGCATTGAATTGCTGGCCCGTACGGGATTTTATCGGCAATTATGACGCCTTCCTCGTAGCGTGTTATTCCGCACATCCATTTGTTGGCAGACTCCGCGAGGACATTAAAGCAAGCGAAGAAACGAGCTCAACGAGGAACAAATACGTCACCGGAATATTTGAGGCATCCATCACCGCCGCTCTTTCCTTGGTCAGTGGCTTCTCATTGGAGAGCCCCCTTGATCCAGCTAGCCCGCGCAAGCATCAGGAAAAGGGCAGCTTTGGGATTGTGACTACTGGCTCCGCGTGGAAAGAGGAGCTCACCAATGCGGTGCAGGCAGCGCTGGGGTATGAGGACGAGGACGGAGATTCTATGCATTTTGCCGGTGTCGAAACTACTGGTTTGACAGCAATTGAACTTCACACTACTGAGCCGGAGGAGGTGCGACGGAGGATTATCGATGCCACTGGCAACCTGCTGCGGAACTCGAGATCTCGTGTTAAGGTTGTCTGTTTGGGTTGCGCAGGCATGGTCGGCATGGAGGAAGCAGTGCGGGAGGGATGTATTCAGGAATATGGAGCATCAGAAGGTCAACGTGTACGTATTGTTGACGGGGTCGTTGCCGGTGCTGGAACCCTCATCACAGCTCTGAAGGCAGGGTTCTGAGTAGACGGCGCGAGGGTTGTTCAGTCGCAACACTTCGACACTTCGAAAAGGGCACATTTAGTATTTACGTAGCTGAGTAGATCAAACAATTGGTGTATAGTATTGGTTTCCATCCCGAATTGAAGGAATTGTGCTTCGTAGTGAGTTCGTACGCAGTCGCAGTGTGTCGGACTCATCAGGTAGCAAATATTCGCCTGAGGCAACTATCTCGGCCAAAAAGTTCCCCGCGTCAACGCGCTACGCGTTAACGAGCACCAACACTCGACGGCTTCTACGAAGGAAAGATGCCCAGGTATGTGATTTCCTCTGGTCGAAATTGCTGAGACATTTCTTTTCCTACTAAGGTGCTGATGCTAATTTCGGTGGAAATGTAGAGAGATCATCACAATCCAAGCCGGCCAGTGCGGCAACAACGGTAGGTGCCACACCTCTGTTGGCTCTGCTACGGGCCCCTTGACTTCCTGCTGTCTATTCGATCATGTGGAAACTGTGTTCATGTCGCTAATACTTGTCGATGCCAGTCGGTAGCCAATTCTGGCAACAGCTGTGCCAGGAGCACGGAATCAGCGCAGATGGAAACCTTGAAGAGCACGCAACTGATGGGGCAGCTGGTGACCGCAAGGATGTTTTCTTCTATCAGGTATGCCGATGAAGCCTGTATAAGTTTGGTATCTTGAAGGTCTAGTGGGAGACATAGCTAATGTACATGGACAGAGTGACGACACCCGATACATTCCCCGAGCCATCCTCCTCGACTTAGAACCCAGAGTATGCGCCCCCCATCGACATATCACACTGAATACGATGATTGACGCCATGCTTCTTCCAGGTCCTCAATGGTATTCAGACGGGTCCTTACAAAAACATCTACAATCCAGAAAACTTCTTCGTCGGACAACAAGGTATCGGAGCTGGAAACAACTGGGGTACCGGATATGCTGCCGGAGAGGGCGTGCAGGAAGAGATTTTCGATATGATTGACCGAGAAGCGGACGGAAGCGACTCACTAGAGGGCTTTATGCTTCTACATTCGATTGCAGGAGGAACAGGCTCTGGATTGGGAAGTTTCATCCTGGAGCGCATGAACGATCGATTCCCGAAGAAACTCATTCAGACCTACTCCGTCTTCCCTGATACCCAGTCCGATGTCGTCGTCAATCCCTACAACAGTTTGCTTGCTATGCGGCGACTGACCCAGGACGCCGACTCCGTGGTAGTCCTGGACAATGGCGCTCTATCACGAATCGTCGCGGACCGGCTGCACGTCCAAGAGCCTTCGTTCCATCAAACCAACCAGCTTGTGTCCACAGTGATGTCTGCGTCTACGACCACGCTACGATATCCCGGATACATGCACAACGACCTCGCCGGCATCATCGCGTCGCTTATCCCCACGCCACGCAGCCATTTCCTCCTCACCTCCTACACCCCCTTCACTGGCGCCAACATCGAGCAAGCCAGGACAGTGCGTAAGACAACCGTCCTCGACGTCATGCGTCGCCTTCTACAGCCCAAAAACCGCATGGTCTCCGTCAACCCCAGCAAGTCCAGCTGCTACATCAGCATCCTCAACATCATCCAAGGTGAAGCCGACCCGACCGACGTGCACAAGTCTCTGCTGCGCATTCGGGAGCGCCGTCTCGCCTCTTTCATTCCATGGGGCCCTGCTAGCATTCAGGTGGCTCTTACCAAGAAGTCTCCCTACATCGAGGAAACCGGGCACCGGGTCAGCGGGCTGATGCTGGCCAACCACACATCTGTCGCGACGTTGTTCAAACGCATTGTGAAGCACTACGACATGCTTCGCAAGCGCAATGCATTCTTGGATTCATACAAGAAGGAGGCACCATTTGCCGACGGACTTGGCGAGTTCGACGAAGCACGGGCGGTTGTGATGGATCTGATCGGCGAGTATGAGGCAGCGGAACGGGAGGATTATCTCGACCCGGACGCCGGCAAGGCAAACGAAGGAGTATGATATGGGATGTGAGATTATTTTGGCTACCTTTCTATTTGTCAATTTTCCTTTTTTTCGCTATTTGGGCAGGGCAAGGGGGGTTTCGGGCGTATTATCGGCATCTGCGCCGGCGTTGATTCACATTCACATTCATACTTTTTTTTCCCTTTTCTTTTTTCAGTTTTCTTCCGCCCTCTGAATCTACGCCAGTGCTCATTTAAAATTGACCATGAACACGTAGCTCGCGTAGAGCATGTCAACGTGGACAGTGTATTCCGATCCGCACTGTCTAGCGTGGTGTATCTGCAGCGACAGCTCAGGGGATCCGAGAACACAGACGATTGACGATGAAATTGGGTAGAGGGATCGACCCTCACTTTAGGCCTAACCATTTGGAAGTATCACACACACTAAACGGGGAACTGGGATGAGAGTTGGTGCAGGCTGTTATCGATGCAATAGCTCCACGCGGATCATCCGTCATGCTTAGTCGGCCTTGGCTTAGACGACTCATCCATTTCGTTCAACATTTGCAGAGGTCATAGCTTTAGTCTGCTAGCATTTGATTATTTGAATTGGACTCGATTTGGATATGTAGTTATGTAGGATATGTAGGATATGCAGCGATGTAGGATGGATATAGTAAGAGCAGTGCCTGGAGTACCGCCGCGCAGGAAGTCCGGATGAACATCTTGCCACTCTCGTGGCGTGGCAGGGTAACCAGGAAATGGGGTTTGGTTTTTTACTTTTTTTGCCTTGCACAGCGACCTCGGGAGTCTAAAATGAAGTCAAAACGAGTCTAAATCCCAAGTCTCAACGTAACTACTACACCTGATCTCTCTCACGTGTCAATGCACGGGCTCAGGCCCAAGACCTGGAGGTGATACGTCCGCGTGGTATGCAGAGGAATTGGGTGAAAGAAAAAGAAAATACTCCATAGTTACACACCATACATAACTACATCCCATGGATAACAGTAGAAAGAAAAAAAAAAAAAAAAAAACGAAAAGGCCAAAGGCCAAATATAGTCACCTCGTTGTAACTAGACGATAGCCTGGGGAAGATAAAGGGGTCTCCTCATAGTTCTCCCTTATGAGACAATCTTCATATGCTCTACTCTAATCTACACAGTAACTATTTAATCGATTAATCTATTAATCCATTCCAATAATCTCTGCTAATCTTAACTGATTAATTGTAAAATCGAACCTTCTGGGAACTCCACTTGCCTCCTCTGATTCCGTCACTGTCGCCTCACTGAGTCAGCCCCGTTTTCCTTAAGTCTGTTTCTTTGGCTCCCGTGTCTTCCGACCTTCCTATATATAGGCTGTGCTGTCTGCTGCACACCTTCTCTTCTCCCCCTTTTTCCCCCAACTTGCTTTCAACCACCGACCTTCCCAACTTTCAGTCTACCTAGCCCATCTCCCGCACCGCCTTGACCCATCACCCCCCATCACCTCCGCACTCTCAACCTCGGCGCTTATCTTCACCCCCTTCCAACTCACTGCGCAACAACTCGCAAAGCGTCCCACCGACTCTCGCACTCTATAAATACTCTCGCACTCTACAAACCAACGCTCTTCAGCAGCACCGGCATCGGCACGCATACTATCTATACCTATATCTCTATCAACCACACACACAACCACAACCACAATGCCTCCCCGCAAGCCCCGTTGCAACTTCAAGGAGTGCAAGGAAGCAGCCCAACGCATCGTCGGAGACTGCAGCTTTTGCTCCGGCCATTTCTGCTCCAAGCACCGCATGCTGGAGGCTCACTCCTGCACCGGGCTGGAGGACTGCAAGAAGGAGTCACATGCTCGCAACGCCGATAAGCTGAACAGCGAGCGAACTGTCGTCGTCAAGGGCGTATGAGGAGGGGATCACCAATCAGAATCGAAACCGAATGAAGAATTTGGCGCTGTTCGCTCTTTTCTCGGTGGAACAAGACCAGGGGGCGTCTGTCTGGTTTGGGTCTAGACCAGAACCGGGGTTCTGGCTTTGATGCCTTTTTTCGTTTCACCCTCCGATGTTCTGTTCTGCGTGTCTCGGTCGAGCAGGCCTTTGATTTCTCTATCTACATCTACCTGCCGGCTTCGAGTTGATTCGGTTCGATTCTTTTGGGTACCTCTGCCTCTGCCCTTGGTGGCGATCTTGAATTTAGCGCGGTGTTTCGTTTTCTTTTCTTCCTGCCTGGCTTATCCCGTGTTTTGGGGATATGGGGGTTTCGGTTGTTTGATCTATATCTAGATCGGATTGGTTTGTTGGCTACGGCTTCTTCGGTTCCGGTCTCGGGTTCATTTGCATGGCGTTGTTTCTGGTGTTTCACATTTATTCCACATTTATTTAACATCTATTTGACATCTATTTCCATCTGATTGTTTGGGTTATCTACTCCTATGGCTGTCTTGCATGTCTGTCTTTCGGGGACTTGAAATAGAGCTCATTTGAGTTGTTCTAGTCGTGAATCATACATACTCTTTGAGACTTCAGGTTACTCATTAAAGCATAGAGATCTCCATCGGTAGTAGGAAGTTCCTCCCTCCGGGATCTTATGGATAGAAGTGAGTCAATGGTTCCTGAATTGCCATAAGAATTGGATAAAGGTACAGATATAAGAAGGGCAAAGTACACCGAAACAACCATCTATCCCGGTCCGATCTTCGGCCTGTAAGAAGTCAGTATCCAATCCGAGACAAGAAAAACCTCCAAAGAAGCGATGAGAGCAAAAACATACATATCATGATGTTCACTCAACCGACTGAGATACTTATTCAACTCCTCAACCCTCTCCTTATGCGTCTTAATCCCCTCCCTCTGAAGCCGCTCATGCATCTATACCAAGTCAGTAATGACACCCAAAGCAGGTAGCTATACCAGGTAAAAGATTTACCCGTTTCCTCCTAATCTCCTCGGCCTTCCTCTCCGCTTCCGTCTTCGCAGGCATATCGCCCTCACTCCTCTCCTCAGACCTAACCCGCTCACCCTCTCCTTTCTCTTCTCTTTCACTTCCCTGGCCCTCGTCAGGAGTACCAGTCGTCGATTGTAACCCTTCTTCCTTCTTCTTGCTGCTGCTCTTCTTCTTTTTCTTCTCTACCCGCCCGCTACTCACTTTACTCCCTTTCAGCTTGAGTTTGCCTCCGCCGACGGAGTACTCGTCGCCTGCCATGTTTCGTGTCCGCGGGTACTAGGCCCGAGAGGTTATAGAGCCTAGTGTATCTCTCGGAGGTTGTGGCGTGGCGGTGGGAGGAGTGGGAGGTGTAGAGTGCGGAGGAAGATGGGCGGCGGGGGATTGGTGAGTGATCGGGTTTTGCGTGGTTGGAAGACAAGGTAGATTGGAGGGTTATCTGGTGTCGGTTTCTTTTTGGTTGGGTGTTCTGGTGGGTTGGATAGGTTGGGTGAGGAGAGTCTTGAAGTGGGTGGAGTTGGAGTTGGGGAGGTTTTTGGGGTTGGCCAATTAGCGTGCTGGGTGGGTTGGGGATTGGATTTCTTCAACGCTATGTACTGCGTACTACATGTTGTTATGTAGTATAGCTAGAATTCAGGGCCGAGGTAAGTGATTTATACGAGTAAGGTAGGATAATAGAATATCTAGCAATGTGGACGGCTCATCGATAGTGAAGTGCCTAGGTGGTATGTTCCAGCGTACACTATGGACTACATGTACTACGCATGTAAACTCTTTCGCAAGCCATCTATGAGCGGAGGATGCTCTTGGATTTGGGATTTGGGATAGACCTGACACTTGATCGTCTTAGGATCAAGATCCCAGACCTGCGGCCTTCTAGATCATCCATCCACGTATTAGGGTTGCAATAATCGTGCGCATGTTGATCCTCCTCCACCAACGTCATCCGCGCGAAACCTCCGAGATGTCTCCACTAAATTAGCAAAGTGGCATCGACTCTTGTTTCAAGCAAACAAGACATCGTTCTTGCGCCAAAAATAGATCACACATACCTAATGGCATCATGCTCTTGGAATTTCCAAGGTCCTGCAATCTACACACAATACAATATAAACAATTCCACTGATCGTACAGTGTTCATTAAGTTATTGAAAGCTCATCTCCAGACCTTAATCGAAAGGAATAGGACGCAGGTTCGATCCGCCCATACGCTTACGCATCTCAGCGCCCGCCGCCACGGTACTGGGTACCTTGATGCCGCAGCAATCACCAAACCAGTCCGAACTGTCATGGGGATGATCATGACCATGCGCGTGATCATGGCCATCATGCTCCTCGACACCACCCTCGGAAGGATCAGTCATGCCTTCAGCAGCAGGCAGTAGACTTCCGAACAAGAAATGCTGCATGATGGGAAGCTTCCCCAGCACTTCTTTAACAAACATCTTCTTCATGCCACTCTCAACCTTGATCCAATTCTTCGAACCAGAGATATCGTCCAGCATAGGACTGTGCCAACGTAGCCCCTTGACCGTCTTGACACTATCCACCCACCGGACCTGATCCAGGTACAGATAATTATCACCCTCTTCATCCAACGTCGCCGTATTGTGAATACCCAATGGAGTGATATACGGGTGGGCAACGAGCTGACTAGCTCCGAACAAGAAGGGCAAGAAATGATAGTCATCCAGACCCCAGACGCCATGTGACCCTGCGGGTTCAAGGTAGTAGGCGGACTGAATCTCGCGCATCAGATGCATGTACTGGACGTAGACTTTGACCACGACGGCGGGGAAGTCGCTGGCGGGAAGAAGCCCGAGCTGATACAGACAGAGTAACCACATCATGAAGTTGAGCTCGTGGCCCGAGCCGTAGTCAATTCGCTCTCGTGAGCCCAGGCAGTTGGTGAGGTATGTTGAGGCTTCGTCGGTGGCGCCGGCGTCTTTCAGTCCTAGGATGTTGGTGTGCCATGATGCGCTTTGGGCGGTTACATCATCGCACAGTTCTCGGAAGGCGGGGTTGCCGAAGCGGGAGCCACCTTGGTCGATTGGGGGGTTCTTCGCTACGAGGGATCGGATCTGAGCGATGACTGAGAGGATTTTGGAGATAGACTCGGATTCCTTTTTCTGGAGGTCGGTAATGGAGCGTCCCCGCACAGAATCGGTTAGTCCAAAAATAAATGCAAGGACAGCTTGGTAGGTCGGCGATGAGAGGAAGAGTTCATGGTCTTTGGGAGATAGGATGCGGCGTGTGGGTCGGCGATACTGGTGGGTAGAGAGGTCTGGCGGCGAAGGGAGAGGAGGCGTTATCGGCGCGGATTCTCGGGCATTTGGTGCAGTCCTGCGTGTATTTGAACGCAATGCTGAGAGTTTCTGGGAAAGGTCAACCTTCCCAGTAGGGGGCGGTAAAGATGATTGAGATGCCATTGTGTTGGTTTAGTGATGGGGAAGGAAATTGATAAGTCGATAAGTCGATAAAGAGCTTAAAACAGGTCTGACCGCCTACCATAAATGGAATATGACGCCACTGGCCAGAGGTGAAATGAAATCTTGGTTGCAGTATTATTCAAGATCAGACCAAATGCTCGTTTGAGTACGACAACCATAGAGAGCTTCATGTGAGGTCCGACGTCAACTCTTGAGCATCTGCATGGCAGCAACAGTCCTACGAAAAAGCCTAAGTGGGTTAAAGTGGAGCATGTGATCGCTACCCCGGATTGGTCAGGTGACCGAAGATCATCACAAAGTTTCGCGCCTTTGGCTGAGGTCACACTGCGTGCCACATGATGGCGACAGCACCTCGAGACTAGCAGCAGGCAGTGATCTGTAGAGGAGACTTTAATTCACCGGGTACCACTACCACATTTTCCAGCATCGCGAAGGACACCGATCTGGAAAGCTCACGTTTGATCCTTTGTCGACGACACATGACCCTGACCCTTCAGTACTGCATAAGCTCACTCCCCGCGACTTCGGCTTGGAGCATACCCTCCAACATCTGACCAGGCAACGAGCACGTTCATAATGGATATATACGAGCCATCGGCTTCGTCTCCGACAGGACCCAGCAGCCCTAGAAGAGCCCAAACCAGCCGCTCAAGGTCCCCAAACAACACAAGCTCAGCCCTATCCTCGTCCGTCGGCAGCACCCAGTCGCACTCAAGCGCTTCATCCCGAAAGCATGCACATAACCGGAACGCAAACCAGTCATCATCACAAGCAACCGAGTCCACGCCAATCAACACCTCCAGACAGAACTATCAATCCACAGAGCAAACACAAGAACCCCCCGCTCAGATCAAAGACCCCCAGCCCAACACCAACACCCCTATAATTACCAATGGCACACAACCCCCCAACACCCGACTCCCAACAAACATGGTATACCCGACTCGCAGATCGCTACGGCAGCCTCGAGCTTGAGAATAAAGGCAGCGTGGCACGCGACCACCTCGCACTAGGTACTTACCTTTATCAAGACCCCATATAATTGTTCCAAATTAAACTCTAACAGCAAGCAGAAAGAACATTCCTAGCCTGGATGCGCACCTCCCTCGCCTTCGCCTCCATCGGCATAGCCGTAACCCAACTCTTCCGTCTAAACAGTACCTCTTCCGCAAACACGCACTCCAATGCTTTCTATCCCAATCCCGATATCCTGCCTCCGCACCTCGCCTCGGAATACCAGCCAGCCGCGTTCCCGCCCTCTGCAAACTCCCGTCTCCGTAGCGTGGGTAAACCACTCGGGTCGACGTTCATTGGTGTCGCCATACTCATTCTTCTTATTGGGTTTCACCGGTACTTTGAGAGCCAGTATTGGATTGTCAGGGGCAAGTTTCCGGCTAGCCGGGGAGTGTGGCGTTGACGGCTTTTGTGGCTGCTGCGCTGATTATTGCTGCGCTGGCTGTTATTCTGGCGGTTTCGCCCGGAGCTGTTGAGGTTTAGCTTTGGTGAAGAGTGATATACTCTGCTTTCCTTCTTGCACTTGATACCTATTGCCTTTTTTGGGTAGTTCTCATTTGAGGCGTTTGCATGTGTATCCTGGTGTCGCTATATTTTTCGGGCTTTTTTCCATCTTTCAATACCTAAGGTACCTCCATACCTAGGTATACATCCGTTCTTAGGCAATCATGAAGAGAGGAGATAACCAATCATGCACAAGGAGGATACATTTATGCATTCGTGACCATGAGCCAAACAAATGGATATACATATCGAGATAATCCACAACATACGAGGCAGCCTATGAAGAAACAAGTAGTCGATAGAAATATTTTGCTCTTTCTGTCATAAACACCCGGATCCACTGCGCCAGACCAGTCTAGGCACAATGTAAAGGATGGGAAAACAGGCAAACCTACAAGATTGACGGTAGTATATCCACAGGGATGAGGGGGAAGGTGTAAGGCAAAGAAACAGAGGATGGGAAAAAAGACCTGGGCAAGATGGCTTGCAAACAATGCGAAGCAAAAATCACAGAAAAAAGGAGCAGACCCAGAACCGGCTAAATACAATCCGTCTATCGCGGGCCCAGCTTGTCCAGGGCACGAGCACCCTGTTCCTGCCATTCCTGCTTGCTCACCCACATATCCTCCTTGTCGGCGATCTGAAGGAAAGAACGTCAGTATGGGCTTGACACGGGAAGGAAAGAGGAGACAAACCAAGTTGGCAAGCACGGCACCACCCAAGAACACCATGTGTCTCCGGCGCGGGGGATCTTCGATGCGGACCTTGAATTTCTGCGAGATGAATTAGCCAATTTGCTCTGGTCTTCCCAACCGTTGCCCTTCGACTTACACCAAGACGCTCAGGATCTCCGCCCAATACCCGAGTGAGCCAGAGCTGCTTCAACTCCTTCTCCAAGCGAGAGGGCAGACCGGGGTACATGCTGCTTCCACCGCTAAGCACGATGGCCTTGTATAGACTGGAACGAACGTCGACATCGGCGCCCTGGATACAGTTGAAGAGCATCTCAGCCATACCCGGCTGGTCAACATCAACCAAGTGAGGCTGGAAGAGACACTCGGGGGCCTCAAAGCGTTCACTGCCGACGCGGATGACACGGCCATCGGGCAATGTGTAAGACTCGACCAGAACGGTGGTATCTTCGGAAAGCTTCTTGTCCAACTCGAGGTCGTATGAAACGTAGGCGAGCTTCTCCTTGATCTGGCGCACGGTTTCGAAGTCCGCAGTACGGTTTAGCGCGTATCCGCGGCGCAGAAGAAGGGCAATCAGGTTGCGAGTGACATCACGACCGGCGACATCCAGGCGCTTGATGTGGTGGTTCAGCACGGTGGACTCGTAGACGGGGATGATATGAGTGACGCCGTCACCGGAATCTACAACCACGCCGCTGCTCAGACCTGTGATCAGATCCAAATCAGTTTTGCCGTCCAAGTCATGTTCTTGTCTCGCTCCACATACCCTGGGCATACAGTGCCAGCACCGCCTGGATCGCGACGTAAACTCCACCAAACCCGTATCCTTCCAACATGACCTCGGCCATCTGCTCGCGGTTCTTGAGCGGGTTCATTGGCGGCTCCGTGAGGAGAATCTTGCGGTCCGTGGGGTCGATCTTCATCTTATCGTAAAAGGTGTAATTCCATAGATGCTGCATGTCGTCCCATTTCTTGACAATTCCATTTTCCATCTAGAGCAGCGCAGGTTAGGCATTGATGAGATGTGTGCTTTGCGGAGAGGGCGGGGTATGACGGTAAGATGAGGGCAAGAGCCTGAGAAACATACAGGATAGCTAATCTGGAGCATTGATCGCGCAGCAGCGGCTTCATCACCGCACATGATATCCTTGACCACGATGTCGCCGCCCTGCTCTTCCGTTCGCAAGATGGGCCGCCCCACTATCGAGGGGAACTGGTGCTCTGGGAAGTTCTAGCAGGAGATAATTAATTAGAAGGCAGCTTAGACAAATTGAAGTGATCCTGCGACATACCTGGGCGGCATAGCCAACCTTAAGGAAACCGGTTCCTCCATCGAGGACTGCGGAGTAGCTTGTTAGCTTGGAGCTGGGACACGGTAGCCTGGGGGGAATCGGTGTGTACCAATGGGCATTTCCGCCATATTGGAGGAATTCGTGATTCAACGGCTAAGTGTCAGGTTACCGTTGAGGGCTTGGGGTTTTGTCCAGGAACTCCCAAGATGTGCGGAATAGGGGGAGAGTTCAAGGAAGAGCGGAGGTGTTGGGGATGTTTGAAGTCGAGCGACGATGGACGGAGCATCATAACTTACGTGACCGTACCGTACCTGATATTCACCCCACAGTTGGGGGGTGAGCCGCTGTTATGACGGTATGTGACAGCATCGACGCATTCTTGGACCTAGGGAGCTCAGCAATCCATATTGAGATGTAAATAAGGGCTTGGATCTTGCAGTGCAGCAGCAGTGAGGTGAATAGTGTTCAAACCAATAGTTGCGCTTCCTACTTTAGTACATGTGGTACACCTCACATTAAAGGGGTACATGTATACACGTGGACTCGGCCACAATGGCAAATCAAACATGAAACATAGCAAAGGGATGAATGATATCTCTAAAGACATGTATTAAGGCTGAACTAGCGCAGTAGAAGCCAAAGACAAGCAATTTGGCGACAGGAGAGCTTCCCAGGTATCGGCCGATTCCGATCTCGGGAAAACACGCGCTCCACCAAGTGTTATCCTCGTCTTATACAAACTTCACATTGCTCCCCTGGCTGTGATATCAAGTCTGCCTGGGTGATTTTCATCGGAATATCCTCGGACATATCGACCTGAAACCCCAGAAAAGCAGTCAGTAGAAACGATGACCCGAATCGGCTGGGCAAGTACCACCTATATCATGATCCCAAGTAAACAAAACTAACAACATCTTTAGTATGGCCTCGGCTCCATGGGCCTAGCAATGGCCTCGAATCTCCAGCGCCACCTAGCAACAAAGAAAGCCCTGGGCATAATCTACTCCAACCGCACGATGTCTCGCGGAACGACCCTGCAATCGCTGGGCGGCGTCTCAGAGCCCAATTTCGAGAAATTAGTCTCCAGCTGCGGAATCATTTTCACCATGGTAAGCCCCAATTGCGGCCCATTTGTATCAACATTGACACCGCGACAGGTCTCCAATGACGCAGTGCTGCAAAGCCTACTCTCAACCGTCATGAGTTCAAGCCAGTCTCTGAAGGACAAGATCTTCGTCGACTGCTCGACAGTGCACCCCGAGACTGTGAGCGAAGCTGTAGCGAAGCTGAAAAGCAAGAACGCTTCGTACGTGGCGGCGCCAGTGTTTGGCGGGAACCCCATCGCTGTAGATGGGAAGCTTGTTTTTGCGATTGGGGGGCCGAAGCGCGCGACTGATGTGGTTAAGCCTTTGATTCAGGATGTCATGGGTCGTCGGGTTATTGATTGCGGCGAGGATGCTACTAAGGCTTCGCTTTTGAAGATTGCGGGTAATATTGTTACGGTGAATATGATGGAGGCTGTTGGAGAGGCTCAGGTCTTTGCTGAAAAGACGGGGCTTGGAACTGGGCCTATGGAAGAGCTTATTGGTGAGGCTTTTGGGCCCGTTGCTGGAGGGTATTCTAAGAGGTATGTTGGTTCGAAGGCACGTTGCGGTTTCCATGCTTATCTTCTATTTTTCTAGGTTGACGACTGGGGCTTATGCGCCTCCATTGGACTCCCGTCCTGGCTTTGGAGTCTCCCTTGCTATCAAGGATGCTAGACATGCCCTGTCCATGGCTAAAGACCAAGGAGTTCAGCTTCCTGGTCTTGAGCTTGCTCGTGCTAATATGGAGGCTGCCAGAGAATATGGCGGAGAGTGCCTGGACAGCAGTTCGATGTACGGGGTGTTGCGCCAGAAGGCTGGCTTGCAGTTCTGGAATGAGAAGAGCAGGAAAGAATGAATTGATAGTATAGGATTGTGAATTACAGAGTTATTGTTGCCATCGAAATCGGTATTTGCCTGAACGCCAGAGCAAATAACCATTCCAAATCATCTATTGACGACAGTTGCATGATCCCATAAACTGTGGCCTTTTCACGGCGTCAGGTGGCCATGCTTTATAACTCCGGTAGAATGAACATGAATGACACAGCAGCTTAGAAGGAATTTCCACTAAAAATAAATCGCTGAATTGAAGGTAATGGAACAAAGACCAACGTGGTAGAGGGAGAGGCCGAAAAGTAACATTAAGCCGAATTATATGGACTACTAATCTTCGGGGGATCGACTGCCGACGCCGATGGGGCGTTGATCTTCCGTTTCGGCTTAATTTGTGCGGTGTCTGCCAAAGCGGGATAAGCCTCCGCAAAGCAGGGCCCCAAAGACCAGTTGCACAGATTCCTCAAATGGCGTTCGAATACGGGATTGATGACCAGCTCGTCTGAATCACCAGCTGACAACAAACAGTCTGTATCCTCATACGGCCAATTAAGGCTGAGTTCGCTTGTGAACGGTATGAACCAGTTCTCAAACGGGTAACTCTGGTAGGAAGTGACGATCCGGTCACGCATCCCCGGCCAGGGGACGTAGTCCATCCAAGCTGGGTGCGGATGGAGGAGTTGCGTTGAGCGTGGTGTGAACCACTCCGGCAGTCGCTCATAATTCTCTTGTGTTGGATAAATCTGCCAGCGCATGAGGAGGAACATAACATAGAGCACCGCGACCTGTTCGGGTAGGGTAGAGATGTCCGGGAAGGTACGCAGGATGTCTGTGAATACCTTCGAGACTGGATGCGAATAAACGCTTTTCTCAGGATTTAATAACGAGGAGACACTGGGGTACGGCGGTCCGGCTAGTTTCTGTCTAGGAATCCCCTGGGCCGCATCACGTTGCCGGCTCTGGAGGAATTCCAAGAGAATGGTATCCATGGGGCATGTCGCTGGCAAATTCTGTATCGGTGCGGCGAATGCAGGCGGTCCATGTTCGGAGGTAGTAGTCAATGGATGTGGGTAAATGGGTGACGGAATATGCATCTGAGAAGAGCGGAGGTTCTCTGAGCTGCCGCGACGGAGCCGGTTGACTTTAGGAACACTGCGCGAAGAATCCAGAAGAAAGTTGAACCCTAGACGCTCCTCGGAGCCGAGGTCCAAGCCGTGGGTAATATTGCGGCGTTGCGAGTCCAATGCTACACGGAAAGAGGTCGTCGGAGGGCCACCATTGGTGCTGTTGCGACGACCCCCAAATCCTGGCGTGGAATGAGTTGGAGAAGGTGTGTCAAGGCTGGCATTGGATTCCGCATATAACCTGTCGCCTTGGAGTTGTGCCTGACCGTGGGAGGTGAACTGGTCTGTATCGGGGAATGGTGAAGTATGTGAAGGGGGCGGGGCGGACTTGGGTATAGCGTGAGAATATGGCGCATCTGTCTCCATTAGCTTGGAACGTAGATAATATTAAAGCGTGAAGCTCACCTGGTAATTCCGACTTCGCCATCAATGGTTGTATGATATCCATCGCCGCCTTAAGTCCTTGACGGAGCTCCGCGTTCTCCGACCGAATGGCCTCATTCTGGCGCAGAACTGCTTGAAGATCAAGATATGGCTTTTGTGATGACAAGTCTCGGACTTGTTGTTCCAGAGCTTCTATATGACCCTTGGTTCTTTCTCGAATTGCGCGCTGCGCTTGCCGGTCATTGGCCCGCTTCTTCGCTAGCTGATCGGGGGTGAGATTCGCAACACCTCGGGACGACATGCTGTTCAGCTTGCGCTTCCGCCCAGAAGTCGTGCCATTGTTTGCAGACCCGTCTACATCCAGTGATGTGGCTCGAGAATGGATCGGCGTGTCTTCGGGTCTGTCGAGGGAGGGGGAGGTTGCGATTGTCCGGGGATGTCAGGTGAAGGCGCCACATTCTCATTGGCTTCTGGAGCGCGGCTGGCCATGGCCTTGTACACGCGCTAGCGATTGGTAAGATGCCATACAAGAGGAAGTATTGAGGTTCGCAAGTTTCTGACACAAGTTGTGAGCTGTGGATTGGAGAAGGTGCAAAGTCCTGTCAAGGAAGTCATGTCTAACGTTTAAACTTTGGCGCGGGCGGCGGGTTCCATACAATTGGTTTGGGACTATCGCAAGAACAGAAGTACACTTGGACTCAAGACTCCATTGGCTACTCATATGTCGGTTGACGCCTTTTTCTTTCAAGGGCTATTAGACCCTGCAAGCAAAGGACCTAAGCTTGCAGGGGTCAGGATACAGTGGGGATATCGTCTGCGCCAACGGGCTCAGATCCCGAAATGGACCCAAAAAAGAGTATGATTTGAACTGATCCAATAAAGTACAAAATATCTTTAAGAGCTCCCATAGAAATTGGGAGAAGCTGACAATGAACATGAAGTATTGGGCAGCCGCGAAATCACACAAAAGACTATGTATACACGTAAGGATAGCGCCATGTCTAACAAGCCAGATAGAAGGAGAATATGCACAAGAAAATAGCTTTCGGTCATGTCGATCGTATTCAAAGGCTTTTGGAAATTCCAATGCAAGAAAGGGAAGACGAGGTATATGTGAAGGAGAATGATGATGACAACGGATAAGGATCATTGAATCATGTGGCCCATCTTCGAAATCTATAGCAGGACTGTTAATACAATTCGCAAGCGGATAATGCGCAAGAAACATACCTTTGTCCTCAAGTAACCCTCAATTTCAGAGCTCTTGATACCTCTCTGACCGCCAGTCCGCCATGCCAATGGGATCATCGGCACCCGCTCTTTTACAAGAACCTCCCGATTGGGGCCTTCGATAGCACGGACTTTATCGGGGTTATTCGTGAGCAAACGGATCCCCTCAGGGATAGAGTCTACACCACAGCCAAGATCCTGCAACATGGCCGTGGCCAGTCCATAGCTTCGGGCATCAGCGGGATGCCGGAGCAGAAGGTTGGCCTCGACAGTATCCGACCCGAGATCCTGGAGGTTGTATGCCTTCAGTTTCTCACCGAGACCAATTCCTCGGCCCTCTTGTCGCAGATAGATAATCACACCACCTGTCGAATGTGATGAGAGTGATTGAACCTCTGGCGGCGCATCGGAGGCAAAGTCCTCAACGGGGAAAGACATCAAGCGCGCCGCCTCGTCTAGCTGTTCGCCGCAATCGCACCGAGCCGACCACGCCGTTTCTCCTGTATAACACTCCGAGTGAATTCGCACCAGTGGTGGTTCGATCTGCTTGGGCGTCGAGACTGAGTCGCCTTGCTGATCATCATAGCGGCTGCTGACTCGGCCCGGGTGTAATTTCCCCATGTATGCACCTCGGATCATTCGATCCATCTCGGTCTCTCCTGGCCGGACAGCGTCCAAGCTCCGGCTGCGAATGTTGTTTCCAAATACAATGGCCAGATGTTCTTTTCCGTCCAAGTCGTTGTGATAAAGGTGCAGGAACATCTCCGCTCCGGTGGTCGTCGGGATCCGCGCCCGTACAATACATTCTACCTCGGGAAGCCGCGGCAGCAATTTGGGACCTTTGGCATGATGGCTCTTATTCTCGACATCGGCTGCCTGGTTTTGGTGGAGGACTGCTGTGGGATTCAAATCCAAATGTAAGGTACCGCCGGGTGTTGCAGGTGGGGTAAATGCAGGTGAGAGCAATGATTCTGGTAGAGTGGGAGTGTTTTCGCCTGCTGTGCTGCTCCCCTGACTTGTATTATCAATTGGCTGATCTACTCTTGGGAGTGATTGCGGGGGCAGCTTTGGTGAGGCGTGGGCCGGTAGATCGGTCATGTCGACTGTCGGCGGAGAGGCGGGGTAGTTGGGAGGTGCGGCGCGCGAAGCTCGCTGCAAACAAATTAGGGTGCAGGGGTGGCAATTGAATGGCTCATATACAAGCGATTGGAAAACAAAGGAGGATGAATGATTATGAAAAGGGTTCAATTGCGGAGTAGAATTGTCGGTAATACACCCTCGGCATGACGGGAGCTGCAGGATAAGGCTGAGTCATCTCGTTGTCACCGAGGGCTCCAGTCTAGCACATTCTCTCGGCCCCGGGCTTTTTAGTCAGGAGTTTATAATGATTACAGTTGGATAACTTGGATTGGGCATATCCCTTGATCAAATCATCAGAAGCAGAGAAGCAGAATGACATCTACTGGCTCAAGTGCAGCATACAATGATACAAATCGAATCTTGATTTCACTCTGCAGACATCAATCTATCAACGAAGCCGACATCGGGGAAAAAGTTGCGAAGAATGCGCCAGACTGATCACGCCACCAGTACCTAAGTAGCATGAACATCAGAAATGAACATGGCACGTCCATCCTCGATGTCGTGGCCATTCTCAAAAGCATGGAACACAATCTTGCTTCCATCGGCCGAGAAATCAACACCGCCAGCTCCGGTAACATGATCATCCGCGGCGTCGAAGTCGAACAACTCAGCATCAGGACCGTGAGCCTTAATATAAGGACCGGTGATCGAGGAAGCCGTCGCGTAGCTCACTTCATACTCGTCCGAGCCGTCGATGTCCGAAGTGAACGAAAGGTAGTATGTGCCATCAATCTTTGCCAAACTTGGCGATTCGATGATGGGCCGATGGGAATCATCGCTGGTCTCATCGTTATCGCGGGTTGCATGGATGTCGCGAGTCGCATGAGCATCATCGCGGGTGGCATGAGCGTCGTCGCGGGTCGCATGGTCGTCGCGAGTCTCATGGTCGTCGCGAGTCGCATGATTGTCGTCGCGGGTCGCATGGACGTCGCGAGTCGCAATAGAGTCATCCTCGGTCGTCTCAGAATCATCGCTGAAAATGTTGGAAGTGTCACGACGCCTGTATGAATCACTGCCAGTCATATGAGAATCATCGGTGGTATCCTCGGCATCATCGCCGAGGTCGTCGGCATCGTCGCTGAAGATGTTGGAAGTGTCGCGCCTATATGGATCACCACCAGTCATATGAGAGTCGTCGGTGGTGTCCTCAGAATCTCCGCCGAGATCGTCGACATCGTCACTGAAAATGTTGGAAGTGTCGCGCCTATATGACTCAGTGCCAGTCATATGGGAGTCGTCGGTGGTGTCCTCAGAATCGTCGCCGAGGTCGTCGACATCGTCACTGCCAGTCGCATGGTTGTCCGTCGCATGCTGGTCACCAGTCGCATGCTGATCGTGCTGTATCACAAGTGGGATCGCATCACCGACAGGAGTGACAGCGTCCGAATCGAGCTCTTGCAGCATGACCGAAGAGGCATGTGCGTCATCGTCGCCCACTTTATACACGATATAGTATACCCCATCGTCTTCGAACCCATCCGCATCAACTGCTCCACCCTGATCAAGGGGACAGACGAGCGCCTTGTCCTCTGGCACATAAGGACCTGTGGCATTGGCCGCAGTAGCTGCTCCAATGCAGTGCTTGCTAGCATCTTCACTCGACGCTGCGGAGAAATACATAACGAATTTACCGTCATCCTGGTCTACATTAGCAATTCTTATCTGGGTAAGTTCTTATGGGTTTCTCTATGCACTCACCCTTTGAATCACATCAGGTGCCCGGATTGAGGGCGAGGACGCCACCCAAGACGGGAAGGGTCCTGGCAGGGCATCTGATCCGGACATGAGATCCCACGCGGTGAAGTCGGAAGAGTTTGCAATCTGCACATTCACGCCGTGGGCATTGGACGCGAAGGCATAGTACCCGTCGTCGGTCTCGATGATGCTGGGGTCTGCGAAGTCACCGTCAATCGCACGGGTTGCCTGCGATGCGGCGAGTCCGCTTAGCAGCAGTGTTGAAAAGGAAAGTAATACCGTAGTCATGGTGACTGACGTTTGGAATTTCTAGGCTCTTAATCGCTATGCAATGTTGTTTTTGGTCTGAGGATTGGAAGATGAGTATCCGAAGTCGAGGAAGTATGTCCCTTTAAATACATCATTCTCGGTGCTGTAGATGAGCTGCTTCGCGAAATATCCACTGAATTTGGCATCGCTTTGTGCTCTTGACTCCCAAGTTGGAAACGAACTCGAGCTCGTACTCCAGAAATACGAGGAGAATGTTCTCGTGTCGAAAGTGACACTCAATCCATGTTGAGAATCTATAGAAACAGTTACGAATAGTTATTTCGTATTGCTGAAAATAGTACGCAGACTTCTTGGCCCAAACCCAACTCAGCTTGTGGGGGCTAAATGTATACGAACTGTGGCCGGGACACGAGAAGTCCAAGGCACTGCCTTCTTCCGAGGTCTGGTTAACATCCCTGCCATAGAAACCTGAATACAAATGGGGTGCAGTTTTGACGGAAGTGAACCTGACTCCAGCCCTGGGAGACCGATGAGAACATGCCTACCCACACAAAGTGAAGGCCTCCAGCTCGCATAGGCACCTTCAGCCATACCCCAGGAACTCCGGTCATCACGCATGGTTAACGGAACACCTGCAGTAGGTCGATTTATCTGCAAGCTATACTGCGTGAAGAGTTTATTTATAGAGGCTGATGTGGATAGCCCCTGAGCTTAACGAGCCTCATGTACGGAGCGGTGGAAAACCAGTGAAACAAAGGTATGGCCATGGGCACTGCCATAACCAACCCGGGGATCTTCGGTCAACATCAAATATAGATTGATTTCATAGAAAGACTATATCTCAAACCAGAATATCCAGTCAAGAAGAAAGCCATATCCATGGCAAGCCTTCAAACTCCAGATAGCGCCGCGCTTAAATGGTATCATCATCACATCAGATCATAGAAACAGAATGAACTTATTTGCCAGGAATGTCCAGCACAAAGCGCCGGTCCACTTCCATCTCCTTGTCGTCCTCCTCACCCTCAAACTTGAGGCGGTAGACATCCTTCTTTGCACCCATCACCTCCGCGCGATAGAAGGTAGTAGTATCCGGGTACCGAGCAAGAACCTGCTTGCCAGCCGGGAACGCAGGAAGGTGGGCGTTGATCTGAGGAATGGGAATCAGGGAGACAGCCGTGGTCTTATAAACTGCCCCTTGCTCGCCATTCTCATTCGGCTCGGGATCCTGCACATCATACCTGGACCCGAGATGAACCCGTCAGTCAAAGTAAAGCGAGCCAAGCGCAAGGCATCTTGACAACAGTAGTTAGACTCACCGCTTCTTCGGCCCCTCGCCCGTGATAGCCTTGATTATGCATTGGATCCCCTCACCTTCCACCCCCTGCTTATTCTTGTTGTGCTTGAACACGACCTGAGCCCCGACCACCAGCAACCCACTCCGCTCTGCGATCGTGCCTTTGGTTCCCTCCGTCGGCCCTTCCTCGACCTTGACCATGGCATTATCCTGGCGGCCGCCTTCGCGGGCTTGTGTGCTTGACGAGACGCTTGCGCTGCGCGGGACGGTCCCTTTGGAGCGCGCAGACTTGTCAGCCCCCGAAGCGCTGGGAGAATCGGTCACCGAGCCTTCGACCTCGTTTCTTTTCTTGCGGGATTTGGTGAATGGTGCTGACCGATTTGGTGGCGCCTCTGCTTCCGATGCTTTGCGCAATGCAGTAAGCAGCTCTAAATTCTTGATTACATCGCAGGGCTCATCTTGCATAATTGAGCGCTCGTCTTCGCTGAGTTTCTGGCTTAGGCGTAGCCATGTATCGAGTTGCTCATGTTCGGCCAACGTTGGATCTGTTTGCAGATTGCATTGTTAGTATGTGTGAATACACAATGACTTATTCAGCCCGTTCTGGTTCAATGGGACACGTAGCGCATAATGGAGTTTGTGTTGTCGGGTTATGGAGCCGAGGATCTAGATACTCCATAGTGCGGGGGAGGGGGAGGGTCACTCACTGTTCCCTTCAAGGCCAATTTTGTCCACCAAAGTCTTAATTTGACTGGACAATGAAGCTTGCTGGTCAAATTTCTCCTTGGATTTTCGAATATCCTGGCAGATCTTGGTCCAGAGCTCCAATTCCTCGTTGTTGCCGAAGCCATTGCCTCTAGGACGAGGGCGGTTGCGAGACATTATGACCTCTTCTCCAAGGCCAGATCAAAAAGATGTATACTGAACGCAGAAACCAAGAAGGTCACAGAACTGTGGGCTCATGCAACCAGATTCCAGCAGGGTGTTTGAAGGGTTGGAGACGCGGTGATAAGGGCTTCGGCCTGCGGGCGGTCGGGGTACATACGCTAAACTACTTTGGGATAGGCATCGTGTACATGCCTTTCAGTACAATTCAACGTTTTATACTTTTTTGTATGTTTGATGAATTAGAAAGAACGTGGATGGATGCATATGGTCATTGTCTCATTGACAAGCCAAGATCAATCCTCAATGCGAAGATGCAAGTAGCTTGAGATGCTTGCGGAAGTCCGTGAAGAATGACCAGATTAGGAACTCCCCCGCCTCAATATCTGGAGAAGAAACAAAAGGCAAAGTCTTTCCCCAACCTATACTTAACTATCAGTTATCGTACTTATCGTACTTATATCTTCAGTGTTCACTTGTTCACTTCACTTGTCTCGTCAAAAACAGGTTATAGGCCCTGCCCGCTCATCTCTCACCGAAGTCTTGGCGAGGAATTTCTAAGACATCTTGCTCCTCTCCACCTCTTTTTCTTCAAACATCGATCTCAATATGCAGGTACCACTACTTCGCTTGCAATGCGGTATGCTTGGACATGACCTCTAGTAAAAAGAACATGACTGACGAACTTCATAGGCGTCAACAGCTACGACTGGGGTAAGCTAGCACTACTCTAAATGCGTGTTCCCCGCACTGATATCCCGTAGGCAAGGTTGGCCAAGAGTCGGCAGCGGCCAAGTACGCCGCCACAACAGCTGCTCCGGATTTCACAATTGAGGCTGACAAGCCCTACGCTGAAGTATGTGACCCCACAAGTAATATCGAATGTGATGGGCTTACAGGACTTAGCTCTGGATGGGCACACATCCATCTCTTCCTTCCAAAGATGTCGAGACTCAGCGCAGCCTCCTCGACATGGTCCAGGATAACCAGGCCTTGATGTCCACAGAGATCAGCGAACGATTTGGAGGAAAACTCCCCTTCCTGTTCAAGGTGCTTTCCATCCGTAAAGCACTCAGCATCCAGGCCCACCCCAATAAGAAGCTTGCGGAGCAGCTTCATGCACGGGACCCGAAGAACTATCCTGGTAAGTGCTGTTTGAGTCTGTCATATGCGAGCAAATTGATTCCACGGCTAACATATTGTCAGATGATAACCACAAGCCGGAGATGACCATTGCTATCACTCCATTCGAGGGAGTCTGTGGCTTCCGTCCCCTCGCAGAGATTGTGCACTTCCTCCACGCTGTCAAGCCACTGCGCACTTTGGTTGGTGACCAGGCAGCCACTGAATTCGAAAAGCTCGTCAAGGGCAACGAGGATTCCGAGGACTCTGAAGGCATTAAGAAGAACAAGGATGCACTACGCTCCCTCTTCACCACCTTGATGGAGTCTCCATCCGAGAAGATCGAGGCAGCCTGTAAGGAGCTGATCTCGGAGGCAGAAAGCAACCCCGATCGTTTCGCAACCCTGTCCGGTGATGTGGCAACGAATCCCACCAACCCTTCCGAGCTAGCTGCGCTTGCCAAGCGTCTGGACGGCCAGTTCCCCAACGACATTGGCCTGTTTGTCTTCTTCTTCCTAAACTTTGTCAAGCTCGAGCCGGGCGAGGCTATGTTCCTCAAGGCAGACGACATCCACGCATACATCTCTGGCGATATCATCGAATGCATGGCGTCCTCCGACAACGTCGTGCGTGCCGGGTTCACCCCGAAGTTCAAGGATGTGTCCACTCTCACCCAGATGCTGACCTACCGCTACGCGCCAATCGAAGAGCAGAAGCTCCAGGCAACAGACTACCCCTACGCCACCCTGAATGCCACCGCCTACTCGAGCGCGTCATCCGCCATCCTCTACGACCCTCCCATCGACGAGTTTAGCGTCATCAAGACTGACTTGAATCGCAAAGGCGCCAAGGTCACATTCGACGGTATCTCAGGACCCAGTATCCTGATTTGCACACGTGGCAAGGGAAAGATCACTGTCGGCCCCAAGACGGAGGAGGTCCAGGAGGGCCATGTTTTCTTTGTTGGCGCTACTGCGGAGTGTATTATTGAGAATACCGGCAGCGGCGAAGGCGAGGATGATGTTTTCACCACTTTCAAGGCATTCTGTGAACTGCCCCCGACTGGTGAGGAGAGCTAGGTCCGTGGGTTGGTAGGATGTCGTTCTAATGTTTTGGCGTCCAGATGAAACACCTCGTTCTGGGTCCGCACACCTTTGAAGTGATACAGCCGTTCTCGAATTGGATGTCGAAGAAATAAATTAACTAGTATACAATATCCAGTTAATGTTTTGAAAGTGCTCAGGCTGTAGTTGCCATAGATGAACGTCCCGCAAAGGATACTTGAGACACTTCGCCCCCATGATATCCGACTCTTAGCACTGGCGTTATTGGGCTATCTTAAAGTAAATGTTTGGCAAGGCAGACTCGCTGTATCAAAATCAGTTTTGTTCTTCGTGGCCATATGTGAAGTATTATAGTGTGACTGATTGGAAAAGAGCTTCGCTCAGGCACCTCGGGCGCCAACTGGCGTAAGCAAAATCTATTTCCTCGGGGTGGAATTTGTTGCCAGTTGGTTATTACCGTTGTTTTTCTTTCTGGATGGTATTCTCAATTCTTTTGATGTGGATTATCCGAAACAAACCTCATTTATAGGTGAGTCTTCGACACTGCGCGCAAAAGTAGGCGCTGGGTGCACGATCCTCCCGATATGCCCGGATAGCCCTAGTCAGTCGCAAAGGAATATGTTTGATCCCAATAATCAAGGACTTAATACCTATGCACTCATAAATATAATAATTTCTATTGTGAGTCGTGAAACGAAGCATGTTTGATCGTATACCTATATAACTCCTCGCATGTCCCTGACGGGATGGTCCATAATCAAGGGCTTATTAGGCACTCAAAGGTTATACTTCTACTGTGACTGGTTAGGGCATGTTTTGCTCTTAAGTACGAGTGCTCAAATGTACTAGATATCCAGTTATCTGTAATTATCAGGCACTGGTAATACCTATGCTCTTGTATGACTGGCACTTTTAATATTGAATAGTCAACAGAGTTGCGCCAAACCAGACACGTCCTGTGCACAGGCTGTGCTTGCTCGGGCAGCCTATGACCTCTATCCACACTACTAAGGGGTTGACACTATGTTTCGAGGTTGACTCGGTGATAGCTCAAGATTGGTTAATGTGCCTCTACTCTCTAGCGATGAGTAAACGTGCCCGTGAGGCTAGGAGCTCTCTGTAACCCCGGAACCAGGGGAGCTGGTGGCCATCAGGCTCAGGAGCTGGTTGTAGTTTCAATGAGGCTTTCGTATATTTGGTTTGAATATATGGATATTAACCTCGTGATCGAAATAAAAGTTGATCTCCCAACTCCCTTGTGTCCGACAACTCGTCTTGAGAGCAGACCACTTAATTTTGACCCAAAACTATCCCACTACATTGATGTGAACACCGTGAGAATGGCATCCAACCTGGGAAACATAGCTAGACAACTTCTATCGATACGAGGTATACGCCACTGGCCATTACTAACAAGTACGGACCGACACGACGCTTTGTTGTCTGCGACGATGTCTATCCTGACAGAAACCCCCGAGCAAGAGACGGAGATCAACTGGTCAACTATTCACAGAACTCCTGACATATCCATCCATAAAGCGTTGAACATACACGACTTTTACAGGAAAGTCACAAGCGGATCATATGAACACTTCGACATCCCCATTGAATTTGTCGTCATGCTCAAAGAAGCAGCTAAGTAGTAACCCCCTTAACAGCTAAATGTAATGGCGCATTGCTAATGATACCAAGAGCGGCATGCAAGAAAGGCTACCTCAAATACGCATTCGACTTATTATCGACGGCCGAGTTTACCTTTGACCAATCCTGGCATTACATTCAGGGAAACACGCAGACCAGAGCAGAGGAACATATCAGTGTACACTACACGCATGCACGAATCGCGACTCTATTTGGGGATTTCAGGAAAGCCCGCAAACATGCTAACAAGGCATTGGAGTGCTACTACAGCGGCATGGCAGACCCTAGCTTTGTGATAAACTACCCAGTATGGATCATCTGGGGTGCTCGTGCGGAAGCCATGAGCGGTCTACATGTAGACCACAACGGAACAGCCAAACGGTACTATCGCCAGGCTCTGGAACTTAAGCCATCCAGCGTCAAGTTCAGCGCCTGTGAGCTGGACTTATGCAGGTGTTTGTTTGAGCTGGGACGATGGAGGGAGCCGATTGAACGACTGGAAGCTTTCATTGAACATCGCGCGGAATTATTCGGCCCTGATGACTCGGGGGACTATCTGTGAGTTGCTTCTGATCAATACACAGTACTTCAGGCATTTGACTGATGAGTAACAGGGTTGGCTATGCTCTTTATCTGTTAGGCAATGCCCATATGATGTACAAACCGACCATTGATGGGGCGACTGATATCCGCACGATTGAAGAAGCATTGAACTTCCTCAAGCGGTCCCTTACATGCTTCAGACTGTACTTCGGTACCACACATTGTTGGTATGGGGCCGTAAACGACAAACTGGGACTCCTCTATACCGATCTAGCCGCCGCAAACCCACAGGAGTCGCAACAGTATTCCCAGAACGCGTTGTATGTTCCTCTCTACCCCTCTGTATGGTATCATGCTAAGTCGGTGATTTTTAATTATAGGAACCACTTCCGTGCAGCGTTGAGAGCCTTCGGATACCAGAGGAATGCTATTAACTTCAAGGCTGAATGTGCCCGCGTCTTGTACCATACAAGCATTTTGATGGATAATATGGGAAAGGACGCAGAATGGGAAGAAACGCTTATGGAGGCTGATGCTTTGCAATGGGATATCACGAGTAGCGGAGGCTGGAATTTTGAAGGAGCATCGGCCGCCGAAGTTTACGATGAGATTGTTAATCCGTTGTTTCGTTAGGGCGCTAGCATGAGGCTCGAACTGTGGACTTTTCATCGGTCTTACTATTATGTTATGGAATTGCTTGTTAATGGGTCCTAGGTCAGATCAGATCAGTTAATTTACTTGGCGGATCAAGTGGACATCATATGCTTTAGATATCGTTGTGTTGGGCTCTAGCGCTGACATTTACGCTGCCACATCACACATGGGTCATCGGTATGTTTAGTATGCTTACCGGGATGAAAATGTCAAAGTTTGACAAATTGTTCGACAGCCAGTATTTACGGAGTGCGCTCTTACCTCAGACTACAGGTAGATTCAGCGTCCCAATCAGGTTAGCGTGGTGGAATTTCATAAATTCGGCAGAATCAAAGGCGGTAGTCTGAGGTCACTGAGGCAAGCTGCTACCCAGCCTTTCCACCTGAACCCCTTAGACAGAGAAGAACAACCAAGAAACACCATAGCAATCGGAATCCGATACCTGTGCAAGCAATTGCAACAACCTGCCCTTCGTCTGAGACAAGCAGGCAGTAGACCTGCCAACACTGATCAGTGAGGGCGAAGTTCCGCACGAAACATCTTTCGAGTTCAATGGCTGCAGACTGTCCCAGGAAGGGAAGTACATCCACCTGAGGCAAAAAGGTCAAGGAGCGAAGATCAAGCTTATCGATCTGAACGACCAAAGCATAGGCCTCGATCGAGGTTCTTGATCTGCCATTCAAGGCGAGAGTTCAGTTGGATGTGGTCTTTGTCACTTGGCTTCTGGGCTTGTGTGGCAACTTAAAGATCGAAGGCGGCTTCGGGTTGACATATTGACGCAATGTATGCACCTCGTGCACGTTGCTCCAAATATCTCTGCGCCCTGCTCTGGTCGTTCAGATCGATAGGCTTGATCTTCGCTCCTTGACTTTTTGCCTCAGGTGGATGTACTTCCCTTCCTGGGACAGCCTGCAGCCATTGAATTCGAAAGATGTTTCAGGCGAAAGTGTTACCGTTTGTTTCGTGCGGAACTTCGCCCTCTGGATCTCTTCTTCTTCTTTGGCGACAAACGTCTTCGTGCCCAGAATCAACGTGTCGTCAGTCTGCATGCCAACCATACCAAATCCGTCCTTTTCCCTGAACGTACCACCCAAATGGGACCGTTCACTGACTCCCGAGGCCAGGGACCCCATCAGGGAGAATACCGAGAACCACACGAAAGACAACCCAGATGACTTCAACTTCGAATGGGAACACGGAGGATACCGACGAAACTCCCCAGAGCCACTGTGGTCGAAAATGCTCGACAACGTGGTCAAATAGTACAACGGGAACGCTGAGGACAAGTATGGGGGAGAGCTGTGCGACAACTTCGAAGCCAAACTTGGTATCTTTTACGACGTTTGCGCGAGCGCCGGCTTACCGGAACACCAATTCGGCGTCGCATTCCGGCTGATGCTCGTAGGAAGGGCGAGGGATTTCTACATCTTAAAGATTAGGGGAAAAGTGAGGGAATTTCCCCTGATGGTCAAGATGATGAGAGAGCGCTTTGACATGGAGGAGAACAGACAGAGAGCGACCACTATATGGAGGGAGGAGCCTGCGGAACCAGATCATCGCTCGGATTCACCTGTGGTCTGTGAGGTTTGCAAGCTTACAAAAGCAAAAAAGCAAATCTCCCGTCGACCCATGCTCTACAACAGACCCTTCGAGGCCCTCCACTGGGACCTCACTCACTTTGATCAATCTCTTGCGCGAACGCGCTACTTCTCACACTCCGTGGATCCCGTTACCCGCTATCACCTGGGAGAGGAGAGATTCAGAGGACTGTTTCTTGTCGGAGAGGTCCTCTCCCAGGTGATAGCGGGTAACGGGGTCCACGGAGTGTGAGAAGTAGCGCGTTCGCGCAAGAGATTGATCAAAGTGAGTGAGGTCCCAGTGGAGGGCCTCGAAGGGTCTGTTGTAGAGCATGGGTCGACGGGAGATTTGCTTTTTTGCTTTTGTAAGCTTGCAAACCTCACAGACCACAGGTGAATCCGATGCTTGCAGAGGTGTCGAGGAGTGCGAACTCTGCCTATTTAGGCCATCGAGCGAGCTGGAGGGGCTACAGGCGGAGCTGCGATCAGCAGTTGCTAATGCGACCATTCTACCACATTCCGGGCAATTCCAAGCTTCTGAGGAATACGACGCGTACGATCATCATTGGACTGACCGTACATACGGAGGAAGAGGTCATGGATACAACCGTGGGGGCTACAGCCAGGGCAGGGGAGGCTATGGGTACGGAAACAACCGTGAATCAGGACCACGAGGAGGATACCGCGGAGCACGACAGGGAAATGGAGGAGCTCGTCAGAAGAGATGCTATATCTGCGGGAAACCAGGATGTTGGTCCAAGTATCACACCGGACACGAACGGAAACGATCTCTCGACAACTTCCCCGAGCCGCACTTCTTTGCGACGGGCGAGTCAGCCACACCGCCGGACTTTCAATTGTTCCTGAGCGAATTTGAAGGCTCAGAGGAAAAGGGAGGCCCCGACGACGATGATTCGCATGGCCCAGAACAGATGCTCGCGACCATGGCCATTGATGACGAGCACGAGGGGTTCATGACGGAAATTGGAGAAGTCGACGGAACAAAGACGATATCTATCCTGAATAACCAGTCGACATACCATTTCCTCACCAAGGATGATATTTTCCAACAACAGCCCGACGGACAAACTACGGAAGTGTTCACACTCGACAATCGGTACTCGTCTGACAATTTTCAAGGCATCATGCCAGACACTGGAGCCGCCGGATGTTCATCCGCTGGTGAACCTCAGTTCAAAGCACTGTGCAGACTGGACCCGAGCGTCAAACAACTGGATACTTCCCGGGCCGGGGAACATAAGATCAATTTTGACGACGGAGACCCCAAACCTTCCTTAGGGACTGCCGATGTCGACACATCGATCGGCACAATCTCGTTCCATGTCCTCCCACGAACACACCATTCCTCTGCTGCTTCAAGGATATGGATGCTATGGGAGTGGAACTCCGGAGCAAAAAGAATGTGCTCGAACGAGGGGACAAGAGAGTTCCCGTTATACGGAAGTGGGGACGCCCGTGGATGTGATGAATTTCTCCAAGGCTCTGTTCGGATCTGCCTTGGTCATCACATCCACGGGCGTCCCCACTTCCGTATAACGGGAACTCTCTTGTCCCCTCGTTCGAGCACATTCTTTTTGCTCCGGAGTTCCACTCCCATAGCATCCATATCCTTGAAGCAGCAGAGGAATGGTGTGTTCGTGGGAGGACATGGAACGAGATTGTGCCGATCGGGGTGTCGACATCGGCAGTCACGAGCCAACTAGCAAGGGGCTGCCAGTTGGCCTTGGAAGCGCTTACTGCGATTGCGGTGTATTACCAACACTGTTGCAATAAATAGATGTAAGGCTACCTATGTGAACTAGAAATCAATTGCAATAGAGACAACAATGGATCTGGGATGCGGCTGAAACATCAAGTGTTCAAATGTAGACAAGCTCCTCCAATTTCCCACGAACCAACTCTTTGTTTTCGTCCGTCCAAAATGTCCCAGGTTTGTTGATTGCCTTGATCTCTTCTTGAAGTACCGCATACCACTGGGCTGTACCAGATAGACCAAGCTTCGCGCAGATATTTGTCACACGCGTTATCCAGAATAGCCGCATGTTTTCATTGACCAGTTGGTTGGCGGCATAATCCATCAAGAGTAATTCCTCGTTCAGATTTTTCTTCGCATTCTTCAATGCCTCAGGCCATATCTTATTCAATGATTGAACGGCCCGATCATTTTGGTCATCATCAAGATCGGGGCAGCTAGAGGCAACCGCCATTGCGAGCTGAAGCATCCACGCACACTCTTCATAGCTTTCATCCCTATGGTACATCTAAGCTCTGGTGAGCAGGGCTGCAACTGCTTGACTGGAGATTGTCCGCAGGATACAGTCTTCCTCTTCAGAGGATGCATTGGAAGTGCTCTCCTGGCGGTATATCTCAAGTATATGAAAGATCCCAACCAGTGACTCGTGTGCTGGAGATGCATGTTCGAAATTGTAATGACGCAGTCCTTCCAATTTCTTATGCATCAATGGGCAGACTTCGTCGGCGAGATCATAAGCTCTATGGCTGCGCAGGTCACGAGCGAAATTATGGAGAATTTTGAACGACCATTTTGAATGGTCAGAGCCTTTGATGGCTGACACTCCTGAATTCTCCCATATGCTGCGCATGTGAGAAAACAGCCATTCCTTGCAGCTGAGTGTCACTATGAGCCCGGTCAGGCCCGACGTCGACTGAGAATATATGTAATGTATCGCATCCTTTGCTAGGTTGCCTAGCCATTCTCGCAATTTGTCGTGTTTATGGCCCCTTATTCGCTTCTGGATTGATTCACGAACTCTTGGCTCGATGGCAAACCTATAAAACCGTTTCTCTGTGCTCAGGTGATTCGGTTTGATAAGTCGCACAATCGACTTCTAATGCAGATAATCAAACACACGTCGGAAGTCTTCCGAATCCCATTCTCCGGTGGACTTGGTGAAATGACGGCCCCATGGAAACAAGTAATGAAGGCCGACCTTGGAGGCAGCAGCGGCCTCGCTGAGCTTCTCAGTGAGAGACGAGCAATCAAACATAGTGTAAAAGGCCAGAAGCAAGAAAGTATGAAGGCAGGTCCCTCGCTGGAGTTCTGCTATATCATCATCAAGCGTGTCGCGAAGGCGTTTTTCGTTGTCCTTCTGATTCGATCGCAGTAAGGAGATGCCGGACCTCATAATGGCCGAATGCTTCTTATATTCTCGGAAGAAAGAAGAAAGGTCAATGAGACCAAAATGCAGAATAAGCTTCGTGGTTTGTACGAGGGCCAAAGGTCGACATCCCAAGTACTCAATGATCTTCAATGCTCTCGCCTCCATGGTAGGCGTTCGAACCCATTCTTCGTGGGGTGACAAGAGCCCGAAAAAGAGGTCCAGGGCATGACCTTCTGCCAAGGGATATAAGTAGTGGAAACCGACATTCGACATCGGATCCACGAGATGGAGCAAATCTCGTGGAGCAAATTCTCTCGAGTCGCTCCCGAGTTCAGGCAAGCCAGGTCGAGACGCCGACTCGTCAAGAACATTGTTCCATTTGATTTCCCGCCGCGGGGCATCAGTCCCTGCACGTTCGCAATGTCTTCGGGGAGGTTGTGCCCGTCCCAAACGACATCATCCCAAACCATCAGCCAAGGGTGCGACAGATTCTCAATAAACTCGACGACCTTGTTGGCCATGGTATAGACAGTATCAGATTGGGAACCGAAGATCATGCCTGAAAGTTGTGCGAGGCTTTCCAAGACAGATTTCTGATCGGTACCATCAATCCAAATATTGCGTGATATTTTCCCTCCTGCCGAGCGCGACGGCAATATTCCCAAACGAGACGTGTTTTACCCTGGCCGCTGGTGCCAATGACTGCAGTGACATTCTTGAGCGTGTCAGTGGTCGCTTTTCTCGCCTCAATCATGGCATCGAGTTCCATGAGATCGTCGTCTCTCCCAATGAACGGGCCGACGTCAAACTCTGGGGTCTGGGAGTATCTCCAATCCTCGGGTGTAGGCTCAGATAAATCCATCATGTCGCTTGCGAGCGGTATAGAACTCAGAGGGTTGAGAACAAAATATCCCCGAAGCTTCTTGGAGTCGAGGGTTTGGTATTATCCGGAAGTAATAAGCTGGAAACGGAAGAAGACAGGAAACTCGAGCCCATATTTAAGGTACATCAACCTACGCTGTGAGCCAACGTAGTTGCAGAGGAGACCCGGTTCAGTGTCAACAGAATAGGAAATATGGCGGACAAGGACTGCGACGTACATAGCTGCAGTACAGCAGATGGTGATGAGGTACTGACATTGTTAGGTTTGATATCCCGGACGCCCTAGAGTTGTGATGAGCAGCTGCCAATTAAGGCGTAAGACTCGTCAGTACTTGCTGAAAAACCAACAGCTTCACAGCTAATATGGATTACCAACAGCATGAAGCTTTGGCCTCTGGCGGTTAATAGAGCATTCTTAGTGTTCGAGACACTGGGTATCACATGCCACATGCTCACACATATTTCCAACCTCCCAGTAGCCGTTGAGGGGTTTTGACCGTGGTGCGAATGAAGAGAAAGAGAGTTGGACTGCCAAGGAGACTAGAAGTTGTGGTTGCCTGAGGCCAACACTACACAACCTCAGGCTACTCACCAGTTGGCGGTTGTGGTGGTAGGTTCTCGGCGCCAGTGGAATACAGATATCTGATCGTATGTAGGAGGGTTTGCGGACCGATGTTGGGTATGTGAATTGATTCACAAAGGCCCCCATATATCTCCGTCCACAAAGTCTTCACTTGCTTGTAACTTGGAGTCCCGGAATATCCCCTATTGTGCTCAATGTAAAGAATCACCTCAAGGGCGAGTACCGCCATTCTCCATTGTTCAGTTCGCGAAAGCTGGGCCTGGATCCATTCTTGAGTTGCTAGAGGCATCGCAGGGCGTTGGGATCTCCAGTGATACGTCAAAGCCGAGGAGTTAAGGAGACCTTCAATCACCCGGTCAAGCTCAACAAGCTTCGTCCATTCGATACTAGCAGCATCCCAGTAACCACTCTCCGGACGGCGGATCTCCGCCCAAGGGAATTCATAATCGGTGCCTCTTTTGAGCTCATAGGCCAACTTCACGTACTCCGTGTCGACAGCATAGGAAGAGCACCGAAACATGAACAACAACGCCATGATCGTGCCTCGCGTTGCTCCCATTCTTCCGAACGAGGCACTCAACGCGTCATGGAGACTGTATGGCTGGTTCAAGTTTAGCCCCGTAAACCACCATTTGAGCACTATGTCATTCAATTCGGGCCGGGACCCTTTCTCATCAAAGAAGGTACAATCAGTGATATGATGTTCTTGAATGATCTGAGTTGATTCCATGACAGCCGGAGGAAAACATTCAAGGCTGCCCACTATCGCCCTGGCCTCCGTGTTCTCCGGTGACCTGTGTAGTGTGTCAGGGAAAGCAGTCAAGCCGTAGAGAAATTCCAGCGCATTCGCCTTGCTTGATACAGGCAAGATGAAATGCTCCGTCAATATGCGGCTACCGGCGTCAACCAGCGGTTTGTTCTCGGCCGGTGTGTCGACCAGACGCACCAGATCCCGGCAACAAGTCGTGATCAAGACTGTGCCACGTTTCTGGGGCGCAACGGTCAGCGCGGCCAACCATGGTTGGTTGTCCTTTGTGGGCAAAGGCGGCTCCGTGTTCCAACCATCGATGATCATAAGCCAGCAAATAGGCAGGTCTTTGAGGATCTCTAGAGCCCTCAACGCCTTCCACTTGTCGACAGGGACTCCGTCAGGGATTACTTTGGAATTTGCAAACTCGTCGAAGATTATTGCAAAGCTCTCAGCCATGGTCTCCCCATTTCTGGCATCGATCCAAATGGTCTCCTCGTATGTGTTTATCATGGTCTTCGACTATTGGTAAGCAAGCTTAGTCTTTCCCGCGCCATGCTCTCCAAGTATGCATGTGATATACTGGTTGTTGATTCTTCGACGCTCAGTCAGACCATGGAGCTTCGACACCGCGGTGTTCTCTCCGAATTCTGCGGCGTTCTCTTCGGAGTCTTCGAACAAGGGATTTTCAACCCAATCGGGGTCACTGGAAGCTGCCATTCTGCGGAGTAGCAAAGAGTAGACAGATACTGGATTGAACCGAAGATATCTTATGATGCTTCGCCAAGGAAGTGATAGAGACAATGGATGAGAGGAAAAATGTTGATCGAAAAGAAGGGAAGGCCATCCAGACGACCCTTTTATATGCAGGCTCTCCTCTGCCTTGATTTGCCCACAAAGCTTTCTGGAAAAGGCGAGGCTGAGTGCCGCAGGGGGCATGTCAGTGTACGGGGAATCACTGCTCGACACGCATCACATAAGGGGCTGAACCAGGGAGTTTCTGGGAATGGTTGCCTGACGTTCCAGGGCCTAGCTATACAGAAGCCAATAGATTCATTGCCTAGAGTAGTGCTATTACTGATTAGGATACGACGGCGTCGCTGGCAGTAGTATAAGCCACCGACCACATCGCGCTTTGGCTGCTAGCAGCCAAAAGAGGACTCTGATGTGCAAGGGCCATAGACTCGAGATGGCCAAAACATCACGGGCTAGGAAGTTTAAATACTGGCGATTGGACGATAAGTTAGAATCACGCCTTCAGGTACGCTAAGGAGAGAGGTGAGGCTGGTTAGACTCTACTACGGCCTACTTCACTTCTGTCCAACCGTCTTCGTTTCGCTAGTCGCGCGTCACCCACTGGAGAAACGCATTGCCTCGCCAAATGTAGTGTCTGATTCCCTATGGCGCCAGCTTATCTTCCGTTTTTATGTTAGAGACGTATTGTTGGCACAACTATGATTCTATGTGTTTCGAAAGTCTGGGCATACTACGTAGTCCAAGCAGCTACCAACTGTCACTCTTGAATGAGTGCTCAGTTTGCCACAGGTTTCTGGGTCTTATTAGATTGAAGGTTACTTTTAGACTCAAAAGCGCTAATACTGATGAGCAACCAACAATATGAGGGCTTTGGCTTTGTCCCGTTGTGGTCAATACAGCCCATATATAAGACATTGTTATATACCAGGGTTATCGCTCTGAGACGGCTAAGTTCCAATGGAACGTACTGCGTTTCAAATACGCGTCTATCCAAAGAAAGAAAGATAGGTAATATCCCGAAGGAAGACAGACCAATTGGATCGTAGCCCCTACGGCGTTAAGAGCGAAGTGAAGTTTTCCTCCAACCGTCGTCTATAGAGGGTAACCTCGAGCCCCATATTTTTTCAGACTCATTTATTGGATATGCCTTCCTCTCGTCCTCGTTCTGCTAGCTCTAACCAAGACAATAGTCATGATTCATGTCAGGTAACTTGGCGCATCGTATTTCACGAAGCTAGTATCGTTTCATTTGAAGACGCCAGGCTGCCAGAACTTTCGGAAACTAACAGAAAACAGATACGATTATCTTCTCCTGTCTGGGAAGTGAGGCAACGCAGACTTTTATTCCACGTTTGTGTCACCACTGCCCCTGTTGGTCTGATTAGACTGAGCTCGACGTCATTCGGACCTTTTGTCCTTGCCCGTATGCCTTTATCAACAACGAGGGAAAACCAAGCATAAGTTCTGGCTGTGCATGGTCAGCATAACACAATACACTGCCCAAGCCATCGTCGGTTGACGTGTCGTACGGCTCTAGGCTCGGCTGATGGCAGGGTTTGGAAAAGTGAAGCTGTGTCTTCCAACACATGAGGTTCTTGTCTCCTTTGGATGAAAGGTTCTTGTCCAATCCCCCTGCCATTCTCATGGCCAAAGAGTATCTCTTGTTGGTAGTTACCACGTACCCCATGTATGCCCACGTAACCTGGCTCATCTAGGTACGTCGCCGATATCAGTACAGCATCCCTCTAGCGACTTTTCCGCAGAAAAAGCTCACTTTTCTTTGATCAAAGAAATCCCACCGTGCCTTACTGGCGAATTTACCCAGTGACCCTCTGTGTCATTTGACGAGCAGCTCCGTTTTATGTTGGATTGGCACAGCTTGAGCGATCTTTCTCGGTCGAACGGCAACCCCTACCACACCGTACCCCAGTTCACCTGGCAACCACCTGGCCAGACATGTTCTTATAGACCTTTGAGATGGGATATCTGAGATCTCCTCACATTATTGATCTTCCAGACTTCCATCTCCAGTGTCCTTTAAACTGGTTGATGTGCGCTGATAAAGGTATCGCCGATCCGAAAACCATCGGGACTCGGAAGTGGACATGGCAATCCGAACCGACGCGCCCACGCCAGATGCCTCCCCACACATTCAGTGCTGGAGGACCCCTCGAACCTGCCCTTAGGGCCTTAATAAGTCAATACATCGCTCGATCCGTTTGTGTCTGCTATATCCGCATAGTCTTTGAACAAACGTTTCCCGGGCGCTTCGTCATACGCATGATAATGGGGAAGCCCTCGGCAACGCTAGCCCAGAGTCCCCAGACCCTGGGATCCTGCACCGGCCACGATCCACCGGACCTGCCCAAGGCCAATCAAAGCCCAGCGGCTCCGGATCGATCCCCATAATGCCGAGGGAATGGGAAAGAGCGGGGGGATCTATAAAATCGGGGAAGGGGAGGTCCTCCAGAGGATTTCCTTTGTTTAGACTCTCTCCTCCTCTGTAGCTCTTTTCAATTATTATACTTCGAATTCAGAATGGCTCCTAAAGATGATCTCAATCTCAGCTTCTGGGAGAAGGCTGATATTCCTTTCGTGCACCTGTCGCTGTATGCGAGCATGCTCTATGCTGCCGTCACTGGTATTTTCCGGGGTAAAGCTAGTCCCAAGCGCTATGATCACCATATCATAGCATCTGTTATCCGGAAGCTCGTTGATCGGTCCACTGATAAACAGAAACAGTATGTGATCTCTTTTCTTTCTTGGAATAGCCCCAACGAAAGGTACAAAGAAGATACTGACCTACTGCCGAATAGATACATCAATTCCTCAACTGGCGAGACCTACGCAGCCGTCATGAAGAAGCGCGGTCTCGCGCTCGAGGTCGTCCCGCTTCCCCACGACACAGAGGGCTACTGGCTCGGTAACAAGAACGCAAAGAACGTGATCGTCTACTATCACGGTACGTCCTAGTCCAATCTACGCAACCACGCTTCAAACCCTACTCCCATGCATACCATAAGGATTCACAAACTAACAAAATCAAACAGGCGGCGGTTTCGCCATGCCCGCATCAGCCGTGCACTTCGAGTTCTGGCTCGACATGCTCAGCATTCTGAACGGGACCGGCCAGGACGTAGCCGTCTTCTTCCCCCGCTACAGCCTCACTCCCCACACAAGATACCCAACCCAACTCCGCCAAGCTGTCGAAGCCCTCCGCCACATTATCGTCACAACCGGCCGGTCAGCGAGCAATGTCATCATCGGCGGCGATTCCGCAGGCGGGAACCTCGCCAGCGCAACCCTTCTGCACCTCTCCCATCCGCACCCGGAGATCGAGCCCCTGCCGCTCGATGCGCCGCTGGCGGGCGTCTTCGCGTACGCGCCGTGGATCAGCTTCAGCACGCAGTGGCCGTCCATGGAGTCTAACCGGTGGAAGGATATTATCACGCCTGGAGGTTTGATTAGGTGGGCTCAAGAGTATGTTGATGGGAAGGTTGCGGATAATTGGAATGAGCCGTTGAATGCGCCGGCGGAGTGGTGGGCTGGTGCGCGGACGGAGAGGATTTTGATTCTTGTTGGTTCGGATGAGATTTTGCTTTCGCCGGTTGAGGAGTTTGTGAAGAAGATTCAGTCGGTGTTCCCGAAGATTAGTTGTGTTGTTGGGACAGAGGAGTCGCATGATGCGCCGTTTTATACTAGGGTTAAGGAGGAGATGGAGACGACGACTGAGTTGAAACAGTGGCTCGCTGCGAGGCTGTGAGTTTGGATGGGATAGCAGTGCAGATTAGTTCAGTATATGGCATCTCTCAAATTAGGGACTAAACAGTTGCAAGAGTGAGAGGTCGTGTCTTTTCATAAACAAGTAGGACAGGTTTTCCTGACTCGGATCAAACAAAACAACAAAATATATGGAGCAGATACACGATTCTACGATGCCACCTTGGCAGAGAACTTGGCGGCCGCCGTATCGAAGAACTCGCTCTTCTCCTGGATATCGACAAGAAGGGCATGAGAGGGGTCGACCTGCTGTAATTGCCTAAGCAAAAAACAATGTTAGCATAATGGGATCCATGATTTGTTTAAGCAGATATGAAAGGTATGACATACGACTCCAGCTCCTCAGTGTTCTTGCCAGCCAACACATTCAAAACAATGCTGTTGGCAATCAACTGGACATCGTTAGGATATTTCTCAAGAGCGGCAGTGAGCGCAGCCCTCAGCCTCAGGCAGCCGACCCAGATGAATCTCAGCAACAGCCTGGCCAACAATAGACAGAGGCGCGGAGGTGCCCGGTGCGGAAGCGAGTTCCTCGTAGACGTAGAAAGCAGACTGGTACTTCTCGCCGCCCTATAGCAAAACACAACAGTCAGCACTTACTTCCTAATCTATCCCAAAGCCACGTTGTCAAAACATACCACTCTCATCCCAACCCACGACTCAGCAACGTTAATCAGCAGCGAATCCTGAGCCCAGCGCTTGGCGGCCTGGACCTCCTTGATCGCAAGATCGGTCCGGTTCTGTTGCAGCTGGATCTGCACAGTAAGAGACACACTAGCAAAAACGGAGATTGTCAGTTCCATTGGGTACTGCGAACTTCCTCCCCCCACACGCGAAACTATGGTAACTCACGCCTCGAGACTGTTCTGGTGTTTGGACAGCAGCGCCAGCGCCTCCTCGCTGTGGCCCTGGGCCTGGAGAACGGTGCCGGCGAGAACCTGCACCGTGCTGTTTTCAGGGTAGTTTTCTGCGAGCTCCTGGGCGAGTTGCAGGGCTGCGTCGGATTTGCCGGCGGAGTGTAGGGCCAGGGCCTTGACGGCTGACAGATCGGGGATGTCGTCAGAGGCCTGGAGGCTTTCGTCGTATTGGCCGAGGGCAATCTGGGCGCGGAGCTGGAGGACCTGCGCAGGGAGCTGGTTCTCGGGGGAGAGGGTGGTCGTGTCGAAGTCGATTACATTTTGGTATGAGCCGGAGTGGAAGGCGCTGTGGATGTTGAGGAGCTCTCTGCGGGGGTTGGAGTTAGCGGTGGTTGGGTTTGTGGGAATTGATGGTCTTACCGCCCTCTACGGAGAAGGGATCCATGGTAGCTGTTGTTTTGTGGGAATGGTTGGAGGGAAACTTTGAATAGTTAGGTGTTGTTGATGATGCGATGCGGCCGCAGTTGTTCACGGTGGCTTTACCAGGGTGAGGTAGGTTTGCCGAGATGGGACGGGATAGGCAGGTGCCCCGACCGCTTTTGGGCTGGGTCGACGACACTCCCGCGCTTTCTTCTACGATCATCTATGTCTACATTTATGGCTACAGTTGAATGATGAAATTGCAAACTGGTTTTATTGTGCTTTTCTCGCTTAATAACAGCATAACTTTCATGGGTATACGTGCTTGACAACTGGGTTAAAACCTCTTGGGATGAATCCCCCAGCTAGAAAGAGTGCCCCGGGGCTGGTTCTCAAGAGGAGTGTATTTGGAGAATCACGAAGATCCACCACAGCAGACAGGGAAACGTAAAGAAAACATGATCCTCAAAAGGATCATATAGATGTCCCACACAGCATCTTCTTCAAGGCCCGACATGCCTTGTGGGTCTTTGTCTTTATAACTCGTCCAACCAGAAGAGGGAACCACTGAGACTCAACGGGCTTGGACGAGGAGGCAGAAGAAGAGATGTGGGAAGACGCGGTTGAATCCTCGGACGGTGATGGCACACGCCCACAGAACGGAAACAGAGAACTCTCGAACTCGGTGTCCGTGGACGACGTATCGAGCGAATCTGTATCTTCCTCCCCGAACGAGTCGGCACAGCTCAGATTGCGTGGTGCACGTCTGATCTGGTTGTGCAGCCCAAAGAGGGTGGACTCGCTAGTTGGTCGCGGGAAGGGAGGTTCGTGTTCCAGATACAGAGGACCAGACTCTATCCGGAATGAATCAAGCGATGACCGCTCTGAGGAAGCGCAAGATTGAGTCTCTTCCGATTCCGAGGATGCGTCGGAGAGGTGGCGGGATCTCGGGGCCACCTGGTGGACTTTTAGTGTCCTGTGAAGATATCAGTATTCACATGTAGTTGAAGAGACCTATATAGAGTTCTTACCGTGGGTCAAGACTGCCATTGTCACCAGCAATGAAACCTATCCAGTCGAAGGCCGGGGCCTCTTCGTAGTATAACTGCACGGATGTCATCGTGCGTTCTTCTTCGTTGTAGCCTTCAGTGGTTGATGTCGGAAGGCTTTGAGGGTGTCGATGTTTGAGTGGATGGTACATCCACGTCTTGATGTCGGTCGAAGTATACTCGAGATAGGTATTCAAAGTATATGTATAATAACCTATTGAGGAAAGGATGGTGTAAGGTAAGGGAGATAGATGAAGAAGAAAGAAGAAAAGAGGAAGAAATGGATTCAGAAGGCTCAATATATGGACCATTGAGCAGACCTCCGATTCCCAAAACGCATGTCGGCAGGTGAGATCAGCATACTTTCCCTATGGATGACCTGTCAAACCTAAATCCACAGCCGCCGCAACCAAGAGCGCTGTCGGAACGCTGCAAAGAGCATACAAAGTATAGAAATGAGTAAGGACATGCTTCAAAGCACCTACGACCCACGGTACGGAGAAATTCATGATCGAGTTAAAGGGTCTGGACTCTGGGGTCCCCGGACCCTAATCGGGAAATCCGTTATAAGCAGTACATCATAGTGATGGAAGACTACAAGCATTTGGAAAGACAGAATGAGAGGGGAGAAGCGGCGCAGTCTATTGAAGGAAGTGAGGTGGCATTAATTCCGAATTAGATCTATCTACATGTTGCCTACGAATGAGCTGAGTGAGATGATAAGGTATCATAAGGGGGATATCCGAATAGCTAGTTGTAGTTGAAGTCTACACTCTACACAGTGAGATGGCTTAAGATGACTTGGGCGATACCTTGGTCAGGCTTCAAGCGTGTGCCTGTAAAGTAGGGGCTAGCTATAGAAAAGTGAACAGGACATGTGCACAGTACCTTTCCAAATGATACCAAGAAAAATCCTCTGTCCGGGCTGTTATATTCTTCCAGCCAACTGGCAAATCTTCAGCCAACTGGCGAGTCTATCCCACAAATTGCCCCGATAGGCACGAACTACACAGTAAGTGTCAATATCCAAACTCCAAAGTAATACCAAAACCTCACCAATCACAAAACCCTTAAAGACCAAACCAAGATGTCAACCGAAGACCTCAAACAACCCTCCATCAAACCCGCGAAGCAGACTACAAGCGCTTCAAAAACTACGCAGCCTACACCTCCTCATCGGCGCCCCCATCCTCCTAGCCCTCCCACTCCGAAAACTCGTCTACTGTCTTCACATCGTCAGCTAACAAGTAGTCTACAACATCTGTCTACAAAGATCAGCTTCAAGTGTGCAACAACATTGATTCTAAATACATTCTTCAAATAATCTCCAAATCTAGGAACTCCCCACGACCATGGCATCGCAGGAGCCCCCAGAAATCAAAGAATAGTACATAAATATTTTCCAATGTCTTCATCCTGAAGTCCATGAGTCCCTTAACGACCATGGCATCGCGAGGAACCCACAAGACAACCGAATCAACACAATTTGCCATTCCTCCAACATCGTCCTTCCGGAAGCCCGAAAGTCCTCCAACCATCATGGCCTGGCGAGGGACTCCCAGGAAAACCGTATAAGTACAAACATGAATTAGTATATAACCACATGAATAAATCAATGGCACATCCCCCCATTCGAGCCGTCGAGAGGGCAAAGTGTATAGTTTTCTTGTTTTCGGCGATGTTGATGTGCCCTCTCCTACGGAGTCATGGGAAAACCCAGCCCTAACAATTGTTGGATGCCGGGGGAAAAAAACCATGACCGGGACTGCAAGTAACAATTCCCAATTTTCTTTCATTTTCCCGTTCCTCTGCTTCTCCGTCGTTTCCACCGAATTTCCGTCAATCTCGCCTGGTCTTCCCTGCAGCCGGGCCAGTTGCACCCGTCCGAGCAGGGACCAGACGACTGTTTCTCCGTGTCACCTGTCACGAAGCCATGTGAATTGCCCTACTCTGGGGTAGGTGATCGCTTATTTTGAAGGAAGGATACACCCGATTGAGGAACCCAGAGGTCAGGGGGCGTCCAGGGGTCATGGGTGAACTCCGTTGAGGACAGGATGGCTTGGGACACGTTGTACCAATGAGGGCTGAGAGCAGGGTTGGCAATACCGCTGATCTGGTGAGCTCAGTTGGAGATCAAGCTAGGATCGAGATCGGTAGCTATTTTGATCATCGCGTGGGCCTGTTAGGTTGGTTAGAGAAAGAAATTACACTCGGGATTGCCTTGCAGTGTGGGGGACGGGAAGGGGAAGCAAGCCTGAGGATGGAAGGTTGGAGGACGGAAGATGGAGGTTTGGGCAGGGGGGAAAAGTAGGGAAAGATGGGGGACTAACGATTTCCTTGACCGCGTAGGCACCCATGGTAAGAGCTTCGATTCTCTGGAGGGAGTTTAGTATGTCTTGGAGCCTCGTCTTTAGGTCATGGATCTCATTCACTGGGTCTTGCGCGAACTCTTGGAAGAGTGGTGGTGCATCGGGCATCTCGATGTCGTTCTATATTCATTGTTAGCATTTGCTCTGTTACCTAGGGAAAGCAGGGGAAAAGAGAATATTGACTTACTGGCTCATACGATGGGGCATCCATCATCTCAATATCGTAGTCCTGATGTTGTTGGCCGAGCAAGGTATTCTGGCGTGGTCGTTGCAGACGCGAGTGTGGACCAGGGTTGGCTCCCACGGAGGTACGGCTCACTCCTTGGTCAACTCGACTTTGGCTCTATGATTGTAGTTAGTACATATCATCAATATAAATGAGGGGGAAATGGAAATACTTACAACATCTTCCCGTCTAGTACGGTGGAAGTCTGGTCGGAAGTTCTTGCCCTTGTAGTTAGGGTTGGGGTTGCCAGTCTGATAACCGTGATTGTTGGCGTCTTTGCCATTGCTATGGCCGTTCCGATTCTTGTTCCATTGATTGCCATTGGCATTTCGATTGTTGTTCCAATGAGTGTTGGTGTTGGAATTAGCATTGGAATGGTTGTTGCCGTTGGCGTTGCGGCCGTTGTTCCAATTGGCATTGGCATGTTGGTTCTTGTTTCCACGGCAATGTTGAGCTCCATTGTTCTGATGATTTCGAGGCCCAGTGGGCACAAAAGACGAGTTCTGGTTCATGTTTTTGTTGTCTCTGGTACCAGTGGGTTGATAGTTGTTGGGGTTGCCCCAGCCAATGACTCCTTGACTATTTCTGGCAAAGGGGACCATTCGATTGAGCTCCGAAACACCGGATTTATACTTGGAGAAGTTGCCTAACCTCTGTTTTTGACGGGTTTTCCACTTACACGATGAGCCCAGGTTTGGTTTTGCTCGACCCTCACGTCTTTTTGGCTTTTTTGGGAGAGACTTGTTTGATTGGGGCCTCGATGGGATTTCCGTCTCAAGAGTGCAACCCAGCAAGACCGACGCTTAGAGGCAACTCCCTGGTCCGGGCACCTTGCGATAGAGCTGGCTGGGGGATGGTAGAGGGAAGTAGATGGTGGAGAGAGGTGGCGTGGTAGAGCCCACGTGGAATGGTATAGAGTAGAACAGATGACAGGAGGTTCCAACGAAGCATTCTTTGTGGGAGGCCAGTAGATGGCAAGATGCAGTAGCCGGCGAGGTGCCGGTAGATGTATGATATATGCTGTTGAATCCGGAAACTCGAGGTATATGTCCCAAGTGTGAAGAGTTTATAGCCAGGGAGTAGATGAAATGCACTCGGATGGAAGTGCTAGATGAGATATAGTGATTGCTGTAGCAAGATACCCCTGGAGGGGTGATGAAGGGAATGGATGAGAAGTTAGTTCAGAACTGGGGAGAGGGGGTTTATATGCCCAAGCTGGAGGTTAATCGGTCAGGTGTCCGTCGCTGTTTACGGGAGCGGACTGCGCTGAATCTTTGGATTCTGGACTCGCAGAATTCGACCTCTGGAACAGAAAAACGTTAATCTATCCTAATGGGCCCATGGCTGGGTTTGGGGACCAAGACCGTTATATACCGACATACCTAAAAGGTAGTCGGACGAGTCGGACGGAGAGGAAAAGCGAACAATGGGCCATTGTTAGAGACAAAGGCAGACAAAGAAACTTCAGAGGTCCTTCATTAGGTTTGACCCTCGACCAGATACTTTTGCGAAGGTTTCTGGACCCATTAGAGAATCCGACGTCCAGAATGGAATCGAGGTCTGGGATGTAGATGGCCATACAACCGAATCCATTCTGAGTTCGCAGCAGGTTTCAGGGTCTGCTGTCTATTTTCGTTTGGTTGTCTTCTTCTGCCGTTGAATAAATGACGAAAGACCAGTTTGATCGGGCAGCTCGATGAAATAGTGTTGTTGGTAACCTTTTATCTCCAACATTTCCCCAGAGTTCAGAACCCTGCCACAAAGCCACCGAAGTTAAATCCCCCAGGCACAATCGACTCAAGCTTTCCTTAGGTTTCTTTATTTCCATGGTATGGATCTTGATGATCGACAACTTTATTTGAATATCCTTTTCTGCTGCACAGTCCCCCGGGGGCTGGAGATCTATGATTGCCTAATTTGGCAGCGGAAGCATTCCGAATATGCTCAAACATTTGCAACACTGCACCAGTTCCGAGGTTGCAGAGAAAAAGACACTAACAGACTGGAAAGTTCAGATAGACAAACTTAGTGACAGTGAGTCATTCGTTGGGGGAATTGTATGAATCTATATTCCAATGCCGAAGTCTTCCTCGGAAGAGATATGAGGTCATATCAGGAACCTCTGGAAGGGAGATTGTCACCAATTCAAGTCATTTATACGTCGACTGGGTTACTAGAACAGCGTATCATATGCACATGTTGCTGAAGAGCTCACATAAGAATAACCACACCATAACCTATGTAATGCGCCGGTCAACACCAGTACCATCGATCCCAGCGCTAAAAATAACCCACCAGCAGACCAGGGATCCGACATTAGAGGTAAGGAGTTAAAAAGAGTGACGGACCAGCATCACTCGATAACACACTCCACCATCCGTCATATGCTGTTCAGTGGCGAATTGCACGCTTTGCTTTCAGAGAATCCGTCCCATTTCCGGCTCCAAATCACCCTCTCTTTTGCGCACATGCTCAACCTTCAGCTGCTTAGTCCGAGGCCTGTTCACAGCGGCTGAAGCACTGTCGTTCGACACCAGACTCTCGCGCTTGCGCATGCCCGCCTTGGGATTTTCTTTCTTTCGCCTGTTCTCCTCCTTGATCTTCAGGCGCCGCTGTACCTCACTACCTCTGCGGAGATATCTTCAGTTCCCAGTGACGTCGACGTGCTGTAACCATCCTCCTGCGCTGGCGCTTGGAATGAAGTATCGTGGGATCGCTTTGAGGCCCGAAGTTTGTACTCAGGGCCAGGCCTGGTATGGTGGATGACCAGTATTAGATTTAAACTCTACGATTCGGTTATTGAAGCTGTTCTGGTTATAGACCTGACACGTAGCTATCCTCTGTAGAACGCCAACAGTGTCACTGGTGATGAGGACTCCTTCTTATTGCTTGATACACATACGGTAGATTGAAATAGTGCCTATGAAAACAGTAAATGGCCCTTCATATGTCAATGGCTACTAGAAGGTCGTGTGGAATCAATATTCAAGACAGTATATCATGTCAAACTCACTCAAAACAATCCCACTACCTAGCCTCGACACATCATATCCATGTAGCAAGCAAATTATGATTCTTTACCTATTTTCAACGGCCAGCTATAAACTCTCCAGGGCGTCAAGCAATACGGACAGAACTATCCCATCAACCCTGCCATCTGAACCGACCTTCGCTCAGTGTCTTCACAACACCCAAGGGTATGAACTCACGATTCACGGCAGCCAAGCTACCATAGGTACGAACGATCTCTTCGTAGTACAACTCCGCCACCCATCGCCAGTAGGGCGTCATCTTATTCCAGTCATTAGAAATGGCGCTTTCAGCAGCGATGCCGTTGACTGCGAACATATTCTGCTCTTTCAAGAATCCAAAGGTCCGAGACACGCTAGTTTCGCTCGGCACTTCGGTCAACCCCCGATACACGTCCAAAAGAGCGGAGCTAAACGTCTCTGGGTATCGAGTGTATTCTTCCAGGGACATGAAGGGCTTTATGTCGATGCCCCATTTGCTCAAGAACGAGACAGGGAGGTCAGAGCCATCCTTCTTGAACTTCTCTTTGGCTGCTTCGTAATTCTTCTCCTCGATCAAGGCGGCCTGGCGCAAAAGTCCCCCTGGCGTTCGTTTGATGTTCTCGCGCATAGCAAGAAGCCCAATGAAAGGATTGAGAAGGCCCAGGCCACCAAGCTCGACGGGGTAATAGAAGAATCCGTCTGGCAGGCCGTGGATATCGAATCGCTCTGCAATCACAGTGCGGAGGTAGTCGGTAACGCCGCTGTGATCGGATGAACTTCCGCTGTTAGATGTTTTGTTGAATAGTGTGCGATCAATGCGGCTCAAGGTAGAGATGGCCATGTCGATGTGGTCTCGACCGAAGCAGACGGCTGGTTTGGCGAAGTTGTTGGTGAAAAAGCGACCGAAGTAGCTGTTCCACGCTTGTACCCAAGCAAACACACTCTGGCAAGACGAAAGCTGGCGTGAAAGCTCTTCGATGTGCTGGTCAATCAGGCCCTGGTTGATGACGAATCTCTCTTGCTTTGCATCCAAAATCAGGAGGCCCCAGCGAATATCACCGGTGGGAAGGATAGACTCTTTTTGATCGTTGGTCCGACCCATTTGAACAGTTCCAGTCTTCTCCTTGTTGAAATTGAGGCCCATCGCCTGAGTGAACTTTTCCATTGCCTCCCATGCTTTGACGCATGTGGCCTCGGCTCCCCAAAACCAGAAGTCATCGTGGAGTCGGTAAAGGAAACAGCCGTCTGTGGCTTGGTTCACCGCATAATCCATGCAGAAGAGAACACACTCTCCGAGGCAGTCACCAAGTGTATGGCTCATCGGAATACCACGCTTGCGAACTTGGACAGAGGCATCAGGACCATGATGGGCGAATTTGAGTGGGGCCTCCAGGAACGTCCTGAAGAAATTGAGCCAAAGCTCAGACACTCCAAAGAATTTCATCACAGTGAGTAAGGTGGCATGGGGCATTGACGGGCCGAACCACTCAAAGTCGGACTGAATGGCAGTAAACTCCCCGCGCTGGTGCTTATGGATGATGGATTCTGTAATAAGCAGGTGAAGGAGAGAGTACTTAGTTCCCAGGACGGTGTTCGAATCCGTTTCTGCTTCATCATATTCCCGAGCGCCTTCCTCTGTTGATAAGGGCAGTTGACTCATGAAATATTGGCTGCCGTATGTTTCCGATCGGACTCGATTGATCATACCAGAGTTTGAGTTCGCTCGCTGACCGAGGAAGTACTTGCGTAGATCTTTGTGGGCTTCAGGAATATCCTCACGCAAAGGTTTCCAGGCATTGGAATGCAGGAATGCCTCAAATGTATTGCGCAGTTGCACAGCCCACTTTGTCCCGATGTACTGCAGTAAAAGCGCATCAAGGAGGTCCTCGTCCATGTAAACTCGATATTTGCCGTTGAGATGACGCCGCATGTTAATATTAATTCCATCCTCGCCTCCTGTCCACGACCAACTTTCGAGCGAGGAAATGCGCAGGTTGAGCACATCCGCCACTTCCTGGGCGACCTCATTGTTCCGCATGAACTCCTTTAGAATGGCTGTTTTCTCGCCGCTGAGCAGGTCAGTCTTCTGCAGTGCGCTGGAAACCCACTTGAGGCTGTTCACGTCAAACCAGTCTCCCTGTGAGGCTAGATTCGTTCCAAACGATTGAATGCTTGATCGGAGATCCGTGAGCGCGTGCTGAGAGAGCTTGGTCTGGGTGAAAAGATCACTCAGGTAGGACTGGATATCGGACTCGTTGACATGTGTAGCAGGGGTGAAGACCATGGATTCCCAGATAGCGCCCTGCTCATGCATCTCCGCTCGCCCAACGTTTTCGAAGCTGGAATGGGAATCTATAGAGGTAGTTTCATCCTCCACATTCGGAGAGGAGGCAATACCCCCATCCAACTCTGACAACCACTCTGTAACCAGCTTGCTATAGAAGGCACTATGCTCATGTTTGATCTCGAGATACCGCAGCTCTTTTTCAAGCTGGGCGATCCGATCTCGAAGAGCTGCCTGGGAGACAGAAGGATCGTGCCGGCTTTGGAGAAGGAAGCGGCGGATATTGCTATGATCCCCTCGCTCCAGCCGACCAACTCCTCTGCAAGTCAGGGTATCTCCTACGTCCTCATCTGAGGAAGCTGCGTCTAGGGTCGTGTCATTTTTGTCGACCAAATCTTTGGGGTATCCTTTCAACCGTGATGTACCATCCAGCAGAACCTGAGCACGAGTGCGCAGATCAGGGGCTGCGTTGGCAGCTTCAATAATCTCGGCCTTTCGCAAATCAAACAACGCGCGCTGCTTGGCAAGCTCCTTGATTTTCGTAGCTGTGATTGACTTCAGAGACTGCGGGAGGGCTCCATTTGAAGCCATATTGTAGAACGAGTCTCAGGTGAATAAGAGGTGATGAAGCAGATTGAGGGTCTCAGAGTTAAGAGTTTGTCGTAGAGAGACAAAAGCAAGAGCAAGGAATCTTTTTCAGAAATGAAGTATTTTATCGCCGATCGCTAGTAGTGTTTGAAGGTGAAATGTACAGAGTCAAGAGTGGGGATGTGGATGCCCGTAGTCAAGGATTGAGCCAGAGGGGAGGGTAGAGGGGGCTTAAATAGCGAAGAGCACACAGCAAACACAAGCCTGGATGCCTCAGACATTGGATGTGTAGCGTAAAACGACCTAAACATTCTCACCATGACCTCACAAAGAGATGACATTTCGAGCGGGCAACTAATTGAGGTTAAAGTCCAAGGGCTGAAGATCGTCGGTAACCTAATTGGGTATAGTTAACTACACCTCGTAACTAGTCCACAGTGTGGATCTCATTCTCAGGGGCTTGGATCACATGACATAGGAGGTCTATCAATTGTTGATGCTACAGGTGTAGGATTCAGGATATATTTTGTGCATTGGATAGATCAAGAGACTAGAAGCCGTCAGGGGCTAGAGAGGGTTTTCCAGCGCACGGAAGAGTGGTTCTTCCGTGCCGGTCACATGCCGTAGTCTACGACACAACATCAATTCCTCCGCCTTCTTCCTTCTGCTTCCCTTCTACCATTGATCTACTTTAAATGCTATTTTACTTGTTGAGCTATTGGCATTCGGCCATCGTAATTTCGTAACACTTCATAAGTTCATTCAGATTGAGTAGCAAATAGTTCGAGCTTGCTTCGGATTTTCCGTTTATAGTGCTCGCCAGCAAATATTGTATCTGCAGACTTGAGGCACATGTCCAGAAGATTGGTACGACTTAAGCCAAAATGCTGTGCGGCCAAGAGATATTCGTTCGAGACAGAGCTGCAAAAGAATCCTACATCGTCGGTCTGTGAAATAATTAAGGTCAGATAGAATGACAAGGACCACATCGCAAAACAACTTACACACAATGCGATCGGGCAGTCCTCATACCGCCAGTACCCGAGATGATGATCTAGGAAGCCTCCGTCAAACATTTTTGCATGGACGTTGCAGGAGATACACAGTTCAAGGCAAAGCTTGCGCCGCGCGATCTCCTTCTTGATGTCGTCGGGTACGTGGATGACGTGTCCAAGCCGGTCGGGTTGAAACGAGAGAAGCGTCGACAGCTCATTTGGGGTACCAGAGGCTGCTGTCTCTGCGAAGTGCAGGGTTATTCCCAGTCCGCTCTGCTTGGCTTTCAAGAGAGGCCTTTTGTAGATGCTAACATCGCCTTTCGTTGGGTCCCCGCAGATGTCCACCCCCACCACCCCGCGCGATTTGCTTTCGATCGCAAGATTGACAATCTCGTTTGCTTCAGCCTCGGTCATGTTCCCGCGATCTATAGCTAAAATTAGGAAGACCGACATCTGGTCGGTTTTGGCCCGAAATTTTTCGAATGTGTCCAGCACTGTGTTGACGTATTGCTCCCGACTGATTCCGGGGGAAGCTCTCGGTATGGTCCGCAGCTCAAGGTACACTACTCCGTCTTCAATGAAGTCCTGGAGGACTGAGTTTGTGGCATATACCAAGCTCTCCAGGTCGTTACAAAGCTGATAGGTCAGTTTGGAAAACGTAGAGAAGAATCTGGGCATCTGTTAGCTCGGAACATGGACTCAAGCGTTCGCTGATGAAAGCGGGAAACACTACGTTTCGAGTGTATAGTCGACTTTGCCCAGAGGCATCAACACCAATGGATCCTCCAAATCGAAAGTGGGGTTTTGCACTTTTTTGTGCTCCCAAATATTGTGTAGACATTGTCGACTGATGCTGCCACTCAGATGGGCGTGCAGCTGAAGGACAGTGTCAACAAATCAAAGACAATCGCAAGTTACATGGTAGTGATCGTACCTCGATCTTTGGCAATGCTATGGTGAAGCTCCTGTCGACTGGCTTATAAGTATCCATGACTTGTAAGCCTGTAAGGGTGGGTGGTGAATGTATTTAAACGGTGAGATTGGAGAAATGGTGATAAGGACCAAAACCTACTGCCCGAGCAGGTGACTCCCTCGCGGCTTCCTAGGTGCTTTCCATAGCAGCTTCGCCCATGAAAAGATAAAAGAAAATATTTCTCTTCAACTCTCTTCATCTCCTTTCTCGTTTTCTCTTTCCTCAGCCTTCTTCTCATATCCAGCACTCATACACCCATACTTCCATCCCTATCCGAAGCTGAAGCAACCCTTGACTTCTCCCATACTTTGAATCCTTACATCTTGCCTCCAATAATAGCTTGACTCACCTCTCGCATGTGAGTTTATCATGGCTACCAGCCTACCGTACCAGTCGATTGTCCGACTGTGCCAATCATGCGTGATTCCGCCCATCTGCCCCCTGAGCTTTTTGAAATGATCCTAGACCTTGCCCTAAACGATGAGTCAGATGCTCAGAGTCAGCGCCTGTGCCGCTTGGCACTTTTCAATTGCAGATGGCACATATCCCTTCAGTATCGGATATACAAACAGTGGACCTACAACGGCGCAAGACAAGACTTCATGACTTTGCTGAGATTTGTGCGTACAATACGCAAACATGCATACATTGCCGCGATGGTGCAGAGTCTGAATGTGGGCCATTGGAGCTTTCATCCCGGTGCGAAAGCTGGTAGTAGATCAGGTCAAATTCGACCCTCGTCAGACGATGTTGAATGGATACAGGTCGCCATTCACAATACGGGACTGAGTGAGATCAAAGACAACGTTCTCAAAAGTCTCTTACGTGGAGATCGGCGGCCTTTGATGGCAACACTCCTGGCATCTCTTCCAAACCTTGCCACACTCAATGCTCATGTGCCACATTCTGATCCTTTTCTGGTGGGCTGTCCTGAAGATGACCCTCCAAGGTCAGGCCTCCGGTCCTTTGAGTGAGGTAAACGAGCTGTACTTATTTGCTGAAGTTCCTATGCGCTGGGAACATGACTACCATCGTTCATTTGGAGACTTTTTTGACTCTCTAGGGAACTTTAGGCTGGACTATCTATGGCCAGTGTTTTATCTTCAAAAGGTGCACACACTATTGCTCTATCAACTAGGTCGACCCGAGCAACGCAGCTGAGTACCTTGGCCAACATGAGGCTACGTCCCATGTGGAGAACCTTTACCTGGTTGGCCATTCCATGTTCACGACGCGAGATCTACAAGCCTTGCTATCCCGGCCTGAGAAGCTCAAGAGACTCTCGCTTTACAACAGTGAAGGATATGGTCATGATCGGCTATCGCGTTCTGAGTTGTGGGCCTCTTTACGACAGCACAGCCTTAGCCTCGAGAGCATTGATATTTATTGCGTTGACCTGGTGATGACGATGGGACACTTTGGCCAACTCAATATCTTCAAGAATTTGAAGGATCTTCGGATTAACACAGATGTACTTCTGAGCAGATACATCCATTCGCCGATTTCCGCCTTCAGCCTAAGTGAGACTCTGCCTGAAAGTGTCCAGACTCTCGTGCTCTACGGCCAGCATACTCATCATTCTGCCTTTAATATCCCGAGACAACTGCAAGAGTTAACAAGCAAGGGGCTTTTGACTCTGAAATCTGTTGGACTCGAGAAACCTTGGTTTGAGATTGGTGAGGACGACGACCTTTGTTTCGGCCAGGACGGGGCGGTGTTATATCAAGCGTTGAGGGCGTTCTTAAGCAGCAGAGGTGTGGACTTATCGAGGAAGAAACCCCAGGAGTTATCAATGGGTGGTGCGGCGATTATCATCATGTACATGAGATGTCGCAAATAACCCATCTACATGGACCGGATACCTGTGGGATTAACACCTTTCCCAATATCCAACCCGCCGAGCCAACAACACCACCACCAGATCGTATCTGAAACAATATCGGTTCGAAGGAAATCTGAAGTAACAAGCCTTGGGCCTGACTCAAACTTGGCCTTCCCACGCAATTGGATTACCTCCGGCTTGATGGTTAACATGGATACAATTTTGAGGTACGATAGGGAGAACAATATTGAAAAATTAAAACATGTAAGATCGCGTGAAGTTTCGTAGAATGTGCATGCCTAGAAGAAGAATTTAGAACTATGTACATGCCCATGGGTATCAGCTCGCTAGGTAACTACACAGTCAGACTGAAATGCCCCACGAACAGCCTTCACTATCAACATCCAAAATCAACACCAAACCGCCGGCAAACATATCCCATAACACTCCAGGTAACGCTTTAACCGTATAAAATCCAGCCTGTATGTCTGAAACCCGGTAATACCACGCAACAGCAGCTAAACAGGGTCCACAACCTCTCCCAACCTTGGAAGACCCGTCATCCTCAACATCAAACCGCCAAGACCCACAACTTAAGATTAGCCACCGACTGCGACTCTCGTATTCTCAAAATAAACAATCCAGAAACATCCAACCTCCCACAGGCTCACAGCGGATATCGCGAGTCCTCTGTCCAGTGTAAGATCGGCACTTCATCATATCATTAACCCATGCCCGCTTCGGCACTCAGCCGGCATCTGAGACATTCGATGAAATTCTGGAAGGTCGACCACGCGAGCCGAAGTGTGGGGGTCTCCACGGGTCCGGGATTCAAGGCAAGACAAGCTATTATTAGCCTTAGATTCCTTGACTTGTATGGAACATGCTAGATTGTTATCGAAACATCGTGTCCCAGTTGTGTATGACGGATGTGGATTTGTGTGGGCGCAATCGTGTGGGTTAGCTTGAAAATGTGTTGGATCTAGGATGTACTGTGTAAACGAAATGAGTGCTTCGGATAGATTGGTCTCAGTATCGACTTGACGAGGTGAAAGTCAGAACGCCGTTTCGTATCCGGGGCTGATTGTCCGCTTTCAGCCTTTAGCTATGAGCTGTCTCAGCACCGCGTGGCCGTTAGCTGAGATAGCATAGCTCCGGGTCTTTACCCCGCGGAGGCTGATTGCTTCAGCTTCAGGGCGCTACTTGGTATTGGCGACTTGAAGTGCAGTGTGGCTTTTGCCTTATCTGTCCTGTTTCGTCGAAGCCACCTGGGGCAGGGTGTTATACAGGATCTTAAGATACGATCCAATATCTGATCGAATTACTCAGCCCGATGCCCAGACGGAGTATTTATCCGATTGATCATGTGCCATGTCACAGATACGCACCGTACCTTGGCTACCTTGGAAGGTTGGAAGGCTTTTCTTGCCAATCTATATCGAAACTGTGTCCCGCCTTCCCGCTCTTCCGCTGTGCCGCTCTGCCTTAGATATCGTGTGATCGCAACAAGCTCTGATACACAACGTGGGGCTTCCGTTGGCATCTGAATTATGACGCCCGGTGTTCTCTAAACGTACGGGGCACTCATAATGAGCGTTCTGGTTGGGGCCTTGGGGCCTGCAAGCCGCATGGATGGATTCCGCAATCGGCGCCAAGTCACCGTTATCAAGTCCCAAAGTCAAAGAGATCCTCACACATCAAGCGTGAGACAAAGATGCCGGTTTCGGGTTACTCGCCAGTTGAAACAAGGTCGCAAATTCCGAACGGGGCTGGGACGAGTCACATTTGGGGATTCTGGTTACACGGTGGACGAGCCATCCGCGCCCTATGGTATTGTCGCACGAACAACCCTCGGATATGAGGGAAAAGATCTTGCTATGGTGAGTCACATGCGGCTACAGAAATGAAGAAGAACCAAGGGAGAAAAAAGAAAAGAAAAGGCATACAGTTGCCTCTTTGCAGTCGAAACCAAAAGCCAATCTTGTTGTAGGGGGCTGATAAAGTCCAGCATCAAGCCACAGTTTGTGATTGGCGTACATTGCTGGGAATCATATCCCAGGCAAAGGACCGGGTATGGGATTCAAAACATCCGAAGGATGTTTTTTCTTTGCCGTCCTTATGCTAGCGCGATTCAACACGGCCAGTCTGATTTGCCATGTCACCGCTGGAAGCATCGAAAGACGCATCGAAGGAGCTGATTGAGGCTGGGCTGAAGGTGGCTGTGGGTAAGCTTGGGGTGGGGACATGTCTTAGACGTGGCAGTTGCGGTGGCTTCTCGGTTGCAGTGGATAGTATCATTTCGACATGCACCGTCTTCGAAATAGAGCGACCGACGTGCATGCAGCGAAGCGGGGTGCTTCTTCTACCCGATTTAAGGGTACTTCGTACATCGCACTTCTTTACCCCGGTACATTCTCATGGATGGATCTCTGGATGTGAGTCACAACAAGCTAGGCAGAAATTGCACAATCACAACGATCGCATCATAATCTGTGTGACTTCGGCCGAGGAAGACTCCGAGGAATGTGAGATCACAAAATTCAGGTTCGTGTACTCAAAGTGAGGATCAATGACCCTAGCTCTCGTTGAGGCGCAACGTTCCATCCCCCTGGGTCTGTACGATGTACTGAGTACTCCGTACATGTACGGAGTAGATTGGCTGTATCCCATGTAAAATGGACCTCGGTAGCGGGAAATCACAAGTTAAGTTAGCCAACGCTAAGTCGATGCTAGAGTGTTTCGAGCAGGTGCTACAATAGCAGAGCCCTGTCAATGCTTTGACGCACGAAGTTTGAGATTTGATTCGACGCAGGGTTATTACCGGGTTAATGGAGAGAGAGGATCAAGAGAGTTAGAGAACAAGGAGAATTTACCTGGAATGGAGATGGCAAGCCCCTTCCGTTGTCTCCTGAAGATCAGACCCATAACTCAGTTTTTAGGACACTTCAACTCCCCTTTATTCGATGGAACAATCAAACGTCCTACTCCATACCCCTGATCAATCGTCAATGGCTTGCCTGATAATTTACTAGCTCGCCACTAACACATGTACACAGAGTCTTATTGGAGTTTCCCAATTCCCCCGTTTTCCAGTTTCGAGGAACATTCGATGTTACGGTACCTGACAGAAATACAGTATTGATACAAGGATTGTCGGTAAATACAGTAACACTTGAATGATCTATCTCGTTCATTTCGCGTGCGTCCTCATGATGTCACCAATCTCGCTCTCGAGAAGCCGCACATATATCGTCATTCACTGAAAAGATCATATGTTGTCTAACAATGTAGGCGAAGACCACAGTAGACGAGCATGCAAAGAAATGAGTTATTTTTATTTACTTTTCTTCATTGCTCCTTGATCCAAACTCGAGTCTCGGAGTATTCAAGCGCAATCAATCAAAGCACCCCCCGCAGAATTACAGTGAAGATGAAACTTTTTTTTCTTTCTTTTCCCCACCGAAGGTTCTGTCCCATAGGGCGGGTTCGTGGACAAAAGCGGGGAGGGCTTCATCTAGGGCTGTTGATCGTACCTAACTACTGTAGGAGCGGATGCGAAATTGTATTACTTACATGGAGAGAATGCAGCTGCAGCACTTTCTGCAGGCCTCACCTAGTTACCTCTATCTCTACGTCTATTCCTCCGATGCGTACTAAGCATACCCCTCTCTTAGATTATGACGTGAGATGTGTGTATTCTCAGCTATCCATGGATCCACGTCTTTTTATTTTCCTACGATCGTATGATCCGATTCGGACCAGTAACTATGACCTTCCAGAAAGAACATCAAAGAAGTATTAGAAGTATACGATACACTAGCTTATTACACAGAGATTCTGTCAAATAGTCTATTCAATCCAATGGAAGACCCTAAGAATCTTGGAAGGTAACGAAGTGAGACATCCCACTTCCCCTAACTACTGTAGGGCCTGATTGCATCCTTAGATCCTGGTCTTTGCCCCTTGGGAGCCGTCAGGCCCGAGGACAAAACAGCCCACGATTGGATGGAAACTCCAGACAGCCTGTCACCACTAGAATCAGAGAGATGAGATGGTTAAATCAACCGTCCAATAACGTCAAAGAACAGGACACAGGCGAACAATAATTTAAGATTAAACCCCCTAGCTAATTGCAATGAGGTATTAGATTGCAATGAGGTATTACAGTAGCTGCAAGCCTGCAGCCTGCATGCCGCACATCAGAGCTGGAAATCCATCTCCGCAAAAACATTATTGCCTGCCTTCCCGATTACCGTAGGCGGGGGAGTCGATAAACAACTCCCCCTCTTCATCCCGCGATCACCATGATTGTCGACGACAACCCGTCTGCTCGGATCCCGAGTGGGGATAGCTCACTGGCTAACGAGTTGAATTATGGAGCCATCCGAACATCGATTAGCGGTCAGGACGGGCTTGACCGACAGACTAAGAGATTCTGTCTGTGTCGCTGTCATCGGAGAGTGGCTGTTACGAACCCGCAGATCCTTGCTTCAGCCACCGCTCTTTGTCGGGCTTCACTCTTTAGATATCCCTTGTCACTGGGGCACCACGGCCCTGTACTCCGTACCGATATTTAAAGGATCCTGGCACTATGATGAGATGTTATTGGATGGTAGGAGGGGGCTCTTTGATTGCGATAACGTGGCGCTTTACCTTGCATCATCATTTTAGATGATAATAGATCTTCTTTGGATTTACCTGTCAGTTTTAATCTATTTTGTTTCTTTGATCTCATGGCACCCGGATGGGGAACCGAGGCTGCTGTTGTAACCCGCCACAACCGCCCTGCACCACATCACGTCGATAACGCTCGGATCTGTCGGATAGGGAACACGATCCGTCCGGGCTCTTGGCTGCGATTTGGAGTTGCATGTCTATGTGGTATATCGTTCTATGTACTCCGTATATTGCTCTAGGACCTGTGAGCCCTTATCCAGCACTCCGTACTGTATGCGTATGATGTATGCAATACTGTATGGCCGCCTGCCATACGGAGTATCGAGGTCCAGGAAAAAACAAAACCCGAGGTATCGAAAAAGGAAGGAAAGAAAGAAGAAAAGAAAGCAAAAGAAACGTCTCTTGCCATTTTGGGTCCAACCTACCTCTTCTCATTTACATCCCAAAGTCAAACTGCGGCAAGAATCGCAACTAGCCGCCATTTCAAACTGGCCGGTAGTTAGGGCATGATGTATCTAGTCTCCAGGGAAAAACTGCCTGAGGTCGGAAGATCCTGGTTCGGAAATTACTGGGAGTCGATGCGGCTGTCAGGATCGGAAGAGCTAAATTTTTGTCCATGGGGACAAGCGCCAATCCGTTTAATAGCCTACCCGGGTGACATGCAGGAGCATAGGATCAGGAGGGCAGCGTTCGTGAGGGGTGAGGGGCCAGGATTGGAAGGTAATTCTCGCCCGGCTGTTGCGGCAGGTGTGAAGAACAGAATCAAGGAAAGTTGATGAGGCACGACATCGCCAGCTCATCGGTGTTTCAACGGCTGCGGGGTTGACAGGGCATGTCCACCCCGCAGAGAGGTTCCTGTTGCGGCAGTTCGCACTCCTCGTGTACTCGGCTTATTCTGTGTCCCTAAGAGACATGTCCTAACCGAGTCAAGATGGGCTGAACTGAGTGTCAATCGTGTCTAAATATGGAGTTAACCTGACACTAAGCCACGGGAAGTGCGGGCCTGGTAGGGCATAATGGACCCAAAGTTGCTCCTGTCGGCGAATTGACTGCTAGTCTGTGTCCTCCATCTTTCAGATTATTAGTATGTTAGGAACTCTCAAACTCGCCAATCTATTTTTTTTTCTTTTGTTCTGGTTTGGGTCCACTTCAATGTGCACCGCCCAAAAAGGTTTCACTGCCACAGCAAGCCTCACCGGTTCAAGGATTGGCCCGGTTCCAACGTTTCGGTGCTATCATTGAAGGTGTCTCCGTACGCAGTATGGAGTAGTATGACAATCACACACAGACCCTATCGTGAGTTGTGCGGTGTACTTCGTACACTGTACCCTTAGACCCTACCATCTCACCCTTTCCCCACTACTCTGCCGAATAAAAAAGAATATGATGATGTGCAGCGTGATCGACTTGCCCTCCCTTTGCACTCTCTTTCAGCCATATTGGGCAGAGATAGGCACCTGACCAGTCAACAATGAACACAAGGAGAACACAAGAAAAACATCATCCTAGATAAGACCGTGTTCCACAAGGTACACAGTAAGCAAGGAAAGTCTAATCAAGTTCTCGAGATCAAAACGCAAAGAATCCGAGGGCTCCGCATATCTTCCCCAGGACCGCTGCGTCGGTGCTGAGCGGGAATTTGCGATGAGGTAATATTGGCATGAATGACACCGATTTGTATGGAGCGCCAAAGAAGTGATTGAGAATACTAAACTAGCAGGACCAAGTACTGTAGAAGCCCGATGTGGGGTGAATTGGATCCCGGCGCTGTCTCGGACTATGAAGTCTGAAAGAAATAGTCACGGATTGCAAGTATTGTATCCACCATTATAATTCCCAATATGGAGAGAAAGAGACCTTTCCCTTTCTTTTACACCGCAACAAGGTCCAGGAGACTTTGTTATAGGTCGATAGATTTGAGGGTAAATAAAGCCCTCCCTTTTAGGGCTTCCCGTCCAACGCAGCTGAAACACAAGATCGACCCCGTTTGGCCGATAACATTCCCCCGGAATCCCAAGGATCGACCAATGACACCGGGAAATGAGTTCGACGGTGCAATAATTTCACATCGTCATCTCGTGGTAGGCAGCTCTGTATTTTGATAGGCATTTGGGTATTAAAGTAGTAGTACCTTGACGTGTAGGGCACATAGGGAATGAGAGTGTGCCTTGTCTAGTATTTAATCATTTGCTAGGCCCGTTTGTTTAGCCCCATGTTAAAGATTCTTTGATATTTTTTTTCTTTTCTTTCTTTTGCCTGAGATATATCAGCCCCGTTGCTGCTGTGGCTCATACACTGGTGAGTGTTAATAGCCTGCCCTAAGCCCGGGGCATTTTGGATCTTTAGCTATGTCATATTCTATTACAACCACCTCATGAACTGGGATATATGCAGTCGCAACTCAAATTCAACACGTCTATTGAATATCTACTGACTATCTCTCAACAGAAAAAGCAAAGGAAACAAGCAAGAGAAGAAAGAGATCAGAATTACGACATACATTTAGTCGGTACCGAATACCGCCAGTATTTTACCACTATTACCAGACAATACAAGTATACAGTACACCGTTTCCCAAACGGCGGGCTACGTCTATCGTAAGTACCCAGTACCCACTGCAGCTTCAATCCACGCGGAATTGGGATTCATTGATTTAATTATTTTCCCTCTCCCCCTTCAACTCAACTCTTCCTCAATTACTCCCTCTCCTTGAGACACAAAAAATACATATTGACTCAGACGATAAGGACAACGCAGGTCCTTTCCCTTTCGTCGTATGATTATCCAGGACTTCCGCAGTTCCACTTCAAACTCGCATACGGACTTAGTGGCCACCACGTAACCGTGCAGCAATTGGATCAGCTCGCAGTGATCCTCAAAAGGGCACTAATCGGTCCAACATCAGCGAGCTCCCCAACTCGATCCAGTCGCCGCTTGTTCGTCTTTCCTCTTTCGATTGCCTGCATCCACTGCGTTGGCAAGTCTGTCGCAATTCCCGATTTTTCAGCGCACTCTCCTATCCTACCTTCGTTGCGCCAGGGAAAATACCTCCCTGCACTTTAGCACGGGTACTCCCTTCGCCTGCCGCATCGTTAGCCCGCTGTCGTACCCAATCGCCGCATCGCTCCTGTCGGACTAGGATACATTCACGACCCATCTTCCCTTTTTTGTGTTGCTGCCGCTGTCTACTTCCGCAAGCACGCAAAGCCTGGTCTTGGGGCTCTGTTCGAACTCTACACACGATACCTGCATGCGCATTGCAATTAGCCTTTGACTCGCATTGGCGCACGCTCTCCGATTTGAAACCGATCCCTCACCCTCTCTCCCGGTTCGCGCGGTGATTACACGATCAATTAGTCCAGATTCAAATACGCTCCTCTTCTGGTGTCGAGCAGCAGCTTTCCCCACGCACCGGCAGATCGACAAGCAGAAAAACAAAAAGGAGGGTCGCATTGCTATCATTGGGAGGCTATACAGAAAATCAGCCGGGCTCCGAAAGAAGCAAGACAAGGCTCCCGCGGTCCGCAACCTGGAGATCATCCTCCGGTTGATTTCGTTTGTGACGTCTATTCCCTGGGGTTAGCATCGGTTGAGAATATTCCTCGTGGGAGATTGTCCTCTGCACAGGGCCAGTGCCCTTTGCAATTGTTATCAGGGACCTTTTTTTATCCCTCAAAATCTTCTTTTGTTTCGGTTTTCCCCGTGAGCTGCTCTCCGGCAGGGCTCTCCGCATTGCATCCGAAACCAGGTCAAGATGCAGCAGAGCTCAAGGACAGTGGACTTTTGCTGAGGCCGTGGCTGAGCATTTTACCGTGTCAGATTGTTCTGTTCTCTTTTGGCTCGGATCGCATAACAACCTGACAGGCGACACTGTCGCATTACGAACCTTCACAGCAGGCCGGTCCCCTACGCTGTTCCTCATTCGTCCATTTCTGGGTCCAGGTGACTCGGTCTTTGGTACAGTTTACAAAACCGACTTAGATTGCACCTATCGACAGCTGAGCTGTCGTCTTTGGTAGAGAATCGTCATGGCATATGCTACGACTACCTCCCCGGCCATAGATGCCGACCCACAATCCAACTTAAAACTTGCGACCTCTCTCCCTCAACAACATTCTCTACACCATGTTGTCGGATCCCTACCCTCTGGCCTTCCCCAGCCTTCCATACCATCCATCACCTCGTCTCCGACATCTACCCCTACCTCATCCTTCCCTGCCCCCGACACACCTAATGCTTTCACGCCTGCTGGAACTCCCTCACAACTTGCCAGCGAAGGGCTCCGTGGCCGAGTGAATGGTTACACCTTGCCTACGCCAGGCCCACTCGAACTTGGCGAGTCGATAATGGCCATCCCCGGAAGCACAAATGCCGGCACTTTGAATGATGCTTCGTCCACCACCAAGGCGCCAGGCCTCATGCGAAGAATCTCAAGAGGTGCCGCCAACAAACTTACTCGCCGGAGGCAGTCGGCCAGCCAGAATGACAAGCGGGACCGAAGCACCGGACCCATCATCATACGCCGACGCAGTGACAGCAAAACTGGCCCTCAGCCTGTTCGAGACAGCGCCCTTGACTCGAGCAATGAGGACGAAACCAGCGAAGCCTTGGATAATCTTGGCGCATGGGGTGGCTCTGAGCCATCCAGCCTTCGGAGCGAGAGCCGCATGAACATGGCTCGCGAGGCTGGTCCTATGCCTGCCGTTGCCGTCGCACCCAAAGTGGATTCTGCCGTGCAGCGAGGCACCGTCCTGACCAAGGTCACCAGGAAGCGCAGAAAGCAAGTGCGCTTTTTCCTAGATCTAGATGCTGCCAAGGTCTTCTGGGATGTGTCGAACCCGGCCAAGCGCTTCTATATCGATGATATCAAGGAAATCCGCGTTGGCTCCGACGCCCGCAACTACCGGGAAGAACACCAGGTCCCAGAAGATCTAGAGCGCCGCTGGTTCACCATTGTCATTGCGGATTCTGACCGCTCCAAGGGCCGAACGGTCAAGACCTTGCATCTTATCGCTCCCAGTGACCGTATCCTTGACCTGTGGATCACCACTCTTGAGCACATTTCCCGGTACAGAATCGATCTCATGTCTGGTCTGGCAGGTTCCAGTCAGAGCGAGGCTGTTCTCCAGGCACACTGGCAGCGCGAGATGTCGAGGCTGTACCCACAGGGACCTCCTCCAGCAGAGAATCAAAGCCTTGACCTCGCCGCTGTGGAGAAGGTCTGCCGCAGCCTGCACATCAACTGTTCCAAGAATATGCTTCGGGCACAGTTCACCAAAGCCGATGCTGCCCGCAACGGGAAGTTGAATTTCTCTGAATTCAAGGATTTCCTCCTGCGGCTAAAGGAACGAAAGGATGTCAAAGAGATCTTCAAGCTTCACACCGCAAACTCCAAGGAAGGCATGACTCAGGCGGAGTTCTTGACCTTCCTTCGTGATGTGCAGAATGAGGACATCGAGGCTGACCGCACGTACTGGACTGCATTGTTTGACAAGTATGTCCGACGGGCTTCGAAATCTCGTACTCCGTCTGCAGAAGGATCGGAACTTCCTCCGCCCATGTCGCTGATGAACCTGACTGCGTTCTCTTCCTTCTTGGCTTCGTCCGCCAATGGAATCTACGCGTCACGTGCGCCCCAGTCAAGATTCGACCGGCCCCTCAATGAGTACTTCATCTCCAGCTCGCATAACACCTATCTCCTAGGCCGCCAGGTGGCTGGTGCCTCAAGCACCGAAGCCTATGTCAGCGCGCTTCAGCAAGGATGCCGTTGCCTGGAGATCGACTGCTGGGATGGCGCAGATGGTCGGCCCATTGTATCCCACGGTCGGACTCTGACAACCAGCGTGCTGTTTGCTGATTGCATCACTGTCATCAACCGGTATGCTTTCATCTCTTGTGACTTTCCCCTCATTCTCTCACTCGAGGTGCACTGCAATCCGGAACAACAGCTGGCAATGGTCAAGATCATGAAGGATGCATTCAAGGATCAGCTCATCCTTGAGCCTTTGATGACCAACTGCTACATCCTGCCTTCGCCTGAAGAGCTCAAGGGTCGTATTCTGGTCAAAGTCAAAACTTGCGACGAACCCGACTTTGATCCTCGTCAGGACACCGTCAGTTCTGTTGGCACTCACGGCCGCAAGCGCAGTGCTAGTACGCCATTCGTGCGGCCGACACTCGTAGAGGCTCACACCATGCCTCTTCCCTCGCTTTCAAGCCCCCCTACCATTGGACCTGTCGATGGCATCGGCCCTCTGATCACTCAGGATAGACGTTCCCTTACTGCCACCAGTATGAGCAGTGCCACGGATGACAGTGACAGCGCTCTGGTTTCTGTTCACACCGACAAGAAGAAGAAGCGGCGCCAGAAGAGCAAGATCACAAAGCCTCTTTCTGACTTGGGCGTCTATACCCGCGGCTACAAGTGGCGCAGCTTCTCCTCCCCAGAGAGCCGGCGATACAATCACATTTACTCATTTGCGGAAAGATCTTTCGAGAATATCTGTCAAAATCATGATAACAAGGTTGCGCTGGAAGCACACAACCGCAGGTACCTCACACGGGTCTACCCTTCCGGATTCCGACTGCGTTCATCCAACTTCGATCCAAATAAGTTCTGGCGTCGTGGAGTGCAAATGGTAGCATTGAACTGGCAGACTTACGACATCGGCATGCAAATGAATCAGGCTATGTTTGCCGCTGGTACCGATCGCACTGGCTACATTCTCAAACCCGAGAGCCTTCGCCTTCCAGCAATTGGCGATGGAAACCAGAAGCGCAAGATGGAGCGCAAACTGGTTCGATTCTCCGTCAATGTCGTCTCGGCGCAGCAGCTCCCTCGTCCGCGCACCATCGGCCAGGATGACAACATCAATCCATACGTCGAGATCGAGATGTTCAGTGCTGACGATCGCGGCCAGAGTTTCGTTCTCGGTGAGGGTGGCATGGATGCCTCTGCACGCAACGGTATGTCCGGCATCGGATACCCGCACCGTCGCCGCACCAAGATCGAACAAAGCAACGGCTACAGCCCGGTCTTCAACGATAAGTTCAAGCTGTCCCTGGAAACCAAATATCCCGACCTCGTCTTTGTGCGATGGACCGTCTGGAGTTCAATGGACGGTCGCAGCGCAGGAAACAACAACAGCGTGCAGCTCGCAACTTTCACTGCCAAGCTCACCAGTCTTTCCCAAGGCTACCGCTACCTGCCTCTGTACGATGCCAGTGGCGACCAGTACTTGTTCTCGACTCTCTTCTGCAAGATCTCGAAGGAAGATCCTGTCTCCGTCCAGCGTTTGGATCTTGAAGAGCTCCGCGCTGAACGAATGGGCATCCTCCGCCAAATCGGCCAGACTGTCTTCAAGCGCTCATCGTCGGCAGAGCGCGAACGGGAAGCTCAGGACCGCAGTGATCCTGTCAGCCCCGAAGACAGGGACAGCTCTCCCACTCTGACACCGACTGTGTCAACAACCTCGGCCTCATCATACATACCATGAGAGTCACATCACCTCCACCTTTCGCGCCGCCTCACACTTCCATCATCGCCACTTAATGATGCTCTTCCCTCCCGTCTCTCCCCAGATCTGAATTCCTTTTCCCTCACAATCTCAGCATCAACAAGGTCCCGGCGTTTGTCTTTCTACTGCATCATATCCCACTCTCTGCTCCCATCTGTGCCAACCTACATTGTCGGCCGTTTTGTTTCTTGCGCCATTGCCATCCATACCCATCACAGCGATACCCCTCCAAGTTTCTTTAGATTTTCTTTTGTGTCATTTACCATGGGTATGATCTTTCTTTGCTACTCGCTCTTGTCTTCTTCTGTCGTTCATCTGGGACAGCCAGGGAACTGCAATTAGCCGGCCATGTACTCGACTGGGGGAGGAATTTGTCTTTCCTAGCCTTGTTTCGTCTCGACTTCTGTCGATGCTGTTGCTCATTTTATCCTCCCATGTGATATGTTGTCTTTTCATTCGATCTCTTTTTGTTACGCTATTTGTTTGCATGGAACCATTTTCAGGATTTCTGTTCTGGCGACCTCGGCTATTCATCGTTACCATCATCGCATTTGAGGGAGTCAATTCACATGGAAGATCTAAGTGGCTGGTTCACTAGAGCAACTCTTCTCGTTCATCACATCACATTACTTTTGTTCATCATAGCATAGGAATTTGGGTATCAGGAGGCCCTCACAGCTTGGTCTGTTGGTTTAATTCTACACTCTTCTACACTTACCTCTTCTACACTTACATAACTATCAGCATAGTTATACTTAGCGGCTAGGTTACAATGTATTTAAGTTGATATTAACTCCGATTGATTGATAGCGACCAAAGCACGGGTAATTCACGAAACCTCCATTGCCGGGGCATTACAATTTACAATAACTCCTACGCCTAGTACTTCCCAGACTCTGACCACGTGACCTATCTTATTACTCGATCTCATCGAGTCAGCGCCAAGATATCTTTTCTATCTCCGGCTGTCACCCCATATCAAGGCAGAGATACGGGGCCCACCAATCATCTCCATGCCCATGGCAGGTTTAGCATCTTGTGGGGGCGACTAAGTGGGTCCCCCTGTTCGCAGCTTCACCAATTCTCAAAGATAACGTCGACTTACTCCAACTCTTACTTGACTTCCTCAGTCAATAGGAAATGATAGGCGTAAACATCCCGGTCTCAAGCCTGGAAGGTACCCCCGCCGACCCGCACGGATTGCCTTCTTATCGCATGTGCATGGGGATGCGACGTAAAAGGCTTGTGATCCTGGGTCATATATGATATGGCTTTTAGAGTTGGTACCTATACCTTAAGAGCTATATCCGCCGGCTCTTGACTCGATGTGCATACAACCTAACGAGAATATCTATTTGCTTTCTTTCCTGTCTCACCGTTGTCTCGTGGATTTCAGGATTTGGACTGGACTTCACTTTCTTTTTCATTGACGTGACATTCGGTATTATCGAATCAGTTACGGCCTGATTTAGCTCGCCAAGATGGCTAAGCTTAAATGGATCCTTGACAAGGCGGCTGTAGAGAATGAGCCGGGGCTTAGCAATGCCCAACTGATGCTGACGAATAAGGATTTGCGGCCAGGTGAGTTTATACAAGCTTATGCTCTTCTTTCTCTGATGTTGTCATTGCTGTGTTCAATGAAAGACTTGAGACTAATTGGTGATTTTACATTGCAGTGGAACCCGAACGGCGTCAATGGAAATGGCTCAATTTTGTTGCTTTCTGGATTGCGGACTCCTTAAATATCGTCAGTACCTCGGACAATGTCTGCTGTCGGCCTGATGGCGTCTAACACAAAGCAATAGAACACATGGATGATCTCTTCCTCGATGATCGTGGACGGACTGTCCTGGTGGCAGTCCTGGATCTGCGTCTGGGTTGGATATTTTGTGGCTGCTTCCTTTGTGTGCCTGACTGGTCGTATTGGCGCTGTCTATCACATTTCCTTCCCGGTTACAGTTCGAGCGTCATTTGGAATCTGGGGAGCTTTCTGGCCGGTCATCAATCGCGTGGTAATGGCCGTCATTTGGTACGGTGTGCAGAGCTATATCGGAGGTATGTATTCTTCTGATTTGGTGTTATACTCATACATGCATGCTGATGCATCACTTCATAGGCCAGTGTGTCACATTGATGATTGAAGCGATTTGGCCAAGCTACCGAAATCTTCACAATGGTCTATCCGCCAGTGCCGGCGTGGACACCAAGAACTTCCTCAGCTTCTTCCTATTCTGGCTGTGCTCGCTTCCTGTCCTATGGTTTCCCGTTCACAAAGTCCGCCACTTGTTCACCGTCAAGGCGATCTATTCCCCCATTGCCGCCATTGCCTTCTTCGCCTGGGCTATCTCCCGTGCCCACGGTCTCGGACCCATCATCCACCAGTCCAACACAGTCCACGGAAGCGATCTCTCATGGGCAATGGTGAAAGGAATCATGTCCTGCATCGGAAACTTCGCAGCACTGATCATGAACGACCCGGATTTCTCCCGCTTCGCACGAACACCAAGAGACGCCCTATGGTCCCAGCTATTCACGATCCCCGTCGGCTTCGGCATCACCTCCTTCATCGGCATCATCGTCTCTTCTTCCTCAGCGGTAATCTTCAAAGACGGCTACACCTGGAATCCCCTCGAACTCCTCGGCAAATTCCTCGACGGAGCCAGTTCCGGCCAGCGCTTCGGCATCTTCATCATCGCCACTGGCTTTGCCCTCGCCCAGCTCGGAACCAACATTGCTGCAAACTCCGTCTCAGCCGGAACAGATTTGACTGCCCTCCTACCCAAATACTTGAATGTCCGACGCGGCAGTTACATCTGTGCCATCGTCGGTCTAGCCATGTGTCCCGTAAGTCCCCTACGAGTCTCTTTGCGATTCTAGAAACATTCAGGACAAAGCTAACAGAACCACCCAGTGGAATCTCCTCTCAACCTCAAACAATTTTACCACCTATCTTTCCGCCTACTCCCTCTTCCTCTCCGCCATCGCCGGCGTCATGCTCTGCGACTACTACATCGTGCGAAAAGGCTACCTGAACATAACACACCTCTACAGCGCCAGCAAATCAGACGCTTACTACTACACCTGTGGCTTCTCCTGGCGTGCCTATACAGCCTACATCTGCGGCATCATGATCAACATCGTCGGCTTCGCCGGAGCCGTTGGTCGTAGTGTCCCTGTCGGCGCGCAGTATATCTACAACGTCAATTACTTTACCGGTGTCATTGTTTCGGGAACTGTGTATCTCCTGCTGACGCGGTTATTCCCTCTCCCGGAGACGAGTGCCACTTGGAATGAGGTTGATATTGATGCAGAGGTCTTATCTTATGGGAAGGATCCGAATGATTTGGAGGGCAGTGGAGATGGAAGGAAGTCGTTTGAGGATGGCTTTGGGCTTGATGGGGATCGGAAGGGGATGAGTGCCTTAGGGAAGATGGTTTAGTTGGGCGTTGTTTGGGGACTTGGGGCTTGGGTTTGGCGTTTCTTATGTGTTTTGTGAGCTGGGAGGGTTTTCCATAGCATATAAATGGCTTCCTCCTATCTGGAATAGGGGTAGAGGTATGATGAGATGACAATTGACTTATTCCTGGGGGTTATACCTCTGTTCTTTCAAGTTAGCATCCATCCGGACTCGGGTCTACCAAAGCAACTACTAGGAGTAAAATGACAGGACATGTTTTTTTGATTCAAATCATGTTTCTAAACTCAAAGGACGTAACAAAACCCAAGGAGACACCTCGCACGGTACCGACAGTCGTTTGGTGAATACCGATCTACCAATTCTTCTCTTGAGGCAGCCATTCGTCAATGACTTCTCGTCTTCTGTACAATATATCGTACACGCTTATAAGACTCTCCTTAGCGGCGCAGTGCATCTCTGATGGGCGAATCGCCACGACGGAAGGAAGCTAGGTTCATGTTAGCTCATTCAATATAGGCCTGAGAGCTCGGGAAATCACGGATAGTCGGGCCGCTATGGAGGGTCCTGTGCAGCTCGATGTAGAGCAGATTACAGTGAACAGAACCAAAGCAAGCTCGGAACATCTCGTTTCACAATAGCCAGCAGCTCCAACGCGACCCGAAATCCACCCAAAGCGCGCAGACCAAAGATCCATAGATAGAAACATACCATCAGCCTCTTCCCAAGCACGTCCGGCGCCGAAGCCCAGACCAACCCACGCGGGCCAAGCGCGGCGCTTGAACAGGAGCACGGAGAAGACAACACCGAAGGAGAGTCCGAGGGAGGACTTGATGATCACGGAGGAGATGGCGCGATCCCACTAGAAATCCGAGGTTGAGGGTTAGCCAGCATGCTCGCATATGTATGGCCCCGGGAAAGAGCGATTGACAATGGAACAATAAAATAGAGTTTCTTTTGAAGCTTCAATAGGGTGTCCCAGCTGCTCATACCTTCTCATTCAGCAGAGCTTCGCTGACGGGCTTGGTGGCCCGCACGATCGGCCCGGATTCACTGGATTCAGCCATTGCGATGAATCTACCGACAAACGTGTAAGCATCAATTAGGCAACAGTCAAGAGACAATAGGCACGTACTATTAGCAATGATGTGGAATTAGAGAGGCGAATGGAGTGAGGTGTGCAAGGAGTTTGGGAGGTTCGGTCCGAGTCGAATGGGCCAAAGGCGGTCGGAGCAATCCGCGGTTTTTCTTTTTTGGTCTCTTCTTTTTTTTTTGACCTTCTTCCTTGCCAGACCATCACCGACCTGTTCAAATCTCCTGCTTTTGTTCGAGATGCCGTTGCTTGCGGAGGTAAGTAAAATGCTTCTCGTGTGTCTTTTCCCCATCTAATATGTTGCGCTCCAGCGTCCGCGCTCATCGCAAGAGGCGCTCCTCCGCCTCGAGAAGGGCACCGACAATTCCACCACGCAGATATTCGAAGCGGCACAGATTCTCGGTATTGATTTGTCACTGTGTGACAGTCATCCGGAAGTCCACCGACATGCTCAGATCCCAACAAACGCTACGCCGAAGGAGGAATGGGTACTGCGATGGCTCTTGAAGAGACTGAGGAGTGGGAAGAACTATAGAGTGGATGCGGCTTCATTCCTTTTGCTACGACAACTCTCCGACTTGATCTCGCCAAAGAACCTTGCTTCTATCCTTAAGGATCAGAAATTCTTATCTATCCTAAGTGATACCCTCGAAGACTTGGAGACCGACATCTTTGCTGCTCTGGGAAACCAGAGTGCTACTCTAAGCTCCGATCCCGAATCCAGCGGCACATTGTCTGGATCATCGTCTCGAGATGATCGTCGCTCAAGTCAGGGAAAGAAACGGAAGAGGGTGACGACCGAGAATGATGTGGATGCCATGGACGTGGACGAGCAGCGACAAAACCCCGCAGCTTGTTTCCTCACTTTCCTCCGCGCTTTGGACTGTTTACACGGATTTGTGGCTCTTGCCCAGCGCACACTAGGCACTGATGGTGTGGCAAATTCTCATTTGAAGCTTGCGCTGCGGGGAGAGCCCGAGGCCGTTGCCATGCTGCTTGGCCGATCACTACGCGTGGCCGCCGTCGCCGCCAAGCAATTTTCACATGAGGGGAAAACCACCGATCTTCAGCACCTGCTGTACGTATTCCCCGCAGCAGTGGAGCTGTGGGAGTCGAGGTCATACCGCCAAGATGATGCGGAGAACAACACCAGCAACGAACTTTACGGAAGACATTGCTTTGCCCATGCGCTTAGGTTACAGATTTGTCTTCGCTCCGCCAAGCTCGACACTGATGAGCGAGCCCATTTGCTGCATGCCACCGAGCGTATCAACGCCCTTCATGTCTTGCTTCCTGCTCGTGCTGCGTTCTTTGACAGCGGAAGCACTGGCATTGATTACTCCAAGGATGTACCCGACTGGAGCTCGGTCAAACCAGTGACTGATACATTCAGACCTATCATTCGTGAATTTGCTGTCGCTAAGGAAAACAAAGCAAGCCACGAAGCTCGTGTTCATCCCTGGCGATCAGTGGAGCTCCTTCCCGAGCTGTTCGACAACGCTGTGCGTGCTGTTCCGAGGGACGTTTTCCGAAGGCAGACCCACGAAGCTCCCTGGCTGGAGACTTTGTTCGTCGCTGTTGCAGAGCTGGCTTTCTCCACTGCACAGGAAGAAGACGCCGCCACATTTTCTTCCCAATTCATCGATGTATTGGAGCAGCTCCTCCAGATAGCTCTTGACCGAAAGGTCGGTCTCTCTCTTCACACCATTCTGGCACATGCCAACTATACTGGTCTTTTCGAGCAAGAATTGGAGAAAGTCCAGTGGAATGTGGCGGCTCTGTTCATCGGCCTCGGAGTTGATATCTTCCTGCCAAACTCCGGTTTGCGTGATTCGCGTAAGCTTCTTGATGCATTGCTCGATAAGATTTTATTACAGTGGCGCGAAAGTGGATCCCACGGACAGAAGGACTACGATACCATCAAAAGCAAGGTTGTGCTGCCGCTGCTGCGGGGTTTCGCCGGAGCCAGAGATCTGCCCACCTTCATGGAGTTGTGGCACAATCAACTCATTATTGTGGAGAAGGCTCGCCAGAATGACAGCAATCTGAGTCCGTTCTCGGTTTGGGAGGACGACGACCTATTGGATGTTTACTCGGAGCTGATGCGGACATCCCTCGCCGAGACCCACGTCGCTGCCCAGATGCGTACCACTGCCAGCGAGACCCGAGCGGATACTGGCAAGGTCGCTGATACCCCTCAATCTTACGCGAAGTTTGTCATCGCTGAGGCAAGCTTCCGTGGCCGAGTCTCGCCGTTCCCAGAATCGGATAAGGTCTTGGCAACTCTTCTGGAAACGATTACCTCCACTCTGTCGTCAAAGAAGGCTCTGCACTGGCGATGGCGCTTGTGGCGGTTGGTCCGAAATTTCCTAAAGAACACACTGCAGTCAGCCGATCATACTATGACAGCTGGGATCATGTCATTGGTAGAAGTCGCCGCGAAGACCATCCATCGCAACCACAAGGACTTGAGCAAAGTCCAGCTTGCTTCGCTCGAATCCCTGGAAGCCTACCGGTTTTCCCTTGCTGCGGTCAAGGCACAGGCTAATGGTGAACACCTAAGCCCATTCGTTAAAGCCACCAAGGACGTCACAGACCTCATCATCTCCATATCGACCAAGGATGCCAAGAAGTCAATGAAGGCCCCCTGGAATGGCCGGATAGATACCGTGGATTCTCCAACGACCCTTGGCCTAGCTTATTTCCTGGCTCTTGTCAGGATACCAGGAGTGTGGAGTCTCATTCCCTCCGATGATCGATCACGCCTGTTCCAGCAGATCCTGTCCCTGGCAGCTGCTCAATACCAGTCCTCTGCTTTGCCTTTGGAGGCCGCTGCAGAAGAAGCAAGATTCCTCCAGGCGTGGGCCAGTGTGGTCTGCCACGAATATATGCTCAATGCTCACTTTATTGTCTCTGACCTTTCTCTTCTTCTCAATGAGAGCATCGAGCAAGATTCTGCCAACCGCCGACTCCTTGTTGAGAGCTTACAGAGAATCCCAGCCCCCTTGATCACCCGAGGACTGAGAACCAACATCTTGAACAAGCTGCAGAATGTTTTACTTCAGCAGGACAGTTCTCCCGAAGTCATGGTCGGGATACTCACGATGATGGCGAAGCTGGCTGCCATGCCTAAATGCGATGCCGCACTGACTAGCGACTGGGAACCTATCTGGACTGCTGCTCGGGCTGTACCATTGGAAGGTAGCGACCTCGATCTTCAGATCATGAAAGCATTCCGCAGCCTGTACCGCGCGATCTTAGCCAAGCTCATGGGCTTGTATGAAGAAGACCGGAACAAGTTGTTCAAGAAGCTCTTCGCCAGGGCAGCGAAGCAAACCGCAAAGATGAGACAGGTGGAGCGCGACTCCATGGCCTGTTTCCTATTGCGATTGACTTTGTCAGAACTCTGGATCCACCGCAAGCAGCTACAGACAGCCTTCTCAGAGACGGAACTGGCTGCTTGTCGCGAAAAGGTATTCAACTTTGTGTTGGCGGACATGAAATTCGTCAAAGACCAGTGCCGGAAGCAGATGATGGATGAGACTATTACTCTCATCAAGACCATCGATGCCCTGGAAGATTTCGAAGATCTCACCACCAACAACATCGAAGTTGAGAAGTTCTTGTCCAAGATCGAGAATTACATGGAAAAGACCGTCGATTCCGGACCATCGCGATTAATCCGACGCCGTCTTCTTGCCACCAATGGACCCGAGAAGAACATCACTCAGCCAGTCCTCCAATGCGCCGAGACTCTTTCTCTCCAGTCCCTCTACGCCGAAGACCAACAGCTCTTCATCCGTACCACAACCGAACACTTCCGCTCGATGCCCGCAGAGAAAATCACCCAAACAATCAGCGAAGTCCGAGGACTTGGCCTCACCGGTCCAAACGCCAGCTACCGCCTCCTCGTCCTATACCTCGCCGTTTCCACCCTCCCAGCCATCGAAGACAAGAAAAGCGCCACAGCCCGCGAGATCTCCCTCCTCTGCACATCCCTCGCGGAAGCCCTCCCCCAAAGCACAAGCATCGACCACTTCTGCTTCGTCAGCGAAACCCTCGACCTCCTCCTCCGCACCCACACCCGCACCCTAACCCAAAGCAACATCGACAACATCCTCGCCGCAATCGCCAGCGCCTCCTCCAAGACCGGCCCAACCATATCCCCCACCTACGCACCAACAATCTTCACCCGCCTCTGTCGCCTCCTCGGCGTCATCCTCAGCCTCCAACGCCTCAAAATCGGCGGCCGCTTCCACCTCCTCGTAAAAGCCATGCAGCGCCTCCTAGCCTGTCTATTCGCGCGCTCCCGCAAACGCGGCCGCACAGCCCGCTCCTCCCCATCCCTCTCGCAACCCTTCTGGCTCGCGCCCCTGGATGCCTCCCACGCAACCCACTACACGCGTCTGCTGACCTCGCTCTGCGATCCGACCGTCTCGGCCGTGCTGAGGCAGCAGGCTGGTGCGTCGCGTGAGGCCCTGACCGACCAGACGAAGAAGGCGAAGCGCATTGCGGGTCAGTATTTGCAGTATGTTGTTATGGAGTATGCAAGGTGTTCGTTGCTGGGCTCGTTGTCGCCGGAGGTTAAGGCGGCTGTTATGCCGGGTCTTTATGCCGCGCTGGATGTTATGTCGAGGGAGTCTATGCGCGCGCTTAATGCTGCGTTGGATGTTTCTGGTCGGGCTGTGTTTAAGGGTCTTTATGATGACTATTTGAAGTTCGGGAAGTGGAATATGGCTTGATTTTTGATCTTTGTGGGGGACTGGGTTTGATTTGTACACTAGTTACCTTTTTTTGCTGAAGAATTATGATATCCCCCAATGCATTGATGATCATCATATTAAGTTGTTGGCTGGTCTTTTTTGAGACTCGGTTATTCAGTCGTACGTATGAGGGAAATACGGCTTCCAAACACCGAATCTATTTTGTGGCCGTCTAGATGTGGAATTCTAGATAGGGTATCATGAGATATCGTAAATCATACAAAAGGACCAACGTAACCAGCACGAAAGCGAAGAAAAGAGAGGAGAAGAAAGTTATGGGCAGGCGAACTTATAAGACCCTAAATCATCTATATCATGGAAGTCTCGAGTGTGCGCGGGCTCAAACAAGGCACGGACATATTGTCCAAGACGGGAATGCGCGAAGTCTGAGACGGAGCGGAACTTGTGTGAGGAGTATAGTGCGATGTTTGGTTGTGCTGGACCGGTGGATGGGTGGTAGGTTGCTCCGGGTTAGGCATATCCAGAGGTATCCCGTTGTGGCCATTGTGCGTGAGACACCCGACACAGCTGCAGTCGCTGCCACATTGGCAGCTGCCTGTCACGTCCGAACAGGTGCTTGGTAGCCCGACTGCATATTCCAGTGTTAAATACTGTGAATCATGCATCAACTGCTGGTTCAGGTGGTGCTGATTTGAGGACAGAGGGGAAGAGTATCCACTGGGTAAGGTGGAATTAGGATCTGAGTAGCTTTCAAATGGCAATGGCTGGAAGCCATGATCCAGAGTAGGAGTGTTTTGCATGAAGTAAGGGTATTGGGTCGTAGGTGTGCCTGGCTGGTAAGGCGAGGGTTGGTAAGAGTTCATGAGTTCGGAATTTTTGTCACCGTCATTGAACGTGACCAAGGCACCCATCTCCTGCACGTGCTTCTGTGTAGTGGTATTGAAAGGATGGGCAGCACAGCCAAGGCACTGACAGTCGTCTCCACAGCTACAGTCGTGGAAGGCGTCGCCCCCTGATGGTGCAGCGTAGAAAGGCTCCGAGTTGTTCAGCATATATGGGCCCATGGAAGACTGGTTGATTCCAAGACCATTCATTGGGTTGGGGTATGCCAGGGATGTTGCCGGGGTCATGTGAGACATTGTCCTCTGGGGGTCTTGGGGTCTCATGCTCAGATACCCATCATGGAGGTTTGGCGGTTGCGCGTGCTCTTGATGGATGGCAGAGTGCATGTAGTTTCCGTGCATCGGGACAGTCGGGTCCTGCCATGAGGATATATGAGGCGTGGAAAATTGCATGTACGTTTGGCCATCCCAAACAGCAGGCTGTTGATATTGCTGTCTGTCGGCTTCGGCTGCTGTGTGCACAGTCTGGTTCGTTGTGGAAGGACCAGACCCTCCGCAGCAAGATCCGCCGTTCTGAGCTGGTTCAGGGGCCGGGGTCTGAACTGGGGCTGACGGAGGCACCATTGGCTTCTGGGAGCAACAGCTTGACACTTGCGGTGACTGCGACTTCTGCTTGCTAGATTCTTGAGGCGAAGGCGTCTCTCCAATTTGCGTGTCCGCAATGGGAGATCTGTATGGGTCCGCCATCTGATTTGATGTTCCCTCCTCAACCTTCACATTGTTGGGCATGTTCTCCAGGGCCCTTGCTATATTTTGAGGTGCTGCTTGCATGGTGCTCTGTCTTCTTCCGGACTTTTGAATTTTGCCGGCTGGTGATGATGAGGAAGCCATGGAAGGTGGAGTAGACTGAGTCGATTCATTGGCATCCATGGGAACCTTATAGAGCGGTCGGCATACGCATGATGAGCCTGGGCAAAGTTAGCACAAATAGAGCTCCGGTGTGGCAGCTGTAGACAAAGAGACCCCTACCTTTTGGAATGCGGACCATCACAGCATATGTCTTCTGACAGCTGCAGGTTCCTTTCGGGTGGGGACATTTCGCAAGAGGACGCCCGGCCTTGGGAACCTTCATCATGAGTCTATCGAAATGTTGGCATTTCGACGATCGGTGGCCTCGGATGCATGGTTCACTGGTGTAAGTTGTTAGCCCGGTTCCATTCACAATGGACGGTATATTCCTACCAAGACCACTTGGCACCTTCTTCGTCGAGAGGCATATTGAAGAGATATATTTGATTCTGTCCAAGTTGACTGTCGCGGGACGCAAGATTGATTCGCAATATGCAACTTTGTGTCGCAGGAGCTAATGGTTAGGTAGTCGGTACCCCGCGCATGCGACCGCCCGTTGCCGCTAGGACCATCTGACGCCTCTCGTATGTACTCTGCGACCAATTAAGCCATGTGCATGTCATCCGTGACAACTTGGGATTGCGATAGAATAGACGAGCGAAAGGTGGAGTCGGGACGGAGCAAAGTGGAGGTTTGATTCATCGACGTTTCAGGCGGGATAGACCGGGCTGATCAGATCCACGTTATGAGCAACGAACAAGACAGTCAAGACTAGGATATCAATGGATAACAATACCATGGGTTCAATCTCAAGGAACAGCGATACCGGAGTAGTGAAACTGTAGGACAGTAGGAGAACAGATGAAAGTAAGATGCGGGGAGAAGGCGGTGCCTGGCCGGAATTAGGTAAGTCATATGCCTTCCTGATTGGGCTTGGCGCGGTTTTCGGAAATGTTTCGATGACGGCACTTAAACACTGGCCTTGCGACTTGTGACTTGAGAAGCTCCCATCACTTTCACAATGCCTCCCAAAGACCCCGAGAGTCCTCCAGCAGAGACCAATGCCAGTCCTTTCTTCACAGTCCCTGCCCCCGTCAAGCGCCTCTTCGACAAGTTCCCGTTGACAACCTATCCCGCCAACGAAATCCCTCGGCGTGTTCAATCGCACGATAATGTCAACCAGCTGTTTGTTTTCACCGACGCGCGTGGTGCACGACATGGCCGACCCTCATTTAACCCTCAATGTCTGAAATGGCAGGTTTGTGCCGACTACACTCGCACGCAAGGACGCGCGTAGCCGTTCGTGTCGGAACCATAACTGATCAGTCTTGCTCTAGGCATACTTGAAATTCGTCGGAATTGACTTTGAGATCACCCCATCTAACAATCATGCCTCGCCGACTGGCGCCCTGCCTTTCCTCCTACCCTCGCTGCCTACCGATACATCCAATCCGATCCCTTCACACAAGCTCCAAAAGTGGGCAATTGAACAAGTCCACTGCGAGGAAGAACAACAATTGAACTTGCGGTTCGAAGTTTACGCATCCCTCTTAGACCATCGGATACGCAATGCATGGGTATGTCCATGTACCATAGCTCCTGGGCATGAAGGGAGTTGCTAACGGACGTGTCTAGTTATACATGCTTTACCTGGACAGCGAAAACTTCAATGCCGTCGCCCGCCGGCTCTACGTGAATCCTGCAACCACAAACTCGATGGTACGCGCTGCTCTATGCCACCAGCTCCAACAAGCGGCTCGCGACGAGCTTCTCAAAACGTCACGCTACATCGACGCCGCCGATCTAGAAGGCGATGCAGGCGGCGCATTCGAGGCATTATCAACTCTCCTCGGCAAGGACGAGCACTTCTTCGGCCGACCAAACCCAGGCCTCTTCGACGCCAGCGTTTTCGCCTACACGCAACTGATCCTAGACGACAACATGGGCTGGAAACGGAACCGTCTAGGCCAACTGCTCAAAGAGCACCCCAATCTTGTACAACACCGCAACAGACTACTGAAGTTCTTCTAAATGTATAACAGCGACCATAAACATTTTCCCGAGAATCAACATTCCTCCTAGTCCTTCTTAACAAAACAAACCCCAAACCAAACCCTAACCCCAACCCATTTCTTCGCCCTTGCCCCCAGAACCTCCCCCAATCCCTCATCAACACCCCTAACAATAACCCCATCCTCCCCACTCCCAGGCATCTCCACAACCTCAAACCCAGCCCCTCTCGCCGCATCCAACACATCAGCAATCTCATGACAATAACTCGTAGGCCGAATCTTCACCCCACAAGCATCCGTAAACCCCCGCCTGACTCCTCCTCCCCATCTCCGCATGCATATTCGTCACAAGCAGATACCCCCCAGTCCTGATAAGCCCCGCCGCAGCAGCAAAGAACCGCTCCAGCGGTATATGCTCAAGGACCAGCGTCGAAATCACACCCGCAGCGCGCTCAGCACACAGCGAACCCGGAAGTCGCAGATCCGGTTGCAGGAGATCTAGAATCCCGAGCTCAACAGCCGAGGCCGGTGTATCAGACATTGCTGCGGTCTTCTTGACATACTCTCCCACCGCCGTCCGGGCGACTTCTAGCATCCCGCGCGAGGCATCTAGTCCGACGACGGAGAACCGATCTGCCCTATTGGCTGTGTAGAGTGCGGAAAGGAGTGACATTGTGTTGCGGCCTGTGCCGCAGCCTAGATCCAGGATGATGGGGTGGGGTGGTGAGTTCGGGGTTGGTTTGAACTGGTTGTCTATGAGATTGATGATGTTGGGAAGGAGTGTTTGCATCTCGATTGTGTCGAGACGTTGGAGGAAGTTGCCATCTGTGTCGTAGACCTAGAGTTTGTTAGGTATGGTTTGTGTATACTGTTAGTCTGTTTTCGAATGGTCTCATTCGTTCCGTGCAGCTACGAGTGTATGCAGTTAGATACTGGGGATAAGTATGGTACCCACCTCGGCCCAGTTGTCGTATGCTTCTACCGTATCGACATATCGTGTTGGCTGTGAGGTTGCAGAGGACTTGGCCAGTAGTTCCTGGATTGTCTGTGTCATTTTGTGAGAGAAGGGCCCATTCCGTAGGTAGGTAGTCCCGTCCCTTCAAAGCATACCTACCTAGGTTGGAAGGCCGTGGGTAGGTATATATACTAAACAGGATCTCCACCTACCTACGCTAACATCTGGATTTCTCCACTCTCAATCCCAGGTCTAGGTCGGGCTCGGAGTATATATAGTGTCCGTGCTATATTGAGTCATGCATGAACGGTGAGTCATAGGTAATTAGAGATCGGCAGACTAACTATCAGCTGAGAAAGGGGAGTAAATTGAGAGGGAAGCTCTAGTAGCGAGTCTGTGGAGCGTAGAGCTGTATACACGTGGAGTTATTTACGAGGGAATTGAATGGGTCATGGATCATCAGAGTATTTGAGGTTTAAAGTAGTCACAGAGAAAGATCGTACACATTCATGTCGCCATCAAAGTGACATAAGGGAAATAAGGAGGAAACGAATCCCGGGGAGAGGCACACTGGAGAGGCCGACACAATTCCAGAATTGGAGTAAGAAAGAAGGGAATAAAGGTGGAGCTAAAAGAGGGAAAGACACCAGTCCAGGGAAACGCATAAATGCCGTACCGGACGGACCATAAGTCAAACGCTCGTAAAGAAGGGCCAAAGAAGCGGGCAGAAGAGAAAGTAGAAAAGAGTAGTGAAAAGAAAAGAAGAAAGTAAAATCACCAAGTAATCGCAGTGGACGTCACGCAAATTTGGGAATCATGCAGGGAGTCAATCATCGATAGTCAAGTCATTCAGTGAACTGTCGCTCCAAACGGAGCCGTCTCCTTCAAGTCCTCCACCAGGTCTTCCACGTTGTTGAGATACCTGCCCAGAAGAGCCTGTTTCTCGTCTGTCGTTCGTGTATCACGGCTCATCTTGCTTGCAGCGTTTGCAGCGGAATGTCCACTACGCAAGGCGCCCGAGCCGAGTTTGCTCGGGCTGCGCTGCAGACCGGGCGGCGGAGACATGGGTGCTGGGGTCGGGGTCTCGGGCATCAGATAGAAGTAGAGAAACTCGACAAGCTTGAGTTTGACCTCGCGGGATGTGGCGCGCTGCTTGAAGAGTGATGTGACAGTGAGAAGACCATCTAGGTCCTCGAATGTTCGTGTGTTCGCTGGACAGTCCAGCAGGGCCGTGACGAGTGTGAGTAGGGTTGCTGATTGCACGGCTGGGCAGTTGATTGGGTCGAGAAGGTCGAGGAGGAGGTTCATGTAGATCTCACGGGCGAAGAGCGTGCGCGAGCCGCGGTGGAGGAGGAGAGCGCCTTGGATGAGATCCAGTGTGCAGACTATCAGCATGTCGGCTGTGCCGTTGCTCCCTCGGCCTAGGAGGCGCTCGAGGCAGGATACTAAGCGCATTGCAACTGCAAGTATACCGTTAGCGGGTGGATCTATCGGCTGGTATAGAAATATCAGAGACATACTGTTCCATTGAAAGCTTTCTTGTAATTTGGAGAATTCTCGGAAAGCGGGATCATCCCGCAGCTCTGAAAATGATTTCGTCACGGGCTGTGTCTGTGTATTGGGAGACATGCGCCTTCGGTCAAGGACCGGCTTGGCCTTTGACAGACATATTTGTGCTAATAGGCCCTCGACCTGGCGCAATCCTTTGCGGATCTTGCTGGGCTCGTATGAGGAGAGATAATCGAACGAATGGGCCAAAAGAGCCTCCATGAGTGATGAATCAAATGCGAGTAAGAAATGACACAGCCGTTCAACAGCTCTGAAAGAGAAGAAAAGCCCTAGAGCATTCTTATATGGGAAAAAATAAGCAAAGGGCAAGTGGAGAATAGGTCTTTGGGGCTGATGATATCAGTTTTGCCTTTTCTAGTAAATAAAGGGCGGTTGCCCCGGACAACTGAGCAATAACCAAGGAACTCATCACACACTTGGGGCTCTTAGCTTGACCTTTAGATCGACCCTGGCGTCAATCACTTGAGGCTTTAACGTTAATTTTAGTGTGGCTAGCTGAACCTGTTTGCGTCCTTTGACATATGCTTGATGACTTTTCTTTCACCGTTCAACCTTGGTGTGCCGTTGCTATAGTGAACATGATTGTCGTGATTTTTGAACAATCCCTTTATGTGTTCCTGTCGTAACCCTGATCATCCTTATGATCTATCATTTGATCCCAAATTATTTTTTCCCTTAATTGTCCATCAAATTGATGTATCTCATTTCCTTACAGCCACACCAGACTATTCCCGATTCGTCATGGACCTCGGTCTCCTCACAGCTCTAGGCAAAACTCATCATATCCTGAATTCCCGATGCATAAACTACAAACATATTGGCACATGATATCCAAGTTTAAGATACTTCCTAATATCGGATGTGGCTGGTATCATGGGGTACAAGTTGATGACTGTCGCGAAACCCACCTGAGCCACATGGCCCGTTTATCTCCGCCCCTCATCTAACCCCTCTATCTCCCCATTCCTCCACTCTACATATAATCCACCACCATGAGCTCCTCCTCCCCCCTTCAACCACCAAGCCCGGTACCGCCTCGGACAAGCTCAGCGAATGCAACAAATGGTAGCCCATCACACTCGCGCAAGCTGTCCGTCACAGACGAAGAGCCACCCAGGAAAAGTAGGCACCGGCGCAACAGGTCCAGCGTTGATGGCACCAAATACAAGGATGGGACATGGTCGCAGAAAAATGACAAGATTCTCATGGGCCCGTACGACTATGTGCACGAGCATCCGGGGAAAGATATACGGCGACAACTGATCAACGCCTTCAACGCGTGGCTTCAAGTTCCTCCAGCAAGTCTGGCGATTATCACCAAGGTCGTGACGATGCTTCATACATCATCTCTATTGTGAGCATCGCCTCTTTCCAGTAAAATACACACTGGTCTTGATATCCCATGCTAACTCCGTAAATCCCAGGATCGATGACGTCGAAGACAACTCCCTCCTCCGCCGTGGCATCCCCGTCGCACACAGCATTTTCGGCACGGCGCAAACAATCAATTCTGCAAACTACGTATACTTCCTTGCACTCCAAGAAGTGCAGCAGCTCAATAACCCCGTCGCAATCAACATTTACGTCCAAGAAATGCTGAACCTGCACCGCGGACAGGGCATGGACCTCTACTGGCGCGACACGCTAACCTGTCCGACGGAAGAAGAGTACCTGGAAATGGTTGGCAACAAGACCGGCGGGCTCTTCCGACTCGCGGTCAAACTTATGCAGGCGGAGAGCACGACGGGGAAAGACTGTGTTGCGCTCGTGAACGTCATGGGCCTTATCTTCCAGATCTGCGATGATTACCTCAATCTATCGAATACCGTGTACACGGAGAATAAGGGCTACTGCGAGGATCTCACAGAGGGCAAATTCTCGTACCCGATCATTCATAGCATCCGCTCTGATCCGTCTAATCAGCAGTTGATCAATATCCTCAGGCAGCATACCCAGGATGCGGAGGTCAAGCGCTATGCGGTGCAGTATATGCAGAGTACAGGCAGTTTCGCGCATACGAGGCAGGTTGTTACGGATCTGCGGGATAAGGCGTTGTGGTTGATTGAGATGATTGATGCGACGCCGAGGATCAATGGGGCTGGTGATGGCCAGATGGTTCGTGCTATTATGGAAAAGATTGTGGAATCTACGCTATCAGATCCCAGCGCGCGCTAGTGTGATTGTCGTTATTCCCTTGATATTTATGAGGGCAGTGTTTGTGTTGATATACCCAGTTCTACGACCTTTGACAAGATTTTGGCTTGCAGCTACGAAAGTTAACGACGATATGATTTATGTCTGTTCCAGCACAAAGTAAAGATAGTTTCATTATGAACAATGCCATGTTCATGGCCACATAGATGTAAAGGGTATAACCACGTCCTTGCCATCATGACACGTATCAACATTGCTGACACCCAGACTTCACCTACCACCCAAAGTACAACATCGGTAAAATATCTAGAGATGAGAATCTAGAAACGCGGAAGCCCAACGGCGCCAACGCCCGGCTATAACTGCAACTATGCATATATGCATGTATACCTATTTCCCAAACACCATATAGAACACAACCTCACATAACCACACAGCAAGCCTTCTCGAGCTTGCGCAAAACCTTGGGCAACAACCTCTTGGCAAGCTGCTCGAGCTCGTCCGGCTGTTGTTGTCCCTGGTGTCCCTGCTGCTGACCAGGGTACCCACCATGACCCTGGTGACCATGCTGCTGACCGGGATGCCCACCATAACCCTGGTGTCCAGTCGAAGGAGGCATAATAGCCTCTCCACCAGTAAGGTTCACATAGATACGACCGGCGTTATCCTCAGTGGCATACTGCAGCCCCAATTCACGACACACCTGCTCAACACGCGGCTTGATTTTCTGAATATGATTGGCGGAGTGGTTTCCCTTGCCGACGATGCTGGAATAAGAAACGGCGCATCAGTTGACTCCAGCTCTCTGAACGAAATCCCTGTTCCAGTTTTTCATGAATATTGACACGACTCACACATGAAGATGACTCTGTCCATGCGCCTTGGCATACTTGATGCGCTCTTCGAGGATCTCCTCCGCCTCCTCGACAAACTGGCCGTGCAAATCAATTGTGTCGGCCTCGACGCGCCCGTTGGCATTGTTCTCGCGGAAGATAAATTCCGACGCTTGTCTGTTGTATTCCTCCATCTTACGGCCGTGGGCCTTTCCCTCCTCAGAGAGCTGTTTGGCGCCGGCGCCATCACCGCTCGCGTACGCTTCCTTCGACTGGTGTGTGTTAGCGCATGTAACATGGCTGTGCTGTGACTATAATTGCGATCGGAATTGTGTTGTCACATACCCGCGAAAAACATTGGCCGCGCTTGTTGGCTTCCTGGCGTGCGAGATCGCGAAGCCGATCGTACTCCGCTTCGGCCTCGCTGCTGTTTTCGTGGTTGAAGGCTGTTTATGAGGTTAGTGCTTGCGGTGCCATTTGTTTTAATTGTGCGCGTTACCCCGAGGGCCCATGTGGGACATTTCGTAAGACATGGTGGTGGCTTCTTTTTTGTGAATTCGTGATATTAGGGGAAATGGGAGGGCGTACCTTTTTAAGGGTGGGGAAATCGGCGGAAAAATCAGATCGATCGAGTTTCTTTTCCATGGGTCTTAAGAGGTTAAATCTTCCCCCAGAGAACGAACCCCGGGATCGGCCTTGTTGGTGTTCACATTTTGGTATTTGGCGGATGCTTAGAGATCCATTGTGAATATCCTTATACCGCGGACTACATCATAGATATGATGTTAATCCGTGTTTCTGGTGGTCTAGATGTGTTGTAGATGCCCAGACCCCGGGAAATGATCTACGCTGTTAGTCAGGAACCGAGCTCCAGAAGGCGGTAATTTATATCGTACGATGATGGTAATACCCGGTAATTGGTATTGTTAGTAATCAATTGTAGCCCCGTGACCTCGGAGATACCCTTGTTGACGGCCAGGGCTCAAGTTTAGACACGACGCTAAAATCGCGGACTTCCATAGTTTCCATTGCCACGAGGTACGGAGTACATAGCGGTGGAGTCTCCTTGTCAACTCCTCACACGCAGTGGTGGCTGAAAATGGCTAGAGGCACTAGCTGGTGGGTCATCGAGTGCAAGTGCCTCAGGAGATGAGCAGGCGATTGGGAAGCGGAAATCCCTGGATTTCGACTGTGGAATTTGACAGTGCTTTGTTCTGATAGAAATCTTCTCAAGTTTCAATCATGCTGAGACGTTCTTGACTCCAACAACTCCACCCTCCAGTGAGTATTAAACATTGGATGTTGGTGCGACAGTCAGTGTCGCATTGTGGGCTCCACTGAAGATGAGAACGGAGGATCCACGGATGTGCAGACTGTGTCGGATAGATAGTAAGTTACAGTGTCAGGTTTCGACACATGTGCTCAAATGAGATCAAAGATTCAAGGTCCATAAGGACTGGACAAAGATGGAGCATGGGCTGAGGGGTGGACTATGCTGATCAATCACAGGCACTAGCTTCTTTGTTGTATTCTTTGTCTTCCTCAGACTGGAACCCATCTGACAGGAGATCCCACTGAGGTGGGATCAGACCTTCTGGAAAGACAGTGTGGGGAGGGTCGAAGCCCTCCTGTTGGATCAACAGGGGTTATTGCTCCAGACCCACTGAAGATAGAAATTACATACATTGTCAGCTTTGGTACCTCGTACATGTCGTTTACGACTAGCTATATTCCCCAATGTTGATTCGCTTTGTGTTTTGATATTGCTAGTTTTGCTCTCCACAAGATCTGCACGCCTCCAGGAGTCCACTGTACATATGCATGGGATACATAGAATTTGATTCTGTATGAGAATTGAATAGTCGAGTTTCAGAATCTGTAGCTGCGATACGTTTCAAGAGAATCAAATCAGCACAGATCGAATGACGATAGCAGAATGCAATACCTCCAGACTGGCCAATACATCCAAGAGCAAAAGCAAAAGGGGCTGATGAGACCCGTCAGCCCCACTCATCGCCCAATCAGCAGGCTCCAGTTGCCAGCCTGGTATTGTTCTGTAATTTCAGGTAATACATCCCAGTGCATGAACAGGCAGTACTCGGACGGTACCCTCAATCGCCCGCTATTATCTGCTGTGTCGGCTGGTATTATTCGTGTATCCCCTTTCTCTTGCTGAAACTTTCCCAATTTCCCCCTCAGTCTTGCCCCTTACCTTTGAATCTTTGAATCTCTCCTTCTCTCTCTCTTCTCTCTTCAGTTTGGATTCCATTCGAATTCTTCTGCATCTTCCTTTCTTTTCATTTCTTTCCTTCAACGTCCGTTTCTCGACTTTGATTGTCCTTCGTTTTTGCACATCCTTGCAAAAGCACGTTCAGGTGAGTCTACTTTTTTTTCGTTGATCTGATTCCCCCCGTTTGTCTGATTCGGCTCCGACTCCTTGCGTCAGCACGCTCTTACGATTCTTGAAACGCTTTCTGCCTCTGCTCGGCGGTGCTTGTACTACCTATGCAGCAACCCCCTCGAGCTCATCAATGCGATCTTTCTACGGATGAAATTATCCCAGCTTGCTGACAGTCCATCTAATCGAATAGTCCCTGCAACAGAAAATCGATTATCGTTCAACGAACAAGCGTTTTTGTTTTATTTCGTACCGATAGTTGCGACTACTTCATACCGTCGAAATGGGTTGCGGAATGAGCACCGAGGATAAGGAGGGGAAGGCACGGAATGAGGAGATCGAGAACCAGCTCAAGCGCGACAAGATGCTGCAGAGGAATGAGATTAAGATGTTGCTTCTCGGTATGATGAATTGACCCCCGGCCGAAATAGACGGGCCGATGACTGACTTTCGGATGCAGGAGCTGGAGAGTCCGGCAAGTCGACCATTCTGAAGCAGATGAAGCTCATCCATGAGGGCGGATACTCCCGGGACGAGCGTGAATCATTCAAGGAAATTATCTACAGCAACACCGTGCAGTCTATGCGGGTTATTCTCGAGGCCATGGAGTCGCTCGAGCTGCCCCTCGAGGATGCGCGCCACGAGTACCATGTGCAGACCATTTTCATGCAGCCCGCCCAGATCGAGGGTGACAGCATTCCTCCCGAAGTTGGAAATGCCATTGGTCAGCTTTGGCGCGATACTGGTGTTCAGGAGTGCTTCAAGCGCTCGCGCGAATACCAGCTGAACGACTCTGCCAAATAGTGAGTGATTACTGCTTTGCGTGGCCGCACTGGGATTTGACTAATGGGTTTCTTTTTAGCTATTTCGATTCTATTGAGCGCATTGCCCAGCCCGATTACCTCCCCACCGACCAGGATGTACTCCGCTCCCGTGTCAAGACTACCGGTATCACCGAGACCGCGTTCCTTATTGGCGACCTAACATACCGCATGTTCGACGTCGGTGGTCAGCGATCTGAGCGGAAGAAGTGGATTCACTGCTTCGAGAACGTCACCACCATTCTGTTCTTGGTCGCCATCTCCGAGTACGACCAGCTGCTCTTCGAGGACGAGACCGTGAACCGTATGCAAGAAGCCTTGACTCTGTTCGACTCGATCTGCAACTCCCGTTGGTTCGTCAAGACCTCGATCATTCTCTTCCTCAACAAGATCGATCGTTTCAAGGAGAAGCTCCCCGTTAGCCCGATGAAGAACTACTTCCCCGATTACGAGGGTGGTGCCGACTACGCCGCGGCTTGCGACTACATTCTCAACCGCTTCGTTTCCCTCAACCAGGCCGAGCAAAAGCAGATTTACACTCACTTCACCTGTGCTACCGACACTACTCAGATCCGATTCGTCATGGCAGCAGTAAACGGTAAGCTCCGTTCTCTCAATCCGAATATGCACAATAGTTGACTAACGTTTCACAGATATCATCATCCAAGAGAACCTCCGTCTCTGCGGTTTGATCTAATGAACCAGTCTTCTGGTGATGAAGTGTGTCGAATCTAGATCGCATGTTTTTACTAACTGGGGCTCTGATCGGATCCGGTCAAAAAGCCTCGTTTCAAGATGCCGGCGTTGATTCCATTTTGCGTTTTACTTTTTTGTCCCCATATCCGCCATCTTTGCCAATTCTCTTAATTGTCCCCCACCGTTGACACGATCTCTAGCCGGTTTTTGTGCTTTCTTTTGTCGCTCCTGATATCCACGACAGAACACAAGGAGCGTCTTTCTCCCTTCTTTTTTTCTCTTCCTTTTCCTTCTCAATCTTCGCTTTCCATCTTTTTTTTACCTGTTTGATTTGAATGCTGGATATCCTATCATCTCTCTCCCCATTCCCTTTTCTCGTTTTTCTTGTATGTAACCATACCGTCTGTTCCCATCATCTTCCTTGGTCTCGCGTCCGTTGGCAGCAAAGAGCGACCATCCGGGCATCAGGCACGAGGGAATGACAGGATCCGCGGATTTGAATGTCTCTTTCTCATGTGTCATGCCAGGTCGGGTCATTGGGCTATTCTCCGAATTCAAGAATCACATCCAAGGTTCTGACCGTTAATATCGTTCTTGTACAAAGATTCATTCATATGGCCTATTCAACCAGCAAGGTAACTCTACAACATATCTGTTCGTGCGATGCCAGAAGGGTCTAGACAATCGGCGATGCAAAGTGAGATTGAGGTAGGGGTATCAATGCATCGTAGGCTCGAGCCAACAGGACATTGGATGTTAGATAGCGGATCCAATGTGGCTCAAAACCTCAGTTTAGGCCCAACATAAACAATCAAAATGGCAACAACCCACAACCCAAAAATCCACGCATACAGCATCATCCGCCCCCATAATCCCTTGCCCTCCGTCATCTTCCTCAACATCCCCATCCGTTTCCCCGCCGCCTCCATAGTGCTACTCGTACGGTCAATTCCCGACACAGCGCGGTCTAGCGCAGACTTCTCATTTTCCAGCGTCGACTGGAAGGATTGCGACGAGGACTTGAGCTGTGACGCAAGAGTAAGCAGCGAACTGGTCAAATCCTCTTGCTCCAGTCTCTGCGTGGTAAGTTCAGCCTCAGTCCCGGAGAGCTTGGCACTGCTTCCTGTCGCTGTTGCGGTTTCAGAGGAAGCGGGTAGGGCGGATGTTTTATGACGGTTGCGCAGGGTCGGAGGTCCTGGTGTTTTTGAGGGGGAGGATGATGTAGTTGGGGTCGCAGAGGGTCCGGTAGTGGCCGTCGGCGCGACATTCGTTAACCTTGCTTCTTGTGATGAGGATGAGTCCGGTGTCTGTTTCGGTGTTGCCTGGTCCTTTGCTTGTGGTATCGACGGGGCTCTTTTGGCAACGGGCTTGGAAAACAGCTCCTTCCACTCATCGTCGCCGTCGTCGGTCTCATCTTCGTCCTCTTTTGCCTGAGCCTTTGCTTCCGCTTCGTCGAGGATAATCTGTATCCGCTTGAGAAGTTGTCTGTCGCGCGCGATCTCCGCTTGTGCTTCGTGTTTGCGGTCGAGGGGTTTCAGTTGCGGGAGGGAGCGCTCGAGTTGTGTGAGGAGGGTGCGGGCGTATTCTACGTTCTGTGGCGTTGGTTAGCAGATGGGCTTTTGTTTCGTTTTGTGCCGAGGAGCAAAGATTGGGGAGGGTTCGGGTGTGTGGTTTACCTTGTTCACGCGCATGCGCTGGTACTCTGATTGTTGGAGTGCGCGACGGTCTGGCCCTGGGGAGAGGAGGTTGTGCTCGAGTCGGGTGAATAGACGGGCGACATTTAGGAGGGTGAGATCTGTGGTGCTCTCAGAGGGGAATGCTGTTCCGGCCATGGCTGTGATTTGATCGGGGATGGATATGATGCGGAATCGGAGGTTGACGTTGATAGTGTTAGATGTCCTTCAGAAGGTTGGATCTTACGCGGTAGTACATGTAATTATGGATTAGTTACATGATGGCAGTGGATTGAAGTTATCTCATGTAATCTAATCGTATGGTATTGAAAAGGGAAGTGGGTCAACCTTCGACCAATTCTCCAGTTCTCCTTTGACCCACCTGCATCTTGATGTACTGTGTACACGCCTTATCTCAGCCCGTTGAAGATCATCTCGGAGACTTTGGATCTGAGCGCGAAGGATGTCGATAAGAGGTGTGACTTGGCGACCGACATCGCTGGTAATACTATTCCGAAGCTCTTCGATCTGATCCATTTTGATGAGGGAGATGGATCAAGGAAGAAAAGAGATGGGAAGGGAGCAAGGTTGATGACTTGCACTTGAACCTTGCCTGAAGGTGATAACAGTTGAAGAGGAAGAGAGAAAAAAGAAAGTGGGATGATTCTGGGAAAAGAAGAAGGGAAATAGCAGCCTCTCGCGCTCAGCTTACTGCTATGCCCGGAGTAACCCGATCTCTCGCAACCATCAAAATGGATCAGATCGAAGAGCTTCGGAATAGTATTACCAGCGATGTCGATCGCCAGGTCACACCTCTTATCGACATTCTTCGCGCTCAGATCCAAAGTCTCCGAGATGACCTTCAACGGGTTCAAAGTCAACCCGAGCAGATTCAACACCGCTCATCCTCCTCATCGAAGCGACCAAACCCTCGCTTCCCGATCCAGAAAAGTTCACTGGTTCGATAGTCAAATATGACACGTGGGATGCTGCCATCCGCGCAAAGCTCGCCATTGACGGACCAGCTATTGGAGATTCGACAGCACAATTTCATTATGTTTACATGAATCTCTCGAGCCAGGTCCAAGCAATGGTTTTACCGCAGCTCGCAACTGCGCGTGACAACGACAGCCACGACTATCAGACCATTCTTGACCAACTTCGTCGGGTATATGACAATCCGAATAAAGTTCAAGAGGCAGAGGACCGCCTTCTTTCCGTTCGACAAGGCGCCGACGAGTCCCTCGCCGCTTATATTGCCAAGTTTGAACGTCTCCTTTACGAGGCCAGAGGCCAGCATTGGCCGGATGTCACGAAGATCTCAGCCTTCCGAAAAGGCCTTCAAGCTACAATGCGTAACCGCCTCACTCAGCAGCTGAATCTACCGCGAACATACCCAGAATTCCTCAAGATAGTCCAGCAACTCACGGGCTACTCCTTCACCAACCATTCGAGCGCACCAACTCCTTCGAATGGTCACAACTCCGATCGGATGGAAATCGGAGCGATACAAGCTATGCTAACCGCCGCCGAGGCCAGCGACAGCGAAAGCGACTTGGATGCCACAATCTGAGGGACCAGATCATTTCTTTTAGGGGGGGTGATGTCACGAGTTAGTGACATAGGTTTACAACTCAGATGAGAAGAGTCCACAGGGCGGATCTCAGGGATGTGTTAGGATACTGGTGACGTAGCATGATTGCATCAGCCCATCATCTTTCACTTGTCTTCATCCTTCTGTTTCTCTTCCACCTTTGATAATCTAGTTTAAATGCTATACTCTTCTTGTTTGAAACGTTATCGGCATCATCATAACATTTATTCATTCTTCAGAAGCTCTGTTGAGAATCAAGTATCATGCCTCCAGTTGATCAGAGTCTGCAGAGAGAACTCAGAGAAGAGTTTCATGCCACTGGGAGAAGCAGACGGAAAATAACATAGTAATCTCGTCTCGGCCAACTGGTCAACTGGTCAACTGGTCAATCTGTGAGGGCTTGGCCAAATATCTGGACAGTCCAACTCTGCATGGTCTATTAGGAGGCTGGATTAGCCAGGATTACCACATTGCCCCATTGGAAAGGTTGACATATTACAGGACACCGGTGTGCCTCATCGCGTGGTTACAAAGGGTATGCTCGACGAAGGCTCTCTCGGCGTTCTCCATGGGAGTATGTGCTATCTGTCTCCGTATATGGAACTCCAACTTGAGATTCTGGTCAACTGTTCAAAATGCAGACGACAAAGATTACGGCAGAGTCTGAATTTCGATCAGGCGCCGAACAAGCGCTCTGACATCATGCACGGCCAGACTGATTGCATCGACTTTATTTTTTCAGTGGTCAAGTCGGCACACCAACTGGCTAATCTTATCACTGCCAACTGGTGAGTACTGAAGCGCCCATTTTAGCCTCTCGATTGTTAACACGCACATGACAGATGGGTCCTCTATACATAGGCTGTTTTTGACGATTGCGTGTATTGGAAAGAGGAACATGACGATTCCTCTCGCACAAACAAACATTGCTAGACAAGAGCATAAAAAGAGAAGTGATTGCTAATGATAGCGGTGCTCGATTGACACCTCACAGACAGCCCAAGTCCAAACTCAGGCTATTCAAAAGGGAGACATGATTCGTGACAGAACAGGAACAGAAAAGTCATAACAAGAAGCAAGCAAGAGATCAAGGACATATACCCCCCAGGCTGAGAGTATAACAGTAAGAGATTGAAGACCACCGACACCTAACCATGGAACCAACGGGAGAATAACGAAGAAAACCACCCGACAGACGACTACCTATACTCCACAACGACCCGCTTCCAAGTCCGCACTCCATCAACACCCTCCTCATGCATTTGCCCAGTTATTGCATTGCACTTCTGTACCGAGTCGCTTTCACCAACGCAAGAGGCTGGAACACTTTCGCCAGAAGCTAAGCGTCGACTTTGCTCCTCTCGAGCCTTCGCAGCGAGAACCCCACTGCTCGGTAAACAGCTAGTCTGTGAAAGCGGTCGCAGGATATCGCATGCAGTCAGAGGTCGCGAGCCCACTGAGGCGATCTCGCCCTTCTCCATTCTGACAGAGTCACACCAGGGGTTCCTCTCTTGGTGTTGTTGCTTGGCTTTGCAAACAAGAGCGTGTCTCGTCCTCCGACACTGCTTGATGGACCGATAGACGAGGATGAGACCCAGAAGAGATAAACTGATCACACTAGTCACAGGGAAGAGTATTTCTGCCGTGGAGTACAAGATCTCAGGAGACAAGTAGTGGGATTCTTGGGCGACAGTGCTCATCGCGGGGCATGAGGATGATTGAGAATGTCCTGGCGAAGAGTATGTTGGGACTGTCACCGACTCACCCCCCATTGGAGGGGGGTAACAGCCCAACTTTAACTGTGCGTGTGGGGATGAAGATGCATACAGGTAGCCATGGTTTAGACAGAGTTTGGCGAGGCCAACCTGGCCAAGACATGAGTGTTGGATCCTACGAGCGGACTTGACGGGGATAGCGGGGGAGGCGAGTACAAGGAAGTATGGAGTTAGATGATCTACGGCAATTTTAGTCTATTGGTGCTGATAATAATAATTTTTTTTAAATCCACTTTCGGTGTATAAGATACATGTATGGACCCGTATTAGATTTGAGGCTGTCTCTGACTCTCAGCTGGAGGTTTCACGGATTGGGTGCCGCTTTTACGAGGACCCTGAGGGTTCTGCAGAGTATTTTACAGCACAGGTCTGGGGGGCCTGGGCATGAACTATCGTAATGCGTAGAACTGCGTTATGTACTCCGTACGAAGGACATTGTACTCTCATAAAGAATCAAAAGATAGGATATGATTGCCTCTCCCAGATGGTTGAGACTTGACTCTCGCCATCCTGTGTTATAGGTATAACCTACTCTGTTGAATATCGTACAATAAGTTGTTTGAGTTAGTTACATGTAGGCACTAGGCAGTTTCTGGCTAGTACTTAAGGGAGCCCGTGGTTTCCCTTTTGGTCTGTCCTGTCCACGGGTCAGTTGGCTGATTCTCTGGTTGCGGGTCCAGGGTCCTAAGTAGGCAAGAACTATCACCAACGCACCTTCCATAGAGGATATCCAAGTGACTGCCAATGTGATCATCACTAGAATCCCAGCTTCTACTTAACTTCCTCCTTACCATCCATCAATCTTCCATCAACCTTCACTTCTGCACATACAAATCCAATCAACATTGTCACCAGATTGCGCATCAAAGCGTCGAATGGCTCTTTGAAAGTCGCGTTCCAAGCCATGGCATCAAACAACCCACCAGTTTCGGAGGGTCCGAGAGAATCCCAAGTGCCAGCCCAGACGCCAATATTGGCGACGGGAGCGGTCAGCGGTGACACCGGATCTGAGAAACCCAGGAGGGGCAGATGCGAAACATGGACCTATAAGTGCGAGGCATATTACCAGATTGGGTCAACGTTCTACCTCCTACCTAGAGACCACGCAACGACAAAGGCCAAGTGACCAGGCGAGGCCAAACGAGCAGGTACACGCGTTGCTTCCATCTCAATTCTACGGCCTTTTCTACAGCCTTTTCTCCTGTTCACGCCTAATTCTACGACCTCCTGCCATGTCGAATCCTATCTCCTCTCCAACACCCAAGTTGTCTGCTTTGGCATGTTCTTTGGGGGAGAGGCCGCGCCGAGAGGACCCATGTTGGGTGGTATCCTAGGATACCTTGCACTGTGCAAGCCTGCCGGCCTGTGGATGCTGGTAACCTGGTGGACTGTCTCCAGAAATGAAACGTGAGTAAGATCCCGCTGACCGTGCCCACATACACATTTATTGATCCTCTTCAGAGGGAGGCCCCAATCCCCCAAGGGAGGGCACCGCCTGGTTCCTGGGGCTAGAGAGTGGTGGCACCTCTCTGCGACCTTCAGGCTGAAGCATGTAAGTCTCCCAGTCATACATATTAGCTTTCCTAAATTAACTCTCGGGAGCCCTATCTGACAGACATAGAGACGAGCCAGGAAAGCGTCGCCAGCGCGCAGAAGACATCCTGCTGCTCCACCCAATTGAATGCAAAGCGCATGGTGGAGAGAAAGAAGGTGCAGAGTTAGGAAGGATTAGGAAAGATTCTCTCATCGACTAGCGTTCTTCTTTCTTTCTCCCTAGACTTGATAATTTCGATAAGGTACAAATATCAAAGATCTGCTCTTACTAGCCCGTAAGTCAACAGCTACCCCTAAGACCGCTGTTACTTCTACCGAGCATCGTAGATTTGCTGCTCTACTATCCTTGCATTCACCTAAGAGAGCCACCCTGTTAGCATCAGCCCATGAAGTGGGCGATATGCAAGAACTCACATGTTGAGGACCCAGATCTTCGATCCTATGCACCCCTAATAATTGCATAGTGGTCTTAATCTCATCGGCGAGGACTAGTGAAGGCAAGCAATTAGCGACGAAAGATGTATAATACTGTAAGAGCAAAAAGTCGCTTACTCTGGAGTGTCCTCTCAACACCGGCAACTCCACCAGCTCCAAGGCCCCACAGCGCCGCTCGGCCAATACCCACGGCCTTCGCGCCCAAGCACAACGCCTTGACAACATCTGTACCTCGTCGAATCCCCCCGTCAACCGTAACTTCCACCTTGTCAAACACTTCCGGGCAGTATTTGCGGATTTCAAGCAGCGTATGAATAGCCGGAGGAGCAGTATCCAGAACGCGTGCACCGTGATTGGACAATACAATGCCTTTCACCTGAGCGAACCCCGAAGCAATCCGCGCATCTTCATGCGTCTGCAGACCCTTCAGAATAACCGGAAGATCCGTGTGGGCCGCTATCCACTCCAGAGTCCCCTCCCAAGTGAGATCAGAAGCAGGCCCAGATACAGATGGCACAGCCACACTGACGCCTGCTGGGTCCGGCGTTGGCGGTCCAAGTGGGTTCATCCCCATGTATGCATTCAACCCAGTACCGAGCTCGTGCTTTCCTGGAACGGGCTCGTCGATGCACAAAACAATACACTTGATTTCCTTTATCTGATTGACACGCGCCATCAACGCCTCGCTCTCTTTTCGCTCCTTCTGCGCATACAGCTGGAACCCGAAAATCTGATCTGGGCTGGCGCCTGCCACAATCTGCTCTGGGGTCATGGATGCGTTGTTGGATATCATATGCATGACACCCAATGCGCGACAGGCCTCTGAAATGCCGGCTTCGCCGGTGGGATGTGCGAGGCGGGCCATTGCCATTGGTGATATGAATATCGGTAGGCCGACTTTGTGGCCCATGATTGTGGTTGTGAGGTCGCATTTGCTGACGTCGATGAAGACGCGGGGTCGGAGGAGAATGGATCGGTATACATCCGTGTTCAGCTGCTTGGAGATCAGATCGCCTGCTGCGGCGTAGTTGAATGACCATGCCCTTTTGCTCAGTTTCTTCGTGGCGAGTTGCTCGATCTCATCGAGGCTTTTTAGGCTTTCTATTGAGGGGAGGATTTCTGATGCTGAGCCCATGGTGAAGAATAATGACTTTCGAGTCAATCAAGTTGGATTGATTATCAAAATAAAAGGTAAAGACGTGGGAAATGGCCCAATGGGCAGGTTGTTCGATGAAGACACATTTATGGAGGCATCGGCTACTGATGACAATAGCCGACAACGGTGGGATGCCGTGGGGAAGCCGAGAGAGGCTAAGGCCGATGATAACCCTACCCACAATATCAATCCCAAGATTGTCTGGATTGAAGCATTTCAAAATAGACGTGTAAATGAGGCCAATAATCATGTCGATGCAGATAGCCTCACTTCTACAAGTGGGGTTTGTCGGCCTGAGGCCAACGTACGATCAGATCATCAGCCTCAAGAGTGGACAACAAGGCGTGCTCAGTTATACCTTAGGTACTGAGCAGCGAGACCATTAAAGTGGCAAGAGATTGTTCAAAACCATGTATATGTGTACTGGTATGTATCAGACAAAAGATCTTTACTAGTCCCCGCATCGGCTGCATAACTTGGCGGGATACCTCAGAAGTTAGGGCTTTATTCCGAGATGTTCGTTGGAAACAGCAAAGCGGAATGAGCCCGAACAATTGGTATTCAACTCGAGCATACAATTCGAACCAACCTAAAGAACATCCAGTAAACATACAAAAGATGTCTCGCTTGCCTCATACTATTCCGTAGTACTCCGTAGTACTCCGTAGTAAGGAAGAGCCCCCTAAAAACAACCGAGACCAGAGATCGTCAAATCCAGATTCCAGCCCCGTTAGATCTCAGCTGCCCCCACCACGCCACTTACTGTGTACATTTCCTCGTTTGAATTTTGAAGCAAAGTGTGAGCCTAGTCCTCGTCGCCATCTTTCATTTTCTCGCGGAAATTAACTGATTAATTCAAAACCCCTGACTGCATGCCACGGGTTTGCAGGGTCGATGGACCCATTCCCAATGCCATGGCTGCGGAGAAAAAACACTCATGTGCCGTCGATCATGGCAAATGATGTACGGTGAATGAACACTTGATCGATCGTCTTTGCTGCTCAGCTGGCGCCCCGAGCGCTCGCCCTAAACGTCCTCCCATCGAATCACAGTGGCAAGATTCCCGCGGTTATCAGAGTGGGTATGTAGTCTACACTTACTTGATTTCCTCTGTCATTGTATCTTTCTCTTTTTGTGCTCGCTTATACTAATTTTTCTGTATATAAGATGCGACGCCACGGGCCTTGCGTTCAGTTCATGTATGCCCTAATCCTATCCACTTTGGCTAGTGGAGACATGAATCTTCCGGGAGTAGTGGACCTCACAAGGCTCAGCCACTTCCAACTTTAGGTCTATCATTGGCCATGGAGTTCTTAATGTTGGTACATTGTGTTTATACATGTCAACATCTTATGGGAAAGTTGCTCTTGCCTACGGAACTTGCCCGAGAATTCTCTGGAAATGGAGGTGTCCCTCCTTCATAGGGCTTTGATACATACAATCCAGCCACTCGGGCCCGCCCTCATAGATCAAAGAAACTGTGGATTGTGAGGACATTACTATGCTTGAAGTTTTCTCAATTCCGTTCCGACAATCGCAATGAACAAATGTGAATGTAGACACAAAGTAGATAATCTAGAGTTTAGCTGTGGCACCCTTCAGCTCTTCCTTAGCCTGCTCACGCAGTTTTACACGCAGAATCTTGCCAGAAGGATTCTTCGGGATCGCATCGAGGAATACCACGCCTCCGGTAATCCGCTTGAACACGGAGACCTTGTTCTCCATGAACTTTGTAATATCCTCTGCGGTGGCCGATTGGCCAGGCTTGAGCACCACGTAAGCACGAGGGCGCTCATCATTGTTACTGTCATTGGGGGTTAGTAAAAGAAAAAGACGGTGTGATAACTAAAAATTTTTGGTCTCGAGTCACTTACACAGTGATTCCAATCACAGCCACGTCGGAGACGGCGGGGTGCTCGAGGAGAAGAGCCTCCAGTTCGGCGGGGGCGACCTGGTTGCCCTTGACCTTGATCAATTCCTGTATGTCGTTAGACCTATTTTGTGTTTTCTGCAGGACAAAATGCATACCTTCATTCGGTCGACAACGTGGATTTTACCATCGTCGTCCACAAAGGCAACATCGCCCGTACGGAGCCAGCCATCCGCGGTCAAGGTCTCCTTGGTGGCCTTCTCGTTGCGCCAGTAACCCTTCATGACGTTCGGCGCGCGAACCCACAGCTCGCCGCGGGCATTTCGCTCCGTAATTTCTGTTCCATCTGGCGCAACAATTTGTGCCTCACAGTTGGGGTTGAGCTCGCCGACAGATGCGGATGTACTCGTCTCGTCGGGTTTCCATCCAGTCACTGAGCAAGTCGCCCTGTAGAGAAGCAAAATGTTAGTTTTTCCAAACACGATAAACTTCCTCAGCAGAGCAAAGAACAACTCACTCTGTCATGCCCCAACCCTGCTTGATGTTGATCTTTCCTTCTGGCCACAACTTCTCAACCTCTTCGCAAACCTCCCTGCCCAACGGAGCAGCACCACTCCCCACCGCCTCGACACTACTCAAATCAAACTGCTTGACAGCAGGATGCTTAGCCAAAGCAACCACAACAGGCGGCACAAGGATATAATCGGTAATCCGGAAAGTCTGCGTATACTCCAACATCTTCATGAAGTCAAACTTGGGCATGATATAAACCGGCGTCTTGCGATGCAATGCCGCCGCAATGAAGATATTCTGCGCCATAGCATGGTACATAGGCAAGAAGCACAGCCACCTCGACCGCTCCTTGCGCGCCTCGTAATCCGGGCTCAGCGTCGGCATAAAGCAATACTGCAGCATATTCGCCACGTAATTCTTGTGCGTGATCTCCACACCCTTTGGGCGGCCCGTCGTGCCGCTGGAGTAATTGAGCGCGAGGGTGCGGTTCGACAAAGCCGGTGTATTGAGCTCGTCCCAGACGAACGCGCGACCTTCTTCCTCCGAGGCGATAAGATCACCCCAGTACGGGCAGCCGCTTTGCGGGTTTGTGGCGCCGTCGTAGATGGCGCTGTCGAAGGCGTAGATGCGGTTCTTGGGGAAGTTGACTTGCTTGGCGGCTTCCAGGCCCGTGGCTAGACTGCCGCTGGCGCAGATTAGGTGTGTGGCGCCGCTGTCTTCGAGTTGGTAGGCGAGTTCGCGGGCGACGAAGGTTGGGTTTGCGCCTGTGAAGATGCCGCCGGCCATTATCACGCCCATGAAGATTACGGGGAAGAAGAGGTCGTTGCCGGAGAAGAGGAGGACCCGGTCGCCGGTTTTGAGGCCGGATTTGCGTAGGCCGGCGGCGAACCGCTGGCTCCAGAGGCGGTAATCATGGGTGGTGAAGTAGTGGGTGTCTGGGCGGGCGGCTTCGAGGTAGCATTTGTGTGTTTTGGAGAGGGGTGCTGTGGGGGATTGAAGGAGGAGAGAAGCGAGATGGGTGTCGGGGATATCGATCTCCCAGCGGGATTTGTAAGGCATTTTGATAGAAGGGGTGGGTTAATTGGTAGGGAATATGAAGAGAGGAGAGAAAGAGGAATTGGAGAAACAGTACAGCAAGTCTCTCTGATATAGGCAATTAGGTTTTGCATAAGGCCTTGGATTCGCGTTCACCCGGACATAATTGGACATAATCCGCGGCTCATAGATCCTCCCCCGCGTGGAGTCGGTTATGTTTGCGGGGAAGCCGCGAGTCCAACAGCCTCGGTCCTCGACTCCTCGCAGGCATCACATCACCTACTTTCACACAGTATGGTCCCCGAAGATAGACATAGCCTATTGAATACTTGGATAGCTAGATTATCGCTTAGAAGCCGACTTACACTTACCTTAGACATATCATGGGGACTGCAGCACAAACTTAGAGAACTACAACTAGACATCCAGTCGTCCCGACTACAAAACGATCAACGGCCTTCCATCGCCAGATGCAAAAGTTGTCATCCTGAGGCAGACAGCAGAATCCAGACCGCTCATTGTCTGGCAGGGCCTTGTTCCCCGCATTTCCCGCTCATGCCGTCCCTCTGACCAACCAGAGTCTACTCCGTACTTATCAAGAATCCCTTGTCATCCTGATCATGATACCCCAAATTACCAGCTGGGATGATCTAGATTTCACTTCAGAGGAAATAGATCAAGACTCTAATGAATTCCACTCGTTTGGCCTTATCGACGACAATGACACCTACCATTATGGCCAGCTAGGCACTCCCAAGACTGAAATATCACTCGAAAACATCACGGCTGCTCTCAAACCTATCCCCGATGAAGCCATATACCCTCCATGGCCCTTACCCGAGGCGAAACTTCTCCAGGCACCAGAAACACCAGCAAAAGTTTACATTAAACGTCCCACACTGGAGCTGTACAGCACGCTTAAGAAGCTGGGACTCGAAAAACAGCTATTCAACTCACTCATAGCAGAGGCGCAAGTGCTAGAAGAGCTATCGCAGCATCCACACCCGAACCTGATCCGCTACCACGGCTGTCGGGTCGCGCGCGGGCATATCACCGGCCTCGTGCTTGACAGACACCCGGACGATCTAGAGACCCATGTTCAACACGGATACGAGATAAGCGACAAAGCCCTTTTTATGGCCGCGCTCGAGTCTGCGATCAGCCACCTGCATGGGCTTGGTTGGGCGCATAATGATCTCCATCCAGCCAATGTTCTAGTTAGCGAGGCTGGTATGCCGGTATTGATTGACTTTGAGGGATGCCAGAAGCTTGGTACGGAGTTGAAATATATTCGGGGAAATAAAGACTGGATTGAAGGGGAGATCGGGGACTATGCCACGTCGGAGGCACAGCATGATATCTTTGCGCTTGGAAAGATTCGGGCTTGGCTCGAGGTTCCAGGCGAGCATGAGTGAGTGTGGTCTGCGTTTGTTTTGGTAGTGTTGTTGACAGCATGCACATCATTCTGTTTCTTTGATACGCGTTTCGTTGTAGTTTTCTCGGGATTCTCTGCATTGGCACGTCTGGCCGATCGAGTAGTGACAGGCATAGTGTGAGCGAAAAAGGCGTCAAACAAAAGATAAGGTGTCAAAGTCCACGGTCGAATGACCGCGTATTGGGGCTATAGTAATTCACAGGTTTACATGAATGCAATTGTTTGAAATAATCATTGAGTGACATTGACTACACCCCGACCAACCCGTACATGAAAGAAACAAAGAGCAACAATGAAAAAGGCTACATATTCATGAATCCTCCTCCCCACCCAGACAGCTGACTGTCATCTTCATCTGAGCAACAATCTTCTCCTCCAATCGGCTCTCTGCCCCCGAGGATGAATCGGATGGCTTTTGCCGAGACCATTCCACCTCCTTCTCATTAGTCGCAACAATACGTACACGCAGTGTAGATCGGCGGCCGAGGAGTTCCTCCAGGTCTTCCTTGACCTGCGTCCGGTCCCATTTGAGACTTTGGATAGCCTGGGCATCAACTCCTGCACTGGCACCTGCATCGCGATATCGGTCTAGGATGAATGAAATAAGGGCAAGCGAGTAGGCTTCGGAGACTAGACTGAGGCTAATCCACTTGGTAGTCGCGGCGGACGGGGCAGCCGTGTGGCTGGAGAATGCGTCGGTCGCCCGGCTGAGACGTGACTCGAATTGATTGAGGAATGCAGACACCTCGGGCGCGGTCCGCATGACGCTGTAGAGCATGTTCAGACACAGAGGGAGGAATCCTCCGGTCCAGATGGTGTACAGTCGAGGGACGGGGTCGAAGGGTCCGAAGGCTTTCTTTTGGGTGAGAAGGTTTGTAAGGCGGCAGGTGGAGAGTTTCATTAGGACGGCCTCGACGGCAAGGTGCTCTGCGAGCATGGGCAGGATAGACATCTTTACCAAGAGCGAGATGCTGAGCTCTGCGTAGACAGGATCCCCGGCCACGGCTAGTTGGTCGGCCCAGGAAAAGAGCGTCGTTGCATGACGAGCGGTGTCGTTTTCCTCAATGTGGAACACGATATGCTCATAGAGACGATCGGCGTTCTTCACATGCAGCGCTGTCTGCAGAATAGCGTTGATAATGGCGAAATCCTTCGGTGTACATTTCTCGGGGTCGTCATGGATATAAGTCGTGAGAGACTTGAAGCCCCGCGCCACTATTGTTTTGACAATTTCCACAATGACAGTCAGATCTGACGAGACCTCGGCCTTCTTGTTGATAGCTTCGGGGGCACTCCGGGAGGGGCTATCAAGGTGGAATTGGAGAGCGAGGAAGAGCACATGGAGGACGGACCGGAAATACTCGGTATCGTCATTGATCAATGCATCCTCGTATGTCAAGCGCCGGGCTCGCAGTGCCTTCCAGGTGATCTCCAGCAACTGGAAGACTTCAGCACCTCGGGCGTTTGCCTCGACAAGCCGTTGGAGAAGGATCTGGGCGAACTCAACGCGCGTTTGTTGGATCCGCTCGAAGATAGCTTCAGGAGGGCCACTGCTGGTGTTGGCATTTAGGCAACTTTGTGCGACTAGAGCCATTGACTTCCGGACTTCGGTGTCGGGCATGAAGTCGGCACAGTGCTCGATAGCAAAGAATTTCCAGCTATTGAGGAGACTCTATTCCATGTTAGAACAATGCACACACTCAGAATAAATGCAGGGAAACTTACCACCTGTGCCTCGACGAGAGACAGATTGATATTGGCGCGCTCAAACTCCTCGGCAAAGCCGCGGTTTTTACTGCCAGCCCAGGCAAAGTCGTAAGACAGCAGCTTGCCGCCCATGCTGAGATCGTAGTAGTAATCCCGTCCCAGACTACGAACCTCGAGCGGCGTCCGCTTGAAGTCGGTGATCTTGCAACCCGAGTACCGCATCTCGAAATTCTTCTTCAAGTTGGCATGCAACGAGGAATTGTACGCCGATACTTCAACTGCATCCTTGGCATACCATGACACCAATGGGATTAAGGTCTTGATAAAGCTTCGGTCGCCCATCTCCTTTGCAGAGTGTAGGTAGACCGCACATACATCCGCGACAACGGCTGCGATTCGTGTGGCATGGATTTGATCCATCACGGGCAAAGAAGAGATCTTCATCTTTGCAACGTAGCTTATTATGCTGGTGAAGAACTGCGGGTGCTTGTTCAGATGGGGAGTGGCCCATGGCCAGCTTTCTTGAGCACGAGAGACGAACTCGAGCATTGCCAATGCCACTTGCGGTTCTTGTTGATCAATGTGAGACAGTTTCTCAAGTGCCATTTCCAAAAATGGCTTGCTTCTCATCTTGAGGCCGCCCGAAGTAGGTTCCTTCTTGAAAGTTTCACGAGGAGATGATCCCGTGAGAATAAATACTGCAAGCCACTGCTGGCGTTTGCTAACAAATGTCGACAGCAGCTGCCACACTGCAAGGAGCAAAGGCCGATCGGACGTTGGCTTGTCGAGTTGTGATAAGACATCAAGGAACAAACACGATGACTCTGCTCCAAGGTGGCCAACAAGGGACGGAGGTTCGTTATCTGGACTTGAGGCGGCTGTTGAGATCAAGATCTCGAGAAGCGACACGACTGGTAATTTATACGCATCATGCAGTGCATAGAGCTTGACCAGGGCAGGACTGGCTTTGAAGAGTTGTTCCTCAAGAAGTGAGCTGGGTTGTTCTGCGAGTTGAGCAGCTTGCACAAGTTTAATACAGAGCCGCAGTGTAGATTTGACCTGTTCCTCGACGAGAACGAGATATCTGAAGTGGAGTGTTGGGGGTGTCTGGAGGCCCTCAGAAACCAGCCGAAGGATAGGATTGAAGGGCAGGTCAGCGGTTGACCGAGGACGCAGCATGTCCAAGATGTAGCCTGCAGATGAAGAGAACACGCCCGTAACTTTGGACTCAAGTTTCGGGCTGTCGTTGATTCCAAAGGCGTAGTATAGAACACGTTCGAATGAAATAGCAAGCATCGAGTTGATCTTAAACCGTTGCTCTGGCTGGTTGAACCTCCAGTTCCCAATGCTGTTGAAAATCTCCACCGTCGTACGAGTGAAATTCAATAAGATGGTTCTCATGACATGAGAAGGGATACCGGCACTACAGTCAGAGGCAATGACTGATTTGCTCGCCGCGCTGCCCGGACTCTTCCGTAACACTGCTCGCGATGCCGCATCGTCGATGACAGCATCCACAAGATCGACACAGGCCAGAAGGAACGGATATTCACCGGAAGGCATTTCGATGGCCGAAATGATCGCTGTCATGACACCACCCTTGCCATCGGAACCAATCAGACTGCTGCGGGCAAGGAAAGGCCATACTCGACTGGGTAAAATTCTCAAAAGTGCCTTGATAAAGCGCAGGCATGCCATGATAGCGTTCAAAGACCTGGATGAGTCGCCCCGGGAGCCGACGGTCTGCAAATTACGCTCAAAGATATCGAACACCACAGAAACGATGTCACCTTGTTTGGATAACCCATCGCTGGCTATCTCCAGAATTCTCTTGCCACTCGCCTCGTCAGAATTTTGAGCCTTTGAGTTGGCTATCAAGTCTGCCAAGAGCGCAATGATATCCGCAACGTTGTCATCATCGCAACCAGGCAATTGTCCACCGGACTCACTCCATGCCTCCAGCCAGCTCCCCAAGAAGCTTAAGCAGGAGTATTGATGCCTCCACATGATAATTGCAGGTTTGGAGGTAGAAATGACCTGTCCCACACTCTGATGTGGGATTTGGGAAGAACTGCTGACTATTAAAGCATTGCTTGACTGGTTGTGACGGGCGTGAGACGACGTTTCGAGCATTGGAAGGGGTTGCAGCAGAGAGACAAAGTTGGCGTTCTCGTCTTCCCGAATGGTGGCATAGCCTTGGAAAGTAGGCGATACCTTCTGAGTGAAGGAGTCCATGTTCTCTAACTCCTCAAGAATAACCGGCAATCCTTCCTCGTCCAACATGTGTCCACTGATGAGAGCACGGCACAGCTGTAAAAAGGGTGCCGTTTCATAAGGGAAACGAGACCGCGCAATGTGGAATATGCGCGCCATCAGATTTTCATCCTTGGCAAATATAACTTTGGGGTCGTTGGCAGGACTAAAGGATTCGAGATTCCTTGACAATCCGTTCTCAGGACCACTCAGAACAGCTAGAACTGACCCCACGATCTCCGGGGAGTATTCTTCTAAGAACGTAACAACGACGCGGAGCAGGTCGAGAAGTGATAGTCGAGCCCATTGATCAGTCAGGTCATCATCGACGGCTGAGGTTGATCCAATGCTAGTCGCCAGAGCAATAATGGTGCTGAACGTCGATTCTTTAACACCATCGGAGACAAAAATGGGAATAGCATCCTCAGTGGTGGCTTTTGGCGTCCTGGCGCAATCAAGGATGTCTTCATAAAATGCTGGTATATCACTTTCCCTCTCCTTTTGCCTAGGTCAGCGTAATGTTCTCCTGAACTATCATATTGATGTTGCTCACATATTCTGCCCTCCCTGTCATAGCATGCAAAACCAGACCCCACAAGAAGGCCGCTGGGTTCGCGGTATTCACATGACCGCAGACGTCAAGGAAAATCTCGTTGATTTTGGAGATTTTTTCTTTGCACAAGAAATAAGGCGTTGACGAAGATGGAAGATATTCGGGATCTCCAATAATAGATATGGCGAGAGAGGGTTTTAAGAACTCTATTGTGGTAAGTGACGCGAAAGCTTGCAGCGGTAACAAGACCTCCACTGGCTGTTGACAAGGCTACAAGAAGGTGTTAGAAGGTTGACAGCTCGGGATCAAGAAGATAGTACCCACCACCTTGATTGGCTCCAAAAAGCTGTTCTCGGCCATGAGCTCGAGCCAGGACAGGAAGAGGTCTGCATCAGGAACTTCCACCGAGGCGTGAAGCTGGTGGAACATGATTTGCATGATATGAACCATCTCCTCCACAAGGTTGGTTCGCCAGATGCCTTCTATCTCCTCGCCGCTGTCCACAGCATCGAGCCAGCTACCGTCAGCTTTTAAGCTAGTTAACCGACTGCGCAAGGAGCTGATGCATTCTTGAATAAACTGGTTCAATCCAGCTCCAGTCGACCTGCTTTCGAAGATTGTGGTTCCAGTTTTACGAAGAGCAAGTTTCCGATCGGAAGGGTCGAAAACGGTTGAGTCGGCTGAAATGGCATCGTGCAGGGACAGAACAAGTAGCTTGCGGAGTGTCTTCACTATGTGGCTTGCCTCGGAGAGATATACCTCGCAGAGGCGCAGATGCCTTCTCTCTTCCTTATCGAAGGATTGAACACCATCGTCTCGCGCTGTCTGACTCAATAGGCTGGCAAAGTTGGGGCCGGCCAAAGAGCCTCGAAGATTTTCGGCCCCAGCCGCGCTCTGTAAACTGGTCGCTTCCTCGCTAGAGAAGCCACTTGTTAGGCGCTTTGCGGGACGGTTTTGCCATTCCAGTATAGTAATCCGAAGAGCGGCGATCTCGTCGATTTGGGCCTTCTGGCTCAACCACAGAGCGTCTGCCTTGATCTCCTTCAGGTCAAAAGAGCTCTGGCCATTGGTCTCGACATGAATTGCGGCAGTTTTGGATTCGAATGCGGATTTGGATTTCGGCGAAGGAGGAGGAAATGGTTTCAAGCCGTCAGAAAGTAGTTGGATAACCTCTGGATGTGAAAAGAAGGCACCAATATTGTCTCCATCGTCAGCATGACTTTCGGAGTCATTGGCGTACAGAAAAGCTCGTTCCCAGGACCTACAGCCGACATGCATTAGCTTGTGTCAAAACAGTAATCACACTGAACGTACAAAAGTTGGACGTCCCCAGAGAAGCACTTGTCCAGGGACGGGAAATAGGCCTCCGAGACGGGAGCCATTTGGGGCAATTAGATCATCATAGGATAGAAAGAAAGAGCGAAAGGAGGCGACACCATGCAATGTGACGAGATAGCAAAGAAGGAGGTGAATGGTGAGCGTGAGGAGCTCTTGAATTGAGAGGGAGAGCTTCAAAAGAAGATTATTCGCGAGGTCAACAATCAGGTGCCTATCAGAGCTTAATGCCGGGCGGTGAGATTCCGCTTTGAAACCCGAGAGTCTTTTTGAGTCACTACTCACTTCCGTGCGACTTGACCTAAACAAAGAATTGATTTCGGTCTTAAGTGGTCTGAGGTCCTGAAATCTGCAGTATACAAATCGTCTTCCTCTCACCATTACCTCCGATCTCCTGCGATCATCCGTGGCCATGGCGGACCTTGTCGACCACTCCCCCCACCAGCCCACCAAAGCCGCCAAATTGCCCAGCGCCTCCAATGTGATCTTGATCGACAATTACGACTCGTTTACTTGGAACGTTTACCAATACCTGGTACTCGAAGGAGCCACCGTCACGGTCTATCGCAATGATCAAGTCACCATCGAGGACTTGGTCGCAAAGAAACCCACCCAACTAGTTATCAGTCCTGGCCCGGGCCATCCCTTAACCGATGCCGGAATTAGCAACGCGGCGATCCAATACTTCAGCGGAAAGATTCCAATCTTTGGTGTATGCATGGGTCAGCAATGTATGATCACCTCGTTTGGTGGCAAGGTCGATGTGACCGGCGAAATTCTGCACGGAAAGACATCAGAGTTGAAACATGACTCCAAGGGTGTGTACCAGGGATTGCCAGCCTCTCTTGCGGTGACTCGGTACCACTCACTCGCAGGAACACACTCAACCATTCCGGATTGCTTGGAAGTGACCTCGCGGGTCGAGTTGGAGGACGGTAGTGGCAAGGATGTCATTATGGGTGTGAGACACAAGGAGTTCGCAGTGGAGGGTGTTCAGTTCCACCCTGAAAGCATCTTGACACAATACGGGCGCAAGATGTTCAGGAACTTCTTGGAGCTCACTTCCGGGACTTGGGATAAGAAGCAGGGGGCACCCGTTGCTGCCGCTGCACCGGTTGACAAGAAACTGTCCATTCTGGAGAAGATTTACGCCCATCGCAAAGCTGCCGTTGAGGAGCAGAAGAAAATCCCGGCCCTGAGCCCGGAGGCTCTTCAAGCTGCCTATAATTTGAATATTGCACCCCCTCAGCTGTCATTCCCTGCGCGTTTGAGACAGTCAGACTACCCTCTCTCACTCATGGCGGAGATCAAGCGTGCATCACCCTCCAAGGGCATCATCTCAGCCGATGTGTGCGCCCCTGCCCAAGCACGGGAATATGCCAAGGCTGGAGCTAGCGTTATTTCTGTCCTCACAGAGCCGGAATGGTTCAAGGGCACAATCGATGACCTGCGTGCTGTTCGCCAGAGCTTGGAAGGGCTCACTAATCGACCGGCTGTGCTCCGAAAGGAGTTTGTCTTCGATGAATATCAGATTCTCGAGGCACGTTTGGCCGGAGCTGATACAGTTCTGCTGATTGTGAAGATGTTGGACATTGAGCTCTTGACCCGACTGTACCATTACTCGCGCAGTCTTGGCATGGAACCTCTGGTCGAGGTCAATACCCCCGAAGAAATGAAAATCGCAGTTGATCTCGGCTCCCAAGTTATCGGAGTCAACAACCGCGACTTGACGAGCTTCGAAGTCGATCTCGGTACTACCAGTCGGCTGATGGATCAAGTGCCGGAGAGCACGATTGTATGCGCCCTGAGCGGAATCTCGGGGCCTAAGGACGTGGAATCATATAAGAAAGAAGGCGTCAAGGCCATTCTTGTTGGGGAGGCTCTGATGAGGGCGCCTGATACATCTGCCTTTGTGGCACACCTTCTCGGTGGTTCTGATAGAGAGCTTTCTGGTTCACGCCAAGGTTCCCCTTTGGTAAAGATCTGTGGTACTCGGTCTGAAGAGGCGGCTCTGGCTGCTATTCAAGCTGGTGCAGATCTGATTGGCATCATTATGGTTCAGGGCCGCTCACGACTTGTCCCAGATGATGTGGCCCTGCGCATCTCCCAGGTGGTCAAATCGACGCCTCGTCCAGCCGGGACATCACAGGATTCAACGAATAAGTCATTGGAATGGTTCGACCACTCTGTGAATACTTTGCGCCACCCGTCTCGCGCTCTGCTCGTGGGCGTGTTTATGAACCAACCACTGTCATATGTTCTTTCTCAGCAGCAAAAGTTGGGTCTCGATGTTGTACAACTGCACGGGTCTGAGCCATTGGAGTGGTCTAGTCTGATTCCAGTTCCTGTCATTCGCAAATTCGCCCCTGGTGACATTGGCATTGCACGCAGAGCATACCACACTCTGCCATTGCTGGACTCCGGTGCTGGAGGTTCTGGCGAGCTTCTGGAAGAGTCTGGTGTGAAGAAGGTCCTCGATAGTGATGAGGGATTGCGGGTTATTCTTGCTGGAGGATTGAACCCGGACAACGTGGTCGACACAGTGAAAAAGCTCGGTCAATCGGGCCAAAAGGTGGTCGGGTTGGACGTCAGCTCAGGGGTGGAGACAAACGGCGCGCAAGATCTCGAGAAGATCCGCGCTTTCGTCAAGGCTGCGAAAAGCATTCGGCAATGATTTCATACGTCTATATAGGATAAGCACATGTATCTGCTTCAGTTAGGATGACTTCATTTCTCATCCGTCTCAGTAACTACTTCAATTTTATTGATTATGAACGATACTCACATCGATCAAAGACTTGTCGGCTTCTCCTCTTTATTCCCTCACCTTACTTCCAATTGCCTGCTTCTTTCCGTTGCCCGTTGAATATTTAGTGGGATTGCCGTGATGATACCAGATAACTGCCGTTGACGCAGTACGTCGATGGCGAGGTATACCTACATGTGGCCTATAGATAGTCTTCAAGTTTTGTTTGAGGTGGTATTTCCACGGCTATCTAAGTCGTGACTAACTTTGAACATGAGAAACGAACCCAATATAATTGCCATCGAACGCCAAATACGCCAGTCAACCAACAATGTGACAACATGCGGTTTTCCCTATTTACCATACACGCCACAGCCGATATAGAGATGCGAGTTCGTGAAGAATCAAAGATAGTCCTTCTTTTTGCTGGTCCTTGTGTACTGGGTGAGTGCCCATTCAATGTCGCCACTTGAACCCTTCTCCAATGTGCCGCCGCGAATCTCGAAAAGTCGCATAGTCATGCGAGGCCCAACTTCAGCAAGCTCCACATCACGGTACCCAGTCTTAACGAACACGTGGTGCCGCACTTCGATGTTGTCATCTTTGTTGACAAAGGTCACAACCCTGTTGCCAACCTTTCCGGTCTCGCGCGGGGGGAAGAGGTGCTTTAGAATCTGAACGACGCGAGCACCCAGCTTGGTCTTGAATCCCTCGAAGATCAGGTGCGGGTAGCTTTCTGACACGGTACCACGAGCGGCGTTCGGAATATCCTGGCGCAGAACAACGTTGTGAAGGGAGAAACTGGCAGTCGGGCCGTGGGGAAGGTGGGAAATGGTGAGAGCGGTCGGTGTACCACGGTGCTCGTGGAGGAGGATCATGTCGGTCAGAGCCGCGGAGGTTGCGCTGGAGACGAGATCTCCAAGAACGAGTGTTCCACGGTTGAGGCGAATAGCGGTAGGGAGGAGAAGTCGGATTTCTTTCGCGAATGCGCCGAGACGAGCGGAGGGTGAGCGAGAGGTGGTAACCAGAGGACGAGGGTCGATAATGCCGGAGGTCAAAATGTATTCATCGTCAATATCCATCTCAGCGTCTGCCTTGTCCTTTGATTCGTCATATTTGAAGTCTTCGCGAAGCGTTTTATCGTTTGCGATTGTAGGATCTAAAGGCTTTCCAGAGGCCAATGAAGCTTTGAGTTGCGCTCTTTTTTCGGCGATCGAGGCATCACGGAGTAGCAAAGCTCTCCGATAGAGATAATCGCGACGCTCGCGGGCTTGTCGGCGCTATTAACAGTAAGTACCATATTGAGAAATTCCGTTTTGTTCACCACTTACCAGCATTTTGTGGATTGAAGTGAAAGTGTGAGCGAAGAGGAGCGGGCAACTTTTTTTTTCTGTTAACTCCGGGGCTGCGTTTGTGGGTCGTTTGCGTAGCCGTAGTGGGATCGCACCGATAAAGAATCTGGGCAGTTGCGGAGACGCTTTTTGCTCATCCCTCGAGACAAAACTCATCAACTCTCTTCTGTCGGTCTTCCAAGACAGAGAGCTGGACTGGATGTATGTGGTACTATGCCAATGACAAGAAGTTGCCGCTAATCCTTGGTCTAGATCTAGATCTCCGTTCGTTTGCCCCTCAGGCACACCCTGGAGATTTCCAACCCTCCAACGACCCCCACAAGACCACCGCGTCGTCCTCTACGCTCTTTTGTTAAATCCAACTTTGGATATCACTTTCGGCTTTATCAGTCTTCTCGCTATACCTCTTGACGAGCTAAAGATATCCCTATCAGCCTCCCAACCCGTTATCCGCAATGAGCTACCAACCGGAAGGCCCTTCGGCAGGAGTTGACATAGATGATATTGATACCAGCGCACTTGGCCCGCCACGCCCACGAAGACATGATGACGAAGACGAAGGCTCTGATACCTTCGAAGATGACGACATGGAAAGCACCGTCGGCGGGCCCACCAACGAGAATCAGAAGTCCCAAGGGAACGGGGATGAAGAAATAGAGCTGCCAGCTCATGCATGCGCGTTAGTACTCGTATCTCATTCATTGTGTGATCATTTACTAATGCTATCGTAGATACTGCGGCATTCATAATCCGAGCAGCGTCGTCAAATGCCTTTCGTGCAACAAGTGGTTCTGCAGTGCACGTGGCAATACCTCCTCTTCCCATATCGTCAATCACCTTGTCCGAGCTCGTCACAAAGAAGTCCAGTTGCACCCGGCTTCTTCCTTGGGCGATACTATCTTGGAATGTTACAATTGCGGCACCAAAAATGTCTTTTTACTAGGCTTTATTCCTGCGAAGTCTGATACTGTCGTTGTCTTGCTCTGTCGTCAGCCATGTGCTTCCATGCCCTCGTCCAAGGATATGAACTGGGACACTTCGCGCTGGCAGCCTCTCATTGAGGATCGTTCCTTCCTTCCCTGGCTCGTGGGAGCTCCTACCGACCAAGAACAACTTCGGGCTCGTCACCTTAGCCCCCAATTGATTGCAAAGTTGGAGGAGATGTGGAAGGAGAACTCACAGGCTACATTGGAAGACCTAGAGAAAGCCACAGCGGTGGATGATGAGCCTGCGCCTGTTCTACTTCGATACGACGATGCGTTCCAATACCAGAATATCTTCGGACCACTTGTCAAGATCGAGGCGGATTATGACCGCAAGCTGAAAGAGTCCCAGTCGCAAGATGGACTCGTTGTGCGCTGGGATCTTGGTCTCAACAACAAGCATCTCGCGAGCTTTGTGCTGCCCAAGCTCGAGTTGGGAGATGTCAAATTGGCCGTAGGCGATGAGATGCGCCTCAAATACAATGGCGAATTACGGCCCAAGTGGGAGGGCGTGGGATATGTCATCAAGATCCCGAACAATCAATCCGACGAAGTCACTATCGAATTGCGCGCCAAGGGCGATCATAAGTCGGTACCTACCGAATGTACACACAATTTTATGGCCGACTACGTTTGGAAGTCGACTTCATTCGACCGTATGCAGTGTGCCATGAAAACTTTTGCCGTCGATGAAATGAGTGTTTCCGGCTACATCTTCCATCGCCTTCTTGGCCATGAAGTCGCAGCAGCACCGATGAAGACCCAGATCCCAAAGAAATTCAGTGTTCCTGGTCTGCCAGACCTGAATGGAAGCCAGATCAACGCGGTGAAAAGTGTTCTCCAGCGGCCTCTTAGTCTGATCCAAGGTCCTCCTGGAACCGGCAAGACCGTTACTTCTGCCACTATCATTTATCATCTCGCCAAGATCAATGGTGGCCAGGTTCTTGTCTGTGCCCCATCCAACGTTGCTGTTGACCAGCTCTGTGAGCGTATCCATCTTACAGGTCTCAAGACCGTGCGAGTTACTGCCAAATCTCGCGAGGATGCGGAATCTGCTGTCGGGTTCCTTTCGCTGCACGAGCAGGTTCGTATGAACGATAGCAACATTGAGTTAGCCAAACTCAACCAGCTTAAGGCTGAGCTTGGGGAATTGTCCAGTCAAGATGAAAAACGCCTGAAGCAACTTACTCGATCTGCTGAGCGTGAGATTTTGCAGAATGCAGACGTGATTTGCTGCACTTGCGTTGGTGCAGGTGATCCCCGTCTTTCCAAGGGCAAATTCCGCACTGTTCTCATTGATGAATCTACCCAATCCGCCGAGCCGGAGTGTATGATTCCCCTAGTCTTGGGATGCAAGCAAGTTGTATTGGTTGGCGATCACCAACAGCTTGGCCCTGTCATCATGAATAAGAAGGCTGCCAAGGCTGGCCTCAACCAGTCTTTGTTCGAGCGTCTGGTTATCTTGGGCTGCTCCCCTATCCGCTTGAATGTCCAGTATCGTATGCACCCGTGCCTTTCGGAATTCCCATCCAACATGTTCTACGAGGGCTCGCTGCAGAACGGTATCACCATTGCCGATCGTGTTCGCCGTGATGTTGACTTCCCCTGGCCTATCATTGATGATCCCATGATGTTTTGGTCAAACCTGGGCAATGAAGAAATATCCGCCTCAGGTACCTCCTACCTGAACCGAACCGAAGCCACTAACGTGGAGAAAATCGTCACACGCTTCTTTAAGGCGGGTGTTCAGCCTAGGGACATTGGTATCATCACTCCGTACGAGGGACAGCGGAGCTACATCGTCAGCTCCATGCAAGCAAACGGCACCTTCAAGAAGGAACACTACAAGGAAATTGAGGTTGCGTCGGTCGATGCCTTCCAAGGCCGAGAGAAGGATTACATCATCCTCTCTTGTGTTCGTTCTAACGACCATCAGGGCATTGGTTTCTTGAGCGATCCACGCCGTCTTAACGTGGCCCTTACTCGTGCCCGATTCGGTCTGGTCATTCTTGGAAACCCCAAGGTTTTGTCTAAGCACCCGTTGTGGAATTCCCTTCTTCAGCACTTTAAAGAGCGCCACTGTCTCGTTGAGGGCCCGCTGTCCAACCTTCAGGAGTCTTTGATCCAGTTCAGCCGTCCTAAGCAAGCTTACAGAGGCCCCCAACGCTTCCAGATGTCTTTCAGTCAGGCATCCAACGCCACAAACAGCGCAGTAAATGGCCGTAATGGTCATCGCAATGAGTATCATGACTCTGGCTCCGTGGTGGGCTATATCCCCGATGACGTATCTTCGGTTCACAGCTCGGCTCTCGGCGGTGTTGGCCTTCCATCTGGCTATCCCCCCATGTTCCAAAACTTCGGCGAGGGCTGGCCTCCGATTTCTGGCGGCGGTCGCCGAGCTAACGGTGGCCGGCCCAAAGGAGCCCCCAGTGTGGCTGGCGAATCAGTCGCTGCTACCGAGTCGGACGTCACCAGCAGCATCGCTGACGGACGGAGCGTTGACCAAGGTGGTGTTAGCCTCACTGGCTTGAGTATCAATGACATGAACAAGCAGCCCAGTCTCAGCCAATCAGACCGGCTGAAGCGGTACGTCGAGTCTGGCGGACGCGAGCCTTACAGAGCTGGAGTCCCTGACAACGGCAGTATCTTCGGGGGCAGCTCTGCCAGCATCCGTGTGACTCGTGGCGCGCCAGGCCAGCACCCGCACGACGACGATGACGCCCGCAGCGTCTCCACAGCCTTCGCTAGCCAAGTCGGTGGCAACTACGACTGAGTGACTCTCGTATCCAATACGTCCCAGGGCGACCTCCAACAGGTTCGCCTGCCTTACCCACTCGAGAACGCGATATTCGTGCACACTATCCGAGTTTTTTCCAAGCAGATTCTGCTCGCCAGTTTCTTTTATGCCGACCAGGACTTCGGATCGACCAACTGAAGACTGTTCGAATGTTCATCCTGGGTCTTTCTGACCTGATACTAGAGCACCGTCCTGTCCGTCGAAGGATAGTCTCCCGGGTCTGGTGCCTTCATCGTTGTCGTCATGACCTCGCTACACGCTTGTTACACGGCGTGGCTTTCAGAGATGAGACGACAGGCAATGATTCTCGGAAATTTCTGGTTCAAGGAATTTACTAGAACCTCGCCCGTCGACTGCCGATGCCCAGTTCAGAGAACCCATTAGTCAATTAGTGATTACAGGGCGACTCTGTGAATTTGCCCCTGTCCCTTGGCTATGTTTCATACTTGCTATCTTTCTACATTAGATTGTCAGGTATCCAGTTCGATCAAGAAACAATGCCAATCAACACCCCACAGCTGTTCTATTAACTCGTAATTAAGTCCGTAAGTAACTAGTATGGCAACGCCTTAGTACTAGTGGCGACCACTTTCCAAAGTTGCAATCTTCCACGGTCTTTATTCTGAGTTAGGGCTACAGTCGAAGCTCAGCTGTCAGCCTCACTCCCTCAGCTTCACCCTTTTACCGATAAAATAGTTACTCCTCCCATGCCTTGGTATCATTCTTAGTCAAGTGCAGAATTCCACCAAAGCAATCCCACCTCAGGCTACGGAGCTGCTGAACCAAAACGAGGAATACTCAATGATCTCTATCGGCCCGCACCGTCTCTCCTATGCAAATCATGTTGGCAAACATGCCCGGGCTATATTTGACTAATGGATACCATGCGGCATGCGCCCAATCTTGGCCGTTTCAGTTGATCCACGTAGCATGGTGGCTTTGCTATCGACTTGGGCTTCGACATTTTAGCGTTTCCCAGAGCATCGTACGTCTTGGATTACCGAATAACAACCACACAGGTCACGGCGACAGGTGGGGAACGAAGCATCAAAATAGATTGAAACGCATTGAGGCTTGGTCAGGATCAAAGGTTATTCTAGTAGACAGAGGCTGAGCTTTATGTATCATTTGCTTTGTGTTCTTCATGAATGGGCGTAAATGATGGTGTGCCTCAGTACTTCCAGCAGCTAAGGTTGATATAGTTAACTACTGTGTAAGTATAGTATCAGAAGTCTGAAGAGAGCCCTTACCACTACCTGGTGTCTGATAGATCGTTAGGATCTCTACAACTTATGCTCTTCTTTAGGGCAAAGTCCTCGACCTTAAACCTATGGATGCCACTATACACAGTACGTCCCAGGCTACAGAGTTTCAAGAACTATCCGCAGACATATCTGTCAAACGTTATTCTTGTCCACTTTCCCCGGAATTCTCAATGGCCGGACTGTAAGCAAGGGCTTGCAGCCTTGCATAGCCTACTTAAGGTGAAGATGGTGCGTCTCTTGCCATGTCGTGGTCGGGATATACGGATGATTAGAAGCGGATACTTGGAAAAGCCACAACTAGTTGCGTATCAGTGAAGATCATCGAATTCAAGGCTCTTGAGGAACGAGGATTATCTTGCAGCCTAAGATCGGGCATGGCGAACGTACATTGCAGACACCGCCCGATCCAGGATGTGTACGTAATCGTACCTTACCCTAAATCACGTGATCAAAATTATAACCTACATTCCGATCACGTTTTGATCACGTTTCTATCACGGGGACTCACCGCCACCGGATTTGTCAGAAATCTGTGGATGTGGCGACCCGAGATGGACTGACTGCGTCGAGGCCAGCGGCCCAGCTGCCTGACAGGCCATTAATTGATACCTAAACCGGATACGCCGATAGGATTGGTTGTCGTACACAGTACACAGTCATACACTGGGTGTCCCTCATGAGTATGAGTCACTTATGCTTCCTTGGCACCTCCGAGGATCATCTTCGTAGTACCGAGTCTCCAGGCATTAATAGAAAGTAATGCCCACATGTCGACCTGCATACAGCTCTAGCCAGTGGGCAGTGATGATTTCCAGATCTCAAAATTCTTATTCAGCTGATCGGCAGCCCTTCTAGAACAAGGGAAGCGAGAGTCTGCAGGGAAGATTACAGAAAAGAACACCGCCACCGGGTGGCGCAACCGAGCCTTACGCAAGCGGTATAAATAGTCTCGCGGATGCCTTGGAACCTGAAAACTCTGGCAACTCCTCTTCTTCCCAACTCGATACCCATCGTCGACTCATATTGTTTTCACCGAAATCAATTCGAATATTTTGATAAACCCTTCCGATCCCATCTGTTGTGCTTTATCTCGCAACTCAGCACTACTGTCTTCCCCGTTGTGGTGAAATAACGCGTCGTTCCCGGTGTCTCCATTCTATCGCAATCCCCTCATCGTGTGGGGTACGAACGGTCAACTTTCACGATATGGGCGACGGCTCTCAGTATCCTAGCCCACGAAGTGAAGGCCCCAACGGCGCGCTTGCTGCTTCCATCCTTGCCTCTACTGCCGAGTCCTCGGCACCAATTCCCAGAATGAACGACCCGCAGACTCTGAACTTTTCTAGCCTTGAGGGGGCGCGCCCGCGTCTCTCAGTTCGACGCAACCGTGATCCCCCTAAGAATTCTGAGGGTCAAATCTTCTGTGATCATCATGAATGTCAAGCTGCCCCGCCAACTTTCCGCCGACCGTGTGAATGGAAGTAAGTACAGTCCCTAACCCTAATCTTGGCATGCGACGCGCCGAATACTAACGCGCTCTTAGCAAACACATGGATAAACATGACCGACCTTATAAATGTTATGAACCCAACTGCGATAAAATCCAAGGGTTCACCTACTCCGGTGGTCTCCTGCGCCACCAGCGCGAAGTGCACAAGAAAAACACAGATGCCAAGAAACCCTTGATGTGCCCTTACTCCGACTGCAACCGCAGCACCGGCAACGGTTTCACGCGTCAGGAGAACTTAAGAGAACATCTTCGTCGCCGCCACATGCACAACGATGAAGCTCCTCCTATGGTCGATATGACTTGGGACCGCCCCCCGAACTCGACGGTGTCGAAGGCGTCCGTCCCCCCTCCCTCCCTTCGACTGGAATGAAGCGCCGTGCGTCCTCGCCACCCATGGGAGACCTCCAAAGCCTGTCTGGCACTGACGAGAACGGTATCAATTTGCACGACGAAGTTAAGCGGCTCCGTCGCGAGGTCGAAGAGAAGGATCGTCGCCTCGAGGAGTTGGAGCGAATCGTCGCCGGAATTCAGCAGGCCATCCCGCAGCAGTCTCCCTCGGCACCCGAACTGCAGGGTCTGACACAGCACCCTCCTCATCCGACCGCTGCTCCGGTTTAACGGCTGCTCTCCTTTAAACCCAAATGGCTACGAACTTGATCTATGATCTATGCATGATTTGGGCGTTTATCGACGCAACCACAGGGATTCAGAACGTCGCGACTTTGCTTTTCTAGTTATTTTTTGTAGCATGCTGGGTCGGTTTTTATGCTTCTTATCCGAGCAGAGGATGTGCTATACCACATTCTTCTGCAAGAATTCGAATCTTGCCCATTTTTTTCGGCGTTTCAGCTTGACCTGACAAGATGGTCTCGTATGGCGGGTGTCCCTTCCAGAGGCGGTTTACAGTCTTGTTTTCGCCTCATATACCCCGGTGTTTGATTTGATGTATCTTTTCGTGTTACATCAGTGCCACCACTCCCCTCCTATTTTCAGTTTGACTTGTTCTTAATGTAATGGGCAGATTGTGTTCAATGTGTTGATTTATCTATTTCTTTCCACTGTAATCGTTTAAACCTCCATAGCTCTACCATACACAACACTCTTGACGAAGTATAGCGCAGCCAATAATATCTACGAACGGGACAAGCAATGATTCCTGAGGCGCCCAGGCTTCCACGCGATAGCGCCAGGCAAACATTTCAGCCACACCAGCCCTGTTCCTCTTACCTTGTAGATTAGAATCCCAAATTCCCAAGGCTCTCGCGGGCAGGTTGAGCAGCGCACGGCCATGCCGGAAAATATCTAGAGACTAGTAGCCCGTCGGCGACGTCCAAATCTAGAAACCCGGAGTTAGGAGACGACACCTCCGTTAAGCCGAGTAGCCCGAGGCTCGACCTAGCGCCTGTGAGGCTTATGGGGCTTTTACTGCGTACTTCAGTCATGGCTTTCGCTAGTAGGCCCTGACTCCTTGATGATGAGTCTGTGACTCATTATTACACATCGTGAGTTAGCTCCTTGATGTGACGCGAGCGGCTCAGCGCGTCGTCACATGTCGGTCTTGGGGTGTTGTTTCCGTATCAAATGATTTGGTCTTCGAAGGTTGGATCTTGACGTGGAGTGAGGAGTGAGCTGGGTATTTGTGAGCCTGTAGATTGTGGGCAGCGCTTTGGTGGATGGGTGGCTGTTCAAGGAAAGGACAGCATAACACGTGTTGGCCCTGTAGCATACCATGTACCTACTCTGGTAGAGGAAGGTTGCTCATGTTTATATGCATGCTATGACCATTGACGGGCAACGTCGGAATGAGTACCTACCTACCTAGGTCCATGTGCTGAAGTAGGTATATATCGGACAACAATGCCACGTACCTGTGATATGGATGGATGAAGCTAAAAGTGTTTCGTGCAAGGGTGCCCAGATACCTAGAAGCTATCTCATTTTATAAGTAAATAACCAGCTGATTTACAGTGTTTAACTCAGCTTGAGTCCCGTAATAGTCCGTAACGTGACGTGGTAGGTCAAGCCTAGCACATTTGCATGGGAAAATCCAGCAGTTTGGTCAATCTTGGCGGCAGTGATGTACTTATAGATATCTATTGGTTGCGCACAGTATAGCCTCAACAACTAGCAGAATATGTATTAGCCGGAATACTGTACCATTGGACCTTCCGAGAATCCGAGTAGGACTTGTTCGCTGGACTCGAGGGGTAGTGACCGTGACCGAGTTATATCGAGATTGAACCACATATCTGTACGAACTTAGGATTCCTGTGCCTACAAAAAGGGCTAGACAGGACATTGAACATCACATCCAATGCCTCGAGCCCTCGATAATTTGTGATGCATGTAAGTACTCGAAAGTTGACTGCCTGTGCAGGAAGATAGACGATAGTGGAGCCACCGATAACGATAAGGAAAAAGTTCAAAACTTTCCCCCACGTTCGACTAGAGAAAGTCATTATCCTTAGAAAAGGCTATCAGACGAAACTATTTTCGTCTAATTATATATAAAATGCCTCACGCTCCACGCCAGGGAAACCGCAGGCGGTCACCAGGCCCCAGAGCCAAGGCACAACGCCCTAAGCAGGCACCCCCCGCGAACAAACAGCATGCCAATCGCAAGCCCGAAGTCGAAAAGGCCGAAGCCAACCCAAACGACGAAGACTCTGGCCCCAATCTCGTCAGCACCATCCCTCTCTCGCTCCAGCAACTTCTGCTGGACGTTTTCAAGACCGCCCTCCTCGGCGAGCCGGCCGCAAAATCGGAGCCTGTGAACGACGAAACGAACACCGCTGAATCACAATCGGAAGAAAAGAAGGAGGAGCAGCTAGATATCAAAACTCTTATTCAGACACTCAAAGGGCTTTTGTATAATCGTGACTTTGACTCTGCCTTCGCTGAGGCGAATGAAGATCTGCTGCGTGCCTATGCCCTGCGCTGGAGTGCGTCGCGGTCTCTGGGATATGCGGGGCTGTTGAAGGGGATTTTGACTTGGATGAGAGAAGAGGAGGGAAATACACGAGGCCGTGCTAAGTCTCAGAACCCTTGTACTCGTGTTGTCTCCATCGGTGGCGGTGCGGGTGCTGAGATCGCTGCTCTTGCCGCTGCGTGGAGAGATATGACCCCCACCGGGCAGTCGGTCGAGGAACAACTTGGCAATGTGTCGTTGGAAGATGCGGGAACGCAAGGTGAGAAGAGCACAGAGGGCGGAGCCCTCAGTGCACCCAGTCTCTCTGTCATGGCTGTCGATATCGGCAATTGGTCGAACGTCGTTGATAGGCTTTCACGAACTATCACCTCGGCCAATGTGCCGTTCCCTTCTACAACAAAATACCGTCCGCCGTTGCTGTCAGAGAAGGTTGCCAGCGAGACCTTCTCGGTGGCGTTCCGACGCGCAGATGTTCTTACCATTTCCGAAGACGATCTTAAGGAAGTGCTCGTTGGTCCTTCCTCGTCCCCTTTCACCTCCATTCTCGTTCCTATCATGTTCACACTGAACGAGCTCTTCTCTACCTCCATGCCAAAGACTACCGGGTTCCTGCTCCGCATGACGGAAATGCTTCCTGCCGGCGCGGTGCTTCTGGTTGTGGATAGTCCTGGCAGCTATTCGACTTTGAAGTTAGGCAAAGGCCCAGACGGTGAACCACAAGAAAGAAACTACCCAATGAAGTTCCTGCTCGATCACACCCTGTTGAACGTGGCGAAGGGCAAGTGGGAGTGCGTAAACACTCAGGACTCGAGATGGTGGAGACGGGATGCGCCGCGTCTGCGGTATGAGATTGGCGAAGGAGTCAGCTTGGAGGACATGCGGTTCCAGATGCATGTGTACCGGCGGTTGTAGATATCATGTGTTCTATATTATCCACGATCTAGAAATACCCTATAATGAAGAATACGATCCAATCTTCCCAAAGCAGGAGTGTGTTGTGGAGTGAAGTATGGTATTGATACAGATAAAATTGTGGTCTTAGTTCAAACCACTCCAAAACTTACGCCACGAGCCCAGGCTCGCTGCCTTAAGTCGCGGGAATTTGCGATTAATTGGTACATTCAAACGACTTGTGAAAACAGGGCACAGATATCCCAGAACAGCTTTACAACCCCTTAACTCCGCAGACCCAGCAGAAGGCTAGTGCCCTTGCTGCCATCCTTTCCAGCAGCTCCTCCAGGCAGGTAGGTGATATTCGGGTTTGAAGCCAAAGTCGTAGCGATGTCCTTACTGGCCTCGATGCGACGAATCTCAATGAGTCCACTGCCAGCCTTGGCAACGGCCTTGCTGATGATATCGGCACTCTCGGCTTCACCCTCGGCGCGGATAACGTTGGCCTGGCGCTCCTGCTCAGCGCGCTCGACGATGAAACGGGCGCGCTCAGCATCCTGCTGGGCGATCTGCTTCTGCTCGACGGCCTTGGTGAACTCCTTTCCGAAGGTCATGTGTGTGATGGAGACATCCTCGAGGGCGATGTTGAACTGGCCGGCACGCTTCATCAAGTCGGTACGGATGCGGTTGGAAACGGCTTCACGCTGTGTGATCAGCTCGGCGGCGTCGAACTGGGCCACGATTGACTTCAGGACTTCGTTTCCGATGGATGGGAGGACACGCTCATCGTAATCGGTGCCGTATGACTATATGGCCTGGGTTAGTCTTTCTTCGCTCGACCCGATGTTGAGAAGACAGGAAATGCATACTTGGTAGATCTGCGGCAGTTTCGGCACCTCCGGACGGTGCAGCACACGCAGTGTCAAGCTGACCATCTGCAAATCCTTACTTCCCGTCGTGGTGGAAATATTGCGAGGCTTCGTGCGGACATCGTAGATAATTGCGCGTTGCAACCAGGGGATCAAGAAATGTGTTCCTTCGTTGATAACCTTCTCTTGCACACCAGACACTCGATCGAAGATGACAGCTCGTGTACCGCCCTTAACATCGTAGAGGGAATTCTGGACAAGCATACCCCCAATAGCTAGGGGAAAGGCCGCCCGATAAACATTTTGGAGTACCTGAGCCATGGTGGGAGGTGATAGGGCGAGATGGTGAGGATGGATGATGAAGATGATGTCTGCTTTTCCCGTTACTCTGAGGGTTTCCCAATTGGGTTTAGTGCCCATCTCTCAAACCTCCAACTTCGCCCGACCCTCGTCTTTTCCTCACTTGTTCCGCATACCCCGATAACCACTTCCACCAACCTCTCTCGTTTCATCCGTCGAAATCATTCACAATGGGTGGCGCTGTGGATCCTAAGAACGGACAGTAAGTCGCTCCTCGTTTCTTTCTGGTGTCGTGGGTTGAGTCCGGCCTCCCGGATGCGTTACCCGCCCGGCTGCAAGACACAACCCTCGGACGTCGACAATTGAGTCTTACCAAGAAGCCTCAATCGCTTCTGTATTTGAATTCTCCGATTTCTGACAATATTACTCATATAGCTACATCGGTGTCTGGGGCGAGTTCGGTACGTTGATGGACAACCCTTGACTTCTTCGAATGGACCACATGCAAGCGCATGAGACCGGCCCCCTACGCGCTTCGAAAATATCGCGATTGGGATTGAGAAAATACCGGACGAATAAAGCAAAAGGAAGCAATTGAGCCGGATCGCTAACATCGGTTCACGCAGGTTGCCCGACTCCCCAGCGTATCGCTACCTACTCGCTGTCCCCTAACCGTCAGCGTCCCTTCGCCGGTGCTAGCCACGCTGCCATCTTCAACACCTTCCGTCGTTTCCGCCACCAGGTTCTCTACGTCGTTCCCCCCTTCGTTGTCGCATACGCTGCCATGAACTGGGCCATTGAGCGGTAAGACTACCCCGGAGTTACGGAGTGGCCGCTTTGACCGGTATGCTGATCCGATGTTTTAGCAACGAGTTCCTGAACTCCAAGCCCGGCCGTCTTCTCCACGGCGGTGATGAAGAGTAAATTAGTTCCGTTTGTTACTTGGAGTGAGGTTGGATTGGTATAACAGAGAACGATACACCCTAAAACTCTGCACAATGGGGAGCTGTATGTTTGTACAGTAACTAGAAAGCAATCGACCATTTTTAATTTCCTTTGTCTGTGACCTTTTGCGCCTCAAGGAGTCTTCTTCCTTATCTCCAAGTCAAGCTTGAGTCAGCGTCTTTCTAGGGCTCTCTATTGGTCCCTCAGGCATCCATGCCCAATTGGGGGGGCATAGGGCAGATCTACCGGGCCAAACCGCAATCAATTGAAATATTCTCGGGCTCAATGTCAATCTATTAGCTATTTGATTGCTCTAATCCTGTAATTCGAGGTTGTTTGGGGTCGGCGGTGGCAGCCAACAGGCGGTTCCCCACTTGAGCCGAGCAGAAACAAAAAATTCGCCCAAAGCAGCCAAACTCCCGCCGTGCCCTTTTTCTTCGAATGCTGCGACTCTCCAGACTCTCCTCTACTTTCTACTCACCATCTTTACTTCCTCGTTATTTTTCTTCCTTCCCCCTCAAAATGAGCGAGCTCACCCACCCCACCATCCAGGGTATGTGTGCACCACCCCTCCATTACCCCGCCTTTCTTACTTGTCATGTCTATTTTTCACACAATTGAGGGAATGTTATGCTGATCTTGCTCTATAGATGGCTGGTTCTCCGAGAAGTCCGGCATGTGGCCCGGTCAGGCCATGAGCCTCAAGGTCAACCAGATCATCCACCACGAGAAGTCCAAGTACCAGGATGTGCTCGTCTTCGAGAGCAGCGACTACGGCACCGTTCTCGTCCTGGACAACGTCATCCAGTGCACCGAGCGTGATGAGTTCTCCTACCAGGAGATGATCACCCACCTCGCCATGAACTCCCACCCCAACCCCGAGAAGGTCCTCGTCATTGGTGGCGGCGACGGCGGTGTTCTCCGCGAGGTCGTCAAGCACGCTTCCGTTAAGGAGGCTACCCTGTGCGACATCGACGAGGCCGTCATCCGTGTCTCCAAGAAGTACCTGCCCGGCATGGCCATTGGCTTCCAGCACCCCAACGCCCACACCCACGTCGGTGACGGCTTCGAGTTCCTCAAGAACCGCCAGAACGAGTTCGACGTCATCATCACCGACAGCTCCGACCCAGAGGGTCCCGCCGAGAGCCTTTTCCAGAAGCCCTACTTCGAGCTTCTCAAGTCTGCTCTCCGCGACGGCGGTGTCATTACTACCCAAGGTTGTTCGTCACTTTCCCTTTTGTTTCTGCCCGAATCCCACTTCATTCCCTCCCTCCACATTATCACCATAAAAAGAAGAATATCAGGCTAATCTTATCGCACCACCCCGCAACGAACCCGCTTTACGGGCTCGGTTTTGCGGAACTGTGCTTTATACCTTTACAGCTGAGAACCAATGGCTCCACCTTGACCTGATTGCCGACCTCAAGAAGTCTTGCAAGGAGGTCTTCCCCGTCGCCGAGTACGCTTACACCACCATCCCCACCTACCCCTCCGGCCAGATCGGCTTCATGGTCTGCTGCAAGGACGCCAACCGTAATGTCCGCGAGCCCCTCCGCACCTGGTCCCCCGAGGAGGAGCAGAAGCTCTGCCGCTACTACAACCAGGACATCCACCGCGCCAGCTTTGTCCTGCCCAACTTCGCCCGCCAGAAGCTCGGCAACTAAGTGTTGTGATATTTGAAAAAGCTTTTTATGGTCTTTATATCCTGATGACGATATTGAAATGAAATCATGGTTTTCCGTGTATAGCATCGTGTAAATGTCGATTGGTTCACACTCTTAATTTAGGGTTCATAGCGTAAGGTCCGATTAAGCAATTCGATAGTTTGAAAAGCAGAAGACTAGTCATGGAGAGTTGTGTGTTGGCTGTATTATGGGGGGGGAAAAAAACGCATATTGCTGGTTCAAATAAAAATGAAAGCCCAACGCGGGGCTCGAACCCGCAACCTTAAGATTGCCACGCACTACCCGGAGGGGTAGAGAACAAGTAGAAGTCTTACGCGCTACCATTGCGCCAGCCGGGCCGGTTATAGAGTTCGTTGACGGTTGTGGTCTCTATAACCCCGTCCATCACTCGGGGAATAATTTCACAGATACACCATGCGTATAACAGCCGAAGCCGCATGTATACACATTATATCGTACTGGGAACTTGGAAACATGTTTTAATTACCCATTTCTGTATTTCAGAATCATTCGGTGCACGAAAAACGTACGTAAGGGACTGATACCTGGTAGCGTGCCCGTACAGCTTTCGAAGTATATAATACTCACATAACTCTCTGATCTCGCGTCTTGGGTGCAAGCCTCAACTCCTTTCGTACGCTGGTTGACTACAGTTGCTAGGCGACAACCAGGTAGTTGCTGATCGTGATGCGATAAAAGGATGATCAGTGTATGTTAGTGGGTGCGAGGGGGTATGGGGTGAGACAAAAGTGAGCGGTACTTCCCATACAACACGAAGTTCTGCATTACTGACATTCAGATAGTATTGACATTTAACATCTATGTAAAGTCATCTAACTTTTCAACAGGCGCACAAATGCGAGCCCTCTATTATACCCTCCGAGCCCTCCAAAATACATCTCAATTCTTCCCCTCAGCGGAGATAGCCACCTTCTCAGTCTGAGCCTCAAGCGAGCTCTCATCCGTTTCCGATTCGACCGACACCTCAGTGGTATCGACATTCCAGTTACCAAACACCGCCAGCAATGTGAACGGGACAGTGAAAGCCCACAACGCGAAGCCCAGCGCCATCTGGTTCTGGTTCGGCCAGTGGGTAGCGCCGACAGCATAGGCAATGGTACTGCCAATGGACTCCCAGGAGCGCAGGATGCCAGTGGTTCGTGCGATATCGCCGTCTCCCTGTGCGCCCTTGATCTCGGCCATCAGCCAGTAGATGTAGGTCTGCAGCACCTCGTAGAAGAATTTGAAAAACAGGTAGACGGTGAAGGCTGAGTTGAAGAAGTGGCCATCGCCCAGGTCGAAGGCGGGTGGCTTGTCCATGCGGGCGAGTTTGGCCTGGATGACAGCGCACCAGGTCCATGCTGCGGTGACAAAGAAGAGGATGATCAGGTACATGGCTTTTGAGCGGGTTTTGCGGGGGAAATAGTTCAGGTCGAGAATGGCGCCCGTGGTCAAGTTGGCGGTGACGCCAACGATGGCTGTCAGGAAAGAGGCGAGGGCTCTGGAGCGGACGGTGAAGTATGCTATATTCTTGGTCAGCGAAATGAACCCATTGGGATTTATTGAAGGACAACTTACTTGTCAGGTAGTTTCCTTGGTAGGTTGTGCCGAATTGTCCGGCGACGAAGACCGGGATGAGCAACAGCATGTACTTGTTCTTGATCTGCTTCCAGATCGCGCGAGCTTCAATAGGCAAGCTTGTCTTCTTCATGTACGGGATCTTGGTGCCGTCGCTTCGGATAACCTTCTGCGGCTGTGACAGCAGCAGTGAGAAGGGAGCTCCGAGGGATGAGATGGCGACAAGGCCGAGATATGTGGTATAAGTGACCTTGCCAACCTCTGCAGTGTTGACATTGAGAGCAAGAGAGATGGCACCTCCAACGAGAGGTCCCATTTGGCGAATACCCATCCAGATTCCAACGTAGCTAAGATGATGTGAGTTGAATGATTGGCCAAAACGGTCAAGGGGCCAAGAACTAACCGTCCTCGCTTCTCTTCCTCGGGATAACCAACGGCAATAGCAGCCTCACTGGCCCATAGAAGAGATGCGCCAATTCCGCAAGATGCGGCTCCGAGCAAGAGGAACCATTCGTTGCCGTAACGGTTATTGCAATACAGAGCAGCAGCATAGGGGGTATAGAATGCGGCTCCGATGAACAGTGTCCATTTAGCGGTGATCTTGTTGGTGACTCCACCAGCGAGGAAGCAGCCCACCGACATAAGCCCATATGTCAAGGCATTGGCGGCATTGTTCAGATAGGGCTGCGAGGATAGTATCAGCAACGATTGCGCAGGATCCGAACGCTCAGAAGACGTACCTTAGCGTTACCTCCAGCTCCGAGGTTGTTGAGAGCAGTCCAAATGCCAGGTTCGCAGAACGCGACTATTCCAACAATCACAATTTGGAAAAGGCATGACCGGTATACCTGGACTAGACGATCGAATGCCATGATGGAGGGAGGTTCTAGTTCAAGATGAGGGACTAGAGAATGGGGAATCCTTGTCGATGATCCTTGCAATGCCGTTCCATGCCCGCATTCTTATTGTGCTTTATAGTACCTTCTTCTTATTTTTTTCCCCGATGAAAAGCACGTCAGGCGTGATCACGATCGCGATATAGTTTTATCTATCGCGTGGGGCCCCACACCAGCTCCTTGGTGTAGACCAAGACAGTTCAGCAAGACCCCAAGAACTTTCAATTTCTGCTCTAAGTAGGCAGATTGACGGGGAATTTGTCCCTTCAACGGCTTGCTATTGCTCCATGGCTGTTCGACCCAACCGGCGTGGGGAGTTAGGCCTATGAAAGCTGAGGTTGGGGAGCACGCAATGCCCCACACCTATGATACTCTTCAAAGGATTTGAGAGATGGCATTTGCTCTGGGCTGAGGCCTGCTGCAGCTTCAATTCCGATCGCTTAACGCGTTCGCAGACTGGATGGCAAAGATATCCGGTTTCTGCTGCTGCGATAACCCTAACAAGTGAACCTGGCGAACTATCTACACCATGACTGCGACAACATTTCGATCTACTTGAGCCATTAAGCTTCCATCCAGTTGGCTACTCGTATACAGGGAGCTAGGGGCAGGTATCTTGCAAACGATTGTTAGGATGCCTTACCCGACACCTAAACAAGCCGCGATGTATGAAGAGTCATGTGCACTTAACGCCAGTTCAGCCCATTCTCCCAACTATCTTCCTTGAACAGCGCAAATAACCTTGGCCTTGCGCCAAAAGTCAAAAAGCTCGGTGTTAACCCGATGACGACTTATTTTGATTGTATTTGCACGAGATGAGATGGTTGACCGCGATCTTCCAACGGCCATGCATATAAGAGTCTGGAGTAATAACATTTAGCGCTAACTATAATCTGAGCAGTGGCTTATAACAGATGGCCGAGAGCGACCTATCTATGTTAAGATTCTCGTCGCAGCCTTGTTCTCCCGACAACCCTTTGCTTTTGCGCGCAAAACTGGAAGTCTTCGACGATGGCATCATCTGCCTCGCCTTGTCAGGATAGAGGATTCAAATCTTCCAGTTCTCTGCTATATCCGCTTTTTTGACTTTTGAATTGAGTAGGAATTCTCATCGCGTCAACCTTGGTGGTCGGCAACTTTCCCTCTTTACATCCATTTCAATAACGTGAAGCTATACACGAGATTGTCCCGAAAGCCCATTGATCGCAGGCTGCTATAGCTCTATCCCAGTGCCCTTCCTCTACATATGCTACCCATTGGTCACAATAAGTGCATCTGTAGACCGCTTATGTCGTCTTCCGTTTACACAGAGTATACTATTCCAATGCCACGGCTATCTCAGCCTCGCATTGTTTCAGCTCTGGTACTCATGAGTCATGACTTTATCATGAAATTGAGAGGTAATCAACAGGTAGCTGTTAAATTGCGCTGACTATTGCCACAGTAGGTAGCCAGGTGGAAACCAGGCTTCCAATCGCTCATGTTTTCTATAGTCGAAGCCCTACCTCCTCCATTGGAACCGACCTGCACTCGTCAGAGGTACACCGTACACCCAACCTTAGGAGGGCTGGTAGACCAATTGACCCAGAAATGAAACCCAAAGAAGGTGTGAAGCCATCTCTATCCGCTAGACACATATCGTGTATACAAATGTACTCCGTAGGTAGTAGATATCAACAAACCTCCCTCGGCCCCGGTACCGGTGCCCGGGCTGATCCCCGCACATTCCCCCCCTTCCCCACACCATCCGGGCAAGTCGCCAACCCCAACCCCCAAACCCACGTGCATCCCACAATCCCCTTTAAACAACCATCCAAACAGCCGGAAACCACCATATTCAAACCACACATACGCACCAAAAGAATGGCAGAAGAATACCCCCACAAAATCGCCCTGGTAGGCCTCGGCACAATCGGCCTCTCAATGCTAGCAATGCATCTCCGCCGTCCCGACACAACAATAACAGTCTACGACCCGCGTCCAGACTACGAATCCCAAATCCGAGACACCCTCCCCTCCCTCCTACCCCAATCCCAAACCAAATCTCAATCCGGATCCGAAAGCAACCAAATCGACACTCTAATCTCCACTTCGCGGCTAAAACTCGCAACCAGCCTGGCCTCAGCCCTCCATAACGCAACCATAGTCCAAGAACAAAGCCCCGAGGTGACAGCCTCGAAACAAGCGCTCTGGAAGGAGATCTCGAAGCTAACGGGGCCGGACACGCATCTGTGGAGTAGTTCCTCGGGCATACCGGCATCCGTGCAGAGTGCGACTTGCGATGACGCGGATCGAGTTGCGGAAAGATTGCTCGTTGCGCACCCGTTTAATCCGCCGCATGTTATGCCGCTGGTTGAGGTTGTGCCCGGGCCGCGGACGAAGGTGGGGAGGGTTGGGTTTGTGAGGGAGTATTTTGGGGGGATACCTGGTCCTGGCACTTGTCCTGGCACTGGTGCTGGGGCTGGGACCGAGGTTGAGGGTGGGCATTACAGGGCTATCACGTTGAATAAGGAGATTCCTGGGTTTGTGGGGAATCGATTGGCTTTTGCGCTGTTGAGGGAGGCTTGTTATCTTGTTGGGGAGGGGATTGTTTCGGCGAAGGATTTGGACTCGATTGTTACGGCTAGTTTGGGGCCGAGGTGGGCGGGGAGTGGTGTTTTTGAGAGTTATCATGCTGGCGGTGGGGAAGGGGGAATTGGGGCATTTTTGCAGAAGCTTGCGCCAACTATCCAGGATGTGTGGGGGAAGTTGGGACAGGTTGATATTGAGGGGGAACAGGGGTGGAAGGATTTGGTGGTTGGACAGACTGAGGAGGCATATGGGGACTATACGCCTGAGAGGAGGAAGAAGAAAGAGGAGATGTTGGGGGAGGTTGTTGAGATGCAGAAGAAGAAGTGGGCAGAGTTGTGATATGGGTTCATCGGACATGTCATTCTAATAGTAATTACTGTGTACTGCTGTAAAAAGACCGGTAGAATGTGAAGAAGTGAGTGCTCTATTGGCATTCTTGTATAGATTGAGGGCCTTGGCTCCTCCATTAAAAAATCAAAACATTTTGTTACGTCAAATTCGTTCCATCCTTTACAGGATCTGCTGGAAAGCACGGTTAATAGGCGAGCGCACGGCAACGCCCTTGTAGAAGTCAATGGTGGCAAGAGCACGCTTGCTGATGCCCTCGGGGGTGAACTCGAATTTCTGCAGAAAATCAGTAATGGCTCATGAGACGACGAGTGACGATAACTTACAGCGTACACCTCCTTGTAGGGACCGGAAGCACCGAAGCGGTTGAGACCGAACTGCTCGTGCGAGTAGCGCTCCCAACCCATGGTGGAGCAGGCCTCGACGGACAGAACGGGGATGCCGTCGGGCAGGACCTGGAGGCGGTACTCCTTGGTCTGGGCGTCGAAGACCTCGAAGCAAGGAATAGACACAACACGGGCGACAACATTGTGCTTATCCTGGAGGTAGGTGGCGGCCTCGATGGCAATGCTGACCTCGGAACCAGTGGAGACAATGGTGATGGCAGCGTTGGGGGTGTCGACAACGACGTAACCACCGTGCAGAGCGCGCTCGATGGTGGAGAGCTCGAGCTGGGGCAGGTTCTGGCGGGTCAGGGCCATGACGGTAGGAGTGTGCTTGGAGGTAATGGCGGAGTAGTAGGCAGCGCTGGTCTCGTTGCCGTCAGCGGGACGCCAGACCATGCAGTTGGGCATAGCGCGGAAGTGAGCCAGGGTCTCAATAGGCTGGTGAGTAGGGCCGTCCTCACCCAGACCGATGGAGTCGTGGGTAGCAATGTGGATGACACGAACGCGGGACAGAGCCGACAGACGGAGGGCACCGGCGGCATATGAGACGAAGTTGAGGAAAGTACCACCGGCGGGGATGATGGTGCCGTAGGCAGCGAGACCGTTCATGACAGCGGCCATGGCGTGCTCACGCACACCGTAGCGGACGTAGCGACCGGCCCACTCGCCGATGCCAAGGTCAGGGGGCTGGAAGTCGACAGCGTTCTTCCAGCGGGTGTTGTTGGAGCCAGTCAGATCGGCGGAACCAGAGACCAGCTCGGGAAGGACATCGTGAATGGCTTCGAGGCAAGCCTCGGAGAGTTTGCGAGAAGCGATAGCAGCGTCAGTGGGCTTGTAGACGGGGAGCTTCTTCTCCCAGCCCTCGGGCAGCTTGCCGGAGAGACGACGAGCGAGGTCAGCACCCTCGGTCTTGTACTCGGACTGGTACTTCTGGAAGAGCTGGTTCCACTCCTGCTCCTTGGCAGCACCCTCAGCGGCGTGCTTGTGGTACATGTCGTACACCTGCTGGGGGACAACGAAGCTCTCCTCGGGGTTGAAGCCGAACTTCTTCTTAACACTCTGAGCATCATCGGCTTTGAGAGGGTTGCCGTGGACACCACCGGTGCCGGCGAGCTTGGAGCCGAAACCGATAGTGGTGGTCAGCTTGATGACGGAAGGCTTGTCAGTAACCTGCTGACACTTGCGAATGGCAGCCTCAATGCCCTCGAGGTCGTTGTCGCCATCCTTGACCCACTCGGTGTGCCAGCCGTAGGCCTCGAAGCGCTTCATGACATCCTCAGTGAAAGCGCACTTGGTGTCGCCGTCTGTGGAGGTGAGTTGTCAGCGTTTAGGATCTAGCTGGTGAGGATTCCAGTCAATCTTACCAATGGAAATGTGGTTGTCATCGTAGATGGCAATCAAGTTGCCAAGCTTCAAGTGACCAGCCATAGAGGCAGCCTCGCTGGCAATACCCTCCATAGCGCAACCATCACCGAAGAACATGTAGGTGTAGTTGTTGAAGAGCTCGAAGCCGGGCTTGTTGTAGACACCACCGGAGTGAGCCTGAGCCATGGCCAAACCAACAGCGTTGGCGAAACCCTGGCCAAGAGGACCAGTGGTGACCTCAATACCGGGGGTGTCGTGAGCCTCGGGGTGACCGGGGGTGATGCTGTCAATTTGCTGTCTAAATTAGTACCAGTGCGCTGCTACCTGTGACTGAGATGAACTTACACGGAAGTTCTTCAAGTCATCGATGGTGAGCTTGTATCCGAAAAGGTGGAGCAGAGCATACTGCAGCATGCAGCCATGGCCGTTCCTGTTCAATTATAGGTAAGTAAACATTGCGAAAGCATGGTCATCGGTTTTCAGATGGAGAACCCGAGATCATGATGGCGGAGCTTCGCGGGATTCCAATGATGGGAGAAAGCACATACGAGAGAACGAAGCGATCACGGTTAGCCCAGTCGGGGTTCTGGGGGTTGAAGTTCATGAACTTGTTGAACAGAACGTGGGCCACAGGGGCCATGCCCATAGGGGCACCGGGGTGACCGGAGTTAGCCTTGGAGGTGGCATCGATCTGATAGCGAAAGTCAGTCAAATGTTCGAGCTGGTCCCATTAAACTTCTATACCGAGATCCTCAAGATCCCGTTGTTTTCAATGCATGGACCGGAGAGGAAATTGCCATTGAAGATGGGGTCAACGTACCGCAAGAATGCGGATGGTGTTGATAGCCAACTGGTCCAGATCGGTGTAACCCATGATGGCGGATTCTATAACAGTTAGATAAGGAAAACCAGATGAGTATAGATGGATACTAACAAATTTTGTGAGGGGGATAGGGAGGATGAGAGGAGGAAGAGGAAGATGGAGGGGAATTGTATTTGTTGGTGGGGTATGATGTCGAGTGGTGGGGTGTGGGAGGGGGGAGAGAAGGACTGAAAGTGGCTTACAGCTCTCAACAGCAGCAATTATTTTAATTTTATTTTACTCATTAGGCACTCGAACAGCTTGAAGAATCTTACTGTGAATTGTTAATATCCTACTAATATCCTATAGGCTAAATCCATGCCCTCTCTGTCTACTAACTGTATCTTTCTCTTATCTATCTATTGCATCATGCGCTGAGTCATCCAAAGGCCAGCCCCGGCCTCGACCTGCAGGCTTGAACCTACAAAAGACAATAAATATACGATCATATGCACTTACTTACCATCAGTTAATGAATTCTTACTTGCTTCATATTGCTCTTCTGGAATGTGTCAATAGCCGTATCTTCCGCTGGCAATCCAATGGCCCGCATTTCCCTTCCAATGACCGACTACCCACACCCTCTGAATACACCGGGAGCCGTCCGGAGGACCCTGCTCCGAGTCACGACCGGTCTTCTTACAAAGTGCAATTAGCCGATTTATGAGTTGTGGTTCTCTCTAATAACCGTACCGATGATCAGATTCAACTGTTTAGAGGCGAGAAAAGTTACAAGTGTACCACATTTGCTTTTTGCTGTCCACGACCACGACAGCTCAGTGCAGAGATCCAGTGGCCTATCATTCGGATTCCCTAATCAGGCCAATCCGACATGAACATTGACACCAATTCCGTCCAATGGCAATCGTCTAAGTATGTGCATCCCACCAACGGCAGTTCCAGGGGGTTTCTATGCCAACGCGAACGCATGCGAACCCCCACGAATAAGCTAGAACGTGTTGGGGAATTCACGTCAATGTTTCCGGTGTGCCGGAAACAGAGAGTCGGAAACTGCTTAGTAAATCATAGCGCGTACCAATCGGATATCAACAGGTCTGAATTTCTATGAAGCCCCTGGCTGGCAATTTGTATGGGCATAACAATGACTAATCTAAGTGGGATATGGTATCTCCGTTCTCCGATCTCCACTGCTGCTGTTGTTCCGACACAGAGTAGTGCCGGAGAAACTATCAGCCGTAGTCACGTGCGAAGTATATCTGGACTTAGACGGACTCCGCATGTCTTGGATGTCTCTTCTTGGAGATAGTTGAGTTCAAGTTTACGATGTCGCTGTAATATATAGGCCTCAGACTACAACTGGATCCTATCGTCCTGTTACACTTTTTCTATTGACTCAGCTCAAGCCCGTACACAACCTAGGCCCTTGCTGTGGCTCTGGAAAGCTATCGTCATTCGTCACAGACTCACAGGGCCACTGCCCTGGCGGGGATCCGCAGGAAACCCGACAACCTTCCAGGCCAATATCAAATATTTATAGCAACACTTGTTTCAATTCATTCATCTCAATTGCTGATACATATCGTTGGTAATCATGAAATGAGCATTATCTCAGAGCAATTGCCACAGGACATTCCGAGGCCGACTCGAGGACTGGAAGCGAGACATTCTAGTGGAATTCCCTTGTCGAACTCAGCTTGAGCAACCTGGCGGATTAATCAACTTGCACGACGTGAACGCATACACTGGGAATTGACCAGTCACCTCTCAGCTGCCAGCCCATCAATGGCACGACAGTAAAGGGAAACAAGGGCACCTGACGGACATGACCTGAATATCAAGGAAAGTGACGAGGAGCGCGTAAGGATCTGTCATATATTGAGCCCAGAGCAGAACCTTTAAGTTAAAGTATGACAAAACACCGAGGTCTAACAAGGTAGACCCCTGGATGACGGAACTATCTTGGGACATTGCAACCTCGGAGTATGCGCGATTGTAGTCAGCTTGCATGACCATTCTGCCCTGGTCGAGGATGCCGCAGCTCAGCATGTGCACCTTTTTGCTATAAAGATATCAATCTTAAGCGACAAATCATTCCCTCTTGCCACAAGTCCGTACCGATCACCACAGATATACCGGAAACTCTCATCGCAAGCCATGGACAAAGAACAGGACCCTATCGAATCCCAAACCGATGTGTAAGTCCCCCTGGGATACGCTCCAGCCAACACTATCTAATAGCCTTCCGCAGACTCATCGTCGGCGCCGGTCCATCCGGCCTGATGGCAGCCTACTGGATGGCCCGCTTTGGAGTCAACGCACGTATCATCGACAAGCACGAGACAGAAGTATTCGTAGGCCACGCAGATGGGCTTCGTCAACGCACACTGGAATTATTCGATAGCATGGGTTTCCAACATCGTGTCCTTCAGGAGGGGTCTATATCCTTCGAGGCGAACATCTGGGTTTGTATATCCCTGTTATCCGCCGAGACCAAAGCACCTTGGCTAACGATATCACGACCAACCAGGTCCCCGGTCCACAGGGAAAGATTATACGACACGGTATAATGAACATTGGCAAGGTCGATGAATCGCCCTTTCACAATACACGGTTGAACCAGGGTCGCCTTGAACGATTCATGCTTGATAGTATTCGGGAGACCTCTGACCTTGAAGTGGAGCGGAGTGTGCTCGCGGAGTCTTTGGAATACGACGAGAACTTGGAGAATGACCCAAATGCGTATCCCATTACGGTCCAGGTTCGGGTTCGCAGCAAGGATGAGTCGAATCCCTCCAGTGGACGGAAAAGCGCAGCTGAATCCGAGAGCACCCGCAATGGGATACTCCCTGATAAACGCACTGGTCTGGTCGAGCACAGGAAACCAACAAAGACGAAGGTCGAGACGATCAAGGCTAGGTACCTGATCGGTTGTGATGGTGCCCACAGCTGGACCAGAAGACAGCTGGGTATCCCCACCGAAGGCTCCGACACGGACCACATCTGGTTAGTACAGCCCATGGCAAATATTTACCACAGGTCACTGATATGTGAAACAGGGGCGTGGTAGATGTGGTACCACTCAGCGACTTCCGTAAGTAAAGCCCATAACACCCAATCATCACTTCCCTATAACAACCACTAACCCTAACCCTCACACAGCGGACGTCCGCCGCGTATGCGTCGTAACCAACGCCGCCGGCACGATCCTCGTAATTCCTCGCGAGCGCAACCTAGTCCGCTTCTACGTCCCCGTTCAAGTCTGCGAAGCCGGCGCAACCGACCGCTTCGACCGCTCAACAATAACGCCAGACGTCATCCGATCACGCCTCCAAGCCATCCTTGCCCCCTACTCCTTCGACTTCAAGATATGCGATTGGTGGACGGCATACCAAGTCGGACAGCGAATCGCGACGCAGTCAACAAAGGGAAACCGGATCTTCCTTGCCGGCGACGCTGTTCACACACACTCGCCGAAGATGGGTCTCGGCATGAACATGAGCATGCAAGATGGGTTCAACATCGGGTGGAAGATTGCACTTTCTGTGGCTGGAGCGCTTAGACCTGATGTTTTGCAGACCTATGCATTGGAGAGACATCCGCTTGCTGAAATGCTGCTCGATTTTGATCGGCATTGGTCGCCTATGTTTACCGAGCGGAAGGATAATGTGTCGGATGCAAAGGCTAAGGAGATAGCTGCTATTGCGGGGATGTTTGAGGACTTTGCGGATGGGTGGAAGGTGTTTTATCCGCCTAGTTGTCTGGTTTGGAAGAGTGAGGGTCAGGATGATGGGCCTCCATTTGCCAGGCACATGATTCCCGGGGAAAGGGTGCGGCCTGCTAAGATCCGCAATCAGGCTGATGGCGTTACACAGTGGACGACGCGGGTCTTGGAGAGTGATGGACGGTTCCGGATTCTTGTTTTAGCTGGGGATGTGCTGAATCCTATGCAGAAGAGACGCGTTGAGATCTTGGGACAGGTCCTGGCAGGGAAGTCGGAGTTGGGTGCTTCGCCTTTGGACCGATATGTGACGGTACCTGGGCGATTCAAGAGCCTTGTGGATGTATTCACCGTTCACACTTCCCCGTGGAAAGAGGTGGAGTTCTTTGATTTCCCGGAGGCTCTGCGTCCCTTCGACCAATTCCAAGGGTGGGCATATAGCAAGATCTGGTGTGATGGTCCCTGTGATGTCGATAGATATTGTGATGGAGCTGCATATGAGAAGTGGGGTGTGGACCGAGTTCTTGGAGCGCTGGTGGTTATTCGCCCCGATCAATACATCGGATGGGTCGGTGAACTTGGAGATGTGGCGGAACTAACGCAGTACTTGGACGGAGTCCTTGTCAAAAAGCCAACCGATGGGGCCAAGCTACCTGCAGAGAATCTCAAGATCGAGGAGGGCTACGCAGCAGAGTAACATGGCAAGTTACAGTGAGTTAGAGTCTGAACATGGATTGATTGCTGCGCTCATATCCTGCAAAAGCCTATACAATGGATCCAATGAACAATAGCAATTCAAATAAGACACACGAGGGTAGTACACATATTGATACATAAAAGCTCATTCGGTACATATATATTGCATGGATATTCTCGAAAGTGCAGCACGCCATCATCGCGCGTGCGTCGTAGATACCATTGATCAATCTTCACGTAGCTCAGTAGTCACATCAGCAACATGAGACGATCCAGGAGCATTAGCATCTTTATTGAGCTCGTCCCGAATGACCTGCGGATCAGCAGGGAACTGAAACTTCGAGCTCTTCCACGGCTTCACTTTCAGCAAGTACATAGTATCGATTTCCTCCAGTGTACGACCCTGTCCTTCGATGACGGCAAAGTAAACCAGACCCGCAGCCAGGAAAAGACATCCGGCAAAGACATAACCAAAACGGAAGTCAATAGCGCCGGTGATGAAGGGAGTGAAGAAAGCGAGAAGGAAGTTCCAGAGCCAGTTGGAGGCGGTGGCCAAAGACATTGCTCGGGCGCGGTAGTGCGAAGGATACAATTCGGCAATGATCGTCCATACCATTGGACCCCAGGTGCTGGCGAAGCCGAGAATGAACAGACAGGCGAAGACTACCATTGCCACCCCAGCCGACTTTGTCCGCTCTGGGTCTTCTTGATCCAGAGAGAAATGGCCCACCGACGCGAAGATCATAAAGCAGACGAACATCCACAGGGCTCCGATTATAAGGGAACGGCGTCGGCCGTAGTGCTCAATAAGGTAGAGGCCGAGGAAGGTTGTTCCAAAGTTGACGGCGCCTAAAATGAGCTGCGTCACGTAGCTGTTATGAATGCCAGCGCCTTTGAAAACCGTCGTTCCCTATGACATATCAGCCTGCTGATCTTTTGTGTTCGTCCTGCTGGAAGGTAAATACTCACATAATAGAAGAAGTAGTTGGCACCCGTCAGCTGCTGAAGAGCTTGCAGGGCGACGCCGACAGCGACCCGATATGCCATTGTAGGAGCCCGGAACATCTGAATCCAGGAAGTCTGCCCGCCGAGCTTCTCTTCCTCGTGCTTTTGCTTGATTTCATCAAACTCGATGTGCAGAGCTCGGTGATTGAGAGGGATACCATAGATTTTCGAAAGCGTCTTCTTGGCTTTCTCCTCCTTTCCATGGCGGTAATCATATCGCGGGCTTTCCTCAAAGAACATCATGCCCACACCGAGAATGGCTGCCCAGAGATACGTGATGCCCATAGGAATACGCCATGAGCCAGTGTCAGGGCGAGCCTCAGTTCCGAAATTGATACAGTTGGCAACGAAGATCCCAAGAGTGATAAACAGCTGGTATGTACTAGGAGATGTGAGAAACCATGGACTAGTGCTCCAGGGCTAGTACTGTGACATACCTGATCAACGATCCTCGAATGTGTCTTGGTCCGGATTCAGCTTGGTACATCGGTACTAGCAGGGAGATTGCCCCAACCCCGAGCCCGGCGACCCAACGACCCATAGCAACTTGTACCCATCTACCAAAAGGCGAAGAAATCTGAATAGTGATTCCAATGCACACCATCAGAGACCAGCCACTGATACACCACTTCCGTCCTAAACGGTCGGCAATGGGTGCTGCGATCAGAGCCCCAATCAAAGTACCAATAGAGAGCTGTGTTGTTGATGGTGTTAGTTTAGTGATGAGCAGGGAGTAGCCACATTGAGGACAACTTACCAAGGCAACAATGAGTCCGGCACGGACATTACTAAAGTGGAAAGTCCCGTCGGATTGAAGTTGACCATAGCGCTCAAGGAAGTTATGCATTTCCAAGAAGCCAGAGATCTGACCAGTGTCATAGCCGAAGAGGAAACCGCCCATAGAGACAAAAACGCCCATAATGAACGAGCGCCAAGTGAGAAGCGGAATCGGCGTGTCAACGAGATCACCGGGGCCTTTCTCGTGTTCATTGGTTGACATTGACTCCCTAGGGAGCTCAGAGCCTGCATAGAGGTCCTGTGGACGCTTCTTGAAGATGTTATCGAACATAGCGGCAGCAAGTACTAATTCCCTGCGAATTTGCAATTCAGGAACTAAACTTCCATTCTCATGGCAACCCTGGATTTGCGTCTTTTATACCTTGAATTCCAGGGCGAGCCAGCCAAGCCTGGCTAATACGCCGCATTGACGAGAGCCGAGTCTTGACTCTTGAGTTCCCTTGGAATCAGCGCACTCGTGACAGATCCAGACGATGGGTCGTCAAAACGATGACACGTTGATTCAACACCCCGAGCAAGCTCTCTACGGACATTTCGGTTATCCCCGATAATGAGGCATGAGGAATCCGGGGAATTCGAACTCAGATTTGGGCCGAGCCGTGGTTAATTCCGGACTTGGCCATGCTGTTCGTCAGCGGCTCAGCGTATTCCAACGGTAATCAACCCCAGACCCACATCTCGCACGTTCTGGGTGGCGCGGAAGTCTGGAGAGTCGACCTGCTGCGCCTCGTGATCATTTTTTTCCCTTGGCAAGTATTGCAGAGAATGTTCCATGAGGGGATTGTGAGAGATAATGATGCAATCGGCGGCAGCCATAAAGCTTAGGTCTCACCGTCTCGCTTCATACAGGCCATCATCACGATGATTCTTCTTTTCCCTCTTAAAAGCTAATTTGGGCGATATAGTGAAAACACAGTTCTCCTATCGTATGTCAGTTCCTGTTCTCTTGGGAATCTTCTTCCGAGGAGTAGAATAGTACCATGTGACGTGGTCACGTGGATATACGTCATGGACAATAGTCAGCCTCAGGCAGAGACCCACTACGTACTTCAAAGTTCAAACTACACACGCGAAAGCCGTGTTGGACCTTGGTACGATTACTCAACTCATAGAAACGCCTCCTGGTTCTTCTTTTAAGTTCTTTACCAGGGGGCTTTGGGCGCCCCCCCGGACCCCCGGCCTCAATTGCTGGGCGTTAACTTTATCCACCTTCCTTAAACGCCAGTCTTAGTCCATAGGTATTTTGATTACGCATCTCAAAAAGGGCTCAATCCGAACTTGATTAAATTGGCTTCTAGCCTTCTACCGTCTACGGATACGGGCCGAGGGCGACTCCTCCGGAGATGCGGAGCCTGCGGACGGTGAAGGGGTACGTGTGGCTGGCCGTCTCCCCCGGCCGGGCCGGATCGGTTGGACTCGGTCGGGCGTTGCTGGGAGCGTCGGACGACGCCTCGAAGGCCGGAAGGGCAGAGTCTGAGATACTCGGCTGGTAGACGGTGTAACCGGAGTACTCTGCCTCTCGAGCTGAACATGCTCAAGTTGACGCATCGCGAACAAGGCGAGGAGTGTCGGCTTAAACCGCTCGAAATCGAACGAAGTCTCGAACGGTAAGCCTCGGATCGACTTTACCCGCGACACCGCAACATATGACAGCCCCGCTGCCAATACGCGCCCGCCTATGTCCAGGACGGCCTCCGAAACGGACATTCCTTGGGACCTATGGACAGTGACAGCGTATGCCAGGTCGAACGGAAACTGTGTCCGTGAGAATGCAGCCCCTCGGTACTTGAAGTCTCGAGAGCGCCGGAAGATTGGGACTATATTCGGCCGCGCGAATCCGAATGACGGTCCCGTGTAGTTCGGAAACTCGACGACTAGTACATGTGGCGGTTCCGCACGAGGATCCCTGACATGCGCTTTCCAGTGGATCTCCCGGAGAACACCTAACTATCGCGCCATGGACGGGTCCTTTGGGGGTCCAGACATTGCTGAGCAAGATTACTCGAGCACCAATCCCAAGCACAATCCGCGCAGAAAAGGCAAGTTCTCAGCTAGGTCTGACGAAGCCTCGTGCGCCCGCGGCCCAGTATTATTTGAATTGATCCGAATTAGTGGGACCAGTAGATCTCGCAGGCGATCATGATTTAGATCCTGCGTAGCAAGCCTTCACCGATTGTACGTTTGAGGTGGCGACTTTGATGTCTTCATTGAGAGACGTTGGGTGTGGGGGGCTGCTCCAGGAGTGAGCAGGGCCGCCCCAGGTCCAGGTTCTTCGCGTTGAATGGCTGCACGAGTGGACAAAACTGGGGTTTGTGTTTACCCCGATTTGACAGACAGACCACACAACTAGTGGAGGGGTTCACTGCTCTGAACCGCGCCTGGTACGGACGCACGTTATGGCCCTGGGTTTTCCAAGCGGCACGTCGAAGCGAGTAGCTCTGGTGGCTGTTGAAACAGTATCGGGACCACCCCTGCCCCTGTTCCTCGACGTTCTTCGCTCCCAGTCCAAAAGGACGCCTTCCTCGCCTTCACGACAGGGTTGGACGCGACGTTCTTCGCCAGTTCGCCCATGCCTAGGTTCGACTTCGTGGTGTCCGCCTTGTACAAACTCGCACCGGACGACACATAGATGTTCGCCCAGACCGTGTATTCCCGCAAGGTAAAGCTTTTGCCAGCTGCAGCGAGGGCTGCCTCTGGGGAGGTGCACTCCACCATCCAACCTTTTTGGTCGTGCGGGTGGATCGCAATGATGTTCTTGATATCGATCTGCGCGGCGGCGAACATTGAGTCAACGACGTCTTTGAGGGTGAATGTGCCGGGCTTCCTGAGCTCCACTGGGAGCTTTAGGTAAAGCCAGCACCCGTCACCATAGTCCAGAGAGCTGTCGTAGACTCGTAGCCCTTTCCCGCCCGCTTCGAGAGTTGGTAGTAGGGGGTGTCGTTCGTGTTGCCCGCCTTCTTCTTACCCCGGAAGGCATCGCTTGAACAGTTACTGTGTATAGAAGAGGCCTCTAGGGAATGAGCTTCTTCTTCCCCCGGTCCCGGACCCGGGGGAAGAAGAACCAGGAGGAGGTGAATGAGGTAGGGGTAGGCTCGATGGTGAGCCAGAAGGAGGTGAGCCGCATGGCTCGAGTCAGGAGTTGGAGGCAGATCTCCAAGAATGAGGTCCTCCTCAGGAGCGGGAGGAGCGGGATCAGCTTCAGGAGCAGGAGGAGCGGGATCAGTTGTCTCAGGAGGGCGATTATCAGGCACAGGTAGGTCAGATCCCATACCACCACCCCCCAGGCCTGCCTGGTGGCCTGATGCGTCATTGGATGGGGGAGCACAAGGAATGTCGGATGGATCAGATTCGGGGATATCTATGTCGTCAATGATACGCTGGGAGACATAGTCATCCAGCGTTGAGATCAACTGGTCAGTTTGATCGAAAATCCTGATGGGGGAATCTTCTCCCCCCGGTGTAAAGAACCGAGTTTCCCCAATTCGGCTTGCGGGTCCTCACCATTCATTCAGACAACGAAACCGCACTGGTCTCTTCTTTGACATCTGAGGCCAGAGCCCGCGGTATCAACCTGGAACCTTCGCCACCTCGCCAGCCTGAGCAGAATCCGTATGCGGAGCGCTACGGAGGTCTGATCTCCAGTATAGCCAGACAACTAACACAGGATGCAAAACTCCCTCCCTCCCTCTGGCATGAAGCAGCAAGAGCAACTATCTACATTCAGAATCGCATCCCCCATCGTGCACTGGGATGGAGATCACCGTCGGAAGCCCTTGCTGATTATCTTGGTGACCATGCCCCTCACTGGCTCAAGGCCAAACCCGACCTCTCGGATTTGCGAATTTATGGATGCAAAGCCTATGTCCGCATCCACAACATTCCCAAACTTTCGAAACTTGCACCACGTGCAGAGGTGGGGTATCTCGTGGGGTACGACGCGTCAAATATTTGGCGTATCTGGGTCCCGGGGAAGAAACGAGTTATTCGGGCCAGAGATGTTGAGTTTGACGAAACTCAATTCTTTACACCGGGGGGAGAAGATTCCCCCATCAGAATTTTTGATCAGACTGACCAATTGATCTCAACGCTGGATGACTATGTCTCCCAACGCATTCTTGACGACATAGACATCCCCGAATCTGAGCCATCGGACATTCCTGCTGCTCCCCCATCCGATGACACACCAGGCCACCAGGCAGTGGTATGGGATCTGACCTACCTGTGCCTGATAATCGCCCTCCTGAGACAACTGATCCCGCTCCTCCTGCTCCTGAAGCTGATCCCGCTCCTCCCGCTCCTGAGGAGGACCTCATTCTTGGAGATCTGCCTCCAACTCCTGACTCGAGCCATGCGGCTCACCTCCTTCTGGCTCACCATCGAACCTACCTCTACCTCCTTCACCCCCAGCTGAGACCATTGTCTTAGTTATGACACTGGCCCTGACACTTATGGGTACACACCTCTTCCGGTTCTCGGAAAACGCTCTCACCTTCCATCTGACGGTTCTGACCCCTCTGACGAACCAACTGAGAAACGTCACCGAGCAAACCTCCTCGCATTTCTGGCAGCGCCGCCAAGTTTTCTTCATCACTTGTTTTCTCCAGGCGCCACAGTCAGGCTCGCTAATGTCCCGTGATTTCCGGGTCTGATAGATGCTGGGAGATGCGATTTCCATATCGGTGCAACGAGAAACTATTGTAGTTTCAAGTTTGGATGGGGAAACCAAATTCCAGGACGAAAATTCAAAAAATGTTAAAAATGAAATATCACACTGAGCCATGCGAGCATTGGAGGTAATTGCTGAGCGTTAGCGTCGTAGCGAAGCAATCTGTATTCTGTAATAGGGGGTCGCGAAAGCGTGTCACGTGACTGTCTTGATGGCCAAATTTTTAGATATCCATCGGTGAAAACCGGCAGAATTACTTTCTCGACTAATCAGACCCTGACAATCTATATCTCTACAGTATACAGTCTTTCTTTACCTTCTACACATCAAATTTATCTTTCCTTGCTCATAATGGCTTCTAAGATCTGCAATCAGTGCAAGTGCTTGCGGTTGCCTTCCAATAAACCGATTTTGATCGAAGACTGAAGAGCGAGAAGCGAAGCATTGCCAGCATTGTATTTGTCCGAGATACTTCTAACCGATCATGCGCTAATTCCACCAACTGGCCTCGAAATCCATGTCCTTACACGATTTGTACCCATTGCAATCGAGGGCTTTCCATTGACCAGTTTTGCTCGAGGCGCGTGGATACCGTGAAGGTGCAATGCCTGTAGTGCCATGACTATGAGAATGTCAGCCAGTCGAGATCAAGGCCTTCGCCTTCATCAGCGCCTCCAACAGTACTCCTAGATCCCACGCACTCAGACAAACTAGATGTTAGCAGTCGGGATTGCCACTTGATTTAACCCTTCCAGGCCGCGCTGCAAGACTACAAAATGAAGACCTGCTCACATTGCCTGGAGCGGTGGCTTGACATGAAGCTTGAGGATGGGGTGTCAGCGCTGCCGAAAGGCAGACAAGAACCAACCACTATGGCTGTGCCGCTGTATGGTAAATTGAACAGGATACAGCCGGATCGGGTACCTTCACACCTGCCCGAGCTCACGCAGCTCGAGGACATTCTGATCTCGTGCGTCGCAGCCCGTCCATGTCTTTATCGAGGTGCGCTAGATACGTAGACGGCAGTACCGCCATCAAAGCTATGTTGTACACTTCTTGAGAGAGATAGGGTAGGTATACGAAGAACTAGGGACACTTGCTTCCGAATGCATACGTAGATATTATCTTACTTCGACCATCCACTACCGACGTAGACGGCAGACTAAACCGACAATTTATCCGGGATTTTCGAGTACGTCAATCTTCAGTCGACATTTGGCTCCAATTCCTACAGCAGAATCATCCAGAGTCCAGACTATCGTAGTATCAAGAACCCCTCCGACTGGACCGGCTCAGGAGGCAGCTGGGTCAAACGCCGCTCACCAGCAGGAACAAAACAAATGTCAACGAAGCGCATGAGGGGACCGATGTTCTATTGCAGATGTAGAGCTGCGGTTGTTCAAAAGGAGAAAAGTGGGTGCACAGAGCTTGGGAGTCGGGGTAGAAGATTTGAAAGAAAGATATTCTTTGCGCTGCTAGGCTGCTACCTAGGCCGCTACACTGAAGTACGGACAGAGACTGGCGTTTAAAAAATCGGATGAAGCTAACGCTCAGCAATTGAGGCTGGGGGTCCGGGCGACGCGCAAAGCCTCCTGGTGGTGCTAAACCTCGCGTTCTGCGCCACCGTCAGTGCCTACCCGGTCATTCCTGGCCTCATACTTGGTCTCAACAACATTTTCCGAGCTCACATTACCCAGAGCTTCTTTGACAGCTAAGGCAGACTTGCAACGATACCGCATCGCATACACCGCAGCAGGAACACCAACGATCCACCATGAGAACATGATAGGAAGAGCCTGGTACAGCCTATTATTGCACCCACCAGACCAGATCTGGATCAAAACCTGGTACGCCTCATGAGAGGGCAATGCGTAGCCCCAACGGAAGAACCCGGCGCTCATCTCGAACGGACTGATGGTGCTAGCAACGTTGATAATGACCCACGTTAGAACAATGAACGGCATGAACTGGATTGGAATGAATGCCGTTGCGATGTCGAAAAAGAGGAAGTTGATGTGCATCAGGAGCCACAAGATCATCCACGTCAGCATGAAGCGGCCCCCGCTCTGCGCCCAGGACTCTCTGTAGGCCCAGATGTAACCTGTCATCAGCAGAGACCCGATGAATGTGTAGACGACGGAGATGATTGCACGGATCAGACCGTTGACTTTCCAGGAAAGTTTGGCGAACGTGTCGAACTTGCCAGATATCCCGTTCAGCGCCATCATGAAGAAGAATTGTTGGATTATTGGCATGACCATAGACACTGTATTATAAAAAACCCGGGTACCTTGGTGGGTGTCCTTGAGGTTTATTTCATCCGCAGCGATGGGATCTAGGAACGTGGCAAGAGTATCCGGATTTGTCAGGTTCGCAGACGCTACAACGGAGGATGCATTGTTTGCGTGATATGTTGACCTGGTGTTCCCAATCAATCTCAAGAGATTGGTGTAGACAATAGCCTGCGAAAAGACTGGGTATTTGGCCCCGTTCCAGATGTAGACCAGCGAGGTTGGTGGGCGAGCACCGCTTTCCAGGGCTGAAGCCAAACCGGCTGATCCACCCGGGCTGGTGTAGATAGCGCCCCAATATTTGCCACGACAGACGGCTTCCCGGATATCGTTGGCCTGGGGGTATTCCGTCGAAGGTCTTAACTGGAGTGTTGGGAACGTGTCTCCTCGTAGTTGCTGGTAGGCGTCGGAAACTGATTTTCCGATGACACCGCCGTCATAGTCGACATAAAGTACATCGAAGTTGTGGTAGCGTGTGGTACTGCGAAATTGTGTGGCGTACAGATAGCACATGTTGCCTAGGAAGAGAACCTGAAGCAGAACAAACATTGCAATGACTGCAGGGAGGAATTGAGATCGCATCTCTTTCCATTCCGTCTTTTTCGGTCGGATCTCTGTTTCTGCTTCCATTTTAAGACCTGTATGGGACATCTGAAGAGGGAGATAGAAACGAAGATGGTAATGAAGATAGAAATGAAGATGAAAACGGAGACGGAGAGGGTGATGGAAACGAAGATGGAAACGGAGAGTCGGAGAGGGTGATAGAAACGGAGATGGAGGGTGATGGAGGAGTACGCCTGTACGAGGGATGTGTCACTGGGGGTAGCGGCTCTTATAGGGCGCTTACAGAAGCGGAAATAACTCAAACTTTCTCGGCAAATATTCAGGGGAGTTTGCTTGTCATAGTTACACAGATTTCTAAGTTAAGTTTGGAGATTATCACATTGATACGTAAGTACGATGTGCAGCAGCACATTTGACGGAGTATAGTTCTAATTTGACCAATCACATTGGCCGTAGGGACAGAAGCAGGATGACTCAGCGGAACTCGGGTCGGGACTTTTTTAACCGGCTTTACCGCTCATCGGCCTCCGACAGTCCGACTTGCTCTTTCCCGGATTCACTTATTGTTCTGTTCTTGCCATGTGGGCTCTACCAAGGATTCAAGGAAAACAAACTTAGAAAAGAGAGAAGAAAGGTATGAGGAAGGAGCAAAGAGCTTAGTCCCAGAAGGAGCGAATAGCCTCAGGATCCAACTAAGAACATGCAACCTTGCCGCGCCCCGGAGTCATGAGTCCATGACCTTAGGGATAAATAGAAGTTATACACCCCGAGCTTCACACAAGTAAAGCTCCATATATCCTACCAAGCTGACAGGGCTGCAATGCTGTATTTCTGAAGCTGGAATCTCCAAGGTCCGTCCGCATGATATCCGCTTTCCTTTTTGGGATCAGTCAGAGTTCAATCAGCAACACATGAGACATCGGACCATCGGACCATCCTGCACACGAATTCCCGACCCGCGCACAGTTCATCGAGTGGATATCCATACCGTGGATGTACCTAGGTCAATATGAATCTAGCGTTGGGCTCCACTATCAAATTGTCCCGATAGCGGGTAGATCTTAATCTAGATCCGGCCCGAGTGGGTCAAATGCGAGCTGGGCCGAACTAAAAGATTCTTCAGACTGGGCACGAGGCTTGTTGCCGCTAGGTTGCTTTCAAATAGAAGCGTGGAGCCACTGATAAGAGTTGTCTCCATGTTCATATCGGGATCAGCATCTATACTACTGTACCTTAGACCTAATGGTGCGAACTACCGAGTACAACGAAAGCACTGCTTGAGATATATTGGATTTGTTCATTGACGACTCTCGGGAAACGTAGACATCAAGGCGAGGGAAGAGGCCGGGGAGGCCATGAAAGACCGTCGTGATCATCTGACCCATATGTACGCACGCCGTCGGGGCCTTGCCTAGCCTAGAAACAACAGTGGAAACAGAAGAGAGGGGAAAAGAGGAAATACAACGGACATGATAATCACAGTAGACAGCAGACAGGAAAAAAACATTCGCATAATAATTATAACGGAAACACCGCAGACGTGGGAAAATGACTTAAATTCAAACTGAAATGAGAATAGATGAAACGCCCCTCCACAGGTATCATGAATATAATCAAACAGACCATCCCAAATCCCATCCCTTCCATAATAACACCCAGCGCAAGGGAATCAATCAGACGGCCAGCCGTCGGTCCCAGCCATTGACCAGGGAGAACTCATCAGCCTCGTCCTCAAGAGGCATCGCAAAAGTGCTGAACGGATCCATGGTGTTCATGTCCCGGACATCAGCGAAGGGCGCCATAGACTCCTCGGCACTCCCCAGACTCTCGCCAGAGTAGCTCAGAACGCTCTGCGTGGTGTTACCATTCGGAGCTGCGAAGTCACCACTGCTAGACGACCACGCCTCGGGCGAAAGGCCGTGCATCTCGGTCTTGATAGGAGTCACCAGAGTTGGATCCGCGGGTTTACCAGCGTATTCTGCTGTGATGGAGGCGAAAGGGCCAGAGTCTTCGCCGCATTCTTTGCCGCCGTAGATGCCTGTGAAGATGTTGGAGTAGCCGCGGTCCATGTCGCTCAGGACGTATTCCCAGTCGGCCATAGTGATGGCGCTGGCTGAGGGGTTGCAGGGCGTGGAGCAGGACATTGAACGTTGGTGGTCGTAGCCCAAGGGTGCATTCATGCGGGGATCGGAGGGGAGGTCAAGAGGGGAGTGGCCTTTGTCGTTGAGGTAGTGAGCGGCGGGAAGGTGGTCGGGTACGTGGTCAGGCTGAGAGGGTAGGCTGGTCCAGCTAGGGGAGCGGAGGGTTTGGGCGGCGAGAGGGGGTGTGGCACCGGAGATGGTGTTGCGGCGAGAGGACTGGGGGGAGAGGTGGGTTGAAGGTTGCTGCTTATCGCGAAGGGAGCTGGACGTGAGACGCGACTTCAAGTTCTGCAAGGGTTTCTTGGGAGATTTGCATGGCTTTTGCGATGGTGCAACCATCTCCTGGAGGTGCTTGCCCGTGGCTGGGCGTATTCCGTCGTCCATGGGAACCAGGGCGTGTGTCAAGGTGCCGAACTCGAAAGCTGCCGCGCTTGATTCTGATTGGAGGTATTGCATGGTGGTTCCAAGCAGCTTCTGGGTCTCCTTGGCTAGTCTGCTATCAAGTTTGACATCAAGGATCTGCCAGAGTAGCCCAAGCCCGGAGATAGCGATCAGCTCCTTCATGTTGATACAAACAGAGAGGCACAAGCGCCGCTCATCAAGAAGTTCAAAGATCTGAATAATATGCTTTGCGGAATCTGAAAGCGCCAAGACAGACGAAGACCGAATGCTCTCGTCGGCGTAGCACACAGCTGGGCGATGGATCAAAGATCGGATAAAGTAGTACACGAGCGACTATACGAAAGGTCAATATTTGGTTCAAATGAGTAATGCATCATGATACGTACCAGGATCGGCGACCGGCTGCTTGTCACGTTAGTACTAGGCTTGTCCTTGCAGAACTCGAGGCGAAGATGGGCAGGCAGCGTGTGAAGCCACTCGTCCAGTTGCCCAGTCACCGAGCGCATCTTCGATACACACACATCGTAACTAGATTTAGAGGGGTACAGATCCTCCAAAGCCTTGTTCAGAATTCTCGCAGCTCCGAACAAAGCAATGGCACTAGAAATGCGTGTCGATTCGCCAGGCAGGGTCGGCAAAAACCCGGTCTCTGTGACGTTTTCATCGTCCACATCAACCGGATATTCAACCTCGATATGCTCTTCACGCATTAGGACTGGCAGACCTGTCAGTGCGGAGCAGAATCTGTCAAGCACGTATTGGCACCAGAAGACCTTTTTACGGGTCTCAGTCTCCAGTGGATTGGCCGAGTTTTCTTGCTTCTCGTGCATACCTAACTGGTGGCAAATATCCACAGCAAGAGCACGGTAGCGAAGCAAGGTGCGATAATCGCCTTTTGTCATGCAGTAGATTTGACCAAGAACAAAGCATTGGAGGCTGGCAACGGATGTTACACTAGAGAATGAATTAAGGGTAGCCGACCAGTTCTCTTCGAAGAAAGTCGGGTCCTGGTTGGTGCGGGACACAGAGGAGAGAGCAGCAATGCCGAAGATCAGGTTTAGCTGTGCCATGACATGCATATTGCGCTGAAGAGACTCGGGATTGTTAAGATACTGCTCGTAAGCTTTCAGAATAGTCGGACGATGTACCACGGGGTACAGCGGCGCCCATTCTTGGAAGAAAATGTTGATAAGCTGATCGGACACCAAGCGGGGTGGCGTCTTGACAGTGTCACTGAGAATACCTAGAACCACCGAGGGAGCCAGAGCAGTCAGAGCCCCGGTGGGGATCTTGGTTGCTGTTTTTGCGTCACTGACAAGCTTGTTGGTGAAGACATCTATATATGTAAGTTAGCTATCATTGTGCCACTCTTCAGAAGGTAATGTTTTAACATACCAGCAAGGCCCTGGGTGCTAGAAAATCCCGTAAAGGGATTCTGGGATTGTTGTGAAGCCCGGGTGGGCATTCTTTCCACGTGAATCACGCCTTCTGATGAATCTGAGCTGTTAGACTTCACTGTCGCAGAAGCCGAGGGGGACCGCACAGAGGCGGCTCGTTGTGACGGCGGCGAAAACGAATGTATCCGAGACAGAACGTCGATCTTCTCGTCCTTCTCATCCAGCAAATCCTTCAGTTCTTTGACTTCCCCCTCTAGACACCTGACTCGTTCCTCTAGCGACTCGGTATATCCACGTGGGAAAGCGCGGCGGCTTAATTTATCGCTAGTCCGGCATTCAAAGCCTACATTGGCGCATTGCGAGCAGCAGGGACGAACACCGTCGCAGCGTATTTTCTTGCTTCGGCACCGGTCGCAGGCTTGGGCGATTCGGCTTGTCGACCCGTTGCCGCCAACCTTGATCACTTTCATGGGTAAGATACCAGGCATGTTGTGCAGAAGGGGCACATAGGCCGCCGGGTGTGGTTCGTTGTATTTGAAAGTCGCCGAAGGTTATTCACAACACCCTTCGTAGTATATTTCGATATAGTTTGGCAGCAGAATGCGAGTCAAGAATCTCCAGCCGAAGACGTATGACGAGTATGGGAAAAGAGGTCTAAAAACATGGGGAGGGGGGAAAGAAAGATGTGGACACGCCAGTGCTGAGTCAGTTTAATAAGTGGAGACCAATGACTCGGTAACCTTCGTGGGACGCCAATAAGCACGGCGTTTATCGGTAACTTTGGTATTGAATCAGGATTCACTCTTGAACATTTCCAAGCTCCGATGTCGTTGCAATTTCTTGTCAAATTCTCTTTTAGGATATTGTGATGAGGCGATAGCCCATCAGCCACCAGCGGCTTGCCACTGATTCTTCTTGGCTTCTTCTTGCAATCTCGACATTCTTCAGATTTGACGATTAGATACCCCGGTCCCCCACACTCCACAATCCGCACCCCTTGGTTATCTATGGTCTACCTTCGATGAGGGAATGTAATGGGCAATAGAGCCTCTTCCCTGTATCAAGATCGACTTTTCATGACTGCTATTACATTGTACTAGTCGAGCACGGAGATCAAGACCGGTTGCGGTAACTGGGCAGTGAGCACGACCACTTCCCGGTTCTTCCTTTAACTGTAGCGTACATACTCCGTAGTCATGTCTTTATATGTAACTACCCCGTACATACCCCGTACATCGTAGGTCCATCGAGGTCAATAGCCCCGGTAATGATCATTAGTCCGATTATCGGCAACTAGTCACCCATGGTCGAAACCTGTCTCCCGTTCTCCCCGACCTTGGGAAAACATTGAAAACAAGTCCGTCATCCTTTGGATCACCCGACACGATCGCTAGTTCGCTACCGAACTAGCTAACTACTGTAGCTCTTGTAGGTATACGGGATACAACCTTAATCACGAAAGCCAACCTTGGCCCTGAAGTCATCTTGATATAATAAAACATTTAGGATTCAACTCTAAATCCACGAGAACCCAGAACTGCCAGAGTCTAACCCTCATTTGTGAAGTAAGATCGACCTCACTACAGTGGCGACCCCAGCCGTTCCCAGGGATCAGTGAACAGATCAACAACGCGGGGGAAGGATCGCTACCTAAAACCGGAGTTTTGGGATTTCAAGGTTGTGTCCCCTTGGCTGAAGCACACTGGCACACGTATCAAGTGAGTGATATTATTTATCGAGGTCTTGTAAGCACTGCCTAAAAAGATCACAATACGGTACATGTAACTTAACATTATTATGCTTCAATGAAAGCGGAAGTGGCGGTAATGAGAAATGGCCTGTTGCCGGTTCAGCGAGTTTCCCCCGAGAAATGAGCGAGGTTGAGCTCCATAAGGCCCAGATGTGTATTTTTGTGTGATATAATTGGGCCCCACAGGGTTCCGACAGGCTGGGTCGAAAGATCTACTTCTTACCCCACTTTCTCTCCGTCACTCATCCACGGTTGACAACGCCGTTTCTGGAAAATGATCGCAATACCTGGCAGTTAGATGATTCGTGTATGGGCTACATACGAGGTACACTCAACCTGATACTGTACTTCACTCCAGCTATGAACCAACCAGATTTTGCGGATTATCAGAATGTAAAGGATCCCTGCAAACACGCCTCCCCCGCATGAACTCCGCCGACCCTGCAGATCATGATATCTAACGAAGTTAACAGCCCCTTTTAGAAAGAAATATACGTCATAGCACTTCCATGTCTTTCGTCACAATTGAAGTTGAACTTTAGTATCGATGGTGTGGCGCTCACACATCGAATGATCCGTGAGCTACAATGGTTGTGTTTTGACGAAATTGACGTATCACGCATGGCTCTCGGTGCCTTAACGCTGTCTACGATATCTGCAGAATGTGTTCCTTCCAAGTCACTTCTGCTGCGAGATATATGGAATGAGTTCTCTAGCTTTTGTACTGGCCGCATTTCCACAGACTGGAACTAGTTGAGTATTGCCAGTGGACTCTTCGTGTTAAAGATCGGTGCCTTTAGCCTCTAGCTGACCTAGTGTTCCTTGCATGGTATCGTGGTGGTGGATAAGAGGCTGCAAATGTCGTAATGGCGTTTTTCGACCGTAGCATATAACATTATTGAGAATGATGAGAAAGGCAAAGATTGGATTCGAGACCTGTAAGCAGACCTCTTACTGGGCGTGGAGCTGGATCTAGAATTGAAGTTTGCTTGATTATCCCGGATGAGAACGCCATCTCTGGTCATTAGCTTTTTAGGCTGGCGCTCCGGCAGACCCAGCAAAACGATAGAAGTTCTGCAAATCTCCTCCATGCAGCTCAATCAAAAACTCGCAATTCTCGCATGGATCGGCAACTCTAGTCCAAAAATTGCCGCTGAGAGTATCTTCATACTGTGCTGCCCCCTCAGCGCTTTCTTGTGTAGAGCTAGGCCGTGAAAACTTTGATTGAAGTTGCGCTTCGTCGCTTCTTGTGGAGCAATGCCAGGTGTCGAAATGAACAAACCGAGCAAATCTGTCGGGCTCCAGTAGGGGATACCATCATGTTTGTGCTTTCTAAGCTTGAATTTAGAGATTCCCCGACAATGCTGGCTGTTCCATCTAGGGTTGAACTTCCGCAGGATATGATGAGGCGGGTTCAATCTCGTGTCTGGTGACCGATATTCTGTCCCAGCGGGTGCACCACGTTGTGACCAGCCAAGTCTTCTGTAAGAAAAAGTGCATTCAACTAAAAGAACAATTGCCTGTGCAAAGTCTAATTGGAGTCCGCCTCACGAAAAGTCTTCGGCTTCGTCCAGATCCCCTGTCTGTGCTTTAAAATACGCAGCCACCGTTTCAGAACCAAGCAACTCGGTTCTCTGCGTGTCATGATCAGCTAAACCAGATATCCCAAAGAGGAGAATGGCGTCTTGAGAGACAAGCCAACACATCATATCACTTACTTGTTTTATCAATCGTTCAACGGCCTTCTCGAGCAATTCGCCCTCCAAGGTTCGGAATTGGGTAATCGAGGTGAAGATCCCAGGTCGGAAGATGACGTCCATAGTCGCTTTGTCCTCTTGCAAGTTCGCAATAATGTCCTCCATCTCCTGGAACCGACAAAGCTGAGTCTCGAGTCGTTCAAGAAGGAGCACTGCAGCGCGAAGCTGAAAGACCTCCCATAACGGATCATTGGCGAGAAGTTCGCGGAGATGACCGGGTGATTTAATCTCCTCACCTTTCCAGGTGGTTTCCAACTCCCGGCCCCCGTCAGTAGTTTGCGCAATCCCAAAGTGAAGCCCGTCTTCCTCATTCACGCATGCTAGCCATGCAATTGCACTCTCCCACGTTACGTCCTCAGGGTCCACCCCCGCCGAGATTCGAAGGCTCGAGTTATTCTGACAGAATATTCTCTTTGCGGGACTGAGTGGGTCATCCTCCGGGATATCTAGGATGAGTGACATTTCCCGTACTTCGGTGCTACTGTCTAGGAAACCATAGGAGAACACCATCTCAGATGCGGGCTTTGCATCTCCGTACCTAACACGCCAGCCATCAGCTACCTCGTTACCACTCATATCCACCGAACGAGATATTCACTGCAACGAGTACTTACGAAATCGTAACCTCTTCCCCAGGCTGTAAAGACCTGCCCCACCGCAGCTGCAACACAGCATTCCCCTCGGCGTCTGCATCGTACAGGGCTTTGACCCCACCACCGGAGACATGATTGGCCATATCGACACAAGGCACCATTGCAAGGCCGCTGCCGGGTAGGTCAAGCATGCGCGACCGATACGCGGCATCCACATATTTCCAGTCGTCAATGGTCAGCGCACCTGTATTCTCACCCCACCAGCTCTGCTGGCACCACGCAATACCCTCCGTGGCCTTACGGATTTGTTCAAACTCCCGCTCAAGGGACGCGAACTTTGCATCCAGAGCTTCTGCGAGGGATGTACCCCGGAGCAGCTCTTGTTCTTCGGCGGTGTAGAAGGTAGGCAGAGGAAACGACGGAGGTAGGAATTTGACGTATTCAGACCAGGGATTGGAGATACCGATGTTCTCGTTCCTTGAGCGGAAATCGGGGCTGTTATGGGATAGTTGGACGAGTAGGAATATCAGGATAGCCCCTCTAGCTGTCTGTGTATATTAGTTGGATTCTCTTATTTCTGGGTGTATAGAGTGGGGGGCCATAGGAGAAGCATGGCTCAGACATACCCTGCCAAAGTCCCCAATTGCTTCCAACACATCGCGCAGGTACCGGTCGCTTTTGGCGTAATTGTGCACGTTCTCTAATGAGAGAACCAAGTCTGACGGAATTTGCAGGAGGATTTTCGGGGCTGCATCGTCTTCGCTGCTCGTGGTAGCTTCCGTCGCGATGATGGCACTGCCTTTGTCCGCACCATGTTCATCAGACCCAACCTTTTGAATCGCGATACTGTGTACGGTAATCCCGTTGAGCCGCTGCCAGGCTGGCAGGGACTCTATCGGGAGGTACTCGCGTTTCATACTTGGTTAATGATGATGATGATTGTTGGTGTTGTCCATATGAAATTGTTGCGCCGATGACGATCGCCGTCTTATCGATAAGCCTCGGCACTAAGCTCAAACCGGCTCTTTCCTCTTGTGCTTGGCTTGTATTGCAGCATACAGACGTCATAAGGCCGGAGTACAAATAACCAGAGCTGACCTCCCTTCTTTGGTGTCTCAGTATTTACAACAATCCAACAATCCAGAGTCATCATGCGCAATCACTTCATCTCTTCTACCACACCAATGCTTCGCAACATGTCTGTTTCTCGACCAGCTTGGCGGCTCGTCCAACCGCTACAGTCCGCTACACACCCTCTAGGTCTTCGCGCACAACGTGGAGTCCGCAATTACTCCGTCTTCACCAAGGATTGGAAGGGCAGTAACACGGAAGATCACATACGCAGTCGGTCCGATAAGGGCGACAATGAGGACGTACATGCAGAGGCATCTTCTTCCGCGACGAAAGAACGGGAGGAGAATGCGGGAGTTGGAGATGATTCTAAGTCCGGGGCAGTTACTGAGAGGGGCGGGTCCAAGTCAAGCAAGAAAGCTAAACAAGACCATCCCAAGGCACCAGAGCCTGTTGTAGGCATGAATGAAGAGCGAGGAAGGGTGAGTTCACATGCATGATGGGCGTCGGAGTTCGTGTTGCTGACTGTGTTCCAATCTTGCAGAAGGGAGACCAAGACTGATTGATTTGGGGGCTCTACGTCGTTGTTCCAGGCTCGTCATGTCACTGGATACACTGCAGATGTACGATAAAACGAAATTGGGGTAGTCAATCATGAACCACGTCTATTTTCATTTCGATGGAGCGGCTGTACATAAGCGAACTGGTCTACCGACCTACTTTGAATGATAGGATCTGCAAGGTTGATTAGTTCACCGTGTCCTGGTCTGGTAGCGAAGATACACTCACATCATGTTTCCCAACTGCCACGATATCATCCTCGGATACTCGTGTTCCGCCCACTCCTTCGATATAGCTGATAGGCACGTCACCCATCACCTTGCGGGCAACGTCACCGACTGTGCTGTTTCTGTATGATGTTAGAAGGGTTGTGCCGGTTTAGGGACAAACACTCACTTCTTAACCAAGACACAGTCACGGAATACGGCAGTTCCAGCGCCAGAGTTGAAAGTCGCCACGTTACGGACAGGGAAAATCGGTACAAGGCCCAGAAGCTCTGCAGCTCTGGAAAGACATTGTACCACACCTGTAGATCCGAATCGATATAGCACCATGTCCTTCAGGTTTTCAACGCGACTTTTCGAATGAATGTGGTTAGCAAGGTCACCGCGTTTCTAACAGCACTGAACATACGTTTTCAATTTTTCATCCATCTCTTTGAGGCCTCCTCCATCCGGGTCACCCATTTCAATCAAATCTTCTCGCGTATCAACGAACTCGCTGCCTTCAACGTAATTGATATAGCGCTGCTTGGCCAACCTTCGGAGGAAAACCTCAGATATAGCAGAGCAAAGCACAATGCTTCTGGGGTCTTGCATCTTCGCAATTTTGCTAATGTTCTAAAGCTTCTGTTAGCGCCGACGTGTTTACCTTTAGCCAAATCCACGTACCTTGTCTGCATCTGGGTGGTCGATCTTATTGAGGGCGAATACCGTCGGGAATTTCTCGTCGATGAAAGCATTGACAACGAGCTCTACCGTCTCATCTGACCAGTCCTCCAACGGCTCTTTGAGGGCAAGCTTATCCATAAATCGCGCAACAGTAGTCTGTGTACTTCCATAACCGGCAAATTGTTTCTGCAATGTGTCGATGGGGTTGGCCTCTGCGCTAGTAATCAGTTCTGTGCCATTTGTGAAAAGGTTTCAGAGGTGGACTCACTCAGTGCCTGGTGTCGTCTTTTGATAGACCCCCTGGGAATAGGTCAGCACCGTCCCTTGTCGGGACGTCGGTAATTGTAGACGTACCATCTCTCCATCAAGTTTCCTAGCACCCATCGCACGATTTCTGACCGCAACCACTCAATATCAACTGATGGATCATACCCCCGGGTAGCCTTTCCTGTAGATAGCCTCATCAACACCTAATACCAGCAACTGTCCTCAAATCAACACATTCGACGAACCTTCAGCATCCGTGGTCCCGCTCACATCTACGACGTGAATCAGAGCATCTGCATGACGCAGGTCATCCAAGAACTTATTACCCAGGCCGCGGCCCTGATGTGCGCCTGGTACAAGACCCGCGACATCTAGCAATTCAATAGGCACAGAGCGCCGTCCTTCGTGGCACCCTCCGTAATTCGGCTGGCACCGATCTGAGACATTGTGTCGTTGGCATGGGCACTCGATTTGGAGATATCCGATAGCTCGCTGGGGATCAATGGTTGTGAAGCTGTGCAATGTTAGTGAAATCGGCGCGATTGACTTCGATAAGGTGGAGATGCTCATGCAGAGCTATCGGAGCGCACATACGGGAAGTTTCCTATCCAAGGTGCAATTGATCAGCGTTTGGCTATAGAACATCATTTCAACTTGGTTGACCTACCAACTTTGGAGGTCGCATCCGTCAGACTGTTCAATGTGGTGGACTTTCCACTAGACGGCTGTATGCCCCTCACATCTGCGGTCAGTGGGGTGATGGAACGATGGAGGAGGGGCGACGGACCTTTCCCACCAGCCCGATTAACGGATCTCGAGGCATTTTCTGATATGTATGCCTCGAAAAGCAAGAGGCCTTGAGAACAACACAATACTAGAATCACCGAGTCTTTACAGGCCGGAAAGTTGACAGTCTTCGATAAGAAACATTTTCTGCCATACTAAAAGGGAAAGCGGTGTCAATGCCACTTGGAGGCCAACAACCGTCCTGACTCCCGGGCTCCTGGCTCTCGAACTCGCCTTATGGTTTACTACAACAAACGCAATGGAATGCTTATCACGTCTATGATAACGAAGCTCTCCTGGTACTCTTGCACTGAGAGTTGGCCCTGCGTAGCGTTAGCGATTATCTGGATCCTCATTGGAGTTGGCAGGTCCCATCCCAGATCCGCGATGATCTGGGATTGGACTTGCCAGCTCCCATGAGGGTCCAGAGATTCATCTCCGGGACGAAGAAGCCATTCCAGGCGGAGTGGGCGAAGGAGCGCAATCCGCCCACAAAGTTCGGGGACGTCGTTGCGCTGTTCGCTGCCTAGGAGCGTGGCCACACCATTGCGCGTCATCCCGAGGAGCCTGCACACGACCCAGACGCCATGGATATTGACTCCGGCACCGCCAATGCCCTCCAAGGTCGCCAGGGCTGGAAGGAGACGCGAACTTGTCACAACTGCGGCAAGAAGGGCACCTGGACCGCGCCTGCCGCAGCAAGAAGAAGAAGAAGCAGGACGAGACCTCCTCCGCCCCGGCCTCGAAAAACTAGTGCGATCGCACGACGTTGAGGCCCGCGTCGACCGTCTGCAATTGGCTTCCGAAGCTCCGCCCTTGGACGTGGAGGATCCTCTTGACCCCTCCCATCCCTCCAACGAACCAGCATGGGCCCGGCCAGAGTCACCAGAACCACAGCAGAGCACGGGCAGACCGCCGCACCTCTCTGCCGCCCTGAGCGTCATGGGTGATGCATTGGCGTTCTATCGAGGAATGGTCTACACTCCAGATCACTTCGTACGAGTCCGCATGCTTCTTGATAGCGGCGCCAGTGCGTGGATCCTCGACACGGAGTACGATCCCATTCTAGGTAGAAATTTCCTCCGTTAAGAGAACCCACGGATCGACTGGAGCTTGTCGGTCATGACCTTGACCGATCATGCCCATGGATCTTGTGTGGTCCATCCCACGAGCAACTCCCGCATGATCCTGGAAAGCAGCGCTGACATGGCGAAGGTGGTTGCCAGACCCATTCCAGAGTGAGCACGTCGGCCAGCAACACCAGACATTCGCTCCCTACTAGTCCCTACAGCCCTACCAGAACAGTGATGCTATTGTCCTTCAACATTGTAAGTCCCGCAAAGCCTCGTTGGCAAGTCATCTGCTACTCTATCTCGTACTCGGTGCAAAGTGTCTAGTGGTTCTGAAGCGACCATGTCATTCGAGTCACTTCATCGAACGTTGTCGATCGCGGTCGAAATATGCAGATAGGCGATGGAGAGATGCGTAATCCGTTGTCAAATAAACAATTGCATTTCTAATGAGATATGACATCGTACCTGTCAAGGTTCCATGTTAGAAACAACTGACTCCTCACCACGGAGATGTATGACATCTTGTCAAAGCAAACCATGAGGTTTCCAAGGTTGCCACCTTGTAAGGCCCAGCTATGACCTAAGTTCCCGCGCGTTTAGCTGTCGATCGACTCGATCATTTGTTGGAGACCTGGCGTCCATGGGAAGCGGAGACAAATTTCCAAGAGTCAGATTGATTTCAGTGGGGAGCCGATATGGCCCTAGATGCCATGACGTCATCGTAGGTAACGTCACATACTCTTGCCATCCACAGAGACAGAGAGGTATATATAAGTTCTTAATCGCCTGCTCATTTACTCCTTCAATTACTCCTTCAATTACTCCTCCATCAACCACATACCAACCACATATCAACCACATTCTCATCCACAACCAAATTCTCCACATATTCAAACACCATGTCTGAATCTACCTTCCACACCACCAAGCAGGACATCCGCAAGGCTGAGTCCAAGGTCGGCCAGGCTCACCATGGCAAAACACCTGCCAACTCCGATGTCTCCCAGATGAAGGTGAGTTTTCTACAACAGGCAACAACCTGGCAAGCAGACCATTAACATATCGCCTATAGTCCATTATCGACGAAAATACCAACAAGTCCGAGGAAATCCAGAAGGTCAAGGAAAACCTGCCTCTGCCTGAGCAACCTCCTGTCGCCAGTGATTGGAACTCCCTTGACCAGCGCGCCACTGCCGTCGGCTCTGGTCGCTTCGAACGCCCTCCTGATGACAGTGGCCTGCGCGAGAGCGCAACTGCCGGCAGCAGCGCCCGCATCGATGGCGAACAACTACACAAGAACACTGCTCCCAGTGACAAGCTGGGACGCCAGGGTGTCGAGGGACTCCAGCACCCTCCCGCTGATGCTACGACCCGTTAAATGTGTTTTACGATTTCCAAGGATTTCTTCATGTACAATAGCCTTTTTTTATCAAGTCATTATGAGCGACTGAGTGAATTTCAAAATGGATTTCATGAGACATGATCAATGCGTTTCTCATAGTATTTCGTATTATGTGTCGTACATACATACTTGCTATTTGTGATTTACCGGTCCGTGGGGAACCGTTGCATGATGATCCATAGCTGGTGTGATTCGAATCGAAGTGCAAAGTACGAGCACCAATCTCAGTTTCATTCACAGCACGACAAAAGTTCATATATTCCTTGAGTATTGGTTAATGAGTTTCTACTAATTTATATATATTTTCCTATGTTTTTTCCCATCAGCTTTTGACTCAGTAAACCCCTACACAGTACCGGGCCCTACGAAGTACTAGAAGGTCGGTGCGTGGGACGTGCAAATAAGAATATTTGCACTGTTTGCATGTCAAGGCCTAGACTTGACGTCAATCGCCTCACAGGTTTTTTGTAACATTGCCAGAATGGAGATGATCTCAGTCGAATGAATCCTGGAGCAAGTGGGGTCCGGGTTCCCCCTTTCGGTTGATCGGTTCTTTCGAGAAGCATGAATGCATCAGAGAGGAGTTTCGACTCCACTTGTTCCCTCGCCTCGATTTGTCCTGCCGCCATCGAAAGTTCCAGTTGACGTGATGCGACTGATGTGATTGAACTGTACAACATTTCTCCCTTGCAACGGCTGTCGACCAGCGTAAGTATGACATCAAATGCTTCTTCGACCTGCAATTGCTTTCTTATGGGAGCGCCAGGTACTCAGCTGCTATCCTATATAGAAGTGCCATCGCGACCGCGTAGACTCTTCATCAATCCATTCATCTCACATCCCAAAATCAATCTATTTAATCAGCCCCATCAACAATCTCGTACCCTATTCAACAACCTAACACCCAGCCAATATGGATCTCCAAGGCACTCCCATTCAGCCCGGCAGCCGCAGCACCAAGGTCACCACCGACCCTCGCCGCTACCAACAACCCCGAGAAGAGCCCTCTGGCCCCATCACCAACGACTCGCTTGCCGCCGAGTCCATCCGCCAAGGCGGTGGCTTCTCTAGCAACCGTGGCGCGCAGCCCATGGGCGCCTCTTCAGACAATTCCACAGTGAACAACACCGACACCTCCGCCTCAAAGAAGCTCGACCCCACCTCTGTTCGCGGTTACCGCGAGGACCGTCAAAAGGCAGACAAGTTCCCTGAGGAGGTAGTTGGCCAGGGCAACTTCCCTGGCACACACTCGGACACTTCTGGCTACGCCGGCGGCTCGACCGCCGCTAAGCAGCAAATGGGTCTCAAGGCTGGCGAGTATTCTTCCGCCGCCAGCGGCAGTGGACACAGCCAGAACAACGCTGGTCAGACTCAGTCCGCAGGTGGTTTCGAGGGTGGTGATGCGAAGAATGCTAGCTTCACCGAGGAGCTTGGCTCAAGTGAGGACCCTAGCCGGGAGGCTATCAACCAGATGCAGCGCCATAATGCTGGTACTGCCCATAACGCTGGTCGCTATGATCAGAAGGGCGTGAGTGCTGAGAGGACTGTCTATGATCACTTGGAGAGTGAGCAGCGCGCTTAAGCCTGACATGTATCTGATATGTGATCATCTGTGTCTTTTTCGCTTTTTCAAACCCGAAAGCGAGTGTTTGGAATTCGGCTTGGCCTTGAGCTGAAGCTATGATTATATATGAAATTACGAACTGCGTCTTATCTCTGTGTACAATAGCACATCAAAATTTGATATCTTGAACTTCCATGAACTTTGCCCGACGTCGCTGCAGTGTAACCTATGAATTCGCGTGCCTTGTCTTTGACTAAATACATCTTCCCACCCAGTATTAACAATAGCAATTAAAGCTTTGGGAACCCTAATCTATGTACAAGTTCCATGGAATGTGTGTTGGTATCAAATAATACGATAATCATCCTCATCAGACTCCAACGCCGAGTCCGACTCAGAATTCCTGGGCGAGGCATTCAAAACCTCATACCCATACCCAGTCACAGCCGGCCGACTGCACTCAGTAATAACTTTCAGCGGTATTCTCATTTTCTCATCACCCACATTCCGCTCCTCGCTATGCCTGTTGGAAGTCTGCATCCTCCGTCTCCAGAGATAGCTCCCCAATTCCAGGATCCCGACGGTGAAAATGGCAATCCAAACCACCACTAAAAGGATCATAACCATCGGAGATACCACGTTTTTTGATCTCATACTCGGCAAAGAGAAGCCGAATGCAGAGGAAGAGCTCGACTGGCCCGATGATGAAGAGGACAAAGAAGAAGCGGACACCAGGTCTTTGTACTTGGTATTCAAGTCATGTTTCATGTGAAGATATTGCAAGACTTCACTATAATGCTTCTGTCTCTGGATATCGAGTGCGTGGATCGCATTGATAGATTTCTCCTTGTCCTCGGAAGTGGAATGTCCATGCTCTTCCGTATGCTGGAGGGATTGGTGCATTTGCCCGGTGGTTCGTTCTGGGACCAGGATTGAAACGGTTGGTTTGCCCGATTCGGATACTCCCTTCACATAGCGGTTACTTGGTGGTTCTTGCTCTGTGGGTTCGTTGCTCTGGCTTTTTTGCCATATTGGGTTCTATATATACCTAGTTCAGTAGCTGGCTTATGATATAGGCTGTGCGAGGATATCACTGACCTGGTAGTATCTGACGTGTGGTGGGTCGGGCAATAGGTCGAATCCCTCTTTCTCGAAGACCTTCCAAGTCCCGCTCGCATTGGGGTCTGGGAATTGGGCTATCTTAACCCATCTGCTGGTCCGGATTGGCTGGGATGTTGCCAATTGGGTGACAGCCAAGACAAATGCAAGTACGAAGAGTGGAGGGCGGATAGTATGCATTGTCGAGGAGGTAGATATGCAAAGAGAGTTAATTGACTGAAATAGGGCCAGTATAGGCAGAATGAATGGAATTGCGTCGCAGAACCAGGGCGCTCATCTTCTTTAAATCATCTTCCGACAACAGCCTTGGTCGGCAGAGCTCGTAAGGAAGTCCGTTCTCAGCTGTGGCGCCTGACTTCAGATCCAGTGTTGAATTTAGTCCGATGCTTGAAGATCTCGGAGACCGGATTTAGCCAGGGCGCTATGCTGATTGGCCCGGGCTTGACATTTGTTGCGCTTTGGCATGCATTTTCATCCCTTGTTTGGACTTCGGCGTCGGGCCGTATAGACTGATCATATTTATGGCGCCGGAATGGGAACGTCATGTTAATAGTCTATTCTTTTATGCAAGGTCAACAGTGCTCAGGCCTGGCTTTTCTATACTAGTATTAGTACTCAATTACTGTGATGACCCCACCTACTCTCTGGAATTGTTCAGTTCGCGCTCTATCAGATATTGCGAGAGTTGGGACTTGAGAATGACTTTCTGGCCCAACCTAAAGACCACTGGCGAGTGGAGGCGGTCAAGGCCATGTTCATGAGCCACCGGCTGTTGTCTTGCTGGAGAGCATTGCACTGCTAGACTTTCGGAGACGGTGTATGCATACAACATACAGCCCCAGATCACAACGTGGTTCATGCAGCTTGCAGACAGGGGTTTGGGGTTACTTGATTATGACGAGTCTGATGAGGTTGGAGATATCTCATTGAAATTCTTGCCTTTTTCGTACACCATTGAAATAACGCCGAGTTGCAAAAAGAGCAAATAGAAAGATACCCATAGGCCGGACCCCAAACGACATGCACCGTCGGAACAGACGGTATCATAAACCTGTACAACCAGAGAACCCACTCGCAGTGAACAGCGTGGGAAGAGCATAAAACAAAAGGTTAAAGAGACGAGTCGAGAACATTTTTAGACAGTCAGCTTCTTGAGCTCTTTCTGGGTCAAGCCAGCAAGCTCCTCGAACACCTTGGTGAACTCCGCATCATCCTCCTTCTTGCCCTTGGCGGCCTTGGGGGTAACCATGACAACACTGGTGGGACGCTTGGTGGCAGCGGAGGCACCGAGCTCAGCGCGGGAGGTAACAAAGACGTAGGGGATACCGTGGTCCTCGCACAGGACGGGAATGTGGGAGATGACATCCATGGGGGAGATATCGGCGGCGAGAACGACGACACCGCTGGGAACGCCGATGGCAGCGTTGGCGGCGGGGATGGGGGACTTGCGGAGAGCCTTGACGACTTCCTTGACACCACGCTTGAGAGTCTTGTTGACAGCGGCTAGAGATATCAAAGTCAGCACGGATGATCTGAAGATAAGAAAAAAAGTTGCACATCATTGCGATTAGTCGGCACCGAGATTCGACGAGACCTATCAAGTGCACTAATCGCAACATATGCATGGAGAAAGCAAGAGATAAAACACATACCCTTCTTAACGCTCTTCAGGACCTTCTTGGCCTGCTTGTCCTCGACCAATGGGTTGGCGAAGGGCACGAGGGCACCGACGGGGCGCTCAACAGTGGCATCGGCATCAGCCTCGCCCTTGACGACAGGGCTGGTCTGTTCAAGACCCTCCATGGCCTCAGATCCGATCTCCTTCTCTACTGCCTCGACGAGAGCAGTCTTGTCTTTCTTTTCCTTCTTCTCCTTCTTCACCTTGTGCACACCATCCTTCTCCGCACGCTTCTCCTTCTTCTCAGCGCGGTCCTTCTTCTCGACCTTGTCCTTGCCCATTGTAGCGGTTGTGGGGTATAAAGCGGAAGAAATTGAGTAAAATCGAACGAAAGACCGAGGTGGAAGGAGACGAGTCGCAGGTGAAGGTCGTGGACTGAGAATTCGATGCCGAAATCGAAATAATTTTTAACATGGCACTAATCCCTTTTGGGCGTACTTCGCTGCTGACATAATCCCAAACAAGGCCCGCGTCCGTTTAACTATCTTCCCTTCAAGACAGCTCTGGAACAAGTTGTGCAGTGCTTCGTGCCTCATGCCCCATTAGACACGAATTTTCGTGGGGCTTACTATAGCCTGGTTCTAACCGTGAGCTTCAATGGGACTCCATACTCTTCTTGAGTGACAACTGACACCCCGGCCTCTCGATCAGATGGACAATAGCCACAATAACCGACCGGCTTCCCAGCTTATTGCGGGATTCGGTTCACCCTCGACCCCTGCCGGCGCACGAAGTACCATGCGCCGATCCGGTGCTATGCGACAGTCTGGCCGTTTAATGCAGTCGCAGTTTCAGTCTCATATACCCGTTCATGGTGAGACGATCCCCTTCTCAGACCGACACAAGAAACCTGGGACAAAAAGCTGACGGCTTCGTTCAGATGCGGAAAAGGAGGAGCTACGCGTACAACTAAGTACTCTCAAATACGAGCTGGATAACATCAAGCAAGAGCGGGAGTTGGAGGCTCTTCGTCACGAGAAAGAGACTCGCGATCTGCAATCAAAGGCAGATGCCGACTTTCGAAAGGCGCAGGTGAGATGCCACAAATAATCAGCTTCACTAAATCCGAACTGACGGTTGCTTTGCTGCAGACTGCCGAATCGGCGAGCAATCGGGCCACCCATAAAAGCGATGCACTCGCGAAGGAACTGAAAGAAACCCAAGATCAAGCTCTGAATGAGAAGCTTGCTTTTGAACGCAAGATTAGAGGTCTTCAAGATGAGAACCAGAATTTGCAGGAAGAATTCAACGACACGCAGGCTCAGCTTTCCGACCAAGAACGACAATTCAAATACCAAATCAACGAGCTGGAGACTGTCCGCGCCTCTTTACAAAAGACCATCGAAGAACTCCACGCCGATCTGCAAACTGCCAGGACATCGCAGGAGTCAACGCAGGAGAAATTGTCACAACGTGAAACTGAGGTAGCCGAACTTGAAGCGGAGAACATTCGACTGAAAGCCGAAGGGAACGACGCCGAAGCTTTGGCTGTCCTTAAGAGGGAACTTTCTGAACAGGTGAATCATATTCGGGACTTGGAGACAGCGAACCGTGATCAAACGACGGAACTGCGTCACCTTCGCAAAATCTCGAAGAATGTCGAAGTTATCGAAGAACAAAAGAGATCGTTGGAGAATCAGCTCCAGTTGATGAAAGGGTTCGAAGCAGAACTCGGCACAGTTCAGATTCAAAAGCAAATCTTGGAAGATGAGCGACAATCTTGGACTAGTCTTTTGCAGGAGAATGAGCAATCCGCCGAATTTGACTCCCCAGAAGCCGTGGTGAGAGCGCTGGTCCAAGCACGAATTGAGATCGCCACACTTCTGGACCGTCTTGGCACTGCTGAGGCACAATTCCTCGAGAAGGATGAAGCTGTCAAGAATCTTGAAAATGACAAAATCAACTTGCGTCAGGAATTGGAAAAACTTCGAGTCGCAGCCACCGCGTCCACAGGAGGAGCGGGTGGCGCGGATTTCCGACTTCGAGCTCGCCTTGAGCGTCAACGTGCGCTCGCAGTGAAAGAAGTTGAATACCTGCGTGCGCAGCTAAAGACATTTGATGCAGAAGAGGCCACCATGAACGGAGATCAGACACAGTTCGACGAGCAAAAGGCCGAACAAATCAGTCATCTTGAAAAGCTCGTCGACGAATACCGCTCTGAGCTTCACAAGGTGCATGAGGAGCTCTCTAAGCAGGAGGCGCCTAAAGAAAACGAAGCCGAAACAAGGGGCGTCAAACGACCTCTATCTCCCGCCAGTAGCGAGGCTGAAACCGAGCGCCTCGCTGTCCTCACCCGCAAGAACCGCAAGCTCCAAGAGCATCTGACCAAGTCAGAACAGGCGACCACACTCGCTCGCCGGGAACTCGAGGCAGCTAAGTCACAGATCAAGTCTCTGAAGGCCAAGTCCCGGACACGCGTCCTTGAACTACGCGATAATCCGACCGCCCAGACCGAGAAGATCAAAATGACTACTCTCGCCACTCTCCAGGCTGCAAACAAAGACCTTCTTGCACAGCTCCGCGGTGGCCACACCGATGTCAAGGTCGTCCCAGTCAGCACACTGGAAAGCATCAAGTTGGAGATGCAAGACATGGAGCGGACCGTCGCCGACAAAGAGAAACGTATGCGCCGCCTAAAGGAAATCTGGACAGCCAAGTCATCCGAGTTCCGGGAAGCCGTCGCCTCTCTCCTCGGCTTCAAGCTTGATTTCTTGCCAAATGGTAGAGTGCGCGTCACTTCCATGTTCCATCTCTCGGCGGCATACCGGCACGGCGATAGCGATGCGCCTTCTGACTCTGGGCCTGGCAGCATGGGCAATGGGGAAGAGAACTCGATTGTTTTCGATGGTGAGAATGGTACCATGAAGGTCTCGGGTGGACCGAATAGTTTGTTCGCGATGGAACTCAAACCTCTTATCAAGTTTTGGGTCGAGGAGAGGAAGGATATCCCTTGTTTCCTGGCTGCCATGACTTTGGACTTCTATGATAAGACTACCCGTGCAGCTCGGATGTGATACGTTTGGATGAATATCATATCTGTTTCAAGGCCTTTCGATCTTTTGCCTATTCCATGTCTTTACTGTGATTCCCCGGCACATGTTGATCTGTGCTATGTTGTATTCAATGTTACTTTCAACGATCATCCTGTTCTTTTATGTTATGCATGCCATACATACATCCCTCTTTTCTCTGTTTGAAGATTGTAAGATAAAACAACCGAATTCCGTTTCATTAAATATCCCCCAAACAATAAAAATTCAAACCCTCTAGAACGATTGACACGGGGCTGGCGAAGGTACAGACTCGAGTAAATGCCTAAGTACACACAGTATCAACAACAACAGACAAGCACAGAATCGCTATTTGCAAGGAGACTCGGAACAGGCGACGAGCGGAACAAGAAATTGAAAATAGCCGAAGGAAAAGTAACCGAGGACATCATCCACAGCGTTGGATGCACCCGTCGGTGGGGGGGGGGGGGGCGCTGCCTGCTACCGCTAGGGATGTGCATGCAGAACAATAATGCAGGGGAAATGAAGAATCGCACAGAGCAAGCGCCTAGTCCCGATGAGTTATATACAATCAGGAGCAAGCAGCTCGATCCCACATTGCGCCAGACATGATTTAGGAAGCGACGTACTTCCCACCGACCAGCTTGCGTGCAGTCGGGACACCCAGCCACGCAGCCGAAGACTGAGATTCACGGCCGTCGTCGGCGAATGGATCGACTTCCGGCTGCTCTGCCTCAGATGCTGCGCGGGTGATGCCGAGCCGAGAAGTGGAGTCGGTCGTGTGAAGCTCGAACTTTGCTTCGACGGTGCCCTTGCGAGGTCCCGGGGTGGAAGTCACGAAGCGAACGAGGAACTTGCCCTCTGCGCCTGGGGTGGTGGCAGTCTTGACTTCCAGCTCCGGGATCCGCCATGTGACGGTGGAGGTCTTGCGACGGAAGGTGGCGCCGGTGTTGGGGTACATAGCGGCGCTGGTGGCGTGGGCGACTGACTCGCGTGGCTGCTTGGTGGTCTGATCTTCGGCGGCGGTGTCCAGGTTGATGGTTAGAACGAGGTTCTTGAGGGTAATTGGCTCCGCTGAGGCGGAGATGAAGGATGGGTTGGGCGTATAGTAAATGATGGCGCTGGCCTGGAGTTCTTCTAGGTTCCAGACTGGCTTGAAGATTACGGGGCAGTAGGCGGAGGGGTTGGCTGGGTCGACGTGCACTTGGTATTTGAATGCGACTGTTGGCATGGGGCGAGAGATGCTGCCCAGGCGGATATCGTATTCGCCTCGTTTCTCATCGCCGGCATCTTTGGCAACCTCCTGGACGAAATGGGGATTGGCTGCGACCTTCTCTAGCACCTGGAAGTTATCGAGGCGGATGCGTGTTTGATCTACCGCAGAGCCGGGCGCGGCGTTGTTTGCCAGAGCAAGCTCGCCCACAACGAAGGACTTGGTAACATTGCCCTCGGAGAACCATGCATTGACTGTCTCAATGATCGACGCGTTCAGGCCCGGCTCATATAGATCAGGATGGATTGTAGCTCCGGCGCCATGAACGGTGTGTCCGGAGCGAACGGACGTAGTATCAGAAACCGTATGGTCATCATTAGCAAGACTGGGGGTGACGCTGGGTGAGGCCATATGCCTCATTGGAGAGGTTGGCGGCTGTGATCCCGATCCGGCCGAGGATGGTGGCAACTCATTGGTAGGCGAGGCAACAAAGATGGTATTACGAACGTCACGGCGCCCACGAATGGTCCCTGCGTTGCGTCTCATGCCTGTCTGCTGAGCCCGCTGCATATAATTGGTCAGTTAGCGCAATCGATCCTTGCGAACCGGCGAGGAATTGTTACTAACCATTCGGAGAGTATTTGCCATGTCATCCATGGCCTGCTTCGCCTGGCTCTCATCCTCAAAGATGGGTTGGTCGCGAATTGTGAGATTCAGACCAGACTCATCTAGGCTGTGGTGATACAGTTAGAATGCGGTCGACACTACGAACCAAAGCCCACTTACCCAGCTGCTTCATTCTGCGCACGCGTGATCTCATCAATGGTAGAAGGACGCTCGCTGAAACCTTCCGAATCGACATGTGGCTGAAAAGTGATCAGTCAATATTTGCTGCACACACTGTAACTGTAAATTGGCTGGTCTGTGGCTTACCTGGTTGACATTATTGTTGGCCAACCCAGCCTGAGCGTCTGCTGTAGTTCCATTCGAGATGCTCTCTGAGCGCACCTCGGGGATAGTGGTAGCAGTCAACGATCCGGTCCGATCTTGAGACACACTAGGGTTTCGCAATGACGATTGATCCGTAAAGGATGTGTCGGGACGGTCAGAGAGGGTTTGAGGTGGAGATTCGGGTATTTGCATATCGCGAGAATCAGCTCGCTTGAATGCAGAGAAGGGACTACGCTTCTTCTCTGCCTTTCTGTCGAAGGATCCAGAGGGCACAACAACGCTCTTTCTCCTGTTCATGACGGTGCCGAGACGTCTCAAACCCCCTAGAGGAGTGTGCCGTGGCTGTGCTTCAGGTACTGGAAAAATCGTGAGCAATTGGAACTGTACCTAGAACGACTTCAAAGCCCGGCCGAAAAACTTACCTGGCGGAGTCTGAGCGACAGGCCTTTCAGACGCCCCTGATCGCTGGCTTGCGGCATCATCTTGAATGTGTGGAGTGGACGGAAGCGGTGCTTCTGCCGGTGGCGTGAAGTGTTGGGACTCAAATGGGGCAGTCTGTGTGCGCTGGGGTCCCTGTTCATGTGCAATGGGCGTCTCCGCCCGTTCAGTCTGTCGTCTGGAGATGGGTGCACTAGGGACCCGTGTGCCAACCATTTTGGCTGCAAAAGTCTTTATCTCATCTTCTGTTTGAACATTCAGGAGGACGTTCAGGCAGCTTTCAGCGGCCTCGCGGGCACGCTCAACTTGATCCACTTCATGGGTCTCCAACTGCGTTAGCACGTCCCGAAGGTGGTTGAGTCGACTCTCGTCTGCGGCCTGGAGTTGCTCAAAAACGAACGGGGCCCGCGAGTCCCATTGCTGATGAACTTCCTCGGCATTGGCAATCTCGACGGCAAGCTTGTCTGCACCCTTGACACCCTTGGCCCTAGCTTTGTCAACCTTCTTTTGCGCATTCTCCACATTCTTTGCCAACCCCGCCAGACTGGTTTGGATGCCAGGCATCGACTGCATGTCGCGATTCTCCTTGCTGAACTCCCTTAGAGGTCGTTCGACATCCTCCTCGATTTTGGTCGCCAGGGTCTCGTGCGACACGGCGAGCGATTCGGTGGCGTTGATGATGCGTTGCCAGGGGATTTGGAAAATACTAGTTCCGTAGGTCAGAGACTCTGTTGGGTGCAAGGCACCTTCAATAATTCCAGGGAAGTCTGATTTACCCAAGAGCAGCTCCATTGTCCTGCTGTGGCCTATGCGCCAGCTTCCGCAATCCTTGGGCATAAGCTTCTTCGACGCGGCGTCGTTCCTATCGCCAATCTGTCAATACCAAAATCGCTTCCCCGCACCAGATACCATTTCAGGAACCAGATCGGATCGGGCCTCGGATTGCCATACCTGCAAGTAATCCGCGATATCCGCATTGACTTTGTTAATGAGTCTTATGCGGTCGGCGAGGACGGTTGCAGCTTGGCTGGGATTAAGTGTAGCCTGAACAGAGCAAATAACACCAATGGTAAGCTTAGAACCACCATAATGGTTGACCTTAGGGTTTGCGCTGCTCAATCTTACCAACAACGTTGGGTACTCTTGTCGTGAGAGCTCCATGGTTCAGACTCCGGGGTATGGCAAGATGGCGCACGAAGCGCATAACATGAGAAAGGGAAACCAAGATATCCCTGCAGTCCTTGAAGTGAGAAACCCAATGAGGTCAGGGAATTGAATGCGGGATCGGGACCGAAGTGTCAGTGTCAGTTGGTAGCGTGTCATTCCATGTTGGCCGAGGACGACCATAGGGATGGAATGACGGAGGATGTTCTGGTATTACAATACTTGGCAGTATTTAGTCAGTCACCCCACCTATGCATCTGTTTTCGATGTTACAATACTGTAACTGGCAAACTGCCCCCTTATGGATCACATGACATCATCCCGCCCGTTGGAAGTTAATGCCTTGATGCCTTAGTGCCTTAAATGTAGTTCGTCCACCGAACATCCACCCAATCCAAAACGCGTCCATGGAATTACACTCAAACAAATGAATTCAACCACCTACTATGCCACCAATTCGCGTCCGCGGGCTCTAGAAACCCAGCAGAGCAAGAGGGTAGAATCTTACTAGCAATCCAGGCTATCAAGAACAAGGAAATCGCACCAATGCGTGCCGTTTTGATAGACCGCGTTCAACTCTACGCATAAATTATGCTTACAGGTTAGGAGGTCTGTGTGGTGCATAGTGATGTCTGCGATGATTACTGCGTCAGTAAATGACACGTGTAACTCGTATATGGTCTATGTAAGTTCGACATATCACTTATTGGGCACTCGTCGATTCACTCCAGCCACCAGGGGTGAATAATAGACAGATCCATATTATCATCTTACTTCGCCGTTTCACGATGTAGCCATTCAATTTCCAACCATGGCAATTTGGCATTGCGATTTTGATGGCTGCGTTAAACCTTCCGTTCGTACATATGGGGACTGCGTCCTTTGCGGTCTCCATCTTTGCGTGAAACACCTGCGGCCAGAGTATCATGCATGCCCAACTTGGGAGGTTTGTCAATCAAATCCTACCAATTGAAACAGCTACTGACTTCTTCGGTCTGAACAGGATGAGCATCATTACCACCCTGCTGCTCAAGAGGCTGAAAAGCAAGAAATCACGACTCTTATTGGAAAGATAGACATATTAGCGCTCACCCAACGCGCTAGCAGTCTCCGAAACGGTCTCGCGTGCTCCGTGGCCCAAGATCTACAATATGATAGAACATTGCGCAGCTCGATTATGGGAGGCATGAATTATCACATCGAGATTTTATTCGAGGATGGAATCAGCTGGCTCGCACGCATTCGAAGATTCAACGCAACTTCTCCACCCCCGGAGCTGCGGGATTACATACTGGGCAGTGAAGTCTCAGCCTTGCAATTCTTACGCAAGACGAAAGTTCCTGTTCCTACGGTTTATGACTTCAATCCAGACGAATCAAACCCTGTCGGTGTTGGTTATATTCTTATGGAGAAGTTGCCTGGGAAACCCTTGCGCTGGTCTCTTACTACCCCACAGCAGAGGCGAAGAGTGACTAGCCAACTTGCAGACATCTATATTGAATTGAAAAGGTTTCCCTTCTCGGTGATGGGCTCTTTCAATCAGCAAAGCTCTTCACATATTGGCCCCATTGCACGAGAGTCTCTGGCTGACTTTCAAGACATGCATATGAGAATGCTTGGGCCTTACTCGTCTTCAGAAGAATATCTCAACGCGCACATTCGATTGATACTGGATTTGATATTACGACAAGAATCCTACGTCAACCGCCCAGTTGATGCTTTCCTGATACACCGTTTCCTTCTAGAAACTGTACCCAAAATTACTTCAAGAGATGATCCCGACGATGGGATGTTTTACTTGAAACACGCGGACGAAAAGGGTGACCATATCCTTGTTGACAACGACTTCAACATAACGGGCATTATTGATTGGGAATGGGCGCAGACAGACTCGAAAGCAGCAGCTTTCAACTCGCCCATTGTGCTTCTTCCGGTTGGCGATTTCTACGAAGGGGCTGATCATATCGGTGAAGACGAGGTTTTTTTCGCCGAGTGCTTGGAAGAGAAAGGACATCCAGATCTTGGGGAGATAGTCCGGAATGGGCGGCTTCTTCATCGATTCCAATTTTGTTGCGGATATGACCTTGATGATTGGGATGGATTCATTGGGCTCTTTTTCGGGCTACTCAAGACATTGGGCTTCGAAGGGAATCCAAACTGGGAAACCTGGAAGGCGGTGTCCTTAGAACGCTATAGAGAGGATAATCAGCTGAAGCAACTCCTCAATCTGTGCGAAGCCGAATGAAAGCGGACATACTGCAACAATCTGCGGTAGAATTTAGAAATCTGATTTGATCATACAGTTCGACCATCCCTATACAGGAAATACAGACTCTTCATATGTAGTACATCACTGCTCACTGTTTGGTACTCATAATATGCGTGCCATCTTATCTTAAACATAGGCTTACGGTTACCAAGACAGATCTCAGCAGGGAAACAAGTCTCCTACGGACCACGGTCCTGCCTACACAATAACTCTTTGTATCACGTGACTTTAATGACAGCGGGGAGAGCCGCGGAGAGGAGTGCATTGATTGGCCGAACCTGAGAGGGATCGCCGACCCATATTTTCTTCGCCAATATTAATTCATAGTCGTGGGCTCGTGGCTTCCGACCGGTCTTCTGTCCACCCTCTCCGCCTTCCCCACGACTATTGCAGCTCGGGCACCAAAAAGTTTTATCTGCTTGCACATATGCTTCTATTTTCACCATTTTCTCAAGAATGACAGCTCTTTCGCCTGAACAACTCAATGCCTGCAGCTATGCTATCATCAGTCTCAGCGTTATGTGTCTTGTTACTCTCATCAACCATGTCGTCTTAAGCCCACCCCTGAATCCACCACTATATACTACGCCCCAGCAGGCAACCGACGCTATGGTCGGACGTAACCTTAGTTGCACTGCCTTACTTATCATTTGGGCTATTGGTTTGCTTCAATGGAGCGAAAATCTTGCTATGTTTTCAATTCATACAAGAAACCAGTCCCTCATTTTCGGGCTTGTTGCGGGAAATATCTCCTTGACCTACTTGCTTTTAACCCAGTCGCATGCGCCAGCGCAGGCTTATTTCAACTACACCTTGTGGCCAGCCCATTTGGGGCTCACCCTTGGGGCTTTCTTTTAGTTCAGCACTGTTTCGTGTTAGACCTGAATGATATGGGCCTACCATCAACCATTCTAGCTTGGTAAGAGGTGATTCCCAGCCTGGTACTTGCTAAATACTTATGTCATGAAAACTAGCATTAGCATCTGTCGCACTTCCTGTGTATATGCGAACAGAATATCCAAGCATCACAACACGACTACCAAATCCTGGATCTTGCATTGGAAATGGTATACGAACATCACCGGGAATCACTCTTAGATAGATTGAAAGGTCTCTTGCCTCCATCCGATGGAGAGAGGAGGCATGTTTGTCTTGCAGGTCTAAGATACCCTTTGTAAGATTAAGTATGAAATTCCGCATACTTGACTTACCCTAACTGACTAGGCATACTCAACTCATTCTAGGGATGAAGAAATCTCCTCTTTTGATCTTACTTCTCCTGATGTCAAATCAGAACAAAGAGCATTCCAAGGTGGAGTTAAACGGTTGTGAACCTGGAGTATCCTTTTTGAACAATTGTTTTTTACAGCATGCTTTCCAAAGAACTCCCGTAATTATCAATGGGGTGAAACAGACAATATAGCCCTGGGGATTATAGTTTGACAGTGCTTAGGGGGCATCATTTGAGCGATATGCTGCAACCAGCAGGGTCTTGATCTTAAATTGAATGCTGTAAAAACTATAAATTATATTCTTAAACAAGCGTCATATCAGGTATATGCATCTCTAGCCAAAGTCAAACCTCGGATCTCTAATTCGCTTTCCACAGCAAGTTGACCTGCTTCTTCCGGGTTTAAGAATTTTATTGTTAGCATCGACGATGTAAAGGAAGAAAGATGAATGACTCACCATGGGGGCTAGGAAAGCCACACCGATTGCCAACGCTACCACTGCAAGAATGAGCTGCAATTTGGAAAAGCTCTTGCCAAGAACATCAAAGGCTTGGCTAGGGGTGGCTCTTGTACCGAAAATATCGCCACCGAATGCAAAGATGAGGTTGGTACTCTCAAGAAGAGTGGGCTCGGAGAGTACTGTCTTGATATCTGAAACATCACGAGCATGAGTGATGAACCACTTGCCATCAAACTCGAGCAGTGGGGCATAACGGAAAAGACCTTCCTCTGCCTCGGAAGCGGTTGGGTCTCGGTCGACGGGGCGGCGGGGGTCTAAAACAGGCCGAGGAATGCCAACGATGGAGCTCGACTCTGGCAGAGTGCAAAGGAGCTGGCGGGTAGTAATTCCCTGGCGAGTCTGGGTGACAGCCATGTGGGAGATAGGCTCAGGGATGATGAAGGCTTGGGAGATAACGTGAGGAAGCGGGGGGCTGGCATCACTAGCACCATTGAGACTGGAGAAGTCTGCAGCGTAATCCAAAGGACCGCGGTCGTTGGGGATAGATGACTCGTAAAGCTCCGAGATCACAAGTTGGTAACCCTTGGCAGAAGTCTCGTCGGTAACATCGCCGAAGAAGGAGTAAACAAACCAGTTCTCAGACATCACAGATGCGATGGGCTGTGTTGTGTCCACACCTTTCTGGGTCGCTGAATAGAGAACCTTTCTGGAAACACCGTCCAAGAGGTAGAAACCAGCAGTGTGGTCTTTGTCGTTCACAGCAGTCACCAGTTCAATATTGGAGCGCTAGCTAGCGACTGAAGTATGCGCGCTCACCAATGACTGTTCTTCAATCTTGGCTATAACCTCCCTCCCAGGGCCCTGTACCAGCAACGTGGCAGATATTCGATCAGAAGGGATGGACAAGGATTCTGCGATAGACTGATCATTTCTGCAAGCCGCGGTGTAGATATCCTTAATGGAGGACGGTATTTCTATGGATTCAACGAAGCTGTCGTCTGAATCTTGCGTAGCCATAGGGAATTTGTTCGAGTTGCCTGCCGTTATGGGTGAGGCCAGGGAGCCGAGAAGTTCTAAAAGGGTGTTTTCACTGCGTCAGTATAATTGAAGCTACCAGACATCGTCACTTACACAAAAAGCGATTTCTTGTTGCGGCCCAGTGTCCGAATAGATTGTTCTAAGTTATGTTCCCGTGCATCAATGCTCAGAGGGCCCGGAGAAGGCATCGCGTGTACTGTTGACCTGTCTCGCAAGAGCTTGTCTGCCATGATGGGAAACCAGAACTGCCACGCCGAGATCACTTTCGATGATAATGTCAAGTGGCTCGCGCGTTTTCGCCTCCCAAGAACCTCATCACCGCCGAGGGAAGTCCGTGATTGGATACTTCGAAGTGAAGCTGCCACCATGACTTACCTTCAACGGTGCACTTCCATTCCCACGCCCAATATTTATGATTGGGCATGCGAATCTGATCCAGAAAACCCGCTTGGAGTTGACTACATTCTGATGGAAAAGCTGGACGGAAAGCCTCTGGATTGGCAGGCGGCGACACCTCAGCAGAAAGCGAAGATCATGAAGCAGTTGGTTGATATTTCCCTCGAACTTGATAAGCATCCTTTCGAAGCAATAGGATCACTCGTCTCCTCGGCGGGAGATGTTATGAACATTCGATGTCTCGCAGATCAATCGACATTCCGGGTAGGAAAGGGGCCACTCGGTCCATTCTCTTCCTCGCTCGAGGGCTTTCAGGCTATGCTCGAGTCCTACCTCACAATGATAGCTAGCGGCGAGATTGACCCCTGCTATCCAGTGGACACCTACCTCGCCCATCGATTTCGCCAGGATATTGTAGGCGCTCTCTTTAAAGACGCCCCACTAGGCGAGCAATTCTTTCTCAAGCACCCGGACGATAAGGGTGACCATATTCTGGTTAACGACTGTTTCGATATTGTGGGTACCATAGACTGGGAATGGACGCAGACTGTCTCCAAGGCGGAGGCATTCAGTTCCCCGTGTATGATGTGGCCGGTGGCTGAGTTCTACAACGGCTCTAATGAGCTCTCCGCTGATGAATTGCAACTAGCTGCCATCTTTCGCGAAAAGGGCCGTGAAGATCTTGCCGTCTGCGTCGTCGAGGGCAGGAAGGTTCAGAGATTTCTCTTCGCTCTTGGGCTTGAGAGCTCTTTTCTAGATATGCAGACACTTCCACATCTCTTCGCAGGACTTCAGCGGGCCTTCAACTTTGAAGACGAGGAGTGGGAGGCATGGAAGAGCAAGGCTCTCGAGAAATGGAAAGATGATGACTTACTCCTTGGCTTGTTAGAACTAGAATTAAATGAGGAGGTGAAAGGGCTTTAAACATGATTAATTTGGCGAATCCCATAGAATCGAAATAAAAGCTTCCGAATGGGATTGAGTCGGGAAAGCAACTGATTGGTTAGTTGTTAGTTAAGTGCTAATTCACGGGCGCGTTTTGGGCGGGGTGCGCAGCTCGCTTACCGTTAGTTAACTAGCACGCTATGACAGAATAGGTCTCTCACACTTGTATCTACTACTATGCATCCGCTCTTTGCTATGAGACATATTCAAACCATATAGACGGCTTATACTTCCTACCCATCTTGCCCATCATGTCCTGGAAGGACGATTTCGGATTCACAGACCGCCTGCGAGTCATACAGTCCCTGTGAGTGACTGTTTCGTCTGCATATTTACTGGACCTTGACTCATTCGCTCACAGTACAACAGCGTACCAGAAAACCTCCTCGACACCTACCAGCGCTTTTGCTGATGCAATGGTCAAGGCGAAGCAAATCGAAACTCAAGCGTACAACCAGGCAACCACAAGAGTGGGTTATGCGCCTTCCAAGCATGAATGTCAACACCTTTCCGACTAACATTATCCCTTCCAGGATGTCTATGATTTAATCTGCCAGCAGGCAATTGATGAAGCTGAAGCAGCGGGGTCTGCTGAGCCAGTCCCTGGCAGCCTGGAGCACGCCGAGGATGACTTCAATGAGCCAGAGAACTCGATCGGGGAAGTAATTGGGCAATATGCATCTTGCCACCGCCACTATAGTGGTCTTCACTCTATTATTTACAGATCAAAATTGCCTGATGGAACCATCGGAGCATTGAAAGTGACTATTCCCCATATGATGGCAGCTCCGCATGATGTCCACCGCGAGGTGCGGCTGCTGCGTGAAGCCTCTCATGCGCACATCATTCCCCTGATTGAGACATTCAACCTGGTCGGTGGCAGGTTTGTCCTGGTGTTCCCTTTCGTACGTTATGACTTCGACCGATTGCTTCGGCAAGAGATGGTCACTGCTGCTCAAACACGGTCAATCCTGCGGGACATGTTCCGGGCCCTTGCCCATCTTCATGGCCTAGGCATACTCCACCGAGACATTAAGCCTTCAAATATCCTCATGGAATCTCCCAATGGGCCGGCTTACTTAGCCGACTTTGGAATATCGTGGAAAGAAGGCGATGCGGGATCTGAACCTCCCGAGCAGAAAATAACGGACGTGGGCTCTACCTGTTACCGAGCCCCGGAGATTCTCTTTGGATTCAAAGGGTACGGAGAAGCGCTCGATCTCTGGGCTGCCGGGTGTGTGGTGGCAGAAGCAATTTCTGTCGGCCACCATCAGCTTTTTGACTCGGGGCCCGTAGGCAGTGATTTATCGCTGATTTTCTCTATCTTCAAAACGATGGGAACCCCCGATGAACAGCGCTGGCCTGTAAGCTTCCTCACCCCCGGACAAACAAGGATCATTCATAACATTGCACAGGAAGTTCGGGTCTTACCAGACTGGGGGAAAGTAGAATTCCACTCATATCCTCCTCGGACATGGGAAGACATACTACCGGGCGCATCTTCGAACGGGCGCGACTTGGTCAGCCAGTTAGTGCGCTACGAGAGCAGTGAAAGACTCTCCGCGGCAGAGGTATGTACCAGACTCGATATTCCACAGCCATGTCTAACAATTGACCCAGGCCCTCAATCATCCGTACTTCGCCGCGACTTGAAGCATAAGGTTGAAATGATACCTCTGCAACATACGACTGGTACATTGAAGATGCACAACAAGAGCTACGCCACACCTCACTGCGCCTCTGCGGATTATGCCGCACAAGTGGACCTCAGAATCACGAGTCTGGAACCTGACCTCGGAAATTGTTTCCAACGTTATGCATCAGCTGTTTTGAACACTGGACTGTTCAACGCTTTGTACCCACCCATATTTGCCCATGGTCATATGATAAGGCAAAATGCAATCACTGTGTCTCCCAGGTGGCATCTCAGGTAACTCCTGGCGGACCTATCTCAGGGTAATAATGATAACAACAACCTCGGGATGGTGGCGCAAGCCTGCCCTGCATTAGCAAAACTCGGATTGATTAAAACAGAATTTCCGGCAACGCCGGAAATTACGGGCTCCGTCAGCAATCAATGAGATGTGGCGGTCACGTTAGGGTGAAACAACCATAGAACATCGTAGTCTGTGCCCCGCATGCCGTGCAGGGCCTCGCTTTAGCGAAGGGCCTTGAGGGGGCGGGCAAACGACGCTAGCCAGAAACGCTGATGGATTTCCCTTGCGTTATGCCAAGTGGACAGAGCTCAGATTCTGAATCGACATTACTGGAATACAGCCACGTACTCGATAGATCTCCCATGGCAGTCTCATTGTTGTTGTACAAAGTCGTGCTCACTGCTCATTCGTACCTGGCAGCCACACTTACAGCAAAGTGGGTCCACAGGGTTCTCGGCCATGGGTCTCATCTCCTTCGGGTCAGGTACTATCCATGGACCAATCATAGAACGGCCAAGCTGCATATCGCTTCCTAATATAGTTAGCCTGGTATCTATATACACAAGGGTCCCAAGATCTCATTTCGGCTCCTCGTGGTACCCCAGGCCTCTCTCGTATTTCGAGGCTTTTCTCATCTCTTTTGCGTAGTTTGCTTCTTTCGTCCCTCTTTTATCCTTTCTTTCAATTTGTACGACCTGGAAGTCGTCGTCCTCTCTTTTACATTTTCGACTGACATTCGGCTGTGCCCGATCAGTCGTCCATTCTTTCTATTCCACATTCCACAACGCGGTCAAATCGGCCCAGAGACGCGGATTCTCGGTAATCACTCGCTCCGGAATCTTGGCCCATCCCTCTTTTCAGGAGCAGTGTCTGCTCCAAGTTCCCAATTTAACCCAGATCACCGCTGCACGATATCCTGGGATACTGAAACACCGTCAAGATGCACGGTCATGCGCATCACAGCCATGAGCGCAGTGTGGAGGAACTACAGGATCGAGGAAATGTCGAGGAGCGCGATAATGTCGTGATTGTCTACAAGACCCTAGATCCGGACTTTGTGGGTGAGGTGGGAGGCTACGTTACCGGTGGCCCCAAACACGAAACTGCTACAGAGCCAACTGCTGGCGTCGGCCCTGCGGTCAGTGCGCCTTCGAGAACCAGGGAGCAAGCGACGGAGACCAAAGAGACCGATAAGGCGCATACTACCACGGAGAAGGAGCCGCCGACCACCACCAAACACACCGAGGCCCACACCACTCATGAAACCAAAGCGCAGACTACTGAGGTTACCAAGATCACCCAGGCCGAAACGACAGAAAAGCAGTCATCAAGCACGACCAGCGAGAAAGAACTGCCTATCACGACAACCTCCTTTGTTACTTCGGCATCGCCCACAGAGTCAAGTCAGGATGTCAACAACCTCATTGCGACAACCACCGCTGGAAGTGCCTCGGACTCGGCTGCGTCGGCCTCACCCACTGCCATTGGGAATACTACTTCCGCGGGTATGACCGGTGGTGCAAAGGCTGGTGTGGCCATCGGTGTCATCCTTGGTGTGGGCGTGATAGCTGCCTTAATCTTCTTCTTTGTCCGCAAGAAGAGAAGAAGCCAGGAGGGATATCAGAATGAGAAGACCTTCGGCGATGAAGGCCTGCCAGAGGGTTTCGCTGCTTCCTTCCCACCGCCTCCTCCTTCAAAACCGCAGACTCCTGTACAAGCCCCACAGCTCAATGTCCGTCCCGTTACTCAGTTCGCACCTGATCTCACTGGAACTGGTGCCTTGAATCCGACCACCACCGCCGCTGCAGGCGCGACGGCTGGGTCGGCCGCCGTCGCCTCTCGCAATCTCACTGGGGAATCGCCACCTCCTACTCCACCAATGGCTGAGAGCAGCCCTAATCCATTCAGTGACCCTGTGAATCCTTTCAATCCAGCTCCCGCGCCAGTCAGCCAGAATCCGTCTCCGACCGCCGAAAGAAGCACTGAACCTTTGGGCTCGGCCGTCGCAGGTGCGGCAGTCGGTGCTGCAGCCATCGGTGCTGCCGCTGCTGCTTCGTCCCGTGACTCTAATGGTTCTGACGGCTACCAGTCCGCACAATCGGGCAACCATTCTCCCACCGGTTCTACCGACTCATCGGGCAATCCTGCCTATGCCGCCGGTGCAGCGGGGGCGGCAGGAGGTATGGCCGCTGGCCCACCACCCCCTAACAATGTTTACCGCGTTCAAATGGACTTCAACCCCTCTATGGAGGATGAGCTTGGACTTCGCGCTGGAGCGCTAGTTCGCTTGCTTCACGCGTATGATGATGGATGGGTATGTGTCCCTAATTGCCCGAGTGAAATGTTAATGCTAACAAGTCCCTTTAGGCTCTTTGCCAGCGCCTCAATAACCCCCAGCAAGGCGTAGCACCTCGCTCTTGCCTGTCAGCCCGCCCCGTGGTGCCCCGCGCCCGCCCACCTCCTGGCTCTCGTGGCCCGCCCGTCATGGGCCCTGACGGTCGTCCAATGATGGCGGGAGGCCCACCCCCAGGTGGGAGATTCTATCCTCAAGATGCCCGCCCAAGATCTCCTCACGCCCCGCCTCCACGTCCTTACCCCGGCCCTTCAGGCGGCCCCCGGTTCCCCGTCGTCCCCCGCTCAATGTCCCCAGGTCCTGGAGGAATGCCTCGCTCGATGTCTCCAGGACCCGGTGGTATGCCCGGCGCTCGCTCCATGTCTCCAGGACCAGGTGGTATGCCAGGCGGTCGCTCGATGTCCCCCGGTCCCGGCGCAATGCCTCGTTCCATGTCCCCAGGACCTGGCGGCATGCCCGGCGGCCGCTCTATGTCCCCAGGTCCCGGCGGAATGCCTCGCTCCATGGTTCCAGGACCAGGTGGCATGCCCGGTGGCCGCTCGATGTCCCCTGGCCCTCGCGCTGGCCCACGCTCCATGAGCCCCGGTCCGTATGGGCCTCCAGGCATGCAGCGGCCAGTGATGCCGGTCAACCAACGCGCACGCAGCAACAGCGCTAGCAACGCTGTCCCGCCCATGGCTTCCCCCGCTGCACCTCCAGTCTCAAGTCCACTAGCCGCTCCTACTGCAGCTCCTACTAGCGACCTCCCCGCGCTTCCCGGGTCCGCGCCAACTTCGCCATCTGGCTCCATCTCGCGAAAACCGGTCCCCGGTACCCAGGACGCTTAATTGAATGACCCTCGCACATGCATATCAACGTATGTCTTGTGCAGATAGACATTCCCCGCTGGACGGAAATGAGCTTGCCTATATGACCTTGATCTCGATCTGAATATTCCCCCTATGCGTCCGTGACGAACGATCCCTCTTATCTATGCTTTGCGCTGGATGCATCTCACATTTGAACGCTTTGATCCCCCCATGTCCCTATTTTCCTTTACTCTGTTTGAATTTTCGTCCTTGTCCTGGATGCCGTCTTGTCTGTATTTTTCACTGGCATCCATGTAATGTTAACAAAAGGGCGGCGCAAGTTGTTTTTCAGACTTATCTTTGCTTCTTATATTCTACCCCCTTCTTGATGCGTTTCACGCGTATCCCCCACGCCCATTGTTTCCATTTCGAAGTGGAGTTGAAGTTGCAAAGCATCTTCCTTCAGTCTTGGAGAGGATGTCGACCTGATGTGTTTGAATACCCGGATCCCTCGGCTTGTCGCGCAGATAGTCTATAGTCATATCTTTGTAGAGCCTGAAGAATCTACATCATTCTTGGTAACTGTGTGTTCCTTCCGGTGCCTCAGGCGCAAACATCCAGTCGTGGTTGCCCTAAGTTGTACTTTCCCTCTTGGGTTATTGTTGGTTTATTTGGGCAGTCACGGAGGACAATACCTTCCTAATTTGATTTTATGCAATATCCGGGGAAGACCACGTGGGCAGATCGAAGACAGATTGATTCATACATTCTTTACTCCGTAGTCCGTACATATTACAGAAGAATCCGCCCCAAAGGCTCGACTTGCAGCAGCAATACCAAACTACTGTGTCGAAACCAAATCGTGTGTTCAATATTTATGAACGGTATATCTATCCACGCCAGATTTCCAAGGTTGCACCACGGGTATAGACAAAAGCACCAACTCAACATACACAAACTACATCTCCCACCACAAGACAAGGTTAGGCCTTGATCTCGTTCGCACTGGTCGCACTGTCATCGCTGTCGAACTTCGCACCTGCGACGTGTACATCGCCAGTCTGGCGGTGGAGGTTCAGGTGCTCCTCCAGGTACTCAGGCTTGAGCTCGCCGTGCTTGTCATAGCGATATGGCTCCTTAATGGAGATAGTAACAGCGTTGAAGACGTTTGTCGACTTCTTGAAGATAGCATCCATCTCTTCGAGGGAGCGGTAGCGTGTCTCCGGGAAGAAGAAGTAAACGCAGGGGAACATGAACGCGTTGCTGTGTGTGTGTGTTAGTTCACCATTTCGTTGTCTAAACAGCGCTGAGAGCCGGGGTGGGGAGTGGACTTACATCACAGCGAAAATCACATAGGTCTTGTATCCAATGTTCTCGAACGCAACGGGCGTGATCATGACAACCATGAAGTTGAAGATCCAGTTGGCACTAGTGGCCAGCGCGTTGGTCGGCGCACGGATTCGCAGCGGCACAATCTCTGCTGGGTACAGCCATGTCATGCCGAGCCAGCCGATGGCGAAGAAGGTGTTGAACATGAAGAGGAAGACGGCCTGGGCGATACCGGCTCGCGTGTCATTCAAGTAGACTAGGCGGTAGTTGCTTCCTGCGAGGACAGCCATTGAGATTGCCATGCCGGCAGCCTGGGATTTTGAATATTGGTTAGCTGATGTTCTACAAGGGGGTAATTGGGTTGAAATTCCAATTGTGAGGGGCAGGGTGTCATACGCCGAAGAGCATGAGTGGGCGACGGCCAGCTTTTTCGATGATGAAGATAGGAATGAATGCTGCCATCAGGTACTCCGTGCCATTACAGGCCGCCAGTAGCTTGGGGAGATTGCCACTTCCGAGACCGATCTGTGCGTACAGGGAAGGTGCCTATTGCAATTTTGTAAGTATCATATCACCCATTTGTCAACCGAATGTCTTACGTAGTAGGTGATGAGATTGATTCCGGAAATCTGCTGGAACATCTGGTTGACGTAGGCGAGTGCCACACGATGGAATTCTCGATACTCGCTCATCTTGAACAGACTCCTGTAGGAGCCCTTGTTCATTTCCTTGACGGTTTCTTGGATGGCGAGAAGCTCGTTCTTGATGTAAGGGTCATCGCGAGACTTTTCATTTAGACACTCGAGGATCTCTACAGCCTCGTCATCCCGGCCTTGCATAACCAGCCATCGAGGAGACTCGGGCAAGTTGAGAATCGAGCAGAAAATGATGATAGCGAAGATGATCTGGAAAGCAAGTGGGAAACGCCAGGCGACTTCGCGATCGGGGATGAATGAGAACCCTAATCCACGAGCATTAGTCGTTGCGCTTAGGGTGTCACATAATCGGATTTATGACTCTCACTCACCATAATTGATCCAGTAACTGAGCGTGATGCCTCCGGTAATCAGCATACCCTCGATCATAACCATCTTACCACGGTCGTGGGCTTTGGACGATTCGGACTGCCATGTCGGTACAGTACTTGTGTTCATGCCGTTTCCAATACCGGTGATAATGCGACCAACAATGAAATGAGGCAGATGATATGCGGTACATTGCAAGATTGCACCAGTAGCCATGATAACGCAGCCACAGAAAATAGTGCGTCGACGTCCGAGAGGGTTTCCGACAAAGATAGTCAGGATAGCGCCAAAGAAGCAGCCCAGATTGTACGCTGAGACAGCAATGCCTTGGTTCAAGCTGCGCTGCGATCGAGCGGCTGCATCAAGACCTTCTTCGAGGGGGTTGATTTGGGGGAAGTATTTATTGAAGGAGGGAAGGTCGAGGAGACCACCTGTGATACCCTGGTCATAACCGAAGAGTCTTGGGGAGTATAGTTAGTTTCCAGTTCAACAAGAGAAACCCATTGGAACAAATTCTATGCACAGTGTGTGTATTCATACAGGAAATCAAGACTGCCTAGAGAACTGATGGCCAGGTTCAGAGACCTGCCTCTCCAGCCAAAGAACTTCGGAATGCCGAACATGATGTCCAGATAATAGCGAAGATCGAGAGGCAAAGAATGGGGGGAGGGCCATGATATGCCGATCAGTGGTTATATAGTCTACGAATTTCCCCAGTTACCCCAGTTCCCCCATGTCTCCCCGGATTGACAAAAGGAGTAAACCGAGAATACTGGGGGGACTAGCTTCAATCCAATAGCCAAGATACGGGGGGGAATGGCGTCGGGGCGTCGCAGGGACGAGCAAAGCCAGTGGAAGATTCCATGGGAAGACACAGTTGGGGGCGACTTTACTGGTCTGTGACTGGTCAAAAAATCACAGGCCGACGAGTGCCGGGGTACTTCCCGCTTTGTCCTGAACTTCTCACTAACTCAACGTAGCCGAGGGCTTCGGACTGGCGTATTAGAATCACTCGGCGTGAAAGCCATGGCTTGGCGGGCTGAATGGGGCTTCACTTGGCGCAAGCCACGGAAGGCACGTGCTGAGGTACCCGGAATTTCTTGCTTCGGGAAGTTTTCATTGTTACAAGATCATCTGACTGGTGAAAAGGGGCACTCACTTACACTAGCATTGACACTGCCTAGATGGAAGGTGACAATTCGGTTGAGGGCATGAGGAGAACCAAGCCAAGACAGCCAAGGGCCAAGACTGGATGCAGCCACCCGAGAGCAAATAAGATGTTGTCGCCTCAAAAGGGAAATATTCCAGGCCCAATGAGAATGAACTCACTAACATCCTGGTCTAGGATGTTTCACTTTCCCCTATGACATGCGCCAATTTCGACAAACGACGAGCGATTGGACAAAACGTGCTATGTGAGGCTCTATTGCAATTTCTATATTATTATTTTTTTGGTGTTCACCTAGGTGCGTTCGTGCTCGAAAATCGCCAATAGATCAATATCTATCTCGTTAGGGCACAGGTAGTGTATAGAAATGGGTGGGTTTGAGTATTCGATGCTCGGTCTTCGAATCTTGGAGGAAATGTTAAACGTCTATGCTGTCGGCCCTATATCGGCTGAGCTTCCTCTTTCAACCATTGTTAAAGAACATTGGACAATCTAAACGACATTGGCGATAGTCGCCTATGTCTCCGTACATAAATAGGTCTAGTCTACTCTGTACCGCCGTCTAGTTAGCTCTATGGCCCCATAACCCGAGGGTCCCACAGTTGCATCTCAGCTCTACAACGTTGTATGTACTCCGTAATCTAACCTAATCCTTGTTCATGCCGATCTTTGCCTCTATCGAGTGACTTGGGGTAAATTACTTATGTCCCCCAAAATCGTTTCCCGTGGCTCTCCTTCTCTTACCATCACGTGCACTTAGGGTTCCGATGTCCCAGTATGGGCTAGTTGTATCTTTAAGATCAAAGAGATAAAAGGATATCTGAGATCTATGCTACCGAGGATCCTTGACAGTTCTTTCTGTTTACCTTTACACAAACAGCTTTGATGCTCAATAATAGAACATTGTATTGTCACTCGAAGCGCCTTGTCGGTGTAAAAGTAGTGTAGTAGTCCCCTCAGCCTTCTAAGATTCTTTGATATGGCTCATTATCTCATATCGACGAGGGCCACAATGGTACTTGTTAGCAGGCTCTTTATTCGTCTCTTTCAGTCCTCGAAGTTGGTGATGTGCTTACCCGTTGTCTTTGACATCCTACTTCATATACTTGACGCCCGCGATTGTTCAGTATCTTCCATTGTCCTACCGGCGCCGATGAAAGGCAAATCTATATTGGGCCCTCTCTCATCTTTCCAAGGACTAGGGGTCAGGCCCAAGTTTTGAAGCAATTTGCAAAGCTATATAGCCAGGCCCGTGTACGTCTCTTGTTCTCCAGTTCAACTTCATCTATAGAAGAACACCATATTATACCTACCGACATTGCTTTTGGTGTCGCAATAGGTAACCTACTCACCATACTAACTTCCTATATACATATCTCAAATCGCCCATAACCATGAAACCTGAAGATGAGCACCTACTGACAGGGCCAGAACCAGGTCCAGCTCAAAGCGAGGGTCTTTCAGAAGAGGAACTGAACGCAATAGACGGTGATTTAGAGTCCATGTTCTACCCTCCTAGGCCTTCGGACGCGCAGGTCACCCGATACCGAGAAATAGGAGCTCAACTTCAAACGTGGATAGATGACCCGAACGCCGAAGGCTGTACTGTTGCCGAAGCAACTCTAACAATGCAGGACCTGCTAGACGATAACTGGACTCTGCGCGACAGCAGGTTCGTGCCCTCTGTTTCTGATCTTCCAGAGACAGCGCGCATAATGATGGGGCTCCCGAGCCCGGACAATGGTGCCCAACTCCGGCATATGCGTATTGAGCGGCATGGCGGACGTGATGCACAAGCCAGCCGCGCGCAGGTTAGAATGCCGCGATATAACAGTCATTCCGTGACAACTGGGGATGGCTTCATTGTTTGCCACAGAATGTTCAGGTGGGATGGCCCCTGGTGGAATGAGATCGCTAGGGCTTTCTACGAAGTAGACTTCCCCATCGGAGCTTTGAAATACGTTGCCTTTATGGAGATCGTGAATGAGCAGACGGCACCACTTGTCGTGGGTGTACACTATCCTAGGAGAGGTATAAGATTTGCAACCATGGGAGTCGACGAACCCGACCAGGTCTGGCTACATGGTAGTCGTGAGTACCAGGAGATACTCGGCACAGCACTCGGCAAATCGGTAGCCTATCTCATCTTGTCTTGTTTCCAGAGAGGTACAAAGCGAATCTCTCGTATCTTAACTTGGAATACCCCAGTTGCCTTTAGTCCATCGCTGGGCATGCTTTTTGAGATTGAAAACACAGCCTGAGATGCTCAGAGTTGCGGCATAGATTAACCCATGTTGCTGTTGAGACTTGAGATATCAACGTTTACCAGGTATGTCATTCTCCCTAAGGTGAATTAAAGAATTTTGATGTCTGTTAGGAGGATTGGTTGATGGTTGATATCGGGAACTTGGTGTATTCCCTGATGGCACTGAGCCGGCACCTGGGATTAGGTATAGGTATATTGCGACTTTATTTAGAGACTAGGCATCAAGGTCGAGTATTCAATGAAATTGCTTTCCGAGAATGGTCTGAAGATCACCAATCACCTATCTCGATAACCCTTGCACTGCTTCGTTTCTCGGAGACGAGAATCAAATTCAACAGTAACCTGGGGACCGCTGAGTTCGAGATCGATGAGCTTAAGTAGCTTGTGTGTGAACCAACCGTGAAAAGCTGATAACGTACCTTCCTGCCTTACATAAAATAGAAGTACCTAAATACCAGGAATCAGACGCGGCACGCGCACAGTAGCAGTGCGATTAGGTATTGGGGCAATTTGGAAGGATATAGCCTTGCCAGTTGGCAGGAAGGATTTACAACTGGGCAGAAGAATCTTAGTTAGCGCTTCAACGAACACGGTTAACATGTTACTTGGTTTTGTTACTGTGTATGTGGTTCCTTTGGATCTCCCAAGTATGGGCTACTTGTCTCTTTAATATCAAAGGGATGGAAGGATAGGTGTCTGAGATCTATGCTACCGAGGATCCTTGCCAGTTCTTTCTCTTTACCTCTCCACAAATAGCTTTGATGCTCAATAATAGAACATTGCATTGTCACTTTAAGCGCCTTGCCAGTCTACAAAGTAATGTAGTAGTCCTCTCAACTTTCTAAGGTCCTTTGATAGCCCGAGGGCTTACATCGAGGAGGGCCACAATGGTACTTGTTAGCAGGTTCTTTATTTGTCTCTTTCAGTCCTCGAAGTTGGTGATATGCTTCTCTTTTGTCTTTGGCACCCTACTTTATGTACTTGATGCCATTGTTTCCATTGTCCTACCTGCGCCGATGATTGGTAAACCAATTTTAAGTTCTCTCATATTTCCAAGGACTAAGGGTCAGGCCCAATCTTTGAAGCAATTGGCAAAGCTATATAACCAAGCCCGTGTACGTCGCTTGTTCTCCAGTTTACCTTCATCTATCAGAACAACACAACATAGTATACTGACATTGCCTTTAGTCTTGCAATACTACTCGACATCCTATACTATACCTATACATATCTCACATCGATCATAATGTCTGAACATGAGCGCCAACCGGAAGGGCGATCTCCGGCTCAACCTGATATTCTCTCACAAGAGGACATGGAAGAAATTGACGCTGATTTATCGTCCGGTTTCCAGGGGAGGTCTTCGGACCCGCAGGTCACCCGATACCGAGCAATAGGAGCTCAACTTCAAAAGTGGATAGATGATCCCAACGCCGAAGGCTGTACTGTTGCCGAAGCAACTCTAACAATGCAGGATCTGATCGACAACGGAGACCCAGACAATGACTGGGAGGTCGTCGAAAACACCTTCGTGAACTCTGTTGCTGACCTTCCAGAGGCAGCGCGTATAATGATGGGACTCCCGACGTCGGACGATGGTGCCCACTTCCGGCATATGCGTATTAAGCGAAAAGACCTGGACTGTTATGAGATGACGACTGGAGAAGCCTTCATTGCTTGTCATTTGATATTTAGATACAGTGGCCCCCATTGCAATGAGGTCACTAATGCCTTGTACGAACAAGATTTCCGCATCGAATCTTTGAGAAACGTTGCCTTCATTCAGGTCGTCAATCCGGAGACGGCACCACTTGTCACAGGTGTACTCTATCCCAGGAGAGGCATGAGATTCGCATACGGGGTAGCGGACCAAGAACCCCAGGTCTGGCTACATGGTACTCCCGAGTATCAGGAGATACTCGGCACAGAAATCGGCAAAACGGTAGCCTATCTCGTCTTGTCTTGTTTCCAGAGAGGCACAAGGCCGATCTCTCGGATCATAACTTGTAGTGACAGTGGTGACTCGCTGTGCATGGTTTTCGAGATTGGATACACTGACTGATGCGCTCAGAGTTGCGGCGTAGCTTAGCCCCTGTGGCCGTTGAGATATCAACGCTTACCAGGTATGTCATTCTCCCTAAGGTGAATTAAAGAATTTTTATTTGTGTTAGAAGGATTGGTTGATGGTTGATATCGGGAACTTGGTGTATATCCTGATGGCACTGAGCCGGCAGATTAGGGATTTCTTTCGACTTTTGTTAGAGACAGGTAGGTATGTATGAAGGTTGAGTATCCAATGAATTGTTTTCCAGTATGGTCTGAAGATCGTTATTATGTAGTATATTGTCAGGTACATGACCTTGGTAGCGGTACTGCTGTTCACGTATCTGGCGGACCTTGACACAGACATGGACGGACGCGAACAGGATCTCCTCGATCTGCGTGAGCTCAGGCAGGTGCGAGGGTACCTTATCAGGTTGTATTTCATTCCATTTACCATACGGAGTACAGCCATACTGAGTCGTCCTTGTCTGCCTTTCGGCAGCGCTGACAGACCCCCTTCTTGTTGAATCACCGCTCCAGGCAATGTGAGCAGGTCTCCATTTGTACTCTTGCAGCCGGGTATGGAAGGATTCAACCCCCACTCCCGGCTGCCAACAGCTAATTGTCTGAGTGCGTAGGATATGCGACGGGTGTGGGATGTGCGACTACTGTTGGAGCCGCTGATGAAGTCTTGTTCATGAGATTGTGGATTGGAGATATGAAGGATTGGGGTAACCAGCCCAGCAAAAAGCCCTGAATGTGTTAGCAATTCGCTATGGAATTCCGATCTAATAGTGACATAGGCACCGCTGAGTTCGAGGTCGATGAGATTAAGTTGTGAACCAACCTTGAAAAAGGGAGTTACCATTTGTTATAGAATTAAACACCAGATCAGACGGGGCACGTGTAGCAGTGGGATATTGAGCATTTCGTGGGGATATAGCCTTGCCAGTTGGCTGGGGGCTTACCAGTTGGTGGGAAGCTAGCCCCGTCTGCTCGGCACCCACGCCAGAACTTCCGACCTCCCAGTACCTTACGTACAATGCGTTAGCTGTCTCTTTCATAATCAAAGAGATCGGAGAATATCTGAGATGTATGCAACGCTAATTGAATAATAATAGAGGATTTTTGCCAGTTCTATCCATCTATCTCTACACAACTAGCTTTGATGTTCAATAATAGACCATTATATTGTCACTCGAAGCGCTTTGCCAGTGCATAAAGTAGTTTGGTAGTCCTCTCGACCTTCTAAGACTCTTTGATAGGGCTTACATCAACTTCGGCCACAATGTTACTTGTTAACAGTGTCTTTATTCTTCTCTTTCAGTCCTCGAACTTGGTGATATGCTTGTCCCTTGTCTTTGACATCCTACTTTATGTATACTTGGCGCCATTGTTCCGTTTGTCAAGTATCTTTGTTCTACCTGCACCCATAATAGCTAAATCTGATTTGGGCTCTTTCATTTTCCCAAGAACAAGCTCGAGGCCAAGTTTGATGCAATTGACAAAGCTATATAATCAGGCCCGTGTACGTCTCTTGCTCTCTAGTTTAACTTCATCTATCAGAACCACAGAACACCATATTATACCGATATCCATTTGCCTTTAGTCTTGCAATACTACTCGACATACTATACTTACCTATACATATCTCAAATCGATCATTATGTCTGAACATGAGCGCCAACTGGAACCAGCTCCAGCTCAATCTCAATCTGTGAATGGTCCTTCAGAACAGGAAGACGTTGATTTAATGTCCAATTTCGATAGCAGGCCTTCTCGCGCACAGATTGCCCGATACCGAGAAAAAGGAACTCAACTTCAAAGGTGGATAGACGACGCGATGATCAAAGGCTGTACTGTTGCCAAAGCAAATCTAACAATGCAGGAGCTGATCAACAACCAAAATCCAGACAATAACTGGGAGGTCATCGAAGATACATTCGTGAGCTCTGTTGTTCACCTTCCAGAGACAGGGCGCATTCTGATGAGACTCCCGAGCTCGGACGATGGTGCCCACTTCCGACATATGAGTATTAAACGAGAAGCCGCAGACGAGACAATACTGACCGACATGGAGTGTGAATCGTCACAACGTGACATTTATGAAATGACCATCGGAAATGGCTTCATTGCTGGTCACACACTGTGCAGGCGGAATGGCCCCCATTGCAATGAGATCATGAGGGCTTTCTACGAACAAGACTTCGGCCTCGAAACTTTGAAATACGTTGCCTTCACGGAAGTCATCAATGCGGAGACAGCACCACTTGTGGTACATGCACACTATCCCAGGAGAGGCCTGAGATTCGAAACCGTGGCAGCCGGCAAAAAACACCAGATCTGGCCACATGGTACTCGCGAGTTCCAGGAGATACTCGGTACAGAAATCGGCAAAACGGTAGCCTATCTCCTCTTGTGTTGTTTCGAGAGAGGCACAAGGCGAATCTCTCAAATCCGAACTTGGAGTGTGAACAGCGGTTTCTCGCTGTGCATTGTTTTTGAGATTGGAAAAGCCGGGGCGTCTGACGCTGACGTGCTCAGGTAGCCCCTGTGGCTGTTGAGATATCAACGCTTACCAGGTATGTCATTCTCCCACGGTGAATTAGAGAATTTTGATTGGTAGGTATTAGAAGGATTGGAGGTTTACGGTTGATATCGGGAATGTATTCCCAGATGGCACTGAGCCGGCAGAATAGAGGTATATATCGCGACTTTTGTTACAGACTATGTATAAAGGTTGAGTATCCAATGAAATGTTTTTCGACCGTGATCCGGATTCTGAAGACAGGTCGCTACGTGCCGGGTATACAAAGGTAGAAGGACTATGGCTGGAGATTCTTGTAGCGTTCCACGACCTGGGGGCACGATAGTATATCAACTTGTAGGTATGCACGCGCGCCTGAATTTCTGCATCCGAATGAAAATCTACAGATGCATTAATCTAGCTCAATCGTATCCACAAAATCATCCAAGTACAGACGGGGAGCTATACATCCTCAGGCGCGAGCTTTGATAATCCTCGCAGCTTTGGTCCATACTTCATGAACAAAAAGGGTACTGGCAGCAGAACCGCAGCCACAGCCCCAACAATAGAAACAGCAGGCCCTATGCCCAGAGCCCTGATCATCGGTTTTGCGGCCAACGGAAGCCCCGCAGCCAGCAAACTTCGAAGAAAAGTAACAGCCGCCGTCGAGCTAGCAGCATATAGCTTATACACATCAATGAGGAAGTTCAAACACTGTTGGAAAATGCAGTTGAACCCAACACCAATAAACATTGCTGCCAAACAGGGTAGAATCCAGTGGTGAGGTGGCTCGGCCGTCCAGGCAAACCAAAACAGTCCAACGACAAAGAATACCGCCCCAATAGCCATGGGCGCCAGTCGAGCCTCGGGAACTACTTTGCCATTCGCCTCGAGCGATATACGGTTATAGCGGTATTGGTTCCAGATATTGAGTCCCACCGAGGATACCACACCAATCAACAAGGCCAGGAACGGCAAAGACCCGACAAGTCGGTTCCACCCTCGAGCTTCTTGAAAGGCGAGGGGGAATACCTCTAGCGTTAGGTACATCACCCCGTAAACAAAGGCAGCATAAAATGCAATGCAGGTCACAATCGGCTCAGTACACAACATCTTCAATGGACGAGCGAGCTGCTTCGTGAGAATGGACTTGACATCAAGTTTCAGATGTTCGTGTGGATGCCAATACCTCGCATCATTCGTCTCTTCTCGGAGTCGCTGCGCTTTCCGCTTGAGCAGCACTAACGGATATCCCTCCGGCAGACAAAAGAAGGTGACGGCGAAAATGACAAAGACCCAAATAGCATGGATGTACGCGGTCCAGCGCCAGCCCATATCGGGATTCAGCACGATGGCAGCGCCAATTACGGGCCCTAGAGCTGGGCCGCCGTTCACTGCCACTGCGTAAAGACTAATTGCCGTGCCTCGTGTCTCTTTGCTCCAAATCTCACCGAGGGCGGCGGTGGCATTGCTGATGGGAGCGGAGCCGAAAAAGCCAGCGAAGAAGCGCGTTACGAACACTGACGTCGCGGTTGTGCTTACGCCTGTGCCGATGGAGAAGAGCCCTAGACAAAAGACGGCAGGGAGGATACTGACTCTTCGGCCCCAGATCTCTGAGAGCGGGGCCCAGATAATAGGCCCGAAGACGAAACCAAGACTTGTCGCTGTTAGCATCATATCTTTGCAATTTTCAGGGTTGTTTCGAATCTGACTCACAGATACAGAGATACGTCTAGAACGGCAACCTCGTCGCTCACGCCGGTATACCTGGCGATGGTCTCATCGGCCGGCGTGGTGATGCTTGACCCCAGACTACCGGCGAGAGCAAGCATGCCCAGTTGGAAAGTCACCCACCATTTATACTTGGTGGTCCAATTCTGGGGATTCGCTACATCATTTTCGTCCCATTTGACGAGGTAGTCTGGATCGAGAGATGTCGTGTCTTTCTCGCTCTCGGCTAGTACTTTGACAAGTTTACTGGCCGTCGTGCTCGATATGAGGGCCATAGCTGGAATCAATGCCGTGGTGCTCTCATGAACAATGATTTACCCTATTTGTAGCTGGCGGGAAACTTGTTCATTGGTGCTCGGTGGGATCATATTATCACCGAAGAAGATATTTCATCGCTCTAGGGTTCGGCAAGTCGGTATTGATGCCGATGCCGATGCCGATGTCGGTGCTACCCGCCGAGGATCCTTTCCAAAAGGGCTGGCATGACATTGAATTGAAAAGAAATCATTTTCCCATCGCAGGGCCATGTAGCATTCCGACATAGTGTATAAAAGTAGATTCTATTTTGTAATCCCACAGGGCTGGATCACTGCCCTGGAGGGGAAGTGAAGCTTTTTCTCGTTGGTTCCTGGAGGCCAAGCCTCGGGCTATCGCTCGGCACCGACCGAGCCGCCTGCGGGGCTCTGGGGACGCGCTTGGCATCCAGGCTCCAGCTGCTTGAAAGAATCCAGATGTGCACTACGCGGGCAGTATATGGATACGGTAGTGAACAGACCTAACTACCGACAGTAGGACAAGGCAGTACCGTACCACCTAATGGCAGAGGGTTTAAATTCATTGAAAATCCCGAAATAATGGTCCGAACCCAATCTAAAGCATCAGAATGACAAAACAGTCCCGGAAGGTATATACGGAGCAACGAGCATTAGCCCCCGCCTACTATCCTGATAGATGCGGCACGCTTCCGCTAGCAAGGAGAAGATTTACAATGCTCATGATACCCTCGCCCAAGATCAGGCCGGAGGCAAGAACAACGACGGTCGAGGAGGCGGCGTCTGCCTTTTCGGAGGCTTGGTCGGCTGCAGATGATCTGTTTGCGGACACCAACTCGGGCGCCGCGGAAGAATTGTCATAAGTGGCATTGTCATTGGCGACTTGTTCGTTGGATGTCGGTTCGGAATGCTTCCGTGCCCACCACCACGCAATGATACCGCCGATAGCTCTCGCCAGGGTGAATGAAGGCTCGTTGAAGATGCCAACGGCAACGGCAATACCGCCAGGAACCCAAGACCTCCAAGCGGGCGGGTTCCCGTTGCGCGCAAAGGCAGGGGATGCGGCTGCTATCCTCAATGCGGTGATGAAGGCCCATATGGTACCAAAAATGAAGGAGGCTTGCCAGGCCATATCGGGCAACCCTTGTCCGGTCACGAGGCGAGCGGTGAAGATCCAAACATACGCAGTAGGTGTTTGGAACATATCGCCTGGGACTTCGTACACATTCACGTACAGTTTGTACACGGCAGTAGATAGGACTGCGCCCACAAGACTGCCGATCATCTGGCCATAGAACTGGGCCTTCGGGCTTGCACCGAGTAGATGACCAGTCTTCAAATCTTGCATCATGTCGCCAGCTTGCAGAGCTCCTGACTCGGATACAGCACCCGCGAGCAGGTTTGTCACTAGTGCAGTACGTCTGGAGAAATGGGACGCTGGCGTGGCGAGTGAGAAGAGAAGTTGTGTTAGCTTGCTGATACCGGACACTGGATTGAGGTCGGTCTCGCCAAGGGCTCGCACACCCATGATGGACAGCAACACTGCCAGCAGTGTCGCTAACGTCGAGAGGAAGGGAGATATGATATCGCCGAAGACAATGTGCATGCATACAACATTGAGTAGAAGGGTCAGCGGAAGCAGGATCACGACCGTGCGAGTGGAGATCAATTCAGACGGGGGTGCATCTTCATCTTCTGCATTTGTAACCACATGTGTGTGGTCGGCGCCATCATCCTCATGCAACGAAATATGGGACTCCGACCCCAAAGCGGAGTAACTGATATCTGAATGAGGGGAAGATTGCGGCCGTGCAATCCACTGCCCAGCGCGAGTGGATTTGAACCAGGCTACCCATTTGGGGGAGTGAGTCAAGATTGGCTTGAGAACCAGCCACCCTAGGCTCACAAGCGAATCGGCAAGCATTATGGCAAGCGATATCCAAACTATCCATGCCTTGCTGCCGTTCTTCCAACTCCCCACCTCGCCAGGGGCCCAGCCGCGACTCTTAGCCAACGGTGATAAGACGCCCCACCCTAGAACTGCTCCGAAAAGCATATGCATGCATGTCGATGGGCCCATAATAATGCCTTGACCGATATATGCCGGCGATGGATTGAGCGTCCACAGCCAGTTGTGTGCCATGCCCTTGCCAAACACGGGAATCTCACGGACCACAGGGACGAAGTATGAAAAGACAGTCTACTTACGTTAGCATGATCCTGACGGAGGTAGATTGAGATCCCAATTTACATAAATGCCTGATACTGTAAATGCTCCGACCAAGAGGCGCATCTTCGACCGCCAATCTTGCTCCTTGGAAGCTTGATCTTCAGCGTCAATATGCTTCAAAAGACCGGTACGTTCTTCGGAATGACTGGAAGGTTCGTCCTCTGTGGACATGAGACCCACGCGGGGGCTCTCCGGTGCTAAAACCTTTTCGCTGCTTCCAGCACCATGCAAAACTTTGAGCATCAATGCCGAGGCAGTCCCACTGGGGAAACGCAACTTCTCTCGAACAATGACCTCTTTCCGTAGTGGAACGGCAAATACCACACCGAAGAGACATACTCCAAGACTCCAGATGACCAATTTCCAAAAGCCGAGGTTCAAGGGACCCCCTTCGCCTTCTCCACCATCGCCCTCTGGTCCATCCTCCCCTGGGTTCATCAAGAACTCCAAAGCAGGTATGACGCCAACAAACCCGCAGCCAAGGGGCATACTTCCCACCGCACCAGCAACCGTTTGAATCAAGACGTTCTCAATCGGTGTGAAGGGGAAGGAAAGGTGCTTGGATAGAACCTTGAAAACCGAAAAGCCAATCAAGGCTGATGGCATGGCCATTGTACTGATCCATCCTGTCTGCAATCCAAAGTAGGTATTCGAAAACGTAATAAGGGCACCGATAATGAGACCGACGAGGAGTGAGCGCGGTGTGAAGCTCTGAGGGGATGTGGCGGAAGCTCGATCAATCGGTGCGGAATCATCATTGGGGATATCTGTGAGTGGCTGATCCGTGGACGGCCTTTCCACTATACTATGGCGTTGTTCGGAGGCATCGCCATCCATGTTTATAGTCTGGTAATTCATGCGACTAACCGATCAGGCATCATGAGCTGAGTGCTTGAGCAAGGAAGAGAATCCGCTCCGACTGCGCAGCTGATAAGGGTCGCTGATTAATGCGAATGAGCGATAAGATCACCTGACGTCAGAACATCCGTGCGACGTCTCCATCCTCTCGACTTTTCTGCTATGTACGTCCTTCACTCATCCAACAACTGCTGTAAACATATGAGACTCATCAGACAGAGAGCGGAGCCTCCGTCGGACGGTCGGAGATTGGCGGGGCTATATACAGGCGAACGTGGAACCAGAAGCAACCGAGAGAACCCTACGCACAGCAATCAAGCTACCGTCGAGCTCTGAATTTTCTCATGCCCACAAAGCTACTTTCAACAGATTCCTGTCGCCTAACTCATCCCGAAGCAGTCCATCAGAAACTTCACTTTCCGTCGTATGATAGTCATGGCTCTTTGGTGTACGCGAACGCGATGGCGGGATCTAAGCCTAAATGGGGATCAACAGCGGAGTCTAAGCCTAATTTGGGAGGATGTATCAGATTCCAAAGGCTCCAAGGTTCTAATTATGAAGCCCTAGAACAATAGGGCAAGAACACCCAGGGTATTTATAGACTGTCGTTTTCCTTCTGTCTTCATATCATCACGATTTCTTCTAATCTCTCTTGGTTTGCGCTCATCGGCTTGCTATTGTGTAACTGTTAGTATAGGATCTCGTTGCGTTTCCCCCAGTCACTCGACCCCACTAATAACAAAGCTTAGGTGTTAGTCATGGATAACCAATTACGGTCTCGCCAAATGAACGGCAAGACCGATACGCACAAGAATGGCTCCATGAAGGAGCACATCGCCGGTGTCTCGAGGCCCGGCATGGATCCCAAAGTCGACAACCCGGAAGACTTCGCTTTTGGTGGCCCACTCGGCAACCTAGCGCTCATGACTGGTTTCCCATTGTTGATGTACTACATGTGGATTGGTGCAACCTACTATGATGGGAAGCTACCTCTGCCACAAAATGGCGAGTCGTGGACAGCCTTTGGGAAGCATATGTGCCACCTTGTCTACACCGGTGCATTCCCACATCTGGGAGCGTGGCGTATCTATTGGATATACTTTATTCTTGAGGCGGCGTGCTACGTCTTCATGCCTGGTTTCACGTGCTATGGGAAACCTCTTCTCCATCTGGGGGGTAAGCAGCTGAAGTATCACTGCTCCGCTTACGGTAGCTTTTACTTCACGATACTCGTCATGGCTGTTCTGCACTACACTCGCCTGTTCCCACTTTACACCCTCCTCGATGAATTTGGTCCTCTGATGTCTGTGGCGATCCTTTCGGGCTTCCTCAACAGCTTCATCGCTTATGTTTCGGCATTTGCTCGTGGTGCCCAGCACCGCATCACTGGGTACCCAATCCATGATTTCTTCATGGGCGCTGAACTGAACCCACGCCTTTTCGGGATCTTGGACTTCAAGATGTTCTATGAAGTCCGAATTCCGTGGTACATCCTCTTTGGTTTGAGCTGCGCTGCTGCTGCTCGGCAATACGAAAACTACGGATATGTCTCCGGTGAAGTATTGTTCTTGGTTATGGCTCACTTTTCCTATGCCAATGCCTGCAGCAAGGCGGAACAATACATTACCACGACATGGGACATGTACCAAGAGAAACTAGGATTCATGTTGACTTTCTGGAACATGGCTGGTGTCCCTATGTCATACTGTCACTGCATCTTGTACCTGGCCAATCGCCATCCATCAACATATGCGTGGAACAAGTATGCCCTCGCGGCGATGTTCGTTTCATATATCTTCGTCTACTGGGTCTGGGATACCGCAAATAGCCAGAAGAACTCGTTCCGCATGATGGAGCGCGGCACCTTTGTGAAGCGCAGAACATTCCCTCAACTGCCTTGGCAAGAACTCTACAATCCTAAGACCCTTGTGACGGAAAATGGCGATACCATCCTTGCCGACGGGTGGTATGGACTGGCTCGCAAGGTCCATTACAGCTGTGACATGTTCTTCGCTTTATCCTGGGGTCTCATCACCGGATTTGACAGTCCATTCCCCTGGTTTTACTCTATCTTCTTCGCAATCATGATCACCCACCGTGCTATGAGAGACATCGCCAAGTGTAGGGACAAATATGGCGAGACATGGAAGGAGTACGAGAAGCAGGTCCCATACCTCTTCATTCCAGTGAGTTCTTGCTTCGGTTCCCATTCGAGACTTATGCTAATTTCTCATAGTATGTGATTTAAGGGCCATGCACTCGTCGAGTCGTCGGCGCCTCCATATGTGGTTAGGAGGTTTCTTGACCACCGATGTCCCTTGATTGCCGGGCTCCTCTGCAAAATTCCAATGGCAGAGTTTAACAATTAGACTTGATACATAGAACGTTAGAATCTTCACGGCTTGACTTGCGTGGCTCACACCTGTAGTTTGCAACTTCGGGTGCAATCCCCGATTCAGAATATATACACTTTTCTGTTGATGTAATTCCATTCGGGTCTATCTTCTGTGCATGTATTTCGAAAGCCTCGTTTGAAGATGGAGTTACATAGGTAGTATTCTGTGTGCTAGGCAGAGCTCACCTTTCATGGATGTACTAGGTCGGTCCTGGGCAAATGCCAAGATATAGGGATCTTTCCGAGGGTTGAAGCCCAGAAGTATTCACACTGCTAAGGCAACCACTACCACCACCACCACCGAGAGAAAGATATATGCCGCAAAGGTCCTTAGACACTTAAGACTTATCACCTATGCCTTAAGAGTTAAGATACATATATGATACCGTTTATACTCCGTAGACCAGCCCGGGCCCGGTGGGCTAACTGCGCCCAGGGGCGGCGGCGGGCCCCGAGGGCTGAGCATGACTAATGACAGTCTCACGTGTAGGCCTCGGTTCCCAACAAAAAAGGAAATCGCGCCAGTCGTCATCTGTGATCGGCAAGCTCGGCGTTGAATCTCAGTGATTGTGAATTGGCGTCAATTGCCAATGTCATTCCCCCCATGTACCCCGTGTACCCCGTCTTTCCTTAAAGTGCTATGATCAAGTCTGCCAGATCTTCCGATCCCATCTTCCTCACCTCTAGATGAACCATATACCCCTGTCATTCCTTATCGGTGTACCTGGACGGACTGAGAGAGTATCAGATCTACTCTCCTGTGTTGATACTATTGTGGCCTAATTCCCAAGCCTCTACCTTCCTTGAAACCTTTCTTCTTTTCCTATTTGTCTTCGAATCACATCACAAAGTCGGCTATTCCGGCGCCACCTCGAATGGAGACTATGCGTGAGATACTAGCAAGCGCAATGTCGCTCGCCTCATGGAGAACCCTAGCCTTGATTCTGGCAGTTATCAATTTGAAAAGTCTCCCATTCGTCTGGCATGTAAGTATTCCCGTTCCCCTTGTATGGCCGTCAGGTTTAAGTTTTGCTCGCGTGCGAGGGTGGAGGTGTTTTTCTTCACGGTTTGTTACACTACTAACCGAGTTACCAGTTCCGCCTGCTGTACCACGTCCTGCGCAACGTTCGTCTGAAACCGAGTGCCCCATTCCTTTCCAAGGGAGTGGCAGCTGTGGATGCCCAAGGCAAACCAACACATCCTCTGTTCGTGCCAAGCATGGTTACATCTCGCACGCCATTGCTGGAGACCGACTACAACTTGCACAAGTCCAACAGCACGTACTTCACCGACTTGGATGTCTCGCGTACAGCATTAGTGAGCCGAATTTACAGTCCCGGGGTGGGCTTGATCAGCAAAGAGCTAGACCGAGAGTTCCTAGCCGCAAGCAAGAAGGCCGGAAAGCCTGCGCCCAGGCGCAAGCCAGTCTTGATTGTGCTTGGATCCGTCTACTGCACCTTTAAGCGTGAGATCAAGCCATTTGAGCTCTATGAGATGCACTCCAAGGTTATTTCTTGGGACAAGAAGTGGATGTACGTCCTGACCTGTTTCATGCGGCCTGCGCGCCGCAGCGGTGGCCAAAGGAGGTGCTTGCTGTCGCTGTCAGCAAGTATGTGGTCAAGAAGGGCAGGCTGACGGTACCGCCGGAGCGAATTCTGCGTACCGGCGGGTTCCTGCCTGCGCCGCCCCCGGAGATCGAGGGCAAGACCGCCTTAGCCGATTCCTCCGCTGAGACTTCAGGCGATGAGACTCCTGGTAATGGCGAAGGCATTACAGCCACAGGGGACGTCGATGGACCATTGGTTCAGGAGGTGTTGAAATTGAACGATGATCAAATCCCAGGCCAGGAGGCTCTCGAGAAGCAGCAGCAAGAGAATACTGACTCTTGGAGTGCCAAGGAATGGACCTGGGAGCGCATTGAACAGGAACGGTTGCGGGGACTGAAGGTCGTCGATGGATATACCGATCTGGATAACAAGCTAATCGACGAATGGGCGGTATAGGCTCCAGGATCTAGATAGATGATAATCATATTACCTACAACATAGACGGTGATTTAAGCCCCAAAATGACCTCATTAGGCTGATTTTGAACCAAATTTAGACCCGGAGGATCAAAACAACATGAACGGACCCTTCGTATATCCAGATCGACAGATCCCGCTCTTGATCGAGCTCGTCCCATACATGCACATTTAGACATAAAATCAGAATAAGCGTCTAGTAGAACAAGTAAACATACTGTGTAGCTATGTACCAGGATCGAGTAATTCATAATACAATCGGTACTCGGCAGATCACCGTGGCGCACCCCACAGGGCCACAACGAGACGGGGTGGGTGCGTTGAAAGGCACAGATAGCCAGGTATCGATAATCGGAGTGGCGATGTATCATATCATACATACGTTAGTAGGTAACTTAGAGACTAGTGACTACTAACATCATAGGACAAAGAACGATGGACGTTGGTTGATCACTGATCTCATTAATATTTATCAAGGGGCAGACGATATCTTCGGGTCCGAATCGTCCGATGGTATCCGAGAGAGGCTGTGTTGTATGGGCTGTAACAATACGCTATCTAATCCTGACTTATCTATGAAAAAAGCTGTGTAAATTTGGTAACTTACAGAAAGTACGACATGATCCGGACTTTAAAGGTATTGTCATCACATGACAAAGCAGCGAAAGCTTCAGGTGCTTTGACCAAGCTCTATCTCAACCGTCTTGGTATCACAATTGCTTCGTTTCATTTGCTTCATCTCATTTACTTCAATTAGCCATCATCTGAACGCCCTTTCACGTGATTTGGTGAGTCTCTTGAGTCTTGATACCTTCGTGGATATTGTCTGTTTCTTCACCCCTGTTTGAAACCTGAGAATCTTTTACCCGTCCGAGACCGGAATATGATACAACTCATTTCGCGGCTCTCATGCGCGCCCAGGCCAAAGTCCACTTCTAATCGGACGATTCCCACCCTTCCCATCATCGCACTCTGATTTGTCCAACTTGGAGCCCATCATTCCTCACCCTGTTCCCACCTCTGCCCCTACCTCCTTTCAGTCATGCCATCGTGCACCGGTCCACTTCGAGCGTCCCCGTCATCTGCATGATTGGTTCACTTTTGGTACTGCGCACTCCTCATCTACCCTTTCCATGAGTACCCAGCGCTGCTTTTGTCGTTCTATTGGAATGATCTTTTGTGCTGGACCCGTCTTTTGACTACACTCCTTACAACAACTTCCCGTCCCTGTTGTCATTCTTCCCCAGCGACGAACCAATTATTGTTTGTTTTCCATTGGCGTCGTCTTGACTAAGACTTTTCTCTTCCCCGTTAGTCTACGGAAGAAAAAACAATCATCCGAAGGAGCTTATCGCAATCGTCCAACTACCTCCGTTGTACACTACAGAGTGTACCCGACCACCTTCACTAGTAGAAGGTGCCCTTTTATCCCAAGAACATCACATACCTTTTCGCTCGGTCGAACTACCTTTCCGATTTCCCCGACCGCTGGGAAATACTCCCCTTTCGCCGTCGATCAGCGGTCGCGCCATTCGACGACGGCAACTACCGCTGCATCGTTTCCCGAAACCTTTTTCGGTCGCCCTCGATGATGGCGGCAACACTTGACCAGTCGCAGCGTGACTCGCTCGCGGCTGGCTCCATCCTCGATTCCGCCTCGATCACACCGCCGCACAGTGCCACGGGCAAGAAGGAAGTGCCCGAAGGAGTGCCTTCCGATTTATCTGATCTTGAGCTTGACCAGCGAACTGCACCAGAGCTCGATACAGCCAAGATCGATACCGATATGGAAGGGACAGAGCAGAAAGCCGAGGAGGTTGAAGAAATCGAACCCGATCATTACTATGGAGGCGGCAAGGTTCCTGTTTTCAAGCCGGTGAGTACAACTGCTATGCCCGGTTGCTTGAGTGCGCAGCAGTGGAAGTATTTGCTGTTGTGGCAAATCAGGCAGTAAGTCCTGCACATGATTGGAGTCAGACTGACGAGGGTTTTGTTCTAGACGATGGACCAATTCCGTGACTTCCAGGGGTTTATCAATAAGATCGACAAATATGGCATGCAGGCAGGCATCGTTAAGGTGATTCCTCCAAAGGAATGGTGAGTTGCTTTATCTCGAATTGTATCGATGCTTTGCTGAACACGTTTTTCTACATAAAGGTCCGAGTCGCTTCCACCGCTCGATGAGGCAGTCAAGAAAATCCGGGTGAAGAACCCCATCATGCAAGAATTCCACGGATCCTACGGCACATACACCCAGGCCAACATCGAACGCCAACGCTCATATAATCTTCCCCAATGGAAGGGTCTTTGCGAAGAAAGCAGCCACCAACCACCTGCACGTAGGGGAGAGAGACGCCGAAACCAAGAACGCGTCAATCGTGCCGCCCCAACTCCGCGGCCTCCGTCTGCCCGCCCAGAGGGCCAGAAGCGCCGACCAGGCCGTCCTCCGAAGCGGTCAAATCAGTCTAAGATCAAGGAAGAACCTCCTGCCGATGATGCCGAAAAGTCCAGACTGGAGGGTCCTCCGACGCCTGTATCACCCGAGACCAATCCCGTGCAGCCGAAGACCGAAGATTTGAGTGAAGGCGAGTCCCTGCCTACCACAAAACCAAAGGGACGACAGCCTAAGTCTGTGACCTCCCGTCGCAAGAATAACCGCGGGGAGACCGCGGAACAGGTCGACGAGGAGGCGTACAAGGGCTTTGATTACCGAATCCAGGACCACGAAGAATATACCGCAGAAAGATGCGAGGAGCTTGAGACGAATTACTGGAAGTCCCTCATGTACAACAATCCCATGTACGGTGCAGACATGCCAGGTTCGCTCTTCGAGGATTCTACCGAAACTTGGAATGTGGCCAAATTGCCGAATCTCCTCGACGTATTGGGGCAGAAAGTACCTGGAGTCAACACTGCCTATCTTTATCTGGGAATGTGGAAGGCTACCTTCGCTTGGCATCTGGAGGATGTGGATCTGTACAGCATCAACTACATCCATTTCGGCGCCCCAAAGCAATGGTACAGCATCTCCCAAGAAGATGCACCTCGGTTTGAACAGGCCATGCGCAGTATCTGGTCTAGCGATGCAAAGAATTGCGATCAGTTCCTTCGTCACAAAACCTACCTCGTCTCGCCTAGTCTGCTCAAATCACAATATGGAATTACGGTCAACCGATTGATCCATTATGAAGGGGAGTTTGTCATCACCTTCCCATACGGGTACCACTCTGGATACAACCTCGGATACAATTGCGCAGAGTCAGTCAATTTCGCGACCGAGCAGTGGTTAGACTATGCTCGCATCGCAAAAAAGTGCCATTGCGAAGCAGACAGTGTCTGGATCGACGTGGATGAGATCGAGCGCAAACTACGTGGTGAGAGCACACCTGAATACTATGGTGAATTCGAAAACGAGTTCGATGGGTTCGAGGGTCCTACCGACCTTCTTACACCACCGCGCAGTGTGCCTGAGAAGACATCCACTCGTGGCCGAAAGCGGAAGAACCCGGATGACGGGCCGAGCACCAAACGACCCAAAATCCACCCCGCTGGACCGCGGAAGCTACCATGTTTGCTCTGTCCTAATGACCTGGACTACGAGGATCTTCTTCCGACGGAAGATGGCAAAGGACACGCACATAGGCGGTGCGCAGCTTTCATCGAAGAGACCACAATTCTCCATGATGCGTCCGGCCGTGAAGTTGTGTGTGACATTGATAAGATTCCCAAGGCTCGTCTGGGTCTCAAGTGTCTATTTTGCCGCGAAGTCCGCGGTGCCTGTTTCCAGTGTAACTTTGGCAAATGCACGCGCGCTTATCATGCAACCTGTGCCCTCTTGGCTGGCGTACAGGTTGAACATGGTGCAATTGCCGTGATCGCCGATGATGGCTGCCAATATTCAATCCCGAGCGTCGATCTGAAATGCAAATTCCACCGTCAAAAGCGACCGAGTGGAGTCCTCAGTGAATCATCCGACTTGGATCGCCGTGTGATTGAATCAGCTCGTCGATTGGTCCAAGGAAATTTGATTCAATTCCAAGCCGACAAAGAAATTAATGGCGCCATTGTCCTTGAGAACCGTCATTCGGAGCGAAGTCTTTTGCTCAAGGTACTCCCAAGAGGGTAAGTTGTGATGTTTTTTTTATCTCCTACATTGGGATCCACCTTTTTTTTCCCTCTCTCCCATGGTTCTAATCCCGACCGACGCTAACAAAATAAATACAGGGACGTGATCGAAATGCCTTATCGCTGGATGCTCGTTGTTCGCAAGAGCAATTTTATCCCCCTCGGACTTGGAATTCAACCCCTCCCAGCCCACCTAGCGCGAAAGCCCGAACAGCGAAAAGAGTTAGAATCAGCGGTACCGGCGGCAGGAAGTGCATTTGGCGATGCGGGATCTCCCTATCAGTGGGCCGAATTCGAGACGGTGGATGCAACTAGGAACGAATTTGCCCCACTCAGTACGGTCAACCTCCAGCCGGGCGAACAAATGTGGTATTATTTGGGCGCGCAGTCCACCGAGAGTAGGGCACAGTATACACACAACCCTAGCGTGTCCATCCACAACCCTCGGGCCAATTTCCTGGACAGCGTCAAGTCGCTTGGCGTTGGAGTCACCGCTCGTGCATCGAAGATCTCACCCCACCACCAGTTTCATTATGCTGCCACCGCCCCTGCCCCTCCCTACCAGCGAAACCTGCAAAACCAGCAAAATCTTTACCAACAAAAACATCAATCGAATGTCAACTCCCCTCACCTACAATCCCGACCGCCCTCTTCTGCCTTGCAGCACCTCGCCCCTCCCCCTCCCCCTATCCCTGCTGCCCGTGCTGCTGCTGCTGGAGCTCCTGCGATGCCGTCGGCCTTTCGAACTCTACCCAATCAGTCTGCCCGTCATGCACCCTACCCTTCGGTCGCCAAGTCGCACGCTCAGCAGCAGCATCACCTGCCATCTACCAGTACCTTCGCCAATGTCCGCGAACTTATTGCCCGCCGCCGCCTAGCCCAGATTACCGACCATGCCAATGTCTTCGCCGGTTACAACATCGTCAGCCCGGAATTGGTCGTCGAAACTCTGCTGGGTCCTATGGGCTCAATACCACCCGCCAATGGACTCGAGAAATTGGAGCTGGCCATGGCCCAGCAACGGGTGCAGCCGCGGGCTGCGGATGGGACTCTGCTGCCACCCCAGACTCTGAACATGCGGTCGGAGGAGGTCACTCGACTCCTTCAGATGCTCCGGTTCTCGCTGGTCAGCCACCGTGAGCGACTGGATGTGATTCAAAAGAAGGAGTCGGAGGGCATTAAGCTGGAGACCATTGATCGTGGCAGCGTGGCGGCGGCTAAGATGCCGGGGAAATATGCCTACCTTGATCAACAGCGGTCATTGGCACCCAATGTCTACCAGTCGCCCTACAACATGCCGTCGGGCCTCTCTGAATATGCCAAGAGCACATATGGATTGGTTCCTGCGGCCGATGACCCGCCAAAGGTCTCATTGGCCAATGATTACTTCGACAGTTTGTCGCCAGAGCTTCAGCAGAAGATCGTCAAGGCCTGTGGTAGTTCCGTGCAGCGAGCCATCGCGCGATCAACCAGTCACAGCCGGCAAAGTTCATCCTCAAATCTCCGGTTGTCAGCCGCTTTGGCCCAGCAAACGGAGAATCCGACCATCGACATCACCACGGTGGAGGACCCTCCCATGTTGTCTGGTCTTGACATGCCACTCCACGCAGATTCTCCATGCTCCAGTTTCGGTCGGTCGCATCTGCGATTCCAGTCGCCGAATGAGTTCCCCATCCATGGACCGGACCCCCATCCTGACCACCACGATCTCTTCGGAGATCAACAAGCGAACACTCGTTTCTGGCAGAACGGGCCGTGGGTCACTGGTGATGGCAACACTCCGAATGAAGAGCACCGGCCATTCTTCGGTCCACATATCTTCGGACCGCACGAACGACTGAAACATGACTATGCATCATCCGACGTATCCATGGGCAAGGGACCTGGATCCTTGCACTCCGTTGACATGGCAGGCTTTGGCCCCGATCTAAACGATGACCTCGGCCTGAGTCCGTAGATGTCGCGTCACCTTTTTGGCTTTTTTGTCCTCGCGTTTACTTCCCTCTGCGACTGTACCTTGCATATATCATGTAACGACTTCACCGGACTGACGACACTGCATGAACGGGCGTTTTCTTTTTCTATTTTTTTCCCACCTGCTTCGGACCTCGACGATCGTTCCGTTACTACGGGTCATGTTTCTTCTACGAAACGGAGTTGGCACTAGCTGGCTGGTCACGACTCAGCGCATTCTTATTTCTTTCGATCATTTTCATCCCTCTTTTTCCAAGTGCGGCGACATTCGCTTGACCCAAAAGGCAGTCCGACTGGCTACTTTGACTGAGTGGTCTCATAGATGGAGTTCAACTTGCACGGTTCCTTTGCGGCCGAAAAAAAACATCCTACCAGCCTTCTTCCCATCTCCATCTCTCTTCATCTTCGCCCCTTTCAACACTCAGGGCCTACTTCCGCCCACATCTCTCGACTGATCTCCCCCATGTTTCCATTAGATATCTGATCAAACAAGAAAAAAATTACTTTTCTTCCCCAGCGCGATCACTGGATCATATTTGTGCTTTACCCCTTTGATACCCCCTCCCCTTTTACCCCTCTCGCCCTCCAACCGCCGGCTTGATGTGGATCTGGATTTAACCTCCTTGATCCACGTGTTTTCTCCCGGCTTTCTTCCCCCGTGTCAATATATCCTGGCGCTCATCGATTGCTCAGTTCCTTGAGATTTCCCCTGGAGCCTTTGCAGCATGTTCTTCGATGTGGCAGCCGTCACCTTGCGTGACCTTGATGTATGTTTGCAATGGAATTATTCCAATATTCTTTCTCTCGTAGATCGTCCATTGGACTTGAGTAGCTGTGCTTTTAGTCTTTCGTAATCTGCTGGTGTACAACCACGTTGAATTCACCCAGCCATCCACTACTTCCCGCTTCAGGCAGCGTTTAAATATCTCCAAGAGTGTCCACTCTTCGAAGCCCAAACTTCCCCACAGTATCTCAGCCCCCGCATTGGAGACAACCTAGTTGACAACCGGATATGGGCCATGGCTGTTGCCCGTAGTATTCCGTACTGGCAATCGAGTCAGTCAGTGTCTTCGCCAGTCACCGAAATGCATAAAGACCGGCGAACATTGTCTAGTACTGTATACTTCCATGTCCTCCTTCCATGGTCTATATACCCATTGCCGCGCTCTGGGTCAAAATGCATAACAAGTTTGACTCACGGGACCCCGCTGCAGATCTTTCCCATGATGTCAAGTCTCTCCGCTCTACCGAGTTGTATCTTGTCCCTACGAAGTCGACTGTACCGAAGAGCCCGAGGGGAGAGAATACCTATTGAGTCTATGTTGTACACCGATGTACAAGCTGTGTCAGCTGTGAAAGAAGCAATAAGATAAGGGAGGAATAAGATCATCGGATGTTTGTTTAACATGATCCTGCAACAATGCTGATCTTCAAAACTCAATGGCTGTGAGCAAGTTCCCCCTTGGCCCCCGCGTGGTACAACCGCGTCGGGTTAATTATCCTTCAAAGCACCTGTCATAGAACCCAAGGAGACACGATTACATGCCCTTGATATCATAATGAGCGTGCCAGGTGAAAAGTAAATAAAAAGAAAGACAGGGGGGAATAAAGTGGGTCAAAGAGGAGAAGGCCTTATCTCGAGATATCTCGAGAAAGCCATTAGCTCATAAGCAAACTTGCGTGAAGGAGGCTGAAACCTACACGAAGCTAAAACAGTTAAAACTGCTTATCATTTGCTTTTGCCTCAGATCTCTCTTTATATAGCGCGGTCTCGGACCGCGCCATGTCTTCCATGCGGGGTTGCATTCCAAGGTTCTTCCTTTGAAACCTTAACGTGATCTCCAATATCCTTGAATAACTATCCTTAACGATCACCTCGACTCACATCCACCTCACACTCTCACTTACTTCTCCAACTCACACATCATGAGAAGCTCCGTGGATGCCTCAGCCGACGAGGCGTTGGCCCGTATGGGCTACAAGAGCGAATTACCACGTAATCTAAGCATGCTGAGCATTCTGGGCCTCTCATTTGCGATTATGGCCGCCCCTTTTGGACTAAGCACAACCCTTACCATCGGCTTATCAGACGGTCAGTCGGTCACGATCCTCTGGGGCTGGGTATTCGTCACTCTCATCTCCACCGCCATCGCCGCCTCCCTCGCCGAGATCTGCGCCGTATATCCCACAGCAGGAGGGGTCTACTACTGGAGCGCGATGCTCTCCACTCCCCGCTGGGCACCGCTGATGTCCTTCATTGACGGCTGGCTGACCCTCGTTGGCAACTGGACCGTTACGCTGAGCATTATCTTCTCCGGCGGTCAGCTAGTGCTCAGCGCGATTTCTCTCTTTGACGAATCCTTCGTCGCCAATGAATGGCAGACCGTGTTGATGTTCTGGGCAGTCATGCTTGTCTGCGCCCTGGTCAACATCTTCTGCTCGCGCTATCTCGATCTCATCAATAAAGTATGTATTTTCTGGACCGCAGCCAGCGTGATCATCATTCTCGTCACACTATTGACAATGGCCGACAACCGCCGCGATGCCGAGTTCGTCTTCGGCCACTTCGACGCCTCGAATAGCGGCTGGCCCTCCGGATGGGCCTTCTTCGTTGGTCTGCTGCAGGCGGCTTACACCTTGACCGGCTACGGGATGGTCGCAGCCATGTGCGAAGAGGTGCAGAACCCACACCGCGAGGTGCCCAAGGCAATCGTCCTCTCCGTGGTAGCTGCGGGAATCACCGGTCTACTCTATCTAATCCCTGTCCTATTCGTCATGCCCAACGTGCAGATGCTGCGCGAGGTAGCCAGCGGCCAACCGATCGGCCTTCTCTTCAAGACCGCGACGGGCTCAGCGGGTGGTGGCTTTGGACTGCTTTTCTTGCTTCTGGGGATCATGTTGTTCGCTGGAATTGGCTCTCTCACGGCCGCCAGTCGCTGCACGTACGCCTTTGCCCGCGACGGGGCGATCCCGGGCTTCAAACTCTGGCGCCGCGTGAACGAGAAACTGGACGTGCCGGTTTGGGCTATTGTGCTGTCAGCTGTTGTGGACGGTCTGCTGGGATTGATCTATTTCGGCTCCAATGCTGCATTCACCTCCTTCACGGGTGTGGCTACCATCTGCCTGTCGACCTCGTACGGTCTGCCGATCTTGATTTCTTTGATTCGCGGTCGTCGCGATGTAAAGGGCTCTTCGTTCTCCCTTGGTCGATTTGGGTTCGTCATTAACTGCATTACCATTGCATGGATCGTTCTGGCTATTGCGCTCTTTTGCATGCCTTATACATTGCCTGTTACCCCCGAGTCGATGAACTACGCCAGTGTTGTGTTTACTGGCTTTGCTGGTATCAGTCTTTTCTGGTACTTTGTTTATGCGCGCAAGCACTTTACTGGACCGCCGGTCAACCGTGAAGAGGCTCGCGTGGTTACGGAGCTCATGACGGGCACTCCGGTGGATGTGGAGAAACCACTCGAGGCGATGAAGAAGGGTTCGGTTGAATAGAATGTACATAGATTGTACACTATGACATTTGCCGCAATTTACAAGATGAATCTAATGACCAGTCAATCATTTGAAACCACATATCAACATAACATTGGCTTCTTCCTGTACTTTCAGCTGTTAAATGATACGGAGTAACTCCACAGAGCGCAATCACAAGTGCCCTGACGATCGCCGAGAGCCGCGGTCCAACGACACGCGCCACTTTTTAGACATTTAGACTTAGTAGAATCATAGAATGTGTTTCGTCTGTAATTCCTTAACATTCGAGTTAGTTAATTGGGCCTAAATCCTCTTCTCGCATAAAATCCGGGGAAAAGACAACAATCCGGACCATCGCAACTTCCGAAGGGACAACAGGGGAGAATCTCCTATCGGCATCCCACTCAATTCACCCCCCCTTCCAGCATCCCTGGGGAAAGAACCTCGATAAACGATATAATCCCCCCCAGTCCTTCCATTTACACTTATCATTCCCCATGAGGACCCGCACAAACTCATGCCCAACCCCGCTCCCATGAAGATAGGGACCGGACCGCTTATCGCGTCATGTCGGACTCTGTAGGTGCGTATTTACTTCTGCGTCCTGATCTACCAAGCTTAGCAACTGACACCTGGCGCATTACTAGATCGAGTCTTTGTTCATGCCCTCAATACCGTTAAGAGGATTCCCCGGACCGGCACTGCACGACCTCCTGCCGCCCAGCGCTTGGCCCTCTATGGCTTATACAAGCAGAGTATGGGTAAGTCGCAGCCCTTGCCATCGAGGATATGACTGCGGACGGGGGCTAATATCGAATGGTACAGAGGGGGATGTGGAGGGTGTAATGGATCGACCGATTGGGAACACACCGGAGGTGCATGCGGAGTGCGAGAAATGGTATGTTGGATGGCTAATGCTTTTCCTCTCTGAAGCCAAGAAACAGACAACTAACAATGTCTCGGATCCTAGGGATGCCTGGTACGCGCAGCGCGATCTATCCCGCACCGAAGCCAAACGCCGCTACATCTCCACGCTAATCAACACAATGCACGAGTACGCCTCGCAAACACCGGACGCGCGCGAGCTAGTCTCCGAGCTAGAGTTTGTCTGGGACCAGATAAAATACAACGCCTCCTCATCCTCCGGCTCCGGTCGTCTGAACACCGTCGGCGTGCCGCCCTTATCGCGCAGTGCGTACGGGAGTATCGGGAGTCGGCTAGCACAGTCCGAGGAATTCGACCGTCCCGATCGACGGACAGATACGAGTCGCCGGGACCGTGATTCCCGGCTACGGGTTCTCAGCCCCGTTAGCCAGCCAGAGGAAGAGGAGTATTACCGACGACGAATGCGGATTGACGACGACCAGCGTGATGAGGAGGACGACGAGGAGGACGAGGAGTTCGAAGAAGCCCGTGATAGCTTATACGAAGCACAAGCAGACGATGACGACCGCTCTGAGCATAGCACTACCACACACTCAAACACGTATACTAATTCCGAGCATTCACATCGACGGCCGCCGCATCGCCGGAATACGGCTTCCGGGGTTAGTTTGGATAGTAGTCGGAATGGGAATGTGCGGGATTCAGCGTCGCAGTCTGGGAAAGATACTCGCTGGCGCAGACGAGTCGAGCAGGCCTTGACGAAGATGACGGCTGAGATTGCGGCTGTGAGGGAGCAGATGGAGGTTCGGACTCTGGCGCAAAGGCGCAGGTCTGGGCTGTGGGCTTGGTTGAAGTGGATTGTTTGGATTGCTGTGCGGCAGATCTTGTTTGATATTGCTATGCTCGGTGGTCTGCTGATTTATATGCGGTTGAAGGGGGACCGACGGGTCGAGAATCGGCTTAAGACGGGCTGGGCGGCGGTTAAGGCGAGACTTGGGAGGATTAAGCTCCTGAAGGTAATTGATATGCCTATCTTGCCGTGAGCTTCGTACGTGAGGCTTCTTTCTTTTCTTCATTCTTGGCTCGTTGCATCTTTTTCTTTCCCTTTGGCATTGTTTACACTTAGATACTCCCACTCTCATCGGCCTTGGTGTCCTTGTTTACTTTCTTGTCTCTATTTTCTTTTCTTTTGTCCAGTACATACGGGTTTCAATCTCAGGTTTCCGGGAGTTTTTTTTCCTATTCTACTTTTGTTTTTTTCTTGGGGGGTGTATGATATATGTGCTGAGGACAGGTCAATCACATCCATCATTCTATGTGATTGGAAGTTGCGGTCATTCGGATGAGAGGCTTCCATAGATGGACGGTTATGACATGGATCCACTGTCTTATAGACTTCCTTTTTCTGGCTTTACAGGTATTCCATACTCTCCACTACCTTACCATGTTAGGTAGAGGCCACCGAGGTACAACCAAGATCGGGAGAGCTCAGAAGGCTACATTTATGGAAGCTCTATGGTCATAGAGTGATTATAGAGAACTAAAGCATCCCGGTCATGGAAATCCTAATCTAACTAAGTCACTGTCCTCACAAGACTAGCCGAGCTTCCACGATGAGTCGTAAACAGCAGCCGTGGCATCATTTGGGACGAAAGACATGACTGGAGCATCCGTCTGCGGGCAGGCATAGTTGTTACCATAGCGAGATAGGCTCTCGAGGTTGCCACCATCAACACCAGCAGCATGGACCGCCGGCGAATACTCAAACACAGCCGGCATAGTCACAGCCATCCTCTCATATCCAACCGGCGTCGCCGTGGCAGCAACCATGGTGGCAACGAAAGCCACGAAAACAACCATAAACGGCATCCGTCCTAGCACAAGCAAAGCCGAAGCCGCAGAGACCGGGGCTGGGGCAGCTGCCGGAGGCAACGGGCGCGGTGTCGGACGCGTACTATGTTTAACCGTGTTATTGCCGAAGTTGGAACCAACCCAGGCATTCCAGTTCTGGATATCATCCACACATGATTCCGAAACTGACGCCCCACGCATCTCAGCAATAATCTTGCCCCGACGAGAAACAGTCACAATAACCTGCCCGGTACTGTTATCAAACGGCACGCTGCCATGATAAATCCCCATGGGACCATCCGGTTTATTCTTCCACGACCCATCCTGCAGAGTACCTCCAATATCCACCACCACCTCCACACCAGAATCAGACTTCAACAGCGCCGAATAGAACACATCATCTTTCAGCACCTCCGTCGGCGGGAACTCTTTCTGCCCATGAGTCTCGGTATTCCCCATCGTGCCCCCATTAACACAGGCCTTCCCAGGTGCCTGCCGGAACCAAACAGTAACACCTTCCTTGGCAATCTTGCCCTCACCACTCTTATACTGTTCAATAACATACGGCAGGAAATCGCGCCAGGCATCGTGCGGATGACCCGCAGCATAATTGTAGCTTGCATTTCCGCTCTCGAAAGTCGCATACGAACCCTCATGCAAGGGACCGATATAGTGCGATTCGCCGTAGTCGTTCCACGAGATGATCTCCACGAACTCCGGCTTCAGCGATAACACCTGCTGCCACCGGTCGTACCAGAGGTTATCTCCGTTCCAGATCCAGTTCTTGCCGTACCCCGGCAGGTTCGTGTAGAACCATGGCGAGACGGGCATCATGTACGGCAGGTCGCCGGTATCCTTCAGCCATTGCATGTAGGTGGAGTCTATGTAGGTGTTTATTGGGTCTGGGCCTTCGGGCCAGGCGGCCCAGGAGAAGAGACCGTCTGGAACGCCTGGTGCGACGGCTAGGGCGTCTTTGGCGCCGAGGGCGGACCACCCGGGGACGAAGAAGCAGTCTGTGTATTTTTTGATGGTGACCCAGTCTGTGGCGTTTTCGGAGCCTTCGAAGGTTGAGACGAAGGGTTTGCCTTTGTGTTGGTAGTAGGCTGTGTTGTTGCCGTATTGGCGTAGGAGGCCGATTACTTCGCCTTCTGGCCAGGGGCCGTTCCCGACGTAGTCGAAAGAGAAGAGCAGGTGGAAGTCTAGAGCGTTGGCGGCGGCGAAGGCATTTGTCAGGGAGCGGTTATTGGTTGGGAAGTTGTAGGCTATGTTTAGGGCGAAGGCGTCGATATGGGCCTTTTTGGCGTGCGCTATGTTGATTTCCCAGTCGAAGAGAGTGAAGTTCTCGGAGTTATATAGCTGGGTTGGGTTAGTTAGGGTTAAGTGGACATTGTAATATGAGAGTATATACCATGAAGTGGGCAAACACTGCTGCTGCCTCGGCGTAATAGACCCCTCTCCATAATGATAGCAAGAATATAATCGACTTCATGTCGACCAGGTTGTATAGTTGGGTTAGAGCCAAGTAGCACAGAATATAGAAGAGGAGAGGATTGAGGGTGGGTTTTGTATAAATATCTCGTCTTCACGTTCCACACGGGATTCAAGGAGGTTTGATACCTCCCCTCTTGTTTGCCTCGATGTCTATAGATCTATAGATAGATGCCGAAGGTCCGCTATTGCGTATGGCGGGACCTGAGCGTACCTAGCCCTTGGCTTCTCCGCTAGTATAACTTTCGTACATTCCCTCGCATATCAACATCGTTGTAGATGCTCCCAAATTCATAAGCTAGAGTTGAAGACCAGCCCCTGCCGAACCATGCCGTGCCAAAGACATTATATCTAATGAATCAAGTACACCCAGATTGTTTCAGATCATCTCGATACCTTCAGTTACACCAGTCGGAAACCACCGGACATGGAACTCAATTGCACACCTGGAACCCAGCCTGAACCCCTGCAATTGAGTCAGGCGGAGGACGATGAGGTAAATGGATCTATTCGGAACATAAGATGTAACGGATGAACAGCTTTGAGTGCAGCCCCTGCAGAAGGGTTGATGCTAAGGGTTTGCAGCCCCGAAAGTAGCCTGGTCCAGATCTAGATTTTGAAACTGTTATTCCGATGGGGCCTGTGATCGTAGACACCAGACCTGTTGGAAGCATTGTCGGTAGGGCCACATAACGGTTATAACGGTATGCTGAGTACCAGATACCCCAGGGATTGAGGAAGCCAGTGGTTGGACGGTAAAGTCGATATGCGTACAACATCTCAAATTGATTATCGCATAGTCAGCGGCATCACGGAACGTCGGAAAGCAGTTATAATGGCAGCCTACTGTATATGACAGCGGGATTTTCGCTGCCTGCCTGAACTCATCACTGACGCGGACAAGTTGGACAGGATCGGAATTCTGATGGAAACGTAGATAGGACCTGCTGTATACCCAGTGAGACCCTGCAGTGCATCCCGTAAGCCTGGAAGATTGGTCAACATAGTCAGGTCTCCCCGAGAAGGAGTGTCAGTATGTACATAGTACGTCCGAGATGCAATGTGCCTAGAGCTTTGATTGCGATGATGCCCACATATGCACCCAGCCGAGGACGTTTTCGAGTGGACAGCGTTGAGAATGTACTACAAAGTAGCTATTGCATGTTAATTGCAGACATCGGAAGAAATACGTGGTGCGCCACGCAGGGTGAGCAAAGCGGGAGCTTGGGAATTGAGCAGAAAATCATGTAACCATTGATGATGCCAAGAGATATTTACACAAACAGCGACCGGATTCATGGTCGAACATCCAAATAGAACAATGAGATAGGAAAAAGACGTTGCCCGGGTTGTAAGAGAACAGGGTGAGGGTGTAATCGAGGCGAGTCTAGAAAGAACAAAGTAAACCGGGAAAGTGTTTACCACTGAGGACCGGGGTACTGTGCGTATTTTTGCTTGGGACGCAGGTGAACAGGAACCTGGTTCTCGGGGGCACCAGGGAGGGTCTTCTTCAAGCCCTACAAGAAACAAGAAACATGAATGTTAGCTATAGTCCTGTACTGCCGGATGCGATGGATGAAGGCATTTGCCACGATTAAAGCCAATGAGCGCGGAGATCATACCAGTTTGTCAAAAACACAGGTGTTGAGCTGCATCTCAGGCCTGCGGCATTCCCAGAGCTGGTGGTTGTTGTTCTCAAGGCACTCCCAGTGAGCCTTGAACTGATCGAGGCAATGGGTGTTGATATCCTTGATACTGTAACGGGTCAATATCTCCACCTGGAATTGGGTGCTTCTTAGAGAAGAGCAACATACACGCTCGCGGCACAGCGCGTCACCTTCCGACCCTCCTTCAAGCAGTCGATCTCCCCGCGGCCATTGGCCTCGTCCTTGCACTTCATGAAGTCGTCATTAAAGGCCTTGCAGCGGTCTCCAATAAAATAAGCTGCACTCATAAGAGGTGCAGATGTGGCACCGATCTCCTCGACCTTGGGAATGTGGTCGGGCATCGGGGTGGTGTCCACCAGGACGGTCTGGTTGAAGCTGTTCGCGGAGGCATAGGTTAGCGTTTTCACGTCCAGCTTGACGGACGTAAGTAATTGATATTGAAGGTGCATACCGAGCTTCTCTTTGAGACATGGCGACGGTTGTCAAAGCGACTGTGAGGGAAAAGAGGTGCAATTGGACAATACTTGGAGATCGAGAGCTGCGGGTTGCGGTGGAATGAAATTTGGCCCTTCGGTGATTGGCTGGCGGTTTGGTGATTATGTCAACATGGCTGGGCGGGCGGTGAGACTTTCAGCTTCGATAGAAGGTTACAGCGACATGGATACATCTGGCTCTAATAGTATCTGTTCAGGCGATAATCATTTTATTGATGAAATGAGCCGTAGTGTATTTCTCTATCAGCGTGATTAACTTGTACCTTGTGTATACAGCCTACATGGATGTGGACAATCAGCCACCTCGTATATCACGTGACACAAACAAATCGAGCTCCGGCTCCCATCTTTCTCGGCAGCTCCATCGAAGCACCCCTCAGCTTTCTCACCTTCAACCACTTACTGTAGTCTTCTGGACTATGCGCATTGGGCTTGTTTCTGATTCTCGTTACCGTGTTTAATCTGGCTTAATCAGTGCTTCATTGGCCCATTGACGCGCACATTCTTTATCGTGCTTTTTTTTTGCGGGAATATCCTTTGCCCTTCTTGATTGCCCATTATGTCTCTCTTTGGTAATACTCAGCCGCAAGCAAACACCTCGTTGTTTGGAAACACCGCATCGAAGCCGTCTCCATTCGGCGCTCCAGCAAGCTCAACCGGTACGAGCTCACTGTTCGGCGGTGGACAGAACCAGCAACCGGCACAAGCTGGAACAGGCGCATTTGGTGCGAGTCAGCAGCAACAGCAAGGAAGCTCATTATTTGGGAATGCCGCCAAACCCCAGACTTCCCTCGGCACAGGCCTTTTCGGGCAGCAAGGAAGCGCACTGGGTGCCTCGCAACAGAATCAACAACAGAATCAGCAAGGCGGCCTGTTCTCCGGGGGTCAGCAGCAACAAACGGGCGGTCTGGGAGGGCTTGGAGGTCTCGGTTCCAATAACCAACAGCAGACCAGTGCCTTTGGTGGATCGACTTTAGGCGGCCAGCAACAACCGCAGCAGTCGCAATTCGGCCAGAACACGATGACGACTCCGCAGCCCCAGCAGCAACAGCCTTCCCTCTCATCTAGCCTTTGGTCCCCCGGACGTGCTATCACTGGAGGTGAGCTTTTTACTGTATTCTCCCGCTATGATAATATTACTAACAAATGCTTTCCAGTGCACCGAACTGTTCCCATGCAAGTAGCGATCATTAAGGACAAGTGGGATCCGCCTAGCCAAAGTTCGCCATTCCGAGCCTATCTGTACAACAACGTCGGCGAAGAGGCGGCACCATTCTACCAACCAGGACCCCAGGACGACGAGAAGAAATGGGAGGAGGCTTTGCGCAAGCGCCCCGGTCCAGGATATGTCCCTGTGCTCGTGAATGGCTTCTGGGATCTCGGCAAGCGCGCGCAGCGGCAACGGGACTTCCTCACCATGATGCAGACACGTCTGCACGAAATCAACAACTGCTTGACTGGGCTTCTCTCAAAACATGATCTCAATATCTCTGTCAAGATCGCCGATTGCCGGCGGAAACACATTATCCTGAGCAAGCGATGCCTCGCCCTTGCTGCCAAGACACAGATACTGCGCAACAGAGGTTATGCCATGGATGAAGCAGAGGAAGAGTTGAAGAGGAAGCTGACTGAGCTGGAACGTGCCGTCTTCGACCCATCTCTCAATGGCCGTGCTGAAGAGATCTGGGCTCGTATGTTGGCCATTCACGAGCACTCCAAGCGACTGCAGGCGGAGATGGATCGGGTTGGTGTGAACGTGACACAGGCAGAGGATGACATTGACGAGGAGACGCTGAAGGTAGCGAAGAAGGTATGTTACCCTTGGAAATGGCTCAGTGCTAGACAAGCTCGCTAACCATATCTTCCAGATCCTTGAGCAATACCACCGTCAGATCCAGCACCTCCATAAGGAGATGGAGTCTGTCAAGGCTGACTTCGAAGCGGTGGAGAAAGCCACTAAGCAATAGGCGCACTTTATCACCTTTCCTGTACAATCCGAATCTCACTTCATTCACGTTCGGACTTAACGTCTACGGTCATGGGGGTATTGGCGTTCTTGGGGGCCATTTTAATGCATATCTGAATACATCTTCCGTTATTGAACAATTGATCGCAGTCAATCTTCATGTCACCAGGACACGATTCACTAGTAAGCATTGACCAGTAACTGCACATACAATAGGGTTTGTACACTTGATATTCGAATAACATTCGAGGCCAGAAACCGCAATTTCACCTGTACTAGTATCAACATCCCTGCAATCCACCAGAAGCCCGACTCTTGGCCGGATAACGGCGAAATCGGTAATTTGAGCTGGGGCTTATCGTGAATTGACTCAAAGAATTCCTTCCAAGTTCAATCAATTGATGGCTGTCGTTACACCTCCAGATCTCAACGCCTTTATCTGATTACCTTACTCTCCTCACCTCTACCAATTTCCTCTTACCTATTTCTTACCAGACTGCTTTTCTCACGCTACGGTGCTGCACGAACTCAGTGAACATGTCTTCCTCGGCCCCATTCACGGCATCGCCCACTTTCTCAATTCCCAGTGAACGCCTCTACATCTCTTACCTCTTACCTGACTCCCCCGAACACTGCGCCTTCCTCGTCAAGCTATGGAACACTGGGGAGTTCATCAAAACTTCCGGTCGTACCGGAATTGACACCCCGGAGAAGGCCTCGAATTTCCTTCGCAATCGCGTCCACGCAGACTATGCCCGAAACAACTACGGCATCTTCCTGGTCTCGCTTAAACCAAATGAGAACGCAACCCTGTCAGAGAGTACTCCCATCGGTACCGTGTCGCTCATGAAGGGCGATAGCCCGGATTCCTACCTGGCACCTGACATCGGGTATGCGATTCTGCCAGAGGAGACCGGAAAGGGATACGCCACCGAAGCGGCTGTTGCGTTGCTGGAGTATGCGCGCAAAGAACTCGGGGTGGATTCGGCATTCGGATTCTGTGCTCAGGACGACCGTCACAGCGCTCGAGTGTTGGAGAAGATCGGGTTCGAGTTTCGAGGCGAGAAAAAGCTGAAGGTCTTTGGAGGCAAGGAAAGTGCTGTCTATGTGCTTCCTGGGATGAGTCAGGACCTGACGGTTTACAACCTGCATGATTGAGAGAAAACGTTTGAGCATAGGCTTTATACCCCACAGGATTCAATGTCAACAACGATTGGGGGCGCCACACACACCATCAGAGGTAGTTTTGATGGAATCTCATTAAGGAAAGCTTGTCAGTTCAGTCAGGCTCGTCCCTGCGCTCGAGCGTATGATGTAAACAACAAAAACAGGGTACGTCTGCGTCGCGCGCATAGAGCGATCTCGCTCCACTCTTTCATGAATCGCATCGAGCGCCGCGGGCTGAAGGACGTCTTGCACTAGCTGAGCCACCTCAACACTGTCTGTCTGCAGCTGCGCCGGGCTCGAGCTCAGCGAATCATTTTGCAGCTTACGGATTTGTCTCAACGTCGTCCAGGAAGCTGTTGGCAGTCTCGCCATCTCCAACGTGAAGTGTGACTATGCCGATCTGCTCGCGCGCCTGCTCTCTGGCTCCGTGGTGGCGGAAGGTGGTAATGGAAGATGGGGTTATGAGGCTGAAGCGTTCGATGGTGCGGCTCTCGGGTAGGAGATGTAGAATATGGATCGTGGCACCAAACTTGCCGATAACAAGGAGCACGGAAGGACTGGTAGAGGGGGTGAATATGTTTGAAAGATGGGCAAGCATTGATTGTACGAGATATTGATTCTTGGTAGTAGAAGTAGTAGTTGCTATTCTGCTTCTATTCAATGCCAAGTTCACTGGCTTTGATAGTAAATGCAGGGGTATGCCTGTCACCTGACGGAGAACTTATGCCCAGCATCCTCTTCCAGCTTTGCTTCTTCACTCGCAGTTGTTGCCACCGAGAATCATATCGTCATGGCCGTACAGTTTTGTGAGGAGTGCGGTCATCTCCTACCAGTGTCAGCTGCGGACATGGTACCATGTGGACTCTGTGGGAAAGTCGCAAAGAGCATGTCTCTTCAAGCTGTTTAAGGCCTTGCTCTGAACTGACTATATCAAACTTGCACAGATACAATGCTCACTTACGAACGCGTATCTGAATCTTCAAATTTCCCATCGAGTCTACGGAACAAACTTCGCTCTCAAACACAGATAGTCACCCGAGAAGACATTGGCGACGGACCCATAACAGAAATGGAATGCCCTAAGTGTTCACATAAGAAGGCTACCTGGTCTGAAGCTCAGCTTCGAAGTGCTGATGAAGGAAGCACTATATTCTATTGCTGTATGAGCTGTCGCCATAAGTATGGGAAACACTCTCTGTTGGTTTCATAAGCTGACTTCTTTAGGTGGAAGCAAGACAATTGTACCTCTGTCCTTGGCATCATACAGGCCCTGCTTTCCAAGAAGATCTTGCACATGCGGCGAATGGGGATGATGTAGGTCACCCAACCTAAAAGATATTGATCGCACCCAAAGATGGGATGGAGGCGGGACGCTCAGATGTGTACTTCTTCACCGGTGGCTCTGCTGACAAGGGCATGGCACCTCACTATCCATTCTCAAGGCGGACGCTGAGCATGTCTTGTTCTAGGTTGCGCGGCTGGTCTGGAATTGCAATCTGCCCTAGACAGGCCGATTGAGACGCCAACTGTAACGTTTACCAGCTGTGCGGTCCCGACTTTGTTTTCCATGGATTCAATATATTGCATTCTGATTTGCTCTATTTTCAACAAAACACAAATGACAATGAGCTTGTACACAATAGTAATACATCATCTAGCTGGCACTACCAACCGAGTCCAAACGTATAGAGTAGAACAGCTTCGAGAGCGTTCTATAGATCAAACGATGATACTCCATCTTATCCGAACTCGAGTGGAAGAGTGCCGTGCCAGAGAAAAACAAAAATCAATCCGATCCTCGTGCATGATATCGCGAAATCATAACCAGCGATTCATTGATCGAGATTCGGGACGGACGAGGAAGCAAAGCGGTAGACGGGTCAACCCCTTAAAGCAGCTTGCGGAGGAAGTCGACGGCGAAGGGGGCTATAGAAGGTTAGTTGAGAACCTAGCAAGCAGTCTCCTCAAGTGGTCTTCGATGGTTTGCTCTAAGACGACATTGAAGGTCGGATCCTCGACTTACACAGGTAGAGCATGAAAGCACCGGCAATAGCCATGCGGACGTTCTGGCTGGCCTCAATCTCACCGGCCTGTGATGAGAGTTAGCATCGGATGGCTCTCAGATCAGAGCTGATGATGTGAATCTGACCTTCAACTCTTCCTTGGAGATCTGTTCTTGGCCTAGAGACAAGTTAGTTAGGGATCGACAGAACAGAGAGATATGGACTTGAGACGTACCTGGGGCAAACATTTTGAGTATGGAGAGTCGAAATTTGAAGAAAGACTTGTGATAATGTCCTAGATGAAGTTGATGTTGCAACTTGCTCGGAGGTCGGGGACAGAAAGAAATCACGGGAGCACAGACCACTCTCCTTCTCTCGTTCCCTGAGCTTTTGCCTTCACAACCCCCCTCGCTCTTTCCTCTCAGATCCGCTCGATTTCATCTTTTAGCGAGCTTTCATACTTCTCCCTCTGACCTTTTATCGGAAACACATCACCTGCTCGGTCCTGCTCTGTCAAGTGCGGGTTGAACTTGCCGAGAGGCGTTGGCATCCTGTACGCGGATAACCCAACCGTGATTTGCGATACACTACCTGACACATCTACTTCTCGCTAGTTCTTCTCTTACGTTCGAAATTTACTAAACGAAATGTCTGCGACTCCTGACCAGAAGGCCGCTTCGCCCGTTGCCTCCCCCGCGGCCTCGCCCGCTCGCGAAGTCCCCGAGACAGCCGCAACCCCGGTTGCTGTTGACAACGACGAAGACGCGAAGCCTGCTGAACCTATCGCTGAGACTGAGACGGAGGCAATTACGGAGGATGTTGACGATGGGCTTCACGATGGAAACGACGCTGACGAGAATGACGACGCCGAAGTATCAGACGACGAGTCTATTTTGTCCGAGGTCGACGAAGCGCAATTCGATAACTTCGACCCAGAGAACGTTGACGTTGAGGATCGACCGCAACTCGCCATCGATGAAGATAACCTGAAGCTCATCGGTCGTCATAAGCGCAAGCGCACCGAGGATGGCGAAACTCGTCCACGCCGTAAGGAGGGTCGACGTGAAAAGAAGAGCCGTCGAGCTCAAGATGAGGAAGGAGACGGAAAAGGCTCTCGCCGACGTGAGCGCAAGCAGCGCGAAGACAAGGCTGATACGGACGAGGAGACTCTTGATCCGGAGACCCGTATGTTTCGTTCACCGGCAAATAACCTTTTGCCCGGCATACATGACGCTAACTGAGCTCCGCTATTAGGTCGCCGCCGTGCTCTTGACCGTGCTATGGATGCGGCGATGAAGAAGCCGTCCAAAAGACGTTTCCGCAAGCAGGATGGCATTGTATGTGTCGCACTTGGTGACTCGCGTAGATTCACGTATACTGACTGTATATTCAGGATCTGGAATCCATGGCAGATGCCGAGATTGAGGATATGCGAAAGCGCATGACCAACGCAGCGCAAATGGACGCCGCCAACCGCCAAGAAGGGAAGCCAGCTATGCATAAGCTCAAACTACTCCCTGAAGTCCTCATGCTTCTCAATCGCAATCAGTATACCAGCGCCTTGGTCGACCCGGAGATCAACTTGCTGGAAGCCGTTCGATTTTTCCTGGAACCTCTCGACGATGGCTCGATGCCTGCTTACAACATCCAGCGCGACCTGTTGACCGCCATCACCAAGCTCCCGATCAACAAGGACGCCCTGATTGCCAGTGGTATTGGAAAAGTTGTTGTCTTTTACACGAAGAGCAAGCGCACTGAGCGACGCATCAAGGAAATGGCAGAGAAGTTGCTGGCAGAGTGGACGCGACCCATCCTCCAACGCAGCGATGATTATTCGAAGCGAGTTTATCAGGAAGCCGACTACGATCCTACGTATGTTCATTCCCATGCAATCTTTGTATCATCCACTAACACCTCCATAGGAAGGCTGTCAGGCGCACTGTTCCCACCGCCAGGGATATCGAAGCCGAAGCCTCTGCCCTCGCACTGCTACCTCCTCGTCTTCACAATCGCGCCCGTGTTGATCGCACTAACGTCAGCTACACTGTGGTTCCGCGCCAGACAGCTGTGCGGGAGACTCAATATGCTCGGCCTCTGGGTGCCAGCGGTGAGGATCGTTTCCGCAAGATGCAAGCCCGCCAGGTCGCGGCACGCAAGGCCTCTCGTCGGTAGATTCGGCATCTCGATTTGTAATAAGTTTCCATTCAAGCTGGCTTCGGCCACGTCCGTCATGTATTGAGACATTTCTTTTTTTTTTTTCGCGGTGTTTGGGCGTTTCGGGATCGATCGGGGATTGGTCGGGGTTTGATAGGGTGTCACCTACGCATTCCGAGTCTTCAACAGCATATGCAGTCTGATTCTGAGACAAATCAAAATTGACATTGAGATAACAGCAAGTAGCATCTTTAGCCTAGGTAAGTGCATAGGAACTAAACTATTAAGGAGTGGCCACTCCGAGCGATGCCGATTACCCCGAAGCAACGCCGGGATACGGCAAAAGGGCAGATCCCGGCGCCATCACACGTCATGCCACCCCCCGGCCTTTGCTTCCAGGTCTTATATCGGACACATTTCGTACTCTTTCTCTTTTCACCAACCCATAATAATTAGAACCCATTCACAATGAAGCTCCTAACCAAAGAAGAAGAAGACGCACACTACCGGTATGCCCAAGAATCCTTTCCCTCCAAAACCACCCTGATATCACCCCATACTAAGAAAACCCCGATAGCAACGTCGTCAAAGGCGGCACAGTCGGCGGCATCCTCGGTCTCGCCGGCGGCGTAGCAGGAGTCCTCCTCGCCGCCCGTCGCTACCACACAATCCGCGACCTCACCCTCCCCATGAAATCCTTCCTAGTAACCTCCGCCGGTACCTTCACGGGGATCATCGCCGCGGACCACGCGTCGCGCGCCTACGAGAACGAACGCAACGCCGCCTACCAATGGTACGAGAACCGCGAGGAGCGTCTGCGAGCGGAGGAGATGCGCGGCCTCACATTCGTCGACCGTGCGGCCGCCTTCGCCCGCCGCGAGAAATACAAGATCATTAGCGCCACCTGGGTCGCCTCCATGGTTGGCTCGTTCGTGCTTGTCGGACGTATCCCCGGTCTTACGGGACAACAGAAGCTGGTTCAGGCTCGTGTTTATGCCCAGGGCTTGACGCTGGGTGTGTTGTGTGCTTCGGCTGCTTTTGAGATCTCGGATCAGAGGAAGGGAAGGGGCATTTTGGATTCGAAGAAGAAGGCTGATGAGGCGAAGAAGGCCGCTGTTGAGGAGCAGACGCATGCGGATCGGGATCAGGGGGATTTGTGGAAGGATATGGTTGCTTCCGAGGAGCAGAGGTTGAGTTCTAAGCATCAGTCGCTATATGATCATCATGAGAAGCAGGAGGGTGCTACGGTGAAGGATGAGGGTGCTACGGAGAAGAAGGCCGAGGAGAAGGAGGATAAGTCCGAGAAGAAGGACCCGAAGAAGAACTAGAGGTTCTTATAATAATCTTCTTCCGACGTCTTCTTGTGTCCTGCGGTCGTCGATCGGGGTGTGAAGCAAATCTCGCCATCTACCTCCTCCCATAGAAGTTGAAAGCTCCATTGCACATGCATATCACGACTGGATATGTCTAGCGGTGGTCTTCATTCCTTCGATTTCGTCGCCAATACCTATTCCGCATGTTTCTCTTTCCAGCGTTCTCCTTCTCCTGGCTCAAGGGTTCGCACATCCCCAAAAGTGACATCTGCTTGACCGTGTTCCCGTGTATAATATCTCTCTCTTCTCTTAATGAAAATGAACCCATCAACAAATTGTTACAGCCAGTCACGTCATAATAAAGTATGTAAATTCATGTCTCAGGTCCTTGGTATGGGCGATATGTGTAGTAGAAAGCGGAAAATGATAATCAGACAAAGGCCCGAGGGCCAATGGTCCGAATAGCTATCTTACAGCCCAATTAGAAGGTCTCATCTTCCAGTCGCTCCATACGGCGGATAACACTTGGACTTTGCTCATCGTCAAACTCATCCGTAATCTCTCCAGCCCCAGCAGTAGCCAGCAAATCGGTTACAATGCGTTTGGAGGCTTCTCTCGCTGCGGAGGTAAAAAAAAGTCAGTCTTCAACCAGTCTGAAGTTAAGATATAAAGAAGTGAAAGAGCTTACCTGGTGTCCTCATCAGCCGGCTCTGCGGAATGTGGAATTGCATTGTCTTCGGGGGACTCGGGCCAAACTCGTCGTCATCGTAGTCCAAATCGTCGTCGCTTTCCCACATGGCTGACTTGCCCGCAGTCTTTCTAGCAGGTGTCAAAACACTCATGCCAGGCCTGGGAACGTCGCGCATGCGATTGCTGCTAGTCCGTCGCTTGCGGTGCGTGCCAGGGGTAGCATCGACGCCGCGAATAGGTGAAGAGAAAACCTCGGTGTGAAGTTTTGGTGCCTCTGGCTCCGGACTGGAGATCGGAGAGTCGTCGAATGCATACCTGGAGGTTGGCTCGGCTGGTTTCGGGGTGATGTTGAACTTTGATCGAGTGTTGGTCCCTCCAACGTTGCGAAAGCCCTTCCCCAGTGGCGTCGCTTGCACCCGATACGTCTTGTCGAGCATTTGGTGCAGTACCGGATCGGAGGTCTTTTGGTATCGACGGTCTAGGGTGGCTGGTTGGGATGCGGGCGGTAGGAATGGAGAGGACATGGGAGTTGTGGCGGAGACGCCGCGCGGGAAGAAAGACTGCCGGCCTGGCGTGGATGGGAGTGTCGAGGAGTCTGGCATGTCGAATGGGGGTGCGGATTCGTAGACTTCTTTTCTCAGGTTCTCGTAGGAGGAGGAATACTCCTCCATCGAGCCTGTCATGTCGTTGTCGGCCTGCTGATGCTGTCCCGGCGCACGCGGTGTGCTGTGTGAGGAGATTGCAAGTTCTGTCAGATCTAGGTCATCTGCTTGGTCCCGGTGGGGCGTTTCGTGACGTTCGGAAGAGGGTGTCTCGTGAGACATGGTCTCGTCGAGGGTGGTACTTTGGGTCACATCTGCGGATAGCTCGTCGTCCGTGGCTGTCGGATCCTGCAGGGTTTCTTCCTCGTTGTTTCGTTCTTCGTATCCGGATAGAGATACATTGGCGCTCGCTTCGAAGAATTGTTTCCAGAACTGCACCGGGTTAGCAAAGGTCACTATCGTTGTGTATGCTGGTAACCCTGACCTTGGAACCCTCCCAGACATCTCGGGAATGCTCCGTATATTGCTCTACCAGCGGTAATATACTCGTGGTAACTATCCGATGAGCTTGACTGAAATTCTGGTCGATTTCTGTAAAGAGATATCCGATGAGCGCGCTGTTGGACGACTTTGTTTACTCTTTGCCGTACCTTGAAGTGTTAGGGTGATGGACTGCTCCAATTTCTCGAGCTCCTCGGTTAGAGACAATGGCCTTTGGGCCTGAGAAGGTTGGCGAGACATGACGGGACCTTGCCAGTTCAACCGTGTAGGTACGATGTCGTGAGATGGGAGCTGGCCAACACGTCCATCACTTTCACGCGCGGGGAACTTTGCCAAAGCGGTGTGGCTTTGGTGTGACTGATAAGGGCTTATCAGAGTCACGTGGATTGATATCAGGCTAAGGAAGCAGGCATCATGGGGTCGTCTTTCTCCGCTCCGTCGATGACCAGGGTGAGCCTTGACAATATTCGAAAGCAAATATCCGAGTGCAATAGCCAAGCTCACCATGCCAGCACCGCTTGCCAAAGGTACAGCTTCATATTCCCTAAGTTCTACAACCTCTCTCCGATTCATCCGGGCGGTCTAGCCTTATCGTTCCCCACTATGTATACATCTAGAGAGCGAGGCTGACCTGTTCTGCAGGAATCATAATCAGTGTCTCTGTTCTCATAGCAGCCGGAATCGCCGTTTACGAGTCACCTCAGTTTAAACAATGGGTAAATACATCGCGACGCAAGATCGCTGTTGCCTTGCACAACCTCGGCGATGAGATCCAACCTCGAGAGATACCATTGAGAGAAGACATTTCTATGACCGAGGAGGCTGGCGAAGTTGCTGAAGAGCGCAGGCGTATCGCTCGTGCGGAGATCATGCGACGAGGAACACTCCTCGAATCACGCCGGAAGACCAACCGACCTGACCAACCTCATAACAGCTTCGATGCTCTTGTCGATAAGGATGGCAACCTACTCAAAGATACAGATGCCAAATACGATGCCCAATTGAGCCAAGAGAATATTGCTAACTCGACTGGAATTGACCTGGGCTCGGGACCTCTTCGCCGAGGTGGCAACCACAGCGAGGCCGAGTCTTCGACTACTGTCGGCATAGATCGGCTGCACGTTGGGATCCCGTCGTCTGCCTCGTCGAATCACCCTTCTGAATCTTTACTTCAACTCACACCTACCAGCGAAGCATCTGAAGGGCACAGTCTCTGTGACCCATTGTCCCCGAACTCTCCTCCGTCCACGTCTGGTTCAAGCCACACAGAAGACCACCAGGTATTTTATGCGCATCCCGATGCTGCGGGTAATGCAACCGGTGAAGGTGATCACCAGTCTCAGACGAATGGTTCTTTTGATTGGGATTTCTATGAAGAATCTCGTCCTCTTTCTTCTACCAGTGGGAGTGGGAGCCTTATTGGAGGTTCTGATGCGGGCAAAACCGACGTCACCCTAAGTGACTTTGATGGCCGCACTGACGGTGGTGTGCCTACTCCAGCCAACTGGTCGGAAATTGGGAGCGTCGTTAGCGACGAGGATGCTGGTCATATTTAGTTGCTACGATGGAGAAATGGCTTATTGGATTTCGATATGGATGGGATACTGTGGCGTGGCACTGCTTTTACTGGTTGAAGGCGTTTATCTCGGTGTGGTCGGTGGTTTCATGGTGGTTGGACATGGTCTGGCTAGTTCTGCTCCTTGCACCTTCTTTCGGTACAAGGACATCATTATTACTTTCAAATGAAGCTCGGAAATTTGATTATAAGTCCATGATGATGTTATTCAGTCAGCAGGCCTGCCTTAGTTAGGTACCTAATCCGCCCACTGAGCAGCCTGGGCTACTCAGCGAGCATTGTCACCGCGCGTCAAGCGGGCCGTAGGATAGGTGGAAACTTTGAACGGCCGGGCAGGCAGTTCCACTTAACAGGCAGATCCTTTGCCGTGGAATGCCCGAGAAAGAGAGCACGTGGTTGGTTGGCTCGTTAGACATCAACCATAAGGTACAACGGACGGGCGTACCTAGAAGGTCATTAGATGTTCTAGGCAACGTTATTTTGATCTTCGCGCACAACCAGTAAACTTTGACAGCCCGCGTGGATCGACGCCACGGGGAGACCAGCCTGCACTCACAGGCTGTCGTAGCGGACAATTCAAAGTTCCAAACGAGCTGCGGGTTCACAGCCAACGGTTTTCCTGGGTCACTCCACATGGATTATGTCAATCAAGTTTAACCAATGAGTTCATTGGGACTTGCAAGTCTTGCCGGGTGGAATAAACCGGAGGAATCCTTAATGCGTAAAGAATGCGTGGAGTACGCACTGCGGCCCTGGAAATCAGGTCAAGCCCACGATGACGTTGTGACGTCACTGATCCCGGCGTCAGAAGTATGATCGCAAGGTACCATACTGATTGACCTTAAGGGCATCGTAGAAAACTCGGATTCATTTTCCTTCTTCCTTCTTCACCTCACAGTTCTATTCGCATCAGCCATCTTCTTAGTGCATCAGCTACTCAGGCATCATGGCTGCTTTTGTCACACATCAAATTATGGGTACAGCCCTTGAGACTACCGAGAGATATACAGGCCTGCAAGCACAAGGCATTGGTGCCTCTGGTGTTATCTGGTACCTCCCCTGCTACTGTTAGGTATTGCCTACCTCGTGTCATAGCACTGACGACGCTCACCAGTTCAGCGCATGATTCAATGACCAACCAAACGGTTGCCATTAAAAAGATAGGAAAGCCCTTTCACAGCACGGCCGTGGCCAAGCGCACGTATCGCGAAGCCCATCTTTTGAATAACCTAAGACATGACAATGTGCGGAGCACACGGGACATGAACAATTGACAAGCAAGAAAGCTGATTGTGGATAGTTGATCAACATGACCGATATCTTCATCTCGCCAGCGGAAGACATGTATGTGAATATCTCCATCATTCGCAACTTGACAGTACTGACCCCTTGGCAATACAGTTACATTGTGACCGACTGTATTAGGACCGACCTTCATTGCCTGATTCAATCAACCGCAAGACCACTAGAGGATAAGTTCGTTCAATTCTTCACCTACCAAATGCTGGTATGTCTTCGCAGCCTGTCTATCGTTGACAGGACTAGCATGACTGACCTTTCTAGCGAGGGTTGAAATATATTCATTCGGCTGGTGTCATCCATCGTGATCTCAAACCCGGCAACATCCTGGTCAACGAAAACTGTGACTTGAAGATTTGTGACTTCGGACTCGCTCGCGAACAAGATCATCAGATGACTGGCTATGTCTCTACACGATACTATCGAGCCCCAGAGATCATGTTAACGTGGCAACGATACAGCTACGCAGTGGACATTTGGAGTGTTGGCTGTATTGTAGCAGAGATGCTCACTGGAAGGGTCCTGTTGCCTGGAAACGACCATGTGGATCAATTCAGAAAGACTGCTGCGATCTTCGGCAAACCACCCAAGGAGGTTATGGAGAAAGTGTACAGCAGGACCGTATGTCAAAGCCGCAACGACTATTGATCAACTGATTGGAAGAGGACAGTATACTGACTGCAAATCATAGACAACACAATTCGTGGAGTCATTACCTTACACGGAATATCAGGGCCTGCAAAAGACCTTGGGTGACATTAACCCTCAAGGTATGGTCTATCAGCCTCCTGTCTTATTTACCTACATTATACTGACCTTGTTAGCTCTTGATCTATTGGAGAAAATGCTCGATGTAGACCCAGGAAAGAGAATCACGGCGGTGGATGCCCTAACCCATCCATACCTCTCGTCCTACCATGACCCCAGCGATGAACCTGAGTGCGAGAAGAGAATCAATTGGTCTCTCCTGGATTCAGAAATGACACCAGATGAATGGAAGACCAGGATGTAAGTGTTCAACCAACCGGCGGTGCCTGGGTCCGAGCTGACTATTTGTCCGGGCAGGTATTTCGAAGTTCTGAATTACCACCGTGGCTCTGGCGGGTGGGAAGACAATAATCCTGACGCTCACGAGGGAGCTATTGGGAATTGGTTGCGTGATGAGATGTCAGTGGAGACGTATTAACGATGTTCTGAGACCTACACAGTAACCCTCTGTACAATATGCCTTTTCAACGACGTGACTCCGATTATGATCATTTCAACTCGGTGAGATTATTCAACATTGGAGCTTCGTTCGTCTTTGAGAACACGAGATGTATCATGTATGATAATCAATCCGGTCAGCTGCCCTGGGGCTTTTTCGTAGAACCGAACTTTGCCTAGGCATTTTGATGGGCCAATACCGTAGACATACTAGAAGTGAAACTCATAGAAGTACAGGGTACCCACTCGTTATATGGAAAATGCTCCTATAATTAAGTACCAGATACATCGTGACCCGGATAACCTGATAGGCGAGAATGAGCCTCGGCATTTTCGGGCTGCGCGAAGCGGAGGCCGCCATCACTACTTCTTTTAACTCCTCCTCTTGTCTCTTTGCTTCTTTCATTCTTCCTTACTCCCCAAATATACCTTTGTATACCTAATCTGTAAGTTGTCTTCCTGGTCCCTGGCTATGAAAACCCTACTATCCACACCTCGCCACAATCTCCGCACTGGAGGCTTTCCCCGCAATGCCCGCATCGCCTCCCGAGATTTCCATGTCAGCCGAAACTTGGATAAAGAGGACACCGAAGGAGAATAACAAATTGACCATAATATCTGTACAGTCTCTTCACATCCACACACAATGGCCGCAGATCGTCTAAGCTCGCTCCTGAGCCACCTCAAGCCTGGCTCCGCCACTGGTCTCGCTGCTATGTAAGTCATTCGGATGAACTCGACGGACCTGCCGTTGTCTCTGACGAATCTAATTGTCGAATATAGTACACAGAAGAACCCCGACGATGTGGTTATCACACTCGCCGTCCGTACACCGTTGACCAAAGCACGCAAGGGTGGACTCAAGGACTCCGAACTGGACTACGTTCTCTACGCCCTGCTGAAGCAGACTCTGGCCAAGTCCCAGATTGACCCTGCTCTGGTTGAGGATGTTTGCCTCGGTAACGTAAGTTGCCAACTTGCCTCTATTCACTTTCATCTAGTTCCATGGAAACGGCATATCTAACCCTGCAACAGGTCAACGAAGCCAAGGCCGCCTACATGGTCCGCGCCGCCTCCCTGGCCGCCGGCATCCCCCACACAGCCGGCGCCTCATCAGTCAACCGCTTCTGTTCATCCGGCCTCAAGGCCGTCCAGGACATCGCCGCCCAGATCCAGCTCGGCTCCATCGACATCGGTATCGCCATGGGCGCCGAGCTGATGTCCGCCCCCAACGACCGCCTCGACCGTCCCTTCAACGAAGAGGTCCTCCGCAACCAGGAGGCCGCCGACTGCATGCAGCCCATGGGCCAGACGTCTGAGAACGTCGGCAAGGACTTCAACATCTCCCGCGAAGAGCAGGACCGATACGCCGCTGAGTCTTTCCGTCGCGCCGAGGCCGCGCAGAACAACGGCTGGTTCGACGATGAGATTGCGCCCATCACCGCCAAGGTCAAGGATCCCAAGACCGGCGAGGTGAAGGAGGTTCTTCTCACCCGTGACGATGGTATTCGTCCCGGTACGACTTTCGAGTCCCTTTCTAAGATCCGTCCTGCCTTCCCCCAGTTCGGTGATAGGTCTACCGGTGGCAACTCCAGCCAGGTCACTGATGGTGCTGCTGCTGTTCTGCTCATGCGTCGCTCCAAGGCTATTGAGCTGAACCAGCCTATTCTGGCTAAGTTCTGTGGCGCTACCGTTGCCGGTGTTCCTCCCCGTGTCATGGGTATTGGCCCAACTGCTGCTATTCCCAAGCTGCTGAGCAAGTTCCAGCTTGATAAGAGCCAGATTGATATCTTTGAGATTAATGAGGCTTTCGCTTCTATGGCTGTCTACTGTGTGCAGAATCTTGGTCTGGATCATGCTAAGGTCAACCCCCGTGGTGGTGCTATTGCTCTTGGTCACCCACTCGGCGCTACTGGTGCGCGTCAAATCGCTACCATTCTGAGTGAGGCTCGCCGCACAAAGAGCAAGATTCTGGTTACTTCCATGTGCATTGGTACTGGACAGGGTATGGCTGGTCTGTTTGTCAACGAGCAGGTGTAAATATCGAGATTGGTCCAGATAATTATGCGACAAAATATATACGACCTGAAATGCACAGGAATCTGATTCAAACAAAGTAAAACGAGTGGTATCTAAAGGCTATGTAGTACTATAATAATATAAGCAGAGTAAACAAAACTCATAAAACATGGGGAGAGAAGAGGAATGAGCAATGATATCACGCAGCATCATCCTGCTTCCCAGCCTGACTCTCCCTCTTCATCCTCTCCTCCGCAGCACGCGCCATAATCTCTCTTCTCGACAACGTCCCATCAGAAGAACCCGCACCTCCACTTCCACTCTCGCCCTGCAATCCACCAAGGACAAACTCCCCTCCAGTCCACCCACACTCATCAACAAACTCCTCCCCCCTCTGCGAGTCCCAATCCCCCGGATTATAAAACTCCTGGCTAGACAACTGATTCCCCCCAGACTTCCAATCCGCGCGCTCAACCTCCTTCTCAATCTGCGCCGTCAAATCCCAAAAGTCCCGATCATGAGGCCCAAACACACAATGCGCCAGCTCATGACACAACGTCTTCCTTATAGTCCTATAATCACGATACCCATCATAAGCATCCGTCCTTAGCCTTAACTCGATAACCTCGCCCTTATTCCGGTTCAGACCTAGCGTGCGCGACTCGCTGGTCGTATGCTCCGCCGGGTTCATTTCCGTCAAGAGCGGGACGGAGAACTTGTGTTTAGCCATTGCGGCGCGGATGCCGGGGTCATCGCGAAGGCGTTTGAGGAAGTCGAGGGAGCGGTCTGGGTTGGGGAGGTACGATAGTGGCAGGAGGCGGTGGAAGGTGTAGTTGTTGCTTGAGGAGGAGAGGGTGTGGATACCGCCGCTGCGGGTCGATGATGGTTTTTGTTGCTTTCGTCTTGCTGCGGCGAGGGCTGTGGCTCGGGATTCTTGTCGGCGCTGTTCGTTGGCGGATTGTTCGTGGAGATCGGCGATTGCTTTGGCCGGGGTGCCGAGGAGGGTGATTTTGAATTTGGGGGAGGAGCGTTGCAGCAGTGCGTCTAGCCGGGTTGGTGGGAAGGGCGCCTTTTGCATTCCGGGCTTGGGGGCTAGGAGGAGCTTTTGGTTGGCGCTTGGGATGTTTAGGATGCGCTCGAGCTCTGTGGAGAGGTCTTGTAGTGTTGCCGAGGATGAGACTTGGATTATGTGGGGTGTGCCATGGTGGTGGACTGTCAGCTCCATAGGAGAGTCCATTATTGTGCAGTTGAGCAGCAGGAAATAAGGTAGATGGACGTAGAGAACTAACGTTGAAGACAGCAGGACCTGCGACGGAAGTAAATCGTTTATATGACCCGAATAGGCAGGCGATGAGGCGAATTCGACCCGGTTCCACGGCGATAAATTTGTCAGCTCGGAGATAATAGGCACGTGATCAGAGCCTCATCTGACTTGGTGCCCCAGGCGACGACAAAAATAATGTCCTGGCGAAAGAGCAGGAAAGCGATACTCCGTACACAATGTCTTGGGCTTATGATGATGTGACTCACTTTGCAACCGAGAAGTCATATGCGGGACGTTGTATGGGACGTGAACAGCCAATCTCCATTCAAAAGGTGGACAGCAATTCACCTAGCTACGAGAGGAATTATCCAGGACATGATCCGTTTCTTGGAAGTACAAGCCACCTACTTAATAACTAGCGAGAATAAGAGTAAGAAGAAGTAAGAAAGTAAAGACAAGAGGCATTGAGTGTATTTTCATCTATTCATTAAAACTGAAGGAAAAGAAACGATCTACATCATAACCATCTGCCATTGCAACAAGAAAGGCAATGATGAGCCAGGACCTCTCTAGGTGCGTGAAATATCTCCTCAAGGAAGCAAAAAAAAAAAAAAAATAGAAAACAGTTCTTTTCGTCATAATGCGCCGGGTCCGCCCCGATCCAAATTTTCGTAGTGAATCATGGCAGATAGAAGTCGGTTCTTTCCAACCCCAACACAAAGAAGAAGGCGTAGGAAATCGTTTCAATATAATGGAGAAGACATTATTTACTGCTTCTCCTCGGTCTCGCCCTCGGCGGGAGCGTCCTTCATCTCGGCGTCGGTCTCGGAAGCCTTCTTGGCCTCCTCCTCAGCCTTCTTGATAGCTTCCTCCTCGGCCTTCTTAGCCTCGAGCTCGGCGCGCTTCTTGGCGGCGGCCTCCTCTTCGGCCTTGCGGACAGCCTCACGCTCAGCCTCGACCTTCTCCTTGTAGCGCTGAATGATAGGGCCGGCGATGAAGCGAATGTCGTCCATCTTGGCAACGTAGACGGACTTGGTGGTGTCCTCACCCTCCTCGTAGAGCCAGTCCTAAGATAATGTATTAGTATGGTGGTTTGAAATATTCTTTGATAGTAAGAACTTACCTCGGTGGACATGAGCTTGGCCTTGAGCTTCTCCTTCTCTTCCTCGCTGGCAAACTCGGCGTAGACACCGTCGATCTTGTCACGGAGCTCGTAGATGGAAGCCTCGAGCTCGTTCTTCTTCTCGTCGGTCTCGGCGACGAGCTTGTCCTCCATGTACATGGCGTTCTCACGCTCGGTCCAGGCCTCCTTGGTGGCCTGGTCGAAGCCGCCGGTGGCAGAGGAAATGGGGAGATCACCCTTGCGGACCTGCTTCTTGACCTTGCGGGTCTTCTTGGGCTGCTCTTCCTTGGAGTCGGTGTCCATATCGCCCTCCTTCTTCTCCTCCTCGATGGGCTCCTCGACCTCCATGTCCTCGACGTAGTATCCAGACTCGACGTTGAGGATTCCGTGCAGGTTCAGACGGGCCTTGAGCTTGCAGATCATGAAATCGTTCTTGGCATCAGGCTGAACGCCCTTAACGGAGAAGCGGCCAATCCAAGGGTTGACCTTGCCGGGCATAGCCTCGGGGTTAGAGTAGCGAGCCTCAAGATCGAACGGCTCCTTGCGGTAGAATGTGAGGATTTTGGTGGAAGGCATAACATTGCCACGGCTGAAGACAGTGAGGCTGGTATCCTCATCGGGGATCTCGGGCGACTGCTCCCAGGTGAAGTCGATGGGGTAGTTGACAATGTCGTGGACGGCGAAGTCACGGACACGGAAAACGGGGGAGAGAATGGCACAGCTGAAGGCACAGCCGCGGGCAATAGCCTCGTCCTGGTTCAAAGTGAAGGACAAGGGCTTGTTGAAGAACTTGCTGATGGTCTCCTTGATGGCGGGGACACGAGTGCAGCCACCGACCATCTCAATGAAGTCGATATCCTCAACGTTGAGCTTGGCCTCGGAAAGGGCCTGCTCGAGAGGGGCGGTGAGTCGGTCAAGGAGGGGCTTGACCAGAAGCTCGAGCTCCTCACGCTTCAACATGGCGCGGACATCGGTATCCTCCATGAGGGACTCTACGCTCAAGGGGGCTTGGGCATTGGCGGACAGGACCTTCTTGAGCTTCTCGGCAGCGACGAGGGTACGGGTCCAGGCCTTGCCGTTGGTGTGGATATCGACCTTGAACTTCTCCTTGAATTCGACGGCGAGGTGCTCGGTCAAAGCCTTGTCGAAGTTACGACCACCGAAGTGACGGTCGTAAGCGGTGGCCTTGACGTTGAGTTCACCCTTGCGGAACTCGACGATGGAGGCTGTGTAATCGGAGTAACCGATATCGACGAACATCACGCGGCGGGGCTTCTCCTCGGGGCCGGGGAGGTCCAGCTTGGTGATACCGTAACCGAGGGCGGTGGCAGTGGTGTCGTTGATGAGACGGAGGATGTTCAGACCAGCAATGTCACCGGCGTCAATCATAGCACGGCGCTGGACATCGGTAAACCAAGCGGGGACACTGACGGTGACATCGGAGACGGGAAGGCGCAACTCCTTAGAGGTGATATCCTTGATCTTGCTCAGGTAGGAAGCGACCAACTGGGTTGCTGTGAACCTCTCCTTCTTGCCGAGGTAGTTCACCTCGACACCGGCCTGGCCGTTGACATCGACAAGAGTGCAAGTGTTGTATTCCTGCTCGATAGCGACATCGGGGTCATCGAAAGAACGACCGATCAGGCGCTTCAGGGAGCCGACGGTGTTCTTCAAATTTGAGATCTCAGCGCCCTTGGCAGCCTCACCGAGTTGTCTGCTGCGAGGTGTGAATCCGACGACGGAACTAGAATAAACATGTTAGTCTGCCATTATCTAGTGAGGAAAAAGCAGTGGAATTGTGATGGAGACGTACGGGGTCTGACGGTTGGAAACTTCATTGGCGATCTAGATGGTCACAGAGAAGTCAGCGCAAATGCTCCGGCTTATCGAAGTCATTCTTCCATGTTGGGAGAAAAAATTGCGGAGGGGCTTCGGGGTAATACGCACAATGTCAATGCCCTTGTTGCGGGCAACACCAATCTTGGTGCTTTGCGCACCCAAATCTATGCCGACGACACTCATTATGGGAGAAAATGGGGGGGTATGAAGAGGTAGGGAGGGTGGGGGGAAGATGGGAGGTTCAAAGAGAGAAAAGTGAAACGAGAAGTCGGAGGGGAGAATTTGCACGCCACTCCACTATTATTATTGGAGGGGCGACCAAGTTGTCGAGCGGTCTGACTGATCTTTAGGCGTCAAACTAGAATTTTTGAAGTTTTCTTAGGTAAAAACTGTAAAGTGCTAGAGAGTGGGAAAGATTTGCATAAATTTTTCTCTTTTGCTGTTCCTCCTCTGGGACTATATACAAAATTTCTTACCATCTCGACTACGCCTGGTACCTCATCGAACCTTCTGGTGGTTACTGGATTGCCCACTTTCACCGCCTCCAATTGCTTGGCAGAACATGAAAACTCTGGCCACCGCCTTATAAATGTGGGTCAGCCCCATCAGACCATTGAACTCGACATAAAATGGTGTCATTGTTTCTTTCAAACGCTATGAAAATTGGAAACTGCTCATTGCAAGGCCAGACCCGAAAGCATAAAAATGGAAGTTTGGCCCATTGGAAAAGGGGAGAATAAGGAAAATTTTGAGTCTGTGGGAGAAAAAGGAAATATAAAGACAAAACACAGGCAAACTGACGTCAGGCACTAAACACTTGGCATGCAGTTTCTCTTAGACAATCGCCTCAGGAGAAGCCGATGACTCTGCCGGGTGGACAGGAAGAATTGTTTTCTCACGGCCAATTCGATGCGCTTGGGGTGGGCGAGTCATTCCCAAGACTTCATCGGAATCGGAAACAGAAACCGGAGATTGCAGAGGGAGACCGCCCAGAGGAGAGTTGACAGGATCATGGCGATGGCCCTCGTGGTTCATTTGGCCCGTTGATGCCCTCCCTTGGCGGGCATAATAGAGCTTCCTTTGGTCTTCTTCACTCATGACTAAGTTTTCCACGTTTTGTGGCATGACCACCGGGCTAGAATGGCAATCGGATGATGTAGTGAGCACAGACTCAGCTGAATGTTGGAACCGAGGCAATTGGTAACGAGGTTTCTCCAACATAGTGGCCCTTCGTGCGAGCGCAGGCCCGGCTGTGTTGACATAAAACCCATCACGAAGTTGTTCAGCAGGTGCAAATCGCCCTTCGACATTCTCCGCTGGGCGAACAGGAACGGATCCCCGGCGCACCAGATTCGTGCGGAAGGTATCGACATCCACATTGAGCTCATCACCTTGCTCTATTGCCTTTGCAACTGCTTCGCCCGGCGTGGTATGGTCGTCGGCAGTGGCAGCATCTGCACGTGGGCCTCCCCAAGTGCGCTGGCCGGCTGTGAAAATCCCATAGACCATATAGATCCAGTTGAAGAAGGGGTTTAGGACGAACATAATTGGGTAAAGCCATGCTTTGTAACGTTTGAGACGGAAGCCAAAGTATAGCATGAGCAAATAGTTCAAGCCTAGGGAGACTGCGATGAATCCGACGGGAAGATCCCCCACCCTTTTCGAGGTTGTGATCAGTGCGATTACCAAGATGAAAAACAGCAGTGCAGTTGTCCGGATCGTGTTTTGCAGGAAGCGAATTATACACAGGAGGGGATAGCGCAGCCAAAGTCGGTAGTCGGTGATCATGCACACCTCGTTGGTGATAAACCCTAAAAACCATCTTCGGCGTTGCTTCAAAAGTGTCTTGAATGTTTGGACGGCCTCGGTCTTGCAGAACGCGGTCGTACACAGCTGGATCTGGTACCGTCTCTGGGCACCGATCATGAACAGGTGAGTAAGCCATCGGTCTTCCCCGAGATGACACTTTCCGTAGTCAAAAAGATCCTCGCATTGCTCAGCCTTGTCCGAGAAATAATACTTGGCCATCCTTCGGAAGGCTGAGAAGCGTAATATAGTCAGAGCCCCAGGAAGGCAAGTCACAGCTCCACAACCAGACTCAACGGATCGTTCAAAAAGCTGACCATGGACATATTCCATGTCTTGGAGGATGGTCAGCAAGCTATTCCTTTCCGTGGTAGAAGTAATGATGCCCGTCATTGCAAGCATATTGCGCTGGCTGCCTGGTTTCAGTTCCATGTCGTACATGAAATTTTGCAGACAAACACGATCCAGGATACAGTCCGAGTCGATGAAGAGGACAAACAGATCGTCGTGCCTCTTGAGGTACTCCGCATAGACCTTGTCGATCAGCTTGAATGTGTGCTTCTGACAACGTCTTTTCCCGCCGTGTTTGAATCGAGAGATAGTAATACGGGCGCCTTTATAAGTGCAATCGATGCTTTGAGGATAGCTCGTCAATCTTGCCTGGACACCGAGATGGTCGAGGACACAGAGATAAGGCTCGTCCACATTGTCACCATCGTATGACAGGAAGACGTGGATACAATTCGCCGGATAGTCACAATCAACTACGGAGTCGATCGCTTTGATCAAGATATTTGGTTCCTCCTTGTACACGGGCATGACAATCACAGTCTTCGGGGCTGTCCGATCATCTAGCACGCGTTTAATCATCTTTTTCCTCCCCAGGGTGTTTGTGGTTAGTCCATAAACGCAGAAGAGCCAGGGACAGATCAGAAGCACGGAGAAGGCCCAGAATGCGAATATTTGGAAACCATGGGTCATTCCTCTAGGGAAGTGAATCGTGATCTGTGGCGGCAACGGGAGCGTCACAAGCATGACTGGAAGGAAGGCCAAGCTGTCAAACGTCTGTGTCAGTGGACCATCCCAGGGCTCACTCTGCCATTGAATCTTACCGCAGTATCGAAAACAAAACCATCATCACCACGGCGAGAACCCTTATAGTCCAATGGTCCGCTTTTATAAACACCTTGACCAGGCAGTAGAGGAAAGCTCCAAGCCAAAGCACCCATTCGAATACAGCTGCAAGCATCAACGGGCCAACGATGGCAAGATAGACTTTCTGTCAAGGGTGGTCAGGATTATATCTTGGGTTCAAAGGAAGCATACCATACGTCTCTCGTAGACCAGGCCAACCCTGGCGAGTTTCTTGGAATGATAGGCATTCTGAGTGATATTTGTTGTCAAGCCCTCACTTTTACCAAAACTCCGCGCAGTATGTATGCGGAATATAAGAACCCCAAGAATGGCCTCGGACCCAGGTCAAGCAAGTCAAGTCAATAAAATGGCCAGACCCGGACGATTATACTTCAATGCTGGCATCCGCTGGGTAATATAATGACTTGGTATGGGAATAAAGCTCAGTAATTGAGGAATGAGGATATGCAAGATATTTGATGAGGACCATGAGGACAAGAGTCGAGTCATAAGGTGAGAAGGGAATAAGATCAGAGTCAAGAACAGCTCGTCATCACTTACAATAGGAAGGAGCGAGAGAGATTTACGATGAAACAGAAGGTACAACTCAACAAGTAAACTACCCTGAGGCAGCGAAGCTATTAGCCTCAGGCCAATACTGACTACACCCTACGGTAATACCAAGCTAGGGCTTTTACTTTCGAGTTAAGATGTTTCCATTGAATGAGGGCTATGTAGATGTCAAGTTGCCTAAACCGGAAATGTACTTCATATCTACGCTAACCCTATCGTGGACTAGTGTCTGCCTGAGGCGACAGGAGCTCAAAAAAAATATTCCCAGATCCTCCCCGCTGCGATCCTATTGTCACAAGCGCAATAGAATTCTGAATAGCGCATTGATCAATCTACAAAGGTATTTCACCATACAGATGCGCGCTTGATACTCAAATTCACTCTGTTTTGCTGTTTCTTCTGATTTCTCTCACTCGCCCTACTCCCGTCGCGTCGAGTCTTCCTGCTTATCATCTTTTTTTTCTTCAATCTTGAAGTAGTCTCCACACACATTTCACAACCATGTCCGAAGAACAAAAGACTCCCGTTGTCAACGCCGAGGCAGACAAGGATGTTCAGAATGTCCTTGCTGAGCTGAAGGAGGGTGGTGCTGCTGAGCAGAGCGCCGAAGACGCCGAGGAGGCTCGCATTGTCGCCGCAGCTGCTAAGATCGGAGAGCAGTCTGTACAGGCTGAGGGAACTTCCACTGATGCCCAGACTGAGAAGCGCGAAACCCGCAGCTTCCAGCGCGATGGCCGTCCTCGCCCCAATAACGCTAAGTTCGACCCCTCCAAGCAGGAGGTCACCGATGATCCTGCTGAGATCCGCAAGCAGGTATGTGTATTCGAGTAATTTTTGCTCTGAAACTTAGCTGACGCCCAAATTCCAGGTCGAATTCTACTTCTCCGACTCTAACCTCCCCATGGACAAGTTCCTCCTCTCCAAGGTTGGCGGCAGCGCCAACAACGCCGTTCCCCTCGAGCTCCTTCACTCCTTCAAGCGTATGCGCCGCTTCCAACCCTTCAGCGCTATTGTCGAGGCTCTCAAGACCGCCGAGAACGTCGAGTTGGCTGATAACGACACCGCCGTCAAGCGCAAGGTTCCCCTGCCCGAGTCCGTGAACGACCATGACTCCAAGACCATCAAGGTCTTCGAGGATGCCTCCATGGCCCGCTCTGTCTACGTCAAGGGCTTCGGCTTCGGCCAGGAAGAGGCCACCACTCAGCTCGATATTGAGGCCCTTTTCGCTCCCTACGGCCCTATCAACGCTATCCGTCTGCGTCGCACCATCGATAAGACCTTCAAGGGCAGCATCTTCGTCGAGTTTGCCACCGAGGAGAAGCAGAAGGAATTCCTTGCTCTGGAGAAGAAGCCCCAGTGGAAGGACCAGGATCTGACCTACAAGAGCAAGAAGGAGTACTGCGACGAGAAGGTCGAGGGGATCAAGGACGGCAAAGTCTTCCCCTCCAACGGTCGCAACAGCACCCGCAACGGCCGCGGAGGCCGTGGTGGACGTGGCGGTCGCGGTGGTCGTGGTCGCGGTGGTGGCCGTGGCCGCGGTGGCCGTGACGGTGGCGACCGCAAGGAGGGAAACTGGCGCGAGCGTCGCACCGAGGATCAACAGGCCCCCCGTGAAGCTCAGAAGGATGCCCGGTAAGTGAAACCAAATCCGATATCGTAATGAGAGGACTCCTACTGACTTATGATTAAAGCGGTGTCCCCGTCGTGCAGAGCACCCAGAAGCGATCCCGCGATGATGAGGGTGCCAGCGGCGACCACCCCTCCAAGAAGGTGGATGTCAAGGAGTAATTGTATCTTGACTCGGCATCTTCTCATTCTCTGTTCTATGGTTCGGTCAATTGGCGATATCCAAAAAAGTCTTACGGATCGGAGATCCGTCCTACCTCTATCTCCTGGTGATTTCATAGAGGTGAACCTTCTCTCGGCGTTATGTGGTATTGTGGTTCCATTACGAGCATCTTCGGGTTGACCAGGTAGGCCCCGATGGTTACGAGTCCCCGGGGGCCTAGGGTCTGATATGTACAAATGAGGTCTTTGGACAGACTGTTCTCAATACAATTCTACTATGAACAGCTCATGTTACAATCAGTCTAGACTCACTTCCAAGTATCATTTGGTGTACCTGATATCTAAAACTCCAGATCATAGGCCAGCGTATCATCACATAGCTCCTCTCGCATCTTGTGAACCCTGTCAAGCGTCAGCAACAGCCAAATGACCCGAATTGACACTCAGAGACAATATGAAAACGTACTCCAAATGTGCCGGGTGTACCGCATAGGTAGCGATATGCTCTGCGGTCTCCAGAACAGCAACAAGACCCATATCGTAGCCGTGAGCCCGAGGGATGGAAATCGGCAACGGGGTACCGCTCTTCAGCGATACAAGTCCTATTACGAGGCATGCATGAGAATTCACTCTAGGAAAGATCCTTTAGTCTTGCTCACCGGGAATCTTGCCAACCATTCCATGGCACTTCTCTTTCCAGGCGGCGATCTGCTCCGCGGTGACGCCGGCCTTTAGGCGGAAGAGGACTTGAGCTTTGTCAGTATCGCTCACTGGGCATCTTTCTCTACTCGACTTACCGATGTGGTAAACTGGCATTTTGGCTGCTTATTTCTAGATGATAGATGTAACGGCGAAGTTCAGAAGATAAGTAGTGGTTGTGTCGTTGTCGGCTCTACTCCGTATCACTCGGTCCGGGAGTCGGGGGCCTTCCCCGCATTCTCCATTCAACTCCGTAAACTCCGAAACTTATACGTATCATGCTCCCTCAATTGAAGGAAGGCATACTAATTGATTCTCAGTTCTCGGCAACATCCAGGCCTCTATTTTGTTTTTTTGTTCTTGTGATTTACTACATCCGGTTAGTTTTTGCCGGTCCTGGATTCGCGCGCCAATCACACCGTCATGTAATCTCGAACTCGTTCGACCAGGGATTATTGGCGTCTCGGGGGGGGGGGGGGGGGGTGGGTGGTCTCGCAGCTTGGTCGTATTACTCTTTCCCTTGGCCACCGGGGGGCCACAGCCAGGGAAAAAAATGCTTGGCCCATTCCTTTCCGGGGAGTAGCCCATTTGCCACGGAAACATGAGGCTGACGCAGCTGATAATCAGTGAGATCCACGCTACTTGCATCATGTAATGTGTCTGTATATAACAAGCTGCAGCCATTCGTCGTATGTTTCTGGGATTTTGAATCCTTCAATTTTTCCACCCTGGAAAGCACTTGGCCCTCTCTTCGATTGACTTGTTGGTTGGGTCATCATGCGTATGGGGTGTGTTGACAAATCTGGGATTCGGGATGACTGAGATGCAGATCATGGTCTTCGTCTTGGGAGCATCGGACGTCCAATTCCCGGACAGACATGTCCTTCCGAAAGTCAAGACCGGGGTTTGTCCGAATGATGAGACAAGGTCATCCCAGATCTTGGCGTCTGGCTGTCTGTGAGCTCGTGGGAGAGGATTGCCCAGGTGGTCCAGTCACGCATCTAGGACGAAGATGTCTTAAAATGCGATCCATTTGCTTTTGTCGTGTTAGCCTTTTGGTCTTTGCAAATAAACGACGGGAGAGAGCAAATGAGTGATCAATCCAAAGATACAGGAAGCTTCTTGTAGGTATGAGTTGAAATGGAGATAATACTTACATGTTTCGTGCCGGGAGGCGCAGCTCGTCCTATTCCCGAATTGGGTCTAGTTCTGTGCGGCTTGTTAGGACACGGAGTCGAGGTTGTTGACCTTTGACTATTATCCATTTGTCACTGGTGCAGTCAATAGAATGAAAGAAGAACATACCGATGAGTTGAAAATGTTTGTGCGGTGGGTGCTGAGACATCGAGGCAGGAAGGAAGTGAAGTGGGTTGTCGGCCAAGTCTTCCGTAAGAAAGAGTGCGTTCACCTAGAATAACAAGTATGAAGAAAGAAGGAAAGAAGGACAAGAAAGGAGTGAGCGAAGAAGCCTTTTATCCCGTCTCTGGGCACAGGACTAATCACATGACAAGTCCATACCTGCGCTCAAACCTCTTTACGGCCACTTAATCGTCACATGAACTTCATGAAGTGGGTTTGTCAGGTATGAGTAGTGTGATATCGACAACTACCAAGCATTCCTTCTCATATGACATGACGCTTTCTGTATCTTCAATTACATGACCATGACGAATAGCCCTGTGCGGCTGTGCCTATTGTACAGAACTGCAAACGAAGTTGTTGATGTGACAGGGTTTATAGAAAACGTCGAAAGAAAAACAACAGCTAGTCGAGAATCAGAATCCGGGGTGTTGTCATATGCATACCGTATGATACCGAGCAGACCGCAGAATCACGTCGGCTGAGATCCCGCTCTGTAGACCCTGCTTTCGAAGGGCAAGGCGCTTGAGCTCTTCCAAGCCGTACTTCTTGGCAGCACAGTACACCACCGTATCTCAGAGAATGAGATCACCCACGCCCGGGTGGAAGATTGTTGGCTCGCTCGACCGACAGCCACCGGTTTCATTAATATCGCGGGCATCCTCGAGTGTCCAAGAGGCTCTGTGCTTATGCAACAAGCGGGGGTAGTAGTCACCCTTGTAAAAATACTCGAGTATACACGATGGGATCCCGGGTTCCCTGTTCAGGGTTGAACTTTGTGCAAAGAACGTGGGAGAAATTCTGTCTCTCTCATCAGGCAAAGTCAATCGATTGACGTCGCAGACCATGCACACGGAGCATGTGAGTCTTGGAAGTTTCCCAAGGAATGGTCTCCCCAGGTCTTAGTCAAAGGACGAGAGATACACAATTCCGGGGTGACTGTGGCTTGACGATATCGAGCGCATTATGCTGGAAGCGAACGAAAAGTACAGGAAAATATTTGCTTCCATGGAGGACAGCGACCCTTACAAGTCTATGTTAGCTCAATATCTAGACAGTCTAATACCTAGAAGATAGGAAGATATCCATTTGCCCAGTATTATGGAAGGAGGCCGTGTTACAGCCGTAGAAAGATGCTTCATCTGTCAGCTAAAGCTGCCAGAGGTTTAGGGCATGGAAGCCCTGATACAATCGGAGTATTTTCAATAAGATTCCCAGCCACTTTAATTCCCCAGACATTCCACTCAATGAATGGAATTGTATTGTTAAAGTCTAATTGAATAGAACAAACTGCTGAAATTAAAAAAATGTAGTATTCAACGTCCTATACTCCGTATACGCAGATCATTCAAGGGGCACCACACCAAATATACTTCCTTTGTCTTCGAACAATCATGAATGGAAATAGAGAAAATATTGAATTCAGATACAACAATAAAGTGTTATAACTGTTATTCTCTATTCTTCATACAATTGACACTCGCTTCAATTAGGTGGTCGCTGAAACATAATAGTTTCTCTCCAGCTGGCCCTTTATAAACCAGGTTGCACACGCTCTTCTTCTCCCAACTTCTTCTTTTCAACTTCATCTACTACGACTCGCATAACTTCTCGAATTGCGACACAATTACATCTAACATCTTTACTCACCTCTAGCCTGGCTGCTACGAGTTTATCAACAAATTTCCAATCATTGAGCACTAGTCAACATGCCTTATCGCATTGGTATGTTTCATCCCGTCCACCGAAGACTGCTCCTTCTCGACCAAGAGTGTATGACCTCATTGCTAACCCCATGATCAGAAACTGCTCGCCAAGGCCGAGCTGGCTGCAAGAGCCCGGAGTGTATTAAGAAGCAGGTCAAGATTGCCAAGGGCGAACTCCGCATTGGTACCTGGATCGATGGTCAGAGCTTCCAAAGCTGGGCCTGGCGCCACTGGTGAGTACGGTTGCTTCAACTTGGCTTCAATCCTCCAAGTAGATTGTTCCAAAAGCTGATCTCGTTCAGGGGCTGCTTGACTCCCAAGATGATCGAGAACATTAAGAATTCTCTTTCTGATGAGAACGATACCTCCGAGCTCGATGGCTACGAGGAGCTTGATGTCGACGACCGGGCCAGGATTGACAGGGCCCTTAAGAATGGCCACGTTGACGATGAGGAATGGAATGGCGTAAGTTCACAATCCTGACATCTCACTCCACAGCTGCGGTAGAAGCTAATTGGGGGAATAGGACGTTGAATTCAACCGACCTGGAAAGACGGGCATGCGTCCTCGTGCTACCAAGGCCAATGCTAAGACTGAGGAGGTTCGTGGCTTTCATTTTTGGATCTCGGACCAAATGAGATACTAATTCCAGTTACAGTCAAAGGAATCCGAGGAGTCATCTTCTGTTGTCAAGCATGAGCTCTCTGACGCTGAGGGTGCTGAGGACCAGCCCAAGAAGAAGCGTGCTCGCGCCAAGAAGGCCACAGACAACGACACTGCTATTTCGGATGCTGCCGTCACTGAGATTGCCACCGCTGAGAGCGAGCCCAAGGCGTCTAAGAAGCGTGGTCGCCCTGCCAAGAAGGCGTCCGAGGATGAGTCCATTGATACCACTTCTGAGGTGAAGGCTGAGAAAGTTGCCCGTGGCAAGAAGCGTACCCAGGATGAGGTTGACGCTGCTAATGCGGAGCCCAAGTCGCAGCTCCGACGATCTCTTCGAAACCGCAAGACCACTGCTACCAATGCTGACGGCGAATCCGAGGAGGAACACAAGAAAGAGACGGCTCCTCAGAAGAAGCTTAAAATTACCTTTTCTGCCGCTACCAAGGAAACCAAGAAACGTGCCACTGGCGGTAAGAAGGTTGCTGACAAGGATTCCGACGAGGAACTCAAGAAAGAGACGGCTCCTCAGAAGAAGCTTAAGATTACCTTTTCTGCCGCTACCAAGGAAACCAAGAAACGTGCCACTGGGGGTAAGAAGGTTTCTGACAAGGGTGCTTCTGCCGCTGAGAAGGAGGGCGAACCCGCCAGTAAGAAGGCGGCTGTTCCTGCCGACGCGTCCAAGAAGCGCTCTCCCCCACGAAGAGTGAAGTCAAAAAGGAGGAAACGTCGTCTACTGACAACGAGAATGCCATTACTAACGGCAAGACCGCGAAACGTGCCAATGGTACGAAGGCTGCCAACGGGTCAAAGATCAAGAAAGGGCCGAAAGGCGTCAAGGAGGAGCAGCCCGCTGAGGCCACGGAGAAGCCAAAGCGCACCCGCGGCGCCAAGAGTGTCAAGGAGACCGCCGATGCTCCCGACAAGAAGGCCAAGGCCACCCGCAACCGCAAGGCCGCTGCCACTGAGCCCGCTGAGGAGCTGACCAAGAAGGGCAACAAGGAGACCGCGAAGAAGACCCCTGAGGGCACCGATGCCGGCAAGGGGAAGCCCAAGCGTGATCGCAAGGCTGCTGCCGCGAAGGAGTCTTCTGAGGGCTCTGAGGACAAGTCCGCGGGCAGCGCTGATGACAAGCCCCAGAACGGACAAAAGGAGGATTCTCCTTGACGCCATTCTTGGTCTTTGAGGCGTTTACGAAGGTGCATAGCGGCCAACAGTCGAGTGCCTGATTTTGGTGTGTTAATGCCTGAATTGGCCTGAATTGGCCTGAATTTAGACTGGCTGGAAATTAAAATACCAGAATTACTAGTTATGACAGATCTCCTAGTAAGCAAAGTTCCAAAGTTCAACAACCTTGGAACTGCAAAAGCCCATATTTGAAGCTATTCACACCCCCCATATCCTGTTTTTCATCGATCTTAGGAGTTGAAGAAGCTATTCCAATAGTAAAAACCAGTGTATCACCCTATTCTAAGGCATTTCTGACCGTACAAAGTCCCTATTTCCCTAAACCCTTCGTCTCCTTTGGCTCCAATGTGTCCCCACCCCCCTAAGCTCTCCGTCTCCTTTGGCTCCGGCGTGGTGAAGTGCCCTCAGCCTGCGGCCGAGCCCGCTTCTGGCCCCTTGCTGCGCTTCCCCTTCGAGTGTTTGGACGGATTGCGCTTTCGGTGGCTGCGGCAGGCGACGACAACTCGATGATTGTAGCAGGAGGCGGTGTTGCAAAAGTAGGAGGCGATACCCATACTGGAGACGGCGATCTGGGTGTAGGCGTTGCGGGAATAGCTCCACTAGCGGCAACCGTAGGAATTGGTTCACTAGCTACAGCTGCGGGAATAGCTTCACCAGATGTACGTATCACGATACTGGAATCCGGCCAATTATCAATTGCGCCTTCATACCGTGCGACAACCACATGTAGCTTCGGTGTTGGAAACTTTGAAATGAATTCCTCCACTATACCCAGAAAACATCTCTGGGATCCCTGAGATCCATCGAGGAACCTGCTTTTTCCCTACCTTTACCATAGCCTCAGCAAGGTAGAACTTGTCCTCTATATGGCAAAAAGCGCCATTTTGGGGTGTGGGAATAGCTTCAACTCCCAGTTGGTGGCTTTCAACTTACAGGACTAGTTACAAAACATGGTATTAAGCGGTGTCGAAGGCGGTCTAAAATCACTATACACTAGTACTAAATAGGCCATAAAACCATTTAAATCAGGCACTCGACTGTTGGCCGCTATGCACCTTCGTAGTACGGCGTTGGCAGCCTTCGCAACCATAGCAATTTTTTGACTGCACCAGTGACAAATGGATATCCATTTCTGTTTTTGTCCTTGTTTCTCTATCTTCAGGATACCAATAGCATAAGGCGATCGTTCACTTTCATGGTTCATCACTGGATGGCATATTATAATCATTATTCCCATTCCCCGGTTTCGTCATTTCGTAGAAACGGCTCAGGAAATGTAGAAATTCAGGTAAACTGGGCGCTACTCTAAGCCGAGTGTATGCAGGCGTCAAAGACACAGAGGTCTCTGTTTCTCTGTTTAGGGACATCTACCTTTCCTACCAGAAAGAGAATTCAAGAAAAGCAATTCGATTTCCGGGCAACTAGGTACCAGCCTAGTAAACATCATCAGAGGACTTTGCCTCTGGTATCTCATATCGCAAAACACATTGACGCAACACGCAGTGGGATCATCGCATGGATGTTGCCCTGGTAGCCAGGGCTTATGCATCCATAGCGAAAGCGTCATATCCCTTACTCAACCTTGACCGTGTTCTTGGTGACCTCAGCAGACTCCTCATCGCACTCGAGCTTGGCGGTCTCCTTGGTGGCCTCAGTAGGCTCAGCGGCCTCAAGCTTGATCGTCTCCTTGGTGTTCTCAGCAGGCTCAGTGGCCTCAACCTTGACATCCTCCTTGATGGCTACAGCGGCCTCCTCAGCGGCCTCAGCAGGCTCCTTGCTGGCCTCCTTCGTCTCCATCTTGATAACCTCCCCAGTCTCGGTGACAGCCTCGGCAACCTGGGCGAGACTGGATCCTTCACGCCATTCTTGGTCTTTGAGGCGTTGGCAGCCTTCGGCGGCGCCAAGAGTATCAAGGAGGAGAAGCCCACTGAGGCTACGGAGAGGACCAAGCACACCAAGCAGACCGCCGATGCTCCCGAAAACAAAGTCAAGGCCACCCGCAGCCGCAAGGCCGCTGCCACTGAGACCGCTGAGGAGCCTACCAAAAAGGGCATCAAGGAGACCGCCAAAAAGAGCCCCGAGGGCACCGATGCCGGCACGGAGAAGCCCAAACGTGATTGCAAGGCTGCTGCCACTAAGGAGTCAGGTTCTGGGGTTGCAACTGATATCGAGGCCAGGATGGCAGGCACATACTGCCTGAACAAAATTCCCAAGAGACATATTCACATGCTCTTCATTCATCCTATATGCCCTCTTCGCAGTGCTCTTGTCATGAAGCAATTGGCTGACCTGATACTGCTGCTCGTAAGCAGCCCAGAACATACCGATATCTGGGCTCGGTGCATCTCTCCGCTCCACTGCGCTGAGTACCGGTCAATGTCCGGAGAATCGTCTAGGTCCTGATGAGCTTTGGTGAACCAGGTGCCTAGTCTGAGCTGAGTATGCAGGTGCTGTTTGTCCATCAAGTCGAAACCTGCGTTTGGCCAAACAGCTTTGAGATGAAGGAAGTCTTCTTCATTCATATCAGAGCCCGGTTTCAGCTGAACTGCTCGTGGAAGCTGGCGCCGATATCGACCATGATGGTTCCATTTGGCTGGGCTGCGGCTTTCCACTCCTCGACAGATGCAGGCACTTTCTTCTCCGGTTGTGGCGGCATTTCGACACGCGTTTGGATAGGTGGGTGTATGAGGGCTGGGATAAGGGCGGATATTTCTGAGGGCTATGACGACGAGTCCGCGGGCAGCACCGATAGCAAGCACCTGAACGGACAAAAGGAGGATTCTGCCCAGGTTGCCGAGGCTGTCACCGAGCCTCAGGAGGTTATCAAGAAAGAGACGAAGGAGGCCAGCAAGGAGCCTGCCAAGTCTAGCGCTGAGCCTGCTGAGGCCGCTGAGGAGGCCGCTGTGGCCATCAAGGAGGATATAAAGGTTGAGGCCACTGAGCCTGCTGAGACCACCAAGCAGATGATCAAGGTTGAGCCTGCTGAGAACACCAACCAGACGATCAAGGTTGAGGCCGCTGAGCCTACTGAGGTCACCCAGGAGATCGCCAAGGTTGAGGACGATGAGGAGTCCGCTGAGGGCACCAAGAACACGGTCAAGGTTGAGTAAGGGATATGACGCCTTCGCTATGGATGCGTAAGCCCTGGCTACCAGGGCAACATCCATCCGTTGATCCCACTGTGTGTTGCGTCAATGCGTTCTTTTGCGATATGAGATACCACAGGCAAAGTCCTCTGATGATCTTTACTAGGCTGGTACCTAGTTGCCCGGAAATCGAATTGCGTTGCTTGAATTCCTTTTCTGATCGGAAAGGTAGATGTCCCTAAACAGAGACCTCTTTGTCTTTGACGCATGCATATCAAAGGATGTAAAGTCCGTGCTGGTCCTATTCACGGATTGGGTCTAGTTTTGTGCGGCTTGTTAGGACACGGAGTCGAGGTTGTTGATCCTTGACTAGGAACTTGATATCCATTTGTCACTGGTGCAGTCAATAGAAAGAAGAACATACCGATCCAGTGAACACGCGTCAAGTGGTAGAGGCGTTCCTTGAGAGATGGAAGATAAAGGTGATGGGTTAAGAGATGAGCTGAAGAAGTTTGTGCGGTAGGTGCTGAGAGATCGAGGTAGGAAGGAAGTGAAGTGAGTTTGTCAGGTATAGGTAGTGTGATATCGACAACTATCAAGGAATATTCCTTGTCATATGACATGTCGCTTTCCGTATCTTCCATCCCATGACCATGAGAAATAGCCGGGCTGTGCCTCTTGTACAGAATTGCAAACGAAGTGGTTGATGATCATATGACAGGACAGGGCTTATAGAAAACATTGAAAGCAAAACAATCGCTAGTCCAGAAAAAGACGAGGCCAGCATATACAGTTCACCAAGACCCGTTCCAATTCAGCTTGGGATGGAAAGATATCACTACGTGACTGTTGTACAGCTCCAGTAGCTCAATTGAGGTGGCCAAGTTTCTTCATTTCTGTTTTCTCATCACCATTGAGGGCACGTTGCCCAAGAACAGGCTATGCGATCAACGGATTAACCACAACATGCCTACGCACACTGTCGCAACAAATCACAAGCAGAAAGATAAGTCCAAATTGCAGGAAATTGTTCCAAGAACGATTCGTCTCAAGGAGTGTGGAGTGGAGGGGTCCAACGCAAGTCACCATACGCCGTGGATCCAATTAAAAATGAATAAGGTCGGTTCTTCAGACCAAAAGGGCGGCCAACCTCGAGAGAAGCGAAGATTAGGTTGCCATCAACGCAAAAGAACAGACCATTGCAAGTTCGTTGTCAAAGTGCCATTCTGGTGAGATTGATGTATCCCTTGTTCAATTTCAAAAAGCACATGCAAATAGCTTGATCCAGTACCAAGGAAAGGTACAGCCGCTTAGAAGAATCTCGGCGATCGCTTGACGCTAGTGAATAGGAGTGTAAGCACTCAGAGATCGGATTTGTGGAGCAAGTCAGCAGTAAAGACGCAAAGGACGTTAAGAGCATGTGGGCGAGGGCGAGGGCGAAGGGGAAGGAGAAGTGGACGCAGAAGGGGAATGGGGAGGTGAATCGTACCGCAGCTCCGAGAGATCGTCCATGTGGTTGCACATTGCCACAAAGAGATCGAAAAACAATTTGCCCCCCTCCTCCATCTCCATCTGCAAGGTTCCACTGCTCTTGAAAGTCTTACGACAGCGGATGATGAGAGCCAGATAATGAGCGCGTAGTCGAGAATCAGAATCCGGGGTGTTGTCATATGCATATCGAGCAGACCGCAAAATCACGTCGGCTGAGATTCCGCTCTGTAGACCCTGCTTCCGAAGGGCAAGGCGCTTGAGCTCTTCCAAGCCGTACTTCTCGGCAGCACAGTACACCACCGTATCTCGGAGAATGAGATCTCCCACGCCCGGGTGGAGGATTGTTGGCTCGCTCGACCCACGACCACCGCCTTCATTGATATCGCGGGCATCCTCGAGTGTCCAAGAGGACCTGTGCTTAAGCAACAAGCGGGGGTAGTAGTCACCCTTGTACAAATACTCGAGTATACACGATAGGATCTCGGGTTCCCTATTTCAGGAATGAGCTTCTGTGTAAAGAAGAGGGGAGGGATTCTGTCTCACTCATCAGGCAAAGTCAATTGCTTGGCGCCGTCTTCGAGGAACTGCTCCTTCAGAGCAGCACTGAAGAACGGCGACACAGATAGGACATCTTCATGAGCGGCAAAGAGACGCTGATCGCGGCCAACAAGCATCGTGACGATGGGGCTGGTAAGAGGACTATGGGGTTACAATCAGCATATAATCAATCTTCCTGGATTCGCTAACGTTGAACTCGATAAATATGGAATTACACACCTTCCCATTGAGGATCTGTCCACTTTCTGACTCAACTTCTCCTTCACTAGCTCGTCGTATTTCTTCTTGGCAATCTTGACGGTCTTGCCCGCCCGGTCCTTGCCTACGAAAGAGCGTTTGAACATAACGGCGCAAAGGAACCCTAGTGCCAAGATATACTCATGAAAAATGACCAAAAACGTTGAGATAACCCTATGGTTATCAGAAGGAATGATATGAGTTGGTCAAAGAATGAACGATTGACGCTGCAGACCATGCACACGGAGCATGTGAGTCTTGGAAGTTTCCCAAGAAATGGTCTCCCCAAATCTTAGTTAAAAGACGAGGAATACACAATTCTGGGGTGACTTGGCCTTCGAGAATCTGGGTTGATCCTCTTAGCGAACGGTTATCGACTCCAACAGACGTGAGGAGGAAGAAAAGAAGAAGAAAGGAAACCGAGAAGCGGGGGTTTAAATACGGGGGTCAGGTGATATCAAATGTGACTGACTTCGAAGTCACCTGCCAGTTGAGGCTCAGACGAAATGATGTGTGGCTGGAGGCTCTGTTGGGAAATCTGCACATGCTGGCGCTATATTCTCACTCCGCACTTGTTGCGCTGGACGTGGGAACCTAGGCCCCAGCCACAAGAATGTTCGAAACGTGCGATTATTGTTCGAAGTGCTAGAATATTTTGGACAGTCATGAAGGGCCGTCAAGTCCGTCGAAAAGACATTAGATAATAGTCTGGGTAAATTAAGGGACTCCTCGCACGTGCTACAGGATCATGACCTGGAGGTTATCAGTCTAGCAGGAGTCAGTGGGCTCCTATCTGCAGCGTGATAAACTCGTTTGTTTCGTCAATATCGTCAACCCTGTTCCCTGACATTATTCCAGTGGTGAGGTTCAACCGCGGCTCTCGAGGAAGCGAGCCGTAGGGAGAGTAGTAGTATCGTTTCCTTTGATGAAGTGATGCCCGAGCGGATGAGTGATGCGTCCTTCATATCGAAGACCTTCTCAGCCTATGATTAATTGAAATCTTGACAGAGCATATAAACAACGGAACTGGCCCCTGACCAAAGACCGACTGTTCTGATGAGATAGCAGTGCGATAGGTACGACGGTATCCCTGTCATGTAGGATGGGAACGTTGCTCACTTTGGGACTCCGGTGGATCCAGTTGTGAGCTGGGCTATTCTTATTGTGGTATTAGATTATCTTTGCGCATCGACGTTCATGGAGCTCATACTGTAGCGCTGTCTTTGGCGGTCTCCTTGAGTCATGAAACCCGAGGTCCCAATCGAGAAATAACAAAGAAAGATGCCCAGCGAGATCAAATTGATGGCGTCGATTGATTGGACATGATGCTTGTGGATATTGCGCCCTAATATCGTGGCGGCTATAGAACCGTTATCATTAGTGCCTCACTCAGCCGCGTTTAGATCCACCATACTCAGTGAGCTCACCAGTAGGAACTGCAGATGCTACTATTCTTCTGTCCCTCATCTATTCATAAACAGTTTACGAGTCATGTTCTCGGCGTCTGGAATCTGGATCGCCTTGCCCCTGCACATCCGACATGACCACGTCAATATCTTTAGACTTACTATGATATCCAGCGGCTATTGGGACATTTAAGTATTTCCATTATCTCAATGAGTTATGGGCCAGGTTACGAAACGTCGACTCTGGGTCATTTATGCCCTTTCATGTTGTTCTCTGGCGCATAGTGGACTGACAGCAGCGCACGCCTGCTTCGAGTCCAGGAAACGCCCCAATGGGTGATATTTCATGTCAAAATTGCAACACTACTTCACCAAATCACGACCTTGTTGGATGGACCTGGGAAAACGCCAGCCGAGGCACTATCAGTTTGATAACAACATGTCTGGCCACGATCTTTCTGTGCACGTGGGTCGTCATTCATCCCAGAGTGTACAAACGAGAGCGCTACGCAACACTACACAAGATTGCTCTGTTCTTCAAGACAATATTCGCCCCAGAGTTGATCGCAGTCGAAGGACTGCAAGAATGGTCCCAGTGTCGGAGAATGCAACGAGAGTGCGCCGACTTCACCTCGGGTGAACTCAAACTCATCCACGCCTTCTACGTCAGCATGCTGGCGTTACGATACCGAACGCCAAACGGCGACCGTGTCATTTGGCCCAATCAATACACTTGGCTACTACAGCAAGGTATCATTCGGTGGGAAGACCATGCAAACTGGGGCCTGTCTCTGGATAATATCTGCGACAAGAGCAAATCAGATAATGCTGCAAAGCTACTGGCACTGATCCAGGTGACCTGGTTCTCAGCGCAGTGCATACTGCGCATTGGGTTTCACCTTCCTATCTCACAGTTGGAGTCCATGACGCTGGGTTATATCCCACTGTTCGTTGTGACATATTTCTTTTGGTGGAACAAGCCCAAGGACGTCCGGTCATCGTCTATCATCGACCTCCCGAGAATGAGTCAGGGACAGATGCGCCTCTTTGAATCAATGGCGGTCAGCAACAAGTTTGACAACGAAGGGATGAAAGAGCAGGTCTCATATTGGAATATATGGTATCTTACTCCTCGGGTATTCGAGAAGGAAGAGGAGGACAGACTTATACGGGAGGCTCGGACAAAGACTCTCAAAGGCCCGGATCGTCATCCGAGTCCTGAAAACCCATACGCTACTGCAGTCAGCGAACGTGAAGCTCAAGACGTGGAGGGTCAAACTGAGATTCGTAAGGAGATCGTCGTGGCTCATTGGGATCCTGATCTATACAGATCGAAGATTTGGCCATTGACGTGTCTATTTGGGGTCTCATTTGGCGCCCTTCATCTTGTGTCTTGGAATACTACGTTCCCGTCCATAGTTGAATTGTGGCTCTGGCGAGTTTCCGCCTTCGTCTCTATCGTGTCGATGCTTATATTCATGCATTTTGAGAAGGTTGTTGTCCGTTGGGATGGCGTCTTGACGATTTTCAGTCTTTCGTCGCCAGTGTTTTATCTTCTGAGTCGCGTTGTGATGATCGGTGAAGTGTTTGCCGCGTTGAGAGCATCAGACCCAGCTATTTATCAGGCCTATGAGAACACAGCGTACTGGCTGCCCTTTTTCTGATTCTGTTCCCTTTTCGGCACCGGTGTTGACATGCACGTTCCGGCAACCTATGCCTCGCGGTTGTCCTTGTACTTAGTTTCGGCGTCACTGAATCAACTCTCGTTTCCATTTTCCGTGTCTTTTCACTCTAGAGCTCCTCGTGTCTCAGAGTGCGCGATATATCACATCAACGAGTGATATAAACGCCGATGCGACGACAGGGATGCTTGCACAAGTCTTGTCTATCCAATCAAGTCCCCACAATAGCCGCTCATCTTCGCTCCACCTGGCCAATCTTGTTTCAGCGCAAATCAACCGACAGACCACAAGGAAAGGCGAGAACAAGCGCTCAGAAGGTATGACGATTCTCTCTAAAGGCAAACATCGGGAGAAAGCATCGAACTAGTATGTTTGAACGGGACTTTCGCTTCAAAAAGGGAGTTGAGGTGGGGGAAGTATGTAAACTGTATGCGAGTTAGCTCGCCCCACTCAATTAGTGTGCTGCACCAGGTCAGACTGCCAGCATTTACGACTCCCCTGAGGATTTCCTCCGTTTTGCAATAACCTCGTTCTCGCGTCTCAGTCAATCATGACAGCAAGTGAGATAGCTGGTTCTATCTTCAAATATGCGTCAATACCAATCGCTATTGGCGTTGGGCTATACGCGATCCTCCTCGGGTTGCTCACCACATCAACATTCCAATCACATGTCGTCTATTTGCACGCAATTCAGATGACATGGTTCAAAGACCTCAATGTCCCCGAGACGTTCGGATTCTTAAAAAATCAAGTCACGCCATTCTCTATCAAAACGGCAGACGGCCAAGAGCTGTACGCCTGGCACATTCTCCCAGTGGAGTTATACCGCAAGCACCAAATGTCTCTAATTGAGGAGCCAGTAGGCTTCGTCACCGACATCAAGTCGCGCCTGGGCTTTCAATTGTTGCGAGAGGACCCCGATGCTCGCCTGATTCTGCACATGCACGGCGCCGGGGGAACCGTAGCCTCGGGATACCGCGTCCCTAACTATCGCGCATTATCCGCCGGGCATCCTGGAAAGATCCATGTTCTGACATTCGACTACCGAGGGTTCGGCAAAAGCACAGGCTCACCATCCGAAACAGGACTCGTCATAGACGCCCTGGCCGTGGTAGATTGGGCGATGAACGTCGCGGGGATCCCAGCCTCCCAGATCTTGATATTCGGACAATCAATGGGCACAGCCGTCAGCATAGCGGTATCCAAGCATCTCGCTATCCAAGACCCGCCTATCGTCTTCGCAGGCACAGTTCTAGTCGCGCCATTCGTGGACGTCGCGACACTAGTCTCGACCTATCGAATCGCAGGCACGGTGCCCATTCTGTCACCTCTTGCGAGGTTCCCGTTGCTCTTCAGATATCTCCAGCGTTTCATTCGAGATAAGTGGCTTAGCAAGGATTCTATTGCGCAATATATCCGAGCCACCGAATTTAATGGGGAGAAGTACCGCGTGGCGATTATTCATGCGCAGGATGACTTCGATATTCCGTGGCACCATTCTGAACTTGTCTTTTGGCACGCGGTTAATGCGTCGATGGCCTCGGGGATTAGTTATGATGAGCTTGAGCAGAAGAAGCTTGATTCGAAGGCGGATCTAGGGGCTGGCGGGTCGGTGATGGAATGGAAGACTGATAATGGCGTCATTCGCGAGGAGATACTGAAGACTGGATTGCACGATGTCATCATGGGATATCCGATAGTCACGATGGCTGTAATGCGGTTTTTTGAGGCAGCAGATCCGTCGTTTGCCATCTGATTTTCTGTTTGAACAGGAGTTATATAGAGAGAAATAATTTGATCTGAGAATCAGCATTGGTAGATTGACGGATTGCCCTCTGGATTATTATTGAGGATATCAACACAAAGATGAAAATAGTCACAAAATGCACATCCCAGCAAGAGATGCTGGGCACAAAAGAAAATGGCAAAGTAATTATATATACAGCGAACTTCAAAACGCGTCAGGCTGAACGCGCTCGGCTTTTGAAAGACAAACCGCATCCACAAACCGACATATCGACATAAAAAAGACATCAAATCCAGATCAAACAAGGTCCGTGTCTAGCGAAATGTACAATATCGCACAAGCGAGCCTATTCGGCTGGTTTGGCTTCCTCGGGGGAATAGCCCCAGCGGCGGTGATTCTCCGCAATCCACCACTGGGAGATATGAGCAGCCTCGCTCAGCCACTTGGCGGCCGTGATACCATGTTGCGACTGCACCGCCTCGAACAGAGCCGTAATGTCGGTATCTTCCAGGGGGGAGAGCTCGAATTCGTCGGCGACGACATCCGTGAATCGCCATGGTGCATCGGGGATGAGCGGCACGACGAGACGGTATGGCTTTGCCGCTGCGCGCATGGAAATCCAGGTACCGCCGGGGTTCATTGTGGAGAAGTGCCATTCTTGCTTGCTGCCCTGCTCGGGGATGAGGGGACGGAGCAAGGACTGGCCCTCGTACAAGGGAAGCAGGTCCTTGAGGACCTTCATCGAGCCGTCGTTGACGGAGCCGGATTCGATGAGGATGTCGAGGATGGATGGGAGGATCTGGGTGGAGAGGACAGCGCTGTCGACTTCGACGGAGGGTAGCTTTGGGTGGGCCAAGAAGAGAGGGACGTGGAAACTGGCGACGTGAGGGTCGTGGTTGGCTGTGATACCACCGTCGTTTGGAAGGGATAGACCACTGATTTGAAGTTAGCGAGGGCATTAGCATGGGAGGCACTTGGATGGAACTTACTGGTCACCTGCCATGACGAGCAGGGTCTCATCGGCGACTCCGGCTTCTTCGATTAGGTTAAGGAGATCGGCCAGCCACTCATCCTGGTAACGGATGGTGTTCAGATAGCGATTGATTTTCTCATTCCAACCATCCGAATTTCCAAGCAGCTGGTCGTATTCACCGGGCTTGAACCAAGGGGTATGAGTGTTGTGAGTGAGGTGAGCGATAAAGAGGCGGTTGTTGTTCTTTTTCGCTTCCTCAAATGCATCCCGGATATACAACTTCAGTGTCTTGTCCGGGTGGCCCCATTTCTGCTCCTCCTCCGGCTCTTCGGGAATGTATTTAGCACCGTCTGCATTGATCGTTTCCTTCGTGGTGATATCCTTGAATCCCATGTGCGGAGTAAGCTGTTCCTGGTGGTCATATGTGCCGTAGTGAGATTGCATCCATTTAGGGTGCCACGGCCAGTTGGTCCAATCTTCCGACTCATTAGAGATGTTTGCTTGGTGGTTCAGCGCCTCAAAGATGCGCGGCAGGCAAGGCTGATAAATATCGTGTGAGTATTCGAAGTTTTTTTGGGCAGCGATGGGGTTTACACCGCACATAGTACCTGTGATACTCTTCATAGTATAGGTACCGGAGGTGTAAGCCTTCTTGGCACTGATACCACCGTAGGGCTTCGGGCGAGGCGTAGCGCTCTCGAATCCAGTCGAGAACCCAGTCAACCTTTCAGCCGTAGGGGTGAGATCGGCGAGTTTGGCCATAATCTCATCGGGGATCTGGCCACCATAGGACTCTTTGATGTGCTTCATGATATAGGAGTCGGAACGGAAGGGGAACACATCCTGGCGATTGCTCTCCAACTTGACCAGAATAACATGCTTGATCTTGACATCTCCTTTGCGGAGAACATCACGGATGGTATCCAAAAGGTCGTTTTGCAGGTTCGGAATGTGAAGCGGATCTTTCGCTGGGTTATAGTGTAGATACTCCTTATCGGCAGTTCCGTTCAAGTGTTCGAAAAGGAAGGGGGACCAATCTGGGAAGGCATCTGGTGAGCCGTTCGCAGCCAACCATTCGAATTTGGGGAAGGTATCCAGAGCAGTACGACCTTCCAGCCAGAGGAAATCACCAGGCAGCGATGCAACAGTGCCCTGAGGAACAGGGTAGAAGATTCCGGCGAATGGCGCAAGAGGCAGGGATACAGAAAGGAAACTGTAAACCACATCTTTTGGACGAATGCCACGGAAGAAGAGGAAGACCAAGGTACACACGAGAACGATGACACGCTTCACGAGCGACGGGCTGCTCTTCTGCTTCTGCTCGGGCAAGGTTCCCGGTGCATCCAGCAGTGCGACAGAGTCACTGTCATCACCGTCATAGTCATCGATCGCTATCTGCTCGTATATCGCGGGATCTGGTAGGGTTTCCTTTTTCCGACGGAAGTATCCTACCGCGGCAGACAGCACTGCAGCCCACAGTCGCAAAAAGGCCGCGGTAGCCCTAGAAAGATGAGGTGTGGCGAAGTATGCGGCAACCATGATACCTCCTTGGGCGAGGAAAGCGACAGCCACGGCGGACAGAACGAGCCCGAAAGAGGGATTCTTGGTATGGAAGCCACTCGATTTCCGCCACCGGATCTCCGAGCCCATGTTGACGGTATAGGATATGTTTGCAGAGGTGATCGCCGAGGTATACAAGCTGGGGCGATTGTTAGCAAATGGCTTGTCCGTCAGGTCCGTTGATAGCCTACCTAAATAGTACAGTAGCAATGGCTGCTACTGTTCGTGTGGTTCGCCATTCGTACGATCGGGCCAGACAGCGCGCGAGCAAAATGAGCACGAGATCCGCGAAAAAGAACGTGGGGCCCCAGCCGACGAGGGATAATATCGTCAAAGAATTGAGATGGACAAAAATGTGGAATGCTTTGGACAAAAGGAGAGAGATGAAGATGACCGAGAAAAGATATGCCCGGCATGCCGTCCAGCCACTGTCAAGATAGAGTTGGGGGGATCGGGCGACTTTCAGGGCAAAGACAGCTGCATCTCCAAGCTTGCCACCGAGCCTCTGGGGAAGATCCCCTGACCAAGAAGATTTCATGGCGACAAGATCACAAGAATGTGTTCATGTGATGTTCTCCTGAGCTAAGGAAAGAGAGATTTCCTTGCCGTGGAACACATGCAATGAATAAGGAATGAAGAAGTTAAAAAAAGGAGGAAGATCGAGAAATCTAGAAAAATGAAAAAGTCCAGGACCTGAGGACACGAACAGTTACGGTCGCAGCGGGTTACTCCACAAACACGTGTGGGACACATTTGCCTTATGTTTCGGTGCAAGATCGGCAGATTGAGGGCTGCGGCGGGTTGCCCCCTCATAGGGCGAGCATCCTAATCAGATAGAAGGTTGGCCCCAACTGGCCCCAACTGGCCCCAACCTTGGCGTCCGTCCCTAAAATAGTAGGTGAGCACACGAGCGGCCTTATCTAGTCGTAACTCAGGGGCAATTGATATCTTACAATCCTATATGTGGCATATGGAAAACTTCTAGGGTTAACAAGATCACCGCAGTGCAATACATCTACTATACATATGCATCCCAACAATGCCCTGCATAAATCTCCGAGGCTTTGAGTCTCTGACTCTCCGAGTTCGTGGAGAATCCAAGACACGTACACCCGGAGTAGGATCAACATTAGTCCGCTCAATCTCTGACCTTGCAGCTCCACACCGATGCCACTCATCGGACCTAATCCGGTTTGATATGAGAGTTGACCAGCTTGATGACATTCATGATTCAGGCATAAATCCTACCTTGTAACCTTACCAATTTTCTTTCAGGTACACCCGTGAACACTGTAACACATCACAAACGGTTTATTCATTAGGGGCTAAGGCTAATTCCGGCGTCCCTATTTGGGCATCCCGGGCCTAAGACCTGGAAACCTTGGAATAGTTTACTGTCTCACCTCAGCATTAGGACGCTACTTCTGATCGACCAATCAACAAGAATAAATCGTCGGCTTCTCATTGTTAAGCACCGAAGAAGCAGAGAAACCCCTGAATGTAGGCCGCCTAGGGATACATAGCACACCCTAGGCAAGTTACGTCCGTGTATCTCAGTTGGCCGTAGGTAGTACATGTATTTGTATTACTTCGTAAGGTATCGAGATGGCACCAACATCTGTTGTAAATACTCCGTACACAGAGATGTATGTATGTACAGTACATGTAGCGTTCAATGGCTGGCGATCTATGCCACACTCAGACTCCAGGCGCCTCAACTACCCCTTAATGCTCGATATCCCTGGCGGCCTGTAGGTGTTGCCGTTGCCTTTTGTTCGCTTACTGCTTCGGGGTTGGGCGTCTTGAAAATACCGGTCATCACAGCAAGGAGAGCCGGGAGGGGGCTGTGACAATGTCGAATCTCTCGACTTTACGACAGAAACCACCAGTGATGACTGGAATGGACTGTATGACAGGATGTGCAAGAGCTGTGCTGCTCGGCCGGGGCGATACTAGAGTATTGGATTTCAAGCATAGTTATATTGTACTGTGTACTCCGTAGTGGGTGGGAGAACTGCACCACTAGGAGAGCGGGAAATTGGAATTGATACAGACACCACACCATTTTACTAGCGGCAAGAGCCGCCTTCTTCCTCAGTGACCTCAGACTACCGTCTGCGATTCTGCCGAATTTGTGAAATTCTGCCACGCTAACCCGAAACCGAGCCAATCTGGAGCTTGCTGGTGCTGCGTTCGCGGGGCTGACCGAGTTCAGCACGCAGACTTGTGATTATTTCCAGTTCTGGCTAGTGTATTTCCTGACTGAGACTTCGGATTTCATGAGGTACATCTGTAGTGAGCGGTTCTGGGACTTGTTGAGAGCGTATCCGAAGTTGCAGGATGTTGTGCTGCATTTGAGGACTTTGGCGCATATTCCGGATCCCGAGGGTTATGGGAATACCCAGTTATTACTGGATAGTCGCGGTGTAGGCAAGGTTTGAGGGAGTTTGTGGTTTTCTTTGCTACTGGTTTGTCTTCAGGTCTCGTCTAGGCTTTTTGAGAATCTTCTCGGTGGATGGGTCGGGAGGGTGGAGGTTGACTGTTTAGTCGAGTTTTACCTCTTCTTTCGAACCCTCTTTCGTGATTTCGTTTTTACTGTGAGATGGGGGGATTTTGTGTTTTTGTCCTTGTTTCTCTATCTTCAGGATACCCATAGCAGATGGCGATCGCTCACCTTCATGGTTCCTCACTGGATGGCAAATTCCAATCCTTAGTCCCATTCCCCGGTTTCATCATGTCATAGAAACGGCCCAGGAAATGTAGAAATTCAGGTAAATTGGGCGCTACTCTAAGCCGAGTCTATGCAGGCGTCAAAGACAAAGAGGTCTCTGTTTAGGGGCATCTACCTTTCCTACCAGAAAGAAAATTCAAGAAAAGCAATTCTATTTCCGGGCAACTAGGTACCAGCCTAGTAAACATCATCAGAGGACTTTGCCTCTGGTATCTCATATCGCAAAACACATTGACGCAACACACAGTGGGATCATCGCATGGATGTTGCCCTGGTAGCCAGGGCTTACGCATCCATAGCGAAAGCGTCATATCCCTTACTCAACCTTGACAGTGTCCTTGGTGGCACCAGCGGACTCCTCATCGGCCTCAACCTTGACAAAGTGCTTGGTGGCATCAGCGGCCTCATCAGCGGCCTCAGCAGGCTCAGCGCTAGGCTTAGCAGGCTCCTTGCTGGCCTCCTTCGTCTCCATCTTGACAGACTCGGCAACCTGGGCTGAATCCTCCTTTGGTCCGTTCTGGGGCTTGTCATCGGCGCTGCCCGCGGACTTGTCATCAGAGCCCTCAGAAGACTCCTTAGTGGCAGCAGCCTTGCGATCACGCTTGGGCTTCTCCGTGCCGGCATCGTTGCCCTCAGGGCTCTTTTTGGCGGTCTCCTTGATGCCCTTCTTGGTAGGCTCCTCAGCCTTCTCAGTGGCAGCGGCCTTGCGGTTGTGGGTGGCCTTGACCTTCTTTTCGGGAGCATCGGCGGTCTCCTTGGTACTCTTGTTGGCGCCACGGGTGCGCTTCGTCTTCTCGGTAGCCTCAGCGGGCTTCTCCTCCTTGATACTCTTGGCGCCGCCGAAGGCCGCCAACGCCTCAAAGACCACGAATGGCGTGAGGGATCCAGTCTCAGCAGGCTGCTCATCCTTGACGCCATTCTTGGTCTTTGAGGCGTTGGCAGCCTTCGCAACCATAGCAATTTTTGACTGCACCAGTGACAAATGGATATCCATTTCTGTTTTTGTCCTTGTTTCTCTATCTTCAGGATACCAATAGCATAAGGCGATCGTTCACTTTCATGGTTCATCACTGGATGGCATATTATAATCATTATTTCCATTCCCCGGTTTCATCATTTCGTAGAAACGACTCAGGAAATGTAGGAATTCAGGTAGATTGGGCGCTACTCTAAGCCGAGTGTATGCAGGCGTCAAAGACAAAGAGGTCTCTGTTTAGGGGCATCTACCTTTCCTACCAGAAAGAAAATCCAAGAAAAGCAATTCGATTTCCGGGCAACTAGTTACCAGCCTAGTAAACATCATCAGAGGACTTTGCCGCTGGTATCTCATATCGCAAAAGAAACCATTCACGCAACACACAGTGGGATCATCGGATGGATGTTGCCCTGGTAGCCAGGGCTCACGCGTCCATAGCGAAGGCGTCATATCCCTTATTCAACCTTGACCGTGTCCTTGGTGACCTCAGCGAACTCCTCATCGTCCTCGACCTTGGCGGTCTCCTTGGTGGCCTCAGTAGGCTCAGCGCTGGACCTGGCAGGCTCCTGGCTGGCCTCCTTCTTAACAACTTTCTCAGGCTCGGTGACAGCCTCAGCAATTTTGGCAGAATGCTCCTTGTGTGCGTTCTGGGGCTTGTCATCGGCGCTGCCCGCGGACTTGTCCTCAGAGCCCTCAGAAGGCTCCTTCGCGGCAGCAGCCTTGCGATCACGGTTGGGCTTCCCCTTGCCGGCATCGGTGCCCTCAGGGGTCTTCTTCGCGGTCTGCTTGGTGCCCTTCTTGGTCAGCTCCTCAGCGGGCTCAGTGGCAGCGGCCTTGCGGCTGCGGGTGGCCTTGAGCTTCTTTTCAGGAGCATCGGCGGTCTCCTTGGGATTTTTGTTCGCGCCGCGGATGCGCTTGGTCTTCTCGGCCGCCTCAGCGGGCTTCTCCTCCTTGATACCTTTGTCGCCGCGGGTTCGCTTTTTATCCTCAGCAGGCTGCTCAACCTTCATCTTCTCGACATGCTGCTCATCCTTCCCGCCATTCTTGGTCTTTGAGCTGTTGGCAGCCTTCGCACCATTCGCACGTTTCGCGGTCTTGCCGTTAGTAACGGCATTCTCGGTGTCAGTAGACGATGTTTCCTCCTTTTTGACTTCACTCTTCGTGGGGGGAGAGAGTTTCTTGGACGCGTTGGCAGGAACAGCCGCCTTCTTACCGGCGGGTTTGCCCTCCTTCTCAGCGGCAGAAGCATCCTTGTCAGCAACCTTCTTACCGCCAGTGGCACGTTTCTTGGTTTCCTTGGGGACGGCAGAACCAGTAATCTTATGCGTCTTCTGAGGAGCCGCCTCTTTCTTAAGGTCCTCGTCGGAATCGTTGTCAGCGTCCTCCTCGGATTCGCTGTCAGCATAGGTAGCAGTGGTCTTGCGGTTTCGGAGAGAGCGTCGGCGCTCCGACTTGGGCTCCGCATTAGCAGCGTCAACCTCATCCTGGGTACGCTTTTTGCCACGGGCGGCTTTCTTGGAATCAGCCTTCACCTCAGAAGTGGCATCAATAGACTCATCCTCGGACGCCTTCTTGGCAGGGCGACCACGCTCCTTAGACGCCTTGGGCTCGCTCTCAGCGGTGGCAACCTCAGTGACGGCAGCATCCGCAATAGCAGTGTCGTTCTCTGTGGCCTTCTTGGCGCGAGCACGCTTCTTCTTGGGCTGGTCCTCAGCACCCTCAGCGTCAGAGAGCTCATGCTTGACAACAGAAGATGACTCCTCGGATTCCTTTGACTGTAACTGGAATTAGTATCTCATTTGGTCCGAGATCCAAAAATGAAAGCCACGAACCTCCTCAGTCTTAGCATTGGCCTTGGTAGCACGAGGACGCATGCCCGTCTTTCCAGGTCGGTTGAATTCAACGTCCTATTCCCCCAATTAGCTTCTACCGCAGCTGTGGAGTGAGATGTCAGGATTGTGAACTTACGCCATTCCATTCCTCATCGTCAACGTGGCCATTCTTAAAGGCCCTGTCAATCCTGGCCCGGTCGTCGACATCAAGCTCCTCGTAGCCATCGAGCTCGGAGGTATCGTTCTCATCAGAAAGAGAATTCTTAATGTTCTCGATCATCTTGGGAGTCAAGCAGCCCCTGAACGAGATCAGCTTTTGGAACAATCTACTTGGAGGATTGAAGCCAAGTTGAAGCAACCGTACTCACCAGTGGCGCCAGGCCCAGCTTTGGAAGCTCTGACCATCGATCCAGGTACCAATGCGGAGTTCGCCCTTGGCAATCTTGACCTGCTTCTTAATACACTCCGGGCTCTTGCAGCCAGCTCGGCCTTGGCGAGCAGTTTCTGATCATGGGGTTAGCAATGAGGTCATACACTCTTGGTCGAGAAGGAGCAGTCTTCGGTGGACGGGATGAAACATACCAATGCGATAAGGCATCTTGACTAGTGCTCAATGATTGGAAATTTGTTGATAAACTCGTAGCAGCGAGGCTAAAGGGGAGTAAAGATGTTAGATGTAATTGTGTGTCGCAATCTGAGAAGATACGCGAGTCGTAGTAGATGAAGTTGAAAAGAAGAAGTTGGGAGAAGAAGAACGTGTGCAACCCAGATTAAAGGGTCAGCTGGAGAGAAACTTTTATTTTTCAGCAACCACCTAATTGAAGCGAGTGTGAATTGTATGAAGAATAGAGAATAACAGTTATAACACTTTATTCTTCTTATATCTGAATCTAATAGGTATTTTCTCTATTTCCATTCATGAATGTTCGAAGACAAAGGAAGTGTATTTAGTGTGACGTAGCCCCTTGAATGATCTGCGGATACTGAGTATAGGAAGTTGAATAGAACATTTATTTCAATTTCAGCCGTTTGTTCTATTCAGTTAGAATTTAGCAATACAATTCCATTCATTGAGTGAAATGGCTGGGGAATTAAAGTGGCTGGGAATCTGACTGAAAATACTCCGATTGTATCAGGGCTACCATGCCCTAAACCTCTGGAAGCTGACCGATGAAGCATCTTCCTAGGGCTGTAGCACAGTCTCCTTCCATAATACTGGGTAACTGGATAACTTCCTATGTTCTTTTAGAGTGTCTAGATGGGTCGCTGTCCTTCATGGAAGCAAGTATTTCCCCTGTACTTTTCCTCCGCTTCCAGCATAATCCGCTCGATATCGTCAAATCCGTGATCATCTGGATCCTTCGAATAAAGCGTTCGATCGTTACCATCCTCTCCGTCATCCACTACCTTTCCATTTGGAATAGGACTATCTATACCTTCAATCTTCATGGAATCCCTTTCGCGTAGTCGTTCAAGTTGAGCATCCACATCTTGATTAGATAGGATGGACTTGAAAACATGCGGCCCCTCTCCCCGTCCATAAACATGCAGAGATTCGAGATTGGGAGGGGAGGTCAATGATCAGCCAGATTGAAGCATTGAGGTCCATTCGACCATCGGGGAATCCACCCTGGCTGGATCCTACACCCCACGCAAAATAGCTTAGAGTGTGGATACCGAAACTGAGACTCTTGAGTTTCGGGAAATCTTTCAATGAGATAGAGGATGGTGGAACTTCTAGGTGAGTGGCTAGATCACGAAGTAGTTATCGAAGAGAAACTGTGAAGTAGGTTGCAATACCTAGTTGACAAGAGCCAACGCCGGGCAGTTCCAGACTCGTTTGCGAGCTTCCCGCCAACTGGCAAGCATTCGGGCAACTGGCAAGGCTACATCCATACGGATTGCCCCAATCCCACAGCGACAGCATGTACGTAAAGCGAGCTAAATCGGGTCAATGAATTCATCATCATCATGATCATCCCACAGCGACACGTGCCGTCTCTGATCTGGTGTAAGCATGATTATGACGATGACGCACCCACTGACCCGATCTAGCTTTTCGTGCTGCTATGCGCTCCAGGGCCTGCTCCTTCAACGAGTTTACGGAGTAAAATCAGGAGGTGCATTTATCCGACACGGAACACATATGCCCGGGACGGATCAGCAGTGCTGCCGCCGCTAACCGCCTTAGGCTAGCGCGTCTCTATTCAATGTCCAGCAGCCAGCTAAATCTACATCACGACAGGGCCAGGCACAGTAACTCCCACTCGCCATTCTCAGCCTCTACCTTCTAATTAGATCAGCACCTCCTCCACTCAACCACACTAGACCCAAACATCAGCGCGAGAACCCGAACCCACCATTCCCAGCCAACAGGAGAACAAGCAACAAACCAACTACACAACCCACCAGCGCAAATCCCAAACCCCAAAATCACGAAACACCTACAATGTCCGAGCCAGGCCCAGAATCCGTGCCTACAAGCGCCGATCCACGCAGCAAGCGGCCAACAAAACGGCGCGCCGTGACTCCGCATTCCGAGGTCGCACACCAAATCGAAACCCTTTTCAAAGACCCGAGCAAGGACCTGCACCTACCGACACCCGCAAAGCCGCGCACTGTCGCGAATCTCTCTGCGCCACCGGAAATCGTTACCAATGTGCAGGGATCTTCGGCTGGTGCGGGATCGGGCGAGTTCCATGTATACAAGGCCAGTCGGCGACGGGAGTATGAGCGGCTGCGGCTGATGCAGGAGGAGGTTGATCAGGAGAAGAATAATGCTCAATGGGAGAAGGAGAGAGAGGAAGCGAGGAGGAGGGATGCGGAAAAGACGGAGAAGAATCGGAAAAGGAGGGAGAAGAAGAAGAGTAAGGGGAAGAAGGGTGGTGGTGGTGGTAATGGTGGTGAGCCGATGGATACGGCGCCTACGAAGGATGTGCCTGCTCCGGGTTCAATGGTCCCCGCTGAAGCGAATGACGGAGATGCTACGGATGGTCCTGTGGCTGTGCAGGAAGTGCCTGGAGTCATTATTCATGATGAGGACTGAAAGGGGAATGCGGGCCAGTTTATGATACGGAGATACCCATCTGGATTTGCTTTTTTACTTGGATATTCATACAGAAGGGTGGACAGCCCAGAGGCAAATCGTGTAACATTATGTACGGACCTCGAGTCCAAGGATCATTTTTCTTTTTCGTCTATCAATCATTCCTCGCCGCCACCACCGCCGCCGGCGATCTGTTGGGCGGACTTTCCGCTGCAGATGTCGTCGACGCGGAGAAGCAGACATGCGGACTAGAGATGGATATGTTAGTGAACCGTAGCGCATATGTGGAAATAGTAGGATGCTTACCTCGACAGCTGTCTTGATACTCTGGAGCTTGACGGCTTCCGGCTCCCAAACACCGTACTCCTTCATATCAACCAGGTTGCCAGACTCACCGTCCAGACCCCAGGTGTTGTGGCCCTCAACGTGCTTGGCGCGGAGACGGGTGAGAACACGGATGGGGCTGGCACCAGCGTTCTGGGCCAATGTTCGGGGAATAACCTCCATGGCATCAGCAACAGCCTTGTAAGGCCACTGTTGGACACCCTCGATGGAGCGAGCGAGCTGGCTGAGCTTCACAGAGACGGCCATCTCAACAGCACCACCACCGGGAGACAGACGGGGGTGGAAGATAACGTTGCGAGCAACGGACATAGCATCCTGCAGATTGCGCTCAATCTCGTTGAGGATATCCTTGGAGGGTCCACGCAACAAGATCGTACAGGCCTTCGGGGACTTGCACTTGCGCATGAATGTGAAGTACTCATCTCCAATCTTCTCAATCTCGAACAGTCCACATCCCGTACCGATATCGGACTCCTGGATGTCATCGACACGGTTGACGATGGTGGCACCGCTTGCACGGGCAATGCGGTTGTTGTCGGTCTTTCGCACACGGCGGAGGGCTGTGATGTTGGCCTTCATGAGGAAGTGCTGTGCAAGATCTAGTAGCACTCGGTGGTTAGAATATGCAATCAATCAGCCCCCATGTAACCGCTAGCTTACCAGAAACACCCTTTTCGGTGATCACGACGTCGGGCTTGAAAGCCAAAACGGCCTCGCACATGTGCTTGACCTGCTCCTCCTCAATCTGGAGCATGCGGTTCCAGTCATCCTCCTTGGAGATTTCAATGTTCGTCTGGGACTCTCCCTTCTTGTACTCCAGAGGGCAATCCAAAAGAAGAATGCGGGGGTTTTCGATTCTGCGACGCATCTTGGGATGCGTGATATCTTTGTTGACCATAACACCATCGATCACCTCAGAGTCCTCGATCTGACCACCGGGAATCTTCTCAATACGGGCGTAACGCTTGATATCGACTTCCTGCTTTCCACCACCGACATCGAAGGAAACAGTTCGCACAGCGCGCAGAGCTAGGCTGCACATGAGCTCTGACCACCGGGAGACGAATTTGGTTCCGATGGAGGACTGGATAAGGGAGTACATGGCCTTGTCATCGGTAATATCAACGGGTGTCGAGACCTCCTCCACAATCTGAAGGGCATCGGCGAGAGCACGCTTGAAGGCCTGGATGATGACGACGGGGTGGATGTTGCGTTCGAGCTGGGGGATGGCCTGGGCGAGCATTTCACCGGCTAACAGGAATCAGTCATTGTCCGCAAAATATCCGGGATGCGTGTTATCATACCTAGGATGATAACCGTCGTGGTGCCATCTCCAACCTCCTCGTCCTGGGTACGGCTGAGCTCGATCATGCTCTTGGCTGCGGGGTGGGACACTTCGATCTCTCGCAGAATGGCGTGACCATCGTTCGTCAATACAATACCGCCCATGGGGTCAAGCAGCATCTTCAACATGGCCTTGGGTCCGAGACATGACCGGATGATGTCCGCAACACTGTTGTTGTTTATGAGATTAGCATCGAGCCGATGAGAACAACGGGATATCGAGGGATGGCATACGTCTTTGCCGCAGTGATGTTGGACATCTGTGCTCTCCGGCCAACTTGGCGCTCACCGGAATTGGTGTCTATATGACTTGTTAGTATTTAAGGGGAGCAACTCGATGGGGGGTAACATACTCATTACCACCACCGGAGCCTGCATGTTGGCGGTGATTTATGGTCTGTGGAGCGGAAAGTAAAGGAATGGTCCGTATCACTTGCGAATATCGAAAAATATTGCAAGAAGATGATAATCCAAGAGTTCCGACTTCAACGCTGTTCGCCCGCACTCCATCAAATTTCCAGGCGAAGTGGGAGCTCCCTCACGCTAGTACAGATGGGGTTTAGCGTCCACCTTTCACAAACCAGGCAAACATCTCCAACTCAACCACGACGGATGTCGGAGCAATATGATACACACTTGTTCAGTCTTGAAAAGGAGGAGGTTCAAGGGCGTTATGTCTTTTTCTTGGTTAGGCTAGGCTCGCTGAACCCTGAAGAAAACTTGTATGTTTCAAATGAGGCTACCCTTTACAAGATCGCAATATCCACGATTCACAAAATTGCCTAATCAGATACGATGGAACAGATCGAGACGAAAGTACGAAGTATAGGTTGCCGAGTATTGCAGACTGGCAACTGCATTTATATGTACCCATGGAAGAAGTAAGAACCTGTTTAGAATTCACGGCTCTCGCCGATATCACACACGTCAAAGATGCCGCTCTCGGGGAGGCCGTTTTTCTTCAGCGCTTCCTTGAGCTTCTTGGGGGGCTCCAGGACATCTTCCTCGGTCAGGACCCATGTTCCCCAGTGCATACCCAGTGCCTTTTCGCACTTCGTATCTCGGAAAATGTGGACGGCATCATGAGGGTCAGCGTGTACTGGACTAAAGAAGTGACGAGGAGCGTAGGCTCCGATGGGTATCAAGCCAAGATCAAACGGTCCGCGGAAGTCACCGACCTGCTTGAAGGCAGGACAGATGGGGAACTGATACTTCGGATCCCAGTCGTCTTCTCCCTCAGGTAGCTCTTCAACTGATCGGTAACCGGAATCGCTAGATTAAATGTCAGCAAGAAGGAACCATAATTGTAGGATCTTCGGGGGTTCGTCGTACCCAGCAAAATAAACCTTGCTACCACCAGATTCAATGGACCAGGCAGCCCATAGAGTCTTGGAACGGTCGAAAAGAGTGCGGGCAGTAATATGTTGACTGGGCAGGCAACTGATGCGCGCTTTGATCTCTGCCGTGGTTGAAGCTTCGCCTATCGGCTCGACCTGTGTGGTCTTGTTCTCCTTTGGTGACAGGGCAATATCAATTTCATCCCACCAATCCGACTCGGTGATATTCTGAATGCCACAGCTGTGGAACCAAGCCTTGTTGCCAAGCGGGGCGAAGAAATGGCAGTTGGGGTGCCTCTTAGCAATCTCCCTGATGGTGGGGTAGGATAAGTGGTCGTAGTGGTTGTGGGAGATAACTACGACGTCGATAAAAGGAATATCCTTAACCTGACAGGCAGGATCAGTGAAGCGTTTCGGGCCGAGAACAAGACCTCCATAGCCTGGTCCACAACGCGCGTCAAACACGGGGTCAAACAACACCCGGAGGCCGCCTGGAAATTCCACATAATAGCATGCGTGGCCGAGCCATGTCGCTCGGAGCTTGGGAGTGTCTCGAGTAGGAAGAAACTGTGAGTCGCGAACGGTGACGGTTGGCGGGGTGGTATCCGGGTTATTTGCCTTGCCACTCAATCGACGAGAGCTGCAGAAGCGTGGATTAGAAAACGAAATATGCCCTAACTATGCGGTAGGTGAACTCACATCATCGCTTGCGTGATTTCCTTGGAAGACAAATGACGGTAAGACCTAACGATACAAAGTCCCTTGTTAGTCTACGCGACGCAGCGACAACATAAGAGCGAAGCAGTCAAGGAGGATTGCTTACTCCCATGGGTTTCGGAACCCAGTACTAGTGTGATGGTTCTTCGCCAGCACATCTTCGGGGCTAGGTCTGGTCGGCGACCTAGCGACCGTTAGCGCATAAAGCACCTCTGTCGTCGCTGCAGTGCTCATTCTGCGAATTGGCGGATGGTGTAAAGCTCGTCGATACTCCGTCCACCGAAGAAGCGGGGAACGGGGTGCAGGGCTTCGCATCGAAGGCCAAGGCTTTAATACGAAAGGCGCCTCGGGTCATGCATGGGACACGTTAATGTGCAGCCCGGGAAAGCAATGAAAGAAACATATCGCTTTTTAGCCCGCTATCTCCGACGCTATCAACACGGCACAACTTCCCCGTCTCGATCGTCGGCCCTCGGGGCCGACATGTGAATCCGTGCCAGTAAACATTGCACTCTGAACTCCATCATCTTGCATGCAAGTCGGGACTGTGACGCGACATCGGTATGCCACAATGTAGTCCTCGCTGGATAACGTGGTAACGATGTAGTTGCTAGTCCATGGGTCCGCGGATGCATCAACCCACCGGCCCGTTGTAACTCCGGTATCTGCCCTCCTTATCAATCTTCCGCCCGACATTTTGCGTCTTCATAACTCTTACGATTAGCTTGGGATGGAGCCAAATGGGGTCCCTGTTGCTGCGCCATCTGCGGGCGAATTAATTCTCCAACAAAGATCTGACGCACTGCAGTCAGCGCAAAGGGGCGACGGAAGTCTTCTCTCACAGCTTACGAGCAATCCCTTGTTCACCGCGGTATGAGATTCAGTCTTAGATTCATGAGCTGCAATGACAGTACTAATACTCGGTGCTACCAGGGTTTTGGCCTTGCAGGTCTAGGAGCAGGCTTGACATTTGCACAAAAGGGTATTCGACATGGGGCAGCTCTTCTTCGACGACGGATGTTGGTAGATGTCGAGATCAGCATCAAAGATGACTCCTACCCGTGGTTTCTGCACTGGATGACCCTCTATCAACAATCACAACTTAATGCAGGCCGAGCTGCAGCGAATACATCCGGCTACATGGACCGGTTCCTTCAAAAACTCACACCCGGCATGCGCCACCTCTCCATTCAAACGCAAAAGGTCGAGCATTCGAACGGGGCGATCCACACACACTTTTCTCTGGTCCCAGGACCTGGAAAACACGTCTTACGATATAAGAATGCATTTGTCTTCGTAAATCGCATGCGCGAGTCGAAATCTCGTGACATTCAAACCGGAAAACCATGGGAGACAATCACCCTCACCACCCTCTACTCTCAGCGCCACATCTTCGAGGACCTCTTCACCGAGGCTCACGCATATGCTGCAAAGGGGCACGAGGGCAAGACGACAATCTATAACAGTTGGGGAACAGAGTGGCGACCGTTTGGAAATCCACGCCGGAAGCGTCCATTGGACTCGGTTGTTCTCCACGAGGGAGTCAAGGAACGGGTGGTGGCCGATGTGGAAGACTTCATTTCTAGTTCATCGTGGTACCATGATCGTGGAATTCCGTATCGACGAGGATATCTCCTATATGGTCCTCCAGGTACCGGCAAGAGCTCATTTATTCAGGCACTGGCAGGAGAGTTGGATTACGACATTGCGATTCTCAACCTGAGCGAGCGGGGCTTAACCGATGATCGGTTAAACCATCTGCTCACGATCGTTCCCAACCGAACGCTTGTCTTGTTGGAAGATGTGGATGCCGCGTTCTCCAACCGACGCGAGCAGAGCGACGCAGATGGCTATCGCGGGGCCAATGTGACCTTCTCCGGGTTGCTGAACGCACTTGACGGAGTCGCTAGTGCAGAAGAGCGCATAATTTTCCTTACCACCAACCACGTTGAACGACTGGATGAGGCATTAGTCCGTCCTGGGCGTGTGGATATGACGGTTCGTCTGGGCGAACTGACTCGCTACCAGGTCAGCTGCCTATGGGATCGATTCTATGAAGAGATCGATACCAATGGAGCCTACCGCAAATTGTTCCTGGATCGACTTCAGGAACTTGGCTTGATTGAAGATGAATCCGGTCACAAGGCCGATCGCAGCAGACAGACCAGCGCAGCTGCCCTACAGGGCTTGTTTTTGTATAACAAGGGTAACATGGAAGGTGCGATCGCCATGTCCGAAGGTCTTCTCCACACTGTGCACACCGAGGCACTAGGTCAGGACCAGAGGAAGAACGAATAACTGTACAATATATTATGTAAATAAGACCAACCAAAATAAATAGACCTGTTGGGTTCGCTGTGTTTTCAAACCGGGGAAACATGACCGGGGAAATAAGCTTAATCGCTCAACCAAGGCACCGGGACCCCTTAAGGGTAAACCTCGTGGATCTACCCCACCTTTCAATCAGTGTTAACTGTTAAGGTTCTCTCACCGATCTTTCTGACTGACTAACTGTGACAGGATCTAGGTAGGTACTCCGTACATGTAATCAAGTTCTAAACCCCCAGCTGGGAACTATTGCCCCTCACTTCCCCTCCGTTTTCACCCAGCACTCCAACATCAGCATCATGGTTTACACTATCGTCGTCCGTATGTTCTATTTCTCCAATGAGTATCTTCCCAGCACTGACGGTGACAGACCTCCGCGCCAAGCCAGATGAAGAGTCTATCTCTAAGCTCAAGGCCAAGCTTGTCGAGGCTTCCAATGTGTACTCGAACGACAAAGAGACCCTCTCATGGTTCGTTATGCAATCTGTGTTCGACAAGCAGGACTTCACTATTGTCGAGCGCTATGTACAAGAATCGTCGCAAGAATACCATCTCAACAACCCATACTGGAAGACTTTTGATCCCTATGTGATCCCTCTTTTGGAGAGGGATATGGACATGCATCGCTTGGAGGAGTTGGAAGGTTCTACTATGTAAACCCGGGCACTGTACGTGGATTATGCGAACTACAGTCGCATGTCATATGCGTCATATATTAGGATCCTTCTCAAAATTGACCATCGCAGGTTTGAACCTTCTTAACAGAATCTCAACGCTACCTACCCAGTTAGGACTTAGCCGAGAGTATGGTGGGCGTGGAGAGAAATTATGTCCTCGAAAGCTCGAAGACTAAATAGTTTAACCGGTCAAATGACTAGTTAACATCCCTGGATTTCTTACGCGCCTGAACAAACTTTATTCAGTCATAGGTAGTACGATTGGTGACCATTTATGTGTCTTATTTCCTCGCACGATCCAACTACTATGGGTAAAGCCCGGAGCCGACAGTCAGAATATGCACGAGCCGGGATGAAGGATACTGACTTCTTCAGTGGAAAAATAACCAACCAATCTGAAGTCCCGATCACGATAATTATAGATTCCTCATGGTCCCATCACCAATCACCTTGTCGCATTGAAGCGCCGCTACTGCACGAGGAAGTTCCCATCCCAGGATGAGAGCCAATCACAACCCGAATCGGTTAAGCGCCTACAATAAGCACAGGGTTGTCACACATCTCAACAAACCAAGTCCTCTGCTTTGGCCCTGTGGGCATTGACTCGGTGAGAATGGGAGTATATCACTGAAGCAAACCCCTGCTTGCGCGCTGTCTGCGCTTTACTGCGTATACGTTCATACTACATTCGCGCAATGAGTAACAAAATGAATCAGTTTCAATTGTTCCCGCCTCCTTCACCCGAGGTGAAGAGGAACAATAATCCATTTCGAAAGGCTGCAAAGAAGCCAGTGGCTACAGCTGAGCCGCCATCACCGATTCCCCTAGTGGAGATCAATGACCCTGGCAAGACTGAATCTGTGCTGCTGCAGATCATCGAAGATACCAAGCCCGTTCCACCTCCTCCACCATCAACGAAAGATATCTCGAGGTCAAAGTCACCGCCAATGGTGGTAGGAACATCTCATGATGCGAGACCCCCTCGGTCTATGCACAGTCAGAATCGTCAGGCTAAGAGAGCGGAGCAGCAAGCCTTGCCTTCACACGGTAGCCAAAGCAGCAGCAGCAGCTCTAGCAATCATACGACATCTGCAACAGTCTCCCCGCAGTCATCGCAGTCATCTACCGCTTCGGTCCCGATAAGATCGATGTTTCCTCAGTTCGATCCAAATCTGCCATTCAATCAGCAGGTGTTCCAACCACAAGTTCCAGCTGTCCCACGGTCTACGAAGTCTACGCGGAAGCCGCCGCCTAAGCTGACGTTGTCAACGAATACGGATATTGACCACGTTCTTGGGCCTAAGACTGTGCCTGCGAGTGTGCTCAATTTTCCCACTGGGGATTCAGAATATGAAGAGGTCAGATATTCATCGGCTGAGGAACTGAAGATGCTATGGGAAACAGCCAATGGCCAAAGGCCAGAGGATGTTGCTGGAACATTGAATCTACGCATGTCAAAGTAAGCACCTTTGAATCTGCAGTCAGCTCATATACTTACACTGTCTAAGGACCGGTCCAGCAACATTCACCCTCGGCAACCCCCAGAACCCATTCTACACACTCCAAACATATTCGACCAACGAACTCGCCCTAAGCAGACGTGACCCATCAAACGCAAACTACGACGTCCCAATCATGATGATGAGCCTAGAAGACCGCATCCGCCGCGAACATCCCAACGACGGCCTCGTAACCCTCATCTTCTCCAGACTAGCAGCCATGCTAGCGATAGACCAAGCCTCAGAAATCAGTCGCCAACACCACCTCTCCCCCGCCGAAAGCGCCGAGATAGAAACCGACGCTCTCAAGCGCGCCGCAGCCCAAGAATCCTGCCGTCTCTCCTGGAACCGCCATCAACGCCTCTACGAGCTCCGCCACCCCTACTTCTCAAAACACCATCCGCCCGCCCTCATCGGCGCCGCCGGAATCCCCCTTTCACCAACCCGCCCCCAGTCCTCAGGCGTCGTCCACATTACCGTATCCGCACCATCAAGCGACGCTTCTCCCCGCCAACCACCGACAATCATCGTCACCGGCCCGCTCTCCTCAACGGCACTGGAAGCCGCGCAACAAGCGGCTGATCCCCGCACTTCCGTACTCCCAGTGACAGATCTCGACGAGCCGCTTGCATCCCTGGACTTCGGCACAAGAACTCTGTCCATATCCCCCGCAGCTGTGGTCGCTACCATTCCCTCTTTGTATGCGATTGACTCGCTCGTCGCGGCTATGTTGGCCGTCGCCGTCTCTGACGAAGCGACTAATCCCATTCTTGCCGATATGGTTATCGGATCGCCTAAATCGTCGAGACCAACGACGTCTCAGAATTCGGGTCAGTATTCAATGCCAGTGTTCCAGGGGAAACTGGTCACGACGGTTGCCGAACGCGAAGACACTGAAGCGAGTATGCGCCTAGCGTCGCAGATTAAGTCTGCGCAGAAAAAATCGAAAGACGCTTCGCAGAAGAAGAGTGCGTTCAAATTTTGGGGTAGAAATGTCTCTGCCCCGCGGGAGGGTAGTCGGAGCTCGAAAAAGAATAAAGGTCAAAATGGGATTGAGGAATTTGATTTGGAGAAATATGGTCGGTATGGGAATGGGTCGTCGCGAGAAGGGGAGAAATTACCTGGTATCACGCGCAGTATACTGCGAATACTCTTCTTTGGCTTGGATTTGGTTGTGAAGGGGTTGACGCTCCTTGTCAGGATTCTGGCTTGGGTGTTGGTCAACTCCACGCGGTGTGTGACGAGTGAGAAGTTCTGAGCTGGACTTAGATGTGGCTTCTTTTCAGATATGTTGGTCTTTGGCTTCTTCTTATTATGTTCGCTGCTCGATAATTGGTCATGGTGGCTTGGGAGTGAATGGGTATTGGGTAGTTTATATGATAGGTCCGTTAGGTATACCCAATTTGATAAGTTTATTGCGGCAATAGTCATGGCTGATGCTGTCGATGTATTCCTAGTGGTATAGTAGTGACCTAAGGACCTTTTCAGCAGTCTGCTCAGAGTTCTCAGAAAACTGAGTCCAAGGATGACCGTCTCCTTGAGTGCCTGTCGATCGACGATCATTCCATGCCGAGTCTGTTCGTGCACATCGCAGTCGTACAACAGTTGATATCAGATACGCGGGGGTGAGATCAGAGATCGTAGAAATAGGAATCGGTCAAGTTCTAAAAATAAGGAAATGGAATTTGCATGTTCTAATGGACATTGGGGAATCATCTGGTGTAAATAAAGCCAATGGCAATAACCTCTAAGGTCGTCACGTGTGCGCCCAATAACCCTAACTCAATTTCGATATCTCTCCCTTCCCTCGCGCTCAAGCAAGCCTCCAACTCTCTTCATTCAAAGAAGATTTTGACTAACGAACCAAATTGCCTCCTGACCCTTCTAGTCAACATTCCTCGGAGTATAAGGGGGCCAAGGGTCGAAACAGGAACGACGAATCTGCGCCAGGGACATGGCAATGGCATGGCACATTCTTCCGTCATTCCAGCACAATCAACAGATCTCTGACTCCAGGAGCGCGTTCCAACAATGTCCGAAGCTTATCTCCAACACAAGCAATTGCCCCGATTGAACCCTCGAATGATATGTCGGATCCACCAGAATACCAAGACGTCATCGCACCAATCCAAACCCATGAAGGGGATCAAGGGATGCCATGTCAAAGCGAATGTTTACTGCGTAAATATCAGCAGGATGCCTCTATATAAATCGCGAAGTAATCTAGTCCCGGCGGCTTAATACCCATACCAAGCTCACTCTCCAAATTCTACCACAAAAGTCCACCACAAAATCAAAATGCGCTACATCATCGCCGCCTCCCTCCTGGCAACTGGTGCCCTATCCCAGTCAACCGCCGACTACCTCAAATGCGTCGTAAGTTCTTGCCCACACACTTGCCCCCCAATAAACAATGAACCAACTAATAACCATACCCAAACAGAGCTCAGCCCTGGGTAGCATCGACACCTCAACCTTCACAAACTGCACCGACAAATCCCCACAAGACTGCTTGTGCGCCAACAAATCCGCCCTCGAGTCCCTCAGCACCTCCGCAGCCGCAGACTGCACCGGAATCGACCTGTCCGCCCTAACCGACTCCCTCTGTCCCGAAGCCAGCACCGAATCCCCCGCCCCAGCCCGCCACGCCAGCCTCCCCATGGAGCCGGCGCAAAAGCGTGCCTTCGCACCGGAGCCAGAGGCCGCCTCGCCCGCCGCGGAAGTTCCGCGCGTCGTCTACGTGACCGAGACTCGCACCGACTGCAGCTGCAAGAGCACGCCGGTTGCCGAGAGACCGATGCACCCGATGCATGTGTCGCAGATTCCCGTGCAGGTGCCGTCGTCTAGTATGGGGGTTAACATGGGTGCTGTGGCGATGTCGACGCCTGCTGCTTCTTATTCGCATGGTGTGCTTGTTGCGGCTTCTTCGTCAGTTGTTTATGGGTCTATGGCGACGCCTGCGCCGTCGGGTGTTGATCCTAGTCGGTTCTCGCCATTTATGGGTGGTGCCGAGAGCGGGCGTTCGGTTGGGAAGGGACTCATCGCTGGGGTTGCTCTTGTTATGGGTGTTATGGCTGCTTTGTGAGGGGGTTGATTGGAAGCATTTAAGGGGTGATGGTTTTTTGGGGGTTTGGGGGGTTCTATTAGAGATTTGTTTCAAGTTCCGGTAGTTAGTTTATCTTGTGATTGGTGGTAATGAGGAATGAAACGTTTGGTATTATTATTGACAGTGAGCGTGACTGATTTCTAACATTAAACGTGCTTGCGACTTGCTATGCGCTGCTCAGCATGATGCGAATACAAAGATGGCGAAGGTTGATTCGCCTAGGATATAGAGAGCAGACCGTTGCAATCGAGTTTTCGGCTCCGTCAGAAAGCCTATGCATGGATTGCCTGTTGCACACGAGGGTAGAGCTGCACCAGCTTGTAGTAGATTTCCGGGTGGTCATTGATCATGACCTGGGGATCCCAGCCCATGGCCACGAAGATAGTCTCAACACCACTGCTGACAGGAGTCAGGAAGACCTGACAAACCTGCAGACCGATCAAAAAAGCGAAAGCCATGATGACCGCAGTGAAATTGCCATCCCGGTTGTACTCCGGCCTGGTGAATTGCAGGTAGAGATAGGCCAGCAGAGCGCAGACATAGCCGATGAACGTCGAGCCCATGGTCAAGACCGGACCTATCAAGCAGTCCTGCACGAGCGCATCGATGCCTCGATCTCGCATCATGGTCCAGGTATCCTTAGCGGCGGGAATGTAAGCCTTACCGTACAAAGCGATGTGGCAGAAGGCGTAGCGGTTGAAGAGAGTAACGAGCCAGTTAAGCAAGCTTATGAAACATCCCAAGACCCAGAAGAAGATGCTGCCCATGAGATTGCCTTGGCTAGCACCCTGGCGCTGCGCAACCGAGCACGCCTGTCGCAACATTTGGATGAACGCGATAATCAGACTGCCCAGGCTGATACTGCCAAAGGAGTAAGTCGTCGCGCGACGGAATGCGCCGCGGGTCGAGCCCTTGGGCATGCCGCCGGCGGACTTGCTCCAGAAATACCACGCGCCATACACGCCAGCGATGGTAGTGTGCACCGTGTTCTTGATCCACTCGCTGAACCAGTACATGGCGAAGGTGACGTAGACAACGAGTCCAATGACCTTGGCTCGGCTGCAGCCGCCGTTCTGGCACGCCGGGTTAGTACCTGTGGGATCGGGCTCGTAGGCGACGTAGACGGAGACCAGGGTCACGGAAAACCAGGCGGCGAACGCGACTGTGACGATTCCGCCCAGCGCGCTCACGAGGAAGATATTTCCGTAGCCGCGGGCGACGTCCATGGAAGTTTGCAGCATAAAGGCAGTGAAAGGAATACGCGGGATCCAGCTGATGAAACAGACGGTCGCGAAGACACCGAAGAGAAGGAACGCGATACCACCACCATATTGCTTCCGTGCGATATAGTAGATGCCTGTTGCGAAGGCGAAGACGATATTAAGGATGCCAGTCGCCCAGATGAAGCTTTTGGTGAAGTATCTTGCGCCCATGAAATAGAGACCGGATAACACAAAGGCGACGACGAGGACGAAAATGAACAGAACGAGAGTGTTGGTGTCCAGGGAGAAGTCATTGCGGGAGTCATAGATGCCTCCTCCGTTGAAGCCTTTGTTCCTGGCATACTTGTGGATCGTGATTCCGGACACGGCAACGTACCCAAGGAATACCGCGATCAGCTGAGGAAGGAGTTAGCCTGGAAAAATATGATCGGTGTGGTTGATCCACTTACCAAGAGACCTGCCCACACATCATTCCACTTGGGCTTTTCGATCTTGAACGCCTGGTCAAAGCTGTACTTGCCATCTGGAACATTTTGCTGATATTGAGGTCCTGGTTTAGGCTCCGCCGTAGGTTGCTGAAAGGCGGGCTGCTGGTTGTTCGAGGGTTGATAGTTCGGTTCCTGGTAGGTGGGCTGCGGGTACGAGGCAGGCTGGGCGTTTGGTTGTTGATAGTATTGTTGATCGGGCTGGTAGCCGCGATTGTCAAAGTTAGGCTGGGGCTGGGGCTGGGCAGGCCCCTGGTTGTAATAACTCGCAGCCTGTCCACTCATATCTGCATGTTATGAAGAAGAGAGAAGAGAAAGAAAAGTCAAAATGGAAGAATGAAATATGATATGCTAACCGCATTCGACTCGTGACGACATGACCCGATCTCTTCAGCTACGTAGAGCTCGATCGACGCTAAGAAACGCTAAAATTGACGCTAACCGAAACTAGTTACATCGAACCAGAAATCAAGTTCACTCGTGAATCCCTTCATTCTACGGAGTACAATTTCATATTATCGTGTATCCTTGGGGCTCGTCTTCAAACCGGCTAGCCATTGCATTCTACTAGAAGATGAGACGGCAATACTTGAGGATCAGTAATGTCGTACAATTCTGTCGTGAATGTCATACTACGAAGTACACTACGACTTTAGCCTCCGAGTGGATAGTTCAAACTTGAAAATTGCCAAGCAAGTTGCCTGCTTGGCAGACAATTCCTTTACACATTCCTTGGATTTTATGTACAACTGTGAGAATATGAATGCCATGAACATTTGATCCTTCACCCAGTTCGCCTCCCAAAGCCAAAGACGCCGTTCAATGCAGCCAAAAGCCTACCCTCGCTGACCCCCGATTTGACAATTATGATTATAAACATTAAGTAACCGGTTCACTTATGGAATGCGTGTTGTTTCAAGTGACGCCAGGAACCAGCCACCCGGTGCTCGAGACTCGGGGCTGGTGTGCGGGCTCGACCGGTGAAATCGTCCGTCCCAGAATGAAGTTGCCCTTTCCCGAAAGCCACCGACCGTCGCAGCTTCTCTTCGCGAACAGCGATCCGGCGCTGGGCTCTGAGCTCTTCAATGCGACCTTGTCCGACGCGGTTTCGACGGACGAAACATTCATCCATCAGCGCATTCGCGTCCAGCAGCTTTTTGGGGACGGTCTGGACGATCTGAAATGCTTCCATGGGGTCGGTCACGGCGAGGATATCCTTCTCGCAGGCTTTGAAGATGGCCAAAGACACGCGGAAAAAGGTCTTCGAACCCTCATAGAAGAACACATCCCAGACTCGCAGAGTGGTTTCAAGGGGTAGACTCCCGATGAAGACAGACATAAGCCAATTCGTCAGTCCCAAAGTGATGTCTGGCAGCCGCGAGTTCACAGTCAGGGGAGGCAATCTGCCCCGCCCGACCGGAGCTCCGCCCATGGCAGCGATCTTGGAATATATACCAGGCATGGAGTCCCTAAGCAAGACCATGAGAATCCAAAGGTCAATGTTCGCGCCCTCGAGGCTGATTTCGTGAGTACCGGGCAAGTAGTCTTCAGCGATGATGTGCAGCATCCAAAATGCCTTTTCCTCGGGGAGGAACAGGAGAAGCATTCCTGTGATAAAGTTCAAAGATTGAGTATATCCAATTTTCGGATTATGCAGCGCATATGCGTACAAAACCCGACGGAGGGACTGTATCATCTGCGTCTCCGTAGTGACATTGGCGTGAGCCGGGTTGCTGCTGCCGGAAGGCTCTGATTTCTCGGCTGCCTCGGGTTTGAAATGGATGTTGTCTGGGAATGTGCGGTGAAGATCGCGTTCGATATGCTCCTTATCATCATTGCTCGGCGAGCTCATGGCGGTCGCCACCAATTGATCATACTGGCCAAAGTTTCGGTTCAATAGCTCGTACCCGCCGGCGTAATAGAACCAAGCCGCACCCCGGAACTCAGGAGGAATGCCTTTGCGGACAAACCGTTTCACCTTCGTTGATTGCGGTGGGAATGTTGTGGGATTTGATGTCGGTAGCCCATGTTCCTTGAGCAATCCACACCACTTCGCTCTCCGTTGCGATACATGATGGGAGTAAGATCCCTTCCAGGCTTCGTAGTCATTCAAAGCCACGTATTGTGTGGCTTTACGGAAACCGTAATCGTCCCGAGGGCCATTTCCTGAGCGGAGTGGCGGCGGTACCAATCCGGGGACAAAGACCTTCCTCGAGGCTTGTCGTTGAGGTGGTGCTGTACGTACATCGGGCGCCTCGGTTGTCGATGGTTCTGGAGGAGTAGGATCGGGTGGTGAACCGTCAGATGGCTCGGGTTCGGGGGTATATTCTGATCGTGCATGTTCCGACGAGGTGGTTTCAGGAGGAGATTCTGGAAGTATAGGTGGTATCGGGGTAGGTTGAGAATATGTGTAGTTAGGCAAGAACAATGAATCTAGCATTGGGTTGTGCTGGTAACTGGATTCTGGCAACGGGGGTATCGGAACGTCGTTCAACGACGAAGTTTCATGCGCGTGCACCTCGCTTGGATGTGCATCGCGTGATGGCGGGGGCGTTATCGATGGCGCTTTGCTCCCTGTGTAAGATTTTGGCGACGCAGGCTCTTCCGTCACGTCGCTGAAACCATCGAGATACATGGAGATCGCGTCGTCGACGCTCATCCCACTGTCCATTCCATAAGGCGCGTCGGGAGTATCCGGTGATAGGTCGGTAATTGAGCTGCTCTTGGTCAGGACACTGCTGCGCTCGGTTCCACTTGTTTGCTCAATGCTAGAGCGACCGGTATCGGAGGAATTAACACTCGATCGGACAGCGTTCTCGTCGGCGGGCCCATTCGCTGGGAAGCGCGGGTAGAGGAGTCCTTGGGGACATATTTCCTGAGGACGATGCTCCATGGATTCCTGCGTCCTTGGTCGCCTGTTGTTCAACCTGGATGTTGACAGAGATATGCGGAGTCCACCTCGCGCAGGTGGACCCTTCCGATGAGTTGGCCGTTCCAATCCACCATCTCGCGCTTGCCAATTCTGAGGATAGCTTTCAGGTGGTGTGGGGTATACTGGAGGGCGACCAGGAGACCTTAGAGGTTTCCATTCATTCCTGGCAGGGTTCCAATCGCCGCTCGCACCCTGTGAGGAGCCGTGATAAGGCGGAGTAGGTGGCCACGGAGATTCATGAGGAGTATGCGGTGGTGGTAGAGGTGAGCGCGATCGCTGGGTGTATGGAGGCTGTGGAGAGCGAGGTGAAGGCCTTGGGCCAGAGTTCCCGGGTCGCGCAGCGCGTGGGCCATTTGCTAAAGATTGCAATCGTGGTGGGTGAGGGACCCTGCGGCGACCGGGGAGGTCGAATTCAGCCGAGGGTGGCAGGTATCGAAGATTTACGTTTTCTGTGACCATGGCCACGATGTCGCACCCAGTTCCCGCTGGACATTTGTTATCGTGACTGTTGGGATGCTATCAAGCGGAAGACCATGAACGTTCGGGATATCAGGTTGAGGCAGGCTTGTCAACCCAAAAGAGGGAGTCAGAACAAAGGAATGGCGAATTGGAGTCGAAACGAAGGACGAGAGGTGAGATGAGACCTAATTCGGGGGAGGGGTTGTGAAGTGTGTACAGCCTGCCAGAGGACTGCAGAAAAAGAAACGAAGGGCGCAGGAACAAAATCAACATTCCCCTGATTGGGTTTAGTGTCATGTGACGTAATATTGGCAAAGGGGGATGAACCTCGGAACGGGCCTTGGATATAAGCTTGTTGGAGAGGAAGAAAGTATAATAACCGAAGATAAAGAAGTACTCTGGTACTACTGTGTATAGTACTGTATATCGACTCCTATCTTTGCATTGTTTCAAGTGTGATCCGTATAATTTTGCATGAAAAGTTGACAGGTCGGATTTGACGGAACCATGGCTACATTGCCGATCAGGGTCTAGGTAGAAGAGTTCAAGGAACTTGAATAACTTCCTTGAATAACTTGTAAAATGCACTATATCTACAACCTACTACAGATTAATATCCCCCTGATTCTCAGTCGAGACATCTAAACCTCTTTATCTCTGACCTTCCCCTGTGATTTAATCCAGTCTAAACCCTTTACGCATCTAGCGTGGAATGTGGCTAAACGACCTCTCCGTCCGTCTTCGGATAGCAACTGTCAACTCTTCCAATTCGATGTCACATTTACGTTTGCATAGATCTTTTTTTCTTTTTCAGGATAATTCCATTTCTCAAATGACTACGAACACCCGGAAGGAGGCATGATTATCCAATGGGCTATACGGAGTACTTATATGTGTGAGGGGAGCTGCAGCTGCTGCATTATACTATTGACCAGTAATTAGCAATGCACCCATTTGTCCAAGATGGCAATTGTCGACCCGACGACCAAGCAATCTACACTGCATATCCGTCCCAGTAACTGGGCCAATGTAAGCACTATTCCAAGTCCCCCGCATGTCATCAAACGGCCACATGAATATAGTCACTAACTTGCATGATCTAGGGCCTCCGAGGCATAGCCGCCGTGTTTGTGGTGTCTAGCCATACATGTCTCTCCTTTGCGAGAGGTCTAGTCCCACCCTCGTATGCGGAGACGGGAGACTCCGCTTTGTTTCAGCGTCCGTTCTTTAGACTGGTCATACAAGGCCAGGCTTGGGTAGCCATTTTTGTCGTGCTGCTTGGGTTCGTCAATGCCCTGAAGCCCCTTCAGCTGGCCCGACGAGGGGCGACTTCAGATGCCCTGGCGGTGCTCTCGTCTGGTTCTTTCCGGCGCATAGGGAGACTCATCGTTCCTGCGACATTGGTGACATTTTTAACATGGCTGCTATGTCAGGTTGGTGTCTTCCAGTTTGGCAGACGGGTAGATGCATACTGGCTGCGAACGACAAGTCCCGAGCCAAGCCTGTCGTTCGGCACTGCCATCGCAGATCTGGTGCGGCAGACTGCGGGGACTTGGATGTATGGAGAAAATGCCTATGACCAACCCCAGTGGGCATTGCTATCTCTTCACCGAGGCTCGTTATATGTTTTCATGACCTTGATGGCTTTGGTCAATACTACGCCGTTGTTCCGTGTCTGCGCGCAATTGTTTCTATATGCGTACAGCTGGGCAACTCTGGACGGTATGTGCACGACCAAGACGGATATCATACCAAACATATACTGACGGAGGGTCCACAGGCACTGTCGGCATCAACGTTTTCGCCGGCATGATACTAGCCGAGTTATCGTTCTACAACCTCACAGCCCTTCAACCACGCATATTATTCCGAATTCTGCCGTATGGCCTCGTCACCCTGGGCCTTTACCTCTGCTCGTACCCGGACCAGTTCGCCGAGCAAGCCGCGTGGTCCTCCCAGCTTGCAGCACTTGCCCAGATCATCTTCCCCAAAGGTGCCCATGTGGGCCGTTACTACGCTGGCCTTGGCGCGCAGATGATCTGCCTGGGCATCATTCTCTCTGCCTCTATGCAGCGGATCCTCTCCCATCCAGTATTGCTATGGTTGGGATCTATCAGCTTCCCGCTCTATCTCCTCCACGGGCCTCTGATGCGATCAGTCCTCGTCTATCTTCTCTATCTGCCCATGTCTGTCGGGTTCGCGCCGGCCGTGAGAGCGGACGGAACACCTGACCCGGAGTCCTATATTCCAACGCCGAATCCATTGCGGCTTGTGGTCACTCTGGTTATATTCTTTGCTTTCCTGCTCTATGTTTCCCGGCAGTGGGCAAGGCATGTGGAACCGAGGACAGGGGCCGCTACGGCTGCGTTTGAGTGGTTCTCACGCTCCTGGGGGAGGAGTACGATGTGGTCTCCTAAACAAAAGGCCGAGATACTGCCCCTTTCCTCTGTAAACGAGGACATATGTTTAAGGTCCGAAGTGGGACAGGCTAATCACTTTAGATTGGAGGGCGACATTGATGCCCGTGGATATAATAGGACTAATTAATGACATAACGCACATCATCCATTCATGTTCATAGTCAGATGGCTGTCTAAGACAGACACTGCCCATTTTTCCCTAATAAATGACTCAACGTCTAGCATGACGAGGTAATCCCCTGCAATGCCGGAACTACACTCCGCATGACGACCATTCATATTAAATCGGAATCCAATTCCATCCAAACATGCATCTTCATTTCCATGAATTACATGAGTTATGTACATGTATACCCAAATCAGCGCACAAAGACATGTCAGTCTTAGAACCAGCCACGAGGGATAAATTCGCCGTTTTTTTAGAGTACAATGCTTCGACGCAGGCCGTAACAGACGATATTAGAAGCAAGTGAGAAAAAGTAGGAACGAAACGAGAACCTCTGTGCTATGTTGTTTAAGAATAATGACGTAAACCGAACGCCTGAGAAGAGAGACGTGATGTGAAAATGTTGTTATGAAGACAGGGGTAGAAGGGAGGATATATTGACGAGCGACCAAAGAGATAACCGAATGGACAGATTTTAAGCGACGGCCTTTTGCTCCGACGGAGGAAGGGGGGGAAGCTAGATTCATACACAGTTAGCAACACCTTCGACGGTGTGAGGAGAAACCTCAGGCGATCGCGATAGCTCAACTCACCTCGAGCTTTGTGTTATCGGCCATCATGCGCTGGAAACCAATACCGACACCCTCGATGACAGCAAGGAAGACAGCACACATAATAGCGGAGTTTCGGGCAGCCTTGACACCACCACGGATGGCGAGAGATCCACCAGTGAAGAAGCCGGCGATGATGGCATTCCAGGGATCTTCCTTCTTGCGAATGCCCTTAATTGAACAGTCGTAGATACTGAAAAGACCACCCCAGCATCCGAAGTTACCTCCGAGAACGGGAGCGCGCGCTTTGATTGCCGTGAGAGCACCTATCCGGCGCTCACCATACGGGCTGTTGCGGAATCCTTTGACACCGTGCCAGACGGAACCACCAATGGCTCCCATGGCGAAGGCACCACCGAAATCGCTTAGGGCAACCCAGGGGCAGGGGTCGCGTGTGTGATCCATGATGTGTGAATTGGGGTGGACGGGTAGAGGGTCGGGAAGAGAAGGCGGATCACTGGGTCGGGATCAGTGGTGAAAGGTGAATCGTAGAGGTCGAGGGTCGAGGGTCGATGAATGATGATACGCCCAACGGTGACACGAGTTAAGGGAGGATCAATGGATAGCAGTTGAAGGCAGCAAACCAAGCGGTGACAGGAGATAAGGTCGGCGGGTCGATGGCTCGAGAAATTCCAGATGGGGTACACGTGACCTCGAAAAAAAATAATCCCTGAATTTGCATAGTTTGCATCCACTTCGCGCCTTCCGTCAGACACCGGAGGTCTGTGTACATCTTACGCTTTAACATCGTAGGGAATTCCGACAATTACCGGGATGAGATGGGTGGCGTGCATCTTCAAAAGTTGAACGATCCATGCCAACGAAACAAGCAGTATCTGGTCCCCTGTCTATGTCTTATCGCATAATCTACTTGAGACTTGAGACTAATCGTGACCTCCACTGAGCAAATGGTGCTTTTAACCGCAAGGCCCTGAATCCCGAGTATGCTTGAGTTTCTGTGTGTTTTCAAGAACTAACAGGGATCTGCGGTTTACCTAGTTTCTCGCCACTTTACGGAATGGGACGATATCTGTGCATCGGGTGCATCCGGCTATAGGCTAGTCGTTGTTTTGCTGCGACAAGCGATTTGCTTCCTTTTTGTGACGCTTTATATGAAGGGCTACCTAGAGAAAAACTTGATTCAGTTGAAGCTATGCCGACTTGCTGCCTTCTGGACCACCATCGAGTCGGCGGTGTTTCACAACGTCACAGTATTATTCCATGCAAGTCTCTCGAGACGCGATAAATAATACATGAACTGCTCGTGTCTGGAACCCATCGCATCAACCGCTAACTTGTTTTCAATCGTCGTTCGCCAGGTTGCCCAGTCATTCATGTTCCCTCCGAATAGCGGAGGGTCAGGGAGTCGAGGCCTGGGTCTGATTCTCCGAGTGGTGGTGGTCGGTCTCGACTCCTGTGTGGTCTGCATCGATTCCGTTGCCGCCTCAACAGTGGGTACGACAGCATTCTCATGGGTAAAGGAGCCCGCTGCGTGTTGTACCGAATGACTGGGCAACGTGGCGAATCACCGTCGAGAACAAGTTAGCGGTTAATGGAGAAACGATGGGTTCCAGGCACGAACAGTTCATGTACCTCGATCACAAAGAACTTCCTACCATGTGCTGCACTAGCCAAGCCCCGAACGTTGTTGCTCTGCGATCATTGTCGTACCCGTGCACGTCTTTCGGTCGTGGTCATGCATTGATGGCATCAACCTTCCTTGCCAGGGACGGGACGGACGGTGCCGTCTCCGACGATATGGCCGCAGAACTCGAGCTGCCGAGTGGTGATGTGGCACTTCGTGGGAAATGCGTACAGCTCCTGCTCCGCCAGGAGGCTGAGGACTTGTTGCAAGTGGTCGTAGTGCTCCTCGAACAAATTCAAGACGATCAGGATTTCATCGAGGTAGACCACCACGTTACGACTCAGCAGTGGCCGTGGCGTCTTGCTGATAATGGGTTGAAACGTTGCGGACGCGTTGCACAGCCCGAAAGGCATCGCCAGTCACTCGTACTTTCCCCATATCGTGTTGAACGTGGTCTGTTCAATCGAACCCTCCCCATGCGGATCTGCCAGTATCCGGCGGTGATGTCAATCCTTGAGAGGACTCGCGCATTACCGACGATGTCCAACAGCTCCTGGATCCTCTGATGGGAATATCCGTTTTGGCGGAGAGCTCGTTGAGGGCGCGGTAGTCGATACACATTCGCCTTTCCATTGCCATTTGGTTTGCATGCGAAGACGACCGGGACTCCGCAGACGCTATTGGTGTTTCGGATGAGGCCTTGCTGATGAGCCCCACGATTTGCTTTGCTTGTTCGTCGAGCTGTTCAGCAGGCAGGCCGTAGGCGTTGATGTTGATGTTGACGGAGGGATGGTTCCCCGTGTCGATGTGGTGAACAGCGCCTCGAGCTGCCCACAAACTCCCCTGTTCAACATCAACGCCTATTGTCTGCTGAAAAGCTCGAGGAACATGCAAAACAAGTCGAAGAGCTCATCAGCTCGCCATATTCTAGCGATTTCGGTAATACTGCTCACCGTCATAGAAAGACATCGAATCCCATAGAAAGAATGATGCAAGGCATCTAGTACTGTGTAATATTAATGAGAATGGCGACCACATTAATGAATGTAACGTATTATGCGCCTTGATCATACCCGTGGACGCATTGTCAGTGGACCAGAAGACTTGAAAGAAGGGAGGTACGTGAGTAGGTGTCATGCGGACTTTGTCAAGGGTCCAATAAAGTGCGTGACTGGGCGGATAGATTTACTGCAGATGCGATCCAAGTCATCTTCCTCTAGAATGCCTGAGGCGGCCTGAGCGAGAAATGAACTGATTAAAACAAAATGACCAAACCAGCCAAAAAGACCAAACACCAACGGCGGCATGCGGTACCTACATGAGAACCCCTCCGTGCCACCTTGGACCCTTGGATCAACACAATCTCATCTTCAGACTGATTGGTGTCGCATACACAATATAGTGGGGCAGCCAATGAAACCAGAGGGGTCAAACAAGAACGAGACAGGGGCCCAACTTAGACTTACGCAACAAAAAATGGACCTCGTACAAACTTGGGAACGGTTCTTGTCACTTGGAGATGAAAAGTGGCTCCCTTAGGTGTACCCTAGTGTACGTGTGATCAGCGATGAAGATCGACGGTGAGGCCGATGACCCGAAATCTAATAATAACCAAAGTCCAGGCCTTCAGGCCCAGTAAAGCCCACTTTTCTTTCGGTTTGGTTAGCTTTGTCTCATCTTTTGCTCGCTTTTCCCATCTTAGAATTTCTGTTTCAGAATCCTCTCGTTCCTAACTCCTCCATCTGCTCTTCTTCATGTTAGCTACTTGATCTTCTCCGGCCCCTCGTTCATGCCGGATCGTCATTCGCTTTTTGCTCTTCCGCAATGGATCTGCATCATCTAAACTTGCATGCTCGCAATGATGGGACGGACACTTTCCTCGAGCTCATCGCAAATCCATTTCGCTCCGCAGTACGTCCGAATCAGCACATCGGATCCAAGAGATTCTCGTATTGACCAACTATAGTTCACTGTCACAGCTATCTGGGCCTCGCTTGGCACCTCCATCGGCATCACTATCCTCCTCGCCCTTCTCTTCTCCCTCGTTCGACCCCGTCATTCCCTCGTCTATGCGCCCAAAGTCAAGCATGCCGACCTCAAACACGCCCCGCCCCCGGTGGGCAAGGGTATGTTCGCCTGGATCAAACCAATAATCAATACACGGGAAGCCCAGCTCGTCGACACAGTTGGCTTGGACGCTGCGATCTTCCTCCGATTCACGAAAATGTGCCGCAACATCTTCATATGTCTTAGCATCATTGGCTGCCTCGTCATGATTCCGGTCAATATCACCCAGAGTAGGGAACCGAGCGACTCCACCACGTCTTCGACTTTCAACATGATGACTCCACTCAACATCAAAAACCCCACGGCGATCTGGAGCCAGGTCGTATGCGCATGGGCGTTCGATTTCATCGTCGCTTTCTTTCTATGGAGGAACTATCGTGCTGTGCGGACCTTGCGGAGAAAATACTTCCAAAGCTCCGAATACCAGCGCAGCCTGCACGCCCGAACTTTGATGATTACGGATATCCCTCCAAACAGCCGTACCGATGAAGGTATCTTGCGCCTGACTGACAAAGTGAATCCAACCGCCGCTCTACCAAGAGCTGCTATCGGCCGTAACGTTAGGGATTTACCCTCCATCATCAAAGAACACGAAGAGGTTGTGCGGGAACTGGAGTCCGTTCTAGCGAAGTATCTCAAAAATCCGGACCGATTGCCCGCAAAAAGACCGACCATCCGCCCCCCTCGTCGACAGCGAGCCAAACACCCCGGCGGTAAAGTGGACGCAATCGATTATCTTACGGTTCGAATTCGTGTCCTGGAAGAGGAAATCAAGCACGGACGGGCATCGATCGACCGTCGCAATGCAATGCCCTACGGATTCGCAAGTTGGGACAATATCGAGCACGCTCATGCTGTGGCTTGGAACGCTCGCCGTAAGAGCCCTGAGGGTACTACGATTACTCTTGCGCCGCGTCCGAGTGACCTCATTTGGGAAAATTTGCCTCTTACGAAATCCGCCCGCAAGTGGAAGCGCTTGGTGAATTTTATCTGGGTGACATGCTTGACACTTGTGTGGATCGTGCCTAACGGTCTGATTGCCATCTTCCTGTCGAACTTGTCGAATTTGGGACTAGTCTGGCCAAGCTTCCAGAGGTCGTTGGAAGCCAATCCAAACGTCTGGGCTGCTGTCCAGGGTATTGCATCACCCGCACTGACTTCGCTCGTGTACTTGGCACTGCCAGTAATTTTCCGTCGTCTTTCCATCCAAGGTGGCAGCAAAACCAAAACATCTCGAGAACGCCATGTTCTGGGGCACTTGTATGCCTTCTTCGTCTTCAACAATCTGGTTGTCTTCTCACTCTTCTCGGTTGCTTGGTACTTCGTGACATTTGTGATCGATAAGACCAAGAACCACGAAGATGCTTGGCAGGCCATTTTGGAAAGTCGGACGTATGCCAAGTTGGTTAGCGCATTGTGCACAATGTCCCCGTTCTGGGTGACGTATCTTTTGCAGCGCAATCTCGGTGCCGCCATCGACCTCGTGCAGCTTGTTACCATGGTTTGGGTGTGGTTCGCGAAAACATTCCTCTCGCCGACTCCGAGACAGGCCATTGAGTGGACCGCGCCGCCACCATTCGACTACGCCAGCTACTACAACTACTTCCTGTTCTATGCCACCGTCGCCCTTTGCTTTGCGACTTTGCAGCCGATCGTGCTGCCGGTAACAGCATTATACTTCGGTGTAGATGCCATGTTGAAGAAGTACCTGCTGATGTACGTGTTTGTGACCAAGAATGAGTCAGGCGGTTCATTCTGGCGAGTTATCTTCAATCGCATCATCTTTGCCACTATTCTTGCCAACGTGATCATCGCGCTCGTTGCCAAGTCGAGCGGGACATGGACCATGGTGTTTTGCGTGGTTCCCCTACCCTTCCTGATGATCGGGTTCAAGATCTATTGCATGAAGGCGTTTGACTCTGACTGCGAGTTCTACAACCGTGCCAACTTGAACGATGCCGAGGCATTGGGCGTGAATAAGACCGACAAGAAGGCATCAGACCGTCTAAGCAGCAAGTTCGGACACCCCGCCCTCTACAAACCACTTTTGACCCCCATGGTGCACGCCAAGGCAGCCAATGCACTCAAGGAGATTTACCAGGGCCGTTTGGATCAGGGCGATATGGGCGGCGAGTACTCAGACATCGCAATGAACCCAATGCTTGCGTCTGATCCAGGCAAATCGGCCGATCCTTCGCCATTCGAAGTCGTCCCGGAGAGCCACCTGGACTTTTCATACTACAAAGACCGTGCAGACTTCCGTGACGAATTCGGGGGCGGCATCTACGGTCGACCCGAGGATCTGATGACAGAGCGGTCTCACACACCCCGCAGTACACTCAGAGGCGAGTGGTCACCAGGCTCATCACGGGCCTCATCGCCAGCACCCTCTCTGCCGTCCATGCCACCACTGAAAATGCAAGATGGATCCGAGTATGTTGATCCAACAGGATTGGTGCACCCGGCCTTCCGCGTGCCGCTGTCGCGGGGCGACAGTGGCAACTCAGTATTAGGCGCGTACTCAAACACAGACGAGGCCGATGCACGACTCCTCAGCCACGCACAGGCCCCAGCACACACTGATATCGCGAATCCGATTGACCGCTGGCGGACCCGCGGGTATGGACCCGTCGTCCAGGAAGATGAGCCTACGTTCACTTCCTACGAAGCTTACCGTTCCCAGCGGTAAATTTCTTATTAGGCCTGCTAAGCCGAAACCTGCATATTGTTAGCATATTTGTATTTTAACTGGCGGATCACATTTCGTTTTGTGGTAGTACAGCGTCATTTCTCAATATCAACATAGACACGAAGGTCACGACTGAATTCATACTTGGCTCAAGCAGCTTGTCTTGCAACTGACAGGGCTACACTTATTCCAATGCTTAGTTCATGCTAGATACTGTAAATTGTTTCACGCCTAGTCTCTCCCTTCTCGCCTGGTAGCTCAGCTCTTAATTCAAGCACAGGGCCCTGCTAGGATTTTTACATCACACTACTTTCTCTCTCACATCCAACTACTTCTCTCTTGCTGGTCTTTGAAAAGGCAGAGGAAGTGGCAGAGGACATTCTTTTGTGAATAGTGTGATACTAGAGAGAAAGCAGTTGGATGCAAGAGAGAAGTAGTTGGATGTGAGAGAGAAAGTGGGTAAGAACCTATGGATACCCCATGCCCGTTCATATGTTCTTACCCACTCCAATTTGCGGACCTCTCAAATTGCATACATCACTTACAGGCCATAGCACCACCATTTTACGGCCAATATTACTGAGGTTGGATGTGTTAAATTGCTTAAGTAGAGCACAATGAAAGTGTCGCTTAATATTTTGCATAATAATCCCTTGCCCTTCCGTACTGCCTTCAAACGTCTTCCCATGCTCAATATCAACGCATCGACCATTGCTTGATCTAATGCTTCCAACCTTCCACTAACTAACGTTAGGCATTTTTTACAATAATCCGAGTCTACCTCCGACCTTCCCATGTCAATAAGCTCCGATATTAACCAGCGCCATACCGGTTCAGTTTGGTTCACATGGGAAGGTCGGTGGCAGACTGGATTTATTTCAAAAATGCCTAGTGGAGGCTTGGAAGGCATTAGATCAAGCAAATATTGATGCCTTGATATTGAGCATGGGAACCTGAAGACGTTTGAAAGCAATACGGAGGGGCAAGACTAGGATTTAATAAAGGGGATTGATACAGAGACACCCCCTGGACAGTAGGCTCACTAGGCTGGCCCAAGGACCCCGAACGCCCCCAGACTAGGCCAGTATCTGCTGCTCCAACCCTTGGGTTCTCAATATCAAACTCAAATAACCCAAACTCAACCAAAACACCCACACCAACAATCCAACGGACCAACATACCCTCAGAACCCTCCAGCCCCAGTTCTAACAACCACCAACATAATCAATCTTCACCTTACATCCATCCCCATCCTCCTCCCTAGCCCACCCACAAACAACACAACCCCCAATCGACCTAATATCCGACACAGCCTGAATCATCTGAGCCCCGGTGCGAGAACACCCATCCCCAGAGACGAAGATCCCGCATCCAAAAACTGACCCCAACGGTTTCGCGCACTCTCCTGTATCGCGCTTCGAGCCACTAGTGCGAAATAAGTTTTAGCATGCTTCCAGTGAAAGGGAATGGAAATGAGCAAGAGGATAGGATGAGTTAGGGTTCATACCCGGTTTTGTATATTGCGTCCGGGTTAATCTTTGTCAGGGCGCTGTTGCAGGCCCAGGATAGGGGGCTGCTAACGAAATAGTTGCAGGAGCTTGAGCCGGCGCAGCTGTAGGATGTTGTTTTGGCTCTGGGGAGTAGGGGTGCTGGATGGGGGGTTGGGGGTTCCAGTGGGTGGGCTGTTGATATGCCCGTGTAGATGAGTGCTGTAAGGGCTAGGTTGAGGAGTGCTAGGTGCATTCTGGTGGTAGGTAGGGGTGGTGGGTATCTTGGTTCTTGTTGGAAGTGTTGTGTAGGCGTGGTGTTTGGCTCTGAGGTGCCGGTGTGCGATGTGAGTAAGGTTCTGGGATGTTATGAGTCTATCCTGCGATACTGTCTGACGGGATACTGTTGGTTGATCTTGAGGTTTTGAGGGAAGTTCATTCTCTTTACGGGGAATATCCGCTTTATAACACAAAGTGATGTGCCTAGTCTGTTAGAACTTAGGCGCCAGGGAGATTTGGGTAGGGCGCTATGGTGGCTATAGTTCTGTGTATTAAGAAGCGTTGTAGTACGTGCGTCGTGGACACAGCCTGGTCAGGTCTAGGATAGGTCGTAGTCGCCCCGACACGATTCACGAGATTCAGGACCAACATCAGTCCGGGAAATAGGAGCCAATAACTTCATGGAAGTGGCTGAACTGGTGACGGTGTAGTTCTCACGTCCATGCTGTTTAGTCCGAGGTAGTCTGCGCATGATGACAGGGCTGACTCCTGAGAAGCAGGCACCATTTAGCCTGGAATATCAGGCCACAGGCCTCACGTGAGTGATCAGGAACCAACCAATCATATCGAGAACCCCCAGATTCAAAAATGTAAGGGCAAGTCCGAATCGCACGTCTACATGTAGTTTTTAATTTCGGAAGCAAACCCCAACAGTTGAACAGTTGAACCGACTCAAACAATGAGATAACTCTGAAAAGAACGGGCCGTCAGTAAGGGAGGACTGACCTCGCAGCCAAGGCACCCAATCCATCCCCAACCCACCAACCGCTCCTCCCGAGGCTAATAAGCACCACCAACATTGGAAATATTCACCCCCAAAACATGGCCTGGTATTCCATTCTACCAGCAGAGCTCATTCACCTCGAGAGCTGGGCAGCTCGCGTCTTCGTAAGTATCTCTTCACCCGACACACCTCGGAACGAACCCCCTTCCCGATGACGCAGTTGCTGATCTACCCCGGATTTTCCCACAGTTCCTGCTTGGTCTCATCACCATCGGCCCCTGGGCATTTCTCATACTCCTCGACGCAGTAATATGGCTCTACCGCCTGATACTCTGGGAACTACCCTGGGTTGGCGGGCGGGCGCGCGGTCGACAGCGTCCGCGCGCGCCGAGTCTGAATGAACGGCCGGGCGGACAGCGGAGGGCGTTTGGATTGCGCGGGGTGGAAACTGATAGTGGTGATAGTGACGAGGTTGAGCTGGATGATTTTTTGGGGCATTCAAAGGGGCTGGATCGTGATGACTCGAGTACGGAGGATGTGAATACTGTTGGTCGAGGATCGAGTGGTGGTGGAGGGCTGAAGCAGAGGAATTCTGGACAGACTTGATCATTTGTTCTGTCACGAGTTAGGGCTCGGAGTTGATATGTTTTGATCTTGCGTTATAGTTCTGCGCGCATCTTGGACTCAGGGCTGGGAGAACTCTGGGCTATGGTGTTTGGCTTGCATCGTTATGTCTTTTTTGATATATGCCGCTCTGAAATCTGGCGGTCATGAATGCATGAGGAAGTTTACACCCTGTATGGATCTATTCCTTGACCTTCCAGGTCCTTGTCTAGTGTTGCATTATATCGAGCAGACGTTGTGACACATTTTCGGGGAAGATATCCTCGTTCATACCCAGTTTTCTCGCGAAGATGGTACGATGATAAGTGCAAGGTACGTCTATACATACTCTATCCTTATCTCTATCCATATATAACTCCCGGCCTGGTCGCGAAGATCTAATGGACAGGCCAGTTATCTTATCGAGGTCACGGCGCCACCTGCCTCTTTGGGTACCCCCGCAAATGCATTTTCGGCCTTGTCAAGTTGGTTCCGTCAAAGTGGGGAAAATGATAAGGCCACTTAGGGTTCATGCGGAGTAAGTAGTGATCGCTGGGCACATAAATCTCCCTTGTCATGGCAGATTTGACCTTCTAACTACACCCACCTACTACCTACTCTGAGTCTGACAAGATGACACCTCTATACGACACACTACTCATCGATCCACAATGGCCTCTGTCCTCAATCCGATACCTGCTCTGCATTCTTGCTGTAGGACTAGGTGCTGGCATCTGGAAGCTCCGACAGTATCAAAATGCTCGAGCATCTAGGAAGACAAAGTCATTCTCGGACAATAAGATACATCCTATCACGCCTCTAGAGGACTTTGACTGGGAGAAAACCGAGCAAATACAATTCCGACCATTCAAAGGAAAAGACAAGTACAACTTGACCATGGGTGAGTCATTTGCGTCCGCTCGTGTATATGCCACCGTTATATCGGCACAAGACTAACACCACCCAGCAATCGAGAACCTCGAGCCATCAGACCTTCTCCCCATGGACAAGACCTACAAAGAGCGGATCTCACTCCGCAAGACCCTAGTAGGACAACACCACGACGTTGTAGTAGGAGTCAACAAAAACCAAACCCCACAGCAAGACCCACGCATCCGCCCAGCCATCAGCGAACTATACACCTTCCTGCTGAAAGACTACCTACCAGTCCGCTACCCTAAGATGTTCACTCTGAACGCGGACAACACCATGTTCCACAACCTCGTAACAGACGAATACTGGCCAACAACTCTCTCCGCAACAACGCCAACAATCCGCCCCCTCGAAATCATCGCCCAGACCATCGACGAAGACTTCCTCATTCTGCTCCCAGAACTAGTACCCGAGGACGGCCAGATCCCGAAATACGTCCTAGAGGCCTACGCAACCTGTCTGCCGTCCGGCTTCAACCCGCGCGACAAACTCGGTCTGCGGATGGTTGATATTCACAAGCCCGTCCCCGGCTACAAGGAGAAGATGGAGCTGAGTATGGATCGGTTCTTTGCGCGACTTGAGGTTGGGAAGTTTGTTAAGCGGATTAATTGGAGTATTACGATTAATGCGGGGTTGTTTGCTGCGTTTGGAGGCACGCATGCTGAGAGTGGGAAGAAGGAGGACCCTATTGAGGCCGGCAAATTGGATGTTGATAATGTATGTTCGAAAGTTGTTGGGGGATGTGAAGTTGCTGAATTCAGAGGGATGTGCTGACACTTATGTTCTTCTAGACTGTTCTCCGCTGTGAGCGCCAGACTTTGCACCGTCTGCCTGTGTCGAAGGCTATTGTCTTTACAGTGCACACATATACGTATCCGATCAGAAAGATTAAGGATGAGGGACTTGGGGAGGATCTTGCGATTGCGGCGGATGGGTTGAAGAAGGGGAATGTGCCTGGGATGCACAATTATAAGAAGGGGGGGGTGTGGGGAGAGGCGCTGAAGGACTTCTTGAGGTCCTAGGCTTTTGCACTTGCCATATCGTAATGACTCGCTCTGCTTCAATCTCTAATATCTAGACGTTGTTTGTGCTTTATGAAGATTGTTTATATTGTCGCCCGTTGGGAATGTTCTCCAGAAAGGAAAAAAGGTCGAATCGAAGAAGGGTATTTGTTCATATCGTTGTCATATTTTTGTATCTATATTTTAGAAATCTTCAAGAATCGAAATTCAGCGCAGCCGCTCGACAACCTTGATCAAATCCGCCGTAACACCCATGGCGGTAACATCACCACCGGCACCGGCACCCTGGACGATCAAGGGGTTGGCACCGTAGCGCTTGGTGTAGAAGCTGATGATGTTGTCACTGCCCTTCAGACCAGCGATGGCGCTGTCCTTGGCAAAGTACTGCAGACCAACCTTGACAGCCTTGGAAGCGACATCAATGCTACCAACGTAGCGCACAACCTTGCCCTCCTTCTCGGCAGCATCCTTGATGTTGGCCATCTGGGCATCGAACCCAGGAAGACGGGTCATGAACTGAGTAATACCGTCGGCAGACGAGGGCAGAGATGCAAGCTCGGCGGGGATAAGTGACTCGATGGGGAAAGAGTCAGGACGGGTAACCTCCAGACCGGCAAGACGAGCCAAAATGGTGAGCTTGCGGGCAACGTCCATGCCGTTCAGATCATCACGGGGATCCGGCTCGGTGTAGCCCAGCTCCTTAGCCTGAGCGACGACAGCACTCCACTGCGCATCAGAAGAGCCTGATGCAGGGGCGAAAGTGTTGAACAGGAAGGACAGAGTGCCGGAGAACACACCCTCGATGCGGGTCACCTCATCGCCGGTGGCCACAAGGTCCTTCAGAGTGGAAAGTACGGGTAGACCAGCGCCGACGGTGCTCTCGTGGTACACGAGGGCCTTGCCCTCGGCCGCAGAGGCAAAGATATCCTTCCACAGCGACAAGTCATCGGAGAACCCCTTCTTGTTGGGTGTCACCACTGAGACGCCCTTCTTGAGGAATGTGGGGTATTGCCGAGCAAGGTTGATATCGGAAGTGTTGTCGACCAAAATGGCGCGACCAGGAGCCGAGGCAAGGTATGTAGCAATCTCCTCGGCCTGGAGAGCACCGCTCTTCGTCAGTGAAGGTGCAGCGGCTGCTGTGGCCCAGTCTGCGGCAGGGATCGCCGGGGAATAGGCGGGAGTGGGGGCAAGAAGGGTCTGGGAGGAACGAGCGAGGAGGACAAGCTGGGGCGCATTGGGCAGACGAGCGAGCTGCTGGAGGAAGGCAGTGCCAACGCCTCCAACACCTAAACAATCATATTGTTAGAATTCACTGATCAAAAGTTTGGTGGCTAGGGGGTATGTACCAATGACACCAAGGTAGATAGGGCTAGCCGACATAATGAGAATTGTTCGAAAGAATTGTGCTTTCTGAAGCTCAATGAAGAGTTTATATCGGACTGGGACTAAGTGAACGACCCATTGAGTCAAGGCGTGATCTATTCACCTGCGTAGTGGGGCGCGGGGCTGCCCCGAAAATCGGCGTTGGTCACCGCAATGGGCTGGCAGAATGTGATCTGCGGTCTATCTGGCGGTGTGGTTGGCGGTGTGTATATTGCCCTATCGATAAGCTCGCCATCCAACTTGGTACACTTTGTTAACCTTTCTTCATCCTCACATCTACTTCAATTCCCGTCATCATGCCTGCCGACCAGGGCTCCCTGTATGGGCAAGCCCGCTCCAAGAAGAAAGCCGAAGTCAGAGCGTCAGACCTCGCCTTCAGCTCTCAACTATCTTCACTCATAGCCCAGGATTCGACCTCCGCTTCCTCGCGAGGACGCCAGCGTCCCTCTAAGCATCCAAAGCCAGATATCTTTTCGAAGCACAACAAAGGTGCTCAGAAGCGTGCAGCCACAGACCTTACAGACGATAGCCGGGCCACCAAGCAAGTCCATCTGAGCAGCCAGGACATTGGCTCCATCGATGCCAACACCCTCGGCCGGTCTCGACGCCGAATGGAGGAAAAGGTGCGCATTTATGAGGATATGAAAAAGGGACTTCACCTTGCGGGTGACAGTGACGACGATGATATTCCCACCGATCCAAATAGCCAAGAGGCCTACCTTGTCCGACTGCGACGCAAGGAGAAAGATGCATTGGTCGATTTCGATCTTAAGCACACCGAGGAGCAGCACATAGGAGATGATGAAGACGATGACTCCGCATCTATCGTTTCTTATGAGGATGAGTTCGGCCGTTCTCGCCGCGGCACTCGAGCCGAAGCTCGAGAAGCTGCTCGTGCCAAGGACGAAGAGGCAGGTGGCGGCCAGGAGCGCTGGCGCCCTGCTCGTCCCGACAATCTGATTTATGGAGAGGCCATTCAAACCGAGGCCTTCAACCCCGAAGCCAACATTGCTGCGCAGATGACCAAGCTGGCTGCTCGTCGTGACCGCTCACCCACCCCACCCGAGAATAAGCACTACGACGCTGCTGGAGAGGTGCGCAACCGCGGTACCGGATTCTACACCTTTTCCACCAACGAGGACGAACGTAAGAAGCAGATGGAGGAGCTGGAAGCTGCGCGATTGCATACTTTGTTCAAACGGCAAACTGACGAGGAACGGGCCGCCGCACGCAAGGCTTATGAGCAGTGGCGGCGCGACGAGCTCAAGAAAGAGCATGAAAACTACAAGGAGAAACAACGCTGGTGGCAGGCTGAAATCGAGAAAGATCCGGAGAAAGCAAAGCCCACTCCACGTACAGAACTTCCTCGAAGATGGATGTATGGGCCTCCGGGTACACCACTTCCAGAGGTCAACTACAAAGGTTACATGTGGTGGCGATACAAGGTGGAGGTGACGCCTGAGCCAGAGGGATTACCTGATTCTTCCTCTTAGCTTTGTTCTCACTCTCGCGGGGCGGCAATGATCCCATACTTGCGGGCGCCTCTTGACCACATCAGTGCTTTCTGTCTTATGTTCTATTATTATTTGCGTGATACCCCATAAATTATGTTGCCACTTCGCCTTTCCATGACCGCTCTGGAGGCCACTTCTACTTGTATCAATATTTTCGATGCCACAGTATATCCCAGCGTGTTCTATCGCACTCAATCCATTACGAGAGGACATCTTAATATACCTAGACAAGGTCTCTAAAGACAGGCCAAACAACCTAGCAGATCGGACCTCGCTGGAAAAAATAGAAAACAGCTTTTGAAATCATAAATCGTGGCAGTCATACAAGCATCCGTCGTGACTCAATCGTGAAGGAATCATAAAATGCAAGTCTTGGACATTTACAGTCGTATATCACCGACGCGAGTCAGGTTCCGCCAGTTTGTCCAGAAGCATTAGAAACGCCTTAGCGTCCTCAGATTCTGTGAATGTCAGAGTGGGACATCCCTGGGTCTGCGGAAGGGCATAAGCATCCGCATCCATGAACACAACAGGCCAAGTATCCCGCAAAACGAAGGTCCTGCGGTCAGGGTGTTTGAACCAATTTGGTTTGTGGAGGTTGTGGGTGATGAACGCGATCCATACTGGTGTTCTTTGCGGTCATCAGTCTCAAATACAAAAATCTAGCTCGGGAATATGCTTGACGTACCGTTTCATCTCGCCATCGAGAACCGATGCCTGCAGTCTCACGGCACCTGTCACCCGGTCTCGGTATACGCGCAGCGCGTGCTTGTATCCGTCGTCCGTGATTTTGCTACAGGGTGTGTTAGTGTGCTCCGCTGACGGTCTTATTTTTCGCATGATCCTACTAACCCGCCAAATAGTTCCTTCTCTTGATCCAAATGGTAGTCTAGGATCTTTGTGAATTCAACACCTGCATCCTGGGAGCGTAATGCAAGGAATGTGCCATGGAAGAATACCAAGTCTGCATGATAACATGTAAGTATCTTGCTTCAGGCCAAATCAAAAGTACTGGGATGAGCGTTACAGACTTTCCAACGTTGAGAATCTCAAGAGTGTCCATAGGACAAGCTCTCTTCCGCCATCACGTCGTCGGCATAACCGCAAACAAGAACCGGAGGGGTCTCGCATTAATTCGAGCATATTGAGCGGCAAGCAGTAATAGTCACTAGGATACCTCCTGCGACGAGGATCTTCGGCATGGATGACCCTGCTTCGGTCCGGTACCTTGCAAAGGATGCGTGCGCGGTGATTCATTGGGTGTAGCCAAAAGGACACTGTCATTTCGCTCACGTCGTTCATGGCGCTGTGTAGAGTTAGCTTAGTCCACAGAACCGAAAACAGATGTGGGAATTCCCGACTTGCATCTTGAGAACCTCCTCAAAGCCTTGTCTCTTGATCTCATTTTTAACGTCTTGCTGAGGAGTCCCACAGCATCTTGATCTGTACTCCACGCTTCGGAGAGGAGTGCTGGTAGTGTTAGTTCTAAAGACTTCCTTGCACCAATGGTCGCGAATCACATCTGAGACACCCGAACGCGCACTTCCAGCGGTTGCGGAAGTCCGCGGCGAACTCGGTGGTTCCGGGACTGAAGGTGGAGTGTCTGAGAATGTGGTGGCTGAAGAAGACGACATGGGCCCTGTTGGAGGCCGTTTGCCTGGGCGAGTGCGCTCGTATGACCTTCGTCGCCCTGGTCGTCGGTCACTGATAGGGCTGGAGGGTGGACCCGCGCTGCTGCTGCTGTTTGATGGAGTCCGGCCGAGGTTCATGCGTCCCAGACGAGAAGCAAGCCGGTTATCTTGTATGGAGAGCAAGGTCTTCATATTCTCCTGCAGGCTTGCAAAGGCCCGGGGATCGTGGTAATTACTGAAGCACCACACCTTACATTAGTATACACAAGACGTTCTTCCTACTTTTGGTACTCAGAGATTCACCTACTTGGTTGCCAAGCCATTTAGTTCTCTAAGCATCGCCTTATACTTAGCGAAGCGAGTCGCCAGCGAGTAGCGTGATTCGTCCCAGAAGAACCTGTTCAGATCCAGCCATGTGCGCATGTAATCCCCGGGAAGGGATTTCCCCGGATCAAGAACCTGGAAATAGTCGACAATATCTTCGAGGGTATATTTGAGACTGGCTAGCAGCAGGTTCAGATCCGGTTGAATTAAAGCAACATCGCGCCTATAGCGAAAATTGCTGTTTAGAGCTTCCAGTGCAGACAATGACGAACTGATCGCGAACAAGTCGGCAATGAGGGCTGTCACCTCGGCAGCGTGCTCTGGAATAGGGTCTCTAAACTGAGTAAAAGCAGCTGCCACATCCTCAGCATTCTTGGCCGACGTGCGCAGAGCCATCTTAGAGACCACAGAGCGAGGCCATAGACGTTGTGTGCTCTCGTTTTTTACCCTTTTTCTTTGGAGGGGAAGATTCGAGAATGGAGGGGCAAAGAAAGAAAGTCGGCGGGACCGCAAAGCCAATAGGCTCACATGCAAACAATTAAGATTAATTTAACAACAACACAAAGCCGCCTGGGCGAAGATAAAGAATGAAAAATGCCCTCACGTGTGAGGCTCTGGACAGGGTCCTCCCTTGCGTCCAAGGCCTGACGTGTTCGCGTGCGAATGGCGGGGCATGGTGGAGTCCTGCTTTGGCGGCATATTGATAGCCCGTGCAGCTTTCTTCGGAGGATTTGGCCGTGCGATGCAAATATGAGACTGGATTATATGCTCATTTCGAAGCTTTTAAGATTCTGGTTGACAGGCACAGTTTCCATGGTTCACAATATCTTGTATCCTCCAGCCCTAAATGTGGGGAAAGCACTGCCTCCCGATGTCCTTGAGATCCAGCACGTCCGCGCCCTGTCAGACCAATCATAACATAGACCATGTGTTTGTGTATGCACAACAAGTATTGAGGGGGGTACAATCGGACCAATGATCCGGTTCTTGCGGTATCCTGCGTCCATGACTGTAAAGATCCATACTGGTGGTGTGGACTACATCGAGGAACTAACCCGCGTATAAAGATATTCGTACCGTGAGGGTTAGTATGTCATCCCACCTAGCCAGCCGATATGCTTCGAATCTGCTGTGGCCCGATCCACTAGGTGGATATTCTACCATGGAAGTTTACTGGAAGGTTCTCCGCGAACTCTATATATACTAGGTACCTATGGATGAGGTTCGCATCCATTGGAATCCATGATTACAGTCTTCCATCAATCGGGCACTTTAGAACAATACGGACACCAGCCGGATACCTACCTAAGACTCTTGACACGACCCTTTCTAATCTGATCCATTCCATAACTACATCAGGTCATTATGGAATCCGACCGGGCCGGCCACCCAGATGGGACCCAAAGTATACAATCGCATCGTGCCTGTGTGACCGTGTCACCATGCGATATGCAGCATGTCAGACATAAGAAGAAACAGATCAGGGTTGATTAGACGCCCCTAGGTAAAAAGGCTTGAATAGTTACAGAACAGGCTAGCATGTCGATTGTGACATGACTCGTGTACAGGAGCTTGTGGCGGGGGCCAAGGCCGTGTGTGCAGATGGGGCAACCAGCTATATAAAGGAGCCTAAGCCCAGAGAAATGACCCGCAGAAGCTGTACAGGCTAGATATAACAAGCGTCTGACAGAAAACCACATAGTTGTTCTGCGAGATAAAGTGGACATCCTGGTTTTGCCTGGACAAGGCTTGTCACGTCTGTTAGAAGGGAGGTTCGTACATGTATCGTCCACCTCTGGTTTCTTAACTTTGACCGTGGAGACACTGAAGAGACCCAGGAGCTGTTTACGAGCCCCGAAAGAAACAAACAACGGCAAGGCCAGTCCATCGATCTCTGTAGCTGTCAGAGTCGCTAGGGGCTTCTTCGCGGTGTTTCAGACGCTGAGAACAGTTGCGCCAAAAGATAATTGAGCGTATACTCCGAACCATATCCGGGCCACAGGAGGTTGGAATGTCCATCCCAAGCCGTTAATATAATATGGCATGGGGAAGACGAAGGAGTTAATCGATTTTATATTCAAACGCTCGTTGGCTGACACTTATGTGCTGAGCCGTCGAGCGATGATGTATGGTGCAGACTGAGATTGATCCCTGAAGACATACTGAATTACCAACTTCCTATCCCAAATGCGCCAGTCAACAGTCTCCACTTTCCTAGTACCAGTATTGTTGAGGATAGCCCTAAGCCTGTGAGCCTTTCTGGTATTGTATTATCGTGAGACCCTTATTGTCGTAGAACCTTCCCTGTATTGTCGCGAGCCACGCCTTGCCATTGGAATCCGTACCGCGAACTCTCCCTTCAAGAATCGTGCGATTCCACATCGTCCTGTCAACTGGTTCACCGCGCTTTGCTAATGCTTCTCGTCGTGAGCGCCGTACTGTTCCAACCCCACTGGGGCTCTGGTCGGTCCCGTATCGCATCGCCAGACAGTGTAGTTGCCATTCACACTGCCATTTAGGGCTATCCAGCCTATGTCGCATCGTGCTATGCATCTTCTGCTTGAGCTTTTCAAAGTCAGCACCTGGACCTTCCGCAAAACGTATGGGCGCATTGGCTCTCAGTGTCTAACAAATGTGGAGCGATAGTTGCGAAGGCCAGTGGGTGGATATCGATTCATCGGTGATAGTTTCGTGTTCTGACCTACAGACCTAGTAAGTAAACACAGTAATAATTAGCATATCTTTTACCTGCATGTGAAGCCAAATGCGCTGCAGACAAACAAACTCAAAAGTTAAGCTTCAAGCTTTGAGCTTCGACCCCGGATTCCGGGGGCGGTGAATGACGCAGGCGGTGACCCCCACTCGATTTTGCGGGGCAAAAAGCCCAGCAGCTCCCGAGAGCTCCTTGAATAGATTTGCCCCTGGCTTGGCAGCTCACTATCAACGGAAGTGGCATACCATTTGTAGCAGCTATGTACATTAGGGCGAAGCTTGACTTTACATCTTGGGGGGATCAATAATACTCGAGCACGCGTCTTGCGATCAGCTACAGAGACGTTAAAGCTATTCAAGAAGTTGATTTGCATCAGTTAATGGTAGGAATTTCCCATTGATAACTTAATATCCTCCGATAGGAGCTAAGAGGAACAGTTCAGAAGCAAGTAAACCCCACCCGTCCTCCAAACCCAGAAACCGTGCACGAAACCGTCCGTAAAAGAAGCAGGAGAAACCATTAAAGAACACGAACGCCCAGTGGCCAAAGACGAAGTGAAGCTAAACCGAAAGGCATTTAAGAGGATTCTTCCTCATCCTCGTCGTCACCCTTGGCGAGGTAAGCAGCCTTCTCCTCTTCGTAGCGCTTCTTATCAGCGGCAGCCTTGGCATCGTAGGGCTTGCGGTCTTCCTCGCTGAGAGCCTTCCACTTATCACCGAGCTGCTTGCCGACCTGGCCTGTAGGGGGTATTAGATATTTGCGACGATGAATGCAAGGCAATTGAGCTTACCGAAGCTGATACCGGGGTTCTCCTCGCGAACCTTGTCACGGTTGTCATTGGCAAAGAACATGTAGGCAGACAGACCACGCTTGGGCGCGTTGGGGTCTAAAAACAGTCAGTACAAGCTGGTGGCGAGTGAGATCGGTGTCAACTTACCCTTCTTGCGGCGGGTGACGCGCTTCTCGGGAGCCTTGCGGGTTGACTTTTCCTTAGGCATGGTGACTGTTTTGATGTTAGATGCAAGATCTGAGGATTTTGATGAATTTTGGGAGGGAAAGCAATGCAGATCCAATGAATCCAAGCTTATGCAAGCGCAATTGATAGTATATCAAGAGCAATAGTAGTCGGGGTGGGAGATGATAGGGGGAGACGCGACTGCTTGGGCGCGTTGCGCGCACCGAACCATTGCGACCGGGGGAAAACACAAGCTTGGGATGAGAGTGATTCGACCAACTTACATAGATTCAAGGATCACGATTTTGAGATATGTATGTAGAAAAGATCTGTTGGTAAATCGAGTTAGTTCATTGTGCCAAAACACAGATAGAACGCGCAGCGCGACCGCGAAGTTGGCGCGAATTGCGAAAAAAAGACAAGGACAATGAGGTGAAAATGAAGGTATCCATGGACGAAAAGAGATGGGGGAAAAAAGGGAATTGTGGTTGTGGTGGAGGAAATGCGACTCAGAAGTGTTGATATAGATATAGTATAGGGTGGGAATATGTAGTACCTTTTTTGTATGGGAGCGAGTTTGTATGGGGAGTTGGTAGTGTAGGAAGATAGTAAGAGAAGAAGAGAGTAGAGGGGGGAGGGCCGTAGTAGTAGCAAAGAGAGGGGGGCCACACAGCAAGGGAAAGACAAGCACGGTTTGGCTGGTCGAGCTGACTGGCTGAAGGAAACGGTATTGGTATTACCCATAATTAACTCCATCTCCCCTACACATTTCCACCAAAATAGTGAAATTTTACATGATTTTTCAGTTGCTGATCGTCTAAAAATTCTATTAGGATTCTTGATATTGAGATATTTGCAGTCATTTTTTTTAATTTCTCTTCTTCATCTTGAAATGCAAGTCATTGTGGGCAGATGAAAGAGTCAGTTAATTCAATACGGCGGCAATGAAACCAGATCATTCCTGCCGCTTGTGGATTGCGCTCCGTCATATTAATAAACCGCGCAAACGTACGAAGTAGTTACAGGTACACAGTACCCGGTAACCCAAAGTAAAGTCTCTGCTGGCTAAGTACCTGATACCTGTCATTACAGTTCCTCCTCTCTGGTGTTTGCCGCCACATTGATACTTCAATGTTGTTGATGTTGTGATTGCCTACTTTGGCTCCAAATGACTTTAAAGGCAGTGTAGATCAATGACCTGAGGATCTGAAAAGCAGGCTACGATTTAGTGACCCAGAGGTCTGGAACTTTCAGAGAGACACTTTGGGAGACATGCTATAAAAGTGGGAAGGACATGAAAGCATTTTTGATGTAGGTTGAAGGTTATTTGAGCGACAGACTTTTTGTAAGTGAGCATGTCAAGCGGTCTTGCTTCTATATGGCATAGCGCAAGGTGGCTTTGGTGGCCAGGTCATGCGTACATATTGACTCGTACGAGGTGACTGCTATGTACCTGGAGAAAAAAACACCAGCCAGAATGAGTACTTCTGACCCAGGCCTCAGATTTATTCTAAAAGCAGTCGAGACAAAGTCTACTTAAGCTCTCGGGGTCATAACTGATCTTCTTATTCAGGAATTTTGTGTAATAGTGCAACCCTAATCATGAACGCAGAGTGCATGCCATTACTCGACTATCATCTCCAGGTAAGGGCGAATGGTTGCTCAATCATAAGCGTGGCGTACCCTTTTAGCGTTGCCCCCAATTGGAAATACGGCTGGGCAGGTACTTACTAATTACATACAACAGTAGGTATTACCCTGTCGCTCCAGGCCATGATTATTCTAGAGAAGGAAGGATATGCAGCATTTGGCTGGTTGCAAAGTGAAACGGGAATGGAACAGCGAAATTGAGAAATGAATATCTTCTCCTTGAGCAGACTGCATTGTTCAAATGTACTCCCCTCCCAGTGCTGGCCATTTAGCTTGCACTAGCCAAGCCAAGGGACATAGGGAGAATTGACAGATCAAGAGCAAAATGTCCAGATTGTTGGATCTTCACAGAACGCATAGACCACATTCCAATACCGCAACCGCATACCGTCGATACCCGTGCAGTATTGTTGCAGTACTAAAGCTAACCCACTCGTAATGTACCATGGACACGAGAGCGTCATAGAGTCGGTAGGTTGCGCTGCAAAAGGTAAAGTGATTTGTACCTTCACTTGATAAGAACAAAGGACACAAAAAATATGCACATAAAGCATACTAATGCATCTATCCGAGTACGCAGTACGTGTAAGACGCGACCAGCCCACACCGCTGTGTACGGTACTCCGTACTCATTGCAGTTTGGAGCTCCCCTAGGCGTGGGTCAACGCGACCTTCTGTAATTATCATCCAGTCCACATTGACTAGTTACCCCGTCCAAAATTACCTCTTAACTACTATGTTGGCCAGCAGACGTAGTTATCGATGGTAAGATTATAAGATGTTTTGAAAAACTTCGGGTATCGTACAATGTCCTCTAATTCCCCGAGACAAGACTCGTCAAAAACATAACGCGTATCAGTCATCACTTTCATCCAGCACCAACGCGCGAAGCATGTCGTCATCGGCCCAGTTTAGTCCACTGCCCACAACTATGGCACTGGCAATGGACTTCATAGTCTCCCATTGAGCTTTACGCGCCTTCAGATCTGTTTCCGACTCATCTAGTTGTGATAATAGCTCGGAGTCTTCGAGCTTCTCTCGCCATGATGAATCTTCTTTAGTGAGCTCCAGGAGTTGGCGCACTAGCTCCTGATTTTCACTATTGATCTGAAGGTTCTTTACTTCCAAGTCTGAGATTTGCTTCAGCACCAAGTCATGGGCAGCAGCAAGATTCTCATGCGCAAGCGCGAGCACGTCGCGTCGGTTCACCAGAGAAAGAAGGGCCCTGCGTATATCTCTTATCAGACTTGGGTCTGGCTCAGGGATCTTCTGGGAGTACCTACCTCTCCGCCGGGGTAGCAGCCTTGAGGTGAACGGCTTTGAGAATAGGCCCTGTCATGAGGACCGTGCGAATGGCTTTCTCCTTGACCGTGTAGGTAGATCGCGCTTCTAGAAGCTCGCGTTCTGCGACCGCAAGCTGTTCCTCAACATCTTCGCCCGAGACTGGTTCCAGGTCTAGAAGAATTAGACAACTAATTAAGGCGATGAACTGGGGAAAGAAAAAGACGCGTACTTTGTTCAAGTAATGCTTTCTCTAGCTGTTGTTCCTGGACTTGGTGATAGAGCTGAAGCACTAATTCCTGTTTGTGCCCCAAGGTAATGACATCGCGTGGGTCATCTGTAGCATAGTTGAGTAGTGTCACCTCATTAGATTGCAGGTGAGGCCATAACTGGCCATGTGTTGCAGCCATGGATGTAGATCCCGTGGACGCGGGCGCATCTGGTGATATGAAGATGAGACCGGAGGCGGTGGGCGAGCTTCCCCGGCCACACATGTTGCGGAGCAACCTACAACATCGGCGTCAGCCTGGGGGGCTTCAGGACTCACTTTACTTTCACCTGCCCCTTGTCTCCTTCGGGGATATTCTGTTTCCAGCATATAACTCTCTTACTGCCGGTCGAGCTGCTGAGCTCGTCTAGTTGTGGAGGGGGATGTCGTTACACATCTACATTGCTCACACGGGAGAGCATTTTCTGGCTGATCCAGTGGCATTTGCTTCGTAGGTTTACCCTTTAGCTTACTTGATAATCTCTACTATCATATCTCTGTTTGAATGCGACACGATAGGACCTGGCTAACACCCGTCGTCTAGTCCCGATGCTTTGAAGTCATGGATCGTTCGCAACACATCTATCCCGCCTCCTCGGCAAATATTGATGACAGCCCGGGGAAAGAATGTCAAGATCCAAACGTTAGCTACCGAGGTATGGCATGCTCAGAATGAATTATTACGACCTAGAATCATTCTAACCCGAAGGTGACTACCGCAGAACGAGATCTTCGTCTATGACCGACAATACGTGAGTGAACCGGGCGAAGTCGAACTTGCGGAACTACCTCCGCCAGAGCCATTTCAACCAAGCAGTCCTCCAGCTACCCTCAAAGATCAGAATGACCTGCAGGCATGGCGGAACCTCTATATGGCACGGCGCAACTGGGCGCTGGATCTGTCTAGTCGATGTGCATCGATTGATAAGAATCTCCGCCAACATAACGAACGAACCGATGTGATGAACCGCGCGGTGGGTGTCGCCCTGGAGAACCTCAAGTCCCACGTGGGTAACCTAGAACATCGGTTTCAAGAGGCACAATCATGGGCGAACAACCTTCTAGAAGAGCAGCGGGCTGCTTTAGATGGTTGGCAACGAGCTCTCACCACATTAGACAATATCCCGGCACGCAAGGACTTCCCTCTTCTCGGACGTCCATCCACACCAAAAATGGACAAGGATCGCCCGACCGGGACTCTTCGGGACTTTGTTGATGTGGGCGAGGTCCAGCGGGCTGGAGCCGAGGCGGCGACTGTCTCACAGGCCTTTGCTGACAGCGTTCATGACATCGAGAGGAGCATCGGCGATATTGCCTCTGACACCCAGCAGCTGGTGGATGAGGCACTTGCTTCTGATATACACAGGGTGGATGGGCTGCTGGAGGAGGTGGAAACGATTGCCAAGAAGGTTGAATCGGATTATGAGCATGTTCTCGGTCTTCCGAACAACCAAAAGACGTTGGCCAATATCTCTAGACTTGCATTCAGCCACACCCAGGACCTCCTTCCCTCGCTGGCAGAGATCGGTATGGAGCTCCAAGCTGCTCTCGAACAAGCTGTGCAACGCCGAGGGGCCACGGAGAAAAAGAATATCGAATATATGCGCAGGATTTCCGCCCTTGAGTCCAGGCTTGCCGATGCTCATGCACGTATGGTCAATCTGGACGTGGGGAGCAATGCATTTGAGGTCATATACTCTGTCTTCCAAATGCCAATGGTCTACGGGTCGATTTTAATCGAATCTGTGCGGCGGCGGGAATGGAGTGATAAGATCAAGACCGACTCTCTGACGCTGGCCGAGGAGATGGCGGTTCTGAGAGACGAAGAGCAACGCCGCAGGAAGAAATGGCTGAAAAATATGGGCGACTTCATGACTGTGACTGATTCTACCACCCCCGGTATCGAAGTCAACCTTCAAGGCCAGGATGATGAATGGCCCGAAGTAGCTCGCAAAGAGATCGAGTATTATATCGATGATTTGAAAACCACTCATTCTTTAACCAACCTAGCAGACCAGCTCACCGAGCAACTCAAAGAGCTGGATGCTCCTACCCGGCAGCAAAGACGACGGGCCAAGGCATTCAAACAAGGCAGTGTTTTTGACTTGAGTCGGAGCTCCATATTACGCGCGGATGATTCGGTCCGCAGCTTGCAAGAAGAAAAGACAAAATTGGAAGAAAAGCTCAAGGGGTCTGACAGCCGTGTCCGGAAATTGGAGGACCTTCTGCATCGCCAGAGTCACCTCAGCCGGCCATCGAGCGGTACCTTTGGCCCAGACTTCCCCGGCTCACCTGCATCTCCCCATCCCGCCGACGCACTTTCTAGACGATCATCCGCCTCTTCGAGACGAGTCTCGGCTACTCAATCTCCTGAAGAAAAAGCACTCATCCAGCGCATTGTCAGTCTCGAAGGAGAGTTGGCGGCAGAGAGGGATGCAGTGCAGCGGCTCCATAAAGAAGCCCACGCCGAGCGCCAAACCAATTCAGATAAGTTCCAAGAAGTTCAGTCCACCAAGCAGGATCTCATTGGCAATCTCGAAGCACGTCAACGCGAATTCGAGGATGAGCGCCGGTATTTGGATGCGGAACTCCAGAAACTCAGACTCCGGAACGAGGAGATGGAGGAAGAGCTTGACCGGCTGTTGGATAGCAGGCAGGAGATTGATGACCGGATGCACCAGCTTGAAGTTGACTTGCAAACCGCTCGCGAAAATTCTGCCGACGAAGCGCAAAAGGTCATTGACCTTCATGGGCAGATTCAGACTCGACAAGAGCGAGAAGAATCACTCCAGGCTAAGGTCGGTGATCTTGAACACCAGCAAGTGGAGTTTGAGCAGAAGAATCAGGAGAACTACCAAGCCCTCCAGGCTGTCTTTATGAACCTGTCGCCTGGTGGCATTGTGCCCGCTGATGTACCCGACTTAGTCAAAGCCATTGAAGTACTCTGCGAGGGCCTGTCTATCCACGCCAAGAGCGTGGAGACGAATGCATCCCAGGCGATGGCCGAGAATAAGGCCCTCGAAGAACGGATTTCCCAATACGACTCCGAGGCAGACGGGCAGAAAAAGAACCTTGAAGAACGGGAGGCCGAAGTGTCGCGACTAACTGCGGAACTTTCAGATGAGCGATCAAAACTGGAGAAGTTGGCTGAGGAACTAGAGAAGGAGAAATCCAAGTCTGAGGCTCTGCAATCTCAAATGAGCGCCGGAGAAAGCGGCGTTGAAGCCTTGCGTGAACAGATCGCGGACAAGGAACAGAAACAAACAGAGCTGTCACAGCAACTGGCTGACGCTGAGAGCCAGGTTCGAGTTCTGAAGGATCAGGCGGCGGAGTGGGAGAAAGGGGCAGGCGCCACATCAGCGACTGAACAGCAGGCTGTGGCGCGATTTGAAGCCCGGGGTATCAAATCCCACGAGATCTCAAAGCAACTGTTTGCGCAGGTTGAGAAGCTGGGTCGGATGCTTGAGCAGTTGGGATTCACCATCATTCAGCAAGACGGTCAGCTTATTGCTCAGCGTGCTTCAAAGCTCAGTGCATCTTTGAGCCTGGGCGAAAGCCTGGCCCAGTCAGGCATTGTATCCTTAAAGCCGGACACAGCACTGCTGGCGTGGATGGAAGCCGAAAATCTAGAAGATGAGGATGCCAAGTTCTCCGCTTTCATGGAAAGTCTAGCCCAGTTTGACGTCTCCGTCTTCGGTGACGTTGTCGTCAAGCGCGTCAAGGACATCGAATCCCTGGCCCGCAAATGGCAACGGGAAGCCAAAGGCTATCGTGACAAATACCACCGAGTCCAGAGCGAAGCTCACGACAAGATCGCCTACCGGTCGTTCAAAGAAGGTGATCTGGCCCTCTTCCTCCCCACACGGAATCAAGCCATTCGTTCTTGGGCAGCCTTCAACGTGGGAGCTCCACACTACTTCCTCCGCGAACAAGACTCCCACAAGCTGCAGACACGAGACTGGCTCCTCGCCCGCATCACCAAGATCGAGGAGCGAGTCGTCGATCTCTCCAAGTCAATGAACGGTCTCGCGTTAGACCGTCGTTCCGTCGGAGATGCCAGCGACGCCGCCTCTCTGGAAGACGAGAACCCGTTCGAACTCTCAGACGGCCTCCGCTGGTACCTACTCGAAGCCATAGAGGAGAAGCCCGGCGCCCCTGCCACACCCGGCCTAGGAAAGAGCACAGTTGCGTCGGCGCGCGTCGATGCCAAGGGCAGCATCCGCCTCAAGCGCGGTACGGAGGAAGGAGACGTTGCCAAAACTCTTTCCAGAAGCCTCGATAGCCGCCGCGAGAGCTCCAATTCAAAACGGGGCACCCCCACGCCGTCACAGCATGCCGTCGAGTCTACGACAGATCTTGTGCGCCCTGCAGATGCTGATTCTGGCTCGCAGCCCCGAGATGCTGCTCCGATATTCGACGAGGTGCGCCGTGACCTGCGCTCCAGCCCGTGAAAAGTAGGAATTCACTTATTTGTCTTCCCTCTTTTCCGGGTTTCTTGTATCTCTCGGTTCAGGTGCTAATGGTGTCTTTCCGGCTTAGGATTCCCTGCCTATGTCGGCTCAACCGAATATAAGCGGGACCGGTTCCTCTCCTTCGTCGCTGTCGACATCCGGTCGTCGACAGAATGGTCGGTCTCGTCCGTGGGAGAAATTGTGGTCTCTTGATTATCGACTCGAGAGTGGGACGTGATAAATGCTATTCTTTCAGTATATGGCGTATTAGAGGCATTACGTTGCTTTGTTTTGTTTCGTTCTCTTTTCATTCCCCGAATGTGGCTTTCACACCATTTGGGGCTTTTATTCGTCGCATTTGCTTCTAACCCTGATTATTTTTCCCAGATACCCACCTGATAAATGCAATCTACATTTGAATACAGCTTTGCTCCGGAGTGCTCAGATAAATCGGCTAAATTGTCACAAAATACTATACTAGTCTAACCCGTCCACGCCTTCCATGCCGCCCATATCGTCCCAGAAACGACTAAAGTCCACATTCTCTTCTTCGAACATTTGCTTCGCTTGTACCATCGCAGACCGCTGGCGCTCTGGAGTGAAGCCACCGGGCTGTGAACTCTCCCACTGGATAAGCTCGACCCAACGCAGGAAGAGATCTTCCTTCCCCATCTCAGTCAACTTCTCCCTAAAGGCAAGGATCTGGTCCCGTTGAACAGACCGTTTCTCCCCAGCCGTGGTATTCTCATCCCCAACACGCCAAATCAACCAACCGTCCGCATCAGTGTGAACCAGCACAGCAAGCCGGAATTCATCCAGCTGAACCCCATCACCCCTGCGCGTCCGATCCACCAGAGCATGCGCACGAACCATAGCCGCATAATCCAAATTCCAGTCCCCATCAACCAACAAGTACCCCGTCTTCCCGACCCGCTCAGGCGTCACAGCAGCAACGATCTTATCACGATGCTCCTCGTCCTCGCGAATCCACTTATTGCGCTCGAGCTTCTTACTCCACGCAGACCGGCTGCACCGCACGATGACCTCCCGCTCGCAGAACCCGATCGCACGACGCCAGCGCACGGGCCCCTTGATGAAGTTGATCGGCCACGACAGGAAAATAGTCACGAGGAAGTAGTCGATGAAGACCGTTCCCGTGCGCCGGATGATGATTTGTGCCGCTTCTGTCCACGGGGTTGCGGCCGTGTCGACCGTCATCGAGCTTTGCAGCCCGATTAGCGTCGCTAATAGCGCTGGGTATGTGCTGATTCCTTGGTACACGCGCAAGGCGATCACGGCGCCGATTATCACGTTCACGATGAGGGGGACGGTGAAGGTTTGCCGCTTTAGCTCTTCGGCTGTTGTGTCGATGTGGATGAGGTAGACTTCGGAGGGGGAGAGGGGTTCGACGAAGGGTTGTAGGGCTTCTGGGACTTTCGTGAATGGTGGGATCGGGCCTAGGGATGCGGAGCTTGGTGATGAGGTGCCGGATGATGGTGCTTTGCCACGACCGGAGCGTCGTGAGGATTTTGCCATGGTAAGAGGTGTATGGTTGGTCTGGATATAGGTTTGTATATAGTCTGCGGTGAAGCTGTTGAGTCTAATGCGAGTATGCGAGTCTTGTCGTCTTTATCTTTTTTTATCGAAGCTTTCCGGAACGGGCGATCAATGCGTATGTGTCACATGTCAAGACCACGGGAGGTCACTGAAGCATCACGCGATTATAAATGATCTAATATGACCTGAGAGGCTGAGAGTATAATGAGTAGAAGATAAGTCGCGAAGATGTTTGGAGGTGCGTGTCAGTCGTGTTAGTGAAATGCAGGAGGAATTTAAGCTGTGGGTCTAACCACATTGGGGAATGAGGGATCTATTTACCTCCGTCATTTCTTCATGCCACTGGGAGACCGCGTTTCTCCTCTCTCACCTTTCCCTACTCCCTACATGTAATCTCTCTGCAAGGGGAATTTCGGCCATGTCGTTCGACATAAACAATCGAGTCTCAGAGAGGCAAGCATCGCCTTTCCGACGCGCCTCGACATTCGATCGCGATATACATGCGAAGCTCCCATCACCTCCTCAAGACGATGTTCCGCATCCACGACATGCCATTCGCCCAAGGTCTCTAGCAGATGCGTATCGAGACGCATCAAAGCATACAATGGCTCCCACATACGATGACGATTACAACTATGTAACGACACCAAGCCCTCGATCGCGCCAAACAATCAACGCGTTTTCTCCGGTCTCTCCTCCTCCCCAAGAACTCGAAGATGCATACAAACGAATTGATGAAGATAACGCTCTGGCCCATCTCGTACCGGACAATGACTGGGAGTCGCAACGCTCCACAAGCCGAAGTCGCCCATCGCCTTCCCGCAGAGACACCAACAGCGGTAGAGGATCTGCAAATGGGCACTTCTCCGGTGCAGAATTTGGGGACGAGCTCGGCGAAGTTCAACCCCGTACGGGCAGGGATTATACCAAGGATGAGGAGCGCCTGAAGCGCGTCACGGGCCAACGGTCGCCGGTCTTCAGCAGAGCTCAGGTCGGACGGGATGTGTTGACAGCAGACAATTTGAGAAGACGGATGGAGGACAAGACCGAGGCGGAGCATTCTTCCCCAGAGGATGACCGAAATGGTGTCCCTTCACCGAACATACCCACTGGCTGGGGTCATCGGGCCGGCCACCGCCAGGAGTGGGAGAGAAGACCCGTCCAGCGCAGTTATTCCGCAGAACAGCAGGAAAGGCGCTGGTCGCCATCTAGCGCGGAGCTTGAAGAAACACAGGCGAACAGATCTACGCGCCCGCGTCCTCGGAGCGCTCTTGAAGAACGCGCCGACTCGCATGTGCAGCCAACGGAGAACTCGAATGACGAACAGCCCGGTTCAAAGCGGACCTCTCCCGTTATTGGCGGCGAACCGATCCCCAATTCCCCCATTACAGTCTACAAGAACTCCTCGATCCAAAGACCCAGTACCAGCAAGCGCGATTCCCGGGATTTACTACGGAAGTTGTCCAGGACTGAAAACCCCAAACCCGATCAAGTCCAGACACCGGAACCACCGAAACTCTTTCAAAGACAGATCTATGACAAGACTCCCCGTGTGACTGGCGCATGGGTCGACACTCCTATGACCCAGCGTGTGGCCGAGAAGGTCGAGCTCCCTGAAGATCTGACAAGAGACATTGTTCATCCACCCACGAACCAAGAACCGAAGGACGTTGCTCCTGCTAAACCAAATGATGAAACAAACACCGAGGAACCGAAGCCCGCACAGACGACTGAGAAAAACCATCCTCCTGCACCGATTCCTGAGAGGCACTCAAGGGCGCCATTGCCTCGGCCCCACTTACCTAAAAGTGCATTGGAGACGGTCATTGAGGATGCCAGCTCCGGCAAGGACGTTGAGTTCGGAGAAGATACCATCGAATCTCTCCAGGCGATTATGGAAAATGGGCCCATTGAGACCAAAGTCGAAGAGGAGGACGACAAAGCCTACGAAGCGGCTGTTCTCGCCGAACTCGAAAAGGACATTTCAACAGGGAACAAGGAAGTCGACTTAGATTCCCTGAATCTCAAGCTCAATTCACTAACGAGACATATCGACGAAGTCAAAAAGGGACTAAACGGACTGGAAACCTACATCACGCGTGGCGCCGCAATCGTCTCGCAGGGAAAGTCCCCAAAGGAGAACCTACACCAAGCACACTTCCACACAGCCGACACCTGCAAAGGCTGTGCCGTACACTCCGATGGACGCGTCTACGCCGCGATACCACTTCCTCGGCTGTGGACACGGAGCCCACGATCCCAACGTCTCCGTCCCACAACCCTAGCCTGGTTCCTCGTCCTCGCATTCTCGTGGTACATCATCGAATGCCTGATGTGGGACCGCTACAGCCACCCCGAGATCTCAGAAAGCTGTGAGGGATACTGTCTGCAGCCAGACGCGCCTGTATTCCCCTGGGTGACTGCCACCATGCTGTGGCGCTGGTCACATCTGTCGATCCTTGTCACGCCTGTTTGGGCCATCGGTCTCGCTTTCTCGAGGCTCGTGGCGCAATTGGTGGGTCTGTCTGATGGCTATGTGGATGATGCGACGGAACTTGGGAATATCTTCGGCGAAATCCGTATCAATGGCACTCCGGTTGCGTTTCCTTGGTTGTCGGCGCCCACTGCTGAGATCAATGTACCGCGGTCGCAGCAGCCGGTTTATACACAGCAGGCTGCGCAGCCTCAGCCGGTACCCCCGCAGATGTGGGCGACTGGGCAGATCTCGACGGATGAGGCGATGGATAGTGATGAATTCCTTTGAGTGCCTTAGGTTCTCTTGGCAATTTCCAGCGTTCTACTTTCTAGTCCAGCCTACCGGTAGTTTACTATAGGATATTCGATCTAGCCCTGAAGCAGGGGGGTTTACTACCTTTCATTAAAGTCCAATCTAGCCATTATTGTTCTAGAATTCGTAAGGTTGCTCTTCTGTTTCTAGATACGACAGGTATTCACATCTATTGACGCCGAGACAACTCGTATAAACACGAAACATAGCAAGTAATTGATCATGAGGTTCATCAACAATATAAACAGGGTATAACACAATCTATAAACGAGAAAGACCTTACAACTTCGCCTTCTCACGATATTCCTTCAGCAACTCCCTCTCACCCTCCAATTTCCAAACCGCAATCCTCTCCATCCGAGCCTCAACCTCCTCATCAGTAGTCTCACAAGCCTTCTCAAGCGGGATCTCCTTCGTCTCCCTTAACTTAAACCCAATCCACTTCAGATTGCCCGTAGCCACAACCCTGCCCGCAACAGCATCCCGACAAAACCCAGCAAAACCCTCAAAGAACCGATGACTAGCCGGCGTATCCATGAACATAATCCCATGGCAATGCGGCATACCCTCAAACATCTCCGCCACAACCGGCACTCCAGCGCCATGCAACCTCCTTGCCAAAATCAAATCCTCATCCGTCAGCCCCTCCTCGCCAGTCGATATCGACACCGGTGGCGCCTTCTTCCACAGCTCAGCTGGTGCAGCCAGCGGAGACACAAGCGGATGTCTCATGACACTGGCGGTGCAGAAGATGTCCGCGCGAGGCGGCGTCGAAGGCCAGATCTCGTCTGCGGCGAATGGGTACTGGTGCAGCGGGACCTTGACAGCGGGGTCGTCCGAGGGAACCTGTGGTGCCTCGAGGTAGTCGAGGTAGGCGTTGTTGGCGATGGAGGGCATGGAGCGCGTTACGTCGCACCAGGGTGAAATGGTTGCTACGCCTGCTGGGAGCTCGATTGGAATTTCTTGGCCGTGGAAGGGGATTGTGTGCGAGGCGCGGTCGAGGGTTAGGAGGGTTTGGAGGAGGGCGAGGGCGAGGTTCCCGCCGGCCGAGTCTCCGGCGAAGATGATTTTGTTGGCTGGGATGGCTTTGTGCAGGGAGCCGGGGGGTGGGTGGAGGAGGGAGAGGTAGGCTGTTAGGGCGTCGACGAGGGCTGCTGGGAAGGGATTTTGTGGTGCGAGGCGGTAGCGGACGGAGAAGACGGGTGCGCCGGTTAGGTGGGAGAGGTGTGCGACGGGGGCGCGGTGGCTGATGGGGTCTAGCAGGCTTTGGGTGTGTTAGTTCTTTTTCTGTCATGGATAGGTCAAAGGGATATGGGGTTGCGCAAATTTACTTACAAGTAGGCGCCTCCGTGGAAGTACAGGATCGTCATGTCAGAGGGCGATTCCTCGCGCATCTTGTGATATTTCTCCTCTTCGGAGAGATCAGGCTCTGGCGTCTTCTTGCCGACTCCGGCGCGGTAGCCTGTCCATTCGCCTTCGACGGCAGCTGTGTCGGGGATGTCGTAGGTCTCATCGCCGGTCTTGTGGTCTTCGATTGCGCGCAGGACTGCGTCGCGCACGGCGTCCTCGGGCTGCGGCAGGGTCACCTTGGATATCCACATAGGACCCTTGACGCCAGGGTCCTTTAGACCTCTACTTTGGACTTTGCCGAGTGCAGTGTTTCCGCCCATGAAAGATCGGATGACGGCGACTGTCAATTCGGTGCGTAGGTCCTGTTTCCCCGAAGCGGGGGACATTTGTGCGGTGTGTAACAGGACGGTCTTGAGGATTAGCGGGATGCGGACCAGTATGGCCGCCAAGAGACCGAGGGGTGTCCTGAGCGACATGGCGAAGAGTCTCTGACACCAGAGTGAACACCACGAGGTTGAGAAAAAGAAGAGATCTTAAAAGCATAAACCGGATTTAGTGCCTGTGCCGAGGTCCGGGTGGAGTTGGAGAACTCCACATGCTCCACATGCCTAATTACGGGCAGTCGGAGTCTACTACATACGATGACTCGCAGCCTTCAGGGCTACATCGTACGATATCTACATGTGACTGGAAGATACATGTTTCTCGCTCCTGCTTAGAGCAACCCCATTGCTGTGTCATTCAATTCTTGGCGAATGCTCCACATCACTCATCTTTGATCAAATGCTTGAACAGCTTATCCAAGTAATACGCCGACTGCTTGGGATACCGAGTCTTCTCCTCAGACTCATAGTCAATGAACGTGCAGCCAAACCGGTCCGCATACCCAGCAGCCCATTCTATACCCGGATCAGCCAAAGCCCTCATATAACATCCAGGAAGTATACTTACCCCAGTTATCAGTCAACGTCCAAGCAAAGTAAGACCGAACATCGACTCCATCCTCCTTCACTGCTCTTGCCAACGCATTCCCAACATATCCCTCAAAGAACCGAATACGGAACTCATCATTGAGCACCTCAGCTGTAGGAGCCGTCTCACCCTTCGCCGTCGTCCCATTCTCCGTAACGTAGATCGGCATCTGATACCGCTGGTAAATCCAATTCAACAACTTCCTGAATCCCCCCGGCGCAGCCCGTAACCACTGCGTATCAGTCTCCTCGCCACGAGGAACCCCATGCTTATTCTCATCCCTCACCTCCACATTCCCCTTATTGTCATTGATATCCGGCTCCGCATCCCGATGCTTCATAAAAAAGGTCGTATAATGATTCATGCCATAAAACTCCGAGCTCCCAAGCACAAGCTTCTTCTCCTCCTCCGTGAATCTGGGCAATCTCTCCCCAAGCTGCTTCCGCATCGAAGCAGGATAATCACCACTTTTATAAATCGGATCCGCAAACCACCCAATCTCAAACTCCAATGCTCGCTGCGCAGCCTCCCGATCCCGCTCATCCTCCTCATCCCACGGCTCCGACCAATTTCCATGCAGCGTAATCCCAATAGTGCCCCGCTGCCGCTCCTGGAATTCCTCACGGTAAGCACGCACCGCATACGCATGCGAGAGAATCTGCGTATGCGCGACGACAAACGGCTCCGTCGACGAGTCGCCTTCCTCACTACGCTCACGGAACGACGATCTGCCCGGCGCATGCACACCCTCCGCATACCCGAGCGTTGTATAGATACCCGGCTCGTTGTAGGTAATCCAGTGCTTGACGCGGTCGCCGAAGCGCTCGAAGCAGACGCGGGCGTAGCGCACAAAGTCCGGCGTGTACTCTTCCTGGTTTAGCATCCCGCCATAGCGGTCTTCCAGGGCTTGTGGGGTGTCCCAGTGGAAGAGGGTGATGAAGGGGGTGATGTTGTTGCGGAGGAGCTCGTCGATGAGGTCGGAGTAGAATTTTATGCCTGTTTCGTTTACAGGGTCGTTGCGGCCGCCTAGCGGGATGATGCGTGTCCAGGATAGGGAGAAGCGGTAGGCGTTTACGCCGTAGGTTTTCATGAGGGCTATGTCTGAGCGGTAGAAGTCGTAGGCGCGGACGGCGTCGTCGGCGGTGCTGCCGTCGGCGATCTTGCCCGGTGTGTGGCCGAAGGTGTCCCAGATTGAGGGGCCTTTGCCGTCTTTGTTCCAGGCGCCTTCTATTTGGGTTGCGGCTGTGGCGTAGCCGTGGAAGAAATCGGGTCGGAGGACGTCTTTGAGGTCTTGTACTGAATTGAGGTCCATGTTGCCAGTTGGTGTGTAATTGTCACTGTTGAGACTTGAGAGTGGGATCTGGTCAGAGAATTGGCAATTGGATTCTTGACATGCGGGGATCTAATGGAGAGGAGCTTTCATTCCCCCGCAGAGACATAGACTGGATAAATGTCCATTTACCCCGAAACTAGGGTATGCGGGTGTTGCCCCGTGCCCTATATGGGAAGGCTTAGGGCAGACAGGGATCTGGATAGCGGGGAACAACCTCAGACATTCACTAGAAGAACAAGCACACACTTTTGTTTTCACATATTGACAAAATAGCTAGATCTATAGAATTTGAACTCATCTGTTTTTTCAGCATCGATCTCATGCTCACCGAGATCACTGGTTCAAAAAGGGGGGAAAGGACTTTATTCGCCAGTTGCCAGTCGCTAAGATTCACCAGTTGGCTCACCAGTTGGCTCACTTCCTAAAGTGAACATTCAACCCAAAACAGCAGCTCGATATCAACATCGGCACCACTGCCGTTTACTTTGTTTTTACGGCAGCAGGCGCTCTTATACTGGACCAATTCCGGGAACGAGGGTAATGGCTTCTAGGTTATGAGTGCCAGTTGCAGATTAGGAGGATAATGTGATTCGATATGTCTCCTCCCTGGCTTTTCCACCTAGTACTAGCTCGGAATTCAAAGCTGATCATCTCCGTTGATAATTCCCAAATGACTAGATCAAGATCAATGTACGGAACAGATGAAACGCATATAACCCTGTGCCTACCTGTGCCTACCCGTCGGAGGGGTGCCTGTTCTGTTACACCAGTTCCGCCTTCTTTCTTCTCAGTATGCGAGACATTCTAATGAGCTGGAATGTTCTATCTTCTCTAGGAATACCTACAAAACAAGAGAACTTCGTTTCAACGTCGGAACTATATGTGGATCTTAAGATCTGGTTGATATCAGATGACCTCACAAGCCCTAGTCCATCGTTACATCTCTCTATCTCATGCTTTTACCCAGACTCCCAGCGTAGAGATACCTCACTCTTTCATTTTCTCCGATAATTATCTCTCTACCAGTCCAGGACTCAATAACGGGCCTTATCGGCGTTGCACAAACAAATCAGGTACCGAGTTAAGACTTTTCACAATGTGTCAATCACTGTTTAGGTCACCCTTCTGTCTAAATAGAAGGCTGAATTGGCCTTTCAACTGAGCTTCTAATTGGACCATGTGCTTTTGTTAGCGACAAGATAAACGGTCAACGGGCTTCTTGCAGTCTGTAGTGTCACAGATGACCCGGTTGTGATGCTCTGCAGCCCTAATCTGGTTATCCTTGGAGGAATTTGATGGTGACGCAAGCCAAACAAAGAGAAGGGAGGTATGTGACTGAAGCATATACATTAGTTAGTTCATGAGGTCTTTATTTCACCATTCTGCTTTCTAGTGATGGCGTGAGGTGAAAAAGAGATGTCAATGGCATTGATATCAGCCCAAATATCAGCTAGTATTCTAAAGCAGACACAACGATCTATAGCAGTGACGTGAGGTTTAAGATCTTCACTTGGCTTGCTGCAGATATGGAACCTTCGCGAAATAAAGGACAATGGCCCTCTCAGGAAGAAACGGCTAAGGAAATGACGGGGCAGACTACATCAACTCTATTCTCGTGTAATGCGGTTACTTGCTGCTGTCTATTGTCTATACTACCTCTAACTAATCCTCGTGGGAATACACAATACCGATCATTCTCTCAACAGTTTCTCAATCAGAGCTCCGAATCAAGTTCGCAAACAGTTAGACAAAGTAAAACTACATGTACAAATGTAACAAGTACCGTCCATCTACAGACTCTGATACACAACGCACGGCCATACGGACCGAGACGGGACTGCTCCGAGTCATGCACGTCCGGTTGCGCGGTCTGGCAATTCAAACATCGTGTCACCATGGCTTGTCCAAGGCACAGGTAAGGCAGAATAGCTATCAACTGGCATCAATTGGCTCTGCTCTTATCACAAGACAGATGGTATCGAAAAGCAAAGGGGTCATCATCGATGTCTCTGGAGAATCGATGGTCAGCACCAGAGGATAGCAGTTGGAAGCTGGGTTCACTTATTCCACTGGCGATATGCATGTGCCTCTTGGGATCGCCTTCTCTTTCCGGTACTTGATGGCCATTGTCCCCTTTCATCTGCACTGCAGTATTGGGAGGGAGAGTGTGATACCGACATGTCGGGTATTGGAGGGGCCGATGTACATTCGCGGCTACAATGACGGTGAACATGATCTCGTCATGATATAATTAATTGGAGATTTCTCGCTGTTTCCCATTTTCTTCCTAGAGATTTCTCCTCAAGGTTGTTTGGTTCTAAGGGATTTCGCCACTGTTTCTATGTTTACGGCAGGATCTATATCACTGCATTATTTGCTTCGCCATTGGGACAGATATATATACCATCCCCTCTAAACATAACGTCTTTGCATCTTGTCCTTGTCTTGTCCTTGGTTTCTAGGTGGATTAGGAACCTTAGACAACAACATACAACAAACCAACCCACCGCTATAACACCCATTCATTACTCGCTGCTGCATCTACCACAATCTCCTTCACCTGGACCACCTCCAGCATCCACACAACACTCTCTTCTACAATATGCCCACAAAGAGCAGCCAAGACAACTTGATGCACGAGGCAAAGGGAGTCAAGTACGACGAATGCGAGATGGCCCTCTTCCGCGCCAAACTATCGTACCATGCCACGATCGACGAACGAATGGCTTCGCAGAACTCAAATCTCACCTCGATTGCCGAAGCCCAAGCGCGAATACTCAAGGTATGGGAGATACAGATGCAGGGTACGAAGGACCCAACGGGCAAGAATGAGGGTCGCTCTGCGAGCGATAAAAGAGCAATGGCGCAGTATGAATGGAGATATACGACTCTGGAGAATGCGGCGACCAACGCTGCGGGAAAGAAATAGCGACAAAAAGTGGTTTTTCTCTTCTTCATATCTGGGCTTTCTGTTTGCTTTGTTCTCTGTTATTTTCATCCATTGATTGGCATGAAGGCATTGCTGGAGTTGGCTTTTAGAAACTCCTCAGCTTAGTTTGATCTGCACCGTCAAATATCAGGCAGTTGATTTTCTCTTTCATCCACTCTCCTAACCCTTTTACTCTCTTACCTCTTGGATTGGGCCCATAGCCGGGTCCTCCCATTGTCCATAGCATTGTTTCACTTCCTCTTTGAGATCGAGGGCGAGAACAATAGATTGATTGCCGAAGCATAACCCCGAAGCTCTAACTCCAGAAAGATTCCGTCTAGAGTCACACCAGGTTTGGTCGACATTGCAACAGTAACGGAAGTAACACCTCGAGTGTACTTGGCCCTGCAAAGGACTCGGGTGTCCCATTTAGTAGAGGTTCGGGATATATGGGAATCAGCAAGTGATGAGTATCACCAGTGAGTGCATCATTGTATAACCCTGTGGGACAGTCGTACAAGAGAAATGCAGCTATCGAGAGCGCAGTACGGCCAGTGGTTAGTCGTCACGTCGTGTGGTCTTCATGAATTCCGATGAACTCCGGGTCATATGCAGGTTGGCGGGAAAGCTATAATGTCACAATAGGCACAGATGATTCCCTCATGATTCCTCTGCTTTCTGTGCGGGTTCTAACGGACATTTCTGGTCAAATGAGAGACTGTTATTCGAACATTAGCGCCCCGTCGGAGACCTCCGACATGACTTGCGCGTGAGTGGGTCAACGGTCCAACTCCGAAATCAATTCCGAACGGTGTCATTCCGGAGTTCAACTCCTGGAACTAAGCAGTTAGTGCCAGATACGAAAGGGAAATATCGGGGAACGTGAGCTCTGATTGGTCTTGCGTGTTTAAACAGGAGTAAATGGACGGAGGGGCAGCCTCTTATCGATAACAACCCTCCTCCATCCACTGCTATTTAAGTATAGCAAGTCTCGCCCTCATTCACCTCCCTTCCCTTTCCCAAGTTAACACCAATTGAGCCCTGAAACAAACAAACCCCCAAGCTATCAAAATGGAACAAATCGCAGCCGCCGACATCGACAAGGTGTTCGCCCACACCACAAACCTAGCCTCTTGCAACCTAAACAGCAAGATCCTAGCCTGCTCAAACGACTACTTCGCCTCAGCCGACAACCTCCTAACCCCAACCCCCGCCATCTCCCGACCCGGCGTCTTCATCCACACCGGCGCCTGGTACGACGGCTGGGAAACCCGCCGCCACAACCCCGAACCCTACGACTGGGCCGTGATCAAGCTCGGCGTCGCCGCAGCCTCCATCCACGGCGTCGAAGTCGACACCGCCCACTTCATCGGCAACTACGGCGAGAAAGCCGAGCTGCAAGCTGTCTACGCGCCGGCCGGCAGCGAAATCACAGACGAGCAGATCGCAGACCCGAGCTTCACTGGCTGGAAGACGCTGCTGCCTGCCTCACCGTGCGGTCCCTCCCAGCGCCATGGCTGGAAGCTCCCCGCTGAGGTCAGCAAGACTCCTTACACCCACTTCCGGCTCTTGATGTATCCCGACGGTGGATTTGCCCGTCTCCGTCTTTACGGTCATGCTATTCCTCCTTCCGCTGTGAAGGTCCAGGCTGCTGAGGCGGCTGTCGAGGAGCTCTCGTCCGCGCTTAATGGTGGTGTGGCTCTTGCTGCTTCGGATGAGCACTTCACCCCGTCTTCGAATATCTTGCTTCCTGGTCGCGGAAAGGATATGGGTGATGGGTGGGAGACTGCGCGCTCGCGTGGTGCGGGTCATGTTGACTGGGCTATTGTTAAGCTGGGTCTGCCTGGCTCGGTGTCTAAGGTTGTTGTTGATACTAAGGATTTCCGTGGAAATTTCCCGCGCGAGGTGCGTGTGCATGGTCTTGTTGCCGGCACGGCTGGTGAGGGTGTGCCGGCGGCTGATGATGCCAATTGGGTGGAGATTGTCAAGGGTGACAAGCGCTGCCAGGCTGACACTGAGCATGTATTTGGGCCTGAGGATCTCGCTGCTGGCGGTGAGGATACTCGGGTCTTCACTCATGTGAAGCTGACGCTTGTCCCTGACGGTGGTGTCAAGCGGTTCCGCATCTTTGGTCGTCGGGCTTAGAGTTGGATCTTGTTATGAGAACTATGTACATAGTCCATATTAGACGTAAATAATGCATTATGTTGAAACGGTCAAGGCATTCCATGTTCTTACTGATTGTATTTGGCTTCAAGACGTTCACCCAAGCACAGTCAAGCCCGGGAGATGTCATCAGTCTCAGAGGTCAGATTTGTCCAATGCAGACGTATCATGTACACAGTATAAGAACATATTCAATTCTGACAGAACGGAGTCCTATACAGTAAATGACCTAAAAACACGATGAAAAGGGAAATTTAATATAACCACAATGACGCCTAACTTCTCTCTAACTCTCCAACAACTCTGGGGTATAGACGAAAAACAAAAATGCCATAGACTCATTTCTTATCCAAAGACAAATGCTTCAGTTCATCCGAGCCCGAAGAAGTGCGACTGGTAGGTGTGCCGGTGCCCGCATCCATACTCGCCTTCGAACGCTTTTCTCGGATAGCAAGACGAGATTTAGGATATGACGGGACAGGGGCGAGGTATCTGTCCAAGAGTTCGCTCAGGATTGGCGAGCGAACAGGTTTAGGGAGGTAATTGTTCATGCCAGCCTCGAGGCATTTCTCGCGATCGCCTTCGATGGCACTCGCCGTCATGGCGATGACTAGCACTTCGTTGACATTGGGGTCGGGGTCGCGGCGCAGCTCGCGGGTGGCGTTGTATCCGTCGAGGGTGGGCATCATGACGTCCATGAGGACAACATGGAAGGGATTGCCTTCTTGGGATCTGGCGCGCAGGGCGTCGACGGCTTGTTTTCCGTCGCTGTAGGCTTCGCATTGGAGGCCGAGGCTTGTGACGAATTTAACGGCAATCTTTTGGTTGATTGGGTTGTCCTCGGCGATGCAGACTCGGATCTGGTCACGGGGGATTTGCGTGAGATCGCGTGCTGAGGGTCGACGTTCTTCCTTTTCTGCATTGCTCAGATCTTGGGACCAGGTGGACTTGACGGCTGCCTTCTTAGGGGCTTTGTTGAAGACGAGGTGGAACGTCACGGTTGTGCCCACCCCCGATTTTGATTCCAGCCAGATAGCTCCGCCGAGGACATCTTCGATGATGGCTTTACAGATTGACAAGCCAAGACCGCTGCCGCCATAGGATCTTTCCGTGGATGCATCAGCCTGTGAGAATGGCCGGAAGAGCCGGGCCTTCTGTTCATCGGGAATACCGATACCAGTATCGGTGACTGAGCATTCTAGACGAACACGACCCTTGCCCTCGCGTGCAGCTCTCGCTTTGACCGTGACTGATCCGGTAGGTGTGAATTTGTAACTGTTGCTGAGGAGATTCATGAAGATCTGGTGCAGACGAACCGGGTCACCAAGAACAACCAGGTCTGCCGGGACCTTTTCGAGGCTCTCGATGGTCTCCAGACCTTTGTCACGGTGTGTGTATCGCAAAGCCCGGATGACTTCTGATATCGTGTCTTTCAAGTTGAGCGGGACTGTGGAGATCTTCATTTTCCCGGCCTCGAGCTTTGAGAAATCAAGGATGTCATTGATGAGGGTGAGCAGAGTATCAGCGCACACGCGAATGGATTCAACGTATTCGTCTTGCTCTTTATCTAGCGGGGTTCCCTTCAGAAGCTCCGACAGCCCAATGACACCGTTCATCGGAGTACGCAAGTCATGAGAAATATTGGCAAGGAAAATGGATTTTGCCCTTGCCGCATCTTCCTTCAGCTTCACGTTGTGCTTGGCCTCCGCCTCGGCATTCTTGGCCTTTTGTTCAGCTTCGCGTGCCAGTGCCAGTGCACGCTTCTGGGACTCGATCATGGAAGCATTCTTGGCGCTGACCTTGCGAATTTCACGGAACAGCAATGCGTTGGACAGTGAAATCCCAATCTGGTTGCAAAGCAAGTGCAACACCACAACATTGCGTTGTGTGAACCAGTTGGGTTTTCCTTCCAAATGAATGACACCGAGCAGACGATCTCCTTGCACGACTGGCAGTGCGATGACTGACCGACCAGCAGGGAAATTTGCCAGGTAAGTCTCGCTCACGTTGGAAAAGCGTTCATCTTCGAGGACGTTGTGAACGAGAACTTCCTCCTTTGTGCGCATGACATATTCCGAGATATGAAGGGCCATTCGGTCTTCCATTTCCGAGAAAGGAAGGCCTTCTGGAATTGATCTCTGGCCCCGTTCGGCATCACCTGCTGCGGCGATTGCAAAGCCATTGTCGTCAAATTCGGTAGCAATGATGGCAAAGTCTGAACCGTTGCAAGATTCGAGAATGATCTCGAGCATTTTCGTGAACAGTTTATCGATTTGGAGCTCAGATGACATGACTTGACTGGACTCTAGAATGCTAGACAAGTCAATAATGTCCAACCCGACGCTTGAGATATCAAGAGAGTGCTCTCCGGGAGAGACCCCATTCTGTTCAATCCACTGCTGTCTCCTCTCGTCCTCTTCCATCTGCTGCGGAATCAAGATCTCTTCCTGCACCACTTCGCGGCTAATCTCAAGAAGTGAATCGATGGTCTGACAGCCAACATCGACGGTCTTTGCTGACGTCGCTGTCTTGAGTAACCATTCATGTTTCTCGGCAAGTTGTTTGCATTTGCCACCAGCGCTAATGGCACTCCATGCAGCCATGGCCTCCTGGATCACAGCACGAGCCGCTCTTTTCGCTCCACGTCGAACCAAAAACTCGCCCTGCAGCTCAAGCGCCAAAGCTTCTTCAAGTGGCCAACCATGGATTTGGCAATGGTCAATCGCAGCCTCGTAGTTCTGGATAGAAGCGCTGTGGTCGTTGCGGACCTCGGCAAGCAGTGCTTCCAGAATAAGAGCCCACATGCCGTAATTTGCTTCCGACGCATCTCGAGCGAAATCGATCTCGGCCTTGTATCCCGCAAGTGTATCCATCTTACCGTCGAGGTATCCTTGAGAGGGATTTTCGTTGTGGAGCATGAGCAGCGAGGCTGCCAGATAAAAGTAAATCACATAAGACACACGGGCAGACCAGAGTCTGTGTCGCGTGAACAACAATTGGGTACCCACTTGAACCGCTCTAGTGTGGTGACCGAACAGGAACAATGGGATCATGGCAAAACCCCAGTAGATGTCGCGGGGTCTGTCAGCATTGCTGGAATGGACATCCAAGTGCGTCATGTACGCGCTCGTGTCATGGTTGGCGTCCGACATGATGCCGTCGACGGTTCGGAAATCCGTTTTGCCTTGGAGAGCTCGTGAAACTTGCTGGATTGAAATGAGACTAGACCCACCGCGGGTATCTTGTTGCCAATTTGGGATTTCTTCAGGGGTCTCCATGCAGAAGGCTTCCAGTTGCGCCATGTCTTGACCCAAAAAGAGTCGAGTAGAAGCCATCGACGAGATGCTGATCAGAGTGAGATACGGATCACCCATTGAGAACGAAGCCTCAAGCGAAGCTTCCAAGGCCGGTAGCGTTGATGCCATGGGAACACGTAGATGGCTGACGTAGAGGTTATGGACGATCGAGCCCCTGCTTTGAGTCCACAACTCTTCGCAGCGCTCAAGTAATTCCAAGGAAAGATCGCTGAGCCTTGCGCCAAATTCAAGATCTTTGAACCGACTCATGGAGATCATGGCAAGATGAGAACAACCTATTGCGATTTGCGTGAAACCACCCTTGAAGATATGAATATTCATCACTTCAAGTGCCATCCGGTAAAAAGTCAATGCATCGTCCCAGTAAGTGACGGTCATTGCCTCTGCCATGACAGCGCCAATGGTCACTATAGTGGGGTCCGTGGAGACTGGCTTTAGGGCAATGGAGTTCAGGTCAGCACTCTCGAGATAGGCCTTAAGCCGCAGATAGGCAGCGTCACACTCCTCATAACTTGTAGCTTGGCGAAGATGCACACCAAGCTCATCAAGACAGGTGAGAAGTGCTTCCATTGAGCGGTGATGATCGCCGAGTTGGGCATAAATTTTGGCCTTGATGATCCAGGCTCTTGACTTGCTGACAGCATCCTTCCCATGCACAAAAACCTCGTTGATCAATTGAAGGGCTTCGTCATTCTGCCCTTGAGACCACGACATCTCGGCAGTGGCGATATACAGCCGCATGGTTTCGTCGTAATACACATCAGGTTTAGAGTCGTTCCACGAGTCGTCCTGAAGTAGGGCGATGCAATGGCGGAAGTACCAAAGTGCAGTGGTTCGCGCACCCGATTGGAACGCCGTTTGCCCAGCATCCCAGAGAATGCGTCTATATTCGAGTCGTTTCCTGACGCAGGTCTTGATAGTCCGCGATGCAAGTGCCACATGATGAGCCATCGAGTAGCGGCTCCGATGGTCGTGGTAATATTTCATCATTGCTTGCGAAACGATGAAATGCATTTTCTCGACATTTCGACTCTCGCTGAGAGACATAGCAGCCTGTGCAAGCCGTTCGTTGCCAAACCTAAAGAAGTGGTCAGTACTCAGAGTGCAGAGCGCAGTGGCAGCTAGCAAGAAATGGCTCACCTGAACTCATCGTCGGTATCTCCCGTGTTCAGGAGGTTCGCTTGAACTAAGAATTGCAGCCCGACAATGAGATCACCTTCGGATCGCCGGACCAGTGTGACATTTTGTGGTGATTTGAGGTCGAGACTCTCATCGCCGTCATCATCATTGGTGGAATGGAGAAATTCACTTGTTAAGAGCTTTTGAACCAATGAAAAGGAAAACGGGCTGCCCAGAAGAGCTCCCCAAACCATGATCGATCGAGCGGCGCTGGGAATATTCTCGAGACGTTTGGTGAGAAAGCCGAGTCCCAGTCCTTCGCCATACTCGGGGGCTACAAACTCTGTGAAGATCCGATCAAGGTCAAACAGCCACTTTGAATCCTTCCATGAATACCAGATACAGTTCGTCCGGTAGCACGTCTCGAGCATCACGCGTGCGTAGAAGGGATTTCCCCGACTCTTCTCCTGAACGACCGCGCAGAGTGGAGTCAGTGTTTGATTTGGTTCCTGATGCATTGTGGCTGCGACAATCTCCATGATATGCTGTTCTTCGAGTGGCTGGAGTGCGATCCGCGTGACCGTTGGCAGCTCTTCCTCGAAGAGCGTCCTCACTTGATCAGACGGAATCTCGTCTTTGCGGCTTGACAGAATAAGAACGCAGGGGAGCTTCGCTTTGATGATTTTCAAGACCAGATCCAGGGTTTCGTCATCTGCGTGTTCAAGGTCATCCAGGCATATAGTGATCAACCTGAACGTACACAGCGTTCGCAAAATCTCAAGGAATGTCTCCATAAGCCGCATGTTTTTTGAGGCAGCATTTGCCAAGAAGAAATCGAGAGAAGTCTGTCCTTGATCTAGCCCCGGTATGTTGACGTGCTTAGATGGCTCTCCCTTTTCTGGGACGAGAGAATTGCTCTTTGCATTTGTCTGCCTGTATTTGGCACCCGGAGACATCAGCTGCTCAGGGAGGTCCAGAACCCGGTGCAGAGTGGGCCACATTGGCCGCAATGCCATTCGCACATCTTCATGATAATCTGTCGTAACATCACGCTCAGAGAAGATTTGGCGCAAAAGACTCGCCAGTAATTTCGCAAAGGGCTCGAATGGGACACGTTTCGCTCTGTCCAAACGAGTGATGGCTATGCATCCAAGTTTGCGCACTGTTGGCTGTATTCGATTCACGAGGTCCGTCTTGCCTATTCCAGCAGGACCACTGATGGTAATCACTTCGCAACGTTCGCTGCGGCGACTTTTCAGGCCAGCCTTCTGCTTATGCAGAGAATGATATGATCCCGATTGGCTAACAGTGTGATGTGTTGATGGTTGACTGCTAGGTCCGATAGAGGCGATAGAGGGATGACTGTCTCTGTCAGTGGTGTGGGAAGAACGAGACTGCGACGGGCTCTTCATTGCAGTAGAAGCTGTTCTTGGACTTTGCGCGTACTGCCCGGGAAGAGTTGTCGATCCATATTTCGGAGTGGAAAACGACGTATCACTACCCGGTGAAGGCTCATTTATGGGCCCAAGATGAGCACTGGTGGCATTAGAAGCCGACCGAGGAGGCAGATGGAAAGAGCCAGAGTCACTAGAGACGGAGGCAAACTCAAGGCTTTCGACCCGGCTGTCGGAGAGGGACGAAGCCGAGGTGAGGCCGTGCATTGTACCAGGGCTTTGGGCGCCGGCTTTGGCCAAGGCAACCGCCTGGCGCTTCTTGACTTTTTCAATAATCTTGATGATAGTGTCATATTCTTCTTGCCGCCCATACATTTTGGTTGGGAGAGTGAAGAAGGAAGACACATCTCCTTGCGCAACTCTGAAATCGCTCAAAGCGTCAATGTCACCATCACCCAGCAGTTTCGCGATATGCATCAGATCACGTTTCACAGATGAGATCGTGTGGTAGCGATCGTGCACGACCTTTTGCGTCATTTTTTGAATCACAGCCGAGAGAGCATCTGGAATATCCATTCGTTTCGAGGACACAGGCACCAATCGCCTGCCTAGTACATTCTGCACGACTTCAACGGGGTCTGTGCCTTCGAACGGCAGCTTTCCCACCAGCATGGACCAGAAAAAGAGCCCCAGCGCGTAGATATCAGTGCGGCTATCAGGCTCCGTAGGCATCCTTCCAGTCTGTTCTGGGGCGATAAATTGCAACTTATACTTGGCACCAAGCTCACGCGAAAGGGATGACCATCCATCGCTGAGAACATTGTCAAATGTCCTAGCACCATTTCCAGTATTTGCGAGCTTCACTGCGCCAGTCTCAGCAGAAAAATGGAATGCATCACCCCGAATCTCGCCGTGCACTGTCTTCAGCCCATAATGTAGAATTTCCAGACAATCGCATGCCCCAATTGCGAAGTCAAAAAACGCCTCCAAAGGGATCTGCTCACTGGGAGTGGCGTTGTTATCTTCCCCCTAGACCCCGCCACGAATGAGGCAGGGCCAAATGTGACCAAATCACGCAGCCTGTCATGGCCTGGAGACTCGAAGATCGCAACCAAAAGTGTTCTGGAGTGATCATCGTCTGGTTGTAGCCTGATCAGATCAAGCGGTCGTATTGTATGATTGCAATCCGGATCTGACGACTGCACAATCGACCTGAGCATGTGAAACTCCCGTTCGAGGCGGATAATGTTGGTGGAAATCCTCGCAACAACCGGAATCCATAATTGTTCTGCTTCCTGGCTGTGGTGGTTCGAAAGCGATATCTCGCTACTCGTTTCGCTAACGCTCAATCTGCGCAAGGCACGGGCGGATGGTCGGAGTTCTGGGCGCGGGGAGAAGCGGCTGAAGCTGGACGGCCCGGACGAGGCGGGGGCTGATGAATTTGCGAGAGGAGTTGAAACATCGGGCTCGAGGGTATGGCGGTATCCTGAGAGATGCCAGTGGTTGTACGTGGAGTGAAACGGTTCGGTCGCTTGGTCCCAGGTATAACCAGGTAACTGGCCTAGTCGCTCGAACAGCCGGGCCGGTGGCAGCGGAAGGTCTTCCGCGAAAAGATTCTCCTCCATCTCTCAAGTTATTGAGTTTTGTGCGCCCGGCGTACCACCATAGACATATCTCTCTCTCGTGCGGTCGAATTCAACGCGGAGGGGGGGGGGAAGATTGAAGTTAGAGGTCGGACATGAAGTATGCAAACATCCACGAGATGTACTTGTAGGATGTAGTAGGTCGGAAGTAGTAAAATGTCGCCTCAATAAGTACAAGGACAGAACTCCAAACCCCAAAGAAGAGCTATGGTGAAACAAATGCAGGTGTACCTTTAGAATTGAAGATCATAAAATCTTGTGGCCTAAGGCTGCCAATTAGTCATCTCTAACGACGGCGGGGCAAAGAAGCTGATTGGTTGGATACGTATCTCCATGTGTAACAGGTACATGAATTCTCGAAGTTAAAGATCCCTTCATTATCCGACTGGCTTGCTCGTATGGCTTCTGCAGCACAGCCCGGACAATCTACATAAAAACCGTCTCCTACCACCGAATACGATTACGATGAATCGATCATGCTGTCAGCCTGTCACAGTAGTACACGTAAATCTAAACGGTAAACACAACTTTCGGTGATTGAGTCCCTTGTGTAGCAAAATTTTGACTTCTCTTTAGGACTCCTTAGGTCTGTGGTTCTTGTACACAGTAGTTATATAGACCGCATTCTTGTACTCCCTTTAACCATCCCTGGAGTCATAAAAAATGGAGTTAGAAGCCTTTTAGCCGAGGTATCACTTGCATGAAACCCCAGGGCATCCCATGTCAATAAGTCACATGATTTATCGTTTTGCCGTCGAATCCAGTCATGTTGAAGACTTGAAGTACCCTGCACTTCCTAGGTACAACATCATCTGATATGTCCCTCTTCGACATATGCACTGGTGGCTGGTCACTTCAGTCTCCTGAAATCCTGAATTGGCATCTGCAGGCATCGCCTTGACTTTTGCCATGGAAATTGCAAGACTGGTACATACATGATACAACTGACTGTTACATTGAAAAGCCAAGATGATCGAGCGGAGTCCTTTGTCGAAGCTCGCTTGAGGTGCTGATCGTGCAGGAACTAGTTAGCGGGCCGGGTGGATAGATCCGAGGTGATCATCAATATGCTTGGACCCTGGTCTCTGCCACTCACAGTTCCATGGGGAGTCTGGCTTCTGGTTCAAATTGGTTAGGTTTGTATTGGCGCGATCCACTGTGGTCGGATCTTGAACGCTGGTGGCGGGCGCTGCAGCTGGAGTCGAAAGCAACGGCGCATATGACCGATGGCCATGTGGAGAATACTGCGCTGTCACCGTTTGGATCATTGGATGTAGTGATGAGGGGCGCCAAGCACGTCAGAAACTGTGGGCTAAGCTGTCGCCGATCCTTGAGGGTGCTTATCCTGGCAGAATCTCTGACTTACTTGAGGGTTGTTTGTCTGTACTCTGTCTCTCTCTTTCTTCCGTTTCCTCCCTTCTCTTTCTCTCCTCGTCCGGATAGGCTATAGCCCTGAACGGCAGAACAGTTCTCTCCCAACTTCTTCGCTCTTTCTTCTCCCGGCTGTACTGTGTAGAGGACTAGAGGTTATGTATGAGGCTATGAGCCCTCTTTAGTGGTTCCCCAGACTGCCAGTTTTGCGCCACCGAGCTCCACTTCGGCAAGCCGACTGATCGAAACGCCAATAAGATGTCCGACCGAGGCTCGCAACCAGGGTGCCGGATTACCCAGTTGACTCGCAGGGTGCTTACGAGACACCATCGCACAGGAAATCGGCTTTATGAATAAAGTAACCTCCCTATATGAAATTCACCGCAAACTTGGCCATACTAGGGAGGCTAAGCAAGCCGCTACTCTCTAAAGGGCGCAACTCTCTAGTAGATATAGGGTGTAGGCTGAGCCGTGTAGCATAGCGGGAGTATTTCGACCATATCATACCTCTAAGGGAAACCATCATAGAGAATCTTATGTGAGTAGTAGCCTCGTTTCCATAGTACACAGAGTACAGACCGGCTAAAGCGGCCCAGCGGGTGATTGCGACGCTGATCGGCTATACCCCGAATGACTCCAAGACTGTCTCCAACAGCCAACTGCGGGGAATCAGCTCGGCTCGGCTGTTGGTATCTTAGGGTGAATAGCTGACGTTCTGACTTCTGCTATTGCATCAGCTGTTCACTTGTTGATATCAATCTCAAGATGCAGTCTGTAAATGAGCCAGTCAAGCTGGCGCTCAAGGGCACTCCCGAAGAGGTACATTTTCCAATACGGACACCCCGACTCCATCTACATGGATCTACAACCGATAACGACCATATCAGCTAACCCATTCAAATCGTAACCCAGATCGGATTTGTACATGGCGACGTACTACGCAACCAGATTCGCAGTCAGATATCCATCTACGCCACCATGTTCCAGCACACATCAAACCTAGACTGGGGACAAGTGCGCGAACTCGCGAAGGAGTTCCAGCCCGCGCTCGAGAAGCTAACCCCTGACTTGTTCGTCGAGATGCGGGGTATTGCAGAGGGTGCCGGGGTTGACGTGTTGGATATCATCGCACTGAATTGCCGAAGCGAGATAGCGCTCGGGAGGTTCTCCGACGGCTGTACGTCGCTCTCCTGGAAGAAGAACGAAGGAGCACGGGTACTTTCGCAGAACTGGGACTGGACGGACACGGTTAAGAAGAATCTAGCGATGATGTCCATTGAGCAGCCGGGGAAACCTACTATCTATATGGTTACCGAGGTAAGTACCTGTGTGTCTGTATCTGGAATGCTATATAGCATGGTGCTGAACACCAGCAGGCAGGAATTGTGGGCAAGATTGGGTTCAACTCCAATGGCGTTGGGACCTGTCTTAATGCAATCCGCGCCAAACCGATGATCAGTAGTAAGCTGCCGATCCATGTTGCGCTTCGGTTGTGCTTGGAGAGTGCATCTGTGGATGACGCTGTGAAGACGCTCGAGTCTCTGGGTGGCGTCGCTTCTGCTCAGCATATCCTTTGTGCTGATAGTACCAAAGCTCTGGGTCTGGAGCTATCGCCAGTTGGGGATAAGCATATCTCTGAGAACTCATCTGGGATCATTGGTCATACTAATCATTTCCTTGAGAATCGCTATGTGAATGAGCCGCCGTGGCTGTCTGGATCGCCTATCCGGTTGAAACGGCTGGAGGAGTTGACGCAGGAGTTGGTCCGAGATGGTGTCAAGGGTGATGCTATCACTCCTGCTTTGCTACGAGAGCGGATCTTTTCTGATACGTATAATCTGCCGCAAGCGATATGTTGTCAGGAAGATCCTTCGCGCCATATTTCTACCCGAAGCAGTACTTTGTTTAACATAGTGATGAACCTGGACCCGAATGACCTGCGCGCCGAGGTGGTCTTTGGTCGAGTCGGGTCTGGTGAGGAAGGGCCCGTGTTGAAGATGCCTTGGTGAATCCATGAAACAGCCGAATATAGGTTAAATGATCGATGTCTGATATCACTAAGAAGCCATGTCTTTACACTTAGGTTCCTTCATAGAGTCCGGCCTTTGACCTCCAGCATCATGAAAGAACCAAGTGTGCTATACATGGGGGACAAAGGATCTAGTAAATGACATTGTCGCTTTGTGTCCTTAGACCTCCAATACTCGATCATATTGCTGAAGGCATAAATAGGTCAATACACCCCAGCTTGAATTGCATCGCCATCAACTAGCTCTCTCTCCCACGAGACTCAGGTAAGCCCTACAAACCGTTAATCCAGGATCCACGATACACTCTACCCAAGTCAACTACATACTCCCTACCGCAAGTTGCAACCATGCCTCAACGCGCTGCCCATGGTACTTACGAACAGGAACGTAGCCACTTCATGACCACACTTTACGCCCAGATTGACATTCTCAAGGACAACTACCCAGGTAACCGACAGCATGTGATCCACTCATTAGGACTTCTACTACACCGGGTCAGGGGCTTACGCATGGCCGGCCAGGCTCTGTTCAAGCACGACAATCCTAACTGGACCAGTAAATGCAATATGCTGTATGAGCGGGTCGCTACTTTCCGGGATACCCTCATTCAGAACCCGAAGAGCACCCGCCAGGTCGCTAATGATATCGAGTCTATGATGATTTTCTTAGATTTCTGTATCCCCGAGGATATGCAGTTTCGGGTTCTTGTGGACAAGTTCAATCGGTTTAGTACCCGAGAGGAGCCCCGAGGTGGTGATCGTAGTGGTGCACCGTCCCCGGAGCCTAGACGCTGATTTTGATAGGTAAATGGAATGAGCACTGAGAATATTTTGATACCTGTTTCCCTTGTAATCGTAGATCCCGATGGTACATGTACTGTGTAGTGTACTAAGGCGATTAGTTCTCAGCTCCACCTCGATATGGGAATATGCGGGGTGTTCCGCCCAATGGTCATTAAAAGTGAAGATCACGTCAATATTGGAAGGACTCATGCGAGTAGAAGTACTTCATATTCCGAATATACCCATCTGCCATGATGCAGTGAATTTTGAAAGAAGAAAAGGAAAGAAAAGCCAAGTATTGGCCACCGCCCTTGGCTCTTTGTCTTCTTATCTCTTCCTGACTCCTCTTTGACATAAAACTTTCCCCATATTCAGTCGGTCAAAATGGCCTCAGCGACAGGAATCCCTGAGATTCACCCTGCGACGATCGAAGCTCGGGATGATGAGCCACTGTTGGGCCGTCCAGGCGATGTGACACAGAAGCCTGACGAGAGGATTTATCGCAACCTCTTCACAGGTGAGTGTGAGAGTGTTGTTACTGTGTTGCTCACCGAATCCCCACTGACGTCTGACTTAGGGACCGCGAGTGTTGCGCAAGCTGGGATCTGGATCGTAAGAGGAGCTCATAAGCAGTTATCAGATCAAAACTAACCCTCAACAGCTAGCAGCGTTGGTCTGGCAAGGCATCTTATCCCAGCCGCTCATATTATTCACTCCACATCCAGTAAGCCTCTCGAAAGTCGAAACATCCTGAATGAGAGTAAATATTGACAATATTTCAGCTACTGGGTGTATCTGCGCTTCTCCTCCAAGTCCAAGCAGCCCTCATCTTACAACCAACCGCCACCCCAGAACAGAAGCGTGCTGGCACTCGCATCCACTACATTCTCCAACTACTCAGCGTGACTCTTTTCGTCTCTGCCTTTGTTATCATCGAAGTGAACAAGGGCTCTCACCCACACTTTGTTTCTCCCCACGGTATCCTAGGCCTGACCACCTACATCGCCATTGTACTACAAGCGCTGGTCGGTATCATTCAGTACTTTTTGCCCGTCACTGTCCTCGGTAGTATTGACGCTGGCAAGCGCATTTACAAGTATCATCGCTGGAGTGGCTATGTTTTGCTACTGCTGGAGATGGCGACTGTCGTGGCGGCGACGCAGACCACATTTAATGTGAATGTCATTCACATATCGCTATGGGGTGTGCTTTTCGCTGCTTTCTTGATTCTCGCTGGTGTGGGTGCGAGGATTAAGAAGCATAAAATGGGATTGTGAGGGAATGTGAGTGATTTAGGAGACGAGACTAGTAGGGAATATAATTCACTGGACAAGTTGAAGGAATTTATGGCACTAGCCAAAATCAATTGAGAAATGTTGTAATGTGTGAATGTTGATGCTATCGTATGCCATACAATGTTGACGATCCCGGCCAAGGCGGAAGATCCACCACATTGCCGGTTCTCTCTTCTTCCTCTCTCCAACTCCAATGGCGCTCTCTTCATATATCTGCTTCAATTGCAGAAATCCATACGGATTAAAAACATCTCTGCGCAGATTCTCCTCCGCCCGACGCAATCGAGACATATTGCGACCCGCGACAGCTCCGAAGCCCACGCCGGACATCAAACACATCCGCCAAAATGCAGACCTCTACGCACAGAATTGCGTAGATCGCAACTATGCTGCTCACGCCGGGCACCCGTCGAAAATCCAACAATTATCAGAGGAGGCCAGACAACTCGATCATGGCCTGAAAGCCCCTCGATCCCGCATCAAGCAATTAGAAAAGACCATCGCCAAACTACACATCGCGAGTCGGCAAGATGCAAACACCAGCGCGACGGGCCTCAGCCCAAGCGAAGAACTTGCCGAACTCAAGGCAGAAGCCCAGCAATTAAAAGACGACTCACAAGCTATATCCGAACGCAGAACCAGCTGCACCGAAGAAATCAACCGCCTAGCCCTCTCCCTCCCAAACCTATCCTCCCCATTCACCCCACTCGGCCACAACCCCAGTCTCGTCCAATACATCAACTTCAACCCCAACTCGCCACCCTCCTGGACCCGCCAGGACCCAGTCGAACTCCAAGCCCGGTCGCACGTCACAATCGGCACCGAGCTCAACCTCCTCGACTTCGCCAGCTCCGCCACAACAACAGGATGGGGCTGGTACTTCCTAATAAACGAAGGCGCAATGCTCGAACAAGCCCTCATCCAGTACGCCCTAAGCGTCGCCAGACGCCGCGGCTGGAAACCCGTCGCCCCACCCTCAATCGTGTACTCTTACATCGCCGAAGCCTGCGGCTTCCAGCCGCGCGACCAGCACAACGAGCAGCAAATCTGGTCCATCGAGCAAAATGACCGCGACAAGAACTCCAAGCCCCCGCGCTCCCTAACCGGCACCGCCGAAATCCCCCTCGCAGCCATGTACGCCGGCCGCGACATCAACGCCGCAGATCTCCCCATCAAGCTCGTCGGTGCCAGCCGCTGCTACCGCGCCGAGGCCGGTTCCCGCGGCGTCGACACCAAGGGTCTCTACCGCGTGCACGAGTTCACCAAGGTCGAGCTTTTCGGCTGGACGGATAACCTCGACAGCGTGCAGACCGCCGTCCCGACTTCAGACGATATGTTCAACGAGCTGCTCGACATACAGACAGAGATCCTCACGGCGCTGCATCTTCCGTGTCGAGTTCTCGAAATGCCCAGCGGGGATCTGGGTGCTAGTGCGACTCGCAAGCGGGACATCGAGGCTCTGTTCCCGTCCCGGCTGCGCGCTGCATCTGGGAGTGCTGCGCCCGTTGACCCGGCCATTCATCATCTGGAGTCGGCTTGGGGTGAGGTTACCTCTGCTTCTATCTGTACTGATTACCAGAGTCGTCGGTTGGCGGCGCGTGTGCGTGGTGGGCCGGCGAAGGAGTCGCGCTTCCCGCATACTGTTAATGGGACTGCGATGGCTGTGCCGCGGGTGTTGGCGGCGATTTTGGAGAATGGTTGGGATGCTGAGAGGAAGGTTGTTGTTGTTCCGGAGGTTTTGAGGCCTTGGATGGATGGTATGGAGACTATTGGGCGTAGCTAGAGGGTTGAGGATTGGCTTGGACTATTCACTGTATACTATGTACCTCTTAGACAATTTAGCATATACTTCGCATGTCACATTGAATTTAGTAGCTCCGCCCGGTAGAGGAAACGAGGTATGTACTGCGTAGAGTGACCTGTGTATGACCTTTTGGTATCTCTAGAAACAAGACAAAAAAGAGATCTTAGCAACTCCGAGCCCATGTCACATTTGAGAATATAGCGGAACATTAGGGGGCAACAGGACAAATTGTAGCAAAAGAGCCTCATGACTTCGTGGACGCATGAAACCAACAGAAAAGAGAAACATAAATCAAGTACACGTTACATCATTGCAAATCACAGAGTGCAATCCTATCTTCTCAGACAAGACCAGCAGTCTGAGAAGAAAAGGCGCAAATACCAGTCCCCTTTTTGAAAACAAGGCAGATAATCATCAACAACTCCAAATAGAACAGAGATATCATATAACATGGTTAAGATTCGAGCAAAACAGCCTCAAATAGATTGACTGGCAAGCTCATTTCCAAGGAAGGTCAACATCCTCGACACGCGTGCACGTCAAATACGGTAATCCAATTGGCGTATGCTCAAAACCAGCGCCGGCCGCTTGGTCAGGACCTTTCAATTCCAATTCGAGGAAATTGCGCATCAGCGGCTTAACGATCTCCCGCGCCAGGCGTTTGATCTCGTCCATCTTGCGCTCGAAGCGTTTCAAGGTCTCGCGCGAGTAGAGCGAGTCAGCCGACGGAGTAGGATGGAGTTTCAGGAAGCGCTTTAGCTCGTCATGCGGGAGGTATGCCTGAGTCGACGGAGAGCCTATTAATCGATAGACGCGCGCAGACAGGTCCGAGGACGCAGTTGATCGGGGCCCACTTGTTGGGTGCGATGCTGAGGGAGCCGGTGGGACAGGCCCGTCGCTTGAGCCTGGGTTTTTGAGAATGGGCGCTGGGGGCGGCGTGGTGCTTTCGATCAGCCATTGACGGAATAGGCTGACGGCGAGCCAGTCTAGGTAGGCATTTGAGGGGCCGACGCGTTCGCCGCGGGATGTTGTGAGGGAGAGACGGAGGAGCTTGGATTCCACGCGGGCTTTGAGATCTTCGAGGTCTTCGACTTTGTCTTCGATTATGTCTAGAAGGGAGTCTGGGAGACGGGCGTAGGAGCCGTTTCGGAGACTTGGGAGGGCGGCGGGCCATTGGCCGACGACGTGGATTAGGGCTTCGGAAAATATTACCCGGCTGCGGGCGAGATATCCGAGCTTGAGGTAGCTGGGTGGGTATTTGGCGATTTGTTTGAAGAGACGAGAGCCGAATCCGAGGAGGTGGTGGTCCACGCGAGGCCCGGTTACGGGAAGCGCGTCGTACATGTCTGCCAATGCGAGGAGGGATTTGCACTCTGTATAGGCAGAGGCAATGTTGACGCTGTTTATTATAGGTGGGTGGTTGTAGAATAGTCGTAGTAGATTGTCGTAATCACGTATTAAGGGGTCCACGGGGACGGCGTGCTCTCCTGACGGTGGTAGATGTGCTACCGACTGCATTCCCGCCAGGTTTGCCATGGATCGAAAGAAGCCTGCCTGGGCGTTCGAGGGCTTGGTCATCGTCGGAGGGAACGCGGTTTGGTCGCCACTGAACATGGTGGCATAGGTTGGGGGCTGTTTCAAACACGCGACGTTAACAGATTGTCCTATATCGAGACTGCGATGCGCCGGCGCAAAGCTTACCTTCTGCACCAGGATCACTTCTTCATCCTCAGCGCGATTCTCCCAATCCAGTTCATATCGCCATCTTCTCTTCTCTCTGGGTCGCGTGGAATCCACCAGCGTTGACCCGCTGGACAAATCATCGTCCTCGCTGACTCGGGACAGCGTTGCCTCTGGCTTGGGCGGGCGCAAGGCTGCCTGGTGCGACCAGTCCTCATTTGTGCTCTCCTCGAAGAAACCCGAGCATTGTGCCAATATCAATCGGTGTAGGAGATAACGTCTTTCCTGCGATCCGGCGCGAATGACAATCTCCGTGTCCCCTGTGTACGTGAAGATGGGGAAATCGTTCGAGGAATGCGAGGAGCCGCCGTGATGTGAGCGACCGGAACGGTGTCGTCTGCCTGAGTGTGAAGGACGGGACACTAGGGAGGCAGTGCTTTGCGCGGTCGCCGTGCGATCGACGATCTGAGCTTGGGAGACCATTTCACGCCAGGGGGTTTGTTGACATATGCGGACCGATAAGATGGTGATCAACACCTGTCAGCGCAAGAGGGTGTCGTCATCCGAGAAGGGAGAGAGTGATGGTTATTCCAAGGTTGAATATATTAGTTATTCCAAGAGGACCAGGGCAAGAGTAGGGCGTAGGCCGAGAGGCGAAAGAGATAAACAGACCTGTTTTTCCCCGCGAAAGTTGGAGTACTCCGTATAGTTAAGAGAGAGCATAAACAATAAGAGAGAACCCTAATTACACAAGGTCAAGGGTAAAAGGGCAAACAATGAGACCCTAATAGATTCCCCTCTATCCAAATGCCCTAACACTGTCTTCAGGTACTACGTGTATACGTGGAGAACTGCCGCAAGCAGCTGAATTCGATACTTCGGTGGCAAAGGCTGTCTTCGGTCAGCCAACTTCACAGTACTACGTCTACAGTACTGTAGTATTTATATTTATAGCTTCAATCGAACATATATAAAGTAGGCAAACATAATTATCCTTCAAAACGATATAATCTACTCCAAGTATACAAGTACTCGGCGACCTCGGACCATTTTATTGTTCATCCCCTCCACTTTATCTCCTTTTGCCCCGTCTAGGGTTCGCCTCATTTTCTTCTTCTCTTTTTTCCTTTTTTTTTCTTTTCTCTGGCCATTTTCATGCTGATGATCTAGGTTATCAGGTAGACAATCGGAACTATACGGCTTGAACACTATACGAGGTTACTATTTTTATTGCGACGCTCTCCTCCGCTCACTCGACGCCCACCCCCGCGATTCTCCAAAAATCTGGCCCTGGACACATCTTCCCGGGACAGCTTTCATAGCTGTCCCGATCTGTCGTTGCTGCAAATAACTCCAACAGATCTTGATCTGGGAGTCAGAACTGATCCATCACGTTCGCCCTCTCCATCCGAGCCTGCCCCGCACAAGCGATCAAAAACAAAATCCGTCTCGAGAAAAGCGCGCGGCGTCATCGGCAAAGTTCGAGCCTTTCAGCGCATCGCTGCTGCTAAGATGACGCATCCCACGATCAAGATCGATACCAGTTTCCCCGCGATCAAGCGCGGACTGCCTGAGAATGATGACGCCGGCCTCGATATACTCGCGGATCAGGACAACCCCAGGCTAGAAGCTGGCAATACGGAAGATGTTCCGCCATTCCTATGCCAAACTGTCTCAGGTGAGTGAGGGGTGCATCGTCTGCCTATCGGAGAAAAAAAAGAAAATATAAAAAATAAACATACTGCATGTGGAATATAACTGACCGCTTCCTTGTTCAGAGATTCATGATAAGTTCGAGGAACTCGAATGGTTGCAGCGTTCACGGATAGCGGAGGGTTTGGGGTCCAACGATCCTTTGAATGACTGGGTTCTCTTTGCAGACCCCAAGGTTAAACAGAGAAATCGGTATTCCGATGTTCAGGCGTGGGCAAATCGCCGAGTCCACCTGCGGGTGGCCGAGGGCGAGTGTGATTTCATCAATGCATCTCCGATCAGACTGGAGGATTCGGTGACAGGGGAAGAAAGAAGATACATTGCGACCCAGGTAGGTTTCGAAAGTTGCTGTGAACCTCAACTCTGGTGGCTTACAATAATCCAGGGACCGAAGCTTGGACATATCGCGGACTTTTGGCACATGGTCTTCCATGAAAGTCAAGAGGTCGGCGTGGTCGTAATGCTTACCCAAACTTTCGAAGCGGGCCGGGAGAAGTGCGCTCAATATTTCCCATTGGACACAGAGCAGGCCTCGATGGTATTGTTGGCAGAGGAGTCGGAAGTTCTCTTCGATCCAAGCGTTCAAGTGGAGCCCGGCGTTTTGGGCAGGGTGACCTTGTTGGAATCGACTTTCGATGCTAAGTCCCGATCCGAAATCCGCAAGCTCGAACTGGCTATCGGCTCCGAGTCAAAAATCGTGTGGCACTTCCTTTTCGCCGGCTGGGCCGATTACTCCAAACCTGAAGGCAGCGATCGCCAAGCCCTTCTCGACTTGATCAAGCTGTCAGCCTCCAAATGCCACCCTGATAATCCCCGAATCGTGCATTGCAGCGCAGGGGTGGGTCGAACCGGGACTTTCATCGCACTCGACCATTTGCTGCGCGAGTTAGAGTCGGGCCACCTGCTGGAAGTGCATGATCCGGACATCGACCCCGTTTACGAAACTGTCGATGCAATGCGCAAGCAACGTATGATGATGGTCTACAATGAGATGCAGATGCAATTCATCTACGAAGTCCTCCGTGAACAGACCGATCGGAAGCTAGGCAAGATCCCGGAGTGGGACTCACAATCCCCCGGCAGCGAGCAACGATCTGCTAAAGTTGCCAGGCTTGATTATGAGGATTACTTGCCAAGCTCGAAGCCGGAGCTGGAAGTTATGCCAGATCGTGTCCATACGCCCACCAGAAGCTTGTCTGGTACGGAGGTTTCTGATAATGAATGATATCCCCTCGGTCTCCTTGACCTGTTAATTATACACATCACAAATGGTGATTTATTAAGTCGCATCCCATGGCATCCGGTGTTTATCTGATTTCAAACCCCTTTGGGCGATTGCCTGTTTTCGATGTCTTCCTCCTACCTGATACATATTTTCCTTTCCTGTTGAAATACCCCCCGTCTGTTGCTTTGGTTATTCTCTTCGTTGGATGTAGTTATCTTGCCTACTGACTAGCATTGCCAGTCTTGCTCTAGAGCTACTGTATATTAGCCAATGGTGATATTGTCTTCCTCGCGGACTGTTTTGAGATGTTGCAACGTGCAGTACGCAATACTATCATATCCTCTTTGACTGCCGGGGCAGTATCTTGCCCCAGGGTAAATCCATGTTGTTAGCGTTTCCATCGTCATATAGCATCCCCATTATCTTCCAGATTATCGACATCACTGTGAATACTTGAAAGGAACCAGAGTATGTTTTCACTGTTCACCTATATACTGGAATACACGATGCGCTTGCCCATGAAATACTGCTGCCCCAACAAGGCACCTGAGCGTGGTATAAACATATCAATTAGAGAAGTGCGCAACTGTCGCGCACAACACATTCGAGACTGCTATCATATCGACATGAGATTCAGACGTGAAATCCTTAGCATAAGAACAAAGAGTATAAGCAACAGCAGAAGAGAAGGTCGCAATGCATGGCTTCTGCTTTCCAGAGTACAAAAGGGCGTGTCTCGCGCCAACGAGACCCCCTCTCAATCCTTGCGCTTAGCCGCAGCAGGAATTGCAGCAGGCTGACCACCAGCCTCATGGTACGTAGGAGGAGCAGTTTCTCGCTCGGGAGTCGGTGTTTCTTCCGTATCCCAATTGTCCACTGCGTTTTCATCCCAATTGTCGACCTCGTGCTCGAGAGTCATCACACCGGATTCCTGCGGGCCCATCACCTGCGAGTCACGACGGGAGCTACCGGCGACACCGCCAAGCTCGACATCCTCCGTGCCTTCCTCCATTAAGCCATACCGACTTTGCCGGCGACGTTCCATCATGCGCCGGTGATACCAGCCGCAAAGACCGACGGCACTTAGACTGCCGACAACATTGGCAAGGATATCGTATAGGTCGAAGTCACGACCATTTGGAAGGGAGCCCTGCACGACCTCCGAGCCAACACCCAGCCCTAATGTGCAGACTAAAAGGGTCACGTGTAACGTGCGACGACGCGTGGTGTCCAAGATCCAATAAAAGGGAACTGTGAGCAGGAAGAAGATAACGAGGTGGAGGAATTTGTCATTTGGCTGAAGCTGGCTCGGTATTGATGAAGATGCGCTGTGTGGGAGAAGACCGATGTACCCGGCTAAGAAGAGCAGCACGACGAAGGCACCTTGGCAGCTGTCAGTGAGGATCGCCGGAATCAGCTAGGCCGAAGCTTACCTGCGAAAGGGTATCGGATGCGCATGACGGTCGGGGTCGCGTAGGGTCGCGTATGCGAGAGAGAATTGAGACGAAGCTTTGTAACTTCTTTTGGGATGGATGATGTTCAGTCCTCGGAAGAGCTGTCAATGTCAATTGTGGAGGTCAGCCCCAGCTGCTGCCTTGTGCGTCATATGCGGAGCAATGAGGCTCTGGTTCACAACAACAATGAATCAGAGTGGGGATGGGATTGAATAGAGAAGTTGAATAGGATTGACTCAGTGAAGACAATATGGAATCAGTCAATGAGGAACAATAGCCAACTAGCCATTGATCAAGACGAACAGTGAAACTGTGAAAGCATATAAGATCTGCCACGTGACTCCGCCTTTGTGCCCTGTACTTCATCCCCGTCCAGAGAAACTTCCTATGAAGCTCCCCCGGACCTTCATCATCAAACCTCCGCCTCACCCTATCATTTATCGCTTTTTTGACATCGTCAGTAGATATAACTGGCATTGTTCTATATCTCTATGCATTTTGTCCCTTCTCCGACTCCCGTGTCGCGTCCGATCGGCCCGTCATCCTAATCGCGGAGAATCGAGTCCCGCCCGCCCCAAAGCCGGGGTTTTGGAGCGAGCATGTCGCTCGGCCACAACGCCTGGCCTCCGGGCAACATTCGGCCCCCGGATGACCTCCAGGACTCTCCCAGTCAAGTCAATGGCTTAGTCAAGACATTGTCTGGCTCGCGGACACCCCAGATTCGCGGTTCTGTTGGCGCCGAAGGGCCGAACCCTAGCTCGGCATCGGAAGCCGATATCATGCCCGAAGAAGATCCGCGCATCGCTCAATTCCGCGACCTGTATCGCCGCAGTGAAGCGAAAATAAACGCTTTGTTCTCTGGACATCACTCGGACGATAGCTTTGCCGCGACGGGAGAGCCTGTGGAGCCGTCCGAAGCTCAGCCCGAACGCGTCGATGATGCGCCGCCCCCTTCCACCGCTCCACGCAAGTCTACCCGAAAAGTTGACGACGATGACTACGACGATTACGATGAAGACGAAGATGAGGACATGGAGGACGCCGCCGAATCGCCTCTGAAGACAAAGTCCGGCGCGTCGCAGGAGCTCCGTAATGCTGCGCCAGCCCCCGTCCCAGTATTTCGGCATCTACCAGTGCAGATGGGCTCAAAGAATCCAAGAAGGAAACAATGGAGGATCTGCGGAAGCAACTTGAGGAAGACAAGAAGGCGACGGAGGAGGCTGCTAGAAAGAGCTTCCACACTCTTTTCTACACCCTTGAGAATGATCGGGATGCCATGCTTGATCAACAACGATTGGAAGAATCTGAAAGACAAGTTGAGGCAGAGATATCCGGCCAGGCTGAGATGGGCAGTAACAATGCCTCGGCTTCCAATGGCTACAGCTCCTTGAGTAACACCAACCTGGGCGCCTCCAGTCTGACTTTGAAAAACCTCATTGCACGCATTGATAAGAAACGTGATCGGGTGCAGGCATCGGATGCTGAGCTGCGAAGCTTGCTGAGCGAGGTTCGCAAAAACCGCAGCAAGTGGGCAAATGAGGACAAGGTCGGTCAGGAGGAGCTCTATGAGGCCGCGGAAAAGGTTCTCAGTGAGCTCAAGGCCATGACAGAGCATTCCACTGCTTTCCTGACTCGTGTCAACAAGCGTGATGCCCCTGACTACCATACGAGTAAGTTGCTTTTGTCCCCTAGATTTGATATCATCCACTAAATTCGTACTAGTCATTAAACATCCGATGGATCTTGGGTCAATGACGAAAAAGCTGAAGGGTCTGCAGTACAGATCCAAGCAGGACTTTGTCGATGATCTTACACTCATTTGGGCAAATTGCTTGAAATACAACACGAACGCTGAACATCCTCTCCGGAAGCATGCACTTTACATGCGCAAGGAAACCGAGAAGCTTGTTCCTCTGATTCCAGATATTGTCATCAGGGACCGTGCCGAAGTTGAGGCCGAGGAACGTCGACTACAGCTGGCCGAAAACGATGGCGCCGAGGAAAGCGACGATGAGCCGATCATGTCCTCGCGAGGTAGAAAAGCCCCCGGAAAAAAGACCGCGAAAAAGGGAACTGCTCCGTCTCGTAATACCCATAGCGGCTCTGAGGACCCGACCAGGGCTCCCAGCGCCCAACCACCTGCGCTGGCGCGTGCAGACTCCGATGCTACCGGAGAAGCAACTCAGAATGGATTCTCCACGCCACCTCCTGGATCTAACACGCCATCTGACCCTGCTGGTCCAGGGCCGATGCCTGCCGGGAGCCAGGATGATGCGATGGAAATGGACGCTCCGAGTACGTCAACTACTGCGCTGGGTGCCATGTTACTTCCAGCAGGTGTAGAAGCGGAAGACCCGGAATATAAAGTCTGGAAGCAAGTGACCAAAAAGGATCGAGCGCGCGTTGCGGCGGAGCGACACCGTCTCCTACGAGGAGACAAGCTCAATACCGAAGAGCCCGCTCTTCTCAGAACCAAAGCTGGCATGCGCCGATGGCTTCGGCACCAGAAACAAGCTGCATTGGAAGGTGACAAATCTCGCGATGGTGACTCCCAAGCCATCGAGCCCGAGGCTGCAGGTGAAAGTCTTGCGGAGGGCATTGAGGTGGAGGAAGACCAGATGCTGCCTTATTATTACGATGTTATGTCTGGCGTTCCTGATCTCCCGGAGCGGCTACTCTGGAAAGAAGATGCTCAAGGCAACGTTGTTGATGCCTCTGAAGAGTTCCTCAGGATGCTTCCAAAAGGTTCATTCACGCAACCGGATAGCAAACTGACTCGCAAGATGAACTCGAACATGCGACAGGTGCAAGACACCCGCAAGATCTGCTCGAAGATCGCGATTGTCAAGCAGATGCAGCTCCAATCTCAGGTAACGAAATGGTCCTTCTTTAGCGCTCAACGCGTTTACTAACTTTCTTTCAGATGTATCAAAATCAGTTTCAGAAGTACCAACCCGAGCCATTTTCCGAGCAAGATGTTGAACCGCATGTCATGAATGACAACGGTCCCGTCATTGCTCCCTGGACTTGCCGGGCAGCATTGCAGCGCTCAGTCGCCAAGGTATTCTATCATACTGGCTTTGAGGAGTATCAGCCATGTGCGCTTGAAGCTGTTACGGACATTGCCGCCGACTTCTTCCAGAAACTGGGAGCCACATTCAAATCTTACATGGAAACACCCAAGGTTTCTGTCACCGAGTCGCATGATCCTACATCTCCCGCCACCGAATGGAAACCGGCATATACCCAATCTGAGATTGTCCTGCACACCTTGTCCACTGTCGGAATTCACATCGACGAATTGGAATCCTACATCAAGGATGATGTGGAACGTCTGGGCACCAAACTTGCCACCGCTCATGATCGCCTCAAATCACTCTTGACCGAACTTCTCCGGCCCGCTCTGGAAGGCGGCGAAGACGGCTCCAACGCGTTTGCGGATGGCAGTGAGCAGTTTGTGGGTGGCGACTTCGCCGAGGACATCGACGAAGACTTCTTCGGTTTCAAGGAGTTAGGCCTGGACCGCGAATTCGGCCTCTCCACGCTCAGCGTGCCATTGCATTTGCTGCAAAATCGCATGTTCAACGCAGCCAACCCGCAGAACGCGAGTGTGTCGCAGGCTGTCACCCTCTTCCCGGTTCCGCCCCCATACCCACGTATCTCCACAGACAATGTGTCTCAGCAGATCGGACTCCTCCAGAACTTCTTCAAGGGCAAGCTGGACGCAAACAGGGACGAACCTCTCGTGGAAGACCTCGAGCTGCCACCCAAGCAGCGACCAATGGCGACCAAACCCCGTCTTCCGGGCTCTGGAAAAATCCCCCAGGCTGGCCTCCCTGGTCTTACAGCCAGCCCGCAGAAACGAGCTGCTCCGCCGGCGGCATCCAAGGCTGGTGGGATGGAGCCAAGTAAGAAGAAGGCCAAAAAGAACAGCGGTGTGGCCCTTGAAATGCCTAACTTCCAACCCGACGAAGCTAATGAGCTGGCAACAAATGGCGACTTGAAGCCGGACGAGAACGGTCTCGGTGATGGCGCTGGTGAATCGCTGATCAACGGAGTGTAAGACACGACTTCCAACTTCCAGGCTCGGGTTAGGTAAATGAAGCTCTACACATATGGTGATGTTCTCAGGCCTTTCTTTTGCATTATTTCCGCATACCTGCATGTGTTTTTTTTTAATTTCCCCATTTTCAAGAAAGATGCTGTTGCTACTTCTTGTCAGATACCCATCGATGGAGGGGAAGCACCCAGAGGCCTCTTTCAGATGGGCCTTAAACTCCTGATACATAATGCAGTCCTTGTATTTCACGTTTACATTGGTTCTTTTACTTTCTCTTCTTCGTTTCTTTCTGTCCTACATCTCAGGCTGTACCATAACGTTCCTTGGGACCTTTTTCCCAGAATACACTACAACCAATTCATACGAATCTTCCGCGAGTTCTTTATAATCTCCATTCCTCATCTGTCTTTTGCCATGTATACCTAGTCCACCGATATCCCGGGCTTATTCCAAGCATAAATAGCCCACTAAACATAAGGTCCCAACTCTAGACATAACCATCATCCACCACCTATCCCCCATCCCTTTGCCTCAACACCGAATGATCCCCCTGCCACAAAAACGTCTCCCCCTTTAACCACCTCCTCCCCCTCTTCCCCTTCCGCCTCCCCTCCCTCATCCACCACCCCAAACTCAATATAACAAGGACAAGCCTCAAACCTCCCCTCCCCAACCCCACAAATCCTCTCAAACAACTCCAAACTCCTAATCTCCCCCGCAACACCTTCAACCACACTCTCAGGCGGACCCCAGACCAACACCGGCTCTTTCCCATGCATCATAACGCTATACCCAACAACGCGCGCAGGCCGGAGACGCGGTGCTTCGGATTCCGGGAGTTGGAGGACGCGCGCGAGGACGGATGGGTCCATTAGGGGGCCGTAGAAGAAGAAGTAGCCTGGTAGGAATGGACCGTTGGTGGCGGAGTCTTTGGGGGCTTGGGTTGGGTCTGATTGGAGGTTTGATTGGATTTGGGGATGGGATTGGCCGATTTTGACTCGGGTTGGTTTTGGGTGTTCTTCTGTTGGGTTTAGGTGGCTTATTGGGGAGGTGGTTTGGTTGGTGGTCATTGTGGTGGGTTTGGGGGTTTGCTCTGGGTTTGGGGGTGTAGTTGATGTTTATGAATGATATATGGCTTTGGATGGGTATTGAGGTGGAGGTATGAGTATGAAGGGATATGATGGAGGCATTACGTCGGGCTCAACCAAACCCTACATCTACCTACATTGGATGCCATTGACTACATTCCATACAAAGGATAAAGGAAACAGTTGACGATCATACTGCAGAGTGCTCACCCACCCCACAGTATGACCTTTTTTTATTTTTTTAAAAAAATTTTTTCTTTTCATAAGACTATGGTAAAATCAAAAGGGTCCGATCCTCGCCTTCAACTGGTTCGTAAAAGACAACTGGCACCTAGGACCCTGATAAATCCATAACCATTCCCATCAAATAGATAGGCCATCAGCCGGCAAACAGATCGTTCAAAGCGAACAACCTTCACTGCGACTGGAAAAGATAAAAGCAAATAAAAGGATGAAATCATCGAATAATAACCGCAAATCCCCGGAAGGATTTCATCATGGAGTCAACAAAGGGAACCTCTGTCTGAGACCATGGAAATGTCGAGATAGACTCAAATGTACCACATGCCAAGAGCCAGTCGGTTCGAGGTGCCTGCAATGGGAAGCAGTCTCTCGGCCCGGGGCTCCTTGGGCTTGGGATTTGTCGTTGGCACCTCTACTCCACTCTGAGGACCAGCGGTAATAGGGATATCCTCATGGTGACGAGCACGAACGGAGATCAAGTGCGCATAGTAGATAGCAGGATGCACTGAGACAGAGGTGGTCGAACGAATGTACTGGTAGCAGTGGTCATTGATCATGCCCTCAAGGTCATTGGGATTGAGGCCTATCTCATCCATCAGAACATGGTAATGAACCGGGCGTGCAGTTCCCTGCAGGGCAATGTGCGTGTAAAGCAAAAAGTCCCAGTCGTGTGCGCTAGTCACATCCCGATCAACGAGGGTGCCCGGCAGTGGGCCACCGTGGGGGTCACAGTTTGCACGAACATTGGGGTTAGGGAATGCCCGAAGATGATGGCGCTTGTTGGCGACAATCACACACATCCTGCCTTCCCAGATCGCCCGCCCACATGCATGTGCAAGAGCGTTTTTGACCGAAGGGACCTCCTCCCTAAGAACTTTTTGGTATTCAGACACCGACACGCCATCGCGGAAGTAATAAACACATTCCGGAGGCTTCCCTCGCCAACGGTGGCCCTCCATTCTGCGACCATCGGTTTAAGAATGTCTTCCACTACCTTGTCTTTGATAACTTCGACACGAAAGTCGTTGACCTCGCATCCACCCATGTAGCGAGTTGCACTCACGTTGGCCGAGACTGACATGGCTGCCAAGGATGGCGTCCACACACCCAGCGTCGGATGAGTGACATCTGCTCCGATGATCATGGACTTGGGAGGCAGAGCGGAGCCCTTTGACTTCGGGATAGCGCGAGCAGTGACTCCACCAAGCTTTGCATTCACCTTCATCAGAACATTTGCGTGGTATTGGGGCCTGTTGTCAATGCAGTGTTGAGACTGGAGCACCTGCGAAGGGCAACCGAACCGGCAGTCCGAAGATCTCTTGAGGCGGAGATAGACCCAGGAGTCCTTGTTAGGCACGATCCAAACCATGAGCTGTGGCTCCCGCTGGAACTTCAGTGAGATCCCCTCATAGAGATTTTTGACACACTTGCCAACATCTTCGCTCATTGCCTTGACCAGGGGATATTCGTCAACCTCCCCGCCCATCTGCCTGTATATCTTGATGAAATGTTCAACCCACAGGAGGACCTGGTCATGGGTGATACCTTTGCGGTGACCGGCGAAGTATCCGACACCCCAAGCCTCGAGGGCCTTTTCATTCGGCTTGTAGAACTTCTTACCACGAAGATCCCACTTACCGGTGTGCCTTGGGTTGAGTTTGGCGTTGCCCCCAAACTGAATTTCAGGGCTCGGCAGCAAGCGGGCCTTGGTCTTGATCATTTTCTCACTGATTTCCATGCCGTAGTGTTTCAACATATCGTCGTTCTTGTGCTGGAGAAGTTCCTTTGACTGGCATATATTGGCCAGTCGCTTTTGTGGCTTGGTAGCGCACCACTGAATCATCTGCGCCGTTTGCATGTCGTCAAGCTTCCAGCGGTATCTTTGGAGGCCTTTGATGACCAGGAACTCGGCAGGGTAATAACAATTCTCCTTTTGCATCTCGACCATAAGCATGTTGGGGTACTCCAGGCGGACGTTGTAACGTTTCATAAAGTATTCCTCAATGTTCATGTTCTTCGTGATTCCGGTGACCTTGTCCGTATAATTGATGGTCTTGTCCCTGGGTCTGCAATGCATCAAGCCCTTGACGATAAAGGATTTGTAATCGTAAGGGCAACCTTCGTAGTTGGGCGTCACTCGAAGACCCTGGATCCTCTTGCTTGCCTTGGCGAAGTGTGGCGATTCCTTCAAGCCTCCCCACTTGTCGCGTGTGCTCTGAAGAGCCCGGACCATAGCCTCCTTGTCATTCCAGTTACCAAAGTGCATCATGATGCCCATGAGAGTGATGCGAGAAAAGAAGACGCAGTGGGCGACATCAACGTTGAGAATCAGTCCTCCCTGGTGTGAAAGGTCAGTCTATTGAACTTGCTGTTTAACCAAGGATCGAAACTTACAGGAGTTGGCCTGATAGCTTGATAAATGCCTCGGTAAACAGAAGCACCTCTGTTGGAAAGTGGCTGGAAAAACTCCTGTTTCAGCATCATGTCGTCCAGCTTGTCAAAGAAGAATGCTCGCTTGATCGCAGCATGCTTCTTGGTGGGCGTTTCACGAAGCAAGTGATCAAGAAAGCCTGCCATGATTAGTATGCTGGAAAGTAGAATATAGGAAACTAGCGAGAAAGTGAAACGACTTACTGAGCGACTCGATCACCGACTCATCGAGATCATGGCGGCCTCGCAGCCAAGAGGCAATCACGCGCAGGTCGACCTTTTTCCTTAGAACGAGCGACATTCTGAAGCCAGGCCACCGCCCGTGCTTCTCCACATCCTTGGGTTTACGACCGTGACCTGAGTTGAGGTCCCCTCGGGTAGAATCACGCTTGATGTCAACGACCTCATGCCAGTCAGAAAACATTTCTGTCGACCTGCCATGAAGAATATTAGAAAATTGTCAGAGGTAGGTCTGAATGGGTGATCTCCTTACCAGCAGATCTGTCCACCATCCCAGATTGCATTAGGTAATTTTGTCTTTCGGACCTGACTGTTCCAGGCCTTCCTGAGGATCCGTCTATCCGTTTCGATTGTTTCTCCTTGAACAACATTTACCTGGATATCGGTAAATGATTAGCAAAAGGGAATGAAGGCATGGCATTAAAACAAAAGAAAGAAACATCGTGCCTACCTCGTACTGGTAAACTGCCCTTCTTGGAAAAGTAGTGATAGGGTACGCATTCATCATGACCTCGATCTCCCTGCCGGCAGTGTTGTAGCCCTTACGGGGATCGAGTGGAGTCTTGCATATGATATCCTGAAGAAAATGATTAGTACCTTGATAACGGCACACGGAAACTTGGTTATCTTGTTTATGCACGTACTTTACCCGTCTTGAGTCTGAACCGATGCCATGGAATGTCGATGTTCATGCATTCATCCCAGTGGATCGTAGCGTAATCCTCGGTTTCCACAAACTTATCCTTGTGCATCCTGTGTTGTTCCCAGACGGCCACTCTCAGGCCTTCTTGGATGAGACGTTCATGATTGGCCTTTTCCTCGTCTGTCCAGTGTTCTGGAACTTCGGGGGGGGTTGGAGCGCGGCGGATGGGTGAAGAACCACTGTCGTCGGAGCCAGCATCATGCTTAGGCTTTCTCTCGCCGGTCTCGGGGTCAATACGGGTTCGGCGCATCCAAGCAGTCAATTCTGCTTCTTTTTTGCGCCTGGCTTCTTCCGCTAAATTGGCCCTGTACTCACGTAGCTCCCTAACTTGGCGTTCGCTCAGAGGCATTGGCCGTTCAGACGATGAGGACGAAGAAGAAGAGCTACCCATTGTGCCAGAAGGAACATATCGGCGCTCATAGCGAGACAGACGCTCGTCTTCCTCATCCGAGGTATTGGATGGCTTTGGAGGAGCCATGTTGGTAAAAGAGAAAAGCTCAGAAGTGTCGGTAAAAGGAATCTGTTTCGTCACTTGTCAGCATCAGTGTACCAAACTTTTTGGTCTGGAGTGCAGTTGATGGCGTTTCAGATGCCGGAAATGAGGTTCGTGCAAGAGTCATAAGGTTCAATGCTGTGGATTAGAAGAGTGAAGAGGGTGGAAGGAGGGTAGAAAGAACAATAGGTGATTCCGTTCAAGCAGGAAGACAAGTTGATATGAACCGGAAGCGAGAAAAAATAATTCAGAGATAACAGGCAGTGGCATGGATGGGGACTGTTCATCACTTACCAGGCTTGAGCAAACCTAAGAAGAAGACACCAGAGTTATGAGAAACTCCAGGATCGAAGTAGTAGTAGAGGGTGAAGAAGGAAGAAGGAAAAGAGAAGAAGAGAGGAGAGGAGGGATGTTTTATAGTTTGACTTTGGGACAGGCAGATGTTACTTCCGAATTAGGCAATGTCAGGTAACAAACATAACGACTTCTTGTACATCAGATGATCAGCATAGCTATGTCGAGGTCACACCACGTGACAACACCCTTTCCACCTGTAGATAGAGAGGCTCTTCTCTCTTCTCCTTTCCCTTCTTCTCTAGAGGTCCTTCTGATAGCAGCGAATAAAACACACAGCTTTTCTCCCTGACTATCTTCGATACTGCGCCTCGTGTAATATACCAGATTTCAGGCCAAGCTAAATGGCTTTTCCTTTCTACTTTAGTACCCGCACATGTTCCCTGTTTTTTTCTCACTAGCTGGGTTAGAACATCAACCCTGGAGCCCGTAGTTAAACGAAGTCTAACTAGTTAACTATGTCTGTTTTCTTATAGTCCGGCTCACTAAAAGTTCCTAATAATTACTAGGAAGGATAAGAAATCAAGCAACAAGGCACTTTGGCGGAGTGGTTAACGCGCTGCCCTGCTATACATTAATTGTGAGGCAGTTCCCTCGGGAGCGTGAGTTCGAATCTCACAGGTGTCGTTTGATTTTTTTTTGTTATTCTTTTTGTTATTCTTTTTGTTTTTCTATCTTATTTGTTATGTACGACTCATTGCCCCGAGAAATTGTCTAATGAATGAGTTATGCCATGGCTAGATCCTAGACAACCTGGCTTACTGTTCCGAACAATGCCCCGGGGCCACAGTCGCGTCAGGCCCAGGGTAGCCATTTTGTCTATATCAACAATTACGCTAACTGTAACTACAAGAGCTTTGACTATTGTCGCCATCGCCTCGATGTCGAGGCAGTATAGTATTCCCGAGAGACCCTTCGCCTCAGCGCAGGAATCCGTGTACTGACTGCGGAGTTGTCGACAGGGGACCGGGAAGCAGTTTCCCACAGAGCGTTCCTATGTCGGTTGTTTGCAAATCCTTGTGGTCTTGGGAGATCTTGTCTTGTACTAACTCGTTAGGTACTCCCGGTTGAGATCCTGGGGGAACACTGTGTGCCCTGGGCAGCGAACGAAGATAATACCTTAAGATCATCCGGTGTGTAGCTGCAACTGATGGCTTGGTCTCTAACCTGGTGTGGTATTGGCTATTGGGTCCACCATAGCACCTTAGGAAAAGAGTGCCCATTATCCCATGCTTATCTGATATGGACGAGGCTGTCGCTTCCCTGGATTCTTTCACAGCCCAATCGATATTCCCTTGATATAGCAACTTGCCATCCAGCTGTCTAATTGCAGGCTGTACTGGAGTGGGTGAGTACCCTTTCGGCATAGATAAGTACTCGAAATCCAGATTGCAAGTCGTTCCGTACGGTACTTTCGGTTTCTGTAAGATCGAGCCTGGCCTGTGATGTTCATCCCCCGTTCTTGCTCACGATATGCTGACGGATTTATCAGCGATCCGGAATGGTGACGGCAGTAATGGGGTAGTGGGACCTCCTGTGGCCCTAGGCAGGTGTACTAAAAGTACCTTTTCCTGCCGTTGATGTGCCCCAGGCTCTTTCGAGCACTAACACTGAGTTTCAATGCGTGCATGAGTTTCGCATGAAACTCGTTCGCGGGTGGTGTGGCCATCTTGTTGTTCCCTCAATAGATTCTGACCTCAATGCCCTGTCTGGAGACCTGTCAAAAACTTTGGTTAAGAGAACTGGGAGAGGACCGTATTGTCGGAAATCTGGGGGGCGGGAGAGAAGTGACCGAGCGAAACAAGCTGGAAAGCCTGCACTACTGGGACGGAGAAAGACACTTGTGGCGCCCTCGTGAGTCGTGACACCTGAACGACCAACGATGCTATTATATCTGTGTATTCCAGGTTTCCACCATGGTTCCTGTATGTCGGAGTCAGGTTATCCTTTGGACGATAGCTGGATTGTAAATGGTGCTATGGGCGTCCATATGGGGGAAGTAAAGCGACGAAGCCCCCAATATTGTGAGCCCAAGGAGAGCATCTCGCCATCTTTATGGAATATACAGCACTGAATTCAGACATTCAGTCTACATCCCCGAAGATAGGCTGGGATTTGCGGTAGGTAACCCCATTTTCAGGGAATGGCAGGATGGTCCGTTCCTATATATATCTGCGGGCTGCAATTGAACCTTAACCCTTGATCAGGTAGTAATTGTAGGTGTCTATATCCAATGGATACGACCCTCGATTTTAATGATGTGACTGAATATATGTAAACTATCATCTGGTTTGATTATAATTCAACAATGTAAGTGACTTAGGTTCTTCCTGGTCGTAGAAGACGTAGGTAGGTAGGTACGGAGTATAAAAACAAGGGGAGGGAGGGAACCAAAAAATCGACACCTGTGAGATTCGAACTCACGCTCCCGAAGGAACTGCCTCACAATTAATGTATAGCAGGGCAGCGCGTTAACCACTCCGCCAAAGTGCCTTATTGCTTGATTTTTGAGCAAACCGGTAAACCAAAACAATACGAATTGCGATATATTCTCTGTCCATACTCCGTACAGATATTGGATTTCAATTCTCAAGCTACCAACTCTGTTACGTGCCAGTTCTCTAAACAAAAGAGTGCATTGTGCAATCGAACTAGAACAACAAATACGAAGAGAAAAGGAAAAGAGAAGAAGAAGCAAGGAATCACTTTTCAACTCCCATCTCGTCACAGCACTCGGACTCAACAACCAGTCCTGGAACCCCCTCAACGCTCTTCATAAGACGTCTGATCGTCACACTAAGAACTGCATTATTTGGTATCAAAATATGGCTTCCTTTAACGTCCGGCAGCAGCTGGGCTCTGGCCCGGTTGCCTATGGGTCATGTGGACGTGCTAAGCTGAGTTCATTCAACCGCGTTCCTCGCCCCGATCTGTGGGCTTCCCGTGGTGTGGTGTGACTGGTGTCAGTTGGATGGTTTCCATCTCCTTCAATAGTCGCGGCGCGGGTGCGCGCTGTTTAAAACGGATAGGTTGTTGTTATGTGTGAAGGAAGAAGAAGAAACAAAAAAATCGACACCTGTGAGATTCGAACTCACGCTCCCGAAGGAACTGCCTCACAATTCAATGCATAGCAGGGCAGCGCGTTAGACCACTCCGCCAAAGTGCCTTACTATTAATAAGCCGATAGTTCTCGGCAATCTAACGCCACGAGCGAGCGATGTCTGGTAAAAGCGATATTTCACAACGTTATGCTAGGACACAGTGCATTCCGACAGAAATATGACCAGATGCCTGAGCGATGAGGGGAATCCAAACCGGGTATGAATTACGTACGACTACGGACTAGAAAATTGTCTAGAGAAGACCAATTTCAGCATATCCAAGCATGTATAATGCTCATACATACTTGGTAGATTCATTGTGGAATTATCTGCCTGCTTGGAACTGTACAAAGCATGATCGGGATAAAAAAAACCAACCAGAAGCAAGCAATGTGAACTGGGACCATATTGAAAATAATATCAGGTAGATTAACGCCGATGAAAGATGCAATGGGGTTCGGAACAACTGCGTGAGCCCCGACCGTGTCTCATGAAATGCCCATCAGAGCGAAGGAAAAAGGCGGTGGGTCATCAATGCCAAAGACAAATCGGGATATTTTGCGCGCCGGAAATGAAAGGGATTGCCGGACAGAGGTCAATAGATTGTACACAGAAATCGGATGGGTGAGTTCCGAGGGCGAACGAGCGATCAGGGGCTCAACGGTAAGCGCCTGGGTGAGGTATGAGTAAATTTGGGATGCAGTCATGCAAATAAGGAGAGGAGATGGGTGATCTTACCAGAGTACGGATTTCCCCCACCTTGGGTTTGGCCTCCACTAGATCCGTGTACATTCTGTGGAATTTGAACTTGGGAAATGTCGGAAGGAATGTCAACGTGGCGAAGAAGTTCGACCATCTTCTCGGGGGACAGGCGGGCAATGTTGTACGAAGACGCAGCAGGGATGATGCTCAAAAGATTGACCACCTCGCGAGGCAAGGGAGCTGGAGAACCTTGCGGCCTGTATGAGACGGATTGCCCATTCAGCTGTTGCACACGCTTCGGCTGGTCGAGGCGCCGACCTTGAGCGCTCTTCATAGGCGAGTCGGCACGAATGAATTTTCGTGGGCGATTTGAATCATCATCAAATTCGTCAGTAGGATATGCTCGCTTTGGTGAGTTGAGTGAGGTATCCATGTATCTTGCCATGGGAGAGCCGTGGACATCCGGAGGGAATCCTGTCATGGTCATCTTTTGCCGGGTCTGGGACGGTGACAAGATCAGTTGGACGGATGTAGGGTCAAATATGCTGTTAGAGTAACGACTAGCGAATTGCTCAAGAGCAGGATCCTCCGGGTAAAGTTCGCGCATGCGAGTCTCCAGATTGATCACCTGGGTGAGATCGCCGTAGCGAGATTCGTAACCATGGAGGAAGGAAAAGATAGGTTTGGCTTTGTGCACGTTCTCGGGGTTGGACGCTAGCTTCCTGACCGTGGTTTCAAAGACGGCTCTGGCATCTTTGGTGGCGGTCAGTATGGTTTGGAACTATGGATCGAGTGACTTACTGATAGTATCATTGATGTCAAGAAGATGTTTCAAGTATTCGAGCGCAAAGTGTTCATCCTCCGGGAAGAGTTTGGCGCCTCTCTCGAAGATCTTAGTCGCTGCAGGATCTTTATAGCAATGGTACTCCATCAGAGCACTGGCGATATAGACGTCGCTGGTGATGCGACCACGCTTCCGGGCTTCCGCGAAGACCTGGCGCGAGCCCGCAATTTCTCCTGGTTTGCCCTTGCCCTGGATTCGGCGCATGGAGCGCATGAGTGCAATCCATGCAAACGAGATGGTCTTCGAAATGATATTAATTTGAGTAGAATGAGCCTTGCGCACTGCATCGATCTGCTCCTTCTTGGCCGCTTCTCTTTCCTTGGCTTCTGGATCAGCATCGTCCTCATCCTGAGCCTGGCCTTCGGCATTGGTCGATGGGAAACTGGCTTCGATACGTGCAACATCCTGGGTTTCCTGGTCACGCGCCTTGCTGATCAATGCATAAAGTGCATCAAGCAGCTTATCGTACGGTTCCCGAACCTTCTGCGCACGTTTGGCGGAATCTTGTTCAGACTCGGAAGCAACCTCGAGTCTATCGGCGCGCTTGAATGCCAAGAGACAACTCTCTGGGTTAGCTTCAATGCCCTTCTTCAAGAAATCCGTCCCGTCATCCTCCAAATCATTCTGGAAGCAGAACTCGGCAGCATCGAACCACATTTCGGGCAAAAATGTCATTGCCATGAGAGCCTGTTTGTAGAAATACACCACGCGTGACTTATAAGCAGAAAGATCTTCCTCTTTGAGAACCAAGGGATCTTGCTTCTCCCACGCCATCCAGCGCTTCCAGATATTTGCCTGTGCTGCGAATTCCACATCGCCTTCAGAGCCTGGAAGAGGAGGCAGCGGCGGGAGCGAAGTGCGGATCAAGTCCCGAGTGATATTCTGCAACTCGGTGTATGAGCTGCGCGCAGTCATGTAGGATGATGAGTGTTCTTGAAGGAATCGTCGACCCTAATATTGAAAGTCAGTAGGAGGTATCGGGTCAAGTGTTTGCCAACTTACGGTGACTTTGTTTAAATTCATTTCAAACTGATCGTACTCCTTCCAGAGAGTATTAAGAGCTTGAGTTGGCACGCCGAGGGCTCGTTGGTACGCTTTCCGGAGAAGATCCATCTTCTGCTGGTCTTGCCATCCAGGTCCACCGACAACACCTGGACCGGAACGGATGAATTCGATGTAGTCTGTCCAGATGTTTCCAGAATCCTTGTCCATCCCGACATATTGAATTGCCAGATCGTAAGCAGATGAGATTGTTTTCCTCGCCTGCTCAGAAGCATCTGTTGTCAAAGGATTACGACGTCGGACGTAGTCGAGGTAAACAGACCAGAGCTGGACACTGGGAATGGAGAGGAGTGTTCGGTTGAAAATCTGCTCCAGGCGGAAGAATTCATTGAGTTCAGACTCCATGGTGGCATATGCCACCCATTGATCAGCCTATGATTCGATTAGCCATCTCACTTTGTTCTGACAAAGGCAAAGAAAACAGGGAAGAGAAAGCGAGCAAATGTGAGCGTACCGCCATAGGAAACACCTCGAAGAAACGATCGTAGGTCTCGCGCGCAATGTCTAGCCTTCCGCGACCTCTGTGCTCGGCTATTAGCTCCAACCAGGCAGGGATGTCACCTCTGGGATCTTTCTGGATGCGATCTTCCAGTATTCCCACACGGTCATGAGCCAGCCGACCCTTGGCAGCAGGGGAATCAGGTACAGGAGTAGAAGTAGTACTGTTCTGCATGGTTGCGGATTGCAAATCTTGCGCAGCCCAGTGCGATTGGACAGGAACAGAAGAAGGATCAATATTAGAGACAGGAGCAGGAGAATAAGAACTATTGGCAACATCTGGTCCACTGGCAGGTGTCTGCTCAGCAGTGTGTGAAGATACATCCGGGGGAGTATTTTGATTTGCAATTCCTGAGCTGGGATCTTCAGACATTGTCACAGGCATAGCATCAGCATCCTCGCCCCCGAGTACCGCCGGCGGCTCATAATCCGCATCACCCTGGTCATCCTCATCATCAACCTCGAATCCCCCAATAGTTCTGGCCCTGGGTGTCTCAGTGGCACCAGACAGTTGCATGGGGGTCGACGACTCAGCACGTGAAGGGTCCTGGGAAGGCTCGACAGAAGCGCTGGTCTGGTCAGCCTCTGTTTCTGGCGCGTCGATCGCATTGGGGACGGAATCTTCCTCGTCATCTGCAACAGATGCATCAACGGGGCCTGCTTCAAGCTGATTGCTGTCGTTGATAGGATTCGAGTACTGTCCTTCCCAACCCTGTGAGGGGTCGTATTCATCCGAGTCTGCATCTGAGTTATCGCCATGACCATCTTGCTCTGTAGAAACCTGGGGTTCGGCAGGTGTAGCTTGCTCTTGGGGGAAAGTGGCTTCAGCTTCGTCATCAGCCATGATGAGCAAAGGTTGCGATGATCGCAAAGTGATGGAGAGATGTGAGTAAGTAGCTAGTGAAGTTAAAGGTCCGAGGCGCAGATAAGAGCAGGGTTTGCGTGACGATGTCGGGGGGTTAAGTGAAGGTAAATCAAATCATTCGAAAGGTCAAAGGCTAAAGGTTGAACAAAGCCTGAGGATATCAATATACTTGGTAGTACGCAGTCAATCGCCAAAGCTCAAAGGGAAAGATCGAATGCAAGTTGCCGTGGTGAAATTAGGGTCACGTGCGGGCGGTGAATGTCAAATGCGAGGGACGCGAAAGGCGCGTCGATCGATGGGCTCCTCGCATTGTGCTAACTAGAGGGGTCGAGAGTGAACTGCATTCTTGTGGACCTGTTTATTTCTCTGATTTTCTCTTATAATCTCTCACTTTTGTTTCTTTCCCCCCTGTTCATACAATTCCTTTTCTACTTCTTCACCCTCAAACACGCGTACATACTCTCATATCTTATCACGATGTCCGTCGTCTCACTCCTCGGGGTGAAAAACCTCAACAACCCGGCGCCTTTCACCGCCCCTTACCAATTCGAAATCACCTTCGAGTGCCTCGAGCAGCTCCAGAAGGGTAAGTGGTGACCATTGTTTGTTTTTTGTATAGTCCTCTGACAGTTTCAGATCTGGAATGGAAGCTCACCTACGTCGGTTCCGCCACTTCGTACGTTTACACTTCATCCCTCCCTATCTCCCATCAATTTTTCAAAGTCTAACGTGCATAGGTCCGAGTATGATCAAGAACTCGACTCCCTCCTCGTCGGCCCCATCCCGGTCGGCGTAAACAAGTTCATTTTCGAGGCCGACGCGCCTGATGTCAAGCGCATCCCGACTTCCGAGATGCTGGGCGTGACCGTCATCCTGCTTACCTGCAGCTACGACGGCCGAGAATTCGTCCGGGTGGGATACTACGTGAACAACGAGTACGACAGCGAAGAGCTGGCAGCTGAGCCCCCTGCGAAGCCCATCATCGAGCGCATTCGCCGTAATGTCCTCGCTGAGAAGCCCCGTGTGACCCGCTTCGCTATCAAATGGTGCGATCCCTTGTTTTGTTTGTTTACATGGCGAGTGGAGCCTTGATTGACTTTTTTTCCTCCAGGGATTCTGAGGACTCTGCCCCTGCCGAGTACCCCCTGACCAGCCCGAGGCCGATGGTCTCGACGATGACAGCAACACTTATGGTGCCGAGGAGCGCGAGCTCGAGGCTGCATTGCTCAAGGAGCTCGAGGAATCCAACAAGCCTGCTGAGGGTGATGACCAGGAGATGGAAGGTACCGACACCGCTGCTGGCAAGGATGACGAGGAAGAGGAGATCTCCGATGCCGAGAGTGAAGATCTCGAGGCGGAGAGTGATGATGATGAGGATGATCTTGATGAGGAAGAGGGTGGCGAGGGTGATGATGATGTAGAGATGGGCGACGACGCCGAACAGAAGGATGATACCGCTAAGCCAACTCACGAGGCGCAACCCGAGCTCATGGTACACTAGATCGAGGTGTAACACGGGCTCGCAAGGTGTTTCTTCCCTTTCTGCATTCCCATTTACGACAGCCAGAACGCAACGTTTATGACCCTTGAATTTATATTCCAATTTCTCACCCCCGGAGGCCCCAAGGGCATTGTTACCATAGGTCTCTAGAACTGACTTAATATTGAAACCGGCTACCCTGCAGCCTGGCATTCAAATTCCAAATGTTCTTTCAAGTGCTCGCAAGGCATAATTGACTCCCAACAGCCCTTCCGGGTTGGCCACAAGAAGTAGTAATGGTACTTTCTAGACAGAATTGGCATGAAGAATGCTCAACCTGTGTATTCTTCGTTGAATCCACAAGTCCCAAGACATTATTTTACGAAGTATGTATTCATCGCCTCCATGGCAACCTTGAAGAAATCGCGCTAAACCTAGTAGGAATTGAGGTCTAGGCATGTTGGATAATGTTTCTCATTGCCTCCTTCAACTAGCCAGGCGCAAATACTCATGTCTCCATCTATCTTTTCTTCGACACTTCCACATACCGGGTGCAAATAGAGGAGGTAGAGTTGCAAATTGATCTATCACGGGGTTTTAGATTTCACCCTAACCTGACGCCGAAAAGTATGTAGGAAGATAACACCTGCAGCAACCAATTTGGGAACCCTTTTCACTGAAGGACAAGCCTAGAGCCCAAACTTCGAACCAAGCACTGTAAATGACCGGTCAGCGACATGTATGCAAGGGGTAAAATACACTTTAGATGGTGATGGGAGGGCAGAACGACTTACAGCCTAGAACAGCCTTCTTCTTCTGGGACTGTACATACTTGCCAACATCGTTAGCAAAGCCACTGCTGTTCTCCTCTAGTCTCTCCATGCTATCCCCAACAATATTCAGGCGCTCTGTGCGCTCCTGGACTTGACGCGACATATAGGACCAGTATCCTTCCTGGCTACCACCTTGCTCGGGCGGTGGGGCTCGTCCCTCCCGTAGGGCTTTTCGGCGTTCTTCGTCCTCGAGCTTCATTTTCTCAACCATTCGCTTGGACGGGGGTCGCTCTGGGCCGCCAACTAGATTCCTGAGTTAGATTCGATTTGCCATTGCATTTGTATGGGGTGACATACTCAGAATGTCCATGTCAGCCGGCGAGATATATTGTGTACCGGAGATCCATTGCAGGTTGGTAATGGTAGGACGTGGGGGAAGCTGTGCTTCTGGATTGAAAAGCCGATCCTTGGAAGGATGTCTGTGAGCAGTGTTAGCACCGTGAGCCAGACATTTGATAGGAACCACATACGATTTGTGTCCAGCTCCCCAGACGTTGAACATTCCGATTTCTGAAGGGCCGGTCCATGTCATGATATTTCCGGTAGGTGTGATGCATGCTTCCGAGAGGCGTCGCATATCCGCAATATGGTTGATCTTGGCGCAGCCGATATCTCGAAGAGCGGGAATTGAGAATGCGCGTGCGTTACCGTCACCGAAGAGTCCGACCAAGCTGTAGCCTCGTCCTTCGGTCTTGACGACTGCTGCTGAATCACAGATGTAATCTTCCCAGGATTTATGAGCGCCCTTTGAGGTTGGAGGCTTGAAAATGCGACAGCCAGAGGCAGTCACAGCAATGACAACACCGTCGACCTTTATGCCGTTCCTCAAGCCTCCAACTGCACTGGGTGTAGCTAAAGCAAGACCACCGGAGTCAGCGTCGATGGGGATGACGGCTACCACGGAACCTTCGACTGCTGTTGATCCAACGAACACTGCTTCATATGTGCCGTTGGAAGCAGGAAGAATCTTGAACGTTGCCACAATTCCCCTACTTGTGCCAACAAAGCAGCAAATGCTTGAGTAGTCTAGGAGACGATTAGCACATTGGTCCAATCCATTGGCTGTAGTTATTATGCCTACCATCACCATCCAAAGTCATCACACCAAACTCAATCTGAGTGGGCCAGTCGGGTTGATGTTCCTCTGAGCCACGACCCTTACGGAAACTGGTTCGCTTCTGTGACTTGATAATGTCTGACAGATGCGCGGTATGGATGACGGCGGGACCTCGCAGATCGATGATCACCAGAGCGCCACCTTGGTATCCGGCCGCCACGAACCCAACTTGCCCATGCTTCACCGCCGTCACCGGACCTAGTTGCATATCCAAAAGAGTAAGGGGAAGCATCCCTGTCTTGAGACCTGGATCTGTTCGCTGAGTAATTGGAGTCAGCTTCCCTGGCCCTTGGTTGGCACCAGGAGGCTCTTCACGTCCGTATGAGGGGTTATTGCCCCATCGGAAGATAGCAAGCTCGCCGGTCTTGAGTCCAATAGACATTTCACCTGAGGCACTTGCAAGACACATTTCGGTCACTTCAATATTACTGACTCGGCCTATGGCACGGGCAAGATCAACTTGAACGACATCGCCGTTCTCAATCTCATCGTCATGTCCACAGTCCCAAAACCGGACAGTTCCGTCTGCATGTGCCGTGGAGATAACGTTTCGGTTCTCAAAACGCTTGAGGGGATTCTTGGCTTCCTTGCCACCCATCGCAAATTTGGGACCCTGCAATCGGCGCTCTTTCAGACCGAGCCATACTGACCGGTCAACGGGTGTGAGCACGGCTTTGTTTACAAATGGATGAACGAAAGTGAGGAACGGATGAAGCATGTTAGTGGGGGTGATTGTATGTCCGCTGGGGAAACTTAGGGAAATGATCTCTCCTGAGGATAGCATGGCAAGCAGTGCGATTGGATCGTGAGCACCATTGAAGTATGGCGAGGATCGAGGGATGAGACAGAAGTCGACAACCTTAGCTCCTGGTGGAACCGACAGGTTCATGTGTCGTCGTGGGTGTTCGAAGTAGTTAGACAGGATTTGCCAAGAAGAGGTTTGATAATTGGGGGTTGAGCCCATGTCCAGGAACACCAGTCCTTTGGTTTGATCATTCACTGGTCGGCCACCAGCCACGAGGAGACCGGTATCGTCTGGATTACCTTTGGCACACCAAATGACCTTCGTGATTGGCTCTTTGGGTCCGGCGGCCTCTATAGGTGAGCTTGGTCTGCATTGGTCGACATTGGCTGTCTGGACTGTCCGTGCATGGAGCTTACGACCATCTTTTGTATCCCAAAGTACTAGACTAGAATCTTCGTGAACTGTTAAGATAAAGATCCCGTTGGGGTGCCAGATGGCGTTAGTCAATTTTGGCCTGCGCACGTCGTGGCACGGTAGGGAGTCACCACCCGGGGCCCCTGGAGGGATGTCGTATATGAAGTATTTCTGTGCAAGATTTTGCTTAAATGTAAACGTCACTGCTCCCTCTGGATATCCCACCAGGATCTTGCCAATGTCTCGTGGGGAGAATTCCAGCGACACAACGGGGAAGAACCTCGCGCGTGGGTTGCGTTCCAACCACAGGTTCGGAACCCTGAACGGCGTCAATGACTCCCGATCCAGATCATACGCGATGATTTCACCTATCGACATGTTAACCTCCGTTCCACTTCTTGCCGCTAGCATAGAACCGACCATTCTGCAGTCCAATAAACGCATAATCCAAACTCGGGTCCGTCAACAAAGCAGTTGCCTGGCCGGGTGGAGCATAGGAGACCACCAGGCAACCCGTCTCCAGGGAATATACGCAGATTTCATTCTTAGAATCGATGCTAACAAGCCTATCGGCGCAAAATCGGAGAAAGCGCGCGGACGCCTTGCGCGGGAACTCAAAGACCACTGCGACTCGCCGTTGACCAAAGACATAGATCTGCCCACTTCCAAACGAAGTATCACTGGTACCGACGGCGATGAGGGATTGTACGGGGTCGTACGCGATAGCGCTAATCTGTGAGTTCACGCCACATCGTGCAAACTAAGAGCATCAGTGTCAGTTGCCGGACCGAGGATGCATGGGATTGCCGACTTACATCGTCGAGGAGGAACAATTCTGGGGATAAACCCTCAGACAGGTCCCTTTGAATACCAGCTTGCTTTCCACGCAGGAACTGAGCCATCCTGCGATAGACTGTAGATTATTGGGGAGAGGAAAGTGGAAGCGGTCAAAAAGTGTGGAGAGAGGACGACTGACGCCATGCAGAAGCTAAAGACGGATCTGCCCCGCTCCGCCCTTATCGTTCGCCATGGCGACTTGGCATTCAAGGCAACTAAATTCTTTCCATTCCCCTTTCCCCACGATGTTGATGGTTAGCTAGATCTATGTTTCATACAATTGATTCTTTCTCCTTGAGAATGTTGGTTTTCATTTAGAGATGCTAACAATATAGGAAAGAAATAGAACTCCGAGATACATGCAACTCCATATGCCCGCTGAAAGGATATATCGCTATGCAACAGAAACAGTCTAATGATGATCATTCCAGCATCACGTCGAATATGCAAAGCGCCAATGAAAGTCGTCGTGTCATAGTACAAGTCTCGTCATTTCCGCAATTGTGGTCGTCAATCGTCTCCGCGCAGCAAATTCGCTCGTCTCGTCTCGGTTTCGATAGTACTGCACGGTGATCTGGGAAACCAGCCGGTAGCATGCATATCTAGATTGGAAGACATGTTAGCACATTTACTCCAGAGAGAGGAAGAGTTTTCAAGCACATACAAGACCAGCCGAACCTTTTCCGCCCTTGTTCTCGTTAGCGGCATCCCTGCTCCTTGCAAGACCGCCGGTGATGGGCTTGCGAATATTTCTGCCATCAACACATCACCCCAGAGGGCGCTGCTAAAGTCCACAACCCCGGATAGTTGTTTGGACTCTTCATTCAGTAGGACATGTGAGGGTCGACCAAAGTCCACCACCACAAGCCGTGGTAACGTGACCTCTTCGAGCGCAGGTGCCAAGCGATTGAGCTCGTGTCGGATCTCCGAGTAAGGAAGGTGGATGAACATGTCTTCGGCGTCGCGAAGTACGCCTTCACACAGGGTACAGAATACTTCTCTCCAGGAGGATCTTCCTGCGCCGAGTGCCACTTGCTGTAAAGACCCGAACCCTGGAGCTGCATTGTGCCCAATGGTGCTCACCAAAAAACCCAAATGGCGATCGATACCGTCTCTTTGCTGGGTAGTGAGCTCGCCTTCCATCTCCGAAAGACTTTTCCCTCTTATGTACTGACGGACCAAGTAGGCAGAACCCAGAAGTCTTCCATGAGGATCATAATGATAGAGCTGAGGTATACAAGGGTTTGCGCTTTGGCCAAGAAGAGAGAGAAATTGCGCTTCGGTCTCGAGGAACGACCGCTCACGGCGAAGAAGAGCGGTTCTTGACGATGGAGACCCCTTCAGCAATAAACGTGCTCCGTTCGATAGGATCAGTAACCGCAACGAATGAATGTGGCCGAAGATTGTACGTGAGCGCTGCACATAGACTGTCGAAGGAAACAATAGAGAGAGGGCATCATCCAGTCTATAGTAGTCTTCTGCCTCGGCGGCATGAGTCTGATGACGGAAAGAATTGCCATGGCCATTTGTTTCCATGATTGACGGCATCGTCGACCATCTTTTTACGTCAAGCTGTTGCATCTTGATCTATCCGACGGGGAAGATACTGGTCGACAGGACAGGTTGCTATATGAACGGGGGAGGCTATCGACGGCTCATGGACTTTGGGAAAGACACTGGCCCACAGTGGATGATGTACGAGGAAGGCTGTCACAGTCCCTGGACCTTTAAGCGAACAAGGACGCAAATATGTCTCCGAAGTCCGGGGGGATGGTTCTGAAAGGCATACTGCGAGCCCAATCTAATCTTGGCATCTCGGAGCAGGCTTCCAGAATGATAGAGCACTCGCTTAAGAAACCGTCTTTAGTAGAGATCGTTGAATATCAACGGGGCAGAGCGCCATGGTTGCATGCATACGTAACCGCAATGGAAAGGAAAGCGACCACAGGCACATTTCTCAGCGCCATAATATCTACTTCGTTTATCCACGCGAGCCATGGGGTCCCTTGCCGAAAGGGACTCGGTTCGTATCCGAGCTTGACGACCGGGTTCTCTAAATGGTGGAAGATGTTTGGCTGGGAAAGTATTCACAAGCGAGAGTCTCCAAACCGCTGCTGTCAGATTGGCTCTGATTTAAGAAGAATTATGGATATCTTATAAATTAAGTCCATCAAATAAATTAAAGTGAAGCCCGTCTCGCCTAAGGATCCCGCTCTAAGAAAAATCGCCATCCGAGCACCCGCCGCTGTACCCAATCACAGTCCCTCCTTGCCGAAGTCCCCATAGATCGCCAGGATCAGAGAACTTCGATGTGTTCTTCTCGGTAGTCCGTCTGTTCCTTCGCTTCCTATTTTATGTTTCCGATGCCTTTTGTGCTGATTTTGACTCTCCTGCTAGTCTTGATCGGTCTATTCTTCCGTGCACAACCATCGCTACCGGTTGCTTGGACCACCTGAAACACCTCTTCCTTCTTGCTTCTCCACTTAAATCTTAGCCCTTATGCAAGCTAACGGCTGGAGTTTTGACTCTTAATATTGAATGCATGTCATTCCAACGTTTCATAGGTGTGTCACTTCCTGTTGACTTAGGCCCCATTCTGTAAATATCTCCCCGTTGTTTCATGACGCTGCTTAGATACGAACTGTCGGCTCGAACTTACTCCGGGATCGTGTAAATGTCACCGAAGCCACCTGGGCTAGGCTATCTCCGGAACGGCTTTGTGGCTGCATGAGCTCGGTCACGGCCCGAGGTTAGCATCTTCAACGGCGTGGAAAGGGGAAGAAGGAGGGGCATTTAGTGTGCCAAATAGGGCAAGCAAGATGCAGTGATTTGTCAGGTAAATTCAACTGATCAAGGACCAGCTACAAGACATTCAAGATTGAACTATTCGATGGATCTGAAATCATCAGATTAAGAGCGGTGAAGCCAGTATATCTAGCACTAGGCTTGGCATACCGTAAGGTGCGGCGTCTCAAGGTTGCAGGAACCATATGAATGAACTTGATACAAAGGTTTCACCTATGCGGACAAACGACTCTTCCGTGTGTCATGCAATCTTTACTTGTCTATGCAAATTGCCATTGGCCAAAATGTGTGTAGGTTGATTTGGGTATCAGTCCTCAAAAGACTGGAGTCTGGAATCTGGATCATCGCTCAACCTTCTACTCCGTAGGTGTCGGAGATATACGAGAATAGATACCTCTATCCAAGGTTATGACTTATCAAGGGGTGAAATACCCATTGGCTGGCTGGCGCCGGGACCCAATCGCTGAGATAGATAGACCAGTTCCCCAAATAGGGGAGAGCCACCGGTAGGTACGTGATTTTAAGGAGGCGAGCTGACCAGAGCCCCCAAGAAAGGTTTGTGTCCCAATTCTTCATATTCCTCCATTGCCCCAAAGGTCCTCCCACTGTGTGTGTGTGCGTTCCACCACCAGGACCCCAGGACGCTGTCCTACATACGATCAGTTAAGTGCAGCATATTGTCGCTGGCGGCCTTGCACAACGCCTTTGTGTCATACAGCATGTGATCTTCTATGCGCTCCACAACTATGGTCGCCTCCTTCTGCCTCTAGAGTCTAGACGGACATGGAACAAAGAAGATGGACATACAAGTCAGCAGGCGGCCAAAAAATGAATGACAAGGCCGAAGGAAGAGGACAGAAGCTGTCGGGTGGTTGGTGAAAGTAAGCGGGATAGAAGTTTAAGGCTCCAAGGTGCTTTCTCAAGATCGTACTGTGAACAGGTATTCGGTACATTGGCCAGCTATATCATGCAGCGACAGTTTGTAGGGAACGGAAGCCACGCGCCTACCATATAAGTTCTCAAAAGTGATTGTGATTACGACATGAGATTCTAAGCAGTTGGTGCGTATAATAATCACGTATCATTGAGACTAAGACTTTGCCTCAGTGGACTTGGGTGTTGCCTCTTTCGGCGAAGGATCGTAGATTTCAGCCAGGTTGAACCGCTTCAGCTTGTCATAATCGCCTTGCACTACACTCATGCCAATAACATTCTGCGACGAGTCAGTCAACAATTCAGTAGAAAGGACTTCCCAAGTACTCACCTGGGCAACATCAACAAGGATCATCAAGTCATAGTTTGTTAAATTTACTGGGTGTTCGGGTCCAACCACGTCGGCCACGACCTTGATGATAACGTCCCGGTTAAGCTTGGAGTTGCCTCGCACAGTAGGCCGGATGGCATACTAAATCCATACAAGATCAGCGATACGTTAACGGCAGTACCCCTCCGGGATTCGTTGGCGGGTATTGCCCCAAATCCCGTAGGATCTCCGGCTGCCTAAAGCCTCACAGGAGGGGGAAAGGCGGCCGAACTCACCGTCTTTGGTGCCCCCCCCGAATGAAAATGGGGTTTCAGGATCTCTTTTGCAAAAGCCTCCAGATCCACACTCAAAGTCTTGCGAACTGACGTGACTGGGTGCATGCGCTTAATCCATCGACTCTTTTTGATCTCCGGATTGGCGTAGGCCTCGCTACACAGACGGTGGACTAGCTGCACCGGCTCTATTGAGGGATCAAGACGCATAAATACCACTGTCGAAGATTAGCAACAATACGCAATTTGAGGGCCGAGCATTTTTTTTTTCTTTCGCTTTTTGAATCAATCATAGACGTACCACATGGCATATCCATCTGCACAGGCTGAAATTGACGAGTTTTGTCTTTGCTGGGCTGTAGACCCTCTAGTTCCCTTCGGATCTGGGCCTCAATATCTTCGTCGTCGGTGTCTTGCTCTTCTTCCTCTTGCTGTCCAGTGCCCTCGATGGCCTAAGTGTCAAGTCAGCGGGCGGCGAGCCAGACCGTATGATCTTGGAAGAGGCAAGTTTCACCTGAGAAAAAATGTCGATTGCCTCCGTCAGACATTTCTTTTCTTTGCCCATATCGCATGTCAGAAAGACGCCAACATCTCCTGTTTCAATGGCGACACGACTTGGCTGATTCTGCCATTTCGAACCACCCTGCCAGTCATTAACACTCTGTCAGGATTTGCTTCTAAATGCGTCAATTCATCAATTGCTCACCTTTCTCTTCTTTGAGAACTGACTTTTAGGCATTGCTCTTTTCCCTTAATAGACGATCAAACTGGGTTTGATACCAAAAATAATGTCGATGGTGGGGGGATCGGAGTTTTGTGTGGTCGGCCCGGGAGCTTTGATTGGGGCAAGACGGTGATCGAGAGCTCAGAGCTTCAACTTATCATGTGCTGTTTACTATACTCCATAGACAAGTTGCTTTGGTCCTGGTATGTATAATACAATAACTTTAACTGAGCTGATCATAGATAGCAGTGAACGTAAGTATTTGTGTTGCATAACTTGCAATCAAGTGGGACAATTGTATGACATCAAATCTGTGACGTAGTTAAAAGTGGTCTCACCTTCTCAACTTATCAGGACATTCTTCTTCTTCTTCTTCTTCTTTTGCTCTTCTTCTCTTCATCTCTCCTCAATTTCCCCTCCATTTCTGACATATCAATCATGGCGTCTACCGATATTGTGACTAGGGAGCTCAAGAATCCCGTGGATGTCGCCGAGTACTTGTTTCGGCGTCTTCATGAGATCGGAATTCGCTCGTTGCATGGTGTCCCCGGTGACTACAACCTGGTCGCATTGGATTACCTGTCCAAGGCTGGTCTCAAATGGGTTGGAAACTGCAATGAACTCAATGCCGGTAAGTTACACCTGACATAAATCAGCAATTGATCTGGATCTCACATTTGCCTCTTTGTAGGATACGCGGCCGATGGCTATGCGCGCGTGAAAGGTATCAGCGCCCTGGTCACGACGTTCGGCGTCGGTGAGCTGTCCGCTCTCAACGCTATCGCAGGCGCATACTCCGAATTTGTTCCAGTCATCCATATCGTTGGCCAACCCACCACAAAGTCGCAGAAGGATGGAATGTTACTGCATCATACTCTTGGAAACGGTGACTTTAATGTCTTCAATAAAATGAGCGAAGGCGTCTCTTGCTATGTCGCACGCCTGAACAACTCCCAGGATGCAGCAACACTCATCGACAGTGCGATTCGCGAATGCTGGATCCGCAGCCGTCCTGTTTACATCACTCTTCCCACTGATATTGTCGGTGCAAAGGTTGACGGTGATCGCCTGAAGACACCTATTGACCTTTCACTGCCTAAGAATGACCCGGAGAAGGAGGATTACGTGGTCAACGTTGTCCTGAAGTATCTTCATAGTGCAAAGAATCCCGTCATTGTGGTTGATGCCTGTGCTATTCGCCACCGCGTTCTAGAGGAAGTGCGCGATTTGGTGGAGAAGTCTGGCATGCCAACCTTCGTGACTCCAATGGGCAAGGGTGCCGTTAATGAGACCCACAAGAATTTCGGTGGTGTTTATGCTGGCAATGGTTCTAACCCTGGAGTCAGCGATGCAGTAGAGTCATCCGACCTGATTCTGAGCATTGGAGCGATCAAGTCCGATTTTAACACCACCGGATTCACTTACCGCATCGGACAACTGAATACCATTGACTTCCACAGCACCTTTGTCCGAGTGCGGTACTCGGAATATCCCGACATCAACATGAAGGGTGTTTTGCGAAAGGTCATCCAGAAGATGAACCCTCTGTCTCCTGCTCCGGCTCCTGCACTCACGAACATACTGCCCGAGAGCGAGAAAACGTCGAACGATCAGATTATCACCCACAAATGGCTGTGGCCGATCGTGGGACAGTGGCTCAAAGAGAAAGACATTGTTTTGACGGAGACTGGCACTGCCAACTTTGGTATTTGGGATACCCGCTTCCCTGCGCATGTTACTGCCATAAGCCAAGTCCTTTGGGGCAGTATTGGCTATTCTATGGGAGCCTGCCAGGGGGCTGCTCTCGCCGCAAAGGAGGAGGGAGGCCGCCGAACTATTCTCTTCATCGGCGATGGGAGTATGCAGCTGACGGTGCAGGAACTAAGCACAATCCTCAGAAACAAGTTGAATCCTATTGTGTCAGTAACCCTTCAACTCAAGCCCTACCATCTACGTATCATATGCTAACTATTATTAGCTTTGTCATCTGCAACGAAGGCTACACCATCGAGCGATACATCCACGGATGGGATGCAGGATACAATGACATCCAGCCTTGGGAATTCGCCGACATTCCCAAGGCCTTCGGTGGGAAAGAAAACTACCAGGGCTACCGAATCAAGACCCGTGATGAACTCAAGAAGCTGTTCGCCGATAATGACTTTAACGTGTCTGACAAGCTTCGGGTAAGTCTCCACTCCGGGACCATGTGAACGTTCTGCTAACGCGTTATATAGCTGGTCGAGCTGTACATGCCTCGCGAGGATGCCCCTGCCGGCTTGAAGTTGACTGCCGAGGCCGCTGCGAACCGTAACAAGTAAGCTGCTCGGACTGCGAAAGTATTATGATGCACACGAAAGCAATGCAAAAGCAATCTCGAATCCGTTGTCTCTTTTTAGGGTGTTTGTTTCAATAGGATAGCTGCTCAAATGACAGGGCCTGATGGCCCAGATTCTTTTTCAAATTGCGTAAATGCTTTAACACTCAAATAGTGACTCAATTCGCAAAGACAAGTATAAGGCTAACTTGAAAGTTCAGGATTTGAGCTAGTATTCGAGAGGATACGCGAGGGTGTTGTCGGCGTACGGGTGCGAGTAGGGTGTAGTAGGGTGCGGGAAACTAGTTATTCTGTTTTTATTAGGAGAATGTACTATGGAATAGAATAATAATATCCAGCGTCATACCGAAATAATTGCATGTTTTCCATAGCCAGAAACCAGACGGACCTTAGTTCCGATACATTCAGAAAATTCGGGCGGAGAATACCTCAAGTGACGCTTATCGATCTGATAATCTTCATCTGATAAGATGGCACACGGGTAATTCCGATGTCAGATTTCTTTTTTCTTTTTTCCAGGCCCATTGTTCATGCACTCCACCTCCAACCTTGGAAGCAATGATTTTTGTCTTAGTTTGGCGAAACCACCTCTCGGCCGGGTATTTGTTCCTGGAGTCGTGCCACTAGTAACACATGGGAATTGAGCGAAAATGAAATAAAACCTTGGCGCTCACCAGATCAGCTGTTATCCGGAGTCGCCGGGTTAGATGTTGAGTGGTCTTGGGTCTAGCCAACCAGTGCGGGCCTCGAGATTGCCTCGTTTTCACCACCTACTGTGTATGGATTTGATGTCAATAAGGTTGTTCCTCCCATCTGCATTGTATCCGCTACTATACCAAGCGAATTCTGAGAACAAAGCCAGACGGGAAATGTCCAGCCTGCCGCAACTGCCGGCGAGCTTGTTCCATTCTCGGTAGGTATTTAACTAGCTGAACTCTGGCGGAAAAGTTTGTCCTCGCCGATGGGTCCGTTCTCTATTCCCAAACCAATCATTTAGCCGGAACAACATTGGCATAATCCAATTGAAGACTTAATTGGTGTAATTCCAACGCTAAGTCGTTTGGAGGCGTCATGCCTGTACCGTAAAATCCTTGGAATCAGTTATCTGATCTTTCTCCAGCTTGGCTGAAGCGTTCTCGGCCAGTCTCTCATGGTGCCTGGCTTCCATAGAACTGAAAGAATTTTTGAAAACTTTTCCCGTGATCCATATATAGCTGCATCCCCGGATTATCCATTGACTTTCCCTTTTCTTTCTTCAGCTTCCGGTCTCTCTTCAACTCAAGTAAAGAGCGAAAAGGCCTGACCCCGTCTGTATACCATGGGTGTCATGAATCTGACGCGTGGTCGAAAGGACAACGTTGTAGTCGAAGACTTGCGTCCAACTGGAGAGAATGAAAAGTCCCATCTCAACGTGGAGCAGAACAGGGTGGATGATGGCTTGACCAACTTGGATCTTGCGGAGAAAGAGATCCAGGAGCACCCGGATGAGGTCACCTCAAATACTGCCGATGGTGTACGCAAGGCCGAGGCGGTTGCTTTGGTGTGGAGCAAGAAGGCTGTATACGCGACCTATGCCTGGTAAGTAGCAGAAAAACCAACATCGGAAATACTGAACTCTAACATAAATACCTAGGATCTGGGTCTGCTTTTTCATGCTGGCACTGCATTCCTCCATCGGGTCCAACGTTCTCTACTATGCCTATTCTAATTTCCAGAATGCTTCCCAGGTCAGCACAGCCAGCATCTTGGCAAGTATCGTCGGTGGAGTGCTCAAGCTACCCATTGGAAAAGTCTTGACCCTGTGGGGTCGTGCTGAAGGTCTGATCATCTTCACGGCCGTGTATATTGTCGGTATGATCATTCTAGCTTCTTGTAACAACCCCAACAGTTACGCTGCTGGCTATGTTCTTTACTGGGTTGGATATGATGCTATCTATATTATCCTGGATATCTTCATTGCCGATACTTCGGGTCTGCGCAACCGTGCCTTCGCCTTCGCCTTTGCGTCAACTCCCTTCATCTGCACTTCGTTCACGGGCCCCTTGGCTGCCAAGAGTTTCTTGGCCGGTGGGAATTGGCGATGGGCCTATGGTTCCTTTGCTATCATCATGCCCTTTGTCTTCCTACCTCTGGCCGGTGTATTCAAGTACTATGAGAGCAAGGCCCGGAAGATGGGTATCTTGCGACGCCCAACGAGCGGCCGGACAACTATGCAGTCCGTCGCTCATTACCTGCATGAGTTCGACAGTGAGTACAGATGTCCCCTCTGTACTTGACAAGACACTGACCAAATTTACAGTCATCGGTGCCCTCATCCTAATGGCGGCTTTCATTTTGTTCCTCCTGCCGTTCAGCTTGGCCAACTACGGCCGAACCCAATACGGGGAGGCTTCCTTCATTGCCCCTCTTGTCATTGGATTCCTACTCTTCTTCGTCTTCGCAGCATGGGAAAAGTGGTTCGCTCGCACCCACTTCATCCCCTACCAACTCTTCCGAGACCGCACCGTCCTCGGCGCCTCTTGTCTTGCAGCCATCCTCTTCTTCAGCTTCTACTCCTGGGATCTCTACTTCTACTACTTCGTGATGGTCGTATACAACCTCGATGTTCCGACGACCGGCTACATGACCGCGATCTACACCGTGGGCTCCTGCTTCTGGTCTGCGGTTTTCGGTGTTTGGATCCGCTACGTGAAAGAGTTCAAGTACACCTGCCTCTGCTTTGCCCTACCTCTGATGACCCTCGGCGCAGGCTTGATGATTCACTTCCGCGGCTCGGACGGCGACATCGGCTATGTGATCATGTGTCAGATCTTTATTGCTTTCGCTGGTGGCATGCTGGTCATCGGTGAGCAGATGGCCGTCATGTGCGCCTCTGACCGTGAGGGTATCCCCATGATGATCTCGCTGGTTTCACTCGCCTCAAACTTGGGTGGTGCCGTCGGCTATGCTGTCTCGGCTGCCATCTATGCCAACACCTTCCCCGAGGGTCTGCGCAAAGCTCTCCCCGAAAGGGCAAAGGACCAGTGGGCGGCTATCTATGCTGGTGGATATCTTGCCCAAATGAAATTTGCGCCCGGCACTGAGGAGCGTGATGCGATCAATTTTGCTTATGGCTACAGTCAGAAGAATGGCTGCATTGCTGCGACGGCTATTCTCGTCCTTGGTATTCCGTGTATCGCTATGTGGAGGAATTATAGGGTGGATAAGGCGCAAAACAAGGGTACTGTCCTTTAGGTCGACGTCTTTACCAAGACTCGGGCTCGATTCTATGTATAAGAACGGGCAGTGTATGGTTGGCAGCCACTCAACTAGTTCCTACAGTCTACTAGTTGCTTGACCCTACAATATACCTGACTTCATCGACAAGTCGTGTTTCTCAAGACCAGTACATTTATGGACTGGCTATGTACTGGATACCGAAGTGTACTGGTACTGGTAGTATCTGAATCTACATCCAAGGAAGATCATACCTTACCTATTTGTAAAAACAGATCTCCAGTCACTTGGAAAGACGCCACAGGGTTGTCATTGGCGCATAACAGAAAGGTCACGGGCCACAGAAGGTGAGATTGGGAGATTGCAGGGCCGTGCATGGTGATGGTTGAGGGGTTGAAGAGGGTAAAGACCGTAAAGGGGTGAACAAATACGAGAAAATAGGTTAATTTATCGTTGAGTGGGCAGCAGAGTCGGGGAAAAGAGCGGACCGATCGAGCGGGGCCACGTGATGATCCCTCACATCAAAGCAATAGTAGTACTTCGTATCATCTTTTGATCTTATCCCTTCACCACCAAGATTGTGGTCAGCTGCATTTGTTCCAGAAAACGTCGGAGGCAAGGAGTTGTGGCGTGTTCTGCGCTCGCTTCCACTTGCATTTTGTCATTCGATCAGCCTTCCGATCGACCTATCGACCTACGCGCATCGCCCTCGAAGATTCTCTTTAGGCGATTGATTATGTACTGAGTGCAGTGTCAAGATTCTACTACTGTTCATTGCCTGACTTGCTATTGCTTGGACCTTGTACCAGCCCCTGTACCAGCCCCTCTCGCGAAATCGGTCTATTCCGCAATCCCAAGCGCTGTGGTAATATCGGGGACGCCGAATCGAACCATGTCAACACACGCACCGAGGACCTGAACTCGTTTCATTTTTACTTTCCCGACCACGGCGAACACCGCGCTTCACTCTCCGGCCCTCAAATCTCACACCCGACCCCTCGTTTGTTTGTGGCATGCCCATCATGATACGTCGATGATCACGCCTGGACAACCCCGAAAATCCTCCGCCCGCACCGACTTCTGGGCTTCGCAGCCAGAACAGCAAGTTAGAACCACACCCAAAAGGATCGCAGATTCTCTATACCGGAATTTACAATGGATGGACGCCAGCAGTATGTACCGGGGCCTCCGCCTGCTTCTCAAGCACAACACATGAACCTGCCTCCGCCTCCGCCTCGACATCCGTCACAACCCCAAACGCTGGTGCCGCCACCTCCTCCTGGACCACCTCCGGGCGCGACATATGGATCAACGTCAGGGTGGCAGCAAAATTGGGGAAGACCGCCGCTGAACCCGGGCTTTCCACCACCGCCGCCTCTTGCCCCCGCACCGAGTCAACATATGGGATACGGCCGCTCTCCAGCCCAGTTGTCAATAATACCTCCGCGCCATGATCAAGCTTTGACTTCCGCAACATATATTCCCGGGAACGATACTATTGGCGTCGGTATTCCGGGATTGTTCGACTCTCATGGACGGGCTGCGCCATATGATCCCTATGCGCACACCAATGCCGAGAGACAACGGATGGGTCTCAGCCAAATGCATGATCACATTAATACTTCGATTCCGTACAAAACAGACTCAACCCTCCCGCAGACTCCAGGGGGTCGCACTATTGCTTCGCCTTACGCTCTCCATGGCAATATTCATGAATTGACCTCCAGCGACAGCCCGCAGCAACAGCCTACTACTCAAAACACCGAGCTCACCAAGGCATCAAGTCATCGTCACAATAATAGCGGCGCTTCGCTGGGTGGGTTATCCCACAGCGAGGCAGCAATTCAGTGGCCACTGGACCGGGTGCTTCTCTGGCTCGCGAAGAATCAATTCTCCAATGACTGGCAGGAGACGTTCAAATCCTTGGAACTCCAAGGGGCTGATTTTCTTGAGCTGGGACTGGGATCCGGTGGACGAGGAAATCTTGGCAAAATGCATCAAGTAGTTTACCCCCAGTTGGCAAAAGAGGTCGGCAAGAGTGGCAAGAAGTGGGAGCCTGGCCGGGAGAGAGATGAAGGAAAGCGTATGCGCAAATTGATCCGTCAAATTCACGAGGGACCGCAAGACTACACGGTCTCCACACCACTGAATCAGACACAGGGGCCCGCGACTGCGTTTCCTGAGAGCAGTCCCGCTTACTTTTCCCACCAATTTCCCGAGCCACGTTCTGCTGGCCCTGTACCCGGTGTCAACGATGTGAGCCCAGACCATCTGAGCGCCTTGCATGCCTCCAACCAGGGCCAAAAGCAGATTGGGCAACGTTCGGTCACCATGCCTGTGCCGTCGGGTCACGATTCTCCGAGGTACAACGAATCTCCAGCACGCGACAACTGGCCACGGTCAGACTATCTGCGGTCAGAATATACTCGGAATGCGTTGTCGGGAATCAACAGTGACCATCGACGCCAGAGCCCGTCCGTTGGCAGTGAATCGGGGATTTTTCAAGGATCGAGTCTTCGACCACATGAAGAAAGCCCGAAAAGTGGCAGCCCATCCCTGCAGCCCGCTTCCGCTTATTCGGGGCCTTTCTCGGCATCTACCGGGGATTTGACGATGAGGCCATATGAGCACTCTCGGGGCAATAGTACTGAGTCCATACCCGGATTCAGTCGAGGCGCTACTGGCCGGTACTACGAAGCTCGCCGGCAGGGCCAAGATGGTCCTCGTCCCTCCCCTCAAGATGCATCTAGTCGGCAGTGGAGTGAACAGACTTCTTCGTATTCCAAGGAACATAGCAAGGGCTTTTTCTCCAATATTCTGAAGAAGAAATCGAAGGCTGCCAATTACAGCCAACCATCTCCCGACCAACCGCAGGAAGACTCGTCTCCTACGACCAGCCCAGAGACTCGTCCAAATGAGGCTTATCTCCCATACTCAAAGCCTGCCTTCAACTCTAGCGACATGTCGGTTGGGGAGCGTCCATCTACGGGGACCGCAAAGACGAAGAGATGGGTCTTTGTCACTATGGATGGCTTAAACTTTCGTTTGGTTGATATCTCCGACATGGAGTCCATTGAGTCATTGCGTACCGGGATCTGCCAGACCATGGGCGTTGATACAACCAGTGCCCAGTTTTATCTCACCGAACCCGGGCAAAGCGAACATGAGGATGCTTTGAGCGATGCAAGCCTCGCGCACTCGCGTCGAAGCAAGTCAGATGCATACGGGTCCCTGAAGATTTTTGTCCGAGGAACTCCAGTGCTTCCTAGCCTATCTGGTACTTCCAGAGTGGATGGCCTTGGAGTCTCATTCACAGACAAGCTCAACATGTCTCCCACTACAATACACCAAGTTCATAGGAAACCGCTGGATGAAGACGCCTTAAACCGATTATCACCACATCGTACCATCCCGGATTCCCCGTCATTAGCCCCTCGTCACAACCCTCCCAAATCTTCGCCAGTGAAGACAGCCTCAGGGGACCCTGCACACGACGGAAGCCAGGTATCTGGGTTTGATGAGAACGATCTGCAAGCTCGCCATGAGGAACATCTTCGGGAGGTGGAGCGAAAGCAAAAGCAATATTTGCTTTCCAAAACGCCGCAGCATCAGCAAAATAAAAATGCTTACAGTGATACCGGTTACAGGCGTGAGAAAGTTATCGATTTTGATAGTCCTCGTCTCTCGCCTTACGACGAAAAGAAGGGAGACACACTCGTGCCGCTTCGCAAGCCTCCAACAGCGCCAATCGAATCTAACACCCTTACAAAGGTCAATTCTCTCAGCAGGAGACCTACGACTCGTGAGCATCGCGACAAGCGGGTCCAGCCGTCTTTGGGGGCTGCAATCGCCAGTGTTGGCCGCATCACAAGTGCCGTGGGCACGCCGTTACCTTCGGTTCCGGCCTCATCTAGACCTTCACCCAATACTAGAGACAGTGCAAGCTCGGAGTCTGACCGACCTGGGTCTTTTGACTCCGCTGGAACTTACTCCAGTCAAACTACTCGAGGTTAGTATATGTTTGATGCAACGCGGATGAATCGTCTTGCTAACTTCTCATCAGACTCTTCAAGCCGGTCCTGGACGGCCACAGAGCCCGAGAAACCACCAGTTTCGTTTGCAAACCAATTACCCGAAAAGCCTGCTTCGAATGAGTCACCGAGACCAGCCTTGCAATCCCGCAAGTCATTCGGTCCAGAATTCGATTTTGAAGAGAACCAAGTTTCTTTCCAGCGAACCCCTCAACCACAACAAGAGCAGGACGATTCTGATGATGACTCCGACGATGGCCTGTTCCAAGTCCGACCCTCGAGAGCCAAGGAAGAGTCGGAAGTGGCACAAAATGAGCCTGAAAAGAAGTCTGAACGGCCATCGCTCACGGTAGACACCAGAGATCAACTCACATCGAGACTGTCCGTCAGATTCAAATCCCCGAGTACTGCCGGCCCCAGCTCTGGTGCAGAAGCATCTGATGGGAAGGAACCGGTTTCCAGCACGTGGGGACCAGCGTCGCCTGAAGATGAGAGGTCTGGACTACGACCAGAGTCATTTGGCCGAGACATTTGGGCAAGCAGACCTGCCGTTGAAGGCGTCATCGACCACCTTGACGACTTCTTCCCCGACGTTGATCTTGACGCTCCTTACTTGGACGAGCCATCATCACCAAATAGCAAGGCTGCCAATGCCGAACTAGACCCGAGAAAGGAAACGTCATCACCTATGCCGCATCCTATTGCCAGTAGCAGTTCCCATGCAGGCGATACAGCGACTGTGAGACCACCCGAGCCTGCCAACTTTGCTCGGCAGAAGCTCGCCCGTGGCGGCGTCGGTGGCGGAGGGCTGGGTCGCATGAAATCCATTCGACAGGTGGCCCAGGGAGCGAACCGGACGAAAAGCATCGGCCCTGCCGGGCCTCAACGATCGGGTGATCTTCTGCGCCGAAAGAGCACAAAGATGTTCGGCGCCAAAATCATGCAAATCAGGCCCCGGCCCGGTACCCGAATCAGCCAGCTCGATCCCATCCCGCAAAATAACGCCCAAGTGACACCAAACACCGGGCCTGTTCCCCAGCGACAGCCCACCTTCCGCATCATCCGCGGTCAGCTTATCGGCAAGGGCACTTACGGCCGGGTTTACCTAGGCATGAACGCGGACAACGGAGAAGTCTTGGCAGTCAAGCTGGTCGAGATCAACCCGCGAATTGCAGGCGCAGACAAGGACCGCATCAAGGAAATGGTCGCCGCTCTGGATCAGGAAATCGACACAATGCAGCACCTCGAACACCCCAACATCGTGCAGTATCTCGGCTGCGAGCGTGGCGAGTTCTCCATCTCCATCTACCTAGAGTATATCTCTGGTGGATCCGTCGGAAGCTGTCTCCGCAAGCACGGCAAATTCGAAGAAAGCGTCGTGAGGTCTCTGACTAGGCAAACCCTCGACGGACTGGCGTACCTGCACGACAAAGGAATCCTCCACCGCGACCTGAAAGCAGATAACATCCTGCTGGATCTGGATGGAACGTGCAAAATCTCCGATTTCGGCATCTCAAAGAAAACAGACGACATCTACGGCAACGACTCGTCCAACTCCATGCAGGGCTCCGTCTTCTGGATGGCACCGGAGGTCATCCAGTCCCAGGGCCAGGGTTACAGCGCCAAGGTCGATATCTGGTCCCTCGGCTGTGTGGTGCTGGAGATGTTTGCTGGCCGTCGACCGTGGAGCAAGGAAGAGGCCATCGGCGCTATCTTCAAGCTCGGCAGTCTAAGTCAGTCTCCGCCAATTCCCGACGATGTGTCTATGAATATCACTCCCGCGGCTCTGGCGTTTATGTACGACTGCTTTACAATGTGGGTTTTGTGTCCTTTTTCTTCTTTCTATTCGCCTTATTAACATTTTCTCCCCAGTGACTCTTCTGAACGCCCTACTGCTGGAACCTTGCTGAATCGCCATCCCTTCTGTGAAGCGGATGCAAACTACAACTTCTCAGACACGGAACTGTACGCTAAGATTCGTGATGTTCTTTGAGGCCTTTACGTCTGGTTTTCTGGTTTTCTGGTTTTTTTTTTTTTGGATTGAGCTTGGAGTAACTATCATGACTTTGCGCTTTGCCCTATGGACCGTACATACCCTTTCTTCTTTGCAAGCTTGAAGATCCTGTTTCCAGCCTTTTTTCGGTCAGCTGTACATACCTTCTTCTATGGTTGTAATTAATCATTTTCTCATAAGAACCGAAGAAATATTTCTTCCATCGTTCGTTGTTTGACTGAGGACCATTACGACTCAATAGAGACTCGCCGTCTGAGATTCCAGGATAATGTGACAATTGCGGTGTGTATACATGTACCAAAGTGCTCAATTCTACAAGGTATCTATGCTGGAGATGCAGACATTCAAATCACACTCGTCTTTCCTTAGGATCTGTCACTTAGCACGTCATCATCATCCTCAGGGATTTCAGCTTGCAACCCAGTGACGCCAACACGGAAAACCCCCTCGCACCATTCAGCAAACGTGTTAACATCCCAGACGGCATCGTCCCTCCCCTTCCCCTTCTTACTGACAAAGTTGCCTTTCCCTTTCTCAGAGGAAGTATACTTCTCAAAGAAATCCTCATAAATCTGAATCGTGCGATCCTGCACCGCACCAACAAGCGTCTCCTTCATCCGCGTATCATCAATATACTCATTCAACACCTTCCGCAGCACCGGCACCTCTTTCTCAATAGTGCGACAAGAAGGAAGAATGAGTTCGCCGCGCGCCAGATTGCGAACATCGACGAATTTAGCAGGCAGCGAGGCAGTCATGCGCGCCGCAAACGCATTGATGAAGTCGTTGATGACCGTGCGAAGTCGTCCATCCAGCTCGACCTTCGCGTCTAGCATGTTCTCCACGACGCGGGGGATGAGACCGTGCCCGACGAGACGCATTAGGTTGCGTGGATTGAAGAGGCCGCCGCGCTCGCGTAGTTCCCAGAAGGTGTTTGTGACGCCGGAGAAGTCGAAGGAGACTTCGGCGGCGGCGACGAATTCGATGTCGAAGGCGACGATTTGTTGCTTCAGGATTAGGAGGTGGCTCATTAGGAAGAGCTGGCTGTCGGCTGGTGTGGCTTTGGCTGCGATTAGGGTGCTGGCGCTCTGGAGGGAGAGGGTGGTTTGGTGGACTATTTGGTGGGCTAGGTCGTCGAAGACGGTGGACTGGTTATTGGTCAGTATGGGGTTTGGAAATTAGGGCTGGGAAGGAGAATAGATCTCTTACATTGACTAGACGGTAAATCCGGCTCAATAGCCAGATTGCTTTTCGCAGAGTCGGGTACCAGCCCTTTAGGGCAGTCTGGGTTTCAAAGTCCCATTTGCCGTCTGGTTCCTGCGCAGATTCATCTGCATCATCGCCTTGCTTGCCGGTCATATCGATCAGTGTGTCCGCGGATGTATCTTTCTTGCCTGAGATCTGGGTGTCTGAGACGGTCAGGGAGACCTGTCGATTGCGCATGGGGTAATCGATGTCTTCTGGGCGGGGTTTGTACCGCTCGATTTCATCGCGCAGGACGGCCAAAGCACGGAAGACAAGTCGGGACTGGACATCTTGCAGAGCTGGCTGGATTAATATGGAGAAGTCGAGGTGGTTTGTCTCCACTGGCTGCGGTTCTTCTTCTGGGTCTGAGAAATAGCGAGTCTGTAGCAGACTGCACAATTGACATAGCCTGACGATGTCAGACTCGTGGATGATCCGTGGGCGGAGATGGTCGTAGAGTGGTTCGCAGAGCGTTTCGAGGAAGTCATATAAACCTCCTTGCCCGTGAAACCACTCCCCCCATAAATCGTATTCATCTAAACACAGGCCGCGAACATAGCTGATACTAGCACGAGAAAATGCCGCTAGGTCCTTGGACGAACTCGGCGTCTGGGTGATCTCGCCGAGCTTCTTCCGAGCCAGCGGAACGATCAACTTCGCCCGGGTAGCTGAGTAGTTACTGTGCAGCTCATTCATCAGACTTTGATATTCGGCTTCGTTATTTTGATCTAGGTTGAGTGGTGGCACAGCTCTCTTTTGGATTTCGACTCCAATCTGTTTCAGTTCAGGTGCCCCGACTCTGAATTTGGCGTACAGGAGAGCGGACAAGGCTGTGTCATTCAATTGCTGGTCCGAAATCTTTTTGGACACATTCTGATAGATATCTTTGAGTGCAGAGACGAAGTTTCCTCGGATAAGTGTCAAGGCACGCGTTAGCAATAGCCGGTATCGCGAGCGGTAGACCTCTGCCTCTTTTTGCTCCGGCTGCATTAAGATTAGCAATGCGCGCATTGTTATCCAGGACTCGGGTACTCACATGTCTTTCCATGTAGTCCAAGCACACGTCCAGACGCCTCAACATATCTGAGAACTCCTTATCGCGGACTGTGTTTCCTGCGCCGGGGGCATTGAGACGTCGTGAGGCGGGGTCTAGGAAGTCATAGTAGTGAAGGTTGTTTTGAATGTTGTTGGCAAGCTTTGTATCCCGTTCCTGGGCAGACAGAAGTCCTTCGCATTGTTTCTCGAAGTTCGACGTTTGGGTCTCGACCGATTTGAATGATTGCGATAAGCTGGATAGATCATCCAACAAGGTCAAGGTGTTCGCCAATATCTCTTCAATATGCTCCTTCGATTGTTCAAGTTCGTCCAAGCAGTTTCTAGATAAAGCCCAATCAGTAAATGCGCAACAACGGTCCGATGTCAAGCGTACTGGTACTCGTCGTAGCTCTCCTCGATCAGATCGTCCTTGACGCCATTGAGCCACTGTGAAAACTCGAGTTCATTATTCCACCCTGGCGCTGTCCACTCAGTGGAGACAGGCAGTTTCTCATCCACTGCCTGTAGACTAGATTTGGTTTCGCTGGCGGTTGGTTTGCGCGGCGGACCAGAGGGAGCGGTCTGGCGACGGGCACGCTGCTGCTTTGTGGAAGGCATGGTGCAGTCAGGGCCCAAAAATTGTTACAGGAGGGAGCCTGTAGTTCATATCTCGCAACGGAATTTGTCCAGTAAGGCTCGGGCCAAAGTTTGGATATCGGAGCCGCACTGCGATCTGGTCAACTCCGAGTCCCACAGTTGAGATGATTCTGCCATGAGATCCCGCCTGGATCTGCCGCAGCAAATCACAGGCGCGGCTTTTCGAGCTTTCCCCGGAAACCAATTTTACATTTGCAGCTTTGACATGCTCTAGCTGGTGTTCCAGCAATCATCTACAATGTTGTCAACTCGGATGCGACGGCCCGCGACGCAATCCGTTGTCGCTCTTCGGTCGCTCAGATCGCCGGCAGCCCAGCCACTGAATGCGCCATGGCACCGATTTGCTAGTAGTCAATCGCGGAAATCAGATCCATCTCCACACTGGATTCGCAATTCCATCGGATTTGCCGTGACAGGAACTGCAGCCTTTCTGGGATACTCATACCTGACCGGAGGAAAGGAGGCTTGGACAAATCCCTCGGTGGTTACGAAGCAGGAGCCCGTTAACCCCAACGACCTTCGAGCCGACTTCGTCCAAGAAAAGCGAAGTCTGAAAAGCCCTGCCGTTCACACCTGGGGCTCAAACGTCTATAAAGTGGTTGATCCGGGGTCCAAAGAAACCGACATCAAGACCCCGCGCCGCTTCAAATACTTTGATGGTCAGGTGTTGAGAGATCTCAAGATCGAGGAAAAGACCGGTGCAGCAATCACAGAGAATGGAGATCTGGTTCAATGGGGCAAGGGGTTCTCGGAGACGGAATACCAGCCCACAGCGACTTTGACCGGCAAGAACCTGACCTCGCTTGCTCTGTCCGAGAGTCGTGTCATTGCGCTATCCTCAGATGGCACTGTATACTCATTGCCCATGTCCAAGGACGAGCAACGCACGGGGCCGAAACTGAAAGAAAGCTCTTGGGTTCCACTCTGGTCCAATCAGTCTGACCTGAGCTATCGTGTACTGAACCCATCCTTGAAGCTGGGTGAAAAGGTCACTGCGATCAGTGGTGGTCTGGAGCATGTGCTACTTCTTACAAGTTCTGGCCGGGTCTTCTCTGCGGCATCATCCACCGAGAATTATCCCTCTCTTGGTCAGCTTGGTGTAGAGAAGCTTACCTGGTCCACCAGACCCAAGGGACCAGCAGACTTCTGCCATGAAGTCACTGCACTGAAGGATACCAAGATTGTTCAAATTGCCACAGGTGACTACCATTCCCTGGCGCTAAGCAAAGATGGCCGTATGTTTGCCTTCGGTGACAACTCATTTGGCCAACTGGGCGTCGAGTTTGAACCGGAGAGGCCTTTCAAGGATGCCCCTTTCTCTCTGAAGGTGGAAAAGTTATATAAAAGGAACCTTTACGTGCCCAAGGTAACAAGCATTGCTGCTGGTGGCGCCAACACCTTCTTCACCGTGGATGCCCAACGCGTCCTGGGGCCTGAGGAGAATGCCACCGATGTTCGCGATCTCGGAAGCGTGACTGCAGACACATGGTCCTGTGGTAGGGGTATATGGGGCACTCTTGGCAATGGCAAATGGATTCACTTGCAGGATTCGCCCACCAAAGTAAAAGCCTTGAGTGGCATGAATGAGTATGATGAAAAGACCAACCAAGTGACCCCTATCCGCATTCGGACCATGTCGGTCGGTACAACACATGTCTCTGCTATCCTAGACAACAAAGCCAGCGTCAGCAAGGGTGCCAAGGACTCTTTAGATCAATCTAAAGACTTCGGCTACGATGCCCTCTGGTGGGGAGGCAATGAACATTTCCAGCTGGGAACAGGAAAGCGAAGCAACCAGTCTAAGCCTGTGTACATCAGTGCACCACCTGAAAACAAGAAAACCCAGGCTGAGGCGCGATTGCAAGTCATTCCCCGTCATAAGGGCAAGGTTGGGAAGCGCAATGTGAGCATGGAACAGCGTGTTGAATGTGGACGCCATGTCTCTGCCATTTATTCTGCCATTTGAAGTGGTCAAGTGAAAAACAAACCTGTATACTAGTGACGCCATACGAAATTCAATAATTATTCTTTTGCTCAACTCATAATTCCATTGTTTTGGTCTGATACGAAGTAGAATGGCGGTTGCAAACAGACCAAACACTTATCGCCGTGAGGACGCTTGGACCACCGCTTATCGAAAAAAAATTCCAGCGCTTCAGGTCCATCCTCTCTCAACACAACGCCATAATGCCTCGTGAACAACAGAAGAGAGGCCGCAGGGCCGAGAAAAAAGCGGAGAAAGATGAATCAAAGCGGAAATTCCAGGAAGACCCCGATGCCCCCGTTGCGAAGCGATTGAAGCCCTCAGCCGGCGAGGCAGACGAGACCAACGACGCTGCCGGTTTCGAAGAAAATGGGGACTATATTCCCCTGGACCAGGGCGAGGCACCCGAGGGTGAGGTACCTGACAACAGTGGCGATATGGTCTTCTACGGTCTTCTGGACGAGGAGGAGTCGGAATACTTTTCGCGCGCCAACGAAATGCTGGAGCTCAATCAGTTCCAGGACGCCGAAGAGCGCAGCTTGTTTGTCGACAGTGTATACGCGGAAGCCAGTGGCAAGGAATTGAAGATTGCCTGCAGTCAGGGTTGTTCAAGACTCATGGAGAAATTGATCTCGATGTCAAATCCTCCGCAACTGCGCCGGATATTCAGCAAGTTCATCGGCCACTTCCTTCACTTGGTGCAACACCGATTTGCGAGTCATTGTTGTGAGACCCTATTCATTCACGCTGGGCCTGCGGTCATGCAGAAGACGAAGCCTCGGCCGAAGGACTCGGAAGGGGGAGAGGAGGAGCCGGAACAGTCGCTCGCCGACATGTTCATGAGTGTTGTCGAGGAACTGAAGAACAACTGGGGTTATCTTTTGACGGAACGGTTTGCGTCGCATACTATTCGTGTGCTACTGCTGGTCCTTGCAGGCGAGCCGGTGGATGTCACGTCAAATGAGTCCTTTGTCGCAAGTCGCAAGAAGGAGCGACTCGAAATTCCTACTATTCAGGGAGAGGAGAAGGTGGGAAAGACCAAGAAGGAAAAGCACACTGTTCCTGAGTCCTTTGAGCCGACACTGAAAAAGATCATGACCGATATGGTTGCCGGTCTTGACGACGTTTATCTTCGCGCCTTGGCCACGCATCCTGTTGGAAATCCCGTGCTCCAGGTGCTTTTGTTCCTGGAGCTTTCGCACTTTGGGAAGTCTAGCGCTAAAGACCCCAAGTCGACCATCCGCAGACTGGTTCCTGATGAGTCGTTTGAGGAAGAATCCGAGAGCGGCATCTTTATTCGAGGTCTTCTCTACGATCCGGTCGGTTCTCGCTTGTTGGAAACGATGGTGCGATATCTCCCCGGTAAAGCATTCAAGAACCTGTACAGAAACAACTTGGGTGACCGCATCGGCTCTCTCTCGCGCAACAGCACCGCTGGGTACGTGGTTCTTCGGATATTGGAACGACTCGGCAAAGATGACTTGAAGATTGCTATGACCAACATTATCCCCGAGATCCCCGGTCTCATTGAACGGTCGAGGCTCGTTGTTCCCAAGGTCTTGATTGAGCGGGCTATGGTCCGTGGTATCGACACCAAGCCCCTCGCCGAAGCACTCGAGGCTGCTTACAGTGCAGACCCCATCATCAGATTGCAGCAGATGCTCAAGTTCAACATCTCAGAGAACGTTGCTTCAAAATCCGAAGATCATGATATGGACGCAGCAACCGACGGTAAGGATCGCAAGCCACGTGGTCCGCCTCCGATATCCGCGGCCGAGAAAGCAGAGAAATTGCATGCCTCTCTCCTCGTCCAGGCAATGCTGACGGTTCCGGGCCCGATGAGCCAAATCGTCTACACGGCCCTTCTCGCCCAAACATCCGAAACCATCGCACAACTCGCCCAAGAACCTACAACATCTCGTGTTCTCCAGCAGGCCTTGACTTCCACCACCTCCACGCCTCAGATCCGCCGACAACTCACCACCCGCTTCCAGGGCCATCTCACACCTCTCGCATTGAGCAGCAGCGGATCACACGTAGTGGATGCGCTCTGGTCCGCAACCAAGGACATCTTCTTCGTCAAGGAGCGAATGGCGCAAGAACTTGAGCAACATGAACAAGAGCTCCGCGATTCCTTCGTGGGTCGGGCAGTCTGGCGAAACTGGTCAATGGATCTGTTCAAGCGCCGGAGGCGCGATTGGGCTTACAAGGCCAAGGGTCTCGAGGAGCGAGATGCGGCCGTTGAAGGTGCTGAACGTCCTAAGTCGAAGCTTGAACAGGCGCGAGCTCGATATGCAGCTGCCCGTGAAGCAGCTGATGCTGGTGCCACTGGTGCCAATCAAACTGCGGTGGCTAGCAGAGATGCTAAGTGAGCAAGGATACCAGATAGGATCATATAACAGACGAAATGTACATGTATTTAGATCAACAAAAGGCGTTGGAGTGACTTCTAATATTGCGATGCCTATACTACGGCCGAAATTCCCACTTGGCAGAATCCTCCTTCTCTGATTGGTTGCTCATTCTCTTTGGCAACGAGCTTATAATAACATTGTTCAGCGCGGAGACTGTTTTCAATATTCTCACTGCTCGATTCCGCTAGTTAGTGGACGTGAGTCCTATTCTACTAGTAATATCTTGCGAGCCTAACTAGTGACTCCCGGAATAGATTATTGGTACTTATTGGCGCTTTGATATCACGCTAGTAAATCCTTAAACCTTGTTGTGAAGTAAAGAGTTTATATTCCTAGGAGAAAATCACACCGACTTCTGTAAATCGTAGCGGCCGATCATTCGTACGCGCAAAAAGGGCGAAGGATCCTGCCTGATCTTCGGATCTACCGATCTGTTCAGTTTATTGGCGATCAATTTCCGATCTTGACAACGTATTAAATAGAACTCATTGATAATAAGCACTCATCTCTCCCTAGCATTTGTTTATGTGTAGATCTGGTACTGATTAGTTGCCCCTTGCTTGATAAAGGCTTTAAAACACCCTTGCTAAGACCTTTTCAGTCTTCTTTCAGTCTTCTTTCACTTTTTGAAACCCTGAGAAATCTATTCGCTCTGCGAGGTCATCCGCTCACATGAAAGTTGAAATTATGCGGCCATTGGTAAACGATACGCTGACACTCACCAACCTAAAAGACCGTCGAGTTTTGGTCTTTTGGCTCCTTGAGATCATTGCCATAGTTCAATTTATTCTCTGGCTTGTTTTGGCCAGCAAAGTGGCGGCCGTACCCGTCTACTTTAACCCTCTGGCCGCAAGTATCCCCGAGCCTAAGCTGAGTTCATCATTGAGAGCAACAATATCCAAACATATTGACCGCGCCAAGAAGGCCAATGTTGAAAGGTCGTTACAACAGATTTCTATAGATATCTGGTTTGGGCTTTGTTTCACAGTGGTTATGGATGCCTTTGCTGTTGTGTTAACATTCAACCGTGCTCTCATTCGAAAATTTCATAACGTCGTGTCTCAACGCTTGATTTTCTTGGCTTCCATCATATTATGCGCCATCTGGTCATGGAATGCAAAGGAATCGGGCTTATGTTCAAGGCACGCGTTGTTATTATTGGCTGGAGGCTTCATGCTTTACGGGCTCCTCGGCTATATCCTAGATAGGCTTGAGAAGCGCAATATCTCCCCTGGCGTAGCTGTTCGTCGTGGAACTTTTGCACGATACAGCAAAGATCTAGGCCGATTTGAAACTTCTTGGACGCATGCTGCCTTTCTTGCGGCAATAATAGGAGGGCTCGGCTTGTTCTTGACTTGGCTCGTTCCACCCCCATGGTCGGCTGGCCTCCCAGTTATACATATCTTGTCAGAGGTTTGTAGAGCAATACTAAACTTTATGATCGGTATTCTAACCGCTCTTCTTTTCATAGTCGCTCGTTTTATCAATGAGGGGTGCAAAGAGGTCACCTCGCTATATTTCTCTGAGCTCTCCTTTATTCTTTGCCGTCGTTTGCGTGCATTGGGGTGTAATGCCATTGTCGAAGAACCCTCGTCTTTCGATCACACCTTCGTACTTTCTAGGCCTTGTTCTACTGAGCCGAATTCTCCTCGACGCACATTTATTGACGATCCTGCGGTTACGTTCTGAACTAAAATGGTCTCGGAAGAATATCTTGATCTCCACACCCAGACTCCTGGCGATGTGCTTTGTCATGCTCTTCCTCGAGAATTTGGGAGTGAGGGTCATCACTTACATCAAGCCACTTTCAGTACTAGTATTCTTTGGATTGGGGATAGCTGGGTATATGGGCGCTGCTGCATACGATATCGCCGCCAAGTTGACTTATATCGGTGTATAGCAAAACCCCATGAATACACACAAACTGTAATTACCAAGTCCCATAAACATGGACTCTTCGATGATTAGCCCGCGTTAAGAGCTCAAGGGAAGTTATTCAGTTGATATTGTGACCCGAATTATGTTCTCACATCCGGATTCATCAAAAAACATAAGATAATATAACCGAAACATAGAGAGCTTATACCGGTAGAAATCTCATAGTTCGGAACCCTACTTCTTGGCTTTCTGTTATACTTCTCACCTTTCGACAGAGGACGTTGAATATCAGTTGACGACAGCAAAATATTGATTGAACTCTTCCCGTAGGAAGATTACCTATGTCTTCGACGTGTAGGGTAGGCTTCTCAGCGAGGTAGTCACAAAGGAAATCGAGCATGATAGGGTCAATGCTTAGTTGTCGACCTACCGAGACTGGTGGAGATCTAGCGCTACCGATTAACCGCAACATCTTTCGTATTATTGACCCACATGTTCCTGGAGCTGATGAAAGTGCTCTGTGAGCCTATGTATATCTCTGACCTCAATCCAAGGGGTATTGAGGGGGCGATACCAGAGACACTTCAGTCGCCCCCGAGATCCGCAGTTGTCCTCTGGGAACCGCTGCACTCAAATTGCTCAATCCAGTCCTTCTATTAGAGTCTAAAGGTGATCTAGACATGCGAGCCGGGTCTGAACATCAATTGGCATACATATTATAGCGAACCAGCTCCAGACATCATGTCTCTTTCTACAGAACGCACTCGAAGATAGTCAAAGGTTAGCCCAAGCTTTTGTCAGTCAGTCTGGCAAGGTACGAGAAAGCCTCTCCATGCATTCTCGGGGGATGAATGCAATATGTATTGCTCTTGCTCAGCAGCCACGCGAATAAGAGGGTCAAACGGCGTGATAGACTTCGTGGCTTTCACAGAAACTCTCCATGAAGTGCGAGCCTCTGTCCCAATATCATCAGATATTACTTCCCACACGAGGCAGACGTTTGCTGGTCCACCAGGTTCCGACACCAGCATTTGATTCAGCGTACCAGTAACCTGTGAGTAGTCTAGCCACAAATTGTCAACAGGGCCGCGGATACCGTGCGTGACGCTCACGTCCGTCGAAAAGCGAATATTGCCAGCAAAGATGCCAAGGAAGTCTCCCTCGCGTACTGGGACGATAGAACAGACGAACAAGGAGATGTCGTCTTTGGGCAGGGGAAAGGTAAATGCGGACTTGTCTGCCCCAAATTCTGACACCGAGTAGTTGTCAAAAGGCGCGCATATGACATCAGGGGGAAAGACCAGTAGCCCCTTTGCCTTGAAGCATTCTTCTTCGCCAGGCGAAGCCCAATCATTTCTGCCATTGTTCCAAGACGACTCACGGACTGTCAACCTCTCTACAACCTGGGGGTTTTCAAGATCACACAGGCGCGTATAATCGCCTTTCCCGAGCCTGAGAGCCCGTGTCTCTAGTTGTTCGATATGAGGTTTGTATTTAGTTTCCCACTCCAGAATTGCATCCACAAGGGAGATTTCTGAGGTCTTCGGGTAGCCTTTGCAGTAACTGTCGAATTCCTTGGTGCGGTAGTAGAGGGCTTTTTCGATTCTGACTTCACGCATTTTGAATAAGTTTTTCCAAAAGTTTCGACAATGTCCCTGGTTTTGGGCACTCAATCCGTATCCAGCGTCTTCCATGAACTTTCTCGTCGCAGCTTTCTCCGCTACAGTGAATCCATCGGCCGGGCCTTTCGCGGATCTAACAAAAAGTTGGGGTGCCCTTAGCAATTCCCAAGTTTAAACCATTGGTTATCTAAGTTAAGCATTGCCTTGGTATAAGTTTATGCAGCTCGGCCGTCCCAACTGCCATCCATTCTCCATAGGCGCAAATGTCCAGGCATCGCGAAAAAGCTGTTCGATGGAGAGCTTGCAATAAGATCAACAGTTCCCTGGCGCCGAGTTCTATCACTAACGGTACCTCTATGCGTCAAAGGTTGTAACATGTCACCGTGCTGATAGTGAGGCGCTTAGGCTGTCTTTCCTCCTAGGGAGTATTGCAGCCAACAATACCTCAGACGCATTTCTTGGCCTGAAGACACCAGACTTCATATCTCCAACTGAATCCCCTACATCCTTGTACATTGTGCACTCCTCTCGATTGCGCATAGGTCTTCGTATTCAAGGCGGTCCCTCCAGTCTGGCACAGGTCTGGCCAGCTGACGCGTGTCAAGGTGCCAAGCTCAGGGTATCATAATTACTTCACCAAGCAGAAGCCCGTTGGCGCGGTTTAACGATGTGTCCTTTGAATGATAGGTAGTCAGCGTAGACTTTTCTCTCACTGTGAGCTGGGTGGCAGGGCTTGAGCCTCGACTGAGGGGATCTGGTCCATACATGAAGCGGAAGCCGAGAGACTCTACCAAGGGTGATTCGTCGACGACTTTGGCAACAGATCGAGGATACGACACAGCGAGTCGCGATTAACGCATGCCAGCCTCCCAAAAGACAAGGACAGTAGTACACAGCCCACGTGGGACCCGTTTGGACTGAGGGTCATGGATTGACTAGCTGGGGCTGTCTGTCTCGCATTGACCATGGCCTCAAAATCTCTCACTGAATACTACGCCTACTACCTCTGTTAACCTACAATGTACATAGGAGGATATGGGATTCATCAAGCCATATGACAAGTTCAACTGAGGCAAAAGTAGATGTATCTGTAGGCGAAGGACCCGCTTCGTGGCCATACCCATGAGCCCTCTGGGGCAGTGGAAAAGGACTCATCATGTGGACAGATACCTCGCTCTTGCCTTTCCAGGAAGGGAGCAAGTGAAACCACATCAAACGAACAATGAGAGCAGCGTTTGCTATTGTCCTGAGTTGCTGCCTTCTGGTCCCTTCCCTTTTGGGAGACCCCGATATCTATATAATCCCCATCCTTTTTCCTCTTCTTCCTTTTCTCTTCTTCTTCTCTCTCCCCAAGTTACCACTTTAATCTCATTCACAGCGCATCCAGCTGTGACCTGATTCCTTCTCACTTTCTCTCATTTCTCCGGCCTCGCCGGCTTCCATTTTCCCATTTTCAAAGTATGTCCCCCACATCACATCTCCCTCACCTTACCCTACCTAACCTTACCCTTACCTACCCTCACTTGTGTTGAGATGTGATGACATCTATGAGCCTATGACACCTACTAGGTTACCCTTACTCCTTCTCCGTTTGAGATGTATGAACTATATACTAATGTCGTGGCCTCCCTCCCTAGAAAAAAAATACAAAAAAAAATGTTGTTGATCCCGTGGTTAGGGGTCGTCTTGGGCATGACTCTCTGGAGTCAGTGGCTCCCCATTCCGGGGGTCACTGCTCCAGCGATGTCATTCAGGCAGCGTCTGTCTGGTGTTTGCCAGCTGGTTGCGGGGTCTTGGATCGTCTGTGGCACTGTGGACATTCTCAAGTCCCCGAGTTGTTACTCCAATGATACTGACAACGGTGGTACTCACTCCGGTGATACTGCCGTTGTGAGTCTCGCAGACGGTCATGGGTATGCGAACACGACCGACTTCTTGTTAATCAGTCCTGTAACGGATGTTATCGTCCCGCTCACGCGGGCCGATACCATGCCGTCCTGGTTTGCAACTGGCGGTTTCAAGGTACCCATCCCGGGTTTGGCCTGGTCTAGCGCCGGAGTGACATCTTCTCTTCCCGAAGAAGTTGTCGACATCCACCCGCTTAGATCGGGACCCGGGCAAGGTCTCTTCGTCCCCCTGCTGTGTGTCGTTGTCTGGTGTTTTCTCCAAGGTCCCATGGCCTTGGTCGCTTACACACGGCGACTTGTCTCCTTCAGTGTCCGGACCTTGACTGAGCGGATACTGGACGATCTTGAGGGCCAACCGCAAATTGCACGTGTGCGACTTGTGGCCGAGGAAGATTCAACTTTGTACGATAAGTTGGATTTTCTGATCGCCGGCTTGATGGATCTCCAGGATGAAACTCTGGCTTGGGTCTTGGCCGTGGACAGTCATCCCGACTCGGTGTCTCACGTGTCTGTTCTCTCTCACGCTGGGGGGTATCTGGGTTCACCGGATCCGCGCGGAGGGTCAGCAGGCACGGGACCGAAAGTCGGCCCGCAATACCACCAACAACGGCACAGGCAGCGGCTGTCAGCATCCTGGGAACCCACCTGAGATAGATGGTGATGGGTCCCCCCCGAAGAGAAAGAGGAAGAACCGTCCGTCGCAAGCAAAGAGACGTCGCCACAAGCGGAGGTTACTCGAGGCGAGCGAGAAGGAACTGGAACAGGCGCATCCCAAGCCTACTGACAAGTACGCTGCACTGGAGGCCCAAGACAACAACAACAAAAAAAAAAAAAAAAAAAAAAAAACCATAAAATCCAAAAAATCAAGACAACAACTACAACAACTACAACCTCTTCGAGGCCGGAAGACCAGCGACAAAGAAACAACGGCTGACTGGGACGACCTACAAGTCCCACAGTCGTCTCCGCTGAGTAGAGGCTCATGCTTCTACAAAATGCGTCGAAATCTTTATTGGGATACTGGCGATGTAAGTCAATTCAATGTTGCCCTTGAGACAACAGCACTAACGAGTCTACAGGCCGGGCTCCCATTTCCCCTTCAAAAGAAATAGAAAAAAACAAAAAGAAACAAGAAACAAAAAACAAAAAGAAAGAAATCAGAAAAGAGGGGGAAAAAATTAAAAAAAAACAAGAAAAAAAGGAAAAGAACAAGCTCTTTTAGGGCACGGCGATTCCACCTTCGAAGACGACACTCCGCTGGTTTGAGCACACTTACAGCTCCTTACCATTATGGCCATCTTCGCCAGCTCGAGTCATCCAGCAGAGGCACATTCGCTTTGTCCAAGCAGCTCCCGGGGGACCTGGTTGGACTTTCTCTCTCTCCCCTCTCCTCTTCTCTCTCCTCTCCCCTCTCTCTCTCTCCTCTCTCTCTCCTCTCTCTCTCCTCTCTCTTCTCTTCAATCCTCACTCCTCACTCCTCTCATCTCTGTACCCACTCCTCCGGCCGATCGTCAAAGATGCCTGGGCCGCTCATCCATCCTCTTTATCGATGGGCATTTACTCATTCCTCGCTTGCCCACAGTGATGAGCACCAGAGGTACACGAGTCGACAGGAAGCTGCTCACAGCTCAGCACGCAAACCGGCCGATCCCAAAACATCACGGCTATCGGTCCCTCTCTCCTCCTCCACTCCGCCTCCACATTTATGATGCTCGTCTTTTCCAAGCTTCGTCGGACAGGGTCGTACTGTGATCCACTCGACATTGGGTTTACATTCAAGCCTTCGGGCCGCTGTACAACATTCTTAGCGGTCTGCGTCGAACAATCGGAGCTTCTGGGCTTTCGCCCTCATCAACAATCGGCCCATCACAAACCACCTTGGTAAGACATATTCATCCCCAATTTAAGCTTCTTTTGCTAACTGTTGGGGATTTTACAGGGCTCGTGGCATATCCCCGCTTGATATGTCCACCTTTACTTGCTCCTTCCTTCCGCCAACGATTCCGGCGGCTGTCTACAACATGGGATCTACGAGAAATATGGATATACCTTTGTTTGCACCTCTCCAACATCTGGAGTTGGATGCATTTTGTTCTTTACTTCAAGGATACCCCTGCGTTCTATGAGGTTCTTCCGTTTTTTCCCCTGCTATCAGTCTTTGGCTGTGTGAAGTTCGTCTGTTTCAGCCAATACATGTACGAACATATCAATACAAAACATATTCTTCCACAGTTCATTTATCTAGCAAGTAGCTAGTATGGAAGGAGATGACACAGGTTTGGGCGACTTCTATTATGGTGCTTTTCTTTAGGGCTAGAACAATCCCGTGCTTGGTGCAGGCGGGTTCCTGCAGATCCACCGAAGCTTGAATTTTCTTATTTAATTGTGATGTATCAGAATAGTACCTAGATCTGCTGACTGCTCATTAAATACTTGGTTGACACATACAAAATAAACAATTAGCCTCTTGCGAGAATACCGCAACTCTTAGTTAATATGCTCACCGTGCGGATGATGTCAGGCTCTGCGGGATTATCGCCATCTCCGAGACTGCGCCGAACTTTTTTCCCTTTCCAACTACGCTTCTACTTTGCTTCCTTTTCCTTTCCTTTCGCATAGAACTGCGCCTTGTCTTTCTTAGCTTCATACATACTAAAACATAGAACATATACAGATGTCAGGCATTGCGCAACCCACCGGTCGAGCTGAAGAGGTGCAAAGCGTGAGTCAACTCCATACTGCAATGATCTGCACCCCGCTTGAATTCTTTGTTCCCCTCATACTAACATGCTTTGACGCAGCTTCTGAAAGCAGTTGAAGACCTTCTCATTCCTTTTATTCGGTCCGCGGACGAGTCTCTCGGAGACTCCCCCCAGAAAAATGGCAGCAACGGCACAAATGGACACAGCACCAATGGCAACGGACACACCGGACCAGCCGGAACATCGCTAGTAAACTACAAAACCCCGGAAGAATTGCAAAAGATCCTCCAACTTGAGATCCCGGAGAAGGGCACCAAACAAGAAGGCCTCATCTCAGTCTTGGAAAAAGTCCTAAAGTACTCAGTCAACACCTGGCACCAAGGCTTCCTGGACAAGCTGTATGCATCAACGAACGCGCCAGGTGTAGCAGCCGAGCTCATCCTCGCTACCTTGAACACCAACGTCCATGTCTACCAAGTCTCGCCCGCGCTGACAATCATTGAGAAATTCACCGGACAGCGCTTGGCGAATCTCTTCGGACTGAACGGGCCCCGGGCTGGCGGTATCTCCGTACAGGGCGGATCCGCATCGAATACCACCTCCATTGTCATTGCGCGCAACAACCTCTACCCGAGCACGAAAACCGACGGAAATGGCGGGTACAAGTTCGTGCTTTTCACAAGTGCGCATGGCCACTACAGCGTGGAAAAGGCAGCGCAGATGCTGGGCTTTGGCAGCAGTGCTGTCTGGGGTGTTCCCGTTGACAGTGTGGGTCGCATGATCCCGAGTGAGCTCGAGAAGCTGGTCCAAAAGGCGCAGAGTGAAGGCCGCACACCGTTCTATGTCAATGCCACGGCCGGCACGACTGTCCTGGGCTCTTTCGACCCCTTCAATGAGATTGCAGCCATCTGTCAGAAATACAACCTGTGGTTCCACATCGACGGTTCCTGGGGTGGTTCGTTCGTCCTCTCGCAAAACCAGAAGCACAAGCTAGCCGGTTCAGAAAAGGCAAACAGTATCGCCATCAACCCGCACAAAATGCTCGGCGTTCCGGTCACATGCTCGTACCTGCTAGCCTCCGATATCCGCCAATTCCACAAAGCCAACACCCTCCCCGCCGGATACCTGTTCCACAGCGAAGACGACGAGCCGACTACCAACGGCGATGCAGCAATCCCGGAGTCCGGAACCGAGATCGAGTCCGCAGAAGTATGGGATCTAGCCGATCTGACCCTCCAATGCGGCCGTCGTGCGGATTCGCTCAAGTTGTTCCTAGGCTGGACTTACTACGGTAATGAGGGCTACCAGCAGCAAATTGACTCGGCTTGCAGTATCGCCGCTCATATGGCTAATACCGTCGCACAACATCCTGATTTCATCTTGATCAGTGAGAACCCCCCGCCTTGTTTGCAGGTGTGCTTCTATTATGCACCGGGCAAGAAGTTTGTCTACCCGCGCGGCATGGTCTCGGATGAGATCATGCGTGGGAAGAAGAATAGTAAGGTCACGGAGCAGGTGACGCATGCGATTGTGTCTAAGGGCTTTATGGTGGACTTTGCGCCGCCTAGTGGTGATGAGGATGCGGTTGGAAATGGGAAGTTTTTCCGCTGTGTGGCGAATGTACAGACGACCAAGGAGACTGTTGATGCACTTGTTCGTGCTATTGAAGAGGTGGGGCCTGGGATTGTTGAGCGTTTGAAGGCGAGTAACTCGAGTGTTCCGAGGAAGAGGCCTGGTGAGCATGGTCACGGACCTGTTGTTCACCGTGTTTGAGAGGCATGATTTGGTTTGTGATTTACTTTCGCATATAGAGTCTAGGGATTTAAGAGTTACATACGACATACACAGGAGATATAATGCAAATACAAAGGGTCATTCATAGAGTTAACACCCGAGGGGCAGTATGAGCCAATATCATAGGCTAGAAGGGCGGGAGATTCTAGCATAATCGGGATGGTCCTATCCCCTTGGGGGTCAGATTCAGGATAAATCCGCGCGGTATCGTTAGCGTAAAGTATTAACCAATACATTAATGAGACTAGTATCCGCTATTATATGATTGGCTTATCTTATCCAATTAGCTAGTAGGCCAGGATCTGCCAATATTGCATTAGCTCCTATTGGTCCACTGAGTAACTACATAACAAACATCTTCAGCGCGTTGTTTTTGGAGCCGTTCGAGCGCGTCTCTCACACCCAGTGATCTGCCTGCCAATTCATTTCCTACCTACCTTAACCTACTACCAATTCACCATGGCTCCGAAGCCGGAAGCGTAAACTTGATGAAGTTATCGCTGAGCTACCCTCTCGAGAAGAACTGGGCGCGCGAATCGAGCTGTTGGCCGTACCCTCTTGCCCACGGCCACCGCGGCTGCAGCTACCTGATGGGCTCAATATCGATAGCCCATATGCACTTTTCTCTTTGTTCTTCTCCGACGAGATGTTCGAACACATCAGTCGGTCTACCAACGAATACGCCCGATGAAAACGACCGCGAGGGGTTGGTGAGAGCGAGAGCCCTGGGACTACGCCTTGTGGTGGCCGCTCCTGGAAGGATACCACAGCCGCAGACATCAAGGTCTTTGTTGGTATTCTGATATACATGGGTGCCATCCCTTTGCCTCGTGTGGAAAACTACTGGCAAGATGATAAGTTCCAAAGGCCGTCTTTTCGTCCTCATATGGGTGTAGTGCGCTTTGAGCAGATCAAGCGCTATCTGCATATCTCTTGGCCAACTACCAGAGATCCCCGCCGGCCAGAGGATAAGTGCTGGTGGTCCAAGCTAGAACCTCTAGCGTGCGCGTTTCAAAGAGCTGCTGGACAGTATTATACTCCAGGGTCCAATGTCTCAATTGATGAGACGATGGTTCGCTGTTTTGGCCGTTCAAAGCATACCGTGAAGATGCCGAATAAGCCCATCAAGCAGGGGTACAAATTATTCGCCCTAGCTGAGCATGGCTATATTCGGACGTTCACATGGAGTAGCCGTCTCTTTGGTATTGTGGACCTTTTTCGCTGGCCTGGTCTTAGCCCTACAGGCTCAATGGTGATAGCGACGATTTGCAAGCTACCAGGGTTCTCAAGTAGCCAAGCTGGATCGCCTACTGCCAACGCAGATGCCAGTGCGGCTGCCAACACGGCTGTCGACACGGATGTCAACGAGGCTGCCAACGCAGATGCCAACCAAGCGCTATATAGCGTTTACTTGGACAACTACTTCTCAACCATTGCCCTTTTCGAAGCCCTGCGAGATTTAAGATGTGGCGCATGCGGCACTACTCGTAGGCAAGGCGGGACCCCCCCTCAGCTCGTCGAGCTGAAAGACCATATCAAGTCGATTCCGTGGGGTACGTTATATACCTCCGAGGCTCGGGGGTTCCCTGGAGTATAATACTGTCCAGCAGCTCTTTGAAACGCGCACGCTAGAGGTTCTAGCTTGGACCACCAGCACTTATCCTCTGGCCGGCGGGGATCTCTGGTAGTTGGCCAAGAGATATGCAGATAGCGCTTGATCTGCTCAAAGCGCACTACACCCATATGAGGACGAAAAGACGGCCTTTGGAACTTATCATCTTGCCAGTAGTTTTCCACACGAGGCAAAGGGATGGCACCCATGTATATCAGAATACCAACAAAGACCTTGATGTCTGCGGCTGTGGTATCCTTCCAGGAGCGGCCACCACAAGGCGTAGTCCCAGGGCTCTCGCTCTCACCAACCCCTCGCGGTCGTTTTCATCGGGCGTATTCGTTGGTAGACCGACTGATGTGTTCGAACATCTCGTCGGAGAAGAACAAAGAGAAAAGTGCATATGGGCTATCGATATTGAGCCCATCAGGTAGCTGCAGCCGCGGTGGCCGTGGGCAAGAGGGTACGGCCAACAGCTCGATTCGCGCGCCCAGTTCTTCTCGAGAGGGTAGCTCAGCGATAACTTCATCAAGTTTACGCTTCCGGCTTCGGAGCCATGGTGAATTGGTAGTAGGTTAAGGTAGGTAGGAAATGAATTGGCAGGCAGATCACTGGGTGTGAGAGACGCGCTCGAACGGCTCCAAAAACAACGCGCTGAAGATGTTTGTTATGTAGTTACTCAGTGGACCAATAGGAGCTAATGCAATATTGGCAGATCCTGGCCTACTAGCTAATTGGATAAGATAAGCCAATCATATAATAGCGGATACTAGTCTCATTAATGTATTGGTTAATACTTTACGCTAACGATACCGCGCGGATTTATCCTGAATCTGACCCAAGTCAGGCCAGGGAGTAGAGCATAGTGCGCTATTCAATCCATCAACTGCCAATCTCAACCCTTCGTTCCAAAACGGACCTCGCCTCAGCCTCGGACAGAGACTCAATTTCCAGTTCAGCAAGCACACCCCTTGCACTCTCATTATCCCTAAACAGTCTCTTCTCCACATCCCACAGTCGCAACTCCGCATCCTGCGTTGCATCCTCTTCATGCTCGGCCGCGCTCAAGCACAGGATACGCAGTCCCTCACTGAGTCTCCTGATAGCCCGAGACGAGATGCCAGTGTGGCTAGAACCGAGCGCCGAGTCCACCACGTGACAGAGATGGTCGACATCACTGGCGAATTGGGCGGCTCCGGTCTCGGAGAAATTGTGCTTGGTCAGAATACTGTCCCAGATATAGTTCTGCACGGACAGCAGCAGCTGACGCGCGACTCGCCGTAGAGGCGCGGTTCCGAGTGCGCGGGCGAGGAAGGAGAGTTGGGTGGATAGGACGCGCATTGCGTGGGAGAGTCCGGAGGTGGGCGAGAGGGGAGAGGCTGTTGCTGTGGCTGAGGGAGTTGACAGTGTTGCCCAGGCGGATACCCTGGAGTAGGGCTTCAAGGCGCCGAGGATGTTGGATGTTAAGGTGGATGTGATGATGGCCTCTGAACGGAGTCGGAGACGACGGTATGCGGATGCTGTTTCGTCGAAGAGAGCGCCTTCCGATGAGGTCGCGAGGGTACTATTGTCGCCGGTGACAGCGGGCGAGGTACGTGATGCTACCTCTGCAATGGACATAGTACCGGCCACGTTCCGGCCGCTGTCGCGATTTCGTTGAACGCGGTCTTGAAGCTCGGCCCAAAGCTCGACGAAGAATACATCGTTGCTCCAGTCCTCCATCTTCTTCTCGAGATACTCGGCACTTCCGAAGACTCGGCAGAGTCGCTCCAGACCTGCAACTCCTTCCACGCTGGCTTGCCCGTCGGCGCCCTGTACAGTGCGTCCAAGCGTGGACGTCAGCGCGAGATAAGCCTCCAGCGCAGAGGAGAGACGCTCATGGAATTGGTCAAATATGGTGATTTGAATGTCAATGAGAAAGCGCAGCTTCTGACTGAAAGAGGATAGGGGCTGGTAGCGCTCGGTGATGGTTTCGAGGAGATCATTGACACGGATTGCAGCCTTCGTCGGTTTCGTTGCAGTGAGCTCCATGCCGTCGTAGTCAATATCGCCACTGTCTGTCGTGTCGATAATGTCTTTGTATCGCGCCAATGCGAATTCCTTCTCAACCTGAAGCCATCGACCATACCAACCCTGTTTGGTCAACACCACCCAGGTCATGCCTTTCCAGTTATCTTCCGCGTATGGATCCGGCATATAGTTCCAGGTTTCTCGGATCTCGTTGTCAAATTTCATGAGTTCGTGAATGAAGTGGCTGAGTAGTTGAGGGTAGTCTGCGATTTGAGGGAGGAACAGGTTGATCTTCTGCGTCAGCATAGGAAGCAATGCAGTAATGAAGCTATGTGATGCATTATAGAAGTTCCATTCCAGACTTGGCCCGACTGCCTCGGCCCTTTCATCAAAGATGGGCTGCAGGTAAGAAACGAAGAAACCGCCATGTTGGTTGATCAGGTCCGTGATGTGCGAGAGGAAATATTCAGGCTAGGACATAAGTTAGTACTATGTTTTGAAGTGGCGCCATTGCCACCTTACCTTGTCGAGTCTGTTGGTGGGCTTGTCTCCGCTGAAGTGGTACTTGAATCGGAGCTCCAGATGATGCACCATCACTTCTAGCGGGAACAGTACTTGCGGCTCAAGGTTCATCCCAACCAGTGAATCGCGACTTTGAAGTTCACTGTAGATGAAGTCAGAAGTTGCTTCCAGGCACGGAGTAATTGATCATACGGTAACTGTAGGTCGATCAACAATTCAACATCTTCCCTCCACCTAGCCAGGAGCTGATCGATGACATTCAGTTGTCGTGTCGGCCATTTCAATTCCTCCAAAGTCTTCTGCAGACGGTCGCCAAAGTACTTCTTCATCTGTTGCTTCAATGCAGACGCTAATCTGTCCGTGTAGTCGACGAGATGAGGAGCTGCTCCCTCTGCAGCAGGCTGCGCATCCTTCAACAGTCCGACAATGGTTTGTAGTCGCGAATATGGCTCCAAAGCGGCTCGTGGGTCAGACTCCATGTATGTTAAAGCTCGCTTGCTGTATCACTCTCTCAGTATCCAGCCCCTCACGAATCGAGAATGTGTGGCAGTACCTTAGTTCCTCGGCTTCCTTCAGCAACTCAACGTATCCCTTGGATAATTCAAGTCGCTGGAGTTTTTCCATGCTCTTCTCCAAGCTCCGTACCGCCGCATCGCTGGTTTCGGACTGTGTGATAGCCATCAATCGTCGGTCGATGTCCGCTTGCTCCGCGGTGAACGCTTCAGCCTGCTTCCGAGTGGCTTCGGCATGGTCGTTGGAGGCTTTCGTCGCATTTGAGAGCGCTTCGCTGGCTTCCGCTAGCTGTCGGGTTGCCTTGTATCAGTAGTGTTTTTAACCCGTCGTGGAGAGGGGCTGTACCTGCTTCCGCTGAAGCTCCTGTTGCGCGCGAAGAGTAGAGAGCAGCGAATCTAAGCTCTCTAGATCGGCAGAGACTTGAATTTTGTCATTCAAGTAATCTTCAACCCGAGTCCGCTCATGTGAAGATAAACTTGTGAGGGAAGCCATTGTTGGAGAAGGAAACTTGGCGGAAACGCGAGGTCGCGAACGTTGCATCTCCGCCTTTAGGACTGACGTCTTCCGCAGTGGCAACCATGCACCCTCACACTACTTGGAATTAATGTCGAGTCCAGCCAAAAAGCGAAAGAGAAATGGAGCCAATACATCGCCGCAGCCGACCCGCGGTATAAAATCATTTTTCAGGGAACAAACCAGCGAACAATCGAAAGCACCGGAGCCCGACGTCACCGAGCAAACCCTCTCCGATGAAGCGCTCGCGCGCAAGCTACAGGCCGAGTGGAATGAGCAGGAAACTGTTACTGCTCCGTCCGAAGCTGTTCAAATAGCAGATTTAGAGACTAATCCAGCTCCAACTACCTCAGATTCGCCAATTGCACCCCCGGCGCCGGCGACACCGAAGAAGAGTACTCTGTCACTACAGTCATCAGCAGGCACAGAGGATACAATATCCCTTGCTATTCCGCTAGACCAGAACCCCCAGACCTTTGACGCAAGTCAATATGCAGCAGAATTGCGGTCGCATTGGGCCGACAATGGAGGAGATGCTTCTTACGCCTTATTAACGAGAGCGTTTGTTCTAGCGAACGCGACGAGCAGTCGAATCAAGATTGTCGATACACTGGTCAACTTTCTCCGAGTGCTGATCGAGGGGGATCCGTCAAGTATTCTGCCCGCTGTGTGGCTAGCAACAAACTCCATATCACCCCCATACGATGAACTCGAGCTAGGACTGGGAGGCTCTTCCATCTCCAAGGCGCTGAAGAAGATATACGGCCTCAGTAGCCAAGGACTCAAAACGCTTTACGATAAACACGGCGATGCAGGGGATGTTGCGTTCGAAGCCAAAAAGCGACAGTCGTTCACCCTGGTCAAACCGAAGCCGTTGAGAATCAAAGGGGTTTACCATTCACTCATGAAAATCGCCACTAGTAAAGGAACTGGCAGTCAGGAGACCAAGCAAAGAATCGTGGAGAAGCTCTTGCAGGATGCGCGGGGTGCCGAGGAGAGTCGTTACATTGTCCGGACATTGGTCCAGAATCTGCGAATTGGCGCAGTCAAGACGACGATGCTCATTGCTCTTGCGAGGGCCTTCTTATACTCCAAGCCTGCAGGGGCAGGTTTTGAGGTCCGACCGCTGGATCAACTTGCGCGATTGAAGAAAGACGAGCTTGCAGAAATATACAGCAATGCGGAAGAAATTGTCAAAGCCTCATACGCTAGACATCCTGATTACAATGACCTGGTGCCCTGCTTGTTGGATATCGGGCCCACAGACGAGCTGTTGATCAGATGTGGCCTTACAATGCACATCCCCCTACGGCCCATGCTGGGCAGCATCACACGCGATCTCTCGGAGATGCTGACGAAGCTCCAAGGGCGAGACTTCAGCTGCGAGTACAAGTATGACGGGCAACGTGCGCAGGTGCACTGCGACGAGCAAGGGAAAGTTTCCATTTTCTCGCGCCATCTAGAACTCATGACGGGGAAGTATCCGGATCTTGTATCCTTGGTTCCGCAAATACGGGGCGAAGGTATCTCCAGCTTCATACTGGAGGGAGAAGTGGTCGCTGTAGACCGTGAGACTGGCGACCTCCTACCCTTCCAGGTCTTGGCCAACCGTGCGAAAAAGAACGTCGAGCTCGGAGACATCAAAGTAAACGTGTGTCTCTTCTCATTCGACCTCATGTACCTCAACGGCGAGCCTCTGCTCGACCGCTCCTTCCGAGAACGCCGCGAACTCCTCCGCAGCCTCTTCGTGGAAATCCCAAACCTCTTTACTTGGGTAAAGAGTATGGACGCGTCATCCGCAGACTCAGAATCCATCCTCGAGTTTTTCAAATCCGCCACCGAGGTCAAATGCGAAGGCATCATGGTCAAACTCCTCGACAACGAAACCAACACCACCACCAACCAACCGCCCACCTCCCTCTCAACCACAGACACCGAACAACCAGTCCACCAGTCCGAAACCCCCACCACCAAACCCAAAGAAAAAGCAAAAGAAAAATCCAGCCGCCGCAAACCCCTCCTCTCAACCTACGAACCTGACAAACGGCTCGAATCCTGGCTAAAAGTAAAAAAAGACTACTCCTCCTCCTCAGAAACCCTCGACCTAATCCCCGTCGCCGGCTGGCACGGCCAAGGCCGCAAAGCAAAATGGTGGTCGCCGATCCTACTCGCCGTCCGCAACCCAGAAACCGGCACCCTGGAAGCCGTAACGAAATGCATGTCCGGCTTCACGGACAAATTCTACGCATCCAATAAAGAGAAGTACGCACCGGGCTCGGCAAACCTCATCTCCCGGCCCAGTTACGTTGATTACCACGGCGAACCGGATGTCTGGTTCGAGCCGCAGGAGGTGTGGGAAATGGCGTTCGCGGATATCACGCTTAGTCCCACTTATCCGGCTGCTATTGGGCTCGTTAGTGAGGATCGTGGATTGAGTTTGCGGTTTCCGAGGTTTTTGGGCGTTAGGGAGGATAAGTCGATTGATGAGGCTACTACGGGGGACTATTTGGCTTTGTTGTGGAGGAAGCAGGGGGAGAGAGCTGCGGGTGGGGAGGGGGAGGGGGAGGAGGAATTAGAGTAAGATCTTTGATTGTGTACAATTATGCAGTTATTGAACTTGGGAGCTGTTGCTCTTGTAATCTAATCTATTGGGTTCGGGTTGGTGATGCTTGAATTCGAGTGTTTGAGGTCGACCTTGCTGTAATCAATGTATATACTGTACCAGCCTATTACGTCTCATCTTCCTATCTCCTGCCCTCTCCTACCTCGATATCGTGGTTTGTTCCGGAGTGTATATCAATGACATCATAGGTACCTTTGTAGATGCTGACGCGCCTTGGTTCTACTCTCTGATTGGCCACACGGGTCCTTCCAAGGTTTGATCTGCAACGCGAAAATGACGCGAAAAAACGCGAGCGGATTGGACGACGCGGGGATGAATGGCTGAACTACGTGGTCCAGAAGAAACAGGCTAATGCTGTCCCTGTGAGAGAATGTAACGTCGAGCGGGGCGATACATGGGGAAAATGGCTCGAGCTTGCTGGGTTGGACGGGAGGTTATTTTGTCGGTGAGGCCTGGATGGGTGGGGCTGCGATGTTGACAGGGACCACAGGGTACAGCGTTTGGAAAATTCAATTACTGCGTATGTTGTAGAAGATATATGGCAGAGGTACTCATTCAATATGGATTTGTTCTGATTCGTCTTGAATTTCCTAAATAGGAGCCATGCATATGTATTTCATGAACAGTATCGTTCATGACATGGATGTGTGATTCGATGTTTTCGTAAACAGGAGGCTGCTGAAAGAAAAGAAAGAGACTTTGGGTTGGGGTAACATAGAAAATGGCAAGACTCGTGCGTTGGTCTTGATGGACAGGCAATGCAAATGAAAGCAGAGACAAATAAAAAACAGAAAAAAATAACGCCTGTGGATGCAAGGCCGGGAGTGCCTTCACGATCGAGGGTCATCGGTCCTTGAAGCCTCCGCACCCGACATGGGGGCAAATTACATAGGGGATGAACACAATGTGTGCATAGCATGATCATAAGGGAGTCGTCAATGGGGTTTAAGAGGGTGTAAGGCAAAAAGAATAAACAGAGAAGAGAAGATGGGGAAACAGCGGTTCAAGGGTGGAGTTCGCCGCCGAGCTGTAGTGCCAGCCCGACTTCTTTGCCCCGTACCCGAGGGCTGGAGGTGGTTGGAGGAACCAGGGCATCAAAGTTCAACCGCTTCCTGTTGGAGGCGAGTGGCGTACGAGCAGGGTTGCCGGGGGTACGGCCACCCCAGGTCGGTTGCGCGGGACTGGGAGTCACATTCACGAAATCGGCGAAATTGAATTGCTGATTTGGAGTGCTTATGTTGGCATACATGCCGTTACCGAGCGTAGGCGTCATGCCAGGCAACATCGCATGCTGACTAGGAGGGGTGGAAGGTGGGAAGGCCAGGTTCCCGGTACCCCTTGCAATTCGGGCAGGGGTGGGGGAATTGGCCAGGTAGAGTAGCAAATCTGCGCCATCCTCGTGGTTTTGGGCTTGGTTGTTCCGTGACAGTCGCATGTGCTTTGGTGGAGGGGTTCGTGGAGGAGAAGAGCCCATCATCGAACTCATGGTCTGGAAGCTGTGCACCGGCAGGTCGGGGTCGATGTTGTCTGAGGGCTTGGGATATACAGGCGAGGACATCTCTGGAATTGGCGCCTCTGACATGAAACTGGCTTGTGTACGTCGGCTCGAACGGTGTCGACTCATGGCAGGGGAGGATTCTGGCAGTCGGTAAGAACTCTTCCACGAGACCCGGGGTGCCTTGGCAGGGCGTTCCGAGTCCGAGTCAGCCCGGACACGCTTTCGACTGGCAGTAAGCATCGGCTGCATGACACAGGAGTTGAAGGTAACGGCATGTTTGTTGCGAGAGGACCGAGGCAGCTCTTTGGAATAGGTGGAAGTTTGAAGGGGAGGGGAGGTGAAGGGCGTCTCGCAGCGACTGCGTGAGAAGTCGGATGAGGAATCGGAGGGCTTGTCGCTGTCCAGTACAGGTTTAGTATCTTGTTGGGTCGGGTTCAGCCCATGCAATCGACCGTGTTGGTACTTGAGTTTGGCAAGGCCCAGTCGGTCCTGCAAACTGAGAGAAACCTGTCGGGCAGAATCCAGGGTCAGTTCACATCACCAGCAAAAATCATTTGACAGCAAATGCAGTCAAAACAGGTATTTGGATCCAGCGCTAGGACTGCGTCTCTCAAGGGGTCGCTAGCCTGTGCGTTGTTCTCTTTTTTTTTTGTGGAATTCTTACCTGGGCGATATCAATTTTGCGGATTGTCTTTTCTGCCGAGCCCGGCTGTGATAGAGTCATGGTGGCTGGCAGACCCGAAGAAGTAGAGAACGATGGAAGCTCAGAAAGAAGATGATTCGAACACAGTGGAGAGGTTGGAAGTCCGAAGGGGGGAAGGAAGAACAAGGGCTGAAAGGGCGGCTGAGAAGAGACCAATTGGCGATCAACTGCGGGAACAGAACACGACGGAGAAGCACTTTAATGCTCTTTAGGCATTAAGGCAGCACAAAGAGATTGGATAAATCTTATTCGCAGCAAATGTAGAGGAAGATAGAAACGCGTTCTTTTTTTGTTTTGATGTTTTCGCGATCTGGACAATATACGTGGTACAGATCGACTGTCAATTCTTCGACCACTTGACTATTCACATTCACCTTATACTTTGACACATGCATGTGCGTACCTCAAGGGATTATCACAGATTCTCATATCCCCTATATCTGCCAGTCCCTATCTTCCAGTGATAGTCAGTCATATCCCTGACTACCTACACAGTAAAGTTCAGTTTGCTCCGAAACTCGATCTATCTGTTTATCAGCCTCGTCATACAAAGGTACGTGACTCTCCGTCTTTAGTTGCACGCTCTCTCTCTCTCCCAAAGAAGAACAATGTTTTCCTTTTGCAGATTCCGGGATCCCCATAGAAACGAGGCATGTCACTGGAGATTCCGATCCACTTCGACTATGCCGGCTATCGTGGTGAATCACATGGAGAATGACCTGTGGTATGTATGATGTAGTTGTATGTACGTGGACTGTACATAACTAGGCCGGAAACAGTCGATGCTTTATCCGATCTGAAGAATTCCTGGGGGATGGGAGAAAATAGGCGAAGTCCAGACTCCCTCATTGAACTCCACACGATCTCACTGGGAGATCCCCTCGATTCGGATTCGGACTATGGAAGTTGTCTTCCCGATCTTTGCAGCTTAGATTAAAACCAGTTTCGGGAGTTTGATCTCCGTACCAAGCCGACCCTAGAGGGCCCTATATAGAGCCCCCGGTCCTGGCGGGGTTTGACCCATGCAGAGGAGATTAAGACAAATAGGTCATGGAAGGAGCCACCTACGTAGCTGTCCCCGTCACACAGCTGCACGGCATGTCAAAGAGGTTTATCCTCTAGTTGACAATTGAACGTACCAGAGTAGGTGGTGAGACTCAATGGAAGAGGTATGCCAGCTAAGTGTAGACTAAGAAACCTTCGGGCGCTCAGATGCGCTCCACCGGTGAAACATTTGCGACATTTGCATAACAATGCTCTTCCAAGGTTCGAGAGGGTACGTAATTAGTTAGAGGAAAAGGCGATGTTGCTAAGTATAGATAAGTACTCCGTAGTGAGAGTCTCTGTGTTTATGCTGAAGCTAGTAAACTAAGAAACTTGCTTTACACCTAAGAGTCTCTCCTTTTGTCCTTTCTTTCAATTTCCCTCTTTTTCTCTTTCAATGCTTTCAATGATACTCGCCTAACTATTCCCTATAATTCTCCTTTCCACCCACCCCCCTAATATTCTGCTAGCTGGCGGGGCGACTCCAGCCGCAAACGGTCGCTGCTTCCTGACCCGCAGCTGCCCTGGGACTTGTTCCTGGCTAATTCCATTTCACCCTTCACCATCTAATTTCCTCCTCAGAATTCACAATGCCGTTCTTCAAAGAGCTACGGCGACGGTCAAAGGCCACTTTTCATAAGACTCCAACGTCCAGCGTGGAAGAAGTTTCCGGAAAATCTTCCTCCACCATCGACACCACCTCCCATAACTCCATCACTCCGCCCTCATCGATCAGGCCGACCCTATCGACTCCAAGTCTGCCAGCTCTGAGTGAATCCGATACTACCAGCGCATTGAGTACGCCAGTGCCTCCACAGCGAGGGCATTTGAACTCTCAGCGGAATAGCGTCATCGTATGTACCCGGCGTTCCCTCCCGAAACCTTCCAAGGCAATTCCTGACGCAGATCACTTGACAATGTAGGGAAGCAGCTCCTCATCAGTCAATGGCGTCTACCGATCACAAGCTCCTGTTTCACCTTACGCTCCGAGACTTATCTCCGTATCTGACAATTCATGGGTATGTGCTGCTAGAGCTGGCCCAATTGGACAAACAAGGGTATATTGGGGGGAAATGCAATTGCTGTGCTAATGGTCCTGCAGGTCAACCAGAAAGTGCTCCTCGTGTATGGTCAGATCGGCGATCCGAGACAACGTCCACTGGATGGACATGTCACAGTTTACCACCACCAAGATAACTTCCCGTCGACCGGCTGGCCCGTCACGGCATCGCATTTTAAAGCCCTCGTTCATCTAGTTCCCGGTCCTAATCGTCTCCGCTTCGACTTCGTCTCCCCGAAATTATCGACAGGCAGCACCCACCCCGCCATTCACTCATCCTGGATCTGCGTCAACTATCTTCCTCTGGTCAACAATCCCCCATTGCAGCTGGTCATACTCCTTGGAAAGGACTCCGACGGTACCTACGATGCAGTGCCGGAAAGAATTGAGCGCGAAGGCAATGGACTGGATATGGCGATTCGAAAATACAGAATGGCGGCATATCTCTGGCAGGCATTCACCGGTGAACAAATGTTCCGCAATAATTTTGGACGACGTTGTTTCCGGTTCGAGGAGGAATGGCAGTCCGGTAGCTTGAGCCGTCGGGATTTGCCTCAGGGCCAGATGCGGAACGAGGCCAAGATTCACATCGTTCGCTCTGAGAAAACAGTAGCTGAACTCCGAGATTTGAACATCGCTCAACAGAATGGCAAGGCCGAAAGAAAAGACGAGCTGTTTACTATCGCGAAGGAGGCAGTGCGAAATCACTTCCAGCCTCAGCCAGGCCAAAAGCAATACGTCTCGGTTCTCCTACTTGATTCACATTGGGATACTGAAGCACAACTGATCACGGGACATGCAGCTTTAGGTTCAGACGGTGACGATATTAAGATGGCAATCTTTGGGTCTCATTGTCTCCAAAGCTACCCTTCGTGCTTGGAAGAAGTCGTAGAGGCATTCTCGGACTGCACCCGAACAGATACAAGCCACGTCGCCAATGACTGCGGAGACGCAGGATCGAACTGGGAAGCAGCAAACTTGGGCATCGGTGCTCACTTACACGAGGTGGGCCATCTCTTCGGGTGTCCTCACCAGGAATCGGGAGTCATGCTTCGCGACTATGTGCGGTTGAACAGAACGTTCCTGACCCGGGAACCTTTCTCGACGCGCACTAAGACCCAGGGGTTGAAGGTGTGCCTACCCAACGACGAGTGTTCGTGGCACCGTCTCGATGCGCTGCGCTTCCGATTCCACCCCAGCTTCCGCCTCCCCAGTGATCCTTCTCCCACCTCGGATGATAGCGTTCAGGTGTGGCCAGTCGAGAACGGTAAAATCTTGTTCACTGCATCATCGGGCATTGCATTCATAGAGCTGTATGCCGAAGGTGACACTTTCTGCCACAATTTCATCGAATATCTAAACACCGAGTCAAGCCCCAACGGTCTGCCACGACAGGTCGCCGTGACCGAGAGTGAGCTTCGCCAGCGCGTGTACGGCACTGAGAAGGAAAAGAAGAAGAATATTCGTCTGGTCGTCTGCTCGGGTGCGATGGGCAGCTACACCGTGGAGAGCATGAACGATTTGAAGTCCAAAGCCTCTATGATCAAGTTGCCCAAGAGCCAGTCTGGTTTCAAGAGTGGGAGATTAGGTCAGTCCGCGATGGAAGGCAGTGAGCCACAACAGGTGTTGCTCGAATGTGCTTTCATCAAGACCAAGCTCTTGACGTCAATTAAGGTTTACCATGGCGCCGCGCTGGATGGCCTCGAGTTCTGCTATGAGGATGCGACCACTCAGCTATTCGGCCAGCGAGGAGGCAAGCCTGGAGGTGATGAATTTGTCCTCGATACTCGCCGCGGTGAAATCCTGCTTGGTTTCTACGTTCGGGCTGGCCTTTGGATTGATGGGATCGAGATTCTCACCAGTCTAGGAAGGAAATCCGGTGTTTATGGAAACGCCGCTGGTGGCTCAGGGTAAGCTCTCCGCCAACTATGTTTAGAACCCCTGGACCATGCTAACCGTGTTTGGAATAGCCACACGTTGATACCTCCCTTGGGGTACAAGATCGCTGGAGTCGCCGGCTCTTGTGCAGCATGGGTTGATGGGTTTTCTTTGATCATTCAGCACTGATGGTGGACTTTTTGCCGACTTCCTTATACCTCCAGCTTTTCGCGCTCGTCATCCTCATACCCATGTCTCGTTGTCAGCCCATAGCCTGTCACCTATTGTATGGCAGGCTGAAGTGCATTGTTCCTCCTTCACCCCTTATAGGCCACTAGGCCTTGCATCTTCTTGTCCCCTTTTACCCTTTACCCCTCCCCTAAACCAGGGAACAGACAAGTGCGCAGTTCCCGACACCGACCCTTGGTCACTACATACGCGTGGATCCGTCGGACGTTGTCTGTGTATATGTTTTTGCGTTTTATTTTCTTCGGAGTCATGGCGTGTTATGGTTGCATGTATGCATGGTGATTTTCTTTGCGGACCATAGTCGCCGTCGATGCAGGTCCAGATGCATCCCCCATGGATGGGACTGCAGTTACTTGGGTAATCAATTGGGCATGCCGATGGCTTCACAGGATCACGGAGTCATCTTTGTAAATCGGACATTCATATTGCTCGGGTCGTTCATAGAAGGGTAATAGCATGGAATGATCATATGTTCATTTGTCCGGGCTCGTGGCTGAAAAAAGTACCTGAAAAAAAAAAGTACTAGTAGGCAAGTGCAAACGCGCGCCTGCAGCGATGATCTGGGGGTCGTCATTTCTCTCTCCCTCTGCATCGTGGGTCTAGATCTCCTAGGATTCAGCTAGTATGCATGTACCCTTCATACTGTAATTTGCATTTTGCTTGTGGATCTCCCTGACTCGCGTAACCGGAGCATAGACTTTATCGTTTTGCTGCCCCATCCATCCCCAACTGGGTAAACGGCCAAGGGCCCGTGTCCGGGATCCAGCCCTACCATCAATACACAGTGCTGTACTCCGTACACACTAGACAGTACACAGTACAAAGCTAACCCCCTGGCGAGACACGTCTGCATCCACCAGAGATACGCTTGAGGGCCGGGATCTGGTGCGTCTCCTTCGGGATTTGGATCTTGGCTCTGAGATGTTTATAGGCTTTTATACCTCTAACCTTAATCCTTTGGATGTACTATATCCGTGTCTCTGAGGTGGCAGGTAGTTGTTGTGATGTGCTCTGTATATCGCATGACATATTTGGTTATTTTCACCTAGGAGTACGCATCTACATCCATGAGATACCTAGGTGACAAAAGTATATCTAGGTACTGTGTATGCACTCCGTTCACCGTAATGATAAACTCCCACTGCACGTCAGCCCGCCAAGTAATCTACCTCGCTTCCCTATTCGGGGTAGCTGTGGAGTACGGGGGTAAAGCACAAACACAGTTCACGCAGTACAAACTGCAGAAAGGGGGTTCCAAAACATACTCTGTACGGAGACTGTAGCCCCAACAAATCGTCATTGACAATGTGCCATCCAAATTAATAAATGCCAACGGCTGAAGTGGCGGGGGAAGTTAACCAGCCAATCTCCGTCGGACAATTATCGGTCGTCTCGCCGATATGGGGTAACGTCCAGTCTAGACCAATGAGGCCCACCCGGAAAAGTCAGCCATCATCTATGCCGTCATAGACAGCTCTCCCAGCTCTTCTCCAAGACGTTGACGGGACCGGGGAAGGGTACCTACATTGGCGAACTTAACCGGATTGGGCAATTTAGTGGGTTTAGGCGCCCATCTGGAGAGTACTGTGTACAGCCTGTGAGTTGTGCGGATTTCTATGTAGTTCGTCATTGCCCCTGGGCACTGGAGTGATCCGAGATCGCGGCTAAGAGAGCCACCCAATGAGAGAGGGGATGGGCTTGAGATGAGACAATACTGTATCAAAGGATTCCCCAGGTGGAGATGGGATCAGCGGGTTGTGGGTTTCTTTCTGTGGGTAGCCAGACGATTGTCTTTGGAGTTGGGTTTGTCGGGTTGATTCATCTGGAAATACATTACAGAGCACAGGGATTGGCGGGATTCCCTACTTGGTGTTGAAAATGATGAAAACTGAAAAGGTTTCCGTGGACGACGTGATATCGCCACACCTTCTTTCAATATCAACAGCCATTGGCCTCCGATATCCAAGATAGTTCCACAGAACCCGTCCCCGCATCACAACTGAATGCGGGAGGAGTAATAATTCAACCTCCGAATGAGACGAGATGTATGTGATTACCGAGCTAATCCCTGTGGCTGTGGCGCTTCAACCCCTTTTTCGGATGCCCCAGGCCGAAGTGGCGACCTCGTATGTCGGCCTGACTGGCTATGCGCTGCTCGTTCCAATGTAAGCCAGAGTCGATCAGCCCTTCTCCCCATCGCCGATCGTTTTATCTTTGCACGTAATGTTCTTTGTACCGATGTCATATGGTCCAGTCCAGCCCGAGGCGGAAAAGCCAGCCGCTTATGCTGCTCCCCTTGTGCTCAGCATCTCGGCTAGCTATTCATTGTCCCCGCAGTAAGCTCAACTCTATCGGACTTGTACAAAGTACCCACCGTATCCCTGCCGAAATGATGTAAGCGATCAGCTTCGATGTAGGCGACTTCGTCTACCTCTCCCCGAAAGGAGAGACCCATTCAGAAGCTCTCACAAGGGCTGCAAGCCCTTTCGAGATCATCAAGAAGGCTAGACTGTAGACACGCCTTCGAGCTGAAGCCGCCCCCGGAGTTCGATATTCATCCAGCTCTTGCACCCGAGAAATTGCGCCTAGCGAACAAGCCCGATCAGCAGCCTCTAACCGGCTAGATATAGGACCCCGAGCCCGTAGAGATAGCCAGAGAAGAGGAATATGAAGTGGACTGCATCCTAGATTCTAGAGTGCAATATCGTAATCTGCAGTACAAGATTAAATGGAAGGGTTACAACGTCAATAATGCTTGATACCGCCGGGAATGCATGGAATGCACCCCAAAAGATCTAGGAATTCCACGTCTAATATCCGAGGCAAGTCAGGGCCCCAATGAGACTGCAATATTGGATCCGATGCGCTCTGAAGTCTGAACAATGAATTCCCAGACGAGCATGCAGACGATGGCAAAGTCACTCAACGCCTAACGAGACTAGCGAATCTCGGAGGGGGTGATGTGGTACTCAGGCATGGGTGACATGGTCGTAGCGTGGATACCTTGTAAGACCTAGTCACATGGTTGAGAGGATTGTTGGTGTTGTTCTGTCTTTTTGTTTCTTTCTTCCTCTCTTAGTATTTTCCTTTTCTTCTCTAGCTTTGTTACTTTCCGTCGAATCGACTCTGTTTTTACAGACTTGCCACGTATCACAGTTACCACTGAAAACATACCTTGCTATATTATATGTACTTGTATAGCTACAGGAAGCTACAGTTTTATATTCAAATGGGATCCACCGATTAGCCTGCTACTAAACTAATTGCGGCGCATTGAACTGAGCTTATTTCAACCTCAGTATCTAGACCTTCCCCCATATGACATGACTTATTCCGTTTTGGGGAGTGACTTTGACCATGCAACCGCAAATTCATAGCACGATGTATCCCTGCCACAGAGTGGGTCGTTTTCCAAACCCGAACGTTGTACACAGTACTGCGTATCTGTATTATCTGGTCATCGTACTGACGGCACGTGCTTCACCCGGCTATCCGAGCGCAGATCTTGCGATCTGACTGGTGGGTTGTTTTCCCAGCAATGAGTCGAGCTCAGAGTGGCACCGTTGTGGCATGTGTAAGTGACCGTATTTGCCGTATTGATGTCACAAAGCTTACTCTGGATATACGACATTCCGCTGGACTTTCTACAACCTTATGACATATGAGTATGTCCGCGGCGTTTGATGGGAGGAAAACTCTCGATGTAATTGTAGAGTAACAATCCACAAATCAGAATCTGTTCCAATTGTCCGTAACCATCTTCATCGATCATAGTTCTATTTGTGTCCGGCCGATCGCTAGATCCATAATCGTGCCATATCCCACAACATTCGATGGGGTCTTGAGCCGCGAAAAACTCGGGAATGATATCATGTCCGAAAGCCGCGCGCGAAATCTCCATTCCTGGTAATAGAGCCCGAGTATCAACCAATGAAATTCAAGGGAAAAATTGAAGCGTCAACCAAACAACGTCAGATTGGCTGAACCTCCGGTCGCCCCGTCCACCCATCATGTCGGATGCTCGAGGAGACATCGGGAACCCTTAAGCCATGACAACAGAGGCCCCACAATTTTGTTCTTTGTGGCTGAGGTACAAACCCAATGCACCTTGACGTATTCGTGGAGTCGCAAGGGGAATTATCTGTGGCTGTGGTTTGTGAACGCCTTTGAACTCCCAGTGATTCTCTGACGTGGGGATTGAGGTCATAGACTACAAAGTACCTCTACATTGACCGCGAACCATGTCTATAATATCGTATGTTGTATACGATATCTACGGCTATTGATGCCATGGATGGTTCTAGGTTTCATCTCGATAGATATGTTGTAGCGCGTATTCCATGTACTGTGTAGTCCCTGTATCCACATTTCCCGAGGGTCTCCCGACACGATATGCCGTCCTTCATGATATCTTGTCTTCATCCGTAGGGAACGCGCTGTACCGTGCAGAGTAGTTCGGTCGATAGGGACGTCTCGGCATAAAGTGTCCATATCGGATGTAAGCCATCTCATACACCGATGATAGGCGCACACCTTAAACACAGATCGGGGAGCATAAATTTGGTAGTGTGGCGTGGAGTTTGAGAACCTTATCCAGAGCACTCGAGTAGAAGAAAGAGAATGAAGAATACCCGACACGATACATTTGAAGGTGTTTATTCGCTAACCCTAATTTCTAAATGAAAATCACGATGCATTGTTGATACGGTAATACACAAATTACGGGAGGGATTCGTTTGTCTTGGCTTTCCCCACTGAGGCCGCACGGCTTTCCATGGCTCGAGTACGAAGTACGCAATATCTGCCCTTTTCCCCATAACTTTTACCCCTGCCTCCAATCAGGTTATTCATTTAAAATTCAAATTAGAGCTGTTGAGCTTTTTTAAACATTTTATATACATAAAAAACCAAAATCAATAAAAGACAAGTCACTTACCGAAAGAAGGTCCTTGTCCATGTGGTCCCTATTCCTTATCGGCTTCCCCTAGGTGGCGACCGTTTCCCTTCCATACTCCTCCCAAATCTTCCGAGTACATCGTCATCCACCCCCCGTGCACAATTGTAAACTGGGGCTCCAGTGGATGACATTCGCGGGTGGGATCTGATAGATCGTTCATCATTGGAGGCTCCATGAACCGTACCGTCCTCACTATTATTTTCCATTCTCCCCTCCTTTAAACGCAATCGTCTCCCCTCCCCCTCTCTTTTCTCCAATTTTCACACGCAATCTCCCTACGTTCTTAATAAAAGAAACACCATCCGCTATTATTTTTTCCGGATACCTGGGTTCACTTCATCGACCTTCACCAGTTTGATCTAATTCGATCTTCCACTTCTGACATCCGCACATTTCGAAGTTCGCACCTTTCGAAGTTCACACCGATAGCCACCATCGCGCATACCACATTCTTGCTCCTTTGTGAAACGCTCGATTTTAATTGCAAAACTTTGCAAACTCTCAAGTTCCTCGATACCGCTTTCTAGGCTTCTGAACACATCAATTCCGACAAACCGCTGTCTCAACCCTCGAATTCGATACCGGGAGCACGCCCAAACCGACTCGCCGTGAACCACACCCCCACATCTTCCTGGTTGAGTTTTGCAGCTCTGATTGCATGCTGCATGTTGTAAAACAACGACCGGTTCCTCTCTCTTTACTATTTTGCGGCCTTGCGTGTTCTTTCTAGCCAACAAACCTTTGATAAAAATTATTCCCAATGTTTAACAGCCGGTACGTTCCCCTGAGTTGCTTCAGTCCCGCATTTCTGTTATCTAACAGTATCATACAGGAAAGCCCAGAAGCCGGATGGTGAATTCATCACCCGCTTCCAGCAGGCATTCTCAGATATTGTGCCCCGGCGAGACAGCCAGGGTGCGCCAAGTGAAGGTTCGCGCACTGCGAGGGTAGCCGAGCATATGATGGATACGGGGTATGGATATTTCAATCTCATATTAAGCGTCTCGAGACCAGGCTGACACCCATTTTCGCTCATAGAATGATGGATACCGATGGGAAAATGGAAAGTCACGATGTCAAGTTCCCGATTGTCCCCAATAATGACCGCACTCCCCGAAATATGCAAGAACTGGGGATGACCCCCTCGTGGATGGAGCCCGGGTCGTTCTCCATGATGCCTTTCACCAACCAACATTCTGGCCTTTACACACCAAATTCCGGTGCAATGGGCCCAATTTTCCACAACCAGGCGGGAGATTTGCATACTCCCACTGGGATGCACCTAATCGCGCCACTTTCTCTCTCGGGCATGCCTGCACACAATCTACACAGCAATGCCTTCGAGCCTTTCCATCCGCAATTCATGAACTCCATGCACGAGATCAACCCATACACACAGCAGCCGTCATACGCACCAAGCGCATTCATGCACCGCGACCCTGGATATGACATCATGGATGATACTCCCGACGACACATCTACGTCCATGAATGATACTCACGCTGAGACAGCGTCCAATATGACCGCCTCTACTGACTTCTCGGCTCACATGGGTGGTGACTTGGCATATACCAATGGCGAAAAGTAAGCATTGGGATTCATGCAGAGGGACTTGACCAGTACTGACTATTGGTAACCCCCCACAGATTCCGCTTCAACGTGACCCTGCGAGCACCGACTGCGATGGTGAAGAACCATACCGAAATTCCTATCACATATCTCAACAAGGGCCAGGCATACAATATCTCGGTTCTGGACTCGACTCCGCCAATGATCTCTCATGAGCCGGTTCAATATAGAACATTCATTCGTGTTTGCTTCGAAGAACAAGAACAACGAGCTAGACCGTCAGCCTGTTGGCAATTGTGGAAGGAAGGCCGAGGTATCAACGAAGCCCATCAACGCGGTGGAAAATTGTTAGCAGTCGAATATGTCGATCCACTTCAAGGCGGTGGCGATGTCCATCGACACCGACAAGTTCAGATTGAGAGTATGTGCGTCGACGGTTTCTCCGTCACCTGGACTGCCAATCCCGCAACCGGGGTAGCCGATTGCAACATTCCCGTGCGGTTCAACTTCCTTTCCACCGATTTCAGCCACTCCAAGGGAGTCAAGGGAATTCCCGTTCGACTGTGCGCCAAAACCGAACTTCTGTCACCGGGCGAGGAGATAGGCGCATCACGGGATACCGAGTTAGCTTACTGCAAAGTCAAGCTTTTCCGGGATCATGGTGCCGAGCGCAAACTGTCAAATGACGTTGCGCACGTCAAGAAGTCCATCGATAAGCTGAAGCAGCAGGTTTCACAAGCTGAGCTTGGTGGTGGTTTCGCCAAGCGGAAACGCGGCCATGCTTCTGGTTCCGTCAAGGGATCTGACCGTTCTGTGAAGTCTTTGAGCCAGAAGCGCACTTGGTCGATAGGCTCGGACGATGGGCCCAAAGAGAAACTCTCTTTAGAAGATGACCTTCACGCGAAGTTGTCTTCGATGCAAGAGATGTTCTCATCCACCCGCTCGGTCAGCATCTTAGGGTTGCGCGGTGACACAGCCGACGATCCTGACTTGTATCCCATTCGGCTGTCAAATGATGGAGACTGCTCTCCATTCCATGGTATGAGCCGTTCGAACACACGCGGATTGGACTCTATAATGCCTTCTCCACCCAACACCAATGCCTCTTCTTCGAACTCGCCACCTATGCCCGCAACAAGGTTAGGAAAGCGCTCAACAACCGTTCCAAGAGTCACATCCGTCGATCAATCCCCGAGGGGTTTCCTGGAGGCCGTGGGTGTTGACTCAACTTACCGTCCTCCCACGGACCGTGCGCCCAAGCCGAGTAAGTTTTCAGTGCATCTCAATCTTGATATCTTTGCTAACCCCTTCCTTAGTTGCATGCTTCTATGTCCGACTCAATGCTGCAAACTCGCAGCAGTCACAGGATTACTACCGTGCGATCTACTTGACGGAACGTACTGTGCAGGATCTCGTGAATCATATTTCTTTGAAATACCAGATCGACTCATCGACCATCTCGAGCGTTATCCATGTCAACCAGAAAGGACTCCGAGTCATGGTTGATGACGATGTGGTCCGCGAGCTTCCAGAAGGCCAGGACATGACTATCGATATCTCCGACGCCCCTGGCAGTACTCCTGGCACCTCAGGAACTCTCATGCAGATGGAGCTCACTTATTAAACCCGCATCACACTCCTTCGAGGCACCTCCCGCCGCATTCTTAAAAACCTACCAATCGCCTCACCTCACCCTTTCGGCCACACTGGCCATTTCGCTCTCACACAATTTGCCTCTAGTACACGGGTTCCTTACACCGAGGGGCATTGGTTGCACGCGTACTAAACCTGGACCTACGGACGCACCTCCCTTCTTGTTCGTCGTTACTGGTTTAACATGTCCTTTCTCCTATGGCTTATAATCACTTTCCAGCGGGGCGTTGAATACGGGGACAATACACGAGTCTCCGAGCAATGATATCCTGTTTTATTATGTTTCTTGGCTTCTTTGGTATTTCTTTCTTCCCTGTTAAGCTTGGCGTTGGATTATCCCACTACGACGGTATATGAGTCGATGGTTAATGGATCTCTCTGTCTTTCTGTTTCTGATATGCACTTAGGTTGTTTGTTGGGGATATGACTTTGATCTGGTCGGGGCCTGAGCATACGATGATGATACCCTATTCCTTTTGATCCTGGACTCTTCACTCGTTGACTTCCTTCGTCTTTTTCTTTTTTTTTTGCTGGTGGGCACTAGAGGTTCCTGGCTTTGGACTCATGGCTTGTTCTGGAGATTGTATCATGCATGACGTTTGCATGTATACGGCTTTGGATCATTTTGTATATATATGGCTGACTGCCTGAGGATGGAGCTACGGTTCAATGACTCTGATGCTATAGGTGCAAGAATATGATGTGACCTTTCTACCTCAAATGGTTTTTTTGTGTAATTTCGTGGAGTCGGGAGCATTGCCCTTCCCAATGCTTGGCATCAAAATGCCCCTCCGTCGCCCCTCCATCTCTGCTAACAATGACGGAGGACGAATACACAGGGTGGTATCAGACGACTCCCGAATAAGCCAACACCGCCTGTGCGAGCAGACGAAAAAGAAAAGAGAACGGACCCATGGCGAACTCAAAAACCCTTCCTTAATGTCGAACCTGAACAGTCGCTTTGCGCAATCACCAAAAGCCCAACAAAAACGCGTCAGAGCATTGGGCACATCCCGCCACCCCCAGTTTCCAGGAACCTGGTAAGGTGCGTAGGGCTAGTGAAAGTTGCCATCGGGTTGGCCAGTGAAGAGCCCACAATCCAGAACCTTGGGTCTATGCAGGAGTTTTGATTGGATGGGATATTGATCCCAGCTTGTCAGTCAGCCAATGTGAATGTTGGTACTCCGTACTGTGTAGTATGCGATTTTGATGGCATTTCACTCTCATATTGCGGCTGTTTTAATGCGACGCTTGCGTTTCAGCCTCCCCCTTTGTCGCCTTCGCTTGGGTGCCGGAGGGGCGGAGAAGAATTCATTTTTGAGGTTGGATCCGTGGATGGATATGTGTTGGTTAGTGCGGAGATCGGAGTTCAATCGGTAAAAATGAAGACTGGTATTGTCGACACATCTCACAATCCCACACTCCGATGCACAGTAGTTCTTCAGAGATCCTAATAACTACCCAGCACATCGGCATACTCCGTACACATATTGACAAGCAATATGATGTCATATTTCATCAGTTCCTTGGAAGCGGGCCTAATAAAATGAGATTAGTAAATGGATATTGGACCTGTATTGATACAGTATATGCCCACTTCGTCTCTCCTATGCGGGTCGTCCCGTTACGTGACCGCTATTTGGGTGGGGCCCTTCAAACACAGTTCCTGGCGGGCCCTGAGCTTCCATGCAGGACACTAGTATTTTTCAGTTTGAAGCCGAGGCACCTCATCCTAACGGTCACTAGCTTTTTTGCGCTTATCCATTGACTATGGATACTTATTGGGCTTTTGAATTGAATCCGTCTTCACTCTTCACTTATTTTCTGCTAGCTGCCAGTTCTGTTTGTTGCTTGTTAGGCTAAGTGGTGGTGAGATTGGCAAGATGCTATAGTGTAGTATATATAGACCGTAGGTTGCACTACATATTGTACATCTCGCCACCGCATCAAGAGCTTTACCTAGGCAGTAGAGCGTAGGTATCTGTGTGCTGATCTCACTGAGAGGATCTCAAAGGTCCAAATGATAGGCTTATGTTATGATCACGTAGTTGCAATTCCGCCTGATATAGGTATCAAGCCCTAAGTTGTGTCACTGCTGCCCTGATTCGGCAACGTAAATCAACACCCGGAGAAACTGTAGGGCTGATACTCGAGTCAAATGGCACGTTCTAGTCCTACTGAATTTAGTCATCCTTGAGGCTCATTGATATACTTTAGCACTTGACAGTGTCTGATCTAAATTTAGAATGTCATGCCAATATCGGCTGTTACATTGAAGTTGAATTTACCGGCGATAATTTATTCCTTTGTCTTATAAGGTAGGTACTCGAACTCAATTTGGGATTTTAGGATTTTGGTAGCCCAGTCATATCCAAAAGAAAACGAGGCGGAGTATATGGTTCACATTGCCTTCCTCCTATGTGTTTACTTCTGCTGTCTTTGTCAATGTAGCACATTCAATTTTCCCTGTGATACTCCGGCCTCTTTGTGTGGATATACGTCTGGTGATCCAGAGGCTGGTGTTGGGCTGTTCTCTGGACTGAAAATGCAGTTGTGAAGTGCTTCAACTGCGTCTTCCATCTTCCGGGTGTTGCTACGGAGTGAAACCCCCCCCGATGCTGGGCAGAACATCCTTCTCTCATATTCTTCTCAGTTAATGAAGTAGACGTTCGTTGTCTCAGTTTGGTTGTACAGGTACTGTTGCCGGCACATCCAGAATAAGGTTCTAGTCGAGTTACCTCAGTTGTAGTGCTCGAGTTATATCCGAAGAGCAATGCCCACTTGGATGCCTGGGCAACATCTCAGTGTAGTTTGCAGAGTCGGTACTTCCTTGTCTGTGCAATTGCCATATCAAAGAGTAAACCAAACCACGTGCTGCTCAAACTTGTCACGGGTGATTTTGCGTGCCTTCCTCATTTGCCAAAGCTCTGGTTTACTATTTATACCTTCAACTCACTTCCCTCATCTTCTTCTCTTCCTCTCTTCTTCCACCTCGTACTCGCTCCCCTTCTTCGACCACCCCCCTCGTTTTCTTCGGTTGCTCTTTGGTTTCCATCAAGAGATCCACCCCACACTCGTTTATTCATTGTCATCCTGCCTAAGATGGCGACTATGGCGCATTTCAAGACGCTTCTGCTGCTCTTGGTCACCACCTTGGTGACCTTGGCCTCTGCAGATGTTGGTATGTATCTCCATCGCCCTCCACCCCCACCTCCCATGTTTACCCATTAACCTTGTACCTCGACAGAGTGCTTCAATGTCGAGACCGTCTTCTTGCAGAATCCCTCTACTGGTGAGCGCTACCAAGTTGGCGAGAGTAAGTCAAGCTCCTGGTCGTTGCTTATTTTTGATGTATCCTGTTATTAACCAAACTGTGCAGTCGATGCTATTCCGCAGCCTCTGGTCGGTCGTGCTGTTCAGCGCCAGGAACTGAGTAAGTCCATCTTCGTCATCCTCGATGACATCCTCTACTTCACCTGCGTGATCCAAGATCTAACCCGTCACTTGCATAGTTACTGTTACGGTTACCCACACTACTTGCGGTTCGCACACTACTGGTGAGGCTACTACAACTGTCACCACGGATGTGCCTTGCACCACTGACTCGGGTACGGTTTCGATCCCGGTAGTTCCCACTACTTCGATTCCGGTTCCAGTAACTACTCCGGCGCCTGTTACTTCAGAGACCCCGGCGCCTGTGACCACTCCGACTTCTGTGCCTAGCACCTCCGTGGTTTCTACCACCCCTGAGGTGTCCACCACACCTGAAGTCTCTACTACTCCGGGCTCTGCTCAGACTTCTGTGTCCAGCACCATCGTGGTGTCTTCTACTGTCCCGGTCACTACTCAGACTTCGGTCCCCGTCGTTCCTCCCAGTTCCATCTCCGGAACCACCGAGATTACCACTCAGTCTTCCACAGTTAAGACCACGACTTCCGTGCCTGTGACTACAACCGTGACTTCGTCGTCAGTTGTGCCCGGTGCCCCCCAGACATCCGGTACTGAAGTTGCTACTGGAAGCCACTCCTCGGGTACTGAATCCTCTACGGTTACTGCCACCGTCACTGAGTCTGGCTCTTCTAGTTCTAGTGCTACCAGCGTGGCTCCTGTTCCGGAAACCAGTACCCCTGCTATTCCTGGCACTCTTACCAAGGTGACTACCGAGACAATTTCCGAGCCTTGTGATGTTTCTTCCACCCCTGAGGTTCCCGCCACCGAAATTACTACCTCTTCTGGCACCCCTAAGACGGTTCCTGTCCCTGGCACAACTGGAGTTGCCTACACCAACTCGACTGTTCCTCGGGTTCCTGGCCCTACTGGTTATGTCACTTCCCCTGGTATCACTGGAACTGGGCTGCCTCCTCACCCGGTGGTCACTCTGGTCACTGTCACCATTGACATCCCTTGCACCGAGACTACCAAATGCATCAGCACCCATGTTTACACTACTGTGCCGACGCAGACTACCACAATCCCGGTCGTTCCCATCACGGCTACAACCCCTGCTCCTGAGGTCACCACTGTTGTCCAGCCGACCACTGGGGTTATGACTACTGTCATTCAGCCCACCGTTCCTGGTGCTCCTCCGACTACTGAGGTTGTGACCACCGTTATCCAGCCGACCACTCAGGTTGTCACCACTGTGATCCAACCCACTGTTCCTGGCGCTCCTGCGACTACTGAGGTTGTGACCACTGTTATCCAACCGACTGTGCCTGTTCCCGTTGTGCAGCCGACCACCCAGATTGTCACCACTGTGATCCGGCCCACCGTTCCTGGCGCTCCTGCGACTACTGAGGTTGTGACCACCGTCATTCAGCCGACTGCTCCTGTTCCCGTTGTGCAGCCGACCACTCGGGTTGTGACTACTGTGATTCAGCCCACCGTTCCCGGTGCTCCGCCGACTACTGAGGTTGTGACCACCATCATCCAGCCGACCACTCAGGTTGTGGCCACTGTGACTGATTTGGTTCCGCTTCCTCACGCTACCACGGTCGAGGCTACAACCTTGGTCAAGGTTCCTGCCCCTCCTGCTCAGCAGACAACCGGCAAGGAGATCACTGAGACTCAGCCAGTCGTTGTGGCCCCGACTACCTTGGCTACGACCACTGTTTCCAAGCCCCAGGGGGCTGAGACTGAGACCAAGGCTCCGGGTAATCCTCCTCACACCCAGGAGAGTGTTACTACGCCTGCGCCTCATGGTACTTCCACTGGCACTATCCCGCCTAGCCCTATTTTCAACGGTGCCATTGTCGGAATCGTGGATGGCCGCGTGCTCACCATGAGTGTCCTGGTTATGGTCTTTCAGGTCATGCTTTCCATGATCTAAGGAATGCCAGTTCCCTGCTGCGTCATTAGGCAAGTTTTTTTTATCCGCCTTCTGATGTACCAAAGACAAGCCTGATGCGATGTTTACATTGATGACAGGATTTTTGAGGATCCCTGGTTTTACGGGAGGCCTTTGTTTTTCATGGGATGCGATACATGCTCCCCTTAATCTCACAGATCTTTGGCAGTGATCATCGATAGTATTTTAGTTGGGCATACATAGCTTTCTAATGTCAGATCTGTTCACTGTCTACAAGTGCAAATATAAAAGAGACTAGTCATTAGGTGTTTTATAGTTCCATTTCGTAGCTGTCATAGTAATTTCCCACCATGCCCATAGGGTGTGGCAGGGTATCTGGTCAGCCAAAGTTGTTGTACCTAGAGTAGCGCCTTCATCTATTGATCACATTGTTTCTAAGCCCGTCAAATTGACTTCATTGCTATAGACCGTCTAACAGAAATTACAGAAAAAGTAGAGCCCAGCGCCGAAAGGGAAGAATATCCAAACATCAAAGCATTGAGCTCGCCACAGATCATCAAATGAACAATGAGCAGCGTAACCACTCCGCAAGATGAATGGATAGCATCTCCCCCAGAAACGGGTAACCGATATGTAGCTTGGCTAAAAGCCAGGGTATCTCAGATAAAACAAGGAGAATGGGATATGCAAGTGCAAACAAGTATACACAAAACGCGAATAGAGAGTCCCAGATCAAACCTCCCCCTCAACACCAAGAGCCTCAATCTGTCTCGTCAGAGCACAAATCCGACACCCATCGCCGACCTTGTCACGTAAGATCCTAGCCGTCGTGACTTTCGGTCCGACAGTGCGGGACGCAGTTGCAGAGAAGGGCTCATCGACGGGCGACATGGGCCTTGGCGTGCGATCGGAGGATTGATCGGGTGTCGTGGTGCCGGATTGTTGCGGGGTGTCCGGGTGGAGATGTGAGAGGTGGAAGATATGGCCGCAGGCGAAGCCGACGAGGATTTCGCGTTCTGTGGGTGGGGGCAAGTCAGCTTAGCGATTATGGATCATGGATAAAAGTGTATTGCACGATGTTCAGAATAAGTAACGTACCGTTTGGCCGGAATGCAGCCTTGCAACCACCGCATCTGCCGTGTCCAGGACCACTGAATTTCCTAGTACCGCCTGTGGCAGATACCTGAGCTTGGGCCTGGGCCTGGGCCTGGGCCTGTGTCTTTGCCGTTGGCGTCTTATTCCGATCTTCTCCCTCTCCCTCTCCATCAACGAGGATATCAAACTTGATGCCACGACGCTGACCTCTCCTTAGTGAGTCCATGCCGAGAGCAACCTCGCTTTGCAAGACCCTCGCCGCGCCTTGACTGATACTAGCCTGCAGATCGTGTTCACGGATGAGACGGGTTAAACCCTCCCTAAGGCCCTCGATCTCCAGTCCACTCGGGATGCGTCTCACAAGCTTAATAGGGTCGATAGCCGTTCCGGCCTCGACGAGAAGACCGTGAATGAACTTCGGTTTGTCCATTGAGTAGTCGAGGAGATCTTCCCAGAGATCCGGGTCTTCCTGGGACTTTGCGAAGGAGATGGCCTGTGAGACGTCCTTGAGGTCCGATAAGATGAGGTTGAGGGCGCGTTTTGTCTGGCCCATTTTGGATAAGAGGAAGATTAGCTCGGGGGTGTATCTGTGGTCTTCGCAGATGGTGGTTGCTTTTTCGAAGGTGTAGGTGATGCTTGTCTGGAGGAAGTCCATTAGGAGGGGTCGGTCGTACTCGGCGAAGACTTCGATTGCGGTGTCGGCGAAGTTGTCGATCAGGGCTTTGCCTTCGTCGGCTGCTAGCTTGCTTGCTGCATCCCGGGCATAGGCTCCACGGCCTCGTCGGGGTTTCGAGGCCTCGTGGGGCAGGGATTCGCCGCGCCAGAGGGCTCGGAGATAGAAGTAGAGGAAGAGGTAGCGGTCTGCGGCGAGCAATTGGGCGACGACGGTGTCTGCGGGGACGATGCCGGTGTACGCCTCACGCACTAGGAGTCGTGTGGGTTCAGATGTTAGCTCCTCTAGTTCGGCCGTTTTGGCAGATTTCATTTGCTCTTTTGAGACACGGATCATGATGAAGGCTGGTATGTCGTCGGTGACTGCGTCGAGTAAGCGGTGTTCCCGAACTAGAGACATAGCCGCATCTCCGTCTTGCAATCGGATGTAGCAGCGCAAAGCTTCACGGTAGTGTCCTCCGATGAGGAACAACTTGGCGAGACAATCTGTGAGGATTCGCCGGTCCTCAGACCCTGTCTGCACCGAGTGGGATTTCAACTGTTCTTGGATGGTCTCGGTCATTACGTTCGCATCGAACAAATCGGACGGCCATGCCTCGACCAGTTCTTTGAACTTGCCCAAGTCTCGCGACACGTAGTGGGTGAGAATTGTTTCGTAGACCACCGAAGACAACGGTGGGTTCAGATCCACCGGGATTTGGGAAGTGATATCGTCATGTTTATCATTCTTAATGAAGACCCATACCCAGTGTTCCCATCGCGGAGCACTACGGATGACTTTGCCACAGATCAATGCAGCATCAGCCCACTTCTTCTCGCTGACAAGCTGGTTGAGCCAAAGTTCTCCCAACCGAGCCTTTTCTTGCTCGGCAGTAGAGACCTTCGACCGACCAGCCGTCGTGATCGATGATCGGTCATCGGCAAAGAAGTCGCCTAGACTAGTCTGTGACCTTCCCGCAATATCGGAAACGGCTTCTGTGAGGTCCGGTATCGAGCCTGCAGCTTCGGGGTGTTCATCGACGAGACGCCACGCCTCCTCGTACTGGCCATGAGAGTCGAGCCAGGCCAGACGGTCTGCGAGATCTCGTTTTACTGCAACAACGCAGTCGTACGGGCTGTGCACAAAGATTTTGGCACCAGGAGCACCCGAGGCGTCTTGTATCTCCTTCGGGAGACTTTCCTCGGCTGACTGGAGTTTGGAGATAAACGAAGGGGGCACTCTGCCAGAACCCTTGTCGCCGCTACTTGTGGTACTGCGGATGCTTGCGCCAGAGCTGAATAGTCTCGCGGGGTACATAGTAGCATCCAGAAGTCCATACCCAAGAGCACCCAGGGCACCACGCTGGACGACCTGTCCTTCGGGTGTTTTCCATGGCGGCAGGACACTTAGATGGTAATCAGACGCTGAAAGACCTTCAAACCGGCTGACTGAAAGTGTATCAGCACTGATCTCTTCTTTAGTCTCGATGTCAATAACGCGAAGTTCCGGCTCAAGTCCCCTTTGACGATTGCGGGTCCCACTGCCTCTTCCGTTGCTTGTATTTTGGTCTTCGATTTCCATATATGCAAGAATAACAAGAAGACGAGGCGTGTACAATGAGATGCCAGATACCACGCAGTCTGTTCGTAATCTAAATTTGGAGTCAGCAATGAACGAATTGATCAGTGAAAGCACATCTTACATCGTGACAACCTCCGCAGAGCCTAACTTCTCGCCCTTGGAGGTTTTGCTCGCTCGTTCAGGGTAGACGTCTATCACCCAAACTGTTCCACCCCAACCGACGACAAGCTTTTCCACCTTCTCAGTGGATGCCGTCGGCTGTACCTCTGGGCTTGCCGTATTATCATTTGGATCGAGGTTGTCCTGGCTGTCTAGAGCAGACTGATCAATCCATTCTGCGCGTGCTTTCCAGACGCTGGCCATTTCATCCCAACCTGGACGGGTTGGGCGATCAATATGGCTGATCCGTTTCCAAGCAAACTCGGTCTCTGAAGATTCTAAATGCAAATTGGACCGCATAATCTTGATGCCTTCCTCGTTGACCCAAACCACGTATTTTCCTGATAGAGACCATTTGATGGTGCTGATAATCCCTTCTCCACTGTGGATGATTGTATCTTTTCCATTGTTGGATGCCAACCCCATAGACCCAAGCCAACTTGACGCAGTGGCGGCCGCGCCGCCCATTGTTGTAGAGTTGGAGCTCGCGCCGATCCGTCCGCCAGTTGTCATGATCAATTCACCCGCCCGGCCGCCAGACAAGAAAGTCCGGTCATTTTTATACTCCGGAGACAATGCGACGGACTGGATTGGACGGCCAAAATTACGCAATAGCACATCCTTCGGATCTACCAGCGACGAGACGCACACGTTGCCATCGATTGAGGAGGTTGCGATGTAAATAGAGTTCGATGGTAGTGGCGGGACAGATGGACGATTCCCTTGTTTTCCGCCACGGATACTGCCGGTATTTGTAGACGATCGCGTAGGGGGTCTGTACTCTTCCGAAGCCTGCTTGCTGGAGGTGTCTTGCTTGAAGTTCGGAAGTGGAGGTGGAAATGGCGATATGGAAACAGACGTCACACTTGCTGTATGTGCATGATATACTCGGAGGGACTGCAGAGCAGGCAAGGAAAGAACATGCTTGCCGACGTTAGCTAGTGAGTCTGCGGCGCCAGTATGCTTCACTTACGACGTTTCCGTTGTGTGTCCCCACAATCTAGATATCCGGTTAGCTGGTAGGACAACATAGGTCGGACTGTTCAGACACACCATTTTGTCCCCTGCTACGAGGAATGAGCTGGTCGCATCCCCGTTGCGATACACAGATCCCAAGTGCTTTGTGAGGTATGCGTACTTGAGGCGGGGTTCCTCGTCTTCCTCGTCCGATTCGTCCTCTTCCTCGGCGTCCTGTTCTTCCTCATCATCATCACTGCCGCTGGAGCTGTGCTCATTGTCTTGTCGTTGTGTCTCATGGACGCCTCGGGTCGTGCTTGCCGGTGATGTGGTTCGTGCAGTGGAGATGTCGGGCTTCGGAGTGCTCTGAATGGCACTTTCGTCCGGCGATGTCGCGCCAGGCGCGTCCATGGCGAGTCCCTCTCAGCACCTGCAGCTCCCAAACTGGTTGGAGTGGAATGCGACAAGCTTGAAGCGGGATTCTGTGGTTCTAGAGCTGAGCCGGGGTAGGTCCAGGGCTCGGAAGCTAGGTCCAATGACTAAGCGGGGTATCGGCCCGCGGGCTGCGAAAACGATGTCATCGGCCGAACCACTGGGACTTTTTTTCCCCTTCAACTACAATAATCATGTTCGCCAGGCCATATGTCTGTTCGAGCTGCAAGCGCCCAGGATCAATTCTTCTTAGACAACCACAGTCACAATTTCTTCATGCATCTCCTTCATCGGCACTTCCTCGGCGGAAAGATTTCTTCTCATCCAATGCACACTTGAAACAAAAACAGCAAAACAACAACAATGAGCCAACTGAGTTCTCTTCGGAGACTCAGCAGCAACGTCGACGAGGACCTAGGATACCAGCAGCTCCGACTTCATTGCGGCGAGTGGCGGTAGAGGCGCAAAGGTCAAAGGATGGACTTCACTCTAAGGCACTTCTTAAAGAGCAGGGATATCGAACTAAGGTAGCTGCAACTGACGAACCTTACAACGGTTGCTTTACTAACTATTCTCGAATTTAGACAGTAACCGCATACGCCGTCGCCGAGCAATTCGATATACGCAAAGTCAGAGATATCCTACAAGAACGAGGTTATGAACCAGATCCTTTGGAGACGGGGCTCTTCCCGCAAGTCGTCCATGTCCAGATCCCGGTAGACTCAATACGCCGCATGTCGAATCCCTCTAGCACAGATTTACCGTCGGACCAAGTGGGCGACGTCTTCGTGTTTCCCTCCGGTACAGTGGTAGCGTGGTCGCTCCCCGAAGGATTTACGTCATTTTTGGCAACACGAACTCTTCTGCCCGCAGCCAAGGGTGCTCATGTGGATGAATTGGAAACGGAGGATCTCGAATTCGTGGAGGACCCGAAGCGGGAGAATAGCGTTATCAAGGGCGACACAATCATACTGGGAACTTATGACGGTCACGGAGATGCGGAGACATCATCGACGAGCCAGCAATCAGTCGACACGGTGTTGACCAAGGTCGCATTTTCATCGGGCCTCGCTCGGAGTACGAAGTTGGCTGTCCTTGAGAGTCTTCTGTCAAATTACTTTGAATCCACTCGGCCGATCCCGACCCTTCTATCACAGGGCTCCCGACTTCCGTTTACACGGGACTTCATTCTCCGCAAGACCGGGCAGCTACTCAGTGTCCGAGCGCAGCTCAATCTCTACTCGGAACTCACTGATTCTCTCCCCGATCTCTTTTGGGACAGTCGACACGAGCTTGGCTTGGAGGGATACTATGAGCAAGCTGGCAGAGCGTTGGACGTTGGCATTCGCATCAAGTTGTTGAATGAGAAGATGGATTATGCACAAGAGATTGCAAGTGTACTCCGTGAGCGTCTCAGTGAGACACACGGTCTGCGGCTTGAATGGATCATCATTCTGCTCATTGCCGTGGAAGTTGGCTTCGAGGTACTGCGTTTGTGGAAAGAGAGGGTACATGAACAGGAGGAGGCGCGCAAGAAGGATGCCTAAAGGCTTCTAAGGATGGACATACTAGATGCAAGCACAATGTTATGCTTTACCAATAACCAGGACCGATTATGATACCCCACTCTGAAATACAAGCATTTCGTTTTCGATCGTTAATCAACCCTAAGCACGAGAACACCATTTCGATGTCATAGACTATCAAAGGTGGAAGGGAAGCAGAAGAAGAAGGCAGATGATGAGTTGATATAAACCTCGTCATGATGACCCCTCGTCCCTGAGATCCCTGTCACCTTGCTCGTGACACGACCCCTTTGAAAGAAGTGACCTGGTCCCCCAGATCGTGGAATCATCGAAGTCGTCGCTGTCGCTAGCTTGGGCCACTAGCATTGCTTGTATTGCTCCGATTTCCATCCGATCGTTGTTGTGGGCATTTGAACAAGTTGATGTCTTCTTCGAGCGCCAACAACACCGATCGTTACGATCGGATGGAAATCAGAGCAATACAAGCAATGCTAGTGGCCCAAGCTAGCGACAGGCTGAGACAGCGATACTGATCACGATGATTTCACGATCTGAGGGGCCAGCTAAACTCCCCTGTACCTACGTCGAGTTCCTCAGAATGGTGGAACCTGACATGGCTGTTGGCGATATTAAAGCGCGGAAGGTGGGGGAGGTCTCAGCCTCTCAGGTAGAGGTGTGTTGCGAGGCTATGAAAGTAGGGGAATGGAATCAGGAAGAAGAAACTGATGGAACTTAGGAACTATGGAAAAGCAGGCTATTTAAACCCAAATCCTGTATGAACTAAGAGGACAAGCTATGGGCTATGAGAGCCTCTGCAAGCACACATCCTGAAGGGCCGGACTTGACATCCTCCGCCCCGCATTTTCTATGTGCGGAGAGAATACAAATATCCGACTTGCCTCCAAACTTCGCACTCCTCAATAAACAGCGAAATCTCCAATCATGGCATCCCCAGACCCTTCCCAGTCCGAGCTACGGCAATTCTACATCGGCAAAGACATCAGCGAAGTCCCCAAGCCAGCCGCCATCCTCGACATAGCAATCATCAAACGCCACTGCGAGACAATGCTGCACACAATCAAAGCGCTCAACGTCGGATTCAGAGCGCATATCAAATCGCACAAGGCAAGCGACCTACTCCCTACACCATTGACTCCGTAACCCAAAACTAACATACCAAAAGACCCCCGAACTCGCCAATCTCCAAATCGGCGACCTCTCCTCAGCAAACTTCATAGCCTCAACAACCCAAGAGATCGAAATGATGATCCCCACCCTACAGCACCTAGCAAGCCAAAACCGTAACCCCAACATCCTCTACGGCATCCCCCTAGTCCCATCCAGCGTCCCCCACCTATCAAAAGCAGCAACAACCCTAGGCCCCAACACCCTCACCGTGATGATCGACCACCCAGACCAACTACCCTACCTAGAAACCCTCTCTACCCAAGCCGGCCACGCAATCTGCGTCTTCCTGAAAGTAGACACCGGCTACCACCGCGCCGGTCTCCCACCCACTTCCCTGAACAAGAACGGCTTGTTACAGAAACTGGCTGCCGCCGAGGAAGCAGGTCTTGCCAGGCTCCTGGGCCTATACTCACACAGCAGTCTCAGCTACAGCGGTACAACCCCGCAGGAAGCGATGGGTCATCTGATAGCCGAGATTCGCGGGTGCAAGGAGGCGTTAGAGAAGAATATACATCTTCTACCCGAACGGGAATTGGTTATCAGCGTCGGCGCAACGCCGCAGGTTGTTTCTTCTCAGAATCTGCTCCGTGAAGAAAATGACTGTGCAGAAGCACGGGAATTGAAGGAGTTACTGCGTGATACGAAGGTCGAGCTGCATGCTGGTGTTTATCCGCTTTTGGATGTACAGCAGTTTTCTACGCATGCGAGTGCTGTTGCTGGGAATTTGGAGGATGAATGTGCTATTTCGGTGCTGGCTGAGGTGTGCAGTGTGTATAATGATGGTGAGCGCGAGAAGGCTGAGGCGTTGTTGGCGGTTGGGACGTTGGCGCTGGGAAGGGAGCCGTGTGCTAGTTATGCTGGGTGGGGGGTTGTGAATTCGTGGCGGGTGGAGGGGTTGGAGAAAGACTCGGAGAGTTTGATTGTTAGCCGGATTAGCCAGGAACATGGGATTGTTGCTTGGGAGGGGCCATCGCCGAGGGAGATTCCGTTGAGGATTGGGCAGGTTGTTAAGGTGCATCCTAATCATGCTTGTGTTACGGGTGCGTTCTATGGGTGGTATTTTGTTGTTGATTCGCAGCAGGATGGTGATGCTGCGAGGATTGTTGATGTCTGGGTTCGGGCGAAGGGGTGTGGGATGAGGGCTTGGTAAAGCATGTGTTTGATACTCTTATCTATTTTCAACTGACAGGAATGCTTGAGCAGTACCTATGCCATTTACTATTAGACCAGTCTCAGCGGAAAAGGTGCCAGAGAAGGTGTCGAGGTTATGGAAGATTACACTGAGAAAAGTAAAAAGTATGTGCAGTGAAAGGATGTATTTTCACGGTGTAGACAACAAAATGAAGATGCTGGGGGCACCGAGCCCCTGTATGCGCCAAAGAGATTCGAAAGAAAAGAGAAGGCCATTTAGGCCACCGATCCCAAATGCAAATGATTGTAAGACCCAAGTGTACAAGTGAGTCTATGCTTTATTTTCAAAGCGTTGCGCCAATTCGCCCATCACGCCGAAATCACAAACTGTCCAATCGACTCGAGGGGAGATAAGAGACAAATATATTAAAGCAGGTCCATTCGGGAGAGGAAAGCAGAGGTAATAGAAAAAGAAGGGTCCTACGGAGAGATAGGACGTTCAGACATGCGAGTGGCTGGTGCTCGATCTTGACCGTTGGGACAAGGAGCGACGGCCACGGCTGGAAGGTGCCCGATCCACGGGTGGGGCATGTTCAAAGAACGGAGTCAGATCGGGATTCTGACTCGGTGGAGTCTTTGAGTTGGCCGAGTACTCATTCAGGATGCGGTCGTCGGCGGCGGTATCGGGGTGCACCTCGATGCCCTGCTCGCGGTCCAAACCACTGTGAGGACCACCGGTGGTCGGGAAAGTGGCTACGTCACCTTCGCCGTTGGGTCTCTCGATCGGAGACCAGCCGGCAATACTACCGGCGACGACACCAGCCATGGCGGCGGCGGGCCCAAAGGTGGAGTTGGACCGTGAGCGAGTGCTGCGACGGGAACGAGACTCTGGGCTTGGTTGGGGACTGGAACTGCCAGTGTCGTTTTCGGGGACTGGTGTGGGCGGGGAGGACGACGAATCACGCGAGCGCGAGCCGCTACGAGACCGGGGAAGGAATTCCTGCGGGTGCTGCAGCTTGTGACGGATGTTTCGGAGACGGCCACCGCGGAGACGCTTGATGAAGGCCAGTTGGTCGCGGATTTCTTCAAGGGCTGGGTTCCACTCGTAGTTGCGATCCTCGTCAGAGATGACCAACTCAGGTCCCTTGTTGCGGTGCCAGAAGTTGGGGATGAGACTTCTCACGAACTCATCCGGAATAAGACGAATGATCACGGCGATGGGTAACGAGATCGCTCCGAGTACAAGACTGACGGCCCATTGCGAGCCCTGGTCGAGACGCTTGACCGAGAAGGCAGCGCCTCCAACAAAGATGATCAAGACTTGACCTCCGATAATGATGACCTGGATACCAATGAACCACTTATTCTTCCAGATACGCTCCATGATGTTGAGCTTGTTGTCGATCCGACGGGAGTTGTACTGATTGAAAATCTGCATGAAAACGAAGGTGTTAAACACCACAGTCTGTAGGTGCTCATGCTCCCACGAGAAGATCTTTCCCCCAGCGAAATTGAGAATGAACGTCACTACCAACTGATAGATGGACTGTCCAATAATCATCTTCCACATCGTGAGAGTAATGAGGGGATCGGATTTTGACTCAGGTCGGCGGTCGAGCACAGTTGGCGTAGGAGGATCCGTGGCCAAAGCGAGAGCCGCGAACGTGTCCATGATCAGGTTGACCCAGAGCAGCTGGACTGCACTGAGCACAGAATCCTCGCTATCACTGGCAACGGCAGAGACGAAAGTGAGAATGACGGCAGTGATGTTGACGGTAATCTGAAACTGGAGGAACTTTTTGACGGCGTCACAGACAGTGCGACCCCATGCCATAGCTTTGACGATAGACGAGAAGTTGTCATCCATGAGAATAATGTCAGAGGCCTCCTTAGCAACTTCAGTACCTGTGATTCCCATGGCAAATCCAACGTCGGCATTCTTGAGCGCCTGGGCATCGTTGGTACCGTCTCCAGTGACGGCGACAGTCTCTCCCAGCTTCTTGAGCTGGTTGACCAAAATCTTTTTATCGTCGGGACTGGAGCGGGCAATGACCTGGAGCCTTGGGATGATCTGATTCATCTGGCGCGTGCTGAGTTTGCGGAATTTGGGCCCTTCAATTGCAATACCGCCTGGAGTGTAGATACCACACTCCTGGGCAATGGCCTTCGCGGTCATGATGTTATCACCAGTGACCATCCTGACAAACACCCCAGCACGTTGGCATGCGTACACAGCCTCGGGCACACCGGCTCGAACGGGATCCTGAATACCAAAGATGCCCAGCATCACCATGTCCTTGAAAATAGGCTCGAAGACTGCCTGATTACGATCGGTTTCGGAGACAGGGGCTCCACGAGGTGGCCATTGGTCGAAGTCACGGTAAACAAGGGAGATACATCGGAGAGAGCGCGAGGCGTATGTGGTCATGATGGTGTCCAGCGACGACCGGTTGTCATCGGTCATAGGAGCCTCAGATAGCGATTCGGCGGGATCCCTGACGATTCGTGTCGACTTTGCAACTAAGATCTCAGCCGCTCCCTTGACTAACATTCGGAACTTGCCATTGTCCAGCTGGACCACGACTGCCATGCATTTGCGACCAGAATCGAATGGGTACATTTGCACGAGCTTTCCATTTGCTCTTTCTTCCTGTAGAGACCCCATTCCAAGGTAATCCCTCGCGAAACTTAAGAGGGCGGTCTCTGTCTTTGATCCAACAAACGACTTCACTCCATCAGTCTCGCCCTCGAACGCGGTTGAGTTATAGATTATGGACTGGCTCAAGGCCTCCTTCACAGGCGATGCCAGGGTGGAGACAAACTCAGAGGGAGAGATCTCGGTCCGATCGTCCGGCGAGATACCAGAATACTTTCCAAAACGGGAAGTGGTACCCAAAGTTGCTGCCACAGCGGTCATTATGTTTTCCGTCAAAGTTCCAGTTTTGTCGGAGCAAATCGTAGTGGCGTTGCCCATAGTTTCACAGGCTTTCAGATAGCGGACCAGGTTATTGTCCTTTATCATCCGCGTTGTGGCAAAAGCAAGGGCGAGAGTGACGGCCAACGGTAAACCTTCAGGTACAGCAACGACGACGATGGTGACAGCGACGATGAAGATCTGCAGGAATGCTTGACCCTTGGCATCTGCACCGCCCTCGATATCCTTGAGACGGACCAAGAACTTGATAAAGAGAACGATGAACAACAACAAACCAGAGGCAAGACCCAGCTTAGCAATGTATTCGGCCAACACGTTGAGCTTAGTTTGTAAAGGCGTTGTCTCGCCTTCTTCCTGGAGAGACATCATCGTGCGGCCGTGCGTGGAGTTCGTACCAGTAGAAGTGACCAAGAACGAGCCGACGCCCTCGGTGACCTTCGCACCGGAGATGATGAAAGGGTCCATCTTCTTCAGATCTTCCTGTTGCTCGATCGTGCGGTAGACTTCGTCACCCGGGGTTTTGCGCAGAATGTCGGATTCGCCGGTAGCCGAAGATTCGTCGCACTTGAGGTCATGACAGTCTATCAAAATTCCATCGACTGGAACCATATCGCCGGGTTCCAGGAGCAACACATCGCCAACCAGGACATCGTGGACAGAGATTTCCTCAGTTCGGCCGGACCGTGTTACTTTCACCAACCGATTCTCCTTCTTCTTATTCAGTTTCGCAAATTGACGCTCCTTTTGCCAGTCGTTTACGGCTCCAACCGATACCACGATAATGATAGCGACGAGGATGGCCAGGCCTTCCACCCATTCAACGCCGGGCTCGTCGGGGTTCGCCGGATGAAGCGATTGGGGGATTCCAACGGCGAGGGAGACAGCAGCGGCAATGGTCAGCAGAATCAGGACCTTATCATTGTAGGCAATCCAGGCAAGCTCCCAAATGGTCTTCAATTTCCTCTCGGGAAGTTTATTATCGCCGAATATGCGCTTGCGGTCGACGAATCCGTCTCCACTCCGTGTCGTGACCGAGCCCTCCGTAGTGGTGTGCGGCGGTGTCTTCGGGGAGAAAGACTTGGGCACATTCTTTGGCGACGCAACGTCATCAAAGCTCACAGTCCCGTCCAATGTTGTCTCATCCACGCTAAGTCCGCTCTTGGTATCAGTCCGCAGTCCTTTTTCCAGTCCTCGCAATCCTCCCAGCGCATAAAAGGCGCTAAAGCTCTTCGGGTTGAGAAGCTTGTTCAGCTGACCAGGAGAGAAAGCAAACCTATTGTCCTCCACTTCGAATTCGGACTCGCGGCCCGGATCCGGTGTCAAGGCATCATCATCGTGCACGAAAGTATTCTTGGCCAGATCAGACCTCGATCCCTGAGATGCCGAGGTCACATATGTCTCGCCGCCGTAGGTGCTCGATGATTGGCCGGTCTCATCCGACTCGAGAGAATTTCCGCGGGATCGGGTCCCGGGGACCGAGAGGAAATTCGAATGCGCCTCAGGCGCTTTGGTCTTGGGCGACGAAATGTTGTGGGGCGAAGTTGGGCGGCTCTCTCGATCTCGAGCTTCGGAGGAGGCATTCGAGCGAATAGAAGATGCGGAGCGCAAATCCGTGGGTGAGCCATTGTTTAACAATGTGGTCGTGTCGTTGGCATCGCTGTGCGTCTGTGAATGTCCTCCGGAAAGGACTTGCATCGGGGGGTTGGATGTATCTGGTGAGTTCACAGCCGAGGTGTCGATGGTGATAGTCGGCGCGCGCTCTCGACGCAGGGGAGTTGAGGACTGGGCCGACTCATTGGGAGGCGTGTCAGACATGGTAAGGGTGTATTCAATCTGACCGCGGTTCACGCGAAGCTCACAGCGTGATTTGGAGGTTCATGAGGTGTAGAAGGGAGACGAGTTGTACGAAGCAGAGTATAGATACAAAGCTCAGTAGACTCCTAACACTTTCGACTCCTCTTGGAAAGTAGTAAGGCAAGGGAAGTTGTAGGAGGGAGGTGTAAAACAAGGAGGCAAGCGGCAAAAAGCAATAATTGCCTCCGGAAGTACAACGGAGACGTCAAACCCCTACTCCGTCACTAAAGTCGAGACACAATTACTCCACTTTTACTTTGACATAGCCCCGTTGCAACCATTTACACAGTATATTATCCTCATAATTCATTCTTATCCAGTAACTACTGTGTACATGGATAATTGTACACCATGTCGAGTGCTGGAATTAAAAGTTCTGAGTTCAACTGCCAGACAGTGCAGACACGTCAAATACCAAGCCTCATAGTGCTGTGCACTGCCTCATTGCCAAGACATCGAGGAGCCGGATCTGGCGAATAGGGGCAATGGAATTTGGACAAGAATTCGACCTCTGTTAGCTCTAGATGACAGAATAAGAAAATGGAAATTCCTAAATGTCTAGTCAATATACCCTCACGGCCCAACTGCCGGACAATCTGAAAGCAAACGCCACTCAGATAAAGTAGATGGTATCACTATCAACGTTCAGTCGACCTACTACTTTATCCCCTTGGCTGGCCTAAACTAACTTTCACTAGCGCCATTTTGAAATAGAGTATTTTTATTGGCTAGCTAGCTTTCACCGCTTTCTTAGATATTAATAATAGTCTCACGTCACTGAATTTTCACCCACATCTCACGCACCGTCAGTGTCACGTCCACATAAGCTCTCCGATCTCCCGTGGTAGATACCGGTGGATGATTTTTGTATCGTTGGTACTTGGTGGCATAGAACCCCTTGTTGTCTGAGGTGGCGAACGCAACCAGGCCGAAGACATTGCGGTCTGCGGATGTCCCCGGCGTCGGTGTTCTTGTGCCAAATGCTCAGAAGTTCTGGGGCACGAGCGGACATCCGTAACGTATTCATCGAGGACGGCCTGGTTGCGTAGGTCATGTCATACTACAAGGGGTTCTATGCCACCAACGATGCAAAGATCATCCACCGTATCTACCACGGGAGATCGGAGAGCTGGTGGTGTGATATCTGTGGTTGGTGTTGCCTTTCATGAATGGCATGGAGCTGTATACACAGTAATCAATCAAAGACCAAAGTGGTACCCTATCTGGATCTACAACTACAAACTACAACAGCCGGCATTTGATCGGCGTAATGCAGCTGGTTTTGGCGATCTGCTTGGACTGGATTTTTCCGGAACTCTTTTCCCGCCAAGCGGAATTTCATGAACAGCAAAACTACTCCGTTTACACAGTACTGTGCACATGCTGTGTAGTACATATACGTAGCTCATATAATAGCTCATACCACACTCAGCCACCCTCATGCCATACAAAGTCCTTGCGCCCTTACCTCAATTCGAGCTTGCTGCAGCTTCACAACTTCCATGAAGTCGAGTAGCCTTTCATACCGAGCCAAAGACACATGCCCACTGAGATGTTAACCGAATTGCTCCAAAATAACATGAGTAAGTCGCTTCACCGCCAGTCATTCTTTAATTTGACAGAAGTGGCGGTCGACAATCACACGAGCTCTCTTGATCTCGCCATTATGCCACTTGACCTCTGCCACGAAATCAATTTCGAGCATGTTTACTGCCGCAATGGGGCATCAATTCATCGCCCTGTTCTTGATAGGCCGGGAGGACGTGTTCAGGTGCCACGTCATTCATGTGTGCCCAATGCCTGAATTTCCTCTATCCCAGGTCAGATGAAGGCCACTAATAGAGGGAGCAGAGCTCAGTCATAGGTTACTTTAACAACCTGCGGAGTACAAGGTGATTAGGTAGCAAATTTTGGTCGTTACAAGGTGTTTAGGTAGCAAATTTTGGCACTCGTCAGTAAACGCAACATCGTATTCTCCTTTTCCATCTTTTTGCGTTTGCTTCAACTTGGAAACATTCCTCGATCTCTAATAACAGCGTGCTGGGGGATGTTAACGAGTTTTATCCTGCTACGACACTACTTATCAGGTACCTTTTATATGCTGACCCCGTATAAAAGGTACAACAATTCGAGAAAAAATGTGTGTAGTATTGTAGCAAAACAACATGCAGAATCTTATGTGGCAGACTTGGGTGGGGCTACATTGAAAGCTCTGTTTCAGAAGGTGCTTTCGCCGGCGCTTAGAGGTTTAGGTTCAAGGCACCCTTGGAGAAGGAGAGCGAAATGCCGCACCAATGGGGCCATCCTATCACTTACAGTCACTACTTCACTGAAACGCTTCATACTCGGGCCAATCGCCAGAAAGAAGCTTTTCTCGAGGCTCTTCGCTCATATTTTGGTATCGATACTGCTGTCTTCGATGCTTTGAGCCTCTGATTTCCACACAGGTACTACAGATCAGTCGACCTAGAGACCTCCTCCCACTCCGCCAACAGTCGTAGGGTGTCCTCACACTTCTTCCTAATGGTATCCACAGCGTCAGATCCAATAACCAATTCCGCCGGCCACTCCTTTTCAGCTGCGCCATTTTCTCCCTTAACAACATCGACAATGCGCTCGACACCTTTTCTCGCATCGCCAGCCTGGTTCCCATTCAACTCGTTGAAAATGCCCTCAAAAGACTCGTTTAGAGCCTTGTAGTCATCGAACTTGGTTACCGCGGACTTCTTATTCTGTTCACTCAAAAGCCCAGTGCGAAATGTGCCAGGCTCCACCAGGAGAGTTTTGATCCCGATGGGGGCTAATTCTCGAGACAGGGACTCGGAGGCGTCTGAATCGTGTAAGTCAGAAGATAGTTTCGAATATGGCAGAGGTGATGTGAGAATTGGCTTACAGTGTATCGCGGCCTTTGAAGCACAGTATGGTCCGACGGTGGGTGCTCCGTCCCACGCTACCATAGAGCCGATAAACACAATTGTACCGGCTTTTCTTGCTCGCATATGCGGAAGGAATGACCTAGTTGTATTGAGGGTGCCGAAGACATTCGTGTTAAACTGCGCATACCACTCATCGTGGCTGAATACCGCGATTTGTATTAGTTTCTTTGCAGGCATATGAATGGAAGGCATTGCCTCACCTAGACTCTTCGACGGTTCCAAATTGTGTGTATCCAGCATTGTTTACTAGTACATCCACTCTGCCGTACACTGCAATTGCCTCTTCAGCCTTGCGATCCAGCTCGCTTTGGGAGACAGTGATATCCAACTGCATGGTTGCAGCGCCAATCTTCTTTAAATGGGCGATTCGGTCGGCATTGCGAGCGGTTGCAATTACATTATCTCCGCGAGCCAGCACTGCTTTAACAAGTTCAGTACCTAGACCAGAGGATGTTCCAGTGACGAGCCAGACGCGAGGAGACATTGTAAGCTGTATGGTCGTGTTTTCGCGAAGAGAAGAGTATTTCTTTTGTGAAAGACTGAAAGTGAGGATCAAAAATACTCGAAACAGTACGCCAAATCAAGCTTTATCTATTGTTGAAGTATGCCAAGCTACATGACTACAGTAGTTGTGTTAAGCCCGAATGAGGGTTGGCCAGTGTATGCTAAGTCCGATGGAGATAGGCGCTAAACCCGAAATGCGCGTATCTGTGCCTTTCTGTTCCACTCCGCCGTCCCGTTGCGGGTGCGCCAAGGCCGATCCGCCAACCACACGGGACCCACCATGTACTGCTATTATGGCGTCGCCATATAGAAGGTACTTACTCTCTGAGTCTTTTTCTCAAGCATTGTCAACACTTATTTGACAAAAAGGCCATCCAGGGCCCGGTTGGCGTTGCCATGTTCGACGTCATGTTGAAACGGCAGAATGAAATCAAGGATTCAAGGAGGAGCTGCTTATCTGATTCATGCATACTGAACTCACCGACCAGACGGGATGATCGGGTTGTCTGGCACTGTCATACTCCGTAACCATTCACTTCCGCCGTCACAATGAACACACCAACAAAGAGATGTCTATACCAGCCGTCTCAGTGGAAGTTTTCCGCAGAGACTAGAGAGTATCTTCTCAAGCCTAACAAATCTCCGCTGTTGAAGAGTCTCTCACAACCTGTGATGCTGTATTGCTAAACAAGAGATACTGCTATCAGCTATTTCGATAAAATAGGCAGGAATATCTTGACTCATGTGACAAGGTCCATATGAATATGCGCGATGAAAGCGAAATCACGGGATTTGATTGGGTCAGCCAATTATCTCGCTTCATTTCTTGGCAGACTTTTGAATCCATCCAGGATACCTTTTCGATTGAGACTTGAGAACACCGACATCACAAATATTTTCAAATTCGAAAGACGCTGAAAAGATCTTTTCGTATTCCAATGGCAATATGGATTCAGGAAAATCCTTATTCGATTCCATCCCTGTATCTATTCGCACAGGCAAATCCACTTCTCTTCACGTCTTCCCTCTGGAGATTTGGGATATTGTCATCGAGCAGCTAAAACATGAAGAGTCTGCCCAGCACCTCAGCCGACTTGCGCAAACATGTCATATGCTTTATCAGAGAACTTTACCTCTTCTCTACCGTCTAGTACGCCTTGCCAACTCGGAAAGCGGGGCTCGTCTTGCTGTTGCGATAGAACAACGCCCAGAGTTGGCAGAACTCATCCATGAAATTCGACACAAGGCAGACAGTGGCTCGGAATTCCTCTCTGGACGTCATCTAAAATTTTACAATATGGCCGCTGGTTTGCCGAATTTGGAGACGCTGATTTAGAGGACAAACCCCCGACCTCATAAGTACAATGTGTTCGCCTACGAGAGTTCCCAAACGGCGGCGTGAGCACGTCGGGTGGCCAGAGAAGTCCGGACTGTCAGAGAATTCCGCGACTTAGGGTTTGGACCTCCAGGACAGTCACAATTCAGTCCTCCGGACACCGGAACGGTTCTTTTGGAGCCCGATCGTGACGACGAAACCCTATTCGGGAATGTACTTCGTCAAAATCCGCCTGGACTGCTCGCACTGCGTGTCTGTGAGATTTTCTATCTTCAGTACTTCCCAGGTATCGGCGCTAATGAAATGCAGGTCACATGGGGAGCGACCTGAGCCATGATCTACACGTTGACAACATGGACTGTGTTTGCACACCGCGATTCAACGAGGCCATTTTCCGTCCTCCAGATCTACGGGTGCTCTGTATCACTGGAGCTAAATACCACCTGAGTGACTTTGCCTATTACCCTTGGCTACCCACCGACACGCCGCTTGAAGAGTTGACTCTTTTGAACTGCATCATAGAGGATACAGATCTGATAGACTTGCTCGAAATCCCGCGAGCCTTGAAGCGGTTTACTTTTAGGGGGAACAAAGTCCTGGAGCTGGAAGACGAAGAACCTAACTATCTTCGAGCGCTGTTCAAGCATCGGGATTCACTGGAGTACATAGATTACGATCTCTACTGCGGCGGTCTTGGTTTCGCACGCTTCTCTCACTTCACCAAACTCAAGCATCTCACCGTCACGATCACCTCACTGACAAGCTCAGATTGCTTGGAGTTGGACCCCGCCTTTGATGTCCTTCTGCCACCGAGTCTTGAGAGTCTCACAATACGTTATGACCAGGTGAAATACTGGGTGCCTTCATATATCTACGGATGTGTGCAGAACGGCCGGCTCCCGAACCTGCGTGTCTTCACCTGCGAGGTAGCGAATGTTATTGATCGGCTAGTTCGGCGCAGCCCGCCTGCCACGCAAGTCTGCCAGGAGATCAACACCTGGCAAAGCCGGTTCAAGGAGTTCAATGTAGAGCTGCGCACGGAAATTGTGTGTATTTCGTGGTGGGTGACCAAGCTACCCAAATACGAGGTGTGTGCCTGCGAACGGCTGCCTTTCTTTCACGGCATGTTCCGCCATCCCGAAATCGGATTCAAAGCGATTAGGGAACCGAGTGAAGAACCAGTTGACGACAGGGCCTTTGATGTCTGGGCTGACCCCGACGATTATGATGACGTGGGCGACTACATTACATATTTTGCCTAGAAATTTGGATATGGATGACATCTTGGACTGAGATGCCGTTGAATAACTACCTAGCGGGGGCGGATTCGCTGCAACTGCCATACTTCGATACGACAAATGACAAAATTTATGGCAATGGCTATGTCAAATTTCAGCGTGCAGAACTTCAGGGGTCCGTCCTGTTATGGGCTATATCAGCTAGTAGTCACTTTCAGTCCAACCAGACCTCAGAGCTAGATAAGTAGGGCAAGGCCTCATTATTCGCTCGACACATTGGAAACTGTAGACGACTTTCCGGTCGGATGTCCGGTAAACTCTCTCTCGCTCTTCACGGCACTTCATCTCAAGTTCTACGCGTTTGTTCGTCTCCACATTGCGTTTGTGAATATGCCCCTACTGTAGAATCCCGCCGTAACCCGAATGAATCAAACAACAGGCTAAGAAGCCAACCAACGGTTAAGACTCAACAGGGATAGGTAGAGTAGGGAGGCGGGCGGGGACTGGCTGTGTTGATTGCAACATACGAGGCCCAAGTGGTTTCAGATTATGATTCAATCAGATGGCATCAGAGGTCTGATATCTTCAAGGCCCAGACCAATCCATGGGTTGCAGGCGGACAATGAGCAACGAGTACATCGACCTTATGGCTCAACTTGACCAAGAGCTATTCGACGCTCTCGAGCCAGCTTTCAAGGTGCATTTTCTTCGAACCCCGCTGTGCTTCTAAGTCTGACTCCGAATCGTCGGGCTCTTCTTCGTCATCGGTACCTTCCAAATCCAGCCAAGGATGTTGATATATGGGTCTTTCGCTGCGAGGATACCCTGTTGATCTTAACCATTCAAATATCCCACGCGTGAATCCTTCAGAAAGTGACTGTGAAAAGAGATCATATTTATAATGATCGACACCAGCCAATGTCTCATTGGCGGATAAAGACGAAGCCTGGACAGGAGGCAGGTAATCGTCTGCTCCAGGGCAGTCTTTAATTGAACTGTTGTTTGTTAAAATCCATTCCCAAGACTCATATTCTAAACAGTGAGATGTACAGCGAGCATGTTCTCGAACTGGAAGCTCTGTATCGCAAAGTTGTGTGTAGCCGAAGGGCTTCCAAGCCCACAGCGGAGGTCGATCATGGCCTTCGCAAGCTGTAATGTAAAGTAGCCGGCATTCATCATCGCGGGATATCCGTGTGTCATCATAATTGGTTGTCATTTTTGAAGTCAAGAACGTGGATGTTGTTCCAGCCCAGGCAGAAGATAGAAGATCTAGAGCCGTGTTTCCTGTTCGTATATTACTCAAGATGGACTTTGCCATATCTGCGAGAATTGCACCAAGCCAGAGGATACCGAGCTTAGGCTGCCGGTTTGCCAATAACGCAGCCACTGAACTTTCCCTTTCGCTAATCGATTCAAGAATAGCAAAAGCCGGATTCAACCAGGCACTGACGAGATTACACTCGATATCTGCATTGAAGAATGTGCTGTATAGAAGAGAATGCAAACCCCATATATTGGAACTTAACGTCATGTATCTCGGTAGCATTTCGCCGTGTTGGTTGAGAAGATCTGGAATGGAGACAAGAGGGTCACTAGCATTATCCTCTCTTTTTAGTCGAGAATCTTGTTTCGGAAAAGGTAGGGAAATCGTTCGCTTCCACATAAATGGAATACAAAGTACCCCGGCAAGCGCAACCGAGCACTGAGCGTATATGCGATGGTGAACGCAGAAACGAGAGAGATATTCGAGAGCGACGACCGATCCTGATGAGTTCGACTCGGCACTCAAAGGATAACGTGTGGCCAGGGCAAGCCCGGCATTATTTGCCGACACCGACCACGGCGACAAATAAGTACGGCCGTTGTAATCAACAGTGGCATCCCATCCGTCACCAGAACATAAGAGGTTGCGCCACCAGAGAGCTTCTTGTTCACAAACATTGTCGCCAATGTCAACTTCAATCACGGATTGCTTATCCGACTCCGGCAATACATTATCTGCCTCCTGTGCGGTATAGGCCATATGACATTCATGATCAGCAGAGCTATTAAGCAATTCGACCCATCGAGCAGAGAGTATATATGCCCACGCAAGATAAAGGACTGACAGATAGTTCCCCTTGTCGTACCCCGACAGTCCGCGAACTCCGGGCCAATCTGAGAAGGGGGCGTCTTCTGACAACGTCACATTTGTCCGACTGCCTACTGCTAGTAGAAGTTGCTTAGGCATGACCTTTGGCTGTAAATCACACTCTCCTTTGGAAGTTCTCCAAATCGACACGCCATTGATGTAAAGACTGCCCTGCTCCTTGCAATCGAACGAGGTGGTCTTGTCCAAGCTAGGGGAGGCCACCACCTAAGAAAGGTGGGGTTCGACTGACGAGAGATCTCAGGTCAATGGCACGCCGGGGGAGCAGGCTATCCTCGCTTTGGGTATCGAGATAGGATGACCATGTTGCGAGACTCTCCTCGAGTGTGCGGCGGAATTCATCATCACTTGGGCATGCAGCATCACCCATCCTCACAAACTGGTGGTCTGGGAAGGCTAGGTGGTAAGTGGTTTGATTCTTCGGGGCGTATTTGACAATTGACTCAGGTCTAGGTGTCAAAGGAAGATGTTGCCACTGTTACTTCCTCAAGGCAAACAAGTTACAAAGGAGTTAAGGAGAGTAAATAGAGGGGACAAGTCTGAAGTCTGAGGAAGGGAAAACAAGAAAACTATTGAAGGAGGCGGGCACGAACGGCGGCACAGCCTACTACTCAGGGGTTCTGAGTGGCGTAGTCGTGGCTGGTTATCCCTTAGTACGATAACTTATCCAGTGTGGCTTGCTACTAGACATAGAAGGTTTGCTGATATCCTTTTTGGTATTCTCTTTGTACATTATCGCCTATTGCAACACATTATGCCCGTGCGGAATCATCGTCATCAAGGTCCGGTCGTTTTCCCCGCTGCAGCAGGTTCATTCGGGGTCCTCCAACCATCGGATCGGTTGGCAGGAATCGGTCAGTTGGTTCGGTCGGTTCGGTAAGTGGGGACCGGTGCCAAACAACAACAATCCTCCAAACGTTCAATATAACAAACTGCGAAAAGATAAGTGGGCGAAAGACGATGTTGATACATTCAAAGATGTCCTATTGACATATCATTGTACTGTAATAAAAAGTAGTCGGCCTTCCCTCCATATTTGGTCCAGTTTCGTCCACACCAAAGCCTTGTCGTTAAGAATCCAAAACACACAAATCCCATGCTAATGTACACAGAACGAATAGCCACACCTAATGTCCCCGATCCGAGGATGACAAAATACCCAGTCTCTTCATCTCTTCTTTTGAGACGGTGACATCCCAGATCTTCAGTTCCTGGCCCTTGTCCAGGTTGTTCTGCTCCATGGTAGACTTGCGCTGGCTGGACTCCCGGATGACCAAGGCCTTGCTGGACAGGGCCAACACATCGACCAATTCGGCCATTCGTCGTGATTTCACGAAAGCATGAGTGATGTGCTCGCAGTTCGCGGCCCATGTCGACACAACCATGCATAAAGACAACAGGTCATGACGCTCGAGGGTGTGGCTGGAATAGTACATGGCGTTGTGGTAGTCGAGAATCAACTCGGGAATGTAGGTCGTCCGAATATGTTCGAAGTCGTCTTCTTCTTCGGCTGTAGGAATGCATTAGGTTCGAGCTTTCAACGTCACAACTTCAAGTACTTACCATAGGCAGATCTGGGTAACCAATCGGGATCAATAATTGTAGCAATGCAGTCTTCCATTGAACCAATGTGGTCGGTCAGTTCTTGGCTCATGTCTTGCAAGGCGCCCGAGTCTCGTCGGCGTTTGGTCCTAGTTTGATTAGTCTTCACTACAACACAGAACAGCACAAGACAGCACTCACTTGGACATCTGCTCATGCACCAGGGCAAACTGTTCTAGAGCATCAAACCCGAGAGCCAGACACTCTAGATCTAGTATCCTTTGAGCCTTGGAGTACGCGGCGTATAGTGACACATCCTTCGAGCCGGAAAGGCTTCGTCTGTGGAGACTGTTCCTCTTTGATTTGGTTGGGCTCGTTGGTGTAGGCGGCACACTTTGTCCGTCTTCTTGCGGAGGCATAGAAATGATGTCGGATCCGAATTTCTCAATCGAGATGTCAGTCAGGCGAATACGGTAGCCCAGTTCGCGAGCAGCGGCAAGCTTGTCGGCAACTAAAAAAGTCAGTCGGGCTATTTGAGTAATAACAAGGGGGTAAACGAACGGAAGAATTGGCGATACAGCCATGATCCAAGATCGCAGATTTTGTCCCACTGGCCATCTATGAAGCGAAGCCACTCCAGACTGCGGATCAATTTATCGTCTTCCGGAGCGACAGATGTTCCGATCAAGTCAGTCTTGGGTGACACCAGGGACCGAGAACCATCAGGGCGTCGAAGCACCCTGGAATAGCCAGTAACTCCTCTGGAGTGGTCAACCATGGGGATATTTTGCTTCACCAACGACCATTGGACATCCAGAACGGTCTCCATGTTAATATTGTGTTTCCGTGCGAGGCGGACTTGCTGCATCTTCTCTTCTGGGTCGATAATTTCGATGAGAATCTTAGCCAAAACATTGTGTCCCATTGCCGTGGGAAGATGAGACACGTAAAGAGGAATGAGGTCATATAGACCTCTTTCTTCCAGGTTGGCAATGTGTCCAGCCACGATAATTGACGCTGTCTCGGCGAAGTGGGTGTCTACGCGAGCGTAACCCCTGGCACTGGCCACAAGGTAGACATGTGCTGCAATTCTGACAGCCTCTTCATCATCCGCAGCTATGAGGAAGGATTCATCAACTGGCGCGCGCGCGACCTCTGGGATAACAGAGTCCTTGCCGTATTTATCGGCGCCAATTTGAGACACCGCCTGAGCCAATGAAGGGAAGAATGAGTCGTAGCCTTTACTAAGAATTGCGGCTTGGATGTTGCGGAACGGATTGCGCGCCTCTCCACTGACCCGGTCATTGCCCTTGAGATAGACAAGGAACTTTTGAAGCTCTGCGTGGCCAGCGGGTTCAGGAACAAATGCGACAGGAGTATTAGGGGAGTGACTGAGTTTGCGCTGGAACTGCTTGCAGAATCCCTGATAGCGCGTAAGCACGACGCGGTTGAAATACACGTAGAGGAAGTCGTCCCAGCTGCGGCAGACACTGGCTGCAGCATCAGTTTCGCCAGAAAGCAGTGCGTAGACTGCTCGCTGGAATTCATCGGTACTGGCATTGCGTGTGAGCGCAGAACAAGCGCTACGCCATGAATCGTGGGCTCGGCTGTTCATCAAACGAGTGTGGCCATCGTCGGATGGGTATCGAGAACTTGCGGATTTGGGATCGACGCTGGAGCCGCACAGACTGACGGCCCTCCATCCCTCCAGACGGCCCTCTGCCCATTCGCGAATCTTGGTCCAGCTTTCGCCTTGTCTCAACATCTTCCAGCAAGTGATCCAGGTGGCGCGTTCGAAGAACTGATCTTGCTTTTCCAAGTTGTGCTTCTGTCGAGAAATAGCATCCGGATCGAGTTGCGTAACCAAGGGTTTCTGGTCATCGTTGCTCAAAAGAGAGCGCGAGATTCCCGGGTCATTGGGCTCGATAGGTTGAGGCCAGGCGCGCAAACGTTTGTGACCCTTGATCGCTTCCTTTGTGTAAAGCCATCCAGTCGTCCAAAGCCCCTGCCCTCTTTCGGACTGGGCCTCCATTTCCGTGATGAGAGTGTCGAATTCCTGGCTTGTTGTCTTGGAAGTCTCCTCCAACCATCGCATGGCAACGACGCATTCAAGACCATATTGGTCGGCATTGAGGAATTCCTCCCAGATTTCGCGATCGGTTGAGTAGCGGTGGAGGTTCTGGAAAGCCGTCTGGCGCCCTAGCTTGTAACTAGCCCGACTTGAAGGGTCATCAATACTGATCAGGTTGAGCAGTAGACGCCAAGTATCGGCCTCAAGCTGCAATCGCCGGACTTCTTCATAAGTTTTTGGAGATTGCGGTCCGCTCGAGGATCGGAAGCCCTTTTTTGTCCGGTCAGCGGTCTGTTGTGTTTCGATTTCCTTGATCGCATTGTTTGCAAGGTCGCGATAGCTCTGCACAAGCTTGTAAGCAGCTTGGGCGCTGCTGAAATCATCGGTTGAATTGTCGCGCTTGAACTGATCCAGCTTATCGGCGAAAGCTTCAATCTGACGAGTGACGCGGTCGGCCGTCCGGCGAAGGGGATGCAGCGCTTCCTGGGCGCCTGCGGCAGTGAAGAGAGGGGCGTCTAATGTATCATTAGGAAACGCGATTCACGCAAAGTAAATAACAAACCAACCTTGGAGCTTGCCCGAGTTTCCGAAGACAGATTGGATGGAGCGCTCTTGATCCGATTCATCGGACCCGGTTTCCGATGCGGTCTCGCCATCCATATCCTCATCCTCATCTTCATCTTCAGATTGGTCTTCCGATTGGTCTTCCGATTGATCCTCTGACTGGTCTTCCGAGTATGATTCCCTGTCGCCTAATTCCTGATCGCCGTCAACAGGCTCATGTTCATCATCGTCGATACTGATGATCTCTTGTCTGTGTGGCTGGGCAGCCTAGGCAAAGGATTAGCTTGGAAAGAACATAGGTAAAATAGAAATAAAAGCCTCATCATACCGGTGTAAACATAGAGGCCCCAGCGGCCGATCGAGTCAATGGCGCCATGATGTAGACTGGGTTGGAAGGGAGAGAGAGCTCTGAGGAATAAGTTGTGTTTGTCTCTTTTGGTTTTTGGGGCGCGTTGGCAGACTAACCCTAAAGTAGACTAGCGGCAATACTGGAAGGCTATTTCAACGAATTTTCACCCGCGCCCTTCTCTCTTTCTTTTCTTTTCTTCTTCAATGTCTATAGGCTTTCATTAGAGTCTCGGTACGAAAGATTCAATATTCGTGCAGGTCCATGAGGCCTCTCTGCGTGCTCAAGATTGTCTTATAATAAATGCAGTTCTTCAATTAGCCTGGTTTCCTCCATATGGAAACTCAGACCGCAAGGGAATTGTGACATCCTCCATTTTCGACATGGGTCACTCTAAAAATTTAATATACAAGTAGCCTCACTGTTTGTCTGCTGCTTGCGCTCGTTGTTTCATCTTCAAGCGTAACAGATTTGCTTTAGGGCAACTGACAGTCGATGCCTGGTCACCACGCTCTTGGTAGAACGCATTGCAGCATTCATACAAGGCATCAATTTGTGCCTGGCATTTCGCCTCGTCAAAGGAGTTCTTCTGCAAGCAATCTGGCTTCAATTAGACTGGTGTAGACATGCTATGAGCTGGAAATCACCTTGAATGGCGCACTATGGTACTGTCAGTAATATTCTGGCAACGCCTATAAGCCAAGCAATGACCTCAAGAAGTCTAAAGAGACCTGGACAAGACAAGATAGGGAGACATACAGCACGCGGATGGCAGGGTTGATCGTGCGACAGATCTTTCTTCAAATCACCCTACAAGGGTATCAGCTTCTATTCAGCATATTCTGAATGATAGTTCATACCATAATGCAACAATTATCAAACACGAACCAGTAGTAACGCTGTTCCTTGGAAGTGACGAAAGTGATAGAAGCGGAAGACAAACGCAAAATAGATTCTCCGCCTTTAGACCGTGGGGCGAGTCGCTATTCTGCCGTCGCCGCTGATCTCTCTTTCTTTCCTCCCTCTCTTAACCTTACCTTTTCCATACTACTAGCTCTCTTGCTTCAATATATTGTCGTCTTAGTGGGTGCTTCACTTTCCGTCTCATTTTTCACTGGCATCAATACTAACTACTTACTGAGTTCAGACAAGCTTCAGAGGCCCTCTCTAAGTGAAACCGCGATCGATCAACTTTTGTAAGCATTCTCTATCGCCATTCTGAGCTTCAGGCGAGGTGGTCTCTGACAAGATCCAGTCTACAAGCAACGTTCATCATGTCCGACAAAGAATCCGCCGCTCCCCCTTCCGAGCACCTGAACATCAAGGTCACGGACAACAACAACGAAGTCTTCTTCAAGATCAAGCGCACGACCCAGCTCAAGAAGCTCATGGATGCATTCTGCGAGCGCCAGGGAAAGCAAATTTCCACAGTGCGGTTCCTGTTTGACGGCACCCGTGTGCGGCCTGAAGACTCGCCCGAAACTGTAAGACCTCCTGCTCTCTTTTTCCCTCTCTTGATGCCTAGAGCTTCTGTGGCTAACATTTGAAAAGCTGGATATGGCTGATGGTGATACCTTGGAGGTTCACCAGGAGCAGATCGGAGGAGGTTGCTAGGCGACGGCATGCCAGGGCTGACTGAGCCCGCCGAGGCGACATACGTGTGAGATCGGCATGGGCGTATAACTGTGGGAGTTTAGAGGATTCTTATCACAGCCCGTGGGCGGCGAGGGGGCGGGCGGTGGAGTGCATACTGCTTTTCTTTTATGAATGACGAACTTTCAATGGGCACCCAGTCTCCCACGGAGATAATGAAGGTATTGCCTCAGCTGTATCAAGTGTCTTTCTCCCGAATCTCCGTAGGGATGAAGCCAACATCACACGTAGATGCACTCTGTCTGGATGGTTCTCGGGTTTTCTACTAAGATCCGTGATTATGGCGCGTACTGATGTTGTGGACGCTCTTTTCCATTTCTGGACTGCAAAAGCTCACATATTGCTGCTTCGAATGCACGTTGCTATATTATCATATAGGTACTGTCCGTAATCACCAGCAGCCTTTATCAACACTTCCATATTATGGGCTTCTCCAGGACTCAAGGTCCAAAGAACTGCACTAGTCATAACTTCACTCCCGTCTGGGCCTTCCAGATCAAAAATACCCAGGCCCCCCGCCGAAATCAACCAACCGACAATCAGAGGAGATATATCAGCGGGGGAACCTTTCAACAATATATACACATACATGGACAGTCCAGCAAATCAAAACACACAGTTCACCGGGCCAGACCATCTAACTGTTCCAAATAGACGCCTTAGCCTTTTCCTCCTCCTCCTTAGCTTTAGCCTTCTCTTCACGCTCCCGATTCCGCCTCTTAATTTCCTGCTCCTTGACCGACCGATCATAAGCCCTCTGCTGCTCCGTCCTCTTTGGCGCCCGGATCCCCAACGCACCAGCAATCAAGCGCTCCGCAACAGCAGTCTGCTTCTCCGGCCGCCGGGCCGGCGGCTCTCGTGCCGAAGTCGCAGGCCGCGCATTCCACGGGTTCGAGGTCTGCGGCGAGATGGGCGTCGGCGGCGGACCTAGCGGGTCCTCAGTGCTGTTGGTTGGCGAGAGGACCTGGGTAGCGTCTTGATCGCGGGATTGGGCATCTTCTGCATCCGAGACGGAGAGCTCTGCTTCGTCTTCCCAGGAATCTGCGACAGGCTCACGGGCTTTCTTGGGCTTTGGTTTAGGGGTCGGAGTTGTGGACGTTGAATTTGTGATACCTTTCACGTTTGGTCGGTGGACATCTTGCACTGGGCCCTTTTCGCCTATGGATAGGTTGCGGAGTGTGGATTGGAGTTCGGCGCTCGGATCGGACATGGTACCGGCACGTGAGGTTGGATTGCGCGGGTGCAAGCAATGGGGTATACGATGGTGTGATTGGGATGATTGCTGGTCGCCACCAAGGGGAGCATATATATACGCAGTACAAGATTATTGTCGTTCTATGATTTGTGTTGTACCCGAAATAGATGTAATGGCGTCAGTGCTACTTCCATCCCTGGTCGATCGTGGAGAAAAGGAGGGCTAGACCATCCTGGGCCGCTTTTCTGCCTCAGGATAGTCAGGCATCAAGCAGCCTTTGAATTTCTATTTTTGTTTGGACATCTGTTTTTGTTGTGTATTCTGGGCTATGAAATCTTGTACGGAGCAAGGCATTACTTCCATCGAAGTTCCATGCACACGGGCAGTGGATATCTCTGGCCAAAAAGCAGGAGTATCGATTTATCCGGACTGTTTCGCATAAGAAGGGACCACTTGTGGCTCACTAGAGTCACTACCTATATGTATCAGAGGTACTGCTGGCCTGATGGTAATCTGTGAGTTGGCCCGTTGGGTTGGTTCGTTTGCGCCGCGGGATGCCGTAATGGTCACCCGGTGGATATCAGGGGAGGTCCCGTTTTCCGCGCTTGGGATCAAGATCAATTGTATGAGTCCAGTTCGAACCGCTTCTCTGACAAAGTGGTACCGGGAGGATGACTCCGTTCCATTTTCACCCAAGACCTTATACTGCCATTTCTTCCATGATCCTTTCGTCGGTCCAAAAGTGTCTTAAATGAGCCCAGAACATCTTTACTCGCACGAAGTCTTCCGAGTCATTGAACAAGAACGGGACAATGTGGGCAACGTGAGACGGTGAGTGCTTTTGTAAACCCATCAGCTGCATTTTTCTTGGTATCAACTCGGCGGATGTTGACATGGCCTTGTGCAACTGCATCTTTGACGAAGAAGTAGCGTAGTGTGAGCCAGCGTTTTGCAGATCTGCCTCCTTTCGAGAGAAGCAGCTGCGAGTTGATATTATCTGTCAGAATCGTTGTCGGATCCGGCCTTGGTATCTGTAGCGAGTCAGATATCTTGCTTAGCCACATGGCGTCACGGCTCGGTTGATCAAGAGCCCACAATGCCAAACACGGTGCATCTTGAATGGCACAATGAAAATCGTCACGCTCTTCACTCTTGGCACTAATCGAAAAGTTAATAGAGTTAATTTATCACTCCTCTCATGTCGGATAACTTACCTGTTCCTTCGCGCGCGTCCGTTGGCCTTTCACTTAGTCGCCGTTTCCCAGCCTCGTCGCCGATAAGCAATTGTTCGTTGGCGATATTGTGCGGCCCGACTGCCCCCACCGGTCTAATTGTAATGTTTCCGATGGCTTTCCCAAGCTTGCTGTTCGAATGGGGTTCCAGGGGTTTTGGCGTCTCGTTCGAATGTATCCCACTTCTGCAATGGTCCGTTGTACCAAACCGGCTGCAAAGCAGTCCACCCGGTATGGCTGGGTCCGGTCAGCAAACATGGTATTTGTTACAAGCCAGATGGGAAAAGGAACAAAAGAGATGAGTTGATCCTGTGGTGGGATGGAGAAGGAAAGAGAAAAGAAGAAGAGCTGGGCAGAAGAACCCTTTTTATGTTCTTCTGCCATGCTTGCTAGTTGCTCCTTCCCTTAGCTGTCATTTCGTCACATGATCGTCACGGGCAGTATGCGCTCCTCCATTGCCCTCTTAGCCTGTTGGATTTTCCCACCTCTTTTGAAGATATAATCACTCGGTCAATCTTTTGAACTTGACACTAAACACTTGTAATGCTTGCGTTTGCAAATGAAATGTGAGCAGCGACGAAACAAATGAAAAAGAACAAATGAAAAGGAACAAGAGCACCTTCCCTGAAGAGTGTTGAGTGTTCATCTGTTTAGTACCTTCCTAGTGAATTGGAGAACGAGTGCATATTTGATTATTTTTATACTACTTCTTGGAACCCCAGAGGTGCCGGTTCGTCGCTGGCATAATACGTGCGTCACCTTTGGCCCAGCGTATCTCCAGTCGCAACCGAGGCACGGTACGGCAGCTGTTGGAAAGTTGGATAATATTAATGTAGACAGTGAAGGATGAAGAAGTGAGTGGAGTATAGATGGGAGAACATTGTTTTCCGGCTCAGAAGCCCCAGCGTAAGTTGAGAGACCGTCTTCACCGGAACGACAACTGCCAGAAGCCGGTTAGTGATATAGCAAGTGGTGGATGAAATGAGCGATTGAGGATCCGACAATATCAAGATCGATTGCCTGTGTAACCTGATGCCATGAACGAGGTACTTGGGACGATATTTAGGTTACAGGCAACCAAAGACTAACCGCATCTAATGGGCAATGATCTGAGACTTCTGTTCCTCATGATAAAGGGCAGAATCTTTCTTATTCAATTTTCATATCCTCCACTGCTCTGGATTCCCCTTTCAAATTCGACTCTACTCAGAATTGCTCCGGGGCTTTTTGCTGAAACAAAACTTGAGCAAAACAAAACAATGGGTTTTGGCAGCTGGCGCCTATACGTCTTCGTAGAGAGCCATAGCAGGTCAAACACTTCCACCAATTCCTCTCCCTCACATCAGCTAGCTTTCATACAACACAAGTTCCAGGATCTCTGTTTGCATTGTTTTCGAAACGCGTGGAACTTCAGGGCATGAATTTGTCCTAGGAATGGCCATTTGTGCTACTATCCAATCTATGAAACCTAAAGTTCGACCACAGCCAGGTCCAGTGGCCAGCAATGTCTATTCCCTTGAAGAACTTCTTCCGACTCCCACCGACATCCATAATCAAACCATGGCACTATTGAGAATAGGGTGGCTTGCATGTAGAGATGCAATGCGTCGGGCGAATGCCCAACCAAGCTTAGTGCGATACTACGTTCCCCCAGGCAGATCCCGTGTTTATATCTGCCCCAGATTTTTGGTTAACCACAGATCATTCAAGGTTTTGGGCGTGATGTGCATGTGAAAATGCCAAGATATTTCTAGATATTGAGTTATGCTACAACGGACCACGGTAAACCTTGAAGTTAGACAGCCAATGCTCCGACTCCGACTCCGAGCGACCTACCTATGAGCACGGATATTAGATAAATCAGGGAAATGCCCTTGATTATGTACAACAAGGTGGTTACACATGCAAAGCGGAAGGTAAATCCACAAAAGGTACGCCGAAGTCTAGCCAGAAGAATCACAGCTCATGAGTAAAAGATGTTGGAAGAACTTTGCCCTTCTCCATGATATTCTCTAGCTATTTTGTTCCATGTACATGGTATTAAAAGAATGTGGGAACATACATCTGGGATTCAGTGCAAGAGGAAGACAGCGATGCGAGAGATCCCAGATAGCCCAGTTGATAGCCAGAAATGATATACCCGGAAAGAAGATGAGCGCGAGATCAGCATGTTGAAAAGCATTTCCCCGCACACCAGGGTATGTTCTAGCCCCCAATTTAAGCCTTGGTGGCAACGGGGGGAATGTCGATGGGGTGGCCGGCGGAGCTGCACTGCGCTACGACGATGTTGGAGACGGCTGGGAATTCGCGTTAGCCGGTGAAACTGGGCTTGTCAATTGGTTAGAGAATGTGATTGGTTTGCACTTACAGACGCGGTCGTTGTAGCCGCAGGCCGCCTCAACACAGGGGGTGATGGTGGTGACAAGCTCGGGCTTCTGGCAGTGGCACTTGAAGTCGAGGAGCTGGGAGCAGCCGTCGCTTGTCAGGGCGCTGACGAAGCAGTTAATCTGGGTTGGTGTTAGTAAACCTGCTTGAACGGGTCTATGTGATAGATAGAAATATTGTTCCAGGAACGCACCGAGCATCTGGGAACATTGGGAAGCTGGGCGCTGGCGAGGCCGGCTGCAGCGATGGCAATCATGGTGGTGGAGAACTTCATATTGACGAGAGGCTGGAGTTTCTTGAAGAAGGTGTTATAGAAGAGTAAATGCTGGATGAGACGGAGAAAGAAGATGTCTCGACCTAGGCGGGTGAGGGGCTTCTTATAGCTTTTCCCAGCTTCATACAACCTACTATCCTCATGGAGGATTCCACGAGTGTGACGAGTCAGTAGGGTTGCACCGTTTAGATAAAATTATCACATGTGACACAGTGGCCGACATGATGCTTCAAAAGAGGCCTTTTCTTCAGAAGCATTGTCAAGACCGCGGTTGAGGACTTGAGGTTGACTTAGATCTGTGATTATCACGGATGGAGGCCCCAGACCCTCAATTGACCGCCAAGCCTAAGGAATAACACGGGCCGGACCGCTAGTGGATGGCCAAGTGGATTGCCAAGCCTGAGGGCTGAGGCGGGGTTTTTGCATTCTCCGAGTCCATTGAGTGTTCGCCATTGAGTGTTCGGGCGAGAACAGCGGGCTTCATGGGGGGATCGAGGGCATCTAACACAAACGTATTCTCGTATTCCCAGGCCTGAGGTCATACCTAGACCAGGCCCCAGTAGAGTCATTAGAATAGGCTAGCCTTGAGGCAGTGTCCATTCGTGGTGGGTTTTTCTGGTCAAGCGGCCGAATAAAGTCAATGGGTTTGATTTCTTCGCCAGTCAGGCTAGATTGAGGCCTCGAACACAAGCTTATACTCTTGGAGATGAATCAACGCATGATGTATGAGAATCGACGACCCTGATATGAGTCATATAACAAGCGCTCATGAATTTAATGACGGTCGTACTCGTACCACATCAGGAGTGGGGATGTTCTGGGATCATCCGAAAATCCGGGGAAGATGAAGACTCCTGCAGGACTCGAGGGGAGGTAGTATCGTAGTAAGTACTAGGCCAAAGTAGGCATTCGTCCGCAGCGTCCGATGCATTGCATCTCTGCATACTTAAGTTCAATGTAATCTGCTTATAGTACATCAAAGTTAAACAATGTCAGAATTTCCAATTTGTATTGTCCAATCCCAGGGGAGCCCCGGCGCTTACCTAGGGCTATTTTATCCCTATAAGCACCCGAAATGGGTATACGGTTGATAAGGCCTCGGTTATCTTATGAGGGGAGGGTCAAGCAGATGCAATCATCGCTCAAACACGGAGTCCGGACCATCAAGGGTAGCACTCAATGCCTAGGCGAGATGACATGCAGACCGCGCTGCAAACCCTTGAATATAGAGAGTCTGTATACAGAATGTGAACAGGACATGTGTACAGTACCTTCTAAGAAAGTATCAACAAAAATCTTCTGTCCAGTTGTCGATATCGACTTGTGGGGCTGACTACTGAGTTCCAGACGGGTGTTAGCAAGCCTCCCGTCAACTGGCGAATCTCCCGTCAACTGGCAAGGCTAATTCAGGCATGGGAGGTGGGATTAGCCAAATGGGAGGTGTAATTAACAATCCCCTAATACCTAATACCCCAGCCACAGCATGTACAGCGAGCTAAACCGGGTTAATGAGAACGTCATCATCATCGTAAACTCTAAAGCAACACGTGCCGCGTCTGATCTGGTGTTTAATCATATGGCAAAAGGTATCAATTTTTCTCAAACCACTTGCCGACGCTCAGTGCTGGCTGTTTAGATTACAGTCCAAACAAGCGAAAAAGAAAATGAAAAACATACAACAGTGAGGATTCGCTGGTGGTCACCCACCCAACTACTAACTCACCGGCGTGTGGCTTAAGTACGGCTGAGCGGACGGGAAGCCCTGTTTTCCACACCCTATGGTCGTATGTACTTGATATAATGGTGATTAGGCTTAACTATAACTATCCAGTCTAACAAGTGATTGGGTAAGCTGAAGTGTACGGGTTCGATTGATAAGACGGCGTTCAATACCTACGATCTGGGGAAGTACGACGGGAGTGGCTGGCGATGCCTTTTTGGCTGTGCAATGCAGCTGCAAAATTCCAGTCCATACGCAGAAGATCTCGATGAAATCCAAGATAGCAATGATATGTCAGTGATAACCTAACCGACTTGACGTGGACATAATGCCTTGTATCAGTCATTAGAGAGGATAGCTACAAGCCAAATGCACACTTGTAATGCACATATTCTGTCACCAGTGATAGTTACGCTTCAAAGTGATTGCATAATGCATAAATCAAGAGTCGCCACGAAATCAAAATACTCGCCTTTAAGAGCATTTACCACTGCCATTTCTCCGGGTGGAGGTACCAGTCCCCTCCTTCACTCGGCTCCGCCAGTTCAAACTCGACGTAACGAGCCTCTGACCATTTAATTTCATCGTGAATTGGCCATCCCCTTCGGAACCCCGAGATATGACTAAAATCCGTTAGTACATATTTTCAACGCATATAGGGCATCCAAGACGTACAGCTTGCCTGTGGACGGATCAAAGATAATTTTCGAGATCCTGGATTGGCCTGGTTTTATCCCGCAACTAAGTAGCTGTCTTTGGATTATGTCAATCTCCCTCTACCTGCCTGTCAGTGCCTGAGATTTGCATAGACTTACTCATATGTGTCGCGGAACTTAGCCCGGGTTTCGTTGCGCGCGGTTATATCCAAGCCCCAGAAGAATTCCTTTGTTAGAGGCTCCCTGGGACCTTTTCCCACACAAGGTATCTAATGTAGCCTCCAGGAAGAAGGTCATTGTCTCCTTGTGTACTTTCTGCGTGACCAAGAAAGCGAGGAACGGCGCCACAGCCTGCACTCTGCAACCTTTTGAAGGCCTCAAACTCGCCACAAACTCCAGGAGCAACAGCTTGTCTAGCCAGAGTGTCGTGGTCGGCATCTTCCGTTCCGGTGAGAGGAATCTGCTGATAGATTCGCATAAACGCCTCCTGGCTTGGGTCCTCTGCGGCGTGGCATAGGAACTTGCCAACTGTTTTAGCTGAACCGCGGCCCATCTTGACATCATGATCTGTCATAGGGGCTGCCCTCTCGATGAGTTTCTTCGTGATGACCCAGTGCTTTCGGGGGACTACTGACGCGTCATCCGAGACAAGGTCGTATGTGGTGACCGTAGTACCTACAAGGCCGCGGAGCAATCGAGCATCGAAGCAGGTTATTCTGGTATTTGATGCCATGGTGAGGACTGCAAAATATAGAATTTTGGAAAGTAAGATGACTCGTCAGCGATGCGTGTTCAGCTTAGGGGAAGAAAGAACACAAATGAACACAACGGTAAGTGAATTGAAAGTGATAACTGAGATCATAGTTATGGTAGTTATGGCAGTAGTAGTACGTACTAGTAAACATGTCGCCTCGACATCCACATGTGGGTCCAGCCGTAGTGGAGAAGGCCCGATATTGATAGGCCCAGGCCGTACTGAATTCCTTGGCAGCTGTAATTAATTCGAGTGAGTACATAATAAATTACCTTTTAATACATACATTCCAGATAGGGCTACTAGCAGAGACCTTCGGGTCAACTGGCGAGCTAGCCGGTCATAATCATGTGGGTCAACTGGCGAGCTCACTAACACCACCGCAGTCCCTTATTGCATTCTGAAAACGACTGACATTGTCCTTTTTACCAATACCGCCCAATGGTATTGGAAGATTTAATATAAACAATGGTGTATTAGGTATCCTTGCTCTATAGCCTGAGCTGCAAAATACATCAACCGCTTGAAGATGTGGCCTATAGCAAAGGTAACTGGTGGTTTCCATGTGGGTTGCAACTATGAGACCTCTCATCCTACCTTACCATCCACAGTTACTTGTTATCCATGGCGACACGTACATGTTAACTGTTAATCAGGACACTGGATTTCCAAGGTTTCCGCTGTAGGCGCAATACCAGATCAGGTTACCCTTCACATACGACATGGATGATTCTCATCTCTTGCAGAAGCCAGAAAGCAAACAGGTACCACTTCTTCGATTGTCGTTTTCTATATCATATATAGTTAGTGCAATCCTGAAACAATATCGAAGATGATTCGTACTCTGTCAACACTGAAGGGATAGGTGAACTCTTGAGAAACAGCTGTGCCTTGATGCATCCATCATCAAGAACCACTCATCCAACATTTGGTCTTTTCTTGACCATAGTCAGCCATTGACGAATGTGCAAACTCAGTGAAGCCCTTTTGAAATTGTGCCACCCTCGGACAGGCGAGATATCAGGAACTTCGCTTCGCCTTGGGAATCGGATGCGCAAATAACAATAAAAAGGAAGTAAAAAATAAAATACTATCTATGGACGCAGTATGGAACGTAACGGAGACGAAAGAAGAACCATGCCAAAGTAAGGTAGATGGTTTGTCGTTCACGTAGGTTGACGGGCTCTCTCCCCTGAGATCATGTAGTCTTCACGGCTCAGCGTGTTGGTGGACCACTTATTTTGACGGCTGTCAAATAATTTACAAGGTAGGTGTCGTAGGCATCAGATGGGTTTGCTCGTGTGCCTCTGGCGCTCATCTTGGATACTTGGACATGGAGCCTGAGCTCTTCCGTCTTGTCGTCGCCTTTGACTATATCCGGTCTCCACGCTTCTTCAATTGAGATACTGAAACCGTACTGAAAAGCGCCTTGATTCGTTACCTGTGTATTCGTGAGTGGTGTTTTTTTCATATTGTAGCATTTCCATTTCTCGGCGTGGCGGCCTCAGGTTCTTGTCTGGCGTTCATTGAGGTAGTCGTGCGTTCATTGAGGTAGTCGTGCGTTCGTTGTAGTCGTGCGTTCGTTGTAGTCGTGCGTTCGTTGTAGTCGTGCGTTGCCGTTGACATCTCCGGCGAGAGACACGGTGACTATATAACCTTTCTCTTCACTTGTGGTGTTCATTCCTCTTCACCCATCTCCAACTTCTTCATCGCCCATCTGCAAGATCTTCTTCACGCATCTCCATATTTTCTCTCCTCCGTCTCTCTTCCGTCTCTTTCCCGTCTCTCTGCTCTGTGCCTCTTCCCGTTTTGGCGTGTCCTTTCAGTAACATCTGTCCACCCAGCTGTTTATCGGGTTCTAACCTCGTCAACCACTTGGTAAGTTGAATCATCCATCCATTTATCACCACCTTGGTGTGTCATAGCAGCACTCTCTAATTATGGCCTTCCACACAGTGCTTTCCTACCCGTAAGCACACATGATGGCTGAGAAGGCCGGATCGACTGGTCTTGGGAACATGGCGAAGAACGACATACTCAACCTAACAGTCGAGCTCATGATATCTCGCCTGTCCGAGGGCAGAACACTTACCAAGAAGGCTCTCCTGGATTTTAGCATTCGCCAATGGTTGATAATGGTCAAGCAACATGACAAGGCCCCGTGGCGGGTTTCCAAATGTGTCTTTCTTATCCTCATCAATTTTACCACCGCTCAGAAAGCGGAAGAGATAAGGAATATGCAGATACCCGATACAGCCACTGATTCGGAGAAATGGTCGGCCATGCTTCGGCCCCTGCTCAATGACAAAGCAGATGATAGGCTGCTGCAACACTTGGAAGAGCTGCCTGAGAGAATTATCACCTGTGCCGAGCTGTTGTCTCCAAACCTAGGTAAGCACACTGTTCAACTCGATCATCGGCGAGAGAAGCTGACCATACGAAACTCGGTAGAGAGCCTCGATCACCCCCCTGTCCTCGATCACCCCCCTGTCCTCAATCACCCCCCTGTCCTCGATCATCCACCTGTGATCTCAACCGGATCTGAACAATCCGGGCGCGAGATACGTGCGATCATAAGATCCGGTAACCGAGCGCACATGAAACAAATGCCAGAGGTATTCTACCTCACTAGCGCCGTCGCCTGGACAGTGAAAGCACAATATTGGCCAGTCGCCTTGGCCACAGATTCGCATGGAAATCGCTTTTTGGAAGACAATGTTCTTGATCGTGCTCTCCCAAAGTGGAGACTCATTCTGAATGGCGAAAAGCTTCGGATGGCGAGGCATCCGACCATAGCAGAGCCTCTCAGTGCGTGGCTGGCTGCCGAGAAACAGAAGGCCAGTCGTCTCGGCAAGCCTTGGCCCCGACTCCAAGGATCTCCCACTGTCATGGGCTCTGCGCCACCTCCAGGACATGCTCACACGTCTTCTTTTGGAATAGAAGATCCTCGAGAGGTCGAGCAAACACGCCTGCTTCAAGAATTACTTGGAGAAGTGAAAGAGCTGAGGCAGCTGGCTGAAGAGGTTCTTCGGGGGAATAGGGTTCATCCCATGACACCCAATCCGCAGCTCACGAATGTCGCGATGTCTTCAGAGCGGGTCCATGGACCGGCGTACCAGAGCTTCCAGCAATGGGAACTATTTTACCTGCGGCCGCCGCCATATCCCACAGAGGTCCAGTCCCACACAACTGCCCCTGCGGAGGAAGTCTGGCAGCGTTGGCTGGCCCGGCAGGGCAATTAAAGGTGTTTCTCTGGTTCATCACTCCTGAGGTTAAACCCGGACAACAACACAAGGAAACAGAAAACAGCAAAAAAAGTTCAAAAACGGAAAACCGAAAAAAAACCGAGGCAATGGCATCATACGTTGGATTTCTGTTTCGTTCCTTTTTTGTTTCGGTCTGCGCGTTCATTTGCAAGGAGAAGAGAAAACCGAAATGGCAAAAAAAACCAACTGCTGGATGACGGGAGTGCTTGAGGATGTGCCATGACACAGCTGTCAAGAGTTCTTTCCCTTGTAGATAGACGCCGAGACTGATCATATTGTGAATAAGATATTGTTTGAGTATATAACACACTACTTTACGTAGTCACTTCATGGAGTGTGGCCATGCAGATACGACTGGTTCTTTTGAGAATTGTACACATCATCTTTATGCGTACATCCGCGCCAATAGCGTGTCATAAGTATCGAGACAAACCAAGAGGACACAAGTTACTTCCTCCTCACCATGTACATCTGTTCAACTTCAAGTTTGATAATCGATCCTACGGACATAGAAGCTCTGGGTCTCTAAGACTCTCACACAGTACCAACTGGAACCTATTCATCAGTGACATACTGTCGCAGGCATTTGCTCCTGTCTCAAACGGATAGCCAAGGCTGACGGGAGGCCTATGCTACTTACATCCATCAATATACCGCAGTAGTTAAGGGTTGTAGGATAAGCGGTTACCGCTCATAGGAGTAGCGACTACCCGTTCCGTACAGGCTTCGGGCTATGGGCATTGCGACAATACAGCTTTAAAGCACGTAAATTCTCCTATCATAGTTAAGGATAAGGTAGATGAAAAAAAAAACAAAAACATACAACAGTGAGGATTCGCTGGTGGTCACCCACCCAACTACTAACTCACCGGCGTGTGGCTTAAGTACGGCTGAGCGGACGGGAAGCCCTGTTTTCCACACCCTATGGTCGTATGTACTGGATATTGTGGTAAACAGGATTATATTCAGTTGTGGTCGAGTTGTGTATAGCACAAAAACTAGAAAGTCTTCGAAGTACGTGTAACAACAGGCGTCAACGTTGATGGTGGTCCCGTGTCTTGAACAGCTTAGACACTCACTCTTAGTCTCTTACGCGAAGGGAAGATAGGCAGCGATGAGCCCGCCCCAACCACCCGCATTATCTTCGCTGAGAGCTGTCGTCTTCTTATCCACAGTCACCATGTTGCGCACCAAGTGGGTTCCAAGGTTGTAGATCCTCAGAGACTTGGGCTCATCTTCAATGGAGACAATGTTGTCCTGGGCATATGGGCCTTCGACGCCGTTCAGGCCATTGAAAAACTGGATCAATTAGAAGATATATCAAACTTCGTTCTCAGTCGGCATCTACTAACCTGCCAGAATCCCAGTCCGTAAAACGTCATGTCACGACCCCCAACAACTCGCAAAGACCAACCCATGAAACATTGCGGAGATGAAGGATCGCAGTTAGAATAGTCGGGATCATTGTACTTGGGGTTGGGCCTAGACACATGTTAGTTGAAGACATCAAGACACATAGGCAATCTGGAAATAACTTACGTCCAAGGAGCCGGGGCTGCGGGAGCAGGTTGCCAGTACACAGTTTCTGTCTGCGACATCAAAGCGAAAACATTTTCAGCATTCAGCATCTGGTATTGGTACAGCACGAAATGCTCAAAGGCAGTACCGACGAGCCATGTTCCACGTTTGGACTCGACGAGTAGGCCTCTTCCAACGGCGACGGATTGGCTTGTGCCGTTGGTGGCACCACTGAGGCCATCAAGATCTCGGTTAACCGACCACCCCCAGACGCTCTCCATGTATGTCGAGCTTTCCGGCTTGAGATGCATGAACATGAATGCCGCCTTACACCCGGGAATGTCTGTAGTGGGATATGAGGCACACTTGGTCTCGACGGCTGAGCCGATGGTTCCCCCAGCGCGGAAGTGAGTGTCCCAGAGACCAACGTCGCCAGCCTTGGCTCCAGCAATGTTGCTTTCCACAAGAATAGCACCAGGCAAGACGTCGGCTACGTCAAAGGCCAAGTCGCTCACTTCGATAACTCCATTAGTTCCGGGCTTTCCCATCTTGAACATGACCTGTGGGTTTTCCTCATCTTTGAAATAATCACCGATTGCTGAAGCCAGCGTAGTTAGCAGAGCAATACTGTCAAGGGGGGTCAGGAAACATACCACTAAGTGTCGACCATGCCTCGCCCACGATTCGGGATCCCGCAGGGACTTCAATAGTGCCCGCGACCCGATAATTTCCCGCAGGGAAGTAGGTAATTCTTTTGTTTGCGTTGGCTTTCAGAGCCGCGTTGATGGCATCGGTCGCATCTGTTTTGCCATCCCCAGTAGCGCCGAAGTCTCGTACGCTGGAAAAGCAACGAGAACTATAGTCTTCGTATTGGGGCCGAGACTTAGTGAAGTAGGCACCACTTCTGTCCGTCAATGTTTGGGAACGAGACAGCTTGCCGCTGGTTTCCATATAGGTACCATTTGTGAGGTCCTTGTAGACATTGCCTTGAATAAATGACTCGATTTTGGGTGAGTGCCCTGAGCCGGCCAGGATGGATTTGCCATCTCGATCAGCCACTGTATGGTCCACTTTCTTTAGCTTGAGGTTCTCGATGATAATGGAGCCGTCTGCATTTTTTGTATGTTGTGAAATGATGACATTCTTTGTAGAAGCAGCTTCAGAGTCGAGAAGGATAAGCGATCCAACGGAATTTGTTCCCGGCGCGGTGAAGTTGACGCCCACCTCGCAGTTCTGGAACTTCATCCCCTGGAGAGATAAGGTGAAAACATGATCTATCAAAATGCCCGTCTTGACGTTATCGAACGTAATACCACGCATGGCATATTGCTGGTTGTTGAGTCGTATCCCAACATCTCCGCCAGATATGGATAGATCGCCCATGAATGTGGCAGATCCGCCGCCTCCACCGGTAGTTCCGTTGAAGACAATACCCTGGTGCATGCTGTTCTTGGCTAGCTGGAGGTGGTTGAAGCTGAAAGTGACTGCTTGTGCTGATGGCCAGTTTATGCACGCTACAGACGACTGAACATCGACGGCAGTGGTGTCAAAGATGAAGTTGCGCACCTGCAGATACAGGTTTATGGTCGTCGGGAAAGGTGAGACGGGCGGTGATGGGAATCCGTTGATGAGGTATAAGTCGTCGAATCCAGCCGCTGCGCTGATTATGGGACGATCGAGCGGGTTACCCACAAGCTGAGTGAAGATGTACATGTTGATGCTCTTTGAGATCTTGTATTTCCCAGACGGGAAATAGATCAAGGCAGGTTTGACTGTCTTTGCAGGCGGGTCACCGGGACCACAGCCGGTGAAACAACGTCCTCCATCTATAATTGGGGGTCAATGAGGATGCTGTTAAGTGGACGAGTCATTCTTACCATCAATTGCCTTCTGAATAGCCTCTGTATCATCCGTAATGCCGTCTCCCTTAGCCCCAAAATCCTTCACATCGCGGAACACTGCATATGATGGGTCGTCGAGGAAGGGAGAAATTCCTGTGTGTTCGATAGTCTCCATCCAAAACGGCTCCCCCGTGAAGCATGAAGACATTGTTGAAGACTGTCCTTAGAATCATCATGATTTCTAGAGGGTAACGCATGAGCCTCATTCTTAAAATACCTATATAGTGGGGTTTGGGAATGGAAGAGAAATCTTACGGGATGAGCGCAGCCGCGACCACGGTGGTGGCTAAAAGCCATGTCGATGCCAGCCACTTCATAATTGATGGCTCCCTTAATGGCGTCGCTGTATATCGAGAACGTGTTGGATTGTTAAGTGGTCATTTTTCCGATCCATCCAGGTTTTTATAGTAGGGCCATTTGCGGGGAGTAGCGTTACACTGTCATAGACCCTAAACAATGCCTAAATCAGTATATGCTGGCACAATTGGTCGGTCAGCTAGTGCTTGAATGAATATGTCATAGGAAATTCCTTGAGGCAAGATGAAGCCATCGCCAATCTCCAACAAGGGTTGAAGGCCCAGTGTTGGTTGGTGGAAATTCTATAGCTTCGCCCGATGCGGGGAAGATGAGGGCGTTGACAAGTAAACAAGTCAATTACCAGATGTAACATCGCGGCAATTGAATTCTCTCCATTTGGTAGGACGGCAAAGGGTCGGCTAAGGCAGAAAAAGGGGCTTTTCCTTTTCGAGAGTAACTTCTATGCAAATTATGATGGCCTGAGGAAGGAAATTGTTGCCTGAGTCTGCGAGCCCTAACCCGTTTGGAGTGTGGTAGATACTTTGCTTCTCTGTCCATTTCTCCTCTATCGAGCTATACAGGAGACTTGCAAATTCTTTCTCTCCATCTGTTTACTTCTCTAGTTGCGGCTTCGATAGAAAGCCATGATGTACATAAGGAGAGTACAAGGATAGAAGCCGCCAAGTGGTAGCCCGGTAGTGGTCAAGTAAAAAGATTCAGCTGAGGCCATGGCGAGTAAGAAGATGAGAAGTACATGAAATATTTACCCATAAATTCCGTTACCTTACTGGAATGAGTAAGTCGAACTTGCATAAGAACTACGTCCTGTTGTTAACTGTCGGATTTGGGGCTTCGCCAGTTGGCGACCACCAACTGGTCAATCGTTTGGACCAACATTCGTGGAGATCTGGGCCGTTCGAACTGGGGGGTTTGGTCAGGGTGCATACTATATGGACGGGTGACAGCTTATTCTGAAGCAAGAGGAATAATAAGACTTGGATCTAGTACCACTATATAGCTCACAGCTTCACAGCTTGTCCAAATCATGCTAGCACAGTCCTTCTAAAACGGAATCTCGGCGTTCGTCACGGTCTCAAATCCAATAAACAATGGCTCAGGCTCTCCAATCTCGGCTGGTCGCTGTTCCTCCAGGAATTTACGCGTATGAGGCATCGACTCGTGCATGCGATAAGCAAGTGCATTATAGGGGGGTTCCAAAACTGAGATAGCAATGTCAGTGTAGAACGTATTTTGTTGTCAATATATTTCAACTTACCTGGATCCATAGACCGGGCAATCTGTCCACCACAAATCCAGGAGGGAATAGGTTCTTCTCCGGTTTCAAACGATGAATGCAGTTCCAAAGCGGCTTTCACTCGTACTCCCAAATTCGTGAGCCACAGATCTTTACCCTGGATTCGAGACGTCTCGGCAACATGCGACATGGATGCGATTGAGTAGCTTGTATGAGCATAATCACGGCAAGTCTCTTGTGTAAGACCGCTGACGTTGAAGTACTGCTGTCCTTGCCAATATTTGATGAGTGCCGACGGGGTGTCCTCTATGCCTCGGCCAGGTACTGGGTATGGGCCATCCGAGGTGAGGTAGATATAGGCAGGGACTCGGCCGGCAAACTTGCCCATAGCATCCTCATATGTAGTTTTGTTTTCAGTAAATACCGCAATGCCGATGGACGACTCCATCATGACTGTTATGTGTTAACTGTTGTCCTGCTTCATCCAGATCATTAACACATACCCAAGTCCCAATTGCCGTTATTGGCCGCATCGCCCGGCAAAATAATCGGAAGATAGACTTTCGTCAACATATCTGCAAATTGCTGGATACCCTTCTTTGACCAGTGTCCACCGGGGGCATAACGCATTATTTCACCCGCACGAACCCAGTTGGCAGCAGACCAAGCCGCCTGCAATGGAGCATTTGAGTTGGCATGGCCTTGGATCGTGCTGGACCAAGCGTCCATGTATTCAATTGCCTTCTTTGCGTATTTGTTCTCCTTGGTGATCCAGTATGCTAGCGAATTGATGTACGCAGCCATGGAGTCTTCACGCTCCTGGTAGCAGCCAATATTGGGCGTGGATGTTGGCCCACACTCAACAGTCTTGTACGGAACTGCAGTTCTTGTTGGAGAAGAGTAATTGTAGTTCATCATGCTGGTGAATGCATTGCTCCATGGCCCCTCGTTATGAGCAACTTTCTTGCCAATGAAGTCTAGCTGTTTCGCACTGACAAAAACACCAGGATGAACCCATTTTTTGGGGGCTTCAGTGGGGATTGGACTCAAGTTGGCAGTTTTGGCAGGTCGATGCGCTTCTGGAGGGACTGCAAATGCATTGCATACACTCACAGCGGAGAGAATACCAGTGCAATATAAGATGAAATTTGAAGATAACATATTGATCGAGGAAAGCAGCCTGGAGAAACGATAGACTGCGGGAGTAAACAAGCTTTATGCAAGGCCAAAAAAAAATAGATGCGGCTACTTTCTATTGCTTTGATGCTCACCCTGTCACCATATTTTTATCATCGGAAAATAGACAATCCACCAATTAGTACTGGACATATGCTATTGGGAGAGGGGTTGAAGGGACGTGTGTAGAAGCAGAGATTATGTGGTACGGGATAGGGGGCCGAACTCGGTTAACTGCTGATTCCCCAGATTATCAAGCTAAGCCTTTAAGGAAACTAGCCAAATTGGCACTAGTTACAGACAGGGTAATTGGTGCCTTTACTAGTGCCTTATTTCCCCGCGGTTTGACTTATCCCGTTGTTTTTCTGCGGCAAGTCGGAATGACTGCCTGTGGCTGGCTACCCTATCAATTCCTCCAACCAATTCACGCCAATCACGAAAGCCTACGGAACGCACTGGCAGTAAATTCAAGCGTGGAAGTTATCAGCCAATCACGCTTAAAGCAATGGTAGCATCCGGCATCTAGGTCGAATATGAGATCGGTCATTCTGCGGAGTCTCGGGGTTAGGTTTCCTTCATTCTTCTTTGTCAGTTTTAGTTCTAGTGCGTAGGTAGTTCGACCCTCCACCTAAATCCGCTTAGAGTGACCATCTAAAACTACCAAAAGCCAGACACCGAAGTGAATGGAAGCGTGAGCTGACATCAAAAGCACAATTAAGAGGGTTCGTTGGAAAACTCAGGGGTCCATGGTCCGATATACACGAAAACAAAGACGGCTTCTATGCTGTATCTTCTATATACGATCAACCATATACACTCCACCAGCAGCGCATCTATTGACCTTCAGCCAACGCAATAACCTTCCTCGCGGCCTCCTCAAACCCGTCAAAAGCATGCAGAGGAAGACCACTCTCTGCAATCTACAGATGTCCAAGTTAGCAAACAGATAACCGCAGAGACCAATACCAGTGCCTACCATCTTCTGTCCCAACTCCTCATTTGTACCACGCAACCGCACAACAATCGGGACCTTCATGTCCAAATCTCTGAAAGCCAGGATAATGCCCTCGGCAATCATATCACAGCGCGTCAATCCACCAAAGATATTCACAAAGATAGCCTTGACACGCGTGTCCGAGCAGATAACCCGGAACGACGACTTGACTGTCTCGGATGTAGCCTTGCCACCCGTGTCGAGGAAGTTAGCGCAGTGGCCGCCGTGGATCGTAAGTGCGTCGACTGTGTTCATAGCAAGTCCCGCGCCGTTGACTATATACTGTGAGTAAACGACATTCGGATTGAATCAAACGGACCCAAGAAGATGAATACGTACCGAGTGTGCCGACAGTTCCTTCGCCTTCCAACCTGATGTTTCTGTTAATCGAAATACAAAATAGTCAATGCGCTAATACATACTTGACGTAAACAATTCCATCTTTCTCGGCTTCAACCTCCTCAGGTACCTCTTCGGACTTATCCCGCAATTTGTGGATATCCTCCTGGCGTCCCGAGCTACGGAACGCAGCATCGTCGAATCCAAATCGTGCGCCGTGTACTTCAAAGGCACCATTGGCGGAAATGCCAACCCGCGTCTCCAGCGTGAATGCCTCTTTCTCCTTGTAGATTTCCCATAGAGCTTGCACGAAACCCGCGACCTTCTTGTGGGCGGATTCAGGGAGACCCAAGTGCGAGGCGACAGTAGTGGTAATGGAGCTATTCTCGAACGCGGTCTGAGAATAGGGAAATGGGAACTTCTGTGACTGAGCTGCGTCGAACTCGGAATTTGGCGAGGCGATGATGCATGGCGACAAAGCTGTTCTGTCGACCGTGATAGAAATAGAGAAATCGGAGTCGGAACCTGTCTCATTGACGGGAATGGATCTCTCCTTGAGCATGTCAAATGCTTGGGATTGTTTGATATGCAAGTTACGCTTCTGTACAGCGGGTAGTCTGGATACTGGAGTGACTCGTCTCATGGTGTGAAAGCCTCGCTTTTGAGAGCTGGACCCCAAGGACGACTGTGGACATGTTAATCCAGTTCAAAACAACTCAGACAACTGAACTCACACTTGCACCCGGCCTGTTAGACCGGTTAGCGAACAATGTCTTCATCCTCTCGCCAAACTTCTCGGGGTGGTTAACCATAACCGCACCAGCACGTTCAAGCGCGAGGTACTTGGTTTGCGCATCTGGTTCCCCAGGCGCCGCCCAGGCACCGGCATGTCCCATAATCCGACCAGGGGGTGCCTCCAAGCCCCCGACGAGCGCCATAATCGGTCTATACAGAGTCAGTACCCGACTGCAAAACAGATTGCCTGGTTTTGCAAAAGCCAGCGGAGAATAACTCACTTCGGATCCAACGTCCTCCTCCGATAATCTTTGATCCACTCCGCCGCATCCATCTCCGCTGTTCCCCCAATCTCACCAACCAAAATGATACCCTCCGTATCAGGGTCATTCTCAAAGATATTAAGCGCATCGACAAAGTTGGTACCAGCCAACACATCACCGCCCATACTAATACAAAGACTCTGACCGAGTCCAGCCCGGGTCGTCGACGCAACAGTCTCGTAGCTAAGTGTCCCTGACTTGGCGACAATGCCCACATTCCCCGGCGCAAAGCACGGCAAAGGCTGGAAGCCGATTCGGCACTTGCCGATGGCGGATATAATTCCTGGACAATTTGCCCCTACCAGACGCGTCTTCGACTGAGTCTGAAGCATGGAGTGGATCTGAAATGTCATTAGAAATGCTTCTCAACTTTGGTACATAAGCAAAGGAAAGACTCATACACGCAGGATATCGTGGATCGGCACATGCTCGGCTACAGCAACGACAAGCGGGATTTCCGCTTCGATCGCCTCTTCAATGGCCTTGGCTGTCTGGTTTCCCGGAACATAGATTGCTGATGCGTCGGGCTTGGCGCGTTCCTGGGCCTGGGGTGGTCCTTGAGTTAGCCAGTTGGTTCGGTACACATGCACAAGGGCTCGTGGGATTCTCATACCGCTTTGACGGACGGGAAGACGGGCAGGCCTAGATGTTCGCCTTCCACACCGGGCTTGACACCTCCAACGATCTTAGTGCCCCATTCAAGGGACTCCTTGACGTTGGCAGTGGCTTGTTTGCCTGGACGGGTGTTAGCATTGTCGTGGTTGTCTCGATTGGACGGTAGATATATGTACTTACCTGTAAATCCTTGGAATAGGACTTTGGTATGCGCGCCAATCTTGAGGTTTGGCAGTGTATCCGCATAGCTTGCGGTGCGGGGGGTAGTTGCGAAACACCTTCTTAGGGGGGCCCGCAGTGGCTTGGGCGCCCGTTTTGGCAGGGCGTGCAGAGTCATCTTAGCACATACACATGCAGACTCAGGAATGATTGATGAATAGAAATTGCGGACTTGGTAAATGGTAATATAGAAGTATAGGTCTTTTTCAATCTCGCGAAACAGTGTAGTTGATCATAAGTATGGGGTTAATAAGGCTACTGGGCCAAGTCGGCTACTCCGGTGTCGGAGGCTCGGAGCTTTCCCCACATTTTTGCCGAGGAAGAAGGTTAGCTCTTTGAACATGAGGATAATACGAAAGCTTAGTTCGGTGTGAAGTAAATATGCCATAGTTAACACAGAGTGAAACAAGGTCGTCGTAGTTCGACTCGGCTGCCGCTGGTGAGGATTTCTGCGGGAGGTATGCGCATGGTCGCAGCCTCGTAGGGTTCCGTCGTCTTGCACTTCGGACTCCTGCTACTAATACACGCTCTCCATAGTCGGTCCCCGTTACCGATTTCTCCACCCCCGTGCAAGTATTCGAAGACTCTGAAGTCTGAACTACAAGCGCTATGGGCACAAGGGAGGAAGGACGTCAGTACCTACCAATCGATCTCGCAAGCATTGTGCGACAGAGATCGAGGCCTGCGCGCCGAACTACAAGTTACTTGTTGGAATGTTATGATGGAAAAATAAAATAAATTGAACCAAATCAAATAATCAATAAAAAGGTTATTCTCTATCTCGGACCCAGAGATAATAGGTAATATTTGTGGTTCTGGCTCTGGCTCTGGCCGTGAAGGGCTGATGATCCTTCGTGGAGTATGAGGATCAGGGAGATACTGAAGTGGATACGCATGGAATGGGTAAGGATATAATGGGTATTCACTTGAGTATCTCCCTGATCCGGATACATGAAGGACTATCAGGCCTTCACATTGGCTCTGGCTCTGGCTCCGGCCCTGGCTCTGGCATCTGGCTCTGGCATCTGGCTCCGGCATCTGGCACTTGGCTCTGGCACTTGGCTCTGGCACTTGGCTCTGGCACTTGGCTCTGGCACTTGGCTCTGGCACTTGGCTCTGGCACTTGGCTCTGGCACTTGGCTCTGGCACTTGGCTCTGGCACTTGGCTCTGGCACTTGGCATCTAGCATATGGTTCCGGATCTAGCATTTGGCTCTGCATCAGGCATCTCGCTCTGGCATCTGGCATCTAGCATCTAGCATATGGTTCTGGCTCTAGCATCTCGCTTTGGCATCAGGCATCTGGCTCAGGCTCTGGCACTTGGCATCTGGCATCTGGCAACTGGCTCTCGCTCTATGAGGTGTCTCTCGACATGAATCCGAGGGCATTGTCCCCATCGGAAACCCTTGGTTCTTCTCAGAATCACCCATCCTCGCATACAATCTCCTGTAGGATTATTCGATTGGACCTTCTGCAGTGAATTGGGCGAGGGGCTATCCCGATTATCCTCAGGGACCGATTGAATCGACCAATGAGGATTGTTCGTTGGGATTGAGAAGCTTTTTCATCTCCAAGATCCAACGTGCGTGCCAGGCTCATGACTATGAAACTTGATCACAGCATGGTCTTGTACGCCCGATGGAGCCTAGAGATGCCAAGGCGAACCAATCCAAAATGAATGTATGAACTGATTTTGATTTGAAGAAAAGAAGAGACGAAGCGGAGGGGCGGACACTTTGTGTGTTCTCGCTTAACCGACTGGCACGTGAGATCACGGGAGCCACTAAGCCAACACCACTGCGTGAGCGTCCGCCGCCGAAAACGCCCGCCTGTCTACCAAGCGCTGTAGCCGGTGCCGTAACAAACGAGCCCTGACTACGTTCCTCAACGACAGAAATGTCGGCTTAAATCCTGCCACGGATGCCGCCATCCCCAGTCAACACAGGTCGAGAGCGAGGCCCCCGTACGTGCGAATGCTTTTAATACTGCTGAAAATCATGTCAGGCCCAGACTCGCCAGTGCACTTGCTGCGGCGCCATTCACCCGCTATCGGCTTTCGTCGACTATTCACGGCGCCCGAGCCCTTCACTAACCGTGCCAGATGTAGACCCCAGATCCGTCAAGTGCCCCCAGCCCGTACCGTTATGCAGTCCTACTTCAATTGCCGGGATCAGCTTCCTATAGCCCAATATATCGACCTGGCGCGCCGCCACCAGCCGTTCAGGTTATGCCCCTGTTGCCGACCCCGCGTGGCGACGCCCGTTGCATTTCACTCCCAGTACCGCCCTGCCACCGTGCAGAGACATGATCATTGGCGTATGGAGCACGCCTGTCGTTTCTGCAAGGCTTTTCATTGGCTCGCAGAGCGCGACAGTAACTCATTCCAGAGCAGTCCTCTTTTCACTCGCTACTGCAAAAAGGTGGCTGTTCAGTTAAACCCAATCCACCTGGCCCCTCCTTATCTACACTGGCTCTTAACGAGTGCTGATCCTCTACCACATTATATCCTCCGGTCTGATACCGTGGAAGAGCTCTCCGTTCGTCCTCCCATTTATAATCGCCAGCGATAATACGGGCAGTGATGTTCCACTCGTAGACACCGGTGATGATGAGACGGGTGCCATTGCACAGGCCGTCCTCTTGACGCAGGTTCCGGATCAGCATGATCGGGGCACCGACCTTCAACCTCAGCCTCGACGGCAGCAGGCTGGTGAGATTAATCGTCCGCAGATACTCCTGAGGGTACTCTGCCAGGGCGGGCTGATGCTTGCCGGGACCCCCGGGTCTGATACCGTGGAAGAGCTCTGTGATGCCGTCTACCCCGCCACGGCGCTGTCGGCAGTCGCCGGAGTCCTGTATACTTTTGCCGAGCGGTCGATTATCACCATCCGTAACGACGCGGCGACAGTGTTCAAGGACCGGTTGATTGGCCATATGCCCGGCCATTCGAGGATGTATTGGTCTGCGGATCGTGCCCGGGATGGCTCCGCCAGGGATCAACCCACGCTGACAGACCACCCTCCGGAGTATCTGCGGACGATTAATCTCACCAGCCTGCCGCCGTTGGAGCTGGCCTTGAAGGTCGGCGCCCCGACTATGCTGATCTGGAACCTACGTCATGAGGGCGGCCTCTGCAACGGCACCCGTCTCATCATCACGGGTCTGTATGATTGGAATATCACCGCCCGTATCATCGCCGGTGACTATAAAGCGGCGGAGTACACGATCCCGCGTGTGCCATTGGAGACGACCGAGGGACAGCTATCCTTCACTCTCCGTCGCGTACAGTTTCCGATCCGTCTCTGTTTCGCTATGACAATTAATAAGAGCCAGGGACAGTCGTTAAAAAGGTGGGTGTGGAGTGGCAAATCTATCGGTCCTACAGACCTACACGTAGAGGCCTCGCATGCAACAGAAAATGTCCGTATTTCCAGAGGTCGTACAGCGCTTCCATACGACGGAGCTGTACAAGTTAGTTAGATGTGGGGTTGCCCTTTTCTTCTCGCGTTATCATTGGACCTGTGTAAAACTGCATGCCCGCCTTCTGTTTAGCCTACTCTCGCGATGCCCAAATGAAAATGTCCTAACTATCAACCTCCTGCGATTAGCTTACTGACTACGGACTTCGCCTTCAAGCCTCCCGAGCGAAGCGAGGGTAAAAGGCTTATGATTAGTATCGCCTTTTGGTTGAGATATTCCGGAGTACGTTCAACCAAGAGGCTGGGGTGGTCAGTGTACATGAAATGATCAAGACCATCAAAGCCTTAGCCGCGAGGAATGAGGATTGCTGGGGTACTGTCGTGGCTTGGCTTCACCAGTCGCCTTCCGAAGGAGCCAGACCCAGGACCGATCTCTGAGGATGATGCAAGTGGTGCATATGGTATCCGTATGCGTAATTTAGATGAACTTTTGGTTAACCTATCTATGAGGTTCGTGAATTTGGTATGACTGAAGTAGAGAGAAATAGGATGTGACAATGACTAGCTAAGAGACAGACCTGAACAATAAAAGTAACATGAAGAGGCAATTCACACCTGATGTCCATTAGACGAGTCCACTCGATGGCTGATACTTAATCGTGGAATAGATGATGACCTTGGGGCATGTGGAATCACCCAGTTATATCAGATACTGGAAATTCCTGTTGGATGGTGGGACCAGAGTATTCCCAGATGGCGCATCATGCTCGCCTTTATCTTCCACTAATATGGCAGCGCGTACCCCTCCTACAGCGCCTGGCTGCCAGTAGATATCTGGATGAGCCGTCTGTACCAGTTGATGACAGCCCGAACCTCATTCAGGTCCAGTCGGCCATGTCGTGTCAAGGCAGCTCGATAGCCATGGCAGACAAGATGCCGGCGAAGGCCTTCGGTCCCGCTGCGATGGGTCTAAACTGATTCAGTCAGTAACTGACTGGGCAAGGATTCGCAAAGCTTCGAAGGGTTCTCCAGGTGGACTCACGCAGCGAGTAGGGCAACCAGGTACCCGGCAAAATATTTCCCCATACTGAACGAAAAGGACGACATTTTCAACCTATGGATGTGAGAGCTTGTTTCGAAAGTAGCCACTGCTTGCAATCATCTTCGCTTGATCGACGTGGATTGAGACCATCTTAGCCTCTTCGTGCTCCCCAGGTGTTCCTTCAAGCACAATGAGCTCCATATTGCTCGGATCAGCGAACTTGAAGGCCATGTTGATTGAGAAGGAGAGTGGATGGCAGGAAACCCCGGAAAAGTGCTTGTCAAAGGAATGAAGAAACGATGGATGTCTCCAGGAATGCGAGGATACCGATTGCGCGGTTCAATGTCAGATGAGTTTGACCAGAATGGGAAGAAGAGACTGAAGAGTATGAGCTTGCGATCGATAGTAGCAGGGATGTCCCCAGGAATGCGAGGATAACTGGTTACTGGAGGATCAAACAAGCCGAAAATCGAATGAGAAGATTGGGCCAGCTAAAACAAAAAGTGCGAAGGAAGTCCGTGAATCTGACGTGTTCGTGGGAGTCCAGACGCGAATCAGCGCGATCGGCCGTGAAACACACACAATGGGCACGGGATTCATGTCAGAGGACCAGTGCGAGGCTATTCGTATCACAACGTGACTTCCACCAGGGCAGCGATTCCATAGCCATATATCCCACACAATGTTTGCTTGAGTTCCATAGTCTTCGATAGTCCCATCATCTCCTGCTACTATCGATCGCAAGCTCATACTCTTCTTCCCATTCTGGTCAAATTCATCTGACATTGAACCGCGCAATCGGTATCTTCGCATTCCTGGAGACATCCATCGTTTCTTCATTCCATTGACAAGCACTTACTCGGGGTTTCCTGCCGTCCACTCTCCTTCTCAATCAACATGGCCTTCAAGTTCGCTTATCCGAGCAATATGGAGCTCATTGTGATTGAAGGAACACCTGGGGAGCACGAAGAGGCTAAGATGGTCTCAATCCACGTCGATCAAGCCAAGATGATTGCAAGCAGTGGCTACTTTCGTAGCAAGCTTCACATCCATAGGTCGAAGATGTGGTCCTTTTCGTTCAATATGGGGAAATATTTTGCCGGGTACCTGGTTGCCCTACTCGCCGTGCGAGTCCACCTGGGGAACCCTTCGAAGCTTTGCGAATCCTTGCCCAGTCAGTTACTGACTGAATCAATTTAGACCCATCGCAGCGGTACCGAAGGCCTTCGCCGCCACCTTGTCTGCCATGGCTATCGTGCTGCCTTGACACGACGTGGCCGACTGGACCTGAATGAGGCTTGGGCTGTCATCAACTGGTACAGACGGCTGATCCAGATATCCACTGGCAGCCAGGCGCAGTAGGAGGGGCACGCACTGCCATAACAGTGGAAGATAAAGCCGAGCACGATGCGCCATCTGGGCCCACCATCCAACAGGCATTTCCAGTATCTGATGTGACTGGGTGATTCCACATGCCCCATGGTCATCATCTATTCCACTGTATGTATCAACCGTTATCAAGCAATGGGATCGACCTATCACATCTCTTACGTTAGCAATCTGGGTACAAGTCTGACAAGTGATAGTAGGCTTCATGGGTGAATCTGGTCGTGACACATCGGAGATCTCGAGGGAGATCCCGGATGAGCGGGACGCCGAGTCGCCGACATGATCAAGGGAGTGGAAACACACTGCGTTCTATGCGTTCTACACCTCATTTTCCCAATGTTGATATTCCATCTTCCCGTTCTGATCGGCGCAACAAATCTCATGGCAGAGTCTTCGATCCCTCGGCCAACGGTAACGGGCAGAAGCAGCTTGTCCAAACTCGAAGTCGAAGTCTCGGTCGAAGGATTGTTCGAGGGTGGAAGAAGAAGAAGAAGAAGTACTGTGCATGATACGATGCAGAACAGACCTTAAGTACCCATCTCGCAACCCACGTGCATTCACGTGATGCGCCTTCGCAAACGGTAAACCCGAGTTTGAGAATCCTAATGCAATCTGCATCCCAGTATGCTGTACGGGATGCTGTACGGAGGCGAGCCATGCCATAGTGAATAGTCCCGAGGTCCTGCAAATAACTTACGACGGCGCAGAAAGTGGCCTCTTGCATACGCAATCTGAATCACATTCTCATCCTGAAAACATTCAGGATTGGGCTGGCACAACTATGATTACGGTGAGTGGATAGTCTTTGTTCCTCACCCTCTTTGTAGTGGCGAACAACCAGACTGTCGGAACCGACGGTGACCGTCTTTACAGAGGCAATACACAGTAGGTAAGGTAGTTGACGTTGTACGTAGATTCATGCTTCATACACCGAACTCATTAGATAGAAATTCAAGCATAGAAACCTCTCACCAGCTCCAATCACACAATCAATAATCGTTGAGATGCAATTTCTTGCCCACAAACCTGCGCCTAGCAGGCTTCGAACCACGCGATTCCCGTTCCGCACTAAGACCCTTCAGAGCATGAAGAAGCATACCAGCATCAAAGAAGCCATCTGGTAGAAAGCGAAGTTAGCGATATTTTCAAACCAAAGAGACCAAACTAAGAAACACGGTAAAAACTTACATCCTCCCATACCGTCATCCTCCATGTAGCTACTTTCAGCAGCCGAAGTGGGCGTATCACCACCACCACGCACAAGCCGGCCGCGACGTGGGGTTTCCGACTGCAGACCCTCAGTAAGAGCCTCAGTTTCTCTAGCCCGACTCGTGCGCGGTCTCGCCGTCTTGTGATTCGTCGCGCGCAGCAACTTCCTGATCTCAAGCAGATACGACTCAAGCCCCTGCATCAGACGCGAAGTCTGCCTGTGCTTGGAGCTGGCGCAGATAGAAATTGTCTCGTCCTTGATAATATAGCCAATACCAAAGCCGTCAGCGGACGTGGGGCCGAAGCCGAAGTGTCGCAGGCAAGGGTTGCCGCAGTTGGAGGTCGACAGCACTGTGGTGTTGATCTTGTCCCAGCCGGCATCGGCGAAGATGGCGGGTGTCGGCGCTGAGTTTGCGCGGTAGCCTCGCGGGCTGCTCGACACTGAGAGGCCGTCGTCTGAGGGGGATGAGGAGAGCTTTGGTGATCCGGGGCCTTGGCCCTGATTGGGAGTTTGGGGCTGTGATTCGCCGGGGCTGGAGTATCCGCCAGTTGAGCCGTTATCCGGCGAGAGACTCTCGTCGAAGGAGCGCTGCCAGAGGCAGTAGAGGGCGTAGAGGTGACGGTCTGGGCCCTGGCCCTTAGAGCATTCTTTGGTAGCGGCGGTGTGTTTTTGGCACGCAGTGCGGAGGGCGTCGACCTTCTGTTCGGCGGCGTTCTCGCCCCAGAAAGCTGTGACGAAGTCTAGACATTCGGGTGTGACGGTGCGAATGGCTTCAGTGCGTCCGTGCAAAAACATCTTGGTCATGGCTGGCTCGTAAGTGTTCTCCACTCGGCCGTAGAGACCGTAGTAGGCGGCCTGGAAGGCCATCTGGATGAACGCGTCTGGGGAGAAGCCCATTGAAGTGATGAAGTTCTTTCCGTAACCTTCGAAGTCGAGTACTTGGAATTCGTGCTGGTAGAGCAGGTCGGAAAGGTGGGATTCGGCGAAGCGAAGCGCAATGTTCAATTCCGGCGTCATGTCCCACTCCAGTTTGCGCGGTGTCGTGCTGACGTTTCCAAAGCTACTTGGGTCACGCTTTGATGGGTCGGGGCTGCTGGTTGCCCAAAGGCTTGGAGATTGGCCGTTGATGGTCTTGGCGAAACGGAGAATGGTATCAGTGTACACGTCGCTTGCGAAGCGGAGTACCGTGTGTCCATCCACACCGGTGTGTTCGAAGTTGATACCCGCGCTTCCATTCCTGCAGACAATGATTTGCAGCTTATCATACCACCGGTTGGTGCAGGTTCCAACTTGGACACCTCGGACTACTTCGCTTGTGCCGCAAAGCATGTTGGCACAGAGCTCGGAGGTCGTGGTTGGCTCTGTCTCATCAAGACACAGAACAAATAGCGCGGTGTCAACGATGTTCAGACACTCGGCATTGTTAGACCTAGCATCTTGGGTCATGATATCCCGAAGTCCCGACCAGACCTTGCGGTTCTCTGTGCTGAGTACACCCAGGGCACCCTTGGCTGCATGGTGAATGGGGGTTTGCGCTGCATCCTCAACGATGACCTGGAGGTTGAGCGAGATATCTTTCTCACTCATGATCAGATCGCTATTATCGTCCAAGACGTCAAACCAGTAGAATTGACCCCGGCACATGACAACCATGTGCTTGGCCGAAGGGTCTTGGCTGATAACACATCCATTGTCGGTGGGCAGACGTGCGGTTCCAAAAAGTCTCGAGTACTGATACATGCAGAGCGGCGTCCCTCGTACTTCATCAGGAGGCAACTCCTCTCGACGCACAGCTCGAACAAATGCCAAAGCCGAGACCACCAGAGATGCGGCTCGAGTTACTTGGTGGTTTCTGGCGGGAGTGGGATCATCTTCCAACAGGAAGAATGGATTGAGATTCAAAACGACAGCTGCGAAGGTTAGATGATGGCCGGTATGCAACAAGACAGAACATGTTACTCACGGTTATCAAAATTCAAGTATGAATCATACCCTGGAATTGGTTAGCTGATCCTCCCTCCACTTTATTGGTCTGAACAAAACCTACAAAACTGCTCAATGTAGCTCGTTTTTGAACTAGCATAGGCCTTAAGTCGCTCTTGCAAAATGGGACCATCATTCTTTAAGAAGTCCTCAACAGCAGCCTTGGTATCTTCATGTTCACGCGGGCTCTGCAGGGCCCGCAGAGCATCCAAGTGCTTGCGGCAAGTATCCTCAAGATCGGGAATAGGAAGCTTTGGTAGTGAATCCTGGTTTCTAAAAGTCAAGCCCTGGCTTTTAGGCTTCAGAAGCTCAGCAACCTCGCCGGCAGGCTGCTGCGTAGGAAGATTCGGTCTGACGACCGTGTGTCCTTGGGACTCGGCCCCGGAAGTTTTGCTCGTGTTCGGGGAGTCGGTCCCAGAAGTCTTGCTTGGGTCGGCGTCCATGGTATCACCTAGTGGTTTGGGTGCTGTGAAGAACCGGACTGCAGTCGAGGAATAAGCCATGATGTTAGATGGTGTTCAATACTTCAAGCCAGAATCGAATCAGGCGTAACGACTAGCGAGAAAGGTGGGGATTGACAGGAGGCGGAGGGCGGTGCGATAGAAGTAGTGGCAGTCTTGGAGGCAGTATGATGGCATTGAGACTACTTCATGCGCCGATGTGGATAGAGGGAGAAGGCACGAAAGAGAATAGATAGAGGGGGTAACAGTTCGAATAGCGAGAACCAAGGAATGCAGTAAGATAAAGACCACACAGATGTAAAGAGGGATTTGGGTGCCACGGGACAGGACGGGGTAAGCTTTATGGGACTTATAGACCACTCTCGATGGCTGTGGAACCAGCCCACTTCGGGCCTAGGGAAATGGGACCGGAGGAGACAATGAACTTACAGGGCAATATCGGCGCAAATTATTGGTACTAAACCCCGGACTGTTGGTCGGTGCGGCCGGGTAGTACTGTGGAAGAGCGGAATGATAGCGCCGGAGAAACGGAGGAGGTTTAGGTCTGCGGGTTGTCAGATGTCAACTGATCTCAGCCAAGAAAAGACCTCGTGAACAAATATTTTGGCGTTTTAACCATCTAAATTTGCATACAACGAAGGAATTCGTAAGCTTGCCGCTTGAGCGGCGATGTGGAAGCTCAATCCTCAATCCCTCTTCACAGGCACGTGGAAGAAACAGGTTCATCTCGAGTGCCCCTCACCCCGTGGGGGAGCTCAGGGAGGAATGATAGGGCAAGATAAGATATGGGATAGGGCTAAGAACTCACTTGGGTCCAAATGATGCGCCCTGCACGTTCCTGCGGGAAGCTTAGCTCGTGATAAGAATGTACTGTGTACAAGATAACTAGAATCTGGGGTTGAGGTTGGGAGGATCTGATCGAATTACAGCCACTTTAGAGAAACAATTGGAAAAAGAAAGATCTCGGGACGGAGAAAATCATTTACCGCGTAGCCGACCCAGGCTGTTCTCGGAAATCGAAGTATATCGGCTTGGGCTGTCTCACTTGGTGTGCCGATGACGTTTCGGGCGAAGGGACCGGCCATGCGGGGGAAGCTAAGAGTCACGTGACGGCCATCATCATACCACGGGCGATCATGGAGATTGAAGACCATACAACTACACAATATGTACGAGGAAAAATCCTACAAGGCTTCGGAGAATTGATAAAAAAAAATCCATGATCACGCTTGGGCTGTGCGGAATACAACACGCTTGAAAACAAACCCACAAAAAGCACAAACGACGCCCAAGATTTTGTTATCCACAGGATGAAACCGCGACACCCGAGTCGGGGAAAGGCAAGGTGTCAAAAATATTCACAATTGAACAATAATATCTGCATTGCCATGAGTCCCCAAAGGAGAAGGACCAGACACGCTTGCATACATACAGTATGGCTCTCGATAGCAGAGGACCGCCGGGCCTCACAAGAGATAAGAGAGTGTCGGTCCTCTTCCTCGAGAGGAACCCTGGACAGAACCACCCATCGAGGCAGCACATGCAAATGATGAAGAAGGTAAAAGAGACATAAAGAAAACCACCTGGCATAAAAGCATATGAGGGAGACATATCGTGAGGAAGAACATGGCCGACAGTTTCAAGGTCTGGTAAATAGTCCATAGCTCTAAACCGTACCACATATGAATAGGATCAGACGCAGCTCCCTCATCAATACCTCCCTCGGCCCTGAGACGCCTAGTTGGGCCTGACCACGTTGTCTGCGTACTCGCCGGCATAGTTACCGGCGGGCATGTAGTTGCAGACGGTGAAAGGCGAGTTCTTCGCACCGGTATTGGCCAAGTCGGGGCAGGTATAGGTGAAGCAACCGACCTCCTTGGTTTGCTTCCAGACGATCTGGGTGAAGTGGCCCCAAGCATCGAAGTTCGACATATCAGGGGTAGCCTGGCCGTAGAGGTTCTGGAAGTGCGGCTCCTCGTCCTTGTACATCATCTTGCTGATGATATCCTCGCCGACCTGTGCCGCATCGACACCGTATCCAATGTTCTGTCCGTACTGAGCACCACCGCCAATGGAACTAGAGAGAGTTAGTGTGACTGTCTATCAACGGGGAAAATGATGGATGCTCACGTATCGTGCTCATACTTGCAGCGCATAGCCAGCGTGCGGGCTTTGTCTGCGAGATCCTGGGACCAGGCGAGAGAGTTGGCAGTATGCTTGCTGCGGTGGATGTTGTGGTTGTACAAAAGGGACTCTTGGTAGGAATTGGCAGCTTTGGCGGTGGTAGTGGGAGCGGTGGCAGTAGCCCTGGTCTCCAAAGATGTGGTCGCCGGCTTGGCGGGCTCCTCCCAGGTGCTGGTCACATACCAGGTGGTCGCAACGGGGGCGCCCTGGGCGTCGCCGCCAGCAGTGGGAGCAGGCAGGGCGGGATCGGGAAGGACCGTAGCCTTCTTGGACAAATCGACAGTAGGCAGGGGAGGATCGGCAGGCTCATTGTTGGCAGCTGGTCCCTGCTTGGTGTGGGCAACGGTGGCGTGGGTGGGCCATTGGGTGACAGTCGTGGTGACGGTGGTGGTGGTCCATTCGGTCACGTAAACTTCCTTCTCGATAACCTTGGCACAGGTGCCAACGGCCAAAGCGGCCAAGAGCACCGCGGAACGCATTTCGAAGCACAGAGACAATGAAACTTCACCGGGAAGTTCGAAAGAGTCGAGGGTTGGATGGTCAAGCAGATCGACTGCGTTGACAAAGGAGTGGATGTACTTTGGGCTTCAGGTAATGAATGACAAGCCTAAAGACACCTTCTTTCTTCAAAGAGTGAAAGAAAGATGAGATGCAGAGGCTGGATAGAGAGCGTGTGCGAAGGGAGGAAGTGGAAGGTTGATGGGGATTAATGTAGAAAGGGTAGAAAGGGGAGACCGGGGGGAGAGTGGGGCCGTGCGAGCAGGGAGGTTATTAATCTTAAACGAAGTCAAATGAACTCAAATGAAAACGAGATGAATTGGTGATGAACGACGATTTTTTGTAAAGTGTTCTCTCAAGTTCAAAAACTCTTCATCGAAAGGATCTTCATCGTACTTATTTCTTTCTCTTCTCTCCATGGGAATTTCCAACCTCTCGACATTCGCGATACATGCCTCAGCGTGGCACATCCCTTGGTACTCACCTAACATTCCAACAGCTCCAGGGCCGTACCATCCATTGGTCTAAGACCCGCTAGAAGGCTGGACGAGATTTGAGATATTTGATATGGACCTTACTAGTAGTTAATCTTAAATTCTCCGCGTCCGAACTGTATCTGTAACCTCGTTTAGATGATTTACTGTGTAGGGCTGTGGACTGAAGCCCGGGGATATTATCGTGTGTGATGTGTCCTTTGAAGCGCCGATCACACTAGAAACAGCACGTCTAAAGGCACGTGAGATCATGTCAGACCAATACATGTCAGTTAATTGTACTGTGGCTTCACATCTCATACACAGTTCATTACGGAGTATACTTTGACTGTCAACCCCAGGGGCACGAGATCTCTCAAGCTTTGGCGCAGCCAAGGCTCTTGGCCCAGGAACGGTTTCGAATGATCTCCCACTCAGCCAATCAGAACAGCCGCTCCGTGTCACCAAAACAAACAAACTCATGTTAGTCATCCTGACCCACTTCTCACGGGGTCCACTTTCAAATAATTTGGTCCTGATCTGAGATAGATTAAATCACAATCAACTTCGTTTCAGCCACACAGGCTGATAATCTCAATGTCTCCATCACACATCAAACTGCTGGTCTGGAAGTACAGTCTGTCTAGTGTCTATACAGAGAGTTGACTATGTAATACTAATATCCTTTGTTCTCGGAACTTCGGTGTGGATGATCAAGATTAACACTGATCTCCGATTTCAATATCGGCGGATGGCGCAACGGCTGTATTATCCGCCGTATGTTACAGATACATACACTCTGCCCCGGTTGTGATTTCTTGCCGCCCTCGGCCTGGTTGATCTGAGGCCATCGTCATCAGCTAAGCGTGCCCAGGTGGACATTGTCTTGGCTACTCATATATTGGACCTCAGAGCCGTGGCTCTATCCCTCAGCTGCATCATCAGTTGCGACTACCTCGCCAACATGATTTACAAGTTTGCTTTGCTTAAGGACCGACCTGTGCACCGAGCTATCAACATGTCATTGGCATCAACTGGGTTTGATGTGAAAACTGACGTCTTTTCGACCGCCACAGAGACTGAGAAAAAAACGCTTGGCTGGAGTTCCTGCTGGGACGGAACTAACTATCGATAGCCATGCCTGGGTAGTGGACCTTGGTTGCACGCCGACCTCATCAACTTCAGCTTGACATCGCCCGAAAATGGGTTCCCGCTCTGGACAAATTGTAACGCGAAATCCAACGGAGTTCATGACCTAGGTATCACGTTATCATATTCATACCGACTGACTTGCAGTACTTCATCGAATGTGGACTTAATAATAGAGAGCGGAGATCTCCTACTCGCTGCATTCTTGATCGACCGATCCCAACGAGTACTATGATCTGTACGGGGAGGGTTTGCTCAAGGACAACAGAAACCTAGGAAATGCGACTAGCGAACTCTACCATCGAATTGTCCTCAAATAATACCTAGTTATGCCCAGACATTATATCTCCGGTGGCTATCGGCATTCGCAATCGCAATGTGGCGCCGAGGCATCACGACCCTCGGGAAGCCCAAGGCTCATCACCTGCACCGCCATTGATAACACAACCAGTCCATCGGATCCACAGGACTTGGGACGGAGTTGGGCAGAGCGCCTATAACTAGTGTATGCTGTCTACATCGTTGGTGCAAGATGAAACCTTTGGACATGAAACCAGAAAGCGATATTCATGTAGATCAATCTGTTCAACTGAAGATCTCACAAGACTACGCGTTCATACACAAATACAAAATGGCATTTTGGAGCCTGTCACAGGTTGCCACACACAGGGTCTAGTGGATATTGGCAGGAGATCCGCATTGAATTAACGGACAGCGTGCAATACCCAACCGGACCAAACGTCTGAAAACGCCACAAAAATAAATTCTGCGTCAAAATGAACAGAAAAAACCCCACAAATTCGTAGCATACTATGTATTCGTCTAGAGCTGAATAGTGCGGCATAGTCCAGTCTCGCATACCATCAAGTAATTCTTGGCTGGCTCCGCGGCCTTTAATTCTTGGAATAGCGGGTTGCGAGTTTTGAGCCAGAAGGACTGGTTCCCCACAAAATCTCTCAGATGAGAGGGGCGGATGTCGACAAGTGAGGTCACCACGATGGACGAGGACACGGCTACGCCAGCCTCAGCCCGGATACGTTGCCGAATTAGGTCGCGTGCCGATACAGGCTCGTTGTTTCGACTGAGAAGATTGTCCCCACGTGGATTGGAGAGTGTGGAGATGTCGGCGGTAGAGAAGACCCCTGTTACCGTGCGAGTTCCGATTTGGAGACCCACGATCACATCTAGCATTCCGACGAATAGGAAGGGATGCTGGATGATTTCGACCGAGAAGGAGTTGCAGGTCTGTCGAGCCAAGGTCCGGTAACTCTCATCCTCGAGAAGGGCGGCCAGGCGCAGCAAGTTTCGTGCAATGACCCCGTTGACTGAAGGGGTTGCTGACTCGGTGCCGGTCTTCAGGCGAAGGAGCGGGCCGGGCATACCAGGAGGTGCCGTGGAAGGTGTGCTGTAGTATCCGGTGGCTGTAGAACCACTCTGAGCTAGGAAGTATTCATTGAGGTATTCTAGAGTCATCACGTTAGCCGTCCATCATAACCCACTTAGAAAAGAAATCTCACTTTGTAATCGCTCGGCAAATTGAAGATAGCTGTCATCGTAGGTAGCGTCGTACATGTCGAGAAGTCCGCTAGCAAGATATGCATAATCGTCGGCGAAGCCAGGTGTGTCTCCACGGCTGCCATCGCGGTAAATGCGCCATAACTGTCCTGAGGCCTTGTCGAAGAGATTGTCCTTGATAAAGCTGATTGCTCGTGCCGCCGCCTCGCGGCATTGTATAGCCTTCGAGCTCTCAACATCCTCAAAGAGAACACTGCACTTGGCGAGGGCACCAATGGCGAGACCGTTCCAGGCCACGATGATTTTATCATCCAGGTCTGGCCGTCCGCGTTTTCGTTCGCGGTAGTCATGCAACTTCTGCTTTCCCGATTTGATGATCTTGACCACTTCTTCCTCGCTGAGACCAAACTCTTTGGCCAACTTGCTTGGAGTGGCGCGGATGGACAACACGTTTTGATTCATGAATTCATCATGTGGATCATACTCAGGCGAGACGTTGCCGTCGGGAAGGACGCCCCAGTGTCTGGCGCAGACTGGCGCATCACGCGGGCCGAGGACTTGAGTGAGTTCCTTCAATGACCAAACATAGAAAGCACCTTCACGCTTTTCGGTATCATTCGGATTGGGGTAACTGTCGGCGTCCTCCGAAGAAAAGAATCCTCCAGTCGGCGACTGGATTGGTGCGCTCGTCAAGTAGGCGGCGAGATCATAGACAGCGCCTAAAAGTTCGGGATCATGAGTGAGCCGGAAAGCGTCCACGTAGGCATCCAACAGCTGCGCCTGGTCGTAGAGCATCTTCTCAAAATGAGGGAGACTCCAGTCCGTCGTCACACTGTACCGTGCAAATCCATGACCGATGTGATCTCGAATTCCACCACGAGCCATATTGACAAGAGTCGTGACAGCCATGGCAGTTGCTTGTTCACACTCTTCTTGTCCAACAACGTCCTTGACCTGTGTCGGATAAGCACCAAGTCGGAGTAAGAAGCTCAAATTTGACGGTGTGGGGAATTTGGGGGCGCGACCAAACCCGCCATTGATCGAGTCATATCGAGATGCGAAGTGTTGATACGCTTCTTCCAGAAGCTCAATATCCATCTCCTCTTCATCATCGCGTCCTCCTTGTTGCGTATGCGTCCCTTCCTCGGCGAATTCTCTGAGTTGTTTAGTGATTTCTTTGGCGCTGTCAAGACAGCGTTGCTGTTGTGTTTGCCAAACGTCTCTCAACTTCTCCAAGATTTCCACGAACCCAATTGCCTCGGGGCCTCTGAATGTGTTTGAATTCGGTCCTTGCCAGTACGTGCCACCAAACACGGGCTCCAGGTCAGGAGTCAGGAACACATTCAAGGGCCAGCCTCCGGAACCCGTTGTGGCCTGAACGTAGTTCATGTAGACGTCGTCGATATCTGGTCGCTCTTCGCGGTCGACCTTGATAGGGACAAAAGACTCATTCAAGATCGAGGCTACCTCCGACGACATGAATGACTCTTTTTCCATAACATGGCACCCTGGACAAGATTAGAATACCATCGACATGTGTTTGAAACTTCGACCTACAATGACATGCGGAGTAACCGATGCTGAGGAAGATTAAGCGGTTATGCTTCTTGGCCAGCTCCATGGCTTCCGCATCCCAGACTTGCCATGCTACCGGGTTGTTCATATGGGCTCGGACCTAATATCCTGTCAGCATAGCACGAACACACCCGGGAGACTGCATCTCTCACATATGGCGATCGGCTCTGCTCCAACCGATTGACCATTTTTGGTTTCGTCTCAGAGACATCATGACGCGGATGTGAGTGGTTCACCGACGCTGCCATCGCGACTAGCTTTTTATCCTTGGGTTGGTCGGGGACTAGATGCCCGTCAGCCGTCGGCTCGTGAGGGGTTACTACACGGGATTCCGCAGTGCGGCGGCAGTACTGTACCCGAGATAAGACGCTACCCCACTTAAGACCGAGGCCTATGAATGAGATGGAAATGAGGCTTTGTGGCACAAATCCTGCTGTTCTAGCCGGAAGGAGCAACAAGGTTCGATCGTGTATTGCGGAATACTGCGTAGAGTCGTGTGCGGGCAAGCGCCATCCGGCGGGATCGAGCGAAGGTCGAAGGCGCGGGAGATCGGCCCTGTGCGTCATCACTGCATCAGGAAGGTCACGTGCCACGGACATACAATGCGACTCTGTCAATCCTTGTATGGGCTATAGTCGTCCATTGTATATAGTTTTCAATGCTGTAGGTGTGTAGATTCCTCTACTATAGATACATACATGTTCGAAACACAAATGGGTATTATCTCATCTAATCATCCCCCATTAGCTCTGCCAACTCTGCCTCTTCCTCTGCCGTCAGCATTGATTCGGCTGGTTTATCCTCCTCCTTCTTCTCATCTTCTGTGGGCTTCTTTGCAAGTTCCACTGCTTTCTGGAGCTCGTCAGGTCGAAGTGACCATTGGCGAATGGTCGCGTCAATTCCTACGCTGACAACGGTCGACCCCACAAGGACAAGCCCGGTGACCTCCTCAAAGTGGCCAGAAAAGGTATGATAAAGTTCTCCAGTCTATTACAATCAGCAAATGTCGCATATTGACGAAGACAAGAGGAAAAACTTACCGACCGGTTCCACACTCTAACCTCCTCGTCCCGACAAGCGGTCACAACCCATCCACCCGTTTCGTGGACTACAACATCACGTACAAAGTCGGGATGCTCTAGCGTAAGATTGGCCTTCCAGCCATCCGCTCGAACCAGGCATTTGGCAGTCTTGTCAGCTGAAGCGGTCCATAGGTCGCCATCATTGTCGAAAAAGAGCTTGTATACGCTGGTCTCATGCGGAAGGAGGGGGTCCGTAATACTACCCCCACCGAAGATACTGAATTGGCGAATTTCACGGTCACTACCGGCGCTGAATACCACTGGCTGGGTTTCTTCTGATTCTGGGTCCAGAACTAGGTCCTGGATGCCACGAGTGTGACCCTTGAAGGTCTCCAAACGCTCGCCACTTGCGATTTTGAACACTAGAACTTGGGCATCGGCTCCACCGGAGATGAGAAGATCCTCACCACGCAGTCTTGCACTGGTGACTGATCGGACAAAGTCAGCATGGCCTTCGTACTTGCGGCGCGGCTGACCCGTCGCCGTATCCCAGCTCCAAACAGTTCTGTCCCAGCATCCAGCAAACAAAAGCTTCCCATCGGGGCTCAGAGAAAGGCATGTCACGGGCGCCATGGGCCCAGTGAATAATTTAGCTGTTTCGCCTGTCTGTAATAATGTCAGAAGTTGTAGGATCCCAAGAGCACAAGTTCACATACGGCAAGGATAACTCTTCTCACGGTGCCATTGCTGTGGGCAACATATACTGAGCCATTGTTCCAGGGGTCTGAATGAGCTGCCAAAATCTTGCCTGGCAGCCGAATTGGGTTTCCATTTGTATTCTGAGACTTGGCATTTTTCCGCTCCTGGTCATCTAAAGATGCGCTGTAATGCACCGATTAGCAGATCTGATGTGAATACCAAGCAATTGGTAGCCTCACGATGTCTGAAAGAAATGGTCTCGATTCGAAGATGTCGTCATTGTAGATTGAAGTGTCTATTAATTGGGACACACGCAGAAAAACCAAGTCTCTTTTCTCCCACGATCAACTTCTCCCCCGCCAACACCAAACTGCTATCTGAGCTCACACCGCCCACCGTAGTCCGTATCCTCCACAAAACCACAGAATTTGCGCTTCTCCGCCCTTCTCCTCCCTTCCCAACCTCTTGTCTTATCCTCGAACCTCTTCGTTTTCGCTTTCTCCACCTCCTTTACCTATCTCTGTCTGCCGCCGCGCGATATCGCGCATCGCCATCGCCATCATGGATATGAATCATCTCATAGGGTCAGCTTGAACCTGCTTGGAGACAAGGTGGTCTAGAGCTAACATCCAACAGTCAGCGTTTTAACCTGATCTCCAAAAGTGATATTCGGTTAGTTTCTTCGAATCCCACATTGGGCTATTGAAAGCTAATCCCGCTCCAGCTATGTCGGCACACTTCATGAGATCAATCCCGAAGCTTCAACAATCGCTCTCGAAAACGTCATGTCATTCGGCTCAGAAGGGCGCCGTGGGAACCCGGCCGAGGAAGTGCCCCCCTCTACCAGCGTTTATGAGTACATCGTGTTTCGCGGAAGTGATGTGAAGGACATCAGCATCGCTGGGGAGGATCAAAAGGACCCCGCACCAGAACCCCCTCGGGTACCAGATGACCCTGCCATTCTCGGGGTAAGTGACCAATCCTTTTTCCTCTACCTGCAACATCATCCGATGCATGGGCTCCAATTACCTCCTTTGTCTTGGCCTCTTGATCAAATGATGAAGAATTCCGGATGTAAACTCACAGACCTGTTCTGAATGCGCAAAACCGTGTAGAGGTTTCCGTTGCCTTCCTTCTGATGATCATTTTTCGAGCCTTGAATCGGCTGGTGGCATTGTGTGTCTCCAACACTCACTGACAATTGCAAATAGAGTGCGCAACGACCGGCTCCTACCGAGGGACCTGACTCGGGAGCTGCTCCCCAGAATCTTCCTCCTCATGGCCCTCCACAACTTCCTCAAGGCGCTGGGCCAACACCCCCCGGCTATCCCCAGCAGCCTCAATTCCAACAAGGCTTTTACCCACCTTACGGGCAGCAGCGATTTGGCCCTCCTCCTTTCCCGCCTGGTCCTGGTTTCCCGCCATACGGTGCTCCTCCCGGATGGTACCCTCCTCCAGGCCACGGATTCCCCCCTGGTCCTGGCCAATTCCAACCGCCAATGCCCATTGGCCCTGCTCAGCAGCCTGGATCCCAGCGTCCGGGACCTCCTGGTGCCGCTCCCGCGCCTATGCCTACCTCGGAGCTTCCGGTCGGTGATAAGGTCCCTAACAAATCGGCAAGCCAAAACGCAACTGCGGCCGCTCGCGCTGCCCCCGCTCCTCCGGTCGAGTCCAAGCCATCCGTGGCCGAAGCTTTACAAGCTCCAGTCAGTTCTACTCCTCAGAAGAATGGTCGAGTCATGCCAGCGATCCCAATGACTGGCCCAAAGCCTGCTCTGCCGACACAGGTTCCAACTGCCCCTCGCGGGAACAACCAGTCTGTCACCGACGCCACTGCTGCGGCTACTGCTGCGGTCGCTGCTGCTATGGCCAAATTGCCGCAGCCTGGTACGCAAAAGCAATCTGGACAGACAGAAAACGCGGTGGATGCCCTGACACACCAAATGAACAACATCCGCCCATACGACAACACCCGTGCTCCCCGCGGCGGTCACCATCCTCGAGGCGGCCGTGGTGGTACTCGTCCCCCGCAACAAACCAAGAAGATCGAAGTCCCCCAGTCTGATTACGACTTCCAAACTGCGAATGCCAAGTTCAATAAGCAGGATCTGGTGAAGGAGGCCATCGCCACTGGAGTCCCTTCTGCTGAGGCTGAGGCCCATGCAGCCGAGGAAGCGGAAGAGTCCGTCTCAAACGCTGGCGGCTCTTCTAGCCACGGCTACAACCGCGGTTCTTCCTTCTTTGATAACATCTCGAGCGAAGCTCGCGATCGCGAGGAAAACACCGGCCGTGTTGGTGGGCGTGAATGGCGCGGTGAGGAGGAAAAGCGCAATATGGAAACCTTCGGACAGGGTAGTGTTGACGGCTACCGCCCCAACTACCGAGGCCGCGGCCGTGGCCGTGGCTATGGCCGTGGTCGAGGCGGTTACAGTCGTGGTTACGGCGGCCGCGGCCGTGGCGGACGCGTCCCCTCCGAGTCCACCGGTGTCCCGTCTCAGGGTTAACCGAGTCTTCTTTTGATCAATTGTCCTTCTAGCGATACTTGCTATCTTGTTCTCATATTTGGAGTGGCAAGTCCTATGACCGAAACGAACATTCACGGTTAAATCTTTTTTCTTGTCTCTTCGGCGCAATGGGAGATTGGGTCGGTGGGCCATACGGTGATTCAGGCAACCTGCGATTATTGGTGTTTCTGTCTTTATCGTTACTTTTTTTCCGTCACAGCATACCCTTTCTGCACCGTCTTGGTTCTGGCGGATCTTTCCCTTCCATCGTGACCTTGCAGAAAGTCGCCAAATGCGCCGCAGTCCTTTGTGCTCACTTGCATCGAGTGAATTGTGCCCGCAGCCGGTGAGGAGGCATCATTATTGTACGTGCATATCAGCTGGGAGATGTTCCCCCAATGACCTAAATGGAAATGCCAAAAAAATTAAGAGGCCGAATGACCTCTGAATTGCTCGCTCTTCCCTTGTAGATCTATGAACACTCCACCTACCACCACCGTACCCGTGGACGTTGCAACCGGCAGCACCCAAGCTTTCTACTGTAGCTACTGTGTAGTTATCCTGTGTACAACATTGTGACTGAGACTCCCCAAATAGCAACTTGATCCCGGAGTCATCAGCCGTCTCAGACGTCATGCTGATTGCTGTGGGTCCCGAACTGCGGAGAAGTTGCTCTCCCCACACTGGACTACCCCAAACTCCTCCCCGGGTATTGCAAGCCTTGGCTCCGATATAGATAGGGCTTGTCTACGGTAGTTTGTCGTCGAGAGCAAATAGAAAGACAATATGACTCTACTCCAACAGGTAAACCTAGATCCATCCACCCCCGCTCCGCTCAGTGAAGACCTGTCCAACCTCGGATATGTATCCTCAACTTCTATACATAAAAGGACCGGGAAAGCCCCGAATATCCTCGGCTGCGAATCATTCATCATCCTCACCCCACTCTCTCCACTGATCTTATAAACCATTACTGCCCTGAGTACAGCCATTTGTGCACCAGGAGAAACTCTAATACAATATTTGTTCCACCCTGTGCTCGAAGCTGGCTCGAAGTTGGGGTTTAGAGTTCAATCCCCTCATTCTTATATCCAGCATGGCATCCCGGAATCCTTCCTCAAGACTGTCTGCAATATCGTCACATATTCAGCATAATCCCGCCGCTATGTCGTCCTCCACTCAAGATGCCAACCAATTGCCCTGGAATCCTAACAACAGCAAGTTCCCTTCACGGAAGGATCTCCCTCATATCCCCGGTGCACCAGAGGGTGCTGCTTGGGTTTGGGGGAAAGATGATCAGGTTTGACCACACACTGACCGGACACTATGCTGTGTTCCTAGGCTGACTTGTTCGACATGAAAGATTGGCAGATTGAACCTCTTGACACCACAGCGCGTCAAAGCATCTGCCGCCGAGATTGAGACCGGCGAGATGATTCGATTGGAGTGAGTAGGCTGGAGTATGAACTTGGACCATTTAGAGCTCCCTGCTTACATCCACCGATATATAGTCTTCCTCTCAATGTGCCTACGAAGCCAGCTTTCAACCGCGAGGTGTTTCAGCATAATATCAAAACTCTTGTTGAGAACGTCGCCTATGATGATACTTACACCCTGAACACTCAGAGCGGAACCCAATGGGATGGTTTCAGACATGTAAGTGATCATGCCAAGTGCAACACAAAGCTATCAGCCATGATCCAGTCTAACCTCCCCCAACAGTTCGGTCATATCGAGAGCGGATGCTTCTACAACGGCGTATGTCCCAACTACGAATTCCATCTTTTCCCAATACTAATCCAATCCCTCAGGCCAAAGGCACCGACTTCGTCGGCGAAACCGCCAACCACCGCTGCAGCATCCACCACTGGGCAACACACGGCATTGCGGGCCGAGGAATCCTGCTAGACTACTTCCACTACGCCAAAACAAACAAGAAATCCTACGACCCCTACACAACACACAGCATAACCCTATCCGAGCTCCAAGCCTGCGGAGCCTCCCAGGGTCTCGACCTGCGCCCAGAGTCCGAAGGTGGTGACATTCGCGTTGGCGACATGCTCCTCATCCGCTCTGGCTTCGTCGAGCGCTATCACGAGCTGAGCCCCGAGCAGCGGTATGCAGCCGCAACACGCTCCCACGGGGACATATGCTTTGCTGGCGTGGCGCGTGAGGAGGCTCTCAAGGACTGGTTGCATGATTGCTATTTTGCCGCTGTTGCTGGTGACTCGCCGACGTTTGAGGCTTGGCCGGTTACTCAGAATGATTATCTGCATCAGAGCTTGCTGGCGTTGTGGGGCTGCCCGCTTGGTGAGATGTGGGATTTGGATACGCTTGCGGAGAAGTGTCGCGCTAGGGGGAAGTGGACTTTCTTCATGACTAGTTCTCCGGCGAATATGCCTGGTATGTATCCTCTTGTCTTGGGGTGGTTGGCGGGAATGGGCTGTGCTAACTGGTCAATAGGTGGAGTTGGCTCGCATGCGAATGCTACTGCCATTCTTTGAATTAGACTTAGGGCGCTCCGAAGTCAGGTTCGAGTAGTTTGCAGAAGTACATATTGAAGAGACGAACGCTCAAAGGCTGTGCTCTGACCATCGCAGTCCGGTGTTAGGTTGTAAATCAAAGTCGTTCCATCAAGTTCGTGTGTTTCTTTTGCCGGAACAGGTCTGACTCTGAATGACGTCACATATACATAGCGTAGCTCTTATCGATAAATAGACCCAATTCCGGGCACATTCCTGACTCTTTCCCACCCCATACTTTTCGAATCCAATTCACACAATGTCGGAGAAGCTCAAAGACGCAGTCCTCGCAGAGGCCAAAGAGGCCCGCGCAACTGCGCATGATGTCGTTACGTCGGGCGCATACCTGTATCCGTTCAAGGTCCGTAGCTACAACACCATGAAGCGTGCTTTCTACCCGTTCTAACTAAAGGACAATCTAACAGGGCATAATATTCTTTGCAACACACAAAGATTTGTGGCGTCCGTTTGTCTCTCGCGCTGGCCGAACAATTACCCTCGGACTCGGCGTCACAAGCGCCATGTTTTTCTTCACCTACGTGCCGCAGATGGCCCTCATGGCCTTCACCAGCGGCCCATTTGCTGCAATCTCCGCGGCAATCTTGGTGCTCAGTGAAAGCTCCGCCATCACAAATCTTCTTTCCCGAGCATTCCTCGTTGAAGATGCCCTGGTCGACACCTTCGATGGGACACTTATCGCACGCGATCAGGAGCCCCTGGTTGCACAAGGCCGCCAGATCAAACCCCGATCTGGAGGGGGAGATATAATGGCGAGGATGGGTCGAGCAGTCAAGCAACCTCTCGCGCGATTCAGTCCACGGTCCTTGCTGCGATCGTTGCTCTACCTACCCCTCAACCTCATTCCTGTGGTCGGCACTATGCTGTATATTTTCATGCAGGGTAAGAGGGCCGGTCCAGCGCTTCATACCAGGTACTTCCAGCTTAAAGGCTGGAATGCTTCGAAGCGTGAGGAGTGGATCGCAAACAACAGGGGAGCGTACACTGGGTGAGTAGTAGCCATCTACTAGTTACCATTGTTTTTATGGATGCTCTGCAGTTGAATACTGACTTTAACCTCTCAGACTCGGAATCGCCGCTTTTGTCTTGGAGATGGTCCCGTTTGCCTCGATTCCGTTATCATTCACGAACGCTGTCGGCGCAGCTCTTTGGGCTGCTGATCTGGAGAAAGCGACCAAGTAATTGGAAGAATGGAGCTGAAACAACTCCATGTGGCGGGAATCTAGGTCAAAGTTTCATTATTGATCCAACGACGCCAAAGAAATCATGCACGAATGTTGTCTTAGTTATGATGCAATGCTTGAAATGAATGATAATGTTAGCTACATGTCTAGCGTGCTCTGTTACTGTGTATAGTACCACAGAGGACTTTGTAGGTGGAGTTTAGCAATGTCACGATCTTTCCGTTGACCACACAAGAGCGGGCATGAGCGTTATCATGAATGTGACCAACTCAAATAGTCCTGTCAACAAAACAAAGACCGCAACCCCTTCTCAAACTCAACAAAACAAAGATCCTCAGGCAACGCCAGCTCCTCGAACTTCTCACGCGGGAAAGGCGACGCCTCGCCCGTCTTTTCATATCCACGACGCTCATACCACGAGATAAGCTGCAGACGATTCGAAAGAGCGTTCAAACACAGCGTGGAAACGCCCCAAGTCTGTCGACAATAGTCTTCGGCGTACGCCAAAACCTGACGTCCAATACCGCTGTGCTGCTGGCTCGAATCAACAGCAAGCATAAAGAGACGAGCATGGTTGGCGTCGCGCTTGGCTGTCCCGATTGAGCCGACAAGCGTTTTCTCATCGTTGATTGCCATCAGCATGACTGTGTCCGCCTTAGTGATCATGGCTAAGACTTCCTGGACATCGATTCGGAAACTGGACGAGAGACCTAGGTTGTCGGTCCAGCCTTCTCGGCTGTCATCTGCGCGGAATGCAGATTCGATTAATCGTTGAAGTTGAGGTGCGTCGGCTTCAGTCGCGATGCGGAAAGTGAGCTTGCTGGTCATTTTGGCTTGGAGGGGACCTTTAAATGACCAATTGGAATAGAGATGGGATGAAGGGCTTTACACTGCGTTAGTGAAGGGTAGTTACTAAGGTTGATTCATAAATAGTTCTGAGGTTGGTGGATAAGCCATGTAATGGGAAGGGCGCGAAGGTTGTCAAAAATCCCGCAAAGGGCGCAGACTCTGTAGGATCTTCTCGGTCCTTCTGCAACTGCGAACTGAGAACTCCATACAGTAATACTGTTGGGTCTATCGTATTTCTGATGGCGGATGCATAGTGCATGCCTTGTAGTCGTCTTCTACCGCCAGTGGTGTTAGTCGCTAGGAAGACGTGCCTGAATGCCTGAATGCCTGAATGCCTGATTGATGCCTGAATATAGGCCACTTCCAATGAGGCGGTACTCACTCACTGCCGCAGTAGTTAAGTAATTTCGTATGAAGATCAACAGGGGTTTTCGGCTCCCGATGTCACTGAGAAACGGGCCGAACGTTGTCTAAAACGCTTGTCTTTTCCCGACGAAGGGGTAGGCTAAGCCTTTTGATGCTCTGTGGAGCCTGGATGGGTGTTAACTGCCGGCATACTACAGGGGTTCTCCTGGAAAGCTTTCTTTTTCTTCAAGAAAAAAGTGGCCCTGTTCGGCACTTGTTATATCCATCCAATCACAGTAGCTGCAACGGATCACTCACGGAACATAGTTTGGTTCAAAAGAAACGGCAGATCAAAAGTCAAGGAAGTGGGCCAACGATTCTACTCACGAGATCCTCTACTCCGTATCGTTAGGAGAAATTCTCCTCCCGACCTCCCTTTCCCCGCACTCTGGACTTTGCTTCCCCTCGATTCCTCCGCAAGTCCGCGACAAGTCGACAACCCTAGATGAGAAAGAGACGAACTAAATTTGGTTCTTTTGCAGTGTGAAAATGGGGGCCTTCGGGGTCTTCGGGCTTTATGCCATGTCGATCCTAATTTCCGCCCTAGTGTCAAGCACATGCATCTTATGCATCCTTGACTTCTCAGCACATTCACATCACAGTTGAGCTGCGTACTTATGAGGCAGTACATGGAGTAAGGAGTTGATCATATATGCCTAATTGGACTGAAGCCACGTACATGCGTAGCTTTGCAGCCAAGCTTGATATAGCCGAGAGTTCAACATGATGCGGTTGAAAGCCGTCTAACATAGCGAAGAAGTACAATGATGCCGAGGCATACTCGACATCCTTTGGTCCTGGAAAACAGGCCCCTTTAGTGGGACCTCATCTAAACGCGCTTAATGTGACCCGATTAGGATATCTCGAGTGGATTTGGCAGTCGATGTCATACCCTTTGACAACAATGGTCTTCCGCATCGCAGACGACAATAAGAGGAATCACAGCCTTATGCATGTTCCCACCCAACTAGTCGGACGGAGGCCACTTTTCTTCAAGTTAAGGAACCTTTTCATCGTGAGACTCTACTTCATCTCGCTTCGCTGCTGTGGTTCTTCAGGGTGATCATGTTGATCCGAAATGTCCGCAGTACTATCCCACCAACGCCGTTTGATGACGTCCACTGGCTTGAACTATTGTTCTACTGCACGATCCCTCATCGGGATGCGATCGCCATGGCGGGGATGTTGGCAGGGTGCCCACAGACCACCATGTGTATGTTGTAGCTTGCCCAGTGGGGGGTCCTTTCAGCCCCTGCCAATGAGACATGCGAAACTCGATATCGGATCGTCAACAGCCCCATTTCGCTTGATTATTGACTCCAGTTTTAGCAACACAAAAAAAATATGGAAATGGGGCTAATAATCTCCCCGATCCCGGAACAGGGGTCTGGAGTATAAAGACGAAGAACGCCCCAAGAAAGCATAACCAACGTCGTAACTGACCCATTTTCGCTCATTTCGACGCATTTCTCGCGTTATATACGTCATGCTTTTCGGTCGCCTCCTCGGCGTGGCCGCGCTCTCTGCCGTCGCCAAGGCGGTTGAGTTATCTGGATATGAATACGTTGTGGTTGGCTCTGGTGCTGGAGGCGGTCCCCTCGCGGCGCGGCTCGCTTTGGCAGGCCACAGCACACTTCTCATCGAAGCCGGAGATGACCAGGGTGCCAATCTGAACTACACTGTCCCTGCCTTCTCCGCCAGGGCTTCCGAGGACGAGACAATGGCATGGAACTTCTTCGTCAAGCACTACGCCGACGAGGATCGTCAAAAGCTCGACTTCAAGACTACATACGAAACGCCCGATGGTGGAGAATATACTGGTCTGAACCCGCCTGCGGGTTCCAAGATGAAGGGTACTCTTTACCCTCGGACTGGCACGCTTGGTGGTTGCACCGCCCACAACGCTCTCGTTACCGTCTACCCTCACGAATCTGATTTCGAATATCTCGCCACTCTCACTGGAGACGGTTCTTGGTCTCCCGACAACATGCGCAAGTACTTCGAGCGCATGGAGAACAACAAGTACCTCCTTCCCTTGATCGCCGGTCACGGCTACGACGGCTGGCTCAGCACCTCCACCGCGCCTCTGGATATTGTCCTGAAGGACCCCCAGCTGCTCAGCTTGTTGCTCGGCGGAGCCTTCTCCCTGGGAAATGTGACGCATTCTGTCTTCAACATCGGCACTCTGCTGGCTGGAGACGGCAACTCGGCCAGCAAGCACCGCGACACCGAGCCAGGCTACTACCAAGTTCCTCTTGCCTCCGACGGAGGTGTCCGCAACGGTCCTCGTGAGTTTGTGACCACGGTCCGTGATGCCAAGAACGCCGACGGTACCAAGCGCTTCCCTCTCGATGTTCGCATGAACTGCCACGTCACCAAGGTCACTTTCGACGAGACCGTCACCCCTCCCCGCGCCACCGGCGTTGAGTTCCTGGACGGCAAGTACCTGTACAGCGCCAGCCCCCGGTCCAAGACCGCTGGCAAGGGCACCCCTGGCTCTGCCTCCGCTTCGCGCGAAGTCATCGTCGCCGGTGGTGTCTACAACTCGCCCCAGATCCTCAAGCTCAGTGGTATTGGACCCGCCGAGGAGCTGAACCACTTCGGAATCAAGGTGGTTTCCGACCTTCCCGGTGTCGGCACTAACCTGCAGGATCACTACGAGACTGTCGTGCAGGGCCACACCCCCGAGGACACTCTTGCTCTCAAGGGATGCACTTTCAACGAGGGCGATGACCCTTGCCTCGAGAAGTGGGAGAACCCCGTCCTCGGCAACCGCGGTATCTACTCTTCGAACGGATTCGGAGCTGCCATGTACTACAAGAGCTCCGTGACAGCGAACGACGAATTCGACGCCTTCATCTTCGGCGGACCTATCAACTTCCGTGGATACTTCCCCGGGTACGGAGTCAACATCAGCGCGCGCCACGACTGGTTCTCCTGGGCTATCCTGAAGGCTCACCCGCGCAACACCGCTGGTACCGTCACGCTCCGCTCTGCCGATCCTCTCGACATGCCAGAGATTGTCTTCAACTACTTCGACACCGGCTCCGGAGACTACGGTAAGGACCTGCAGGCTATGACCGAGGCAATTGGCGTTGCCCGTGGTGCTTTCGACCGCCAGCTCGTCCCCATGGACGAAGTCCTTCCCGGCAAGGAGGTCCAGACTGACGAGGAGATCCACGATTACATCAAGAACTACTCTTGGGGTCACCACGCTTCTTCTACCTGCCCTATTGGAGCTGACGGTGACAAGATGGCTGTCCTGAACACTGACTTCGAAGTCCGTGGCGTCTCCGGCCTTCGTGTGGTCGATGCCTCCGTCTACCCCCGCATTCCTGGCACCTTCACTGCCCTCTCCACTTACTTGGTGGCTGAGAAGGCTGCCGATGTGATTATCGAGGCTGCCAAGGCTAAAGAGTAAGCTTGTCGGCTTGCTATAGTACTTGCTATACTACTCGTGTGCTATATGATATAGACCATGATGAACGGTAATTCATACATCGTGTGTACAAACTTGACTGTTGCCTGCTTCTCTCCTTGGGAAAGCGGCAGTTAATCTTCGCCTCACTCATTTTTCTCATATTTCTGCTATTCTCTATTCATGCCTTGTCGTAAGATTCCAAGGACAAATGGATTTAATTGTGATCTAGAAAAATGCTTTAAACAGCACTTGAATACATATGCGCTCTATAATTCGCTTTGACAGTGTATCAAACGTCAATCTCAACCACTAAGGGCTAAGGCCGCTCCAACGCATACACAAAAAGCTCATCATCCTTATATACAAACTCCCCAACATTCTTGAACCCACACTTCTCCAACACGCGACAACTCCCAGCATTCCTCTGATGACACAGCGCAAACGCTTTCTCCACCTCCGAACAATCACTCTCGTCCAAATGGCGCCGTTCCAGACCCCACCACATCTTCAACATCAGCCTCATAGCCTCAGTTGCATACCCCTTCCCCCAAGAATCAGGATGTAACGCAAACCCAATCTCAGGAAACGGGTCTACCTGGTTAATACTGATGTATCCAACGAGCTGTTCTGCTCTAGGAATCGACTTATCCAGAATGGCATAATAGAACGAACGTCCGATTACATCGGCCGGACCACTCGTAAACACCTTCGTCGCCATCCATTCACGGGTTTCTTCAATGGACTGGAAGGGTGTTTTGGGGTCGCTGGGGGCCGGTTAGCTTGAGTTTTGGTGTTTGGTATATGTATGCTCCTATGGCCTATCAAGGTAGGGATGTTCTACTAACTTCATTTCTGCAACTTCTGGCCGCGCGCGAATGGCGAAGAGGGCGGAGGCATCGTCGTCGACGACGGGCCGGAGGTGAAGTCGGTCGCTTTCAATTGAGGGTCCTGGTGAAGGGACAATCACGTAGACTGTTTGTTTGGGTAGGTCCATTTTTTGGGCTTTTGGTTTTTATTCTTTTTGATAGAAAATTGAATCTTCGAAGGATTAAAATACTTTCTGTGAGAAGATGAAGAGAGACCGGATGCGCTAAACCGGTCTCGGTGCCCGATGATATCGTGAGTCTGCTGGTTTTGGTCTTTCCATTCCAGTATCTATGAGTTCGCAGGTCGTGGTACTTGTCTCTTGCGGCGAGTCTCGAGATCGGCTTATTCGGCTCGTAATCCGAAGCTCGTCATGGAGTCAGATGTATAACGTCCAATACATGGACAATTTTCTCGCTCCTCAGTCACATTCTTGTATGCTTGGGCGGAGTAATGTAGCCCTTCCGATGTTTCTCCATTACCTAGCCAAAAGGGTGACGATAGCAGACCTGAAGTGCTTGAACCAAGCCAGTTCCCGCAGAAATGAGGAGCTATTCAAAGCTTTACCACCGTAAGGGCTCTCATAAATCGTCGTAGAATCTAGATCGTGGAAAGTCCGATGGAAATCGAATCTTTTTCTCTCGGGCCGGGTGGAGACCCGAGACCGAGAACCTTGTTCACGGAATCACGCGTCATCTCTTGACCTGACTGTTGATTCTCTTCGACTCACCCGGGCCTCTTACTTCTCCCGCGGCATACTCAATTGACCTCCAGCTCGCATCTTTAGCTCTTTAGCTTTTAATCATGTTCAAAAAGAAGCCTACTGTAAGTGACCCCTCCCCCGCACTACCCCTCCAAGCTTGCTGGAATTTGGACGCTTCCTCGCAACCCTCATACGCTAACATGAGATAGATAAAAAACCTTTCTCCTTTACGGTCATCCGATCGTAGGAAGATCGCAGATCAGATTATCAAAGACTACCAGATCTCTGTTCCCTTAAATTCCTCCGAAGACACATCCGCCCCCGCTTCAAGCCTCACATCAATTCGAAATTCGCTCCTACCGGAGAACACCCAAACGGCTCGTTTCACAACCACCGCCGGTCCAGACCTGCGCGAGCTTCAAGGAATCGTATATGTTGGCACACATCCCGACGAGGATGAGCGAGTGCTCTGGTTCAAGCTGGAACACGGCCCCGGAGCGGACAAACGCCTTTACCCAACTGTCTACACACTATGGCACAACCCGAACCTAGTTCCTTTGCTTTACACTCCGGAATTTGTGATGGGGAAGCTTCATGGGGGAGCTGACCTCATGACGCCCGGCCTCGCGAACGAACCACCGTTTCCCGAAAGGGCGGTCAAGAGTGCGGTTGTCGCGGTCGCGAGTGTGGACAGGCATACTGTGCCCCTTTTTGTAGGCGTCTGCGAGATCGATGTCTCGGCTTTGGAAGAAGTGCAAGGTACGAAAGGACATGCCGTCCGCGGATTGCATTGGGAGGGCGATGAGCTTTGGGCATGGAGCTCTGCATCACGGCCAGGCCGTCCAGCGCCGGAATATCTGGAGGGCTGGGACGAGGATGAAAGTGACGAAGTCGAGCAACGAATGGAAGAGCTGCATATCGAAGAAGATGAGGCCATCCCCGCCTCGGGAGATGCGTTGGGCGATGAGCCTACCGCAGGGGAAGAAGCTGTGGCCGAAGAGGAGCCACCCACCACACAACGTAAGCCATCCCCCCTAGCTTCTGATTGTCGCACAGCCGACTTGGAGTGAAAAATTCGCTGACTAGCAATAGAGATTGATGAGGCTCTTGTGAATGCCTTTGTCTACGCCCTTTACAAGCTCAAACAAGATAACCCTTCAGCACCTGACCATGGCCTTTCACTGCCAATTACACCTTCGGCGTTGATAGCCAACTTTATTGCCCCGTATCTTCCAATTTACACTGCCCAACAGGCTCAGCATTACAACATCAAGAAGACCAGCTGGAAAAATGTCAAAAAATTCATGAAACATCTAGACAAATCGAAGATTGTGAAATCCAAGGATCGCAATGGCCAAGAAACTGTCATCATGGATGTGGACTTTGAGGATCAGCGTGTCCAGCGCTTTGTGCCATACAGGCTGCCTTCACCGCGTGCCCTAGAGAATAACAAGCCGACCACATCCGAGGGCAAAAAACCTGCGGCGACAGATGACTCTGACCCTTCAGTTGGCCAGACAATCACTGTCCAAAGTCTCTACCGGCCAGCAGGAAAGCTGATGCCAACTATATTCCCAGCCCTTGCTGCCGGCAACGCAACCAACTTTTACAAATACTCGGATGTGTCCCGTCACTTGGACGAATATCTCGAGTCTCAATCCCCGCCCATCGTCTCGAAAGAAAACAGACGCATCATCACCCTGAACCCCTTCCTTGCAAACACAATCTTCACTTCATCATCCACCGAAGACAAGGGGACCCTTGCCCGTGGTAAGGTCACCCGCGATGGTCTCCTGAAACGGATAGTGGAAGACAAATCTCTCCTGCAACCACACTATGCCATCTTGAAGACAGGACAAACCATCGCAGATGTCAAGCCGAAAGCAGGCACCGCGCCGAAGGTCACTGTCACTCTCGAGAAGCGGACAGGTAACAAGAACGTTACAAAGATCATGACTCTGGAAGTCTTCGGCATCATTCCTAGTCTGCTGGCACAGGAACTGCAGAAGAAGTGTGCCGGCAGCACTAGTGTCACCCAGGCGACTGCTGCCCCCAAGGGGGTTATGGAGGTTTTGGTGCAGGGCGATCAGCGCAAAGCCGTTGAGACAGCTCTTCTTCGTCGTGGGGTGAAATCACAGATGATTGAGTTCGTGGATAAGACCAAGAAGAAGAAGAATTGATTGTTACGCAAATGAAGATTCTCATACGAACATCCTCCCATGCGTACGATGTATTAGAATATATACTGTCCACAGCTGCTCTGTGGATGAGAGTTAGGTTACCTTTAGGTAGGTTGTCATCGTCAAGACATTTAAGAATCTAGGTATGACCGTTAAATTGGCTTGAGTTCCTACACAGGGCTGGACATGGAACTACATATATCTGTAACCGACATGATGTGCTTGTATGTAAGATCTAACCTGTTGATAATAGGTATTGAGGCTTTTGGAGGAAACAAACCAGATGAAAAAACACCGGTGTGATCGGAATACTTGTTGGAGAGCATTTTCAACCAGCTGCCTTGCCTCTTTGACTTCTGCAAGTATGTCTCGAAGCAGACGTGCTTTCCCGACCTGGGGATCCTCTATCTCAAAAGACGGCGTGTGGGCACGCCTTGGAGGTGGCGGATAGAGCACGACAGTGGGATATCCTTGGACTTGGGGACAAGGCTTGCCAAGACGACTGGCCTTCTGCTTCTCGCCAGCCAGCCACGCATTGAGAGGTTCTGCAATCGTCGGGTGGCTTGCCACCCGAAGCTCTTCACCTTGCAGGATGAGCCTCCATTTGGGGAGAGCAGGATCAAGAACATCGTCCACCAAGAGGCGATTTCCATGAGAATCGGTGGCCAAAGCAACAGGTCAATAAGGTGCGTTCACCGTCCAAGCATGGCGCTAGTGATGTAGAACACTCTCGCTTCTGTTTCATGCACTCCTGCTTACCGGATCTTATGATACCACGTATCTCGCGCCCGAATTGCTCAGATGCGGTCGAGATGCTCTCTACCGCTAAGTTGACTGTTTCGCTGCGGGTCCCAAAGACGAGTCGATTCGGCCTTCTCAGCCATCATGTAGTGCTTAGGGGTAGGAAAGCACTGCGAGGAACGTCATAAGTAGAGAGTGGTGCTATGACAGACTAGGGGGGTGATAAATGTGTGGATGATTCAACTTACCAAGTGGTTGACGAGGTTGATGAGAGATGACAGTCGGGGAGAGTGCGAGTCAGAACAGTCGTTGTGGTTGAGACCCAAGACCCGATAGGAGACTGAGAACCGAGAAACCGCTGGCTGGACAGATGTTGCTGAAACAACACGCCAAAATGGGAAGCAATCTCTGTCCAGCCAGCGGTTTCTCGGTTCTCAGTCTCCTATCGGGTCTTGTATCTCAATCACAACGACTGTTCTGACTCGTACTCTCCCCGACTGTCATCTCTCACCAACCTCGCCAACCACTTGGTAGGTTGAATCATCCATCCATTCGTCACCCCCTTGCTGTGTCATAGCAACACTCTCTAGTTATGACGTTCCTCGCAGTGTTTTCCTACCCGTAAGCACTACATGATGGCTGAGAAGGCCGAATCGACTCGTCTTTGGGACCCGCAACGAAACAGTCAACTTAGCGGTAGAGAGCATCCCAACCGGATCAGAACAATTCGGGCGCGAGATACGTGAGATCATAAGATCCGGTAACCAAGAGCGCATGAAAGAGAAGCGAGAGGTGTTTTACATCACCAGCGCCATTGCTTGGACGCTCAAAGCACCATATTGGCCTGTCGCTCTAGCCACGGATTCCCATGGAAATCGCTTTTTGGCAGACGATGTTCTTGATCCTGCTCTGCCCAAATGGAGACTCATTCTGAAAGGGAAAAGCTTCGGATGGCAAGACACCCGACGATTGCAGAACCTCTCAGTGCATGGCTGGCTGCCGAGAAGCAGAAGGCCAGTCGTCTTGGCAAGCCTTGTCCCCAAGCCCAAGGATCTCCCACTGTCGTGCTCTATCTACCACCTCCAGGGCATGCTCACACGTCGTCTTTTGAAACTGAGGATCCCCAGGTCGTGAAAACACGTCTGCTTCGCGATATACTCTTGACGGCGGATCAGCGGTGGTCATCGGACGCCCTAGGGAGCTAGGAGCAAAAGAAGTAAGCAATGAGATCACATAACTGGATTGACAGCCTTGTCGGACGAGCGCCTAGTACTTACCATAGAGCCTTCTGCCAAATTCAAGGCAACCTCAAAGGCACTGGGCCTCCATTGGGGACTGTTTGGGATGCCTATCTTCGAGACTGCGAACAACTGCAGCTCCGTCCATCGTGGATCGTTGGGCAGCAAGATATGCCTGCTCGGTCTCCGTGTTGTCTGCAGTCGTCAGTATCAATCGTCATGGAGATGGTTGGTGATGCATAAGAGGTGGAAGAGATGGCGGCATACCTACAGAGACGAGGGGTACAGTCCCCCTCGAGGCCGCGAGGCAGCCGAGGGAAGGACGCGCTTGGAGCCCTTGATTTTCAACTCGGACGTCATGAGGCGGCTCATCAATCGATTCCGCGCATCAGATCAATCGGAAACCTCGTTGTCGCGGGTATATTGATTGGTCCGAGGATGAAGGTTGATGGAGGATCGATTGAGAAAGGGGAAGATGAAGTGAGAGGGGCCCCTTAATATACCAGCCTTGGAACGACTAAGCGCTTGCTATACCGGGGATACGAACGGGTCGTTTAGGCGAGCGCATTGGAGGGTTGTGTCACATTCTGCTATCGTGAGGCTGCGTTGCGGCTCGCTGCGTTGCGGCTCGCTGCGTTGCGGCTCGCTGCGTTGCGGCTCACACTTCACGACGACATCATGCCCTTTGGTCTTCAGATCTTGAACAAGGGCCTACCGAGCTAGGTAGGTGGATAACTCACCCGCTTCCTTTCCTCAATCGGTTGATCTTCTCTCATTTTTACTCCGGCATATCTACCTACACGACACATGGGATTATAGAGTGTCCTGGGTTGACTGGTGGATTCCATTGCCAATCGATTGCACCAACTATAAGAGCCACAGAGTCGTTTTATTCAACCATCAGTTACGGCAAAGGGAAATGTGTTCTGATAGGTCGTGGGGTGCACTTTTCGTACTGACATTCATCTCAAAACCAAAGTAGAAGCTGAAAGTTGGCTCGGCAGAGCACTGAAAGCAGCCGCAGACCGGAGAGGAAGATGAGCCGTTTGATCGATGGTGAATGCATCAAACGAGATTGTACACGCTGCAGGGGCCAATGGCTCGTATAATTACTGCTTGGTTCCTCGACAACTGATATATATACACAGTTTGGCCATATTAGTCGCCTGGTGGGTGGACGCTTTGAAGTAAGTCATATTGTGTTTTCCGGCGTACTGGCTATAGGTGTTGTCAAAACGAAGTACTCGAATTACGACAGTAATTCAAGCCAAATGCAAGCGAAATGCAAATGACGAACGAAACCAAAACCTGTCACACCAAGTTTCCCATCCATCTGCCGTAATTTGCGGTCAATCGCTGTTTTAACAAAGCATTCGCATTCAGCATACTTGAATGTCTTTCCGGACACTTTGGCCGCCTCTTCGCTATCAACAGGAAAACCCGTAACTACAGTGGGCTACCATGTCGTCTGATTCCGCGGCTCATTCTTCGTTCTGCAAGATTGTGAGCATATTACCGATCTGCTAGCCCGACTCCTCGTCTATCAAGGCTGGATATTCGCCCTGTAGTCCTGTCCCACACAACTGCCCCCGCGGAGGAAGTCTGGCAGTGTTGGCTGGCCCGGCAGGGCAATTAGACGTGTTTCTCTGGTTCATCACTCCCGAGGTTAAACCCGGACAACACGAGGAAACAGAAAACCAAAGTCACATCCATATCCTGGTTCTACAAGGCATCGTCCCGTCCTAACCTATCGCAGAGACTAAATGGCGCGAAGGAACAATTCCTCCAAGTACATCAAGCACCATACTTCAAGCGGCATTTCCCCTCAACCAATGTTTGAAGTGCTGTCTAATTTTGAGAAGGTGAAAGATGATGAAACCGGCGATCTGTGGTCAGTCCCAGCTGAGCGCATCCGCTTGAGATATTGACGTCTGGATGGATTCATCAAGGCGTATCTTCCCATTCCTGCACAAATTGTTGGATCCATTTCCACAACTTGGGAGAAGTGACAAACATATCTTTCCGGAGTCTTGATGGAGTGACGGTATACTGTGCCTTCCATTCGGAAATGAGCGTCAGCTTCTTAGCTATTGTCTTCCTGAGATCCTTGTTGCGGAAATAATTATTTTCATCTTTCTCGATTTTCGAAACTGGCTGATCCTCTTGTTGGACTTCCTTGTAAAGCCGGATATAGTGAGGCGAACCTCGCATTTGCAAGAAGTATTGCCCCAGATCCTTTTCAAGGCCATAGGCAAAGTGCCAAAGAGAAGTAAAGAGGCTGTATTCGTCAATTGAGTCAAAGCTGAGGAGTCGACTCAATCTCCAGGAGACTTGGCCTCGCTCAAGCATTTCGCGATATTTGCAGATTTTCTTCTCGTCCGCCGATTTGGGTATAGCAGCAATAAAGCCATTTATGAAGGACATTTGTAATTCCGAACTAATTTCGTTGCGGTATTGTGGCAATCCTGGTGGCTCTAGGATCATGGTTTCAGGGACGGATGAAGCGAATGCCCAGTCGATGATACACGTAATGTTGTAATCATCATCGACATATATGTTATTCACGCTCAGATCAGCGTGGCACAACGGAAAAGTCTCCGTATTGACGGCTGGGAGTTCAAGTTTCCGTACAATGTCGCGGAGAGCGTCGCCTGTGATCATGTAATCCAGCCTGTTGTCCGATGTGTTGGTCTTGTTTCCAATAGTAACGAACTGATCCCACAGGTCCACAGCGCTCCTATATTGCATATGGGATTGATAGTCGTCCCGGGAGGGAACAGGTGCCACAAAACAATGATGAGATAACGGCAGGATCTCTGCATGCTCAGAGAATGCAGAAATAAGGCTGTCATAAAACTCTGCCTGGGAATCGAAAGGCCCACGTGGTATCTCCAAAGAGTATCGTGAATGTAACATGTGACCGCGCGAGAGACATTCCTGGATCTCGAAGGACTCATTCTCTTCGAAGAGTGAGCCGATTTTATCGAACCGTAATTGTGAAAGCTTCCAAGTAATACCGCCCAACTGGGAGAGAATTTTGGCCTTGTTAACAGCATCTAGATCAGGTTGAGAAGAACTGGTTGATCCCCAAATCCTTGACAATGGCCAGCCAGGCGCTTCACTCATAAAAATGAAGGGAATCCCGATGTCATTATCGGACGAGGCACTGCGGTGGGTTAGGACCATAAAAGTGTCGCCTGGAAGGGTCTGTTACCAATAGTCGTATACTTCTGGGACTGGGATATCGCTATGAGTCCTGAGATATCGGAGCGTGGCAGCTTCACTGGCCAGTAGCTTTATCCCAATTTCGAGTGGCATAAACGATCGAGGATGTGGGGATCTGAAAACCCATCGTACCCCATCTTCAAACGAAATAAAGACAGCCCAGTTGAAACTTCCCGAGGCAGGACGTTCATCCGGGTCACAAGCACACGAAACACCCTGCCGCAGCGTGCTCGCTTGACGGCATAGAGCTTGAAGGTCAAAATCGGCGTAAGTGAATATGCCGGTTCTCAGTTCTCGGGACATTTTGATTGCAGAGATCCGGGGTGGGAGAAAAATGCAGTCAAGAAGGATACGGGCCCATTTCGCTTTCAGGCCGAAAAGTCAAGTGTTTCTAGGGATGGTCGTAGACTCGTAGAGTCTTAGACTAAGACTCTCAGTCCACCCATAGGAGCGGTGTGGGCGAACGTTTCAATCCCAATACGGGTGCTGAATGCGAGGGACAGACAACTGTCAAGGCTAGGCGAGCTGCAGTGCTGCAGTACACAAACGATGGCTCCACACTGCCACCCATAATCGTACCAAGCACACCAACACACCTGCTCTCCGTGTTCAAAGTGATGAGGACCCGGCCGGCGGCGGTCCTCTTTCTGTGTTGGCGGCAGCGCGGGGCCGCTGCGCGCCATCGGGGGCCGAGGGGGGACGGTCTTGACCTGGTCCAAGCGTTTTTCGGGGTCCGGCTGGCGACCTCCGCGAAGGAGGCGGGCTTCGTTCCAACTTCCCCGGTTGGTGTTTGGATCCGGGGAATATCCATTGAATTACGTGAAAGAGCAGCGTCAATATAGTTATACGAGATACTTTGATCATGACTACCTACGGTCCACAGACTGAGCCTGGCGTTTGAAAAAAGTGGATGAAGCTAACGCTCAGCAACTGAGAGTCTGAGACTGAGGGTCTGGACTCTGGGGGGCAAGCCCCCTGGTATAAGAAGATTGAACAGCCCAGCAATTCCATTCATAAGAGTGAAGCAGAGTAAAAGACCAACTCAGGTCTATCGTCTTCAAGATGCAAAAGGCACAAGAAGGAAAAAGAAGAGAAAATCGAAAGAAATCAGTAACAGTTGTTGTTACATGTTCCAGCGGAAATCCAGCCAAACAAACGTCCAAAAAGACAGGATACCCGATCCACGTCTACCATAAGAGTAGAATGCATACCCTGGATACTCTATATACGCCCGAAGTATATACTAAGAAGACAGGTCGCGGGCATGTACTTTATTTTCAGAGACGAGCCACTTCAGAGTAGAGCGGATAACGCCGAGGAGCTGGTCAGCACTCAGGGAGCTGAGGTAGGAGGACCAGTCGCTGTCGTCGGACGAGCCAGAAGCGGGGCCAGAGGTGGTGACAGGAACAGGCGCAGCGGTAGCGCTAGGCCCCGAAGCGTCTCCGCCGGCGGGCGCAGAGCTCTGTGCCGACTGGCCGCCGGGGGAGCCAACGGTGATGGCAACGTCGGTAGGGGCGGCAGTCTGTTCGGCAGGCTCGTCAGTAACCTGTGTAGCAGAGGCGCTTTTGGTGACGGAAGGAGCGTCTGTGAAAACAGGCTCTGGTCCACCGGGGAGCGAGAGTGTTGGAGCAGACGTGGGAATAGAGGTTGCACTGGAGGAGTGGCTGTGGGTGGGACGGCCGGTGATAGTGCGAGTGCGGGAAGGGTGCGGGTGCGAGGATGGGAACGAGGAGGAGCTCGGGATTGGAGAGGCACTCACGGTCGAGGAGGCACTGGCGGTGGTAGGTGCGGAGGCGGCGGGTGTGGTTGATGGGCTTGGTGAGCCGCCTGACGAGGCACCGGTGTACAGGGCCGGACCGGGGATATCGTAGGAGCTCATGGAGGTGTAGATGTTGACGAGAATGCCTGGGTCGGCGGCTTTGTAGAGGTCTGTGCCGAGGGTGCCGCTGGGAGTGTCGCTGCCGCCGCCGGTGACCTTCAGGTTGATACATTGGGGGTAGTTCTGGGCGCCGTTTTGCTCGCCTGCGGAGTGCAGGGCGATGATCTCGTGGCGGAGCACGTAGTTTCCTGAGGCGATGCCGCTGGGGATGGTCACGGTGGCGCTGTTGTTGGCGGCGATAAGATCGTCGGAGGCCCATTTGCCGGGGGCATTGCTACCGTCGATCAGACCGGCCTCGTGGATCTTGAAGAACTTGAGGGAGGTCTTGTCCACAGAGGAGCAGTCGCCGTTGCAGTTGGCCATATAGGTGATGACAGGGCCATGGTGACTCTCGGGCCATTGAGTCCATTGCAGCTCGACGGAGCCACCGGCCTTGACCTCAGCGGAGATTGCACCGGGTGTAGCCTCCTTGTGGCAGATAATGTCGGGGCTGGAGTAGCCGGAGCCGTCGATGAAACCGGTGTCGGTGGCTTTTTCGGCCCATCCGATGTTCTCGGGCACCTGGTCCATGTAGTTGTAGCTGGTGACGATGAAGCCCCCGTGGTAGGTGCCATCAACGACAGCACCCGACACGAAGCCGTGACCAGCAACCATGGCGGCCGAGCTGAGCAGGAGACCTGCAATTTTTGACACAGACATATTGAAGAAGTTGTGATGGGATGGAAAAACGCACAGCGTTGATTCAATTGAAGCACTGAAGAGGTAAAAAGAATGGAAAGGGGACTTCAATCAATGAAGTCTTCCCGGAGAGAGAATGAATGGCACTAGACCGTGAAAGAATGGAATGCAAAAAGGGCTGATGAGAAAGATCAAGTCGTTCGAGGGCCGTGATATTAGGTCCTTATATACGGTAGTCCTCCCCGGGATCATGGCTTGATTTGGTTCATGGGCGATTCACCATTCCCCGCCCAGAGACTTCCTATTACGGTAGTAGTCTTCACCATGTCCAGCGGCTGTTATTGGCATGACACAGGGTCCAGCTGCTCTCTCGCTCTCCCTATAGGTGGAGAATGAGCGACAGGGGACACTCGCATCTAAGAGGTGACAGATAGATGAAGCTTGTCACCTCCGAACATGCCGGGGTTCCTAAACTGCACTAGTATCAGACGTCAGTAAGCTCTGCTCCATAAAGATCATCAAGGAGGGGCATTAAACTCTAGGTCATACTCGATTTGGTGCCTGTCGATCCCGAGCGGTTGTCTGCGACAGTCTAAGTTTCATATGCGAATCCACATAGGGCAGCTAGTCTCCCCCGAAGAGGCGGATGACATTTCCACACTATGCCAAGAGTATCTTCCCTGTTCCTGTCTCGGAGAATTTCCTTTGAACCCCATGCAAAGCTTAGTCGCTATCAGAGAAGTCACCACCCATCATTCGAACCTGTCATAATTCAGGAATACCCGTTCGAGGCCGAGTCTGGGGGTGATCAAATTGATGTGATCAGGTTGATTGCCCTAACGATTATTCCGCCTCACTGCTTTCTTTTTCCACCCCAAAGCCGTTCCCTACCATGGTCCATTAACAGCCAAGCCGTGCCATCAGCGGCTTTGATACCCACACTCCCAGATGAACTTCAGCGAGTCTTCTCCTTTCGGATCATACCGGTAGATCCAAGTGCGGGATAAGCAGAGACTGGGCTCAAAACAAGGTATGATTTTCATATAGACTCTCTGTCTGATACGAACTTCATTATCATTGCCCCTGTGACAGGGGCCGTTGTCTCATCTGCCCGAGCAAAGAGGGGCACGGAGTAACAGCCTCCGCGTTGGGAATTTTTGTTTGAAACTCTCCGGGCCGCATAATGATGAACTCCGAAGCCTTGACTCGTAAATAACAGCTCTATCTTGTGCATCTCAGAGATAACTATTGATTAGGCCAGAGCAGGGCTGAAGTCTCGAACGGCCCCCGTTCGGCACTTTTGTGGGCGCCAAGATCCAAGGACCCACGCGAGATTTGACAAGCCACAGGAGTATCACCTTAGTATTACACAGTAGTAGTAGAAATTGACGCTCTGAGCAAGAATATTTTCCATGGAGGTCTTGTGTTTCATCAACCTGGTGTGGGGTTCACTTTGGCCCCTTGGGACTTTTAGCCATTACAATCGTGGGAATATGCTGCTTGAGCTACAGTAAGTACCTAATCCGCCAATGATCTGCCCCTGAATAGTAATTAGATGTCGGGGAACTTTGATACAAGTCAAGAAGCACCAGCCCCTGGAAGGCTGGAATGATCTCGGCCGTGTGGCTGTCCTCCATATATGCAGCCCAATCCGCCTCCAGGGCGCTGTGTACTCCGTACTTCCGACCGATAAGTTTACCGACAACGAATGGTCAACCGTTTGCTGTTCTCGAAGAACACCATCCCTTGTGCATTAAAGCTCTAGTATTTGCCACGCTAAGACGCGTTTGGCGGCACAGGACATTGCTGTGGCTCGATAGGCTCTCCGCTACATAGGAAGAGAACGACGATCATCAGCCTTCAGATGCATTCTTGTGCCACAAATGCCGTCCTAAGAGGGTCTCGACGTAATAAGCGACACATTCCAACAAATGATAACCAGGCCCGCACCCTATCCAGAACCTTACTCCAATGCCGTAAAGGACACAGCCGATAACTGGTGTAGCACAGTATCTTTGCGAGGCAAGATGACCCGAAAGTGTCTGTGTGTTGTGTGTGCTTGGCACATAACTAGTCGTCATTCCAAGCAGTCGGGTCAGTCCGCCGAACGCACCCTGGGAAGAAAGTTGGTGGCAAAGGAAACACGAAGAAGTTGTGGTAATACAGACCCTTCCATCGAGTTGAGAGCTGTCAATAGAACAAACTTAGAACCCAATAGAATACGGATCCATAGCATGATCCCCCTGTCAGACCGGATAAGTAGGATGGCAACAAATCACCGTGAGGGAAGATCCGTTAATGTACGGCCCCGGGGAGTACGGCGTATGGGGCCGTAATATGACTAACCGTATTGGTCACCGCTCTGTGTGGCCTGAAGCCTGAGGTATCTGTTCTGTCCCAGCATGAGTAGAAACTTCACTGTGTACGATCTTGGGATCGAAACATCACTTGAGTGTTTTACTATCAAACATATCAAACTATCAGCCTCAATTCAACTTCCATCAAGATCAAATCGACGTTGTTGGTTAAAGTGCCATCTCCTATGTTACGGTTGTTGAGGTTCTGCCGGCCTGATCGGCGCTCTAAGTTTTCCCGCTCCCCTTTCCACCAGATACCGCAAGGCAGTGACTTTCCCCAACAACTCCTCCGTTCAACATCACGCTCGCTTCAAGGGCCATGATATCGGAGTCTGGCCCTGGAATATACAGTGACAAGACTTAATCGTCAAATAATATCCCGGATTTCGAACCGCTTCCGCCCGAGAATCACACCCACCACGCGCCTCCACCATCATATTCGATCGTTCTGAAGGTGCTGGTTGGAATCAACTGTAATCAACAAAGTACCGGGAAGAAACGACGAAGCATGCGATCAGCTCAGCCATCCTTCTCGCCCGAGTTCTCCGCCCTGGATCCCATAATCATGGATGACGACATGGAGTCCACCTTTCGCAACGCCAACATGGATTTTTTGGACCCCACAAAATTGGAAATGTCGACCGAGAATGCGGGTGGTGAGTTTGACGATCTGTTTGCTCGAGCCACGAACTCCGGTCCAAACGGCGCTTCGGGGCCTTCGAAGCCAAACGAAGACCAAAACCCCCTGAGGCAAGTGCCGACCCTGGCAGCCGACTCTCCAGCCGAATCGCTGGATGATTCAAGTCACAGCTCTTCCTCCGAATCGCCGCGGAATCACCTGCGACAAACCTCGGTCGCTTCGACAAATTCCGCTGCGCATAGCGAGAACCATTTGGCTTCTCTCAACTATGGACACGAAGATTGGATGCGCCCGGAGTTATCGTCGGTGAAGGAGGAGTCACCGTTTAATATCGTTCCCTCTTTTTCTATGGATGGTTTTTCTATGGATCCGGATCTGGAGGTCAGCAACAAGGCGATGGACGCGGCATTCGATTTCGAAAGTGCGGCGAGTAGCCCTAGTCCATTGAAAACAGAGAACGAGTCTCTACCGAGACCTCAAAAACGGCCCAAACCTCAGCTTTGGAGCCCTTCAAGCAATAATGCTGGGCTGCCATCGGCCGATGCTGCGCCCACAGTGAGTCACCCGAAACGTGCTTCTTTTGACCGAACAATGCTAATAGACCATAGATCCATGCACCTGGGTCTCCGTTCTTCGCTTTTGGGCTCAATGGCCAATCGCAATACCCCACCACAGTACAGCAAGATATGGATAGGACGACTTTCCAATGGGACGGGCAGTCTCCTTCCTCCCTTCTAGAAGAAAGCTTCGGCGGCATTAACATGAACCGCCAATCACCTCTCCACGCTTCCCTATCACCCTCCATGAACTTCAGTTCGCCCGCAGCCTACCCTCTCCCTGCCAACTTCGCTTCTTCACCTGCACAACCCCAGGCAAATTCCAAGTCCCTGCAGCCTATTCTGACCGTCCATCCTACGTCCTTGAAATCTCGCGTCGAAACGCAAATCCCGATCATATTGACCCTATCCCCACTACCTACAGGTGTAAAGAAACTCCGCCTTCCCTCGCACACTATCTCGAAACTCAAATTCCTCGCTCCTCCCGCCACCGAACCTGCCCCCGATACTCTCCAATTGTACACCAGTTTGGTTTGTACAAGCGCCATGCAAGACAGAGACAAGATCAAGCGGGCATTTGCCCGGACACGGGGCGTTCACTATCAACCAACCTCAGATGATGAACGCCCGTTGGACGGAGGCGATGTGAAAATCTGCAGCGGGTGTATACAACGAGAACGGAAACGTGCGTCTCGAAAGAAACAACGCAAGCCTGAGGAAGATGAATTGTTTCAGAAGGATGAAGAAAAGCGTGTCATCGTCTTCAACACTAGCGAGATCAAGGAATGGACGGAACCACCGAAGAACTCTAGCGGTGGATATGGCGATAGAACGTCAGTCCCGCCAGGATCAATGCAGGTGGAACTACCGATGCGAATTGCATGCTACTGCCGGCATCAGAACGAGAAAATCGGTTTCCAAGTCATATTCACTGTGAAAGATCATCTGGACAATGTGATTGCGCAGGCGATCACAAATTCCATCATGATCACTGACGACCACAAGACGCAGGCCCCTTCTGCCCCTGCGCCGACTGGCCCCTCGCCCTCGCTCGCAGATGGGACACAAGTACCAGGCGTTGGCGTCTTTCCCTCCGGGCAACACCTTGATTCTTATGGTGCGCCTCAGTCGCCAACTGATCTTCAGGGTCTACAGCAAAGATTTAGTTCACAATACCAGCTCACTCCCAGTTCGTTCGCAGCTACCGGCTCAACAAATGGGGCGTCTGCGCATCAAACGTCCCGAAGCCTATCTCGTGGAGCATCCCCATCTGATTTCCAAGGACCTCAGAGTAAACGACGCAAACACAGCAGCTCTGGAAGACTCCCATCAGAGCTGACGATGACCCGACTTGAAACCCCTCAGTCGTCTGCACCGGCTATGAACAATGCTGCACAGCTTGCCGCTGCACGTGGATTCGCCTCTCCGACACAACGGCCATTTGTAACGCCGTCGTCTATGTCACAATATGGCAATGGCCCGCCCACCCCCAGCCCGAACAATGACAACAATCCGTTCTTCAATCCCACTCCTGCTCAGCGTCAAAGTCTGGACAACCTGGCTGGTGGAGCAATGACATCAACGCCCAACTCTGCTCATCCCAGCCGTCCTGGAACACCTGGTGGCTCGAATCGCAACGGCTTCCAGGATCCAAATCTCGCTATGGGACTTGGTGCGAACACTTCAAGTCAAGTTTGGCCTCCTCTCAACAATACTCCCCACAGACTGCCGTCAGTGATTCACAAATTGGTGCCTGCCGAGGGCTCCATCACAGGAGGTACTGAGGTTACACTGTTGGGCAGTGGGTTCTATCCTGGCATGGAGGTTGTTTTCGGTGACACTTTGGCTACGACTACCACATTCTGGGGGGACAAATGCCTGAACTGTCTGACCCCTCCTGCTCTCCAACCGGGATTGGTATCAGTTATGTTCAAACACGAGCACCCGACGTTTGGCCAAGTTCAGCAGCCTCACACTATTATGCCTAAACAGCAGCTGTTCTTCCGCTACGTGGACGACCGTGAACTTCAAATGTATCGTTTGGCGCTGAACATTCTTGGTCAGAAATTGGGCAGTCAAGCCGATGCATTCCATACAGCTCAGCAGATCATGGGAAGCGACCCTAATGCTTTGTTCAATATGCAGGCGGACATGCAAGGTAACTCTTCTGGAGGAGGTCAGCAACGCCAGGTGCCAGGCCATGACAACCAGGGCAAACTCAGCGATCTCGACTCGAAGATGCTGACTTATCTGGAGTTCATCGACCTGGATGACAGTCCGCGGCCACCACGGTATAATTCTCGCAACGCGACCGGTCAAAGCCTGCTTCACTTTGCGGCCTCATTGGGACTGACGAGATTTGCCGCCGGACTTTTGGCTCGAGGTGCAAACCCCGACGTGCAAGATAACACAGGCAACGCACCGATGCATCTGGCTGCCCTCAATGGCCATGCTCACATTGTGCACCGGCTGCGTCTTACGGGTGCCAACCCCAGCACACGCAGTGTGCGAGGCTTCACTGCGGCTGATCTGGCAACAACGCTTCCAGCACACCAAGCCGCCTTGCTGCCTTCTCGCCACTACCGGTCTCGGAGTGTTGGATCTCTTACATCGCGCCGCCGGCAAAGCAGCTCGGCATCGCTCAGCTCTATGTGGGAAGTGTCTTCCGCCTCTGGGTCTCTTGGTCATGCCGCCGATGACTTGGAGGAGCTGAACGATGAGGAGGAAACTACGGACGATTCCGACTCTGAGCCTCTCCAATTTGGCTCTTCTCGTCGGTCTAGCATGCACCAAGATGCTGATGCGCAGCTGGACACAAACGAACACAACGTCGCACCTCGAAATGCTCAGGGCTTCGCTCCGCCAGCTCCTCTTCTCGCGTGGCGTAACCAGCTGGCTCTCCAAATCAATCATTTCCAGCAGAGTGTTGCCAATGCATTCCCAAATCTTCCCGCTCTGCCTCCAATGCCTCCCATGCCGGCTATGCCGGCTATGCCCGCCATCCCGGCCATACCCGCACTCCCAGATTACCAAGGCCAAGGAATGATGCGTCGCATTACCAATCTTGTCCCTCATCGACCTGCTGTTGGTGATGGCTGGTGGGATTACCTGAAGGGCAACTCCACGCCTAACCCCAATCAACCGCCTTCATACGACGAGCTTTTCCCACACCCTGATGCCGCCGAGGAGTCCGATATGAAGAAATCTAGTCTGCTCCGTGCGGCAACAGAGGCAGCCATCGATCAACACTTCGAGGCCCAGAGCAGCGCTGCCGCTGTCGCTTCGGCTTCGACTACTGCTTCGACTTCTGCGCCCACCCTTGCTCAGGTAGAGAAGGACGAGATCAAAGACATCACAATTGGGTCCAAGGTCATCTCCCGCGAGCAGCAAAAGCATCTCCGTGAGCAACAGGCTCGCCGAATGAAGGGTCTAGCCAGTGACCGAAACTTGTACTTCATTTGGGTAAGTGATCTTTACCAGTTCCTTTTTGATCTGATTTAAACATTAACTAACACAACTCTTCACAGATCCCTCTTCTTATTCTCGTTATTTGTGCCTGGGGACGAAGCTACGTCCCCGGGATTTGGCAAGGCGTCACGGACAGCTTTGAATTTGTGAAAGCTCGCTATACACAGCCGGCTGTGGAAATGCGCATCTAGGGTATCTTCTATTTTCTATTTGTTTCTTTTGTCTTGTTTCCTCTGGTCATATATCTCCATGGCGTTATCCCTGAGCGACTGATACTGTACGACTGACTGCCGGTCATATCTCATTTTCTTTTCCCTTTACTTATTCATGTTCATAATGACGCGGCATGACTATATGTGAATCCGCATGACTTGAGTCTCAACCTTTCCGCCGTGTGTAGCATGTAGATGTAGATGCCAATTTTCCAACCCCAGCAAACGCTCTTCCGGAGTCTTCAGGTGGCAGACTAAATGTGACGGGCCAGAGCCCTGCAATGTAATCATGTGACATGGCCTTCTCGGATGGTAGGCAACTAGGCATTCATGAGGATCCCAATCTTAACGTCTTGCTGCATCGTACGAAGTAACGTTGGGTTCACTTCACAGTTACGTATAAGCTTGTACACCAGGTGGCGGATGATGGTAATTCGTATATGGCTTAATGGCTTTCCTCAGAGAAAGAGAGAGTGAGAGAGAGCAGGCAAACTATCAGGGTTCTATCATACATGTAATGCCTCAGGCACTCAGGCATCCAACAATATAACTAAACGCGGCATTGAGCCCTCATTCCCTCATTATATCCAACTTAAAAGATTTCCCCCGAAATTAGTCAAATAGAAAGCAATAGAGACTGTCCAAATATCGCGGTTAAGTCCACAACAAATTTGTATTTCTGTCCTATCTGCCCAGGTGGTCTATCGTTTATCGTAGGCCCACTGAAATGTTTCTCACCCAAATCTCACCAAAGCAAAGAAAAAGTAAAACCGCCCCTTTTTTGAGAACACATATATCTCAACGTCAAATCCATACCCCAAGTGGGAATTTTTCCTTTTTCTTGCCATGGACAGGCGTGTCGCCTCAACCCCTTCCAACGTTTTGCAAGTTCTCTTCCTCTATGCCGTCCATTGCATTGTTCCCGCCACTATTCTAATCGCAACACCCAAGCGATCTGCTCTTCGATATCTCTGGATTCCATGCTCTATCTTCATTGTATATCAAGCTATCCCCGTGGCCACGGCATTAGGTCCAGGATTCGTATGGTGTGAATGCGCGCGCCTCTTCATCACCATCGTCTTCCAATGTCTAAACTTGCTACTTATCAACCCCAAGGATATCAATGATGTACCGCATGGGTCTGGCAAGAGCCTAATTGCTCGATTGTACGCTGCGACACGGTTCTTCACGGATCCTCGCGGTATCAACACCCCCTGGCAGATCAAAAATGCCCCATCACAGCCGGCATATTATGCCCGGCGTAACATGCGCACGCCTCCTCGGGGACGGTTTTTGGTTCGCCAGATGGCAATTGCTGCTTGGCAATATATGGCGCTGGATGTGTTTGCTACTCTTGCGTTACAGCAGGCATTGGAGCAAGAGCAAAGGGGGATGTTGCCACCAGTGCCTCGGTGGGATATATCCACAGAGCAATGGATTGAGCGCATCATCTCGAATATCATGGCTGGGTTTGTCGTGAGTCGGATGCTCATTGACCTCCACCATCGTGTTTTCTCGATAATTCTCGTCGGACTTGGTCTCGATTCTCCTGCGAACTGCCCTCCGTTGTTTGGCAGGGCACTGGATGCCGATACAGTACGAGGATTCTGGGGGTGAGTTAATTCCACACAATTCTGTTAGGGGAGGCTTTCAAATGAGATGTTTTACTAATGACAGGCTCATAGGAAATTCTGGCATCAGATGCTACAACGACCCCTGACCTCTGTCAGCGCTTTCATCACTTCAGACCTACTAGGTCTACCAGTACGATCCCAAGTCAAGCGGTACATGAACGTATTTGTTGTTTTCCTCTTCTCGGGCATCTTGCATCTCGTGCTCGATCTTGTGCAGGGAATTCCAGTACCGGAATCCGGGGCCTTGTTATTCTTCGTCACTGCCCCTCTGGGTCTTATGATTGAAGATGGTGTCAAAGCGGTTTGGGGATCTGTTTCGGCGTCTCAAGCGCCAAGCAAGAATAATCTCCGTAAGCCAGTGTGGCAAAGGGCCCTCGGTTTGATGTGGTCTATGGCATGGCTGGGAGTCACCTCAACTGGGTTCTTTTATCCGCAAGTAGTGAGGCCGCAGAATCAGGCGCTGGTCCCCTTCTCCGTGGCAAGACATATTGGACTGCCTGCCCAGGCAGGGATCGTGGTGGTTGGGGGAGTTGTGCTAGCAAAAGTCTTCGAGGTCGAGGTGTGAGGTCATTGAACAGAATTCAGGGGTATCGCCTGGAACGGCGTTTGTCATTACTTTGAATATATTCATATGATAACTATTGAGATTCAATGCATTTTATATGGCTTTGTTTAAAACAGAACATAACATAGTACAGCATTACTCCATGGCAGCCCAGTAAAAGCAGCGAGGGATCTGCACTAAAGTGGAACACAAACACGGCCGTGCGTGGCCGCAGTTGACATGTCTCCGACCTTCCCCCGCGGCTTCGTTCCCCAACAACCAGGCGCACGAAAGTTCATATGTACCTTGAGATCTGAGATGCCCTGAAGTCAATTGGCTACTTCCAGTATTGCGCCCGGGAACATCATGGATCCCTCACAGGCAGCTTCGAGCAATGTAACTGGTACGGCCGCGGAGACGGAGACAAGGTGAAGCTTGCGCTGACCACATACCACAGTCGAATACACAGATCCCTCGGGCCTGTTCCCGCTCATCCAACCCGTGATCGAGTCGAAGCTCCCCCTGAAGAATTTGCACTGGAAATCGCCAACCCGCCCCGTGCGGTCAATTGAGTCGCTCCGCATCGGCTTCACTCCCGCGCAAGAATCGGAAGAACGAAAGTCTTCCAGCGAGAATGCCCAAGGCGCAGTTCCTCACCGCCGACACCAGATTCCCGGTCTACGGCAGACACCATATCTGAAAGTTTACCTCCTCCGATGCGACGATAACGAGACGTATAAGGCGACGGCCCGGCGAAACCTCCGAGAATGGATCAAGGCCAATGCTTCTACGCAGAGCTCGCAGTCTGCAACCGCTAGTCAGGAAAAGCACGATGCGTTTGAGTGGCTTATTCTACACGTGGTGCCGGACGGTGACGCTGCGGACAAGGCGGCCACACCTACATCTAAATGGGGCCGGAGTTCGACTACGGTGCTGGAGAAGGCAAAGGCCGACTTCAATGGGTCGTCCAAGACTGCTGTGGACCGCGTGGCTCAATTGCGTCTTCCGAAGCCGGGAATCAAGTCCCCCGAGTTGGCTGCGCAGCTGGAGGATTTGATTGACAAAATGAAGAATGGCATTTTGGCATCATTCGATCTGCGTGTGGCCCAGTACGAGGAGGATATCAAGGAAAAGGATTCCCAACGCAGTCTGCCTGGATGGAATTTTTGCACGTTCTTCATCCTTAAGGAGGGTCTTGCTAGGGGGTTCGAGAACGTGGGCCTCTTTGAAGATGCACTTGCTGGATATGATGAGCTAGCCGTTGGCTTGGATGCTGCTGTTCGGGATCAACTCGACGGGAGTGGTGATCAACACAGTGGCGCCCTCTCAATCGCTAGCAAGAACTGGGTAGAGATGGCCAAAAAGGCATTGGCCAGTGAGGCTTCTCATGACAACGATGGCGACGACGACGATGCTGCTCTCTTTACGGAGCTTTCGCCGGAGGCTTTCCCATTTAATTCCAACAAAATGTCCTACCGGGAAATGATCCTCGCTAGCGACATCTCCATCTTTGATTTCCGCACATACATCTTCTCTCGTCAACTGACTCTATTACTCCGAGCCGCGAGAGCTCCATCACTAGCTGGGAGTGAGCCTGGTCCAGATACAAATGCAGCGAAATCGGACTACAAGCCCGAAAATCTTATCTTGCTAGCTGAGATTTGCGCCAGAGCGACGGAGTTCATCGGGTTAGCTGCCCGTACTCTTAGCTATGATCTCGAATGTGGCCTGGCAGAACTGGTTCACGACGACAAGACAGATGTTATCAGCAATCTGGTCTCCTCATGGGTATTTTCAGCAGCCTTCCAAATTATCAGTCAGACTTCCACTCCAACCCTCGTGCTCCCTGAATCCTCTCTTCATGCTGTGGCACAATCGAGTGAAACGGCTGCTGTCACAATGGCAGACTCTCGGGCTGATGTTCCCCGTCGCACTAGTTCGTTGATTGGTGGTTCACGCGCTCCCCGGCCAATGACTCAGGATATCTCTGATACCGTGGGTTTGCTTCAGCGGCGATCGACGATTGATCACCCTAAGCCCGCGCCTTTTCCCACACAGAAGACTGGTTCCGAACAGCTATCATCCGGGAGGGGTGAATTGCTTCTGCTAGCACGGCGGTCTCTGGAGGAAATTGCCCGGAGACGAGGCTGGGCTGAGAACTGGAATGATCTCGGCCTTCTGTTTGATGATCGTTATCGATCTGGGGCAAGCGGGCTGGCGGAAGTCTCCCTGAGCGGCGATGACACCGAAGAGTCACAAATTGATTCTGAGAAGAGGCAAGCATCGCTAGTCGGCATAGAGCTTTCTGGCCTCAAGGCAGCATTAAAGTCAAAAGACGCATTCTTATTCCTCTATGAGGATTTGACAGACCGTTTGATCCGCCATAATATGGCGGCCAACCGAGTCAACTCTGTCGAACAGGCTCTGGCCGAGATCGCTATTCTACGATACAGGCGCAAAGACTACGAGGCTGCTGCATCCTACTTCCATCGGATGGCTCCTTTCTACGGCGCGAAGTACTGGAATGTCCTGGAAGGAAGCATCTTGGAACTTCATGCCCGGTGTTTGAAGGAACTGAAGCGGAATGAGGACTACGTCTGGATGATGATTCGGTTGCTTTCGAAGTTTGCTACATATGCGCAGGCGCAATTGTCAGTCAGACAAAAGGCTGTGACCGGCTCAATTCCTTCTACTGAGCAGGAACTACTGGAAGGACATGTCCGCGATCTATTTGAAGCATCTGGTGCTCTTCAAAAGGATATTCCTGCTTCTTTGACAGATTTCTTTGCCGATCTCCGTGTCGATCCGGCAATTCGACTGTTTGACAGTCGGGATGGATTCCAAATCCAATTGTCTTTGCGTTTCCTTCTGGGTCGACAGATCGAAATTGACAATCTCAAGCTTCGGCTGGTCAGCGCTCATGGCTCTCAGAATTCCGAGCACTGGATCGAGAGCTCAGCTAAGTTTGTGGTGAAGTCTTCATCAACACAGATCTTGATTGATTCTTCGGTAAGTACTTGTAATGGACGCTTGCATTGTCATCGACTAATTTCCACGCAGACCACACTTCATGGAAAGTACCTTGTGGATCGTCTTGAGATGAGAGCGGGCAACCTTGTCTTCAACTATAATGGCGGGCAAGACTCCACTCTTCCGGTTGGCTTCCGGGAAACAAAGGATTCAGACGAAACCTACGACCAGCCGTACATCTACTGTTACCCCCCAGCCGAAGGGCTACAGGTAAAGATCGTGTCACCACACCTTATCGATCTACAGGCCATGCGGACCCTGGAGCTGGAACTTGACAGCGGCCGAAATGATATCAAGTGTGGTACAATCCGCGTCAGACCCGCTACTGCAGGCCTACGGCTTCGTCTTACAGAGACAGAGGTTGTGGATGGCAAGCTTGAGATCGATGCCAGCCATGAGTCCGGCATTATCGAGTTTGGGCCGTTGGCCCCGCGATCTTTTGTGCGACTACGTGTTCCCTACACAGTGGAGGAGGCGTTTTCAACGCTCTCTGCGAGAGCCGAATTAGGATATGAGACTGAGCAAGGCCAGTTCGCTTCCTCAGCATCATTCAATGTCATTTCTACACTACCCATATCGGTCAATGTGCAGGACATTTTCAAGGATGAGTTGCTGTTCTCGCGGTTTACTATCAGCCCCGCAATGCTGATCCCATTGCGTATCACCAGCTGCAGTCTGCCCAGCTCGGATATGTACAGCGTGCAATCCAGCATCACCGGTCCCGTCGCCCTTGACGTCTTCCCGAAGCAACCTGCATCGCTTCTGTACAAGATTCGCCCTAATGAAAACAACGTAGCTGCATCCACGCCACGCAGCCTGAAGCTTAGCGTTGACTTCACCTGTGTGGATGATGAGTGTCTCGATGCAGTTGAAAGGCACTTCGCCACTGCCGTCAACTCAAGCCCATTCCGGCAATATGCATCGCTGTTGACGTCGCATATCGTCAGTAGCTTCCGCGCGCAGCTTTCTACGAATGACATGGAAGCCATCGGCCTGATTCGGGAGGTGAATATGTTGCCATACCGGGCCGTGCGATGGGATGATCTTCTCGGCGCCTTGAAAGCACCAGCGGAGGATATGCGACAGTGGCTCAAGGAGTGGCATAAGGTAAGAGAAACCATTTCGAACGTCCCCAGCTGGCTATAATACTCACATCTGACAACAGACCAACTCCACCATTCACCTCCCCGCACAGCCCACCATCCCATCCCGCCGCATCATCATCCCTGTCGACGTGCCGGAAATCCAGATCGTGCACACAGCTGAGCTGCAAATCCAACCTAAGCCCACCACAGACCCGGGACCCTCCACCCACGCCGCTGTGGGCCAGATGATCATCGCCGAACTCTATCTCCAACACACGCGACGCTGGTGTTCCCCAGCGACCCGCGAAAACGCAGATCAGCCCTTCGAATGCTCCTACGAGATCCACGCTAACCCAGACCTGTGGCAAATCGGCGGGCGCCGCAGGGGCAACTTCCTCGCGCGCGACGGCGAATCCAACCGCTTCACGGTCCTGCTGCTCCCCCAGAGACCAGGTCACCTCCTTCTCCCCGGTATCGAGATCCGCACCTTTTTCCCATCGGGGCCTCAGCTCCCGACGCCGCCTGTGACGGACCCCGCTGCTCCCGCGGCGCCGTCGCGTCGCTCGGTTCCTTGCGAAGTTGATTACCGCAATCATGGCGAGTCCGTGCTTGTTCTTCCGGACCTGAAGAAAACAACGGTTAGTCTCAGTGCTGCGGGCGGGAGCCATGCTCCTGGTGGAGGGTCGTGGTTGGTTGACTCGGAGCGACGCGCGGAGGAAGTTCGTTGATTCAATACATGTTTGTGTGTGTTACACACAACAGTGCTGCTGTCAGTGCATATGTGCTTGATGACCTCAGACTTCTCGTGTGTATGTAGATCTGTGAATCATACATCTTTTCTTCTTGTCAGAACCTACATCATGTACATCATGCTTTTGTCCTATGTTGCACAGAATACCCCCGCGGCGTTCGACGGGCCTTCCGCTTACCCCTTGACCAGATGAGGACTAGTTTGTCCAAATGGGGCTAGTGTCATCTGCTTCGCTGAAGTTGATATTCCGTCCGGTCAATTCTAGCGTGTCATTTTCAGAAATTTCTGATGAAATAGTCCTTAATGTCACATTTTGATTCTATCAATGTTTCTAAACGAGTCATCTGCCGGGTCCCATGAAACATTCATACAGTAGGAATACTCCGTAGAGCCGATCGAACAACAGGGTCCAGATCAGATCTTATCTAGGGTGGCGAAAGGGTGCGATAAGGCTAGAGAATTAAAGAATTTGAAACCTAAATTAACGTTTGTGTATTTTTCAAAAGGGGAGCGGGGCCCCAACAAAACCCGATGGGTCCCAACAAGCGGGTAGACACAATTTTATATCGGAAAATATCTTTTATCTTTTTTCAGTTATGATATTCCAGATTACTTGGTACATATTCATACAGTAGATGGTTCGGAAATTTGAACTCCTTATGTTAACGAGATATAATATTTAGTATCAGTTTCAGGAGTTAGTACTGTGGTAGTACTCTAGTAAAGTAGAGAAGTGTTGAGCCCAATATACCAACACCGAGTTAAGCCCGTCAGCCAAGCCGAGACCGGGGATCAAGAAAGTGGAATCACATGCCCCTTGCGCATGCCAATTGCCGGGCCACCTACGGTGTACTTACATCGACAAACATGTTGAACTACAGATGTTTGTACGCAGTACTCCGTACAGTAAGGCGTGGCTGGCGTGCACACCTGCACCTTTGAAGATTGATGCTGCTGAGGCGGCAAAACCGCTCAAAAAAAAGCAATGGCAATTGCCACCTGGGCCCCCTTCGTAGTAAATCGGACTCGGAATGAGCACCTCCAGGACCAATCCGCGCTCGTCTAGAAGTCACGACAGCACGAGAATGACCCGCCGAGGCAATTTGATCGCTTTGATGGCTCCACATGTTGGGGGAGACGTCTTCACCGTAGTATTCTAAGCATGTGAAAGGTACAGATATGACCAGGGAGCGAGCTTCAGATCGAGTCTAGCCTGGAGATCAGATCACATCGGATAGTCAGGCCACCCGGCAATTTGGAATTTTGCAAATACACAGTACACAGTAGTAGGCTGGCTTTATTCATACACCACACTAAACTAAGCTATATCAGGCCATCACATGATTCTCTGATGTACCCTATTTTTTAAATTGTAATCCTGCGTTTCCCTTTCTCAGTAGTAGTACGTACTCTGAACTCTCCATAGCAATTGTCGCACGCCTACCCATTGAATTGGATGTCCATTCTTGAAGCTGTTTAAGGTTCTCAACGGTCTGTTTTTGTCGTCTCACCCTGGGACGTCTCGCCTGAGATGACACCCTCAATGCCTCAAAAGGCCGGTTCCCAGCTATAATCTGATGCTCGATTATCTCGAATTGAGATGGTGAGCGCTGGGTTGACCGCCGAGTCTGGGAAATGGTCTGAAATATGGTCTGCCGCACAGATGAGGCATCGCCGGTGAGACTACAGAAACGGACCGTTGACAACCATGTAGATAGCTTCACAAAATGGAGATTTAGTTACAATTGCTATGGAGGGTATTAAGAAATGGAAACGCAGGATTACCATTTAAAAAACAGGGTACATCTGAGAATCAAGTGATGGCCTAATATAGTTTAGTGTGGTGTACGGAGTATGAATAAACCACGCCTTGCAAAAGTGTTGGGAGAAACGGGCTTAGTCGGTGACAAGGCTATCCGTGAAGAAGTACGGAGTATGTAGTAGCAGTATGTACGGAGTAGAAGGATGTCAATTGGTCCTTTAGAGCATATGTTAACAAGAATATCGAAGTTGTACAACATCAGTTCTATCGCCGAGGCAAGAAAGATCTCGTCCAGTTAACGTCAAGCTAATTGAAGGGTTCATACGGTGCCCAGAATTGATAGGCGAAGGCGAAAGATCAGCACTGGGTAAAATTTTCAAATGTGGTTACCATGTCCCGCCACAACAAAGACACGGGATTGGCTCACAGCCTGCAGTGGCGGTATGCAAAATTACCTGACGATCCCAGGGGTACCCGCGGTCCCTTTCCTTTTTGTTCAATTTTCCCTTCAATTTTCTGTTTCTTTTTGAGAGAGCTGTCTTTTCCTTGTTTGCTTTCTTTTTTTCTTTCTTCCTCTGTCAATTGCCTGCTTTGTCGGTGGCGTATTGAAAGGTCTGTGGTTTGCTTCGAGGATTCGGTTTATCAACCCTTGCTAGACCTCTTTCCAACACTTAAAGAGCTCGAAATTCTTTTGTGAGCAGGACCCTGACAGCTTGATTGAGGGCTTCCAACTAATCCAAGCCACAGTCTTCGCTTCTCGTTGCATATCCTCGGCCCCGTGTTAGTGTTCTGTCGTTTTCTAGGATCACAGTAAGGGTGTGATCTATACACCCTCAACATCACCGTCATGTCGTCCACCGCCCTTCCCAAGCGCGTTGCGCTCAATCGCAACCCCGCTACAGAGTCGTCGACCGTGAGCTCTGTCTCGGCTTCGCCCTTTGACAGCCCACGCCAGTCCCCGTCTTCCACCTCTCTCTCCTCCATGGCCTCTGAGCAGGAGGTCAAGGCCAGCAAGTTGGTCGACACCTACGGCAACGAGTTCAAGATCCCCGATTACACGATCAAGCAGATCCGCGATGCCATTCCCGCCCACTGCTTCCACCGCTCCGCCGTCACTAGTCTGTACTATGTCTTCCGGGACTTGGCCATCCTCGCCTCCATCTTCTACCTCTTCCACAACTACGTGACCCCGGAGACCGTCCCCTCTCTGCCTGCCCGCGTGGCCCTCTGGACGGTGTACACCATCGTGCAGGGTCTTGTTGGAACCGGTGTGTGGGTTTTGGCCCACGAGTGTGGTCACCAGGCCTTCTCCCCCTCCAAGGTCTTGAACGACACCGTTGGTTGGATCTGCCACTCCCTCCTGCTTGTCCCCTACTTCTCCTGGAAGATCTCCCACGGCAAGCACCACAAGGCTACCGGCAACCTTGCCCGTGATATGGTCTTCGTGCCTAAGACGCGTGAGCAGTACGCCACTCGTGTTGGCAAGGCCCTGCACGAGCTCGGCGAGTTGTGCGAGGAGACCCCCATCTTGACCGCCGGTCACCTCCTGGCTCAGCAGCTCTTCGGCTGGCCCATGTACCTGCTCAACAACGTTACCGGCCACAACAACCACGCCAAGCAGCCCGAGGGCCGCGGCGTTGGCAAGCACAACGGCTTCGGCGGTGGTGTCAACCACTTCAACCCCTCCAGCCCTCTGTATGAGGCCAAGGACGCTAAGCTGATTATTCTGAGCGATATTGGTCTCCTGCTCACTGCCTCTGCTCTTTACTACATCGGATCCACCTTCGGCTGGCTCAACCTGCTTGTCTGGTACGGCATCCCCTACCTCTGGGTGAACCACTGGCTCGGTAAGTTTTACATCCCTTCAAACATACAAAACCCCCCCAAATCCTCAAATGTATCTTCCTAACACCTTTCTAGTCGCCATCACCTTCCTCCAGCACACCGACCCCACCCTCCCCCACTACCAGCCCGAGGTCTGGAACTTCGCCCGCGGCGCGGCTGCCACCATCGACCGCGACTTCGGCTTTGTCGGCCGTCACATCTTCCACGGCATCATTGAGACTCACGTGCTGCACCACTACGTCAGCACCATCCCCTTCTACAACGCCGACGAAGCCAGCGAGGCCATCAAGGGCGTCATGGGCAACCACTACCGCACCGAGGCCCACACCGGCTGGACTGGTTTCTTCAAGGCCATGTGGACCTCCGCTCGTGTCTGCCACTGGGTTGAGCCTATTGAGGGTGCTACCGGCGAGAGCCAGGGTGTTCTGTTCTTCCGCAACACCAACGGCATCGGTGTTCCTCCTGCTAAGATCCCGGCCAAGGCTCAATAGATGCCGCTTAGTGCTGGCTTCTATTCTTTCTTCGGGGTCTATTTCTGGTTTTCTCTGCTCCTTCGGCTTACATTTCGATTTGATTTGGACTCTTATCTTGTATACTTTGCACAGATACACGGATACACCAAGACTGGGGGGGTTTGTCGATAGATTGAGATTTTGATTGCTCTTGGTTTCATTTTCTCTTTGTCGTCGTTTGTTTGGATGTGTTTTCCATGCGCTTGGTGTCTTTTTTTTCCCTATAGCCTTAGATCTCTGTTCTTGTTTCTTTGGTGTGGATGGTGGGTGTTGAGATGATTGTCGAATGGAGCAGAAAGAAAACGAGAAAAAGATTCTGATTGAATTTAAAATCAAAGAGAGAAGAGATGATGGTCTCCTTTTGTTCTAGAGAATCTATTTCTTATGCCCTTGTATATGATTGTGGTTAATATGAAGCGTGTTCTTTTGATATCTTCGATGTCTCCATTTACACACAAGTCAACACATAATAGTGCTCCATCCATCGTAAGCAACATGCTACTCAAGACAACCTACGCACTGGTCCTGGCTAGATGTCTTCCATCCTTGTATCTACATGATCTGCTCTTCCGGTTCGTTTCTCTAAGTCTCGATGAGGGTTTAGGATGGATCAATTACCCGTTTCCTTAGGTCTGAAACAGATAGTTAACACAAACATTCTATCAGATTAGATCACAATATACCGTAAGTATCCCGAGTAACGAGCAAGCTATTTAGCACTCATACTCCTCAAACCGCCTTCCCAGATCTCAAACTCAACCTCACCACTCCGTCTACCAGGCCGACCTTTCCTCGATCCATCCTTCAACCCACCACTCCACGGCGAAAAAACAAGCTTCATAAGCCTCCGCGTAACAACCTCCGGCTCAGAACCAAACTGCTGACTCTGCGCCCCAGATCCAGGACTCCTTCTACTCGGCGCAGGCATAGCTATCGAGTCCGGATCTCTATCGACATCCTGCGTCCCTCGTTCCGGACTCCGCATGGAATTCGGATACGCCTCCGCAAACAACCCCGTAGCACGCGTTTCCTTCTTGAGCGCAATCCGACAAGAAACCTGCGTCGTCCAAATGAACCCCAGAGCAGGATTCTTCAATCCGCTCTCTGTATACACCCCATCTCCCCAACCGGTAAAGAAGCGCTCCTGATGCGCCAGATTCAACAAGCCATTTCGCACAGGAGGCGCAATCAGGTACGAGCCGTCAAAGTTCTTATCGTCTTGTGCGTGATACGGTGATGAGGAGATAGCCGGGGAGGAGGACGGTGCCGGGCCGCCATTTCCAGAAGCTAGTATTCCAGCCCTGGATCTCGGGTGTGGGGAGTCCATGCCGGATCCACGGCCTGCTGTTTGTTTCGCGGATTGAACGCGTCGAACTGGCTGGACGGAACCGTTTATAGGCTCGAAGCGGTCTGAGACTTGGTTTGCGAGGACGATGGCAATATCTTTATTTACGGCGAGATTGCGGAGGAAGTGGCCTAGTTTGGCGATTTGTGTTGAGCGCTTGATGCGGGCTTGCATGTTGTTGGATGATAATTCGGCGCGGTAGTTTGAGGTTATTGAGTCGACGATTACTAGGCCTATGTTGTAGCGTTCAATCGCGATGGGGAGATGAATGTTTAGAATGTGGTCTTGGGATTCTAGGTCCATGGCGTTTATGGATAGGATGTCTTGGAGCGAGGGGGCTTGTTCGGCGGGGAGGGCTGAGAGGACGGGGTGGCATTCTAGGAGCTGGGAGAGTCGTGTTGTTGAGAGTGGGTGTTCGGTGGATATGTATATTGCTCGTCGCTGTAGTCCGTGTGGTTTGGGGAGCTGCACGGCTAGACAGAGACTGAGAAGAAATTGGGTCTTGCCGCTTCCACTGTACATCGACATATGTTATGGTCCGACCAGATTCAAGGGGAGGCATATGACCATACCTTTCGCCCGTGACCTCTGTGACGTATCTGGTTGGAATCCCGCCGCCCAGTAGGGCGTCCATCGCGGGATCAAGGGTGCTGATGGTACTCCATTGTGATGTTGTGCGCTTCGTCGCAGGGCCGAGTGACCAGCCCACCTCGGGGGCTATACTGGAGTCTGGGACATCGCTGGATGTACCTGTGTTTGACTGTGGCCTGTTGAAACCAATGTCGGCATGCAATGCCTCGACGATGCGGGAGGAGAGACGCCGGACGTCTGCGGGGGGTACGCGAGCGCGTTTCGCGATCTCGAGGGCGTCGAGGGTGATCAGATCGACAGTGGTGACTTTGGCTCGCTCTAAAGGAGGGAGGATGTGGGTGAAACTTTTGGTCGAAAAGTCAGGTAGGACTAGTATAAGATCCATGTAATTGGGAAAGAGAAGTCAAGCTCCTTGAGTTGATGTTCGTAGAATTTGAGCTCATACTGGCCAATTGTGGCCGGGCATAAATACATTTGACGGGAGTCGGGTTCGAACCTACGACGTCGAGGAACATGTGATTTTAAAAAGGGTAGTAGAAAATCAGTCTCAATATCAAAAGACCCGCACCTCGAATTTTGATCTGTAGGGAAGAAAAAAAATAGGTAGCTTCTCTTTGATTGAGCGTGTCATCCTTAGTGCAGGGGCCATGCTAATCTTCTCTGTATATTTTCATTTGACCATATGCCCCGAAGGGCATCAGGGACTTGATAAAAGTTCATTATATCCCCCGTTTTCTGGCAGAAATACACCGCCTAGTTATGCTGGGATGGCAGAACCATGACCGCCTGCCAACCAGTTCAATCATCAATTGCTGCAAAGCAACCCCGTCTTCAACCAAATGGAATTTCTCAACTGTCTCAATTTTCTTGTCGTGTATATCTTCTTATAAGAGAAGATACTCATCTCTTCGCGATCTAACTCGTGGCGGATTGCATCGAATCCGTAGTGGTCCAGTGGATTGTGAGATTTCCAGCACTGCCCGGACTCGAAATTGGACCTCCACTGAGGCTCCAGGGCTGCCATTATATTCTGGGCTGTCGAAGCAGGCGATCAGCTCAAAGCATTTTCGGGTTCGGCTTGCTTCGCCGGCGAGAGGGATGGATCGGATCTGTTGATTTCTTTTTCTTCCAGACGTTCTTGAATTTTCCGATTATGTGCAAAGCCAAATCGCTACGCAGCTTTCGATCGGAAAATTCAAGAACGTCTGGAAGAAAAAGAACTCAACAGATCCATCCCGTCCCTCTCACCGGTGAGATAAGCCGAAGTCGAAATCTTCTCTCAGAAAAAGATATACACAACAAGAAATCGAGACTGTTACGATTCCATTTGGTTGAAGGCACAATTAGTAACACATTCTGCATAGTTAGGCTATACCGTTTGAACGTTGAGTTGACGGGTTGCCATTCGAGATATTTCGGAGGAGTTATCACTGCTTCTAGCTTAGAAGCTTCCCTCGATTGGAAGGAATCTCTAAATGTATATTTTCATGCCTAATTCAGGGTTATGAGTCTAAACCAGTGGCTAGGTAATGACCTCAAGCATAAATACCGAAGCCGAGATCAGGGAGGTCGCCAATAAGCAGAAGTTTGAGGTTAGACTGCATTTCAAGCACTGAATTTGCTACCTACTAAGCCTTCCAAGGTCAGCTGCGATACATTTTGCATCTCTATCACCACGAACAGCCACAGCCAATCTACGAGTCACGGCCACAGAGCAAGCCCAAACGCCTTAATTCAGCACATGCGATTGTAGGTATCACTCCATCGATGACAGCACCCGAGGAACCTTGCCTACCTACTCCGTACATGTATATAATAAGCGCCAATCCGTCCAATTGGCAACCATTCACATGGTGAACTCTCCTGCCATCCACCCCAATCAGGGTAGCAGCCCAATTACGAAATACAGAGCTATGCTGCGTAGTATCATCTTTCCACAGCTCTTAAAGGGCGTGGGAGTCGACATAGTCATTACGAATCTGCACCATATACACATATGTTACACGGACTCCGGAATACCAGTAATCCTACTCGCAAGGTCCCCTGTTTTCCTGTATGCTGTGCTGCTCCTATTTGCATATCTGTACATGCAGGAAGACTTCTACTAAATACGAAAACTTGTACTTCCAACATCACTTCATGCATCTCCCCATCATTGCACCAAAGCCCGTTGCTGAACGGTACTCCCGAGGCCGACCCTGGACTAACGCATCCTCAACATCCCCACGCAAGACGGGATGTGATGGTGCATTTCGAAGTTGTTGATGTCGCTTATTGTTGTTGGGCACTTTCGTGCTTATGTCGAGCAGTGGAGATACTCTGGGGCCCAATCCTTACACCGCATAAATGTTAGCATACAGTGGGTTCAAAGGTGTGACCAACTTTGGAAGCTGGAACCTGATATATTTACGACAGTAGGTACTCTGTAAATACACAGCAAGAAGAGATAACCAAGGAAGCGTATCACTATAAGCCGATCGCCGGTGTAAAGAGAGTACGCAGTTTCGGGAGGCGGACTCGGGTTCATGGTATATCAGCTTGTTCTACTCCGTAGTCGAAGTTCCAAGGTCGTCGAGATAAAGAGCTACCTAGGTTTGTGTCCCTTTATTAGTAGTTGCCACAATTCCTGGGCACCGGGCAGTAATGGAGTGGACCTCGGGAAGCATCTCGAGTAGCTACTTAATTCAATCGGCTCCGGGCAGGGCTGTTCGGAGCTGATGCACAATGTATGTACGATGGACACGGGTACATACCTATATCGCCCGACTCCTCCGATGCTGCATAGGTTGTGAACATAACTCATAAAGCATTCATTCCAGGGGATCACAATTCCGAAAATGTCATAATCCCCAGTCAATTTAATGACTGTGATTTATATCTCAATTCGCGCGCACATCAATATCAGAGCGCCGTTGGACTTCGCCCGGTCTAGAATTTCTCGCTAGATAGCGGCCATGCAACTAAATCTGCAGGTGTCTCAATGCGGTGGTTCCTCTCGATTTTGTTCTCACCCAGCATTTGTTTCTGAGCATGTATTTGGTATGGAGTATCGCAGAATGGCATCTCTGGCACATAAATAATCAAGTGAAGGTTGGTACGTCAAAGGATGCAGACGTATAGACACGTCGTCCTAGGTGACGAGGTTGACATGATCAATTGACATCACTTCGAACTCTTGGCAGATCGGCGTAATCATCCTCTCGTCGGATGCAGTGTACATCGTACTTTTGCGCCATACAGTCTTACATGGTCAGTACATGTACGTGGCGTACTTGGTGAAACAAAGACAGGGAACAAAAGTACATTGATGGACAATGCACATATGTACGCAGTACACTCCCCTGCTAGTATCACTAATAAATCGACTACCGCGGCACATGATAATGTTCAGGAGCTCAAGGATAAAGAGGAATCATAGATCAAGGAATCAATTAGAACTGTGAACGAATTAGACGAACAGCAAGCGGCCGAGGAAATTGCTTGCCAGAAACAGTCTAGTCAGAACCGGATCATTACTGACATTGATGCTTGGCCCATCCACTGTGGCTAGCCAAGCCACGCCCTGAGAGGAGATCGGTGGTCTGATGGAGCCCGGTCCGATGTTCGAAACGAACCCCGTCTTTGATATTTTGCGATCAGGACTGCTAGGCATGAAGAAAACATTCCTGTCCGAGTATCTGAAATCGATGGCTGCTTAGTTCTGCATCGAATGGGGCCGTCCTTGCTGCTTTGTTGGTTCCCCCACTTTGTTGGAGATCAAGAGCTCTGTAATGGATACACGGTAATACACCGTGTCCATACAAATACGTAGAAGAGGGACGGGAGGACCCGTCTCAGGTACTCCGCAGAGTCATCACTCCGTAGTAGTCGACAATTCCCATGAATTTGCGCAGAAATCTCTCAGAATGGCATGTCATAGACCACTCTCAATCTGATATGCAGATATAGATCAATAGAGGCGAAGATGGAGCATTATGGAGACAGGGCAATTAAGAGACACCGGTCCGTTGGACTGGGTTGCGGCCGGAACCCAGGAATGGGAACGCCGGGTAACGTGGAGGGGCTGATCCATGGGTGCAAATTACCAGATGTCTTTTGGGTAACACATCTATACATTGAAAACAACAGGCAGAAGAACGAAGGACAGTCTCAAGAAAGAGATAGACGTTGATTCTACTTTCTCTCTAAACTGACCACAAGTTTTGTGGTAATTTAATTGATCGCTAACTACTGGTACTTCTGTTTGATGATATTTTCTTTGTATTTTGGTTTTCGTTGTTTGGTCTATTATTACATCCGAGCAGGGGTAGTGTATTATTCGAAGGTTCTAATGACACTTAACGTGAATGTATGTACACGGCCAGATAGTCCAGATCATAGCTCCGACGTCAAGGTCTCTCTATGGTCGATACAGTATTCTCCAGATATTCTATCAAGTTATACTATCTCTCTCTCGGAAAATGACAAAGAAAAGGAACAATCAACTGTAAACAAAACCAGAAACAGGAAAAAGAAAACAAGCTGTATACACGTAATAACCAATACGGGGCTACCGAACAGGTACTTCGGTCATACCGCAAAGGCCCATAATCGGGAGGCGTACTCAGCTGGTCAAGCGTCTGCTAGTGTCACCAATTCCCACTCTCTGCCCCCTCTCCCGCTCCCTTTCTTCTCCTCTTTGGTTTCTGTTCTCCATAACCCATTGGGGATTGTTCCTTCGTTTTTGAATGTTTGGATCGATTTGGATTATTTTCAGCGCATGTGATCTCAACGAGAAAGAAAACAGTCAAATCGGATTAACACCTGCCCTAAAGGCTCAGGGCTGTGTGTGTGTATTCCAAATTGTATGTCGCGCGTCGCATCAAAATCAACACACCTACTCGGACGGCCCGATCGATCAATCCCACCTTTTGCTAATGCTGCGACCGGTAGAATATCTGGAAATAAGAGCATCATATCGCCAACATGGCAACCCGACCACCCATTATGCCGCCTCATAACGAGACCGAGCACTCTGTCAGCCGAATCACTCGTGAAGGCAAACAGCTCACATACAAATTGTGCGTGATGCAACAGCCAGAGCGCGCAAGAGCATGCGGTGCCGGAGCAAAGTGTAAGGATCATTACTGAATCAAGTCAGGGCAATGTTGACTGACTGTCGGCCAACAGCATCTGCCGACCGTCGCCCAGTTGACCCTCCGCCTGTGGTCGAACTGCGCATCTTCGAGTCGGACCCGGCCAATGACGCGCAAAAGACCGATATCACCTTTGCCTACAACGCCAACTTTTTCCTATATGCAACCCTTGATACTGCACGACCTCTCGCACACGGGCGGGTGGCCGGTCCTCCGTCGTGCCCGGTACTAACCGGTGTCCCAGTTGCCGGTGTTGCATATCTCGATCGGCCCTCGCAAGCAGGCTATTTCATCTTCCCCGATTTGTCAGTACGCCATGAAGGCAGATATCGATTGAACTTCCACCTGTACGAAGAAATCAAGGATGCGAAGGACGCCGACAAAGACTCGACTCTACCTCTCCCCAATCAGATAGCCCACCCGTCAGCATCAAAGTCTGGCGCACCGCAGGCCTTCCTCCATTTCCGTCTCGAGGTCAAATCAGTACCGTTTACTGTGTTCAGCGCTAAGAAATTCCCCGGGCTAGCAACTAGCACTTCCTTGAGCCGTATTATCGCCGAGCAGGGTTGCCGCGTTCGCATCCGTCGTGACGTCCGTATGAGACGCCGGGGTGACAAGCGGGAGGAGGATTATGAATTCGATGAAGAACGCGCGGCGGCTTTCGCAAGATCGTCAGATCGGTTCACCACCCCGGACAGATATGCAGCTTCAATGGAGCGGCCTCGGTCCAATAGCAATGGCAGCAATATGGAATCTCCCTACGGGTTTGTTCCGCCAGATCGACGACCATCAGCGCCCGACTACGGCTTCCAGTGTCCACAACCGTACCAACGACCAATGCCACCTACAGGCATGTCACACTCTCAAACACCCTCCTATCAGTCACATCTTTCATTTGGTTCCACGCCTTCGCATTATCCTGCTCCACATATGCCACCTACGCCCCCACCAGTTGCATCGCAAGGCATGTACTCTCCACAACACGCATACGCTCAAATACGACACCCATCCAATGGCTCCGACTATGAAGGGACACCGATTGGATATCCCAGGCCGCCTCAAATACCTGCCGAGCGGGCTGGTTATCCTAAGTCCATGATGAACTCTTATCGCATGGACCCGCCCAAAACAAATCCATACATGGATCCTCGCATGACTGAACCAAGCCCGTACCCTACAATGCCTCATGCTCCAGTCCCACGCTCTCAAACCCCGACACCGGTCCAATCTGTTTCCGTTATCAAGGCTATGCCGAATGAATTTGCCAACCATATCGTTCCTTCTGTGGAGTGCTCTTCACCTGGTCCTGGGGGATATGACAACGTTAGAGGAAAGCGTATGGTGTACCAAACTGGGCCCACCTATGGCAAGCGGTCTCATGAAGAGTCGTTCGGTCTTGATGAGCGCGCGATGCAAAACGGCATGCGGCCCGATACTGACCCTTATCCGAGCCCATACCGCGATTTCTCGGGAGAAAGCCGGGCAGCCCTCATGGCTGAAATGGGCATTGAGATGGCCTACAAGCGCGCCAATGGGAAAGTGGTGATGAAAGCTCCTCCATCAAGTTGATGAGATATCTTGCTATATACCCGCAACAAGTTCCAATATATTCGCCTCGAATTTGGGTGATGACTTGAGCCTTGGACCGGTCAATGGACTGGATTCCTGGCATGGACTTGACTACATTCTTCTCTGTACATGATTCAACCTTTTTCTCTCTCCTTCATTGAAGTCCTGCGCGACCAGCGAGCCCTAGATCACTCGACACATTCATGCACTGTCTCTTCTGGAACTTACATCTTCCTAGAGCAAGAGCAAGGCACCATGGGCCGTATCATTCCAACATGGACCGTGGGATCGAGCCAGGGATTCTCCCATCTCTTTGGAACAATAGCTGGGTTGGTCATGCTCACCCAAAGCTATTCATGACTATTTGACTTCCTTTCGCATTTTTGGGTTGCGCTGGTGCTATGGTGGTGGTGTTGGCTGCCTGTTTGTTCTTTCCGTTGGCGACATCTTTCAAACATCAGCATTGGCCTCGTTATGATCGCATGGGAGACGCTATGTATGATGCCAGGTTCCCTTGTTTCGCACCATTCCCACCGAAGCCCTTGTGCTTGACCTCCCCTTGATACCGGGGTTATGGCATTTCCTTGATACCTACTTCGCGTCTGTTACTTAACCAATATATGACTTCCAAAACTGTACTATCAAATGCACATCACATTGCTTGAAGTTGCAGTCGTAGTTTACATCAGGATCTCGCCGATCCTCACCTGTCAGCGATGATCTTGCGGCATGCGGACATGTTACTGTCACGTTGGCATTATCGAAGGGGATCTATGTATAATAACGTCAAGAGTCAACGTGGAGAAAACACGCTGTCATATCTACATTCCCTCTCGAATGCCGATAAACACATGTCTGAGACATGTGGAATGATGCTTCCAAGCTTCACTAAGGTCGAGATCCCTACATACACAGTCTACAGGAAGAATATAGGGACGATGTACAGTATAATTTGCACTTTGGAAAGGCACATTCTAGTCATGTAGCTGGTACCTAAGAAATAGTGGGGGTTTCGGCTAAACCTAGGTACACAGTACCACAACAAACTTTCCAGGATCCACGGTTGCCCCCCTTGGAAAGTGCGGAGTATGTAAACAAACCTGCCGCCTCATCAAACATTCAATTTACTCGCACTCGAATTTTCCACTTTCACTTCCTCTCTTTCAAGTCTAAGATATACACTTCGATGCCAAATTCTAACCTGTGAGTTTTGCGCTGATATCTTTCCCGTAACAAGGGGAAAAGATAATCCAGGTGCAAAGGTAAGCTCCCTTCAATTGATCCCCACGGAAGGGATCCCAGAAGAACCGCATAAGAAGAAATTAATCTAACTTCCCTGCGTTGTTTCACAGTGCCCCCGACTGCAATGGACATGGATATCGACCCAAGCCCCGCGCAGCAGCGCACCTCCCGCAAGCATTTGCGCTCGAGTTCCGACGACTACGACTGGAGCTCCGACATCTCCGGCCAATTCGACGATGCCGAGGAGGGAGAAGGAGAGGACTACCGATCACCGGCAGGAAATGTCGCCAAAAGACGTCGCTCGAATGACTGGCCCTTGCCCGAAGAAGCCGCCGACTATGGAACCCATGAGCGCCGTGCCAACCGCAGCGAGAACGGCAATCTCAGCGTGGGCGGAAACGGGTCAGCTTTTAGGGCGTCACCTCGCGCTTCTCCTCGTGGCTCGTTGGCTTCGCTGCGCGCTCGCCATGCCGCCACATCTGCTTCCAGCCCCCGCCGTCCTAGAGGCAGGACATCGCGGTTCGTCGAAGCGACCATGAATGATAGTGTCAGCGAGCGACCGCCGAGCATTTACCTACGGGAGCAGGAGAATAAACAGACTGGAAATCCGAATCGCTCGTCTGGCATTTTCCGGTTCGGGAAGGCTATTGCTTCAGCGTTCAATCCCTTCGGTGGATGGGGAAGGAGCTCTGAGGGTTCGCCAAACAAGTCGCCGCAGAAAGATGTAATCACTCAGGCGGAGAAGGCTTATGCGGAATTAAAGAAGGCTGGCTACAAGGGCACGAACAAGGGCTCTTACACTAAGGGCCAGTGTGTTAATACTGCTCTCGCCGACCAGACATGGCAGTCTATCCAGCACAAGCTGCCGCCCAGTTCTCCCGTGAAATATTCGTATCGCAATTCGGTTGAGAGGGATGAAAATGCTTTTCCCGCACGATCTGACTCTTCAGCTTCCAAACGCTCTTCCCTGCAGGATCTCCGCCTGCCCAAGTCATTGTTCCATAGAGGTCATGAATCGCCAACTGCGACAGCAGTCTACTGCGATAGGTTTTCCGAGGAATCCGAGCATAATGGGATCCGCAAGCAGCCGTCTCGCAGGGAGCTCTCACGCCAAGTCAAGTTGATCAAGAAAGTCAGCAATCTTGAGGACAAGTTGGAGCGCGCCCGACGGGAGCTTCGTGACCTCACCGGCAACGAGGAGCGGACCCCAGTACCTGCACCTCAGTCTCAGATGCTCAATACCGAGATGGACCCTGCATCTTTCCCCCGGAAATTCGTTCCTGGCGCTCTGCCAACCCTACCATCGGAACGACTTCTAGATCAACAAGCCGCAGAAAATACGGCTCCTGGGTCCCACTCGACCAACGTAACAGCACTGCCATCGATGGAAGACCGAGAAAGCTTCTCTTTCGAAGAATCACGACCGGTTCAAAGCCCGGCTGCGGCCAAAAGTCTAAAACGGCGCTCGTCGTCCATGAGTAAGGACCGCCATTCCCGCAAACGGAAGTCTCCCATCTCTGAACGTGTCGATAGTCGGAACCCTCTTCAGCCCGCTACGGCGGCCAGCATCGCCAATGACAAACAAGTATCAGAGCACGAGGACCTGAACGACTTCGGTCCACTCAACCCACCGGGCAAAGCGAAATGGCTGAAATCCGAAGCTGGCGACAGCCCCGGCTCAGCGAGGCGTCGACAAGCTGCCGACAACGCAGCTCTCTCCGCAGGCCACGAAAAAGAAGAAGACGCAGGTAGTCCCAGTGCCAAACGCAACACCAAAAGGTTCCCCAACATTCAAACCCGAAAAGCCTCCGGCACCACCCGCTCACCCAATTTCAATAATTCCAAGCCCACCACCCCTCTCCGCATAAAACCCAGCAGTTCCAATCTACGCCCAATGTCCTCACCTGCTACAGCTACGGACGTTAATACCCAGTCCGATATCTGGGCTACGCCTCTCCCCGCCCCGCAAAGTGACTCTCGCCGCAATACCTTCTACCACCATCCCCAGCGCCAGATTAATCCTGATCGTAGCCCCCGCACACCTACACGATCTAAGACGAGTCCGACTCGGAGACGGTCTGCTTACCGTCTTGACGAGGATATTCCGCCCGTGCCGCCGCTTCCTGAGGAACATCGCTCGAGTGCTGCTAAGATCAATGTCAGTGTCAACAGGTCACCGAAGAAGAGGCCTGTATCTGCGCCGGCTTTTTCTCCGTCCGTTCTTTCTCCGTCTACGCCTTCTGTTGTGGACTCGCTTATCTCGGGGCTTGAGGATTATCAGTGGCCGGAGGACATTTTCTGAGGCTTCGGATTTTGGATGTACGAATTGGATCATTGGACATGGTGTTTTGTTGTGTTAGACAATTGTGGTTATACTGTCATAGCTGTGCGAGGTGGTGTCGGTTTCGGTTCTTTTCTCGGTTGATGCTTTCGGTTTCACTGTAACGAAATAATGAATGTCTATACCCTGGCGTCTTGGGTTGTTAAGTTGTCATGCAATTGAACTGAGTGTATCCCGCTTTATCTTGGCTTTTCGTATATTGTGATGCAACAACTAACCTGATAGATACTCTCGACCTCAATCCCGATGCAGCGCAACATCCTTGGGCAACATCAACCAACTCACACCTGCGGCTCCAAGCAACCCAACAAGCATAGGCTGCAGTACCTGAACACCTACCTTCCCTGCTATAATACCCGTCAAAGCAGGGAAGACCGATCCACCGATTTGTCCGAGTACAAAGACGAAAGCTTTTATAATTAGGGTTAGAAAGTGCGATAGGAAGTAGAAAACACACAGACTCAAACTCACCAATTGCCGAAGACCGGATCTCTGGCGCAAAGATCTTGGTCCCTACCGATATGCCCTAGAACAAGGATTAGATATAAACTCTAGAGTAGGACCGCTGGGGTGATAGAGAGGCATACTGTTGCAAAGAAAGGACCCGAGAAGAAGCCCAGTAAACTGACTGCTACTGCCTCAGTAATGATATTTGGCACGCTGGGCAGATCCCAAAGTTAGCATAGATACCAGAAGCGAGAAAGAGACCCCGAATGAAGGCCAGACGGGACTCACAGCCAGAATACCAATTGTAGTCCCACACACAGCACAGCATAGATGAAGATCATACGGCGCTCGCCGAGTCTATGTGTTGGCTCAGCGAGGATGAGACGTCCTAAAAAGCCTCCGCCGAAGTAACCGGCCGGTATGTAGCCCATTTCCTTGACATTGCCGTTGCGGACGACGACCAGGTATTCGACCATCCAGCCTATGAAGTCAGCAAATACCACAGAAGGTTACCTCCCATACATAACCAAATGACAACCCAAGAATAACAAAAAGGGGAAAAAAAAGAAACTCACCACTAGCAGTAATAGCCGCCCCAAGAAAGAAAAAGAAAAACAAACTAACCAACCAAACCCCGGGCGTCGAAAGCGTATCCCTAATCTCCCTCAACGCAGACCTCTCCCCACCCTCTCCCCTGACCACAGGCGACCTAACCATACGATCCCTAAACGCCGCAGCCACAGACACCAAATTCAACACCCCGACCCCAACAGGAAACAGATAGAAAAGAGCCCACTTCGGCTCGGCATTCGCCGACGCCACAGCCGTCGCCACAAACGGTCCTACCAGACATCCGGCCATGTACATGGCGTGGATGAAGCCGAGGTAGCGGTGTGCGCTGGGCAGGGCGGAGATGAAGGTGTTTGCGTGCGTGTCGTTGTAGGCTTGGCCCAGGCTGGCTAGGAAGAAGGTTACGCAGTACAGTGGGAATGGCGGTTCCCAGACGCGGAGGATGTGTGCTAGCACTTGGAGGGATGCGCCTAGGGTTAGGATTGGGCCTAGGTTTAGGTTTTTGGTTATTGGGCTGTTTGTTAGCGCGGCGATTAGCCAGCCCAGGAAGGTTGTTGCGTAGCTGGTTGACGTTGTTAGTTCCATTGTGTTATGAGAGTGCTGGATGGGCTGGTGTTTTTTTTGGGGGAGAATTGGGTATTGGGTATTGGGGGGATTGGGGGAGATATTGGATAGTTGACTTACACGACTGCTACCATGTCTGTTCCGATGTTATATGTGCGTATCACGTAGGGTATTATTGAGCCTAGACTTCCGTCGTTGATGCCGGCGACGAAGAAGGAGAGGGCTGCGCTGAGGACTTTGAAGTATAGCCATTTTGGGACTGGGGGTGAGTGTTGGAGGATCTCATGCTCATTCTCATGCTCATTCTCAAGCTCATGCTCGGCTGGGGTTGCTTCGTGTGACGCTCTTGATTGGAGCACGATTGTTTCTGTTTGTGTCTGGGTGCTCATGATGGTGATTATGACCACCAGAAGGTGGCATTTCCGCTTGGAAATAAATGCCTGGGTTTTGTCAACACTTCGACCTGGGTTGTGGTCACAGTTGAGAGTTGGGAGCGTTTGATGTCGGAGCAAAAACCCGCGATGTATGAAGATGGTTAAAACGTGGGGTCCGTGGGGGAGTTGATGTCTTGGCCCGAGGTTTAGCCGAACTACTTGAGATATCCCGACTTCTTAGCTACACACATGAGAGAGAGAAATTCATTGGCCCGATGTAGCTTGCTCTATGGAAGTATAAGCTGCTATGCGGGGTTGCTATCAGGCCTGCCGACAGCTGGAAAGCAGATTTTGGCTAGTTCTTTCGATGCTTTTGATTTAATTTCCTATTCTGATTATAAACTCAGATGCAGAATGTTGGTATCTCGCAATCTCCGAAGAAAAATATTCACAAAAATGTTGAGCAGGACAGGCGCCACAAACCAGGATGAACAGGAACAGATTCTTTTTTCTACAGTCGAAAGTATATCCAAGCCTGCATATCAAAGGCTGCTCAAACTGGGATCAGATTCGAAAAGCTTGTCCAACCGAGCTGCTGTTTTGGTCGAGACTGTGAAATCGCACCAGAATCCGCCATCCGCCTTGCACATGACTTGTACATTGTATCTCGTGGGATGATCGCGGTTCAATGAGTGTCCAAGAACAAGAGGCCGGGCCGTGACACACCCATTTATAGCGCTTGCATTGACGGCGCCCCCATTGGCAGAAGCATCCTCTTTCGTCACAACGGCTGGGCCAAAATCGATATTTCGCCACGCGCCACACCAGTTGGTACAAGCGTACCCCAAATTCCCGGGCTCGGTAACCTGCAACATACGTTTCCTGTTGTAGAGCTTCTTGGTGACAGCAAGGTTGCGCTCAATACTTTCCAGCTGCATCCCCTCGAGGACTGCAAGTCGATGCTGATAAGCCAATTTTCCGAGGGAGACCTTATTGGGATTCGGGCTTTGCTGTACGATATGGCAGATGCAGTTGTGTAGATATGGCTTGTCGGCTGGAAGGGCCGGATGGCGTCCACGGCCATTCATGGCAGTGGAGAGGCTCACTTTCTGAGAGGATTTGCGTCCATAGTTTGCGAATTTAGTTAAGAGTGCAGTGACGATATCACCGGAGGTCAAGGGCACGGTATCTTCTCCGAATTCGCTCTTCAGAGCCTGTGTGTGGCGGTCACGTAGGCTTTCAACTAACTTGACTGGCAGGAACAGCATTCGTCGTGTTTCCTCGGGGTTGAGGATGAGATCCGGTAGTAAGCCCATGATGTATCTTGTTTTCTCCAGGTTATTCATGATACGATATGTGCCTTTCCTCCGCAGCTCTTTCTTTGAGAGTTTCGGACCATCCAATGCGCCGGGACGCAGCTGCAGGAACTCTGCTGGCGTTTCGCCCTTGATAATTTGCAACCAGGCAGTGATCAGACTTGCGAATCCCATCTGATCCGATACAGCATGCGGTAAGCTCAATGTCACGACTGTTGCGTCCGTATATTTGACGATATGCACAAGGAGCAGAGGCGTGTCAGGTTCCTCGAATTTGCGTTCCTTCGGCCAAGTAGAAGGCGTCCATTTGTCCTCCAGTTCTGGAACAGACCATGGCCCGTAGAAGGGGCCGGAATCGGCCTGAGGAGACTCTGGCAGCAAGTTGGCGGCTGCGAGAGAGGAATCAACGATCTGATTTGACCATTGGAACAGCTTGTAATCAGCCGTGAATGAATCCGGAAGGCGATATGCTAGGTCTCCATTGGTGGAATTGGCCTCCAGGCGGGCTCCGAGGATTGGTAGATGGTCTCTGATGAGGTGGCCGAGCGCATCGCGCATTGCTTCTTCGTTGAGGATCTCGCGAATGACCATGAAGAGAATGCTGCGGACGTTGTTGATTGGGACCCATTGGTCTATGGGCTCTAGGGGGATGAGCCGGGAAGACTCGCTGCCATTCTCCATGGTTTTGCTGTCGTTTGTCATTTTTGACGACTCTAGCGCTGTGAAAATTTTCAGATGGTGAGAAATCTACAGCTCTGTGCGGGCAATCGGGCCGATAAGAAAAAAGTTAAGAAAAAGGGGCGTTGAGGCGGAGCTATCCCCCTTTCTTCTTGTAACGACCTACTAACTATCTCATGAAGTACAGGTGGACGGACCTCGAGTAAGCCCGTGTACTTATCTCTTACAGTGAGACGGACGTCTTTTGCATAGTCGACTCCCGATGTCAGCACATACGCACGGTACCTAAATTTTGCACAAACTTAAATGAGATGATTATATGATCAAGTGCGATTCTGATGGTCAGCCATGATAATTCTCAGGACTGGAAGTATCGGCCATTGTTCTATTGTCGTGGCCGTGGCCGAGACCCTGTCAGCTTCTCGGGTTCGGCGCCGTCTAACACGTCATGGAACGGTGAACCCGTAATTGACTTCTCACAAAGCCTTTATGATACCTTTGCCTATCTTCTAGGCTCATCGCTTTTCTCGTGAAAGGTGAAAGGCCAATCTCACAAGTTCTGAATCTTCGGATTCATTCGTGATCTCGTATCCACACTGAGTCATAAGTCATTCGAGCGCGTGAGCTTCAAGATCATTCCAGCCATCCTCACTCTCCTCGACTTTAGTATGAGCGAAGCTAGGCTCCGAACAAGTCCATTGGGATGGAGAGATTCATCACGGTTGGCGCGGTTTGAGCAGCGGCAGCGGGACGGTGAAGGGTGGAGATGATGTCGGAAATACTGGGACAATACTGGGTACTCAACTATCCCACTATTCCTATTTAGGATATATCATGTGACTTTTGTATCGTAAATCCCGTTCGAGGGATCAGATAGAAAGAACAGACATACATTCATTTATTGGATACACAAGATCGCTCCCCATTTGCTTCCACAGTTATGAGTCTGGAAGTTTTGTGAAGAATCGCTGTACTCGACCCCCTCGACCCCTTTTTTGAAGCTATTTCAAAGCACATCAAGGCCGTTCGAGCCCCTGAGTCTGCCGGTTCGTCCACTGGCTAACAAATCCCAAAAGCATTGGGCATCAGCGACCCCAATCCAAATGGAATCAACGAACGTCTCCGTCGCGAAGCGCGGGAAGCTTCAATCACCAGAACAATGGCCGACATGGATAAGCACAATCCGATCCCTCGCGAAAGATCACAACGTCTGGGAACTCCTTGACCCAGAAAAGAGTGACGATAACCTTACCAAGGAGATCGACGAGCCCGAGCTGCCTCCAATGCCACAGCAGACAATGAACGAGTCCAATCAGATGATGTACCGTATGTGGGGGTACGAGATGGATTTCTATAAGATCAAGCAGGCAAGATATGAGAAACAGCAAAAGGGCCTTGCTATCGTGAACACAGCCATCAAGGCCTCGGTACACGAAAACCAGCAGTACTCCTTGAATGATAAGGACACTGCCCGTGAGAGGCTAGTTTTCTTAAAGTCTCGGTTCGGCCAATCCACCAACCGTTTCGAGATAGTTCGCAAGGAGTGGAAAGCGACGTCGCATCTACCATCAAAGAACGATGTGGATGTCGACAAATGACTCGGCGAGTGGCTGAGGCTATACGATCTAGCACTATCCCTTAAGATTAAGGTCGTGTATGCAGAAAGGGATTTTCTTGAAGCCATGAAAGACATCAGAAATATGCGAGTTTGCTGGACAAAATATCATGAGAACATTGTCTCCAACAACCAAGCAGCAGACGTCCATCAGCTAGCCGAGGAATTTAGATCGCAGTACAGTGAGCTAAACCCAAAGACCCCAGCTTCAGCTTCACAAGCTCCATCCCTATCGAGGGCTGCATTCGCAACCCTCCACGGCCAGTCGGACAATAGCGCAGAATCAAGCCCATACAAGAATCGACACTGCCCTTGTGGCAACAGGCACAAACCGTGGAAATGCTGGGTGATCAACGAGAACGCCCCAAACAGACCAATGGATTACGACCCGCCGCGGAAACGCAAGGAGAAAGTCGATAAGGTGTTAAAGGCAGATTGGGTTTAGCTCACTGTACTGCGATCTGAATTCCTCGGCTAGCTGATGGACGTCTGTTGCTTGGTTGTTGGAGACAATGTTCTCATGATATTTTGTCCACCAAACTCGCATCTTGCTGATGTCTTTCACGGCTTCAAGAAAATCCCTTTCTGCATACACGACCTTAATCTTGAGGAATAGTGCTAGATCGTATAGCCTCAGCCACTCGCCGAGTCATTTGTCGACATCCACATCGTTCTTTGATGGTAGATGCGACGTCGCTTTCCACTCCTTGCGAACTGTCTCGAAACGGTTGGTGGATTGGCTGAACCGAGACTTTAAGAAAACTAGCCTCTCACGGGCAGTGTCCTTATCTTCTAAGGAGTACTGCTGGTTTTCGTGTACCGAGACCTTGATGGCTGTGTTCACGATAGCAAGGCCCTTTTGCTGTTTCTCATATCCTGCCTGCTTGATCTTATAGACGTCCATCTCGAATTTGATACGGAAAATGATATTCGCTCGAATACGATTTCAATAGACCATCTGTATTGTGCTAGGTGTGTAAGGTATTAGGTTGCTGAAGATAATATTGTAGCTTGATAAGATTGTATTTGGTGAAATGCCATATTTCATTCATGATATAGCACCAAATAGAAATAAGAAATTAGTAGCCAAGTAAATCTGGTCATGTTTATTTTCTTTGCGCCAACCGCATTGGGACTAGAGGGTGTGCCAAATCGACTTTGGGGTGTGCCATTAACACTACCCTAAGATGGTAGCGCTATAGTAGTGACACTGTATTTCAGACCCCCCAACTTCCTGCATAGGTACTGAATAGGCGGTTGCCAACTCGCCCCTGTGGGCAAGCAGTGAGCAGCTATATAGTAGAAGCTGTCAAAGTGCAAGGTGGAATACATGGTGGAAACAAGGTATGATGCTTCGAGGTACATAAGGTACATCTCGGAATCATGTGATGGCCTAATGTGGTATAGCGTGGTCTGCAAAATACATCAGATTAAGCGTGTCTGAAATGGTTCCTGGACAATCTCTTAGGGCATTTTCATTTTTCATTTCATTCAGATCCTAGATTCCTAGCCCTTGGTTTCGCTAGTGAATTCTTTGCATCCCAATCATTACACAGCCAGATCGCTATCAGTGATGAGCTCCGCTGCTACTAGTTGGTAAATCTGGGTATCACGCATCATTTCCAGCACTTGCATCTCATTGCTTCATTTTCAACGCTTCATCTCCAGCGCTGCATCTGCCCCTGGTATCCACCAACGAACCTCTCCGAATTTTCTGAATCTTCTATCCTCTTTTCCGTGAATCCTCCGATCCATCACAATGCCAACCAAATCCAGCAAGACAGTAGCAGAGACTTCATGGGATACTGGACTCCATCCGGAGGATCAATGGGGGTACTGGATAACCCAAGTCGAATCTATGGCCACAATGTTGAATGTGTGGCATTACATGGACCCCAACCTGCCTGAAGATCAAGTCTGCCCAGCACCTGTGGCCTCCCGAGAGACCTACCTTCATCCCAGTGAAATTAATCCTGAAGCGACCAACTCGTTGCAACTCTCTAAGGAGGACCACGAGCTATACCGCCGAATAGTGTCGCAATTTAACGGCGAATGGAGCTGGGCCGAGCATGTCCGCTCAAAAATTAACGAGGTGAATAATTTCATTATTGCCAACATGTTCCCTGAATACCGTTATATTCTCCTGGACAAGACACCATATGAGAAGTTAGTGTTTTTGAAGCAGCGGTTTGAACCTATAGTACGAAGACCGAAAGGGGCCACTACCTACAGAATAGAGGATAGTCCCCGCCAACGCGTACGTAACGCCTGGAGAGATCTTGTTAGGCGCCCAATTGGCAAGACTTCCATCAACAAATGGCTCGCCACTTGGTCCAAACTCTATGAGGAAGGAAAAGCCATGCAAATCCCTGAGATTGCTTACAAAAGTGATGAGTACCCTCAAGATCGAGACGCGATTTACGACTTCCTTCACGCTGTTCAACCCTTTGATGAGATATTTGCAGTCCTGTGGAGGGAGAAAATTGAAGATCCGAACTTTGCGATATCATTCCATGACGTGCTGGCGGCCTTTCGAAACCACCGAAACGTCAAAGGAGCTGCTAAGTCACAACTTGCGAGCAGCGCCGCATGGCGGCCATCCTGAACGGGAATTCTTCCCAAAAAGCAAACTGTATTTGTGGAAGTTCTGAACACCACTGGAAGAATTGCTACCCATCAATGCCTCTCATATTTCCATCCTGTTGGTTGTCTGGAGGCGTTGATATGGTGACACGCTCTCGCCTGGCTTCGCTGTGCCATGGAAGGGTGTGGCATAAGTCTTCGCCAGAGTTGCGCTTGACGACCATCATGATGACGAATCGTGCTGATTAGGGCTTGGATAAATGCCCACCCACTGCTCGCCCTTGCGTTTCATTCCACTCTCAAGATGTTGTCAATATCCCTCGATCATAAGGTTGTCCTTTGGTTCCACGACCACGCCACTGCTTAGGAGGCAGGCGTGAAGGGCGTATGACAACATCTATGGTTATATGCTGTGTACGTAAAAGGAGATGTCGAGAAACAGAAAATCTCAGAAGGGTAAACAGATCAGAGTAAATCTATATACATCACGCCCCATCCAACATAGAAAATTCCGCCTGGTATCAATCATCAATGGGAAACCCGGAAAAGAACGCACATCACATGAAAGAGATTACAGAACATGATCATCAAACTGTCAAAATAGGATAGATATCATAACCAATAAGGTGACGGTGAAAGCGTCAAGGCCAATGCCGAAAAGGCGAAGCCGCAAAGTGGGTGTCCGGAAGAAAATCCGTCGAGATTCATAATGGCTGCAATCAAGCTGCTTTGAGGTCATCAACATAACCGAGGAATTCCCTCTGATCATCACAGATGCGAGCATACTCCAAAAGAAGTCGATACGTATAAATCTGCATGTCTTCACGTCGAAGCACCTTTTCACCCCAGGATTTACCAGCAAGAGCAATCTTCCGGGCTGTATCATCCCGGCCACCGAGGAAGTAAGCCAGAATTCCATAAATATCGAGATAGGTTGTATCCATGGGGACAAAGTGTACCCAAGGTATCAGGCGCGAGTCATGCCACTCATTGTAGATAGTGGCCTTTATAGGAAGGGAAGTAGACAGCATGAACCCGCGGTATCGACCGCTAAATGAGTTTCCATCAAGATCGGGCAGGTACTTAAAGTCGTACATCGTCTTCATCGCCATACCGGGTGCGACTTCGAAGTACGGATCAAGGTATGGGCAGCGCGGGTCTGATTCAATGTAGGGGTGGCAAACAAGGTGATTGAAACCTGTATCGGTATGATCGGCGAGAAGTTGGGGGACAGAGCCGTCGTCTTTCAGTTTGTAGTCGGCATAATTTGGCAGTCTAAAGTTGATCCCATGGCCTTGATTCTTCTCGGCCTGGGCCACTGCCGTTGCGTTCATCATCGCCATGAAGCGGTGTCTCTGGAAGCCCGTCCAATTAGGTTCACGAGCTCGGCCTCCAGTGGCAGCTCCTCGCCACACGGCCTTGTTTGTCTTCGACTCCCAGGGCCCACCGTGTTCTTGCTCCCCACCAGAGTAGTGGTCGTTCTGCGCCCAGTACATTGCTGGGGGAAGGAGAATCTCATTGTTCATAGGAAGCTTGGAACCACCAAACAGTGGCATAAGATTGTGGGAGGTTGAAACAGAAACTGGCTCGAGGAAAGTACCGTGCAGGACTTGCATCTCTGGCCGCACACACGGGTCCTTGGCGAGACTAAAGTTCGATACGTAGCCATGATATGACAGCCTCTCAAAGTTGCCATATTCCCACGGAGGCTCGTTAAAGTCCACCATGGGTAGGTTCGTATTGCGCGCGGGACTTCCGGGAGGACAGCCAACCCGAGCCATTTCCCAGTAGCCTCCCTCGCCTGGGACTGTAAATCCAGGATTGTAAGGCTCCACATCTTCGCCATCCCAATCATTTAGAGACATGTATTCTGATTTGACATGACTAGGACTCGGCATAACGCGGTTCACCTTCTCCTTTTGCATATACTCAGTTATGGTCTCCCAGGGGACAACGAGTCTAGTCTCATCCATAACATTGATTGGCATATCGAGATCAGGAAGTCCATCCTCCAACTTCGAGACCAGATCATACCACGAGTCCATCCAGCTCCTTGGCTCGTCTGTCTTCATTATCGCGGTTTTGTTGCGCACAAGAATCCGGGTCGGAATGCTTCGAGCCAGTCGTCGTAGTTCCTTCGGTTCCAGCGCCCAGTATGGAGTTAGGTCGGTGTAGATTTGGTCGAAGAACTCCTCGACAATCAAGGAATCCTTTGACTTGGCGAATTTGTACCATTCCGCGAACCCGGGAGGAGGGTGTCTCCCGCGACGTGCGCGGTATTTATCGGCGGCATCTTGAAGGTCGTGCGCTTCGGTTTCCAGGAGGTCCTGCAGGTCGTTCTCTGCGGTTTGTATCAGAGAATCGATGGGGTGAGGACTGTTATGGCCATAGCGTGCGGAGTACGTCGGCAGCCCTGGATTATCATGACTGGGCGATAGCAACATCCAGGTCAAGCTGAGTATGAAAAAGATAGCGAGCAGCGCAACTCGGCCTGTGCGCGAGCTGAATGTCGTAAGTAGCCGGAGCATCTTGAAGGCCCAGCGTCTTCCGTAATACTAGTAACAGCTTATCGCGACCATACCCCCTCCCGGGAGCAGTCTTCCAGTAGTGGGATTTTCGCCCTGCCGTGGCGGCCAGGATTCAGGATTGAACGAACAGGTAGTGCGCGGATGTTAGAAGTTTAGTCGTACATATCTGTCTTGTCAACGAAGACCAAGAGTCCAGAGTAGAGATGTAGTAACTAAGACAAATGACAGAAAACGAGCAAAAGTAAATTTGATCTTGCTATCGGACGAAGACATGGACAATCAGGGACCTAACCGGAAGAGGCAATCATCGTCAACGACACCGTGCTATGTGGGTCTAGTTGGTCGTTTTAAGATGGTGATCGGCACAACTTTACCCATTTTTGGTGGGGACCACGTTCCCTGCCAATTCTTATTTCATGTTAAGCCAAAGAACCTCTGAAAGAGCAATCTTTTTCCATATACTGCGAACTTCATTTCAGTTGAACTTCCATATTCAACGAAGAATACTTATCGATAACGGAATCATCGGCTGTTGCGGGATCGTTGGACCAATTGGAAGTGCCAAGAACCGGTCGGACCTACGGTGGGAATGACATCATGGCAATTAAAGTTGCCAAGGTTTCTTATCGCTGATTTTTCTCCTTCTCCTTATCTTCCTCATCTTGGTGTCTCCAACTGTCCATGGAGGCGTACACAGTACTCTGTATATACCTACTGCATCCTGTTGTATATTGTACTAAGTAGTAGGTCCACAGTCCATGGCTTTATTTATTGGCCTAACCTTGGGAAACAGGAACCGATCACTTAAAAACCAGAAACTCATTTCCTGTGGGACTACCTTATTGTTGTCTCCTATGGACTTTTTGCAATGCGATCACTTCTCTCAGAGCCGGCTTTACTACCAACATCCAATGCATCCCATAACCCCTTCTACCATCTGAGTCCTCGAGTCCTCGAGCTCTCATCCATTCCATAGGACCATGAGGTAGTGATCTCCGAATCTCGGTGACTCCAACTCTAAAAGTCGCTGGACATCATAGTCAAGGTCTGGCGGCATCCTGTCAACGAATGGAAACCTATCGCCAAACTTGACGGGAATGCTGACATCGTCAATGTGCTCTGTGCGGTCCCATACGTGCTCCCTGAGCACAGGAAGGAATCTCGAATCTAGGAGCGCCACGATCTTATCCACAGTGTGAGGATCGACCTAGCCAAGGCTGCATCAACTTCCGAATAGCGGTATATGAAGGCGCATTGCCTACCTAGATGTTCGACGTGAGAAGGCGTCCACTAGGTATGCTGGCTCAAGCAACGTATGAACTTACAAAGCCATTTGATGACATGGTCACTGGGATGGAGGGATTTGGTATGTCTGTTATTATCGAACAAAGTGGAAGAATGAGGTGGGTTAGACTTTCATGGAACACAGAGGCCGTCTACAACATATCTAGGGTTTGAGGCTGGGTGGATGTGACAACAACACGTAGGAGCTGGAGGTTATTGACTTCCTCGAGGTAGTGCCTCTGCTCGCGGTTTCGGGTGACATAGATTGACCGGTAGACGCAGGAGGAGGCTCAAGTCCCGTCGGTTTAGCTTTGTTCCAGTCCATAATGTCCAAGCCACGTAAGTTCGTGCGAAAGTGAGGCGTCCAAGACGCTTTCATTCCATCATTTCGACTTCCTTCCAGCGCGATATCGACGATAGCCGTGGAAATGGAGGGATTGCAGGAATCGCGGGAAATTCTTCCGGAGTAAAGGAGCTTGATGTGTTGCATCTTCTTTTTGAAAGGCACCTGTCGAGTCTCGGCATAGGTCTCCATATGAAGTCGAATCACATCCCCGCGGCGAATCAGCGGAGATAGAGGAGTAGTGGCATTTTGATTGAGGATATGCCCAACGCACGGTCTTCCAAGTGAACCTCTTACAGGATTTGCGGACCACCAGGGAGCCGGGGTCTGTCGCTCATTGTGCGTGCCTTTAGATAGAATGTGGACGGTGACATTTTGTTTCTGCGACCTTTTTGCTGTGGTGCTAACCGTGCTATGGAAAAGGTGGAGGGCACAGTTACTGTGTAGAGAGGTGTTCACATACCACTGACCTCTTCCGGTCAGCTGAGGTCCAAGGTTGAAGTTCCGCCTTGGTTTACAATGGATATAGGGCCTAGACGGCAGGCCTACGAGCCCAAAGACTAGGAAGGTACGCACGAGGTACGTACGTTCCTTCCATGGTTGACCTACGCACTACAAAGCTTGGTTCGCAGGGAGAATCTTGATTGGCACGGGATAGAAGTGGGTTCCCGCGAGGCACGATCGAACACTCCCATGAATCATGATCCCATCTCTGATTATCAGGGGGCTTTAGCGCCTGCCGGACCCCCAGCCTCAGTTGCCGAGCGTTATTTTTTGGAACTGAGCACAGAATATCCAAATCACGTGACATGCGACCCCCTTATGATACGGGCGCTTCACTGACGCTGAGCAATGATCTTCCATAATATGGTCAAAAGTTGTAACTATCGAGTACAGTACAACTATGTACTGGTAATCAATCATCTTGATTCCGCCCGGGTTAGTTCAATCCACTCGCCTCATTGGATAGTTTTTTTTTGAGTGCGAACCAGCAGCATTGGGGGCCAAAAACCGACAGGGATTGGTGGATGCCTCGTATAGGGGCTCCACGAAGCGATTTTAGGGTTACATAGCGGCCCCAAGAGCGGGACTTCCAGCGTCAACAGACCTCATCTCAAGATACCGTCAGTTATGTGACCACTGAGTGCGCGTGTGGATAGCTAGCCATTGGCGTCAACCTATGTCGTACACGCTTGGTGATTTCCTTTGCGCTCACATGCCTTCCCTGCACTAAACCGGATGAGATTTCTAGGTGTAGAGTAGGTCCGCCTACCCTATCTTGCTGCGTGGTCGCTGATTACTCCACTTCAGGTTGGATATGGTCTTCCTGAGTAAGACGGGAGAATGGTGGCGCCCTAACAGAACCATCGGCGTGCTCGTAGCCGATTTCTCGCGGGGCTGATTTCTCAGCTACCCCCAACGTAGGTAAGAATCTTGCATGATCACGGCAATTTGGAAATCTTGTTCTTCTTTTACCCCACGGAAGAGCCGGCCGGTCAAATAGACAACGCACATTTGCTGCTTGGCTTCGACCAACAAAATCTTGATATATCATACAATGGCTACTGTCCCAGCGGAGGACGAGTATAACCTGCAGGAGGCATGGGACAAGGCATGCTTATCCTTTGCGGCGACAACGAAGGTCGACCTCACTCAAAAACCGAAATTCTCTATTGACGAAGTGCTTGACCAAATTCGTCAGAAGCAAAATGAAAACAACGAGAAAGACAACAAATACAAGACCGCAAAAGATGTGATCAGCAAAACGTTAAACTTTGTCATGGTTCTGGGTGGTATCGCTGCTGAGGGCGCTAGTATGGTAGGTAGTCGTTGACTCCGACAAGGACGTTGCTCACAATGACTGTCTAGGTATTTGCGCCAAGCAGCCTCTGCTTCAATGCCATTGCGTATCTCATTGACACTGGAGCGAAGTACAAGCGCATTTTCAGTAGCCTCTCCGATCTGTTCGGTCGTATCTCCGATGTTCTAGAACGGTGCAAGATCTACCTGCGCTTGCCCGCGAACGCGGTTGATGTCGCTCTCCGAAGGATTATTAACGAAGAGCTTGTGTGTTTCGTCGATATCTGCGCGTTGTCAATCAAAGTCCTTAAAGGCAACAAAGTTCTCATTGCGCTGAAGGTCTTTGCGTTCGATGCCGATGAAGGCGTGAGTGAACAGCTAAATCGACTGGCTACGCTGGTAGAGCGCGAGTCCCAGATGCGGGCCACGCTGGGATTTGAGTCGCAGAAGACAAGTGAAAAGAACATCATTGAGACCAGAGACGGAACTAAAAAGATCACCGTGGGAGTCGATACACTGCTGAATTCCGAGAAGAAGAAAGAAGCAGACAGTGCTGCCAAAAGGCTCCTAGCCAAGATTGATTCCAGCCTCGGCAATCCCAGTGATGCTCTTAAGACCGTCTCGGCAAGCCTCGGGCAGATCTTGAGCGAGCAGGTCCAAGGAAGCGGCGAGTGGCTTCGGAAGCATCCGCTGTACAAGGCGTGGGAATCCTCCGAGCACTCTGCATTTTCGGTTTTCGGCATCTCCGGAGGCGAAGGATATGGCAAATCGTTCCTCTTTGCGACTGTTGTTCAACATCTGCAAGAACTTCATTCCGCCTCCCAAGATGATATGACATATACATCCACTGCCTACTATATCTTCGATCAAGAGAAGAGTCATACATCTTTGGTCCAGGCCCTGAAGGTCCTTGCCTGGCAGATCGTCAATAAAGATGTTGTTTATCGCAAAGATTTGAGCTCCGTGAAGGCAACTGGTATTAACCAGGTCGGTAGTCTTTGGGAGGCGCTCTTCTCTAAATCATACAAGAGCGACTCGACCTTCTTTCTCCTCCTAGACGGGGTTGATCTAGCAGACAAGACAGAATTGAGAGAGTTCATCCACCTCCTAGCCGAATTGCAGGCTTCATCTGCGACTTGGCCACGGTTCAAGCTCCGCATTCTCCTCACTGGTAGACTGGAGACAATGAACAAAATCCAAAATTACATGTCCGAAGGAATGTCAATGATCAATGTGGCATCCGAGAACACCGACGACATGAAAAGGTTCATTACCGACCGAATGGACAAGATGGAGATTCTGAGCGGCGATTCAGATCAGGTGCTCTCTCTTCGGCGCGAGATTTTGGAGAATTTGGCCACCAAGACTCATGGTGATTTCATCAATGTTGGCCTTCTGCTACATGAAATTAGCGAAAAACAACGTCCCGGTGAGATCAGGGACATTCTATCTCGATCAGGAGAAAAGCGGTCGGACACTATCGCGCGAAAGATCGAAGTCCTCAATGAGACGCTCAGCGCGGACGATATAGCTGATCTCAACATCATTCTCACGTGGGTCATCTTTGTCTTCCGGCCATTTAGCCTCTCAGAGTTGGAGTCAGTCCTCTTCTTCAAGACTGGAGAACCCTCCCTTCGGCCCCTGGCGGAAAAGATAACGGACTATTATGCCTCCATTCTCCAAATCAAGGGCAAGCCCCATCCGGAGACCAAGATAATCTCGCCCTACTCACACGTAACGCTAGTCTCTGACTCGATCAAGGAGTTCCTTCAAGATAAACCGGAGTCTGACCAGATTGCAAATCCCCAAGACATGGATCTCAGCAGGGATATCACCGACGCCGAGATCAGGATTGTTCGTCGGTTCCTAGAATCGGTCTGTGATCCCCAACTGTTCTCTAAATTCGGATTCGATGGCTTCTTTCAGCAGAAACTCCAAGGCAACACAGCACGAGTCAACATCAACGCCGACACCGCACATTTGAGGATTCTGGTGACTTGCTTGGAATCCATCCACTCCACAGCGACAGCCGGCAAAACCTTGCTGCAAGCGTATGCCTGTTTCTACTTTGGCGATCATCTCAGGCAAGCGGACCCTTCTCTGACCCAACCGCAACAGAAAACGGCGCTTGGTCCGCAATTGGTCAATCTATTTACAGATGAGAGCATCATCAGGGTGTGGTGGACGCCCCAGTCACAGTTCCATCGGATGGATTGGATTTACGACGATTCATACTCCGAGGTTGTAACAAAATGGCTTCAAGACTCTGCCGTCTCCAAGGGCTTCACTGAAGAACAAAGCCAATGGGTGAGAAAATTGAGTTCCAAGTCTGAGCTTGATGCAGATATCCTCGAGCATCTTGTCAGGAACTCCGCTCGACTTTGGTTGCAGGAGGGTATGAATCTCGACGGCAATTTTCCTGTGGTCCATGGATTTATCACAAAGGTCTTTCCCCGGCAAGAAGATGGGAGATTGTATGACAATTAGAGCTAACTTTGTCTTCAGATTGAGAATCGGAAGGATCCTAAGGTCAAAAGATCGACCGATGACCCCAAAGCCGATACCATCGAAGTCTCCCAAATCCTCGATGCTGCTGAATGGGCTCGACGGCAGCTAGGGCTGGATAGCCTTGGATATGAGGAGACTCGTAACCTAGCGCGCACATTCAGGGAGTACGGCAAACACGATAAGGCTATTGAATATTTCAAACTTGCGTCTTCATTGCAGGAGTATAATTGGTTCTCACAGTGGGGCCTTGCGACCTGTTATGCGTACCAGAAAGAGTGGGCACTGGCGATAGAGACGATAGAGGGACTCAAGAATATGATCAAGTGCGGCGACAACCGTGACGATGATCTGTACCTGCCGGACTTGGATCGCGATCTGGCCAGTTACATTCGAGAGAGAGGTGATAGCGGCAAAGCGCTTGAGATGTATGAAGCGATCCTGCGAGAATACCCGAACGACTACGACGCGTCTTTGGGGATAATTTTGCTTTATCACAAGGATGACAACCCGGAGGGCCTGCTCAACTTTTTGGAATCGCTCAAGGACTCCACAGATGATCAAGCGGGTCTAGACAGGCGGACGCGGACGTTCCACCTTCATTGCGATAATGGTGAATATCACGAAGCACTTTTCAGCCTCAGTTCCGAAGGCAAAACCTTCGATGCCATCTTTGAAGGCTACCAGACTGCCATTGCTGCCGCCAAAGAGCAGATTGGCAAGGCAGTGAAGACGGGTGATCCGATGGAGGCGCAGTATCGGAGATGCCAGGCCACTCTTATGCACAACCTTGCGATTCTCTGCTTTGAGAACGGCTCTGATATTCCCGAACGAAGGAGATTCGCTATCGCCCAATGGGAAAGTGTCCTACAAATTGAAGATCACTCCGATGAATACTACCTGAATCTCACGAAAGGGTATTCCCGTGATAAGCTCGCGACCGCTTATTTCAAGGAGGCATGTCGGGATCCTAGTACGGCCACCACATTGCTGCAGCGCTTGAAGGAACTAGGCTCATACAAGCCCAAGTATACATACAGCGAGATGACATCGTACGCAACAGAACTTGCCGCGCGATATCACGCTCTGCAAGGTGATTACCAAAAGGCCATAGATGTCCTGCGGCCGGCAGTCAAACACAACATGGACATGCTCTCTGATGACGATCCGCTCAATGACTGGCAGGGATATCAAGGCTTGGCCAGGGCTTTCATGCGCGCGGGCCAAGATGCAGATTGTCTCGCCGCGTGGTCATTGATTGCCCCCTTCAATGATGCAAAGAATGCAGAGGACCAAGCAGAGTTTCCGGAAACTGAAAGCAGAGCACCCATGTGTTATTGTGACGGGCAATGTGGGACTACATGGACGGTCCCAGATGACCTCTATGTCTGCAGAGAGTGCTACGACATACAGTTCGACCTGCCGTGCTTGAACAAATTGCGCGAAGGGACACTCAAAGGAAGGGTATGTGGCAAAGACCACGATATGCTACATATTCCCGCACACGACGCCGCTGAGCGCCGGACGACTGGGAATGGTAACGTCCTGGTGGGGGAGGAGATCGTTTCTGTGAGCGAGTGGCTCCAGCGCATCAAGGCGAAGTGGGGGTTGGAGTAAATTGGGCCGTTAGGGCATCTGACAATTTGCATGAGCCTCGTGAACATGATTAGGTACCAATTACGAATTACCAATTACCAATTCAACATGACTTCAAGCTTATGCACACCCCTAATAATGACCTGGGCTCCACGCCATCGGTACTAAGCAGGAAATCTAGGACGGGGTGTGTTGTCTGGCATTCGAAGTGTCGGACTGGCCACCACTTCGCTTAGAAGCTTACTCTCTGGATAAGTTCAGTCAGATCCTTAATAATATGATAGATGGGAAAAGACAGACACTAAAGGTAAACGCTGGTCGTCGATGAAAGATAGCTATTGCCACAGTCCACAGTAGCACTTCAAGGAAAACTACTGCCCATCTGAGGCCTCAAGATCTTGAGATGTATGTGCGCCTAGGTTATAACACGTGCTATATACCTATAGAGAGCTCGACAAAAGAATGGAAGTAGATACCTAAATGGAGAAAAAAAAAAGAAAAATCCGAATCCCGACACGCCTTCCCTGTTCCTCCTGCTGCTGCTGCTGCTGCATCCCCTGGTGCGAATTTCGCTCTCCGCCCACAGACTTGGCCCCAGCTTCCCTCTCCTTGCTTTCGCTTGCTTTCGGCCTTCGGTACATACCTGTTCACGCACCTTCTGTAACTCTAGCTTGTGGACCATGAGGAACGGGTGGGTTCGGCGGTGGATAAGAGAGGTGAGTTAGACCCGGCGGCCGGGGCCCCAGTCCATAATGAGGGAGAGGATTTGCCCACGCGTCCTCCTTCGAAACCTTTGGCACAAACAGCTCGAAGTCTCTGTGGTCATCAAAGATGTGCGTCATCCTCCCCGTCTCACTAGGATCTGTAGCAGTATAGCACCTCAATCGCATCCAAGGTCCATTGAGCCGGGGTGCCAGCGGATGTTCATTAACAATAACTTGAATTGTATCCCAGGTGGGACCTTGTACCGAGTTTATAACCCAATCACCTTTTGTATCTAGCAATGGGAACTCAACCCCGTCCTTGTCGGGGGGCTGGAAGACTACCTGTTCCATGTGGGGCATGTTGACTTGGAGGTATATCACTGGATGGGCGGCCTGTGACCCATCCGCGAGGCCCATATTCAGCATGCCCGCAACCGGCATTCGAGGGGCCCCAGATTGGCTTAGGAGCAATTTCAGGTCTGCGGCGGTGATTTGCATAACGGTACTCCCAGTGTCATCGACAAAACTGAGTGTGCTATGGGTTTGCGAGCCGGGCAGCCGAAGACTGAGACTTACCTATCTACCAGTTAGCAAAAGAATGGCCTCAAAGGTTGGTCTGACATAGAGTAGACATACTTCGGGGGAATTCTGTTATCCATCACACTCGTGGTATCTGTAGGTGAATGGGTCAGTGTTTGTGGTTGACGACTAAGGGAGCAGGATAAACGCATACAGGCAAAACAGCTAACTGGTGCAAGACTCGAAAGCTAAAATGATTTGTGTCAGAGTTGCGGTCGTGATTTGAAGCTAAAGACGGAAATGACTCACACCCTCAACCCAAAAGCCAGTCGTTCCATCGTTGGCATTCGCAATCTCGATAAATTCCTCGTAGATGAATCGCCTTGGCTGGGAAATCTGCCTCCCCTTAGAAAAGTAGGTCACGAGCCCTTCGTTCCATGTCAGATCTCCGGATCTATAAGCTTTCATAATGGCCATCGCAGTTTCTTTTAACTTAAAGTCGTCTGGACCTTTCTGAAGCGTCTCATAACACACTCTAAGAGCGCTCAAGCGCTGAACGACATTCCAATCAGTTACGCCAGACTCTGCGGCCCACATCGCACTAAATTTGTATTAGCAAGGTAGAGATCCACGATCTAATGGAGAGGATTATTTACTCTTGCTCTGCCTTTAGCTTTTCGAACGTATCAAGCTTCCACTGAAATACCGCAGGCAAGATACCATCTTCGATTCGTTCTTTGCATCTAGCAATCTGAGCATCCAAATCCCTACCAGAGAGTCAGCAACTAACGATCAAATACAAATCGATCTGAGTAAGTAGAGGAGAACGTTTCAGGAAAGGGAGATATACCTAGGATCAAGGTCGGGCTCATTTGAGTTCCAGCCTGTAGGAACATTTTTCAGATCCGTGATAGGGTCTCCCGGATGCTTCCATCTTGTCTGCCTGCGGCCAAGCTTTGGGGCAGGATGCACAGGAGCTTTTCCAACGTAAGACCTCTTGAGATCCTCAAAAAGCGCTTCTTTGGTCAGGCCATCAGGCTGTGCATACACAGTCTTGGCAGGTGCCTTTCCCTTTCCCTCTCTCGTGGTCTTCTCCGTCGTCTTCTTTTTCCTTTTCGGCGGGGCAGGCTTCGTGACACGGAACTCGGAGCTCTGCTTGAAGTCACCAGGCTCTTTGGCGTCTTCCTTGGGTGGTCCCCTGCTTCGTGTTGCAACCATGTTTCGGACTGATTCTGGTAAAGTCGGAAGTAATAAGATGAATGGACAGGAAATGGACGAGCGTTGACCAGAAACCAGCAGGACGAGATTGATTCAAAGTATTTATATACTCATCCGCAGAGCCAAAAGCACAAGCCATAGACAAAGACAGTAGGAATACGGCGCCACCAACTACATCTCATGGCCCGAGTATGCGAGGACAAAGAGCACATGGCGCTGGTGTTCGAAGAATGAATGAAATTGGGATAAAAATGGCCCTCTCATTGATGCAGAATCCCAACATCCTGTCTGACGATCAGACGTCTATGAAAAGGATTGAGCGACGGGGTTGGTCTAGCCTTGTGGTTGGGGTGATGACTGATGGTCGTTGAGTTCAAGTCTGGTGACGAGAGGGGAGTTGAAAAGCTTGTTGAGTGATTCCTTTGAGGCTATAGACGTCTGATCGTCACATCATGCTCAACATATTGTCAAACAGTATGGTCCCTAGATACCTAGAAAATGAGGTTTAGGTTCTCTGATCTCTGTAGCTTCGCCATTCGGGGATGGAGACTTCCATTGGAAGTACAATGTAGACCAAACGATAAGGAAAGCCGGGTTGAGAAAAAAAGACGAAGTCCAAAGAGCCCGTGGTTCGAAGATGAGACACGATTTCGTGCTCCTCTTTGATTTTCTCCTGACTTTTTGTCCTTTGACTCTTTGATCAGTTCGAGTACGTTTTTATTTTTAGCAAGCTTTGTGCTGCAGGTACTCCTCCAAGGGACGCTCCCGAGGTCGAAGAGCCCGGTGGGTCGGAAGTCGGAACCCCACAACGGCAGCTTAACTTTGCGTTGAAGTTAAAGAACAGCGTTTGCATAGCACGAGCTGCACAACTAACTAGACAAAGGTGGACCCATGGGGGTTTCTCTTTCTTTCACTTCATTTTTGTTATTCAACCCATTCCTATTCCCTGTTACCTGTAACATCCAGCTCTGCAAAATATGTAGGCGCATGTCGTGACTCGTGAGATTGGAACCCGGGAATTTAAGTTCTGATTTCGTAACCTCGTCCTCAAGGCACAAATCACGTGGCGTGGCCGCGTGGGTTCCACACAAAGTTTATCTTTGAATAGCCTCAGCCCTCAGGCAACATATCACGGGGTTTGAGTTCAGGCGTACTGTGTACTGACGTAGCCCGATCTGGACAGTGGGATGGTCTCAATGATGATTGCCTGCAGGACAGCGGATTAATCTTTAATCCGTCCAATCGCCGATCGATATCGGCCTGGGCAGTTGGACACTTCCTTGGAAGATGTCTTTTGGGGTCTCCGCGTTTCAAAGACTTTCAGTCCCACGAGAGGGAGTAGACTTCACTAGGAGTTCGAATATACATAATATATATAATAGGTGATATGCGCCCGATATGGTTACCTACAGTACGGAGTATGGTCATGGGATTATCATGCGGATGGGAGTTCTCCACGAAGATCCGGTTTCCCGTTCATCCACCACGCATGGTCTCCCGATCCTAGGGTATCTTGCAGAGTCCTAACCTCGCTTGGAATAATGGATCCATGGATGTTTACAACAGTCCAATCCAGGCAATCCATGTATTGTGCACAGAGGGCACACCGTGTCAATAGCCCTGAAAAGCTTTCGAGGTCCACTCCGTGGCTGTTTGCCACCTGCAAGCCACCTACCGAATATCACCTCACTTGTAAACATGAGTAGACATCTGTAGGAATAGCATAATGACCAACAATGAGAGGTCAGCAGACTAAACTTATACAGGCGTAGTTGCAACTGCTGGTATATTGCTGCATAAATATCCAAGTTGAAGTATTGCAAGATCTGCCAGTCTTGAAATCCCGAAGTGTTCGACTTGTGCTGATCAGCCAATCACAAAGCACTACAGGGAAGGCCAAGATCAGCCATCAGCTCTGATTGGCTGCTTTCCCAAACGGGATATCGCTTATCTAATCTATTGTATCCACCTGCGTAGGTGAGGGCCAGGGCACCTGGTGCAGCTTTATGTCCCAGCCCCGCTCACCTTCTCTCCTTCATATACGGAGTATCTCTTTGGAGTTTCAAGGCGTGGTACGTCATTCATCTTGATGATCCTATATCACCTTATCTCTCAAGAAAGCGAATGTTTTGTCTCTAGCATCCATTCAATGTCTCGAATGCTGCCGCCGGCGCAATGTCGAGCCCCGTCGCAGTACAATGCGCTCAAAAGTACCCTGCCGACCTTGGAATGATCAAAGAGCGAGAATTCTACAAGTAATTATACCACCCTTGTCTGCACAATGATACCAGACTACAACGACTTCATAACCCATAGAATAATGCTCGAATGAATTCCCGGAGGCTAATTATGCGCCCCTCCATAGGTATTTACCACCGTACCATCTCAATGCGCACGCCCTGCAACATATCGGCCCTGTCAATCCACCGAAAGAATATGTTGCCCGATCTTCGGTTGATCCAGTGCTCACAGCATTCGCCCAGTTGGGCGCCTTGCGACTGGATGCGCAAAGGGCCATAATCTCACTATTTGGCCGACGCGAGCAACACATCCTCACCGAGGCCACTCGAACTCTCAGTCTTCAGAATGACGCGGACCATAATTCACACGATGAGCTCTGGGTCGGGAGCTGCACTATATCCTATGACCGCAGCTTGTGTAAATCGGTCTTGAGACCTACACCAAATGCGACACACGCCAGGGACCGGGTTATTGCGGTACCAGACGTTACCCAAGATGACGCTTTTAAGGACCACCCAGATGTGACATCATTTCCAAACATTCGTTTCTTCGCATCGAGTCCCATTATTAGCCCGAAAGGCATCGTGATTGGCGCCTATACCATCCTAGATGATAAACCCCACGAGCCTTTGGACACCAGTTTACTCAACTTCCTAGCAGACGTTTCTGCCACGGTCATGGATTACCTGGAGACAAGTCGCTCAAAAGGCCAACATCTTCGCAGTGAGCGCATGATTGTTGGCCTTGGAAGCTTTCTGGAGGGGAAAGGTAGTCTTCGCAGCTCATGGGTTCTCGACGCCGATAGCACAAGATCTGTGGACGAGAAGAATCATGCAGAGGGTCACGTCAATCAAGAACAACAAGAGAAGCAACTTTCCGATGACATTGCCCGAGCCGCAGTCCAAACGAATACGACAAGCCACTTGCCTTTCCACCCATACAAACTCCACATACCCAGGAGCCCAATCTCCCAGCCAGAAAAGGAGCAGGACCTGCCACCTTTGAAGTCAACGAACACCAGGAGAGATGCAAAAGCTGAACACAAATTCAGAGAAGCATCTCGAGCGGCTATGGCAAGCGACAACGATCACTCCCCAAAGGATGACTACACTGCCAAGGTGCGCCAGACATTTTCACGTGCTTCCAATCTCATCCGTGAGAGTATCGAAGTTGAGGCGGTTGTCTTTTTCGATGCCAGTTTCAACTCCCAGGAAGCTTTCGTGAATAGTGGGAAGTCCGATCCAGAGAGCAGTTGTTTTGAAAGTTGCTCTTCGGGTGATGAGTCCAAATCCCGAGGCTCCGGCTCCGGTGCAGATCAAGACTCCCTTGACCCTGAACTGGCCCAAATTTCCGGAAAAGCCACCTTAAATCCGTGCGATATACTGGGCTTTTCCACTTCAAGAGCTTCTAGCGTCAATGATCAATTGAAGGACGACACCAAAATTGCACTATCAGAGTCATTCCTTCGGGGTCTTTTGCACCGGTATCCTCGAGGAAAGATCTTCAATTTCGGTGAAAATGGAATTATCTCATCTGACGATACCAGCGACGGGGTTTTCAAGCAATTCTTCCGGCGTAACGGAGGCAAGAAGTACAAAAAGACACAAAGATCACTTATACGCCAGGACGCGCAAGCGTTGCTTCAACTCGCGCCGGAGTCTCGAAGCATCGTTTTCACTCCATTGTGGGATTCACACAAGGGCAGATGGTATTCCGGGGCTCTGACGTGGACAACCGCATCCCACCGTGTCTTCACTTCAAACGATGAATTGGCATTCCTCCTGACATTCGGAAACAGTGTCATGGCAGAAGTGCATCGACTTGGCTCCCACTTCGCTGATCGAGCGAAGTCAGACTTGCTTTCAGGGCTCAGTCATGAACTTCGGTCCCCTCTACACGGTATCTTCGGAACAACGGAACTAATGAATGATACTGTCATGGATGCGCTGCAGCGGGGATTTGTTCATACAATCGCATCCTGTGCTTTCACGCTACTAGGATCGATCAACCAACTCCTTGAGTATGCTAGTATCAATGACGTTCGACCTAGCTCCGTTGTCAAGACTCCTGGCGGAAGCGTGCTTGATAAGTCAACTAACCAAAAGTTGACGGCGACTCACCATCTTTCGCATCCTGGCAAGGTTGACTTCGACACCTACGTCGAGCTTGATTCTGCCGTCGAGGATGCAGTGGAAACGGTCTTTGCTGGCTATTCCTTTTTAAGCAGTTCACGCTCTCCTCTGAGGGGCATCGCCGGTTATCCTATTTCCGGTGCCAGGCATCTCGACCCACGCAGTGGAGTCAAGGTGGTCATGGATATCGACTATGCTCATAGCTGGAAATTCTCGACGCGGCCCGGAGCCTGGCATGTGATTCTGACGAACATCTTCGGAAATGCCCTGAAATTCACTCAAAAGGGATATATTCATATCTCTATGACCGCCCTTCCAGCCAAATTTGGAAATGATGGTGAGGTCATCAAGTCAACGGTCACGGTGACTATAAAGGACACTGGGTCGGGCATTGACCAGGACTATCTCAACAATGGTCTTTATACTGCTTTCTCGCAGGAAGACAGCATGACAACCGGCAATGGCCTTGGGTTCAATATCACCCAAAGGACAGTTCAATCTCTTGGCGGGACTATCCATGTCAATTCAAAGAAGCACGTTGGCACCGAGGTCGTGATATCTGTGACCCTTGACCATGCGTCAGAGCAGGACGTTCGCGACCATCTGGATATTCACGCACCTATCACCACAATAAGGGAGCTCACGAATCTGAAAACTATCGGGATCTTGGGTCTTGGGACTTCTGACTTGGACAGAGCTCAGTACACAGCACTACGGAAGCTGTGTCAGGACTGGTTCTCCATGGACGTCTGCCTAGTCATGCCCTCGCAGACCCAATTCGATCACTGCGATTTCTACATCTCTCCTCATGAACACCTCGACATAGGCAATCTGGAAATTCAGGCCATCGCCCCTAGTCCAAAAGAGCGCTTCCCCTCGCCTGTCATCATCATATGCTCATCTCCAAGAATTGCGCACTCGCTATTCATCGGAGCCCGAAAGAGAAAGGATGCTGATGTACTCGAGTTCATCAGCCAACCGTGCGGACCCCGCAAGTTAGCAGAGACACTGGAAACGTGCATCAGACGTCAGCAGCAACGGCTTGGTGACATTTCGTACAAGAATAGTATCCGGGACGGCCCAGGGGGTCTTTCAACTGCCAATGTCATGAACGCGCTTCTTAGTCCTCGAGAAGGACTACCTTCATTCGCAGCAAGGGATGATCCTATCGCAAGTGCACGGCTTCCAACAATGCTCGACCCAATGAAGTTTACAGAAGAGCATGCTGACGGCCCTCCTGCTCCGTTGGGCGATATCGCCACCGAACTTCAAGATACACATCCCAAACCAGAAAATAACCCTGTATCAGATCTTCCAACAACTATTCTCCTCGTGGATGACAATGAAATCAACCTCAGACTTCTAATCGCTTTCATGAAGAAATTGAAGTGCGATTACGCCATTGCACAAAATGGAGAAGAAGCTCTCGAGGTCTTCAGAGCCAATTACTCCCTCATTGGCATGATAATAATGGGTAAGCCGCTGCACAATCACCTCCCACCTCTCATTCCCTAATCTAACCCCTCAACAGACATCTCCATGCCAGTCATGGACGGCCTGGAATCTACCCGCCGAATCCGCGAGTTCGAGAAGGAAATCGGGAGCAAATCGCGCACCATGATTGTTGCGCTCACTGGCGTGGCGCACGCTGATATGCAGCGTGATGCCACTGGGTGTGGTATGGACATGTTCCTGACAAAACCTGTACGACTGAGCAGTTTGGTGCCGATTATTCAGGGCATCTTCCCCTCCACTCATGCAATTTGTCAGGATCGGAAGTGAGACTTGCGCAACAATGATGGAATTTCCTGCTCTTAATGGAAGGCAGGGGCAGAAACTGTGTACGATGTGCTTTCTGTTTTAGCGTCTCCTGCATGTCATTGGGGGAATTTACGATCGTTATTTGTATAATTTTGTATCTGTATATAGACATAACTAGCAGAAGCAGGATACCCAGTCGTTTCCTTGATAACTACTAACTATAACTTACACACCTAATTGCTTTGTCCATGTTGTAGACATGGATGGAATCCTTCCGAACATGATTTGTTTTCGATGTTTTCGTTGTTCCAGAGCTAAACGACGAGTGTTTCAACAAAGCGCGCACTTTGATGGGAGTGCACTTGCAATGCTGCTGCGCGATGTTTCTTCCATGTACAGTTACAAATCCAATCAAGGCCAATCAATAAAGAAAATCACTAATGTTTGAAAGTATTCTACACAGTATATCCTACAAGTTGCGAAGGAACAGTAGAGCGTAATCATGTGGTATTATTCGCTGTTCACCATAAAGTCATGAAAAAGAAAGCCTTCCACCAGATCATGTATGTCGCAAGGATACAGAATTGAAGGTGCTCGACGTGCCAGAAGAGGTCATGATGACTTAGTTCTTAGCAGCCTCTGTAGAATCATCAGCAACTGTGGCCTCTATTCATTGAGCAGAATGAAGCTTACCCTTGTGGACATCAGCCTTGGTGTTGTGGGAAATCTCGTCCTTCTTGTCGCCGAGGGCATCCTTAGCAGCGCTAGCGCGGGTGGAGATCTTTGCGTCGTCGTTCTTGGCAACGTTCTTGTTGGCCTCCTTGGAAGCCTCGGCACCGGTGCCCTGGACGGTCTCAGCGACGTAGTTGGCGGCTTGCTGTATAGGGAATATGAGTTAGCAGATGATCAAACTGGTATCCCAGATGGATTGTAGGTAGGTGCTCGTCACGAACCTTGACGGTCTCCATTGTGAATGTGAAGTTGAAAGTTTGGAAGTTGGTTGATGAAAGTTGGTTTGAAGAAAGTTAGTTGATGAATGAGGATGTGAGTGTTGATGAAGATTGAAATTGGTGGGTGGTAGAATGGGTATTTATATTCCTGGATCGACCTCAGTGACGCTTAACCTCAGCACGAGACAATGATGTCATGACGTCATTGTTTGACAGCGCTAGCCCCAGAACAGACGGAACCATCAAAGTCAAGGTCACACGGTCACACCCCTAGTTCCCCTTCCACTGTGTACAAGTCTAAACCTTGGAAGCAGCAAAAGTGGCACTGTGGCTGTATGCCTAGCCTCGCCTTGATCTGATTTTAATTCATGGCGTCTAACATTCCTGACATCACTAATAAGTCACAATAGACGATCAGATCTAGATCCAACCAATTGTGCTGCTGCATGCGCGATTGCATATTTTTTTGTGGCTCTGAATTAGATAAGATTATTTTGTACTCCGTACCAGTGAATGGATTGTTCTAAGGGTTTGTTTTCCCTCCCCAGCCACAAAGGCATAGCCACACGTGTTGCCTGGATCGTATTTCGGTTGGCCTCGACCTCAGCTGCAAGTCGGGCTAGCCCCGGACTTCAAATGCTCCTGGACCCACCGATGTGGCCGCCGCATGACGTGGGTGATAATTCCACCCCGATCTCAGCCGGCAGACTGCCAGTAGCAGCAGGTTGGCGAGGCTAGAGCCTAGATTCTGATGGCTTCTTCTTTGACCTGGAGGCAGTTGCTTTCTTTAGGTTGGAGAAAGAAAACCATCATGATACTCGATTCCTCAACTAGACCTTTCCTTTTTCAGAAAGTTATTTCTACTGTAGAAGCACTTCGTAGCAAGCTGCCGATACGTACTTAGATCACACTTAATAACTTGTAGCGCTCTTTGCATAGCTCATCGATACATACACACTCAGAATGAAGCTACACAGTAAAAAAATATCCTGATTTGGATACGCACGGGCCAACACCTGCGTCTCTTTCAAAGTTAGCGCCGACCTCCGTCCCTGGCAGAAGACAATGACGTCATTTATCTAGGTCCGGACACGTGCGCCTCTAAACAAGCCCAACAATGTACTGTAGGAGTCCATTACGTCTCGCCCAGGCCATATCGGACAATGCCATTGCCACGAGTCGTTTCCTCGGCAAGTCCGAGGCGCTAGGTAAGTAGAGTAATTGTGGGATTATTGACTCAATGATCAGTTCAACGGTGCAAACACATTCAACCATAGAAGCGGCTGGAGTCGGTCTTCAGACTCCACTGAGGCTAAGACATCTTTGTTTGTTTTCTACACAGTAGTCATTATTTCTTAGGTCGGATCTAAGTCCGGACTTTTCACGGCTGTGGCCTACATGAATAGATTTGTTTGCATTCCATGTCTTGCCACGGGTTGTGAAATACCTCTGGAGGTCAATTTGTGCTCAATCCAGGGAACAAACATCATGTAGTTAGCCACTACGTTTGCTAACCTATGACATGTCGATTCTGAGGTGTCTTTCATCTTTGGATGTTTTCGGCTCTATTGATCTCTGGCTTGGCACCTATCCTTTCAATTCTGCCAGAGGACATACAATCGAAAGGTGTTCAATGAATACGGAGTAGCGTGGTCCCATGTGCATCTGCGGGGTTTCGACCAAGGAGCTTCTTCAGGCCCTGATTCCAGAATCTCTAAATTTCCCACCATTGGGTCCCAACTCGGAGCACGAGCGTGGCTGGACATACCTAGTAGGCAACATAAATAGCGGGGACTTTTACGTACTGGACACGCCAGGCTCCGAAGCACAGTCTCTGGTGTCGTTTTGGCGGACCTAATTCGGCCCTAAATGAGGTCTTTTTTTCACTCAGTCCACAGTTGCGTGAAATATCCGGATTGTATCAAGAGCCCTGTCTCGCTGGCTCCCACCATGCTGTAAGGTCCCGTTGACTGATTGGTTTTCAGCTGGGCTGGCGCTTTGCCAGTAGGTACCCGATTCAACGCTCTTTGTGTGATACTGTTTTTAGCGGCTTTGCCAGCTCTTGTTTGGATTTTCCATCACATTGGAGCATTTACCTGACTTATTTGGAACTCTTCCCGTTATTGTGAATTTCATGACTGTTGTTGCGCCGAGTGCTTCCATCCATTCATCTCCTCGTAGGTATTGTGGAAAACCTACGGCACCTGAACATATAGTTATCGTCTGGGCCGTAGGTACTAGTGTGTATCTTCCAGACCGAGCGTTGTGAAAGTGGGTCCCTCCGAGATTGGGGATTCTCCTCACAGTAAGCACAACGCGGAAGTATGCAGCTGGAGCTGCTCTTAGATAGAAAAGTGGCAGTTCAGGCACTACCTATATCTGGTCGGCTTCGTTCTGGAAACCTCAACTGTATACACAGTAACGCCAGAATGTTGTTGGCCTCGGGGGATTTGTAGACCCTGAAACCACACGTGATCGTGACTAATCACCGTTAGGCGGGTGGGCTAGTTCGCTGGCCAACGTATCGTCAGTTCCCCAGGGTGGTACGTAGCCAGACGGTGACATAGAGTAGCATTTATGTCTACGGAGGGAAAGTGTCCCTGAAAAATAGACAGTAACTAGAAAAAGAAAGAAAAAAGGGGCGTGATTCGAGGTGAAACCCAGCCTCAAACAGAATTTAGGCACTCGAGAGCTTTAGTTCCAGTGCGCCCCTACCTAGACGATCTCTCCGCATCCCAACCTCCTCTTACTCTTACCCCCTCCATCCTCATCGTCCTCGCGTTTTACCGTCATCGTCGTAGTTGCATCTGATAACTTTGTTTCATCTCAACCATCCTCGCATCGCGTCACTGTGCTTGGGGCCGAGCCCTGGCTGTGGCTTCCCTCAATCCCCCCCGCTCGTTGCTTTGACCGCTGCAAACCCTCATCTCCTAAGGGGAACAATACACGATGTCAGCACCGACCACTAAACCACCGACAGTGGTTCGAAGCCACTCAACCTCCTCTCGTCCCTCACGAGGTCCATCCGATCTTCCCCATCGTACTCGGAGTGTGGCAATCCGGCCATCCAACCCATCCCAGCCTCCAACGCCAACTCATTTGTCACATTCAAAGACCCCCTCACAAGATCGACGTCCACCGTCAAACCACAGCGCACTTGACAGTATAGCCCGGCGTGACGCGGAGGCTTCCAATATCGCGCGGATGCCTTCTCGTCGCGAGGCATCAGCCGACAGATCTCAGGAACGCCCCTCCACCGCTCGTACCGAAACAACTCGCAGGCATCAAAGAAACCCTTCAGCGCAGAGCCGTCAGCGGGACAGTGTTGACGTTGCGCCCACTTTGACTGCACACGAGTCGTCGCAGCATGCGACCGGAACAAATACCCCCACAGCCACGGCCGCGCCCAGGCGGCGGACCACAATCACGACGCCAACAGGCCATTGGGCTTTGGGCAAGACGATTGGCGCTGGAAGCATGGGCAAAGTGAAGCTGGCGAAAAACTTAAGCTCGGGGGAACAGGTATGAATGTTTGAGTGATTGTTACAAACAACCAATTGGATACTGACTACGGTCGCAGGTTGCCGTCAAGATCATCCCACGATACTCGAGCGAGGAGCATCGCACCACTCGGGAAACAGAAAGAGCTGATCGCTCAAAGGAGATCAGGACGGCTCGTGAAGCCGCTATCGTCAGCCTGGTGAGCCATCCGTACATCTGTGGGATGCGCGATGTTGTCCGAACAACATACCATTGGTACATGCTTTTTGAATATGTCAATGGCGGTCAGATGCTGGACTACATTATCTCGCACGGGAAGCTAAAGGAAAAGCAAGCACGGAAGTTTGCACGGCAAATTGCCAGCGCGTTGGATTACTGCCACCGCAACAGCATTGTGCATCGCGATCTGAAGATCGAAAACATCCTTATCAGCAAAACTGGTGACATCAAAATCATTGATTTTGGTCTCAGCAATTTGTTCTCTCCGAGAAGTCTGTTGAAGACGTTTTGCGGTAGTCTGTACTTTGCCGCCCCCGAGTTGCTTCAGGCCAGACAATACACGGGACCAGAAGTTGATGTTTGGAGTTTTGGCATTGTGCTTTATGTCTTGGTCTGTGGGAAGGTTCCTTTCGATGATCAGAGCATGCCTCAGCTGCATGCTAAAATCAAGAAAGGTGTGGTGGAGTATCCGCCAGGTCTCACTGCTGGTAAGTTTGGCTTGAAAGGTCGTACTTTTAAGTTTCATTGCTAATCATAAAATTACAGAGTGCCGCCACATCATTTCCCGCATGTTGGTTACCGACCCTAAGCAGCGTGCAAGTCTAGCTGAGATTATGAACCATCCCTGGATGAACAAAGGATTCGGTGCCCCTCCAGAGAACTATCTCCCTCACCGTGAACCTTTGCAGCTACCTCTGGATCAAGAGGTGATTGAAAAGATGACTGGCTTTGACTTTGGCCCGCCAGACTACATTACCGCCCAACTAACCAAAGTGTTGGAGTCTGATGATTACCAGCATGCTGTGCGGCTGAACCTCCGCGAACAACAACAACCTGTAGCCAACCATGCAGAGCGCAAGCGAGGAGTGTTTGATTTCTACAAGAGGCGAAACTCCGCGGCCAGCCGTGATACACTCTCTGCGCCTTCAGCCGAGGCGGTACAACTAGGCAACGATCCCTTGAATGCTTACAGCCCGCTAATATCCACTTATCATCTGGTGAAGGAAAAGCTTGACCGCGAGAGATCCGAAGCGTGCCCTGGAGCTCTTGGACTTCACCAGACTGCTAGCGAGGTCCAGGTACCTGATCTACGACCTCCGGAAGCTGCTCACACCAACCAGTATCAGCTAGCAGGCGACAAGGACACAGGACGACGATCTCGGCCACGAGCCCGCACTCATGGCGAGGACGAAGCTCCAGAAGGCTTCAAAACAGATCATACTTCCTCGCCAGCCACGCACGCAGTCCCGACCCCGCAACCAGACACACCTGCTAAGAAAGAAAGCACTGCCGCTGGGCTACTGAGGCGCTTCAGCACTCGTAGGACGAAAGATCGTAGCCGTGATGTGGATCGCGAACGCATCAGCACGCCAAACACACCCGTGCTTAACGTTCAAGCCCCTGCCGATTCAGCCTCTCCAATGCACCGTGGCTTCAGCGTAAGGAGAACCCGGCGGGCAGAGCCGTCTCCAGGTGGTGTCTCTTCGAATGACGGTCGACCACAACAGGATCTTCTTACGGCGCCAGGCGCGACCGAACACAGTGCGCGGACGAACAAATTCTTGGAAAGATCCGCCAGCGTCAATTCTGCGGAGTACCGATCGCGGAGATCCGCGCGGAGGCCTGATGCCGACTCATTGGAGGTTTCCGCCGATCGTCAACCACCCTCTACCAGTGACTCTGATCAGGTTGGCTCTCATATCCAAAAAGACTCTACCAGCGCAAGGCCTAGTGGACGCACACACACGGCGCGCACTATGTCGCTGGGACATGCCCGGCGCGAGAGTATCCAAGCCCGCCGGGCCCGAAGGGATGCTACCCGAGAGGCCAATGTGCCCGAAGAAACCGATGCAGATATCTCTGGTGCAGGGACAGCATTGGAAAGTGCCAATGAGGGAGAAGACCTGTCCAAGCCAGTGTATCTCAAGGGTCTTTTCAGTGTTTCTACAACCAGCAGCAAGGCGTTGCCCGTTATTCGAGCCGACATCATCCGGGTCTTGAGACAGCTGGCCGTTGAATATGTCGAGATCAAGGGCGGGTTCAGCTGTCGCCATGCTCCCAGCATTGATCTTGACAAGGTGGTCGATGTTGCTCCTCCCAGCCCAGAGAGGCAGGGGCAAGTCTCCACGCACCGACGTCGCATCAGCTTTGGTGGTCTACTGAGCCACGATGACGGCCGCGATGACAGTCGCACAGGGCCATCCAAACTCCGCCGGGCCCACGCGGCGCCAGACCGCAGCTTCACGACGAACTCGGATGGCTCGGAGGAATACGTTGCTCGGGATAATGGTGCGATCGGTGAACGAGTTGTTGGCGAGACCACTACCCGTGTGCAGAGTGACACCGGCGAGAACCTGGTTCTCCGGTTCGAGATTTTGATCGTCAAGGTGCCTTTGTTCTCGTTGCATGGTATTCAGTTCAAGAAGGTGTCAGGTGGAATGTGGCAGTATCGAGAGATGGCGAAGAAAATTCTCGATGCTTTGAGGCTGTGATTTTTCCCATCTACATATAATAGACCTCCCGATTGAAGCGTGCATTCTTTGGCAAGATCTCTTTGCTTGTCTTCGTGAAAGTTGGCGATTTGCTTTTACAGTCATATTCATTCACGACGCATCCGCACGAGCCTTCATCGATTTTGCCCCTTTCCATTGCATGTTCACTGCTGTCTTTGCTTTGCTACATATTCATACAGGGGGTCATTTATCTCCATTGGCTTCATAGCCCGTTATGCTTCTACCTCATTGTCAAGTACGTTTCGAGTTTATGAATCATGATATGACCTAGCTAGGCCTTCCTAGTTTTTATGTGTACGTTAAGGAACAGGGTCAGAAGACAGTCTTCTATCTCTGTCCAGTGGCGCCTGGTTGTAATCCAAGAGATGGGGTTATACTTTTCTTGGGACATTCTGATGCAATTTCATCTTCGTCTACATACATTCTACGTAAAGAACGACGGATGTAGGTCAGGGCTGTGCGCTTGGGTACCTCGTATTCGTAGACAGTAGGACTATCCATGTACCACACGGCACACTCTCCTCTCTTCCTCCACTTGATCAGGTCCTCGTGGCCTCCGGGCTGTATTCATGCTCCGCGCTCCCGGTGTTAACATAAGAGAGGCGATGCATAGCTACATAGTGCCAAGAGCCAAGGCGGCCTGGTTGAAGTAAGGGATATAAGGCCCCCAACTTGTAGCTACTACAAATATTGAATTTCTGGGCATGGCCTTGATTCATATAGACAAACATTCCAGGTGGTTACAGAAACTGTCTCTCGGACTATGCCAAGCCGAGTAGTGGTTGAATATAGGCATTGTCCGAGGCGGAGGAGACACGGCGCCCCAAAATAAGGCGCCCAATGTAACTATAACTTTCCTCATCAGGAGATCAGCCTTTATATAGTTCATTTTAGCCCCCATCGTGGCACAACGAGGCTCTGGGCTCTCACCTGGGCAGGCTTGGCTGCTTGGCTGCTTGGCTGCTTGGCTGCTTGGCTGCTTGGCTGCTTGGCTGTGACTTCCATAGAAAGAGTTGCTTGGCTTTCTCGAAGGAAAGATATAAAAGACTTCTCGACTGTCCTCCATTCTCTCAATCCATAATCAAATCCACTTCAGACACAATCGAAGTCTTCTGTTCATTCATCGAAACCACTTTCCAATTAAGTCTTTACCAATATGCACTTCCAAGTTCTCCCCGTTCTCGCCGCTGTGCTTGCACTGTCTAACCCCGTCTTTGGTGCGGTTAAGTGCTATAAAAGCGGTAGCAGTGTGTGGAGTAGCAACCGCGGAGACGACTATAACAGAAGTCAAGCCGCTCGCGCAATCGACAAGTGGTGCAATGATATTGCCCCTTCCACGTTCAAAGGTGGACAACAGGTCAAGCGGTGTCTTGAGGTTGATGTTTCGTACGCACCGAATGTCATGTTACGGATGAAGAATGGAAAGTCTGGGAAGGCGGTCCTTCAAGTTGACACGTGCAAGAAGTTGCTCAAGAATATCGTCGACAGCTGTGATAAGGGTGGTGAAGATAATGATACAAATGGCTGGCGGCCAAGGTGAGCTTGATCGGAATCACATGAGACGGTTGGAAGTTAGGGCTAATTTGGTTTCAGAGCGGATCCCGGTACTGGCTGTGACTAGGTTCCAACCTATAACGAGGCACGGGTTATGATCTTATAGGAGTGCTGGATTTTGGTATTGGGGAAGACTGCAGGGGCAAGTTGAAGGCCATGTTGTATCAGTGGTTTGGGGAGATGTAACTATTCGTTCAGAAGGCTACTTAAGTTGTGTATGGACATTTTATGGGAATAGCTCGACTGTACCGCGTGATCATTCAGTTACCTTCTCGTTCCGGCATAAACATACCAATCTGAACTTTTGAACTTCTTCGTGCATACCCCTTCCATGTTCAAGGTAATGTATATGTAGTGGAAAAGCTGGCATCGTGGAAGTGATGTTAAGTCCTGGTATAGGTTTTCATTACGGCGTACGCTGAATGCGGGTAGCATGGAAGACGTTGGATCTCCTTCTCTCACTGATAGTACTGCCCCTAACAATCAAGATAGTATTAATTGACCGGTGGGTAGTACCGTCGGGCTCTCCCCCACCGTCCCGTCTCCTCGGTACATTATCACCGCCTCCGCATGCCGTCGTTTGCCGTACCCCATCCAATCACCGTCCCGTCTGTCCCTCCGCATCCCGTCCGCGAATCACTCATTCTTCCCGTCTACTTGTGAAGGATAAGACGGGAGGACTTGGGATTAACGGGGTCGGCTCCCGGTGGTTCCGCTGAGACCCTGTCAAGATCCCCCAGCTTTCATGGTTCAGATCTACACGTCATGAGATCTTGTGACAGACCTCCGTGAGCTCCGCAAGCTCACCTCCACGTTATAGAACCATGGAACCTCTGATTGATGTGTCCTCCTATTTCGTCACTGATGTGGGCGTCGGGGATAAAGACCCCAGACTTGTGGGATAGCGGTCACTATATAACTAGGCAGTTACATGACAACGAGTTTAGGTACCTCCTCACTTGTATATCGCCTTGTACCTACATTTGATAATCATCCTTTTACCTGATCGTCTCATTATCACCACGAGAAGTTTATCTACTGCCTAGCAATTTCCGAATCTTGTCTACTGTCCGCTACTTTATCACTGCTGCCACTCTCCCCTCTGCACCACTCATTCTTCCCGAATACGCCGTAGTATACGGCGGCCGCGAGTTTGCAGAGCTAGATTCGCGCTTACACGAGTTTTATTCGCAACGGAAGGGGCGATGAGGTACAAAGCCGCGTAAGAAGCCGTGGGCGAACCGCAGATTTGGTACGAACGTGAAGCTTCCCTTCTGTCAGTGCAGCATTGATCTGACGGCTGTACTGCCGGAAGAGCTTGGATCGGCATCATTAGCCGTGAAAAGGCGGCGGATGTAGCCAGAGCCAGCCTCTGGGAGGTTGGGAATGTCGCTGATAACGCCGCCTTGCTTGCAGCACATCTGAAAGGCATCTTGCTTAGCGCTCGGAACCTCCGCTTTCCAGAACAAAGCATGACACTGACGGCACTCGACATCCATATTTCCGGCAGTACAGCCGTCAGATGCAAAAGGAGCAGAAGGAACTCAGGAAAGACATCGACCCACCTTCTAGTCCGAAGAAAGAAATCAAAGATTTGGACTATGGCCAGACGCTGGAATTCGGCGAAGAAGATGCCGAACTCTTTGTTCTTCTGTCGGAGGCGGAAGAGTTCGCTGCGGGCGTTGCTGGCACGATTGGGGTCACCAAAGGCTCGATCCAGGATGTCCAGGATGTTCTTATAGTCATCCAACTGGCAGACTCCTTCCATGATATAAGGTAGAATTTGAGCATATGCAGCCCCTTGCAGGCGGCTGTTCACATAGGCCATGCGAATCTGGGGGGTTCGGGAAACGGTCTCGGTTCACGGTCATCTTATTTTGTATCTGGGATACAAAGCGGCCGAGGTCAGAGCGATTGCCGTCAAACCTGCGGGGGTCAGGCACGCGCTTCGAGAGGTGAATGGTTCTGCTGGATGTATGGTCGGATGGTTCCAGGGCCGCTCCTGGTGTCATCATACCAGGGCTTGCGGCAGCCGGGGCAGTTGGAGGTGGATCGGTCGCGGGTGTTTCCCTTCTGGCGTCATCATAGAGCCTTCCTTCAAGCTTCAAGATGATGCCCTCCTGGTACTTGCGGATTCCTTCGCATTCGCTCAGTTCAATCTGCAGGCGCTTCACTTCTAGTTCGGATCGCTCGTAGCGTTCGACGGATTCAGCCAGGGAATTCTGGATCTGTTGGATGTGCTTGTGAGCGCGGCAGTAGTATTTCAACCAATCCGCGTGGTGGTCAGCGAGGTGTTCCGTGAATCCGTCCAGGGTGCCGACCAGGCACGGCGGTTTGGGAATGTCGGCCATGTTCAGGAGTCAGGATCGTCGCCTTCTGATATTGGTAGGAGCTATATAGTACGTAGTGCCAAGGCGCGGGCTCAGACAAACAGGCAGCTAGACGGTATCAGGTAAACGGGCTTATTCGCCAGGATTATACCTGTACTGTGTAGCTCGAAGAGCTACAACAAGATCGCGTTCAGAATGATAAGAAAACATAGGAAGGGCACGTGACCATCTCACGTGCCAGCATGAACACTCTAATCTCTATCAAGTATCAACTACTGTGCATAAGGCTCACACCGTGACAACTCATTTGAAATTCCATTTTCCTGTCAAGGCTAGATATGAATTTTCCGAATTTGCGTATTCTCACGGATCGAATCGGCCATAGAGTCCAAGCCCGCCCGGAAACTAAGATTCCAATTTGATGCGATTTGCCAAGTTTCGCGAAATTCGAACAGTTCCACAATTCATGCGGAGCAGTAAATACAGTGCAAGGGAAAGGTAGAGGTCCAGAGGAAATGGCAAAGGCAGTGGGAGGAAGAGGGCTGGAGGGCGAGGAAGAGGATGCTGGCGAGGATATAGTGATACTGTGTACACAGTACAAGAGCCAGTATCATGTATGAGCGGAGAAGCATTGAATTAGCGAAAAAAGCAATTCTTTCTAATCAGAACGGTGCATGACCTATAACTAAATCCATAAGAATGGAGCGATTTTATTGGTCGGGCCAGACTTATGCCTGATATGTAAGGCATAATAATGCAGGGGTGCGTCCCGTTAGCCATGGGGGGTGGCCATATCACAACCCTATCTACGTAATTTACAAATTGATACATGGTAATTCTGTAATAATTCTATAATTTTTCAAGTGCCGGAGTAGTTACTAGTTACGAAATCTTGATGAAATTGACATTTTCCTTTGCATAATCTTGGTAAACTGCTCTGCCTATTTCGTGTATGTAGCTGGCTCTATCTATGACCTTAATTACCAGTTCCTCGCGGCTGGATCATGATTCTTGGGGGAGTTGAATGCCCTAAATTCTAGATAGACCAGGTAAAACGTGGGGCCGATGTATGCACTGTATCCTTAGTTACTGTGTACCGACTAGAACATGTGTAACAAGCAGGCATCAATCATCGGGTTGGTGAGCGCCAAGACTGTAGTTATGCATATTTACGGGCTTTATTGGGGGCCCCCACTAATGCGCCGTCGGCTTGGTTAGGCCCTAAGGTTTTGGGCCCATAGCCCCCTGCTGGGTGGGCTGTGAGCCGGACGTCTGGGCCCAACCCGGCCAATGTGGGGGTCTACGTATGGCAAGCGTACTGGTAAATTCATGACGGTAAAATTCTCTACCTAAATAAAAAACGACAATGGTCACAATCTTGTCAGACACAATTAGTAAGCGAAATGCATAACACGAAAGGTCACGTGATTAAATGGTGGAAAGACAGTCATCATGTTTATTGACATAACCGTACATTATATTGGTGGATAATCCGATTTATCCTATCTAACCAGACCTAGTTACCTAAATATGCAAAAACTGGGTCTAAATAGGTCACTTGCAGTTGCGGGGTTGAGTCCAGGTCGGGTGACAGCCTGTCTGCATTAGATGCTCAAAACTCTTACCCAAAGCACTGCTCCCGAACTCCTATAACCCCTATTTACCAACCAATCAGCGGCCGCTAACCAGAATACACCCGTTAACCCTGGACAATGCAAAGTCGAAACATAGGAGAAATTCTCACCTATCAAGACCGCCAAGATTGCTAGCAACATGAGATTAAACATTTTACTCTTTTCTACATAAGCCGATACCAATTTATAGCTCATTCTATCAAAGAGATATAAATAACGTTGATGACTAAGCAGACCCCCCCTCCTCCCCGGGACCCGCCACGATGTCTTTCGTCCTCGACTTTTTAAGCTCACTTTCGCACCACCTGCCACATCCAGTCTATCGCGTCTCCCATCCGCCACACGCGTCCAAATCTGTGTCCCAATCTTATCTTGTCGGCTTTAGCTTTACCGGCGACATTGAAACGACTGTGGTTCACCTTTCTCCCTGGATGGATATCACCTCATTCATACCTTCCTTCCCTCGATTTCTAGGTTAGGTTAAAACTTTTTTAAGACACCAGAGGTCTCGGCTGCATCCGCGCTTCGCCATTTCAAGCATTGCAACGGGCCCCTTGTTCTTTTCCTTCCCTTTCCCCGAGGGCAGGCTTATGTTCCTCGGTTTAACGCGATTTTACACGCGTCGCTACGAATCCCTCGGACTCTTGGTGCACCCCAACCGCGACCGCTACTGGCCTACGGCCACGGCTGCGGCTACGCACTTGCCATCATGGCGGGACGCGTTCCCTTAAGCTCGGGTGCTAACCAACGTCGAGTGTTCATTGATTTGACTGATGACCACGAACCAACTGATTATTCGGTAAGTGTTTGTCTCTAGTCGCGTCGATTTTCCCCGGACTACTCCGGTCTAAGCTTGAGGCTTTTTCCAGCAATTCCTAGCCCCACTATACGCTGTAATATGCTGGTGCTAGAAGCATTGGGAGTCCATCGCCTCTTTTTCCCTTGCCTTTCATTTTATTTGCCTTCTTGTTTCTTCTCTTGAATATTTATCTCATCTTTGAAGTCGCGTGTAACCTCACACTATGTACCTCCAAGGATGACCCTTTCGTTACGACGTTGCTAAATTTCACTTCTAGTCAAAACAATTGACACAAGGGAAATTGCCCTTCGTGACTACTATAGCTTATCGGTCACCAACCGTGCCGCAAAAGAGGAACAGTCTGGATGTATCTGATGATCTATCCGACGCATCCAGCGACGCACCGCGCAAATTTCCGCGGCGTCGCGGGCAACTACCTCACCTATCTGATGATCTATCAGACACATCCAGTGATGCACCTCGCAAATTTGCGCGGCGTCGCAGGCAACTACCGCATGCCCATCCAGAGCCATCTACGCCAACTCCTCCGCCAAACGTGAAGGTGTCCCAGGAAGTCAGCGTTGTGATTCCGTCACCAACATCAAGGCAAAGGCGGGATATTGCACTTGCAAAACGCAAGACCGACATCAATGGTATGGATGATGAAATATTTCCTACAACCAAAGAAGATGAGATAATCGCCAAGGCCACTTATCCTACCGCACGGGATCGCATCGATCGTCGTTCAGTCTTGTTACCATTCAGCCCGCCTTCAGATCATTATCTTACACCCAAGCTAAAGAGTCTCCTAACAGAGCTGAAACGCACCATAGTCGCGGACGTGAAAAGGGACCATCTCACAAAGCTCAGCCGCACCTTAAATAAGAAGCTAAGGCGCATCGCAGGCCCTCCAGTCATTGCGGACGTCGACTGCCCAAAGCTTCTTGCCAGGCTGGCTGACAACTTTGAGTTTGTCAACAGTTACCAGTATCGTGCGGGAGTTGAACCGGTCCCCGATGAGTCTGAGTTCAACATTGGCTGTGCATGCAATGGCAAAAAGAATGGCTGCGATCCTTCTGTCTGTGACTGCCTCAACAAAGAAGAGGATTCAGAGGATCGGATTGTGCCATATCAAATCAGTGAAAGCAACCCTAAGTTGATCGTCGCGACTAAGGACTTCCTCAGACGCAAGGCCATCATCTACGAGTGCAACTCACGTTGTGGCTGCAGAGGTACTCGATGCTGGAATCACGTCGTTCAGAAGGGGAGGACGGTCAAGTTGGAGATATTTGACACTGGCGCTCGGGGCTTCGGTATGTTCAAGTTTACCTCGGTTCCCTGGCTCTACTAATTAAGGTTGTTCTCAGGTCTCCGATCTCCCGACTTCCTTCACCGAGGACAATTCATTGATCTTTATCTCGGGGAAGTGATCACTAAAGCTGAAGCCGAGGAACGCGAGAACCTCACCGACGGTGCACATACGGAATCCTATCTTTTCTCTTTGGACTGGAACATAAAAGACGACGAGGACGAAGATCGGAACATGAAAGTCGTCGACGGCCGCAAGTTCGGTTCCGCAACCCGTTTCATGAATCACTCTTGCAACCCTAATTGCAAAATCGTCCCTGTGTCCACCACCAATCACGCCGATGAATATCTGTACAATCTTGCATTTTTCGCAAACCAGGATATCGCACCCGGTACCGAGTTGACCTTCGACTACAACCAAGGAGAGGAAAACACGACCCCTGCAAGAGTCGACCCTGACGCGGTGCCTTGCCTATGTGGTGAAGATAACTGCCGTGGACAATTGTGGCCGAACAAGCGCAAAAGTCAGGGATCAAAGCCTTAGGGCATTCCTTTGACGCTTTCTTTCAGAGCTCCCTCCTGGCAACTGGCGAATATCTTCCTGCCTACTTTTAACGGCGCCTTGGCGACCTGCCAATATGCTGACATCTTTGTCCTTCATTTTTGTCACACCTTAGCATTTGCAATTAGCCTGGTGTTCTTGTTTTTTGTTTTATTTTTGCAACGATCACACGAAAGTGCATACGGTCATATAACCATGGTGTTTCTGGGTGTTTCCAGTCAACTGGCGTCTTGGTTCTTCCATCTTTATTATCTTTCCTTCTCATGAGTTATGATGTGCGGTTCAAGATATCCTATTGAAGACGATGTATGATAAGCAGCAGATATTAATCAAGCCTAATTGAGATCACTTGATTTAAGATTGATAGAATATCGGTTGAATAAGGTTACAGCACGTGAGGCGCGGTCAACTGGTTAAACTTATGAACCGCCTCGGTTCTTTAAGAACAACGAGCTGCCCGCTTTCTGGTCCTGTATCTAACACCTGGGCTTAGCTTAGCACGTCCCCATGCCCCATGGGAGGCCTAGTGAGGGCAACCGAGTAGGTTAGAGCCCAGCAGCCGCCGGACGTTAATGAGTGCCATACCATACCATGTTATAAGGGTGCTGTGACAATGCATGTTATAGTACATAGACTTTAATCTCAACTATCCATATAAGTGATAATATATATATACCGTGTGTTCCCTGCGCTTTAAATACACATACAAAGAGCCTTTAGCCTAGGGGTAGGAAGCAGCCGACCTTCGGGCCAACTGGCGAATTTCTCAGTCAACTGGCGAGCCTTTGCGCCAACTGGTGAACCTTCGAGCCAACTGGCGAGTTACCATGACGCAGTGCTGCTGAGTTCTAAGAACGACTGAAATTTCGGTCAACGTTTTGCGCAGGTATAGCAACTTCTCCCTGTTTATACTACAAGGGCCCATAGGGAGGTCTTTCTTTGTTGACATTTTGGTCGCTTTTTAATGGAATTTTGTGGTCGATTTCTGGGCGATGTGGTATAAGTAACGTATCAGCCAACTGGCGAACTGTTGACTGAACCGTTCAAGCCATTTCCAGTGGTGTTCCGGCAGTTCCGCTCTGGGGCCAGTGTGCTTCTTTAGTTGCAACGGTTTGTCAATGTCGTCCTATCAGCCATTTCGATAAAATAGGCAGGAATATCCTGACTCACGTGACAAGGTCCATATATGAATAGAATAGAGTAGGCGACGAAAACACGCGAAATCACGGGGTTCGATTGGGTCAGCCAATTATCTCACGCTCTTCATTTCTTGGCAGACTTTTAAATACCTTTTTGAGATTTGAGAACACTGACATCGCAAATATTGTCGAATTCAAATAGACTGTGACACTACAGGTGGCTTCTGCGGGCTTCTGCCAGGCCTGTCCACACGGTGAGTTGACTCGAGTCACGTGACCGGAGGAGGAGAGACGAGGGACTTGTTTTGTTGCGTGCCTCTTTCGTTTTCTTTAACTATCTAAGGAAAAGAAGTCCAGCACCTCAGCCGACTTGCGCAAACATGTCATATGCTTTACCAGAGAACCTTACCTCTTCTCTACCGTCTAGTACGCCTTGCCAACTCGGAAAGCGGGGCTCGTCTTGCTGTTGCGATAGAACAACACCCAGAGTTGGCAGAACTCATCCATGAAATTCGACACAAGGCAGACGGTGGCTCAGAATCGTCCTCTGGACGTCATCTGAAATTTTACAAAATGGCAGCTGGTTTGCCGAATTTGGAGACGCTGATTTTGAGGACAAACCCCAGACCTCATAAGTTCAATAGGTTCGCCGTCGATAATTCCCTAACGGCGCAATGGGCACGTCAGGTGGCCAGAGAAGTCCAGACTGTCAAACAATTCCGCAACTTGGGGTTTGGACCTCCAGGACAGTCACAATTCAGTCCTCCAGATACCGGAATGGTTCCTTTGGGGCTCGAGCGTGGCGACGAAACCCTGTTCGGGCATGCACTTCGCCAAAACCCGCCTGGACTGTCCGCACTGCGTGTCTGTGAGATTTCCTATCTTAAATCTTCCCAGGTATCGGGGCTAATGAAATGCAGGTCACATGGGGAGCGACCTGAGCCATGAACTACACGTTGACAACATGGACTGTTTGCATACCGCGATTCAACAAGGCCATTTTCTGTCATCCAGATCTACGGGTGCTCTGTATCACTGGAGCTAAATTCCAACAGGTTGACAATGCCTCTTGGCCTTTGCGACACACCGACACGCCGCTTGAAGACTTGACTCTCTTGAACTGCATCATAAAGGATACAGAACTGATGGACTTGCTCAACATCCCGCAAGCCTTGAAGCGGTTTACTTTTAGGGGGAACAGAGTCATGGACTCGGATGACGAGCCAGAACCTGTCTATCTTTGGGCGCTGTTCAAGCATCGGGATTCACTGGAGTACGTAGATTACGATCTCTACTGCGGCGGTCATGATTACGCAAACTTCTATGGCTTCACCAAACTCAAGCATCTCACCATCACGATCAGCTCACTGGCAGGCTCAGAGTGCATTGAGTTGGACCCCGCCGTGAATGAGCTTCTGCCACCGAGTCTTGAGAGTCTCACAATACGTTATGACCAGGTGAAGTCCTGGGTGCCTTCATATATCTACGGAGGTTTGCAGAACGGCTGGCTCCCGAACCTGCGTCTCTTCACCTGCGAGGTAGCGAATGTTTTTGGTCGGCTTCGGCACGGCCCGCCTGCCGGGCAAGTCTGGCAGGAGATCAACACCTGGCAAAGCCGGTTCAAGAAGTTCAATGTGGAGCTGCGCACGGAAATTGTGCAGATTTCGATGTGGGTGGCCAAGCTACCCAAATACGAGGTGTGTGCCTGCGAACGGCTGCCGTTCTTCCACGGCATGTTCCGCGATCCCGAAGCCAGATACAAGGCAATTGAGGGAGAGTGTGGCATATTTGACGAGCGGCCCTATGATGTCTGGCCCCACCCCCACGATTATGATGACGTGGGCGACTACATTACATATCTTCCCTAGAAATTTGGATATGGATGACATCTCGGACTGAGATGCTGTTGAATAACTAGTGGGAGCGGATTTGCTGCAACTGCCATACTTCGATACCGACAAATGACAAAATTTATGGCAATGGCTATGTCAAATTTCAGCGTGCAGAACTTCAGGGGTCCGTCCCGTTACGGGCTACACCTATCACCTAGTAATCACTTTCAGTCCAACCAGACCTAAGAGCTAGACAAGTAGGGCAAGGCCTCATTATTCGCTCGACACATTGGAAACTGTAGACGGCTTTCCGGTCGGATCCTACTGTAGAATCCCGTTGGCACATCACCCATCATCACAACTGGCGGTCTGGGTCTCTGGCAAGGCCGTGTGATTTAATTGTTCGGGGCTTATTTGACAATTGACTTAGGTCTAGGTGTCAAAGGAAGGGTTTGCCACTGTCACAGTGTTACAGCGTTACTTCCTGCTTCCTCAAGACAAACAAGTTACAAAGAGCGTAAATGGAGAGGACAAGTCCGAGAAAGCAATTGAAGGAGGCGGGAATTTTGATTTGTGGTGTCCGTGGCCAGGCAGGTGACTTCGGGCATGTGAACTTCTCGTCTCCAAAGGCTGATAACTACGGAGTGGTCCGGTCTGAACTCCTTGCCAAATTAGTGGAGAACACTGCTGGATCTGTTGGTTTTGCCTCTGGCAGTTCAGCTGACGAGTCCAACTTCTTGATATTGCAAATTGCCACTTCGGCCTCGCCATTTGCTGAAAGAGGAAGGTACAGAGCAGGCAACCTCGCGCTCGGCCATTGAGCCCAGAAGGTTTCTGTCGGTCAGTTATATGGATGGGCCTACATTCTGTTCAGCAGGCTTCAGCATAAACCTTCCTAGCCTCGAAATAGATTAATTCTGGTTGAATCAAGGAATGAATCGCACCTCGTCAAAGCTTCTCCCATAGTGGCAGGCGTAGGACAAAGAACACTCTTTAGCATCTATCGAGTAGATCACACGGCTATATGAGCCGTAGGTATGTGGTAAAAATATTCCCAGGCTATTCGGTGATGGTGGTGTTAACAATAACGGTGCTTAGATAAAGCTTTCGTGAGAACGCATATCACAGACCCGCATGATTTTGATCGTAGAGAGATCAAACTAGATCACTGTCACGCTGCGAGAGGCTGCCTTGTCCATGTAACTTGAGCGAATCCGTATTGGCGAGGAGGATGGCACAAAGCCAGAGCAGCAGTAGGATTGCGAGCCACCTAGATCATGCATGTGAGTCAAAGTCTCACCAGAATCGATGGCATATATCAATATTCTCAACTTACCATTGCACGTCAAGTCGTAAATGACTCCCATATCTGAGTCATCGACATAAGAGTTGGCTATGTTGGAAAGATCTGATAAGCAAGGCTCCACATTCCTCCATCGGGGCAGTACCCGGTAGCACATGCCATACCAACACCACGCCATCCACTCCACTCACATCTACCGGTATTGGTCCCAGGAGCGCAACAAAGAGTCTTGACTTCGTCGCCTTCGCAATTCATATCGATCTCGATACCCTTCACCTGCCCTTTGGCATATGCCTCGGATAGGAATCCAGCAGGACACTGATCTCCGCAGGATGACCAATGACAAGAATTTCGTATAGCAGCCGCAGTTTTTGCGGTAGTCTGCCACTCGCGTAGCATTGTTGCTTCAGCGGCCGAGACGCCATTCGCAGTTCCGATGCCCATCAAGTCGTTACTGCTTGCATTGTCTGTGCTGCCTTGATCGATTGACCAGATCACTGTTCCGCCAAGGCATAGCTCACTTGCAGCTTGAATCTTCATTTGCATAGTCTCACCGTCATCATAGGAGACCCACTGGTTTGAATCCCATGTGATCCATTTTACAGCCGCCTCGCGATCCATCGTGGGGGTGAGACATTGACTGGTAATTATGCGTCTGATTTCCGCATTCGACAGTGTCCCGGCGAAATTTGTGCACTCTCCAGCAGTGCCAACTTCGCTGAAGATACAGCCAGGGGTGTTATATAATGGGTCATTCAGAGTGAAAGAGCGTCCATACCAGCCAACACCCAAGTTAACCTTCGAAGGTGAAATATTGTTCTGCCAGAGCAAGTCCAGGCCCTGTCGTATTTCAGTCAAGTTGGTATGTGGGCGCACGTACGGGCCGGTAAGCTTGCTAGATGAATCCCACACTCCGTGGATGTCATAAGACATGAAATTGAAGAAGTCGACTGACTTCTCCATGGCATGAAGATCAAACCAGTGTAGGTATCGATATGATGATGGCAATGTAACGCTGATGCCGTATCTTCCTCGGAATGCCGCTTTAAGATCGCTCAGCAGCAGAGCATAATTCGCAGTGTCGGCTGTGGCACCGCCACGATCGTCAGCACCAGGATACTGGAAGAATAGTCAAAATCAAAGCCCTTTGTGGCGCTCAAACCCGAAAACAATTTGTTATGGTGAAAATACCTCCCAGTCAATATCGACCCCGTCAAAACCATACGTATCCATAAAGTGGATCAGAGACACTGCGAAAACTCGACGATTTGCTGCACTCGAGGACATATCGCTGAATGCAGTCTGAGTATTAAGAGAGTTCGTAGCATCCTGTAAAGTATGAGTTATGTTCGCCAAAGGCCTCGATGTATCCTGTATCCCACATTAAAAGCCCAGCCGCCTAGTGAAACCCATGTTTGCAGTGCCCTAGCATATCGTTACTTAAAAGCGCTATTCATCGGTATATCAGAGAGCTGGGTACATACGGATGCTTCTCCTTTAGCGCAGTAAACTGTGAATAGAGAGGAATATCACTAGGGTCTTTCGGGGTGATCTCAAACGTTGTTGGATGAAAATGGACAAATACTGTGATCGACAGTCAGAATGGTTGCCTTTGAACATTTGCATAATGAGAGTACCAAAGTTGATATGTGTCATGGCAGTAGCATCAAAATCTGCTGGAAAGTATGTATCACATGGTCGCCGGGAAGCCCTAGGTACTGGACGCTTAGTTTTCGGAATGACATGTCTCATAGATGAAACACCAACCGTCCTTCATAATATCCTATTGTTCTCTTGGTAGCGTTTGGTCCTGAACAGGAGGGCTCGGATACCAAACCTCCACCAAACATAGGCGCGGAGATGCTGCTTCCATTTTGAGCTTTTATTTCACTTGCAGCAGTCAACGGTAAGAGCGCGAGGAACCCAATAGTGAGTACGTTCAGATCAAGCGCACGCATGGCTGCACAAATTTTTCGGTCTCAATTATTTTGTGGAAAGGATTGAGGATTGTTGTTCTACAACTGAATATATCAGTTGCTTCAGGGCCGAGGCCGGGCCACGAGTGCCTCCGGCTACGTAGAGAATTAAATGCTTCATCCGAACTGGCATTATCAGTTGTCGAATGAGAATTCTTTGTTTGAGACATTGGAAACGGAGCTAACCTAATTGGCATCTCGTGGAAATTGCCTGGAAAAAGGGAATGGGATGGGAAAGCGCTAGAGCCGACTAAGGATCCCTCCGGGGTCTAGTTAGGGCAACTCGGCAAGTCCCGAGCGCTAGAGCTAACTACGCTAAGGTACGCGAGATTATCCCGAGAGCCTAAAAACTCTTAGCTCGCTGGTCGAACCATATTTCGCACGCTAGTTATGGCATCTAAATATCGCTCAAGGTCCGAAAATTTTCCCATTTGATGGGGAACTTTTGGTGAAAATGGAATATAGGAATTTGCACGATGTTTTCCATTTTCTTGGTCATCTACGAACTTATCGGGCGTTGGTTAGGTTTGGGGACAACTCCAGCGTCGTTCCGAATTTACGACCACTATGACCCTTTGACCATTCAAGCCGCATACGGGCTATCCACCAACTGTCTAGAAGCTTTGTCAGTTTACACATTCCGAGTTCAATAAGACACCCAGCTAATGAAGAGAAAAGGAATTCTACCATCTCATGTGACAAATCCACCGGAAGTAACGCCGCCGGAGGGCCTGACAGTCTGCGTAAGCTGCTACCAAATTCATCTTGTGCCTAGGTATACTCTTCTCATGCTACATAGACTGGACACAGCAAGATGTTACGACTCTTTGTACCAAAGAATGCGGGAACTCCCTTCAATCTTGGAACTCGGCGGTGGTGAACAACTGTCAAGGTCAATCAATTTTCAGTGACCAAACATATATGCTTGCGCAAACATTCCCTGCCATGTGGTTGAGCGGACACGACTTGGTTTGTTTACAAGACAGGTCAATATCCCCGAGTCACCTTCGGTACAGACTTCGCAAGCTAACAACCTCCAGTGCATCTAATTGGTGCTTTCTGGAATCACAGAAATGGCAAGGGAGCGACTACGTGCGGTAGGTGTTAAGAGCCGATTCTCCGCCAAAATTGATCTTTGTACTCACTGTGAACATCTAGGTGGTCCCCCGACACATGCTACAACCCCGACGAGTCTGCTATTCCTCCGGAATGCTCCGACCCAGATTGGCAAGTCACGGATATCTCCGATTCCATGAAAGATGTTACTAGATTGTACGATAAAAGTTTGGTAATAACATTCATCCCTCTGGTCCTTCGAGCTTAGCTTTTGCTGACCTGGAAACAGCTATGCAGCGAGTGTTTCATTCAAATGTGGCGACAACGTTTGATGTCTCCATTATTGCCAAAGGGAGAGCATACCGAGTATCTACTCAAGCAGTATGACGCCATTCAGAGTTACTGCTCTAAATCACTCGCAGTTACAACTTATGGTACAACTCTTTCTGTGGCTACTCCGACGGCGACAGCAGATTCCACCATTGCTATGAGTTCCACGGCGAGCGCATCATCTGCCTCAGCATCGTGCCTCGGCCAGCTGATTCAACCTTTTGATAAGTACTATCGATCGTGTTTTGAAATCTCCGATACGTATAATGTCAGCACAGGTGCCATTGTTGCAGCCACGGGTGATCAAAGTTGCCAGTTTGACTCGCCCATCTGTCTTCCCCTTCCTTGTGAGATTGATATCGTGTGGGGCAATCCCAGTTGGTACGTGATATTCATTGAAAACGAGAAATGAACTATAACTCAAGTCAACATTTAGCCAAGCTCTAGCTACACGGTACTCCACCGAGAGCAACAACATTACTTTGACTCAGTTCATGTCCTGGAATCCAACTATACTAGGCTCGTGCGGATTTGTTAATCATGTTCAACGGGTGTGCAAAAGGTTCGGTCACAGGTGGTTATTTCATTATGTTGTTTGATGCTAATCCACCCTTCTAGCCCACCAGGAGGACAATTTACTGCTACTGCAGTTATCTATGCCCCAACTGCAGTGGGCTCATATTATTCGATTGGTATGTATCCCCTGGAAAACAATCGATAATTCGCGAAATCTCATTACCTGACTTTCAGCAACGCCGGCGGAGCCAAGCCAGACTGGAACCACGTCGGATTGCGGCTTATTCTATGATGTGGAATGATGGCCTCAGTCTCAACGGTGAATGTGGAGGTCCTAGGGAACAAGACTGGTGTTGGCACTCAGTTTGGAGACTGCTGCTCAACTTCGGGGTACTGTGGAAGCACTGCCGAGTACTGTGGTGCCGGTAATTGCTATTCCGGAGCATAGGTGCCTTTAGGTGTCTTGAAGGAAATCGGTGGATCTGTCCTCGGACGATCGCGCCATATCCACACGCCTAGGTGAATTTTCTGGCAAACACAGATTGTGTCTCTACTGTGTAATTGCCAGCGAAGTGAAATTCAACTAATAGTAAAAGATCTCACCAAAGAAGATAAGATTCTCTTCAATGTTTTCCAGTGTCAACCTCTTGAACTTGTCAATGCCACCGATAACGCCGTCTTGGTCCACTTGCCACCCATTTCCACCCGTTCGGCCCAGCTTTCCAAAACTTCATGTAGATATGAGCCACGCGGATCCCAAGGAGTCACGAGGAATTGGATGCGCTGGCGACTTTGCCTGCCGGTAATGTAGTAATGCCCTGTGCCTTATAGGCAGTGATACCGAACGCGGCGGATATGGGAAATTGCGAGCGCTCGCAATTGTGTCCATCATAGTGGAACTGGCGCAGTGACGTGAAAAGTGGTATTAATGGGTGACCCTTATCGTCAACCCAGTCGGGTCGCCCACTATAACGATCGAACGTCACGTAAAGACAATCGGGGGTAGTTTCTCGTGGATTGAGCGGGCCATACTCCCAGTTGCTCCCATGCCAGTTGATCTCGTGTATCGTTCCAAAGGAGTTATTGATGAGCCCGCGGGCGATATCGAGATTCTCCCGGAGCACGATGCGAGCGCCAAGCGATACTACAAGCTGTCTGGAAAGATTGCCTGCGGCATCGTCACTGGCATTTGCACCGATATGGCTGCTATGCGAGGCGTCTATGAATAGGTTGGTCGGGGGGTATCCAGATTCAAGTAGCAACTTCCGGATATTCCATTTTGTAGAATCAGCCTTGGTTGCGAATACGCCGAGATCCTTACAGCATTCTTTGTTAGCAGAAAGCTTCATGTGGGAAATATTGTTATTAGACTGCATACCTTGATTGAGCGAGCGATTTCCTGGCAAGACAGGCATATATGAATAAGAACACCGCCTCGAGACCGAGTATGCATCTCAGATGCCGGTCTTGATGAACCGCAATTATTGCAGCGGAGCGTAGGATTGTCGACCATTGGGAAGGTGTAGATTGTAGGAGGACAGGCGTCGGGCGTGGTGGAGATAGCTTGACTTTACAGGGAATAACTAGAGTAACCGGCCCTTACATTTTTTACGAAAATTTCAGACCTCGCACAGCGAGGGTCCGCCACCCAAATGTAACAATTAACACCGGGAAGCGGTGAGAGTGTCGTAGCACAATTAACACCTTACCGCAAAACAGGTAACCGGCCCTTACATTTTTTACCAAAATTTCAGACCCTCGCACACCCAAACGTAACCTCTCACCCAAACGTAACATTCTTTTTTACTAGGCACACCATACAAAAGGTACGTATATAAATGTTGGTTTTTCTCAACCATTTTATATTAGGACCCTTAGTATAACTTATAGCATCTAATCATACTCTCTATTCAAATACTATAGCCGAGTTTCGGCCTATGTTTCAGGGAGCCCTTTTACAGCACTACGGCTTCAAATTTTTACCACTATCGCGCCTAACATAAGATATTCAACTTTTAAGGCGTCCCTGAAACATACTCTTAAAACTTTATCAGAGCATTAGCATAGCATTTGCATGTTAGTTCTATACTTAAAATAAGGGTTATCAATATAGAATGGTTGAGAAAACTGAACATTTATATACGTACCTTTTGTATGGTGTGCCTAGTAAAAAAGACATCTAACTATCTAATTTTACAACCGGCCAATCAGAGGCCATCACTCTGCCAACTGAGATTTTTCTACATAACGGCGGCGATACTGTAGTTAAGCCAAAAGACCTCCACCATGTGTGTATTAGTACCTCAGTTCTCTTAGCCGCCCCCCAAAAAAGGCGGTGGCACTTCCAGCGCTGAATCAGATTTGGGGGGACGTCTGAGGCGGGAATTTACTGTGTAGTGGCTACATAAAGTGGATCATAGGTTTAGCCGTGTTTACTACATCATATGCGATTTCAGAGATTCCGCGATTTCTTGCACACCAACGCGAAAATTAAAAATCTGGGTTCAACGTCTTCTGCATCTTTCTGAGCTGAATCCATTGATACCAAAACGACATTATAAATCTGTTGAGGTGGGTGAGAAATCTGTCCTTTTAATGTCTGAGGGATTCACGGGAACCCGTGAGAAATGGAAACACAATGGAATCCCTCTCCTCGTCTGGCAAGGGCGACATCCGGACACATTTTCGCGCCATGGACGAGGATTTCCTACTTGTATAAGCAAAGAGCTGGACGCGAGTGCCTGGCGATACCAAAAGCCGGTTGGCAAGATTGCCTGCAACATAATCAGAGGCTTCTGCAGCGATCGGGCTGCTATTCGTGGCGGTAACCGGCAGAACGGGCTTTCCAGAATCACGTAGACACACCCGGTTATGAGTTGTAGAAAGAGCCTGGGTTGGGCATATGCGGAGATCCTTTCAGCATTCCAATGTTAGCAAAAAGCTTCATGTGGGGAATATTGTTAGTAGACTGCAAACCTTGAACAAGCGAGCGTTTTCCTGGCAAGACCGGCATGTATAAATAAGAACCGGTCCTCGAGAGCGAATCTGAAACTCGGATTCCGGTCTTGGCGTAGTGCAATTACTGCAGCGAATCGTACGACCGTCAGCCATTGCGAAGGGGTAGATTGTAGAAGGAGGATACGCGTCGGGAGTTGTGAAGGCGATAGCTTGACTTTACTATGTACAGGGGCTAACTAGTTAGCCGCTAGACTAACTATTTACGGGAAGGCGTTAGGGGGAAGCATGGATATTATAGGCAGGCGGTGTTAGCTCACGTGCTTTTGATTTACAGCTAACCAATCAGAGATCAAGTATTCTGCCAAGTGAGATTTTTGTGTCTACTGTACTCCGTACGGTCGAGCCAGCGGTTATTGACATATACACAGTACATCTGATAAGAATAGTCAGATTGAGATAAACCAGATAACAATGTCTAGACTCTATCACGATTCACATATTTCCAATATCCAGCGAACTGTACAAGAACATCTCCAAGACTATTACACAGTACAAGGATGATGTATCCCACATTCCTGTCCGAAAACAGTACCCCAGACTCGTCACTGCCACATCTGCACTCAGAACACACGATTAAACAAAATAGAGTATCACTGTATTCTCGGAAGCAAAGCTGAATAGAAAAACAAAGAAAGAATAAAAAAAAGAAAACTAAGCCCGCCCCTCCATAACCTCAAAGATTCCACCCATGACAATATTCGGCCGCATTTCACCGCCCAAATCCACCGGACGCGGCTCCATAAGACCCAACCCCTGTCTCTCAATCGAGTCCTCATCACAACGCAACCGCTCCTCACTCAACGCCATGTCGTTTTTCGATAGTCGGTGGCGGAGGACTATTGAGCGGCCGCGGAGGACTGTGCATGCCGCGCTTGCGGCATTGTGGTCGTGGACAGTGACGTTGGAGTTTGGGCGGATGTGGTCTGGGCTTCCGGGGCTGCGTCTGCGAGCTGGTTGCCGAGCATGGGAGATGTGGGTTTTGGAGGGGTTGAATGGGAAGAGGCTGAAGAGATGGTGTTGAGTTGGTTGCGGCGAGGTGTGGACTGAGGTTGGGGAGGAGGGTGGTGAGTTTGTTGTCGATGTCGATGTTGAGGTTGAGGTTGAGGTTGAGGTTGAAGAGGATGTAGTCTCGCTGCTTGATTTTCGGTTTCGTGAGCGGCGGAAGGATGTGCTCAGTGAGAGGAATGGTGAGGGGAGGTGGTGCATCGTTGCGCTTGTAGGTTTTGTAGATGTGGAATGTGAGGTATCGCGCGGATGGTCTAGGACTCTAGGTCATAGGTAGATCGAGGATTTGGATCGAGAGTAAAGATAGAGAGGAGGATTGAAGTGGTTATTTGTAGGATTCCTAGAACTGGGGATTCTTAGGGTCTAATAATGAGCGGGATTGACTGCAAGGACGGTTCTGCAGGGAGAGTTGAGACATGGATTTACGCATGCGGATGAATGTAATTGTCCCTGCAAACGGGTAGAACAATGCCTTTCTTGTCGGTTTTGGTATTTTGGGCGGCTGTTATGTTTACTGCCTTTGGGTAATTATTGGCTTATGCAAATAATAGCCATATCAGAAGCTTAGAGATCTTTGGTATCGCCAAATGACGTCCTGTTCTTGAGGCTGTTCCTGCCAATTTCCTCTTTCGGCGTCAATAGTAACTAGTCGGACCCACTTGACTCAGCCATGCAATCTTCTATAGTTAAAAGTATTTAGAAAGGAGCTTCTTCTTCAATTGCCAATAAATTGTTAATGGTGTATCCAAGGCTATGGAAAAAAAAAAAAAGAACAGTCTCTGTAATGGTATCCCACGCCGCTGCTATGCAAATTGCTCCCACGCCAAAGGTAGTATACAGCACAACGAAGCAAGCAAGTAACCCTAACCAAATAGGCCAGGAAGCAGGATTATAATCCCCAATCTCCTCCAAGGAGATGCAAAAGAAGAAAATGTAGAAAGAAAGAAAAAAAGAATGTTTGAGTGAAAACCAAACCACCCCACATCCACTCGCTTCGTGATAACATCAACATTCACATAGATCATCATGCCCTCAATGACATTTATTCGGAAGTGCGATCGCCCGACCGTCGTTGAGTAAAGCTGCGCCGGATACTCTCGCCCCAGGCGGAGTCATTCAGCGAATGCATGACCTCCTGTACATTCATAGCATTATTCTGGCGCGAAGTATCGCTGGCCAAAGGTGATGCTTGCCCTTCACCAATGTCAAACGAACTGCGCTCTCCATACATGTGTCGTGGCGTAATCGAGGGACTAATACTTGACCACTCCCTCGTGGGTGTGCTGGATCCAGACGCTGCTCCGCTGAGATTGGTATTGATGCGAGGCAAGGTGCCGCGACGACCAGTTGGACTAGACTCGGCGCGTCGGTGGTGCGAAACCGGTGATAGCATAGGGGGCAAGTCGCTGTGGAGTTCTGGCTGTGTCGCGGGTGTCATCGCACCGGAACCTGGTTCGTCATGGTCATCAAAGTCGTCGCCGTCGTCGACGAAGATCTCTGGCACCGTGAATGTCGGGATCACACTCATCCGGCCGTTCTTCTTGCGCTCAATCTGCTGACGGAATTGACGGGACCAGTACAGGGTATCGAAGAAACCGACGACAGTGTTTCGACGTACAGCCTCTTCCACCCGCTGCAGCCGCGCTCGACGACGGAGGAATTCTTCGAGACGCAGACTCTTGCTGTCGCTAATTACATTGTGATGTGCGAGGATCATCAGACACTGGTGGAAAGAGATGCCCCGGCTGGGGTCTGCGGACACAAGGACTTCTTCGTAGAAGGTGTTCAACCGTGAGCGTCGTTCTTGAATAGTTCGAACTGGGATGGTCGAGAGAATCCGAGAAAGCTCGGTGATGTCCACTCCAGCGACAACATGCGAATTCGGCCGCCGCGGTGGTAACCATGGCTCATTTAGCGAGAGCATTGAGTTCCTTGCCAAGGAGTTGACAGAGTTCCTTTGAGGCTCAACGCGGCACTTTTCCAAAATGCGTCCAACCGTGAACTCGCCCTCGTAGATTCGCATTGCAAAGACACCGGAAAGCTCACCGAGTAGTCGGGGGAACTGCTCTTTGGAGATAAACCCTGTCCCATCTGGATCGTACGTGGCCCACGCTTGCTTGAACCGACGAATTTCTTCGCGACTGATCGCGTACAGCCCGCTGCTTCGCTGGTAGACATAGGAGAAACTTTCAAAAATCAATGAAACAAACAGCGAGACAAAGATGTACATGCTGATCAGGTTCCATGCAATGAAGAGGGTCCGAGCCCACGGCGCACTTCCACAGTCGTCGTCGAGGAAATTGGAGTTGTATGTGCATAGAGGAGGAGCCATAGTGGCGAAGTCCTCCATAAATTCATTCCATCCCTCTCCGCAACTGGCTCGGAACAGCAGAATCAATGATTTGGGCACATCGCGGAAATTCTGGTTGTGGTCCTCATTCCCACCAAACTTGGTGAGGCCAAACGCCTGGTTCATCGCGATGCCAAAAACCAAGAATAACACAAACCAGGTGGCTAGAAGATTTCCAATGACTGACAGACTGGCGGCGGCGGTCTTGAAGAGTTGGTCAAGCTGATTGTTCCGTGGAATAAGCAGCAAAGCAACAGATACGAGGAAGAGCTTGTTGAGCTCCAACACAACATGGTTTTGGTGGGAAGAAATGTCAAGAACCGAGGTGATGAAAGCGCCGGGGACAGCGATGAGAGAGAACAGATCCCATGAGCTTCGGCTGAATCGATGCCACCCAAGGCCGATCAGCCGAATTAGGACGTTCGCTACATAAACGAACATGAACGCGAAGAAGATTAAACCTGTGTCCGGTCAGTCATGCGCACCAAGCCACCAACCATTGATATCAAGGGAAAAGGACTTACCTCGAGCCATCTCCCACCATGCGGGCTCGGGATAGTATTCCAGCACCAGTAGTAGCAGATGGACGACAAGAATGAACGTCACAAACCACGCCCACCGGCCATGCTTTTTAACTGAAACCCGATAGCACCACAGCCTCAGCTTCTTGCTCTTGTCATCAAATGACCGTTTCGAGGGCGAGATCTGTCGGAGAAGTTTTCGCAGTTCCAACCAGGAACGTTGCTCGGCTGTCAAGAAAGCAACACCAGTCTGTTCTGTGTAGTTGCGCATAAACACAGACACAAACAGTGTCAAGACAAACACAGCTCCAAGCAAGTTGAACACGACGAAGAATAACCCGTTCTCCGGCGCCACCATATCCTGAGGCTGAATGTTCTTCCCTTTGATGCCCATTGCACTTTCTTGTACGTCGGTCCATCCTTCTTGAGAGACAATTTGGAACAGAATGAAAAGCGAGTTGCCGAAATTATCGAAGTCATAGTAGGAGTTCGCAGCCACCCTTGGGGCAAGAACATCCCAATTATACGGCTTGCTCGAATATTCACCGACGCAGTTCATCAAGTCTCCTGCAAAATCACCGTCATTGCAACTGACCATCTGGCCATTGAACAGATTGACTCCGTAAATCGCGAATGGGATGAGGAAACTCATGGAAACTGCTGCAGCAGCGATAACCTTCCATCCTCCAAGAATGATGACAGAATGGAAAGTGTCCTTGGCGCTGTCACTGACGTTCAAAAGTCGCAGTGCCCTCAGTGCTTTGAAGGCGCCAATAGCCCTTGAAACACTCCAGTCCTCTTGGAGGGAGCCGCCGACACTGACCCACAGCGTGACCAACACAATACCATCGATGAATCCCCATGAACTCCGGAAGAATGCGTTTGGGGTCCAGAAGAAGCCATCGGCAATCACTTTGATTGTGGCTTCGATGGTAAACACAACAGCGAAGCCCAAATCGGTGTACACAAACCAATTACGATCAGTACGGAAGTACTCACGCTGGTATAGTGGCGTTGTAATGCAAGCGAGAAGCACCATGGCGACAATGGCTGCATAAATGAAAGCAGAGAATGCATACCACACCGGCTTGTATGGATCCACACCCTCAACACGCTGATGACCGCGGCCTGGGCCGACGGTTCGTTGGCAGATTCTCCGAATGAAGTGGTCTGGAGGGAAGAGAAACAGCGACTTGTTATAGTTGGGATGTTTTACAAGGTAGTCGCGCTGGTCTCGCTTCCTTTGTTCGGCAGCAGTAACAACTTCTCTTGCCATGGTCCTTGGATCCAACTCCTCGTAAGCACGCGAGAATTTCAGCTTCGAGTAGAAAGGATTTGGTTCCCTCCGCATGACAAGACTGGTGGCCTTCGTCCATAGAAGGGAGATCCAGCCCGGTTGGGCTACTTGAGATGTGGTATCCAGCAATGTGCTCACTCTGCGTGGTCCCTTCGGTCTATCACGTTCTGCGTCTCGCTCTGCTTGCTTACCTTCCTCTTCATCGAGGAACTCCTGAACCACCGCATCTTTCAGCAACATCTCTAACGCTGCAGGGCCATGATCGAGTGGATCTTTATACCGGGCTGAGTCTCGACCCAAACGGAAGATCTTCGAAAGTGCTAGGTTGCCTTGTGGCACACCATGGACTTGTTTTTGCTCCAGAAATGCCCTAACCTGATGCATTCGTTTCTCATCTTCTGAAACATCGAAGCTTTCCTGGATCACAGCAATGAACATGTTCAGGATAATAAAATTGGCCACAATGAACCAAAGGATGATGAATGCTGCCGAAATCCAAGATGTCTTGAAGTGCGCTGTATACGCCGTTGTGTTGTAAAGTATCGTGGTCCAATTCTCACTCGAAAGAATTTGGTACATTCCCAGGAATGAGTTGTAGATGTTCGAAAATGTAATCATGATCCTCGCGCCGCTTGGATCTTCATCTGGGATTTGGCTTCGGAAGAGCTGTGTTGCGAAGATGGCAGATAAGAAGGTCATCAAGAAGAGGAAGAAGATCAAGTTGAGCAAACCAACAGTATTGCGGAACACCACCACAATCAGCTTTCTTGTCACAGAAAAAGCCAGGACCACTCGGTACACCCGAAGGATCTGGAACAGAGTGAGGACTGTATATGGGCGACCCGAATTCCTGATTGGTGGCAGTTGGATAATGCAGGTGATGATTGCAAGGGCAAGGTCTGTCAAATTGCGGCGCCTTCGGAAAAACATACGCCAATCCGACGCAAATCGCAAGATAATCTCGACCAAGAGGATTAGGGTGACCACAGTTTCCGTAGTATCAATGAAGCGGGCTCGGTTCGCAGACATAGACGAGCTCCTGAGCGCTTGCACAACGAGGTCAAAGGTAATGAGACATACCCAGCCCCATTCGGTTTGGTCATAGATTCGCTTGAGAGGACTGACTTTGTGCACTTCCGTGTCGTCTTCTTCAACAGCATCAAGCTTCTGAACGGCAAAAGCACTGCGTTTGCTCTCTTCTCGAATGACTTGAAATGAGTGTGTGATCACTGCAACCAACAAGTTCACCAACCACAGACTCAAAATGACGAATCCACAGGCGAAGAACAAAGCCGCTGCGAGGTAGTCACTGTCGGTAGTATAGTAAAGCAGGTCTGAAAATGTATTGGAGCTCATGATCACGAAGACCAACTCCAAAGAGTGCAGGATGTTGTCAAAACTCATAGTTCCATTGTAAGGGTTGTTGCCTTCCATGCATACAGAGCCTTGAGGACAAATATACCCCTTGGGATTGTATGATGTATTCTCACCATGTGAGTCCAACCAAGACCTTTTTTCTCCAGTCACACTGTCGAGATATCCGCCGCAGAATTGCACGTTCTCCCATGCATTATTCAAGGTGTAATTGCTCACACCTGCGGGATCAATCCAGACACAACTTCTCTTGAGACTGGATTTGAAACTCTGTATGCCAATGATGGCGAAGAGAAGCCAGAAGAAACCGATGAGAAATGCAACATGAACGAGCAGAGGTGCCGCTCGTTTAAGACTTCGAAGAATCACCGAGGTGCCGTTGGTTAATGCAAGGAGACGCAAAATACGCAGACAGCTTAACATGCGAAAAATGTACAGTTGGCGATCACTTTCAACGCCCGATATTGAGAGGAAAGTAGAAATCCAAAAGGCGACCACGGCCACAAAATCAAGCCGGTTGAAAGAGTGTCGAAGAAATGCGCGGTGGGCAAGCCTCACGCGGCGCTTGTGCAAAGGATCATCAAAGACTTCGGGGCTCAACCCATTCATCCCGGTAAACGTCCGGATGATTGAATCCTGAGGCTCGGCCTGGAGCATTGATTCTTTCTTGACTGTCGTCTGCCGATGCGGTGTGATCAGGTTCCTGCCCTTCTCTGCGATTGCTTTCCTGATGCCGAGGTTGCGGTTGAGTGTGCTGTACTCGACAGGGTTGAAAATAAGTCCAGACACCAAAATCTTGGAGCCTATCTCGAATGTATAGATGACAAAAATGGCAAGGAAGACCCAATCAAGCTTGCTGGTACCCCATGCCACTAATCTTGGGTGGTTGGGAAGTGCGTCTTCAACAGTCAACAAGATGGTTTGGATGATAATAACGATTAAAATGAACGGCTCTGTGAAAGAGTGGACCAAGATATCACACAGCCAGAGTCGGAGAGGGTGATCAGGTCCCAAGATCCCAAGTGACCTGCCTCTGAAAGGGTTGTTGAGCTCCCTCCATAACCGGCTTGAGGAGCGTTTCTCCCGAGCTGCTTGGGCCTGTGGGTCGTTAAGACCTGCATAGTCTTCCATGGCAGGTAAGACCGGGGGCCCATCCAATCGTGCATTTTTGTTGAGTTCCTCCCTCTCAATTGACTGTTGCACGACTTCCGGTTCGTTGCTCAAGTTGACCACTCGCTGTGACATGGATTTTACCATCGAGCTGGCGCGCTGCAAAGCCCCGCCGGAGCCCGAGGGAGACAAAGAACGCGATCGATCCCGCGCACTGCTGCCACGACGACTTCCCATTCCATCCTCCAGGTGAGGAAGATCATCACCCAGCATCGAACCGCCAAAATTCACAGAGTGACCACCAGTGTCAATACTCTGTCGCTCTTCTGCGCCGTCGGCACCGCTCATAGGTTGCAGATATCGAGGATCGGTCAACCGTACCCTATCATCGTTGTCCCCTGAGGGGTTGAAGCCGTGCGCATCGTGGGAATCGTAAGGGCCTAGCGGTACGTTGTCGAGATCGGAAGCAGAATCGTTGAAGTCGTGGCTTGCTGACGGACCTGAACGCGATGTCCTCGATTGTGGCCCATCGAAGCTGAGGCCAACAGATGACATTGCTTGCGCAAAGCCCCCCAGGTCGATCGGCGAGTCCGGCTCTGTATAACGCGTTTGTGACTGTTGGAACGGATTCCTGCTCGGCCCATCCGAATCAATCGGGGACTCTTTCGCGATACTTTCATAATTTCTCCGCGAACCCCTCCCGATTAATGACGGTCGTGAGAAAAGACTCCCCGCGCGACTTCTGCCGCGCTGGTGGAGGGCATCTCCTTGTTTTGAGAGATCTTGGAGAGGGATCTCGTTTGGCGGAGCGTTTTCGTCATTTTCAGGGCTGTGGCTATCTGGCGCCATCGTCGGGCAATGTCAGATACTATCGAATCGCGGACATCGCAGGCTGGACGGGGGGCAATCGAACACGGTCGCGACACGTGTATTGAGGGCGAAGTGGGACGAATGATATATGCGAAGAAAAGAGTGTGAAAATTAAGTAAATTAAGGATAGTGACACGCCTCCTGGGGCGCTGAGAGGTTCGAGCTAAGACGTCCCGATCGCAATTGCACTAAAAAGGGACAACCCCGGCATGTGTCTCATTGCGCCTTATGGTGGCTGGCATTCCACAAAGTTATGCAACGAATACTTTATCTTTCTGCCCTATCATTTGCCCTATAATTTATGTTATACCATATATTTCTTCCCTTTCTTTTGGCTTATGTAGCTAAGATTACAGCCCAGCCCGAGTCCAGGCACTGACGAAGCCCCCGAAAAATGGTGGTGCCTCCAGAGCTGGTGGGGTCCTTTTTTTCCAAAAATAGCTCTACAACTGGAAATCAGTCTCATGGAGAAGAAGCCCTCAGAATAAATTCATTATGATTCAATCAGTTCAATCGGTGTCCATCTCGGAATCCTCTTCTTTAACGTGTCGCCGAACGCCATCCAGGAACGCATCTACCGCATCGCCACCACCAAGGGGTACTCCACCTCTCCGCATAAATCCTCCATTAGCCACGGGGATCTGCAAAGCCTCACTAATACTCGGAAGCCCGCCGTCACGGAGGGCAACAGTGAGACTAGCCAAGCTTTGCATGAACTGAGGAGAACGAAGCACTTTTCGGAGAATATCTTTCTTCTGAGAGAGGTCGAGGGACAGGAGAGCGGCCTGGGCGAGTTCGGGATCCGTGTCAGCTTCCGAAGCCTCCTCGGCATTGCCTTGGGCCAGCAAAAGCAGCGCGGGCGGCAGGAAGCTCAGTAGATGATCGGCAGTAGTGGTATCAACAGAATCGATAAATTGCAGCGTGGTCGAGGGTGGAAGTAGGTCTTGGAGTGTCGTAGATGGTCGTTCGGGATCTTGGGACTGGCTTTGGCCGCTGCCTAAAGACTTCAAAAAGTCCTGGACAACCGACGCTGAACTATCTCCGGTAGTTGCCCTGGATGGAAAATGTATTAGCTTCGGTGGCCCAGACCAAGGCTTTCAGAGATATGTACCTACGCTCGTCCACCGTCGGCACCACCCTCTCGCGATTCCTGTCCCTCCTCACGAACGTCGCCGCCCGTCGCTCCGGGGCCAGCACCGCCGCTGCCTGTGCTATAACGGTTAGGATCGTGTTCAGTGCCTTCCACGTCTTCCATAGTCTCGTCATCGTCACCGCCGGAGGGTCGGCTGGGAAGATTGGCGATCTCATGCTCCACATCAACCTCCTCGCCCTGCAGGAAGACATCGACGATCTCTCCAAGCTTCAAGTCGCGAGGGCTGAACCAGCTTGGGTCACCATTCTCGTGCTGGGATCGCGATTGCATCCAGAACAGGTATCTCTGGGAACTGGATGAGAACTTCAAGACGAAGATCCGGCCATTCGTGGCGTTCCCGCCGGATGGTTTGTAAGGGGTAAAGCTGCCATCTGAAGGAATCATCACCAGGTCGAGCTCGGGCTCATCGAGTGAAGCGTTGCGTGAGCGCCAGCAGAAGTGAATAAGATCATCTTCGGAGTAGAGGTAGAGGTAACCCGGAGTGGGTTTCGGCTTCACGGCGGGAGGAGAGGTGGAGGTCTAGATCAATAGATTAGTGGCGTTCAATGAGCATACATAACAAATTCGGTAATTTGGTTGGCTCTTAAATATATCCTAGGCCAGGGTGGATAGCTAATTCACTTACATCCAAGTCGCAGATACCTGCTTTGAAGGTGATGAGCGGAGCTATCGACATGCTGAGATTGTGTCTGTAGATAGTATTCCGGTGATGAAGGGGGTTATAGGGACAAAACTCAACACACTCCGGAAGATAGAAAGAGTGGTTGGAGATCTTTGGGATAGGTCTTGTAGAGAGAGAGAGAAGCTTTGAGCGGGATACGTCAGTTGTTTGTGTCGAGCAGTGGTCCTGCATAAGTGGTTTTTGAGGCCCGCCGTACACTTCTTGCCTGACTGATCTGGCATCAACTCGCTGAGTCACCGCTTTCCAAAATTGGGCTAGGGCTGTCGGTTAAACACGTGATAGGGCTTGGTCCGCACAACCCTCTGAGGAATTCCCGCACTGGAGCCGACTCCGCTAGCAGTCCAAGTCCTCACCCAAATCTCCAACAACCAACCCGACAACCATTCATCCTTCGCCAACAGCCATCATGTCGGACGGCCAGACGAAGCAGTTCGGGAAGAGCCAGAGGGTCGTGCCCGCCGACAAGGCCCAGAAGTGGTACCCCGTGGATGATCAGTCGCAGCCCAAGAAAGTCAGTACACCCTATGAACAATAGGACGCCATACAAAAGAGGAGGATATACGACTGGCACACGTCTGCCCGGATGATTGCGACGATGGCATCGGTATTCTGTGAAAGAACCTCGCGTGAATTACGGAGGCGAAGTCCAGCCCGACACCGGTGTCAATCGGCGACACACGAATCTATCAAATTTCGTGAAATTGTTTGAATCGCATATCATCCGGGAAGACTGCGCCATCGCAACGGAATACTCTTTGGAATTTTAAGGGCATTGCCGGGATTCCGTGTGACATCAGAGACTAACTGATTTGTGTGATAACAGGTTCGCAAGACTCTGCGTCCCGCCAAGGTCCGCGAGACCCTCGTTCCCGGCACCATCCTGATCCTCCTCGCTGGCCGTTTCCGTGGCAAGCGTGTCATCCTCCTCAAGTCCCTCGACCAGGGTGTCCTCCTTGTCACCGGTCCCTTCAAGATCAACGGTGTTCCCCTCCGTCGCGTTAACGCCCGCTACGTGATCGCCACCTCCAAGAAGGTCGACATCAGCGGTCTCGACGCCAAGACCATTGAGAAGGTCTCCGCTCCCGGATACTTCACCAAGGACAAGAAGGCTGAGAAGAAGACCGAGGAGGCTTTCTTCAAGCAGGGCGAGAAGGCCGAGGTACGTTTGGGATATGGGATTCCTCGATTACCGTGATTCAGATGCTAATTACATGTTCGTCTTACAGAAGAAGGTTGTTGCCAGCGCTCGCGCCAGCGACCAGAAGGCCATCGACCAGACTATCCTTGCCTCCATCAAGAAGGAGGACTTCCTCGGCAGCTACCTCGCTACCACCTTCAGCCTCCGCAACGGCGACAAGCCCCACGAGATGAAGTGGTAAATGTGTGGTAGCCGCGGGTTCGGTAGATAGTTGGGGAGGACCATTTTTCCAACGAGGGGCGGCTCGATTGCAGATCGGCATCCTTTCGCGACTTTCGGGGGGCCGGTTTCATGAACCATGTCATGTAATTCCTACGGGATCCGTCAAAACACGTTTTTTCTTTTCTTTCTAGGATCTACGGTTAATTCGGGCATCCGGTTGTCGTTCTCATGTTTTCAAGAAACCCGTTCCCTTTTTGCGCGTGGCTGATTTTGCATGAAGCCGCGTTATGAAGAAAGACTTCAAGCAAAAAAAAGATTCAAAATCACCTCGTTCCAGCAGGCGGGCTGGATTCTCTTTTATGTTCAGTATGACCTACCCATTTCCAGGTTCAAGCGGCAATCGAAAATTTGGGCAATCACATAATCTCTCCTCGTATGCGATATCTAAGACACTAAATAAGGTTATGTACTGGAACGTGTCTATTGCCTAAGGTAAGTAATGGGTATTTCCGCTGTGTGGAACGGGAGTAAAAGATCTGGGGATGTACTCCGTACACAGTAGACACCGCGACTACCAGTGCAGTATATAAAAGGTGTGTTCGATCCAAAGTTGAAGGTTGGTAGGTTACCTATCTGGATATCTTTGGCAGTCCTCAATATATCAAAAATGCGAACTGCTATCCATGAGGCCGGTTGTGCGACTGAATCTGATATCTCGTCTAGAAGGAGTTTAGTGGCAGCCACCACCCGTGGACTCCTGCCGATCGATCCCGTCTAAATCTACGCCTACGAGAATGCGGGGCCAACACATGATGCATTAGGTAGGCACTCATACCTAGGTACTGCCTATAAATGCGGGTGACCATTGCTACATGTAATGGATCAGACGTTGACGTACTAGAATAGTATCACATTGCAGAAAATATTCGAAAGATCCAGGCGGGCATGTCACCTCCAAATTTCCCAAACAAATGTTGCAGTATGTCGACGATATATAATCAACAGCCAACCCATGTGCACACGCTCTAGGTATGTGAGACACCAAAAAGAAAACACCGAATCCAGCCTGATAACAACACAAATACCAATAAACAAATATTTCATGTACTCTTCAAGGCCGTATCATCGTCGCCTAGGTGCTTTGTTCGGGTTACCCTGGCCGGCGATCTTAGTAGGCCTCGCCTTATCATATGCCTGCCGTACCAGGCGATCAGCGTCATCATTCCTCTCGTCCTCGACACTCTGGTCTCCAACAGTGGTACCAAACAACCAATCCATAATGCCCCATGGGCCAAAGTTACCCCGCGGACGCATCAGCGAATGCATATCCACGCGACGGGCAATCCCTCCTAGGAAGAAATTCGTCGGCATAACGGTATATCCAGAGTATGCGAAAGTCTCCTCAATAGAGATGAGCAGAAGGTACAAGAGATAGGTAAGCATGTGGAAGCGGAAGATTATAGCGGGCGCATAGGTTGGGATGAACTTCAAGACTAGATAGACAAGAGGGTGGTCGTAATGCGCGGACAGCGGATATGGCGCCGCCAGCGAATGATACCAATTTTTGTGCCATGTGGCGAGGGGATTCCTCTTCGAGTGGAGAGCATAGCGGTGAATCACGTAGGCGAGGACCTGTTAAGAAAGTCAAATGTTAGCAATGTGAACTGTACAAGCGCATCTGAAAATTCAAACTGTGAGACTTATATGAACTTACCTCTCGTCCCAGCAACGCTTGTGTCAACCCCTTGCAGACCTCAAATGGCATAGGCAGCTGCAGCGATACCTTCAGCACACTGCGCTTGCCCAAAACCGAGACAAGTCCTGTCTCGAGCAAACCCTGTGCAGCGATACCCAGGCATAGGTTGAACAGCGCCCACCCGGCAACCTTGAGTTCTTTCGCGCGGATCCTACGTTGTCTTCTCCCACCTGGCAAACCGGCCGAACCTTGCGCCTTGACCATAACCGCAGCCGACGGGGCCATAATATCGAAGAGGAAGAAGACAATGGATGGCACTGCATAGAAAAGCAAGCGTATGGCAATTGTGCTGAATATTTCCACGCGGAGTCTGGAATGCGACATGACCAGCGTGGTCCATGTCATGTAGAAGAAGAGGAGGTTGAGGCTGGTACTGTAGGATGACAGCACTGGAATGAGGAAGACCGAGAGTATTGGCAGCGAGAAGAGGGCCTCCATTTTGACTTGAAGCTGTGGTCAGTCGGTATTGGAAGTGTGGGAATGTTCGATGCTGAAATTAATCGTATGCGCTATCGCTATCGACGAGTCTTGCGGCGAGGAGCGAGGGTTTTGTGTCTGCTGGTTCACCAGCAATTCCCCCTTGTGCCCAAAATAGTACCCTTTGATCAAAGACCATGTATCATTAAGACAAACGTCCGTAGAGGATTCGGTCTAGACAGCGCATTTGGGGACAAAGAAGTTCGAGGCAGAAATGGGGGTGGCAGGATAGAACAAAGATAAGCGGGTTATCTACATCTACTACGTCACCGCGTCCCCGTCCGGCCACTCCCCACGCGACATTGCGGAGTACGACCAAGTTTGCAAACGGGCTGAAGTAAAGGAATTCAACGCTAAAAAAAGACACTGAAAGAAGATTCAAGAGCCATAACCATTGCTTTGTACAATATTCTATATGCGACCGACGGTCATTTCAAACAGGACAATGCTTAAGGTGTTGGCGAAGGGCATGTGAAAGAGGCGCCCAGAGACCGCGCTGAGGGTATAATACATGAAACAATCAACAGACCATATCAAGGAAGTAAGGATATGCTCGATCCTTACGAAGCAGGATTAGGAGTTGGAAGACCATTCTTCTTTCCCCATTTGAATGCCTTGCCGCGAAGGTCTGGGATGACCTGCAGGAACACCAGGTTACTGAGCCAACTGAGCAGGGTGTCACCGATAATACTGTTTCTCGGGCTGGGGCCAAGAGCGGTGCCTTTCAAGATGTGTCCAATGAACATGGTAGTGATAAGGTATTCCCCACGCTCGAGGGCGCTAATAGAGATTTTTGCGACGTCCGAAGGTGTCTGGGGCTTGTCGGCTTCTTCGAGTTGCTTGGTCAATTCAGGCTTGATCTTCTGCTCATTGTCGAAGCCAGGGCTGAGAATTCCCATGGGGAAAATCGTGTGAATCTTGACATCCGCCGCTGGGGCGTTGGTGCTGTGCCGCTGACTATAGGCTCCGTTATACATTTCAATTTCCTGGCTCAGAGTATCGGACAGAGAGCGGATGGCTGCCTTGGCAGGCGAGTATGGTGAATAGCCAGCGATGGGAACGAAAGCGAGGGTAGAGCAGGTGAAAATAAGATGTCTCCGGGGTGTTTTCACCTGTTCATTCGGAGAAACCGGTGTGAGCCAGCTGCGCAGAGTGGCATGAGCTGTGTTGGCTGCAGTCCAATATAACGTGTCCATTTGCTGCCGGTGCTCTTTGATGGGCACGTCGACGAAGAAACCCGGACGGGAGAAGCCCGCACAACACCATACAACGTCGGGGGGAGCTCCAGAGTTCCACAAGGTAACTTCTGCGATGACTCGCTCGCACTCAGCAGGGTCTGTGAGATCGGCACTGATATAGTGGAACTTCTGCTTGGATGAATTCACTGCGCTAGCCTGAATAATAGGTAAGCAAAATTGGCCAGCTAGTCATGGAGGGCTCTCTGACCTTCATCTCTTCAACGGCATTTTGGAGCTTGGAGACGGTGCGCGCAACCACAACTACATTTGCGCCTTTTGCGGACAGTTGGAGCGCAACAGCTTTGCCCATGCCATCAGAGCCGCCTGTAATCACCACAGTCTAAGAGACCTAGTCAGCACATATCAATTCAAAAGCGCGGTTCTGTACATGCCTTTCCGTCCACCTCGAACTCGTTCTTTCTGGATCCATAACCAAACATTTTCGCGATAGTGTAGGCGATGATAGTGCAAAAGAGTGCGGAAGCCCCTAGGACAGGAGTTGAATAATTATCTAAGGCCTGGAATGAGGATAGTTGAGGCATATGGAAACGGGCAAGTAGATCGCGAGGATCCATTGTAGACGAATGGCAGCTGCGTCTGTTGCGCGGTGCTGGGAGTGGAAAACACACGAGGAATAATCAGTGTTACCGAAATACCGAAACTCTTGTTATCTTTCACTGTCAAAGGAGCGACAAGGTTATATTACCGGTATCCCCATTTCCACACATGCAAACCGAACAAAAGCCCCACTCCATGCTAGCGCAGCCAAGGCGGTGAAGACCCAAAAAATAATTTTATCACAAGTTTATCATCGGACAGACTGAGTTATCTCACTGTCGCTAATTCACAACTCGCAACAATGGGCAGCAAAAAAAGAAAAGCCGGTCGCCCAGCGCAACAGAAATCTGCTCCTGAGCCCTCCAAGTTCGACATCGAAGAGCGGTTTGACGACTCGGACGATGAGTTCCAGACCGGCCGTGACGAGATTTTACTCGAGGAAGGCCCAGAGACAAAGAGACGGCGCAGAGTCGCCGAAGATGGTATGTCACTTTACTATTGTCTAGTCTGATGTTCAAGGGAGCTGACTAGTGTTCACAGAGGAATTAATCCAGCCTTCCGACGAAGAGATCCTTGGGTATGAATCCGTAGACGAGGACGAAGATCTCGAGGATTCAGAAGAAGATGACGAATATGATGACATGGGTCTTCCCAAGAAGGGCGCAGAATCCGAGGAAGAAGAGGATGGCATTGCCGCCTGGGGCACATCAAAGAAGGATCTTTACAATGCAGACCAGATCGAGACTGAGGTCGATGCATTGGAGGAAGAGCAGGAGGCCAAGCGTTTACAATTGAAGCAATTGCAGGCTATGAATGAGGCCGATTTTGGTTTCGATGAGTCTGAATGGATGGAATACGGAAAGGGTACCGAAGACGACACCAATGCTGGGGTCGTGACTGAAGTGCTCCCACAGCTGGAGATCACTGATGACATGGGCACCGATGAGAAGTTGAGGATCTTGAAGTCGAGATACCCGGAATTTGAACCCCTGGCGAAGGATTTCGTCGACCTACAAAAGTCCTACAAGGATCTTCAACAAGCTGCTTCGAAGGCTTCATCAACAGACGACGATTCCGAGGAACCGCAGCCATCTCCTGTGCCCGTGGTGAAGTTCCGTGCCTTGTCTGCCTACCTTGGCACGATCAGCATGTACTTCATGCTCCTCTCCTCCCCCTCTCCCGACGCGACTAGCGAACACGTTCCGATGACCCCTGCCGAACTCCGACAACACCCCGTCATGGGATCGCTTGTCAAATTCAGGAAGCTTTGGAATATGGTCAAGGATCTTGAAGAACTCGAAGAACCCCTTCACAAGGTCAAGGAAACCAAGGCCCAGGCCCTGCCAGCGAAGGCCGACAAGCAAGAAAAGACCCAAGAGACCAAGAAGCCGAAACAGAAGAAGCTGAGCAAGGCTGAGATAGCACAGGCAGAGGCTGAGGCACTTCGTGCTGAGCGTCTCCGCCAAACCGAAGACGGCCTCGCAGATCTTGAGAACCTGGCCACTGTACCTGCCCGGAAACGCAAAACACAAAAGACCAAGGCTCCTCTCAAGGATGATGACTCCGACTTTGGTGACGAGGATGCCCTCACAGCGCACGAGGCCGAGGAGAAGGCCAAGCAAAAGCGATCCCTCCGCTTCTACACCTCCCAAATCGCCCAGAAGGCCAACAAACGCAATGCAGCAGGCCGCGATGCCGGTGGTGACGCCGATCTCCCGTACCGCGAACGTCTGCGCGACCGCCAAGCCCGTCTCAACGCCGAGGCCGAGAAGCGTGGCCAGAGAGAACTCCGCCCTGACCAGCAGCTTGGTGGTGACAGTGATGATGAGGATCGTCGTGTCGCTAGTGAGCTCCGCCGCGGCGAGGGCGCCAAGGACCGGTCCGATGACGACGAGTACTATGACATGGTGGCGTCCCGCTCCAAACAACGCAAGGACGACAAGCAGGCTCGTGCCGCTGCTCACGCTGAGGCTGAGCGCCTGGGTGGAATGGTACATGAACAGGAGGTGGTTGGAGCGGATGGCAAGCGTGCTATCACATATCAGATTCAGAAGAATAAGGGCCTGCACGCGAAGCGCAGCAAGGACTCGCGTAACCCCCGTGTTAAGAAGAGAAAGAAGTACGAGGAGAAGAAGAAGAAGCTTGGTAGCACCAAGCAACTGTACAAGGGTGGTGAGGGCCGCGGTGGATACGGTGGTGAGCTTACGGGTATCAAGAAGAACCTGGTCAAGAGTGTCAAGCTATGAATGCGTGCTTGATTATAAAATTCATGGTGTATGTTTTCATGGCGTTCACTGCGGGCAGTTCCAGGCATTCGATGTGTATATAACCCTGAGTTCTTTTTACAACCACTTTCAAGGATCATTTCAATTATTCCGAGCTTCACTTTCTACCTCTCGTGCACTGTGCATTGTTCCAATACCGCGCCGGCAGCACCAGAAAATCCGCTGTGTATGTATTAGATCCTTGGTTCAAACGCAAAGCTCTCAGGACCTCGCTCCCTTATGTAACACTCATTGGGACAATATCGCACCATGATCCGCAGTCGCAGCTCAGGCGCAATCTACCAAGCGTACTTCACCCACGGGTGCTGCTCATTTCGGCAGCTCGTAAATGTTTCGAAAAGTGTTTTCACAACCGGTTCATAACGAACTTTCGGTATGTCATGGAAATATACCCTCATGAAAACGGTTATGGCTGTAAAGTAAATCCTCATCACCAGCGCAATCCAACACAGTCTTCAAGCAGAAAAAGTGAATAAGATCAGCCGTGATAGAAGGCCGCATCCCAAGATTCTTCGCCAGCAATAGAAACTCGTCGACCCAGGCTGGAACATCTGAATCAACTCCCCAGGAAGCATAGCACAATCGCGACCAATTGAGATGCAGCACATCTCGATGAGGCTGCACCTATAGCAACCCTATGGCTCTATCATCAGCCGCCTCTGATTGGCGTCCTTGCTATATAGTGCGATTTGCCCGAGACTCGCAGTCGATGTATGCGATAGCTGGCATCTGGGCGTTTTGGAGTATCATGCGCCGGCTCCAGCAGATATGTGTGGAGTCGTGGCCGTCGAAAAAGTTGTAAGGGGTGTCTTCTTCTGCGATACGATACGGTAGGCAGTGCATCTAGATCATACGGCGTAGCTCTGCAGGGAGCTGCGAAAAATAGTGGAATGAGTCGTTGCATCACTAGCGTACGGCAGGTCATAGTCGGCCCTATATCAAAACCACTTCTGCCGGCAGTCGTTTGTCTACTTGATATGACCATTGGCGCGGATGTGCGCATAAAGATGATGCGTACAATTCTCAAAAGAACCAGTCATATCATGCATGCCCACACTTTATGAAGTGACTGCGTAAAGTAGTGTGTTACATACTCAAACAACATCTTGTTCACAATATGATCAGTCTCGGCGTCTATCTACAAGGGAAAGAACTCTTGACAGCTGTGCCATGACACATCCTCCAACACTCATCCTCCAACACTCATCCAGCAGTTGGTTTTTTTCGCCATTCCGGTTTTCTCTTCTCCTTGCAAATGAACGCGCAAACCGAAACAAAAAGGAATAAAACAGAAACTCCAACGTGTGATGCCGTTGCCTCGGTTTTTTGGCTTTCTGTTTCCTCGTGTTGTCCGGGTTTAACCTCAGGAGTGATGAACCAGAGAAACACGTCTAATTGCCCTGCCGGGCCAGCCAACACTGCCAGACTTCCTCCGCGGGGGCAGTTGTGTGGGACAGGACTACAGGGCGGATATCCAGCCTTGATAGACGAGGAGTCGGGCTAGCAGATCGGTAATATGCTCACAATCTTGCAGAACGAAGAATGAGCCGCGGAATCAGACGACATGGTAGCCCACTGTAGTTACGGGTTTTCCTGTTGATAGCGAAGAGGCGGCCAAAGTGTCCGGAAAGACATTCAAGTATGCTGAATGCGAATGCTTTGTTAAAACAGCGATTGACCGCAAATTACGGCAGATGGATGGGAAACTTGGTGTGACAGGTTTTGGTTTCGTTCGTCATTTGCATTTCGCTTGCATTTGGCTTGAATTACTGTCGTAATTCGAGTACTTCGTTTTGACAACACCTAGTAGTTATAGCCAGTACGCCGGAAAATACAATATGACTTACTTCAAAGCGTCCACCCACCAGGCGACTAATATGGCCAAACTGTGTATATATATCAGTTGTCGAGGAACCAAGCAGTAATTATACGAGCCATTGGCCCCTGCAGCGTGTACAACCTCGTTTGATGCATTCACCGTCGACCAAACGACTCATCTTCCTCTCCGGTCTGCGGCTGCTTTCAGTGCTCTGCCGAGCCAACTTTCAGCTTCTACTTTGGTTTTGAGGTGAATGTCAGTACGAAAAGTGCACCCCACGACCTATCAGGACACATTTCCCTTTGCCGTAACTGATGGTCGAATAAAACGACTCGGTGACTCTTGTAGTTGGTGCAATCGATTGGCAATGGAATCCACCAGTCAACCCAGGACACTCTATAATCCCATGTGTCGTGTAGGTAGATATGCCGGAGTAAAAATGAGAGAAGATCAACCGATTGAGGAAAGGAAGCGGGTGAGTTATCCACCTACCTAGCTCGGTAGGCCCTTGTTCAAGATCTGAAGACCAAAGGGCATGATGTCGTCGTGAAGTGTGAGCCGCAACGCAGCGAGCCGCAACGCAGCCTCACGATAGCAGAATGTGACACAACCCTCCAATACGCTCGCCTAAACGATCCGTTCGTATCCCCGGTATAGCAAGCGCTTAGTCGTTCCAAGGCTGGTATATTAAGGGGCCCCTCTCACTTCATCTTCCCCTTTCTCAATCGATCCTCCATCAACCTTCATCCTCGGACCAATCAATATACCCGCGACAACGAGGTTTCCGATTGATCTGAGGCGTGGAATCAATTGATGAGCCGCCTCATGACGTCCGAGTTGAAAATCAAGTGCTCCAAGCACGTCCTTCCCTCGGCTGCCTCGCGGCCTCGAGGGGGACTGTACCCCTCGTCTCTGTAGGTATGCCGCCATCTCTTCCACCTCTTATGCATCACCAACCATCTCCATGACGATTGATACTGACGACTGCAGACAACACGGAGACTGAGCAGGCATCTCTTGCTGCCCAACGATCCACGATGGACGGAGCTGCAGTTGTTCGCAGCCTCGAAGATAGGCATCCCAAACAGTCCCCAATGGAGGCCCAGTGCCTTTGAGATTGCCTTGAATTTGGCAGAAGGCTCTATGGTAAGTACCAGGCGCTCGTCCGACAAGGCTGTCAATCCAGTTATGTGATCTCATTGCTCACTTCTTTTGCTCCCTAGCTCCCTAGGACGTCCGGTGGCCACCGCTGATCCGCCGTCGAGAGTATATCGCGAAGCAGACGTGTTTTCACGACCTGGGGATCCTCAGTTACAAAAGACGACGTGTGAGCATGCCCTGGAGGTGGCGGATAGAGCACGACAGTGGGATATCCTTGGACTTGGGGACAAGGCTTGCCAAGACGACTGGCCTTCTGCTTCTCGGCAGCCAGCCATGCACTGAGAGGTTCTGCAATCGTCGGGTGTCTTGCCATCCGAAGCTTTTCCCTTTCAGAATGAGTCTCCATTTGGGCAGAGCACGATCAAGAACATCGTCTGCCAAAAAGCGATTTCCATGCGAATCCGTCGCTAGAGCGACAGGCCAATATGGTGCTTTGGGCGTCCAAGCAATGGCGCTGGTGATGTAAAACACCTCTCGCTTCTCTTTCATCCGCTCTTGGTTACCGGATCTTATGATCTCACGTATCTCGCGCCCGAATTGTTCTGATCCGGTTGGGATGCTCTCTACCGCAAAGTTGACTGTTTCGTTGTCGATCGGGTCCCAAAGACGAGTCGATTCGGCCTTCTCAGCCATCATGTAGTGCTTACGGGTAGGAAAGCACTGTGAGGAACGTCATAACTAGAGAGTGTTGCTATGACACAGCAAGGGGGTGACGAATGGATGGATGATTCAACTTACCAAGTGGTTGGCGAGGTTGGTGAGAGATGACAGTCGGGGAGAGTGCGAGTCAGAACAGTCGTTGTGACTTGTGATTGAGATACAAGACCCGATAGGAGACTGAGAACCGAGAAACCGCTGGCTGGACAGAGATTGCTTCCCGTTTTGGCGTGTTGTTTCAGCAACATCTGTCCAGCCAGCGGTTTCTCGGTTCTCAGTCTCCTATCGGGTCTTGGGTCTCAACCACAACGACTGTTCTGACTCGCACTCTCCCCGACTGTCATCTCTCATCAACCTCGTCAACCACTTGGTAAGTTGAATCATCCACACATTTATCACCCCCTAGTCTGTCATAGCACCACTCTCTACTTATGACGTTCCCCAGAGTGCTTTCCTACCCGTAAGCACTACATGATGTCTGAGAAGTCCGTCGACTCGTCTTTGGGACCCGCAGCGAAACAGTCAACTTAGCGGTAGAGAGCATCTCGACCGCATCTGAGCAATTCGGGCGCGAGATACGTGGTATCATAAGATCCGGTAATCAGGAGTGCATGAAACAGAAGCGAGAGTGTTCTACATCACTAGCGCCATTGCTTGGACGGTGAACGCACCTTATTGGCCTGTCGCTTTGGCCACCGATTCTCATGGAAATCGCCTCTTGGCGGACGATGTTCTTGGTCGTGCTCTCCCCAAATGGAGGCTCGTCCTGAAAGGTGGAAAGCTTCAGGTGGCAAGGCACCGGACGATCGCAGAACCTCTCATTGCGTGGCTGGCTGCCGAGAAGCAGAAGGCCAGTCATCTTGGCAAGCCTTGTCCCCAAGTCCAAGGATCTCCCACTGTCGTGCTCTATCCGCCTCCTCCAAGGCGTGCCTACACATCGTCTTTTGAGATAGAGGATCCCCAGGTCGAGAAAACACGTCTGCTTCGAGACATACTTGCAGAAGTCAAAGAGGCAAGGCAGCTGGTTGAAAATGCTTTCCATTCCGATCACACCGGGTGTTTTTCATCTGGGTTGTTTCCTCCAAAAGCCTCAATATCATCAGCAGGTTGGACGTTACATACAAGCACATCGTGTCGGTTACAGGTATGTAGTTTCATGTCCAGCCCCGTGTAGGAACTCAGGCCAATCTGACGGTCATAGATCCTTAAATGTCTTGACGAATGACTAGGTATCCCTTCATATATTGACGATGACAACCTACCCAAAGGAATGCAAAGGAACCTAGGTAATCCTGTTGTTCATTGACTGAATATTGAGTGTCCCCCAACCCCATAATTCCAGGTCAACATTTCCCCATTCGGCTAATCATAGAAGTCGATATGGCCCGCGAGACCCATTGATGATAGCACAGGGCCCCAATGTAAGGATATGTTGGTTGAAATCGGCCTTTATGCCCCTCGTTCCATAATGTGGTCGCTGTCCATCCCCCTTTACTCAAAGAAGCCTTCGAGAATCGTCTTAACGTGGTCAGGATTAACTTGAGAGAAATCCACCTCCAGAAAACGTCTCGCGAGTGTATCCTTCCGGCAATGGGACCGAGTCAGTTATGTTCTTGACCAAACAGGTATGCATAATATCATTCCTACCGCTTCTTCCAGATCTTCCATTTCATCCGAAGACAAAGCAGCACAAGCCGCAACAATGTTCTCACCTCGGGCGGAGAGAGACGCAATCTCACTGGCTCGATTTACAATGGCTGGGTCAATACCATTGATCGCCGCGCAACTAAATCGCAAATCAGAGGCTCTCAGGCAAAAGTTCAGTCAGACCGGGCGAAGTAGGAACGTACATGGTACCAAAGCTCTTGTCACTACGACCCGAACGGAAGCTATTTATCCTGTGAGCATCATGGATGCGATGTCCACTCCAAAGCAGGTAATTTGGTACGTACTTATAGAGATACGTGATCTGGTCCTCGACTTCCTGAGACTCTTCGCAAACGCGGACTTCCATGTGGCCAAGGTGAAGCCGAGGCCGCAAAGCAAGGAAATTGTTCTCGAAAATCTCATGGAAATGGGTAGCTGCAATCACCTTGGCAGGACTGGGGAGATTCAGCAGGTACTCAAGTATGCCACAAGCGAGTCCAATGCCATCTGACTGCGTCAGTGTGTCTCAAAATAAGTGCTATCGCGATATGGGTACCAACCACTCTCGTTGGTTCCCTTGCCGAACTCATCAATGATCACTAGGCTTCGGCTTGTGACTTGATTCAGGCAGAGGGAAATCTGCTGTAAGTCATTCATGAATGTGCTTTGAACCTAAAGCGGGTTAGGCTGATGGCCCTAAAACAGGGAACAGAGCTTGCAGGTACCTTGGACACGCTTTCTTGTGTATTGAGTTTGGTCAAGATTTTGTCTGTGACTCCTAACTCTGCACTGTCTGCAGGAACGAAGCTGACATTCGACTTAGTCAATCTATGACCAGACGCATGGAAAAGAACATACCTCCCAATTTGGGCGAGATAGACGATCAGAGCGACCTGGACTTGGATCAGACAACGAGTTGCACGAAGACAGGCTACAACCTACCTGCTTCATATAGACACTCTTTCCGGAGTAATTTGGGCCGGTCAAAAGCAACATGCTAGGATTATGGTTTGCGGATGAAGTACTGTCACTAGGACTGGGCACCCTACCACCCACGAGCAAGGTATCGTTCGGCACATAGGAGGAAACAGTTAGCTCTTGGAGAATGTGCCTGGAATTTATCAGATCCGTCAAAAAAAATGTTCCTATATTTTCAGCTCACCGGCCCCCCTTGATCTTGATCACGTTCTGTTCAACCATTCGTGGTCTTGTGAGCTTGTAAAAGCTAGCTGCCTGCACGAGGGCAAGAAGACTGTAAACCTTGTATTAGCGAACCTCGCACGACTTTCCACCAGAACAGACCTATCAATCTCTCCACATATATCAGAGGCATCAACAAGCACAGCTTCGTATCGAAGCACCCTCTGGGCCAGGTCATACACGATCTCAATCTCCTTCTCTATCCGGATACAAGTATCAGCCACCCATCACTTCTCAATAACCAGAGAAAGTTACCGCATATGATGCCGTATATATCCCCCAGCTTCTCATCCATCTCTCTCATGCGGAAGTCCTTGAAATAAGCTCGGTTTTCCGTTATGAACATCAGTTCCCATTCATCATTGGGCCCTGTGTAAGCCGCAGTACCATCTTCATTGAGTGGAATGGCAATATTGAATCCAAGCTGCGGGAAGTAGATGATATTGACATCGACGTCGAGGGCTCCTGGAATTGTCGCAGCAATGTCCAGCGCCACGTGCTTGAGGAGACTGTTGAGACCATCGTATCTGTCTTTGATTCTGTCAAGTTCTCTATCAAATCCCTGCTTGACGACTGTTCTTCCTTGTTCCTCGGAGTTGTCGATGTCAACCTGAGAAGTCAGAAGCTTTGCCAATGTTGGCATATAAGAATCTTACAATTTCTTGAACCATACGACCAACACGGTACAGTTGTGCTGCTTCAAACACTCGGAGAGCCTTTAGAGTGTCAGTGCGTGAATAACCGATATGAGTACTAGGGTTTAACCTTGTTTCGCAGAGCCAGAATGTTCCCACCCGCCACCTCCTGCAGTGCATCATTGATGTCGATGGAGTAGAAAGCGAACTGGCCAGTTCGTAAACACCATAATGTGAGAAAGGTACACACGCAAGCCGGAAGATTGCGAATCAACTTACAGCGAGAAGACTAGCCCAGACCGTAGTCTTGAACCCTGTGACCTTGGCACTACCGGTACTAATTCCCTTGTGGAGATTGACCATGACAGGTCTGAGATTCTTGATGTGTTTGAAAGCCTTCGTCATCTTTTCCAATGCGGCATGATTACCAGGCCGGGAGAATACTCCTATAAAGTCATGCCGTCCACGAATCGTATCTATGTCTATGCTTGGACGGAAGAAGCTTTGCTTAAGCTTTGCCCTACCCTGGGGTGTGGATGCAAAGTGCTGGAAAAGGCCGTAGACCGAAAGACCCTCTTTGCCTGATGCTGACTTCTTCCCAGGGCCCTGGTTGAACATGTTTGGGTGTGACTCCGACTGGATGATCTGTAGAGAAGTGAAGGCGTTACTGTTGATCCACATCGTGTTCCGCAGGTCGAACATGTGCAGCGATCGGATCCGATATTCATTGCCTTCTTCAAGAGGGCTAGGTGCTGCGGCTCTTCGTCGCTGCAGAAAAGTGAGCACGGCTCCTGCGCAGCCAATCGTCACTGGGTTGTCTATATCGATGGAACTCGAGACGTGCAGGAGTCTTCCCTCCTGAAGCGTAAATCCCATCTCTTCCGGGTCGGTTTCTTCTGGTCCGGCAAGGCCATTATGAGGTACCAAGAACCGAAATCGCTCCTCATGTGTAGATGAGATATCAAGAGCCAGAAGATTGCTTTCTGCATTTGCGTAACTGAACTCCGTCGTCGGACGAACATCTATCTGATAAGGAAGGTAGACAGAAGAAACTGGACGGACAATATTAGTATTCAATAGCACTGGAAGTATTCACATCCCTTCAAGGCAAAGGAAAACAGTACCATCTTCTTGTGAAAGATTTTGATCTTCCGACCTTAGCTCAACACGAGGAGGTGTCAGTACCACCGTCGGTTTGATCTGGAGAAGTACTGGCCAGATGAGTACATGTACTTAGAAATCAAGAGCCAAGCTTAAGTAGCATACGAGCTTCAACTGTCTCCATATCGCCCGAGCGACTGTCACGGAGCAAATACATGTTTTCCTCTTCGGCTGAGTAGTATGCGCATCCCACGGTCCCACGGTCTTTCATGTCGATAGCAGCAATGACATGGTCATGAAAGTCATCATCAGTAATGCTTGCTGACCGATCAGTCTCCTTCGCAGTATTTGTGGGAAATGGGGTACGCAATTGGCTTGCTGTTGAAGCAGTCGGTTCTTGGGAAGGAAGACTAGAGTTGGTAAGTCCTCGACCTGACGGCGCAGTGTGACCCAGCCGTTGCCCGGAGGTACGAGGTGTAATTGGAGGACAGGAAGCTGGTGTTCTCTTTCTTTTTAACAAAGGCATTTCTTCGATGAGCCTAGTAAGATTGAGGCAATTAAGAGGTGAAAGAGGGATCAGGATGAAGGATGAACTGGTATGTTCCGATTGTGTGGGCAGAGGTATCACGAGTCACCTGTCCACGGTCCCAAGGTTCCTCTAGGCCTACCGGTGTTCAACATCTCTTGACTACAGTAATCGAGTAACCGCATGATACATCTAGATATGAACTTAGCAGCTATTGCATAAATATGAGCAGAATTGAATTAGTGTACAATGAGAGGGAGAGGACTAGTATACAAAGATAATGAGAGGTGAAAAATATCCAGCATGCAAAATGCGAAACTCAGAGCAGAACACCACATATGCCACATTAGAACGCCAGATTTCGTGTCTTCGTTTAGACTTGTGGGGTAACCACCAAACCAGTCTTGGATTCGTCAAGGGAAATGCTAATGGTCTGGCCAGAGACGATTTCACCGCGGATGATCTTGTCGGCCAAACGGTTCCCAATCTCCTTGGCGATAAGGCGGTTCAAAGGCCGAGCACCGAATCTGGGATCGTAGCCTCTCTCACACAGCCAGTCCTTGATCTCGTCGTCGATCTGCAAGGTCATACGGCGATCATCAAGTCTGGCCTGCAGCTCCTTGATCCTGATGTCGACGATATCACGTAGAGCATCTTTCGAAAGGCGTTTGAAAATGATGAACTCATCGATTCGGTTCATGAACTCGGGTGGATATGCGCTTTGAACCACATCCATGACGGCCGATTTGACCTTGGCTGGGAGCTCGGAACTATCAGAATCTTTCAGTGGATGCATAGGATCCGCTCCGACCAGGATATTGGCTCCAAGATTGGAGGTCAACACAATCAAGGTGTTTCGGAAATCGACCTTGTGGCCCTGGGAATCTGTCAGGAAGCCCTCATCGAGTACCTGAAGTAGTAATGCTGAGATGTCTCGATGCGCCTTTTCAAATTCATCGAACAAGAGGACAGCGTAAGGCTTCCGCCTAACAGCCTCAGTAAGTTGACCAGCATCATCGTATCCCACATATCCAGCTGGGGAACCGATCAGGCGACTGATTGTGTGCTTCTCCTGGAACTCGCTCATGTCAAACCGTACAACGGCGCTTTCGGTGGAGAAGAGGAACTCGGCCATTTTCTTGCAGAGTTCAGTCTTTCCAACACCAGTGGGACCAAGGAACATGAAAGAGGCCAGGGGACGGTTCTCGCCACTGAGGCCTGCCCTCTGCATGCGCACGGCATTTGCCACAGCAGAAAGTGCCTCATCCTGCCCACGAACCGATTTTCGGAGAGTGTCCTCCATGTGAATCAGCTTCTCCACATCACCAGCCATAAGCTTGTTGACAGGGATGCCTGTGGTACGAGAGACAACGTTTCCGATATCATCTGCGGTCACTGAATCGTGAATCAATGTTTGATTCTCGGGGTCTGGTTCTGCGCCTTCTTTTGGTAGCTTAGATTCGAGCTCCGGGATGGTAGAGTATCTCAACTCTCCAGCCTTGGCAAAGTTCCCTTCGCGTTGGGCTTGTTCAAGTTCAAAGCGAGCGCGTTCCAGATCCTCCTTGGTGCGTTTGATGGTGTCAATTTCCCCCTTCTCCTTCTCCCAGGTCTCGGTCAGTTTGCTGACTTCCTCTTGTTTAATTTTCAAGTCTTCTTGAAGTTTGTCACGTCGTTCACGACTAGCGACATCAGTATCCTTGCGAAGCGACTCGAGCTCGATTTGAATGGTCGTGATGTCACGCTCCAGCTCGCGAATTGCATCGGGCTTCGACTCCTGCTGCAAGCGAAGAGCCGATGCAGCTTCGTCAACAAGATCAATGGCTTTATCGGGTAGGAATCGATCGGTAATGTAGCGATTGCTGTAGGTAGCGGCAGCCACCAAAGCGCCATCCGTAATTCGGACACCATGATGCACTTCGTACTTATTCTTGATGCCACGCAGAATGGAAATAGTCGAGGCTACCGATGGCTCACTTACCAGGATAGGCTGGAACCGTCGGGCAAGCGCCACATCTTTTTCGATGAGTCGATATTCGTTGAGGGTGGTGGCGCCACAACATTGAAGCTCGCCTCGTGACAGAGCAGGCTTGAGCAGGTTGCTTGCATCAATACTGCCCTCAGCCTTGCCCAGTCCGAGCAAAGTGTGAAGCTCGTCAATGAAAAGGATCACACCACCTTGCGCATCCTCCACTTCTTTCAATACAGATTTCAGACGCTCTTCGAAGTCGCCCCTGAATTTGGCGCCTGCGATCAAAGAGCCAAGATCCAGCGAAATAACGCGTTTATTTTTGATGCTTTCTGGGACATCTCCTTGTACAATCCGCTGAGCCAAGCCTTCGAGAACCGCGGTTTTACCGGTTCCAGCAGCACCGATCAGCACAGGATTGTTCTTAGTTCTCCGAGACAGAACTTGAATGGTTCGATGAATCTCGGCATCTCTTCCAATGACTGGATCCAGCTTTCCAGCTTTCGCTTTGTCCGTGAGGTCAACACCATACTGCTCGAGTGCGGATTTCTCTGGTTCGCCGCTCATATCCATGCGGTGAGTTCCGCCTGGGGGGTGTGGACGACCCTTCGCATAGTGACGAACAGAGATCGGACCGGTGTTTACAGTCGGTAGTATGACAGAGGGGCGGGGGAGTATGCGTGATCGCGGGATCGAGGATAGAAGACGGGTCGAAGATAGATTAGGCGTTCGTAGCAAGCGACTGCGCGCATTGAGGGATAATCTCGCCGCCATATTGAGTACGACTCAAAATACTTTGGAGAGAAAGTACTGCAGAATTCAATGTTGCCCAAGGCCGAGATGGTCACAAGATAGCTTAAATACTGGCCGCCCAAGGTCCATCGGGAGGCTTCTCGAAAGATCCACATAGCGAACGGTGAGTGGCGGAGAGCTCTGAGGGAAATTGAAAATTGTCCAAGCTCCGTCACCAGTCACCTGACCAGTCTTCGCCCTTCCACGTTTTTCCGTCTCCCCCGTAGAGATTTTCCGTAACAAAAAAAAAACTCCTCCCTTTTTAACCCCTCCCACTTCAATCTACTTTCTTCTCCTTTTTTCTTTTCTCTCTTCCAGATACCACCACACCTCTCTTTCACAATGGGTTTCACTGACTTTGCCTCTGATGCCGGCCTGACTCGTAGGCGCCCCTGAGATTTTGTTATTTCGAATCAATTGGTGACTGACTGTGCCCCTCAGTGGCCAACCACTTCCTGTCCACTCGGTCCTACGTTGTTGGGTAAGAATTTTCCCCCTTGAATTGCTTTTTCCTTTCCCTCTTTCCTTCCTTGCTATGCTTTCATGATGAGAAACATTGGTCCGTGTTTATGAGGCGGATTAAGACCCCGCTGGATGACTCCAACCAATCGCGAGCAATCGCACCTCTGATCCTGCTCTATCATGCCACAATGTTGAATGCTGCATCTCACGTAAACATGCCTGCTGACTCCATTCAACAGCTCCACCCCCAGCCAGGCCGATGTCGTGACCTTCAAGGCCTTCTCTAGCGCCCCTGACGCTGCCAAGTACCCCCACGTCGCCCGCTGGTACAAGCACATCGCCTCTTACGAGAGCGAATTCTCCACTCTCCCCGGTGACTCCTCCGCCGCTTTCACTGCTTACGGCCCTGAGACCACCGACCTGCCTTCCAACCCCAAGGATAAGCCCGAGGAGGATGATGAGGAGGACCTCTTCGGATCCGAGTCCGAGGAGGAGGACGAGGCTGTCGTTGCTGAGCGCAACAAGCGTCTCGCTGAGTACAAGGCCAAGAAGGCCAACAAGCCCAAGCCCGCTGCCAAGTCCCTCGTCACCATGGAGGTCAAGCCCTGGGGTAAGCTTCTTTTGTCTTCTTTCCCTTGTTTCATATACTAATAGCCTCTATAGATGATGAGACCAACCTTGAGGAGTTGGAGGCCAACGTCCGCGCCATTGAGTGGGACGGCCTCGTCTGGGGTGCCTCTAAGTGGGTTCCCCTTGCCTTCGGTATCAAGAAGCTCCAGATCAACTTGGTTGTTGAGGACGAGAAGGTCTCCACCGATGAGCTCCAGGCGACGATTGAGGAGGACGAGGACCACGTCCAGTCCACTGACATCGCTGCCATGCAGAAGCTGTAAATTTGCGATGCCCAGTTATGAAGCAGGAATTGTGTGATGGAAATGCGTGATGTCAAAGGAATACTTTTACGAACCTAGTCTGACTAGAAGCTGGTCCAGAAGTGACCGGTCATTGATGAAAATTATAAAAATTCATGACCATTTATCATTCCGTCGTACATCATCGTACAATACTCTCAAGACAACATAGATATGCATGCAATTTTGTACTCCGTCCAATATGTACGAAAATGAGCTGTTGTTGGGTTACCAACCTCTTGGTGGCTTTGATCCTCACCTCAATATCGAACTCATATTCACATCCATATCACCTCTCAACATGTGTACAACCCATTGAACGAAGGCGGGTTATGGCCAAACTTGTCGCTATTTTGTAATTCCTGGATGTAGTCATTCCTCCGCTAAAATGTTGCTTTATCTCTCATCACTTGGTCGAGGTGCGGGAATCCTAGGTGGTAGGTAGGTATGATCTGACCACGTTGTGGGATTGGTCTGGCTAGGTACTGAACCCTCCAGTGCCCCTGGTTCACTGCACTGACGGGACTCCATTGGAAAGTGAGGCTGTGACCTACCTACCTACCTGGATAACTGTCTAACCGGGCTAAGTGCAATGAAACCTCTTGCCCACCTAGCTAAGCATACGTTTGTCTTCCTTAGGTAGGTTCTGATATATATTTCCACGACCAATGGCACAGTGTACCGGGATGACCCTTGAGTGCCAGTTTTGATGGAAGCTCTACTCTAAGAAAAATGAATGGTACTGCCCACAGATAGCAGGTCAATGATTTCCTTTCAGAACGAGCTTCAGAGAATGAAGATAAAGGTGATCGTACTACCTAAAATTCTGGTCAGGTCGAAAATTGATTAGGTAAAGCGCGGGATGAGGCGCGGACCTGAGGCCAACATCCCGCCGCCATCATATCGAACAGCATCACATCACTGTCCACAGACGGACTCCAGGCTAACAGAACCCTGACAATACACAATTCCCCCGGCCAACAACTCTGAATTGTCCAAACATAACCATCGGCCTCCTTCCACAATCCCCCAAACCAACGAAGTCCGCCCGCCATGAGCTTCCTCTCCCGTGTGGTCACATTCTTTGGCCTCATCCTGCTTGTCCATGCGTGAGTCTTCCTAACGATCATTCTCCCAGTCATGTGTGCATCACCTCGAGCTAAGCTAATATCTTTCCCTGCAGAGGCTACTCCGCCCACGAACACACTGTCCTTCACAGCAACCTCGCATCCACCGCCCTTCCCCAAGATATCGTCCTCGAGACTCTTGTCTCCGTGCTCATCGTCTCAATTGGACTAGTGCTAAGTGCACAGAAGCTGAAGCCGATCAGCTGGCGCGAATGGGCCGGCGAGATCGAGCGGGATGGCGGAGCACGCAACCCCTACCTAAGTCTGGAGGAGCGGTACGGATTCTGGGATATTCGGGTGAGTTTTGGATTGTCCTTGTGCGGCTTTCTTGTCGGCGAGGAATATTGGATGCTAACAATTGGATTTTACAGGCTAAGCGAAAGGAGTTCGCGGATTGGGTTCGCGGGCAGGATGTATTGGTCAAGGAGTGATCGAGGTTAGATATCGAGTACGCGGTTATGTGCTGCAGTGGGAAAGAGTTGTATAATATGCATTGCAGCGAGGAGTTCAGTTACAAAAGGTTGAGATTCTCAAGCCATTGCTGTCCTGATATGTTTGCTTCCATGGTGTTGTACTGATGTACTTGTATTGGTCGTGGAGCATTCCTCGTGACACTCGACGACGGTAGGTTTGGTGGCGACGGACTCCGTTCTAATGCCTATCACAGTACAATACTCGAAGCCGATCGGGAGGTAGCACGAAATATGCCACCTCGTGACCTGGATAGTGGGCTGGGTGGTGAAGATTGACACCTGTGGCGGACACGATCTACTGTGTACATTCCTGCGCCACAGTGTTCTGGGAATTGGCGATGTTTGGTCTAAAGTCTAGACTCTAGACATTTCATTGAACGCATGACCACGCCCGAATACTTCACTGTCCCACTAAGCAAGGAGGCCACTGCCGCCTGCACTTGTGCACTGCAAGTTTATCTCGCAGCTGCTGAGAATGCTTGACTCGGGCACCAAGAATCAAAAGCCCATGCATTGAGAATTGACCTTTAAAACCTTTGATCAGGTGACGAGTGAACCTTGGAAAACCTTTGAAAACTTTGGAAAGGCAAGTCGCGATTGAGATGGATTGAAGATAATGTACCGGGTATGCATCGGTGCACTGTTGTAGCCCTGTCGTGTCCACTAGGGCTGTACAATGCATTACACAATATGCATGTCCATAGTACTACCCAGCTGGTCATAATAGAGACATGCAGCGCCCTGGGATCAAGCTTAAGATAACCTCTCGGTAGACAGATGCGAACCTGTTTTGACCCCTGCAGGGGTGGGGAGATGAGGGTCATCCCCTTTGTCATGTTGACAACCTTGGTTCAGTGCGCTTGGAGCCTTGGGCAGACAAGATAAATATGGTTGATGGAATCGGTCGCTAACTCAACGGAGTAAAACCGAGCCGTTGTTTTACTCCAAAGACCCACATTAGCCTTGTGATCTGTGTTCAAGTGGATGGCTGTTCCAATGCCAAAAGTACCCATCCAAGGTGTTATTATTTCTCAAATGCAAAAGAGAATGAAAAGGAGAGACTGAACAATTGGGAAATATCCCATGTCCCTTGCATCTACAATGTATCAATCAGAGCATGTGTTAAGAATGAGAGATTGGAGGGAATTAAGGCGAATAGTCCAGCTTTGGGGTAGAGAGCTGATTGGACGAGAAACCGAACAGGGCAATGTCTCACTTGGCCTGTTTAGTTCCATGTTTAGTTCCAAGACACGTCGAAATCCCACCATTTGAGCAGGGAAGTGCTTTCTTAAGTGGCATACGGGTATTTTCTGACCTGCAGTACCTCTGTTGCTTTAACTTTAGTGAAAGAAAACAAATATCACCATTGGCTGAATGGCAGAGGATTCGTATGCCTCCACGCGGTCGACAAAACAATAAACAATAATAACTTCACAGGTAAGCTTTGGGCTACCAAATGTTATGAGACAAGTCCCAAAGGCGACATTTGTTATGATTACGGAGTACTTACCGTACAGTGGTCAGACGCAGTTTCACTTAGCTGTCTAGCGCATATTCCCACTAGTCAAATCTACCAATTATTGTGGACTTTTCCTTGGTTTGGATTTGGCATGGGATATCTCATAATAATTCATTGTTGACTACTGTGTATTTATCTCAAGTACCGTGTTGTGTGAAATGTCTAGAAGTAACCGGTGGACCTACATGTAGATTCTAGAAGTCACCATATCAGTCCGGATGTACGCGACGGTAGGCAGCCGGTGTGACCCCAGAAATAGAAACTGCAAGACCTTGCAGATCCCAAGTGCTGGATACGTCCAGACTTTGCTAGGTGGGGAATCCTTTTCAAGCGACTGAACTTGCATGGGCTGCCATATAAGGAGACTGTTTCCCCGGACAACCCAAAGCCTTTATAACTCCCTCAGTCTTTCGTTTCCTAAACAACTTTTCTTTCTTTCTCCACATTCTTCAAATCCTACTGTTCATACACCCTTCTACCAATAATCTCTAATATCAATCATAATGCGTTTCTCTGTCGTCTTCACTGCTCTCTCGGCAATCGCCTTGGTCCAAGCCCAGAGCACCACTGAGGTAAGCATCAACAAAACAATGAATCAAGCCACCTCACAAGTATGAACCAACTAACCTCTTGAACAGTCGGTTGATGAGCACCCTGCCACCAAATTCTTGACTGAGACCAACTCCCTCGGTGTTGTGACCGGCCAGCCTTCAGTCATCACCAGCCAACCCAGTGCCGTGACCTCGCAGCAGCCTGCTGCCTCCATTCCCGCCGGCCTGACCTCGCCCGTCGCCGGCCCCAACGCCACTCACAGCAGTGACAGCACTGTCTCCACCGCCACTAGCACCGCCACAAACACCTTTACCGGAACCATGACCAGCGGCACTGGAACCGCGAAGACTACCTTCACCACTACTGGTACTCGCACTAGCACCAGCACTGGCACTGGGTCCTTTGACTCCAGCAAAGCTGTCTCTAGCTCGTCCGCTGCAGCTACCAGTTCCTCCACCGGTGGTGCCGCCATGGCGACTGCTGGCCCCGTCGGCCTCGGCATGGTTGCCGGTGCTGCTATCGCTGCTTTCCTGTAAACGGGTTGAGTAGTGGTGACTGCTTCGTGGCATATTCCTGTCTTCTGCAATTGGTCATACTTTGATTGATGTGGATACCGGATGGTCATGGTCAGTCAATTGGGTTGATCCAGGATATGGATTGCGCTGGAACGAGGGACATGAAAATGCATGCATCTGGTTATTTTTCTTTATTTGAGCTTTCAACGTCCAGGTATATCATGGGACCTGTTTAATTTCTCTATCAATGGGCAGGGATTCGTTTCTTTCTCACTGCGTTGTGTTCTGTGATGCACACCCATGGCGCATTTCTATTAGGCTTCTCTTCTTCTATCGTTGTACCTACATCTTAAGCCATGTCTGGGTAAATACGAGTGTTGATCTCATTCATGGGTACCATGCTGTGTCCATATATTTTGAAATCCATAAGTAAATTTCCATACCTAACATGTCATAGGCTCATATATCGGTGATACCTCTCACAAATGTCTCACAACATTACTGCATAGAACAGGTTGCGAAACCTACCATCTTAGGTCCATCTACACAGGAACTGGTGTCGAGTACCAATGTCATGCCAGATCTTCTTGTGCCTATTAGACAACCAACGATCCCATGAGAGTACAGTCTTTCAATTTTCGACTTCGCGTGGTCACAACACAAGGATGGTCAATGTCCTTCATGATTCATCCCGGATGGAAATACTACTCTGTGTGAATGAGTGTGGCCCCTTCATCCCTTTAGAGTCCTAGCTAGTAGCCTCCCGCAACGATTGACCAATACTCCGTCAGATAGCAAGGACTCTCACAAGGACGCGGTGAGACATAGGGCAACCCACATCCCAAAAAGGTAATATTGGTTACGCGCAAGCGACGCGACGCAGTGCACGTGACTGTCGCGTTACCGAAAAGGTTAGTGTGACCTCCACTCAAAACAAACCGTCGACGAAGTAACCATCTCTTATCATTGTGATGGTGATCATATTGCTTTCACTAGCCCAACTCATATTCTGAAGAGTATTTCTCCTACTTGTTCCCCTTCGTACATTCTTCATACCTTCACTACAATAAGAACCTCACTATGGTAAGTCATGGTTGTTGGAACCATTGATACCCCCCCGTTGGTTTCCTAGCAACCAGTCTATGCTTTGTGCTCTGTATCTAACATCGGTCTAGCCGTCCAATTTGCGCCGGCTGGCTGCCGACCATGCTGCCCTACACCGAGATCTACCACCGTACTACCTGCAGCCATCGGAAACCGATGACCTGTCGCAACTGACTATCCTCCTCACCGGACCCGCCGGCACACCTTTTGCGCAAGGATTATGGCAGCTGCATCTCAAAATGCCCAAGGACTACCCCCAGAGTCCTCCCAAGGCTACTTTCAAGACCAAGATATGGCATCCCAATATGGAAGAACTTACAGGTGCTGTCTGTGTGGATACACTGAAGCGGGATTGGAAGCCCACACTCACCCTTCGCGATGTTCTGGTGGTAAGTGAGACCCGGCTAGCGCAATGCCAATTCCGAGTTGAGATTCGAGCTAATGAACTTCATCACATCAGACAATTTCATGTCTTCTTATCTATCCCAACCCTGACTCCGCGCTCAATGCCTCCGCCGGGGCTCTCATGCAAGAAAATTACGCCGCCTTCGCACACCAAGCCAAGCTTATGACATCTATCCATGCCCCAATCCCACCCCACCTGAAGAGTGCGGTGACCGAAGCAAAGCTCCGGGGCGAGGATGCTGGAACAACGTTAGAAGAAGAAAAGGAAGAGGACATAGCTACTCGACACAAGCGGAAACAACCACGTACCCACACCGTTCACACTCGCAAACAAACTCCGTCAGAAGATCCATCACCATCTTCCTCAAACCTCTCTGATCAGTCCTGCCCCTCAATGACGGACGACGCCATGAGCGACGGCGAAAACGACGCTGCCGCTAGCGCAAGCAAAGAGAACGATCCTTCACATGCCCCCTCTCCCGTCTACCTCCCGCCCCCAAGTCCGCGCAAAACCGCCTTGGGAAAGCGCCCGCTCTCCGTCCTCTCAATCTCTTACCCCGAAGACAACGATGTTGACATGATGCTTGTCGACCGAGACTCCGATAATGAAACTTCCACCATGACCTCCAACGAACAAAACATCAGCGCCAACACACGATCCCGTACAACATCACCACTACGCAAAACCCCCAAACTCTCCCTTCTCTGCGGAGGAGTCAACGCTTCAGGTCGTCTCCGCGATGAGATGCCTATATTCGAGGACCTCCCTCAGTTCCCCGTGCAAGACCCTCTACGCCGAATGAGCGGCGACGGCAAAGAAAACCGTGGATCTGCAACAGCACGCGGCTTGAAAGAGAAGCACGATCTTTCCTCCATGAAGATGCTCAACAGCCCTGCCCCCATGTCCCCGACACATTCCCATCTCCCCCGGCCAGCGCTCTCATCCCTTTCTGGCTTGTCCACCTCCAAAATCTCCAAGAAAAAATCAACTGGCGGCCTGCACAAGCGACTTGCCGTGAGATCAAAGCCGCGGATTGGTATCCGCCGGCTATGAGTGATCTATTCAATTTCTAAGATGATGATTCGACTATCTCTTTCTTTACTTTGCATTATCAGATCTTGGTCTCATATCACTTTGGTTTCACTTCGCAAACCCCTGATCTGACCGGGGCTGATCCATCTATCTGGTGTTTGGCGATCTCTCTTTTCAACTACCCCTTTGCTCCACCCTTCATGTCCGTTGACTACTTTTCTTTGATACCCTTGATGGTCGGTTGGATTTCCATCAGACTTACAAACTGCATGGAACGTGGGGTAGAACATGCCGGAATTGGATTCTCATGCATTTTCGACGCAGAGGCTGGGTCATTTGGCGACCTGTCCTTCAGTTGGCTTTGGCAATTGGCTTGGGCTTCGTTAAATCACTCCCAGGTCTAGTTTCCTTAGGTGATTTGATCTAGGAATGAATAAGACATTACTCATCCTTAAAGAATTGGAAGTACTCTTATGCAATAACTACCTAGTACATGTAAGGTAAATGTTGATCAATGCCGATTCAATAAGCGCTACCTACTAGATAACCTAGGCCTGGCGTAGTTTGGCCATTTGCTTCTGAGTATAAGCTTACTACCTATCCCAAGGAGCCCTGGAGCTGTATGGATAGCCCCAGCATAACATGGAACTGGCCACCGTCTTTCAATTCCGGGCACTCGAGAGGGTCGCGACAGACTTCGATTGACATATCACCGAGGACACCCTTGGGAACACCCTTCATGTTCACTATTCATACCCAGAGTAAAAGAACTGTGAGTACAAGAATGCTACAATGCACGCAGAGTACCTATACAATGTGGGATACCATGGATTATTGGAGGAACTTTCCGATACTATCGAGCTGCAACGTCCTTTCTGCCGAGTCTCCGAATATTCAGCGAACAAGGAACACACAATTGAGAGAAAAGGCGAGCTCCAGCACTGAGAAATCTCCTCCGCTTGAACTAAAATGCTCATTTAAAAGGCAAAGAACCGCTTCGCGCGTATAACAGGATAAGTATAAGAATCCCAGTCATGCCGGGAAGATGATGGGTAGGTTGGGATAATTGGATAAGGCCACCGACAAGAGCAGAAAAGATGTTCCGATAACGATATGTCCGATTGGCATTGGGGATTGGCTGTGTCCGCAGGCGTACACACATACAGCATGCTTCGTTTCAGCGAAGATCCGCAGAATGTCCATGCAAAAATATGATCCGGAGAAGGAAAAATGACCACGTTGAAACCCTCTACAGAGCGTAGGGGTTGACAGATCGAACGGTAAGACATCTAGAATGGCGAGAAAGCAGTTAGTTTAGAATCCTCATCAGCTGGAAGCTCCAAGAGAATACATACGGAGGACTCTTGCTCAGATCGGTCTTGAGGATAATGGGAACACGGGTCATCTCGGTGACATCTTGGATGAAATCGCCATCCACTTCGCGCAGCTTGAACAAGTTCAAGTACTTCTCCTTGTTAGTCAACTTGTCCTCGGGTGCGTCGCCAGTGCCAGAGGCAATCTTAGGGTCCGAACGGGTACGGTGAGGTCCCTGCTGGTGATGGCCAGAACGCGTAGGCGATGGTGGCATGCTCTGAGTCGAACGATCGGCGGAGTTGAGCGAGACACCGGCTGCCATTTCGACGACCTCATCCACATCTTCATCATCATCGAAAAGAGCATCGACAGCGTCGGCAGACATGGTGCCGGTCTCGGTCTGCTTGCGCATGGCCTCATCACGCTCCCTGGCACGCTCCTTGGCTGCTTCAACCTCGCGAGCGGCAGCTGCGGCCTGAGCAGCGCGGGAGTTCCCGGGCTTGGGACGCTCATCCTCGGGGATGTATGCAGACGAAGGGACGCCCTTCTCCCAGTACAGCTCGAGCACACGACTGTCCTTGCGGTACTCGGCCTTCTTGAGCGGCAGCTGGTCACAGTGCACACGCTTTTCAAAGCCATATTCCGGAATCAGGACGTCAAAGGCAGATTCATAAACGCAGAGCACGATACCCTCGCTAATGAGATCACCACCAATCTCGCGACTCTTGCGGTCCATCTTCCGACAGGCCTCGATGTGTACACTCTGCTCCTGGGCGTTGAGAGCGGAATCCTTCTTGTTATTGCAAAGATCGACAATCTTGTTTAGTGACTCAATATCGTCATTGAATTCCACGGCACCCTCCGAAAGCACGGCTTCAAGTTGACGGTGGACAAGTATATCGGCATAGCGCCGAGAGGGATTAGTGAAGTGCGTGTAGACCGGCACGTTAAGGATGTAGTGCTGGCGCATCTCATCAGAAGCGCCATTGCTGACAAAGTATTTGGCGCGCTGCATGGCTTTGGCAAGAAGAGTTTCCATGCCCTGTATCCAATGTCAGTATAAGGTATTTCACAGATATGAGCACGAGAGGAAAAGTTTACCTTGCGGATATCCACATCCTGCACCTTGCAGAGGGAGCTCTGGAGGCTGCCACTGCTACTCGGGTCGATCTCGTAACCAAGGCGGTTCATCCGTTCCACAAACAAGGCAAGGCGACGGGGTTTGGGCGAAAACTGACGGCGCAACAATGCTTTCTCGGGCATAGCGCTGAAGAGCTTACGGGCAACAAAGAAGTTGGCCTGGTGGCTGAGCTCTTCAACAAGCTCGTGTGCCGGGGTTGACTCGAAAATGTTGTACTCGACTGGCACGTTTTCGTCATCCAGTTGCTGTAGCAGACGCTGGACGGGAGCATTAGACACACGGTTACCGAAACGGGCCTCACGGAATTTGCCGACGGCGGTCTGCATGAGAAGTTAGTATCTAAGGAAGGGCAAGATGATAGAAGCAAGAGTAACTCACGTGCAAGAAGCGGATGCTGTCAGCAGAGACGGCGCCAGTGCTAACATCAGACTTGCCCTCAACAAGTGCATTGACCTGGTCGTAGTCCAGACGGCCAGCGCTCTTGATGACACCCTTACCAATCCAAACATCTTCATCAACTACACCCGTAGCGGGGTCGGCCTTGAAGACCACGCTGACTGTGAGGCGATCCTCTCCCGGAACCAGGGAGCAAAGCTCGGTCGAAACGCGGGGAGGCAACATGTTCATGATTCGGTCGACCAAATAGACCGCAGTACCGCGCTTCTTCGCTTCGCGGTCGACCAGAGAGTTGCCCTTGACGAAGTGAGCAATATCGGCCACGTGAACACCAATTTCGACCTTGCCATCGTCAAGCTGCTTGACATGGAACGCATCCTCGAGGGATTTGCTGTCGGCAGGGTCAATTGTGAAGATGGTCTCTTCACGGAAGTCACGTCGCGAAGCCAAGGTATCACCCTCGGCAGAGACAGACCAGTCTTCCCAGCCGATACTCTTCAGCACAGCATCAGAGAAGTCATCCGAACCGAAGTTGTTATCACGGAGGAGGGCATCTGTCTCAACACGCAGGTCACCCATTTCTCCAAGCTGTTCGACGAGAGTGCCGAAGGGGTGCAACGAGGTAATAGGCCATCTCTTGATGGAAGCAACGAAGATTCGATTGGCGTAGTCCTGGTGCTTCTCAACGAAGTCCCGAGGCGCCTGCTCCGTGGGAATGGCGATAAGGGGGACGCGCTTGTCAGTAGGCTTGAACCAGACGATCTTTGGCTTGTCCTGGTGACGGTCATTGTGAGAACGGCCGTGGGCGCCATCTCTGGCTTGCCGCTCAGCCTCCTGCTTCTCCTTGGTAGCCTGACTGCTGGGACGCAACAGACCCAAAGTGCCCGAGAACATCTGACCAGCAACACGTTCAATAACCGCAACGACGTGACCGGCGTACAATGGCTTCTGCTCGTCACTGATCTCATCTTCTTCACACAGAAGAAGGCTCTGGCCTTCGACCTCGACATCATCGTTCTTCTTCTGGGTGGGACGCTGGCGAAGACTGCCACGGCGACGGATGCTTCCATCCGGGCCGATCTCCTGTCTATCGCCAGTGGAATCGGATCGACCGAGTTTATCGTTTCCAGCATTGCTGTTGGAGCGAGCATCGGTGATATCCTTACGCTTCTTCTTCTCCTCCTTTTCTTTTTTCTGACCCCACACCTCGTCGACATCGAGAAGCTCAATTGCGACAAAGTCACCCTCAAGGGCGCGGTTCCGATCCTTACTACCGCAAATGAAGATGTCGGCGTCCAGATCATCAGTGGTCACGTAGGCATCGGAACGGTTCTTTTTGTTGACGCGCAAAACACCAGCGACCAACTGTCCGTTGCTAAGGAGTGCAGGCAGGTTTGCCTGGGGGAGATACGGAGTGAACAGGGTCTTCCGCTGCTGTTGTTGTTGTTGTTGCTGTTGCTGCTGAACAGACATCTGCGGCGGGGCATGCTGGCTCGCCTGAAGACCACCCATACCTTGGCCATTCTGCTGCTGAAGCGCTTGCAGCTGAGCCAATTGTAGTGGGTTCAATTGCTGGCTACCGAACATCTGAGGCGCCATCATGACTTGGCCCTGAGGGAGTTGAATAAGCTGAGGCTGAGCGCCATACTGGAATTGACCAATCGAGCCCATTGACTGGTTCATCGAACCGCGCGAGCGATGGCCGGGCTGGAAGCCACCCTGCTGTTGACCAACGGGCCTCTGCTGATCCTGGCCCTGGGGTTGGTTGTTGGGTTGTCGCCAGTTGCCTTCAAAGTTTCGGGAACCTGATCGAGCATGGCCGGTCTGGCTGGGACGCCGTTGGGTGTCCGGTTGACCGGTTGATGGCTCACTGGCTTGGGGGAATTGGAAGCCACCCGCACCACGACCAGAAATAGAAGCCCGGTTACCACCGATGGCCATGGATTGGCTGCGGCCATGGCCGCCAGCTCGCATGTTTCCAGCCCGCTGGAAGGCGGGCCCCTGGGGTGCCGGAGAAGTGCTGGTTGCAGGCTTGTCATCGGAGGAAGCCTGATTGTCTGAACCACTTGCACCAGGGGCAGGAGCGGGGAACTGGAATCCTGACGCAGTTCGCTTCTGCTGGGCTAGTTCAGCGGCTTTCTTGGCCTCAGGGAGAGCAAGTGAGTGGCGGCGCTGGTGGCCACCACCGGGAGGACCACCACGGCCGCGACCGTGGTTAGAGTTCTCATTCTTGTTGTTGTTTTGATTATAATCAGCGTACCCCGAGGCGCCGGAAGACGGGGCAGGCGGCGGTCCCATGGGAAGGCCAGGAAGAGCAGATTGATTGCGCCGGTGCGAATGTTGGTTCGGCCCACTCATCGGCACTCCAAGCTGCTGCTGTCCGCCCTGCGGGAACTGGAATGCATTGACTTGCTGTGGGGAGACACCGCCCATGGAGGTACCTGTTTGAAACGGGGGCACCTGGCCCAGTTGCTGGGGCTGCAGTAGCCCCATGTTGACGTATTGTTGGTGTGTCGCGGCGATTTGTTGCTGTTGCTGCTGGAGCAATTCAATTTGTTGTTGGATGGCCAATTGTTCCACTATTAGAGTGTCCGAGTTAGATCGCCTGATATCACGGGGTATCACGCCCTAGGGTTACGTGGGGCAGTCACGCGGGAGGTTGCATACTCATCAATGGGGTGAGCTCAGATGGACTTCTCCGATGAGCAATATGGAACTTGCGTCCACCAGGGCCTTGAGGCCCAGACTGACTCTGCTGATCCATGATCCAAAATAAACAAAGACTGGCAAATAAGGTAGAATGTAATATGTGTAGCGGAGTTGATCCAGCGACAGAGGAGCCTGATTCTTGCGCCAAAAGGCAAATGAGCCCAATGAGAAGGATCACAGGCTAGCCAAAAGGTGTTGTATGTGCGGATTGAGGGGTTCAATATGTGATTATCCTAGAAGAGAGACAAAGAGTGAATCAGTAAAGTTGAAAGTGATGGAGGAAGAAGTATGAGGAAGTGAGAGAAAGAGGAAGAATGAGGAAGTGAGAGAAAGAGAAGCATGGCGATGCAAGAGCATTTTGAAACTATCAACCAGTCCTGAGGCAAGGGCGGACCAAACAGAAGTTTAGAGCTCAGGGGGAAGGAAGCGAACTTGACAATGACCTCAATAATCACCATAATTAGGGCAAGGGTAAACCAATCCGGTTGTAACTTCCCCAAAGCAATGCGTAACGTAGATGGCAATGTTCTTACCTGCAATATGAAACTAATGACGACTTTTGAACCCTAGCATTCCAAAATGACGTCTGTAGAGTCCAAGGTGGGATGATGCTTATTTTTTGTTACAAATCCAAGCGGAGACGAGGGGCAATCAAAGGATCAGAAGTTGAAATCGAGGCAATTGTAGGATCAAGGCAGAATTGGTCGAGCGATACCGTAGCAACGGGATGAAGCTTCGAACAAGAGTTGGAAGGACCGAGGGGGTGGAGCTGCACTGGAAAGCACAACTGCAACCGAGAAAGGGGGATTCGACTTAGAAGCACCTCGGCGGAGAACTTAGGGCTCCAGCGAAGTATCAGGCGTATGAACGAGCTTGTGTTCAGGGTGATTCTCAAATTCTAAGACGGGTATTCAGAGTAGTTCCCCGAAGAGAATGACAGCGAGTACTGAAATTAGAGGGAAGGATATAATAGACGATGGAAGCATCGACTAATTCGACTCGAAGGAGCGATGGTGGGGGAAAAGAAGAGAGGGATGGGATGAGAAATGAGAGGGAGGGGGAAAGGAGAAGGAAGAAAGGTGATGCTGGAGATACAAAGAGGTGTGGGGAGAGGACCATTGGTGTACGGAAAGAATAGGATCTGTTCGGAAATAACCAAACGGCGTTTTATTACAGTTTTCTTCTACCTTTAGCGGATGAATCCCGGAGTGGATTGCGTAAATACTAGAACCGTTATCTGCCATACTCCGTTTCATCAGGAGCCATGGATGATCGCCATTGCTACTACTTCATCATCATCCTGATGCATCCGTTAAGACTGATCCATGTGAGTACCTTATCTGAGGGATCATCATTTGGAATCTAACATTTGATGTACAACATATAAATGGGAGTTGAGTCGCCTAATTTATCCACACAGTAATTCTGCCCCTGTACAGAACATGCAGAACGACTTGGACTAGTCATTTAATGGTAAGTTGGCTAGTTTTTAGGGTCCATTAAGCTAACTCTAGGGGCCCGCTGGGATTTACCTGGACAAAGCGAACAAGCTCGGTGACAGGGCATGTCCAGTGAAACATTGGAATAATCTTGGGGGCATATTCTCTATATCTGCTTGAAGAATTTGCTTCTCATACATTGATTGTAGCTGCAGTCAAAATGGATGATGCTCACGATGATGTAAACGATGTCAAGGCTTCCAGACGGGAGCGCACCAGGGAACGCTCGCGGGTCTTGGCTTACTCAGATTGAGGGTCCGCCGAGGTGGGCCATTGGCAGCGAGATATGTTGGGAGAGGAGGATAGGCGAGACAATTGCGGATCATGAAGGACAGTACGGAAAGTCACGAGAGAACGCCGACCTGCGATTTATCAAGTTTTAGCTTCCATCATTTTGGTATGCGGATTGGGCAGCCTTCCAAGGTTCTAAGTAGTATCGGATGAAGCATCCATTCGTACAGAGCTGTGTAGTGCTGAAGTTGATAGGCGGTGATGAAAGGCGGTGAAGGCGGGTCTCAAATTTCCGAGGTCAATTCACGGTACGGATAGGGTAAGTTATTTTCTCGGGCTTCAGGATATTTGCTTTGAGCATTGCGATGAAACTGTGAAGGTGCAAGGTACGTCAGGCCATTGAGTTGCTTATTGGATGGTTTGTTATAATGCAGCGACGCTAGAACTTCAGTTTGTTTGTGCCCTCGAAAGTTGCTAACCCAATCTTCGATAGCTACAGTCTCCATGGACCCTCCATTCCACGAGTTTTGACGCGCCCACGTCCGATCCTCTTATTGCTCGATGCACAATTCGCTCTTCTTTCGCCAATAATCTATCGTGGGAGGTCGGACAAGATCGCTCTACCTCGCTGCGTCACCTGTTACTCTTTGAATCTAGGTTGATCCTAAGCTCTCACGACCAAGTCACTTCCCCATCCTTCTGACACCAGATATGGTCTCAGGCGCTTGACGCACCTTATCGCCTCACTATCTACTTCATCTCACTTCGCTTCACTTCACTTTTCATCTCTACGCCTTCCAATCCTCCCAACAACCGCAAGTGTTCCTCACTGCCCAAGAGAAGCTGCAGCCTTCCCTTTCGACTACGGGTAGGAACAAACTCTCACTTTCTTCCGATTTGATATCAACCACGCAAACATCATGAGACATACTCGGACCCATGTCCCGCCCTTGGATAGTGTATCCAAGGAGCGCATGCTCGACCTTGTCCGCGAATTCGAGCAGGTTCGAGTTTTTGACTCCGACCTCAAGAAGGTTCATCAGTATGAGCGGAAGTCTTTTTATGAGAATCTCGACCGAGTTGATCGCGAGCGCGAAGCAATCCACACAGCTGCCCTCGATGAGGCTGCTGCTTTCCACAATCGTATCCGCGAGGAAGCGGAAATGACCCTAAAGGCCCACATCCGTGCCGAAGAGGAAGAACGCCTGCGGAAAGAAGAGGCGGCCCGCAAAAAGGAGGAGCACCGACTCGCTTGCGAAAAGGCTGAAAAGTTGCGACTCGAACAAGAGGCAGCAGCGCGCGCGGAGGCTGAACGACAAGCCAAGGAGCTGGCTAAGAAGAAGGCCGAAAAGAAGGCCGCGGAGGAAGCAGAGGCTGCGAAGAAAGCTGCTGCCCTTGAGACCGCACGCAAAGCTGCACTTGAGGAGAAGCTTCGTAAGGAACGTGACCTGGCCGACAACCAAAAACGCAAGCAAGAGGAGGAGGCCGAGAAGGCGCTGCGGGACGCAAAGGATAAGAGTCAAAGCTACCAGCAGAAGCAGCTCGGTGGCGGTGTTCTCTCTGCTGAAGATATCCGCGTGCATCAGCGTTACGTTGAATTGCATCGGACTCTTAAGGAAATGCGCAAGTGGCTGAAGGATATTAGCCAAGGCCAGCCTGCTCTCAAGACCACTATCGGAAACATGCGGCGCTCGATCAAGAAGTCCGTTGGCCAGCTTCGAACTGGAACGGGTGCCAACAAGGCACAGGTGAGGAACATAACCCTCCCCAGGACGATCTATTACTGATGTTCGAAATCAATACTAGATCGCGCAAATCAAATCCGAGCTCGAGAAAGCGCTCACGTACCAGGAGCCGACGGTCGACATCCGGAAGTTCATCGCGTTCCCACCCGAGGAGATTGCAAATTCTGAAAATAAGGTCCCAGCCATGTTAATTTACGGACTAAACATTTTCGCAAAGAGTCTGGTATCTTCTCTACTGGCCGAAGCATCTATCAAGCACTCACACGCCGAGCCGATCGGTATCGTTGCCGCTCAGATATTCTCGTTCGATATTTTTACATACAAGGGTATCCATATGTCGGACATCATGTTGGCCAAGTATCGTGTCGTGTGTCCAGCTCTCTGGGGCTTCACAGGCAATGATAAGACTGAGGGAGGCCGTCGCGTCCTGGGTTGGTGGCGTTCTGCAGATACTGGCTCCTGGATCCCAGAGTCAGCACATATGGACCGCATGACTGCACTTGGTGCTGGATTTGCTGCTATTACCCTTCGCAGTTTCGCCAAATCTCCACGCCAAAACCCGTTCCCAAACACCATGTTTTGGGCTACCCTTCATAAGATCCTTGCCATCCCGCCTGCCGAACTGCAGGAGACACAGGTTGCCCTCCTGGCAGCACTGCTGCGATCGTCAGGCGAAAGGATCATTGGGTTCTTCGGGCAGTATGGAGTCGCCCTCATGCGATATGCCATCGTGGACTTGCCTCGCAAGCTGCAACGAGAGACCATGGCGGTGACTCAGTTGAGCACTCTTCGGGATTTATACCTTCGAGAGAAGAATGTGCTCCTTTGACCGGGCCGGGAGGCGTTACGGATTTGCGAATTTCGACGGGTACAGGTCGCCCCAGCGGCAGGTGCTGGAGGCAATATAGGCACAACAAACCTGGCGTTTTATTTTGTTTTAATCTATTTGTTTTTTTAGCGGTGATCGGTTGTCGCCAAGTCTCATCACGAATTTCAAATGCCACACTCTGTACGGAGAGCCCATTCACAGACACTGATGTCTCCATCTGCAATGCCAGGACATAGCGAACGATTCAAGCGATAAGGATACAGCACGAGTGGACAGCACAGGGATCCGTAGCATTTGCTAGCTGGTACAGAAGCTCGCTGTGTGGATACTATGCACCCAATATATGACTTGAAGAAGTAACAATACTCCAATTGTGTACATGGCTGTTTTCGTCAGTCCCTCCGCAATTAACGTTGGAGACCGCCATCCCGCACCTTGGCTCCCATGGACCATGTCCATGTCTCGCTCCACCTCGCCACCACACATCCATATCCAACAAACCCTGTTCCGTTCGCGCGGCTTGCTCGGATGGAAATATCTTTGTCGCGACCATGTACTTGCAAACCCGGAAGATGCCGGCCCGGCGAATGGCGAGACAATCGGTCTCTGTCCCAGCTACTGAACAGTGCATTGTAGTCACGGTATTATTCGCTAGATCTAACTCATGGGATCCTAGGTTCCACGTAGAAAAGCATACTAGTAAGACGACGAGGGTTCTCCCGCTTCCCAATGATAGCTAGACGGGGATTTGCATCCCCGTATTGTATGTGATCTCACCCCGCATAGCAGCTTAGGGCTTGGGCCAAATCGAGCCAATGAGAACATCATCATAATCATCATCATTGTATGTGATCCGATCTGGATCGTTGACCCCAAAATATCAACTTCATGGGGCCAGCTGTGGTAGCCTGTGGACCGTAGCAATCAACCAATGCACACCGGGAGGAGAACTCGGAGGTATCCCGCATGTACATGTAATCTACTTTCTCACCTTAGGTACACCGGCAGATGATTTCCTGACTGTGAAACTATCGAACCTTGGTATGACCTATCTCAGCATTTCGGCTGCAAGGGACACCATCAGGCAACGACGGACAAGCCGGGTCACCATTTCATCCCCAGGGGCTATGGGTGACAGAGCAATGCTCGTCAAAGAGTCAAGCTGGCTAGATTCCCATAGACCATAGGCAAACCAATCTTCAAGACAGTCCCCCGTGGATCTCTCATAGGCGATCGCATCGGATCGGCAAGGCCGCAGGCGGTGTGGATAATCGAACACAATGCGGTTCTTTGCCATCGATCGATTTTTCCCCAATGCTCTCCACATGGGTCCCTTTTCCCAGGGATCCGTGTGGACACGGATAGCTGGGCTTTGTTAATGGATGCTCGTGACATCAACGACTTCACGACTTCGCATCGAATGGTAGGTTGACGGGTGGCACTCTTGGTGCAATAATCAGGTTCGAATTAAGGAGATCAGAGGCTTTCATTAGTTGTGAAAATGGTTGTTTGTTACTGTAGTGAGAAACAAGCGTAAGAAAAGGTCCCATAGTAACATCAATCGTTAAAGTCACACAGGTTAGATGAATTGAAAGATACAGCTGCAGTGAAGTCAGAAAGTCCAGACCATTAAAGGAGAATGTTTCATCCATGGGTCCAAGAATAGAAAATTGGCAGATTGGCCAAACCCCCTAATGTCAGGAACTGGAGCTCCTCCACTTAAGCCCAAAGTCCAAGACCCTGTCAGGGCCGAAACCCTCTTTCACCCCCCAATCTCCAGTTCCAACCTTTGGATCTCTCTGGGTTTTCTGACGTACTTCGCTTTTTCTTTCCTTTATAAACCTCCACGCTCATTTACCCATTCTCATTTTGTTCACACTCATTTCGGTCAATTCCCCTCATTACGCACTTCACAATGCGTGCTTCCTCTCTCCTTTCCCTCCTGCTGGCCGCCGCCCCGGCTCTGGTCTCTGCGAAGGGTACCCTGGGTTTCTCGCTTGGTGACAAGAATGCCGACGGTACTTGCAAGTCCACCAGCGATTATGAAGCTGATTTCGATGCCCTGAAGGGCCTGTCCACTCTCGTCCGTACCTACTCCGGCACGGAGTGCCATGCCCCTCAAAACATCCTGCCTGCCGCCAAGAACAAGGGTTTCAAGGTCGTTTTGGGCATGTGGTAAGTTTCTGCTTGAGCTCTCCTCATCTATGTGATTCATCTCTGACCTGGTATTTCTCTTTCTCGCTAGGGTTGGTAAGCCCACCGATAAGGACAACCTGTTGGAGGAGCCTTCCTTCAAGGCCGATTGGGCCGCGATTCAGAAGGCCATCCCCGGAAATGAGGACGCCATTCACGCCATCACTGTTGGCTCTGAAACTCTCTACCGCGGCGACTTGACCGGACCTCAGCTCCACACATATATCAGCCACGTTATGAAAGGTGTTCCCAAGGGTGTCCTTGTCGGCACCGCTGACAGCTGGAACAAGTTCGCCGATGGTACTGCCGATGCCCTCTTCACCCAGGAGCCTATCGTCACCTACGTGTAAGTGGACGCGCCGCGGAGTCATTATATGTTCGCACCAATGCTGACACTTTTTCCTAGTCTGAGCAACGCTTTCGCTTACTGGCAAGGAACCGCCGCCGACAAGGCTTACAAGACCTACTTCGACGACATGGCTGGTGCGATGGAGCACATCCAGAAGGTTGCCGGTGACAACGCCGATAAGATCAACATTGTCAACGGCGAGACTGGCTGGCCTACCGATGGCGGTTCGGACTACGAAGATGCCAAGGCGGGTACCAAGAATGCTGAAAAGTTCTGGAAGACCGGTATCTGCGGTATGCTCGACTGGGGTGTCGATCTGTTCTACTTCGAGGCCTTTGACGAGTCCTGGAAGCCCGATAGTAAGGGTGACAACGGCGAGCTTAAGGATGAGAAGCACTGGGGTCTCTTCACTGCGGACCGCAAGTCCAAGTTCGACACCTCTTGCCCTAAATAGATGTGAGATTTGTGTTTTTGGTCCCAGTGTCCCTGGTTAGATGCTTTGACGGGGACCGGCTTTTATCTTTTTCAAATTGTACTCAATTTTTTCTGCGGATTGATCAAATGGAAATATGGCCCAATAGCTTATACAACTTAGTTATACAATAACTAGTTATGCGAACATCTTACTCTTCAAAGCTTTCTCCTAATTTGCTCTGAAATGAAGCGCGAAATTAAGAGGGGAGTGAATATTGTTAGTCACCCGCATTTTGTCCGCCCCGGAATAGTACGGTTGAATCCACAGGCGCATCCATGGAAAGGCCTCTCTACCCCTGAATTTGTCCCGAACTTCGGGAATTTTTTGTTTACTTTTGGACAATCGTAGAAGCCTCAAGGAGAACCGAGTCAACTGACTAGTGATTAGGATCCAGTGGCCAAGCCTCTCTTTGATGGGTACCTGCGCAAAGGCAAGGATAATCTTGAGATCCCAGCAGTGTCGGGCACATGTGCGTTATGCATACTTGTACGGAGTAGACCCTCATAAATTAGGGACAACATTAGAAGCTAAACGGCCAACCGGCCAACGAGCCAACAAGCCAACGGCCTCGGCCTACGCTAAGCAAATAATGGTTGGGTCCCCCCTAAGTACACTGTACACCGCATTAGCCCACACTATTCCACGGTCTAGCAAGTACCAAGTACGACGATCCAACACCCGTGACGTCCTAGGACCTCTTTTTCCCCTTAGTTCCTTGCTTGTCCTTACTGCGATATGGTTCAGACTTGAGCAACGTGCTTCTGATCTCTCTCTCTCTCTCTCTCTTGTTTCTTTCAGTCTCCGTTCGCGCGCCGAAGAAAAACGGACAACCTGTACATCATCTTGTCCCAGGTTGTCTTGCCAGTGGTCTTCAATTCCGGTTTGATTTCCATGCTTCAACATTCTGGACGATAAGCGGAGCGGCAAGCAAGTGCTTGCTGCAGGAGTCGAGACGGAAGGTGTGTATCGATTGGTACTTTGAATTTATTTTCCATTGTCCCCTTGGAGTCTTTTTTTTTTGGTGGTGGAATCGGAGCCCCTACTCCGCGCTGCCACGCGATCGTTTGACTTCATTCTTCAGCTCCCTTGTTTCGATCGCAACTTTTACCCCTCCAAAAATGTTAATCTAACCACGCTGGATGGCCACAGATCTAGGTCACCCCGTCTCTTCCGCCAAATCGGCGTCTGATCCACCGTCAAATCCACGAGAGACGCGTCTCGTCCGTGAATCGCGTCTGGCCCCTTCACTTTTTTTGTCCTCTCCGACGTCAGGAGATTCGAGTCCATCGACTACGGGCTCTCTCAGTGAACAAACCTCCCCACGGAGCATCACCCTCGAGCCCCCGCCGCTCCCATTCTTATCTTCATATCGTGGAACGGACGATTCACGAGCCTCGTCACCGGTCAATCGCAGGGCGGAAAGCAGCATCTACTACACTACCGCGTGGGGATCGCCGTATGCAGCACCCAGCACTCGGAGGCTATCAGTGACCCATAGTCAACTTGATCAAGCCGGTTTCGAAGGATTTGGCCCCAGCTCGCCAGTCTCATCGGCCAACAGAACCGAGTTCCGGAGATCGGTTCCCCCAAACGACGACGACGACACGCTTGAACCCGTGGAGCGCGACTCCGCACCTCAGAACGGAGACAAATCGATACGGGACTTCACTCAGGATTGGATCAATCAGTATCTTACCGGTCAGCCTCGAACGGAGCGCAGCAATTGGCTCAGCGACGACTCGGGGAGCGAAGCGCCGTCATTCATCACCGCAAGAAATCACTTTGCCGACGACGCTTCCGACGATTGGCTTGGTCTGGAGGACGACTTTCGCTCCGAAGATCTGCTGAAAACTCCAACGCTCTCTGATTTCGTGGGGAAGAAGGCTGCTGCCCGTGGCAAAGTCAACAAGACCTCCCACAAACGCGCCGATACCCTGCGCCAGGAGGACTTTTGGGGCTTCGCTTACGATAAAGATCCCCCACAAACCAAGATGTCAGACCCAATCACACAATCTGCCGCCGAGGTGACCTCACCGGTCGAGAAGCCGTTGCCTCCTCCGCCCGTCAATGCGACGGACGATGCGGCAAAATTAGAAGACACGTCGAGTCAGGGCCCTCTCTGCGCATCGACCCCTGACATCAGTAAACCAGCCGCTCAACCAGCACGGCGGAAAAAGAAGCTGAATTGGCGTGGGAAAGCCTGCATTATCGAGCTGCCTTACGAGGATACGAGAGGGTCGGACCCGTCATATCGTCTCTTGACACCAGCCGATGTCCAACAACGAATGAAAAAATGGGAGGATGAAGGATACGACGTTCGCGGGTTCACTATTGGCGATTCCGAGGACCCATCCGTAGCGACGACTCTGGGGGGTCTTAGCTGCCCATTGTACCCAGACCCATATGAGCTCCATGAAATCTCGAAGAAGGAACCACTTCTCGTCAATTTCCCGGACAGAGCCAAGTGGGAGGTTTACATCAGAGAGCTCCAGGAAGAAAAGCTTCGAGCCCTCGGAGTATCATTCGGCGACGATGAGCCCGAACAATCCATCTCGCCGGACTACTCAGTCCACCCCAGTGGCACACCTTTCCCGGGTCTCGCATCTCCCCCAATCCCTACCGGATCTGCAGCAAGCAACCCTCTCGGCCATATTCATCCATTCTCGCCTCATTTCAACCAATCCTCAATGCCTACACCTGGCTCACAATTTGGTATGCAGCCACCCTTCATGGGTGTAGAGCAGAACATGATGGGCGGGTTCCCATACCAGTTCCAGCCCACGCCTCCAGCTCAGGGATCTATGACACCTCAGGGCTTCATAAATCCCCGGCAGGCAGCTTCTTCGGCTGGCCCAGGAGCAATGGGCAAATTCTCCTCGATGCTATCGCCGGTGTCTCCACTCCATGAGCAGGGATCCTTCCCCGCTGGATTCAATGACAAGGGTGCTTTCGACGACCGATTCGGTCATGGTATGCACCAGAACGGCCTGCCATATCAGGTCCCTCAGACCCCTGTTAACGGACACCCTGATCACTTCCATGCGTCGAATGTTGAGATTGCCCACCCCACACCTCGTGGTCACGGTCATAATCTGAGCGAGACGCTACAAAGAGGACTGGACCAGATGACACATACCGATTACCATCTGGAACACTCGATCGAACGACAACTAGAGGACGATTACCGCGATGTCGACCATGCGGCTCTCAACCCAAGCATGTTGAAGTCACGCTGGGGAGTGCCAGAAAATGGACATCACGTACAGAATGCCTCTGGTCACCCATCTCATTCCTTCGCTCAACATCAGCTCACCCACCAATTCTATGGCGATCAATATCAACAGCACAGTGGCCAAGATGGATCTGATCTCGATACGAACCCCAGTGTTGCTGGCACCCCGCAGACTCGTCAGGCGCCATGGCACGAGGCCCAGCCCAGCGGCCAGTCCTATCACGGAGGCCACCAGTCGCAGCTCTCAAGTTCGTCCCTCAATGTGGCAGCCAAGGAGTTTGACCCCACCGCATCGTTAAATCCCCAACCAGTGCCGTTCGGCAACGACCCATTCCAGTTCGGCGGCCAAGGATTTGGTATCACCCTTGGTACTTCGTTTGCGCCTGGCAGCAGCATGAATGGCTCGATAGATCACAGCTCAAACCACAAGCCCGGTGGCAGTTCTGCATTCAAGTTTTCCGCCGCATCATTCAACGTCGATGCTCCTGTCTTCAATCCATCTGCTAGCCTTCAATCCAATGCAAGCTCCGAGCAACCTTCGGCTGGTCGCACAAAAATCTTCGGTAATATTGACCTCAACGAGATCACCAAGCCTCCCAAGAAGTCCAAGGCTATTCCCATTGTGCGACCCGATGAGGTTGAACAAGAGAAGGGTAACAAAGAGCAGTCCGAAGATGATGATCCCAACAATCGACCAGGTCCTACCGACCGCCACAAGCGTGCTCGTGTCGGCCACGCCGATGAGGCTAGATATAGCATCTCAACACATCCTTTGGGCGAAGCAGGCAACACTCAAGCTTCCAGCTCGCTTCATGCCGTTGCTGAGGGCAAGGAGAATGCCAATCCCGAGGATAAGGACCCGGCAGAGCGGGCAGGTACCCCGGTCAGCGAAGCTGATACTTGGACTTTGTTCGACGCAAAGCGCGAGGCTGAAAACAGATCCGAGCCTGGATCACCAATCCGTGCGCAGGCCTCCGATGACATCGTCATTGAAGAGCGTGAGCCGAAGGAGCCCGCTGCCGGCGACGATACATCGGTCACTGTCTCGAAACACGTTGAGCATGCTCCTCAAGACTCCAAAGCTTCTGTCAAGAGCACTACACTGTCGGCCACTGCGCCAGCCTTTGAATTCAAACCTGCTGTTTCTGAATTTGTTCCCACAACAGTCCAGCCATCTAACTTTGCTGCGCCGAAGCTGGTCGAAGAACAAGCTGTCGAGAAGAAGCCTATCCAAACGCCCGTTAAACGTCCCGCTGAAAACAAAGCTAAGCAAGGTGGGCTCATGGCTTCGCGCTTCGCCACTGCAAGCCCATCAGAGAAAGCGCCATCCCCACGTCAGGCAAAGCCTGAGGCCAATACCTCGACTAGCAAGCAAGCAGAAATTATCTCTCGTCAGCCCCGCGATTACGCCAGTCCATGGGGCTCCGAAAATGGCAATGACTCACCTGACGATGAGGAACTCAACGCGATTATGGAACAGCTCAATGACGATGACGCGGATGTTGGAATCGAGCGACAGGCGACGCCTTACAACACGATACACGCTACTCCCTTCCAGCACCGACAGGATCACCTCACAGAGTCAATGGGCGGTCCCACAAAGGAACAACGTTTCGGTTCAGCAGAGGCGCGAAGCGAGCCCCCAGCCCGAGCCCGGGTGGACTTCCCAAGACCTACAAGCTCAGCATCCCCAAGCTTGGCTCAGACGTCGACGCTAACAGCAATGCTACCTTCTCTCCCCAGAAGAGCCTTATCTCCCGTCTTCAGTCCCCTGTGCGCCAACTCGTCACTGAAAATGATCATGTCAGTGACTGGGACGATATGATATCCGAGGGCGAGGACGAGAAGTTCATGAACCGGAATCGCTTCTTTGACCGTCGCATCAATGACCTTGTTGGCTCTGCCATCGACGAGCGGTTGGGTCCTATGGAGCGTGCTCTGGCTGTCATCCAGCAGTCGGTGGCATCCATCGCCACAGGCACTGCAAGCAGAAGGGTCTACCGTAGCACATCCGCTGAAATGGAAGACAGCGACGCTGATGATGAGGACGATGGTGACGCCGAGGGAGCTTCAGCTCGCGATCGCTCACCCCACAACATGAGGGAGCGAAAGCTGGAGATGCTCAAGAACGTTGTCATGGAGGCTTTGGTTACCCATGACATACCTCAACGCGTTGCACCACACTCCAGCCATAGCGAGATATCACAGCTCAAGGAGAGCATTGCGGAACTCCAGGCTCTCACCATCAAGAAGCTTGCCCAGGATCCTGTCGGCGATATGCGTGAGATTCTCGAGCAAACTATGGCCAAGCATTTGGCTCAGCAGATTGCCTCGCAGACCCCCCCCAACTCCGTCCCCGCGTCTTACAGAGGCCGAGGAGATCGGTGCAGACAGCCTCATGCTACAGATTGATGGTCTAAAGAGCATGTTACGAGCCGCTGACGAGCGTGCCGACCAGGAGTACAAGGATCGTCGCAACGCGCAGGACTCTATGGCGGAGCTCCAGCGACTCTTGAAGTTTGCCGAAGAAGATGCCGCTCGTCATAGCGCTGCCGCTGAAAGTGCTGAGGCCCGTCTTCTCCAGTTCAAGGAAGAGAAGATTCCTGCGTTCGAGAGGATGCAGTTCCGTACTGAGTCTCTTGAGGAGGAGAGCGAGACCCTCAAGGTCACTATCGCCGAGCTGTCTACAAAGAACATTGCGCTCGAGGGTACCCTTGATGAGTACCGCATTTCCAGCGATAACTTCCGCCGTCAACTTGAAGCCACCAAGAGCGAGAACAAGTCTCTTCACGAGACTATTGATCACTTGAGAACTCGCATTGAGGACAATATGATCTCTCGCCAGAACCTCACCGAGAAGTTCGATCGTCTCCAGGCTGACATGCTCAACGTCACCACTGATATTACCCGCGATCAAGCTTCCTGGCGCAAGAAGGAAGAAGAGCATAATGCCAGGCACAACGAGCTGCGCGCGGCTCACTCTCGCGAGCTCCAGTTGCGCGAGAAGCTCGAGGAAGATGTTCGCGAATTCGAGAAGCGCGATCGCGAAACCACGCGGTTGAAGTTCATTCATGAGCAATCTCAGCAAGAAAACGCTAGACTGGAGGAGCTTATCACCAGTCTCCGGGATGAGAACCGTGAGTTGCAGATCAAGTCTGCCCGCTTCGAACGGGAGTTCACCGAAGCCCGTGAAAGCAGCCGCATCGAGATCCAGCGCACTCGTTCCTCGATGGAGGCAGACCTTGAGGCTGCCAACAGTCAAGTTAACATCGTGCGTGCCGAGCTCGAGGCCCAGATCATCCGCCTGCAGACCCAACTTGACAACAACCGCATGGATGCTGATACCTCCCGTGAGCGCTATGAGCTTCTTCTTGAGGAAGCCCGGGACTCGAAGGTTACCGCCCTGGCTGCTAAAGACCTTGCAATTGATGAAACCCGCAAGATGCATGAGCGAGTACTTAATGATCTGCGTGAACGTCACGCTCGCGCTCTGCACAACTCTTCTGAGGATCGCGCACGTGGCGATAGTCACAACATGGAGCGCTTGGCCCTCTCCGAGGAGAAGGCTAAGCATCTCCAGGAGCGCGTGAGTCACCTAGAGGAGAGACTTGAGATCGCTCAGTCTGCTGCTCGTGCTGCTGCCGAGGCAGCCCACAGTGCCAAGGCAAACCCCAACTCGGCACCTGTCCCAGTCGCGGATGTCTCGCACTCGCGGGCAACGCCGTCGATATCCTACCACAAAGGATCTGCAGAGCCCGAGCGTATCTCCCCTCAGGCCCTTCGTGAATCAATCTTTGTGCTCCAAGATCAGCTCCAGCAGCGCGAGACACGCATCGAGGAGCTCGAGCAAGAAATCTCCACGTTCGACAAGGACGCACCAAATAAGCTCAAGGAGAAGGATACTGAGATCACCTGGCTCCGCGAGCTCCTCGGCGTCCGCATCGACGACCTACAAGACATCATCCAAACCGTCTCCAGACCCAACTTCAACCAGCAAGCCGTCCGCGACGCAGCCATCCGCCTCAAAGCCAACCTCCAAATGCAACAGCAAGAGAAAGAACGCTTAACATCCGGCAACCTCCCTTCCCTCTCTGATCTCGCCGCCTCCCCGCGCTCCCTCCCCCCTTGCCGCAGCCGCAGCCTGGGGTAATTGGCGCAAAGCCCGTGAATCATCCAACGCCTCCTCCGACCAGACACCGTCAAAGCCCAGTAACGCCGGCGCTTTCCTCTCGGGTCTCCTGACTCCCCCGAGCTCTCACCTCCGCGAGAACAGCACTGGAGCACAGACCAGTGCTGCCGCGCGGTTCGCGCAAACTCGTCCTTTGAGAGGCTTAAACTCGACTCCCAGACGCGGCTCAGTTCGCAGCCAGGCGGCTGTTGCAGAACCACCTACCACGCCCCCTCTTATGCGTCGCTCGAGCTATGATCATGATGCTGAGCCGGCGACTTATGAGGATGGCAGCTTCGCAGATGAGAATGAGAGCACCGTTGACGGGATGGTTTCGGCATCACCGAAGGAGAGAGATGATGAGGGCCCGTTCGGACCTCAGATTGATGAGGCGGAGGCTGAAGGAGTTGATGCTCACGTTGATGCTGATGTCTCCTCTTCCGATGAACCATCCACTGAGGAAGAATGATGGCGTTGTATTTGATCAAATCAACATCTCGTCTCAGTTCACATTTGCTTTCCCCTCATCACTAAAAAGAATGATCCGCAAACGAACCCAATCTTTGTCTTTCGTCATGTTTTATCTGTGCTTCAGCGCTGATTTACCAACATTTATCTCCTCTCGTTACAACCATATTCCCCCTTCAACATACATACCTATCTTCCGGTCCTGCCGCTGATCGATTGCGTTTCTCGGATTTGATACCACCCAGTTTTGGATTTGCTTGCATTGCCCTTTGTTTCCAATGGGAGACTTGTACATTGAATATCCTTTACCCTTTCGAATGTTCTATCGTTTACCCCGTCTATACATACTAATAGTCAATACTTGTCACTCTGTCACTCTTTACTTTCTGACTGTTCTATATTACTGTTGTTTACTCTTGTATTGTCATTGTCTCGTGATTTCTTATGGCCATATTATTGGTGACTGTGTTGATTTGAAGGAATCCAAGACTTCCATGCCCGGGTTATCCTCCTTTAATAGATTCCCGACTAAGTATAACTACTCCAGCCCTTTTAAAATAAGAAGAGGTTTGTTCCATCAAAATGGATAGGTGCCAAACCGTGAACTGTAGATGATGCCGGGCCGCACCGTATGCGATATATAACACAGTAGGTGTGTAGGTAGGTTCCAAACAAAGGTAACCCTCATCAATGGATTGAGTCAATCTTGCATCTGGAGATAGGTAGCCGAAGCATGACAATTACTCTGCATGATATGTCATACCACCAATAAAGAATTGTTGAAGCTCATTATCCCTCCCTAACACAGTATACCCTTGCCAAGACCACGACGGAGCGGTGTTTATCGAAGGTGGTCCGAGCGTCTCCAATTGACACCTTGCGCGTTGAGACCATCACCGACATCACCACCCACTCTCATCCGCCCATTCCCTGCAGACTCACCAGAGTCAGCACAAAACCTTCGCCATGCGATTCTCAACAAGCACCATCCTGGTAACCGCGCTGGGGTGGATCACCGCCGCGACTGCACACACCATCCAGCTCAAGGCTCACACACGAGAATGCTTCCACGAGTCCCTGCACCGCGACGATGTCATGACTGTTTCTTTCCAGGTTGGAGATAGGGAGTTTGGAGGAAGTGGAAATTTGGAGATTGATTTCTGGGTATGATATCCTGGGGTTCGGCATGTTTGGATCTGGGTTTCTCTTTCTACGCTGCTGCTTCAGGGCGGGACATCGGTTCTAGAACCTATGCTTCGTAACTGGTCCAGCTGGTAGATTGGGATCGATGGTTCGATTGAAAAAAAGGAAAAAAGAGCAAAGAATGCTAACGCTCCATCACCGCAGGTCGAGGATCCCCTGAGAAACCGCCAGTACTTCAAGCAGGCCGTTGCTTCCGATGATTACTCCTTCACCGCACAGGCTGACGGAAAATACAACTACTGCTTCAGCAACGAAGGCTGGACTTCCAACTCCAAGGAGGTCTCCTTCAATGTCCACGGAATTGTTTATGTCCCCGAGCATGAGATGGCGCAGGATCCCCTTGAGGTGGAAGGTAAGTGTGCCAAACCACAGATAGCACCAACGCAAGAGAAGTCGAGACTGATTATTTGGTTCATTAGTCCGCAAACTCTCCGAGGCTTTGACGCAGGTGAAGGACGAGCAGTCGTACATCGTTGTCCGCGAGCGGGTACACCGCAACACCGCAGAGAGCACCAACGGCCGTGTCAAGTGGTGGAGCATGTTCCAGTTGATGGTGGTCATTGGCGAGGGTGTGTTCCAGGTGTGGTGGCTCAAGAGATTCTTCGAGGTACGTTGATTTCTTTTTCGTTGAGCGTTGCGCAGACAAGGTACTAAATTCCTCTTTGCTATTGTAGGTCAAGCGCGTGGTCTGAGCTGGATCTATCGTTATTTATTTGATCACTAAAACCCTTCCTTCCACGTTTTGTTATGCATATGTCGACGAGCGATGATTGTGGATCTCGAATTCCTGGGCCAGTTCGTCTTCAGCGAGTTACCAGGATGAATTTTATCACGTTCTCACGCCATGGTATCATGCACTAGCCTATCTAATATGAATCTGTACCACCAAAGCGAGCCAGATGACCAGTATTGTGGTCCTTGGAATGATGCCTGTACATCGTACGAGGTCGTAGACGGTTCTTAGATGCAGGAGCGAGCAAAAGCACCGCAGCACAAAATGCGGAGTCCCAACTACGTCAATTCCAGCAATTGGTTATTGCCTTTCTTCAGCACATGCAAATGAGGCCTCGCTATACAAAAGCAAGTTGTCCAGTGGTTTCAAGCGGCTTCGCATCCTTTTTATCGTGACGGGACGGGTATACTTTGACCCCGCAACTTAGGACCTTCGACAGCGTCAACTCAACACATTCACATTCAGTAGCTCTATCTGTCAATGTAAGGAGACCGAGCGAAACCGATTATTGACCGAAGACAGGATCAGTCCCCCAACTCTCTACGACTAAGAACCTTACATGGCATCCTAGGTTGACCATGGACGACCTCGAGCTCCTGGGAAACCACAGCATCCCCTTGAACAGCCCTGAGCCCAACGATCCGCTCTTTCATGTCTGCTGGCGTCGGCAGTCGTGCTCATACTGTCTGACTGGAGATGTACCCTGCAGCTGGTGCGCTATAGTAGGTCAAAAAAAGGTTTCCCGTATGGATCTGCCGAGTACCCAAAAACATCACATGTCAGATATTGGCCAACCCGCGATATTTGAACCCTCATCTTCTTTCTACTGTGTATCAATATGATTACTTCCAACCCTCCCTCTTTCCGCTTTTCGCATTCTATTTACGCGAACTTTGTTTCACAATCGTGCGCCCTTGCATCCCCACCGGAATGAGGGGGAGGCCCCATCACCTATTGCTCTTTTGCTCAGCTTGACGTGTTGGAAACATACCAGATCAGCAAGATCAGCCACATAACCCTCTGCTCCGTGCTGGCGGAAGCTGACTATTGATCTCTGATCTCTTTAGTCTTCGACGTGTGTTCCTAACCCCTCACGGGTCCCGATACTTGCGCCCATTGGCTCGTCGGGTATTTGCCCCCTTGGCTCGAAAGAGGAATGGGAGTTGAGGGCGATTTCTTTTGGGTGCCACGCTAGCACATTGACTGTTATATCGGTCTCGGTTGCTGTTCTAGCGACGCTGGCTTTGGGGGGGATGGTGGTTGGGTTGGTGTGGCTTGTACGTCGGATACAACGGCGCTGGAAGGAAGATGACTACGAACAAATCGAAGTGGAAGAGCAAGAGGAGCCCCGAGGGCATTTCTGGGGTTTTCGACTTGCGTCCTTTGTTAGTCTCTTTCCCTTCCAATTGGAGGGGACAGAGGCAGAGACAAGGCCGCTGTTACAGTAGGCTACACGGGCATGTGTGATGAAATTTGCTATGTACATGTATTTATGTATGAGCGGAGCCAATTTAACCCAATTGGAAGTAGTATTGCGACGATGCAGGTGATATTTGGTTGCTACCTACCGAGGTGGCAATTTCATATACAATGCGCTGCAACAATCACGCTACAGAGTTGATCATCTCACGCACAGTTACAACAAGCTCTTCAACAGTCTGCTTGCCTCGCGGAAGTACGTGACCTCCACCATGGTCGAACAAATCAGCGTTGTCGACATCGCACATATTGTATAATGCCATCGAGCCATCCAGGAACGGATCTGACGCACCGACGACATGACAGGTGGGGATCGTGATCGGTTCTTCATCGAAGTCATCAGCGAGGGTAATCTTCCCAGTCACCGGGTGCATTGGTGGCCATCCACAGAAGAAGATTGCGCATTTAAGTCGAGGTTTCCGGCCCAGTTCCCTTTCCCTCCGTTGCTCCTCGAGAATTAGCGATGCAGCAATCTGGCCACCTTCAGAGTAGCCAAGAACACCATCAATGTCGCCTTCACTGTCGAGAATGTCGACCAGACGGTCCACTACCTCGACAATACAGGAGAACGTGGGATCGCCGGCCATGTCTCTAGCCACTTTCATGGCCTCTTCTGGGGTATCGCGTTTTGGAAAATCGCTCATATTCAGATGGACCGGCGCGGGCCCATCAACCTTCATAAAGGTATAGTTGGGCGGGGGACCGAAAAACCCAGCATGTTCAGGAGGAACATGTACTTCTGTCGTGCCTTGAACATAGTGAAAATCGGCCTTTCCATTGGCCCGGAGCGCATCGTAGAACGGCCCTGGACCCACGTCTCCCGTTAGACCATCTTTCTTTTTTGACGTCGTATCTCCTGCACCACCTTACCTAGCTGTGTTTTGAGTGCCTAATTGCATATGGTCAGTGTCAAGAGATCTAGGAATCTGAGCCCACGTGCAGAGAAGATGCTTGACATACAATGGCGCTGCAATAGCCTCCTGGGAGACACAGGAACCTCATCGTGATAACCGTGGATTATCTTCGCCGAAGGAAACCGTGAGATATAATCCCACTCGGAGTGTTTCTATAAAGAAAGTTCTTGCGCGAGGAGGCAGAAAGAAGGAATGATGCCACCGGGAATCTGCCAGGGCCCTCGGGGGTTTTTTTTTGCCCCTGTGCTGGGAATGTGCCACTCCACCCTCGCCTTAGCAAGGGCATCGGGGCCAAACAATACTCAAATCATCCCAGAGACATGGCAAGGGCACGACCAGATCCACTCAACTCTGATCTGCGGTCCTAGGCCGGACTAACGAATAAGAGTGGTGGGGATACACTCCTACATGTGTGATCTCGGTGACGTGCCTACCTAAAGTATTCGCTGTCTGCGTCATCAAGGACAATGGGCATGGAGCTTTCTGGACCTATCATTGACCAATTCAAGCTTCAAGCCCCTGTTTCAATCGGGGAAACTACTGTGTACTGGACACAGATCGGCACGCGCACGCTTGCATAGTCATGCAAGGGCGGATTGAGACTCCATAACACTCCATATCGACGCCCTTTGTTTTGTTCCTTCTGGGAAGTACTTGGATGAACAGATTGCCCAATTCGTGACCTTCGTGATTGTACTATTCTATACTCCGTACATTCTTTTTCTTGCAAATCGACATTCGTTTCTTTGGACACTTGCTGGACGTTGATGGTGATAACAGTGCCAGGTATATAATTCGATACTTTCAAACCAGAACACACGCTCCTTATTAAAGATGCGCCTTCAACCACCCTCCGGAACTGGTACGCCAGTCACCGAACCAGTGAATACCCCAGTGCAAGAGGTGATCGGTGAAATCTCCGACGATGTCACCAGCGATGTGCCCAAGCGAATGGCCATTATCGGCATGTCCTGCCGCCTACCAGGAGATGTTTCTACGGCCGACGAATTCTGGAATCTCTGCTCTCGAGGCCGAAGTGCTTGGTCGCCAATTCCCAAGAACCGATTCAACCCCGAGTCCTTCTATCACCCCGACCCCGATCGACCAGGCTCGTTCAACCCAGTCGGAGCCCATTTCCTAACAGAAGACATTGGCCTGTTTGACGCGCCTTTCTTCAATATCACCCTCCAGGAGGCCCGGTCAATGGACCCGCAACAGCGCATTTTGCTCGAATGTGTGTATGAAGCCCTTGAAAACGCGGGCATTCCGAACCATGAGATCACCGGGAAGAAGGTTGGCGTCTTTGCAGGTGGCTCATTCCCCGACTATGAAATCAACAACACAAGAGATATCGAAGCTGTTCCTATGTACGCTGCAACGGGAACGGCTATGGCATTGCAGGCGAATCGAGTTTCGTATTATTTTGACCTGAATGGGCCCAGTGTTACCGTCGACACGGCTTGTTCTTCTAGTCTGTCTGCTTTGCATTTGGCTTCTCAGAGTATCCGAAATGGCGAATGTTCATTGGCAATTGTAGGAGGTTGTCACTTGAATATAGTTCCCGAGGCTTTTATCTCCATGACCCGTTCTAGGTGAGTACCAGTAACATTTCTCATATCCGGAAGCTAATTGATTTTATTTTAAGACTGCTTGCCGACACTGGTCGGTCATATGCTTTCGACCACCGAGCCACTGGGTTTGGCCGAGGCGAAGGCGCAGGATGTATCATATTGAAGTCTCTCGAAGATGCAGAGGCTGCTGGTGACGCTATCAGATCTGTAATTGTCAACAGCGGTATCAACCAAGATGGACGCACCAGGGGTATCGCGATGCCGAACGGCAAGGCACAGGAGGCATTGATCCGCCAAGTCTATAAAGAAGCACGCATCGATCCGGCCTTGGTAGGATTTGTCGAAGCCCACGGGACAGGTACCAAAGTTGGAGATCCCCTCGAAGCTACAGCATTGAACGCCGTCTTTGGAAAAGGACGCACACCGCGCCAACCTTTGCTTGTGGGATCCGTGAAATCGAACATTGGTCATACGGAAGGAACAAGTGGTATTGTGTCTGTGATCAAGACCGCTCTCGCCCTTGAGCGTGGCTTCGTACCCCCGAACTGCAATTACGAGAAGACAAATGAAGAGATTCCCCTGGATAAGTGGAACATGAAGGTGAGTCCAAGCACCGACCTCTAGTATCAAAATTTGAAGCTAACCCCATAAAGGTTCCCAAGAAGCTGATGCCATGGCCACGTGGCAAGCCCTACGCAAGTGTGAACAACTTTGGATTTGGCGGGACCAATGCCCATGTTATTCTCGAGCGTGGCCCTCGACACGAAGGCGACCTTTCACAGAACAACGATCCGCTAACGCGCAAACTGTATGTTGTCTCTGCATACGACAAACAGGCTGCGCTTCAGCTTGGCAAGTCGATCGGATCGTATCTCGATCTTCATCCACCCGTTTTCGACGACAGCCTTCTGGGAAATCTGGCATATACCCTTGGCGAGCGACGATCGTTCCTCCCATGGAGACTGGCGGCCTCTGCGAGTGTTGGACAAGCGCTGACTGCCGCCCTTTCGAACAACGCTGAGCCCATCCGTTCATCTAAAGAACCCACCGTCGGCTTTGTCTTCACCGGACAAGGTGCGCAATGGCACGGTATGGGCAAGGAACTTCTGAGCTCCTATCCGATTTTCCAGCAGACCATGGAAGATGTGGACGTTTGCTTGAAGAAGCTCGGTGCTACCTTCTCTATCATAGGTATGCCCTTTGGAATCTGAGGTTACCTAACAGATAATCATGAATGCTAACCTACTTCAAGATGAACTACTCTTGAGCGATCCCAGTGCAAGCTCAATCTCGGCTGCATACATGAGCCAGCCTGCTTGCACTGCAGTTCAGCTGGCATTGGTTGACTTACTGGCATCATGGGGAATTCGCCCGAAGGCAGTTGTCGGCCACTCCAGCGGAGAGATTGCAGCAGCCTATGCGGCAGGCATTCTCAGCCTCGAAGAGTGTGTTCGCGTGGCATACTCTCGTGGAGTCGTAGCCAACCTTGTCGCAAACAACGAGCTCATCAAGGGCGGCATGTTAGCTGTGGGGGCTAGTGCCTCCGATATCCAGCAGATCTTGGATGCCATGCGAGGCAATCGTGCTGTCATTGCCTGTGTGAACAGTCCCTCCAGTGTGACTTTGTCTGGAGATGCGGAAGTTATCACGGATCTCCAGACTGCCTTGGACAAAGAAGGGATATTCACTCGCCGACTGCAGGTTGAAGTTGCCTACCACTCTAATGACATGAAGATCGTGTCCCAGGAGTACCGATCTTTGCTTGGCAAGATTGCTGCCCGGGACTCGGATATTCCGTTCCATTCCACCGTTCATGGAAAGTTGGTCCCTGGAAGCAGCCTGGGTGCCGGATACTGGGTCGATAACTTGGTCTCCCGCGTTGAGTTTGTTGAGGGATTGAAGAGCCTTGTGACCGACACACGGGCAAATTCACCAATCAACACCTTGGTTGAGATTGGCCCTCACCCTGCTCTTCAAGGTCCAGTGAAGGACATTGTCCAGCAGAATGCCCCGACACTCAATGTGCAATACCTCCACACATTGAAGCGCAAGGTCGATAGCATCGAGGCAGTGCAGAACCTCGCTGGCTCACTGTTCACGCAGGGCTTGAACCTCAACTTCCAGGCGATCAACTTCCCGAACGTGGCCGCAACATCAAGAAAGCCAGCTCTTTTGACGAATCTGCCTAAGTACCCCTGGAACCACTCAGAGAGATACTGGTTCAGCTCACGGCTTGGTGACAACCATTTCCATCGCCAATTCCCCCGAAGTGATATCCTTGGATCGCTCTGCATTGAAAATGTCGACTTCGAGCCCCGATGGAGGAACATCATCCGCGCCGATGATCATCCCTGGATCCGAGAGCACAGAGTACATGATAGCAACGTATATCCCATGACCGGATTCTTGGCCATGGCCATGGAAGCCATCTCGCAGCATGCGAAACTGCACCATATCTCTCCAGGCAGAATTGAACTCCGCGATATCTTTATTAACCGCGTCCTCACAATTCCGGACAACGTTTCAGTCGAGACAATGCTCAGCCTTAAGCCGTCTCGCTCTGAAGCACCAAGCAAATCAGTACTCGGCTGGCACGAGTTCAAAGTTTTCTCATGGGCCGAGGGGCGCGGATGGGACCAGCACTGCAATGGCTTCATCATGGTACAGGAAGCTAAGGATGTCAACCCAGTAGATGGTTCTCGACAGGCTCTTGAGAAGACTGCGCGGTTCACGCAACAAGCATTGGACATGCGGAGCTCATGCAACGCGCCGGTGGACAGCAAGATCCTATACGAAACCATCAGTGGCGGTGGTGTGCATTACGGCCCACTATTCCAGGGACTGACTGACGTCTCTGTTGGTGATTCTCAAGCAATGGCAACCATTCATGTCCCAGACACAACGGCAGTCATGCCTCATCAGCATGAGTCTCCCTGCATTGTGCACCCTGTGACGCTTGACCTATGCAGTCAAATCATGTGGGTACTACGTGGGTACGGTCAGCCTGGCCCGCAAATCACCCATGTGCCTTCGCATGTCAAGCAGGTGTCGGTTAGCCTGAGCCAGGATATCCGCGCTGGCACCGTTCTCCAGCTGTATGGCAGCCAGTCAGGCACTGAATCCGCGAGCAACCCCCACAATAACCGCATCTTCGCCACTGATCCCAGCAACCCGGCAAATAAGCTCATTGAAATCAACAATATCACTCTCGTGCCCATCTCAAACGATATCGCGGGCTCTAAGGAGAACTCCCCCGATCAGATTTGCTACAAACTACAATATGAGCCCTGTTTCGATTTCCTCTCGGCCGAGGACTATCGACATCTTCCTCGGCCAGAGACTGATGTTACCCAGGGAATCAAGCGCATGAATCAACTGGAATCTGTGGCGGAGCATTATCTCACACAAATGCTCAAATCGGTGTCAGAAGATGAGGTCTCTACCTTTGAGCCGCAGCACCGGCAGTTCTACCGATGGGCACAGAAGATGTGTGAACACGCTGGCACAAAGGATCCCTTGCCGCTTGATCTCCTCGAGCAGAACAGGACTGTGAATAGAGCAGGTGAGCTGACTTTCCGAGTGGGCGAACTACTGCCCCAGATCCTCAGAGGCAAGGTCGATGCCTTGACTGTTCTGCTGGAGGATGATGGCATTGGCGGATACTACAGTGACCTCGACGCTCTCCGCGAGGCCTATGCCAACGCCTCTGTCTGCATTGACAAGATGGCGCATCAGAACCCCGAGCTCAATGTTATTGAAATTGGTGCTGGCACAGGTGGTGCAACAATGCCCATTCTACAAAGTCTGGGCGGAGGCGAGCCGGGATCTACGCCCCGATTTGGCCACTATACCTACACCGATATTTCCCCTGGCTTCTTCGAGAAGGCCAAGACTAAGTTCGAGAAATGGGGCCATCTCATGACTTACCAGACTCTGGATGTTTCGGCTGACCCCACAGCTCAGGGCTTCACAACGGGCACGTATGATGTTGTCGTTGCTTGTAATGTCCTGCACGCTACCTCCGACATCAGCCAAACGATGGCAAACATCCGAGCTCTGTTGAAGCCTGGTGGCAAGATCATGCTCATTGAGGAAACCGTCCCAAAGGCTCGCCATTTCCCATTCGCACTGCTCTCTGGATGGTGGTTGGCCAGTGACAAATTCCGCAAGGATGGCCCTCTCCTCACTGTCGAAGGATGGAGCAACGTGATGAAGGAGAACGACTTTACTGGTGTTGATATGTGTGTCGAGGAGTACCCTGGAGCCTCCTTCCAGTCGGGTTGCCTGATGACATCCACGGCTAACAGTCCCATTACCGGGCCGGTCAACCCTGGTGATGTGGTGATTGTTGGAATCGACTCAATTGGCAGTCTATCATCTCTGAGCCTGGAAGCCGGTATCAAGGGGATGACTGGTGTCAACCCTATAACTGCCATGGACTCTGACGAGGTTGACGTCACAGGAAAATGGTGCATCTTCCTTGGAGGCATGGATCGTTCGATTCTATCGCACCTCACCGAATACAAATTCAAGGCTCTGCAACGTCTTCTGAGTCGGGCTCGAGGTCTGCTGTGGGTTGTCCGCCATAGCAAAACTGACCTGGAGTCCCTTGGCGCGAACATGGCAATTGGTCTCGCTCGCACTGTCCGATCAGAGACTGGACTGCAGTTCGCCACGCTAGATTTGGGCGAGAAGGAAGATATGCCCGACGCCGAAGCCGTGAACCACATGCTCAAGGTCTTCAAGGGAGTCTTCTGCCAAAAGTCACAGCTGATGCAGAATGACTGGGAGTTCGTTGTCCGCAACGGGAATGTCTGCGTCCCTCGTCTGGTGGATAATAACACCTTGAATCTGAGTGTTCAGCAAGAGACCCCAGAAGCACCTGCGCAGCTGCAGCCATTTAAACAAGACCGAGCTTTGCGCCTCGCTGCCGGCGCCGGGCGCGGCCTCGACGAGCTTTACTTCACAGACGATGTCTCACGCAACGGACCCTTGCCTGCCGACCACATTGAGATCCGACTTTGCAGTACCGGGCTAAACTTCAGAGATGTGTTAATGGCCATGGGCCAACTTCAAGGTGACAGACTCGGGCAGGAATGCAGTGGAGTTGTTACCAAAGTTGGCTCTGCGGTCTCCGACTTCAAGGTTGGAGATCGCGTCTGCGCAATGTCACCCGGGTGTTTATCGACGTACACTCGATGCCCTGCTTCCGGGTCGTGGGTGATCCCTGACAACATGCCATTTGAGATTGCGGCCTCGATCCCCGCCGTATTCTGTACCGCCTACTACTCTCTTATCGATCTCGGACGCCTGGCATCAAATGAGAGCGTATTGATCCACGCTGCTGCAGGAGGCGTCGGCCAAGCGGCAATCATCATTGCTCAGAGCGTCGGTGCCAAGATCTTCGCGACTGTCGGTAGTCTCGAGAAGAAGAATTTCCTCATGGAAACCTACCAGCTGAAGGAGGAGCAGATATTCTTCAGTCGTGACATCTCCTTCGCTCAGGGTATCCAGGATGCTACTGGTGGGCAGGGTGTGGATGTTGCTCTCAATTCGCTGAGCGGTGATGCTTTGCAAGCTACGTTCGAGTGCGTTGCTCCGTTCGGTCGGTTCATTGAGCTCGGCAAGCGAGATATCACGACAAATTCTCGCTTGGAGATGGCCCACTTCAACAAAAACCTGTCATTTTCTTCTGTTGATTTGGGTATGGTCAGGGAGAAGCGTCCTCAGTTAACCAAGCGTCTGCTGCGTGATGTGTTCAAGCTGTTTGTCGACACCAATGCGCAGGAGAGGTGGCCGGTTACTACCATCCCCATCTCAGAGGTTGAGACTGGGTTCCGGGCTTTGCAGGGTGGACAGGTAGTTGGCAAAATGGTTGTCCAGTTTACCGATGATTCCATGGTCAAGGTATGTTTGCTCACAGACCCGACGGTTCCCTTTGATGTGCATAGTTGCTAACTCATCATTCAGGTCCATCCCGCTCGCAGAGACGAGAATCTTCTCCGCGCCGATGCGTCATACATCATTGTCGGTGGAACTGGTGGCATTGGTCTCGACATTGCTACCTGGCTCCCAGAAAAAGGAGCTAAGAACATCATCCTGGTATCGCGCAGTGGTCCCAAGACCGAGAAAGCGAAGGAGACTATTCAGGACATCATTCGCCAGGGTGTCAACGTGGAAATCTGTTGCTGCGATGTGGCGGATAAAAAGAGCGTGGAGCACAACCTTGTGCCTCTTCTCGCTCGTATGCCCCCCGCTCGTGGTGTCGTATTTGGCGCTATGGTTCTCCGGGTAAGTAGCTTCAAAGCCAGCATCATCCGGTATCTCCACTAACTTGTCCGCAGGATACACTGTTCGAAAAGCTCAGCTTCGCAGACTACCAGACCGTGATGATGCCCCGAGTGCACGGAATCTGGAATCTCCAACGGGCATTAACAACCACCAACGGCAGCGTAGACTTCTTCATCAATCTCTCCTCCGCAGCCAGCTTCGTCGGCAACATGGGCCAATCCCCCTACGCCGCCAGCGGCACCTTCATGTCCGCGCTAGCCCAGTACCCGGAAACCGCCAAGGTGCGCTTTTCAACCATCGACCTCCCCGTGGTCCGCGGAGTCGGCTATCTCTCCGACGACCAAAAGCGCGAAGCAATCACCAAACAACTGGGCACCGAATCCGTCGACGCGCGCGACATCCGCGGCCTCGTAACATCCGCTATCCGCAACGAGTTCGACGTCTCCTGCGACGGCCACTGCGTTGCCGGCTTCGAAGCTGTCAAAACAACACCAATCAACGAGCAACCCTTCTGGGTCAATGATTCCAAACTCTCGCACCTTCTGCGTCTATCCACCCTCGCTGGCGCGGGTGCATTGGCCGAGTCTGCGCAGACCTGCGCCGAGATCTCCCCGGCTGTCGGCATCCGACAGGCGAAGACCCGTGAGGCTGCGTCTGGTGTTGTTGGTAGCGCTGTGTTGAGTAAGATCTCTAGTATTCTGATGCGACCGCTCGAAGAGCTTGATCCTGCTTTGCCGATTTCTGTTTATGGGTTGGATTCGCTCGTTGCTATTGAGATTCGGAATTGGATTACCCGGGAACTGGAGGCTAATTTGCAGATTTTGGAGATTTTGACGAGTGATTCCGTACCGGCGCTTGCTGAGACGATTTTGAAGAAATCGGGCATTCTCACGCCGGAGTTGAAGGCTGATTGGGGGCTTGCCGCTTGATGTGGTTGACCATCGGGCTGGTCAAGAATGATTGATTGGTTGTATTGCCCCATTTACGTTCGTTTTGGATTTAGGTATATGCGGTATTGATTTCTTGCCTATCGGCAATGTCTTGTACTCTACAAACGCTTTTCTCTTATGTTTATCTTATTGTTACGAAGATCAGATTTTCATTCCGCCACTCATCTCCCCACTACACTAGACAATCGGACGTTCAGTGACTAGACTTTCAACTAATTCAGGGGCAGAGACATGCTAGACCAATAGGGCTGCATCTCCGACGGAATAGCTTGTGACCCTGTCAGCAAGTGCCACTATTGATGGTGCCAAGCTCAATTTCAATGAGAAGGTCTTGAACTGCATGCCAAGAACCAGGATTCAACCAATAAGCACAATCATACACGATCCTCCAACCATGAAAGTAATTTGGTCAATTATCACTAGGACCAATCTAGTATAGCGCACTGCTTTTCGGGAACGGATGGTCCTTGACGCATCTCCTCGGGCGTAAATAGGCGAAACCATCCGTACTACTCCGGAGTCCGTAGTATGTGCCCGTTCTGTTTAAATGGATTGATAGTTCTCCCATTCTGGACGCATTGGATTTTTTGTTATACCTACGCTCGCTAACATGAAGACCACTCCTTTCTGGGTGTCCATCGCCCTCTCAATTCCGGCTCTAGCAGCCACTGAATCCACACCTTCATCTGCTACAGCCACCACAACAACCGCAGCACCAAGCTGCACAGCATCCCTCATCACCAAACTCTGCGACTACCAGAAACCCGAACCAAACTTTGCCGTCGCTGAAGACACGAACTCATGCTGGGAGTACTGTGACGCCCACCCACCCTGCGACTTTGTCATCTTCGCCGCCGGCAACCCTTACACAGGCAGCGGCACATGCTGGCTATACCCCGGCGAAACCTTCGACGAGAGCAAAGGCAACCCGAATTGCGACTCTCCCAATGCCCATCCCTATCTGTCCGTCTACAGCAAGCCCGTGTGTTCTGGCGGCAGCGCAACCACGACTGGCGCCTGCGCCGCAACCGCAACGCCCTCTGCCATTGCCAAGGTCTGCGGGTACCCGCCGCCGGGTGGTGACTGCTGGGATACTTGTACGGCTAGTTCGGGAGCATCCAACTGCTTGAGTCAGTGTGCGGAGGCCGATGATTGCAGCTATGTCGTCTTTAACCCCCATAATGGCAGTGGCTCGCAGTATGCCACCGGCACCTGCTGGATGTATCCCGCGGGCAAGTTTGATGAGGGGCATGCGAGCACTTGTGATGGTGCTCCGGAGCAGTTCGTGTATAACAATGTGTGTCCTAAGCCACCTAAGCCGTCGACTTCATCGTCCTCCGGTTCATCGTCTACTACGGGAGGCTCTGGTACTGGTACTGGTGCTGGAACTGGAACTGCGACTGGTACTGCGACTGGTACTGGAACTGCAGGATCTGCTCCGGCGTCAACTACTAGCAGCGAGAGCTCTGCAGCTACCGGCCTCTCGGTCGCTGGTTCATTGGTCTTAGGTGCGCTTGTACCAATGTGGCAGGCCCTTGAATGATGTACTTGTATGTATACTTGGTCAGCTAAATCTACTGAAAGCGATTTATTATGAATTTATGGACATCGTATACTTCGCCGGCGCAATTGTAGAGGCTTAGGGCTATGAGTATATTGGCTTAGCACTGTCCATGGTTCGGATCGTTGTTTGGAGACTCGGATGAGGTTCTTTGTAGGCCACCAATCAGAGAACGCTAGTAGTTAAGGTGGTTGCCTAACTCTGGAACAGGTCCCCGGCTAATTGGTCACCTTTGAGTGGTCGGATATCGGCTTTCAAGACAAAAGAAGCAAATTTAGGTGAGTGGGGTCAAGTGAGACATTCGTCTTACTGGCTGATTTTCCAATTTCCACTGCCGACTTAGCGACTAGCTTGGACTTTTCCTCTTCTCATTTTAATCGACCCCAGGCAGTTTTGCCCCTGAGTGTTCTCTACGTTCTTTTTATTCTCGTCTGTCGCTACATTTCGTTTTTGATCCACCTCAAATCTTCCAAGATGAAGTTCCAAGACTTGGCAGCCTTAGGCTTGCTGCTTGTCACCGGTGCAATTGCCAGTGTCCCCACAATCGAAATCAAAGTACGCAATTCAGCTACTTGGCAAGCCTCAAATCTTGGAAGTCACTGACCTTCTCTCTCTAGGGCTCCAAGTTCTTTTATTCCAACAATGGAACCGAATTGTAAGTGTAGATCCCGTTCTTGACAGCATCGCATACTGATTAAAGTTGTTAGCTACATCCGAGGCATAGCCTATCAGGGTATCTACAAATCTCCACCGCTGATCTTCTACAGCAATCTCTGACGATCACACAGATGACTACGATGGCGGTGGTGCCAAGGGCACTGGGCAGACCAGTGCTTCTACCTACAAAGACCCTCTTTTCGATCTGAGCATCTGCAATCGCGATATTCCCTATCTCCAGAAGCTAAACACAAATGTTATCCGCACATACACTGTGGATCCCACCGAGGACCACGACGAATGCATGCAGAAGCTCGCTGATGCCGGCATCTATGTCATTACCGATCTGTCCTCGCCGGATATCTCTATCGAAGCTAATTCCCCCGTTTGGACCGTCGACCAGTACAAGCGGTATACCGATGTCGTCGATGCGTTCCACAAGTACGACAACGTGATTGGCTTCTTCGTTGGCAATGAGGTGGTCAATCAGCCAAACCAGACTGTTGCCGCAGCTTTCGTCAAAGCCGCTGCTCGCGATATCAAGGCCTACATCAAAGACAAGGACTACAGGAGTTCTCTTGCGATCGGTTACGCAACAACTGACCAAGAGGACATTCGCGGCCCGCTATCCGACTACCTTAACTGCGGAGACCAGTCAAGCGCCATCGATTTCTTCGGCTACAATATCTACGAATGGTGCGGCGCCGAGACATTCCAGACATCCGGATATAAAGACCGAACCAACGAGTACAAGAACTACTCGATCCCCATCTTCTTCTCAGAGTACGGCTGCAACACCGTGCGCCCGCGCAAATTCACCGATGTTGAGGCCCTCTACGGCCCTGAGATGAACGATGTCTGGAGTGGCGGAATCGTCTACATGTACTTCGAGACCCAGAACAAGTACGGTCTCGTCTCAGTGGACGGCAAATCCGTATCCACCCTCCCCGACTTCGGCTACTACTCAAAGCAGATCCAAAGCGCGACTCCCACCGGCGTCAACAGCGCCAAGTACTCACCAACAAACACCCCCCGCGCCTGTCCCACCCTGGACGATAAATGGCTCGCAAAGGCCAGCCCTCTCCCGCCGACCCCTGATACCAAGCTCTGCTCTTGCATGGTCGCGGGTCTGTCATGCGTCGTTAGCGATGATGTCGACCCCGATGACTACAGTGATCTCTTCGGCCAGGTCTGTGGATACGGTGCCCACATCTGTGACGGTATCATCCACAACGCTACCACGGGTGCGTATGGTAGCTACAGTGTCTGTGGAAGCAAGGACCAGCTGTCGCAGGCGTTCAACCGTTACTACGAAAGCCAGGATAAGACGGAATCTGCCTGTGACTTTGATGGAGCGGCTAAATTGCAAAAGCCCAAGCGTGTGTCCGGGGATTGTAAGGCTCCTCTGAGCTCGGCTGGCGGTGTGGCCGGAACGGCTACTGGTACGTCTGGAGGCCCTGCTAGCACCTCGACTTCGACGGGAGCTGCTGCCGCCACTGGTGCCCCTGGTCGGTTTGTGAACGGCTTGTCCATGGCGGTTGTTGCTGGAGCTGCAGCAATGGTTGTATAGACAAGAGTCACTCTTGGCTTTTGTGGACATTGTATAAGAGCCTTTTGTGATGTACTTACATGTACTGTGTAGATAGAAGAGCAATGCATGCTGTGTATGTACCTGATAATGCCCTGGCACTCGAGACCTTTCCCTTTATCGATTCCAAGGTGAAGTGCTCACCTCCTGCCGCTTCTTGACCACTGAGTAAAACCCAGCACGCCCCTGACTCTCTTTAGTAGGTACCCGGACTTGATAGAAAATTCTTAAGGCTGTGTACTCGCAAAGATTCCTATGAAGTTTGTATGATTCTTCAACCTGAGAGGCTGTGTCTATACCAATCAAAAGTGAAGCCGATCTGCTCAGGCTCACCAGAAGAAAGCGCGCGAAGAAGTCCACGTTTCTCCAGGTCCTGACAAAATTCCTTTCTCGCAAGGAATTCCACCTCTCCTATGCAGTTTCGATCCACAGAACCACTAGCTCGCCCGGCGAGGACGGTGGTCACTTCGCTACTTTCTATTTGGTCCTCCTTACTCTCCTTCAATTCGGTTCCTTCGGTCAATAGTGTTTTCGTGTGCGCGGCTAATTCTGAAACCGTGGCATACTTATAATACCAACATCTGTCGATGATATTATCAATCGGGGGATAGCCATTCAATTCCGGGAAACTCCATGTTCTGTAGTAACTCCACGACCTTAGGACCATGTTCGTAAGGATCCTCGGTAAGACAGCGATCTCCATAAACTTCAAAGCCGTAGTTTATCAAATAGTATAAGGAACCAAGGGCAAACTATTCCGTTCGGGGGCCTAAAAAGCCGGAAATTCCGCGTTCCCCTTGGTCTGATTCGTTATCATTGAGAAATCGGCCGTACGGAGCCATGCAACTTCGAAATGTGTGCCAATTTTCGCCGTAGACTCAAAATCGGATAGCTTTAGTCGGTTGCGATCAAGTAGAACATTCTCAGGTCGTAAATCACCGTGAGCGAGGTTGAGGGATTCCAAGAAGGCGACGGCTTCAGCAAGATCGTTCACCATTGCTTTCGTAGATGTAGAGGTTCTAGCTTTTTCACTGTAGTAACCACCATCGTTTGATGGTCCAGAGTATGGTTATTTTGTATCCTATAAAAAAGGGACTTGCCTAGGAAGTAAATTAGCAGATAACCTCATCAGGTTTGAACCGAACTGACTGCTAATAGGGGTCGCACCTCTCATGTACTCGAGGAATATCCAACTGCTACAATAGTGAAAACACTGAACAATAGAAGGACAAGGCGGATGCTGCGAGAATGCTTGATATATCTCGAGCTCTTTTTGGAATTGTTCTCTCTCGAATTCCCCGGACTTCGGGACTTTGACCACGATGCGAGGGTGGACTTCGTAAACAAATGAGATGCCTCCGCTCCCGATCCAGTGAACACCGGGAAACTGGCGTTGGAAATCCATGATTGAATGGTTGACGTCGGACGGTTGAGGGTAAAAGGGATAGGAGCAGGAAGACCTAGTTAGAAGTTAGGTTACTACCTAAGTTGACTTCGTAGAGGGGCAGCGACATAATCAATTATGATTGGTTCAATCGAGGCTACTTATTTTTAATGCACGGGACTGAACCTTGGAAATGAAAATGGTGTCCATGGATCTGGAAACGCAACCTCAAGTTGCCTAAGATTATCCCATCAAGGTAGTCCTAAGTCCTGACCACGTTAAGACGATTCTCGAAGGCTTCTTTGAGTAAAGGGGGATGGACAGTGACCAACTTATGGAACGAGGGCAATAAAGGCCGATCTCAACCAAGATATACTTACATTGGGGCCCTGTGCTATCATCAATGGGTCTCGCGGGCCATATCGACTTCTATGATTAGTCGAATGGGGGAATGTTGACCTGGAATGATGGGGTTGGGGGACACTCAATATTCAGTTAATGAACAACAGAATTACCTAGGTTTCTTTGCATTCCTTTAGGTAGGTTGTCATCGTCAAATATATGAAGGGATACCTAGTCATTCGTCAAGGCATTAAGGATCTATGACGGTCAAATTGGATTGAGTTCCTATACGGGGCTGGACATGAAACTATATACCTGCAACCGGCACGATGTACTTGTATGTAAGGTCCAACCTGCTGATGATATTGAGGCTTTTGGAGGAAACAAACCAGATGAAAAAACACCCGGTGTGATCGGAATACTTGTTGGAGAGCATTTTCAACCAGCTGCCTTGCCTCTTTGACTTCTGCAAGTATGTCTCGAAGCAGACGTGTTTTCTCGACCTGGGGATCTTCTATCTCAAAAGACGACGCGTGGGCACGCCTTGGAGGTGGCGGAGAGAGCACGACAGTGGGAGATCCTTGGACTTGGGGACAAGGCTTGCCAAGACGACTGGCCTTCTGCTTCTCGGCAGCCAGCCACGCAATGAGAGGTTCTGCGATCATCCGGTGCCTTGCCACCTGAAGCTTTCCACCTTTCAGGACGAGCCTCCATTTGGGGAGAGCACGACCAAGAACATCGTCCGCCAAGAGGCGATTTCCATGAGAATCGGTGGCCAAAGCAACAGGCCAATAAGGTGCGTTCACCGTCCAAGCAATGGCGCTAGTGATGTAGAACACTCTCGCTTCTGTTTCATGCACTCCTGATTACCGGATCTTATGATACCACGTATCTCGCGCCCGAATTGCTCAGATGCGGTCGAGATGCTCTCTGCCGCTAAGTTGACTGTTTCGTTGCGGGTCCCAAAGACGAGTCGATTCGGCCTTCTCAGCCATCATGTAGTGCTTACGGGTAGGAAAGCACTGTGAGGAACGTCATAAGTAGAGAGTGGTGCTATGACAGACTAGGGGGGTGATAAATGTGTGGATGATTCAACTTACCAAGTGGTTGACGAGGTTGATGAGAGATGACAGTCGGGGAGAGTGCGAGTCAGAACAGTCGTTGTGACTTGTGATTGAGACACAAGACCCGATAGGAGACTGAGAACCGAGAAACCGCTGGCTGGGCAGAGATCGCTTCCCGTTTTGGCGTGTTGTTTCAGCAACATCTGTCCAGCCAGCGGTTTCTCGGTTCTCAGTCTCCTATCGGGTCTTGGGTCTCAACCACAACGACTGTTCTGACTCGCACTCTCCCCGACTGTCATCTCTCATCAACCTCGTCAACCACTTGGTAAGTTGAATCATCCACACATTTATCACCCCCTAGTCTGTCATAGCACCACTCTCTACTTATGACGTTCCTCACAGTGCTTTCCTACCCGTAAGCACTACATGATGGCTGAGAAGGCCGAATCGACTCGTCTTTGGGACCCGCAACGAAACAGTCAACTTAGCGGCAGAGAGCATCCCAACCGGATCAGAACAATTCGGGCGCGAGATACGTGAGATCATAAGATCCGGTAACCAAGACCGCATGAAAGAGAAGCCAGAGGTGTTTTACATCACCAGCGCCATTGCTTGGACGCCCAAAGCACCATATTGGCCTGTCGCCTTAGCCACGGATTCCCATGGAAATCGCTTTTTGGCAGACGATGTTCTTGATCGTGCTCTACCCAAATGGAGACTCATTCTGAAAGGTGAAAAGCTTCGGATGGCAAGACACCCGACGATTGCAGAACCTCTCAGTGCATGGCTGGCTGCCGAGAAGCAGAAGGCCAGTCATCTCGGCAAGCCTTATCCCCAAGTCCAAGGATCTCCCACTGTCGTGCTCTATCCGCCACCTCCAGGGCATGCTCACACGTCGCCTTTTGAAACTGAGGATCCCCAGGTCGTGAAAACACGTCTGCTTCGCCATATACTCTCGACGGCGGATCAGCGGTGGTCATCGGACGTCCTAGGGAGCTAGGGAGCAAAAGAAGTAAGCAATGAGATCACATAACTGGATTGACAGCCTTGTCGGACGAGCGCCTGGTACTTACCATAGAGCCTTCTGCCAATTTCAAGGCAATCTCGAAAGCACTGGGCCTCCATTTGGGGCTGTTTGGGATGCCTATCTTCGAGGCTGCGAACAACTGCAGCTCCGTCCATCGTGGATTGTTGGGCAGCAAGAGCAGCCTGCTCAGTCTCCGTGTTGTCTGCAGTCGTCAGTATCAATCGTCATGGAGATGGTCGGTGAAGATGGAAAGAGATGGCGGCATACCTACAGAGACGAGGGGTCCAGTCTCCCTCGAGGCCGCGAGGCAGCCGAGGGAAGGACGCGCTTGGAGCCCTTAATTTTTAACTCGGACTTCATGAGGCGACTCATCAATAGATTCCGCGCATCAGATCAATCGGAAACCTCGTTGTCGCGGGTATATTGATTGGTCCGAGGATGGAGGTTGATGAGGGATCGATTGAGGAAGAGGAAGATGAAGTGAGAGGAGCCCTTAATATACCAGCCTTGGAACGACTAAGCGCTTGCTATACCGGGAATATGAACGGATCGTTTAGGCGAGCGCATTGGAGGGTTGTGTCACATTCTGCTATCGTGAGGCTGCGTTGCGGCTCACACTTCACGACGGCATCATGCCCTTTGGTCTTCAGATCCTGAACAAGGGCCTACCGAGCTAGGTAGGTGGATAACTCACCCGCTTCCTTTCCTCAATCGGTTGGTCTTCTCTCATTTTTACTCCGGCATATCTACCTACACGACACATGGGATTATAGAGTGTCCTGGGTTGACTGGTGGGTTTGCCAAGCGATTGCACCAACTACAAGAGCCACGGAGCCGTTTTATTGAACCATCAGTTACGGCAAAGGGAAATGTGTCCTGATAGGTCGTGGGGTGCACTTTTCGTACTGACATTCATCTCAAAACCAAAGTAGAAGCTGAAAGTTGGCTCGGCAGAGCACTGAGAGCAGCCGCAGACCGGAGAGGAAGATGAGTCGTTTGATCGATGGTGAATGCATCAAACGAGATTCTACACGCTGCAGGGGCGAATGGCTCGTATAATTACTCCTTAGGTCCTCGACAACTGATTTATATAGACAGTTTGGCCATATTAGTCGCCTGGTGGATGGACGCTTTGAAGTAAGTCATATTGTGCTTTCCGGCGTACTGGCTATAACTACTAGGTGTTGTCAAAACGAAGTACTCGAATTACGACAGTAATTCAAGCCAAATGCAAGCGATATGCAAATGACGAACGAAACCAAAACCTGTCACACCAACCTGTTTCCCATCCATCTGGCTTAATTTGCGATCAATCACTGTTTAAACAAAGCATTCGCATTCAGCATACTTGAATGTCTTTCCGGACACTTTGGCCGCCTCTTCGTTATCAACAGGAAAAATTGTATAGTGGGATTCGTTGTCGTCTGATTCCGCGGCTCATTCTTCGTTCTGCAAGATTGTGAGCATATTACCGATCTGCTAGCCCGACTCCTCGTCTATCAAGGCTGGATATTCGCCCTGTAGTCCAGTCCCACACAACTGCCCCTGCAAAGGAAGTCTGGCAGCGTTGGCTGGCCCGGCAGGGCAATTAGACGTGTTTCTCTGGTTCATCACTCCCGAGGTTGAACCCGGACAACACGAGGAAACAGAAAACCCCCCAAAAAACGAGGCAATGGCATCATACGTTGGATTTCTGTTCTATTCCTTTTTGTTTCGGTTCGCGCGTTCATTTGCGAGAAGAGAAAACCAGAATGGCGAAAAAAACCAACTGCTGGATGAGTGCTTGAGGATGTGTCATGGCACAGCTGTCAAGAGTTCTAAGGATCTCAGCCTTCCGGAAAGGCCTTCAAGCCTCAATCCGTAACCGCCTCACTCAGCAGCTGAATCTACCGCGAACATACCCAAAATTCCTCAAGATAGTCCAGCAACTCACGGGCTATTCCTTCGCTAACCATTCGAACGCATCAACATCTTCGAATGGTCACGATACCGATCGGATGGAAATCGGAGCGATACAAGCAATGCTAGTCGCCGCCGAGGCCAGCGATAGCGAAGGCGACTTCGATGCCACAATCCGAGGGACCAGATCATTTCTTTTAGGGGGGTGATGTCACGAGTTAGTGACATAGGTTTACAACTCAGATGAGAAGAGTCCACAGGGCGGATCTCAGGGATGTGTTCGGATAACTCTGATGACGTGGCATGATTACATCAGCCCATCATCTTTCACTTGTCTTCATCCTTCTGTTCCTCTTCCACCTTTGATAACCTGGCCAATTCTGGCCTCTGGCTTCGTAAAGGAGACGTTCAAACTTGGCAATGTAAGCAGCGAGGGACTCGATATTCTTTCTCTTGTAGATAGACGCCGAGACGGATCATATTGTGAATAAGATGTTGTTTGACTAACTATGTGTCAGGTATAGAGAGAGGGTTCTCATTTTGGCGCTTCTGGTGTTTGTGCTCCACCCTAGTCGGATCAATTCTCCTCCGAGGGCTGTCAACAAACCCCTGAATTCCTTCATGTCTAGATAGCCAGTCATTTTCACTCATTTTCTTGCACTGGATATTCGCATTCATATCCACCCTCACCTTGACAGCTTGTATCTCCGCTGTCCTCCGTATCTGTACACAGCCTTACGTATCGCTGCCATTCATGCTTTCATTGCCTCATTTCTAGGCTGTTAGTATGTAACACACTACTTTACGCAGTCACTTCATAAAGTGTGGGCATGCAGATATGACTGGTTCTTTTGACAATTGTACACATCATCTTTATGCGCATATCCGCGCCGGTCATATCAAGTAGACAAACCACTGCCGGCAGCAGTGCTTTTGATATAGGGCCGGCTATGACCTGCCGTACGCTGTACGCTGTACGCTAGTGATAACTGTGATCTGTCTTCTATCTACAACGAAATTTCTTGATACTCGCACCTCATACCACATCGACCAAAAGAGCAAGCGCAAGATGAGCAACGACTCAGTCCACTATCTTTCGCAGCTACCTGCAGAGCTACGCCGTATGATCTGGATGCACTGCCTACCGTATCATATAGCAGAGGCCATAACTCCACACATCTGCTAGAGCCGGCGCATGACACTCCAAAATGCTCAGAAGCCAGCTATCGCATACATCAACCGCGAGTCTCGGCAAAACTATAGCAAAGACGCCAATTAGAGGCGGCTGACGATAGAGCCATAGGATCGCTATGGCATTCATAACTCGCTTTCTCTTAATCTAACCACACTGGTTCTATACAACTCCAGGCATGAATCCACATGACTCACCATAACCCCAAAGGTCAGGCGTTCCAACGAAGAGAACCATTCCCGGTGACCTTTCCCGTGCCTGTGCCTGTGAATTTCACCGTCGCGTTCCCACTCACCGTTGCAGAACCACCCCCGTTGACATAGACATCGGCATTCCCACTTGCCCAGACCGTGCTATCGCCGTAAACGACGACATCGCTATTGCCGGAGGCGACCACCTGGCCGCTGCCGTGGATGGTCGCCTCCGCGTTACCACTTATCTCCACATAGCCACCGCTAACCACGGCAGAGTCGTTCCCGCCGATATACACCTTTTGCCGAGGTTTCTCTTTCTTAGGACGAGCCTCCTTCTCCTTTTTATCCTTCTTCGTGGGCTCTTTAGGCTTTTTCTCTCTCTTTTCCTTCTCATGTTTTCTCGTGGGCTCTTGGTGCACCGTAGGGTGCTGCTTCACAACAGCAACTACCGGGTAAAGCAGCGCCAAGGTCTCCTTGTCGATGGCAGAGAGCACAATATTCTCAGGAACCTCCCTCACCGCACTTTGCGTGTCTCCCCTCGCAATAGGGTAGTGCATGATCGAATATGGATCGTACGCCCTGTCCCACTTGGCATTGACGGCACTATGCGTATCATCGTTGTAGTTGTAGCGCACAGTGTCCAATCCCCATTGATTCCTGCGCATAAGACGATCGTAGTTCCAGTTGGCCTTGCAGTGCGGGTGTTTATGCTCGTGTACCAGGCCTAATGCATGTCCGAATTCATGGAGGACGTCGGCTTGCACCTTGTTCCGAGCTGCATCCTGCGTCGGATACCTGGGGTACATGTTGAGCCACATGGTGGGCTGGCCTGGGTAAGACTCGGCTTGACGTCCGATGTAGGCTTTGGAACAGTCTGAGAATAAAATCCGGATGTCGGAAGAGCTCATGTCTCGTCCGGGTAGAAATTTGAAGCGGAGGCGCATGGGGATGGAATGGTAATACTTTTTGATCAAGGATTTGACTGTATTCTGTTCGTATTCACCACCGTTTAGGAAACACACGTTGAGAACATGTTTGTTGGCTGGCCAGAGCCCGGCTGGTGGTCCCGCGCCCATTTCTCAGCGGTTGAAGGATTATTGGTCCCGTTCACGAGAAGCAGCTCCTGTTAGAAAGGCAAGCTGGTTGACAGGCAAGCTATATTCCAACTGTCAGTGGAAGAAGGTATTGAGCAGAGTAATCGGAGGGAACACGAGGATAACATATAAAGCCTCCTGTTTCCTCACTGGAAGGTCGAGGCGGTGCTTTTTACCCTTTGAGCCGCGTGGGCTATGCACATCAAATCTGGCTTACTATCGAAGCCGCCTGAGCCGCTTGAATCGTGCCTCAGAAAAGAAACAAATTACCTCGCTTGATGCGGGCACTTTTCTCTTTGTCGGAGCCCTGTCCACTGAATGGCCAATCATTGCAGCCAAGAACGCCATTATTGAGTCAGCTTTTAGCGTACATCTAACCGGATGCCTACCTATGATACGAGGTCATTTCTGTGGGGAAGTCGGGCGTTGGCTTATGCAGGCTGAACTCTGAAGGCTATGTATGTCTCTGTACTAGTGTCTTGTTCTACACCCGATGCATAGGTACCGGGGAGTAAAACAACGGTATATTCAGAAAGGAGATTCTTCTATTATTGATCCTATGAGAGCAGAGAATATATGCTGTATCGTTTTCAGGTTGCCCAGAGTCGGTGGCAGGCGGATGGATAGACCTGGAGTGGCAACGGGGTGTATCTCGAAGGTCTACGACTCAGTGATTGTCTTTTCGCTTTTCACTCTGTTGAGGTTCTTCTGTAGGAGAAGCCGGAGCTGCATTTTTCCCCGGCCTCTGGAGGGCTATCAGCGCAAATCCAAAGAGCGCAAATGCCATCGCCCCCCACCAGGTGTCGCGCAGAGCCAGTTCGTACAGACCTAAGATCTGACTTTTAGGTGCTCCGTCGAACGACTGGATGAACTCATTGCTGGCTCGAATGTATGCACCTCCCCCTCCTAAGGAGGAGCGCACATTCTGTGGGACCATGTCTAAGTTTTTGTTCACGCTCTGGTCAAAGATGATGGAAGGAATGGTCATGCCCCAAACTAGGGCAAAGCTGCGCAAGAAGTTGAAAAGGGCTGTAACCGCCGTCATGTCTTCCTCGTCAAACTGGCCCTGGACCATGGGCAGTAGAGTGGCAAGCAGCAGCCCGTTGCCTCCGGCGACTATTATCTGCAGCACAACGTGTACGACAGTCGGTGAGGTGGCGGTCAGAATAGTGAAGCAACCCAGACCAACTGACATCATTGCAAAGGCGATTAAATTAATCAACACGGTCCACGAGCGAGGGAGCTTTGACATAGCCACCCCGCCCACAATTGAAAAGACAACCATGGCCACGATCGTCGGCATGAGGTCGAATCCGGCCTGTTGTGGAGAAACTCCCAACACCGCCTGGAAATACACAGTTAGGAAGTAGTTCACCCACATAATAAGCATGCTCTGGATGAAGCTTTGAATTTGCAGGGAGATCGCAGAAACGTTGCGCAGCAATCGTAACGGGATCAAGGGACAAGGACAGAAATGTTCATAGACGGCGAACGCGACTAGACCACAACCTCCAAGTACCAGGGGGGCAATGATTCGTCCCGAATCCCAGGCATACATCGTTCCCCCCATGGTCAGGGGGAGGAGAATGGCGACGCTGGAGGCTGGAAGTAGGAAGTTTCCCACCCAGTCAAATCTCTTGGCGGTGGCTCGCAGCGACTGGGCGGCAACCCTCTGTTCGGCAGTCCGACTAGTCAGCACCGGGAAAAGGCAAACAAGCGAGGCGCCGGCGAGTGGGAGGTTGAGGTAAAAGATCCAGCGCCAGGTGCTATGATCGGTGATGACACCGCCGATTATTGGCCCAAAAACCAACCCAAGACAGGATGTGGCCATCACCATCCCCAATATCTGTGGTCTCTGTTGCAGCGGTAACTGGTCGCTGATGATGAGTTCGGCCATAAGCGGGATGGCTCCACCGCCGATGCCTTGGATGAGCCGTCCGCTCAAAATCAGACCAAGGGAATTGGCGGCGCCGGCCATCGCACTGCCAACAGCAAATACCACAATACTTCCTAGCATGATGGGCTTGCGGCCGAGCACCTCGGCCAGCCAGCCCACCAACGGTTGGAAGATGGCGGACGCTAAGGTATAACAATTTGTTACCCAAACGTATTTAGTGGTGTTCAGCTCCCGGGCTATGGTCGGCAGAGCGGTTACGACGATTGAACCCTCCATGGTCACTGCGAATCCGCTGAGACACAGGGTGCAGAACAGTACCCAATATTTCCATCCCAGCGGTGGAGTCGTAGGTTTTTCATCCTTGGTTGATGAAGGCTGGTTTTCTTCGTCTGGTGGTTTGCTCTCTGGCTCGGGCTTGAAGTCCGGTTGCTCGGACATGATCAAGTGAAGCAAAGCGACAACGAATGGTAGGATGCTAGGGTGAAGTGAAGCAGAAGGAAATGTAGGAAGTAACCGGAATAGAATAGCAGGCTGAATTTCAGCTCAGTCAGGTGTCCAGAGTTGGTCTTTGTTTCTCAAGGACGAAGAAAAGATCTTGACAAATGATGTAGCTCCCTGTCCACGGGCACGATCAACGAAACGACAGGGATCGGTAACCGATCCCTGCAGCTGCATCCTTAAGAGTACCCCTAGCTGTCTTGGAGTCTCAAAACACATTAAATATTACTGCTTGAAATGCGAACCAAAACGGACTCTAATACCTTCCATGTGTTAAACATCGTAGATCGGTGATGGGGAGGACACAGTACTAAGGTTGGTGGGTAACTTTGGTGTGATCCACGGATGTTCACTCTAGGTGGACCGTGGACCCGTTCCGGATCCATCCGAGGTATTTCGTGTTAGCGGCAAAGCTTAAGCACTAAAACGGAGAGGAAAAGCCAAGAAGTGGCAGGGGAAATCAAGTACGTAGGGTACGTGGCATGTGCTGTCAATCGCAAGTACAGTAAATGTAAGCTGACACAAGACGCTAGATACTGTAGCATCCCAGGTTCCGTCGTTCCGCTTCCGCTAACCATGGCAAAAATGCCTTCATGTAGGTGACAGGGAAAATGCTATTGGTCGCCAGCTGGGTGGGCTGAGTCTGTGAGTTATCGCATCCCCAGAAGCATACTATGCAGTAATAGACTCTGTATGGTTCCAACGCTTTGCTTCAGGTAGAATTCCAGGAAGTGACATGAACTGAACCTTGGAAAATGGGAGTTGTTCGTGCGGGAGTCGGGTCGGGCCGAGGATCGGGCCGATGCCGAGGGTGATTTACCCTGTTGACTATCTTGAATCTTGATTGTCTTTTGCACACCCATATTCTCACTCCAGGTCGATCCCTGTACGGGTTTCTTCGAGATTTCAGTTCCATAAAATCCCATAAGAATGATCATGGTTGGAATCAAGTAACGCCTCGGGGCAGACGCCGCCACGCCCAGAGTGGGCTCTCACTCGACGTTTCACATGGCCCTCCAGGGTGCGCTTAGACGTCGAGTAAGACCGATGATAACCTACTCATAACTCAAAGTACCCAGGTATTGCACTGCCCAAATCAGCCTCGTGCGGCGAAGCTAATCATCAAGCCTCGTTTACACCACTGCCTCATTCTGGTCGCCTCATGTTTGATGCGGGGTTGGAGATGAGACTCAGCTGTAGAAGAAAAGAATGGAACCTAGGAGAACATAAATAGAATCGTAGGTTTCTCCTACGAGAATTGTGTTGACAAATTACAATCTCACATCAACCCCATAGTTCAAAGAGATTTTGTTGAAACCCATTATGAGCCGAGAACAGATCATCCCAAGCCACGATCCACGCACGGATGCCCTCAACTTCGTGACCAACCAGGGCCGGTATACCCTCAGGGTAGAACAATTCATCGAAGCCGGCAGACCAGACGGTACCGAGACTCATGGCGCCCCTGCAACGCGCTATATCACGTCCAATGTACGGATTTCCATGCTTATGTGTGAGATTATATTCGCGTTCTGATCGCTCGTTTAGGGACAAGTAATAGACGCGCCTGCGATCAAGGGCATTTCGGGTCACGTTATCGGCTCGGGGCAAACGTTTACTATTCGTGATGACTATGACTTTGCCAACGCCGCTAATGGGAAGGGGTACCATGTGAATGCACAGCTGGGCAAGACGACGGTGGCCTTTACCTCGGGCGTGAATAGTCCCCAGGCATATTATGATCGGACGAATATGACTGGGGAGAGGTTGTATTATGATGGGATGCAGGCTGCTGCCTCATGGTATACGCAGGGTCATTCAGGCTGAATCCTAGGTTCGCACGGGAAATTGTTAGGTAGGTAGTAGTGTATATGCTCAATATATGACAACTGCCAACTGGCCAGCTCTTATAACGGCGAACTGGAATTGATACAAAAAAACCAAGTATCAAAACATCATCTGAGTCACGAGCAATCAAACATGTAAACGGCGGACCTGTGAATTACTGCATGCGGTTAGTTTTGCCTTTTTGGGTTTAGCGCCCCAATACGCCGTCACGTAACCTCCCTTCAATGCCAGCAACATAAAAGACCCGTCTTCGCTGCTCCTCCTCCCCCTCTCTCACTTTTTCATTCTTCCTACCTCTCTATCTTGCACTCATCGCCGCCCCCTTTCTTTTACTCTGGCCCCCACCGACTACTGCACATTTGCTTTCAGCCCGACGCACTGCCCCTTTCATTTTTCCCGGAGATGCCGCTTGATCCGACTTCCAGCTTGCAATGCCTGTCACCCAGAAGCGTAACTACTGGGATGATACAGCATCCTGTTCTTTCGTGTCGATGATCCTACTCCTTCCCTAGGGCAGTGACTGAGCACCATGCTACGAAGATATCTGGGTCTTCCTCTGCCAGTGGGCCTTTTCGTCTCTGATTCCGCGGGCCACCCTTCAAAGCTGCAAAGTGCCAGTATACCTTCGACGCTGCATATCCCTCTCCCGCCGCCCACCTGAGGTTGCATTGCACAGCCCCGGCTTCATAGAATGGCTCCCGGTTGCCTGGCCAAACGCCCAGTCTTCGTCATCGTCGGTCTCTTCCGTCCCTCTCCACCCAGTCGGTGAAAACTCGAAACAACAGCTCGGTCATGTGGGCCAATAGCGAAAATGCCGCACACTCCCTGGACGTTGGTCGATGCTGCATCTTGTGGTCAATGCGAGAATGCAACTGCGGGTATCTTTGCCAGTGAACCATAACTTGTTGTGGACTGAAACTAGCATGGTCTAGCGTCCTCGACTGCAATGGGTTGGATTGCAGGATTGGTTGAGATTGTCTACTCTTGGTAGAAGAAGGATTCCATCTTCCGGGCCTCCGTCGTCGTCTATAAAAGAGACTACAATTCCACCAATATGGCATAAATGGAATTCGAACCACCTTCAAGTTCTCCTCTTCGCCTGTTCCCTGTTCTCTGCCAGTTTCTTTGTTTTATGAGTGCCCGCACATCCCAAGGAGTCTTTAGCCGTCTCTTCACAATATATGTCAAGCGTGAGTTTTCCCTTTTATTTTTTTCGGCCCCGCAGTTGCGCATGATGCCTCACCCGACTGGACGCTGATCCTCACACTAAGCAGCCCTTTGGAGACGATTCTTTCGCCATGGCCCTCTTCTGGCAAAGATATCCTACGACTATCCAAGCTCAAACACCGAACTAGTTGATACGCAATCTACCCCTACGAGGAAAGGCTTACCGTAGTCCGCGGAAGAAAGTCATCTGTTGGTGAAACTCAAGGGAAGAACAGAATCTCGCGTGGTCAGGTGACGAAACTTTTTGCACAGAAATTCCCGGGAAGAAGCAAAGGGTCGATACAGGTGTACTGGAGCACGACGCTCAAGAAACAGCGACGAACTTTGGCGGACGCCACGTTGGAATGCCATCCTAATCGATACTTAAGACTACTCACTCCTTTTCTCTTGCACTTAAAACCCTTCTCTCTTGTCAGCATTGGCTCAACGTTACAATTATTCTCTACACGGCTTCGATCAGTTTAATAGATGGTTTAGTAATTCCACCTTTCATTGTCTTTGCCAAGCTTTCCGTATATCATCTCTGGAGGCACGAGACTCGTGCGAGCGGCGCTGATGTGCAGGAAAATTGACATCACCTACGAGCAAGCCAATCGCCTTGATTTCCATTGCTCAGAATATGGCAGGCAGCTGGCTGGAGCGTACCCGGGTTGGGACGCGGTCGGCCCCGTTGGTGTCGGCATAATCCGACATCGTGATGAACTCGATGAAGCGTTCGCAGATATTCTGCGCAAGCGCCCGCTCGTCGGGCTGCTTGCGGTCCGCGACGAACTTGTCGACGGTCTCGGCAAGGGAGCCGAGGACCTCTCGCCTGACCCTGGCCTTGCGGTCGGCTTCGTCGAGCTGGTTCTGTATAGCCGCCGAGGCGGATTCAGATCCCAGCGTGGGATGAGGGGGTTGTTGGTGACCATGCTGGTCCTTTCTGCGTTTCGCAGCATGGAGGTTCGAGGGGGACTCGGGGTCCTGGGGCCTAGTGAAATAGGCAGAGTTTTCGCCCTGAAGAGCCGGACGGGATGGCGTTGTCGCCTCCATTTCTCAGGCTTCACGCGGCGGGCGCGGTCGGCAAGAGTGAGGAGGTGTTAAAATGCGTAGACTAGGATCAAATTCTTGGAACTAAGCTCCTGGAAACCCTTTTTTCAAAGGTACCCCGAGTCGGAAATAGTTGTTACGTTGTAAAGGTGGCCTCCGAGAAGGTGGTTCTCAAGATCTACCATATATTGTCAGGTCAAGCTTCATTGAGGCGTCTTTATCGGCCTGTAGACTGGCAAATGCTGCTCGTGGATGATCAATGCACGCGTGTCAAGCATGACTCCATCGGGGATATACCGTGAAGTCCGAGGCGTTTCTGAGGCGGAATCTTTGATACAGCATTAGGTCTAGACCTGAGATATCGGCACCCGGCGACAATGTATCTTTAGCAGATTGAACTTGTGATTGGTTGATAGTGGCTACAATATACAAAATTGAATTTAAATGTGATTGGTTGATAGCGACCACAGCACGTGACACCCTTTTTGGGGAAGGGCGTTACGCCCACTTGATCTGATCCGTCCCATCACGTGATAGATTAGTACTCATCTCTGAGCACACCCTGAGCGCTCAGATCGCACTGATAGAGGGCGACTGATCGGGAATGCGCTTAAACCGAGTTCCCAACAGTCGCCCAGTGGACTGGCAACCGCTCTCTTCAGCTGTCGGCAGGCCTGACAGCAATTCCGCAGAGCATCATATACTTAGAGCGAGCTACATCGGGCAAACGAATACTACTACTACTACTAATAGACCTCGGCACGACCCTGAATCATGACCTGACCCGCCAAGACGCCAAGGAAGGTCGCTCCGTCCGTCCTAACGACCCGCCAAGGCAATTTCTTAATATCAATCATCCCGAATAGCGGAATAGGAAAAAGTTTCATTATTTCACATTAAGCTAAAAAAGTCAGGGTCGTGCCACTAAAGAATCGTAAAACACGCGTTCGCTCTAAATGATAGCTATCACCGTGTTGGTCAACGATAAGCCGTTAAAAAGATTTGAAGAAACTCTATAGTTCTACTAGACTACTGATATTAATCAAAAGCCAGCGGAGAAACAGCTACGTGAATAGACCAATTTGCTCCGCATAGGCAAAAAGATCAATGTTCTCATTGCCTTCAATTATAGCTAAGATAATGACGATCAGACAAGCCTGCATCATAGAGGGCAGAAGAGAGGCCGTGTGTCAGCAATTAGTAGGATGCTGGCTGAGCGTGAGGCACATATTGATGCAGAGGAACAGGTTACCGGACGGCCGTCGGCCATCAACCTGGAGTCTTGTGTACGATCGTATGCGATGTGTCATTCACTTGGGTCCACTAAAGTCTGATTGGTGCTGGGAGGACCCAAAGGACAAGAAACATTATGCACCTTGAACGACTCATGACAATGCACTGCAGCCCTCATCGTACACAGGCCACGAAAAGGTGGTGGTGGGCTCCCTGATCGAGGAAGATTTGGAAAAAAATGGAATCGGAGTTTGCAGGGCGTGGCTATTGCTTTTCGAACACATATGTTCATGATTGGGCAGAATAATGAGCCGTTCAGATCGGAAATAATCATGACCTTACCTATGACTGCATTTCTTATGACGTTGCAGAAAGCAACCTTTCTGTGAGTTAGGTGGGCAGTAATGAGGGGCAAAGGTGCAGAATCATACGCACATGGATTGAGCCATTTCCCATTTCGCATAGGTGCAGGTCGCATGGTGAGGTTGTTTTTCTCCTACCCATGACTGCATATATCATGACGTGGCAGGAAGATATTCAGATAAAAAGTCGGACAGAAAAGTGGTCACTTTTCCTTTTCACTATTATTTCTGAGTGCACACGTCAAAAAAAGTCTGGAGAGTCAACATTAAACCAAAAGGATCCTCGATCTCTTATCCCAATGAAGGAAAATTCACAGTGGCAAGAGCCAATTGCCATTGTCGGCATGGCCTGTCGCCTACCTGGTGGGATAAACAAACCCCAAGATCTATGGGATCACGTCGTTCAAGGACTATCCTCAGATGGAGATGTGCCATTGGAACGTTTTGATGCCGAGAACTTTCTATCTATGGACCCCGGTCGACCTGGGAAGGCTGCGGTGTCTCGTGGTCACTTCCTCGATCGAGATCTCGGAGATTTCGATCATCGGTTTTTCGGGATCAGCAAAGATGATGCAATGGCGATGGATCCTCAACAGAAGCAACTGCTGGAAGTGGTTTACGAATGTCTAGAATCCGCTGGAATTTCTACAGCACATGTCAGAGGAGCGAACATCGGATGCTATTGTGGATTGTTCACCTCGGATTACCATGACATACAGATGCGGGATCCAGAGAATCTTCCAACGTACATGTCTATCGGAACCGCCAGGTCAATGCTAGCTAACCGAATCAGTTATGTGTTCGATTTCCGTGGCCCAAGGTGAGACCCGCAAGGCAGGATTGATTGTTTCAGTTCTCGCTGACTGTATTCGTAGCATCACGTTCGACACAGCATGTTCTACTTCTCTCGTCGCTCTGCATGTCGCATGTCAAGCCCTTCATTCAGGAGATTGCGATGGAGCGATAGTTGGCGCCACAAACCTTTTCATCAACCCGGAATTTGCGTTGGCTATGTCACGTTTTGGAGTCCTGGCTCCGGACGGGCTGACCAAGACCTTTGATGCCGATGCACATGGATATGCACGCGGCGAAGCAATAAATGCCGTCTATATTAAGAGACTGAGCGATGCGCTGAATGACGGGGACAATATTCGTGGTGTTATCAGAGCTACCTGGACCAATAGGTTCGTCCGTCGATATCCAATTCAATATGTTTTATTAAGTGGCAAGGGAGATTTGTTGACAGCTGAAATAGTGACGGGGCCACGTCCGCGATCACTGTACCTTCTCACGAAGCGCAAGCAGATGGTATACGGAAAGCTTACTCGTTGGCCGGCATCGAGGATTTCGACCAGACGGGATACTTTGAGTGCCATGGAACTGGAACACCAACAGGCGACCCTATCGAGGTGTCTGCAGTGTCATCAGTATTTTCACCAAACCGGAAGAGTACTGAGCCCCTGTGGATTGGTTCTGTGAGTGATTTCCCCCCTGGCTCGATGAATATTGATGAAGGCAAACTGACCCAATGGTGTGGTATAGACCAAACCAAACCTGGGCCATTCTGAAGCTGCAAGTGGACTCACTAGTCTCATTAAAGTTGTACTTGCCATGGAGAGTGAAACAATACCACCAAATATCAACTTTGACGAACCTAACCCGAAGAGTAAGCCCGAGAACTGGTACATGGCAATATTTCTCACTGATCTTTTTCCCGTCTAGTTGATTTTGAACGTTGGAAAGTTCGTGTACCAATGAGCGCCCAGCCTTGGCCCGAAAAATGCATGCAGAGAGCGAGTATAAACTCATTCGGAATTGGTGGATCAAATGCTCATGTCATAATTGAGTCTCAGCAAGAATACCGATCTTTCTCCGACCATGCTCAAACCGAAAGACGTCAAACGAATCAATTTTTCCTCATACTTGTGACAGGCAACTCGGTGCACTCTCTGGAGATGAACATTTCAAACCTATGCATAGCCCTTCAGCAACCTGCATATAACACAATCCCCTTGTGCCAGCTATCCCAGGAGATTAATACTCGAAGCCAGCCGCGAAACAGGTTTTTTAAATCCTATTTTACCGTGAAGAGCACCAAGGAATTGGTAGAGGCACTCCAGGGCTGCCATTATGAGCGCCCGCAGTATCAGCAAAAACACATTGAACCTCGTTTACTCTTTACCTTCACCGGCCAAGGCGCATTTTGGTCCCAGATGGGTAAGATATTGATGGATCATTTCACGGTAGCGGAAGAAACACTGAGACAGCTTGACCGTGTGGTATCCGGCCTTCAGTCCGACAAAGCCACAAGGTGGTCACTAGTTGGTAAGATACCATAGATCATTGAAGGTGTTGTTGAAATGTTCTTATGTTGAAACGCTTTACCAGATAAATTGGTCACCCCGCTATCGTCAACCGAGATCGGCTCTGCAGCACTCGCTCAGCCGTTGTGCACTGCAGTTCAGTTAGCACTGGTTGACGTTTTGGCTAGTTGGGGGGTTCACCCAGATGGCGTTGTAGGCCATTCCTCCGGCGAGATAGCTGCCGCTTATGCCTGCGGCGCAGTTAGTGCGATTGATGCAATAAAGATCGCATATTACCGCGGAATTGCTCTGGACAGCGCACCAGAGGGTGGCATGATGGCGGTAAACTGCAATGCTGATCGCAAAGAACTGCAAGATATATTGAGCCAGGCCGACGTGTCCATTGCCTGCATCAACAGCTCTGATAATATAACGATCTCCGGTACAGTCGAAGGCATTCAGGGCGCTTTTGTCAAGCTACGTGATATGGGAATCTCTTGCAAAGTTTTACCTGTCACCCGTGCCTATCACACAGGCGCGATGGATGGCCCCGCATCCAATTATTTCAATATGCTCCAGGAATTTCTCCGTCCAAATAAGGCCAAACTTCCATTGTATTCGTCAGTTTCTGGAATGAAAGTCGATGGAACCGATCTAGACGCTCGATATTGGGAAACGAATCTGCGAACTCCAGTTCAATACTCCAAAGCTGTCAACCTGGCCCTCACATCAATGTCTACACTGGATGCATTTATGGAAATCGGTCCCCATCGTCTGTTGTCTCGCCCTACGCAAAAGATTCACCAAGAATTTGATCCCAGTGGCGTCAGATATCCTTATTTTTCCACCATGATTCGAGACTCCGATACTTCATACCAGCTGATGAAGCTTGCTGGTGACCTTGTCGTTCTCGGAGTTGACGTGAATTTACGTGAGGTGAATGGGCGAGTGGTGTCGGGGAGGCATACCAGTCCGTCAAATAAATATTTGTTCAATCTTCCATCCTATGCATGGGACTACTCATCCAAAACTTGGTCCGAACCTCGTCAGAGTCTTGAGTGGCGTCTACGTCACGCTCCGCGACACGAACTTTTGGGAAGCCTCATCCCTGGAGGCAACCCTTTAACTCCAACCTGGCGAAACATCATCTCCCAACGGGAGCTACCCTGGGTCATCGATCATCAGGTCAGCGACAATCAGCGATTCCTCTCTCCATTGATTTGCCCAATTGACAAGATATAGATAAATGGCGTAGCAACTCTTCCTATCTCAGCTTACGTGGCAATGGTAGTTGAGGCCTTGATGCAACTGCGGGAACGAAATTGGCAGGGTCATTGGAACCAGCCAAGGTCTGAGTTCAAAATTGAGAATCTGATTCTTTCGAGATCGATCATTCTTCCGGATGATGCACCGGTCGAGACGTTTGTCTCGCTGAATCCTTCCCAGGTATCTCGATCCCGTGTATTATCGGTTGACTTCAACGTTGTTTCAAGGAGACAGGATATTATGACATCGCATTGTCAAGGGAAGGCTTATATCGTCAAGGGTAAATTCTATATACGTAGCCCCTGTTTGTTTCTGCTATTAACAGCCTCCCAGTTGATGATCTCGAGACCACTCGCGAGCCCCATCGACTTCCACGCAGCGACTTACCGCTGTCCATACCCGTCGAAAGATTCTATAAGTCCCTGGAACGCGTCGGTCATGGGTACGGTCCCAAGTTCCGCCTGCTATCCGAAATCCGAGTGCGTCCGGGATCGACATTTTGCGCCGCCACGCTGAAGGCGCCATCCCAGGATACACCTCGCCAGCGATACGTAGTGCACCCTATCTTACTAGATGCTGCGTTACAGACCTTGGTCCTTTCGCAATCGGCCGGCCTCTACCAAGAGTTCCAAACCACGATCCTCCCTTCTCATATCAATTCAATCGCCATATCCGTCCCGTTTGAGGGTTCTTTCAGCTCATGTGTCACAGAAACACAACCATCCGGGTTCGGGCACATCACAGGCACCATCGAGTGCTTAGATGCTATTGGAAAGCAATTCATGAGCATACATGGCTTGCAGATGAATCATGTGATGAAGGAGACGAACACCTCGATGCCGTGGCTACGACTAGTCTGGAGGCCCGACATTGACGATGCCATTCGTAATGGGTCCGCCTCATGGTGCTTTGCAAAGTCCGAAAGCTCAATCAAACAAGGGATCCAGGATCTCGAAGATCTCATCGGAAGGTTGATTGTCCTAAGTGATGACGACGACATTCGAGTTAGCGAGAACGCCTCGCCCCACATGCATTTCTATCGTAATTGGCTACGCCATCATGCGAAATATTACCGGACAATGAAGTCGGAACACGAGGATCCCCAGTGTTTCAGGCGTCTTGATACCAGTACGATTTCACAGCTGGTGTCTAACTACAAACACCTTGATTCGGTGGGCACTCAACTTGCCTCACGCTTAGCACTGAATATGAAGCAAATTTTTGCTGGCCAAGTGGATTCCCTAGCTGTGATGTTGGAGGATGATCTGTTGCATAGGCTCTATGAAAACAGCTTTATGGTTGACAGCATGAACCGCAAACTTCGAGCTGTGGCAGAGCTCCTGGCACATAAGAACCCAAATATGAAGATCCTGGAAATTGGAGCCGGCACTGGGGGTGCCACCAATCAGGTATTACATGGATTTCTCCAAGTCGGAGGAAGAGCCAGCTACCAGTCCTATACGTTCACTGATATATCCCCCTGGTTCTTTGACAAAGCTAAGAGGAAGTTTGCTGGTTTTGAACGCATGACGTTCAAGGCTCTCGATATTGAAAAGAGTCCGACTGAACAAGGCTTCACTGACAAGTACCATCTAATAGTTGCATCGAATGTGAGCGAGATGTAGTTCAAAAGCCCGAAGCCTACTAACACAGCCGATAGGTCCTCCATGTAGCATCAGATATGGAGGAGACGATGAAAAATGTCCGTAGCATGCTGGAGGACGGTGGGCATCTTCTCCTGGCAGAGCTTTCTGGAGGTACGTTGTTCGGGGGCAATCATCATGCACATGCTGATCTTATGTATACTTAGATCTGATCGCGCCTGGATTTATTATGGTAAGAGATACCAGCTACTGATGCTATGGTCCAGAGATACTAAGAATTGTTTAGGGGAGTCTGCCGGGCTGGTGGCAGCGTTCACAGAATCCAACCAAGTCAGGACCTGGTCTCACTCATGAGGAATGGAAATGCCTTCTATCGGCGTCGTGGTTTTCTGATCCAGTGGATTTAACGGCCCACGCAAGCACTGGATCACCAGAGGACTTGGATTATACGAGTGTCATGGTTGCAAAGGCAATTCCAATTGAATCTCCAAGTGAGGTTCACCTGGAAGCTGTACATGTCTATATTACGGGGCCCGGCAGCTCGGCCAAAATCCAGAGGTCATTGAAAGACAAACTTTCCATCCATGGAATTGATGCCACCTTCCAAAGTCTTGCCATACTATCCAGCCAGCCCCGGCCCGGAGAATGGCTGGTTCTCTTCGATACCGTTGGAGACAGTATCCTTTCTTCCCTTCAGACGAGAGAACTGGAAATACTAAAGCTGTGGCTCGATGAGCCTATCAATTGCTTATGGATTACGAGAAATGTACACTTGAAGCCCCAGAATGCGGCAGGCGGCTTAGTGATGGGTTTTGCACGCACACTCCGTCGCGAGAATGACGGGTTACAATTTTACACATTGGATTTCAGCTCAGATGACAGTGAGACCGTTACCAGTATTATCGAACATATCGTCTCAACGTTCTCCAAATCCGGCAATGAAAGAAGCCTTCCACTTGACTATGAGCTTGCAGAAAGGGATGGTCAGCTTTGGACGTGTAGACTACAGCCAGACCCTCGATCTCAAAGAGCATTTGGTTTAACTCGGCAAATAGACCAACCAATCAGTCATATCATGCACAATCCATATATTTTGACAGTTCAGGAGCCCGGCGTTCTTGACAGTTTGATATTCGCATCATACGACGACCCATGTGCTACAATGACTGATGAGGACCTATTGATAGAGGTGAAAGCGGTGGGACTTGACACAGAGGTAAATATTGCTCTTCAATCTTTGATGGAATAGCAACTGAAATTAGAGCAGGATATGCAGTCGTTCTGGGGCAGGTCAGAGAACATGTTTTTCGGCCGAGAATTTGCCGGGGTTGTGAAGCAATGTGGAAGTCACACTCCAGGCTTCCACCCAGGAGACCATGTGGTTGGAATTGGCGAAGGCACGTTCAAGACGCAACTGTTGGCATCATCAGCGTGCTGCGTCAAAGTTTCTAGCACCATTCCATTCGAGGCAAGTAGTGTCCTGCGTTGGTTATTGTCAATCAATAACTAAAGTAGTATAGTATGCGGCGACCATCCCGATTTGCTTCATCACGGCTTGGTATGCACTTATCGATATTGCATATATTTCCAGGGACACGGCAAGTATCATTGAGTCTTCACCAGTTAACGAACAACATTCTGATGTAAACTTTGTACTTTAGAGAATTCTGGTTCTCAACGGATCGACAAGTCACGGTATTGCTGTGATGCAACTAGCCACGTTGTTTGGCGCTGAGGTGGCCACCATCATCCCTGATGAAAAGTACAAGCACCTCCCCGAGAAGTGCGGCGTTGCTCCCGGAAATATATTTGTTATTCCAGAGACACGAATCGACCTCCAAAAGGAGGACGTGATGGAAAGCGAGCCCTACAGCGTTATTGTGGAACCTGTTTCCCACAAAGCAAAAGTCTATGCAGGTTTATTGGTCCCTGGTGGTAGGTACATTGAGATTGGGCGCAACAAAGCCAGTGGAGACTTGACGAACGGAGAGGCTCACCCGAGCAATATCACTTTTACCAATCTTGACATCATGGATCTATATCGACATAACAAGCGACACCTTGGAAGGTACTGTCCCAAAGATTATAAATGGCTTTAGCTAATGCTAATATTGGAGCAGAATTCTGGACCAAGTCATGAGTTACGTAGAAAGCGAGGAGCTGAAGGGCATCATCCCCTTGGCTATAGCAGAGTTACAAGACTTGAAGTCTGCTTTTTCGGGTATGGCAAACGGGTCCCACGAAAAACAAGTGGTTAAGCTCAGCTCCAGTGAGAACCAATCCATCATTATAGTATGAACACACTCTCTGCCCTTGGCGAATATTCCTGGTTGGGCTAACATTTGTGAAGACACAACAGAAACCCCATCGTCTGAACGCGGACAAGACATATATCATCACTGGAGGCCTTGGCGGCTTGGGTCGTGAGATTTCAGTGTGGCTTGCAAGCCGCGGAGCCCGAAGGCTTGTGTTATTGACAAGCTCGCCAACTCGGGCTGTTGGTGCCAAGGATATTTTGAAAGAATTGGCCGCATATGGCTGCGAGGCAAGAGTAGCTGTATGTGATGTTGCCGAATTGGCAGATGTCAGCAGAGTCATCGCTTCGATTAAGACCCCCGTTGGTGGCATTGTTCATTCCGCTCTTAGATTGAGAGTAAGTCTAGTCCTCAAAAAAAAAATGGGACCTTTCATCTCACACATGGTGGCAGGATCGAACCTTCACCAACATGACCTTGGATGACTTCAAGACGGTGCTTGACCCAAAGCTACAAGGCTGTGTGAATTTGCATAAAACTCTCCGTAACGAGAGCTTGGACTTTTTCGTGATGCTGAGCTCTTGTTGCGGTATTGTGGGAAGTCCAGGACAGGCAAACTATTCAGCGAGCAGCACCTTCCTGGATAGCTTTGCTAGATACCGTTGCCACCTTGGCCTTCCCGCCGCATCTATTGACCTGGGCTACGTGGAGGAGGTCGGTTATGTGGGTGCACACCCTGACATCGAGACTAGGCTTTTGGCAACTGGAATCAAACCGATTTCACTGAAAGACGTGGTCGACATTTTAGAGGCTGCTATCCTGACAATGCCTGGTACACATCGTGATCCGAGCGGTATCAAGCAATACGATGCATACGCACATAGTCAATTCATCATGGGGTTCAGCGCCATCGATAAGCTTACTACAGGTAGCCAAAAATGGGCCAAAGACAAGAAATTTGACCCTCTACGATCAATGGACAGTGACATCGAGTCACCCGATGCACTCCTAGAAGAGGGTGAAAGTGCCATCCAAACGGCCACCAAGAAGTATCATGATGCCATACGTCGGCAGAGTGAATTCCCTTCTGGTAAGGAGGAAGCGGTCCTGCAGCCTATCATTTGCTCATTGCTTATGGCCAAGATGGCCCAAGTGTTAGCAATCGATGTCGGTGAGATTGGGGCTATGCAGTCGGCCGCCGAGTTTGGAATTGACTCCCTCATGGCCATTGAAGTCAGGTGCTGGGCAAGAACGATTTTTTCCGTTGACCTTCCTGTCAACGAACTTATGAGTCCGTATAGTTTTTGCGACTTGGCTGGAAAGATTGTTCGAAAAGTCTCGCAATCTTAGGAAAGGTGGAGAATTCCTCGAAAGAAGGACCCATTCCATTCTTATTAAAGCATACGCGGCAATGAAGCTTTCCTATCTGGAGACTTTACTTTCAATCTTAATTGTATCCCTTCATTTCCAAAACGTATGTAATCCCACTCAAGTATTTATTTTCAGCAGTGAAATACTATTACGACTTCCGTATCGTCCGAGACCCATATCATTTGGCGCCCAATAGTGTCAAGGTGCAGGCTCAGGCAGACAGTCAGATAGACAGTATCAGGTAAACAGGTTTGTATTGATCAGAATTATAGACAAGACGTAGCTCGAAGAGCTACAACAGGATCGGGTTCAGAATATGTAAGAAAACCTCGGAAGGGGCACGTGCCAAGTGCACGTGCCAACATAACACTCTATCAGTATCAACTACATACATCCAGGCACAGGCTCACACCGTGACAGTACCCCCTCCTTACGATCGAGCTCTGTCGAGATCAGCACGGGGCTTATGGGGATAACGCCGGTGGAAGTTCTGTACGATCTCTTGTGCGTTCTCTAGGTATGCAGTGGGTTCTTCAGTTGGCTCGTCGTAGCCAGTCCATTTGACAGTGTATTTCAATCGGGGAGGTCCTCGGCCTCGCTGCTCCCATCGGGAATCCAGAATCTCTTCGACTTGCCATTCTTCTAGGCCGTCGACCTCAATCGGTGGGGCCGGTTCTCTCGTTTGGCAGGGAACAGGGTCAGTGGCGGCAGGCTGTAGCAAGCTGACATTGAAGACCGGGTGTATTCTCATGCTTCGAGGCAGGTCTAGTTTGTATTCATGTGAGCTAATCATCTCAAGCACACGGAACGGTCCCAGATCCTTCCAGTCCAGTTTCTTTTGAGGGCGCAGGGTCTTGATATTGCGGGAATTCAGCCACACATATTGGCCAACGTGGTAGCGGCGGGCAGGTTGTCGTCTTCGGTTCGCGTGTTCTTCATAGCGGGCTTGTGCAGACATAATCTCAGCACGGACGAAGTCGGTGACAGCTTGCATCTTATTGGTGAATTCATTTGCGTCTCTAGCTGCAGGGCGGGCCGCTGGAATACTTGGTTCAAACCCAATGCTGGGGTGAAACCCATAGTTCGCAAAGAACGGGGACACATGGGTAGTCTCGGAGACGACGGAGTTAGCGGCAAACTCAGCAAGTGGAAGCCACTCTGACCAGTCGTCTTGCAGGTATAACGTGTAGGCGCGCAGGTATTGTTCCAGAGTCGCGTTGGCCCTTTCAGTTTGGCCGACAGTCTCGGGGTGATATGCGGTAGACAGTAGGATGGTGATCCTCAGGCGACGGGTCAGATGTTTCCAGAACAGACTGACGAATTGGGCTCCTCGGTCGGATACAACTGACTGAGGCGGTCCGTGCAGTTTCCAAACATGTCTGATATACAGGCGGGACACTTCCTCCGCGTTGCAAGTACTTTTACAGGGAATGAAGTGCTTCATCTTAGTCAGACGGTCCACAACGACCAGCACGGCGTCGTATCCTTGGCTGGGTTCCAGGTGTGTGATGAAATCCATGCTAACGTGTTGCCAGGATCTCTCGGGGATGGGCAAGGGCTTCAAGCTTCCTTGCCGAGCTTCACGGGACGGTGTAATACGGCGGCAGGTGTGGCAGTTCCGAGTCCATTGTTCCACATATCGGTACATTCGTGGCCAGTAGTATTCGCGGGAGAGCAGTTCGTACGTCTTCGAGCGGCCAGGGTGTCCAGTGGCGGGTTTCTCGTGGCATTGTCTCAACAGTTCGGCTTTCAGTTCTTCGTGGTCGGGAACATAGATTCGGTTCTTATAAAGCAGGTAGTTGTCTCTTCTCTCGCAATCAGCCAGGGTGATCTCAGGGTGTCTGGTGGCATTCTGGTCCAATGCTCTCAGGATTGATTGTACTGTTGTGTCTTGCGGGTATGCAGAGTCCATCAGGTTTTTGATTGTCTGTGGGGGTTCAGGTACTGCTTCGTCGGCAAAGTGGACTCTCCTCACTCGTGGTGAGCTGGGTTCGGGCAGGGGTTCAGGCTCTGGAGGTTGCTCGGGTGTCTCAGTAGCAGCATCAGGGTTCTCAGCAGCAACATCAGGAGTCTCAGAGTTCCGAGTCTGGGATCGCGTCAATACGTTCAGTCCTTTGTAGATGATAATGCTACTGGCAAATCATAGATAGATAGATGGATAAGTAATCGATCATGGATCTATCTGGGCGAGGAATCTCCTAATATATATCCTCCAGAAAAAGGTCACCTGACCAAACAAAGCCAGGCTCAAACCACACGATCAAACAGATATCTGGGGAAAGCTCAGTCTGCAAACATAGGGATGGTGATCCCATCTCAACACTTTCTCTTTGGCGATGTTGTCTTGATGAGCAAAGAAGAGTTTCCTACCCATGATTGAGCTATTGCCGAGAGAAACGATAAGATAGAACCGAAAACTCAGAGCAATGATGGAGAAAGTGAAGACGAAATTGTTTGAGTAGTACAGTGATGCGATAGACCTTGAATTTATACCTGAGCATTTAGTATAGGTAGCTCTAAATAAACAATCTACTACAGTGGTGTCTGATTAGTATTTAACCTCCGGTACATTGGGGGCCTAGGACCCACTTTAATACTGCCAGGCAGAACCCTCGAGAATTCGAATTCATCCAATAGTTGGTGACGCGTGAGCTTTAGATAGCTGGTAAAGTAAGCGGTCTAGATAGCGGTCAAATAATAAAAGTGGGGACCTAAGTACTGGAGGTTAAATACTAATCAGACACCACTGTATTACCTATCCTGCCACACCACCTGACGTGTAAGCCCATGCCTTACCTTTTTGCATCATCTCATTCTACAAATAATCTGAGGGGTGGGGTAAAATTGGAGGATAGGGCACTTTTAGAAAGGGGCATGGTCAGGGCCATCAAAAACACCATGGCCATTCTTTGATACATTTTGCACCTTAGCGTTCTTCATCAACTGATCGCTTCATTTTTCCATCGGCTTCAGTATAGGATTGACCCATCTCTCGTCGGGCTAGATCCTGGACCCAACCGTGGTTTGGCTGCACCTCCTCACCTCTCGACAGCTTGGACGCAAGGTAAAACCAGTTCACAGCATTTCCGACAGTGCCAACCTCATCATTGACATGGCTCAACGAGTAAGCACTAATTCGCTGGTAGAGATCGTGATCTGTCCATAAATTCAAGAGGTGCTTGGCGACGGTGTCAGTATCTCCAACTTCAACCAAGTACCCGTTCTTTGTATCCTCCAACTGCAACGGTATGCCTCCTGCACGTGTCGCGATGACAGGTTTGCCCTTATGAATTCCTTCCGACACCTTGACCTCAAATCCCTCACGCACAGAAAGTTGCAAGACAATGTGTGCTTTGGAGAGCAAGGCATTTAACACCTGATCCGACGGCCCTAAGCGCACGACAGAGATGCTACTTGAGAGATCTGGCATGGTGGTCCGGATACGCTGCAAGACTGCGTCGTAAATAATACCGCCGTCGGGGTCGTCTATAGATCCGTGGCCACAAACGAGAAGTTTCGGTGCCTTCATCTCAGGATGAGACCGGGCTAGTAGGCTCCGGAATTTGTCGTATGAGGTAAGGACATCAAAGATTCCCTTGGCAGGATCAAATCGTGCGATTTGCACTATATATGGCTCTATAGTAGTGTTAGTAAAGCAAAGACACGCACTACGGATAATGATATGCGCAACTCTCGTGGCTTACCGTTGGGATAGTCAATGGTTGTCGTTCCCGAATCCTTGCAGCAGCGGTTGAACATCCGTCCATAGGCCGCAGTGTCCCAGTCTCTCATGTTCTTGTTTAGACCATCCAACCTGGAGTAGGCGGTTAGCGAATCAGAATCAACTGATAGAGAATGATGGCGAAATTACCAGTCTGTGCATGCAGGCATGTATCCTACACGAGCCCGCGGGACGTTCCGGGGGACAAAACTGTCCACTGGGTGACTGACAAAGACGTCTGCGGCTTGGATGTGCTCCCAGAGGAATTTCCAAACTTCAGCCTGAGGGCTCCCAGGCGTTTCGATAAGATCACTCCGCATTTGAATGTGGCTTCTATAGATGACAGGTCTTTGTGGATCAATTCTCTTGGCGATCGGGATGAGACCGGTCATCTGTGGGTCATCAACGACAATGACATCGGCACCACCATCGGCAGACCGACAAAGAGGGCCGCCTGCGCGTAGCCAGTATCTGGTGGCATTGTCATCGACCCAATCCACCAAGCGTTGTTGATTCTCTAGACTCAATCGTTCATGTGCCCCGGAAACACCTTGCAAGATGTTGTGATTGGTTTTGGTGATTCGGAATATACCCGGCCTGGGCTTCGGCACATACCTTGGCAAAGCAATGAGTGTCAAGTAGAGGTTAGGAGTGGAAGGATGACACGCTTGGGCTTACCATTTGACATCCACGCCGACTTCATGTGCTAATCGAATCAAAGCATGCCGCATGAGTGCAACGCCTCCTCCCTGAGGGGTGGCACTAAAGAAAGCAATCTTCACCTTGCGTTGCTTCAATTCCTTTGCGTAGTGTTCCATGGCTAACCAAGTCTTTGGCCGAACGCTCTGCTGAAAACAGTCTTTGTTCGTGAGTTTAATGTGAAAATGAGCATCAACCCCCACGTCCCCGAGGAACCCAACGTGCAAGATAGGTAGTTCGTTGGGTCCAAAGAATCTATTGAACGTCAGCTAAGGTTGAATCCAGTTGAATGGAAATATTAAAAAGAGATTTCCCTAATGCCTAAAGAACGTCGATCGTACGTACCTTGTACATTTTCTCGCCAACGAATCTGCTTGCTCATCAATACCTTTGTCTATTAAATGCACACAGGTCTCATTATCAGCGGAAGATTCGATAGACGACTCCTCATCGAGGAGGATCGGCAAAATGTCCAATTCTGCCCAGAGACGTTGGGATAAAGATGGCATTCTCCCATGCAAAGTTCGGGGTAGCGCAACGCCGAGAATCTTTTCCAGGTGGACATCACTGTAGTTCTTCAGTTCATTGATGATGGACTGGCTAATGTCGAGTTCTGTGGCTGCTGGAGGAAGGGATTTCTCTAAAAAGTCAAGAAGGTATGTCGGATCACGGAAGGCAATCGCAATGTGAGGGCCAGAATCGGCAGCCTTGGAGACACAAACTCCGACATAAATGGTCTGCCAGTCGCTATTAGCCACTGCATTGTGCTAGGTATGGATAGAAGGACCTCTCACATTGGAAACAGGCCCGGACCAATCATTCTTTCTCATATGAGGTAAGATGCGACTCTGTTGAAACTGCGAGTCGTGACGGCTGAACTCAGCCAGATCAGACGTGTCGGCTGGCATCTTGAGTGAAAAATGGTGTTTAAGCTGTTGTTTCAATCCAGATCCTATCGAGTATCGTTTCGTTCCTCAGGTACTAACCTCCATATAGGAGTGTAGTCTTTGATCGCAATAGTTATATACTGCGCAACGCCGTAACCGTCCGCCATAATCAGAGCATCATCGATTACATAATCAGAACGTCATCCATCCATTGGAGGAACCATATGGTGGAAACTAAAAACCGGAAAACGGTAGTAACATGGTAGTACCCATGGAAAGGCAAGTTGTGAAGCTTTGCAATTACAGGGGCTTGTATGCATTTATGGAGCTTAGAGATGCCAAGGGGAACCAATCCAAAATAATGAGATGATTCAAGTGGGTACCCTCATACTTTATCACATGATTCAAAAGTTCTGCCATATGTATTTCTGGTGCACTAAACCTAATCGGGTTGCTTCCCAGGTAATCCGCGCCAAAAATGCTGAATCATCATCACTGGAAATGGCAGGCGGTGAACGCCAATTACACCGCCTTTTGCCGGAGCCCCACCATCTCCTGCACAGCACACAGTACTCCGTACACTCGGAAAATATGTCTTCCGACGAAGTGCGGCTTGACCCACTCAGTATTGGCGGCCTCGCAGTATTATTGTCGGCCTCCAGGACCTGCTCCTGAGGTCCACAGCAGCTCGAACGCGTCATACCCGCAGTGGAAGTGAACGCTCTCCTATCAAACTCAGACGCTTGTGACCAATGAACGAGCATTGAACCTACCTTTCAAACCACCAGACATGCCTAGAAACGCATCTTCTACGGCTGCCCCTCCGGTGTCCGATCCTTTAGCAACCGACAGTACTAATGACATCCTTGTCATTGATCTTACAGACCAAGTACCAAAAAGGGAAAGCAGCCTCCCAACACCAGATCCTCTCTTGCATCCGGCGGAACCAACGAACGAGTCTCGTGAAGATACCACAGAAAACAATGCTAGTCTAGATGTGACTGTCGCCCCGACACCTATACAAACCGAAGGAACGAACAACCAACGTGTCGCAAGACCAAACGCCAAGCACTACGAGCGAATTGAAGGACCTGCGAAGAAAGCTTTCACTCAAAAGCTACGTTGGTACTACTTATGCCATCTTAACGTCGATGACGTCCAAAGCCTGATTGTTGAATGTTACCCAGATGTTGAGCGCACATCTGAAGAATGGTCGGTTCTCGTTCAACATACAAAAGAATTAGCCAAGAACTGGAAAAGTAGGACTCTTCGTAATATGCAGGTGAGTATTAGGTCAATCAGGGCCATTTATTCCAGGCACTGACTTCTATGGATAGTCTCGCATAAGCTCCATTGTGGACCTGTCCCATGACCATGCTACTCCCCTGAGATTGATGACTGACGAGGAAGCTTTATCTGAGTACTTCTATACCCATTTCAACGAAGGGGATTTCTATAGCTGTTTCAAATTCGTTGCCGGAATCCTAGATATCAAACACACCAGCGAACCTGGGCTGTCCTACCTACGAAGTAAGTCCTACACAATTTTATGGATGATATGAGCTAAGATTGTCTATCAACAGATCTCTGGGCCAATCTTGCTACCAAGGTCAAGCTATGGGTTGATGCCGTGCGATCAGATGGCAGGGATGCCGCACTCGCTCGTGGTAGATGGGAGGTGGTGAAGAAATACTGGCAGGAAATCACAGTTGCAAGAGAGCTATCTGGGGCCCGAAGAGAAATGTTTGCTGAAGTTACAACAACCGGTGTCGCCGGGAAAAAGCGTCAATGTCCTGAAGCTCCGCCAGCACCCCGGTTTAAGACTTTCTTCCGTGGTACCCCGATCACCCCGGGTACACCCAATTCGTGACTCGGGAATCCTTATGGATTACTTCTTTATATTTATAACCTTGGAATAGGTACGCCTGTATTTGATCAAGCCAGGCTAAATATTGTATCCATACATGAGCTGAACATTATACTACAGAACGGTTTGCTCATCATCCAAACAGGGATTGAACCTAAGCTGAATTGATGACAAGCTAGGACCAATTGATATAGAAAGTCAGAATAAGTGTGGGCGATTGTGGGAGATGGCGATGAATTGAGAATGGGTGTGAATCCGATGCAGATAGCATATAGTGTGCCCGGGCATTAGGGCTGTGTTGTATACGCGCAAACAAGGTAACAACGGACTATCTGCACGTGGCTTCCACAATAGAAAGCCTTTCAAGGTAGTCTTCTTCCCTTCTACATCCAACTTACCCTGTTCATATGTGTTATTCATTTTTTCTAACGCCATTTTCATCGATTAACCGCTTTCAGTCAGGACTACCCGCTTTTCCATTCAAGTTGTCGACATCTAGTATCGTTTCCTGAGACAACGACGACATTCGTTCTTTCTCTGCTGCAGAGCGCGTGGACCCTCGTCTGGACCCTCGAAGCATTAGTTGCTCGTTATATACTTGAATTTATTATCCCAACCCTGAAGGATCCTCCCTGGGCCTAGCGTCATGGCGCAGGCGCGGCACCCGGTCTTCAAATACAGCAAGTTTGATGTGGCTGCTCTATGCAACTTGGCCAGCGAGAAGCGAGGAAATCCTTCTTTCTGTGATGTCAATCAAGTACCCACACGCGGAGGTTTCAATTGGGCTAAACTGATTCGCTTTGAAGATGGCGAAGAATGCGTCTTCCGCTCACCAGTACCAAACCACCCGGAGCTGTCTAACGAAGGTGTCGCCAGGCTTCTTGAGAGCGAAGCTGCAACGCTTTTGTTCCTCGAAAAATACACGCACATACCTATTCCCACCGTCTATGCATCCTGGTAAGCGAACCGCAAGATTGCCTCGAAAGTGCAGCAAGAAGAACTAACCCTGGAAGCTCGACTTCGGACAACCCCATTCAAGTTCCATTCATTCTGATGAGCAGGGCTAAAGGCAAGTCGCTGGCCCAGATGTGGGGGCAAGAGAACTTCCAATTTCCTTCGCATTCACAGAGCGAATCCCTGAACAAAATAATGCACCAACTAGGATGTTTTGCCTGGGAACTTTCTCGACTTCGCCATTCGCAGATCGGATCCATCTTCTTAAGCGAGGGACATTTCGCTATCGGAGAATGCCTTTCACGGGGGCATATGCAGTATAAGAGACATTCCTTGAGACTCCTCCCCCGTGGACCCTTCAGCTCCAGCGATGACTTTCTATGCAGCCTCCTGTCGGCGTTCGCTGGGCAAGCACATTATCTGCCACTGGCGAAACACTGCTTTTTTGCACCAATGCCAGTCAAGAAAGACTACCCCAGCAAAGATATGTGGGAATATACCAACCATCTTTGGACTAACTTTACGTACTTGGGAAACAAATGTGACTCCGCGGCAAACCGAATTGACTATCTAATCGCCGCCGACGCTCTCTATGATATGATCAGTCAATACAAAAGTAACTGGGAGGGCATTACAACGTCGACCGAATTCGCTCTCTGCCACCCAGATTTGAGCGCGGAAAATATCTTTGTTGATGATGATTACAGTATCACGTGTATCATCGATTGGGCATTCACCACCACTGTCCCGCTCCCTTTTCTGTTGTCACCCCCGGGGTTTCCTCAATCGCGAGACAAGCTGGATGAGAAATTCTGCATGGCTTTCAGGAATGGATTCGAAGACGCTTCGAGCGGGTGCTTGACTGATGGATCATCGGGCCTTTCAATCCCTAGAGCTATCGAGTGTATTCAGGGAAGCGAGTTTGCTTGGTGCCTTTCCAGGCTTCTCGCACTTGATTCGATCGACGACCTTTCCATTTTTCGCACATTGTGGCAAATAGTCTACCCTCCCGAGAAAAGCCTCGAGTCATACTTCTTTTCGCAGAGAGCTACCGAGAAGTATCGACGGTGGTACCGTTTGATCGACGATAAGCATCCGTCAGATGATCAGTACACACAAGATGATATCAGTTCTTTTCCCCATGATCAACAATATGAGTTGTCCATGGCTCGTCACTTGACTATGGTTGCTGATTGGGGCATCAATTACGACATGTGGATATGTGCCGGTCTCCGAGAAACAGGTGAGACATTCACTACGACGCCACAGCTTTGGCGATGGATTATGTGGTACAGAACCTACCAGCGTGAGCAGCTTGGCAAGGAAGTGGTCAAACATAGATGGTTGCCGAATGAGTGATGTTTGGGGTAAGAGGTGCGGTCCTGGTCTGTCAGGTAGAGCCGGCAAATAGCATATTCTTAGAAGTGAAGAATCGTGATGGTATCACCTATGTCCACCAAGTCCACCTCCCACTTTAGCTTCAGAAAACATACAGTTAGTAACTGACTACCGAGACTCGTTAACAAATAATTCTCTCAAGCACTCACCGGGGCTGACACAGGTTGTCTCGCCTCCCTACCTGACAAGGATTCAATGCTGCCTCTCCCATCATCGTACGATCACCAACATCTAGGCTAGATGCAGCATTGAATCCTTGTCAGGTAGGGAGGCGAGACAATCTGTGTCAGCCCCCTGAGGGAGTAGCATTTTTGCTTCTCGGTACTGTTTCTCCGGAGTCATTGTTGACTTCACGATGGCGTGTGCCATCAAGGACATACTTGAGCAATTGATCGAGTGATGAAACGGTTGTTAGGTGCGTGTTGTTAATAAGAGAGAAGACAAAGTGCGACGTGCGTGATGTTAAGAAGAGAGAAAACAAAAGTGCGTGTCCCCTATTTATCTTTGAGAGTTGAACAAACATCGACACTGCCTGAATAGGAAGGGACTCTCCGTGCTTGCAGCTTCATCGAACGTTCTACTAATTGTTTGTCATGTATGCAGCAAGAACCCTGAACCAACCTCGCAGTTTCCCCAAATTGCCTTTTCTTGCTCTTTCTCCCTGCTTCTCAATTCAATCCTCTGAGTTTCCCACAGCTCGAGAATTCCGTACTCAACCTACCCCCCTGGAGACGCGCGACGGAAACAAATTGCTGCTAAACGCCGATCATTACCCGTCAGAGAGATATCGCATGGTGTATGTCTCTACCTGCTGTCCCTATACAACTCGCCAATACCGATACGAACTCATGAAGAACCATCCATTATCCATCACAGATAACCAAACAGTGATCTACTGGCATTTGGCAAGAACCCGAACCTTCAGAAGTCCGCCTCAGCCGCCGCAGAACCCCAGCCGATCGGTCCGTTCACAGGGATAGACCCAATCATCGTGTTATTGATTATCGAACTCCCCATACCAAATCGTTCCTGTTTCTGAAATATAAAAACCTGTCACCAAGCTGGGCGGACGAGGCCTAGCACCAGTCAGGTGGATTGAGGTTAACGATGGGAGTTGCGGGCGTAGGCGCATGCGCCCCGTACGATGTACATAAAAAGCTGGATTCGAACCGAGGACTGCTTGCCTACAGGGGCGAGGCGGCCAGCCGCCTATTCAGAGTAAGAATATAGATAAATAAGGTATTTCATTCGCAAAAAAGCTAGATATCCTCGAAAGGCATGCTGTCATCCTCATCATCCTTATACGGCCAGTTTCGCCAACATATCTCCCGCTGGTCCGTTTCTGCTTGCCGAACCATTTCCATACGAAAGTTTCGATTGCCTTCCACTGCCCTCTCAAAGTTATTTGGCTCGGTCCCGCCTTCCAGATCTATACCGAGGTGTTCTCTAACCCGGGACAATAGTTGTTCGGACTCATTCCATTCCTGTGATTCTGCCATGGCGGTCTCTCGTTCTTCATCGCTGAACACAAGTGGACAAGCGGCCGAGGAGATACCGCGCCATACCGATGGAGTCGTGATACCTACTAACGCAGCTCGCAAGTTGATTACGTCTGCGTCCCAGGGATATCCTGTCTGGCGAAGGAGATACTGCCGCATTGCGAGATAAGGAAGTCTCAACGAATCCATGTGTTTATCACTGTGTACACCTGTCGCGGCTGTGTAATATAGATTGGCCTCTTCCAAGCGAAAGACGGCTTTGCAGTGTATCTGTTGTTCGATTTCCATCTCATCGAAATCATCGGGAAGAGACGGAATATCCATACTTTGAGGTTTGGAGGAATTGTGCTCACAGAATGCGGGATAACCCGCTTGCATGAAGCGGGGGAATATCACAGCATCCTGCCAATCGATGATACTGATGATTTTGGTTGAACCAGGTGCCAACATAATGTTGCTCATACTTAAATCGGGATGTCTCAGCGTCGGAACGCTGTCGGGATCCGGTGGGATTAAATGACGCGCCAATTGTAGGAATCGCAAAAGTAACGAAGTGTGCTCAGGGGAAAGAATGTCATGGTTAGTCGGTAAAAGGAATGTCTGACGAGGCTGAGCTTTGGCGCAGTGCTGAATGACAGCCATCTCTCGGCGAGCCGCGGACGTAACACAGTCCTCGGGTGAAAGCCCTGACAATCATCAGTCCCGGTCATAGGGGTTATATCTTTTAAAACAAAACAGAGGGGAAGGGAGAACGGGAAACGGGAAACGGGAGGAACCTACAGGGTCCACGGTCTATTTCCATTTTGCTTCGTTCGCCATGCCAAAACTGCCGGGCAGACACAGGGCCAATACAGAAATCATCCACGATTGATATCTGGGGTTCCCCGTCAAGGTCCTTTTTCTGATATAAGCTTCCATAGGCAGGAAAATGGAAGTCAAAAATCTTCCTCTCAATCTCTGCGATCTGTGTCATAATGTCTTTCATCTCATCGGTAGTGAGAGATAACCACCGTGAAGAAAGACTCTCTCCGTTCACTCGCTCCATCAAAATATACTCTGCTCCGACAGGATTGTCCGATGACGCGGAATATGCCAAGACTTTTGGTACCGGAAGTTTGAGGACAGCTCGCAAAAAGTTCATGGTAGCCACCTCGCTGGCGGTGGTATAATGAGGAGGCCCAGCAATAGGAGTTGGAATTCGCGCGATCACTTCAAGGCCATTCTTTGCTTGCAGAAGAAACACTTTGTTGAAGCCCCCCTCTGCAAGCTTAGTAATATTAGGGCAATAGTCTTGTTGTACTGCTTCGCCGGCGATCCGTTGGAGCTCTGTTGGCCGAAACTTGACGTATCTTTCGTTCAAACGATCGGTCTCGTTGAATCTAGCTGAAATTCAGTAAAGACGATCAAAGCAAATTAGGCTTCACATACATCCAGCGTCGTGACGTATTCCGAAATAATTCCTCGCAAAACGTTGGTGGACTGGTGGATAAGTGATGGCGTGATGAAAGAGACATGGCAGGCTGCCTGGAACAGACCAACGGCTTCCGCAAACAAAGAGCGGATGATGAACTTCTAGTAATGGCGAGTTTTTGAAAGTTATTCACCATTGTTCAAAAATGGTAGAAGAAAAACATTTGAGTCACGAGTCACGACTATGCTGCCCGGTGTGAGTTCACTAATAAGTTGACGACCGAAGGAGTGTTACCACCGTTACCTCAGCCGTCCCCCTTCAAAAGGCAGTGGACATGCTCAGCTGAACCCCCCAACCTCCCCCCCCAACCGCCCACTTCGAGTATGAAGGATAGCCTGCCTGCCACGTCTTTGCATTTAACCCTCATAATCTCATTAATCTACTTCGTCGGACCTCACCATCACCTCATGATTTAGGCCTCACCGTCACCCGAAGATTTACTCCTCCACCATGTCTAGCACTGCTCAGATTCGCGAGAAGATATTCGAAAGGCCCGAAGCACAAAGACTTGTGATTAAAGTGCATACAAACCATTTGGATTCCCATGATTATCGTGCATACAAACCATTTGGATTCCCATGATTATCGTGTCTCGGCAGGAAAAATCATCGACGAAATATTTCCAGACTGGCAGATTGATAGTCGAATTCTTTTCCTTGCCATCGAAATAAGGGGAGACCGTACGTTTATGGTGGTCGATATCCATAATTCCGATTACAACTTCAACACAGCACACGAAACAAAAATCGTTCTCCCTGTCTCTGTTGTTTGGCAGCATAAGCGAAGGGGATGGTTTGTTGTAGGATGGCCTCAGGAAGATGAGCCTCTTGCTACAAAAATAGCTGAGCTTCATAACCTCAATGGTTCCAATGCCTCGACACCTTTTCTTGCGGATTACAACCAGCGTGTGACATATGAGAGGCCGCGTGATTGCTTTCCTCGGCAGCATCGACAGGCTCCATCTCGGCTTGGAAGCTGAATGTTAGGTAGTTAACTACAGCTTTAGACCTTTACTTGGAGGATTTTGTGACAATTTTACCATCAAGCAGTAGAGGCTATCAATATCTAGAGGAAATCGTCGCCGATTTTGGATAGCTGCGTTGGTTCCATGTCGAGAAAATGTACTGTGTAAAATTATCAATTTGGTGCTGTGTTTTGAGTACTTTTGACCCGAAATGGCCGCTATTCATTAGGTACATCCTTTAGACCTTTAATTTGAGAAATTTGTGATAATTTTACCATTAACCGGTGGCGCTCATTGATATCTAGAGATCGGCAGAGCCCTATTTTCAATAATTGCGTTGGTTGTCGTCAGTATGTAGGAATTGCTTATTCTTTTGGATAACTTTTGCCGGACTCTACAGTGGGTACTAACTATTCAGGTCTCAGACAGCCCCCCAAAATGTACTTGTGGGTGCCAAGTTCCAGACCCGTGTTTAGCGAGCTTTCCGTCAACTGGCGAACTTGCAGCCAACTGGCAAGCCTCCAGCCAACTGGCAAGGCTGTCCTCAGCATGTATGTACCGCGAGCTAAATCGTCTAAATCGTCTAAATCGTGTCAATGAGAATATCATCATGGCCCTACACATCCACAGCCGGATGTAGCATTGAATAAATAATCCACGAAGATCCTGCCTCGGGCTTCAATACGCTTACCTAGACTCTAGTAGCACCTGCAGGAAGCTATTCCCAAATGACCATCTCATTTCTTTTTCTTCAGGCAGACAACCAATCGGACAACCAATTGCCCAAGTTGCCCGTTCATCCCACGACGATCGCCATCTCCGCCCGTGGCCCTGGCCTGTAGTTTTCGGAAGATTACCGGACATAACACGTCTTATGATCTAAGGCTGAGCAATTTAGACGACGAAGACCGACGGTGATGAAAATGCGGAGCACAGCCGGCGGTTTATCGGACAAGCCTTTACTCGGTTCGGGACCAGCCACGCCGATCTATGTCGATCGACATCCACCTACTACGGGCGACCACCTACAATGGGACACCATACTCCGTACCGTACACATATCACTTTGTCATGCATTGTAGAACAATCAATGCGAAACACAATTCCCGCCCGGTCGGCGAGTCCGTATACCTGTTTCTTCGGTGACACAATTTCCCCGACTTCACAGCCCTGTCCCGAATTAGCTTGTGGGCACCTAAGGAGAGGAGACATAAAAGGCACAGGGTTCCCCGCAATTAACTACTCTAGATCCCACTACCATCCCTCTATACGCTATGTTGACAGCCAATCTTTTGACCGCATTGTTGGCACCAGGTGTGCTATCAGCCGCCTTGTACCCTCGCCAGGACACTGATCTCGATGGGTTTATCAAGACGGAGTCTGAAGTTGCTCTTAAATCCATCCTGAACAACATTGGCGCCGATGGCTCTGCTGTTTCTGGAGCGTCTGCTGGAATTGTGGTAGCATCACCATCTAAATCGGACCCCGATTGTGAGCTCATCCTTCTCTCCAGATGCAAATGGCAGAGAACTAATATCGGCTAGACTTTTATACCTGGACTCGTGACGCAGCCTTGACATTGAAGGTGCTGATTGATGACTTCCTTGCTGGAGAAACCTCCCTGGAATCCACCATTCAAGACTACATCTCTGCTCAGGCGAAGCTGCAGGCCGTGTCTAACCCATCTGGCGACTTGTCCAATGGGCAAGGACTTGCAGAGCCCAAGTTTAATGTAGACGAAACTGCCTTCACCGGTGATTGGGGTCGTCCTCAACGCGATGGACCTGCTCTGCGAGCGACCGCTATGATCGCCTACGGCAACCATTTGGTCTCGAGCGAAAAGGAGGATGTCGTCAAGTCGAACATTTGGCCCAGCGTTCAAAACGATCTCGACTATGTCGCTCAATACTGGAACCAAACTGGATTCGATCTGTGGGAGGAGGTTCAAGGCTCCTCATTCTTTACTATTGCTGCACAATACCGCGCGTTGGTGGAAGGCAGCGCATTTTCCAAGTCGCTGGGAGAGACCTGCGATGGATGTGATTCCCAAGCACCTCAGATCCTATGCTTCCTGCAGTCTTTCTGGAATGGCAAATCTGTCGTTTCCAACATTGCCGACAATGGTCGATCCGGTCTCGATGCAAATTCTGTGCTTGCTTCAATCCAACTGTTCGATCCTAAAGCTGCCTGCGATGACGTGACCTTCCAACCCTGCTCTGCTCGTGCTCTTTCCAACCACAAGCAATATGTCGACTCGTTCCGTTCCATCTATAACGTGAACAGCGGCAAAGATGCTGGAACTGCCGCTGCCGTTGGTCGTTATGCGGAAGACACTTATATGGGCGGAAACCCATGGTACGCCTATCTTCCGTTCTTTATCTATCTGGCTTGAAATTCTGACTAACATTTTCTAGGTATTTGACGACACTGGCGGCCGCCGAGCAGTTGTATGATGCAGTTTACCAATGGAAGCAACAGGGATCCCTGTCCATCACCGAGACCAGTCTTGCTTTCTTCCAGGATCTGGATTCGTCTGCTGCTGTTGGAGACTATGCTAGTAATTCGGACACTTACACCTCCCTTACTGCCGCCGTCACGAAATACGCCGATGGATTCGTGTCTATCGTTCAGCAGTACGCACCCAGCAACGGGGCTCTAGCCGAACAATTCACTCGGGATGACGGTACCCCGGCCTCGGCTAGCGACTTGACCTGGTCCTATGCGGCATTTGTAACTGCCGCTGAGCGCCGGGCTGGGACAATGCCTGCTACCTGGGGTGCATCGGATGCTAAGGTGGCAGAGACGTGTGAGGGAAGCTCGGCCGAGGGAAGTTACACGGCTCCCCCCGAAGTCGGCTCGTGGTAGATATTGAGGGAGAAGAGTCTATATACTCATTTCCGAAAGATGACCTAGAGTGTGGATGTGACAAATACTACAGGATCAGCGTTTCACCGGCTTTTAGAATAGGTACACGTATTATTATTATCAAATTGGGAAGGCACTACTAGTAAATACCCATTCAGCCGGCTTCATAGGACAACTCCATTCCACCGCCAACCTCCCACCCCCCGCGATAAACCAAGTGACCTCAGCGAATATACCTTAATTCAAGCATCGGCCTCAATCTTTTCAGTAACGGTGCCATCGCGCTGGACAACAACCTTGTCCAGGTTCTGTGATGCCTTGACGGGGTTGGGCTGCTGGTAAACCCACTCCAACTCCTCGAGAGTCCGGCCTTGGGACTCAACACAGAAGAAGTACCAGAAAACGGACTCGAGGATGTCCCAGCCAACGAAAATCCAGAAGTAGTTGGTAGAGATGTTCGCAAGTCCAATGGGAGTAGCAAACTGACTGACGAAACTGATGCTGCTGACCATAAAACCGGACAATGCCAGACCCTTGGAACGGGTGGTCGTTTCCAAAGCCTCGGCGGGGATGACACCTTGGAGGGGGGTGTAGGTGAAGGAGAAGATGACGTTGAACAGGTAGTAGAAGGCAAGGGCAGCCTGGCCCTTGTTTTTGCTGATGGTACCAGTATTGGCGACTTCCTGCAGAATACCGGCGTTGATAGCTAGGGCGATAGCGCATGCTATGGGTCTGTTAGTCGACCTCAAGGTATAAGGAACAGTCGGGAAGATCAAACTCACTGAAAGTACCGTAGATCAGAACAGGACGACGGCGCATCTTGTCGGTGAGACAGACGGCAGTCAACGCGCCCACAGCTGAGACGATCGAGTTGATAAGATTCAGCAGCAGTTGCATGGAGCTGGTCTCATAGCCGATGACCTTGAAGATAGTGGCGTTGAAGTAGCCGAGACCGTTACCAGACCACTGTCCAAAGACGGATATCATGATAACCTGGGCGAAACGCCAGCGTCCGCTGTGAGTGGTGAGGAAAGGACGGTCTGGTAATTCCGAAGATTAGCTGCTGCTGGCACTGTCATTATTGGCATCGCATGACTTACAATCCCACCACCTCTTGTCAATACCATCAATTCGAATACCCTCCTTCATCTCCTCAACCTCGAGGCGCACCAACCGGGCGTTGGGGTCACCGTTGCCGTGATACTTGGCCAAGAAGGCGAGGGCCTCTTCGTCCCGGCCGTTGGCAATGAGCCAGCGAGGAGACTCGGGAATGAACCATACGGAGACAATGACGATAAGACAGGCAAAGCACTGCAAGATGAAAGGAATGCGCCATTGATAGTGGTTGTCAATGCGGTCGCAACCGAATGTGATGGCAGCGGCGGGAATAGAACCACCGAACCAACCACAGTTGTAGAAACCTAGTCAGACGTTAAAACTTGCGCGAAGATGAAAAGAAACGAGAAACTCACCGACAGCACGACCACGCCAGTGAGGTGGAGCAATCTCAACAGCGTAAGCAGGAGCAGAGACGACCATGATTTGAATACCGGCACCGAGGACGAAGCGACCGACAACGAATTGTGCCAGGGTCATACCCGTCGAAATAATGATAGATCCAAGAATAATCACCCATGCGCCGACAAACATACACTTGCGACGGCCAAGTTTGTCGGAAAGGGTAGCACTGATGGGAGTGCAGACGATCGATCCACTACCAACGTCTTGGGTTAGTTGCCATCCTCTGCATGAGACAGAAGAGAACATACACTGTGTAAAGGGACATAACCACGGAGACCTTGGGGCCATCCATGCCAGTCTTGAAAACCTCCTGGTAGTGGTCCATAGCAAGGATTGATCCCATCAGAGATCCATCATAACCATTGGCGCAGGCGCAACAGAATGCGACAAAAATACAGACTGTGATGATCACATAGTGTTAGCGGACATTTCTCGGCTGGAAGAACTTGACCCCAAACTGACAGTACAAGTGGATGGACTCCTTGCTCCATCTCTCAATTTTGGTTTCTTCGATAGCAGCGAACAGGTCGGCCTATATTCCGAGTGTGAGTATGCTACTCGTTGACAATTCGCAGACCAACTTACGTTGTGGACTTCCTTGGTCTTAGCGCCCTCAATGTTGATCGTCTTTCCATGGCCAGCAGCAACGCGGGCTGCATCCTCACGAACAGCTGCAATGCCATGCGTGTCCTCAATGGCAGTGGACATGCCATGCGCCTTGTCGTCCGACATGACTATCGTATTCCGCGAATATTTCTAAGTTCTCGAATCACGATCTCGGTAGATGATCCAGCCAGTGAGAGGCAAGACTGGGGCGACAAGTCGTGAAGCCCATGGACAGGGCGGGATGAGGTTCTTATAATCCCCTGAGGTTATCACTCGAATCCTTGGAGGATAAATCACTAGAATTCATCCCCGGACGTTTGGTCAAATCTCGGACTCCCCAGACTCCGATTTCCTCGTGATTCCAGAGCGCAACAGACGCCTCTAGTTGGTGGCGTTTTCCCCATACCTCCACATCCTAGTTTGGGATCGGGACATTCCCCAATCATACCATTTGCTCTTGGCGTTGGCGTTTTCTCCAGGAGATCAGGGTCTGGTGTCTGGATACTCGGCCCTGCATCCCGCCTAGCTAAAAGAGACTTAGTAGGTAAACCCGTCGAAACAGCTGGGGCTCAATAGCCCCTTTTCAAATCTATTTTAGGTAGTCTCGATGCAGGTAGCACAAAGGAGCCTCGAGAGTAGAGAGGCTAGACTGCTAGCCTATGAAGTACTCTCCTATGTTACAGGGTCCCTAGATTAGTACCATAAGCTACATACTCAGATGGTGTGATAGAAGTGCCGATATTCTACTGTAACTGAGGGGCGATGGGGGGCCTCACCCAGGGACTTGGCAGTGCTTGCCTCTCCTTGACCAGATGGATTGATTGGATTTACTTGCTCGCATGTCCTCCTCAAAAAGACCGTATAATTCCAATTTGCCCTTGTCTTGTGTCATGGGAACGTGAGAATCGAAAAATACTGCACGGAGGCCATTGTCAGCGCGGAGCTTCCTCCGTGTTGGCTCTTTCACGGCTCCACCCCCACAATACACTAACCCCTTTAAGGATGAGTTCTATGAGCTGTTTCGCTTCCCAAGAACGTGCAATTCAATTGCTTCATGCTTCTTTGTCTAAGCCCTCGGCCCGAATAAGCGCATTCAATCAGATTGGGAATCCCAATCAATCTATATCTGTATGGGGATGGCCGTGCGCTACTAGCCTACGGTCATCGCATAACTAACCACCACCACCACCAAGTTAAGATTATGTCTAGACTAGCTTGACCAAGCGCCGTTCCGACGCAACTTGGGCCGAAGACAGAACCTTTGACACTACAGGTCCGCCTCGGGCCGAACGGAGCTTTACCAAAGGCGACTCTTACGGAACGGAGGGCCGGCGACGCCTGGCGTTGCTGGTTATGGAGACGAATCATGAGGCAAGCCCAACAAGCGCCTCAGAGTGATGCTCAAGCCACTAATCTTGAGTCACGGCGTTTAGGTTCACGTATATTTCTCGGATTCGGGTAGAGGAGGTTTGACGGGGCCCGAGAATGTTTGGTATTCACGAATCAGTTGTCGGAAGAAGACACCCAAGTTCGGTGGTATCTACTATGAGATGTTGTAGGTCTCCTAGACAAGGAGCCTAAGAGAAAGAGGTTCAGGGGCACATACTGAGGATCACGCTCGAGGGTGACGGGCAGCTCCCGATGCTCATCGGAATCCAACGGGCCTCGGCTCCATCGCCCCGATTACCTCTGGTCAGTAAACTTGGCATTTCCCCTCTACAGCAACAAGCGGAAAGGCAAACCCAAGATAGAGGTGCGTGTGTTTTTTGGGCCATTACTACCACTTTCAATGTCTTGGCTGCGCAGTCTTGGCCCTTGGAGCTCTGGTTTGGACACGGAGTATCCTGGATGTCGGGGCGCCAAATTATAGATTGCGATCTCGGGACTTGCCAGCCCTAAAAGGGCAACGCATAGATTGTATCTTAGCCGCACCTTCGTTCGGAGGCTCATCAATTGATTTCTGCCGCAGTACAGTCGTATTCCCTGCAATCGTGGTCAAGCTTGCCGGCTCCAAATTGCCCTCAGTCGCTCTCAGGGAAACAGTCGAGCAGAGGGTAAAGGATCTGACAATGGAAGCTTTTGTTAGGAGTTGGGAATTGAAAAATTACAAGAATTGGCAGTTCTTATCTCGCCATTGCAGTCACCCTTAGAAGCCTCATCCCTGGAAGTCTTATCCGTAGAGAATTGCACCAGATTGCCCTCAATCTTGATCGTATAGTCGATGACACGTTTGTGATGAGCAACCGACAGCTAGTTAAGAGAAGGAGCAAGCATGGCAGAACAATAACATAAGAAGGACTAAGGAGTTTTCCTCTTCTTTCCTCTTTCCTTCTCCAGTTCTGTTACCTTCGTCCTGACTCCTGAGTACAGGAAAAAGATATCTCAAGTGCTCTTTTTCCCTTCTGGCTTGTAACAACGTTCAGGGTTCCATTCATAGGACGGAGCACCGCCGTTCAGTGAGGCCGCATGCTAAGTTAAGATTCCTTGGTGACAAATATTCTCAGCAGTCGTTAATCGTTAACGATACCTAGCAGAGTCCGTGAACTATGAAGTCCTCGGATTTTCTTTCTTCCTTTCTACACATTACAGCTGCGTCCACGGGTATAGTGTAAGCCTCTGATTGGCTGGCCGTTCCTGGACTTCGGCTGTCGCACCCGCTCAGTGACGTGACCCTGCAGGGGCGATAAGATCCTCATCTTCACAAATCATCTCTGACGTTCACCATATTATCCTTGGTGTAACGATAAGTTGGTACAGAGGACTCATGCAGTCAATTCTCTTGCTGCTGGGCCTCTTTGCCGACGCCATCTCCGCCAGCCCCTTGGACCAACAGCAGCCGTTGGCCGACCGTCTTGGTCCAGTCGAGGCGCCCACTGCCCAGGTGCTGGCGGAGGGCTCAGGCAAACCTCTCCGGGGACGATTTCTGCACATAACTGGTATCTACATGCTCCTACTTCAATGATCCCTGTTGTACAGACCGTGCTGACCAACAGATTTCCACCCCGACCGTTTATACAAGACCGGCACCTCGATCGATCGCTCGTGCCACCACGGTGATGGTGGCGCCGGGTACTTTGGAGCCGAAGGCACAGATTGCGATGCACCACTATCACTTGTGAATGAAACGTTTCGATGGATTGAAGAAAATTTGAAGGATCAGATTGATTTTGTGATTTGGACTGGAGATTCTGCACGACACGACAATGACGAGAAGCTCCCTCGCACAGCGGATGAGATTGTGGAGCTTAATGAATTCCTTTCCCAGAAATGGGTAAGCATCTTCGGTCAGGAGGGCGTTCGTGAGACCTTGAACGCTATGCCCAAGATGTCCATTCCCGTGATCCCGACATTCGGTAACAACGATATTATGCCCCACAACATCTTCCACGAGGGGCCGAACAAGTGGACAAAGCGTTTTGCGGACATATGGAGCCCATTTATTCCAGAAGACCAGCGTCATACCTTCGTCGAAGGCGGCTGGTTCACTACGGAGGTGGTTCCCAGCCGGCTGGCGGTGATCAGTTTGAACACGATGTACTTTTTCGATTCCAACAGCGCTGTGGACGGATGTAACTCCAAGTCCCAACCTGGATACGAGCACATGGAGTGGTTGCGAGTGCAGCTGAAAATCCTTCGCAGTCGCAATATGAAAGTCATTCTCATGGGCCATGTACCCCCCGCCCGGTCAAGCGAGAAAAAGAACTGGGACGAGACGTGCTGGCAGAAATACACACTTTGGATGCGCCAATACCGCGACGTTGTCGTCGGTAGTATTTACGGACACATGAACATTGATCACTTCATGCTGCAAGATAGCAATAAGGTCGACATTGATTCGGAGGCCGATGGGAAGGTGTCGGTTACATCCAAGGCGGACTATCTTCAGTCGCTTCGAAACCAGTGGTCCTCTCTACCATCTCCTCCGCCTGGAGTTTTTGAAGAGCTTGGCTCCTGGCTGAACTCAGAAGATGTGTCCGAACTTGAACCGTCGAAGAAAAGAAAGAAGAGCAAAAAGAAGGAACGGAAAAAGACGAAGTTTTTGGAGAAGATCGGAGGCCCCTGGGCGGAACGATACAGCGTATCGCTGGTGTCTCCCAGTCTTGTCCCGAACTTCTTCCCCAGCCTGCGCGTGATCAACTACAATGTCACAGGACTAGATGATGCTACACATGGAGCTGATGCATTCTCTCCTAAGATTGAGGGGAGCCTGCTCGAAGTTGGTACGTTCGAGGTTGACGCAGAAACCAGCGACAGTCCACTCGCTTCTCCTGAAACCCAGAAGAAGAAACACAAGGGGAAGAAAAAGAAGCCCAATTTCAAAGTCCCCGAGCCACCCTCCCCAACCGCTCCTCCCGGCCCGGCATACTCCAACCAGGCATTTACCTTCCTCAGCTACACCCAGTACTTCTCGAATATAAGCAAGATTCACGAAGAAATCGCAGCGGGCAAACGAGGTGACAATGCTCGCCTGGACTTCGAGATCGAGTACACCACGAACGATGACGTGTACCGAATGAAGGATCTGACGGTGCGCAGCTTTTTCCAACTGGCAGCCAAACTTGGCGAGGAGAATGAAGATGCCAAAGGAGGACAACTTAGCGACCTTGACAGCCCGGCTGATTGGTCTGTCGCTAAGAAAAAGAACCCCAAGATCGACGTCTGGCGCGCTTTTTTGAGGCGCGCTTACGTTGGGTTTGAAAATATTGATGATTGAATGATTAGGCGATGATCCTGTATTCTATTTGCTTTCTTTGTTTGGATACTTGCATGGACACATATTATGCATCTCAAGCTTATACAGTGGAGAGATGTGCATCTCATGGTGTTATAGATTACACATAATTTTAAATTCATCTATTGCACGGTGTACAAGGCATGTAGTGCAAAGCACAGTCTGAGGATCCATTTTTAAAGACGTAGAGCAAAGAAACGTGGGTGAGGGTAAGGGTGAAGGTTGAGTTATGAGAGTCATGAGAAGTACTGTGATAAGCCGACCCAATCGGCACCTGTCATACGCCTTATGGTCCTCGAGACCGACAAGCCTCACCCAGACACGTACTCGGAACGCGGCTCCTTTGGCCAGATTGTACATCATCACTTTTCTAAGGCTGGAGCCGCCCATCACCCGCCTCTGGGTGTAGAGACAGATCAAGTCTTTGTCGTGTCCGAACAAGGTGGCCATATCCCATCCGTACAAGATTTCGACCGCTTTGACGGGTTGCTCATTACAGGGAGCGTCTACGATGCCCACGGGAACAACGAATGGATCCTAAAGCTGCTGGAGCTCCTTAAGACGCTCTGGATCAAGCGCCCCGACTTCCGCTTTTTGGGAGTCTGCTTCGGCCATCAGCTCCTTGCCCGCCTCCTCGGCGGCTCTGTCAGGCCTGCGCCCTCGCAAGACTGGGAACTCGGTCACTGTCGTATCATGCTCGCACCCGCCGGCCAGCGCCTCTTCCGAACGCGCGATGACCACATCCATCTGCATCAGATGCACCAGGATCAAGTCGTCTCGGTGCCCACAGCCGCGTCCGCTGGACCCGACATGCTCTCCGCGGACACCGAGATCGCGTGCTGGGGCCGTAGTGAGCATACACCTGTCCAGCGTCTGTACATCCCGAACCGGCTATTCACTACGCAGGCACATCTTGCATTTGACGAGGACATGGTGAGACGTCAGATCCAGATCAGGGTGGATAGCGGCGGGATCAAGGACCTCGAGCATGCGGATCGGGCGGCCGAGACAGCGCATCTGGAGCACGATGGCGTCGAGGTTGCCAAGGCTATACTGCGGATTTTCGTGTATGACGACGATGGAACAGACTAGGATCACGGTTGTCCATGACTATCTGTTGAGGCTACGAAACTAGTGGAATGGGGCAAATCGGGAAGAAGGAACTGATCCATGAAACTATGAAAAGCAGGCTGTAATCCAATCCGGCCAAAGTTTAGTCTAACCATTTTTTCCTAGCAGGAACTCATTATCTTTGCCACATGAACTCGAGGCTGACATAAACGAATTATTGAGCCAGTCACTACCGCGAGTTCCTAGTTACTGTACACACCTTCCGAGCAAGAGGCGTTCTTTAAGGCGAAAAGAAGGAGAGTCCCCGGTTGAAGAACTGCGTCCATGGCGAAAGACGAGTAATGGGGCCAGGAAAATAAAGAATAGGGTGTAAAATCAATCGTCTACCGTGTAGGTGCAGTATTTCCATACTACCGATTCCATGAAATGCTATATACATGGAGGGACAGTGTAGGCTTGAGGAACATTCAAGTGTTCATGCCCCCATACCTAGATACTGCACTGCCTGCCTCATTCAACTTGTCGACCACTTGGTTATCGACCAGATTGCGTCAATGGCCGATGCAAGTTGAGCCACGTTCAATAGAGGCTTCACTGGGCCCGCCCTGATCGGATGACTCATGAGGTTCTATGGTTCTTACAATAAGGATTGCTCGAATAGGCATAGTAGGTTTGATTCTACTATGGTTCGTCCTACCCTGTCCTACCTTTATTAAGTCTCCAGGTCTGAATTTCTTCTTTCTTTTCTTTCCTTTTCACAAACGTCTCTGCCTTTAACTTCAGCAAACAACTCTCACTAATCTTTCACCTTTACTCATTTCTCAATTCCCTAGTTATTCACCTCTCTATCATCTCAAGTTCTCTTCGCCAGTTACCCGTGAGCCCTCAATACCCAAGACCCTTGAGCCAACCTGAGGCAAGGGGACTTCTTACCTTTTTCACTTTGTACTCAAATCGATTTCTGCATATCCTCTATTCGGCACTCGGTTGCGCCACTTGACTATGGAATCTTCTCAGTCTAACCCTCCTACCTCGCCCGACTCTGGTGCAACTTCACCCGTATCCCCAAAATCTCCATCGAAAATCCGAGAAGGATCAGCTCCAAAAAGACTGCTCTTCCCGATTTAAAATCTGCACTTGAACGGGCGGTTAAGGCCCGAGAGAGAATATACTCACAAATTACAGCCTTCGCCTGTTATTGGGACGATGACAACACTCGTGCCCAAGAGGATGGAGAAACCTTTTCCCACATGATGGCTGATCTTTTCGACGTTGCCAGTCAAAAATTTGTCATAAACCATGAAAATCCCGTCCCAGGCTGGGATTTGGGAGATCGCCTACATCAAGAAGTTGTATCTAAACACCGCATTTCCAAACCAACGCTCTTCATTTTTTTTTACGCTGGCCACGGCACGATCAATCAACTCAACCAACTTTCTTTTACCGCGACCAAGAAGGAAAAATCTGTTCCATGGCGCACCATCGATCGTGAATTGAGTTACCACACTTATCCTATGGATACCTTGTGCATTCTAGATTGTTGTTATTCCGGTAATGCTATTGCGGATAACCCGACGACAACTCATATCTTAGCTGCTTGTGGCTCTTTTTACGAGATCCCGTGTACCTGGAATATCCTTTACACAGCGAGTTGCGCGAACCATGCGAAAACTTTCTCACTCTGGGAAGATATCTGTCTCGACAGATGAAATTTTCCATGCAGTACAGAATGAAACTCCTCGTGGCTGCTACATGCCAAGATTTTCGTGTCATACCGGGGTGACTCCCATTGTCTTACCGTTCCGCGTCACGTCCACTTCAATTCCTCCCTCGCCAGGAATTTCGTCTTCTGGTCATGCCTCAAGTTCGAGCATAGGCCTTGCATCACATTCCCGCCCACTATCACAACTTCCCTCCGGCCGCGAAACTCATGTCCTTGTTCTACTCGTTCTCGAAGGAAACCCGAAGCGGGTTGTCCAAGGCTTTGAGAACGGTGTTGAAAACCTGCCAGCCAAGTTCAAAGTGGAAATCACAGATGCCTATGAAACCAATGCATCTGCAGGAGTCTTTGTGCGCATGACTTGGGAGGCATATGCACGGTTCTCGTCAACCGTAGAGCTAGACGAACTCCTTCCTGTGATCGGGCCATCACTGATTCACACACATGAGCTCCACGAGATTCCGGTCCGTGGCTGAGAAAACATCCCTTTCAGAGACCGGCCCCAAGACAAGGCATAAACTCCCAATGATTTCCCTTTTTTGTTCTGTTGCTTGTTTTTTCCTTCCCGTGTTTGTACTTTTATTTTTTACTTCCTAGCTGAAGCGGATTATTCTCAAACTATAAGACACAACGATCATCAAGGCAGTGTTTTGCCTCTTTAAATGTATAAGAAGTACTCCGTAGATTGGCCGGGAGTTCCAGAGTTATAGAGCTTCAAGGTGGAGCAAGGAGTAGTCGGAAACCAATAACATATAAGCTCCATACTTCTTTTGTTTTTCAACAGTAACTACTTCCCGCATCTTCATGCATGATGTTTACAGATGCCATACTCCGTACTGGATGGAAAATAAAATGAACAAAGCGCATTGATGTACAATCAGAATCGAGGTTATCAGGTTTTGTACAACGCGCTTGTAACTTGTGTTGTGATTGGATGATCAACAAGGGCATCATTCTGGCGGTGAAGAAGTTGGCATAACTTTGCCGAGACGTCAACAAACTGCTACTTCAAGGCCCTACTTACTGGACATAGTTATCTAGGGAACATGTTGTACTACAGTTAACATTCCATTGGGTGATCACTTGATTTCACTTCTGTCAATTCGTGACTCGTCAATTCAAGGCGCATTTCAGTCGGGCCCGCAATGATCTCAATGATCGTGCCCAGCAGACCCCATCACAGCCACTGCCAGCGTGGCAAGTCTGTGCTAGCAAGGTTTTTATTTCAGGTACATTAACCCGACTTAGCCTGACCCAAGGGCTTGGGCATCTACTAAGAAGGTCTAGCTGGCTAGATGATCCATACACAGCCAGGCAGAATGAAATCATCGCTTCCTAGCCAATCCACGACGTCGCCCTAATTCTTTCTTCCCTTGAGCCGCTGCCACGTAGCGGCCAACCCGTCATTAGTTACACTTTGAGCTGACATCGCGAAGTTTTGACTACTAGTATATGCAGGACAGCGCATGTCAAGTCAATCGATTGTAGGGTTGCCACCGGTTGGGTATCGTGATTGCACCAGCCCTGCTTTAGCCCTGAAAACGCAGCACATCATAGATGTAGGCGCTGTATGCCCCATCTGGGCCGCTACTCACGTATAGAATCCATCGATCCCGCTCTGATTATCTACTACAGCAATAGTGGGACACCAAGACAAGCTAGTATCACTACGAAGTATTAATACGATACACGAACCCCAGCCCACCCCCGATCTTCGTCACGTCAGGGGAAAATCTCCGCGCAGTGGATATGACCTTACATGCGACAGAAATCCTTTAAACCTCTTAAATCCCTTCTGGATTTCCGCTGGTCCTAACACTCTAGCCCCTAAACCCCGACCTTCCCAAGCTCGAGCTCCCCCGGTCCGCACCCGGCACCCGCACAACCCCCCATTCTCTTCCCCGCACTGAGTGCGCTGGCACCGAAAATCGTCGCATTTCGCCCCCGCCACCCACTCCCTACTTTTGCCGGCCGCACGATGCGTCAAGTCGACTCGCAATCCAGCCACGAGCTCCATCCCCTCGCTGTCGTCTCCTTGCGTTGTTAGAAGCCTCCCAGCCCCCGAACGGCCGCCATTCGGGGTTCGGCCGTCGCTAGACTCAATTGGGAAATATCGAATTCGATTGATCGAGCGGAAGACATTGTCGCGCGCTGTGTCTACTATACTTGAAGATTGATATATTGTCGGAATCGCAAAGTGATAATTACACTCGGCCTGTGAACATTTGCCCGCCTCCCCCTTTGGCGTCCCGCCGAACCTTGCAGCTCGCCGAGCTTGCTGCCCTCGAATTGGGTATTGTGTGTATTTTGCGTTCTCGATCTGGCGCGTTGCTGGGACTATCTCCCTATGCGCCAAGCTTTTGACTGTACTAGTCAATTGGTCGGTGTGTGAAGGAGCATGATCCAGCTGCGTTTGATTTTTGTTTGAAGCTTTGTTTGCGTTTTTCCTAGTAAGTCCAGGCTCCTTTCGCGTATCGGCTTTCTTCCCCATAGTGCCCAAGCTTCGCAGTTGAGCTTTTTCTTGATCAATTGCTCTTCTTTGAAACGGCAGCCCGCCTGGTTGATACCTCATTACATTAATCGGGACCAATGACAAATATGGCTGACACTATCTGCCCAGATTCCCCAGGTTCCGAATCGTGGGCTTTATGGATGGCCTCCTCCGAAGTGGATCAGAAGGCCCTGGGCAATTTTGCGGCCGTCATGGGCCTAGAGAACCCCCCTGCTCTCGACCATGCTGTACAAAATCCTCGGCATCTCCGTCATGCTATCGAAAAAGCTTCTCCGAGCCCGCAAACTGCGACGGCTCGACACCACCCGTGAGACAAGATCCCTTCAGCTGTACCACCACATTATATGGCTCTCTCGCGAAGGCCTATTAATACTGGAGGGCTACATCCTCCCAATGGTCGACGTGTTCGTCGAGCTAAAGGTACTCGCTTACAAACTCCGCGCCTCATTCTACCACATTTTCGTCCTCTTCCACAACCGGCCACATTTCAACCACGACAACGACATCCCAACACGCCTCAAACATGACTCCATATATGGCGCAGACTCCTTAACAGCCCTAGGCGTCTCAGACCTTTACAAACCCAACCAAAACACGACAACAATACCGACCTCCCGGCCCCCAGGCCTTCCACCAGTAATCCAACCAGTCCAACCGCCCCAACCAGTCCAACCGCCCCAACCAGTCTCCTCTTTCCTCCTGCCCCCGCTAGACTACACGGCAACGGCAACAGCCTGCTTTAACCACGCCTCAGCCCTCTCCGACAAACTCCTACCAGGTTCCCACCCTCTCCGCCTCTCCGTGAAGCTTGAATACGCCGCTTATTTATACGACTGCCTCCAAGACCCCATCGCCTGCCGCCGCCTCGCAAAACAAGCAATCGCAGACGTCTACAACGCCCAAGAAGGCATGGATGACGAGAGCTTCCAAGACGCAGCGGAAATCGTCCGCGTGCTGGGCAAGATGGTCAAGCGCGGCGGCAAGCCCGGCTCCAGTACCGCGGGGAGTAGTATCTCCCGTGGTGGCGGCTCGCACAGTCGCAGTAGTCGCTCTCCTAGTCATTTTGATACGAGTGCGCCCACTACGGTCTCGCCGGTGCCGGTTACGAAGTCTACGCCTGTGGCTGGGGTGCGTGGACATGCGACGAGACCTGCTGTTTCTGATGCTTCTATGATGAATCCGATTTAGCGGAATGACTATACGTATGTAAAGAAAAGCTGACGATTTATGTTTTATGTTTGATTGGTTTGGCTTTGTTTCTGCTACTTGTATGGTGGGTCGGTGGCTTCGTTGCATTTGTGCTTCTGTTTTGCTTCGCATTGTGTACATAGACATTATGCATTTCTTGTGATGTTGTATGTAGATATGCCACAGTTTTGTCTGATCCCATATGTACCTATTCCCACCTAGGTACGGACTACGGAGTACAGATTCCTAGTACTAACCTTGGGAGGTAGGGAACCTCGTAGGGCGCTGAATATCAGTGGGACTTGGTCGATCAGTCATTAATGTTAGCTATTGACTGCCTGCAGCCATTAATTGACTTGCCTCACATTACACAATGCCCCGGGGTAATCTGAAAACCGTCACAGAAGCTGTACTAATAATATCTAAGCGAAATCCTGTTTTGGGGTGGAAGAAGAGAAGAGGTTGCAAGTTCTTGGCGTTGGAGATCGGCAGGATAGGAGTTGATGCCTCAGGCCAACATTACTGGGAAAACTCAAACCCCCTTCAACAACGTGGGTTGACATTCCTTGAGCTTTTCTTGGATACTATATGGAGTATTAAGTATTTGTACTTCAGAACAAACAATCTACTATTTCTACTATTTTCGAAGGTCGAGATAAGCTACTCAAGTGTCAACAGTGGTCGACGTCATACGCTCTGTGCGAAGAGAAAAAAAAAGCCGCATCCACTGCGACCCTGGCTCTTATCGTCATTAATTCGAAACTAGAGTCCACCACGCCCACCACGTCTGCGATTCCTTCACCTTGCTCTTCTCGCCTTGCTGTTCTACGCTCTATTCAACCTCATATTTTGCTGTACACGGACCAGCCCCCTGCACGTCCGCGCGTCTTTCTCTGCAGCACCACTGCACCTACGGAAAGCTGCATTGAAAGAGAAACGGCCATCTCTCCCCTCCATGGCCTTGACATTGTCTTTGCTCCGCCTCGACTCCCACATAGCTTGAAGCAGCAATATCTTGGAAGCTCCCGGACAAATCTCAGGGAGCAGGGGCAATGCGGTCCGGTCTAAATAAACCCGGCGCACTCCCGCTCCTCGCCCTGGTTGTGTTTTCGCTGCTCACTTTGGTCCCATCGCTGCCAAATCTATACAACTCGAAGTTTGCGGACTTTAGCTTCTACACTGGTGCAGCTCGTCGTATGTTTGAGCTTCTGCAATTCCCAAAATAGGAAACCTTCGTTGGTCAGACTAGCTAACCGGGACAATGTTGCAGAGCTCCCTCTTCTCCAAGACAGTGTGAACGAAGTACTACCAAGAGCACACGCGCTCAGCGAGCCTCGTAAATCATGGATCCGCGCAGCAACACCCCGATCGCGATCCAATCACCCCCCTCTCACCGCACGCCTCGGTCCCGCCACGATCCCAGCTAGCGAGACAATCGCCGTCGCGAATAAAAGTCGACTTTCCTCCATTGCCCGCGAACCATCGTTCCTATTCGGTCGCCGGGCTCGCGCATTTAGATCCTACTTCATCCAACAACTAGACGACTACCCATTCCTCACATCCTTCTCCAATCGCAGTCTACCTGCAGAATCAACACATCCCTCCTCCACCATCGCAATCAACGACTCCCTACCAACCTCCGACAACTCCCCCGCGACCCTCGACCCACCCGATCATCTTTCCGACAGCATCCAAGACCCGCTGCTGCCGTTCTCCGCTTTCCTCCTCGACATGTGCCAGCAGGCCTGCCATGTCGCCATAGACATGGGAAAGCGCGTCGGACTTCGCGGAGCAGAGTACGCCAGATCATTACTACTCCCGGAACAGCCGCTGGATGCTCCCGCAAAATTAATACGTCCATCCATCGTGTCAAAACAGGACCAATTCGTGGTATCCGAGGAAGGGATGTCGCAGCAGAAGGTTGGCGCGGAGGATTCTACGGATGCAGCTGCTGGGCTACATTCGCAGGAACTTCATGGGAGTAGCATGGCTGTCGTGATTGGTATTGTTGCGGGCATTATGTGGTTTTAAAGCATGGATTTCTTCTCTCATTCCGTGCTTTGTCCGCTGAATATGTGTCATGATCTTTTCTTGTCTTTTCTTTTGGTTTGGCGCATTATATTAGATGCATGTAGACATTTTGCGGTGGCTCTGGTTTAGCCTCGGATTGGAATCTAATAATCATCTTCCACTTACGTTTGGAAACATTCGTTCCTTGAACAACTATGTCTGTGAGGTTAATGCTTGCATCTTGTGGTTCTTCGTATGCTTCACCAGATCCAAAGGTAGGATGTTGGGGTCAACCTTCACCGGCCCCATGGATGACTACCCTGTCTCTTCCGCAGAGGAGGAACAGCTGGCGATACAGTTCATCAGGAACTATCAATCGCTCGGCAAGCTGTTCAAAAACAGCGGTGCGTCGACCGTCAAGATCATTCCTCTTTGGTCGGGCAAATTACAAAGAACGGTCCATTGATATGAACCAATACTTCATGGCGCGGGAACTCTTGACCGGTAAAGCCGGTAGCCACCCAGAAGATCATGGGTACTATTCGTATCTGGAGACGCTCAAGACCATTGGGGCACAGGCAATCAAGGAGTCTGTGTAGTTCAAAATTGTGTCAACATTGAGCAAATACCAACAAGCGGGCTCATAACCAGTAAAGCCGGTAGTCTCCCAGAAGACAATTTCATTTCCTCCTTCTCACTGGTGACCATAACCCAAGGAATATCTGTGCCTTTGAGCTTCCCACACGGCCACACCCTTCGAGCCTCGGTAGTGGCCCGGGTGGGTACGCAGATAGGCACAGATGGAGGTTAAATCCGAGGAATGCACAGGATTATCACGATCATATCATCATTCTGCTTCCATCTAATTCTACCTGACACTGTTACATGTAACATCACGAAGTAAAGCCCGTATATCCAGGCTCGCGCACATCAAGATCTAGTTGATGACAGCGGGCTAACCCGATCCGGTAAAGCGCAGACTCTAGCGTATATATCCATGGACGTTGATTGGTCTTCTCGAAGTGTGTTTTAGTTCCGTTATCACCGGGCGATGAGTAAACATATGAACATATAAACATATAAAAGTGAAGATGGTACGATGTCAATTGAATACAACAGATCAATCTACTCTACTCTTCTCTCTATCTCTTCAATCCAACCGCTCTCAATATGGCCAACTCACCTCAGATCCTCCGCTCCGAGGTTATCATGGAGAAGTACGGCAAGAAAGTTGCTGGCAAAACAAGTGAGCAAGCCCTCCGCATACTAGCTGAACAACAGATCCTAAGACTAACATATATTATCCTATAGTCCTGATCACAGGAGTCTCTGACGACTCCATCGGAGGCGAACTCGCCATGCAACTCTCCGCCGCCAACCCGAAGCTCTTAATCCTAAGTGCCCGATCCGAGTCAAAGGTTGCAGGAATCAGAGCGAAAATCCACGCCACCGCCCCAGAAGTGCAAATCCGTTTCCTGAACATGGACTTGGGCGACTTTGCCTCCATCCGAAAAGCCGCCGCTGAGCTGGATGATGTATCTCACATTGACCATCTACTCTTCATCGCCGGTGTGATGTTCCCACCTTACAGCAAGACTAAGGATGGATTCGAGAGTCAGTTGGGGATTAACTATTTGGCGAACTTCTTGCTTGTTAAGTTGCTTCTGCCAAAGGTTCGTGCTGCGGGGCCGGAGGCATCGATTGTTGTCATGGCTAGCTCTATGGTTAGACTGGGGAAGGTGGAATTTGAGGATTACAATTACAGTGTGAGTACCTCTTTTCTTAGGTTGGCTTATTCCGGTGGTAGTATCGGGCTCTGACGTTGGTTTTCTTACAGGATGGTAAAACTTACGATCCGAGGGCTGCGTATAGCAGTTCGAATGCTGCGCGAGTCATGTTTGTCAAGAGGCTTGGGGAGAAGTTGAAGAGTGATGGGATTCGTGTGTTCAGTATTGATCCTGGTGGTATGTAAATTTCGCGGTTCCTTGATTCTGGATTGGCGCGCTGACATTTGTAGCTGTTCAAACTGGTCTGCAGCGACACTGCCCACCTGGATTTATTGATCAAGTCGAGGAGATGAAAAAGGCTGGACGTATGTGCACTCCCCCTTTGATTATGCTTTGGCCATCTGCTAAATTGATTCTATAGCGATGAGTGATTTGGACGGAAAGCCATACCCTTTCCCACCGTGGACGAGTACCTCCGAAGGAGCGGCTACTGTCATCACTGGCATGGTTGATCCAACTATTGCAGGTGAGTCAAAATCATGGTACTCAGTCGCGCACCGAGCCTTTGCTGATCTTGTCTATTCATATACAGAATACTGCGGCTCCTATCTCAACCAGAACGCAGTTGCAGACCACGAGCTGCACACTCACATCAATGACAAGGACAACTGGGCCCGACTCTGGGAGTTGAGCGAGCGCCTAACCGGGGAGAAGTTCTCGTTGTAAGCTTAGAAGCTATAGCGAGATGTCAGGATTGGAGGATTCATGGAACATGGTGTCGAATCATAACCTTGGTATTTCTCTGGTATTTCCCCAAATCGCTGTTTCGCGGCTCGATCAAAACTCGGATATGGGGGATGTGGCGTCTCTTGCTGCTGTTAGTTAGGTCAACGACCTAATGACCTAGTAGCTCCTGCTTTGCTTCTCTAATTAATAAGTTCCATCCATGACAGTCCTCTCCTTTCTAACCTGTTGTAGTCTCCAGTGAGGTATATCACGATCAGCTCGCCATCCTCCGGTGGGGATTTTCATAGGATCACCGGGTAGTGTTTACTAAGGAGCTCTCCGATCAGGTTTCACGTCAAAGAAGAAGTTGCGGTGCCTGAAAGCGGGATTTTGATAATGTATTTGTCGATGTTTGTGTGACGGTGGACGGTTATCGAGTACTGGATGAGCAAGTAAGTCATGTGAGCCAGTGGGCAAGCAGGAAAGGAAGGATCTTCTTCTTCTTTCTTTCTCCCAGACTTGTTACTTTGTATGCAGTACAGCATCGGATCGATCTCCTTCTTGTTTTCTTTTCCCTTTTTTGCTTTTGACAGTAACAGTTTGCCGGAGAAAGCCATCTATGGTGCATTAGCGCCATCCACAAATGGTTTATAAAGTGCAATCAGCATCCCCCACAACGATGTTTCTGATTCGAACTATATTCACTACCATATCTCTTCATCTGCTTGAAGCGTGTTTTGTTGAGCCTTCCACCCTTGTTGAGTGGTAGAACAAGATGGCGTCGACGACCACCGAAGCCCCTACCGGAAAGCTAACCGAGAGTATGAAGGGACTAGTCATCGGTGCTAGTGGTATGATCCCTGGATACCGACATGGTATGTATCTGCTTGAGCGTTAGGAAAGCCAATAAGGATTATGCTGGATCAAGAGCCTGATTGATGACTTCCTGATTCCTCTAGATCGAATCAAGAAGATAGTCGAAGAATGCGGCGCGAAGTTCACCACAACAGATCTTGGCCAGTGTACTCATCTGGTGACAACACCTTACAATTTCAAGAGAAGGTTGAAGAAGAGTCAGTTGCACCAAGTCTCTCTATAGGAATCAGCTGACCGGAGAATCGATCTCCAGTCACAGAGGCTGGTAAACAAGAAGATTGCAAAATCGTGAGCATCGATTGGCTGCTCCAAAGTAAGGAGAAGCATGCACCAGTGAGTGTGGAGGAGTATTCGATTACATCACGGAAGAAGAAGCTTGAGGACAAGCTTGAAAAGAAGCGTGCACGAGAAGTCTCGCCTGCGGGCGTGGACTCTGGTCCTTCAAAGAAGCAGAAAGAGCAACATCCCCCATCCCAATATTTGATCTACTTAGTTGATGAGGGATACCCAGAGCCGAGTCAGTAATATGGCTGTAATCTTTCGAGAACCTTGACTTACAACTTGTCTATGATAGGTGATACACTTTCCGTTTGGCAGGACGCCGAAGGAGTGGTATGGGATGCCACATTGGTCAATGACCACAAAGACGGACGAAATGGGGTTGTGATGTGCATTCAACTACTTATGTGTCAAGAGCCACAGCGCTTCCATACCTGGGCCTTCGAATACAAAGTTGGACACATTCTATCGTCCAATGAGTCAATTGGAGCTTCTGGAAGCTTGAACTCAGCCAAAAAAGTGTTTGAGACAATGTTCAAGAAATTCAGTGGCCTCGCATGGGAGGATCGACATGCCCTTCCCCTTGAGGATAAATGGATTTTCGTGGAGACTCATCAGCGCCATCACGGAGATCAGATCCCCACCACCCAGGTAACCACATTGAAACCTGGTGTTGACAGGGTTTTAGGCCTCATCCTCACTTCAAGTATCATAGAAAACCAGTACAATAATCTCATCAGAAAGATATGTGGCACACTTCAACGTTCTGGCACACCTCAGCTTGATGTACAGGGGAAATCTTATCTGATTGGGGTTGCGATTTTGGGCAGATTGACGGCGCTGGCTGGTGGCACCAAGGCCGATAATGTCAGCCTGTGCAAAGAGCGGTTGTTAAGGGCCTGCAATACCCTGATTCCAATGCCGAAATATTATAGGATCACCATCGAATCAGCCGAGAGCAGGCTCAAGTCCCTCGATCTTCTAAGCAAGTTGCACAATGCAGGGCGTATCTTGAGAAGCGACCCATCGTCTCCATTGGCTTTGAGTCACATATCTCAAATGATAGGTCTGGCAGAAATAGACCCAGGTATGGGTGCTCTGTGTATCCTTGTCGCAGTATCTTCCAAACTGCTTCCTAGAGTACCGAAGCAAAAGACTGACCCTACTTGATAGTGGATCGAGAATCGACAGAGTTTGCGAAGCTCTGTGAGTATATCGAGAAGTCTTCCTCAACAGAACACCCATATCAGTTCCAGGCAAGCTGGATTCAAGCCCTTGAATACAAACCGTGAATTCTAACTCTCCCTTTTGACTAGCGGGTCATCGCCGTGTTCCGCCTCGAACGTCCAGGGAGGCAAAGTCCTTTGCCGAGTGGGCAAAGGAACACAGTTCCAAGATTGGGGACCGTCGACTTCTGTGGCACGGCTCGCCAACTCATAATTTTAGCAGTATTCTGACAGTAGGTCTACGCGGTCTACACCCGAACATCCCCGTCACGAGGGGAATTTACTTCGCTGAGATGTCTACCAAATCGGCGATTTATTGTCGGAAAATAGATAAGAAATCAGGAGAAGCTCTACTGTTGCTGTGCGAGGTTGAGCTGGGCAAGTCAAGTTCCTTGAGTACTGAGTACAGGGGCAGCAGCTATTATACGACTTGGCGGGACGCTGGTGATATTCACCCGAATCTTAAGGGTACCCGGGTGCCGGATTTCAACACAAAAGTATCAGCGGCTTCGTCACTTTACGGTCTTTACCACAGTGAGTTTGTCGTGCACAACCCAGCACAGATTCGTCAACGGTACTTGTTTCACGTTGAGTTGAAAGAGAAGGTGTGAAGTTTGGTGATTACAGTATGGTGTGATGGAGCCTAGAGAAGGGGACAAGCTTTGACGGGTTGACTTGGTGTTTGACTGATTTGATGTGACTTGTTTGTTCATTGTCTTGGGTGATTTGACGAAATTGTGTATTTGTGTTGGTTACTATCAGTCACGTTCCACGTCTTGCAATAGCATTATGGCTTTCTGTTTCTGCTTTCTCATGGAGAGAAATCGAAATCCCATTTGACTCAAGTCTTGGCACTCTCCCCGCCTTACTTCCTCGACTCTCCGTCTCTTCTTCCACTTCAAACGCCATGGTCAACTTTGGATAATTTTGGCAGCAACTGCTAGGCACAGTACTTTTTACTTACCCCCAAGGAACACCCGGGGAATGGCTGTACTCATGGGTGTCTCACCCTTCTCTCCCTTTCATATGGACAATACACCATGTACAAGATCCAAACCCGGGCCGCAGGCCCGGCGAGAGATAAACCACCCAAGTAACACGTGAAACGTATACCTGTACGTTTTAACTATATACAAAAGTGAACAGGGTAGGTGTAACATACCTTTCTAGTTGAAACATCAAAAATTTTCTGTCCAGTTGTCAGTATCCGTGCTGCCAACTGGCCAGTCTTCCGCCAACTGGCAAGGCTATTCCTACGGATTACCCCAGTAACCCCACAGCGAGACGTGCCGCGTCTGATCTGATGTTTAATACTATGGCAATTGGAAAGGTATCAATTCTTCAAGATTGGTTCACGACCTGCTTAAACCCATCGACCTCGAACTCAGCGATAGCTAGAGCTTCTAAACAAATACAGATTCGAAGATCGTTCAGCTAATCTCAACAACAATGGCTTTCTCCCCCCGCTGCTTCCTCCAGTAATTAGTAGACTTGATAATATCCGGACACTCCGTAGCCAACCAGGTCCATTTCCTAGCCAAAATTTCCGAAACCTCATAAGCAAACGGATCCCACGACTCTCCCCAAACACGAAGCCCGACTTCAGAAGAAAGACAAGTCCCATATAGATCCTCGCACACCTGATCCTCATCAAGGATGCCCTCCCGATCAAGAAGTGCCTCTCGGAGAGATACCATGGGAAGCAAATCGACCCACGGATGGTGTAATATTTTCCTTTGTTTCGGGGATGGTAACAAGCTTGCCGGGAGGTGAGTCATTATAAAACCGTCGATATTGAATTGAGATGCCAGGTCTTCATCTAGAATCTCTAGTGTCAGGCCCATGAGGCTGGCGTTGAGACCCATAGCGCGGAGGCTATTGTATTGTGTGAGGCAGAATGTGAGAGTGGGTGAGATGACAGGGGTTTCAAGCATGTGCGCAGCTAGTGCTTGGAGGTAGGCTATGTATTGACGGCGCTGGGTGGGAGTGAGATGGTTGAGACAATGAATAGTTATGCCTGGTGGTGGTGGTGGTGGTAATTGGGTGACTTGGTGCGTTGCTTTTGTTCGGATAAGGGCATTATCCGGACTGTTGGATTCTTCGGTGTAGACTATCCATTTTTGCTTCTTAGCCTCTAGAGCTTTTCTCTTTCCTGTATGCGACGTTAATATTGGAGTGTAGATGTTGGAGGCAAGGTGTGGCGACTGGTGGCCACTTACTGCTAGCGCGTTGATTGAGGCGATTTTGGAGTCGCCTTCTGGCTTGGGGATCCAACGTGTCCATTGTGGTTTCTGTGCATGTATTCTCTGATGCCATGACTTTACTAAAGACTGTGAAAAATATCTCTGGAGGGGAAATTGAAATGGCGAGACGTTCAAAGTAAGTTTGAACTTTGGAGGGTTAATGCAGAGCCCGGAGTTAGGCGTAAAGTCCGGCTTCTTAGCTCCGTGGTAAGCCAAAACACCATTATGGTAATGAGTAACGACATACCTACTTCGACATTCTTCAGATGAATCTTATCCTCAGTTTCTCGTATTCTGGATAAATTCCACTACGGTCTCTCACTCATGCAAACCAAACCCGGACCCGAGTCCGATTCGCCTTTCCTTAAATATTCATGACGTCGAAGAGTGGCCAAATACTTCTCTGAACGGCCTGAAATGTTCTTCTAATGCAGTTTGTACATATTTTCAAGTACTATTGGCAGTCATACTACACTCATTCTTAGACTTACTTTCCCTTATATACCTACATCGCTCGATAGAACGTGATGCTTGCCAAACTCCGTCAAATATTCACCTGCGGACGTTGGAGAGAACCGAGCGCCGGACCAGACAGCAAGCAACAGAAAAGCGCGTGGAAAGCTGACGATAATGGTGATGATGAGTCTTTTGGAAATCTGAGCGAGATTGCTGTGCCATCCCCTGCTCCGAGTCCTGTAGGGAGTCAGGGCGTATCGGGTACTAGCAATATCTCTCCAAGGCAGGAAGTACCCCATCTGGGCAATAATTGAATGGACAATACGAGGACATGGTGAGTACATCATCCGAGTTTCTTTTTACTGGGTGATCTTGTTAATGCTCTAGGAATGATTAGCGAACACCCCGGAAATGCGCCGCTGTAACCGTTGAGATACCTATACCAATACAATGGTACTGCTCTGGTCTACAAGCTTTTACATAGAATGCGTTCTTGCGCTATCTGTGCCAGTTGCGCGGTTATACCTAGGGTCTGATGATGTGACTAGGTACTGGGCCATAGTTGCATCGGCTAGACCGCCGCTTGTATATCCAAGAATGCAGTTCTCTAATAAACCACTTCTACTTCGTCCAGACAGATGCATCGTACCCATCCATCAAAGAAGTATACTCCGAACCAGCAGCAACCCAACCCTTGATGCCTCCCGTAAGAACCAAGCTCTTAACTTCTGTATCCTGTTTCTCCTCTAGATAATCTGCAAACCAGCCTCCTGCACGAGTACCTCGACCAGCAGATGACCCTGTATGCCAGTTAGTACCGATGCTCAAGTCATTTCTAGGAAGGATCCGAAGCAAAACTCACCACAGTACCAAATCACATACTTCGCGCTGCTGTTCGATACAAGAGAATATAATGTCGGGATGGTGGGATATAGACTCTGAGCTGGCAAATTCAATGATCCCCGGATTGTCCCTCCCTGTGTCTACATCAGATTCCTGTGAAACCATCATAACCATCCACTATTCATACCTCATAATCAGTGCGGCGCAAATCGACAAGAACGTAGTCTTTGCCGGCTTGTTTACCGTCCCGAATCCATTGCAATAGCTCCTCCCGCGATATAGAAGGCGCCACGCTCTTGGGGGCGGGAAATGCGGCATGCCATGGAGCGTTGGCTGACATTATTGCATTGACTGACTCTGAAATCAAGTACTGCGGATGTTTGGCATCCTTCGAACTTGTTCGACTCTGCTGAGATACCCCGAATGCTCCCCGCGGCCCCGCCTATGAGGAATGTCACTCCCGCACTTTGATTGGTTAAACCTTTTGTGGAGATCGATTCCAAGTTTAATTCTTTCAGCCAATCAGCATCGAGGAGTGACATATCATCGCCATGTAGGTCTTCAGGCTCAGGATTGAGTATTTATTTAGTTGTTTAGCTTGAGCGCGGTCCATACTTTGTATGATTTATTGAAGCTGCTACCGTCGTCTCAATACCGCCAGCAGCTATAAACTCCTTATTCATCATGGCATGCACACGAGCACAGCCATGTTTGGATGGTTCTGGTCCTCCCAATAGCGAAACCAAAATTTGCGACATTGAAAAGCAAAATGAAACGACATCTGAGGAGCCAGGAAAAAAAGAGTCAATGTTTGCCAGCCTAGGTCTTCTCGACCGGTTTTTGGCTGTATGGATCTTTCTCGCCATGGCAATTGGGATCATTCTGGGCAACTTTGTTCCGAGTACAGGTCCTGCCCTGCAAAAGGGGACCTTCGTGGGAGTCTCTGTGCCCATCGGTACGTGCATTCAGATCCTCGAATTCTGCCCTGCTTTCTGACCATTCGACTGTAGCGATCGGTCTCCTGGTGATGATGTACCCCATCCTGTGCAAGATCCGCTTCGAATCCCTGCACCATGTCTTCCGGTCCAAAGATATTTGGATTCAGATGGCGTTCAGCGTAATTTTGAACTGGTTAATAGCGCCTTTTTTGATGGTTGGTTGTTCAAGTGTCGCGAAATACAGTCCCTGACACTGACATTTCACTCTATAGCTTGCCCTAGCTTGGGCATTTTTGCCCGATGAGCCTGAATTGCGACAGGGATTGATCGTTGTCGGTTTGGCCCGGTGCATTGCTATGGTAAGTCTTGAACCATCCATGTGGCGAACACAGCCGTGCTAACCAATCTGTCCTAGGTTCTGGTCTGGACAGGGCTGGCCGGAGGTGATAATGAATACTGCGCCATCCTCGTCGCCCTCAACTCCGTCCTACAGATGGTTCTCTTCGCTCCAATGGGAGTCTTCTTCATCAGCGTAATTAGCGGCGACCCAGTGACATTTGAATACGCAACAGCCGCCAAAAGTGTCGCGGTCTTCCTCGGAATACCACTGGGAGCTGCAATCGTCACGCGCTTCGTTATTCGACGGATCTCTGCGACATGGTACGACCAGACCTTCCTGAAATGGCTCAGCCCGTGGTCTCTCATCGGTCTGCTGTTTACGATCCTCATTTTATTTGCCTCGCAAGGCCGTCAAGTCGTCCACCAAATTGTCTCGGTGGTCCGGGTCGCTGCACCACTCATCGTTTACTTCCTTGTCATTTTCTTTGCAACGCTTCTTGTCGCCTACAAAATGGGCTTTGGTTATAAGATTTCCGCTGTACAGAGCTTGACGGCTGCGAGCAATAACTTTGAGTTGGCAATTGCTGTTGCGGTCGCGATGTTTGGCGCAGATAGTAACCAGGCCCTTGCTGCGACGGTAGGGCCGCTTATAGAGGTCCCTGTACTGTTGGGTTTGGTTTATGCGGTCAAATTGGTAGCTAGACGGCTTGGCTGGAAGGATTGAATTTGATGATTGCAGATCTGGGATAGAATAGATAAAGTAATGAGGAAGTCCGGGGTTAATTGTTAAGTTGCGGTTGCCGTTGGGGCTATTTCGTTGGATTGTGTTGTGTCCTAGAAGGGGGAAGACGATGACCTACTATCCCATGAAGGGAGATTATCCTAGCGCTTCACTGCGTAAATCTTAAACGAACCTAAACGAAAGTCAGATTGATTCTTCACGTACAAAATCTTTGGAACTCACCAGCCCACTCATTGAAATCATGACCCAGCAGGTCTGCTTCGGGCGGAGGCTGCCTTTGGCTTCCTCCACAGCAAGAGGGAGCCCCAGACTCACAGCTCGTTTCTCCGGTGTTCATTTGCCCTTGCACCAGATCTTTGTACACATTGATATCACTGTGGGTGTCGACAATCAGGATATCTGAAACGGACAAATGGTCAATTAACAGCACAGGCTGCAGTCATACTTGTAGTATACAGTACCTTTGAATCCAGCACTCCGAAGATACTCTTCATACTCGTGAACCTGGCTAGCCCCTGCGATGCACCCGACATAGAAAGACAGATTGGTAACAACTTCTTCGGGAAGTTTCTTGCGAGTTAGTATATCACTGATCGCAACGCGACCTCCAGGTTTCAATAAGCGGAACATCTCATGGAACACAACATTCTTGTCTGCTGTTGGTACAAGATTGACCACACAGTTGCTGATAATGCAGTTGGCTGAAGCGTCTGGCAGAGGAATGGACGTGATGGAGGCTTCAATAAAGGATACATTGGTAGCGCCCGCTTCCGCGGAATTTTTCCAAGCGAGCTCAAGCATGCTCTGTATCTTTGTTTCAGTTCGGATATCTCGACTTGTCGACTGTAGTGAGATCTCACCTTCGTCATGTCCACACCGATTACCTTCCCGTTAGGACCGACCTTCTTCGCAGCCAGAAGAACATCGATGCCCCCTCCACTGCCTAGATCAATCACTGACTCCCCCTAAAGCCATCTATCAGTCATTTGTATCACACAGATATGGTAGTTCGTGTGACAGCTCACCTCGCGTAAGTTTGCAAGAACCAGGGGGTTGCCACAGCTGACCCCAAGGTTTGCAGCTGCGGGGATTGAGCTCAATTCTCCAGCATCGTAGCCGAATGATTGAGCAATAGCTTGCTCGGTCTTCCTCTGCTCGCAGGCAGCGGAGCGATCAGCTAGCCCACCATACCGGCCCTGGACATGATTATAGATTGGGTTTGAATCCATATTGTGGTTTACCGTTTGGGCTATGAAGCTAGACGTAGAGAAAACAAAATGGTCAAGGAGATGGTGGAGTTAGACCTTCAAAGTTTAACTCCCTGCCCTCGCGTCAATCCACAGTAAGGCTACCCCGCTCGTAGATACAGCATGTCACCGCCTCTTTCAGGGTTTCTGTCACTCTACCAGTGAGAACCTGAACATGAGCGAGACTCAGATCAGGATTGCAGGCCTGAGTGAAGCCTTTGTATTGGCTGATTGGGACAATTCGGCTCTCGTCGTTTCCAGCATGTCAGAGGTCGTGGATAGGCTCATCATTGGCTGTCGCCAACAAACCCGACATATTCCCCTCAGGGCCTGAGCAATGCGTCGTTTCAGAGGGTCTCAAAAGATGATCTGGAGGTGGTCAAGCATTTCCACCGCGGTTCGATATCTATTTCTCATAGTGGGGTCGAGACGCGGTTGCAGCTGCGTCTGAGCCTTGCCAGCGCAGCGGGTAGAGACATACGCCATGCGATATCTCTCTGACGGGTACTGGTCGGCGTTCAGCAGCAATTTGTTTCCGCCGGGCGTCTCCAGGGGGGCAAGACGAGTACGGAAGTCTCGAGTGGGAAACTCAGAGGACTGAATTGAGAAGCAGGGAGGAAGAGCAAGAAAAGGCAATTTGCCAATTTGGGGAAACTGCGAGGTTGGCTCTTGCTGCATACATGACAAACAATTAGTAGAACCTCCGAGGAAGCTGCGCGAAGAGTCCCTTCCTATTCGGGCAGTGTCGATGTTTGTTCACTTTGTTCAACTCTCACAAAGATAAATAAAGGACACCGTACACGTGCTTCTTGTCTTCCATCTCTCTTCTTAACAACACGCACTTTATCTTTTCTTAACACCACGCACCTAACAACCGTTTCGTCACTCGATCAATTGATCAAGTAGGTCTTTGATCAGGCCCCCTTTGGAAACCATCAGCCCTACTAGCTCCACAGTCCTGTTGTTTATGTGTCAACAGCGAGAATCAGAGGGAATTCATCTGGAATTGCCTTCAACAAGGCGTTCTCCCTTCGATATTTTGCTTGTTCAGATCCAGTTGCTTGGAGTCCAGCAATAATTCAAGACTCGGCAGCTTATCAAAATCAACAGCGAGAATCAGAGGGAATTCATCTGCCGCCTTGAATTATTGCTGGACTCCAAGCAACTGGATCTGAACAAGCAAAATACCGAAGGGGAGAACGCCTTGTTGAAGGCAATTCATATTGCATATTGGCAATAGGGAAGCCGTAAAGTTGCTTGCCTGAGCTGGTGCGAATCCTGATATTCAATCATGCGAAGGTGTGACAGCACGACAGGCTGCCCTGGATGCAGGAATTCGTGTCAGATGGAAGGCTCGCCCGAACTACCTAGGTGGTTTGGTATCTAACTTGCTGGTGCCGAAGGTGCTACAGCACAACGGGCATCATCGGATGCATGTATTGGTATCAGATGGAAGGCTCGCCCGGACTAACCTAGTGAGGGTCAGTCGGATATTTCAACTCTCTGCTCTGATGGATTCGCGGTTCCGAAAGGGAACCAGCGTAAATTTTTCATGATAAAACATGGTAGTTAACTGAGAATGCAAGTCCTAGGTATTCTGTAGGTACTAGTATGTAGATACAGTAAGTAGATGACTGCCTGCGGACATTTTGCCGGATCTAGGTATAGACATTAACATATACCTAGACACCCATCGACCTCTCTAAGTTACCCATCAGCTTCTGAGGGCCTGAGGTCTCTAGAAAGTAGAAATTGGGGTGAGGATCTGTACGATTCCTCTTTTTATTTTCTGATACACCATAACATGGGGATGAACGGGCAAAATAGAAGAAGACGTGGTGTCAAACGCGGTCAGGTGACCAGGGGTTACGTGCACGTGATGATATGCTCAGCCTCTATCACCCCTAACCCGTACCAGGTTAATCATTTCCCTGAATAACGGTCGCCATCAAAAAAATGCATACATCTATCTTCTTTGTATGTTATCCGGTGTATGATTTGAACGGCCGAGGATCGACCAATGCTGTGATTCTCATCGGAGCATAAGCGTTGAACCCACGACTTCTGCCACTCTGGCCCTCGGGGACGCGCGCTCCCTCGCGGTTTCGTCAGTTCTGGCTCCTCTGGATGGTTTTAAGATAAAAATTCCTCCAAAGTCTGCGGTAAGTCTTTCTGTAAACCCAATTTGTGGTGTAGTTGAGATCTCATACCGCGCGCCTCTTGGTTCTCACTGGCCACGCGTCCTGCCGGCCGGGACTCTACCTACCAGTTCTTGCTTGAACTTGAACAGCTCAGAAATCCGGGAAGGCTATACTCAGGAGTTTGGCAATCGACTAAATGCAGGCCTACGTAACGCAGACTAACGCTATTGCACTTGTAGATCTGCCACTCATATTAAGTGTTCAAGAATATCATTTTGATGATGGCCGATCAATCTCCAACAGCAATTGGCGTTCAACTCCCACGCTGGTTGATGTCACCGCCCTGTAAGATATGCCGACGGAGGCACACACGCTGTGATCGCGCTAGACCAGGTGAGCACCCTGCATCATGTTACAGCGCCCAGGACTGAAAGTATATTGATAACTGACTGAAGACGCACATAGTCTGTGGGCGATGTGTGGAGGTTGGCATGGGTGACTCATGTTACTATCCTGCTGCGGAGTCCCCAGGGTATGTGGGTTGATTGTGCAATTGACTCGGTGAAGAAAATTGACTCGGTGAAGAAAACTAATCCCATGTCAATTCAGTGGCGAGAGAGATGATACCCCGAACAGGCTCACACCGAAATCTGGCGCCCCGTTTTCAGGGCCAATGTTCAACGATGGCTTGGTTGCGCCGGCAACGGGGGACAAGAGGAAGAGAGTGACGGACAGCTCTGTGGAGCAAAGTGAATTCACTGATGGTGTCGTTGGATCATGTATAAACGATGATTCCAGCGTTTCCCAAGTGCAAGAGCTGCGCCTACCCCAGCAGCCTCTTGCAAAACGACAGAAGATGTCTGAAAATGATTCGGAGAATGCCACTGCGCTGGCACGAGATCAGAAGAGCGTATCTCCCGATTCACCAGAAGACGAAATTGAGCTCCGGTGCAACTTGACCACCGAAATTAACGTCCAGAGATCGAAACGGTATCTAAATAGGACAACTCTGCGCAAAATCATGATGTTACTCTCTCAAAAAGCAAGGCAGAACGTTCGGGCAATGATGCTGCCTGTCTTCAAGCGCATGACCAATGGGCTGAGCTTGAAGTAGACGATCTCATCGAGCAAACAGCATCCAAGCTCAGAGCGAAAGGCCGGTGCTCTTCTGCGATTCTTAGTCGGTTTGAAAACTTCTTATATGGCCCATTGATGAGCACTGAGGAGAGGAGAACTCAAGAACGTGTCATATGTGCCGAGGAGTGCTTCACAAGCGCCGCGTCCTCACCGCCGACGACAGAAAGCCACATCAGAACCCAACTTCATCGCTTAAAAACTGTCATTCTGGACCCTGCAGCATACGGCTTAGACGAGAAATGCCCACACTTGGAATCGTTGCGCGAGGGGCTTATTGCAGCGATAACAGTCAACGTGGCGCTGCCCCGTCCGTTATATACAAAGCTCTTGGAGTTCCTAGACCCAACGGGGGTTATTACCAATACGAGTACACACGGTGAAGTTCGCAAAGTGACGACCTCAAATTCAAAGAGGAAGGTGCCATCCACAGCCATCAGCCCATCCTCTTCATCTCACACTACCCCTGCTAGACCATCTCGACCTAGTCTTGACTTGAACAATCCACGTGGCGAAAACATGGCGTCACATTTCCTGAAGTCAACGCCTACCATACAGCGTGAGACCAAAACACATGAGTCTGCCAGTCGGTCTGCCAACCCCGGCACTTCAGTCGCCATGGGTTCGATGCCTGCTGCTCCAGCCCCCAAGTCATCTGCGTCTGACTCAATAAATGCGACAGCTTTGGTATCTGCTTCCTCCAGCAGCAATCAATTCTCCTCCGAGTTTACCAAGAGGCTTTTCAAAATCTTTCGCACGAAGCAGGCGCCCATGCTGCCCGTTCTTGACCTCAAGGAACTCCAAGTAGCTTTCGACCTGGCTATGGATCAAGGACAGTTCGGACCGCAAGTCATCGATCCGACCGTCGGACTTTGTCTGGCAATCGCATGCCATCTAACTCGCGATAAGGAGCTTTGGAGACCCCGCGATTGGTACGACCCCGCTATATCCAAAATCAATGCGGCCCAGGATTCCAATTCCTCACTAGAATTCTTCCATCGCGAAATCCTCCGAGCCGAGTATCTCCATCTTGTCGGGGACCTAGGAACGGCCTGGGAGATTGTGTGCATAGCTATTGTCAAGGCGCAGTCTCGTTTGATGCAAGGCGTGGACGGCGGAGACCTCGCTGTAGACCAGCAGTCTTTGGAGCAGGTTAGGTTGATATGGCACCTCCTTTCGACCAAAAGAGCGTCTCTTGCCTTCCAGCTTGGTATCTACCAGCAATCCGGTGCCGGGACTTTGATTCTGGAAACACCATTGCCGAAGCGCTCGCACATCGAGGGAAAGTTTGAAACTCATAGCATATCTAGCCATTCCCAAGTCCACGCAAGCTCTGCATTCTTCCTTGCTTGTACCTCGCTTTACACGTTCTCTGATGATCTCATTACTGTTGAGCATGATCTTCGTGTCACACGGAATGAATGCCCCATGAAATGGCTTTCAATTGTGGACCTGAGTGACTTCCAAGATCTGCAAAGAAAGCTGTCTAGCTGGGAAAGAGGTCTACCGGCTTGTTTTGAATGGAAAGAGTCCGAAATCGAATTAGGCATGGAGAAGAACCCTCAGATTCGCCGCATGCGTCTCATTATTCACCTGCGCCACCTCTACTTCCTACTGCGCGAGTACAGACCATTCTTCATCTTGAACCTGCGACTTTCTATTGAGTGCAATTGTGAGTTGGCACCTCATGTGCCAGGCGTACATTTACACGCGGTGAATGCGGAGCCTATCCTTGCCCTATTACACTCTAATGCCATCAAATGCATCACAGCAGCTCAGATGATTGTGAAAGCTCTCGCAGGTTCATTCGTCAAAGAGCATGATGACGACGCAAAGTGTGAAAATTTGGGGTACCTACATGCCGCCGCCCTCGTGCTGGTTGCCGCTTTGGGCATGTGGCAACGATTGACACAGCATGGGAACACCAGTAGATCGGCCACGACTTTGGTGGAGCAGTTCCGTCAAGCAGAGAAGCTTATGAGAAATTACGAAGAGTGCTGTGTGATGGCGCCCAAGCTGAAACAGCGCATCAGACGCTGTCGCGACTTTTTGGGCGTGCTGGAATCCCAGTCGAATCCAGGCAGCTCCAGACAGGCCCGCATAATCATGGACGACTCACTCCGATTCGACCCCTTAGTTTGGCGCAGAATTTACGATCGACTTGGCTTGGAAACCCCCTTCTGGAGATTCCCTGACCCTCCCCTTCCTTCTGGCTCAACTGTCGTAGGTCGTCGGTTGACTTTCGGCTGGTTGGAGAGTCTGCCAGTCGATATAGACCTCAAACCGACTCAGACCCTTTTGTCCTCATAATTAAAAGCCACCTTGCTACCTCCATGTAACTAGCACCGATTAATGACATATATGTATGATCCTCCATTCACCTTCCATACCTGGTTAGCGACACGATCGGCTGCCACCAACTTCGGTAGGCAACTGGTTCGAACCTGAAGATTAAGTGAGGATAGTTCATTCATGGAAGCACTGCCCGAGACAATGGGATGAAAGCATTATTGTACAATAGTTGGGTGTCTAAGAAACCCACTGCCATCATCTAGCTAGCGATCGGACAGGATCCAGATACATGCAAGCTTTGCGTACCGAATTGAGAATGGTGCAGAGATCGCTACATGCTACCGGCAGGATTGCAGGAGTCTCAATGTCTCTATGCAGAGATCTGCGATGAGCGCTATGTAGTACTGGTCAGCAGCACGAGGTCAACGCTTCCACGGAGGAGGGCCCTTTCTGCGAGACCTATTCCCGCTAGCGACCTCTGAAAGATGAGCGTTTTTGTATAGCTGTGGGCCCGATACAATCAGGATTGTGTATTCTCGGCTTCATCTACCGCCCGCTCAACTTCTTGCTCCGTCCATCGATGAAACAATTTGCGGGCGTCAGAAAGCTCTGCCTCCTTGGGCAACCCATTGTGAACCGACTGAACGTGGAGAACAGGAACATCAAACTCGTAAACGTCTTTCCAAGGTTTGTTTCGAGGTTCCATGATATCCGCCTCGACGTACTCAAAGGACCGCCGTTTCTGGAGCTGAAGCACGGTGTTTTTGGCGGTATCACACAGGCCACAGCCCGCGCGTGTAAACATCGTCAAGCGGGCTGCGCCGAAGAGGGCGCGGGTTGGGAACATGGAGGATGTACTGTGTAATGGCAAATATCCAAGGACTGGAATTTAGACCGAGGATTGGAAGGTAGTTGGGGAACGCGAATGCGGTCAAGGAGGTTCCCACGCGATAGCGATAGCGATGGAAGATTCCAGCTTCCCCACTAAACCATATTAGGAAACCCGCGCCATTCTGCCCAGTACACGATCATTATCTTCGCTCTTGACTCATTTGCCTCAATTCTTCTATACTTTCCATCACTGTTACACCATGGCAGGCAAATGCGTTCACAAAGGGTGTGGGAAGACCTTCGACAACCCAGAAGAGGATTGCGTGTACCATCCGGGTCCTCCAGTGTTCCACGAGGGGCAGAAAGGTGAGTACCTTGATGTTTCAGCTACCAGATCTGTGTCCCATGCGTTTACCAGCGATCCACGGCGGATCATTGTGCTAGCGCATCGTTACACTTGTCCCTTTATTTGGTCCATGCTACATTTCTTGCCTGCGACGCCGCTGACTTTTCAGGCTGGAAATGCTGCAAACCCCGCGTCCTGACTTTCGAGGAATTCCTTTCGATCCCGCCATGCACAACCGGCAAACATTCCACCGTCGATGATACACCTGCGCCCGAACCCTCCAAAGCTGAGGCACCACCTGCCCCAGCCGAAGAAAAGAAGTCTGAGCGACAACCTATCTCCGCCTCCCCCGCCATCGCGACTGCCGCACCACCTGCAAAGCCTGTTGCCGAGGAGCCCGAGTCGGACGACCCTGATGCGGAGATCCCAGCTAATGCGACATGCCGTCGGAAGAGCTGTGGCAAGACCTACACCGGGTCTCGCGACGAGGAAAAGTGCGTCCATCACCCCGGCCAGCCGGTGTTCCACGAGGGCAGCAAGGGGTGGTCCTGCTGCAAGCGCCGAGTGCTTGAATTCGACGAGTTCCTGAAGATTCCCGGTTGCACGGAGAAGACGAAGCACCTGTTTGTGGGCAAGGCCAAGGCCCCCGGAGAAGAGAAGGTGGATTCAGTCAGGTACGTGTATACAGGACAAGCCCACCAGTTCTACAAGCTTGGTCTTCCGAATACAGCCAACTAATGTGCATTGGTATCTATAGAAACGACTTCTACCAGACTCCTACCTCCGTCAACGCTTCTCTATACCTTAAAAAGATCGACAAGGAGCGCGCCAAGGTCGACTTTACTTCCAACTCGGTTGTCGTCGATCTTCCTACCACAGACAACAAGCGCTTCCAGGATACATATAATCTGTTTGCGTCGATTGACCCAGAGCAGTCGACTTTCCGCGTGCTAGGCACCAAGCTGGAGTTGAACCTAGCCAAGGCGGATGGAACTAGCTGGCCTGTGTTGCGGAGTGATGACAAGTGGACTGGAGAGCGCATCCAGATTGGCAATGCTGGACGTGCATGATTGGGCATACATCTTGGAATATAAATGATAGAAATTCACAACGTTGACGATGGTGATGACAATTGGATTCCTTGAGAGACATGAAGTGCGCACGGGAGTAGATGCAGTCGGTAGCTGGCTATGTATGCATACTGTGTACGCAGTAAACCAGGGTATCTCGGCATGCCGATAACAACAGGGCTTGGGCATATCTTGGCAAGAAACCCGAACATTATGATTTCGACCTCGGGACTTGACCGCACCATAGCAGCTCAGCAACTTGAGCAAGACACACACGGCAAGACCAAGAGCTCATAAACCTAGCAAGGTTTCGGCCTCTTCTTGTAGACTTATGAATATGCACGAAGTGAAACGTGAAATCCTTATGTCTAGATACGCGCGGCGCACCAATTACCGATTGGGGATCTTATGATATCCAATGCTACGTGTTGATGGAATTATCTGGTCAAATGCAAAAAAGACCAAACAAAACAGAACCGACTCATATCACATAAAAGTGACTGAAAAAAAGGAATATGACGCCCTCTCCACAGCTAGCACCCATGGGGCTTCCCGAAGGATACCCTAGCATAGCCATAAAGTGATTGGGAAAAAGAGAGACGCCTTCACTCTCCAGGGCCGGGAACGGAAGAAAACCCATGTAGGCCGAAGCCATCGGATAACCCTCAGCAAGCCACATTGTGGAGCCCCGTTGAAATTTACATTAAGTTATGTAAACCTCTACTGATGATGGAGAGAAAAGAAAAAAGAGTAAAGACGCGGGCACAGCGGCTCTATTTATGTGTTTGAAAACCCATTCTACGCTAGAGCTGATTGGGCTTCGGTGGATTCGGGAAATTGTTCTTCCATTCCTTGACAAAAATTTTAATTTATGACTAATTTTATGGTCCAATTGGGAAGTTAGGGCTGGGCGCAGGGCTTGACGACAGCATGTGACATTAACGCCCCTTTGGCGGCGGTTGCATGTGATCGCCCCGCCCATGAGTTTGTGCCTGGAAACAAACAAGCAGTCAAATTTGGTTTGTATGGAGTCGGGGCGCTTCGCCACCAAATTGCCTTGAGACAAAGAAATACGAGACTGGAACACCTAAGAATGGCTATGACCAATGGCTGCTCTTTGTCTCACACAAGCACTAAACCTAATAGTAGCGGTGGGAATAATGTACTTTTTTCCCTAGAATGTGCCGGTTTAAGAATTCTGGCCCTAGCAAATTCTTCCAATCATGGGTCGGGAGCACGAGACCTCCCTTCGGTCTCAGTGACCTCACCCCGCCATCGATAGTGTCTTCTCTTGGTTCCCCCCTGAATTTTTATTGTCCTACAATCTTCGCCATAATCCATAGCCTGCCTTCTTCTATTCTGCTTCACTTCCGCATAACATATATCCCCATTTGCACATTGCGCAAGCATTCTGGCCACATTCAATCGCTTGGATCTCTGGATTCAAGGACCCTGTTGACCGACCTGGAGGTGTAGCCTCTCAAGCAAACTTGGACTACTTAATAGCCCAAATCCACATCGACACACGATTCACCTCCTATCCATCTCCTACCTCCTTTCCGCCTCCCCTTCATTCCAAAATGGGTTCAACAGAGACTCCAACGGCCATGACGCCGGACTTCCGATATATCCCCCTATCATACAGCCACGCAGACTCGCAGGCCTCCGCCCTGAGGCTGATCCTGACCCTCAATCCCGACTGGGAGGGTCCTGGCAACGACATCAAGTTCGTGCGCTTCACTGATGGGATCACCAATACCGTGTGTCCCTCTTGCCCCGCGTCGCATCATACAATTGAGACCAGCGATAAGGTCGCAAGAATCACAGAAAGACTAACAGCTCCCTAGCTCTTGAAAATCATCAACACGAAGCCCGGCCTGACGGAGGAACAAATAGACAATGAGGCAGTACTGATGCGCGCGTACGGAAATGGCACAGAAATCCTCATAGACCGCGAAAGTACGAGCAAACCCCCAAACTCTCAACCCAGGAAACAGCCCTTTTGCGCCCTCTTTGCCCATTGCGACATTTGCTGAAGTAGTTCAATCATTAGGAGAAACACGGTCCCACGCACTTCTGGCCAGCCGCGGCCTCGCCCCGCCCCTCCTCGCCCGATTCAAAAATGGTCTGCTCTACCGCTTCATCCGTGGTCGGCCTTGCGGTCACCAGGATCTAGTCTCCCCGCCCATCTGGCGCGGTGTCGCCCGCCGACTCGCGCAGTGGCACGCCGTTCTGCCGAGTAGCGGGGCTGCGCCTGCCAAGGATGAATATCTCGGTGAGGTTGCAGAACCGCAAGACAGTGAGATCACCGTAATCAAGCCCCGGCGCGGGGGCTCGTCTATGTGGGCTGTGCTGCAGAGGTGGGTGCTAGCCTTGCCCGTTGCCACGCCCGAGCAGCGCGCGCCGTTTAAGCCTGCAGTCCGAGCTGCAGTGGGTTGTGGATATGTTGGATGATGGCAAGGGCCTTGGCGAAGATGGGGTATGTGGCTCTGTGTCTAGATACAAGGATACGATGGATGAATCGGTGGCTAATTGCTGAGTTTATAGTTGGTATTCTCTCACTGCGATCTTCTTTGCGCAAACGTCATTGTCCTGCCAAACGATGCTCCGACCGTTGAAGATGGCGTTGCGCCTGTGAACTTCATCGATTACGAATATGCTGTCCCCGCCCCAGCCGCCTTTGATATCTCCAACCACCTTGCCGAGTGGGGTGGTTACGATTGCGACTACACCATGATGCCGACAAAGTCTGTGCGCCGTCAATTCCTCACTGAGTACACGAAGAGCTACTGCCAACACCGCGGTCTCGACGCTTCCTCCCAGGCGGAGATCGTCGACCGATTGTATGAGGACGTTGACCGCTTCCGTGGTATTCCCGGTCTTTACTGGTAAGTCTAGCGAATGCAATCAGAGACCGCGTGGTGGGCTCATACTGACAATTGCTTCCAGGGGTGTGTGGGCACTCATCCAAGCACAGATCTCCCAGATCGACTTCGACTACGCCAGCTACGCTGAGACCCGTCTCGGCGAATACTACGCCTGGAAGCGCGAGGTAGATGGCAGCCGCAAGCAAGCCGGCGAAGAGATGCCATTGCGCGAGGCCCGCTGGGCGTCAGAGGCTTAGAGCCCTTGTCCTGTTTCACTTTATGTTGCGTGTTTCGCGTCTTTTAACTTATGGAAACGATACCCATCATCCTCTTCTCGAAACTACTGTCAGGAAGTATCATTTCGCATTAGCCTGACCGGAGCCCCGCCTCCCTCACCTGCTCCTTCCCATTGCAACAAATGTTCATCCTGGCACTCCAGAAATTCAACAATATTCTCCGAGTCAGCCAATGCCGAAGAGTTGTGGTCTTGGACGACCACACCACAGATGAGGTTGAACCGAAAGGTTCAATCAAAGAGAAAAAGAAAGATAAAAGAGGGGATCTCGACTCCGATTGCAGCATCCAAGTCGGAGCAAAAGTCTTGTCAGGAATTTCAGGATATAGATGGTGGTTTTATCTCTTTGCATTATGGCCATTTTTCCTCGTGGTTTTGTGTGTTGTCTTTCAACAACGTCATAGCTGGGGTGTTTTAGGTTAATCTGGTTTCCTTTCTTTAAACGTTCTTCGCAGCTCATCAGGTGTACGTCAGTGTAATTTGATATGTTCTGTAGACATGCATGGATGTCTGAACGGGATCTGCCAACGTATAACAGAGTATATGGTCCTATGGAACTTGGAAATATTTTTGTAATTGATCGAACCTTGGAACTTGTAAGGTTCCTTCATTATCATATAATAAGAAAGTCGCACTGCGACAGCTGAGATTGCTTTCGAGCCATATCAATCCAAGACGTATAAGTCCCAGGATCATTCCACCAAGTCTCCACAAACGATAGAACACGCGCTCTATCCAAACTCCGACTGATGCGCATAACATTAGCAAAAGCCTCCCTAATGACCTTCTGACCAGCAATGTCTCCCCTCAGCTCAGTTCCAGCCAAGAAAAGCGGCCAGATGAGATCCTGCGCGAACATGCTATCTCGATTCTCAGAAAGAGACTGTACATAGCGGATGATCTCATCACGAGACTCCTTGACCTGATAACTGGATGCTTCAGGATCCGGGGATAAAGCCTGATGGCTGTAGATGAGAGTCGCGTGATAATACATCCACACGACCAGTTCGAAGCCGCGTCTGTCGGCTTCAGACGCGAAGTGAATGCTTTCACTTAGACGCATCATTCCATCCCGAGCCGATGCAATCTGCGGGAGGATGTCTTGCATGACATCGTATGAGCAATGGTGTCCGATCGACTCGGAGCGGAATTTTAGACGTTCCAGACGCGTGATTTGATCAATGACGAGGATGAAGTCTGTAAAGACGGCGTTTTCGGTGCTGGCAGGGGGCGTCTTGAGGATCATTTCGTGGTCTTCGAAGTTTGTCAGATCAGCCCATACCGAGGTCTCGTAGAATTCCAGGAGGAGGAACTCTTGGATGCAGGCTAGCTCATTGTGTTGGTACGGCTGGTAACCTGCTGCCAAGATGATCTGTCTCGCGGCGGAAAGATGGACCCGCCATCCGGCGCCTTGGGGCTTCATGAATTCATTATTGCATAGAATGATAACAGAGGCGAGGGTGTAGGCGGATGTTGTGCTTGCTTCCAAAGTGCAAGCAGACGACAGAGATGAAAGTCTGTTCAGCTCCCGGGCCAGAAGGGCGAGAGATTTATCCTGGTAACTTCTTGAGATATCCTGGAATGTCCTGTGGCCCAATTCATTTGGAGGGTACTCGGATGCCAGGTCATGGGCGGCGATAGCGAGAATGGAATAGAGGACGGTTTCAGAACGTTCGGCCATTGGTAGAACCATCTGTCGCCATGCACTTTGGTGCGGGACCCACGCAAGGCGATGAGCGACTCGTTCATTAAACCATCGCAGCAATTGCGAGATGTAGAGCGGTCGATCTGGCGACAAGCAGAGATTCGGAAGGAATTGGTAAGGCTGCGGTAACGACGAGTGCACCTGCCTGTGGCAATTGTATACATTGAGGGCATTAATGTCACTTGCAACATTATTGTGCTCCGTTGAAAACATCCCTGAAGTAGTGACCGGCACATCTAGGGATGGGACTGCTCTGCCCCGTAGATTACCACGACTGGCCACACCCTCGACCCATTTGAGCTGCAGTCCATAACCAGGGCACTCCAGACCCCGCTTGCTGCATTTACGGCAGCCGGGTAGGCCCCGATCGCATTTGATACGTCGCCTTTGACAGGTTGGACAATCTGATTGATGTTAGAAGTCCCCTTCCACAGTGCACACTGGATGAGGACTGGACTCACCTTTGGTAGCCGACTGTTCCGTAGAACCTGCGAACATTTGTCTATTTCCATTCGACTTCTGCAGGGGAGAACCGAAAACCTTAGTACATAGCCGAGAAGAGAGCTAAGATGTTGATGTGGATGTGGGAGATTTCAGCATGTCATGTGAACATTTCATGAAGTCTTTTGGGGTCTCGCCTTGCTTGTTTACGGGAGCTAAGCCTAATCAAGCTGTTTGATAGATTTGATATGCACACAATCTTTGAACTGTTTTCAATTTGACGTACCCCCCATTGATATTAGTGTGTATCTCTGTCATGTTCTTCGTCTCTTGTCCTTCTTCAATCACATTGGCGTTACAAGTCTTACAATCCAGATGACTAGGTTGTGACTGCGTAGGTCGATGATGCTCTTACAGTATAAAGACTAAAATGGACTAGCGGGCCCCATCCCCAAACTCTATCCTTTCGTCTTGGCTGCTCTTTTAGGAAAGGATTGGTGGTATGAAGGTATCGTGTAGTTCAAAACATCACAGCGGCACCTGACTTGTCTTCTTGCTATATTGGTGGCATATCTCACACAACTGCCCTCGGAACTTGCGTTGTTGTAATAACATCTCTGACTGGAAGCCATGACTCCTATCGTTCTGGAGCTTGTTGCTCCCCCTATCCACCATTTCAACAGTCGAAGCTACGAACTTCGGGACATTTCTCCCTTGACAGGGCATGTCATTGTTTCGAGCCCAGTCTCACTGAGACCCAACCCGACCCGAATTGACGTCAAGCTCATCCAAATTGTGACGTATACGGGCGATAGCACGCAGACCCGCCGACTTTCAGGTTCCACGAGCGAATCGATCAAAACGAGATCCTTCAGTGAACGGGTCGTGCAAGAAGACCATCTGCCAATTCCGTCGAGGGAAAAGATGGGCATCTCAACCTGGGGAAACATCTCGGCCTTCCGCTTCTCCTTCGACATTTCGAGAAACACACCCCCAACGTCAGAGACGCCCATTGGAAGCATCACATACGCAATAGAAGTCACAGCAGCAACGCGAGATTTCGGGACCATCACGCACCGCAAGTCTGTCAAGCTCAGCTGTCATAACATTCGGGTTGACTCAGAAAAGACCCCACATCAGCTATACTTCCCGGCCTCGAACGACATCCACGGAATGACCCTCACGCAAAATAGCACACCGAGATCTGGCCCGAGGATCTCCTTCACAGCCACGATACACACTCTCTGGAAGACTGCTCCAGCAAGCCGACCATCCGAGCTTCGGTGTCTGGTGGTGCGAAAGCTCATGTGGCAAGCTGAAGAGGTAGTTAAGATCATGAGCAAGCCAGTCAACTCGAATGGAAAATACTCTATCTGCGAACGACAATTGGTCCGCACACTGTGTGATGGAAGCGTCAAGGGGTCCTGGGGGTCTGAACAGGAGCCGTATTTTGGGGACGGTCAATCAAGTGAGGGAGGTGGTGAAGAAAAGCCAGCTAGTATTTGCATTCCGTTTGGCTTTACAATCCCAACACGAGCAAAGGTCACGGATGACATCGACCTAGCCGCATACGACGTCGACGCGAACAGGCTTGAGGATTCTTCATGCTATCAACTTCCTCGGGGGCCGTCTCTACCCTCGACGGATGCCATGATGATGGCCATTGTTGTTCATCATCGCTTGAAGCTGGAATTTGTGGTAGGAGAGGATGTGTTTCATCGGGATACTGGCAAGCTGGTGGAACGAAAGCGGTCGCGCACTGTTCTATGCCCTGCAGTACCGTTGAGTGTTTGTGAAGTATCCAATTAGTCTATTTACATGTGTTTGCTTATCATCACGGGATATGACTCCAGGGCAATGTCTGTATCCTTTACACATGATCATTAGAGCGAGCAAGACAACCTTCGAGGAGACAGGATTTACCCTAAGGTTGACACTCAATATAATTTTTCCCAGATGCCCTTTACATCGAAAGTTTGACCAGGCCCATGCTGGCGGACATCCTGTCGTAGGTAGAATACCCACATAGAGTTCGAGTCCTAGGTAGCCTCCTGAGATGGTGGGTGTACCGTCCATGAAATGGCGCCAGGAAAGAGATGCTGCCGTGGGTCAATTAAATGTTCCAACGCATCTATGGATGGCTTAGCAGATTCTTGGGTATACTGCACGCCCCTAGCCTGGCACGAAAGTAGGCGAAGGTGACGGAGCATATGGACCGCACTGTTGCAGTTTTGATTGCATGCATCGGAAGCTCCTGATCCTCGTTTCACCTCCACTGTAAGGGTGACGAAGAGGCCATTTTCCCAGACGGCAATCGCATCACGTGGTCCTCACTGATACGACTTTGGACGTCTTCTTTGCGAATGCAGACTATCTGTGTGCTGGTGGTAGAACACATAGGGCCACTGACAATATCAGCTTGCCCAGGTTGCCAGAGATAGTCGAAGTTCGAGCGAGGCATTTCCTCTCTCCTACATGTCCAGATATATTCTTTCCAGTTAGGAGAATACCATAGGTTCTCCCGGCGGAGGCTGTTTATAGACGATTCCGGAACCTCAGGTGGATATGAATAATGCAGGTATCCGCTGTAGGGCATCTCCATTCTGCGAATTTGCGCTATTCTTCAGCCGTGTCCCTTTCCGGAGTCCAGTAGTGGGCATTGAGATTCCAGTTAAAGTCTCCGCCGGGGGGTGTTCTGAGTGTGCTTAGGTTGACTCTCCCATCACTCTCAATGATATTACCCGGTTGCCTTGATTCAAGATGTGCCTTGCCCTTGTATAAAGAAATGTGCTCGGCGAGGATATCGGCATCAGGCCGAACCATCACATATGCGTCCGGAAATTGGAAATTTTGAGGTGTCATATCAATCGTTGCTGTCGCGGGTTGCTGCTGGGATGGGCCTTGTTCATGTCGGCCGGGCTCATGTCTAGACTCAGTCCTCGGCCGCTCATGTTTCTTTTATGAGCCATGCGCTGGTTTGCCTGGCTTTGGAGTACTTGCTGTTGACCAAGAAGAGCGGCATATCTGGTTTCAACAGTATCTTTAGCCCAGTAAGCGAGGGTCTGGGTACCGAAGATATGTGAGAACCTTGGGTCCGTGATTGCTTCTTGGATTTAACGAGTAAGACCGACATGAGCGAGTGCTTCTTGGTGGCCCATGTCATCATACTGTCGTAGGTGAAGAGAGGCGAGATGCCCGGAGACATACGTCATTAGGTCGTCAGGATTTTGGGTTGGACTTGGGCGGTTGCAATATCGATCATAGATCAGTCTGGCAACATCGGGTATAAATCCAATATACTCAAGTACCTCGACGCTTTCTTCTGCCATTGGAATTTCAAAGGTTTGGATGACATGAGACTGGAAACCACGGGTGGTAACGGAGGCAGAAGAGGACGACGAGGTCAATGAATTCGAGACCGACCTGGGGGCACTAAATGCAGCTGAAACTTTTCTCTTCCCACTGGTATCAGTCGATGTATTCGGCTGAGGCTCGGGCAGAAAGATTGCGGCCTCCTCAAGACATCTTATCTGCTCTTGAGTGAAAACAACCGGGCCGGGTGGATGATCTGAGTAAGGTCCAAGAGTTACTCGAGAGGACATGGTGGACCGTGGAGATTGAAGAGGATGAATATGATTGAATGAGGAAGTTGAAAAAAGAATGTGAGTGTGAGACTGGGACAGTGAATATGTCAGGAAGAAGAATAGTTTCGAAGGTTATCCATTAGATATAGAAGTAAGTTGTGTTTATTCGGAAACAATACTATACTGTATTAGACGGCGGCAGGCCATCACATGATTCTTAGATGTAGTACCTAGTAGTACCCCGGTGGGTGGGTATTCTCCACAAAACCGCGGCAAAGCGCTCATCCGGGCAAAATGCGGAGAACGCCCATGGTAGAAGAGCATCAAAAACATATACCCGATGACCAGAGCCATCAACAAATTATTTATTCCCCAATCTCCCAATGTCCCATTATTGGATTGCATCAATCCTCTCCTCAAATCACCCATCTAAGCCACCCAAACCACTCAAAATGGGCAAATCTATCCTCCTAATCAACGGCCCCAACCTGAACCTCCTGGGCACCCGCGAACCACACATCTACGGACATACTACACTAGCTGATGTGGAAAACAACAGTCGTGAAGTAGCCGCCAGCCATGGGGCCACCCTCGAATCCTTCCAGTCGAACCACGAGGGCGCAATCGTGGACCGCATCCAGGCTGCCCGTGGCAAGGTCGACGGCATTATTATCAACCCGGGCGCGTACACACATACCTCTGTGGCAATTCGGGATGCGTTGCTTGGTAATGGGATCCCGTTCATCGAGCTACATGTTAGCAATGTCCATGCGCGCGAGCCGTGGAGACACCACTCATACTTTAGCGATAAGGCTGCGGGGATTATCGTGGGGCTTGGGGTTTATGGGTATAAGGTTGCTGTTGAACATGTTTGTGTCAATTTTGAGGAGAGGGAGAAGGAGGCAAAAGCTGCGCTTTGATGTTGGGTGTTTATTCTAAGCGAGTTTTCGTCGCTGGGTACAACAAGGGGTATGTGTTTATGGTAAATTCTCATGAATGGTGAAATAGAAGTGTTATGGTCATGTCAACAATATTCGGGGTATTTTCGTTAGATATAATATACATGAATGTCAAGCCAATGTGACCAAGGTTTGCTAGAGGAGGGAAAATCCCCCCGAAACGTGGCAGGCCGCTGTCTGGCTTTCAGTTTGTGGTGAAATTGTACGTGAGTTCGCACAACAAAGTGTCATAGGAACGTGTGGCTTCCGCTGGTCATCCTCCACCGCCATCCTTTGAATCCCTGACATGCTTAGGAGTGCGAGTCTGGCCCCATGCCAGAGGGAGCGCCATTATCAGGCAGTCCTTGACTATGTGACGGAAAGATAGGGTCGATCGGACCGGAGAAAGAATAGAGCTCCGAGTTTCCAACAGCAGATATGAAACCCAGATTCTGCATGAACTCAGGCTGGTTATCGGTCCTGAAAAGTAACAACATCAGAGGTCAGTAAATGCAAAGTGAAAAGACGGAAACATGAACACTTACTTCTCGGCACCATCTAAAGATTCCAGCTCGTCAAGTAATGCATCAAGATCAGGAGCAATCAATTGTCTCCTTGAAGGCCCATAGCCGGTGCGATCAACCAGATGACCCACATGGAGCGATGGGTCTTGGTACGCAGTTTGATATTGCGCAGTGTTATGATATGGCGCCGGATATTCGGTGATCAATCCCGTATCATGATAAGAGCTGCTAGTCGCTGATGTACGCTGGGGATTCCCGCCTGCGAGAGGAGGCGACAGAAGAGCCTGTTCTGTTGGTATCTGAGGGGCGTTACCGACAGTTGTCAGAGATGCCGGTGTGCGGATAAGAGACACTCCATCCATGGTATGTGCGTCTGTGAGCCAATTCATGGGGATGTAAGTACCTGTAGATGCACTTGCGGCATGTGCACCTCGTTGGGATACTTCTGTAAGAGGAAGAGTATGTGGACTTGTGTCAATTAAAAGGGATGGCTGCATTCCCATGCCTCTGTCAGCAGAGGCATGCATGTGCTGTGATGCCGTGGGGGAATTACACGAGGCTGTAGATCTCTGCGGCTGAACCTGGCTAGCTGGCTGACGGTCCGAGACAGTCCACAGCGCAGAATGTTGGGAGGAAATCACACCAATTCCGTGTTGCATCTTCATGTCGAGCTCTGACAGGGTACCTCGAGAAGTAAATTGCAGAAGGCTAAATCGGAGGAACATGCTGAGAATTGGTGTGGTAGTGGACAAGCGGTAGGTTTCCAAGTAGGCTTGAAGCAGTTGCAGAAGCCTCTTCGAGCCTTCCGTGGCATGAATCTCGTGAGGGGTCTGCAATAGGTTGTGGTCATGCTCACGAAGCGCGATCTGGGAGCTGAGAGCAATAGCGACACTTTCGTAGGTCATTTCTAGACCGAACGTATGTGGTGCGGCTAGCTTCCCAATGCCACTTCGCAAATTGACCCTATAAGCCTTGGGTATTTCTGCTTCCCATCGCTGTAATTGCAACTTTAGTTGCTCCAGTTGTGCTCGAGAGAGTGTTGAGTCTTGCTTGAGGCAACAAAGCTCATTCAAAATACTCAAGAGGTCAACGAGATGGTTGAAAGTGCTCAGCGCCTGAATAGGACCGCGCTGCATGGGCGCACGGGAGGATGGGGTGGGGCGCAACTTTGTCTGGTCCTCCCAGGGGTGCCATTCCTCGAGGCCATCCGCTGTCAAGTGGCCTATTTTGGCCAGGTCTGCTTTCCGCAGCGATGGGCATCGTGAAGTTGATTCTGAAATTAAGGTCTCGAGCACAAAACAACCGAGGAACACATGTTTCGCTCGAGCAAGTTGTTGTGGCTCATCGAGACCCAGTACACGTGCGATACGCACTGCCTGGCCAACGAGCATCCAGGAGGAAGTCCAGTCTTGCTGTCCGAATTTGACTAGACCTAGGATCAACAATGCTTGCACGTGTCCAGTGTCGTAAGGGCCACTTTCGGGGGGTACGAAATGCCGGGCTGTCATGAACATATCCGATGAAGACATTTGCTTGTTGGACTGCGGGTCGATCGATCGGTCCGCAGGCATAGACTCATCCTGGAGCGAGGCGAGAGTGAGGACAGCCCATAGAGCCGCATGCTCCCCAGACCCGGGAGCCAAACACGATATGCATACATCGGCTTCTGTGTATTGATAAGCGGTGCGAAGTATGTCATGTTTTTCGAGTATAGGAAACCAGCAGTGGGTGTAGGAGAAATACACATCGAACAGGGGCCATGCATTCTCAGGGAGACGGAGTGGACGCTTCATCGATGTCGATCGAGGTTCAGCGAGATTTGACGGAAAAGTGAAAGATGGTGAGACTGAGTCACTTGGTGTGGCTGTCTTGCCACCGGAGTCTCCGGTCTGCCGTGGCCCGGGAGTTGGTATAGGAGAGACGCCCATTGCTGCGCCAGGTGGTGATCCTCCTGACGCTGGTGTCTCTTGGTGTTTCATGTTTTCCGGGACGTGCCATTCCTGCGCGCCAGCCGAGGCGATAATCTCATCGATATCCAGAGGCGTCTCTCCCTTGGCATATGCCTGGAGGCTTCGCTTTCTTTCCTCTTCCGGTTGTTCTAATATTGCGAGAATGTGTTCGATGTCTCGGAGCGCTGTGCTATTTTTGAAGGAAGCCATCAATGAATCTGACTTCTCTGCTTCCTTGTCCAATAGAATATCGGGGAGATTGATTGACCGCATCAACTCTCGTATGAGATCCTCACTGCCCCGAATCCGTTGAAATACCAGCCCCCAAAGCAACTCCAGCGATCGGAGGTAGCCTGTGGGCAAACCTCGTTTCTTTGGGTTGACATTGTATGCGCAAGGTCGACTGATCGCGGCACAGGTGGAGCAGACTGGACGTCCTCCATCGCATTTGTCCTTTTTGAATCGGCAGCTATCGCAGGCACGGGAGACTCGGTGTCGCTTTGGTTCCTCCCTTCCCTTTTCGCTTTCCTTCGGTTCATTGCGTCGTCGTTTGGGGTTGCTGGTGGAACCACTTGGTTGAGGTCGTTCGGCGCTCATAGTGATGAATCAATTTTGCAATGCACCTGCAGGACGCAGGTGCATGTTCCTGCAAACCGATCTGGGACGACTTCACTGCGGACCGGCAATTGCACAGGTAGAAACACCACTGTATCACGTCAGGGGTGTGCTATTGATGCGTCAAGCTGTAGAGAAAAAAAAGAGTAGGGCTTCCAAGCGCGAGGTTGATGATATCCGGAAAGATTGAGATCGTAGCAGTTTGCGACTGTTTCGTGGGACGGGGATGAAGTGAAGAATGAAGTGAAGGAGATCAAGTGTCTGTAATTGAAGCTTCGGCTCTGAGGATATTGTTGAAATCTGAACTGAGGCTAGTGAGCGATCTCCAAGCCATTCTGGATTGTCTGTCGCATGCTATCCCCGCGGGGAAGACAAAATCAGACCGGATGCCGGATGAACACTCTGCCCAGCCGAGGGTTACATAATCGTCCTGCTACCAGCCTGGCCCACATCTACCCTTGTGAATCTTCTTTCCCCCGCAAGGGAATCCTCCAAGCTTGCTGCATTGATCTTGCTACGCCCAGATGTGACACTTTTATGTCTTATGCCTCCACGATAACTCAATAAGGTCGTTCTGTCTATTAGTGGCGGCTGCTCGGCTCGGCTACCCTCGTCTTGAGTTCATACCCGCGCACGGGATCCTCAATGCGCCATGTCTATGGTAGCGCGCCCATCAAAACGAAAGCTCCACGAGATCGAGACTCGAGACGACAGGCCTCGGAAGAACAGCTTCACTCCCACGGATTCTTATCATAACCACTCTCAATTCTTGCCCCGCTCACAACGATCGATCGAACACAAAGCATCTGGAGATTCTGGAGATTCAACTCCGCAACGACCGTTGACGGGGGACTCGCACTTCGATGGTGTATCACCGGCCCTTTCTGAAAGTGGTATTACGCAAACATCATGTCCTTTCAGTCCGAAGGCGTCCATCGTGTTGATAGGAATCCGTGGTACGGGAAAGTCAAGCCTGGCAGTCATCCTCGCGGCGACATCCGGACGGCGCTTGATCGACGCAGACCACTACTTCCACCAAAGAGTAGGATGCACCCGTGCTGTGTTCAAGAAAGAGAATGATGGTCATGTGTATCGCCAGCAGGAAGCCCAGGTCTTTGAGGCAATGCTGGCAGAAAACCAGGAGGGTTGTGTGATCGCATGTGGAGCCGGCTCGATGGAACGAAATGGCCAACAATTTCTCAGGGAGTTCGCCAAGACGCACCCCGTTATTCACATTATTCGGGATCCAGAAAGCATCCAGTCGTATCTCAAAGCGTGGGACACGCAAAAGGTGCAACATTTCTTGGACTTGTCAGGCCCGATATACCGCGGGTGTTCGAACCTCGAGTTTTTCAATCTTTCAGAGGCTAGGAGTGAACTCGTGTGCAAGGACACCGATAGCTCCGTTCCATCACATAGAGCGGACCTCAGGTCCCCAGTCGCAGTTCCATTCTTAACGTTGAAGCGAGTTCAGCGTGACTTTTTACGCTTCATCGCCTTTGTCACCGGCGATGACGCAGAGCTCAACAGTCAACATGCGTCCTTTCCGCTGTCCCTGTTGCCCGTGGAATCTCGATCATACACTTCCGCTGTTTCGGTGCCATTTTCTAGGATATGTGAGAAGGGAATGGATATCGAGCAGCTGGAATTCACAGCCGATGCTTTTGAATTAGCAGTTGATGTAACCGATTCTTCTGAGCAATCAGGCCTCAGTTCAAGACTTGCGGACAGTATCAGTGAGGCTGTGGCGACCGTTCGTCGCAACATCATTGTGCCCTTGATCTATCATGTGGAAAGTTATACCACCTACACTGGATCCTCCACTCCAAGTCAAACTCCCGTGAGATGCACGGACGAAACCTATTTGGACCTCGTCCGGCATGGGTTGCGGCTTTCCACCGGGTTCCTTACAGTGGACCTCACCCGTGATGACAAGACAATCGCCCAAATCATTTCTGCAAGTGGACGAACCAGGATCATTGGTCATTTTGAAGCGTTCCGCCCATTGCCAGGAGGCTGGGACGGCGATGGATACGTGGAAATTTATGAGCGAGCCAAAAGGTTAGGCTGTGACCTGGTCCGGCTGTGTCAACCAGCGGAAACGCCTGAAGACAACCTCGCAGTGCAAAGATTTCGCCATCGTATTCAAAGCATGCCTACCGCTAGCCCGTCTTTGATTGCCTTTAATACCGGCCACCTTGGGCGTATGTCTCGCTGCTTTAACCCTATTCTCTCCCCAGTCACACATCCATCTTTGGTATCGCAACCCTCCAATCAGCTGCGGTCGTACATCACGGCCCGTGAGGCGCAGCAAGCACTCTACAGTTCGTTTACTTTGGACCCTATGGAGTTTTTCGTATTTGGTGCCAACACCACATACAGTATGTCACCAGCGATGCACAACACTGCCTTCAAAGTTTGTGGCTTACCGCACAAATACTCAATTCACCAATCGCCTACCCTACGCGGGCTGAACGAGCTTGTGGAAAATCAATACTTTGGTGGCTCCAGCGTCAGTTTACCCTACAAAACAGAGTGTATCCCTCTACTCCACTCAATGTCGGCTCATGCCCGAGCCATCGGCGCCGTCAATACCCTCATTCCGATCCGCAACCGTGATGACTTAGACAATGCCCGGCTGCAGGAATCATCAATCTTCCTAGAAAAGAGCCGCGCAGGTCCTATCCTCGGTCTTCATGGCGATAACACCGATTGGATTGGAATCTGCAATTGTATTCGTCGCGGTCTGTCGCCGGCGAATGCAGTCCGCGCTTCGTCAACAGGTCTTGTAATCGGATCTGGTGGAATGGCCCGTGCTGCAATCTACTCCATGATCCACCTTGGTGTGCAAAATATCTTTGTCTATAATCGCACATTTGCCAACGCGGAGAAACTCGCTCACCACTACAACCGACAAGATCTCCACTCCAAGGAGGCCAGAGGGTCTGGTCGTCCTACCGTTCGCATTCTTACTTCTTCATCCGACCCGTGGCCCACAGACTTCAAACAACCGACGATAATTGTATCTGGAATTCCAGCCCACAGCATTGGCACCGAACCAGCTCCCAACTTCTGTGTACCAACCCAATGGTTGGAGAGCCCAACAGGTGGCGTTGTGGTTGATGTAAGTCCCCCTGTCATTACAAAAACAAAGCCCCCTTTGATAGTTTTACTAACGAACTTTAGCTGGCATACAAACCCCTCAATACACCCCTAATGAAACAAACACGAGCTCTATCCCATCGTGGGTGGGTAGCTTTGGATGGCCTCGACGTTCTACCCGAGCAAGGCTTCGCCCAATTCGAACTGTTCACTGGCCGCCGCGCTCCCCGACGCGTCATGCGGAGCATTGTGCTCAAGGAGTACAAGGATGATGAAGGAAATGATGATCATCAAGCGATTCAAGACAGGTTACAGCAAATGGATGGACAGCCGATGTGACTATATGACGAGATGACGGAAAGTGACTTCGCGATGATATACTGCAAGCTGGGATATTAGTTACGGGATGTCATTTTACCCTTGTACAAAATGGAATATACCTACATCATACATGTACTGCATATTATCACGATACCGTGCTCCGACCATTCAAATCTGACCCACTAGCTTAACCCTAGGTATCGCAAAATGTACCGTTATTGGGGACACTGCACGAAGTCGGATATCTCAAGTGACAGGCATTTTCTCGATCTTACCTGTCTGACATGCCCCTGGCATTTCCAACTAAGTACCTAGAGCTAATTATAAGATAAATTATAACTAGAGTCCATTGATAATCTCACCTAAAGGATTCGATCTTGGGGGAAATGTTCATTGTCATAATGGCCCGGCAAAGCGTTTAGCCAGCCCCTCAGGCGAAGAGGAAATTCTCCAAGTGGGGAAAAACTTCGATAAGCAACGGTTAGCAGCGGTGCCTTGGGCCTGGACTCTGGATCTCCAATCTTTGCTGAACGACAGAGCTCAATCAATCTCACTCGCCTTGGACTTACTTACCTTAGCACAAACTTCACCAACAGCTGACCCCATGCTTGTTGACTCCCACCATGACCGTCGCACCTTTATCCCAAGATGAATTGGATGAAATCTATGCCTTCGCCGTAGACCTGGGCCGTAAGGCAGGCAACCTGCTTATGGAACGTGTCGATCAGCGTATCTCCGGTGCAAATGGTGACTCTAATACCTTCGAAGAGAAGGAAAACGCAGTAGATATCGTCACGCAAACCGACGAGGGTAAGCGAGCAGACATAACTGATTAAGTATATTGCGCGACAATGTCGCTAATATTGTTTGGCAGACGTCGAGGTATTCATCCGAGGCGCCCTCGAGTCAAGATACCCCACTCACAAGTACGTCATATCACTGCGACAAGTCGCAGCAAAGCTAACAGAATTCCCCCGCAGATTCCTCGGCGAAGAAGCATACGCGAAAGGCCAATCGCGCGACTACCTCATTGACGAACAGCCGACATGGTGTATTGATCCTTTAGACGGTAAATTAGCACCCCCTCAAACACTCCCAAGTCCCAACTATCAATACAAGCGAGGCAATGTGCATCACAAGAGACACAAAGTAACACCACCGAACCCAGGAACCGTCAACTACACACACATCTTCCCCATGTTCTGCGTCTCGATCGGCTTTATCGTGCAGCACAAGCCAATCATAGGCGTTATCTACGCCCCTTTCACAAACCAGCTCTGGTCCGCCTGTAGCGGGCGTGGCGCCTGGTTAAACGAGACTCGCCGTCTCCCGCTCATCCATAACCCCATACCGCCAATGCCCGCCAATGCACCTTCGCAATGCATTTTCTCCTGTGAATGGGGTAAAGACCGTCGCGATATCCCTGACGGAAATATGCATCGCAAGATCGAGAGCTTTGTCAATATGGCGGCGGAAGTGGGTGGTCGGGATGGAAAGGGTGCTATGGTGCATGGTATGCGGAGCTTGGGCAGTGCGACGCTTGATCTTGCGTATGTTGCTATGGGGTCTTTTGATATTTGGTGGGAGGGAGGTTGTTGGGAGTGGTGAGTTTACTTGTTTCTAGTTGAGTGGCGAGTTTGAGGTTGTATCGTGCTAATTGTTTATGGTAGGGATATTGCTGCTGGAGCTGCAATTTTACTGGAGGCTGGTGGGCTTATGACAACTGCGAATCCTCCGCAAGATGTGGATACGGCGCCGATCGAGGATGTTAGATTGGGTAGTAGATTGTATTTGGCTATTAGGTGAGTGCTTGAATACGTTTCTTCCCGGGTACTTGGTTTGCTGATCAGGCGTATCCCAGGCCTGCTGGTCCCTCTGCCACCGAAACAGGTCGCGAGACACAGGAAAGGACAGCGAGAGAGGTGTGGCGCCGAGTGCGTACCCTAGATTATTCGAGGCCTGGTGCCTGAAGTGTGCATTCTTCTCTATTGGAAGCTTTGACATGTTACATTAGGTATACGACATTCAAGATGATATATTGCAGATTCGAGGACGCCCTCCAGATGTATACAGACAGTAATTTACAACTATATCGCGCTCTATGCGGGTATACAAAGAAATTCAGGACATGACCATAAATCACAAGCTAGACTTTGCAGATGCCCGATTCGCAATAGTCTTGGCAACAAATTCCTTGACCTGCTGCACAAGGCCAGGAGTACCGATAACATCCTTGCCAGTCCAGAGACGCGCCTGCTCGAGGCCCTGCCAAATCAGAGCCTCTGAACCGAGAATCACCTTCCACCCAGCGTCAGAAGCCAGATGAGCAATGTCAGTCCAAGGCGTGGGGTGGTAGCACATCTCTAGAATGACACCCTGCTGCTTCTCTGCACCCGCAGCAGTGCCCAAGAAAGCCTCTATAATCGCACGAGAGCGCAGTTCCTCGGGGGTCTTCGGAGGGTAATTGGGAATACCCGAGACGATAGCAGCGGGAGCCTCCAGGCGTGCTGCTTCGGCAGGGTCCGTAACAGGGATTAGAGGTGCCTGGCCATTGGCATCAGGGTTGCGGCGACGGTCTTCCTCGAGAATGGCTGCGACCTCAGCGGCGTCGCGATTAACAATATAGATGCGGCTGGAGCCGAGCCAGCGGCGCATGACGTAAATGGCAGTACGGGCAGTGCCACCACCGCCGATGATGAGCGCGGGCCGGCCGCGGAAGCGCGAGGGATCGGGTGCGTTCTGCGTGAGAGCTTCCCGGATACCGTCGCAGTCTGTGTTCGTGCCGACGTACTGGCGTTCGCCGGTTGTTGGATCGTTGCGAAGGAAGATGGTGTTGCAGGCGCCGGCTTGGCGGGCATGTTCAGTGAGGTCGTCCAGGTATGGCATGATTGCGACCTTGTGAGGCATCGTTACGGATGAGCCGACGAATTTGGGGTTGGACTTGATTGAGGCGAGGTATTTCTCGATCGGCGGGGACCGTGTGTAGGGGGGAGGGTAGGTGTCTGATGTGCCTGTTACGCTGGACAGGGGTATTTGGGTCCAATTGAGGCCGAGAGCGTTATAGACGGTCTGGTGCAGTGGTGGGGAGAGCGAGTTCAGAAGCGGGTGGCCGTAGAGGTAGGCAACGCCATCGCGGTTGGATGGAATTGTGATGGGCTCCTCTGGAGGTGTTTGGTTGATTTCTGTGACCGACATGATGGAATGTTGTTTTCTCCGTTTGAGTCCTCAAGACACAGAAGTGGGAGGAGCTACAATATTATAGAATCAAGTTTGGAAGGGAAAATACTCAAACGCGTGGAGTCCGCGAAAAAGCGATGAGCCGCAGGGCGGAGAAACATTCTGCATTCTGCTCTTTCTAGACCCGTTTACATCCCTTCTCCGCCAATGTCATGATTTTTATGTTGCTCATACGGAGTACTTAGAAAACAATAATACCTGATATCTTCCTTGTCTCAGATTTCAGGTACACTTCAAAGAACAGGTCATTGACTCGTCTGCAGAGGTAAACCTTCAATGTCGACCATATGCCACTACAGCAGCATTGCCGGGGTGAACGTTCTCCCATCCCACCAACATCCCGGGGGAAATCGCATTGCATGGCGCGCAGAAACTCTACAAAACTGAATGGGAAGAAAGAACAACATCATTTACTATCCAGGCGGATTTGGCTTCCAACTCCCTTCATCCGATACCCAGCTGATGTTTGGAATTGGCCGCGTATCTCTTCAATCCGCCGGGAAAGCGCTTTTCCCCGCCACCTTTGTCTAAACGAAACCGGTTATTGGCCGCTCTCTCGCTCGCTTATTTCGAGGACCCATTCCAGTTTGTCCAATCATATCGACGGTTTATCGTTGCTAATCCCCGCGGTCTGGATCGTCCACCTTTCCCCGCGATACCCCAGAAAGTCTTTGAACTGAGACGCATACCGATGGCGGGTTACTGTAAGCCCGCTGGGGAAGTCCCCACTTTTTGTTAGGGCGACATCGGGGTTTCCCCACAATTCAAGACGGCCTAAGCGAATAATGTCAGTTTGAGGCGTCGCTCATAGCAATTTTGCAGTTTTGCACGAGTCAGTTCACTTCTTCCTTAGGAAGGAAAAGAGAGCCAAGACATGACGAAAAAGTCAATTTAACCTCGCCCAGAAACGCCAGGAAACTTTAATCATATTCGTTTTGCCGCTTCCTTAGCCTTTTTGCACTTCTACAGGCCATTCAAGTTCACATCCTCCGCTATATCTTTCTCCGCCTCCGCATCTCCACGGTCCCCTTTTTGGACCCCAGATTATTCCCTCTCTTCCTTCAGAGGCAAATCGAAAGTCCGGGGCAAAAAGCTATTTAGACACCCTCTTATCTTCGCTAGTCTGTTCTAATCGTGGCACGGGCTTTGTCTTTATTTTCTACCCCTGCGCCTTATACTCATCTTCCCACGTGGTGAACGTCCTTCCTAGGACGTACCTTCTACTGCCTCGTGGCTAGCATTGAAGTGAACAAGATCACCCGGTAACAGGGATTGCTCGAATACTCAATCATTTCCATTGAAACGCCACCATGTCTATCCTAAAGCTGGTCGAGGACCGGCCGACGCCTCGCGCGGTCTACAACTGGAGAGTCTATCTCCTGGCAGCAGTGGCATCGTGCACATCGTGCATGATTGGCTACGACAGTGCTTTCATCGGCACTACACTCTCTCTTGACTCCTTCAAAAGCGAATTCCATTTTGATACTATGTCCGATCCAATGAAGAATCTGATTAGCGCAAACATTGTTTCCTGCTACCAGGCTGGAGCTTTCTTTGGTGCTTTCTTCGCGTATCCCATCGGCCACTTCTGGGGCCGTAGGGTCGGCCTGTTGGTCGCTGCCTTGGTGTTCACACTCGGTGCTGGTCTCATGCTTGGAGCTAATGGCGATCGAGGACTTGGCCTCATGTATGGTGGACGAGTTCTCGCTGGTCTTGGTGTTGGCGCGGGGTCTAACATTACCCCGATCTATATCTCTGAATTGTCGCCTCCAGCCATTCGTGGTAGATTGGTCGGTGTTTATGAGCTTGGCTGGCAAATTGGTGGCCTTGTAGGATTCTGGATCAACGTGAGTTTATATCCTGACCTGCATCGCCAACTTACCTTTCGGACACTAACACAATTTAAACAGTTCGGTGTTGACGAGACTTTGGCCCCCAGCCACAAGCAATGGCTCATCCCCTTTGCAGTTCAGTTGATTCCCTCCGGTCTTTTGCTCATTGGTGGCTCCTTTATTCGGGAATCCCCTCGCTGGCTCTTTGGACGGGGCCGCCGCGAGGAGGCCATCAAAAATCTCTGCTGGATTCGCCAGCTGCCCGAGAATGATATCTACATGGTTGAGGAGATTGGTGCCATTGACCAGGCTCTAGAGGAGCAGCGCCGTAGTATCGGTATTGGCTTCTGGAAGCCCTTCAAGGCTGCTGGTACCAATAAGAAAGTTATGTGGCGTCTCTTCCTCGGAAGCGCGCTGTTCTTCTGGCAGAACGGATCTGGTATCAATGCCATTAACTATTACAGCCCGACTGTCTTCAAATCGGTAAGCTTTGTCTCGTCGCTATGTGTGCCTGGGCGACTGAAGCTAACAATCTTCCCAGATCGGTGTCAGGGGCACCAACACCAGTCTGTTCACAACCGGAATCTTTGGCGTTGTGAAGACTGTGGTAACTTTCATCTGGCTCCTTTGGCTGATTGACCGCGTCGGTCGCCGTAACCTGTTGCTCATCGGCGCAGCGGGTGGTTCCGTTTGCCTGTGGATTGTTGGTGCATACATCAAGATCGCCAAGCCCGAGGAGAACGCGACCGATACCCTGAGTGGCGGTGGTATCGCTGCCATGTTCTTCTTCTACCTGTGGACCGTTTTCTACACCCCAACCTGGAACGGAACTCCCTGGGTCCTCAACTCGGTAAGCAGTTGCAATAATCACCATTCATGTGCCGCGTCCACTGGAGAACTATTCTAACATCATGCGCAGGAAATGTTCGATCCCAACATGCGTTCTCTGGCTCAGGCTTGCGCTGCCGCGTCTAACTGGCTCTGGAACTTCCTTATCTCGCGCTTCACGCCGCAGATGTTCACAGCTATGGGATACGGCGTATATTTCTTCTTTGCTTCGCTGATGATCCTCTCTATCATCTTCGTCTTCTTCCTCATTCCTGAAACCAAGGGTGTTCCTCTCGAAAGCATGGACCAACTCTTTGAGATCCAGCCCGTGTGGCACGCCCATGGTCAGATGGTCGCCCAGCTACGCGAGCATGAGGAGCAATTCCGCAACGACGTTGAGGCTTCTGGTATTGACTTGGCCAAGTCGAACGCTCAGCAGGTTGAGCACGCTGTGGCTGAGACGAAATATGCTTGAGAAAGTGGTGCTTTCCTCCGCGTGTTCGTTGAGACATTGTATAAACTGGTTGGTATTTGTCGTTTGGGCGGAGCATCAGCTCGCCGTTTGTATATATTATTCCGATGGTATATATTGTGTTCTTTGTATGCCAGACAGGGCTGTCTTACATTGCGCTGAATAAGTGTAAAGGTAATACAGCCTAATCAATATACCCCTTTCTCTGTTGCTTGATCGAGTCTCAGTCGTGAAAATCCTCCTGTATCTTAAGAAAGTATAGGGGATTGTTAATGGGACCTCCCATTTGGAAATACAGACGCACTTAGAGACTACCTATCAACAAAAACCAGCAGGTCACTATTTATTCGACGCCGCCAACAAATCTACATCAATATCTACAGGCTGACCAGACCGCATGGCTTCCTGAACAGCTTCACAGACAATCAAAGCTCGCAACCCCTCTTCGCCAGTACAACTAGGCAGAGCATCCCCATTAATAACGTCAACAAAGTGCGCGAGCTGCAAATCAAACGGAGCCATATCCCTATCGTCAGGTAACGGCATCCGATCAACAGTCAACGGCGCATTCCAGCTCTTCGCCGGACTCCCATCATAACTCCAGCGCGTCAAATCCGGCACACTAAGCGAAGCCTCGGACCCAAAGATGCGATAGAAATCCGCACCCGTCGAGGATTTTGGAATAAGTGGGTTCTCCCCAGTCCCAGTCTCAAAATTATGCGGCGACGGTGTCGCATCGCAAACCAAAAACGTCCCTACAACACCCGAACCAAAGCGCAGCGTCAACGCAGCCCCCTCATCAGCACTATGTGGCGGACTCGGACGCTGTGGAAGTGTCTTTTCTGCAGTCACGCGCACGATCGGACCGAAAAGGTGGTGCATGAGGTCGATGTCGTGGACGAGATTGATGGGGATGACGCCGCCGCCTCGTTCGTTCGAAGCGCGCCAGTCTGTCGGCGCCGCGAAGTATTCGTCTGGTTTGTATAGAGCCCACAGACCGTTTACGGCGATTACGCGGCCGAGGGATCCGGACTCTAGAATTGACTTTGTGGCTCGCACGTAAGGGTTGAAGCGGCGGTGGTGGCCGACTAGGAGTTTAAGGTGGGCCTGTGAGGGGTCTTGTGCGAACTCTAGGAGGGAGCGGCCGCTTTCTGGGGTTTCGCTCACGGGCTTCTCTAGGAGGACGTGGACGTCTCCTGCTAGGAGTTCTTTGGCGATTTTGACGTGGGTGTGGTTTGGTGTGCAGACTATTGCTGCGTTGGGACGGTGTGGGGATGCAAGTAGGGAGGCTACGGAGGGGTAGTAGTTTGTTTTGAGGCTGGTGGCGATGGCTTCGCCGGTTGGCATGGGGTCGACGAGAGCGATGAGCTCTGTTGAGGGGTTGGAGATCACGGATTGCGCGTGACGAGGGCCGATGAGGCCTGCGCCGAATATAGCGATTTTGATAGACATCGTGAAGGCTTCAAGGGGAAGGATTGGGCTTTGATTGTCGATTGAAATAAATCAGAGTCTTCCAATGCCTATATGGATCTCACAGGGCAAATCAGGATTCAATATATACCCGTGTTTGAGTGTGCCTTTCTGTCGTACGGAGTACTGTGTAGATGATGTGCCCTTGCCGTGACCTCGGGAGTAACATCAACAGATCGGCTCCGAGTCCCTGTTCACTAATCATTGGACCCATATAGAATGTCGGCTACTCGCGGTTATAATTCTCCAGGATTCATTCCTGAGAAAACGATACTCCACGGTGGGTGGCAGTAGAGTTCGAGGTGGATCTGGCGGCAAAACGAAAATGGGGAAACGCTTACCCGGCAATGTAAGTCGCCCTATGTCGAGACCTATGATCTCCTCGCCAAACGAATCAAGACCCCAGGCAGAACGTTTGATAGACAAGTCCTGGATAATAGTTTTGTCGCGGATATTTTGGTATCTTCCTGGCCCAGAGAGTTCAAAGCCCCTACATAGTAGCACTGCGCCGCATTCCACAGCATCCTTACTCCCCCATCATATCTCGGCTTGAAAACATCATTGATATATTATACCCCCAGTCCGAAACAGCATTACCCCATCTCAAACTCCGAGTAAAGAAGGAACCCATTCACATCACCCAAAATGGCTTTTAACCGCCCCGGCATTGCCTCCATGTCCCTAGGCCGGCCCTGGGTACATGATCTTCCTGGCAAGCTGATGCAGGCCGCAGCCCACGGCTTCGAAGGTATCGAACTCTTCTTCGACGACCTAGACTGCTACGCACAGCGAGTATTTTGCGGCGACCACCACGCAGCTGCACTCTCAACACGACGGATGTGCCAACGCCTCGGCTTGACCATCATCTGCCTACAACCCTTCTCCATGTACGAGGGTCTCCTCGACCGCAGCGAGTCAGACCGACTCATCAACGAGAAGCTTCCTGAATGGTTCGTCCTAGCGCGGGCGCTGGGCACAGACATGATTCAAGTTCCCTCAAACTTCCTAGGCCCAGATCCCAAAACCGGCGCTGCTCGCACAACCGGTGACCGCACTGTTATCGTTCGTGACCTCCAGCGTCTGGCAGATCTGGGTGCCGGTGCTGGCTTCCGATTTGTCTATGAAGCGCTCTGCTGGGGTGATCATGTCGATACGTGGGAGGCCTCGTGGGAGGTCGTGCGTGATGTCAATCGTTCCAACTTCGGTCTCTGTCTTGACTCTTTCAATATTGCCGGCAGGGTCTATGCAGACCCCGCTGCACCTTCGGGTCGTACCCCCAACGCCGCTGCAGACTTGGCTGCTTCAATGCAGCGTCTGCGCACTGCCAACATCGATCCCGCTAAGATCTTTTATGTGCAGCTTGTTGATGGAGAGCGTCTTTCCGCCCCATTGGATGAGAATCATCCTTTCTACGTTGCTGGACAACCTGCGCGAATGAATTGGTCCCGAAATGCCCGTTTATTTCCCTTTGAAGAGTCGCGTGGCGGATACTTGCCCATTGTAGATATTGCTCGCGTCTTCTTTGAGGATATCGGGTTCCGTGGCTGGGTTTCTCTTGAGCTGTTCAGCCGCACACTCGCCGATACCGATCCATTTGTTCCCGCTGATCATGCTCGTCGCGGTATGGAGTCATATAATAAGATGGCTCGGCTTTTGCGCTGGGATGAGCCAGCGGAGACATGCGAGGAGCCTGTTCAACACCGCCTTTGAATGAAATATTTAATGTACTGGTATATAATTCGCCTTTCTCTCTTGACAGTTGACACGCACACAATTCATTAATACCCGGCGGCTCAGCCAAAAGGGCACTTATCACGAACTACCAATACATGTCCTATTGAATACCGTGTATCCTCTGAGCCCATAGCCGGCCCATACATTGTTTCTTTCTGTATATGCCACCGCAGCTGTCAATATTGTAGCGGGTCCTCGTGGGTTAGTAATTTCCATGTTAGTAGCCCAGGTAAGTAGACTGGTAAGGCGCTTCTTCAAATGTTCAACATTATCCTCGGCAGTTAACTAGAAGCCCTTCTCCCTTCATACTATGCTACATCTTTCATCTAAACCCAGCCCTATCACATAATTGGCCCATGTGGCCGAGCAGTTTCCTGGTCTAGCGGTTATGATTTTCCGTTAACAAATGCTTCGCATGTGTTCCGGAAAGGTTCTGGGTTCGATTCCCAGGGAAACTATTTTTTTGTTTTTGGTATATTCCACAAGATTTTTCCCCAGCTATTGTTCGATATGATCACCTACTTATTGGATGTCCTGCTGTAAAGCATTGACATGGGAATTGGCCGAGTCTTGCAATATACCTTACCCTACGTGCTGTGCATTCCGCAACGAACGGCGATTCGAATGCAAGATTTCTACGGAAAGTGATCTAGGATGTCAGGAGCCCTGGAGTCTGGCAAATAATGTCATTTATATCTTTCCATATTCGCTTTCGAGGTCGGTTATTGCTTAGGCGCTCTTGTTGTTGATCTTCAGGAGCTCGACCTCGCTGCAGGATAGTTAGTCTTTGAAGAACGTATTTTCCATTCTCGGAAGAACTTACAAGAGCAGAGTAGAGCCTGCGGGGATCTTGCCAGCCGCCCTGGATAAAGAAGATTGTTAGAAATTGTTTAGCTGTGTAGTGGATATCTCGCCTGTTCACGTACTTGTCACCGTAGCCATAGTCCCTAAGAAGGTCAGTAATTCGCTCGATTCAATATTATGCCGCAGGCTGTGTACTCACGGGGTAATAGTAAGGGTGGACTTCTCGCCCAGGGTCATCTGCGTGACACCCTCATCCCAACCTGGTCAGACGATATCAGCATTCGGACCTTCCCACAGGTAGAATCAAGATGAAAACCTACCCTTGATGACCTGTCCAACGCCAATCTGACAAGTGAAAGGGCCGCGGCCAGGAGTTCTGGAGCTATCGAACCTATCGATATTGCTTAGTACTTGGATATACTCAATCGAAGCTGGTTCTAGGCTATAACTCACTGCTTGCCCTGGAAACCCTTGTTGGCCTTCTTGGGGTCGTAGATCCAGCCTGTGTAGTGGATGGAGACCTTATCGCCGGCAACGGGCGAGTCGGAGCCATTGCCACGGGTGATGATCTTTCTTTCGACACCCATATTGAAATCTGATTTTATGGTAGAGGATTTATGAAGTTCTCAACGAAGAAGGACGAGGTTCGACGAGGGGCAACGCTGATTCGTATTTTTCTTTCGAAGTGGGGGAGCGGCGGGAGCGGGCATCACCGCTTGGCCAATATCTCGAGCGATTATCTGCCATATCCTGCAGAGGTGCCTGGATGTATGTTGAGACTATTCCAATTGGTTGGGAAAACAGCGATATAGTCATCGTTTTTGGGTATGGGATAAAATAGGTGAGGTATTGAGGGTGCTACTAAAACAAAGGTATTCTGCCAGTCCTCGAGCATTACCGCACGCAGTTATATATTCCAACCTAGGTTCCGAGCTGGGCGATATCGGGAATGAACAAACCAATTAAGCTATTGGATACATAAACCTAAGCTTCGAGCTCAGAGATTTGACAGGAGCATCATCCGGAATGGTTTGCCCTCGTTTCAGGCCGATTCTTTCGACTCCGGTCTAGACACCTCTTCTTGGCCGGACCGAAGCAGGACCCCGGCCAAACCGATGGCGCGACGGAACTGCGCCGAATAATTGTCGAACAAGACCTCGACTGCTGATGATTGTTGGCAACTGTTAGGATGCTAGCTTTACAATCATATCAAGAAAGTCCTAAACTCCCTCCAGCCCTCCTATGGAAGTACGGAGTACTAGACGAACTTTCGTAGGAGGGGAGGATGCGGCTGCCGCGTGTAAACCCCACTCTTGGCGCCGATCTGTAGATCTACTTTGTGACCGACTACTGAGTAGTACTGTATGATTACTAGAACAGACAATCTAGAATCTCACATTAGCAATGAAGGAAGCCAGAATGTATACTCGACTCGAAGTCGAGACCTGGTGAATGATGGCTCGGGTGATCATGCTCCACACCAATGAGGGGGATATGGGGTCGCAATCGATCATCTCCCAGATTTACGATGTACCGGACAAATTGTTAAATGCAAGTGGTCCCAATTGGCCATTGGCCACCTGCACCGCGCAATACGTCCCGGTTGTCTTACGAATTGCCTGTATGGAGTACATACCGAGTATGCTTCGACAAGATGTACCATGTAGGTACGATGTACTCCGTACAATCTTTGGCAAGGCCGCAGCCTAGGCGTCCGAATGAAAATCTCTTCTCGGAAATGCAATAAAACAGCCTGAATCTGATACATTTCGAGACACTTCGTGATAGGGATGTTGACTTCGTAGTTGACATAGAAATATGCTTCAAGTCCAGTACTAAAGAGGGAAGCTGAATTGTTGAGATAGACGCGAAAACATTGAGTTTCACAGTAAAATGCTAGAAACGACTTGGATCCTGAAAAAGACTCAACATTAACATCTGGCTGATGATCAGAGAATGGGTTCTTATGCGCTAATTCCCCTTACAGTAAGATGGATCTTCACGTGACACAGGCGTTTCACAATCTTCAAACAGCAGAGAGGAGGCCTGAGCTGAGATATGAAGGATCAGGGGTAACTCAGGGTAAGCAGCACTCTCCAAGACTTAGTTAGATGCCTTCATGCCACGAAGCCATTTCCCGGGAATGGGTTAAACTCTCAGACGCCATAAACTTCAGCCGCACTGGTTTATTTGTGAAACAACCACAGTGTTGGAAATGAAGAAATAATTTCCGGGGATGGTGTGAGAGAAGGGTAGTGTTTGAGAATTAATAGTCGTGCGATACGCAGTACCGTGGACACTGCGAATGGGGCTATGGGGCCTGTGGATGTAGGAGAAGCTGCCAGAAGCTGATCATTGCAGCTTGGCCCTCTGTCTCAAGAGGTGGTCTTTGGAATTGCTAGAGAAAGTACACAGTAGTGACTATGAAGATAGGCATCGAATCCTAGTAGTAGTGGTAGTCTCATCATGCTCACAGGATGAAATCAGATTGGGCCAGTATCAGGGGCATCAACAACCTCATTGGTCGTTTTAGATGGGGGGAGATGAAGGCCCGCATGTTCTGGGCGCATCAGAGGGCTCCCATGTATGTCGGATCTGTAAGATGGGAGAGAGAGAGTAGGTTGGGCATCAGGAATGAAGAGGTAGATGTAATCGTGTTTGTCAAAATTTCCTAAGAACCGGATCAATTGATGTCCTTTGAAAGTGTTGTTAGTTAACTACGTGGGGAAGTTTACGAGATCATCTGGTGGCAGAAACCCTCACCATCTCACTCTCTCCTTTCTCATCCCCTCCACCCCTAATCGACTCGCGGGTTTCGTTGCTTTTCTTGTCCTTTTCTTTTTGATTTCTGTCGCCGGATTTAGTTTCCTTTCGCTTCGGAGTATCCTCCGTCTGCCCAGCCTCCACATCAACACAGCGCCCGCGAGGGGCAATCCCAATTTGGTTCGCCTGTTGCGTTTAACGGCCACGACACCCGCGATTATATACCTGAAACGCTTTTGTAGCACGGTAGAGAGTGACTGGTACGTGGAGACATCGGTACTCATGACCCCTGGTCTATACGCAATTGCCTTTACCATCATTCTGGTTCCACCCCGTGCTCCCAGCTTGTCTGGATCCAGCACAAATTGGCAGGACTTGTGTCTCAAGCTTAAACCTGGTGTTGAATCATGTTTTTCTAACGCTTCGGTAGTCTGCAGGTTCAGCCGCCATTCGTCGTTATTTCAGCCCCCCTGTTGGATCTCCCCCTCCATAACCTCGCATCCCACGACTTCGATCCCCATCATAGATCGCGCTCGAAGGGAAGCAAATAGTGAGAGTGCTATTCAGAAGCGCATGGGACTGGCAGTCAAATACTCTTCTGCGATCACGGATACCCCGTATACGCATATCTGGAACGGGGCTGCCTCCTGCGCTGGCTTAGGTCGGGGAACACCGGCACACGGCCACTATCGACCTTTCGCATAACAATAAAGAGTGGATCTTCACGATGGACAATCAAGGTTATCCGGAGTCTCCTATGGAGCAGGACGAGTCCTACCCGTGCAAGGGCTGTGGAGAGGTAAGCGCAATCTGAAGCGAGCGGACAGGACTTCATTAACCACGCGGACAGACTCTTGAAGAAGGAAAAGCGTTTGAACTAGGTAAGCAGGATTGCGACTCTTGCTTGACTTCTGTTCTATCATCTGGCTAACCTTGGGACAGCTGGAAACCGGTGGCACATCGATTGTTTTCGATGCAGCACGTGCAGCACCCTCCTTGACTCGGATGCGCATCTTCTGCTGCTGGGTGATGGATCCCTCATTTGCAGTGACTGCACATACAGCTGCAGCTCCTGTAACAACAAGATCGAAGATTTGGCCATCTTGACTGGGGACCAGGCCTTTTGCGCCCAGTGTTTCCGATGCCGGAATTGTAAACGAAAGATCGAGAACTTGCGATATGCGCGCACTTCCCAGGGTATATTCTGCATGGACTGTCACGAGTCACTAATGGCACGAAGAAGGAAAAGAAAAGCTGGTGCCAGTAGCAGCAAGCGGCCAGCCGGACCTAATGTGAAGCTGGATAAGTCCTTGCCGTCGTTGCCTCCACACCTCGCCGAGGAATCTCAAATAATGGAAGAAGACCGAAGTGACTATGCAGGCACGCCAGATCCTGATAGAATGGCGGAGACGCCTGAGTTTAATGATGAAAGGCCAGGCAGCGCACCTATGAATCAGCCAGCCGATACAGGTAAGAACCTCAATCACAATCACAAAGGGCCTATACACGTATCTGTCGTTCCATTCATCGTTGCATTTGTATTCACTATTGTGACTGTTTACCATTGTTGCTGCCTCCATTCACAGTTTTTGCATCTATGGTTCTTTGTCTCTACTATTTCGTCCTACCACATCTGCTTACTTCTCCTTCTAGACAATCTTATCTTGCCATCCAGCACATACCGCAGAAGCCGACAATCGATTGCACACAACGTCGATGCCGACGGAGGTGAGCTATTGATTCCTCTTGCCTTTGATCCTACCGCCGAGGGTAACTCTTCCCGTGGCCATTCCCAAACCCGACAGGAGCCTACTCGCGACATCTCCAATCAAGTTCGATCTGGTGAATCCTCGCACGGCACCTCACACGAAGGCCGTGATTATCTGCAAGACCTCAGCTCTCGAAATTCTTCAGAGCATCCTTCGCCTCATATCGCTTATCAGGAGAAAGGCTGGGAGCAGAACGACGCCAATTCATCCGACAGAACCCCCGCGCCGCTCGCCGACTCTTCCAAGCCTACAAAGGCAGGCTCTGTTCGCAGCTCATCCGACATACCTATCAGCTTCCAAGAAACAGGCAACGCTTCTGGAGTCCCCAGTCCTGAAACCAACATGTCGCGAGACGAGACAAAATGGCACGCCGCCACGGATAGTGTCACTTCTGCTCCTGCTCGTCCTTCGCACGAGCTTCGGCGTCTTCACGACCACCCGTCAACTGACTCGGCGCGCTCTCAACCCGCCGGCATGTCGCAATTGCCGAAGCGCGGCGACTCGCTTGAGAGCAAGCATCATCAGATCCAAAGGAAAGAGCTCGGATCATCCCCTGCATCGTCACAATACGGGGAATTCCCCACGTTGCGTAGTGACACCTACGAACCACCCAGTCAATTGAGCACGCCGTTACTCGAATCCAACCAATATGAAGGTGCCGGCTCGTCATCATTGCTCCGCTACAACAGTGGAGGTGACTTCTCGATGGATGAGGAATTATCCCGCATCATTGGGGGCGATGATGCCGTCGCACAGAGCAACGATTCGTTCCTGCGTCGTGTTTCAAACTCCGTCCGCCATGGCCGAAGCTTCAGTGAGAAGAGTGTGCGACTCAGCAAAGACATTAAGAACCCTCGTTCTCCTAGCAATCGCAGTATAGCCGGAACCGATGTTGGAAGCCCCCTCTCCGGGTCCCAGAATGAAGAGATCGCTTGGCTTCGAAACGAGTTGCGCAAGGAGCGTCTGCGGATTGCAGAGCTGGAAGCGGCCGCTCGTACGGCAGCAGATGTGAGGCTGGTTAACACGGAGCTTTCCGAGAAGCGATCCACCATGGTCGTTCTTGACGCTCAGCGTGAAATCGTTCTACGTGAGCTCTCTGTGCTCACTGATTACATCAAAGCCGAAAAGAGTGCTGGTACTAATGGACCGCTGGACCTCGACAAACTCACCAACAATGTCCTACGCGAACTCGCAGAGTCAATTCAAAAGTTGAAGGACTCGTTTACTCCACAAATCAAAGAGCTTATGCAGCAACGCAACGATCTTCTGGAAGAAACCGAGCGCCTGACCGTTCAAAAGGAGAAGAGTCTCCAGGAATTCGAGCAATTGTCCTTGAAAAACGCACAACTGGCTGAATTGAACAATCAATTGGTTCACCAGGTTCAAGAACTTTACAAAGCAACGGACGGGCAGTCGCGATCTAATGGTCTAGGCATCTCCCACGGTAAACAAAAGTCCGTCAATTCCATTGAAATGATGAAGTCTGGCTACGGCGATCTTAATGCATCTGTCTCCACTGCTCATATCTCCGAGGATTCTGAGCCCGCCACTGCCACTATGGTCCCAGGCCCCCAGGTTGTCAGTATCCGCAAGGGCCAGCCTCGCAAGTTCAACTGGAAAAAGGGCGGACAGAATGTCGCCAAGGGTGTCAAGGGCCTGAAGGGGGCCTTCATGGGCAGTGAAGGACAAGGACAAGAGGGCGGTGCTGGTCTACCTCGGTCGCAGACCCAAGACCCGAGTCGCCAGGGCTTTGGATTCTTCGGAAACCAGAGGGGCAAGCAGGGCGGAAAGATGTCACAAGCTGACAGCGTGCCAGTTTTGGCCGAAGTTGCTCCCGATGGTTTGTCTTCGAGATTGAGTGTTTAAGATGAAAGGTCAAGCTAACACTTTCCAGCTCTCTTTGGCACCGAGCTCGAGGCTCGCATGGAACATGAAAAGAGCATCATTCCCGCCATCGTCACCCGCTGTATCCAGGAAGTCGAGCTACGAGGTATGTTTTCCCGCTCACCATGTATACGCTTATCATTCTAACAAACGCAATCAGGCATGGACATGGAGGGTATTTATCGCAAGTCCGGTGCCTCCTCAGTGGTTCAGACTATTCGCGAAGGCTTTGAGCGCTCTCCCTACGACTTCGATATATCTGATGCCGACCTCGATATCCATGCGGTCACATCCACTCTGAAGCAGTATTTCCGCAAGCTTCCCAATCCGCTGATCACTTACGAGGTTTACGAACTCGTCATCGACTCTGCTCAGGTCAATCCCATGTCTGCTCGAATTGAGCTCATGCAGAAGAGCCTGCTTGAACTGCCTCGTGTCCACCGTGATGTTCTGGAGTTCTTGATCTTCCATCTAAGACGTGTTGTGGATCGTCACGAAGAGAACTTGATGACCAGCCAGAACATTGCCGTTGTCTTTGCGCCGACCCTGATGCGCCCAGAGAGTATCACGCGGGAGATGACGGATGTCCAAAAGAAAAATGACGTCCTCAAATTCTTGGTAGAGAACTGTCAAGAAGTCTTCATGGGCATGCAGGGCTGAGTCTCAGGATCTCGTCTGAGGCCTCCAGGCTTCATTTTACTGTCATCTCCCCCGGATATTCACCATCGTCCCCAACTTTCCCGCACACGCTGTGTTTCAACCCGACCTTTCAATCTCCCTTTTGTCGCTTCTCAGCTCTGTTTGTATAGATTACCAGGGCTTCACTTCTCCTTCATGTCTCAGCTCGGTTCACGATCAGCGCTACGCGCGCGATTTAGATACCCTATCTTCTTTTTTTTTCTTCCTCCTGAATTTCACATCGCATATCTCGGATCAGATCATCAGTCAGAGAATTTGCTTTCTCTAGCGCTGCTGGCCATTATGATGACCAAAATACTTTGGGAGGTTAACGATTTGTCCTTCAGAACTTGGTGTTTCGTTTGTTCCCAACCCTCAGCGAGCGTTAAAGTCGTGTTCTAGCGTACACAATCTAGCACTTTGAATGAATGCGGCAGTAGACCATAGTAGCCGTCAGCTGTTAGTAGACTCCAGTATGTAATGATTGCCCGGTTGTCCAGGTGTCTAAATGTCCGTGGAGTGGATGTAGGTGGTCCAAGCACCCACCGCCTACGACATCGAGACCACCCGAGCTCCAACCCCCCAAACCCCGACGCATTTCCAAAGCCTCATTCGAGGCCCTTGAAGTCCCCCAAATACAAAATTCACGATGTCGAAACCAAGCAAATACCTCCTCCTCTCACTCCCCAACTCTATTGTCCCCTCGCACCACCGCGACGATGCCCTCGAGGCAGTCGCAGCCACCGTTTCCCCGGACAATGGCTCCGCCGGCTCCTTCCCAATCCCGGAGTTCAAGATCGGAACGTTAGATGCCCTCGTTCAGCAAGCAGATGAGCTGGCCAAGCTCGAGGCGTCGTGCCAGGGCGTCGTTGCCAAGGTCGGCGATGCGTTGAAGAATATCCTTGAGGGGGACGAGACGCAGATCGATCAGATGAAGGTTGTCAATGATAGTACGTTTCCGATTTGAGTGAGGAGCGGAAGGGACATCTCCGCAGATGTATTTCAGATCCTGGGTCCTGACTGCTTACAGAGCCGGTCGATCAGTACCTCCGTACTTTCCAATGGAATAAAGTCAAGTACAGGGCCGACAAGTCCTTGGCGGAGCTGATTGATCTGCTACACAAGGTGTGTAGCGCTGCACCTGGAATGACCTGGGAGTATTTTGCTAATAGTCACATTCACTCTAGGAAGCATCCAGCATCGACAACGATATCCGATTCAAATACTCCCAATATAACCAGGTCAAGAACACCCTGTCTACGCTACAGCGGAAACAAGCGTAAGTTAATCACGACCGACCCTGCGATGTGCTATACCGCATGCAAGAATCCAAGTGCTAATTCAGCTGCTACACACCAGAGGCAACCTCTCAACTAAGTCCCTCGCCTCGGTGATCGACCCGAAAGCTATCGTGCAAGACTCCGAATACATCGAAACCCACCTCGTCGCCGTGCCTAACCAGCTGGTAAAAGATTTCCTGAAGACCTACGAGACTGTCGCGCCCATGGTGGTCCCCCGGTCCGCGCAGCTGGTTGCTTCCGACAGCGAGTTCACGCTGTACGCCGTGACGGCGTTCAAGAAGCACAGCGTCGAATTCGTGCATAAGTGCCGTGAGCAGAAGTGGATCCCGCGCGACTACAAGTACGTCGAGGGTGGAAAGGAGGAGGAGCGCAAGGAAGTCGAGCGCGTGGGTGGGGATGAGCGTAAGCTCTGGGGTGAGACGCTGCGACTTGGCCGCACGGCTTGGAGTGAGGCTGTGATGGTCTGGATTCACATTTTAGTCTTGAGGGTGTTCGTGGAGACTGTGCTGCGGTATGGATTGCCGTTGGATTTCGTCTGTGCTTTGGTTCGGGTATGTTCTGTCTTCTTCTGGTTTTTGGTGCAATGGCTAACAGTTCGGGGGCTCCAGACACAAACTGCCAAGCAGGCAGACCGCGCAAAGCAAAATCTCGAGAAAAAGTACTCGTACCTGGCAGGCAATGCCTTTGGGCGAGACAAGAAGGGTCGCGTTCAGCGGGATGATCCTAGCGAGATGCATGCCGGTGGTGAAGGCGGCGCAGAGTACACGCCATATGTGTTTTATGAATTTGAGTTCAACTAAGGTTGGCTATTGCGAGACATAGCTGGTGAGATACAAAGGCTTCGGAAGACGTTGCGTACATATACCACTTTGGTATCATCTAGCACAAATTAGCATTGAATGTTTCTTGCTCTACCCTACACAGGTTCCATGTAAATTGCATGCAACCATGTATATTACCTATCCACAGTAAGTACAGCCAGTGGGAGGAATCAAGCAAAAGCCAAAACACATCTCCAATCCACTATACAGGACTCATTTCTCTATAAACATCATATATACATCAACCCCTAGAATTCACCAAACCCCTACTCCTTCTTAGCAGGCAAGTACCCCTTAGAATCAAGGTACTCAATAATCTGCTTAACAGCATCCTGCACGGGCAACTCATAATTCTTAATATGAACCTCAGGGTTAACGGGCTCCTCATACGGCGCCGAAATCCCCGTAAACTCCTTAATAACCCCCTCCCGAGCCTTCTTATAAAGCCCCTTGGGATCCCTCTGCTCCGCAACCTCAACGGGAACATCAACATAAACCTCCACGAACGGCAGACCCGAGCCCTCACCGGGCGTCGCAACCTCGTGCAGCTGGCGCGCGGTATCACGATCCTTGCGGTACGGCGAGATGAACGAGGTAATGGCGATGGAGTTGGAGTCGGCGAAGAGCTTGGCGACTTCGGCGATGCGGCGGATGTTCTCGTTTCGGTCGGACTCGCTGAATCCAAGGTCTTTGTTCAGTCCGAAGCGGATGTTGTCGCCGTCGAGGCGGTAGGCGTGCACGCCCCGGTCGCGGACGAGTTGGTGCTCTAGTTCGACGGCGAGGGTGGATTTGCCCGAGGCCGACAGGCCCGTTAGCCAGATTGTTAGGCCTTGTTGGTTGCGGAGGGTGGTGCGCTCGGCGCGGGTGAGGGCGCTGGCGTGGAAGGTGATGTTGCTGTTTGGGTTAGGGGGATCCGATTGAGGCATTGGGGAGGGATCTGGGACTTACGTGGCCATTTTGGGGGAGGTGTGATGTGTAGGGTGATAGGTAGGATGAGAAGAGAAGAAGAGATGTGTTGTAAAAAATATAATGAGGGGCAGTCCGAACTCGGGGGAACTGGGCCGCGTCAATGATCGTCGCGGGGTGATGTCGCCATTGCTTGGCATCTTTAAATTCCTTCTATACAGTAACTACACAGTAAGTTAGGGCTTAACGAGAATATTCAAGAGTATCTTGATTCTTGACGCTCTAACCCCATTTACATTTATATACACATCTAATTACTCATTTCGCCATGACGCCAGGTACCAGGTACCAGGTACCAGGAACCAAATGTAGAGATTTTACGCCCTGTAGAGACTCGCGAGTGCCTGGGAAAAATTAGCCACTCAACCCACCAAAATAACAAAGATTCCACTTACAGCAGCTTGTCTGGGTTCAATGAACAAAGCCTTAGCCTCAACCAAAACCACAGGATCCGAGCCATCAATCGGCAAAGTCTCAATGCGACCTTCCACCCACGCCTTACGACCCTCAACCTTCACAGTCTCCGCCCTCAACGCAACATACTGATCCGCCATGGCTGGAGCCCGATAATCAATATTCAAATTAGCCGTGACGCCAACCTTATTCGGCAAAGCCGGGAAGCAGCAACGCGCCAAACCCTCGTCTAACAATGTAGCCAGCAGACCGCCGTGAATAATGCCCTGGTGCCCGCAGACATCACCACCGAGGTACATGAGGGAAACCATGCTCTTGCCTGCGCGCTCACTGAAGACGTAGGGTGGCACGACGATCTTCCCTGGTCCGGCCAGGGTGCCGGCGGTGAAATTGCGCTCGCGCATGGTTGCGGGGATTTTGAGGTGTGGGCGCGACTCGCTGAAGTCGGGATCGGCGCGGAGGGCCTCGGCGACGGGGTGGGTGCGGAGTGTTGTGTCGATCTCGGCGGTTGTGGTGTCCCCGGCGTGGTAGGCGGATAGGGTTTCTTCGTCGCTGAGCATTGGGGAGGCCATGATGCGGGAGACGGTGCGTTGGGTTTGGTAGGTTAGTCCGAGGGTGAAGGCGAAGACGGCGAGGGAGCTGAAGCCGATGAAGCGGCGGAGGCGCGAGCGCGGAGGTGAGCGTGGGGGCGGGTGAGCGGAGGCGGAATGAGTCGGTTCTTTGCGGTTGTCGGGTTAGTTGAGGATTTTTGGGTGGTTGGTTTTGGATATGAGGGACTTGAGAGAGAGGATGTTGTTTACCAGTAGAGTTAAACCGTTTGTAGGATTTGTTGAAAGGCTTTGGGGTGCCGAATGATGGGGATGAGGTTCGGGTGAGTCGCGAAGGGGTTGAGGAGATGGGATGGGATGTGAAGTTGCGAAGAGAGAGGGAAGTCGTAAAATATTGACGAGACATGCTGAGACACAGAGGAGAGAAAATCTAGACCATTGAAATCTACGTCGTTGAGAACCTGAGAGGGAAAAGAGTGGATTGAGTGGGACTCGAGAGTCGGGTACCTCGGCTTGGACACCTCGGTTGGTTCGCATTTCATTGGAGGAAATATTCAATGGAATTGTTGTCTCACTACTCATTATTAGCTCAACTTCTCTTCATTCTTTTCTCTCATGTCTGGGAATGCATGCCTATAACCCATCACCTAACTACATGAAAGTATTCAACCTTGGAACATAAGAGGATGCATCCCAACATCCTCATCTAGCATTGTTTCATCTTTACAACCGAACGAATAGAAACAGAATCTTCTCAATCTATCCAATTTCTCAAATCGTCTTGGTCCATTTCCGAACATCTATCTGAGATCACACGAGCCAGACCAATTGGCGACTTCTCCGTGGTCGTGCGTCGTACATCTCCTGCACTAGTAGTACGCAGTACTACCTCCCCCTCACCCTAGGCAGAATGAGACCTTAACCCCAGATCAATGGACCAATACCAAGTATGCAGGGTCGGAATGAAGCCCGTGGGGATCGACAGGGGCACGCATGCCAGGAAGGTGCCAAAATGCATAGAAGGGATCTAAATACCAAATCCTCCCAACGCCCGCTCGTTGACAATTATCCATCCTCCGACAATGCCGCCGTATAATCTGCTGCTGTCCCTCTTGTTCACGAGTGCTGGGCTGGTCAATGCCGCAGATCGACATCCACAGGAGGATTACGATGTCCTACAGTATATCAATCCCTTGATCGGCAGCGCCAACGGAGGTATGGATAAACCATCAATTGTATCGAAAAGGTCTTGTTTAACAGATTCATCTAGGAAATGTCTTCCCAGGCGCCTCGCTGCCATATGGAATGGCCAAGGCCGTTGCCGATACAGACTCGGGGAGTAATCAAGGAGGCTTCGCCCATGAGGGCGGCAACGTGACCGGATTCTCTAGTATGCACGACTCCGGGACTGGAGGCAGTCCCTCATTAGGCAATTTCCCTCTGTTCCCCTATGCAAAATGTGCCGGCGACGATGTGAATGGCTGTGTATACCCGAAGAACCAGCGGAAGCTAAGGTATAAGCCTGACTCGGTCCAGGCCCATCCGGGATACTTCGGCATAGAGCTGGCGTCGGGAGTCCAGGTTGATATGACTACTGCGCACCACACCTCCTTGTTTAGATTCAAGTTCCCCGAAGATGCTAGCAACAGCCCGCTGATCTTGCTTGATCTCACGGATCTATCGAATTCCCGTCAGGACAACGCGACTATTTCCGTGGATGCCGAAACGGGCCGGATGACCGGTGATGCGCGGTTTGCTCCTAGCTTTGGATCAGGATCTTACGTATTGCATTTCTGTGCGGATTTCCAAAGCCCGGCAGCTCTGAGAGACAGCGGTATTTTTGTCAATTCGCGCGCGAGCGCTGATGTCCATGATTTGAAGATCTCGCGAAGTATCAATGGGTATCCACTTCCAGTGAGCGAAATGTCCTTCTCCTTCTCCAAAAAGACTGCTTCTAACAATTCCAATAGGGTGGTGGATTCATACGTTTCCAGCCTGGAGAGGACAACACGGTCCTGGCTCGGGTGGGCGTTAGCTTCATGAGCACACAACAAGCCTGTGCGCATGCCGAGTCTGAGATTCCAAAGTTCGACTTCGACACAACGCATCAGACAGCAGTCGATAAATGGACCGAGAAAATGCGTCCGATCCGCGTCTCCCGGAACAACATCGATGCCTCCATTCTGACTAACTTCTACAGCGGCATCTACAGGACTATGATCAACCCCCAGAACTACACCGGCGAAAACCCACTCTGGCAGAGCAGCGAGCCTTACTTTGATTCGTTCTACTGTCTCTGGGATTCCTTCCGCTCTCAAATCCCATTCCTCACCATATTCGATCCATCTTCGGTAACGCAGATGGTGCGCTCACTCATCGATACCCAGCGTCATCTGGGCTGGCTTCCCGACTGCCGCATGTCCCTATGCAAAGGATACACGCAGGGCGGCTCCAACGCCGACAACGTCCTGGCAGACGTCTATCTAAAAGGCCTCAAAGACGGCATCGACTGGGAGGCCGGATACGCAGCTGTACAAAAGGACGCCGAGGAAGAGCCATACGACTGGTCCAGCGAAGGCCGCGGCGGTCTACGCAGCTGGAAAGATCTACACTACATCCCAGTCGAAGACTTCGACTACGAGGGCTTCGGCACAATGACCCGCAGTATCTCTCGAACACTCGAATACTCGTACAACGACTTCGTCATTGCCCAGATGGCCCGCGGCCTGAACAAGACAGCAGATGCAGAACGGTACGAGAGAAGATCCCGCTACTGGCAGAACCTATTCAAAAAGGACCAGACGTCTTTCTGGCAAGGAAAGGACACCGGTTTCACCGGCTTCTTCCAGCCGAAGTATCTGAACGGAACATGGGGCTACCAAGATCCACTCGCATGCTCGAACATCGACAATAGCGGCAGCGTATGTTCGCTCCAGAACACCGCGGGCGAAACATTCGAATCCAGTATCTGGGAGTATCAATTGTAAGCCTCCCAGTCATCGTCATCCCAGATTCCAAACACTAACCAGAACCCCAGCTTCGTTCCCCACGACATGCAATCCCTAATAAACCTCCTAAACGGCCCAGAAGCCTTCACAACCCGCCTCGACTACCTCCACAACCAAAACATAACCTACATAGGCAACGAACCCGCCTTCCTAACAGTCTTCCAATACCACTACGCCGGCCGCCCCGCAAAATCCACCTCCCGCGTCCGCACCTACATCCCAGATTTCTTCTCGCCCACTCCAGCCGGCTTACCGGGCAACGACGACTCAGGCGCCATGGGCTCCTTCGTCGCAATGGCCATGATGGGCCTCTTCCCGAACCCAGGACAAGACGTGTACCTACTCACAGTGCCATTTTTCGAGTCTGTCAGCATCGTGTCGCCGTTGACGGGCAAGACGGCGACGGTGAAGACGGCTAATTGGGCCGAATTCAATACACCGAATGTGACCGGTGATGCGGTTGGTGGGAATGGGTTTATTCAATCGGCCACACTGGATGGGGTGGAGTATACGAAGAATTGGATTGGGCATGATTTCTTTACTGAGGGGAGGGAGTTGGTGCTTGTGCTTGGGAAGGAGGAGGGGGTTTGGGGGACTAAGAAGGAGGATTTGCCGCCTTCGCTTGGGGAGATTGGTGGGTTTGGATTTGGGGGTGGGAATGAGAGGAGGTGGGAGAGTATGGTGGGAATGAGTTAGGGCTTTGGTTGACCGCTGTCTTAACCATTTTTACATGTTGAAGCTGGAGGTGAATATACCTGGACTGGAGACGATTATACCCAGTATTACGGTTTCCCCCCTTAAGTTCAAAGCAAGATGGGTTGCAAGAAGTTTTGAGCAAGAGAGCCTACCCCGTACCCCATATACCCCACTCAAAAGACTAAGACACCAAATTCAGGGGCAAGATTCTTCGCTTTTTCAACAACCCAACGCAACTACGACTACCAGCAACCCGTAAGCGTCCACCAGGGGTGGAGGCGTTACAGGTAATAATTTGCTGAGCGGAGCGGAGCAAATTTGGCCCGTGTCGGAACTGACTCAACTGAGATAGCCCGCTGGCGGGGGTTTCTTTATGCCCTGCGGCCCACTGTTTCAGGCGTGATGATGAGCCGTGAAGGGGTTCACAGGTATCAGGTGCTAAATTAGAACCGAATAATAAGAGCATATGCGAAAGACGAAAGTCTGCACAAATGGCTTCTCTAATCTCTAATAGGAAGTAGATGTCGCGAGGGGCTTGGTGGTGCGGTATTGATTTCTTCTATGCTTACAGGGCGGTGCACAGGCCAGGGAACAGTCAAAGGAAGTAGGTAGGTTCAGACTACTCAGATGGCCAATGTATCTAGGGAATAGGCATAGAACTGCCGTCCCCAATGGCAACGCTCAAGCCTCACGCATCGGCGTCTAGGGGGGAAGAAGCCGCCTCCAAGCTCGAGCTCGCAAGGGAGTAGCGGGAGGCGGTCGTAGACTCTCGGTATATCGACCAGGAAATACGCCACGTGACCGCGGTAGAAATACTTCTGGCCACGGACCTGGCGGACTTCAATGATGGTGTGAACGCGAGAGATAAGCATCTCTTCCACCTGGGTAAGGACGGGGAGGTGCGATGGGACATCGTCAGAGCGCATATTGTTGCGCTGACTGTAAAAGTAGGTCCGCTCGGACGGATTCTCCTTCCGATCCTCCTGTTTATCCTTGGTGCGACACTTACGACAAACCCCGCGGAAGGAGCCCTTTTTGCCGCACTTCAGATTGAACCAACGCTCGTCGCAGCGAATGCACGTTTCCATGCTGGTTTCTTGGAGTGTAGTCTGTGAATTACGCACCAGAGCCCATTGAGAGTCCGTCAAAGGGTCAAAGGGGCGAATGTCGCGGTGGGAGTGGCTGCAGGCGGAGGGGAAGAAGCGCGAGGCGTGGCGGGCCCGGACAGCGGCGTCGAGGACGGGAAACACCGCGACGAAGAGCTTGGAAGAGGATGTGCGAGGGGAGGTGTCTGAGAGACATCCTCACCAGCGCGACGGCGGACGCGGTGCTGCCTCTGTATTGCGCTAGGGACTTTGTGCTAACCGCGTAGGCAGGAATACATAGCTGGGTTGTGGGTAAGTGGGCCGGGTGGGCCAGAGATCTGCACGTTAGCCGACTGGGGTATAGCGGGCGGCTCCCGGGGCAGACGGCAGCCAAGGCATTGGATCGTAAGGGCACCGGGTTGGCGGCGGCTCTGGAACTGATCCAGAGGTTTAGAGAGGTGGCACTTGGTGCAGGTACGACCCAAGGGTTGGGGTGAGGGAGCGTCGACGTATGGGCTGGGGTGAAGAGTGCGCGGTTCATGAACAGGAGCGTCGGTCTCGACCCGCTTCGAGTGGGGACGACGACATGTCTCGCAAGTCATACGGACGACATTTTTGTTGTTGATGAACATACGTAGCGGTCGAACGTTATGGCAGCGGCTACAACGCTTGGTAGACAGACGGGCGTTTACATCCGCGGCGGAACGCTCACGCAGTGGCGTTAGATGGGAGTTAGGATTCGACATCGCAAGAGGCTGTAGATTGTAGATGATAGATAAAAGCAACGCGTGAGGAAAACTGGCCGCGGAAATGGAGATGTAAACAAAGCAAGTGCATTCAACTATGGACCCGAACCTGGACGCCAAGGAAAACAGAAAGAGGTTAATCTAAAGCGGGCATGCAGTTTTCAACGCCCAATCAGAAGGCAAGGATTTGATCGATCAATAAAAAAAAATCGAGGCATATACCCCAACCCCTCTTAAATGGATAGTTTGCTTCGCTTCGCTCAGCAAAGCAAAGAACCCATGTCATTCATGATGAAGGGAAGCTTGGAGAAAGGGGAAAATGGAAAGCGGAAGAGATGCGGGAGCGTGCAGGGGGTGACTGCCGTGTATTGAACTAAGTATAGGACATATTTACAAACGCATAAAATCAAAACGCTAGTCTTTCAATTATTCCAAAGCCACCCTTACGAAGGACGGTGGAACTTGCTCTCAATCCAAGGCATACCAACAACAGTAGCCTTGCGCACCTTGTTGCGCACCTTGACAGCCAATTCCGTACCCTTCTTATGGAATCCCTGGTTCACATACGCCATAGCAATATTGGCACCACCAAGTGACGGACTCGGCAACCCAGAAGTGACGACACCCACCTCAACGGGATTGGCAGGATCGGCAATATCAACGACAACAGCACCCTCACGTGCTGGGGGACCCTTCTCAACATTCAACCCAACACGACGCTGAGGGATAGTCTTCGGACTAGCGAGTTGAGAAAGGATAACCGAAGCACCGTTGAAAGTGGCCGTGGCAGGGTCCCGACGATCACGACCGACGACCCAGCCAAGCGCCGCGGCAGGCGGTGTCTGTGCGGTTGAGATATCGTGGCCGTAGAGACACATTCCAGCCTCGAGACGGAGGGAATCACGTGCAGCCAGACCGGCCAGACGCGACTTGCTGCTGTCAGCGAGAAGCAGCTCAGTGACTTGCCGGGGGAGATTGGGGGCGCCGGAGGTAGGGATTGAGATTTCGAAGCCGTCTTCGCCTGTGTAGCCAGTGCGGGAGATGAGGAGGGGGTGGGCGGTTGCGGAGCCGTCGGGGAGGGTGAGGTGCAGCTCGCGGCAGTTGCCGAAGTAGAGGGTGCTCAGGTCTGTTTCGGAGGGGGTGTGGTTTGCGGTGTTGATGAGGGGTTGGAGGACGGAGGCGGCGAGGGGACCTTGAAGGGCGACGAGAGCGCGGTCGGCGAGGACTTCCCATTTTAGGCTGTCTGCACCGTGCTGAGACCGGTAGGCTTCGATTTCAGCTGTGAGGAAGGCTAGGTCTTCTGTGCGGCGGCCGGCGTTGGTTACGAAGTAGAAGCTGTCTTCGCTGCGGCGGGTGATTACGCAGTCGTCGATCATGCCGCCTGTGCCTTCTTCTAGGAGGCAGGAGAGGGTGGAGGTGTTTGGGGCTAGCTTGTCTAGTGAAGAGGGTGTCACTTTCTTTAGCAGGTCGAGGGCGCCCGGACCGCTGAGGTGGTGCTGGACCCTGTGGATTGGAAAAGTTGATTAGGGCATTGCGGGTTTGTATCGGGATGACTGAACTTACATGTGGCTGACGTCGAACAAACTAGCCTTTTCACGCGTCCACATGTGACTCTCCACATGGCTCAGGTCTGTGTACTGCAGAGGCATATCGAACCCGGCGAAGGGGACCATCTTGGCTCCGCGCTCGACGTGCAGGTCATAGAGCTGCGTCTTGCTAAGGGGCTCATTGGAGCTGGAGGCATATCGCACGGTCTGGTTTGCAGCGAGCGGAGCTGTAGCTGCGACTGTGATATTGGTCCTCAATGATCGAGAGACGGTTGGGCGCACGGTAGCCGCGGAGGAGAGCTCTCGCCGAAGCACAGTGGAGCCAATCGAGGCGCGGGGAAGATTGAGGGCGGCGGCCCTCGCGGCGGCGAGGTCAACACCTCGTGCTACAAGTCGAATGCTGGACATGATAAGTCAATGCTGGAGGAATTGGATTTACAAAGGGAAAAGAAAAGAAGAAGAGGATTTGGACCGCAAGATGTCGCCAATCCACCGTCGGGGAAGCATCGCGGGAAAGTCACGTGGCGATAGGCGATCGGAGTGGCTCGTCGCCCGACTGGCACGCGCTGTTCGCCGCGACTTGGCATGGGAATGAGTTTTCAATATACGGTACAGCTACCTCTGGTTGTAGATCTGTCTCACGGCTGTGATCTTGTTCGGAGGTGTATGTCGGTGTCGGAATTTTAAATTTACAGCCTCAGGTACCAGTACCAGGGCAGAATGAGCGGCAGATCAAAACGCCAAAACGTCATCCGAATTACCGCGGCGATGGCAAATCAGGCCCGGAGAGCCAAATCACAGCCTCCTAGCCGATCGGCTGAATAGAACTAGATGTAGTCACTCTTCAGAGAGGAGTGGAAAATGTACAAGTAGGAAGCGAGGGCGAGGGTCTAGCCTCATATGCGTCAAGCTACAAAGAACGCTGGAGAGCCTTAGGGCGATATTTGGGTTATATCCTTCAGACCCACCCTGACCAGCGTGCGAAAGGAATACGAATATCCCCAGGGTGGTATGGATGCAGTGTTCGCCATTGTCGCCAGTATGAATTTCCGGTCATAGCGATCGTCGGGTCTACGAAAGTCGAAACGAAGTCCATACCCGGAACATCAAAGAATGAGGCAAGAAAAGGTATCAAACGCGAGGACATGATGTAGATGTAGAACAAAGAACAAGAAGAGAAAAGAACTATACAAGAACCCCCGCCCCGCGGGGAGTCTATAATGCGTTACTGGCACAGGTGAAAACGCCACCGACAGTGCCGTCAGCGTAGCTGGCGAGAACGGACATAACAGCAGCCTGAAGGAAGTTTGTGTTAGCATAACCGAACAAAAAGGAGGAAGCAAATGGCTCATCACTTACGTATGTTCCGGGTCCCAAGAAGAAGAAGCCAACTAGAATCAAGAAAGCATTGAAGAGGAATCCGAGCCAGCCGCGAATCCCGCGAACCATGAAGAAACGGGGACCATGGTCTGCAGCACGCATACGCATATAAGCGACACCCCAGAAGATGAAGCCAAAGAAAGAATCGAAGAGGGCGCTCATGATGGACAACAAGTCAGAGAAGAAGGGAATGACCTCGGCAATGAAGAAAGCACCAAGCCAAAGGGTGGCGAGAATACCAGCCCACGAAGCCCAGCCGACGACAGTGTGTTTGCCCTTGTGCCGGGTACCTTCAAAGAGCCGGAAGAAGATGAATCGGGCCGAGACGGAGGCATACAGCACGCCCAGGAAGATGATTGTCGGGATCATGAACGAGAATGACACTTTCTTGAAAACGTCGTCGCCGATAGAACCAAAGGCCGGGGCAACCATGTACTGATTGCCGACATAGACGTAGGTTACTGCGCCGACGATGCTGAATACGATAATCTCGGCGATGGTCACGGCTGTCACGGACTTCCAAAAATCGCGGGGCTCCTTCATCTCGGCGATGAAACTAGGGAGTGTGATTTGACCGATGAAGGTGTAGCTGATATTCAAGAAGGCGTTCATGCCCTTCACAAATGTTGTGCCCTTGGCAGGAATTATAAGCACAAGAGGGTCTCCCGTTGCGGGCGAGTATTTTGCGGGGTGGGCTTCAACTCCAGCGAACACAGCGGCCAAGACGACGGAGATGAAGGTGAAGAAAGCGGATAGCGTCGCGATTTTGGAAAGCGTGTTGAATGTGCGCGGGAGCGAGAAAATAAAGGAAATGATTGCGACGATCAGCGAGAACACGACTGTGCATACTGCGCCGTTGGACATCGTGTTCAAGTACTCCGCACCCACCACACAGTGTAGGCCCTGGATGAAAGTGTTGTTCAAAAGGAACATGACCGCCGTAGCCCACCACGCAATCTTCGAGTCCCAGAATAGATACTGGCCGATGTCGCAAACATCGCGAACTTCCGGATGCCGCAGGCAGAATCTCCTAGAAGCATATTAGCACCAAATTTCCCACTACGTCGCAGAAATTGAGCGGAGAATCGTACCAAGTAATCAACGAAGTGTACAAGACAATTCCAGCAATGACCACCGTCAAAATTATACCGGGAACCAGGCCCAGAATAGAATATGACCAGGGGAAGGACATGATAGCCAAACAGATATATTCAGAGAAAAGCAATGCAGCCGTCTGCAAAGAAAAGGTCAGTTAAATCAGGCATACCTCCCTTATAGTCCGAATTACGCACCTTTTGCCAACTGCACGTGCGGTATTTGATGGTATTCTCCGACTCCATCTCAATTTGACGACCGATGCTCTCCGTCGACGAATGCGAGTCGATCGCAGTGACATGATGGTGGGAGCCACGGCGACCCTGGCCCTCAACATCGAAGTCCTTCAGCTTCGGCTCCTCCTCAGATTTGTCGGACAGCTCAGGGTTACCGTCGAGGTCCCGGTCGTGGTCCCAGCCAACAGGCATTGTTGCTTCATTTCGCGCAGCCATTTTGTCTTAAGAAGCGGGCGTACCGCGCTTGTCGGAACTCGATGGAGTTGAGGGGGGGAGTTGAGCCGAGGATGTACTGATGCATGTAATAATTTAGAATATAGTCGATCGGGTACTGGTCGTGCGTCAACCGGACATGTTCTTGTTTGTTCTTTTCTCCATATGCGCTGACAGATACTCACTCTCCAATGATTGAGTTGTCTAAAACTGCGCTCTAGCAAGTAAAACGAGCAATGGACGGATTAGGGCAAATGCCGGTGTCTAGCGTAGTGATCCGCAACCGCAATACCGCAATTGCAACTGAACTGACTGGACAGGAAGACGAAGAGATATAAAGAAAGAAAGAGAAGGTCACTGGAAGAAAGTAAATGAGATAATCCAAAAAAAAAGAAAAAAGTCAAAAGTCAAATTGAAAGCAACAAAAAAGCCAAGAAAGGCAGTTGTATAGCGGGATACCTACCATACGAGGTTGGTCCCGCAGGGTTGATCGCAGCGCATGGTAAGTTTGGTATGAAGTACAAAGCTGTGTACCGCTGACGTTCTGACCCCCACTAGTGACACTACTAATTTTCGAAAGTCCGGAAAGGTGAAAAACCTGTCGATTGCAGACCAGCCAAAAAGCCCAAGTATGACGTGGGAGAACCGACTCCGTTGCAACCGAGCCCCGGCTTGCCAAGGGACGCCCGATGCTTCTCCAATGCTTCTCCAGGGGATCGGACCCTATGGAAACGACACCCCTTCCGGATATCGAGGTCTCTGCGACTCGTTGATCCTCGTGCATACACTATCTTTCTGTCCCATCTCCAGGATCTTATTTCACCAAACCGCTTTTTCCGCCCACGTTACATACTAATGTAAGGGGGCCACGAGCTAAGATTGAGACCTGCTGCGAACCCACTCAGGCAAAATCGGTTGCACCCGCATAACCCTATGGCGTACATCGAGTGGGTCGTGGCGTTCCCCGCATGCGGATGGCGGTGGCCGAATTGGTCCATCGGCAGTAATAAGGGCTCGGTTCGGGATCAGAACCATGCATACCATGCCCTGAAAACATGGCTTCAGCTTTAAGCAGACACGGTATGCACGATGGATATCTTTTGCACAAATCATGGTATTGATTCGGAGATTCTGATTCGATCGCTCGAATGTGAATGGATAGCTTGGGAGGCAATTTGCTCGACTTGAGAGAGAATCTTTCTCCCTGTATGATTCGCCGGAGAAAGGCGATTGTGTGCTTTTAAAATACCGAATTTGCCCTTCTGACCTTTCGCCTCTCCAATCAATATTGTGACAATAAGGGAATATTCAAGGTCGAAATTCAAAACGGTTTCATTTGAAGTATTTCTGCCTGAGGCGACAAAGTACTCGGTGGACCTGTCACGTGACGCCGCCCCAGAGACATCGGAGGCTCGGAGCCCCCGGGGCCGGCGTCTCCGGGCCCAAGTACTGTGTAAACAATTCGATCATGCCATGAAGAAGCCTCCTGGGGTGAAATAGCGATGATCTCTAAATTGTAAATTTGACGTGACACATGTACCCGTGGACCATGCCGGGCATGCCCAGATCAAGGTCATTAGGTCAATAAGATGCTCTCTAGAAAACATTAAACACAAACGTTCTAGCCCTCGACTCTAGCAGCCACTCTTGCGTGCGAACTCGCGGCGATGGCATCAACGAGACCCACACAACACAGCGAATAGCGTGGAAGGGCTCTTAAGGCTTGCAAGCCACATAGATTCAACAGAGCTTAATTATACGCCCCTTCTGTGTCTAACGTGGAATTGAACGACTCAGGGGTGGTACTTGTGATGATGTGTGAGATGGCAGGGTGTTGTACTGAAGGTTGACATGGATTCTCTCTTTCTTCGTGCCTCGTCACCATGGCTGCTTCAAATCGCCGATTTTACACTTCAAGCTAAAAGACTCACTAGTTATGTTGGAACCGAATTAGGTTAGACATCGATCTACACTCGATGTTGGAGATGTAGTCCAGTACTACTAAGTATGCGTTGCTCGATGGACAGGGGCAATGCCTGGCTTGTACTCGTACGTGCATGCCAGGGATTATATTGACTGCAGCGTCCAGAGACGCAAAAGGCATTGGATAATAGATGACAATGAAAACAAAGATAGTGAAATGATGTACAGCCTGCAACAACTCCAGATGCAAAACATAATTTTTGGGCCCAAAGGGTTGATACATAAGCGAAACATTTGTTCAAAATGACACGATTTACATTCCCTCGTCCTCGTCCGCCAGCAGAGCGGCGTAATCCTCCGCAGAAGCGAAAGTGGGCAGCTGCTTGAGCTTGCGGCGCTTCTTGCGGTCCGACTCGGCCGGGACCGCGGTCTCGACAGGCTCTTCGAGCTCGACTCCACCCAGCTCGATATCGGAAGGCAGGTCCTCGTCGCTGTCGATAAAGGCCTCGTCGTCCGAAACGTCCATATCGAAATCGTCGGAATCCTCCTCGTCTTCCTTGGTGGGTTTCTTGGCGGCCTTCTTGGTCTTGGCTGAGGGGACGGCTTCCTCGGCTTCGCTGAGCTCGGCCATTTCCTCGTCCTCGCCAGACGGGACGTCGGAGTCGTCATTGAAGATGACACCGCCGTCAGACTCGTCCTCGTCGTCCTCGTCCTCGTCCATGGCAGACTCCAGATCAGACATGTCCATGTCATCGTCGCTGTCTTCGTCGGCTTCCAGCTCGGGACGAGAGTCGACGAGAGCCTTCCAGATCTCATCCTCATTGTCGCTGAGGCCTTCGTCGTCGGAGCCATCGGCGGCCTTGGCCTTCTTGCCACGCACATTCGCCTTGTCCTTGTTGACACGGGTGAAGTATTCGTGAAAGAAGACATCCTCTGCGGCAACATCGTCGGCCTTCTTCTTCCAGAAGGCCTCGGTGTTGAGAGGCAGCTGATTTTGGGCCTTCTTGCCAGCCTCCACCAATCGGTCAGCGACTTCGCCACCAGCAAGGGGCTGCATGATAGAAGCACCGCGGGTAGCGGCGCTGGCTTTTGGTGTGCGGTACACGAAGCGGTCGAGGAAGTGGGTGAGGGTGTGCAAAGTCAGGTCAGGCTTGCCGCTCATAGGCTTGTGTTCGAGTAGATTGGCAGCGTTGAGAGAGACGGATGGGTGGAAGTGAGAGGTGAAAGGAAGCAGCTCCCAAAGACAGCTCCTGTCAGCATTGCTGTGCTCGGGGTCTCGCTTGCGAGGGTCGTATACGTTGTTCTGCTTCTTGACTTCCGCGACAGGGGCGGGTTCTGGCTGCTCGTCATCCTCGTCGAGGACGTCACGGAAGACCTCCTCGTCGTCATCGTCGTTCTCCTCCGGCTGATCAACTAGAGCGGAGAGGCCTGTGAAGGTCTTCTCGAGCTCACGGATCATGAAGAAGACACCACAGATGAAGGAAGGTTGATGCATATTAAGAACCTGGACAAGACGCTTGACGAACGCCTTAACCCGGCGGACGTTCAGGTCATTCTTCAGGGACTTGTACAGGAGGTTGAGGTAGAGAGATTGCTTTGAGGAGGTGGCAACACGCGGATCAAGCAAGGACTCATATAGAGTACGGTAGAAGCGATCGCCCGATACTTTGTTAGACACCGTAAGCTGTTGGATCAGCATGAGGGCTTGGATACTGGTGTTGAAATTTGAGGAATGCGTGATGCGGAACAGGGTATCAAGATGCTTGGACATGCTAATAGAAAGTTAGTACTCGCACGGAAGATATGGAATGGGAACAACATACCGCTCGGAATCGGAATCAGTGAAAGGATAAGCGCGGTTGACACCGGTCAAGACACCAGAGATCAGTTTCTCGCGCATTTCATCATCCTGAGCTTGGCCCTTGGCGGCGTCGTCGTCGTCCTTGCCCTTCGATCCCTTTCCGCGCTTGTTCTGTTTATACTTAGGAGCCGGTTTCCCCTTTTGCGTGGGCTTCAAGAGAACAAGGAAGAGTCCGAAGTAGATATCCAGCAGCTGCGTAGCGACCTTCTCTTCCTTCTGCCTCAGGATAGTCTGGTTCAATGTGATGACGGCGTAGTACTTGGCGTGCGAGCTTTGGCCAGGTCGGAACAGGATCTCTTCCACCGACTTGATGATGATGGGCTTCATCATAGGATGCGACTGCATGAGCTGCAGCAACAGATATGATGCCCGAGAAGCAATTTTCTTGCCGGGGTCTCCAAGCTTGTTAACCAAAAGTCGCAAGAGATTGGTCTCTTGCTCTGGTTTTTCCTTGAGAAGTTCGTAGACATAACTGACGGCGCGGCTCCGTGAGAACTCAATCTCGTCATTACACCAGATTTCAAGAATCTTGATAACCTCAAAGTATTGGTCCTTGAGGAAACTTTCGAAGGCCCATATGATCAGCTCGCTCTTCTTCAGACCACCCGGCAGAGGGTCTTTCACATTCCACCGCCCACCAGCGCCTTGGAATGCTGCGACGAGCCCGGGCTGGTTAGTGAAAGACTTCAACCGTCGGTCGCTGGGCAGCAAGGTACCCTGCGCGAACATATCCTTCAATGAGCGCAGAACTTCGACTGCTTGCGCACGGCTTCGCTTCTTTCCGAGGGCAATCAAGGATTCAAGTGCCTTGGTGTTGTGCAGAGGTGATTCTTGGACATTAAGTGTCAGGGCAGAAATTTTATCACTCAGGGTACCGGACGCCATGATTGTCGAGTAGAACTTGTGGGATGAAGAAGCAGAAGCTCTCTGGGCTGCCGCGTACTCTTCACTTTCCTCCTCTAGCAATTTGTTCGCCAGCTCATGAACGCGCTCCATCAGGTGTCGGGGCAAGGCGTTCATCTGTTTCGTGTCGGGAACGGAGGGCATAGGAATATTGTACCAGTCGGACCGGGGAAGAACGTTCTATAATTGCCATGTTAGCAGAAGCTTCGCTGTGGTAGGCGGATGCATGACTTACAAGCTTTGCATACTCCTTAGGCACAACGCCTTGTTGCTCCTTAGTCTTCTGAGGAGCTTCCTCAATGTCAGATTCCGGTCCGCTGCTCTCTGCGTCGTCCTCGCTTTCCTCCACATCAACATCATCGACATCGCTCTCCGGCTGCGCTTCGACCTCTTCGACTTCGTCATCTGCTAGGTCCTCGGGCACAACGTGGCCTGCGGCTTCCAGCATACTTGACAGCTGCTTCCGAAGATCATCATCAGCGTTGCCGGACTCGCCTTCAACCTCAGACTCCGAGTCGACATCAGCAAGAAGATCAAGATCTTCTTCCGTACCACCCATAGCAAGGATCTCCTGGCGCAGTGTTTCGTCGGCATTGCTCTTCTTGCTGCCCTTAGGCTTTCCTGGCTTGTTCGATTCGCCCTTCTTCTCCTCCCGAGTGATCACCTCGCCATTGCGATCACGCTTTTTCCCTTGCGCAGAGTCTTGAGCCCGGGCGGGCTTGGCGGGGGATTGCTTTCCCTTCTTTGATGAGAAGTCAGGAGTAGGTGCAGATTTGGCGTTAGGAGTGGGTTTGTTGTTAGGAGCAGGTTTGGTGTTGTCCTTCTTTCCCTTTCCAGCGTTCTGGTTCTGGTTCTTCAAGCGCTGTTCGATCTTCTGTCGTAGACCTGCAAAGGCACTCTCATCTGGCATAGCAACCGTAGTCTCCGCAGCGGGCGCTGAGACGCTCGTCGTAGGAGCATTCTCAGTTGTGCCCGAAGAGCCCTTCCCTTTCCCTTTAGCCATGTTGTGTTGTGTTTGGGGCTGATTGATGGAGGAAAGAAAATTGGACGGAGAAATCTTTTGCGGCGGGTTATCAGGACGCTCGGACCAACCCGATAAGAAACATCGGAGAAGGGAGACTCGGCCTCTACAATTATTCTTTACTTAGCAAGCGAGTCATTTTCAATTCCAAAGATAATAAATTCAGTGTCTCGGAACATCTATATCGATGATTTCCGGGCTGCGACCTTTTCCAGGCCGCATAACTGGGCGGCGGCTGCCGTTGAGCCTCCGCGTTCAGCAATGCAATCTTCACGTACGCGCATCCTGACACATTGACTCCGAGCGAGTACTGACTTGGCGCAGGTTGACGGCAGGAGCCGTGTTTCGAACTTCTGGATTCCCACAGGTGGAATTTCTAAGAAGCCAGTTGATGGTGAAAAGGGTATACCTTTCGCAAACCCGGTTGCAATTGATCATCAGATGTTAATCGAGATATAGAGGATGCCAATGACCTGTTGATCAGAGGTGGATTCCTCCGACAGGTACGCAATTGCATATCAATTACAAATCAACAAATCTAACCGTCCCGTAGGCATACTCCGGGGTATTTCATATGCTTCCCCTTGGTCTACGTGTCCAAGATAAGCTAGAACGTCTGATTGACAAGCATATGCGCTCCCTTGGTATGAATCCCGCACTGCACTTTCCAAGGTATAGCGACTAAGTCAGTACTAGGTGCATCCAGGGTCTCTTTGTCCTCAATATCCTCGCAAGAGCTTTGGAAACAGTCAGGGAGGTTCACCGAAGGCTCAGAAGTAGGCTTGCCGAACCCAGTGTCTTGTGTGTTCCACTAACAGGCGTCCAAGCTATTCCACTTCAAAGATCGAAAAGAAACTCCATTTCTCTTAGCCCCGACTCACGAGGAAGAGATTACCACACTCGTGGGCAATCTTACGACGTCATATAAGAGCCTGCCTCTACGAGTGTATCAAATATGTGAGATCTGCCAACCGCCTATCCTTCTCTTGGATCAACTGACATAATCATGAATGAAGCGAGAAAGTACAGAGATGAGGCTCGCCCAAGACAAGGCCTGCTTCGTGGGCGTGAGTTTATCATGAAAGACCTCTATACTTTTGACTACAGCGTTAGCGAGGCACTCAAGACATACGATGCAGTCAGAAATGCCTACACAAATCTATTCAACGAACTAAAAATTCCATACCTAGTCGCAGCTGCCGATTCAGGGAACATGGGCGGTTCTTTGAGCCACGAGTACCACTTCATCAGCCCCAAGGGCGAAGATGAGGTGGTCAGCTGCTCGCACTGTGAACATGTCTATAACGAAGAACTGGCAGACGGCAAGACACACAGCTTCGAGGAGTCAGAACAGACCGCGGCACCTGGCTTCCAGACCGACGATACACAAGTCGAAGGTGGACCAACAATTTCAACTGGCATGTGGATGGCTATCTCCCACGACAGTAACACTATCGTACGAGGATGGCACCCCAAATTCTCAATGCAGAGCGGTGCAACAGAGCCCATTGAGCGCCATGTCAATTCCCACGCTGTCAAAGCAATCGCCACCGCTGCCGGTATCGACCTCGACCTAAGCGTCGAGAACCCACTTCAGCGCTGGACCGACCACGTCAAGAAAAACAAGTCATCCACCCAAAAGCCGCGCGTATTGGACCTGTATGACTCGCAGGTGCGGGTATACCAGCGTCCGCCACTGAGCGACCTTCTCCAGCGAGCTGGCTGCACAGTCTCGGATATCGAATACTCTAAGTTGGACCGGTTCCCTGGGACATCAAATAAACTCAGTCTTGTCCGCGTCCATGATGGAGACAAGTGTTCCAAATGCGCACATGGATCTTTAACCAGCCACTCCGCCGTCGAACTCGGACACACATTCCACCTAGGGACACGGTACAGCGAAGTCCTCAACGCATCTGTTTCTGTCAACTCCGCTCTCCTTGAGGGCTCATCTGGGTCCGGTGATAAATCTTCCGCCAAGGAAAAAATCGTGCCTATGCAGATGGGATGCCACGGAATTGGGGTTTCGCGTATGATCTCCGCAGTGGCGAACCGACTTGCTGATTCCAAGGGACTCAATTGGCCTCGGGCTATGGCTCCGTACGAGGTCGTGGTGGTCTCAGGGAAAGCGCTGGAGACTGTTGCGGATCAGGTGTATGATAATCTTACCAGTGACGTCTCAGCGCCTGTCGATGTCATTCTTGATGATCGGGACAAGGGCATGGGCTGGAAACTTGGCGACGCGGATTTGATTGGGTATCCTATCATCGTGGTTGTTGGGAATGGATGGAAGAAACATCAGACTCTCGAAGTACAGTGTCGCCGGCTGGACGTGAAAGAAGATGTCTCATTGGATCGTCTGCGCACTTTCGTTGAGTCATTGTTGACGCAGCTGTGATTGGAGCTTGGCGAGGTTGCTCGTGGGTGAATACACGAGTATGTAACATTAGCTTGAATATTCAAGGTTGTACATTATTCCATTTATCTGTGTTCTAGACATGACAGCCCTCGGCAGCATATACTGTCTCGCGGCTCGGATGATACGAGTTGATGGGAATAATTTTGCATTGTCAGTTCTGTAAGGTTATATACTGCTAAGCATTCTGTTCCAATCAGAATACCGAGGCATGGAAAACCCCTCATCTATCTTCCTAACATGAATAATCGGGCAAATCCTCCCACAAAAGTATACCCTGCACAGACGCAATCTCGTCCGGACAGGTTCCGTCACAGATGTTTCCTTCCTCGAGAGGTTGCAACTGCTTCGGGGTATACTTCTTGCCACGAAGACTGATCTGGAAGCCACAGGAAGGACCATCAAAGAATTCGGGTCCCTCGTTCAGGAACATGCCTGCTTTGTCACCCTTCGCGCACCAGTCGAAGACGGTTTGGTCATTGGGGATATCGCAGATGGGGGTGGGTTCACCGATGTTTCCATCTGTGACATAAACTCCGAAGCATTGGTCACCTTGGGTTTAAAATGTTAGTATCTATTCATTGCTTTGCGGGGAGGGGGAAAGGTTGGAGATCACTCACCAGGTGCGTAGATAACATAGGCATAGGTAGCTAACTGCACGCTAGCTTCAGTCCACAAGCCTAGACACATCGGGACTGTTGGCACTGGAGGATCGGTAGGCTCACTGCCCTCAGATGTGGTGGTGGATGAGGACGAGGTTGTGCTGGTGCTTGTGGGCTCAACTGTGGTGGCTCCCGGCCAGCCGCCATCTTCACCCTGGGGCTCATTCGGATCCAGGGTATAGCAGACATTCTCTCCGGTAGTTGTTGTGGTGGCTGTGACATCGCAGCCGACGGCGAGCATGCTACTGGTTGTGGTGCATGAAGTCGATGTTGACTCGATACTCTCGCAAGATACCCAGTAATTTGTGACAGTTTCGGGCTCCGTGCACTCCTCTTCGTTGGGGTCATTTTCCGGGTTAGTAGGAGGGCGCGGGGGAGGATTGGGATCGCTGGGGTCTGCGAATCCGCCGTCACCACTGCCGCCACCGCTTGATGGGGGACACAAGAAACAGAAGCAGAAGAGGTCATCACAGAGGCTTCCAGGGTTGGGACAGTTGTCACACTCAGGGTCAGGAGGCCCATCCTTGATAGTAATGTCGGGGATCGGGGGTAGATCAATCTCGTCGTCAGGGTCATCGCTATCACTGCCAGTGTCGTCAGGTGGGGGGTAATAGATGACGGTTGACTGCGGCCAGGGAGGCAGAGTCACGGTTCTTGTCACTGGTGGATGCGTAACTCCTGTCTCCTTGAGTGGGTTTGGATCATTGGTGATCGTCACAGTCTGCGCAGGGAATCGCGGCTTCGGCGTGATAATGATCTCATCATCGTCCCCGAGAGGGATAGTGATGTTGATGTTTGCCATCGGCAGCGAAGTCACAGTTACTTTACAAGGTTTATTAGTATCACATGGGCAAATATGAGGGAAGGCCATCACTTACCTTTGGGAGCATTGATCGTTGTTTCTTGCAGAATTCGGGTGACAGTGGTAGACGTAATCACAGCGCCATTGGTCGTCACCTTTGTGACAGTTGGCCATGCCACATCAAGTGTCGTATGATACGGGGGACGAGTATAGACAGAGGTTCCGTCGAGCGGGAAATCAGGGAGAACAAGCACACAGGGTGCGACGCAGTGGATCTCAGCAGGGCTGGCGGCGTCACCTTCCCAGATACTGTTATCGATGTAAACGGTGGACTGGTTGAATGAGCCACCGCCAGAGCCACCACCCGAGCCTGAGCTCCATGCAAATGACTGCAGATCAACAGCCCAGTCTGTGGTGCCACCCATGTTGAGATCCCGGTAGTAGTCCGTTCGGCTGATCTTGGTGTTTTGGTCCATATACGCCACCCATTGCATAGAATCGTACACCATGATGTTACTGTCACTGCTCTCGTCGTAAGTCTTGACAGCAGTGTCGTCCTCCTCGAGGATTCGATTGATTTCAGCGTCGGAGATATATCCTGCAGTCTTGGTGCATTCACCAGGTGTTGCACCGGAGTCCGGTCCAACGTAGCGGCACATGGGACCGGTGCAACCGGCCTTGGTCATCTGGAAAGAACGGCCATAGCTGGAAAGTCCAACAATAATCTTGTTGGATGGGACTCCGGCTTTGGTAACCATAGATAGAGCGCTCATCGTCTCGGTAAGGTTAACATGGGAGCGGAGACAATCGCCCCCCTTACAGCCAATGGTAGCGTATTGATTGCCGTAGTCCCATTGGCCATGCAAATCGTAGGTCATGTAAACAATGTAGTCGACAACTTCGGAGATTTCAGCAATAGGGAAGCCCTTGAGGTACCAGAAAGATGCAGGTGCAGCGATTGCCAGGGTCTTGCCCTCGGGAAGGCGTTCCCGAACGAGTTTCAAAAACTGCAGATATCGCTCTCCATCTCCCTCATCACCGGGAGGAATTCCAGGGATATCGGGGGCTCCGGGGTACTCCCAGTCAAAGTCCACACCTTCAAGGTTATGTTCAACAATGAAGTCAACGACGTTAGTGGCGAAGAGGGCTCGGTTGGCATCCGTCACACCTTGGCGGAAAATAGGAGCCGAGTCAGCCTCTGTTGAGAAGGACCATCCACCGAAAGACAGAATACGTCGAACTGAACCCATGTTCAACATCTTGTTAAACTGATCTTGAACGGGAGAAACATCGACATGATAGTCACTGGTAATCTCGGCAAATGCAAAGTGCAGATGAGTATAAGTTGAGGAATCAAAGTTAGTGACGTCCATGTTCAGGCATTCACGCTCGAAGTTCCAAGCTTCAAAATAGCCGATACTGATGAATTCACTCGGACCAGAATCATTGTTGGCAATATCAGTACCACAGTTTGAGATACAGCCGTCCGTGTCCTTGGCTGCAGTGCCAGGGGCTCCAGTAGGTGACTTGGTGATAGTGCAGAACTCGTCGGTGATACCGCACTGACCCCAAATGTTGCAGCAAGCCTTCAGTGGGCATGGGTTAAGGTCAGCAACCTTTGACATATCAGCTGGCTTTTGCGTCCCAGGGACCTGGGGGCCGCAGACAGCATTGTCAACAATTGCTGGCATGGGGGCGTCACCCTCGCTAAGACAGATACGCTGCTGGGCCTGGAGGATATCGCAGCCCATCCATCCCCAGGTGTTCTTGTTGAATTCTTCAATATCATCAATGGAGATACCGTTGGCAGCAGCGATTGTAGAACACCACTCATCAGGCTGGACAACGTAAGATGCACAGGTTCCGTCGGCTTCTGGCTGGGGTGTAAAGTCAGGCAGCTCACCAGGAGTGCAGCAAACATACTGTCCGACTTGCAGAGAGGAACAAAGATTCTCAACAGGGTTGTACTCTTCGAACTGAGCCTCGGTGATACCACACTCTGTAGAAAGCGACCAACAGATGTCGCCAGATACAACCTGAATGGTCTGGCAAGTTGCTCGGCGATGGATGGAATGTCTGGCTTGAAGATGGGAACTGTGGCTTGGAGTAGCACGACTCGAAGCAGTGGTGGTAAAGGTAGAGGCTGGTTGAACTGGGGGGCGCTTCAGGCTCAAACGACCGTCGAGGATATTTTTGCTACCATCAAAGCCAGACTGGCATTCGGCATCGTTCCAGCCTCGCATAATACGGCGCACGGCTTCGAAGTCACCAGTGGTATCCACGACGATACCGAGTCCTTTGTTGGCGTTAACGCCACAGTACTGCAGCAGTGCACGGCCGACAGTGTCTTGGGATTCGGCATAGTCAACGAAGTGCTGGATTGCAGTGTTGGCGGCATCGGAGTGTAGGATTTTCTTTCCGGCGTACAGGCCGACAAGTGCATTGCCGGAGTAGCTGAAAGATGTAGTAGTTCCGCTGTTGTTGGAGGTTGAAAGTGCATTTCGAACATTTTGGACATCGGACTTCACGCCCTCAACAGGAGCGGAAGACTTGGTATTCCACCATCCGATCTCAAGCTTGACCTCTTCCTCTTCAAAGTCTTTGTTTGCAACAACTGCCTGTGCAACCTTCAGAGATTGAGTTTGCGGGGAGTTAGAGCAGGCTCGGATAACAGTCGAGGGACTGTAGAGGGAGAATTCAACAAGGGTTGATTGATTGCAAGTAGACAGCTGGTCAAGGCTATCGTATATAGCCCATTCTGCGGATGAGGCAGTTTCACTGCAGCTTCTCGGGCAGGGGTCTAATAGCTGAGCCCACGCATCAGGAGAAGCGCTAGCACTGACTTGAGGTAATGCCAGTGCGAGGGGAAGCAAGACAGAAAAGAGCGAGGTGAGCATGTTGCCCTTTCCTTGTAGTTGACAAGGAGCAATCCCAAGATCGGGTATAGAAAGGAGGGTAAAAAATGGGAAAAGGGAATAATGAATCACAGCTACCTCCGTGATTTTATCTCATGGAGCACACATCCTTCATGCTCATTACCCGAGGGAATTTCACAGACGGAGCTAGCCATCAACTTCCGACACTACTCGAGCAGGGAACTTGCACCGATACCACTAGGATTACGAAAGATTACATCTGATGAGATTTCTTGTTTGGGGAAGCATGCTGTACCCAAAAATTATCCAGTCTAGTTGATCGGATGCATGACTACAACCCTAAAAAGTTGTTTTTAGCCCACAGAGTATGTTGTACTCCACCTTATTTTAATTAGTTTGGCCCCCTACTTATTTAGCGCCATCCAATGCTGTCTACTGAGTGGAGCATTTGCTGCGCTCTTTCTACAACCACAGGCTCTGAAGGGTTTGGCTTTCACCCAATTGTCCGCTACAGCACCAAGGCTGAGTGCCCAGAGCGAATTCTTACAATCTTACCTAAAGACCGGAACTACCTATTCTGTGCTAAGGTGCTTACTCCGAAGTTCTTTGTCAACTGATTAGGGTACAGGCGCGTAGTACTACGGCGGCGGGAGAGGGATATGCAGCGTCGAGGGTATACTGGCACTTTGCAGATTTGAAGGAAGCCCGCGGAATCAGAGACGAAAAGGCGCGCTGGCAGAGAAAGACTTAGATATCCTCGTTGCATTGGATGGTGCTCAGTCACTGCCCTAGGGAAGGAATAGGATCATCGACACGAAAGAACAGGATGCTGTTCCATCCCAGTGCCCTTTCATTTTTACCGTGCCGCTTGATCCGACATCCAGCTTGGCAGCTTGCAATGCCTGTCACCCGGGGGCCGGAAGCGTAACCAGTGCGTCGGACTGCGATCAAAAGCTTTTGTTTCTGTCAGACTGGGATACGGGATAAGGCCTCCCATGGCCATAAACAGGGACCTTGGTTTTTGTTGTAGTCTAGTGGTCAATGGTCATTATTTCCCATAGTTTCAAACAATGAACGTGCGGGGTGGGGTCCCTGGTAGTCCCTCTTCATCTTGATAGGCAAATGGAGGTGCCCTCCACTCAGCCTCCAGACAAACTAGCCCCCCCTTCAACGCTTTCGATAACCGTCTCGCTTGGGTTAAACCCTGCACCAAAGGACCACGGGCGCCCTACTTAAGCGATTCTAAGTTAGTCTAGTCTATCAATCTGCCTCGTGTGAGTGCAATCTGCCTCGTGTGAGTGAGACATTTGAAAGTGCCGCAATGCCCGTCGGACCATCTCTGTTGCCTCTAGCCGGAGGCAATAGGCAGTCTGTAATTTTTGATACTTCGGGAAACCAAAAAAAGTCAATGGTATGCCAGAGAATTGTCGGAATCAACTAGTCTAGAAGTAATTTCCGGTTTATAGCGCTAGGGAAAAGCCGTCGGGGGCTCTGTACTATATTACTACGTTGTATGGGAAACATTTGACAAAAGGGTGTACTGCGAGTCTGTCTTTCTTCTAACAGTCGCATACTCCCACTTTCGTTTTTGTCCCCAGGACTATTGAGTATTCCCTCAAGATGGCACTCAATACCTTGGTCACTCGTTTGTGGTACCGCATTGTCCTAGGACTTGCACTTCTGGGAATTTGCCAGGCCAGCCCCGCTGCTATTCGTGGAGAGCAAGCCTACTCGAAATATGATTCCTCTCTGCTGCAGAATCTGACTGTTTCCCGTCGGGAACTTGATCAACTTGACGATGGCCTACATTTCCTCTCAAAGCGCGCTCCCCCGGTTGACGTGGCTCAGGGAGCCGAGAAAGCTGAACACGAATTGTTCTGTTATCTGAGGGCCGACACTGCCCCTCATTCGGATTGGACAATTGACCAGTTGAACAATTATTGGACCTTTGAGGAATATCCCGCAGCTCCTGGAGGCACCACCGGATCAGGCGTGCTTATGCCTCAGGCGCTGGCAGCGTTGAATATTCCCCAGAAGGCTGGAGAAAAAGGCGTTACCGGGTTCTATTGGGTACAGAATCAAGAGTTCCCTTGGCAGGGCAGAGATCAACTTGTAAGTTATGGGCAAATCTCCTACTAGCAACAAGAACTTAGTGTCTAATACGCGACTTTCTTCCACCAGGCAACATATGGTTTCTACCAGGGCAGTATGAGCGTCGAAGCCGGTTACATCTCATCAGAGTGGAGCGAGAACCCCAAGCAAAAGGCGGGCGCTCCATATCCGGAACCGTACAAGCTCTCGGACGTCTTGTTCCTTGAGTGGCAGAGAGAGGCTGAGGATAATGGTCAGAACATCAAGAACCTCAAATACTTTTTCCGTGTCAACGTCGTGAACGAGGACTCCCTGAGAATTATCAACGAAGCCACAGGCAACGTGATCAAGGAATGGCCCGGAACTTCCTTCGATATGTCAACCCCCGAGGGCAAGGCTATCCTGCGAACTCCCAACGGTGTCGGAGTCGCATACTTCCTTATCAACCACAAGCCCGAGTTGGGCAAGAGGATTCCCACCAAGGTGACCGTTTTCAAAACTATGGATGGCGCCAAGCAGAGTATTCACCTGCTATTCTACATTGGCGTGTCCAGAGGAAGAAGGTAGAATGGATGTTCATCATGTTCCTGTATTTTTGACAAATGGGTGGAGGACGTTAGCGAGGGTCCGTAATTTTGGTAAAATGTAGGGGCCGGTTAATCCAAACCAAACGAATTCGTCCAATCACTACGACGCGAACACATTTGGCCTTAGGAATCTTCAATCTTCTTAGCTCTGTTCTAGTTATAACTTCCTTTTGCGACGATAACTACTCGTTTGGACACCTATAATTACTAAAACTGTGGACATTCCAAGTGGGTGCATCTACGCCACTCGGGTATTACGCTAAAGATCAACCCTTAAATATCTCTTCCCCTCTTCTCGTCTACCTTTCAGCCATTTCTTCAGTCACAACATGGATTCTTTCGAGAAACTGCCCCCTGAAGTCATTCAACAGATTTTCGCCAATATCGGTGATTTTGCAGGCATTGAAAACAGCCTGTTGGCATCTCGACGACTCAATGCCGTCTTCCAGGCCCAGCCTACCCGCATCATACAAGAGCTGATCCTCTCGAATCCGATTACTTGTATGCCAGAACTACAAAAGCTATGCTATAACATCGGGCACCTCAGTATCTCTTCACTGCAATGCCCGGATCTTGAGCACTATCACCAGACATGCGAGGATCCGCCAACTTTAGGGTACACAGAATCACGGCATATACTTAAGATAGGCGCGCAGATCCAGCGGCTTGCGTGCAAATGTCTCTTTATTATGCGAGAAGGTCTCATCAAAACTCTTGATAATATCCCCGCGGATTCAATAAGTGGACCTCCACTCCAAATCCAAAATGCCAGCCAACCCTTCACCTGGACAGAAGAGTATCGCACATACTGGGCTCTATGGCATCTGCATCACTACTCCCACCTGCGCAAAGCAGCAACTCAGCGATGGCACTGGAGCGAATCCTCAATCCGAGAACTAGACGCGTACAACACCTGGAGCGAAATCGACTATCGCACAGCCGAAAGACTCTGGACAGTATCCGCCGTCCTCTCAGATCTGGGTCTGACCCTGAACTGGCAGCCTAATGACCCAGAAGCAGAAGAACCCGCCCAAACCATCTGGCCCGCTCCGGAAGAAACATCAATACCTTTCTTCCCATCATTTGACCTGCCACCCACACAGTCACAAGATAGCAGTCTCTGGGCTACACCAGATCCTCCTGAGGACACAGAGTTAACATCCGCCTGGATGCTCGCGCCGAGACACCGTGCCTCGCATCACTGGCACGTCGTATACCTCTATCTCAGTGGTATAAATCTCACGCGGACCGTGCCTGCATGCTACTCGCTGACGAACATGAAACCGTGGCGAAGACTCGGTTGGGTTATCTGGGATGGGTGGCGTATGTATTCTATTGGACTGAGTAATATCGCTCGAAAGAAAAAAATACCTCTTCCGGATGGCGGTTTCCTTGAACCGGAGCCGTGGAATCCGAGGGATCGGAAACCGGGGGTTGATTATGTGGCTAGGTGGTTTGCGATGATTGGGGAGGAGAAGCCTTGAGGGGTCTTTTGGAGACTGGGGATAGGGTTGATGGGATGCTTTGAGAAATATTTGGTGGGGGGGGGGGATATGGAAGTCATAATCCCCCAGGTTTGATCTTGATATCAACGTGGATACGCTGGTTCTCCTTTAGAGAGGTCAATGGGTGTCTAATTGTTAATGTCTATAGAGCCGGTAAAATGTCCGCAGGCAGTCATCTACTGTATCTACATGCTAGTACGGAGTAAGACTTGCATTCTCAGATAAGACAGGGCAGTGCTGGTATTGTTGGCTAGAAACTATGAAATAGATTTTTTTAAACAAAAACAGGTTCAGCCATGCCTATCATGCCTGTTGTGCTGTAGCAACTTCGGCACCAGCAAGTTAAGACACCCAACCACCTAGTTCGGGCGAATCCTCCATCTGACACGGATGCCTGCATCCAGGGCTGCCTGCCGTGCTGTCGCACCTTCGCATGATTTAATATCAGGGTCCGCACCAGCTCGGGCAAGCAGCTTTACAGCTTCCCTATTGCCAATATGAATTGCCTTCAACACGGCGGTCTCCCCTTCGCTATTTTGCTGGTTCAGATCCAGTTGCTTCGAGTCCAACAATAATTCAAGACTCGGCAGCTTATCAAAATCAACAGCGACAATCAGGGGGAATTCATCTGCCGGACCGAGGTTGGGATCAAGCCCGTGCTGTGCGATGAACAGACGGATCATGTCATATTCCCTGACAGATATGGCGTGACAAAGCGGTGCTTTCCCCTCATTGTCTTGAGAGTTAATGTCGACCCTATCTGGCAGATAAACAACCTTCTTGGCGAATTTCAGAGCCGCCGTCAATAAGTTAACTGAGCGGCCCGCAGCAAGGCAGCCAAGGCTTAGTGGAGTCCGGCCATTGCCATCACGTTCATCGATTCTGACATTTGGGTCCGCGAGGAGAATGTCAAGCAGATTATCCGGTTCTCTCCACTTGTTTTCGTGAGTGTCAAACAACCTATGGACGGGTGTGCGGTTCTGTGCGTCTCTCAGGTTAGGGTCTGCACCTTTGTCGAGCAACAACTGCACGATCTTGGTCTGATGATGAAGGCATGCTAGATGCAGCATTGAATCATTGCCAGGGAGTGAGGCGAGACAACCTGTGTCAGCCCCAAGAGCGAGAAGTATTTCTACCTCTCTGTACTGTTTGTACGGATTCATGGTTGATTTCACGATGGCTTGTGCCATCAAGGACATTCCGTCTTCGAAGACATAATTTGGACTCAACCCCCATTTCAAACAGTTCTGAAGGGATTGCCACTTGTAAGCACCAGTGGATTCCTCGCGTCGTCGCCAGATACGAAGGATGAACTCGATAATGTGCGCAAGTTGTTGCCCGAGCAGGCCGCCTTTGAAAGTCATGAGCTCGATCAGATTCACATTGCTGTTGTTGACGAGCGGCGTCAATGGGGGTGTGTGATTGTCCAATGAAATTGCTCTCGGAAGAGGAGACAGTGCTGCAACTGCTTTGGCGAACGCTTGCTTTTGGTTCCTTTGGAAACTCAATTGGAGCGCACGTAAATTCACCATACCTCGTCGGCAAAGGGACTCATTCAAGACGTGATACAGATAACGGTTGGTTAGGCAAAGACTGTAAACGTCTTTGTCAGGTAGCTGCCGCTCAATAAGCCAGAGCAACTCCACAGGTAGATCGAGCAATGTCGTAGGTTGTGATTCCCTGCAAAGGGCCACGAGATAGTGCGCCGCCCGAATTGCTTCCGGTGGCAGTGTTGTAAGAATACCCGCAGTATCAGGTTCCGCCATCTTGGTGCTTATTTATACGTTAGTTGCAAACCAAATTTTGGGAGACAAACACTGGCACTCACAGATTCGTCTGATACCGGATAATAATTCAGACGATATGGTTGTTAGGTGCGTGGTATTAAGAAAAGAGAAGGTGCGTGGCTTTTAGGGAAGACAAAGTGCGTGGTGCTTATAACAGAGAAGGCAAAAGTGCGTGGTGTTAAGAAGAGAGAAAACAAAAGTGCGTGTCCTTTATTTACGTTTGTGAGAGTTGAACAAACATCGACACTGCCCGAATAGGAAGGGACACTCCGCGCAGCTTCCTCAAACGTTCTACTAATTGTTTGTCATGTATGCAGCAAGAACCAACCTCGCAGTTTCCCCAAATTGCCTTTTCTCGCTCTTTCTCCCTTCTCAATTCAATCCTCTGAGTTTCCCACTGGCTACGGCGCTACAGCTCGAGACTTACGTACTCGGCTTACTGCTAAACACCGAGCATTACCCGCCAGAGAGATATCGCATGGCGTATGTCTCTAGCCGCTGCGCTGGTAACTTAAGGCTCAGGCGCCGCTGCAACCCCGTCTCGACCCCACTATAAGAAGTAGATATCGAACCGCGGTGGAGATGCTTGACCACCTCCAGGCCATCTTTAGACAACCTCTAGGCTCTCTGGAGGGGGAAATATGACAATTCTTTCCCTGCCCGTCCCTCGCAGTCCTAGTTCCATGTGCTCTCGTTACAGACCTCGGGCAAAAAGTCACATGAGCATCTATCATGCGGCCATGCCGCACCGCAATTGGCTGGACATGTATGAGAGCTGGCCCCTATGAACCGTAGAAGTGAGGGTCGGTAGAGCAGTGAGAGATCACAGCCAGAAGACCAATTTTCTAGTCCGTAGGAGGGGAATCCCATTGCGCCACTAATTTGTTCACCACATTCATAATTTGGTCTTGCCGAGCTCATTCTTTGCAGGTAGCGGTGTAGAAGACAGTCTCGATGCAACAAAGCACCAACCAAACTATCAGATGAATTCCACGATCGAACCTTCGAACCCCCAATCTTGACCTTCCTTGCATATACGGGGTAACCCCACACCGAACGTAACCGAACACTCCGATCCGAATACTCCGGTGACACATCGGCCGATATAGAACGGGCCATGACTCAATATAAGGCGTAGAACAAGCAGATCCAAGTTCTTTTCTCGACACAATACTGCAAAGATTCTTCCATTTCTACCTCCAAATCCACTCCGATACCAGTACCAGTACATCGGAACATCTCCCGGCCGCAATAACCATGACCAAAACAAACATTCACATCCCAGGCCTCGCCGGGTTAAACGCCTACACCCGGACACTCAGCATAGACGATGTAAAGATATGCGTATCCGTCGAAGAAGCCTTCACGGAAGCCGAGCGGTGCTCCGAGGAAAAGGTAAGCACCTTCTGCAGGCGGCTATATCCGTATACCTAACATGATTAAGTTCTATTATCGGCTCGGAGCTTGTCCGGAACTATGTCTGGGCCTGTTTATCGAGAACGAGGATGGCAGTGGCTCGGACAAGCTTATTGCGCATGTCATTGCACTCCGTACGCACGACACACGTATCACGGATGGGGCGGTGGGAATGCCGTGTGATTGGCGCTCTTTGGATGGCGAACCGGTCTTTGTGGATGGGGAATTGATTGGGAATCATAAGTATGGGGAGAATATTGCGATTCATTCGGTGGCCGTTTCGCCGGAGTACCAGGGGAAGAAGGTTGGGAGGGCGTTTGTGCGGGCATATATTGAGTACCTTCGGGGGGTGTTATGGAGCGAATAAGGCGGTGCTTATTGCGCATGATTATTTGGTTAAGTTTTATGAGGGTGCTGGGTTCAAGAATCTGGGGAAGAGCGAGTCGACCTTTGCGGGGGGTGGTTGGTATGATATGGTATGTTCTGTTCTGTTGCTCAGGATTGAGGATTCTCTGGTTAACGTGTCTGTATTAGACTATCGACTTGGAGTAAGTCAACTGGTGGGTGGGCTGCTTGAATCGCAGTCCTGCTATACATGTAAGGGAATGAAAAGGAAAGAGACAGACATCAGCCACGATGAAAATAATGTTGGTAAACAATAGACTTCTTCCAATGCCTTCTCCCCTGACGGTCAATCATAACACGCTCATGAGTGCCACAAGCGAGGACTGGGTACCGTCGGCTCAGAATAGGCTGATGGACAGGTGATAGTTTTCCTCTTGTTATCCCTGATGGCATCAATCCCCGGCCCATCGCACGGTTCGGATCCCTGCACAGTGCCCTGCAACCATTTCATATCTTCCAAATCAATCACGATGAGGGATCGAGTGGCTGCGTTGTATAGCACATTACGAGGTACTAGGTCTCGATGAATGGCTCCGTGGTCAAAAAGAATGCGCTTAAGAACCGACATCTCTCTGTCTACGAAATGACGCGCTTCCGGGCTCAGCTCGTAGTCTGTCCGAATACCAGACCAACTGAGGACTAGCATGTAGCGCATTAGCGTGCCATGGTACCAATATGGAACTTTTGGCTCGAACATGCCTAGGCAGACGGGGATCTTGGATCCCTGTAACAGGATCAGATCCTTATAGTTGCGTAATTCACATTTGATCCTGTGCGAATGATCGGAACTGGTTGCCTTGATTATCACTGTATATCCATGCGACAACAATGTTGCCTTTAGGAGGTAGCAAGTTCGACCAATGATGTGCAGCTGCCGAAATCCTTCATCCCGGCTTTGCTGAAGCTGATCACTCAGCCTAGCGGTTATCTCCTGTGAGCTGATTGAATGCCTTCCCACTCCGTGTTCGGCGACGTTGGGGCATTTCTCATCCAAAAGTTCCTTGTCGGCAGTGCCACGGAGACATTTCATCGTACAGTAAGCCCTCTCCGTACTTTGGGTGGTCTGTGAACTAAGATTGCCACCCTCTGGTGGTGCGGGGATACCCAAAAAGCTTCCCCAGCCTTGAACCCAGAATGAGTTCTCATACAGGAATTTCGCTGGTGGTCTGAACCGGCTCTGATCCGGATCTTTGGGCATAAGGCTGGAATAAATCTCCTGACTGACTTGCAGGGAGCTGTGGGCTTTATCGTGCCATTCCTGAGAAGGTTCGGAGGCAGATAACAATTGCAATGTGAAAGCGAGTACTTGGCCTAATGCCGTGCGACGAACCCACTTTGAATCCGCATCAACTGCATGGGAGGGGACGTCTTGCCCCGGGACACAGAGATAGTACTCTAGCACAATTGGCTCTTTTGGCGGGATGTTGACAAAGACAAAGGCCTCTCCAGTGCAGATGTATCCGCGGTGAACACCAGCGGAAATCATTCTGGTGAAGACCTGAATGATCGCATGGACGACCATGGCGGTAGCATGTTCCTGGTAAGTATCGGGCTTCTTCCGCAAGCAATGATACGTTTCCATCGCGTGCAGCCCCGCGACGAGCTCAGGGACAGTCAGCCAGTATGACGGGATGTACAGCATTGCGCAAATTGGCTGTTCGAATCCCATATCTCCAATGGACAAGCCATAAGCCCCTGGACGGTCGAATACCAGTTCTCCCTGGATGTTGAACAGAGGTGCCAGTTTGTGGTCGTTACCCAAAGCACGAATAATCAATATGAGAAAGTCGTCGACTGTTCTGTGTTGGAAGTACTTCAAGGTATTTTCCGAGAAAACGGAGGCCCAGCAGTCGACTATCTGAGCAATCGGTCTGAGTGCATTGTCATCGGGGAAGATAGCTGCATCGGCAAAGCTAGAGATATTCAGGAGCTTGTTCCACACTTCTTCCTGCAGTCGTGGAAAATGAATCCAAGGCTGTAGCCGTATCGGACAATAACAAATATCTCCCGGAAAGATAGACTCTGGCCAAATGAGCGATTCAATCCTGAGCCTGAGGGAATGTTCAAAAGTTTGATGGACCGCTCGAAGGTGTGGGAGTAGTGGAGTACAGCACGGGATCGTGAATGGGATCGGTGCTGTGAGTTGGAATGATTGCGGCTCTCCCTGGGCGTCCCAATCCTCTGTACGCTGCCTCTTGCGCATCCTAGGAGGTTCTGTGCGTGCTGTTCCATCCATCCCTCTGCCTTCCGCCAAGCTGGGGTGGTTCATGTCTGTTATAGAAAATATATCAAAAGAAGGAATGGAAGCCAAAATATATGCAACTAATGAGCGGAGGTGTAAAGTTGTAGAATTGTAAAGGAGGAAAACTGATAATTGTAGTCGAAGAGCGCTAGGTGCGAGTGTCCATACTTCTTGCCAAAAGAGGCAGACATTCTCCGTCTGCCCTAAGGAAGTCACATACCCCCAACAGTGTTGGCACAGTTACAAGTATGTGGAAGGTGTGAAGATTATTTAATAGCAAGAGCTGTTCATTGGGTAAGAGCTATGGTCCATAACTCCATGGAAACCCTGAACTCGCACTATCGTGTAGTTCACCATAGCATAAGTCTCAGCTCACGGTAACTAGATATCCACTCAGTAAGCATCGCAGATATAATGAGATATTCAGATAAAAACCTTAAAAGCACTCAGCAGCGTAACTTCGTGGAAGAAGATGATGAAAACTGTAGGCGTTTTCTCCAAGCCCCTGGCGGAAGCAACTAGCAAGAAACCGAACGCCAAGATTTAGATTTACCCTTATCACATGATCCAATGATTCTGCCAGATTTTCGGCGCACTGAACCTAATCAGATTGCTTCCTGCGAAGGTTATGGGAGCGGTGTCAAAAGCGGTATAGAGCTCCATGTCCCAAACAGGGAATTAGTGGGGAGATTTTAGAGCATTTGACCCTGGCCGTTATACAATCTACACCTTCGCTGCTCGCATGCTTCCTGATCCCGAGGTCCCGTCTTAAGGGGAACTGGGGAAGCGCAAGGTGAAGAGGAAGGTCAAGGGTCCAAGGCAGACTGGGAGACCGAAGGTGAAGGATATGATCCAGCCTCAGGCTCAGAGCAACAACAGCTTTTACAACAGCTTCGAAATTAATGTCCCCGAAGGTAGGCTGGGTGATGTATCAATCTATATTTTATTTTTCTACAATCGGCCTAGTACCGGTATGATGCATATTATGCCTCGGCAAATGTCAAATGAACATCCCACAAACAATAAAGGGGTTGAAGGGGGAGAGCTGGAACTGGCCGGGAGAGCTGGAACTGGCCTCGGGATTTATCTATATCCATAAGTACTTAGATATGGGATCCCAGGTGTATCTATGCCCGTTTATCCCAGTCTATCTCCTGCCTAGTAACTTGCTGCAAAAATGTCTTTATCAAATACTGTCCTCGAAGAGACGAAGCTCCTTTTACGCGAGTCTACTTCCGATACCCCTACACCAACTCCGTCGGTAGTGTTACGGAGTATAGCTTTATCGAGAGTACCATCACCAACAATATCAGTGCCAGCAATACCAACGCCATCTACAAGGACTCGGTTCTCTGACCTCTGTGGTAACCCAGTCAGTGGAACGCGTCTTTGTGATACTCAGCAGTATAAGCAGGCAGAAGCAACTCGAAAGGCTGCTGAGGAAATCCGAGAGATCATGATGGCTGTGATTTTTTTTATCTCCAAGTGGCACCAGGAGAGACAAAACCAATTTCCAATGGTATGTACAACGAGGTCTATCTCACGTATAAATGCGTGTGGGATATCATCAATCGAACTACCGCCACGCTGCCATCTCCGCCAACTCGCCGCGCGTTTCGAAACCTAGACTTCGAAATGATTCGGTCTTATATCGAAACCTCTTCGGAGACTCGACAGATGCCGTTCAAAAAGGTGATCCGAAACCTTGAGCTCGGTTGCTCCGACAGCACCTTGCGTCGGTTCCTTAAGTCCCACGGCTACCGCCGATACCGTGCAAAGAAGAAGCCAAAGCTCGTGGATCGGATCCAGCCGACGACTCAACGGAGAAAGGCGTGGATGTTTTGGGGTTCCTTTTCCGGTGGCTCTCGCGGTCCCTCTTTCTATTGGGATAAAGAACTTGGCACAATCAATCAAGAGAGGTATATTGAACATATACTTCCTCTTCTCGACGACTTTATGGCCGAGAATGCGGATTGTGTTTCAATGCAAGATAACGCACCAGCCCACCACGGGAGATACACCCAGGAGGAGCTTCGGATTAGAGGGACCGCGAGAGCCACCGGAAAAGGAACCCCAAAACATCCACGCCTTTCTCCGTTGAGTCGTCGGCTGGATCCGATCCACGAGCTTTGGCTTCTTCTTTGCACGGTATCGGCGGTAGCCGTGGGACTTAAGGAACCGACGCAAGGTGCTGTCGGAGCAACCGAGCTCAAGGTTTCGGATCACCTTTTTGAACGGCATCTGTCGAGTCTCCGAAGAGGTTTCGATATAAGACCGAATCATTTCGAAGTCTAGGTTTCGAAACGCGCGGCGAGTTGGCGGAGATGGCAGCGTGGCGGTAGTTTGATTGATGATATACCACACGCATTTATACGTGAGATAGACCTCGTTCGAGATAGCCTTCACAGAGTATCCGAGGCGATGGAGAAGGTGGACTTGCTTGCGCTGGTCCGCAGTGGAGTGACGACTCGGAGAGAGGAGTCGATCAGATGGGAAATCTAGCACATAATTATATGGAACTTCAGGTGGCTCGGGCGTCATCTTGAGGTAGGTACGTACAGTAGGTAGCAGCAGGTTTAACGCGGTTTACGCCCCATTTCTACATACATAGATAGAGATATACATATATCTACATCAAGTTGATCGATTGATCTATGATCAGATCAGATCAAACGGTTATGCTTAAATGTCGTGATCCTGGCTGGACATTACCCTATTAGGCCTCATTGATTGTGATCCTGGCTGGAAAACCCGTTATAGGGCCTATTCATTCTGATCCTGGCTGGAAATTAGATTACGGGCCGCTAAAATCGGTAATTTTTATGCATTCCATCCGAGTTGACTAGACAGTGTAGACAGGGTAGTTGAGCCTCGGGTACGTACACTCTCTAGTCAACTCGGATGGAAAGCGGGTCTTGCATTAGCCCTACGCCACAGGTTATAATCAAAATTACCAGTATCCTTACCGATTGTTTCATAGGATTTGCTAGGCACTATCGTACCGACACATACATTATGGAAATTAGAATACGAGCCGCTAAAATCGGTAATTTTTATGCATTCCATCCGAGTTGACTAGACAGTGTACTCCGGTCCACTTATTCGCCCGCAGATGATCCATACCCGAGCCGAGCCGAGCCGAGCCAGTGGGGCAGGATAGCAACGTTTATTGGCATTTGGCAGTGACAGGTTTACGCTAAACTTCCAGCCACAAGACCCTCAGAGTCGGGTGGCGCCGGTAGGAAATATTGATTCTATCCTGGGGACAGTGATCTGCTCCGTATTGACTATGAGTGTAATGGCAAATTGAGGGAGAACTTTCACAGCAGACTGGTGCTAGATATGAATTGAGAATTGTCTGTATTAGACACTCGACTTGGAGTGAGTCGACTTGTGGGCAGACTGCTTGAACCACAGTCATGCAGGTACCCATGATTCATTGGACCTCTCTCACGAGCGCCAAAAGCGAGGACTGGCTACCACTGTCTCAGAATAGGCTGATGAACGGGTGATAAACCTCCACTTGTACTCCCTGATGGCGTAAATTCCCGGTCGATCGCACGGTTTGAATCCCTGCACGTATCTGCATGGTGTCCTGCAACTGTTTCGGGTCGTTAAATCAATCATGGGTTAGCGTTTGCGGTCTAGATTGAGACTGAAAGAGATACTTCATACTGTTGAATGCCTGAGACATCAACATGTTATAAATCCTACATGTTTGATAGCTCTCTCTCCTTCCCTTCTCTTCCTCCTCTTTTCGTGCGAGACAATCCACAGTCTTTTCTCCATTGATTCTCCATCGGCGCTGCATCTCCATACATACACATGGCTAGTAACTCCGGGTATTCCTCATTATACCTGGAGTTTCTACATTTGGTCCTTTTCTTTGTGTGATATTGCTAACCCTTCGCTTTTGCTAATCATCCGGTCTCCCAGATCCACGATCTTACGCTGCTCTGACTTTGTGCAACTTCCTCCAAGTAACCAAGAATTCACTTCACGTGGTATCAGACACATGGCTCAATTCAACCACGCAGGATGGCTACGGCAACTGCCTGTGCCTGGTCCGGGAAAGAAAGTCACAGCTTGAGTAAGGACAAGCTGACCCGTGTGTCGGACGAGAAGAGCCAGAATGGAGAAAAGATCACTTCTCACGGGTGAAGTTTGGGTGATCCACATACACAACTTCACCTGTGAGAAGCCTGATTTCTTCTGCGTTATGGCTTTTCTCGTCCGAAACACGCGTGAGCTGGTTACACGACCCGGGACTTTCTTTCCCGCATCAGGCCCCGGCAGTTGGCGGAGCCATTCTGTGTGCTTTAATTGAGCCATGTAACTAATGGTACGACGGAGAGGTCCATAAAGTTAGAGAAATAAAAACTCGTGAATCGCGAACCTGACGTCGGCAGAAAGCAGCAGGCTAGATGGATAGTAGCAGTAGTCGAAGAGTGCTACCTAGGATGCGAGTGCCCACACTTCTTGCCAAATGAGGCAGACATTCTTCGCCGGCCCTAACCTTGGAAGTCACATAACCCCCTCAATATTGGCACGTTTACGAATATGTATGTGGAAGGTCTGAAAATTATTTAATAGCGTATTAAGAGCTGTCCATTGAGCTAGAGCTATGGAAAACCTGATCTTGCACTATCAACGTGAAGTTCACCATAGTACATAAGTCTCAGCTCGCAGTAGATATCCACCCAGTAAAATATCGGGGATAAAAGCATTTAGCAGACCGCAGAACTTTGCAAAAGCTTACTTTCCGACTCCCTCGCCGGTTGCAATGATTGCAGGAGGTCTGGGGATCTTCTGGCGGAAGATGTAGCTCTTGATCCACCAGGGAAGCCAGACGGTTAACTCGTGGTGAATGAACTTCTTGGTGGGAACTGAGAAGACCTCTGAAGATCAAAGTTAGTGAATGATGATATAGGCTGCCCGACACTGAACTTACGATCCAATTCTTCCAAAGTGAGCTGTTTGGTCTCTCTGACGAAGCAGAAAATCATGAACCAAGCGATGAGGTTCAGACCGGCATAGAACCCGACTAAAATGAATGTCAGTACCTTAACTCAAGTGAAATTCGAGCCATCCTGACTTACAAGCACCCGTTTGGGTCATGACGGACTTCATCCGAGGGAAGGTGAGACTAAGAATGCCAGCTGGAGAGAGTCTTGTCAGTAAGATATTCAGGGGAACAGTCTTCGGGGTATTCACCGAAAGTGTTGTTGACTACGACCGCCCAAGCCATTCCTTGCTCACGCTGAATAGTAGGGAAAACCTCAGCTGAGTATTGGAAGGCGACTGGCCCTTCGCCCAGGGAGTAGCAGATTGTGAATAGATACACAAATCTGTTTTGAGGTGCACAGTTAGTGTCGACCAAGCGTCAAAGCCACTATCAATGAACTTACAAGACAACTGGTCCAATCTTGGGGCCTTTGTCTGTCGTCGGATTCAACAGGGAAAGGCCGGCAGCAAGCAAAAAGATACACATCAAAGGGAAGGTCTTGTTAAGAGAGAATGGTCAGTTGTATTCATGCAGTGGATATTAAGATGACTCACAATCAATGTAAGGGTTCTTCGGCCCTTAGTATCAATCAGGAACAGTGTGGGGATGGTAGAGACAACTTGGACAGCGCCGTATCCAAGAGATGCATACAAGGCCTGATTAGAATTGTATCCAGCGTCCAAGAAGATACTGGAGCTGTAGAAGGAAATGACTAGAGGATGTTAGAGTAGGCCACTTACAGCCCCGGAAGAACTAGATGTAACTTACTGTTGATGCCGCACATTTGCTGGGCAATCATGACAGTAGAGGCACCGTAGTTGGCGCGTCTGATCCTCGGGACGGCAAAGCAATCCCACATACGGGAGAAATAGCCTGCACCACGAGCCTCTTTAAGCTCCTCTTCATAGATGACAACCGAGTAGTAGAAGTCTCTCGCGGCAATGATAGGGTGAGCGCGCAGGCGTGCCATTGATTTATATCCTTCCGCATGCCGGCCGTGCTTCATGAGCCAGCGAGGTGACTCGGGACAGAAGAAGATGCCGATGGCAAGCACCAAGGATGGAATGCAGGCAGACCCGAGTTGGAGGCGCCAAGCGATATTAGGAACATCCTTCACGATTACGTTAGCTGCAAAGCCCAGGAAAATACCTAACACGCACGTCAGTTTGCAATCAACGAAGAACCCATGAATGAGGATCACTTACCAGCCACCACCCAAAGTTGCCAAAACATCACCAGAGCACCTCGAGTTCTCGCCGGAGCCATTTCCGCGGAGTAAATAGGGACCGTGGCGTTCTTTGCACCGATGCCAATACCCATTACGAAACGCGCAGCAAACAAGCCTTGCCAGGATTTTGCAAACGCGGAACCAATCGGGGTGGCAGTAAGGCAGAGGGCAGTAAGGAAGATTTCGCCGCGTCGGCCTAGATAATGGTTAAGGGGATCGACAATAAAAGGACCACTAGAACAGAGGGTTAGTTGTAATGATGGAGGCAAGGCGATGCCGGTACTAAGCTCACATAAGACCAGCGGTCAAAAAGATGATAGAATTGACGATGCCGACAATCCACTCGTCCCTGCCGGCCTCCGCTGCGCTTTTGTTCTTGCCGTCGATTCCAAACTCTGTAGGGAAAGACAAGTTGGCTCCGTTGGAACCTGTCTGATCCCAGCCTTGGGTTGCAGCTCCAACAGCACACAGAGCAATGGCATACCAGAGCATCTTCGGACCGTGCCATTTATGATCCCGCTCATATGTAAGCGCAGCAATCTCTTCTTCGCTCAGCTCGGGAGCCGACAGGAAGTCCTGGGGGCTTCGCGCAACAACCGCGGCTCGGCCGAACAAGTCCGCATGCTCAGCCATACCGTGCGACTCAGCGTACGCTCGTGCATCGATGATCGCCTGCTCCTTGGAGCTGCGCTGTGGGAACAAAGACGGTCAGTGTCGATGCATGCATTCACCGCAGGAAGCGATGAAGGATCACTCAGATCAGATATTGTAAGACTCACCATCAACGGGTTTTGCACGATGTTCACCCCCGCCGCCTGGCGGCGGGGAGCTTCGTCCGGATTCGCTGCCTCAATAACCTCCGTTTCCCTTTTCTCAGGGACGGATTCATTCTCAACACTGGCGTCCTTGGACGCCATGGTGGCAGATGTAGATGAAAATCAAGTTGAAGTAAATGAAAGAAAATTAGGAAATAGCAGTTTGTTCAGAATTTCTGATGTGCCAAAGAAAGCAGAAAGGAAAAAGTGAGGGAAGATTAAGTAGTGAAGGAAGTTCCAGTCGTGAGAAAAGATTAAGTAGCCCATCTAAAAAGATATCGAAAACCGCCCCGTGGGGTAAGCGCAGATCAGCCCCCAAAGTAACCTGGTGGTAACTTTGTGGGTCGTGGCTTCCTATTTTACCGGAAGGCGGGAAATTAAACCGCAGTCAGCACTAAAAGGCTTGGAAGGGATCTTAGCGTCTTGTGTGAATCGGGTCGAACCACGGGCCGAATGCCAATTTACTCTTAAGGCACCATCCGGATAACTAGATCCTCAAATAATTCATAGAGGTCGAGGAAGATAATTCATGGCAGTTCTATGGTTGTACAATCTGGCGATCTGACAGCTTCGGAGCTAACTGCATGGTAAAACGTGGCGAACGTGTTTTGAGAGAAAATCCCCGCTGGATGTAGCCAAACGGCCACCCCTTAGCTCGGGTTTCGGCCATTTCGGATTTCACTTTTCTACGAAGCGTAGTGGGACGCACCGAAAGTTTGTGTCAAGTAGTACACAGTAGGTACCTTACTGATGCAGGCATATTATAACACCAGTTGATGTAAGAGTCATACGAGATTATGTACTCTGTAATAGCTGAATTCACACATCATATGACCATTCATTCAGTTCTGCTTCTGCAACTTCCTCGGTGCCTTATCCTGCTAGACAAAGAAGATGTGTAGAAAAAGCAACCAAGTATTTACGGTCCAGCGTGCTGCGTAATACGGTAATAAACTTACAGATCCTTGATGTTCTGATGAATCCTTAGTCCCTTGCCTCCAGGGCTGAGGTCCATGGAAGTTGTTCTGGGGTATCTTCTACCATTGGGGAAAGTGGGCCCGTGTGCGAACCCGTGACCTGGGGTTTGGGGCCATGGTCCATGGAAAAACGAAAGTCCACAATCACATGCTCAGACAGCCCTAGACTTAGTTAGCCGGAGACTTCTGGGAACGAAACGACCTTACCCTTGTAACCCTTCTCGAAGACTACCACAATCTGACCACATTTTCTCCTTTGAGACAATATACAAACGACTCTAAATATCACGCCCTGAAAGTTAAACCAGCCATTGCGTCAACGCCCGGACATCCCCAGGTCACCCGGCAACCCGCCTTGTTAGTGTGGTGGCGGCCGGGGCCCGGCCGCCACGCCAAGTAAGCCCCTCAGGCCCCTCCCCTGTCTCTCATCCTGATCCTGGAGATAATTCGCTACAAATACGTATCTCCTAAAGGGTTTTGGGGCGCCCGGTTTCCTTAGCTGGAACTTTGGTTCGACCTATAAAATCGAGCCTGAATCAAGGATCGAGGTTTGCTCAATGTCCAGGGGGTCCCTGTCATGTTGGGTTACCAAATTGGACAAAAAGCGCGATTTATCATATTCTTATAGCGAACATAGGGATAGATCCTAGTACGGAGTGTTGTAGACACTTTATGGGCAGTGGCGTATTTTTATTTTTTTGGGGGCATACGCCCTGAGTAAGTAGTGAACATTGTTCTAGCACACCTACGCTCTACAGAATCAGTATGCCCCACTTAAGCTATCGAGCGCTTAACAATTGGGGAGTAGGACAAGCTTTCATGCAAGAAACATTATACGCATGCTTAGCTTCAGCCCATACTCTGGCTTGTCAGAGCCTCCTTGGTCTGTAGTACAACAATCTTTCATACGATCAATTTGATGTTTTTTTGTAGGTAGTCTGGTATCTCATGATTCTTTCACCTTCGTAAGAGAAGAAGGGTCTTGCTTATGGGTGGTCTATTTTGAGTTTCTTTGTCCCTTTGTGTTAGGGGCTGACGCCTGAGGCTCTGGGGTGGGATGCCTCAGGAGGGCGACCTCATTCAGAACCACCAGTAAACCAGTAAACTTCCTGTTTCTTCCTCTTGCCCTTCACTTCTCTCTCAGTCCGTTTAACAACGATGATCTCGTTGTACTTGTATATAATTCTTGCGTATATCTGACCTGGCTTTCTGCCAAATGAACAATGCAGACATCGATCTTTGTGAGTTGACAATGCATTCGTTCATCGTCCTCGCGTCGCTTTGTTCAAGGATAAAGTCAACTCGACATCCTTAGATACGAACTCGAATGCCTCTTTGTGTGCCCAAAATAGAAGAGACCTTGGGGTGTCATGATCCGGGACATCGCCTTCTGCAGGTGAAAGGTATCAGACGAGCCCTTCGAGTATATAAAGGTAGACCAAGCCCACCTAAGATCTCTATACTCAATCAGCCTCGGCACTAAAACCATTATTTCCCCCAGACTTCTATTCAATAACTGAAAAACTCAACAACCCCACTATTGAAACTATCGATCCAACATCTTTGGAAATGGCTCCGCCTCGCGTTAATGTCAGGTATCGGTGGAACATGAGCCGCGGATTAGAGCCCCAATTCTGGAGAGCCATGGGCCTGGAACTACACACTATCAGCCGGGCCCAGTTCAGAGAGGTTCTCATGCTCCTTGCACGTGTCTATTTTCCTATGCTCGAAGAACGTATCAGACTGGGGCACGGCACAGACGACGTGTTCCTTTTCGGACGGGGTGCTCAGTTCAGAGATGAAGTCAACAATGCCGTCGCAGAAGAGCTATTTACAGAAGCAGTCTGGAACCGCGTAACATCTACACTTAGCCCGAGGCTGCTCGGCGATCGTGCGTATGATCTCGTTCGATTTTACCGGCTGACTGATCCAGTTTGGAGACATTACACCCATCACTGGCAGACCCACGTTGAGAATCAGAACCCTTGGACGCCCGGTGCTGCCCCCATTGGCGGCCCTCAGATTGCTGTTGCAGCTACACCTCTCCCACCTGCCGCTCCACCTGTTGCACCTCCCCCACCTGCCACTCCGTCTGTTGCATCTCCTCCTGGGCCCGGCCCGGCTCTTCCTCTACCTTCCTTGGCCCCCCCCTCCCCCGGCTGTCCCTGCACTCACAACACCTGCCTCACTACTTGCCGCCTTTACACCCGTCAATGGACATGCCCCGGGACCTACCCCTCCCGGCCCTAATGGGACGGCGTATCCTCCCGGGTGGGATGGACCGAACGGACCCGCCCCTCTATCTGGTATCGCTAAGTGTACACCCGAGCATGCCGAAACCACTGCTGACGATGTTCTACCCACCCCGCCTCTGTCTGAATCCTCTCGCAAGCGGTCCCGACATGACAGTGCCAGCGATAGCGACAGCAAGTCTGGTAAAGGGTCTCCTGTGTCCGCCGCCAAGAAGCGACGAGTTAGCTCGGTCAAGCCCGGGACTATCTCTGGAAGAGTCAGCAAGGCTAGCTCTCGACAGGTTTCTCGATCATCGGCACGGTCGATCGTTCAGGTTTTGGCTGAGCCCGTTGCTGAGCCCGTTGGGCTGAACGTTTCCATCCCGATGGACTGTTCTTCCGATGAGAGCGGTGATGAGGTTAACACGCCCGAGCTGAAAGTGCAGAAGAAAGCGTGGACTGCGAAGATGCGTAGCTACCTCTCTGGTTTTGGCTCTAAGCCCTAGAGGACTTGACATGGACCAGGTTGTTAGGAAGAATTGCCTAGGTGGCTCCCAGTGGGAGTTCGAGACCGGTAAGTAATCGGATATCTTATAGTTAGTACTATGTAGTAGTATTGTGTTATGATTCGAAATTTAATATCGCTTTTTATTGTACTACCGGCATATTTCCCCCTGAGGACTAACACAATTTTAGAATTAACCTGCAAAATAGTGTTTCAGACCCATACTCCCTTATACTCAGGTATCTTTCACTATATCGCAGGTAAGCTAGCATCCGAAGCCAGCAAAGACGGATGATATGCAAGATTCTCCCAAAAGTCAGTTTCGAAATCACACATATCTTGGCTGAAAAACGCAGCCCAGTCATCGCTTCCTTCCCCGGGTTGCGGGACTTGAGTCGGTGTTTGTATTCCGTCACGGTGCACAGAGTCAAGGAACCGCTCCATTGTCTGGGTCGCCTTGAAAATCAACGCGTAATTTGGGTCACCACGTCGAACGATGCTCCCTACTTGGACCTGTGCAACAAAAATTCCGAGATTGAGTATGGTTTTGGACCATGACGATCTTGCATCGGTCAGTCTTTGATGTTGTTTCAGCATTGAAAGAAGAATGATTCCTGCTGCCGGCAGGCCGAAGTGGGCGATCTGAAAGAGTTTTAGCGTGGAATTCTGTTGATTTGGCCGACAAGGAGATCGGAATACCTTCCAGACCAATCCTGTACCCGAGTTGACAAGTTGATCTCGCAGAAGGATCATTTCAACCACGAGGGCGAGCATCTGATCCGAGATGTCGAGGATAGATGGATCAGGCTCAGTCAAAGTATCAAGGAGTGACAGTTGAAGTAGGAAAAGAACATGCAATTGATCAAGGCGTATACTAGCTAGAATGTCGCGCTCGAATGCGTTTCCGGAGCATTCCCTCAAAGTGCCCGAAAGTCGAAACTGAGGGGGAAGATGCGCCCATTGAGACTCGGCTTTTTGGCGAATGATACTATACCCAAATATGTCGTGAGCTAGTAATTTCCACACAATAGAGATTTAGCATACCTAACTTCGTGGTTGAAATTATCGCGCTGCTTCTCCCGGAGCAATTCGAGAATATCTTCTTTGAGCGCAGAGCAGAGGGTAGCCCATCGCATGCCCGATCTATAGCAGATCGGCGTATCCGAGTCCCACTCAATGGCTACATATCGCGCGTCTAAAGTGTTCGAATCTTGCCCCGAGTCCGTCGGGCTCATGGGCACTTGGAAGTGACAGAATCTCTTGCTCATGCGAGGTGGCCGACCAAGAAAAATAGCGATATTCTTGTCCGCTGAGTATGTTATAGCCCAGGCCATCTTCCGCAACTCTGCAAGAAAGCCTGGAATTGGTGGCTTGGTCTTCTCCACGTTCTCGTGGTAGCCGAGTGCAAAGATGGACGACATAACATCTCCAAGTCTGCTCCACGAATGATAGCCTAGGGATATTTATTGGCCGAAAGTCCCAGCAAAGAAAGAGAGAGAAGTGTAAGAACAGTACTTACTCTGATCCCCATCAACATGGGTATGCACAATGAAGTTCTCGTATTGTAGAATTAATTGAAGGTCATTCAAGCAATCCAGTGAGAGTGCAATATCCAGTGCAACATCACTGAGCCTTGTGGACAGCTTTCGAAGAACAAACTGATCCTGTTCTGTTTTGAACAATGATGGAAAGAATGAGATGTCGATTGTTGCTCGACTAACAGCAGAGAGGAAGATACCTAGACTCTCCCATCGGAACTTTTGGTCAAGAAACTGAGCAGCAAAAGAATCGATATCAGAATCGCTGCTAAATTGCAAAGGCTCTCGGGAATTTTGAGTCAATCGCTGTGCATATGCCAAGTGCCAGTTTTCTTCCTGTGAGATTGACGAGAATAAGCGCGTCATGTTTTCAGTACACTTCTCAGTAAAAGGCTCTGCTAGAGCTAGATTTGCCCCAGTTGCCAGCCAAAAATTAACAAAATCCTTCATGGCATCCAAAGGAAATGTGTTTAAAAGCTGTCTTAGGATATCCGCCCCCTGAATTAGCAAGATATGCTCGCCGGTATACCGCGACATTGCCATATCAGACTCCGAAGCATGATATGGATCGGAGATATGATAATCTTGCGGGGAGATCTGGTTGAAAATAGCGACATGACTGGAGGATCCCAGAAACCCGGGATTTGGATAGGGATTGTTTCTTGGGGTGAAAGATGGCGAGGCTTGGGCCGTAGGTAGCCGACTACAAAGTCGATTTAGCTCATGAAACAATATTAGTATATCTCGCATACCTTGGCGACCGCTGTAGAGATGGAGTAGAGCTCTCTACTTTTTTCCTCTTAAACGGCGTCGTGCGGTAGATACAGATCCCAGCTCTGTCGTTACTGGCACATCGAGTACATGCCGGTCGCTTATGATCACAAGCAACCTTTGCCTTTCTGCAAGCTTCACATGCTGCCAGTCTTGAAGCCATTGAGGTGCATAAGGCCGAGGGTATGTGTGGTAGGAGAATTGGAGAGTTCGGAGCGGAGAACTTAGCCGGAGTCGGAATATTCGGAGTAATGTGCGTAACGCCGTAATGCCGATTTGCCCCGCCACAATCAATTTACTCCGTGCGGAGTACATTGCTTGGCACTGACATGGTCAAAGCTGACCGCAACAGAAGAGTCGGGTACGATAGAATATTGCAGTATCTTAATTACTTTCTAGGAAAGGAAAGAAAATATCTAAATGCAAACAGAAAACGCCCCTCTGAGACTATCAAGTTTACAGAAGGTTTCGTCTTCTTCCTCGCCGACGCCTGCATCAACTGGAGATAATGCAAGCAAAAGTTGCTCTATCAGACTATCTTCTTCCGTCGAGGAGCTCTGTGCCCTCGTCCCCTTGATCCTGAACCAAACAGATGAGGCGATGAGCCTCTACCTATTGTAGTGGGAGAACTGCGCCACCTCCAGAAGTGGTGCCTCAGGCGCTCAGCTCAGGTTCACCGCTCCTCCTGAACACAAACAACAACATATCTTGTCTTATGAACTGTTTCTCATGATTCCCGTGATTTTCCAGCCAGTGCGACTATCGTCCTGTCAGGCTGTCTGCGACGTCAAGACTCAGACCAATCATTCAATGATCGCGGCGTAGGTGACGCTTATGTTGATGTTCACATTTACATTGCAGGATCCTAACAAATCTGAATCTTTTTATCTACTTCTGTCGCACTCTATGCTTATATTTCCCTGAACCTTGATGACGGCTAGATACGCGCCTCACCAAGATGTATATGGTATATTCCAAGCCCCTAGATTCAGGTAAACACGAAGTCTTTTCTACTTACGTTTGCCGCACTTTACGTTGCTGTCTAGTCATATGACGGCTGGGTGAATGTCGCTACAGAGACATACCTAGTTACCAACTTTGGGAGTGAAGTGAAGGTTTACACGGCTACACAATGAAATGTCTGGAAACTTATGGTTTGTTCCCATTTCGGTAACTACAACCACTGCCATATTTGCTATAACTTTCCCTTCCATCACTTTCCACCAAACTACGCTCCTTCATCCTCTTGACACTGCTATCTCATCATAACTACAAATTAGCACGATCGACCCTTCCAGACCTGGAGGCCTATTCCTCTGCTGATCGAATCCCGATTATCTCCATCCAGCAAGATGGCATCGATTCCCCCATCCTATGAAACAGAGTAAGTGCATCTCCACCGATATTAATGAGTTTCATCCGCTAACCAACAATCCTCCAGCTGGGAACGTCTCAATGCCAAGTGTGAGTATAATACCTCTGCTATGATTGTACGAGCTGACTTCGTCAGCATGGGAGCTGCCCAATTACGGCCCGGGTCCGGATTATGGTCGGGGCACTATCTACGTCCCTGACGAGGAGGATGAGTATCCAGGGAGAGCGCTCGGTTCAAATGAGGCGAATGTGGCTGGAGTTGTTGACTATGCTCCTGCAGAAGCGAGACATCATAACTTGCCTCCTACCCCAGCCGGACCTGCGACTGGTCACTACATTTCGATCCCCGAGTCTAGACGACCACATGTTCGAGGCACCGGTGCCATGAATACATACGCACAGGACCGGCCACGACACCCTTCGACCCGGAATACACAGTCGAGTCAAAACCCTCGCCGCAAACGAGGCTCGGCAACCGCACTCTTGCATTCACCATCAAACAGAGGTACATCGGACTTTTTGCAACATGGTACTGGCTCTTCAATCGTCCCCATTGGCCAGAACGATATCCCTTCCAAGGCAAAGTGGCGCAATGGATCTCGCCCAGATGGCAAGTGTACCACCCATAAAAACCTCGAGTCTCTCACTGACTCCATGTTAGCTGCTTTTCGCCTACCGTATGAATGTCGGGTGTTTCAAAAGAAGTAAGTACACATCGGGCTGCAGTGACTTTGCCCTCGGAACTAACGCAGATCATAGGCTGAGTGAAGAGGTGTCGGGAGAAACTCACATCGACTTTCGCCAGCAGATTCTCGAGGACACGGGTGCTTATTTGAGAATTAGCGATCGGAATGCAAAGGTCAGTACTCAGCGTGAAAACCTCGCACTTAGAGGTCCGGTATACTGATGAATAGCAGCTGGTTCATATCTGGGGCGGAAAGAACGAGGTCTGGGCGGCTCGCGCCCAGCTCCAGGAAATGGCGAACAGCCTCTTCCAACTGGGCGCTCCGTCCAACGGCCCATCGTGGTCGAAAATACGAGCGTATTCGAACACCAAGGCGGCCAATTCTCAGTCTCTGGAGTTCTATGAGACAAGACTTTCAGGCTTGCGGCAGCCACCCAAAATTTCCGCTTTTTACACTGTAATAACAATTGCCCTGCCACTTTCCATTTGTGTTTGAAAGATCTGATCACTGACGCGGGCTTTGACACTACAGTTAGCCTTCCTGTGGCCGATGGATGGCCCAACCGTGGACCATTGCCTTACTGCTCGGCGCGAGATCCTCGACTCGATTCGCTTGAAATACGATGTTAACATCTACGCTAAGCCTGGTGCGCCGGACTACCTATTTATATCTGGGAACAGCCAGCGGGTCATTGGCATCATTGCGTCTCGACTTCGGGAGCTATGGCAAAGTCTATTCATGCAATGCGACACAGAAATGAAGCTCTTCCTTGTCGGGCCGCCCCCGCCGGAGCTTATGAGGACTCACGTCATTCTTCAAAAGTGCGGTCAGTTCACAAGAGCTGTTCTATGCGGACCGGAGCTGGCCCCAGATGTAGCCGCAAAGTGGAAGGCCACTGCCGACAGACTCAAGCTCAGTAACAAGAATGCTGTCACCGGCCGTCTCAAGAACGCACTGCATATTCTACCCGAATTCCAGGGATTTTTGCAAATGCGAGTCAAGTTCGGTACATTCGCGCTGCAGCAGTGGCGCAGACCAGAGGATGGCGCTTCCTATCGATTCTCGGAGTTTCGCGAGATGGTTTCTCATAGGAACGCAGAAGGACGATTGCTCCCGGGGTAAGTGATCCACTGGCCAGATTCGGACAGTTTGCTAACTGTGTTCTAGCATTCAGCTGCAGCAGGAGGAGCTGTTTGAGCGAATTACGGCATCACAGATTCTCAAGCCTTGGGGCCAAGACAAGTTTGATTCTCTGACAAAGTTACAGCCTAAATACACTGCCGAGTTTGATTACAAGGCAAGCCGTGACACGATGATTCGTGTGGAAGTGAGACTCTCGCTTCCTCGTGCCTCCGAGGAATTCGAAGTCAACGGAATTCGATGTTTCAAGCCACAGCCGATCAATGCCCCGGTTGATCGTCAGATGCCGATGCAGATCAGCATGATAGACTTTGAGAGGTCCGTTTGTATTGACTCCTTCTGAGTAAACGGGAAGCTAACTGTGATACCAGGTCCGACTGGCAATTTGAGGTCAAAGCGCTCGAACTCTGCCCCGACAGCGACATCACCCCCGAGCTCCAAAAGTTCATGCGCTCTATTGCATTCCAATGGAACCCAACTGCGAAGAGCATCACCTCCGTACCCCAGCGAAAAGCTAAATTCATTCGTGGCGCAAGAGTCACACGCTTTGTGGAGAAGGCCGCCCTTTACATGCAGGTCAAGGGAACACCATACGTGTTCGAGCTTGCCCGCTTTGACGAATACAACTACGTTGCTGGTCACTGGTCATTGACCGCAAATGTATCATGGGGTGCATCTCTATATGATCCTATGTGGGATGACCTGCTAGGGGAGAAAGCTAAGCCTGGCATTCTCAGAATACCGAGCGACAAGGCTCTGTCGGTTTTCTTTCCGTCGCCGGAAAAGGAGCAGAGACAGAGCGACAACAAGCAGACGGAAGAGGAGGCCCGCGAGGAGGCCGAGACCAGGGACCGCGAGGAGGAAATGCAGTTGACCACATTTATGAGCATTGTCCAGCAGATCGCACGTATGCTGAAAGATCCAGGGGCCGAGGCTCCCGACGTCCTTGACAGTGATCTCGGAACACTGTTCTAGTTCATTTCGCTGGCAAGGTCATCAGAATGTTCCCAAGTCCGTTCCATGGGATCATCAGGGTTAATCGGAAGCAGGTCGAGGAGGAATTGGCGTCTTTACCGTTCAATATGCTTACTGAGCCGGAATCGTTTAAGTAGGTGATTTGAGTGCATTTACACGAGATTGAGTCACATCGCCAGCTGCTCCCGTTCCAAGGATGGCCACGCTCATTGACTCTAGCTTCGCATGTAGTGCCGTCTTAATCCAATACTATTTCATCTCAAGCGTGCTGGTTTCGAAAGGGTGGACAAGAAACCCATGTATAAATTTGCTTCTATCATAATCCAACAGACCTACCCAGATCACATAAAGCTTAGCCTGCAGCAGCGGGCTGAGGAGCGCCTTCTCCAGCAAGCATTTTTTGCCTCAGTGCTGTCAGGCATTAGTAAATGAATGGCGCGATAGGAACTCCATCCCCGATCCCAAGAAAGGCATCAACTCATCAACTTACTTTCTTCCACGGTACGCAGCTGCATACTCTTGGTCTGTACGATCTTCTCCAACTCCTGCAAGTTCGCCTCCAGGCCCTTAACCTTCTCGTTATAAAATGCAACCGCCTTAGGCGCAGTCTAAAATCCAACACATTAGTCCCCCATCAATCGTGACCATTGACACCCTAGCAATAACCCCGCTTTCGCGCCACATACCTTCTCAACATAGAATCCAGTCCCAACATCAACAAGCACCTTCTCGCGATCCGTCAATCGACCCTTGACATACAGCGAGCTGGTGAGGGGCACGAGAATATCATTGGGACCATCGGTACCCTTCTTCGGATCCCCAGTAACGCCATCATTGATCGAGCGCACACACTCGCGGAACTTAGCCTGGGCGGCGCGCAGCTTCGTGTGCGAGGTCGTCAGGTGTTCGAGTTCGGAGGTGAGGCGGGTTTGGAGCGCGCGGAGTTGCGGGACGGAAAGCGAGGCGAGATTGACTGGCGTTGTCAATGGTTAGCTAGGGTATTCATCTGGATAACATATAGCGTGTAGATGGGCGGTGGGCTGGGCGCTATGCCCGCCGTCTTCGTTGCTTGGGTCGGAGACATACTTGAGCCCGGGGGAGCTCCGTCTGAGGATGCGGGGGCGTTTTGCGACATCTTGGTGGTTTTGAGGGATTGGGGAGTGGTTTGGGTGGTTGTTTGGCGGATGTGTTTGCTTTTTGGTTTACTGGGCTGGGTATCGTAGAGTGAGGCCTTGCATTGGGTAGATGCTTGGACTGTTTGGTACACACTCGTGGTGGGGGAGCTTCAGAAAACTTCTGGATCTTATGCGTGGTGATAGTGGGGTTAAGTGTTGGCAGCTACGGATTGTGGTGGGCGGAGATTGGGTACACGCACCTGAATGTACACAGTAGGGGTGGATACTTCACGTCTCAGGTACGGATCTCATTGGCTTAGCCTCCTTACTGCACTAGACCCGAAAAGGTCGAAAGTGGACAACGCGTCCAACGCGATTTCTCTCCTCTGCATCTTCAATCTAGTCACATCCCTCCCACTCCCAATGAGCGATAGCGATTCTGACTCTCGCCCTCAACGGCTCAATGCCCGTGAGCGCGCACAATGGATGACCAAGGGAGCTCTGGTCCGAGACGACTCTGACGATGAGTTAGGCGTGGAGGACCTTCCATGGAACTGGATCTACGACACCAATGAAGAGGACAATCCGCAAACTGAGGGCAATGACGGCAGCCCCGTGAAGCGTGGTCGAAGACGCTCTTCCCGACCGGCCCATCAGAAACGCAAGATTATTGGTGCGCAAATGGGACAGTTCCAATGCAGACTTGGCGAAGTCGTTTTATTGAAATCACCCGAGCCTGGAAAAGACTGGGTTGGCATCATTACAGAATTTTCGGAAGAGGAGGATGAAGATGAAGAAGACGAGATGGTCAAGCTGGCCAACATTATGTGGTTCGCTTCACCGGACGAATTCATGGGTACGAGGAACAAGCGCCGGACCGATGCTTTGCCCAACGAGCAGTACATCACACTCGATTTCAACAACAACCCCTTGACATCGATCAGTGGCAAAGGCAGGGTCATGTCTCAGAGTACGTTCATTGCTAGATATCCGAATGGCCCTCCGAAGAACAGGAACGAATTGGCGGAATACAACAAGTGCATTGTTTGTCGACGCGGCGTGAACCAGGTTCAAGGAAGATATACCGAAGAGTTTACCTGGGAGGAGTTGTACAATCAAGATGACATTCACCAATTGATCAACTGGGTCAAGGAGGGCTTGAAGGCTTCCAGGAAACGCAGGGCTGCGGACGATGAAGTGAGTTGCAACATAAGGACACAATCGCATAGGCTTTGCTAACCTGGAATACCACAGTATGTCGAAACCAAAGAGAACGTGGCACCTTCGACTCCGAGAAAGAGGCAGCGACTGGCGGCGACGAATGCCACACCGCAATCACAGCGCAAAAAGGCGCTCATGACTCCCACTCATAAACGGTACGATACAGCCTGTGCTGCCCTCAGAAATTGACCTAACAAGCCGCAGGATCGTTGTGAAGAAGCCTCTCGAATTCACTCCGCTCGGGACTCGGGTCCTCTCGCCTTCGCATTTTGACTCACCCTACCGTCAAGCTCGTAATCTACTACACGTCTCGTCTGTTCCAGATTCCTTGCCCTGTCGAAAGACGGAATTCAACACGGTGTACAACCACCTTAGTGCCGCGATCATGGAGGGCACAGGTGCTTGCATCTACATTTCTGGTACCCCTGGCACCGGCAAGACTGCCACCGTGCGCGAGGTTGTTGCACAGCTGAATGGAGCCGTGCTTGAAGAAGAGATGGACGATTTCATATTTGTCGAGATCAACGGCATGAAGGTTACCGATCCACATCAATCATACTCTTTACTGTGGGAGGCGTTAAAGGGCGACCGAGTATCACCCTCCCACGCACTCGATCTTCTCGAAAGAGAATTCTCAAATCCGTCCCCACGTCGAGTTTCCTGTGTTGTACTCATGGATGAATTGGATCAGCTTGTGACAAAGAACCAATCTGTCATGTACAATTTCTTCAACTGGCCCGCTCTCCGCCACTCACGCCTTATTGTCCTGGCTGTCGCGAATACCATGGATCTGCCCGAAAGAACGCTGAGCAACAAGATCTCCAGTCGTCTCGGCTTGACGCGTATCACATTCCCGGGATACCGCCACACAGATCTGATGGAGATCATCAGTACCCGCCTGGCGAACGTCCCAGGCAACATCGTTGATCCAGATGCCATCCAATTCGCAAGTCGTAAAGTTGCCGCCGTCAGCGGTGACGCACGCCGCGCTTTGGACATCTGCCGTCGAGCCGTCGAGATCGCTGAACAAGCGGCCGAGCAGGCTGCTGTCGCAGACGACACAAAGGATGAGACAGAATCCTTGCCTCCCACACCCAGCAAAACGCCCGCCCGACGCAACAAGACCGTTGCAGCGGGAGCAGCCGGTGATTCAGCCATCACTAAGCCTTCCGCGAAGGGCCAACCAGGCCGCGTCACTATCGCGACTATCAAACAGGCCATCCACGAAGCTACGTCAACCCCACTCCAGCAATCCTTGCGCTGTCTTCCGCTATCAGGGAAGCTCTTCCTCGCCGCCTTACTGGCCCGAGCCCACCGGACAGGTATCTCCGAATCCACGTTCGGCGATGTCCTCGACGAAGCTCGCCGTATCGCTGATGCAGCTGTTGCGGTGGCCGGCGCCGCCGGCGCTGGCGTGAAAGATTTCCTCCTGGGTGGAGGCCCTAGTGCTCGAGTGCGAAGCTTGGGACATGCGGCTATGTCGCTGATGAACTCTGGTGTCTTGGCGCTGGAGCAGGGTACTGGCTCTAAGAGTGTGCTTGGGGGTACTACGATCCCAACACGCGGTGACCGTAGCAGTAAAGTCCGGCTTCGGGTTGCGGCGGAGGATGTTAGGTCTGCTTTTCGCGAGGATGTTGAGGCCAAGGGCTTTGGTCTGGGCATTGAGCAGTGATAGGAGTCCTCTTGGACTATTTTCAAGGCGTTGCGCATTATCTGGCGTTAGTGTAACCGCATTATAGGTTGCATGCATTGCATATGATACCCTTACAAAACAATGTCTATACCCTAGGTTGTAGATTTACTTGTCTGTGCAATTTCCCTTGATTTAGATCAATCGCCAAGGGCATCATAGGTAGGCCAATTGAAGTTTGTGTATACGTAAGTACAGACGCCATCGACTATTTTTTCCCTCCTCGGGGCTTCCAGAGGAGATCCCTCTAATACATACTCGTGTCTTAAAAAATTCAAACCGCAGAACCGCGCTTAACTCCAGATAGTGCCGACAAGGATTCAATAGCGAGAAAGGAAACAGAAGAAGGGTGTCAAACAATTGGGGAAAGAGGGTACAGATGCCAGTGATCCCTTTAATACCGCTGTCTACCGAGAGTCGGGGCCCAAGTAAGAGGGTGAGTTTCAGGCGTCGCCTCCTCATCCTGCTTCCAGACCTTGATAGTCTTATCAGCCTCACCAGTGATAAGACGCAAACCAGTGCGGTCGAAGGTAGAAGCCATGATGCCAGCCTCAGCCTCAAGCGAACCTGGCTGTGCGGTTGTCTCGATAGACTGGAAGCGGTGGCCGGTCTTCCAGTCCCAGAAGGACATGGAGCCGTTGTCACCACCGGAGAAAAGCACGTTCTCGTCGTTGACAGCGAGAGAGTTGATGACAGAGTTGTGACCCTCGAAGTTTTGCATAAAGTCACCCTTGGGACACATCCATTGCTTGATACTGCCAGTACTGGCACTGGCGAATGTGAACTCGGTAGGGTGAATGGCGAGATTGCGAACACCCTTCTTGTGGTGCGTGAGAACGCCCATGCTCTTTCCAGCCGCCAGATCCCACAACCGGACTGTGGAATCGAGCGAGCCGGAGATGATCTGAGGATCGGCTTCTTGGCATTTGATGTCTGCCACTGTCCCCTTGTGTCCACCGAGAACGTGGACATTGCTTCGTGTCCGCATGTCCCAGACTCGGCACACTCCGTCACGACCACCGGTGACTAACAGGTCGAGACGAGGGTGGAGGGCGAGCGTGTAAACACCGCTGAGATGACCGTGGTAGTGTCGGATGACCTTGTTTGTCTCCAAATCCCAGCACTTGACCATCTTATCTTCACCACAGGAGAAAAGATACGGATGCCGCGGTGACACCGCTAAGCCACGAACAGTGGAAATGTGACCAGTAAGCGTAAGTCGCAAGGCACCGGTCGCCAAATTCCAAATCTTGATAGTCCTATCACCTGCTCCACTAGCAAACCACTGATTGTTCGGTTCCACCGCCAATGCTCGTACCCATCCCAGATGCCCGGAAATGACGCGCATCAGCTTCCAAGGCGCGTGCCATTCAGGCCGTTGTTGCTGCGTGGCCGACGGTCTCTGGATCAAACTCGTAGGCTGTTCCCCGGCCGGTGCAGCACCTGCCCCCGTACTCGATGGCCGTCTCACAAGTGACATAGATTGGCCGCTACCGTCCGCGGGTGTCTGTGCTTGAATCTTTACGCGTTTCGTGCGGCCGGCGGTGGCCTTCGCCTGCTTCTCTGCGAGCGCGCGTGGTAATTCGGTGACGTCTTCGTATTCGGCCTTTCGTCGGTAGGAGACGCCGATGGAGCCGTCTGTAAGTGTCGAAGGTGTTACCATCAAGTACTCGGCGCCGAAGAGTTCGGCGGTCCGCTTTGCGGACAGACGCACCGCGTCGTCGACAGATTGGGATGGGATGGCGTCCATTGTGTGTATGTGTGGGGGAGTGGTGATGGGAAAGTGAGTGGTCGAGGTGTCTCTTGTAAGGATAGGAGCTCCGAAAGATCACGATTCGGAGGTGCGCGCGATGAAAAGCCTGCGGCTGGTTCACGGCTTGGATCGAGTCTGGCGGCTCGGACGGGGCGCTGATTCTGTAAGCGCGATCAATTGCGACTTATTGTAGGGATCCTGGAAGCTCCCGGGCGAGATATCATTGGCGATAGAAGAGCGACGTGCGTGAATTTGAATCGAAGTTGCTTCGGGTTTCTTTGCCTGAGGCGCCACGGTTGAGGCATTATGCCCAGCTTAGTTAGGGCGGCGAGGGCGGTGAGCTGGTACAATCAAAAGTCTGCCCCACCCCACAACATTACACCCATCCCCTAACCCATATTAACATTTTTCCCTGGACGAGAATGGCAACTTGGCTATTCTCGTCCAGGAAGTGGAAGTGCATCTGGTGGGAGAAGGTACAACATCATCTGCCGAAGCCGGCTGTGATCGAAGCTTGACGGATAATGTTGGACAAGGGAGCCCTCATAATGCTGGTAAATTGCGAGTAAGAGCATCTGGTCCATTCCAATCCGAAAGTCATCGTCCCGAAGACAGCTTGACTTCTGCTCCTCGCGGTAGAGTCGCGAGGGAGGTTGACTTTCGGATGTGGATGGACCAGGTACGCTTACCGGCAATTACCAGCACTATGAGGGCTCCTTCGTCCAACATTGTCCTTCAGCTTCGATCAAAGCCGGCTGAATGCTACAACGCGGAGGCTCGAGGCGCACCCGCATTCGGGGGTATGGTTCTCAAAAGAGTATGATACGCACTGACTCTCACACACAGCCTCACCTCCATGGAACAGCTTGCTACTACAGGTGCAGTGACTACCTTTTACAAGGGCTATACAGACATCAAGGATATGTCAACTGGGGAAATCAAGGCTTATGCTACGATGCAAAACAACCAGCACCAGCTCCATACATACATACCATGGAAGCATTGCTCAGCTATGCCAAATTGTGCAGATCATTTCCATCACACATTTTTCTCACTCTTTACCGGAGGGGGAATCCAATCAGGGTCTTGACATGCTGTCTCCGAAAGACAGAGATCTTTACACAGCTGCTGCTCGGTCAAAGAACCTTGCTGCTATCTCAATCGCTACGTTCCTATGGAATTCCTGCCTCAGCAGTCTGCTACAGAGCAGCCCGCCGAGTTCTCTCCCAATGGTGAAGAGTACCCATGGATGTACAAAAAGATCTAGATCTTCCAGATCAAGATCCCAACGTGCAAATGCCATCCTCACTGCCGAGAGAGCTGCTACCACCTCCCGGAGGCCTGATACTATCTCCATTCAGATCAACGCCGCTCAATGAGTTCAACCGGACGGAACCCCTGCTCTCACTGGCATTCCCTATACTGTTTCCTTACGGGGGATCCAAGGTCACGATCCCACGACAGACGTCTATTCACGAGATCCGATAGCCGATCTATTGAGTAACGAGTTCCTTTGCTCTGCGGAGGTAAACAGCATGACGGGTCGGTCCGTAACCCGGAGGTCATCGATTTGGCTCCGGATTACGGAGCGTCCCGTCATGCAATTGACCCTTCCAGACCAGAAGGACTCAATGGAGCAACTCTCCGATCTCGTGAATCGTGTTCACCTAGTTATACGCTGTTGGTATCGTGGACTTCCAGATAATCTCAGTGAGATCTCGCATTGCCGCGTTTAACTCCGATTGAGGAAATGCATTCTCTTGGGACCACTAGAGAACCAAATCTGACTCGTGGAGCATCTAAATCACATGTGTATTTCCCGTCCACCTAGTATCTCACATTGAGTCTATGAGCAAGGGCTGCAAGGCGTAGTCAGTTCAGATTAGTCGCTAGCTTATTCCAATTGCAGAAGACCTGAATGAAGTTCTCCCAGTAATGATGAAGTTATCCCGGGTGAAGGTTTGAGTAGTATGAGCTCCATTGCGGTGAAGGAGCCGAGATAAGGCCGGTCCCGAGCTCGGGCCCGATACCGCTGACTCAGCCACCGCATCTTATCGCAGCTCTTATCGCGACATCCATCCACAGCTGATCAGCTAACTCCTCCACCTCCAAAGCCGCCATGGATACTAATCAGAAGTTTGCCCTGCACGAGGCTGCCCGAGAAGGGAGAGGTGATATTCAAACTTCCTTTCAATTGAATGATCTATAATGCTGACACCCATTTCTAGACCAGGTAGTCGAATCGTTGCTTAATGTAAGTTGTGCTCCACCTACGGCCGAGGCTGCCGGACTGTCGGACAAGATACACCCGGCCACTCCTCCTGTTCTGTGTTCTAGAATACGATATACTAATAACCCAGATAGGCCAATCCAAAGTCTGCATTTGTGAAAGACGATGATGAGCGTCTTCCGATCCACTGGGCTGCAGCCTACAACCGAGTTCTGGTCGTAGAGAAGCTAGTCGCGATGAAAGACTTCGATCCGGATGTAGAGGTGAGTGACACTAAATTTCCAGTTCGCTTCCTTTCGTGACTAATAGGTTAATTCGACATAGGACGGTTCCGGCTGGACACCCCTTATGATTGCAGCCAGTTTAAAAGATGGCGCAGGCGACGCAACGATCGACCTACTACTCCGGAAAGGAGCCGACGTTTCTATCAAAAGCAACACTGGACAGGTCAGTGTTATGAAGCAAAGACTTGGTTATTGGTTGTCCACGGGCTTAACATCTACTAGAATGCGCTGCACTTCGCAAGTTCCAAGTCCAATCTCTCCACCGTCCGCACCTTGCTTTCCAATAAGTGTAGTGCAAGAGTCAAGGATAAGCGTGGCCAGCTGCCCCTTCATAGAGCTGCTGCAGTGGGATCCGTGCCCATTCTGAAGGCCCTCTTGGAAGAGGGTAAGAGTCCTGTTAATGCAACGGATGGAGACGGATACACCGCACTTCACCACGCTATTTCTGAGGGACATGGTCCTGCTGCTATCTTATTGCTAAAATCGGGAGCGGAACCAGACAAGAGGGATAGTGAGGGTAGATTGGCAATTCAATTGGTCCCAGATGACAAAGTAAGTCCTTTGCTGGTGCTCCCCCCCTGAAGGACACTTATATCTCAAGGTGGCTAATACTCATATTTTCTCTCAGGTCAAGCAATACATCTTGCAGACAGCAGAGAAGGAAGGAATTGAGCTCCCGTGATCATCTAACTGTGCCCATCAACAAAATAATAACCGCTGCGGGGGTGTTGCATACCTCGGTATGTGGAGCTTCCCCGCATTTCGCGTCTTTGGATAGTCGATCATCAAGGATCCATATATCAAACTCTAGCAGATCATTGTGCGCCCCGAAGTAATCTTCAGAATACTAGTCATCACTATGATCCTTACTTGGAAGAGAAAGATTTCAAGATCAGCGTCATCCCGGCAAACTTTGTACTGGTTCTGCATGCTCCCGTCTGTGTTCATAGTTGTAAAAGTTATGCAAGCATAGTCAACATCTGGAGTGAGGGGAAGCGGCCTCGGTAATACTAGTTCTGGATTAAGTTATAGATGGTGCATATAACCGATGGATTAAGGAGATCCTTGGAAGATCTGGGTTATATTCCAATCGGACTGCCCAGGTTTCATACCCCCAACTCTCAGGTACTGCACTATCAACCTACAGAATGGCGGCACCAAGTAGCACACGTCTTCCTGTGGGAAACAAGGATTTTACGCATGCGACAGTTGTCATAATTGGCGCTGGCGTATCGGGTATGTTCATACCAAGTAATACTACCAGACTAACCGACACTAACTTGCCCTGAAGGACTATGCATGGCGATTGATTTAATCAAGCGCAACAAAACGCACAACTTCGTTATTCTCGAGCAAAGCAGCAGCGTTGGCGGAACATGGAATGACAACAAATATCCTGGCTGCTGTTGCGACGGTAAGTACTATAAAATCCATGCAGTGGCAGTGACTGATGCTGTGTAGTCTGGAGCTCCCTTTACAGTTATTCTTTCGAACAGAACCCTAATTGGTCCAGGCAGTACCCCGGACAGGAAGAGATCCACGTGAGTGACACCACCAGTGACCAGTCGTCTTGATCTGCAACTATTGCTGACATCTGGATCTGCTAGGCGTACCTCGTTGGCGTTGCAGAGAAATATGGACTGTACAAACACATTCGATTCAACTCCAAAGTGGAAGAGACACGTTGGGATGACGCCGATTTGAAGTGGAAGACAAGCGTCGTGCGATCAGGGCAGAAAGACAGTGAATTCGGGAATTCCTACGTTCTCGAGTCCGACTTCCTTGTCTCCGCAGTCGGGCAGCTCAATCTACCCCGATATCCTGAAATTCCAGGCCTGGATGATTTCCAGGGGAAGATAATGCACTCCGCTCGATGGGATTGGAGTTACGATTTCACAGGAAAGCGGGTCGCAATCATTGGAAACGGTGGGCAAATCTATCCCATAAGAACTACATCAACACGATAACTGACTGGTTCATAGGGGCAACTGCCGCTCAGATCGCCCCCGAGGTTGCGCAGGTTGCATCCCATCTCACTATCTATCAGCGAACACCAAATTGGGTTATTCCCCGCCTCGATCAACCAGTGTCTGCTCTTGAAAAGGCCCTTCTCAAATGGATTCCACCGCTGCTCTGGCGCAAGCGTGCTCTCCAGATGGATTTCCGAGAAGGATTCCATTCAGCGGTTGCAGACAAAGACTCGGCATTCGCTCAAGTCATTCGGGATTCCTGTGCCATGTTGCTGAAAACCCAATTGCCAAACCAACCTGAACTATGGGAGACGCTGACGCCCAAGTATGCACCGGGTTGTAAGCGAGTCATCATTACAGATGATTACTATCCCACTCTTGCCCGTGAAAATGTCAGCTTGGAGACTCGGCGCATCACAGGTATCACGGAATCTGGCATCGAGGTCGATGAAGAGGACGAACAAGAGTACGACCTTATCGTTCTGGCAACTGGATTCAGAACCGTGGAGTTCATGCATCCAATTCAAATTTACGGCAAAAACGGCCGATCCTTGGGAGATATCTGGAAAACCGGCGCGACGGCGTTCAATGGCGTGACAGTCGAGGACTTGCCCAACTTCGGAATGTTCTATGGCCCCAACACTAATCTCGGTGAGATGCATCCTGTCTCCAGATGATATTATAGTGACATCCATTCTGACTCACATACAGGACACAATTCCATCATCCTCATGATCGAAGCTCAGTCGCGATACCTGAATACACTAGTGGCGGAGGTGATTCGAGCCCGCCAAGAGGGGAAGGCGTTGTCTCTCAGACCAGAGCCGAGCGTGTTGCAAAGCTTCAATGATAGGATCCAGGCGTATCTACGACAGACCAGCTTTGCGGATCCAAATTGCAACAGTTGGTACAAGCGAGACGACGGAGTCATTACCAACAATTGGTTTGGAACGGTTGTCGATTATCAACGTGAACTTTCGAAAGTACAGTGGCAGGACTATATCGCTGAAGGAAGCGGGAAAGACCGCGTGGTAGGCAAGGCTGCTACAAAAGTGAGCCATGTCAATGAGGAGACTTTGTTGAGCGATAAGTCCTTGATTGTTGGAGCTGTGGGCGTATTGGCGGCTGCAGGATATCTTGTGGCTCGCTCGAAGCGGTTCAAGGCGCACTGATACCATGATACTTTGTGAAATTGCGAGATCTGTAAATCCATTCATCCACGCAAACGGCAGGACTCGATAAGTAATCCCCTAAGATCAACGAGGACTCACGTATTTCACCACAGTAGAGCCCCCATTCTGTTTGTGAGCTTATTTAAAATCTTAATAGCGCTTGGTTAACATGGCGGACGAACGGATTATCCCTTGGGCTCCAGATTAGGTGGTCACTCTGGGGTAGAGGAAGCTCCAGCGTCGATAGGAATGGGAATGGTGTCTCGGCTGTTAAGTCCCAGTCTGCGTCGGCGTGTTCTTCTTTGTGGCCCTCCTCTTCATTATCGTCTTCGTTTTCCTCGTCGGTAGAGGCCCGAGGGTGCGTACAAGGGATGGAGTCCGAGGTCGGCTAAAACAGCCTCTACGGTCCATAAAGGAATTTGGTACTGCGGAGACGAAATTCTTTTGCATGGTGTCAAGGAATATGCATGACAGATGCTGGATGTTTGCTGGGATGTGATTCTGAGTGAATACAGTGCAGTATCTCTGGAGTGATGATCTGATGGGTGCAAAGAACCCGAAGCATTGCTGGGGGGGCATATGTGCTGCTGGTGGTAGTCCCCAAGGCTGCTCGATGATAGTAACATTTCGAAGCAGCTGTGGAGCTTCTGTCATCGTGGTAATGGGATTCGAATGTGAGGTCGAGTTGATGGTTTTCTGAGAGGGAGGGCGAAAGTTGCAAGGAGTCAAGCGGAATGTGTGTAGGTGCGGGCCACAGAAGCGAGCCTTGACGGCGTTTGTTGGGGCATGGCACCGGGAGAACGGTCTTCAACATGTCAACTCCATCGTGTGACCGAGGAATGTAGGGCTGCATACCCTAGGGCCCAGCCTTCTGCGACAATATCATGGCACCAGCATGCTTTTTAGTGGGGCTGATCCCATATAAGCAGTCAAGGTCGCCCCTTGCAACTGTGAGATCGACTGGTTCTTTCCAAAGCTGGTGCTACCCAATATAAACGACGTCATACATCAACATTGGGATGCTTCTTCCCCGATAACTCGCAACAATTTGCTTAAACTTCTTCTTTTCCTCGCATCTCCTTCCACTAAGGTCGGTCTGCTCGTCAAATCATGGCCACTATAACATCACCGATGAAGCGGCCGCTCTCCCGCGACCAAAGACCTCCGGGTGATGAACCATTAAACTCGCCCGCCAAAAGGCGCCGAGTAACAATTGAAGGATTTCCCATTGAAGCACCTGCTGCTCCCGAGATATTTGCAGACCCCGAAGCCCAACGGGTAGAAAACACGGCCGCATCTGTGGAACGTGCTTTCGCCTTAAGGAGTGCCTTCGGGAGCGATAACCTGCCAATAGAATGCAACTGTCCTCCCCTGCGCGGTCGCTCTGACTATCGCGGCTGGCGTCGCAAAATGCGAGTACTTCTGGACCGCAACTTTCTTCTGGGTCTGGTGGAGGGCAAAATCGGTCAACTTCCTCAATCGCATCGCTTCGAGTACGAATTAAAGAACCTGAACGCCGCTGCGAAGATGATCATTAATGCGAACCTCTCTGTCACTACCAGGCCGATTGTTCGCAATATGCACAACCCGCAAGAGATGTGGCAGAAGTTGGAGAAGCACTGCAAACCGTCCGATTGGAGTCTGGCACGATCGGGCTGGCTGGAGTTGCAGAATATCAAATACAGCCAATGTGCTGATGCCTGGGAATATGTTTATAGGGTGGATGATGCATGGCGATGTATCTGCCTTGATGGGGAGGACGCCTTTGAGAAACATGAAATGGCCCGTTGCACGAGCCTCGTGTGTGGATTGGATACGCCGAAGTGGGAAAGTTGGAAGATGCGTCTGCTTTCTGATCGCAGGGCTAGTATACCAAGCTGGGAAAGTCTTGTGAAAAGCTTGACCTCGGCGGAGGACAAGGGCATAGTGTCTGATGTGATTGGTATGGCCATCTGACTTGGACTTCTAGCCGGATGTTCTGTGTCCTGTTCTGTGGCAGTACGTTAGATGTGGTATCTTTCATGCGAATCTGATTTCAGCTCTGCTGGACATATCATGAGTTTCACCTGGGATCCCCTTGAAGGGTTAGCAGAGTTCACAATGTAGTTGGCGAGTAATGGACAGGAGTGATAGTGATAATATTTGGAGTCTTACGGACTAGAAAATTGGTCTTCTGGCTGTGATATCTCACTGCTCTACCGACCCTCACTTCTACAATTCATAGGGGCCAGCCCTCATACATGTCCAGCCAATTGCGGTGCGGCATGATAGATGCTCATGTTACTTTTTGCCCGAGGCCTGTGACGAGCGCACATGGAACTAGGACTGCGAGGGACGGGGAGGGAAGGACTTGTCATATTATTCCCTCCAGAGAGGGTCTTTAAAGATGGCCTGGAGGTGGTCAAGCATCTCCACCGTGGTCCGATATCTATTTCTCATAGTGGGGTCGAGACGCGGTTGTAGCTGCGCCTGAGCCTTACAGTGCCGCCCGTTTTTGCCTTCCATATCTGGATGGAAACAAAAATAGGTATGACATATCCGAAATCTCTGACCGCCTCTCTGAGAAGGAAGACTGAACAGGATCTGTGCGAGTCAGATATACTTAGTTGTGCCTGCAGGATGCAGTGAATACTGAATAAACCAATCGAACGGTATGAGGGCCAAGTGGATTACAGTATCTGTGGGGAAAACTATAATTTCCCTGCTGCCTCGCTCAAGCGAAGCGTTCAGCTCGAAGCGGTGTATAACCTGTCGAAGGGCATCTAATCGGCAACAGTAGTTGTGTATGCAGATGTGGATCAGTATAATAATGTGATGGACTTGATGGCTAAAATTCCATGTAAGGCATCAAGAAATGCTTTGAGAAGGCGGTCTACAGAGCAGATTAATTTTTGAAAGATCCAATCAGAGCTCTGTTCCTGCGGATACATTATCCGGTGAAGAAGTTGCAAGAGTGTGGAGGTATAATTGATTTCGATAACTACTGTAGGGCATCAATCAGCGGGCGTAAGAATCCAACCGAAAACAGCGCAAACAGTATCCTATTGTCAGAAGCTCTCCATATGTGTGTGACGTGTCACCGCCAAAGCCTCTAAGACTGCAGACTGCAGTTCAGCTGGATAATGCGATATCTGAGCTCCCCCACTCGTCTTTTATAAGTGCCCAAGAGGTGGGAATCATGCATGCGCACGGACTGCCTGACGTAGTCCAACTGGAGATCCATCCCTTTTCTCATCAGCTCTAAGTTCGTACTCCCAGACCAATCTGGGTAATTTAAAGACCATTCTCTAGATTTACTTGTGATGATTTGTTTCGACGTGTCGTCCTTCCTGCTTCATAGGGGATTTCCTGGTATTGAAGACGCATTCAAATTATCGTTTCAGAATTACATTGGTGGCTTACGGATGAAAAACAGAGCCAATATTTGGAGAGTCGGTAAGTCCGGCTGGCGCCGTCTATGCATGCATGCAGAGTTCTTACCCCTTGAGTACGGGGAACGATATTCCTATATGCATTATGTTACGAAGATATTCGTCACCGTGATCAGCTTCGGTATTAGTTCTGGGTGGCTTCAGCTGATTATGATGTCAAAACTGCTTGTGTATTCTGCCTCTGCTCCATCGAGGAAGAGGGGCCTATTGAAACAGAACGAATGAAGAGCACGAAGCTGGAAACTCTAGACTTGTTAGACCTGCGGATGGGGCCTATCTCTTCAGGTTTTGAAACTAGGCATGTAACCCGGCCCATGCAGGGCTTTTGCATAAGATAACCTGGCTAATATTAATCCTTGTAGGTTGGGCTGGGTTTCGTGAGCAGGGCCTAGTAGTTCAATCGAACTGGAACTTAAATACCGTCCAACTCCCACAGCACGGCAGTAATCGATCAAGCACCATACTTCCACATTCTAGTTTCACCAAATACAACCAGTTACCCACGTTTACAATGCCTGCATTTGCCAAAGGTATATTTCATCTGCCTTCTTTTGAAGATCAACTCGTCTTGAAATAAAACTGACCGCTTTCCCAGAATCGGACATCGCTTGCAGTGCATGGGGTGCCGACAGTGATAGGCTTCTCCTGTACGGCCAAAGCGATAATGGCGAAATTCTTGAATACAAATATGATGATGGAAGATTCAAGTTTCTGGGAGTTGTTACAAAAGCAAGAGCTGCCTCTCCAATTGCCGTCGCAAGTAACAATAAGAACTGGGTAGGTTGGCTTCCTGTGTAAATTCTTGAATAATGATAAAACTAATCGGTAAAAATGGTCTAGATCCGGGTTTACTTTCTGGATGAAGGGAGACATGTCGTTGAGGCGGCCAACAAGGGAAGTGGCTGGGAATTGTCAACATGGGGAGTGACATTGCATGCTGCATCGCGGCTTGCTGCCCGTAATGACGACCATGGTATTCGTGTTTTTGGGCAAGCAGAGAACGGGAATTTTATCGAGATCAGTAAGTTCCCTATCCAATCAACTAACTTCACGAATCAGCCGTTGATAAGGAGCCTTTCCATTCTAGCGCGCAAGGGATCTACAACGTCATGGAAGGTCATCTCCAAAAGATCAGTTCCCGGAACTTCTATTGCCGTCCCTCAGAATGGTATTGATAGGTGAGAATAAAATTTGTTGGGGTGTTGCAACTAGACCTAACAAGTCTCCACAGGCTCTTCTTCCTTGAGGTGCCGGAAAAGCACGAGCACGATGACCTTTTTCCAGACATGAAAAACGACTTGCTGGTTAAGGGGTCTAGCATTGTGACCAACTGGTTGACCAATCAGTTACACAAAGTACCAGATGTTGAACTCGCCCAATATAGGTTAGATGGCGAAGGGACTTCCTGGGTTAAGATAGATTCTTGGCTATCCGCAGTGCCAAATATGCAGCTCGCTATTACGGACATTGGAAGTCAGATGGAAATCATGCGGACACGCAATGGAAAGGTGCATGAGAGCTGGTATAAAGGGGGTTGGCATCACAATGGCTTCGAAAGCAAGATTTCTGATGGTCCCATTGCTATCGTGACCTGGCGGGACCATAGATTTGCTGTCTTTTGGCATGATGTCGATGATCCAACAAAGATCAATTGGGCTGAAGCCAGGACTGATGGATGGCGTGCTAGGGAAGCGTTCAACTGAGTTATATTAATTTTACTACTCGGTATATCGTGACTAGGGCACTGTTTCGCCGGGTTATACGGGCAGGGGCTCTGGAACCAGTCTGTTCTTCTTGCTTGGCGAGAATGAAAAGCGTGTGGTGACCTAATCCAATGTCTAAACGGAGTTGGGAATAGGACTGAGTGTAAGCTGCTACTCGTGTGGCTATCATCCACACATCCTCTTCTTTCCTTTCTCTTGTTCCTGTCTGAAATTTCGTTAATAAAGCGCCAATAAAGTCATCATTTTGACCTAGTTGACCGGCTAACACACTCGGCCATGTTTTCTTCGCTCACCATCCTGATCAAAGTTGTTGTAGCCTGCATATCGCGTTTTGAAATGGATTATAAGCCGTAGCCCACTAGGCTAGGTACGGATTCGTATTTTGGTCTAGTTAGGTAAACCAACTTTTTGCGAGGGGTCAGGGTAAATGAAACAATCAACCAACCAAATAACTGCATCGTGGATGCTCATTACAGTACATTAGCGCTTTTAGTTGCTGAGGGGGGTGCCTTTTGTGGACACGTTGTAAGTTGCCCCGTTCTGACATTAGATTGAATTCTCTTATACTCTAGCGCAGATGGCAAAGAAAGTCCGGCTCTTTCTTTCCGTGATCGATGGCGGCCACTTATATCTTCTCTATCGTTATAACCGCATGTCGAAAGTGTCCTTCGGCGCTCTTCTGTTTTACACCAACCTCATGAACGCACCGTCGAAGGAAGGCATGAAACCCTTGGCCAGGATTCTCTTCATATGCTGACCAAGCTTTCTTGATATAGGCCTTTAGTTCGGCAAAGAATTCTTCAATGGGGTTGAAATCCGGCGAATACGGCGGCAGGTACAGCAACTTGACTCCTGCGTCAGCACATAAGGTCTTGATCCGGTCGGAATGATGAAAAGATGCGTTGTCCATAATAAGCACAGATTTTGGCTCCGGCCACCTCCCACAGTGCTGCAGAAGCTGCTCGATAAACGATTCGAAAGACGATTCGAAAAAAGTGGCATCAGTTGAAACTTTGAAAATACGGGACAGAATGATGCCGTCTTGAGCATATGCAGGCAGTATCTGGAATCGCTGGCCGCGATGAAATTTCGACACTTGGACCGGTGTCACGCCGAGGGGTGACCAGCCAGTTCGTCTATATCCAATCCTTTTATCACATCCAGACTCATCGACAAATACAAGATGATGTGACCGAAATTCAGATAGCTTATGTTGGTAGAAATCTCGTAGTTGTGGGTTCTGTTCTTTGGCTTTCTGTTGGGCTTTCTTCTTTGTCCAGCCCGTCCGTGAAAGAGCACGTTTGATGCTAGATGACGATGGTAGAATGTTGAACTCATCCCATAGGAAGATAGCCATCTCTTCGATGCATAGGCCAGGCTTTTTGGCGAGGTGGTCACAGAGGGCGTCAAGCATGCTAGGAGCGATACTTGGTTGTCGGCCGACCGAAACTGGGGGAGATCTGGCACTACCGAATAACCGCAAGTTCTTGCGTATGTTAGTGATCGAGCGCTCACTACACTGCGCCACCTTTGTCATTTGCGATGTAGTGAGCCCGTTTTTGCTGTATATCATATGAAGAATCATCTTACTCTACCAGGACTCGATGTTTCTAGCCATTTTGTAAGTGTGGGTGACTGCAGTTGCGAGGTTGAGAAGAATGAGAACGAACGACCCTCTGGCGTGTTGGGGGGTTTGGTAAGGGGGGAATTTATTTTTGGATATCGTTTATTCTTGGACAGATAACAGTACATGACTATACAGTTTGATACTTTCATGCGTATTAGCATGTAACCCTGGAACAAATCCTCAAATACGGAATTAGCCGTATGAGGTTTGAAAGAGTGTCTCTCTGTTTTCAGGTATGGAGAGCAATAACGGGCGGCACTGTACCAGCGCAAGGCTAGAGACATACGCCATGCGATATCTCTCTGGCAGGTAATGGTCGGCGTTCAGCTGCTTAGCAGCAATCTGAATCAGTTTCCGCCGCGCGTCTCCAGAGGGGTAAGTCGAGTACGGAAGTCTCGCGCTGTAGCGGGTTGCGGCGTAGCCTTAAGCCTGTGCCCTGTGGGAAACTCAGAGGAGTGAATTGAGAAGAAGCAGGGAGAAAGAGCAAGACAAAACAATCTGGGGAAACTGCGAGGCTGGTTCTTGCTGCATACATGACAAACAATTGGAAGTTTTGAGGAAGCTGCACGCACGAAGAGTCCCTTCCTATTCGGGCAGCGTCGATGTTTGTTCAACTCTCACAAACATAAATAAAGGCCACGCACTTTTGTTTTCTATCTTCTTAACACCACGCACTTTGTCTCCTCTTTTTAACACCACGCACCTTCTCTTTTCTTAATACCACGCACCAAATAACTGTTTCGTCTGAATAGGTATTATCCGGTATTGGACGAATCTGTGAGTGCCAGTGTTTGTCTCCCAAAGTTTGGTTTGCAACTAACGTATAAATAAGCACCAAGATGGCGGAACCTGTTACTGCGGGTATGCTTACAACACTGCCACCGGAAGCAATTCGGTTGGCCCACGCTCTTGCTGCCTATTTCCAGGCGCATGATAATCCAGACGACCACCTTAACCCTTTCGACGTTTATGAAAGGAACGTTATCGCATACATTGCAGAAAAATATGATCCGGAGTCTAATGCCACGGGATCGTCCACTGATTTTCCCGCCAGCTGGGCAAACGACAGTTCCCAAGTGTATTCGGCAATCGTAACGGTCTTCGATCTAGCCTTTGGCCTTTCAATGCCAAGCACGAAATCACGACCTACGAGGTCATTGCTCGATCTACCTGTGGAGTTGCTCTGGCTTATTGAGCGGCAGCTACCTGACAAAGACGTTTACAGTCTTTGCCTGACAAACCATTATCTGTATCACGTCTTGAATGAGTCCCTTTGCCGACGAGGTATGGTGAATCTACGTGCGCTCCGATTGAGTCTATGTTTGAACAAAAAGCAAGCATTCGCCAAGGCAGTCGAAGTATTGTCGTCACCTCTTCCACCACACTTTCTCGGAAACACACAGTCGTTGTTGTACCACATAAACAACAGGAATGTGGGGTTAGTGGGGCTGATGGTTTCTAAAGGCGGCCTACTCAAACAGCTACTTGATCAATTGATCAAATTCATTCTTGACGAACGACTACGGCAAGGACCCACCACTCGTGCTGACAGGTGGAAGTCACTTGAAAACTGTCTGAGATGGGGTTTGAGTCCAAATTATGTCTTCCCGGACGGTATGTCCTTGATGGCACAAGCCATCGTGAAATCAACCATGAATCCGTACACACAGTACAGAGAGGTAAGACGCTTCTCGCTCATGGGGCTGACACAGGTTGTCTCGCCTCCCTGCCTGAAAAGGATTCAATGCTGCATCTAGCATGCCTTCATTATCAGCCCAAGGTCGTGCAGTTGTTGCTCGACGAAGGTGCAGACCCTAACCTGAGAGACGCACACGACCGCACACCCGTCCATAGGTTGTTTGACACGCACGAAACCAAGTGGAGAGAATCAGGTAATCTGCTTGACATCCTCCTCGCGTACCCAAATGTCAGAATCGATGAACGTGATGGCAATGGCCGGACTCCACTAAGCCTTGCTGCAGGCCACTCAGTTAACTTATTGACGGCTCTGAGAATTTGCCAAGAAGGTTGTTTATCTGCCAGATAGAGTCGATATCAACTCTCAAGACAATGAGGGGAAAACACCGCTTTGTCACGCCATATCTGCCAAGGAATATGACATGGTGCGTCTGTTCGTCGCGCAGCACAGCCTTGATCCCAACCTCGGTCCGGCCGATGCATTCCCTCTGCTTCTCGCTGTTGATTATGATAAGCTGCCAATTCTTGAGATATTGCTGTGCTCGAAGCAACTGGATCTGAATAAGCAAAACAGCGAAGGGGAGACCGCCTTGTTGAAGGCACTTCATATTGGCAATAGGGAAGCCGTCAAGTTGCTTGCCCGAGCTGGTGCGGACCCTGATATTGAATCATGCGAAGGCGTGACAGCACGGCAGGCAGCCCTGGATGCAGACATTCGTGTCAGATGGAAGGCTCGCCCGAACTAGGTGTTTGGGTGTCTAACTTGCTTGTGTTTAAGGAAATCATAGTTTCTAGCCAACAATACCAGCACCGCCTTGTCTTATCTGAGAATGCAAGTCCTACTCCGTAGTCCGTACTAGTATGTAGATACAGTAGATGACTGCCTGCGGACATTTTGCCGGCTCTATACACATTAACAATTAGACACCCATCGACCTCTCTAAAATTGGAAGAGTTGAAATATCCCAGGTAGCCACCTTCCACGGTTTCCATTCCAGGGCCGGGTTTAAGCATGGTGATGAGTCGATGACTCGAATAACGCTGGCACAGCACTGCAAGGCCGCACGAGTGACGATGCCAAGGCGCCAGGGGCAGGGCATTCACGCTGGGGTATTCCCATTCTGGCATTGTCCAAGTAGATCGATCTGACACTAGGTGCTGACCGTGCTGTCCAGAGTTGGTCCGAGGCGGCGAGGTTGTACTTGCCACATGGTGACATGGTCGATGCCACCTTGCAAGTTGGCCACGCCACGTGCGCTGATCGAAGGTCGCGACTTGCGCGACTGCAATGGAACCTCATTCTGCTCGGGTTCTACTATTCCGTAGTCTTCGGCTTATTGCATGCCGTCTTGGAGATTTGCAATATTAGAAGGATGTCCAGCGGTCCGCCGGTCTTGATTCTCTTCATCTAAACTTCTCTCGACCATGCGCGGTCTGAGTTGGCTTCCCGCCACCTCCGTCCTAGGAGTAGGCCTCAGCCCCGTGTCCCCCGCGGACACCTTCTACCCGCCAACTTTGAACAGCACAGCATACATTAGCAATAGCTCAATTGGCACATATGGTGGCACCTACGAAGCTGCAAGAAATGGTCCTGCCGGAGGTACCCCCTACGGCATCTATAGCTACTGCTCTATGCCGCATCCTCGTTCCCCAGAATACGAGCTGCCGGAAGCTCTGACCAACGGGTCAGCTGACGCAAAGCTTGTTTACCTCGAGTATCTACAGCGCCACGAGCGACGCTCTCCATACAATATCCTCCCCGGCGGCGAGGTACGCAACTTTAGAACGGAAGCCCCGCCTAACCTAACAGGCTAACACACCACTCCAGAACCAAGCTTACCATTGCGACGATGTCCGCCCGTATCTCTACGCGGGCCCCAACAGTGCAAACGGCATCCAGCCCATGCCAATGTATGCACAGACATACCAGGATACCTCCAACCCTTTCTCGCCAGGAGTGAACGGTACCTGTCAGTACCCCCAAATTACCATAGGGGGGTATCCAAGACGGGTATCAACACGGGAAGGATCTCTGGCGCGTCTACGGAGACAAGCTTGGCCTGATTCCTGCGACGCCTAACAAGCGCGTTTGGTTCCGCTCCAGCAATTCCCCGCTCACTCAAGCGTCGGCTGGCGCCGTCCTGCGCGGCATGTGGCCCGACTACGAGGGAGCTCTTCCACTGCACCAGATGGTGTCCTCTGTCGATACCGTTGACAGTGGATACCCCTGCTCTGCTGTTGATTCTACCCTACTCAGCTTGAAGTCTACCACGCAGTGGAAAGAGCATCTGAATGTCACTGAGGGGTTGCGCTCGAAATTGAGCGCCATTCTGGGCGCAAATGCAACTTCATGGCAGAGTACCTTTGACCATTTCTCTGATAATTTCCAGGCTCGCCTTTGCAATGGCTACAAGCTACCGTGCAGTATATCTAATTCCTCAGCCTGTGTCACTATGCAGATGGCCGAGGAGGTCTTCCGTGCTGGTGATTGGGAGTGGAACTACTACTGGCGTACAAATCCGGATGTGGTCAAGTATATCCAGGTAGTTGAGGGCTTGTTCATTGGTGAGATCATTTCCCGTCTGCAGGCTGTCCAAGATGGAAGTCCCTCTGTCGACTACAGTCATATATTCATCCACGATGGAGACATTGGCCCTATTCTTGGTTCTCTGGGGATTGAGGCGCTGCGCTGGCCGGGTATGGCGGCCAACATTGCTTTTGAAGTTTGGTAGGTCAGATTCTATGGGGTAACTTTGCCAATAAATGGTGCTTCTCTAATACTTTATAGGGAGATGAAAGCGGAGCAACATGATGGCTCTTTGTTCGCTCGGGTGTTGTACAGCGGTCATCCTGTACGAAGCATCCATGGTCCCCTTGACTGGATCCCTCTCTCGAAACTGATTGATATCATGAGCCCCTATGTCCCTGGCGATATCATTTCTCTCTGCGGGTAGGCAGACTTATAGCCGAAGATTCCCGGGGCCAGCGTCAAGAGCACTTCAAGATTTCCTAGACTCAAAATCATATCAATCTTCAATCATATATTCAACTTCTTCATTATTAACCAAGATTTTATCACAAAGCTCTAGGTAGCTTTAGTCTCGTTCCAAATTATATAAAAGTCACGTCACAAAACAAAAAGAATTAGTACACTCATTCCGCCGGCTCTGAGATAGCAAACTTGCTCATAGCGCGAAGCTTGCTACCATAGAAGTAAAGCAACCAGATACCAATAATACCAATAACACTCAGACCACCGAGCAGACTCGTACCACGGTCAACACCCAAATTCCCAAACAGCGGGTGGGCGAAGAGAATACTACCGCAAGCCAGAGCACTGCGGAAGAAATCATTTGCCGCAAACAGACTGGCCGCGTACATGGGGTAGCTGAGAGGGATATAGATGAAGATGGCCTGCATGACGATAAAGACCGTACCACCGTAGATAGTGATACCAATCGTTGGCACGATCCAATGAATAGACGCCCGCGCCGTCCAGGCAAACAGGAAAAGACCGATGGTAGGGCCAAAAGAAGCGGGCAACGCAGGAATCAGACGGTCTTCCTGTACGGGGAAGCCGAAGCGGCGGATGCGGGGATTCACCCAGAAATAGATGTAGCCTCCGTAGATGGCGATTCCCAAAAGGCAGGATACCAGGATACACAGGAAGACTAGACCGATCTGGCCCAGGTTCATGCCGTAGTCGACTGGATAGACTAGCGGGAAGACCTCGAAGAAGGAGTAATAAATGCCGTAGATGATGGCTGTGTAGACCTGGACGAAGAGCACGGCAGGATCCTTGATTGTGATTTCCATGGGCTTGATCAGGGCGTTGATGGTTACGTCTCTGACGCGCATGTGGCGCTGGTCGATTTCGGACTGCGACATGAAACGTTTGTCGTTGTGGATTCTGCGGAGACGGGCTGCGCGCCGGAGGAGGATTGTTGGTGTGCTTGTTTCGGGGAGAAACAGGAACATGAGGACGAGGACTGGGGCGGATGCCCAGATTGATTCGAAGAGGGACCAGCGCCAGCCTTCGACGGGGACGGAGAAGCCACTGAGGAGGGGACCGAGAGCGGCTGGATGGTTTGTTGTTAGTGTATGTACTGACATTGGGTGTGGGGATAGAGGAAAACTTACGACCACAGTATGCTGCAGCAACCCAGGCCATCATGGCGAAAGGCAGGGACGTTAGGCTATACAGATCTCCGATGGAAGCGCCGCCAGATGCAAGACATGGTGAGCCGAAGAATCCCTGCAGGAAACGAAGCACCAGCAGACCGGCAAAGTTGCCCACGAAGGCTGTTGGGATTGAGAGTATCACGAACAGGAACATTGTGACGATGTAGACTGGGTTGCGTCCAATCACTGGGATCTCACTGAGTGGAGAGAAGAGCAAGGGTCCGATGCCATATCCGAGAACGTAGAGAGATAGACCCAATGTGGCTACCAGAGTGCTCACGCCAAACTCTCTCATCACACCTTCGGTGGAAGATGTATAGATTGCAGAGGTTGTATATACGACAAAGGTATACAGACATATGATGGTAACGACAAGGGCACGCTTGCGATTGGTCCAGTTGTGCGGGTTCTCTGAATCGTCGGTATAGTACCAATCCACGAGAATGGAGCCGTCTTTTGTTTTCTTAGGGCAAATGGGGATGGACTTAGTTCTCTCAATGTCGAGTTGTTCTTCTGCCACTGGGGTAGCTTCTGTCGATCCTGTAGATTCCTCTGCCTCGGAGCGAGCTTCGGTCGATTCTGTAGGTTCCTCTGTCTCGGGGCGAGCTTGCGGTGATTCTGCAGATGCTCGGCGGGTGGAGGCGCGACTTAGAGGCTCACTGCTTCGGTTGGAATCTTGCGAGGTCGTCCCCTTCTCGCTTGCGTGTTGTCCATCTTGGGTATTGTTCAGCATTTCGAGCCATGGCTCGGGAAGCTGGAAGTCGGGCTTTTCTTCGGGGTACTTGAAGTATTTGTTCTTCGTCAAAAGACGAACAAGCTGCCCAAATGGGGCATCGCGAATGGCAGCTTCCATGATGGTAAGAGTATATATTAGTATTAGGTACTTGAATATACTGGAGAAGAGGTCCGGAGTGAGATTCGCGGAGGCAGAGCAGACAGACTATATACATTATCATGTCCATTGCTATATTTGAAATCCGGGGCAGTCAGATTAAATCCGCACATTAAGAATCAAAATTGATTCCAAAGCAGTCAAAATCGCATCCAATGATCGATCATTATTTTCGAAGAAACTTGGTATATCGACCCTGTCCAGGCCAATCCATGGAGTTTAACACAAACGCCGACCCGGGATCTCAGATGAGTTTGCCCGAGCCCGAGCGTATCTCCCTGCGTATACCTAATATGGACAGCTATAGCTGCTATTTCCAGGGTTGAGGCTCGTAATCGAGGAGCTCTCCGGATCTGTCAGATCGGAGTCCTGCGAATCAGCTGCTTACAGATCGATGTTGAGTAATCCCACTCATCACATCATTGGTCAGTCTTCGGATATAAGCGGCCTAGCCCCGTCGCTGACATGATGACATCTTCCATTTTGATATCTCTAGATGTTAAGCGTATTTCATGAGAGGCTTAGAGTATTATGCTAGATATTATTAAGACATGTTCTGTGAGACTGGGTTAAATGGTCTAGTGCTTGAGCGCCTAAAAGGCTGCAACGATCACTTGTGTTCAATTGTCAAGTCATCGCCAGCCACGATTATTAAACGCCAAAGCTTGAATATGTAATCCAGGTATTGCGCAATGAATACCAGCAGCTAACGCAATGTATTATATAACATGAAGAAAAGGAAGAAGAACCTAGAAGAAGAAGAAGGAATATATACAACCCGAATTTCAGACATAAATCATTGCACATGAGGCATAACAGTGAGCTCAGTCGAATGGTTCTAGTAAGGGATAAAGTCGAACTGCATTCGATCTATACATTGGTTAGCATGATCCTAAAATGGAATGATACAACCCTTACCAAGGAAGTGGCTCCAGTCTTCTTCTTCGCCAAGCTGGTTAGACCAATACTGCTCGAGGAACTTCAGTGACTGAAGGACATTCGGTATACGGATAGTCTCATGCAATGACGATAGCAACTGCCGGACTATTGCCCGATCTTCGCCATGTGCCTCGCATCCCGCAATGAAGATTGGCGTCGTTAGCATCACCCAAGGCGAGAGCCCTGACGATGGGCCAATTTGGGCCGTGCACTCTAGGATGCGTTGGACCGACTGCTGCACTTCTGGCGAGGAACTTGGTGTCTTCCGAAGACGTCGGTGGATCTGGATAAGCGCACTGTGTTGGAACGCCTCATTGCAGAGTAAAAGTTGTTGCGCGCTCTCCGGCGACAGCCCCTCAGCAGCCCCTGGGTAGAACGATGGCTGTGAATCTGAGTCGCGATTCATAAGCTGACGAATCGCAGATTCCAAGGACGCGGCATCATCCTCCACACTGCTGTCAACCTCCCCAGCAACGAAGCCCTGTCCGGTCTTCTCTGCTTCCTGGCTTCGCCAGGCCGCAGCACCAATCTGCCGGAAAACGGCCGCTAGGTCTACACTGAAACCCCAATAGTCATCTAGATAATCGGTAGAACCCCCCAGCCCCATCAAATCAGACGAGGCAAAGTCCGAGACATCTCCAATGGGTGGACCATTCCCCGTCAATGCCGTGAGCGACACAATCGACCAGTACCAGCGATCTAAATACCGCCGGAACCCGCTGGTAGACCGTGGTGACTCTTCACCAGTGGCATCCGCAGCTCTCATCAATGCCCTCGCCCCGTCGATATGTGCTCTCCATGAGTTCGGATTGATCGCCCCGGAATGAATCTCAGCTAAGCAAAGGGTCCGGGCCGTCGCTACCAGAGCCTCCGAGTCCTTCGACGAAGGATTCCCCAGCTCTTTTCGGAAGTGTTCAAGGCTGAGAGCCATTAGCCTGGCAATATCCGGTGCTGTTTTGGCTGTCTCCGACTGATTATTCAGGGCTTGTATATGGATCGCTGAGAGGGCGGTGGTGGCATAGAGTAAGGAAGGGGTCTGAAGAGCCATGGGGATGAGCATGCGGCATATGTCCTGCTGCATCCCGGAATGCGAGGCGGTAATCTGCGAGGCATCGTGTATAAAATGGTGCAGTAAAGCCTTTTGGTCGGAGGACAAGGATGAAAAGGGATCGACGGGTTGCGATAGAGTCAGATCTGATGCGGTTCTGGCGCTGACTGGCTGTGCCGTCGCCTTGGTGGTGTAGATGAATTCTCCTGGAGAATATTCTGAAACGATTAGGGCCATGTAGGCGCAAGATTGGGAACTGCGTACATACCAAGTCTCTGCATACCTCCGGTCCCCCCAACGCAGGCCCCGAACCGGGATCGTGAGAACGTCCGTCCTCCCCACTGCAACTGCATCGCATAATGGCACTGCTCGCCTGCGGTCTGGCAGCGCCCGCAGCTCGGTCGCTGCTCGTCGCATTTTTGTCGGCGCGCCTTACATCTCTTGCAGCCTGTGAAGGATCTCGACATGGGTGCTGTGGTCTGGTGGGATGTTGTTCCGAAAGGATTCCTGCGGGGAATTGGAAATCTCCCCGGACCCGAATTCCCGCGTGGCGAATGAAGTTTACTGGGGAACAGCAACAGTTGGTTGCTACATTGCTATGAGAGAACAGGGCAAGTCTCGAATTACTATGTAAACCCCAACTCGCACTCGTGCCTCTTTTTGGACCTTAGTGCCGTACATCTTGGGGGTTTTTTTTAGCGGTCGATCGCAAGATCCACTGTTAGTTTCAATAGATAAGCCTTTGCGTAAGTCAAAGCCATAGGTGAATATGGATCTATTGTCTCGAAGAGAACTGAAGCTAGTATCGCTATGGCAAGAAAATACACACATGCAAACCAGTATGTCCATCCCAGAAAGCCATCAACATAGCAGAACACCCTCAACGGCATCAGCCCTCAAAGGTATACCGAAGCCACTCACCAACGGCATGTAAGCTCTCCCACCGCACTGATTCATCTTTATCAGCCATCAGCTCCATCACCCGTGTCTTCAGGCCCAGTCGTTCCAACTGTCCCCGGCGCTCCGGGACCTCCTTTACTAGGTTCCCTACATCGTTACAAGCGATAGCCAGCACCTGCTTGTCGTTATCCCAACTCTTAGACAGAATCTCGACGAGTTTCTTGGCTAGAGCACCGTTTGAGTCCTCAACAATTCGGCGAGCATTCTCCTTCCAGAAGGTCGGGTTCTTATGAGGGGGAGACCAGCGCAAATGGCCTGATTGAACTTCAGCGGCATATTCATCAAAGGTAGTCTGTGTCTTGGTATATTCTTCCAGCATGGAAGAAAGAGCGTTCAAATCCTCGAGCAGGTCGGGGTCGGTCAGGTGACGGCCAGTCAAGTTGACCAGGAGGGCGGGGAGTCGAACGAACACGGCAATGGGCAACAATGTCGTCCGATTGCTGGAGCAAAGATTGTACAGAGTCGCAATAAGCAAGCGTGTAGTCTTTTCTTTCGGTGAAAGGCGCAGAAGGTGAGTATAGAGCTGGATGATTTCATAGTTCCTAAGCGAGGTTAGCAGACATTCGAAATGCAGGTCAAATGATCGCCACCACTTACTCTTGAAGTTCATCGCCAATCAAAGATCCCTCAAAAGCAAGCTGCCACAGCACTAGGAGCACGCGATACAGAAGCTGTAGACCAACACCACCAGCGAGACCAGGCTCGACGCCGCGAGCGCTGCTTCCCAGTGTGCTAGCATTATCTTTAGCCCCCGCCGCAGTTCGAAGAGTCTCGATCAATGGATCCAAAGTCTCCTGGCGTTGCGCCCAAAAGAGCTCTCGGGCTCGGCTCGTTCTCAGTAGCTCTGAAAACCCTTGTACGCCAATGTCCTGAAGCCCACTGTCCTGGCTTTTGGTCAATGTAGAGAGATAGGTGTACAGCTGTGGAAGAGCCTGGTTGTCTCGCGGTGCCGGTTTCGATGACGCGACAAGACTGTGCGATACAAGTGCAGTAAGGAAGGTGGATGTGAGCAAAGGGATTGGGTCTTCGGCATTTGTCGAGTGCTGCAGGAATGGTAGGAATGGCTTGTATGGTTCTGGGTGGGAAACAAGCGAATCGGCCAAAGAGGGCACATCTATTTGACATTCGATCAGCATAATCCTGCAAAATTCCTAGTCCGCCTATAGCATCTACCTTGAATCAAGTCCGAGGCCAGCACCAGTATGTACTGCACGATATCTGTCCTTCGAGAGGCCGAGTCCAAGACACTCTTTCCCTGTGTACCGCCAGCCAAAAGTTCTGCATATCCAGAAAGATCCCCTTCTATCGTCTGGCGACGTTGCTCCTTGCGCACCTTGTCCACCGCCTTGATCTTCTTCAAGTGGTCATCAGTGATGTTGCCCGCGCGGACCGCACCCTCCCATGGAATCGGTCGAGCTCGAATGTTGTTCTGGAGGGAGCTGAGATATGTAGGTGGATCGAGCGACATTATGGATGTAGGTGGGGATATCCAAGCCAGGAAAGGGAGTGTCACTGGCTATGATAGATGCAACCGGAGGTGTGTCCAGAGGGGACGGGGGAGCTTGGGGATGACGGAAGCCTGTGCCAAGACCGACGGTATCTCAACCCATGGCCTCAACTTCTGTTCCCGGTACTCCACGTTGCCCTCTCCTCCTTCTGTCTCTACTCTCTTCTTTTGTTTTACTAGCGGGTCTTTATTGCTTCCAATTTCCCGACTCACTGGCTCGGCCATTCCGCGCCTTACTTTCGTTCGAGACTCTGCTCAGTACTGTGAATCCAGCTTAGATTCCGCCGGTCTCTCATCTCGTCGCCGCAACTTTATTATTGTCGACGTTAGCATCAAAACATCTCATATCACTTGTCGTCGAATTGACCACGAAACGTCCCTCGCGATATAATTGCGACAAGTCGGCGTCCGAGCGCAGCCCATCGAACCCATGCCAATGCAACACGAGGCATTTGCCGTCTAAAACTCCCGTTCCCAATTCCCATTGTAGTCGTCTGGTACAATGGCGCAGAACTCTCAGACGCAAAAGCCAAAATGGGGCGTGGGCTCTTTCCTCCAGCAGGCAGTAGCGGGCGTCGAGTCTCGACTGGATCACATATTGATGGACGAGGAGACTAATCACACAAAGCCCGCTGAAACTCATGACGGAGAGATGCCCGCAACAAAAGCTCCCACTGCTCGTATGGAACCTGAAGACCATGTGTAACTGGACGAGCTTGGCTAATGTCTTTTAGCGATTTCCCGCAGTTCATCGACGGCACGAAGAAATGACCGGCTTCAGGAACGGCTGGCTCGAGCCATGGCGAAGCAAGCTGCCTCAAACCTTGGTTCTCAGTCTCCTCATAGCCGGGTCTCATCGCCACCCGCTAGCCCAGTACCCAGCAGTGGCGCTCGGTCCAGTATGGACATTGATTCAAACGTTGCATCGGTGAACGGTGCGGCAGAAGACTCCAAAACCTCACGGCCGAACGACGACAGTAATGCGGCTACATTGATATCACCGAGAACGAGTCATGATCCAGGGGCATCGCCGCGTGTTTCAGCGGACATCAGTGTCTCTGGCTCAGCGCCCAGGGCCTCTATAGATGTGATTCAATCATCAAACGATTCAGCCACAGCCGGCCAAGATACGTCGGATTCACAACGGAGCGAACTTCTGAGTACTCTTGCTTCAAGCGATAGTCCGCGGGCCAGCGTTGAATTGCCATCAGAAGTGCCGGCGGAAGATCTGAACCCGGACATTGCTCGCTTGCAGGCTGACCATAAAGCTGCTGAGGCGCAATGGCAAGAGGAGATACATGGTTATATTGAGCGCATAGATGCATTGCAGTCAAAGTTGAAATACCTCGCTAAGGATGCTGCCGAATCGGCCAAAACTGCTGCGGCAAATGCTACTCCAGGGAGTGCGCAGAAAACCCTCTTGGAAAAAGATGAGAAAATCGCATTACTTCTTGAAGAGGGGCAGAAGTTATCCAAGTCTGAAATGGACCACCGGACTGTGATCAAGAAATTGCGCCAGCAACTCACCGAAAACACAAAATCTCAGACTGAAATGAGGAAAAGGATGGACAGACTTGAGCGGGATGCGGTCAACTCCGAAGCAAGGGCCAAGCGGGCAGAGGCGGCAGAGAAGAGGGCAATCGAGTCTTTAGCATCTCACACCAAGTCAACTAAAGACCTGGAAGCTGTGATCGATGAACGCAATGCACTCAGCCAAACTGTTCAAGAGATGAAGTCGCAATTGAGCCGGGCTGTCGCTCGTGCCGAAGATGCGGAGACAAAAGCGAATTCTGACGCTTTGGAGCAGCAGAAGCGCCAGGCAGCTGAACTAGACGAGGAACTATCTAACCTTAAGATCGAGCGCGACATCAGCGAAGCAAAGTTTAAGAAAACGATCTCCGAATTGCAGGAGAAGATCGAGCAAGAAAGGGAAAGAGCACGTATGCTTGAGGCCGAGTTGAAAGGTGAACAATCTGTCTTGGAAAGTAAAATGGAAAGCCTTCGCTCCCGTGCAGAAGAAGCATCATCGGGGGCAACGGGGGAGACTCAAGCCAAACTTCTGCGTCAGATTGAGACACTGCAAACTCAATATGCTGTCGCTAGTGCAAACTGGCATACATTGGAGGGCTCTTTGCTCTCGCGCCTTGCAAATGTGGAGAAAGAGCGTGATGACGCCGGTCGACGAGAAGTCGATCTGCGGAAGAAAATTCGGGAGATGGTATGATCTCAAGTTATCTCATTTTTTGTTGTAACGCAAATTGCTAACATTGATATAGAACCTCAAGTTGAAGAAATTTGAAGAGCAGTTGGACAACGCAAAAGAGGTCGAGCACGATCTAACCAGCAGACTCGATGCGCGTATGGAAGAGCTTCAGAAGCTGCAACAGCGGCTCGAGAAAGCTGCAGATGAGCTCGCTTCAACGCAGAAGGAGATGGCCGAGCAGAGGAAAGCGAGTGATGCAACGTGGGCGCAGAAGTTGGAGCAGAAGTTGGAAGAAGAGCGGGCCAAATGGAGGGATCAAGTGAACTCCCCATCGCACCTACGCGGAATGTCGCCCGTTGCATCTACTCGGCGGTCAAGCACTCTCGACGCGACAACGCCGGGATTGTCGGATTTCCGCCCTCCTAGCCGGCGCTCATCTGTCATGCCTTTCATGTCACCTGAGATTGGCACCCCGCCCCGGCAAAACTCCTATCCTGCCTCAGTTGCCCAATCCACCCTCTCTCCCCCACCGATTCATTCAAATCAATCATTCTTGGGAGCACCCTCAATCAGCTTCGAGCCTGAAGAGTATTTCGGCGACTCCGGCACTCCTATCGCTCCTTCCGCGTACGGCGGTACGCAAGCACCTCCATCACGTGGTATCAACGACATCATCTCCGAGTCCACGGTCGGCGCCGGTCCATCTGTGCAGCTGGTTGAGCGCATGAGTGCCACAGTCCGCCGCCTGGAGAGCGAGCGTGCGGGTTCCAAGGATGAATTGGCTCGCGTGACGAGCCAGCGCGACGAGGCCCGGCAACAGGTCGTGGATCTTATGCGCGAGCTCGAAGAGAAGCAGGTCTCTGATTCTCGGCTGCGGGAGCTAGAAGCAGAATTGGAGGACCTTGATCAGCGGTACCAGACTACTTTGGAGATGCTGGGCGAGAAGAGCGAGCAGGTCGACGAGCTTAATGCTGATATTGCCGATCTCAAAAAGATATACCGCGAGCTGGTTGACAGCACCATGAAATGAGGGTGAAATGATTGAATGTCTACTTACGATTTTATTGAGCCGCCTGCACACTTTCCGGTCTATCATAATTAGATTTGCAACATCTGGATCTGTAAATAGAATACATGCACATACTGTTCCAGGCATATATGAACATGAGGTGTCAAGCAAGGGAATGCACTGAATTCGCAGAGCCCGGCGTGACCTGTACCGAGTCTGACGTGACTTGTACCAGCTGCTGAGAATTTTCATTCTTCTTCCTATCCCATGTCGCAAGAAGAACATTGAGCAGCTCATTGGCGACCCCCAACAAGAGGAAAATGGCAATAACCTGTCCAAATGTCCATCCTTTTTCTTCGGGGTCGAGGTGGTTGCGACTGATAGTCTGCTCCAGCGAAACAATCAGGTATACACAGAACGAGCAGTATGCCACCTTGTTCAACGTGTATTTGAGCAATGCCTGTCCATGCAGTCTCTTCGGTGGCTCAACACGGTCTGTATAAACAGCAGGACTGACCTCCACAGACCAATGAATCCAACCCCTGGACAGACCCTCAGCCCTACCCCCAGCGGGATTTCGTCTCCGATACATGAAAAACAGACACGGCAACATGCACACAAAAGTAATGGCGAAGCTAGCGACAATTGCGCCCAGACTCCCAAGAATGATATAACGGAACACGGGCGAAGTCGCTTTGACACTGACGCCAAAAACCACATACACCGTGTCTGTGTTGCACTTAGGCTGGCTGCCGAACCTCGGCGCTGTCACCCAGACGTAGACGTTGAAGGCGAGAAATGCACCCAGAGCTAGGATTTGCATACTGGCAAAGTAATAAAGTCTTAATGGGCCAAGTCCTGTGTACCGGCCTTTGCTGACTAGGTCCATGCCTAAGATGGCCAGAAGGTGTATGACACATATTGCGTGAAAGAGCGTCAGCTCGTCCCGGAATGTCTGATAGATTGCTGTACAGAGGAGCGCTAAACCTTGCATGCCGAGGGCGGAGGAGACTCCTCGTGAGAATTCTTCTTGGTCCTTGCCGGGATAAAATACCCGGAGTAGGTAGCTCACTATCGAGCCGCCTAGGCAGAGGGCGTAAATTGAGATGCGGATCTGTCGGGGGTTAGCTGGCGGTTCTTCTGACTTCTGTTCAGGGTATGTGAATGGGTAGCGATATAGAACGGATGCATGTGATGAGACTTACCCCGACTCCAGATACATCGGGGTTGGCCTCGATGATACAGGCTGTTGCGTTCATCGTATGTACAATAGCCCTCGCAACAACATGAGTGGAGGGGGAGAGATACTCTATATCTCAGTCTCGGTTCAAGTATCCACTATCACTTGCATGGAAGTTGGCAAATATCTCTCGGCTCGCATGACGAAAAAGTGACAAGAGGTACAGAGAACAAACCTACTGTGTAGGTGCCCGGGTACTAAAGTGGCTCAGCATCAGCCTTGCGCCATGTTAGTTACAATAATCAGGCCAAAGTCTGATTCTTCAATGTGCGATAAAGCCAAGACCGCTGGGCGTAGCACATCGCCCCGAATTCTCGATCATGGGATTGGATTGTATCCAGCTGCCCTCGTGTGGCGCCTGTGCAAATGCTCACGCTAGACCCGAACTAGGGCTCGCACCGTCGCACGGCCACGCTGAAGCGTTAGCTTCGCCAACCGAGCGCTGTGATTGGTCAATCGAGAACTGTATATGAGCTTACTGCAGCACCCTTCGTTTGATTTCGGGTGACTTTGCCTCTTTTCATAGCCAACATGGGAGCCCAGGCTTTTCAGCCTCTTGAGGAGCCCATCTGGCGACCCCGCGAAGCTTGACAACCTGCTACCTGCCATGTCCTGGCTGAAGAAAGCATTTTCTTATAAGACATGATCGCGCTTATGGAGCGGATCAGAGTTGTGATTTAAACGTTTGACTGTGGGAATCCTTATCGCTTACGTTCTACTATATACACAGAAAGGGTTGTTGCCCACAGTTTCACAGTGGATATGGACGATGTCAAACATCCTGCTATCAACAGTAAGTTGACTACATCTTCGTTCACCCAAAATCCAAGCTGTCAGAATGTGCCTCCCAGCCATCCTTGTATCCCCTTGCTATATGTCGATTCAAACTCACCTTCGCCTCTCTAGTATGGACGTTCTTTGCCCTAGCCGCGCTCGACATTGCAGCAAACGCCGCCGCAGGTCCAGCTGCAGTAGCTACGGCCGCCCATGTCAATGGAAGTCCACTGACAGCGCGAGCAATGCAGATCGGCGCCATCGCCGGCGTCACTAAGTCGGGCGTGTTGGCCTTTGTCGAGTTCGTGGGATATGCGGGCTTGCCTACGCCCGCTTGGATACTTCTAGTGTTGGTGGCGAGTAGCTTTGGGGTCTGCGTCTTGATCACGGCGGAGGTTAGCAATCTGGTCCTTGGAGACAGTGAGTGATATCCACAACCTAGCAAAGAGATGTCTAGTGCTCATTATCATTGCGACTTGAGCTGCTTGTGGGCAGGCTGCCTGGTTCTTCTGTCTAACATTCTATAGCACCGAGCCCGTTGCTTATTGCGGCTGTCGTTGCTGCTATTCCCCTCGCAGGAGAATGTATTGGGATTTATCAATGTGGGTTCTGGCATGTATCTTTCGCTTCTATCTGATAACTGATTCGGAAATAGCGGCTGGGGGGCTACAAGGCGGCAACCCTTCGAGCCAACTTTGTATCATAGGGTTTGATGCTCTAGGAGGATACGTTTTTGCGCGTATGGCGCACAATGGAGGTCAGTCACGTCTATGCCAGGCGATGGGATTATTCCTTCGGCGAAGTCTGGCACATTTTCTATTCGCTAATGGGATGAACTTGGCAGGCTATGATATCTGTCCCTATAACGTTGCAGCTGCCGCTGGAGCCGTATACGGTGTCATCACTGGGTTCTTCCATACCATCATTGGGTGTATGGCTGGTTTCACCTCGTATGAGAGTGTGAATGGCCATTATACCGTGCGGAATGTCTTTGGAGAGACCCAAGGGTATAATCCTAATTGGAACAGCAACTTAGCATGATGATCCGGAGAAGAATCGGACGGATCCTCGAGGTTGGGGGCATTCTGTAACCAAAGGCTGCCCTAATTAGTTACATGTTGGATCTTAGCTTGAATTCATGTTTCAAATGGCGGTTTAACGACTTCGTCCGCAATATGTACGGGCTCTGATGCTAACCTGAGGAGGCCATGACTCCTTGAGTGTCCGACCATATATACGCTTCGAGATGAACCTATTTATGCCCGTTGGCCCTCCTTGGTCACCTCAAGGAATAGCAAGACTTGAAACCCAAGATGGGCGCTTAGTACATATGGAAGACCTGGGCCCTGCCGGTTCTTTGTCTTCACCAGCATACCTACGTCCTACGACCCCTGTACAGCCCAGAATCATGACCCAGGCAGATAGGGAGAATATCCAGGGTTATGGGATATTCTGTTTTATATTGCCCTGTAATGCAACACAAAGGACTTAGGAGACGGCCTGACTGGAGACGCCAAATTCCATCGCAACCTGAACACGAAGTGGCTGTTCAATAGCTCCCAGACATTCCCGAACATACAACGGCTGTAGCTGGGGTTCAAACAAAGAACAATTCTATGATCGCCGTATCCGCACGAGCTATCGAGTCTTTGAATGTGAGACACGTTCGAGAGTGAGACATGGCCTAGACTGTGCGACGAATGTGGATCACACGGGGGTGCAGAAACCACTTTATTTCCGACTGGACGTCTAGAGCCGCGGCTACGGCAGTTGGTCTGTGGTATGTAGCTATGGTGGACCTTTATGGAGCAGCCCTACGCATTCGTACAGGAAATAGGAATTGATAAAGGTGTTGGTGGAACAATAGACCACGCCACTTGCTGGCTATTTTTGTATCTTAGTCGGTAGAACGGTGACGACCAGCTGGATTCCTGAACCGACCGAGACCAGGCCTAGAGTGAAATAATCGTAACATACTGCGTATACCTCACACAGCACGATCAAGGGCCTGGAAGCGAGTGCACAACTGCTGGCCCTGACCAAAATCCGACCGTGTCCACCGTATTCCAGATGTACAGCATAAGGGCATGTTTGTGCACATTGATTCCCGGCTAGTGTTAATCGAGAGTAGTGTGGTTGTTTAGTGCTTGGCTCTTTCTTGACCGCTCAATCTGTTCAATTTTCCGAGACGTGAAGAACCCGGGAGACGGAGAAGTATAAAATCGGTCTCTCGAGTCCTGAGCTGAGCAAGGAGCACTTCCCATCAGTTGTAGAGCCCAGAACAGCCCATGTGAATTACAGCAAGTGTGGGGTTTCTCCCTGTGGGGTGTTCAGTGCCGAGCAACTCGAGCTGAAGATTCTGTACAACATCTCAGTGTCGGCATCGTACTGTTGGCTATCCTCCCGTGTGATGTGACGATGCAGGAACAGCCCGTTTAGTATAAGCGCTGGGCCCGTTGGTGCAAACTATGCCACGCGCTGGCCCGAGGGTTTGGTGGGACGCCCGAGTCAAATTACCGGTCTGATTGGACAGGGTGAATTAGTTAGCGTGTACTCCGGACGGAGTAAGGTTAAGGAGCACGTTCTTCTGAGAAAGTCGTATAATTGAGGGGCTTGGACCAGAGAGTGGTAACTCCTGAAGATGAAAAGGGGGCAAAAAGGGAATGATCTCCGTTCAAGGTCTCCTTCTTTAGGGCCTAAGGGCCCCTTAATCTATTGGGAACGTGGATATTGAGTTTATTTTGTGCAGAGCTTGTAGTAGGTGGCTGGCCCTATGTTGTACATGTACAGTACTCAGTGTCCTGCAGGCGTACTTGCGATAGAAAGTCAAAATGTCAAACACTTCCAGAAGTACCATGAAGTACCTATTAGCTACAGGAAATATGGGAAGCTACCTCTGAGGAACTTCCATGGACAACAGGTACCTTCCCGCAAGGAAACTGCCGCTACGGCGCTACCCCTGAATCGCCAAGCATTGGGCGTGGGCCAACCTCTCCAGATCCACGACTCAAGGGGGTTCTTTGTGCCACTTGACACTATTGAACTTCTAATTTTATCTACTTCATACTGATTATATCGAGTACGAATGTTATTTTGGTCGTCTATTGAGCAATTGATTGGTATTCCAGACATGGTAATGGGGTAAAATGCCCAGACGAACGTCAAGCACGCCCGCCATGCTTAGGTCTAGGTTCAAGCGCTGTCGATCCTACCGGTCAAAGCACTATCAGTTGTATCGTGCCAATCGAATGAGTACAACTCCAGACCCACGCCAGGGCGGACCCCCCCCCCCCTGCGCTCCACTCACGCTTACTCGTCCCGAAGCCAGCGCTACGGATGGAGAACCCACGGGCGCTATGCGCCAATGGCTCCTGGCTGTCGTGGACAGGACTTTCTCCTTTTCCTCTTCATTTTCTCTGATATTCACGAGAGAATAATCCTTTCCCTTTTGGTCGTTTCATTGGCGGGTGCCATTCTCTTTTTCGTGCTAATCGACATGAGCGACAGTCGATCTATGGCTATTTTTTGAACGGACCAGGGTGTTTCATGGCGTCTCCTCTTGGGCTCGGTGGCTCTCCCGCCCATCCAGAGAGCTTCTCTGATCCCCCTCCTACTACTCCTCCAGTGCGAAGGAAACCTCTTCCGCAAAATGATGCCCCAGTGACCTCTGGTCCTGTCCACCCCTCCTCTCCCCTTTCCTTCGAGGGCGATAAACCCACTTCCATTCCCACAGCACCAGTGGCCAGACCTCCATCTCCTTCATCGGTGGATGGGGACTCGTTCATATCGGTGCAAAAGAACCCAAATAGGTATGCGACCAACGTGACCCCAGAATTCCATTGCCGAGCCCATTCCGCAGACCCTCCTTTTTTTCCCCAGCAAACCTATCAATCGCGCATGATATGGCCTATACATGCTGTTCCGCTTCTCCGCAGTCCGGAAGGCTAATCGCGTGCCCCTGGGCCATCTCCGCAGATATTCTCAAAGACGCCAACCTGTCCAACCCCTACACGTCGATACCGCCGCCTCCCGCCACGGCTCCGCCGCGTACCTGAGATCGGTGCTCGAGGACGACGACGACGAAGACGAGGATCCGGACTATTTTGATGAGGAATATGCGCACCAGTTCATGAGTGCAACTCCCCTGCACAGTCGTCTGGATAGCGAACCATTCATTCCGGTCCTCAAATCCCCTCCCCCCACGAAACGATTTTCACGAAGGGCAACGAGTATGGCATTACATCCGCCTATGAACCGGCCACCACCACTACATATTGACGTAGATCCGCGATCGATGTCTATGTCCATGGCTGGGGATCCGCGACAACCAAAGACACCCGGAAATAAGATCAGCTCCTTCTTTGGTTGGAAGGGCGCGTCAGGAAATAATAATCATAATAATACAGTTACCTCCCCGGGAGGTGAATCCTCCAGCACCGAGATCTCCGACTCGGGTCGGTCAGCGATGCCTTCCCCCATGCCGCCATTAGCGAACGTCCCTTTCAAGCCTTCCTCTCCCTACGATACCAGGAATGGATATAGCCTCCCGGCGCGAACACCCTCTCTGGGGTCTTCGAGTATAAAAGAGAACATATACATGTCTAAAATGGCAGATTTGGAGAATGAATTGCGCGAGATAAGCTCCGAATTGGCGGGATCTATCCGCCGAGAAATGGATTTGGAGGATTTAGTCGAACGGCTCCAGTCAGAAGGCCCGGATGCCAATCGCCGGACCAGTGACTATTTCTCGGACTCGGGTACTAGCTCTGTTCGCTATGCCTCCGATACTGGGAAGTCTGAAGATATTGAGAAGATCCGCCGCATGGCAGAGCAAGAACGGGCCCAGCTCAAGGTCGAACTATCGCAGAAGTTACAGGAAGAGCGGTCTCAACGGATGGCATCAGAGTCACATGTGCAGATCTTGGAATCTCAAGTCCAACAGGTACGGATGATTGGCAACACATATGCATCATGCGACGGCGACTAACATTCCTTTAGCTTCGACGCGAAAGGACGGATTTGTCAGATCTGTCGTCCAAGACGAAGGAACTTGAGACTGCTCTGGAGAATACCAAGCGAAAACTGCTGGAGGAACGGCAGTCAAAAGATAACTTCGAGGATCTACTTACTGCCATGCGAGTAGAGTTGGAACAGTTGCGTAATGAACGAGACCAACTTCGAGATGGCAACAAGCTCGCAGAGGAAATTGAGGCGTTGAAAATCGAGAATGCCTCCTTGGCCCAGCTTCAAGGTGGCCGGTTTGCTTCAATCGCAGAGGAAGGTGGCTCGGCCAGAAATTCAGCATTCGGAGTGTCACGATCGAACTCCATTGCACGCAAACCCAGCGGCTTATCCCGCTCGGGCTCTCTTTCCCGGTCCAACTCGGTCAGCAATAACAACAACAACGGTGGTAAGTCACCTGAAACCCGCGAATCGTTGGTCGACAAGGTCCATGATATCGAGGTACAACGTGATGCATTGCATCGGGCTCTGCGAAGCCTTCTCGATCGCCAGGCATTCCAGGCCCGCGAGTACGAGAAGCGCACTCGAATGCTCGAAATTGAGCTTGCTCGAAGCCAGCAATTGGGCCAGCCGCAAAGATTAGGCTATGAAAGGGATGTCCGTAACCTACGTGACGAAATGAACCACCTCCGCATGCGCGCTGAGGACGCTCTGGATGCTAAGTGGCAGTGCGAGAAGAATCTCGCGGGTCTGAAGATGGACTTGGATCGTGCCGAGCAGGAAACCAGCGCTCTGCGCGTGCTTCTGCAGGAGGACAGCACCGCTGGTGCAGAGTTGATGGGTGACCAAGAAGGCTTTGCTGACATGGTGACGACCTCCTCTTTCCTGCAATCTGCATTACAGCAATTGCAAGCAGATCAAGCTGACGCCGAGGCGAGTGTCGCTGGCTCGGAAGACCTTGCTTCCTCACTTGCTCGGGTTGAAGCACTGGGCTCCAACGTCCACTACCAGCTTCAGGCCAACACCACTCTGCATAGCCGTCTCGCAGCGGCCATTGATAAGGGTGATAAAGATCAACAAATCTCAGTTGAGCGAATCAATGTCTTGCAGAACCGCATGAGGGAGCTGGAGGACGATCTCCTGGCTGCTCAGAATCACTCCGAAGAAGAGATGAGCAAGCATGAGGATGAGATTCGCTTGCTGAAGGAAAGCCAGGGTGCCCAGCTCACGCGGATGATCAACGGTACCCGCACTCCAGCCAGCCTCTCACCCCGGACGCCGAACGCACCCTTTGAGGTTCGCTCACCGCGTCTGGATCAAACCACGAGCGGTAAGGGCGTCCCATTGACGCAGGTCGTCCAGTCCGAAATGCTGGAGCGACGAGTCAAGGACCTCGAAAAACTCCTCCGTGATGCGGACATGGAGATGGAGCAAGTGGTTGGACGCATGAATCGCACGCAAATTGATGTGGCTCAGCTTCAAACTGACAGGTATGGAATTCGTGCTCTTATTCAACGTACTCTTAGCTTCGTCTGATCTTTTACTAATTTCTTCCACAGAGACAATGCTCTTCGCCAGACTCGCCAACTACACACTGAGATCCAAGCTGAGCGCGACGCCCTCCGAGCGCTCATTAACGCCCTGTAACTCTGACAGATCTTGCGCCTTGTCCTTACTTACTCTTTACTATACCACATCTGCATCTGCATTCGCACTCCCATCCCGCGATGGTAGAGTACAATGTCTTGGAGTTAGCCCGGAGTTTCTGGGTCTTTGTTTTCTTTTATCGTGATCATTCGCATGGCGTCGTGTTGATTTCTTCCTCAGCTTGGGCTGAGAGGCGTCGCATTATTATACTCATGAGACCGGTGGTTGACTGTTTGGTTGCACTTATGTATAGGACCGTCTCTGCCTGGATAAATATTTAATCTACTGTACAGTATAATCTGTGATTAATCTGAGATCCATGTTTATCGAGATCAACAAGCTCTGTATGACGAACAATGTCCATGTTCACATGCGTTTGTTTAGTTTGCACTTCTGTTATCGTCCGGTTGCCACGCCAGGGAATCTGACCTTGTATGTCTTCGCTTCTCGACTTATCCACCATCACTCGTTGAAAACATCCTCTTCCGAGTGATCTGACTTGCTGTATAATCACGCTGAAATCTGGAGTATCTCACCGAACCCTCTCTCGGCCCAGTCACTTGAACTACAAACAACACGAGCTTCGGCGCAGACCGACCAAAACACCTGAGAACACAACGAACAACGGGGCAATTGACCAGTGACAAGCCAAAACGCCATTGTTCTCTGTGGTTTCACGTCCGCTTTTCTCGAACATATCTGTCCTCAAGGGGTTACAAAGGCCCAAACGCTCTCAAACAAAGCTCTTGCGCGCCAAAGAAACAGCGAAACTCTACCTTGCCCCTGTCTCTTATCGCTCGATAGTTATACGCCGATAATAAAAGATACTTGAAGAATCCCAAAAAACCATCGCGACGATGGATTTCCTACCAGGTACGTACATCTCTTAGACAGCGCAAGCGCGAGGCCACAAGAACTAACCAAAAAACCATGGCCACAGAAAACTTCCAAACCCTCCTCCAGAACCCAACAGTCGCCTATCTCCAAAGCACAACACAAGACCACCTCACATCCAAGCTGACCCACCTACGGACTATGGTCCTTCAGCCATACCTGATTGAGCCCATGTCGACCTTCCTCACAACCTACACCGGCGCCATGCCAGATCTCCTCTCGCTCTTCATGCTTGCCATCATCCTCCTCATATCTATCAAGGTGGTGAACTACGCCTTCCGCGTCGTCATGTTCTGGGTCTCCCTCGCTTTCAGGCTTGTCTTCTGGGGCTCGCTGCTCGGTGCCGGATGGTATGTTTATAGCGTCGGTGTTGAAAATGCTGGCAGGGATCTCGGATGGATCTATGGTGTTGTTGTAGGGCTTTTGGGCGAGTTTCAGGAAAAGAGCAAAACTGCTGCGGCGGCTTATGCCAAGGGTCCTAAATAGTGTTGGTTGGGTTTATTGAGAGGCGTCCAAAGCGTGCATGCTGGGATATGGGTGTGTCCGTCTGTTGCCGCTACGATTAATTAGTGGCTGATATGCTTGTTCGGAGTTATATGAAAATGCGGAATGGGTTTCTATTTCTTCTCTTGTTTACATGTATTTCATACTACTGGGTCGGTCTGGCGATTGTTAAATTTGTCATTGGGTCTAGACAGGACAAGGTTCATGATTCGGTTTTGAGTATATTATGAATTCTGGTATCTCAAGATATGGCTGAATCTCCATGTATACATCTGTCGATTTTTCTACTCCCGACCCATTTTGGGGTATCGAAGTGTGGATGATTCTCATTGTCGGGAAGCTTCGCACGCTGTTGCGATTCAGTCACAACAAGAGAACTTAACAGGCTTTCCACTAACACGACTTGCAATTGTAGCAGTCATAGAGAGGCGACGTGCGATGGAAGATGGTGTTGCCCCAAGTTTTCTTCAGTTGCCGGAAAATCGAGGCGGCGCCAAGGGCAGATAGTGGTTGATCATGTGAGTCCAATGGGCAAGGTATCTGACGGCCTGCCACAGGGTGCAGTCTCAAACGTGGGTATCGTTCAATCCTCGTAATTTACCTCCACTTCGTCCTTGGGTTCTCTCGGTTCCTGGGCCTCATGGTATTGGATGGCATCATCGATATGGCTCACGATTGCCGCGACGCTGTCTTCGTCTGATACATCTAATTGCAGGAACGAGACCATGCTGAAGTCATCGATCAGCTGTCCAACTGCCCGATTCAGTTGATTGAAAGATCCACCACTCATCAAGGAGTCCGGAGCCATGGGATTGGCACCTGCGGTGAGATCGTCCTCCTTATTGTCTTGCAACAATTGCACGTCCACATTGGTAAACCGTTTCAATTCCCGTCGCGTCACCATATCGCGGATCTGATCCATCTTACTGAGAATGTTCACGTGTGGCATCTCCATCATCAGCATCGCGGACATGGCACTGAGCGTGCCGGCGAAAAACTTGGCTTTATCAATGACGAAGGTGCTTTCGAGGAGATATGCGGCGCACATGTTGATATTCAATGGGCCTTGGCGGGAGAGGAATGTTGTGAGGGTTGGGAGAAGAGGGATGTGTGTATAGAGCTCGATCTGGCCGGGCATGTCGAAGATGATCAAGTATTCTTCGCTTAATGGTTCAAGTGCCTCTGACAGGAATTCCAAGTTTTGCAGTAGGAACTCAAAGCAGTAGATGAGACCGCCATTTGGTCCCAAACCCATCTCTTCCATCACATCTTCCAAAGTGATCAAATCGCGGATGTCCAAATCCGGTTCATAGGAAAATGTCTCGGCGGCGGGGTCGAGGTTCACGTAGAAACAGCTGCGACGGGTCGATTGAAGGTGCTGGATCACAGCATTACTGAAGGTTGTCTTGCCTGCACCAGCAGGGCCCATCACTAAGACGCCAAATTTCGACATGGCTGCTGATGCTGTAATATTGAGGATGTTCGTTCTATCTCTTATCGCGGCAACAAAGAAAATTGCATTGCCGTCGATCTGCCGAGACTGACCGCCCCCAGATGGCGCGATCACGGCTGACAGGAGACAAAAAGTACGGCTGATAATGAGAGTACAAGATCGGTACCTGGGTGGTCCCGCACTCACACACTCTTTTTACTGGTACCACCACTGTACTCGGAAAAAAAAGCAAAACCCAAGCAAAACCCCACCAAATTTTCCCCTCCCCCGAGATCTTCCTCTCTTTTCTCTTCACTCCCCTCTTCACTCCCTTCCTCCTCCTTCTCTTTTCTCCATTCTTCCCGTTTCCCCTCACACACACATTCACAATGGGTTCTCTTGCAAACGGCTCCCAGCCCGGCACTTTTCTCTTCACATCCGAGTCAGTCGGTGAGGGTCACCCCGATAAGATTGCGTGAGTTTATGGCCCCTGAAACCCTACATTCCCGCCCTCGGGGTGTTTTCATACGTTCTCCGTGCCCTCAATTCCTATTCAAGTATACTAATACATCGCCAACAGTGACCAGGTCTCCGATGCCATTCTCGATGCCTGCCTTGCTGAGGATCCCCTCTCCAAGGTTGCTTGCGAGACTGCCACTAAGACCGGTATGTTGATCCTGCTTACTTGAGGCCAGATCTCACGCTGACATGTTACCTTAGGTATGATCATGGTCTTTGGTGAGATTACCACCAAGGCCCACCTGGACTACCAGAAGATCATTCGTGGTGCTATCAAGGACATCGGTTACGATGCCTCCGAGAAGGGCTTCGACTACAAGACTTGCAACGTCTTGGTTGCCATTGAGCAGCAGTCCCCCGATATCGCTCAGGGTCTTCACTACGAGGAGGCTCTTGAGAAGCTCGGTGCCGGTGACCAGGGTATCATGTTCGGCTATGCCACCGACGAGACCCCTGAGCTCCTGCCCTTGACTATCCTCTTCTCCCACAAGCTTAACGCTGCCATGAAGGCCGCCCGTCAGGATGGCTCCATCCCCTGGTTGCTCCCCGATACCAAGACCCAGGTCACCATTGAGTACGCCCATGACAACGGTGGCGTCAAGCCTCTGCGCGTCGACACCGTCGTCATCTCCGCCCAGCACACTGACGATGTTTCTACCGAGGAGCTCCGTGCTACCCTCAAGGAGAAGATTGTCAAGAAGGTCATCCCCGCCGAGCTTCTCGATGACCGCACCGTCTACCACATGCAGCCCTCCGGCCGCTTCGTCATCGGTGGTCCTCAGGGTGATGCCGGTCTCACTGGCCGTAAGATCATCGTCGACACCTACGGTGGCTGGGGTGCCCACGGTGGTGGTGCTTTCTCCGGAAAGGATTACTCTAAGGTCGATCGCTCGGCCGCCTACGTTGCGCGCTGGATCGCCAAGTCTCTGGTCAACGCTAAGCTCGCCCGCCGTGCCCTCGTTCAGCTCTCCTACGCCATCGGTGTCGCTGAGCCCCTCTCCATCTTCGTCGAGACCTACGGTACCTCTGACAAGACCTCCGACGAGCTGGTTCAGATCATCCGCAACAACTTCGATCTCCGTCCCGGTGTTATCGTGAAGGACCTCGACTTGGCCAAGCCCATCTACTACCAGACCGCCAAGAACGGCCACTTCACTAACCAGAGCTTCCCCTGGGAGTCCCCTCGCGCTCTCAAGTTCTAAGTGAACTCTGCTTACTCCGGTAGCACTGGACAAATTTTGACGACTGTGATGAGTTTGCTTTGTTTTCAACAACTCAAGGCACGATGAGCATAGACTAAAAAACAAACAAACCCTTATAAAATCCCGACGTTGGTCTCCCGCTTGGAGTCGGAGATCAACTTCTCTTGTTTCATTATCTGCATGGTCGCGCAAATGACGGGCCTTTTCGGCGAAGACAAAATTCAACATGATACCACTTTTCATCGGCTGGGAAAGGAAGTTTTTGGCGTTTTTCTGGAGCGACAGTCTTCAACACCGTACCTCTACTTCACTGTCCATGGGGCCTCCCTAAGAGTCATTGGCGCTCCCTATGTGTTGGGCCATACTCTATCGGTTTTGGCGAGGAAATTTTTCACGGTGCTCTCTGCGAGAGTCCCTGGAGCCTCTTCTTGTCTCGGTTCCTGGACCTGCTAATCTAAACATTAGCGATAGATTCAAATAATTCACATCTTTTTCATATATAATCTTGGACATATCGATTTTGAAGTAATCAACTCTATCAATTAACTGTTCAAATCGACACTGCAGCTTGAAAGAATACTGTGTACTGTGTAAAGCCATCCTCTCAGTGGCAATCGATTTGTCTCAAATTGGCCAAGTGGAGTGCACGTCCCGACGCGTGACGCCAGACCCACCAAGATTCGAGCGCGATCTGTCGACACTTACGGAGTACACCAACGTCAATTGCTTGTTTATTAGTCTCAGCATTAAGACTTGACTACTTGGTTCCGACTACATGATGCCCACAACTCTCTAGACGCGACAATGACCTCGCGTACAGTCCCGAACATCCTGGATCCAGTCAGCTCGTCCGTGCTGAACAAATTGCACGAGCCGATCCCTCTACCTACAAAGAAACGGAAAAGAAGCGATGCAGAGGAGTTAAGTCATGCTGCTGGACAGCTCGCCACTGTCTCCATCGTCATTAGAGTGAGTCTTGGGGATCGCAGCCCGGTACACGCCCTAGGTTCTGAGGTTGCTTGTGCTCACGCTTCGTAACTGGTATAGGCCCACACAGCGTCTTTATCTGACGAACCCTTAATCCTCCAACCAATTACAGCCCTCCCACGCTCTAGATTGCCTATTTCATGGCTCGACGATACACCTGCCTCCCGATCCGATGAGCAACCAGGCGGTCTGTTCACCGCGGACATTCCCACCCTTGAAGTCGACCTACGCGCAAAGACGGAGCCAACTGTGCTTGCTGTGCGCCTTGCTTCCAATGGCGGACTTTATGTTGTGGAGAGAGTGAAAAAGGGCGTTTACTCGCTCTCCAAGCTCGCGCGACGGGTGAACGAGGCCAATCTCGTTGGCGCGGCCAAGGGGTGGCAGGCAAGTGACGCTGTGGGGGTGGATAGCACGGCTGCCGAAGATGTCTGTGCATTTCCCGATGAGTTTGACTGGTGGCAGGCTGCTCAGATCGACGAGCCTATGTCCGACGTCGAGAAGCCGGCTGGGCTCGATATTGCTGTTGTCTTTTGCGAGACAGACCTCGCGAACACCGATTCTTCTTTTGTGGGAGTTTTGGAGCATCGCAGTCACTCGCTTGCTCCGTCGAGGAGTTTCGATGTAGCCGATGCGAGCTCTTTGCTCGCAGAATCTCAAAGCTTTAGAGCTGGTCCTGAGGATGTGGATGTTGATGGTGTTGAGCCTGGACCGGGGGTACAGCAATCGCCCGAGGAATTGCTGGACAGCATGAGAGATCACTATCTACAGGCTCTATATGTGTCAAAGGTGATGCGCTCTAGTGGATGTTTGAAGGTTGCCTAACTAACACTTCCCAGACTTCCGTGGCTTACTTTGCCAAAGGCCCGCTTACACGCTGCCGAGCTGCTTTCCAGGCTCGTGAACAGCCTCGAGGACCAGCGGAGCTAGTTGAATTCTACCGTGAGGCTATTCTCCCTGCAAGGAAAATGGATGTCAAATACAGAGAAGCATTGCCGACGTGTGTCCGCGACGCAGCGCTCGCAGTATCTGACGATGGCGCAAAATCTAAGAAACGGAAAAGTAAGAAAAAGAAGATGGGCAAGAATGGTCTTTACCCAGAGGAGGAAGAATACATCCACCGGTGGTGGAAGGACAGAATCCTCAATGAGTCTTCAATGCGAGAAACGTCGCGCGAATCAGAGTCTAAGAAGCAAATCTCGGATCTCCGGCTGCGCGAGACACAATTGCAGATACTGCTAGTACTAGAGGTTATGGTCTTGGAGATGACCATTGCCTCCGCAGCGAAGAACAGTTCCGACAAGACAGAAGAAGTGAATGTGGAGCAAGACGTGCCGAAGAAATCTAAGGCTAAGAAGCCTACGGATCTGAACGTACTACTTGAACTCCACCTCGATCGGATGTGCATCTGGCATGCTGTTTCGATGGAGGAAACATCTGCAGCTGATACAGCAAAGGCTTCTTCTTTCAGCAGCAGCCATCTTTCAGGCAAGAAAGTCGAGAGCGACGCAGTACGTGACTTCTGCACAGAAGTCATCATTCCATTCTATGCCGCACGTCTCCCAGACAAATGCAAGTTGATTACACGCAAATTCGGCGTATCTTCTGGTATCTCCCCGACTGCCAAAAAGACACAGTCCTCTAGATCACACCGCGTCGAGCCCGGAGAGGAGATTAAGCGGCAGCAGCCTGCCCCGCCGAAGGTCCGACGATCCTTGCAGAGAGTGCTCACGGATGATAAGGAGGCAATGTCTCAGGCTCGGCACCCTACGTTGAGTCGATCTAAGACCGCGCCAACCCAACGTAGCGGGAAGCGCGACTTCGAGCCGTTACTCCCCACCATCATCAGCGGCAGTGTCCGAGGTGGTATCCAGAAAGCCAAACGTACAGAGAACCGCGAGGTGGACCTCAACGCCGTTGCACGACAGCATGAGGCCAAATTGCGAAAAGTCCAAATGCTAGCTAATCAGAAGAAAGAACTGGACGCAGCTATTCACGCGCTGAGGAAACCGAACAGAGAGCTTGTTTCGAAGGATATAGCAGAAGATGCGTCAAAACGGGTTGCAACCGGAGGAAGTTCTAGGAAACCGAGAAATCCCGTGCGGAATCCGTTCGGCGAGGGAGTACAGGTCATGGCGACTCCTCGGGGCAATCGAAGGAAGGACGTGGGCGGGCTGCCGCCGCTCCCTCGCAGTCTTGTCCCATCCCGGTCATTTGCTGGTGTTGAGAATTCTCCTTTCGCCGAGTCTCCCGTTCTGATCCCATCCTCGGGTCGACGGGCCATTTCATTCTCTGGTGCCGACTCTGACCCCTTCAATCCCCATGACAATTCTCATGGAAGAAGCCCACGATCAAGTCAACCGGATGGAGCCATCCAAGAAACTCCAACTAAGCCCTCTTCCACGATCTTCCAGAGTGATGCCATAGCTCGTCGGCCTTCGTCTTCCTCTGGCAAAGGTCTCTTCCGAGTACCGAACCTCCCAACCCCTCGCCCATCCACGCAACAAATGGTTCCAGGCTCGCCAATTCATTCTCGCCCCAAAGCTATTTCCTCATTTACAGAGAACTTGTCGACATCTCGACGATCCAGTCAGTCTGTTAACCACGCCTCAGCAATCATGGAGACGCCACCCAAGAAGGACACACCGCAGATCATTTCCACGCCCACTGCTGTGCCCTTCTCTCTATCTCTCAATGCCGTGGCCGATAATCCACGTGCTCAGTCTCCGCCAGCCGTCATGGGGACGCCCATCAAAGGTGCGGCGGCTGTGCCTGTAACGCCCGAGAAGTCGCAGTCCAAGTCGATATACGATCAGCTGGGCTGGGATGATGAAATGGAATTCTAATGCGATGCACACATGTCACATGCATTTATGCGGAGTTTGCCTGCTGTTTTGCTCTACTTTATCCATTATTGCTATTTTACTTGTCCTGGTGTTCGGGTGTTTCGCAACATTCTTAAGATACCACCTAATGCATCTCAAAGGCCTTGTGGCCTTTTTATTGTAACTTAAGTGGCCATACTGACGATCCCATAGAATTGGGCATCTCAGCTCATGTTTCAGTTGAATTACACATGTCCAATGTACAGATTTTCCATAGTTCAGTTTTGACGCTGGGCTTCTTGGGCTCCTGGTTGGGCGGGTCGGCTAATTGAAGATTTGCCGATCTGCACCTCCGCTCGCCGCATCTCCTTTGGACAACTTCTCTGCGAGTTGAATCGGTTTCAGGCTATGTCTGCCGATATCCAGGGTATACTTAACCGGTCGAATCGGACTATTTCTCGCACTGCAAGGCCCAAGAAGAGACCCGTTGCGTGAGTGCGCCTAAGGCTCTAAAGCAGACATCCACTCACCTCCATCATAGTTGCCATCGGTGTCATGCACAGAAAATCAAATGCTCAGGGGAAAAGCCATGCTCCAGATGTCAAAGTGCAGGCTATGGAGATCAATGCAGATACGCGACCCGCGATCGCAAAGTAAGGGTCGATGAAAGGTATCGCCCTGTGCACTGCCCGGTTGGCTGCTCTGAATGAATTATTGACTATCTTGAATCGCAGCTATTTGGAGCAGCTTTTGAAAGATAGCCAGGAGCTGCATGACCGTCGACGTCGTCTGAAACAGGACAATCAACCAAACGGGGACGAGCAAAGCGTTGACTTCCAACAAGTTGGGCATGATTCCAACGTACCTACTGAGCCTCCAGTACAGGGCATTCTACTAAATGACAGGCCCTGGTTTCAATCCAACGATGCACCAATAGTTCCTCTCTACATTAGTGAAGCAACTTGCACAGCCTTTGCCACTCGTTTATGCCGATGCCTGAAAGCAACCAACACACCAACACCTCATCTTCCCAGATCCCGTTATATCGACGAGTCGGTGATAGTATCCTTACTTGACAGAGACTTACAATGGCCAAGTCATGTAAGCGCCCAGCTCATGGTGAAGACTGCACTCGGCCATATCATCCCAAGTTTCCACTTGGCCTTGAAAAAGGACACAGTGGACATGCTCTACACCGTCTATCAGAGAGGTGACTTTTGTAATCCCGGTGTTAAGTGCAAATACTTTGCTCTATTTGCTATCGCACAGGTTTACTCGACTCCTTACGATCTTTCCGACACGTCAAATATACCTGGTTTGGCCTATTTCGCCAAAGCGTTGAGCCTCATTCAGGTCATCCCTGAAAGACCAAGCATGATCCATATAGAGAGCCTGCTCTTGATTGTTAGTTGTCTCTTAGTTTCTGAACCTTTTTCTTTTCTTGCGCTGATTATCTGAAGGCCTACTACTACCAATTCCTGAACCGATTTCATTCCGCCTACCTTTTGATTGGGAATGCGTTGCGACTCAGCCTTAGCATAGGACTCAACTACAATATTCCCCAAGCCCAGGGCCTACATCCAGTAGCACGAGAACACCGCATCCGAATATGGTGGACCATTTATGTGCTTGACCGGTTCTGGGGTTCGAAGTCGGGGTTTCCTGTACAGATCCACGATGCAGATATCCACGTTGACATACCGTCCACCTCGATATCTGAAACTTATCACGAACAATTCTCAGATGGCGCGTACCAAGTGGGAGCAATAGAGCTTGCCAGAATCATGGGCAACACGACAGGAGAGATATACTGCGGAAGAATCTCGGCGGAGACCTTTCTACATCGTGAACAAAGGCTTTTGACTCAATTGAAACAATGGGCTGAATCTATTCCCAGCCATTTGCGGCTCAGGGAGGATATACCAAACACGAAACATCTTGTTCAGATGCATCTTCAATTCAATTTTGTAAGATACCTTGGTACTTTCCTGAGAAGCCACAGACTGACCTCTTCAGTGCGTCATCCTGGCTATCCGACCAGTTCTCCTGCATGTTCTCACTTTGAAGACTAAAGACCAATGCAACCAATCTGCAGACTTCACCTCGCCAGTCCTGATCACCTTATCTGAAGCATGCATCCACGCAGCACGACACACTCTAGCACTGTGTGTAAATGAATGGACTGGCGGATCCCTCGCCGTATTTGGCTACGCTTTTCCTGCTTTTCTCTTCTCCGCTGCACTGATTCTGGTCATTTCGAGCCTTCTGCCCCTCGGAGACCCCAACGACCTTGCATCGGCCGCAACCGCACTGGAAATCCTAAAGAACCTCAGCTTGTCAGATAATCTCGCGTCGAGAGACCTTTACGAACGACTACAGATGGTGCTCCAATATCTTCGGTGCAGTCCACTCTGTAATGCATTGCTAGCTCACAGCGCGGACAATGCTGCAGATGCAGATTTGTCGACAGCTGAGCCTTCTGAATTACAGCCAGGACGGGCTTTAAGCAATCTTCAATCCTCGAGGCCCTTGGAAGACTCGGGTGAGACGAATGTTCCCTATCTCACCGCGGAAATGGCTCTTCATCAACCGACCATGCTGGATTTTTTGACTCAGTCTTCCGTGGATTTCGGACTTGAACCGACGGATTTTCTCAATGATTTCGATCTGGCTTTCTCCATGTCTTCCGATTCACCCTTCACCTGAGCCAATACTCAATAAGCAGTATGGAATGAATGACAATGTGGTGCATGTCGGTCACTTTGAATTTGGCCGTCGGAAAAGTGGATCACACCGTAGATAAGCGTCGTCGGCAAGATTCACTTTGGCCGTAGCGTCTAAGCGTACTATATTTGGACCCACCATTGGAAACTATAGATAAACAAGTCCGTTCTCATTGCAATACCACAGTTCCTCAGCTTAAGTTATATTCATCACAATGGCCTCTACTACAAATTGCACATACACCTTCTTCCGCGTCTCCAAAAAAGACGGAATCACCACCTCAGCCCAAAAATTCCGAGATCTACGCCTCAAAGCACTAAAAGCCTCACCAGGCTCATTCGCCTCAACCTACGAGATCGAGTCCGCCTTCACAGAAGCCGAGTGGGCCCAGCGCATCACAGCCCCAGACTACGAAGTCTTCATTTGCGCCGCCACACATAACTCACCCGATTCATCCGAATGGATAGGCCAAGTGACTCTCCGCGGACCCTTATCCAAGGCAGTCTACACCCTACCCGCAGAATCAGGTCTGACTCCACCAAAACCCGACGATGAAGAAGAGCGATGGCAGATGCTAAGTCTGTTCACGCTTCCTGGGCATCGCGGTCTGGGTCTTGGCGCTAAACTGTGCCAGTGTGCACTTGAGTATCTGAGATCGTACCGAGAGTCTCCGGGGGAGGTCCTGGTGCGGTTGATTGTTAAGCCGGAGAATCAGGTTACGGTTAAGCTTTATCAAAGGCTTGGGTTTGGGTTGGCGGGGAAGGCGACGCTTGAAGAGGCTCTTACGGCGAATGGGGATGGGCATCTTTTGCCGGTGGATCGGAGTGAGGCGAAATGGACGGAGAGAGGGGGGTTGATTATGGTTTCGAGGTTGGTGCGTTCGTGACTTTGTTTTCTTAGATAGCGAGGAATAGAGTGTTTGAAATGGTGACTGTTGTAACTCTGGGATTACTTTGCATAACTCCTAGTTATGTAGTTAATGTCAAGGCTAGTTAGCTTACTTAGCTAGCAACAGACTCGGCGCTAAAGGTGAATGCTGTGGGGTAATCATGCAGGGCGATGGAGCTGCAAGTGCAAGTAACAGATGCTGGGGCCCTGGGGGTATTACTGTCCTCTTATCGGGGTTTTCAACAGGTGTATGAGTGCGCCATGTATGAAGTGACAGCAGTGCACGGGGGTTTATCCAATGCCGACAGATACAGGCAAGATCAGATAAGCTTAAACCTTGGGATTCACATCCGTGGATGTACGCTTCAAAGCCCACTGCTGATAACTAGCCTTGGACACCCAAAAAACTACAACCGGATAACCCGGATGATATCTTCCACATCTTATTGATCTAACCCTACCCAAGCTCGGGACCTAGTATTGTGTATTGTCATCCATGTCCTGATGGTACCTCGGAATAGATACACATCGACAAAGTTCATCAACACCACTTTCAAGAAATCACTAGCCGCACGTTGATCCTATCAGAGCACGAAACGACGTCATCCTATATGTCACGAAGTTGTCGCACAATCGAAGAACTGCCCGGATAGCAAGCCTAGAACAATGAACACTTCCCCACAGACCGAGTGATCGCCGATGAACATGACTGACAGGCGATGACGCACGAGTTCCCGGCCGAAGAGAACATGTGCTCTGACGTTTGAGTTCGGGTCCAACCGACAAGTTCAAGTACTACAGTACGTTCCATGAGAACTGGGTGCGATCCCAGCCAGTCCGGGAGATCCGTTTGGTTGATGCACAGTCTGAAGAGCGTGGCGTTGTGATTGATCATAGAGGCGGATATTGAATTGACGGGTGTTAAGGTTCGATCGCTCTGTTGCACGCAGTAAGTGATGTCCCATAGTAAACTACGATATCTGTTGGATGATGTGTGCCTAGTCCTTGCCTTTGGTTCTCTCTGTTTTCTTGCTCAGCTCACACTTCAATTGAAGTCATTCTCGGCAAGCGCGATCAATCCCTGTATCAGACCGACGTCGACCGACGTCAGGCCCTGTCGACTGCCAGTTGCCATAAAGAGTAACCAGTCATCTATTGGGCGGGTCTGCAGGCTCAATGGTTCCGATCTCCAATGATCTGGGGCACAGCAGAGGTCAAGACTTGCGGAGTTGCCCTAAGACTCCTAATGGGTGACACGACGATGATGAAATGAAATGAACCCGGCCGGCGGGTAATTCGCCACTGGACCAGATTCCGCCAAACATATTTCGTTATTGTTCTCCGTAGTGGTGCACAGTACTCCGTACTTCTGCGATCGTACGTTGTACATTTCAAGAGACGCCAGGGTTCCACTGCCCCATTCCTACAGTACTGTAGCTTTGGGGCCTGCGTTAGCTCTTCACGATTGACATTTGGCGTTTCCGATCGTCGCAGGTCTCCTTTATCGGCTCTCGGGTATAGGTCATGTGACTCAGGGTTACGCGGCTGGTGAGTCACATCGCTAGACCTTCCGAGTCGGGAGATTGGGTTTTCCAAGAATAGCAGATGTGGGGGATTTCGGGAGATCTGAGGAAAGCAAAAGGAAAAGGAAATGGAAACGGAAATGGCATGTACGATTTGATAATTGTAGCATCATGGATCGGTTTGATGCAGATTATTGTTCAAGTCGTCAATTCTAATCTACAGTAAGGTGGAAATAGGTTGCCCAGCAAAAAAAATAGTTCTTTGGTAAATATTAAGACATAGTGTCAAATGTAAAGTTATGTACATGATTCATTTTGTTCATTAAGGTCGTAAAGTCGTTTCATCGTAGATGGTATCGGTCGCAATGTATGGATGAGAAGGGTCGGCAATTGAGTGTAGGAGGAATGTGTGTTGAAAAATAACAGAAGGGCTCGAGTTCAACCCGCCATGGGAGAAACTATGCAAGTACCTCCTGTCCAGAGGTGTTTAGAGGTCGCCTCGAGACAATTCCGACCCTTTTCCAAAAAACCATGCTCGGATGAATTCTCAGGGGACGGTGTTGGTGCCGGGGGCGCCGCGGGCGCTGCAACAGCGGCGGGCTCTGGTTCTGGTTTGCAGGATATTTGGGTGACTTCAATGGGAGCCTCGTTGGCTGGTGCTGTGTTTCTTCTGAGGCCAGGCAGTTCGGTGTTCTTCATCTCGTCCATCTCATCTTCCTCGTCGGTGTCCTCGAAGTCGAAGGAGCTGATGCGAGACTTCATATCATTTTCGGTCCATGAGACAGAACCGCAGTGGAGGCGGAAGTGAGCCACACAGCGGCGGAGGTCGGGGTCGGGAGCAGTGGCTTCACGCGCCAGTTTCTCTTTTGAGAGGTGTGTGAGCTTGTAGGGGAGGGCGTTCCGGTTTGCCATTGGGGGCCAGCGTTTATTTTGGACAATTGGCACGGAGGCGGTTGGTTTGGGGGTCTTTGGGGCTCGTTGCGTAGTGCTAGCGTTCATAGTGTTTTGTTTTTTTTTTCTTCTTTTTCTTTATGATGACCATGTAATGTGAACGGGTTTAAGGAAGAGTAGTGTAGAGTACTCAAACAGTTATGTGGAGGGAAGATTCCAAAGTGAAAGGGTTAGAAAATATGGGCATTGGAGGCGAATCTTATACCCTCGAGTAATAATGGGGAACCTGGTCCAAGCGCCTTTCTTCCTTGCCGTGTCACCAGATCACGAAACCGGTTCCAGGCCTGGCCCTCTGATGGGTCATCCAATTCTTTTTTTCTTTTCTTTTTCTTTTTTTTTCACTTTTTTCCTTTTTTGTCTTTCGCCTCGAGACTAAACTTCCGTGTAAACTTTTTATGATTCATCACTTAAATTTCCCCAGATTCAAAAGTAAAACAAATCTCATCCAACCATTTCGCTTTGTTTCTAGGACTTCAAACATGAATGCTGGTCCTCGGTATGTGTAGCGGCTATTCGGACTCTCAGAGTGGAGGAAAGGGCTCCAGTTTTCTTGATCATTTGATGTTCGAAAATTTTTCGGTGGAGACCTTTGAGCGGAGCTTATTTTGCTTTATTCGTTCTGCTGGGAAAGGGAAAATAGAAACGTCGACGAAAAATCTCACGATCCCCACGGATTACCTTCCTTGGAAATCCGAACCCCCTCATCACCTCCTGGGCAAACGGTGGAACGTTTGCAGAATCAGCATTTGAGAATTCACTCTTCCTACCCTTTGATATTTCTCTCTTGATCTTTAAATAACTCGTAGATAATTACTGAAATCCACTATCTTACTCATTCGAAGTAGAATTACTGAAAATACACCCTTCTCTTAGAAAACTATTGCATTGTTGAGTGAGCGAGTCATCCCGAGGCCCCTAGGGCCCCAGGGATGGATCTGGACACCCGGTGGCCCCTTAGCCAAGACGGGTAAAGAAGAGACCATCTGCACTGAGTGCTGCAGTCGACCCTACAAATTCCACGGCATTATGCTCAAGTGCCCCGACGATATTAGTGCCCTGTGGGCATGATACATCGTACACCGACAAGTCCAGCATTCCACGCGCGTCCCACCTCAAACATAAGCCCTTCCTGACGATCTCGAGACTCGGGGGATCCTCCGCCGAAGACGGCTCTCACCCCTAATCGCTTGGTTATAATATCCGCTGTCCTCTGAGGCCACGATGTGCTTCGGGCCCGCTGCAAACCTACACCAAACACATCCGCGGGCCATCACCCAAACATAAATTAGTAGGTGGCGCTGTTGTGTACGGAGTCTAGAAAAATGGGGTAAATTATGGACCTCGCTTGAATTTTGCAACACATTCTCCATAAATTCAAATTCTTGCACGCAGTAAGGCACTTGTGGGAAGCTTGGCCTGCCGATATTTCTAGAATGGTCCTTGGTCGACAAGCCAAGCATAAACAAAAATGAAGTGCGCTAGCACGGTCGGAGATCTCCCCGCTTAACGGATATCGTAGAACCCAAGAGAAACCGCACGTGATAATACACAACGTGCAATAATCGTGCTGATGAAAACGCAACCCAGTTGTTGGCCAGTGAAACAGGACGGAAAAATCTGGCCATCTCTCCTCCATACTCTGTACTGTGTACTTCGTACGTGATGGTCGAAACCCATCTTGCAGCCACCAAGCCCGATCACCAAAGTCTAGAATCTCTGGTGAAAGGGCTGGGCACTGAAAAACAAGTTGTTCCTCCACTAACACATGTCGGTGGGGCCACAATGCTTCTAGCGCTAGCGTCCTCGAACTACGGTATTTCGCGGCACGCTACGGAGTTGGAGCTAACCAATCGTCAGGGCACTTTGACGATGCACATTTAAAAGGGCTTGTTTACACTGTCGCGGAGTACGGGATTCATGTTCTTGGAACGTCTGCCACATCCCTCTGATGTTAATGAGGATCCACCCGCAGCGAGGTAGCTGGGGGAAAATGGTCTGTGATAGGCACAACTATCTGTGAAAATCGTAGATGAGATCGTCGATCCTGAACGATTGGTGATAACGATAATAATCTGAAATGCAGTTCACATCCGTGTAACTACGTACTACAGAATTTCATCTCTGATTTCCTCTCTAAAGCTACTGCAGCTAAACGGGTTCCATCATGTATCTTGTGAAAGGTTCCCAAGAAATAGTTCTCACCGGATTTCACCCTCCGGTCCCCTGAGCCACATGGACATGTTCGCCCTCTGTCCGCGACGGCGTATTCTGCTGGATAACTACGGAATACAGCCAACCTTTACCAAATGCAGGGATCAGTCTGACCACCGTGTTAATACACACAGACAGCAGCTTAAATGACTCTGCCGGGAGCCCGGGACCCGAGCCGTTCTGCGGGGTAACCAGATGACTTTGAACGCCTCATCCTCAGATCGTTGATTCACGGAATTTTCTCCAGATCTGTTGTTTACCTTAGGCAAATTCCGGGAATGCACCTGTTGTAAACTGACAATGACGTTGTCTTCCAACAATGTAAGGTAGCATCCATCCACTAACACGGCAGAGTATGCTTTCGCATTACCGTGGTTCGGATCCGGCCCAGCCGTCCCGCCACTGGCCGCCAGCATCTTTATGCTGAGTTTATTTTTCGCGGTTCCAATGTTCCAAGATGCAATATGTCTTGGAGACATATACACAGTAAAATAAGTATGTAGTCATGACAGGCGGCTGGGAGCCAAACCCATTACAATTTACCTCGGTATGCATTGACTTGGCTTCATCTTGAGGTCATGCAGGTCCCTCCTCTCATCACAAGGGCCTCTCAGGTGCATATTCACGATGGCATATATCATATTGTTGCTCCGACCTGTTCCTTGTCCGGCCATCATGGAAACAAAGCATTGCCATCTAGTAAGTACCTACCCAACATACACAGTACGGTATTCCCTTGAACCTCTTTACCTACAGAATGCAGACTGAAATAGTGCTGGAGATGTCAATCAAAGCAAGACCACCAAGAATCTCGTTGGGCTAATCAACCTCGTCTTGCCATGCACTATCAGCATGGCCAGCGGGATATACCGGGCATACTGCACAGCACGAGCCTGACATTTCAAGGAATCCCTCGTGTGGACGGATTTCGTATCCTGAAGATCTTACTCGATATCTGGGTCATGGGTTCACTGCCCCGCGCTTCGACTACTTCAGCTGTTCTGTAACATGAAACAATTCTGATTCACGCTAGTGCATGATAGTTACTAAAGCCCGGGGCTTCGCATGTCCGTACCCTAAGAAGGTCTCATCTCCGAGTTGGTATACAATATGCCTGCGAGGAAGCAGGTAAGTAATACTCAAACTAAATACATAACTCTTGTCCAGGAATCCATTCTGTTCAAACTACGGGTCAGAAGCATATTTGCCCATTATCACCAATCGTGGAGGCCGATGTCATCTCAATGTTGCATCAAGGAAGAAACACTCTGAACTCTCGCTCGGAGATAGTCAAAAGCGTGCGGGCTGAACAAGCACGGACAAATCACATTTGGCATCTCCGAGGTCTATCCATGCTGGCGAATGATGCTTGGCCTTGGATTGACCCCGCGTGCATATATCGCTCTGCTGGAATGTAGGGATGAAGGTGGGGGGGCTGCTGTATGTACATCCTGGTCGTCATGACGGAGGCTTGTATGGATGTTTCGAGATCGTTGTCTTTGTTCTTGTACTGAATGTCCAAGGACAGTCCATGAGCAGATGGAATGGCATTACTAGGAAAGAAGCCTCCCAGTGCAACTCGGCGATCTACAAAGTCAATAATAACATGTTGGTCGAGGTGGTCGAGGTACGTAGTAATCAAGATAGCATGTTGCATCCGGGGGAATAGATCGATTGGGCCCGTTGTCCACAGGAGCCCGGTGGATCCTGCAAGGCAAGGTTAAAATCTCGGGCTCGCAATGTGGGCAAGGTTCTCTATCCTTTCCCTGACTTGGCCTACGGAGTCGCCGTGTGTGACAGGAAGGCGATGTCGGCTCCGAGCGTGGAAAAGGGAAGAGCTGCAAGGCCGGCTGCGGTGGGACCAGGGAAAGCGTGTATTCATAATGAAGCTTTGGGCTATTTCCGCGTTAAATTTTGTACGTCTGTGATATACTTCAAGGTATAGTCCGACGGTGCAACAGGCGTTATAGTGCGACCTTGCTACATCATGCTCTACCTCGTACAGCCGCGATGTGGATATGAGTGAAAATTAACTCCGATTTGGACGACGTCGTCGACATAGGCAGTGCTCCTCACGGCATTCATTATTTGGGACTGGTCATGAATCATGATTGGAATTCTTTGAGGCACTTCGAGTGACTTTGCTTTAGTTAGATTGTGCACGGGGACCGTTGATCGACTTCCTTCTAAGGTTAGTTCCCGCTCAAAATGACTCTTCTCCATTCAAGGACCCAACACCGTACGCAAGTGTCCCTACTTGATCTCCTCTGCCACTTCTTGCTTTCCTCTTCCATTTTAGTGCTCAGGTCCAGGTAGCGCCGCTGTTTGCTCTCTGTGTAGATCTGAGTCTGAATAGTACTGCCATACCGTGATGATGATGAGCAGCTCAGTGAGTCTGAGGCGGGACTGAAATTTACTTGGTGATCCTGACTATGAGCACCCTCACTAAAGCGGCGATAGTGACCCACTTAACAGAGAGGTAGGCTGTAGGCTGTAGCGCCTTATGCACATACCAAGTCAGCTGCTCGCCGGCTGGACCTATCATAAGTCTGTTCTGATCTGGTAGGTTACTGACTCCACGGCACGAGGCTTCCGTGCATATTGCGAACATGACGGTTTCAACCCGGTCTAAACCCTATATCAACAGGTTAAGTGGTTAACATTCCAACTATATGGATCTTAAACGAAGAGATATTACGCTTCAATCATGGACCTCATGAGTCTTCAAGGCTTTGAATAATACTGCGTATGTGACAAATATTGGTGGTTTGGACCAAATCATGGTTTCCCATGAGCAGATCCTCGCTCATCCTCACCCATGAAGCACTGGGTCTACCCCGTCACTAGCTCCTGTTAGGCTATAAGATGCGGCCTGAGCACTCTCCCCTTGGTTGCTTTTTAACTTGCATTGAAGAGCCCCTCAATGTCTTCTCCGGACAATTATCGCCTTATTCTCTACATGTCGGCACAACAACGGACATTTGATCCTGGAGCCTACAACAACATTTTCACATCCAATAGCTTGCCTTTATCTGGCTTCCTTGATTGTCTCGAAATCTATGGCTTCTAATACGCGCGGAACTCGACATAATCCGATCGGCTTCTTAATTGCTTTGCTTGGCAAATGAACCTTGAGCACCTATACAAATGGACTCTACTCGAGATAAGAGCAATCATATCTTCAGGTATCACTGGCTTGCTCACCTTGCGTATTCGAAGTTCGATTTGTGGGCCTAGTCTGGAATTCATTCGTCATCTCCACATCTTGCTTGTTTCGTCTATAAACTTGCAACCCGGCAGTTGTTTAAGACATCCCGAGTTACACAACCCAGGATCCAGATTGAATAGACCTGTGGCTCTGTCGAAGACCTAAGACGGTGTCTAGACTCCGCCCTTGCGGTGGTAATATTTGGTCAGGGTCAGAATAGGCAAAAGGCCATCCAGGAACACTTCACAGGGAGTCAGTATCTGAACTCTCATGGATTCTTTCCATGGACTATTCCCAGATATCTCATATCCAATAACCAACTGTCGAAATGGGGTCATAGAAATACAATAACAATACCAATACCCCCAAATGTGATCGACCTCGTGATTGATTCTAATGCGGACAATGTCTGAGAAGTAGGAGAATCTCGAATGAAAAGCGCTTCGTACTCACTACTCTGTACTACCGTTACACCTTTCTTAATTCTTTTTTTTAATTCCCTTTTTCCTATTAGACACTCTTTGCTTGTTGCTCAAAAGACGCAGGATCCTTTTCCTTGTTGTGCAAGCCATATCGATTCGATCGCTGTGGCATCTCGGAAAATCATCTCCATGGATTACGGAGAGTCAAAAGAGAAGAAAGGCATTTTCCTTGAGCTCGGGCTACAGCTGGTTCCACTCATTTTCTTTGTTCAGTATCGACAGCATACTGGCGCCGTACCCGCGAGAAGATCAGAGGACTCCGTTCCGGCTTCAAACCCGATTGTTCTGATCGTGGATAGCCGGCCTTATTATCCGGGAAGCAACTGATCTTCACTCTTTCCTCAACTCACTCGAGTTCGCGACTGTTTATCTTATGCTTGTTTCGGGAGTTTCCACAAGCAACGCTGCAACTTGCTTTAGGCTTTCTTAGAGCACGGGGCATCTTCCTGCAGAACTCAACGCCATTTGGGGTCTTGGGAGTCTTCGTTTCTCTACCCGTGACCAATCACGAGATTTGTCCTTTTTTCAACACTTTGCCTGAGCCTCTTGACTGAGTTGACTCGTGTTCTCTTTGGTAAGAACTCGAAGAAAGTCTTGATCTGTGCCCTTTATCCCCTGCTAAAGGCTGCTATTGTTCCCGGTTGATCTTGGATGACACCTGACCATTCAGGCTGTAATACTCACCGCCTGGAGTTCCTTCCCCTCTCAAACCCAAGTTCATCCAAGACCCTACGGTCCTACCTGAAGGCCCCAAGCTCCTGGCGACTCGGTCTAATCAGATTTAACCTAAAGAGGTCCAAAGGCCTTGCATGAAAATTTCACTCTCTCTTGCGCCACTTTCGATCCCTTCCGCTCCCGCTAGGATACTGTACGCGTCCACTTGACGTGCCATCTTGCGACGAGCGACCCGTCCGACCTTCGACCCGCTATGTATGGCACATCTCAGTCCATATCTACAATGAATGGTATGGATTCCGTCGATGGCTCGGGGACTATCGACCCTGCAAACCTGAGCAACACTGGTACGTGGCACCGTTTGCTTTTCCATTGTTGTTGTCGGCTGCTCCGTTTCCCGTTTCACTCTCATCTATCGCAAACCATTTCGCATGCTGTCCAGTATTTGAGGCATGATTCTATGCATCGGAATCGCGTCCTTCTGTTCCTTTCCTTGTCTCTTTTTGTATTCCTCCCCCGTCGCTGCCTTCAAACTGATACCCCATCTAGTCTCTGTTGCCCTGCCCGCACCTTCCCATACAGTAGCAAGCCCCCGAGGTGTCAAGCGCAGTCGCACCCCAGAGCACAGCGGCAACGGACATTCCGACCGGCATCACGATGATGGTACGTGCGCAGCGCGGAGGCATTATCGATACATTATATCTAGAGCCACTCTTTGTTCCCAACAGCACCTGCACATGTCGCCTATTCACAACTTCCGTACCTCCAGGGACGATTGCTAACATCATTTGCTTTTATGTAGAGGAACAGAGTCGTCGCAAACGCGGCCGCCCCCCAAAGACACCTCGAGCAACCTCTAATGAACATCCCGTCGCAAACACGCCCATTCAAACACCTCAGATGCAAACACGTCCACTGCCGCAATTCACCGCTGGATCGCCACCTCTCGCATCACCAGATAGCAAGAGCACCCCAACGAAGTCACTTGTTAAAGCACTCCCCACTGTGAGGGATCACACATCAGACCAGCTGAATGAAGAAGGTGATGAGTACATCCCCAAGGAGTTTGATGAAGCAGGGGAGACCAAGGCAGACCCCATGGGATATCCGCTAGGCGGCCGCGAATACAAATGCCGCACGTTTCGTGTTCCTCTACGGGGTAGAAAGCTCTTCATGCTTGCAACTGAATGCGCCAGGGTATTGAACTATCGTGATTCATATCTTTTGTTCAACAAGAACCGATCATTGCATAAAATCATTGCCTCCCAGATTGAGAAAGACGATCTCATTCAGCAAGATATCCTGCCATATTCCTACCGATCTCGCCAAATTGCAATTGTCTCCGCCAGATCTATGTTTCGACAATTCGGGAGCCGGCTAATTGTGAATGGCCGTCGGGTTCGAGATGACTACTGGGAGAGCAAAGCACGGAAACAGGGCTTCACGGAGGATGACCTAGCGGGCGAGAAACGCCCGGGCGCAGCCAAGGCTCGCGATGGCTCTATTTCAGAACCAGCCACGAACCTGCTACCGGCCCTGCCTCACAACGATGTTGTTTACAGTAATACCATTGAGCCATTGCCACATGGGCTTTCGCTGGATACTGGTGATATTTCTGCTGCCCTGGCTCCGCTCCCCATGATAAATATGTCGGCAACGGATGATCCACGGCTACGGGATTATGCTGCCATGCCTCGCGCACGCCAAGAAATGACGGGACAACCTTACCACGACCGTACTCAAACGAGCTCAGCAGCAGACCTCATGAACCAGGCTCAGCATACGTCTGATTTCAACAAGATGTTGACCATTCAGCGCAGCTACCGTCAGAAAGGCTTGGATGAATTCTATTCCAAGCCGCGTGAGCCCCCAGTCTCCGAGGCCCAGACTAACGCCGCTCTTGACTCGACTTTGTCGGTATCACAACCTGTTCAGGTTCCCCAGATTGCCCCGACGGGTATGTCAATTCCCACCCATGCGCAGCATATGCTCCCTCAGCAGGTTCCTATGCAACCCAACCCAATGATGGGTGGACAACCAAACTACGCCCAACTTCATGCACAATCTGTTGGTCAATCTCCCCTCAGGGTTCCGCCAAATATGCAGCCCAACCTTATGCAACAGCGGTCCAGCCAGTCTATGGCTGGAGGTATGGGCCAGGCCCCTCCATACGGATATCCATCGCAACAGCAGCAGATGTGGGGGCAGCCACCGCCGCAGCCACAGCCGTCTCCATTGCCTTCGTCGGGTCACCAGGGAGTCGGAATGGCTCAGTATGGTCAACAAATGGCTGCACCTCCGCAACAAAGCCCATCTCCTCTCGGTCATCACCCGCAGCAGCAGCAGCATCACCACCACCAGTCTCCCCGCAACCAGCAGCGACAGTCAATACCTCAAATGCCGCAGCAGTTCTCTCAGATGCAGCACCCTCAAGCTGCGCAGCCTCAGCAGGGTATGCAGGGCATGGGATATGCGGGTGGCACCCCAGCTGGTTATCCAGGCATGGCGCGTGCCATGTACCCACCCAATCAAGCTCAGGGTGGCCAACATTACATGGGCGGGAATCCTCAACAAGCGGGCCTTGCCATGAACATGGCCGGCGGTGGTATGCCTGGCTGGCCTGCTGGGCAGCAGATGCAGCCCGGGCAGCCGCAACAGGGCCAGTCTGGTAACGCATTGGGAGGAGGATGGTCCTACTAGAGCACGGCGGTCGGCGTTATCTAGATTGGCGTTCTCCTCTTTACAAATTTCCCCATCATCCAAGGCGCGCTCATCTATTCTCTTTTGTCGACACTTCCTTTCATATCTGAATGTTTTACTTCTTTTTCCCCTTGGTGTTTCAGTGTCCCTCTGCATTTCTCGCTGCATCCCAAGGTGAAGGATCTTCGGTTAATATTAATCTGGGTCAACCTTCCTATACCCCTTGTTGAGTTGTATCTGGTCAAGGTAATTGTCTATGTCTCCATGCCTTCGCCGGCGTTGTTCTATGTCTGTATTCGGTGTTTGTTCTACTTCCTTTGGACAGAGTTCTACAAGATCATGAGTATGTACTTTTTTTTTTCTTCTTCCCATACATGGTCCATAGAAGGTGAATGCCGTGGTGTCAATAGTCTAGTTTTTCTTAAGCCTTGACCGAGTCTGGTCTAAATCTGCGGACTTTGTTCACATTACCTTGACACTGTGTATTCGACTTCTTGTCCTTAATCTGGCATGTTTATGCCTGTTAGTTATCTCAGGATATAAGGCTGTCTGTCTTCTTCCAAGGTTCGGTTCCCTTGTGTGCTATCGCCATGTATTCATAGAGTTCTCCTAGTTTGTTCCTTAGGTCTCCCCTCTCTATTGCCCTTCCTCGCCACAGTGCGGCGATCCCTACTACTAAAACCAACTTCAACGTTCCACGTAGAGGGTCCGAAAGAGAAAAAAAATAACAAAAAAGAGACGTCCCCGGGAAGGCTTGAACTTCCAACCTCCCGATTAACAGTCGGACGCGCTAACCAATTGCGCCACGGAGACTTGCTATCCCGGAAGCCCTAAAGGCGAAGATATCCACAGTAGTTTTCGAAATCAGCTATTTTTTCAAACAAGAACTTCCAATGGCAATGAGTATGAGAGGGCTTACAGCGGCATACAGTAAGTACTATATAGCTTCTTGGAGAATGTGTGAACTTTTAAAGTGAACTGAACTTATGACACTACATTCTCCGGAATTTAGGCGCAGAGACCTACCCTGTGCTTGAAACTGTTCTCCGGCGTCCTCGGCGTAAGTAGGAGGGTCAGACTGGATGTCTCCAGTCAATTGGCTTTGGAAGCCATACAGATAAAGGGACAGTACTAGTGTTCGTGTCTACCAGGCTGTATCGCAATAGGGTAGCCGGGGTTCTGACACTGACAGAACTTAAGAGATTGATTCAACAGCTTTTGCGCAAACTGTGAGCTGAAGCCGGATCACGTTGCATTCCAGGGCCTCTACGCCTTTTGAAGTGACTTGATGGAGTTCACAGCAGGTAAATTACACGCACCGGCAAGTCGTTGGACAGAATGCAGTTCGAGAAATACCAGATACAAAGTAAGAATGGGCAACGACAGCTCGCTGGTTAAGTCGAGTACAGAAGTCTCAGCCTGTGGGAACCTCAGAGGATTCAATTGAGAAGCAGGGAGAAAGAGCAAGAAAAGGCAATTTGGGGAAACTGCGAGGTTGGTTCTTGCTGCATACATGACAAACAATTAGTAGAACGTTTGAGGAAGCTGCGCGGAGTGTCCCTTCCTATTCGGGCAGTGTCGATGTTTGTTCAACTCTCACAAACATAAATAAAGGACACGCACTTTTGTTTTCTCTCTTCTTAACACCACGCACTTTTGCCTTCTCTGTTCTAAGCACCACGCACTTTGTCTTCCCTAAAAGCCACGCACCTTCTCTTTTCTTAATACCACGCACCTAACAACCATATCGTCTGAATTATTATCCGGTATCAGACGAATCTGTGAGTGCCAGTGTTTGTCTCCCAAAATTTGGTTTGCAACTAACGTATAAATAAGCACCAAGATGGCGGAACGTGATCCTGCGGGTATGCTTACAACACTGCCACCGGAAGCAATTCGGTTGGCCCACGCTCTTGCTGCCTATTTCCAGGCGCACGATGATACCGATGAACCTCTCAACCCTTTCGACGTCTATGGAAGGAACGTTATCGCATACATTGCAGAAAAATATGATCCGGAGTCTAATGCCACGGGATCGTCCACTGATTTCCCCGCCAGCTGGGCAAACGACAGTTCCCAAGTGTATTCGGCAATCGTAACGGTCTTCAATCTAGCCTTTGGCCTTTCAATGCCAAGCACGGAATCACGACCTACGAGGTCATTGCTCGATCTACCTGTGGAGTTGCTCTTGCTTATTGAGCGGCAGCTACCTGACAAAGACGTTCACAGTCTTTGCCGAACAAACCGTCATCTGTATCACGCTTTGAGTGATTCCCTTCGCCAGCGAGGTTTGAGGAACCTACGTGCGTTCCTATGGGCTCTAAAAAAAAACAACAAGCAAGCGTTCGCCAAGGCAGTCGAAGCACTGACTCCTCTTCCGAGAACCATGTGGAGCACACCCCGATTGCAGCCGCACATAAATAACAGAAATGTGCACCTGGTAAAGCTCATGGCTTTCAAAGGCGGCCTGCTCGGACAACAACTTGAGCATCTGATCGACTTCGTCCTTCGGGTGTCACGAGAACGCACAGAAACCCCTAGTGTTGACAAGTGGCAGAGCATTAAAAACTGTTTGGAATGGGGTTTGAGTCCCAACTATGTCTTCGAAGACGGATGGTCCTTGATGGCACAAGCCATTGTGAAATCAATCATAAATCCGTACAAACAGTTCAGAGAGGTAAAGGTCTTACTCTCTCATGGGGCTGACATGGGTTGTCTCATCACCATACCGGACAATGATTCAATGCTGCATCTAGCATGCCTTTACTACCAGCCCAAGATCGTGCAGATCTTGCTCGAAAAAAGGTGCAAACCCTAACCTGAAAGACGCACGCAACCGCGCACCCATCCATAGGTTGTTTGACAGGCACGAACTCAAGTCGAATGACCGGGATAATCTGCTCGACATTCTCATCCAGGACCCAAATGTCAGAATCGATGAACGCGATAGCAATGGTCGGACTCCACTAAGCCTTGCTGCCGGCCACTCAGTCAACTTATCGATGGCTAAGAAATTCGTCAATAGAGCTGTTCATCTGCCAGACAGGATCGATATCAATATCCAAGACAATGAGGGAAAGACACCACTTTGTCACGCCATTTCCATCAAGGAACCTTACATGGTTCGTCTTTTCGTCAACCAACACAGACTTGATCCCAACCTCGGTCCGGCGGATGCATTCCCTCTGCTTCTCGCTGTTGTTTATGATAAGCTGCCAATTCTTGAGATATTGCTGGACTCGAAGCAGCTGGATTTGAATAAGCAAAACAGCGAAGGGGAGACCGCCTTGTTGAAGGCACTTCATATTGGCAATACGGAAGCTGTCAAGTTGCTTGCCCGAGCTGGTGCAGATCCCGATTTTGAACCACGCGAAGGAGTGACAGCGCGACAGGCGTGCCTGGATGCAGGTCTCCTTGTCAGATGGAGGGTTCGCCCGATCTAGGTGGTTATGTGTCTAGCTTGCTGGTGCCGAAGGAGCGTACTTTTTTAAAAAAACATGATGGGCATGGCTACATCTGCTAGTGTTTGAGGAAGGCCGGTCTATTTCATAGTTTCTAGCCACCTAACAATACCAGCACTGTCCTGTCTTATCCGAGAATGCGAGTCCTAGGTACTCCGTACTAGGTAGTATGTAGCTACAGTAGATGACTGCCTGTGGAGATTTTGCCGCATATAGACATTAAATGCCATATAGACACCCATCGACCTCTCTAGGTTGACAGGATTGCCCAGATCATCAAGCCTGGCTGGCTGGGCATTTGCCGATCCTCCACCGAAGGTAATCCTGCACTTCGAGACACCCTGAGTTTATTGGGGTCGCCGTGCCAAAAAAAAAAAAGTACGGAGATAAGCAAGAATGTGGCAAAGAAAAACAAAAAGAAACGTCCCCGGGAAGGCTTGAACTTCCAACCTCCCGATTAACAGTCGGACGCGCTAACCAATTGCGCCACGGAGACGTGCTTGTTGATAAGACGAGTGCTATTTTAATTCATAAGCCAAGACCACTTCTAGTATTTAGAGTGCTCAACATCTGAGTAGGTATATGTTGCGTTGCTACGGTGTTGTGATTAGGTATGGGTATTTTAGCAATGGTTTGGAGATAGAACCCCAATCAAGGCGTATGTCTCTGCTTAATTTCATGTGACATGGGGAAGAGTGAGAAACATATGTATGCAGAATAACTACCTAAGGCAGGACTTTTGTGTTCATGGATAGTATCGGTCAGCAGTATATATATCAGACGGGAGTACCTCAAGATGCTACCAGCCCGCGGGAGGGCCTGCAGGCCGGCGAGAGCCCTTGATGAATCACCCAAGTAACACCTTGAGCTTGTACTCGTAAATAGAAAGCGAGCTGAAATCGGGTTAATGAGAACATCACCATCATCCCACGGCGACACGTGCCGCGTCTGATCTGGTGTTTACTTCTATCCAACAAAAGGTATCAAATCTTCAAGGTTGGTTCACAAACCGCTCTAGGGAGCAATTCCCGCCCGGTACGGTTGGCTTACGCTATGTCCATCAACAAGGCCCAGGGTCAATCGCTGTCTCACATCGGTGTTGACCTCCGATCACAGGTATTTGCTCACTCATCCAAGCAGTTTGTCTTGCAAGAATTTCAGACCAGACAATGTTGTCCACCGTATGATCCTCGCTACCAATGAATACCCAAACCGCGAGATCGTTGGCATTGGTAGAACGCGTCAAGGTAACGTAAAGCTGGCCATGAGCAAACACACAGTACATGGGAACGGAGCTCAACACCGATGTGAGAAAGGGACTGTCCATGGGCCTCGCTGATGAACATAGCGTAAGCCAGCCGTTCCGGGAATTGCTTCCTAGTAGTAGTCGGCTTGATGGTACCCCCAGAACCTCAACACTCAACAGTTATCCTGTCCCTCACGCTAAAGGAACTTGGCGAGGGGTGGATAATGTCGAAGAGAGTGAAATGGAGAATCACAAAGGTGTAGACGGCAGAAGTATGCGCAAGCGGTGAAATGGAGACGAGCGAATGAGCGTAAAGGAAGACTTGTTGAGACCTAGGTGCTTCAGGCTGCGTGTTTGTCTGCCAGAATGCACCTCCCTTGTTAGATAGCAATCCCCCCCTCTCTTCCCTCTCGCCCCTTCCCTCCTTTCTCTTCTCGGTCCATCACTTTTAGTCGTCAGTGAATGATACCAGTATTTACTCAGTTCATCCTTATATCATCCACAGCCTCTCTAGAAGACCGAGCCAAGACGTCCACGAGAGAAGGTCAGGCCCACTACTCCGTAGAGGCCATGCACAGATGTTGCCCATGTGCAGTGACCACACGGAAAGAGGGATCCATACATATGGTACAAGGTACAATAAGAAAATGCAGGTTTTGGATTCATATGATCCGACCTCCGAGCAAACAGCCACATCATCATGATGACACCAAGCGGGGGCCAAGCCTCTCAACATGAGGCTTCTTTGCAGCACCAAAGAGAGCAGCGGGGACCTGTTTCGAGCCCAGGAGCCTCGTATCAAGTTAATCACTAAATAGCCAAGAGCTCGAATAGTTGAGTAGGCTATAGTTAGGTCCACTAAAGGGCTCAATGGAAATTTTCGAAAAAGCCCGCTCAAGTCCACGCCACCCGAGAGCTAAGGGACATAATAACTAACTATAACTAACCAACTACTGTACGGTAATGCCCTCTCCAAATGCCAATGGACCAATAGATCTACACCTGGATCTAGACACAATCAATGACTCAGACTTGAGAATTAAGGTTAAGACCGACAAAGAACAGTGGCTTGCACGCACAATGTAGCTTTAAGGTTAAATAAAGTTCATTGATTCGAGTCTAATCCAATCTCAACCAAAGATCAAGAATAATCTTATTTCTTCCGCAAGTGCTCCGTACTACATACTGCCCAAGGAGGCGATTTACTTACACAGTACGCTAGACGTTAACCACAAAAGTGGATACTAGATGAATTGACCAAAAAAAAGCAAAAAGAAACGTCCCCGGGAAGGCTTGAACTTCCAACCTCCCGATTAACAGTCGGACGCGCTAACCAATTGCGCCACGGAGACGTGCTTGTTGAGGAACCTTACATTCTTTTAACTGATAAGCCGGAATTGAGATTAGTATTGAAGATGTTCACCCTCGGACGTGTCAGTGTTGCCATTTTCGTGTCCAGGGACTGGGGAAACAGTATGTCCACCAGACTATTTGAAGAAGCAGTACCACTCACAGTACCAGGGCCTCAAGAGTCGTTTTGTTGAAGCAGGCTATCTGCTCGGCATGCTCGACAATTCAGAAGTGTAGGTGTGTTAGTCTACAGAACAACTGAATCGGACAGATATCTACCAAGACCATGGGAAGACGATAGAGTAGTAAGACCAAACAAGGTGGAGGGGGCGTTCAAGCGACCCTGTTCATCTGAAAAGACCAGTTTGGGGGGTATGAACGAGCAGAACAACACAAACAAAAACAGGAAGTTCTGCGCAATATTGTACAATGTTATATCATATTTAGGTCAAACCAGCATCAGGTCCATCATTAGAGGTTAGTACACTCGAGGAAGCATTACCACCAGACAAAAGGTTGCGTTTGCCCATACTTTGTTCGGGTTATATCAAGTACTGGAAATCTATCACTCCTATATCTGTCTGCCGTTCGAACTGGCCTAGGGCACGTTTCGCCAGCGGAAGCCCATTGAAAGCTACATGGATGAATAATGGGTTCACAGGGCTAGAGTTAGTTAAAATATCGACAGACATTATTTTCAAGCACTGCACTATATCATCTTATAGCCAGTCTTACATATCCATTACATGAGTCTCGGTGTTAAGATCTGATACTACGGTCGCAAATGCCAGTAGCTAATACCTATGCTGAATGAATATAACTATATCAGATACCTATGTTGCCCCGTCGTGAGCTTATCTATCATTATGCAACCCCACGTCTTCATCTCTAGACCTTTTGACAACGCACGTTTCCCAAAGCCGACCTATACGTACCTCACTTTCATGCAATTAAGCATCACCCCATGTGGCATTGAATAAACACCAGTTGTAACGTCGTTGAATGGATTCAATAGGCCCGGTTGCTAGGAAGAACCTTCCCAAATATTTGAATAATACGCCCCGGTGAAGTACGTAGCTTCAGTTGAATGTGTCTTCACGAAGGGTGCCAGTCCATTACTTTGAGGAGGTTGCTAAGAAGATACATAAGATCTCGGTTTTTGCCACAAGCACGTCTCCGTGGCGCAATTGGTTAGCGCGTCCGACTGTTAATCGGGAGGTTGGAAGTTCAAGCCTTCCCGGGGACGTTTCTTTTTGTTTTTTGGAGCCTAGCTAAGCTAGCTAGGCTGAGTAGGTCTTTGGACGACATGTGCGATTGATCAACGATTTTTTTTTGCGGGATCGTACAAATATTGCTAGGATGAATTGCAATATCACCCAAATATTGAAGACGTAGCCGCGATGATGAACCATATAGAGATATTTCCCTCAAGTCTGTATCCGAGGCATCCATTCAGCCCGTAAGTTGCTATATATTCTAATTTCGTACTTACACACCGAGAATGTCCATGCTCCTTGCCCGGCTGGCAACAGAGACATTGGAACAGCTATCACAACCATCGCTTTGACGCGAAGTACAACATTGCACCCCCAAACAAGCAAATCACTCAAAATCTAGCAAAATATCGGAACCTCACTAAACCCCAGTAGCCAGCACCGTTGTAACAGGCACCGCACTAGAAGGACAAACGCAAGCCGAAACCGATGTGACAGGCGGCTCCGTACAATGCGGACTGACCGTCCAAGGCACAGACGAGGTAGTCGAAGCCCCATGCTCAACCTTTTCCGCCTTAACCAACACGGGGATAACAGCACCCGTGTTCAAGCTAAACTCGCGATGCTTCAGAACCCTCAGAATAGAAGCGATCTCCCCCGAATGCGCCGTGACCGAAACGAACGCCTCCTTCTTACCAGACGAAGCAAAGAAAACCTGTCCCAGCGCCTGGGCACTTCTTGCATCTTGCGCATCGGCAGACTCAGCAGTAACGCCATCCCACAGCTCATCTTCTTCACTGAAGCCTTCTTCAATCGGCCAGTTCGGGAACAAGTCATGGATATAACTGCGGCTACGGCGGTGGTCGCATGTATGAATGCTGATTCCCTCGCGGAAGAGCTCTTTGACGGTAGGTTTGAAGGGAGCGCTACCCTTGGGCAGAACCAGACCCGTGAATGTCAGGTTGGCTGTCTGCAGGGTGCGTGTGAGTGGGCTGACATAGTAGTGATCTGGGGTGTGGATTCGTTGTTCGTGGATCTGCTTTTGCCAAAAGGCGTTTGCTTTGAGGGCTTGGGATTCGCCGGTTGGCGTGAGTGTTGCATCTACCCAGCTTGCTGTGCCGTTGCCGTCCAGTTCGGCCCAGTAGCACTGGTTATCGGGTTAGGCTGGAATTGGTGGAAGCCGGTACAGGGGTGAAGGTTAGGCTGACTTACGTTCCAGGCGGGTGTGCCGTAGTACGATTCTGCAGTGTTATGCCACCCTTCTCCGTGTCGACCAAGGAATAGGACCTTGTACTCGATGTGATTGGGGGCTTCATCGTTCAATTGGGTGACCTGGTGATGGAAGCGCTCCCATTGCGTTAGGGACTTGTGACCCTTGAGCTTATTATCCACGGGATATGTGCGGTTGATCAAGCCGAAGTTCTCCGATGTCTGGACATGTTAGTGGACTAGTGCTATATGTAGATATCTCGAACTGGAAGATTCGTTTTTTGTAGCTTACTCACATAGTCGAATTTCGAAGCATCGGTCGATTCTTCATCTTGCATGAAGTAGCCAGTGACAGTCGAGTAATTGATAGTGGCGGCCTGGGCGACGGTTGTGCCCAGAAGGATTCGGCCGAGGGTGGAGAGTTTCATTGTGAAAGACGCGGGGATACGCGGGGCTCAAGGCCAAGGTTTCAATAGTCAGTGGCTGCGTATTTTTTTCTTTTTGAGATCGGCAAACACATAAGGGACTTGGAATGTTCTATATAAACATCTCCACGTGGCAGCCCTAAGATCCTTAAGGTTAGACTCGTAGTGGCCATTGCGATGACACCAACGACTGGCGCACGTGCTCATGAAGACCCTAAACTTATTGACTTTGAACGTTGAAACTAAGTCCACCAATAAGCTGACGCTGTTTTAGCTGTGTGCTGATCGTCATTTCCTTCTCGGAGGTTTTGAGGGGTATCCAAAGCAAATCGCCCCTTTTCGGTTGAGATACTACATTGACAGGCTAGTATCGGGTTACAGATTCCCGAAAAAGGCAGTCTGATACGGACACGATGCGGGATAAACACAGATGGAATCATCCACAACTCCCGAACTCGTTCCCAAATACCATCTGTTTCGGCGAGTGCTTCTCGTTCTCCAAGGCTATCGCTTGTCGCAATGAAGCAAATGCTCTTGAAACATTGAATGCAAAATGCTTCGAGGGATATTCCGTGAAGTGCGCAACATGACAATCTAAGCACTCGCCATTCAGAGAGGTGTAGAAAGCTACTGACCTTCGACATAATCTCAAGTGGCAGAGATGTGATCGACACTTGGCAGATATTCTTGCCTTGGGTACTGGAGGAGGTGAAGTGACGAATCAGAAATTGATTGTGATGATAGACAAAGATGTAAAAGGAGAGAAAGTTGGAAGAGAGAAAGAGAGAACGGGTCAAGTCAAAGTCCTGAATTGTCGCGGTAGATACAGAGGTAAATATGCCCACTCGTATGGGACTAGGCCCATATGATATGGGTGTAACGCTCAGCAATGAAAGTGTGGAAAAATAACAGAATGCTGACCATATGCAAATCCAAATCCGAATCCCATTCACAAGTCCCGATTCCACGGGATCAAAGTCAAAGATAAACGACGAAAGAAAGTCCAAAGAAGGTAGGTCTCAAGCTTCTGTAGCTTGGCAGAAATTAAAAGGTCGTATCAGACACAAGATAATAACAAATCCCAGGCCAATAAACAACATGCAAGGAATGCTCCAAAAATATGTAAAACCCCGGTGTATACACCCCAAATAAAGAGACAAGGAAAAAAAAGAAGTATACAAGAGACATAAAGTGACAGTGGTTCTCCGTGTACGGAAGTATAGACGAACCATCCTCTCCTGTGAAAGAAGAGAGTAGGCAACGAGAGCGAAGGTGAAATTTTTGTGTAGTGAACTCGTCTCGGACCAGAAAACACCAGGAGTTGTCGCGCATTTCTCATACAGCCATATTGAGGGTAGCGTAAACGGACTGTGGCTCAAGAAGGGTAGTTGCTTGGCGTCGTGTTGTTCGCGAACGTGTAGGCTTTCGGCTTCTGCATGGATGGCAACTGGTTACCAAAGCGGGGATCGTGCTCTGGGAATTCGTGCATCATGAATTCAGTCCGTTTCCTCTCCGCAAGTTCAGCGGAGCCTGGCATATCCGTATCTTCAATTGAGTATATCAAAGAGGGGGAGCCGGAGACTGGTTCCATGCCATAGGCCTGCCCGGTGTGGTCGGTGGTGGCATCATACCCCATCGGCGAGACGGTGCTCGAATGCGGGACCTGGAGACCTGCTGGGTACTCGGGCGAGGAGATGGAAGCCGTGTCAGCCCAGCTGCGGGCTGTCATAGGCATTGGGTCACATGTGCCATAATCGGGGAAGGAGGAGACATGAGCCGGAGCCGACATCGGCGGAGCCACATTTTGATAAGGGAAGGGCGAGTATATATCCAATGGCGTGGCAGGAGGCGATGCGATGTTGACCTGCATGGGTTGAGAGGTGGGGAAGAAGTGAGCTGTGGAGTGGGCAGACAAGCAGTAGTTGCTGTCTGTGGGAGAGGCAGGCATGAAGTGCTGGAGATCCTGTGGAGTCAAGGGAGTGGGTGGAGCCAGAGTAGATGTCGAGACCGAAGGTCGCAACATCTTCTCAGCCTTTTTCATAGACCCGGATTCCGCAAATGTGAAGTTGAGAGGAGATCGCTGAGCAGCCGACGCCTTCCTCACACCCGCATACCGAGAGTTAAGGCTCTGGCTCGACTTGGACTGTCTCATCGAGTTGCCGTTACCGGTGTTGGGCATACGAGCGGTAGGCGAGAGCGAAGACATCGAGGTCGAATTAGCCAAAGGACGGGACGCCGAGGTCCCAATAGCAGCAGGGCGAGGGCGCTTGCGGCGGGCGGCGAGGTCAAGCTCCTTGCCGGATTCCTTCCACGAAGCCCCTTCCACTCGGCTGAGAGTTTGAGACAGGCCAGATTGGCCAGGGGTACAGATCCCGATGCCCTCCAAAGAGGCTGTCAATGCATCGGACGATTCACGACGGGAAAGCGAGATATTCGGCGCCTGCATGGACAATGGATACTGCACGTTGCTGTAAACAACGTTATCTTGATGTGGCTCTCTCTCTTCTGACCACTCTTCCCTGTGAGAGGGCAGGTGATTGGAATAGATGTCCATGTTATGTTGCACAGCATGTGAAGGATTTGACATCTCCGCCATTGTTTGGTGGCATGCGGGATATGAGGCCTGATCTGCATGGTTATATCCAACATTCTCATCGTGGTCGCCGGAACCCCACGCAGCTGGCTCTTCCTTCATATTAGGCCATCCCGGGAAGGAAGAGTTTAGATTGGTCAGGTTTCCGTGATCATTGGCTGAAGTTGCCGTCTTTGGCGGCGGCATAGAGCCAGGGGATACGGCATCCTCATCCAAACCTTCAGGGGCAGATTCATGTTTACGAGGGTTAATTCGACGACCGAACCGGTCCCGGGCGGCACATGCAGCATTGAGCGCTCTTTGCAGGGACGCAAACGTTGCCTCACGTGCCGACTCGCTTTTTGTTTTGTGGTGCTTGGGTCTGGTTGTAGAGTCTGACTTGCCATCTCCGCTGGACATGGAGGTAGGCGTTTGCTTAGGGGTAGCGGACTTCTCCAATTCCTCCTTGGCGATAGATCCTTTCCGAGACCCAGACAATTGGTCCAAGGTCTCCGTTTTCCGGCGAGCGGCCTCCTCGGCCTCGGCCTTGGCTTTTGTCATCTTTTCGAATTCCTCCTGACGTTTCTGTTGCTTGGCCTTTGCGCGACGATTTTGGAACCAATTCTGCATATCTGATTAGCGTTGGGAACCGACGAACCAGTTTCGGCGTGTACATACTGCAACGCGAGGCAAACTCAAATTCGTCTGAGCCGCCAATTGGCGCTTGACATTGCTACTTGGTTTGGGATGAGCTTGAAATTGGGCCTCCAAGGTTTCGACTTGTTCCTTGGTCAATCGTGGTCGCGACAAATTTTCTGTGTATTCGTCATAGTCCATAATCGGTTGGTGGTAGTAGTCGACCATTTCCATTGGCTGGTGCGAGTACATATAACCGTCGATGGGGTGCATCATCGGAGGAGGGACCATGGAAGCATCATACCCCATATGCTGGTCCATCGGGATGCCTTGATGAGCTTGGTAGTTCCATGAGGGGTGGATATAGCTCATGGTGATGTGGAGAGGGTAGTAAGTAGATGTAGGAGAAGATGTTCGCGGGTGAACTGAAAGATAGACAGGTCGGAGATGCTGCGCGAGAATGTAGCAGCTTCGAGGGATGGGGTCTATACCATGAAGTAGACCTGAAATCGTCCTATAGCGTCGGGACAGGGACCTCGATTGAAGATGCGTAAAGAGTGGAAATACGGGCAGTTGGTGATTAAACAAAAAGTAATGAGCAGTGATAGCCTGTGATAATGGTCGGTGTTAAGGAGAGACTCGGGAGTTAGGAACCCAAAGGAGTGTGGATGGCAAAAGAAACCAAAAAAAAGCAAAGAGCCCAAGGAACGTAAAGGAAAGACTGTGTGGGAAGAGGAAAGGATGAAGAGAGAGAAAGATGGAGTTTGGAGGCGCTGGGGGAAAGATTGGGGGTGACGGCCGGTAAGGCGCAGTACAGAGCTCTCGGACAGTGCGGTATGATAGAGTGGTGAGCGGGTATAGTCCGGTAACGGTTGGTAATTTGATGAAAGTCATGAAACAAACTTGGGAAGGTCCGTGCCTGTACTGGGTACATGAGACTTATGTAGTCCGGCTACCCAGGTTCCTGGTACCTGTACTTGACTCGACTATATACTGCGTAAATTTTGATTTATTCTAATAATATCAAGATCAAAGATCGTTCAATGGGAAAGTAATTCAGATTTAGGATCATCTACTTGTAACTACGAATATCCACACAAATTGAAGGCCGAATAAACCCCCACCGTATTCTACCCTTTTTTAGCCCGTGGAGTCGCGCTACCGCCCGCTCGGTAGGGGGTGGCGGCCTAACCTGCATCAGAGTCACATTTTGATTTGATTTTAATAATCTTGATTTTACTTCTCATTGTTTATTCTTTATTCTCTAATTTTAATTTCCTCTGCGCAGCATACATACAGATAGAGTTGGCCTAGAAGGATCATTCCGGTCCTGTCCTAATTACCCTTGTGAACGCATTTGAGCATAAATCGGTGACTGGAAAGGAAAAGGGCCAAAACCTTGGAAGTTTCATAAGCCCCATCGGAGGGCTTTGGATCCCTCATAAATCTTTATTAGGCATTCTGGGTGTTAAGATCGCTATTCACTCGCAGAACTCCACAAGTTTCATATACATACATGCGCTTCGAATATGTGGAGATAGAGAGTTGACTTCCACCACAAAAGAAGGTTATCCGTACAACCACATGTACAACGTCAGAGTAAACAAAGGTGATCCAGGGTTCAGAGTGCGGAGATCTAGTTTGGCCCTGGTACCATGGGTGCTTCCCGCGGTAATTTAACATACACTTATCGTACAGCGTCTGTACGGAGTACACCGGTACGCCGGCTATGATGTTCCCCGTAGGGCTCCCGAGGTCGAAGAGCACTATCTTCAGGCGTATCCCACGCATTACTCCGTACACAAGACGGAAGGAAAGGGAAAAATGAGAAAAACACAAACGCAAGAATACCGTTCCTGCATTAGCGTCATGTCTGACCCTAGGAGGCGGTCACCACCCATCGCTGCAAGGAAAATCAAGTCATCTCGACGGAATTCAATTTGGATAAGACCACTGATATCTTTGACTTTGGTTGTTGTGCGAAATTGGACGTTGATATAGTTTAAACTCAACGCGTGTTGGACGAAGATATGTGCTGTACCTAGGATGCGTTGTATGGAACTCCGGATTGTAGCTAGATGACCACCTGTATGGAGTACAGTGATCGATCTTGCTGAAGAGTCTGGTCCATGCAACAGTCGAAATACTTCTCTACAATGTCTGATTAAACCATGTACTCCGTAACCAATAATAACCCCGGCCAGTATTCCCAAGCATCTCCAAATCTTCCCCTGTGCCAAACAACTGGAGACCGGTGCTCCGGGTCAGACGATCGGACGCAGTCCCCCGGTCCAATACTACGGCCGTATGACTCGGAGATCATCGCCATGCTGTCTGTGGAAGTCTATAACGGACTATCGACTCCTGAAGCAAATGGGTGTCAAGTGCTCCGTACGTGTTACTGGCCATGTCTGATCAGTGTTCCCGTTTCGACTAGTACGAATGTAGACTAGTGTAGGCGCATGGCAGCAGCCAAGACAAACTAAACATCAATAGTTGACAGATCCTTTGTCGATCACTCAAGGATCTGCCGGGCTTTTCTGTTTTCTTCTCATGTGGCGCCCCTCTTCGGGCAAATTGTCTGCCATTGACCCCTGTGATTTAGCTTTTTCCTCCATCCTAGGCTCCAACCATAATTCCAAGTGTGACAACTTTCCCGGGGATCTGGTTAGGCCCTGCTCAGCAAGCGCCAAATGTCTGAGAATAAGAGGCTACATGCAAGCAAGTCACGAGGATTGCCGTCCGAACTTTGCCCACCCCCTTTAGCATGCACATGCGAGGTGATCACTTCCCCGAGATCCGGGAACCGCTGTCCTTGACGCTAAGGTCTGTAATTTTGAACATTCTTCTATTTTCTTGGAGTGTCTCGATCTCGTTGGATCCAACAGTATCATGCGAGCATCATGCGCTGGATAAGGTCTCAGTCCATTTTGCCTCTCTGATTACTACAAGACAGAACGTTCAAGTCCTTGGGCAACAAATCCGGGAGCCAAGCGCTCCCAATTACTTATCTCGCAACTACGATAGGAGCATACAATCTCAAAGTCTGATAACTAATCTCGTATACAACGTTCAGACTTTGTACCTTATCGTCAGTTCGTCACATGAATATTGGCACGATTCAGGAGAAAGGCAACAATGAACCAGCCCACCGGAAACTTTGCTCGAGTTGACGGCGGGATCTGTCTCCAGAGGCCGCCAACGCTCAGCCTACTCCGTACAACCCACCAGATCTGACGAGCCAGTTAGATCGGGCGACATGTGGTGGAGTAACATCTGAGAGTTCATCCACAGTATGTACGTAGACCTCTTCTGAGCCAGGTCCATGTAGTAGATCCTACGGGGTACGGAGCTCCCCGTACACAACGTGGTCCCTACGATGCAGCTTCTCTCCCTAAGATATTCACCGTTCCAAACCAAGCGAGATATCGTGACCCATGACGAAATCAGAGTTGGTTCCGTTTTAAGCACCAGGATCCAGGTGCAGGTGCAGCAGGGCGCGTATCGTGAGTTGCAGTCTTGCAGATCACATTCGATGATGCCCCACCATCAACGAATGAACAATGGTGTCATAAGTCGAGATGGCCAAAAAGCAGGCGATTGAGGAGACTCAGTCTCCTGGCGCGAGTATGGACCAGTTTGATATTTCTTCAGTCTGGCCGAACATCCCCGATGGTTCTCCATGCTCCTACGAACGTTGCAGTATGTTGCAGTCTTGAATATTGATATCCACAATAGACAATGTGTATCTTACAGCAGGACTCGTTCTCGTATGATTCCTATTTAGGCTGTTAGCCTGTTACAGTAACGCTGTACAAAGATAGTAAAAGGCTAGGAAGATCTGCCATGCCCACAGGGCTCGATCTGTACCTCATTTTCTCGCACGGACCCCCCGTCTGCCCCATCTGACTATTGATTGGATCTGACGTGAATCATTCTGGGAAACACTCAAATATCGGACCTTGCAACAGCACAGTCCCGTAACTTTGCACGACAATTCCCCGGGAAACCTTGGCGGTTCGATCGACAGTGTGACAGCAAATTAGTCTACCCCTCAGTTTCTCAAACTTGAGGATTGTCAGATTGGCAGATTAACGGATTGGCGTAGATCCTCAGATCATCGAACGCCTCTGATCATGGCCTCTCCGCAGATCTTGCCCGTGGCGGTGCATTCACCAATCCTCACGTCATTCTGGATGTTCTCCTTCTAGGCTAATTCGGAGTATTTCGGTGTCTAAAGCTAGCTGCGCTTTTCCAGCTGCAGCTCTAATGTTAATGTGATAGATCTTCGACGCCTTCCTCCCTTGTGGCGCTGAATGACGGTGGCGGTGCGCAGCTGCATCGAACACCCTGCATACATGGCTGGAGAGACATGTCTATTTGTCACATTCGTGGGGCCAGTGCTCGAGCTTGCACGAAACCTACGCCAGGTAGCTGCAAAGGAACGGCGTGAGAGATGACTGGATGCGCTCTTCTTCTCGTTGCAGGCCGATGCTGTGGCCTAGATCGGGATGAGAGCAGCACATCAGAACAGGACCTAGATCATGCTGTATGGAGCCTGTAACTACGTGATTAAGTTGCATTTACCCCTCATGCATTACCATATGTCTTCATACTTCATACAACCTAACAGGTTAGACAAGTGAAGCTGTCTACGTAGATTGCACCCAAAACTCTTCCACATTGTCCTGGCCAAATTGGCGTGATGGTCAAGACCCTGGTTTTTCCCACCGTGCGCAGGATGCAAAACCAAGCCCCCTTGCATGTTCTCACCAGCAAACCGGTTTTGCTGAAGACCATTGGATGGAGCTTCGGAAGCATCGCTTTCCCCCGAGATTTCCCAGTCAGGGAATATGTGTTTCATCCCGGCAGCCATGGGCCCCGCCAATGGGTTGTTCCTGTGTCGAAAGGCAAAGCACATCCTCGTGTGATTGTATGCTTGAAGAATTTACTCCGTACAGCGGCTGCAGATCTCTGCAGTCAGCAGACCGCCTTATTTCATCTCTCAGCTCCCACGAGAAGTAAGTCCGAGACTCTACCCAAAATTGAAGTGACTCTCCGGCATACATTTCCGTGCTCACGGCCTGGTTCTAGATCTACACAGGCCTCAAGCGTGCATGAACGGTAGTTCGCGGCCCGTCCTACCAGCATGATTGGATCAACCATGCGCAGCAGGCACATTTGCATGCTGTAACACCCTGTCGAGGTGATCCGGTGAAACGCAAGGATTGTGGAGCTGCAGGCTGACGAAAGCTATCCGCCACCCACGCCATCCATCTAGGGCGGATTGGAGCGGCCTAGTACTACTGTAGTTACTGTGTCAACGGCGAAGCGCCTTAATCCTTGCAGTCGAACCATCTAGAGGAGCTCCCGTCCTTGTAAGGAGGCTTGTCAGTTGCCAACAACGTCGACACAACTACAACATTGTTTCCGATTCGTGGGCTGAGCTTGGGTGGACCAGTATTTGCACATGGCGAGTTGACTGTGGAACTTGTAGGTACTTGTGAAATTGCACTTTGCACCTTGCCTGACCTAACCGCATCCCCGCCCGGGAACCGTCTGAGATACTGTCAGACTCAGTGTCCTCGGTATTTTTGTATTGTTTCAGGATATGCAGGGCGAAGATTGAGCTCGGGAATCATCTCAGTCCTGCTCATAAGGTCCTATACGGATCGTGATCAGCGACATATCCTGAGACAACCAGGATTCCAGGAAGGCCTTGATACAAGGTACATAACTATATCTCCCAGCACCAGTGGTTGTGATTATCACCATGGATGGGTGCAGCCAGTCACCAGTCAGGTGCTCTCTCGGTCCTGGGTTCGATGTCAAACCGGGCCATGCAAAAGTACACAAAGAGACCCGGAGAAGTCGGGGTATGTATGTACAATCGAACCCAGATGTAGCAGAAATCAGCTCTAGATATGCTATGCTATGTCTAGAATGTGCATTCAAACTCCGGACGAACCCGTTACGCAGTAAATGCAACAATATATCCCTGTCCATGCAGCAGTGGGGCAAGACCTAACCTCCAACGACCCTTCACTGGTATGCATCCTTGATCTCAAGCTGCACCCGGCCATCAACGACACCCTTGACCGAGATGCTCCTCAAATCCTCGACGATCCAATCGGCACCAGCCTCCTGAAGCTGCTCCAGAGAATGTGTCGTCTTCAGCGCAATCACCTTGAACCCAGCAGCTTTGCCGGCCTTGATGCCAGACGGCGCATCCTCGAGCACGACGATCGAGGTTGAATCTTTGAGACCCAGCTGTTCCCGGCCTAGCAAGTAGCAGCGTGGGTCCGGCTTGCCGAGCGGCACGTCGGCTGCTGTCACCAGGTTCTTAGGGTGCGGGAGGTTGACTACTTCCAGCCAGCCGTCAACCAGGGGACGCGTGCCAGATGTTACAACTCCCCATCGTGCACCGGAGGCCTCGAGGGCTGCGAGGAGGGCGCGACCGCCGGGGATCTCGACGGCATCGGAGCCGAATTCTTTAGGGACGCGGCCTTCTATCTCGTTGATGTCTGTGGTGTAGACGTGTTGTCAGTTTGACCGTAGTCCATGTTGGGGAGCATAAGTTGGCCGTGCGCGTGCGTTCAGATATATCCAAGCAGAAAAACTTACAGTCCCAGTTCGCTTTGCTCGGGTCATATATACCGATCACGTCGATGCTGCGGCGGCCGTGTGAGGTTGCAAGGATAACGTTGGGGTCGACGCCTAGCTCCGCACCAAGTCTGAAGATGTATTGATTAGAACTCTCGTCCGCAGAAGGAGTATCGAAGATTCGTCTGCGACTCACTTGTGCCAGTGCTTCACAATTGCTGTTCAAGAGGTGCGGATTAGCATTCGCTCCAGGCAATCGGGAGAGGGCTCAAAATAAACAGCCCATACCATCAGTTGAATCAATAATTGTGCCGTCAAAGTCGGAAAGCAGACCATCGAAGGTGTGGACCTGCGCAGGCGCGGAGAATGATCCTGACATGGTGGGGGGAGAATGCGGGGGTAGTTGATGCGCGAGTGATAGTGAGTGGACGGAGAGAACGAGTTGCTAAGTGAGAGATAGACAGTCGTATTTTCCGTATAGTTGTTGAAGTATTGACAGCGAAAGGAAGAGAAAAGAAAGAAAAGAAAGATTCTAAGGCGTCATCAAGATATTTCCTGCTTATCTACAGGCTCCAAGTCGGGTATCTACCCAATTCAGCAATCGTGCCGCAACTCTAGTGGGAATGAACCGGAGATCGGCCTAACACTAATCCGCTTATCGGCTGCGGTAAATCTTGGCGCTTCAACTTTTTCTATTCTCAGTTGCAGACAGACTTCGAGGTTTGCCCTGCACATTTTTGTGATTTACAAAACCATTCAAAATGGTTACCAAGAGCGGATTTGGTAAGGCACTATCTATTGTCTCTCGGCTACGAGAGGGCCCAGGTTACAATCCTAACTGTCTACAGGAAAAACTTCCAAGCGGGTTCCCGTCCGCCTGAGGCACAAGATTGAAAAGTCTGCAGTTCAGAAGCAGAAGAAGCAAAAGAAGCTCGCAAAGAAGGTATTGCCGACAGTTCAAAATTCAATGGTTATGGTTAAACATTCTGACCACTCTCCCCACAGAACCCGGAATGGCGGTCAAAAATCAAGAAGGATCCTGGCATTCCCAATCTCTTCCCCAACAAGGACAAACTTCTCCATGACATTGAAGAGCGCAAGCGCAAGAAGGCAGAGGAGCAACAGCGCATCCGCGATGAGGCACGAGCCCGCAAGGCCGAAGGCGCGCCCGCAAAGCAAGGCGTCGAGGGTGTTGAAATTGATGAGAACGACATGCTAGATGATGATATGGACACCGACGGCAACGACTCAAACCCCATGGCCGCTCTTCTCGCTTCAGCACGGGCCCGCGCTGAGGAATACGATGTCAATCAAAGTGAAGATGAAGACGACGAGATGGACGAAGATGAGGACGATGACGATGAGATGGACGAGGATGATGATGAGGAGGGTGGTGCTATGGTTGACGATTCTGCCCCGCCGCTGGTTAATTCAAAGTCTTTCTCAAAGGAGAGCTCACGACGCCAATTCGACAAGGTGTTCAAGCAGGTCACCGACAATGCCGATGTCGTGTTGTACGTACTTGATGCCCGCGACCCCGAGGGCACCCGCTCCAGGGAAATCGAGCGCGAGATCATGGCCGCAGATGGTGGAAACAAGCGATTGATCCTCATCTTGAACAAGATCGACCTGATTCCCCCGCCAGTCCTCAAGGCCTGGTTGATCCACCTGCGCCGCTCCTTCCCCACTCTCCCTCTTAAGGCCTCCAGTGGCGCCGCCAACGCACACAGCTTCGACCACAAGCAGCTGACGGTCAAGGGTACCGCGGATACGCTCTTCCGTGCTCTTAAGTCATACGCCGGCGCCAAGCAGCTGAAGCGATCCATCTCGGTCGGTGTCATCGGATATCCCAACGTCGGCAAGTCGTCCGTCATCAACGCACTTACCGCACGTTTGAATAAGGGCTCGAGCAACGCATGCCCGACCGGCGCCGAGGCCGGCGTTACCACCAGTCTGCGCCAGGTCAAGCTGGACAACAAGCTCAAGCTGATCGACTCACCCGGAATTGTCTTCCCTGGCTCCAGTGAGAAGACCAACAAGAAGAACAAGAAGCAGGAAGAGCAAGCGCGTTTGATTCTTCTCAACGCTGTCCCGCCCAAGCAGATTGAGGATCCCATCCCCGCAGTCAATCTTTTGCTGAAGCGTCTATCCGCATCGGAGACCCTCATGAACAAGATGCTCGAGATGTACGGCATCACTGCCCTCTTCCCTGGTAACGGCGACAAGACCACCGACTTCTTGGTGCAGGTTGCTCGCAAGCGCGGCCGTCTCGGCAAGCGCGGTGTTCCCAATATTGAGAGTGCTGCCATGACTGTTATCAACGACTGGAGAGACGGCCGTATTCAAGGCTGGGCCAATGCACCAGTCCTTCCCGTCGTCTCGGCGGATACTCCTGGAGCCAACATCGAGCCTGGTGTCGACACCACCAAGATTGTCACCGAGTGGGCCAAGGAGTTCAGCATTGAAGGTCTTTGGGGCAACGGACAGGGTGACGATGAGGAGATGGCTGAGTAAAGGCTTGCGTTATGAACTATCTCATTTGATTACTTTCTGGATACCAAAAAGTGGGCGTTTAATGTTGGCATTCCATCGTTCCCTCTGAATTACATCAAAGCATTGGATAATCTTTTTCCTAACATTAGGCCCTGTAGACTATTTGATTTTCGAAGGAGGAAGTCGAATATCGAAGTAGTTGAAAATGCTATGTACCAGACTGTAGACATCACCGCCAAGCCCGCATCGAGAAATCCAACGCGTTGGCGCGTCCTCCTTGCAACTCCAACCCCATCTCCAATTCAAACCTACACAGTACAGCACAATATCACACCAAGATCACCCGCAGAGACAATTAAACACATCTCCCCCAGTCCCTGGAAAAAAACAACCACCAACTCGGTCGCATCGACCTACAAAAATGCCACCTCGCAAATCCACGTCCTCAGTGACACCCGCTGATCCAGATGACTCTCTGCTCCAGTCACCTGAAGCAGCATCTGAGAAGCCCGTCTTTGCAACGGAGCAGCAATTGAAAGCTCGAGCCGAGGCCGGTGCCAGCGTCGAGGTAAGCAGCACAGCAAAGACGTTGAATTCTGCATATGACCGATATTCCGAAATCCCCCATATCCAGCCTCATACCCAACAAGAAGCACGGCAAGAAAACAAGAAACACAAGGCCATGCTAAACCGCTCTCTTCTACAGGATTACCTCCTCCCCCGCTCATTGACGATTCGTCTCGCGAAGTCCGTTCTCCCGCCGAACACGACGATCCAGAAAGACGCCGTTCTGGCTATGCAGAAGGCTGCTACGGTTTTTGTTTCTTATCTTTCTTCGCAGTATGTTTCTCCCGCCGTTCCCCCGGCCCGGAGGTGTATATATTATCTTATATGCTTCTAAATTGCTATGGGAATTACGACTCGAAACTAACCTAATTGCAACAGAGCCAACGACGGAACCCTCAAACGCACAATCGCACCCTCAGACGTCTTCAATGCCCTCTCCGAGCTGGAGCTTGGTTCTTTCCGCGGCCGGCTCGAGCGGGAATTGGAGGCGTATACGGATATCAAGGCTGGGAAGCGCAAGTCTAAGAAGGCTGATGCGAATGGCGAGACGCAGGATGCGTTAGGTGGGACGCAGGGTGATGATGGGGATGTTGAGATGGATAATCCTGCGAAGAGGGTTAAGCGGGATGAGGAGGGGGTGTTGTTGGTGAGGAGACTGGGGATGGGGATGAGACGCAGGAGGAGGATGTTGAGGAAGGGGAGGAGGAGGAAGAGGAAGAAGAGGATGAGAGTGAAGATGAGGAGGAAGAGGAGGGGGATGATCGGGCTCGTGAAGATGATCTTGACCATGTGGAGGATTTGGATCGGGAGCCTGGGGCTAGGAGGGGACCTATTGATCCTGATGCTGAGGAGACTGATGATGATGAGAATGGGCCTGGTAGTCAGTTGCGGGATGATCTCGGGTTGGGCTAAGTGCCCATGTCCATAAGATTTATATGCAGATGAGCCTCGAGTCGACTCGTGCTACCTTAGTTTGGAAGGAGTGGCCTGTCGCCAGGGAGATGGATTTTTCTGCTGTACTAATACACATAATGATGAATGGATTTCGATGCATTTGCCCAATGCCCGAATATAGTCGAAGACGAGGGTCATGTATACCTATCGGGCTGTAACCTACGTTCAGCCTTGAAGAGTCAATCTATACAGCCCAGTCAGACCAGACTGGTCGAGTGTTTACTTACGCATGTTGTATGCTATGTCGGTTGTGATTCTGCTCACTTCCAAAGCTACGGGATGATACAGATGATATGATATCCAAGGGAACCTAGGAACATGTATTGGATGAAAGGGTACTCAAATTAAAAAAAGTGAGACTCAAGATCGTGGATATCTGATTGAGATGTACCACATATGAGCACCCATGCCAGTTTGGCATGAGCAAGAAGAAGAGCCAGGAACCCATCAGGCCGGGAAAACAAGCCTGTTGCCCGGAAAACGCCAGTTTGCCCATGCAAGAAACCGTGATCTATCGGTGGTATCTTTCGAAAAAAGACGGCAGCAACATCAACCCAGAGAGCACGCAGGTGACGGTAATAATAATACAGCCCATGAAAGAAGGAAAGAAAAACATGGAGGTGGGGAGACAACCATGAGAACGCCAGTGAAGAAAGAGAGTTGCAGGGAGCTCGAAAAGAGCAATAAGAGAAAGAACACCGGTGACGCCAACCCATACATCATGTCATGAATGATGGTCAACAGATACTGAAAAATCAACCAAAACATAAACCACTCAGGAGGAAAGACATGTCCGAGGCAGAGTATCCGAGTCGAGGGTAATATCTGCTTTCTCGGGTTGCTCTGGGCGAATGAGACCGTTGTTCCTCGAAGCGCCAGCTGGGACTGGTTGCATGGCTTTGCCATCGGCCTTTGTGTTGAGTTTCCCGGCAGATTGATTGGGTTTGGTGGTTGTAAATGCAAGGGTGGCATTGGGCTTGGGCGGGGCCTTCGTAGCACGCTTCTTTGAAGCAGCAGTCGTTGCAGCCTTCTTCGCACGGGGTTTGGGAGCAAGCTTGGGAGCGGCCTTGGGAGCGGCCGTGGGAACAGCCTTAGGAGCAGCCTTGGTAGTAGTGGGTTTCGAGTTCTGGAGGAGTTGTGAGATGGAAAGGCCATTGCTCGCCGGGTTCGTAATCTTCCTTTTCGCCGCTGTGGTGGCAGGCTTCTTCGTGGGCTTCTCATCATGGCTGGAGGAAGGTGAAAGAAGACCAGTGTTTGTGCGTGGTCTCTTTTGCGGTGTTTTCATGACCTGCACAGCAAGATCGGGCCGGGATAGTGGCATTGGTTCAGGCGATGACTCGTATGTGCATGGTGTGATATCGTTCGAATTCCATGGCTTCAAATTGACCTGACGGGCGACTTCATCGCACGATCCCTTGATGATCAAGTCGAAGCAGTCATCGAACTCCTTGCCGCTTGGTGGTTCATTGTTGATGAACATTGTGACTCCATCCTTGCGAGTGCGGATGTTCGCACACATGCTTTTGACGAGACGACGGACTCCAGGAATCTTCAAGCTGGTACCAGCGACGATTAATACGCGAGGGCGGGATTTGATGTCGGCGTTCATCACGGAGGCAATTGCCTCTTCGTCCGGGTTGTGTTCATTGTAGAGGACAATCCGCGGGCGCATGCGTCCGATTCCGTGGCTTCGTAGTCCGGCGGTTAGGCGAGCGTCGTCATTTCCTGCGCACTCTGTGCATGGGGGAGGATCGGCTTCTGTGAACAAGGCTGCTTTGAAGCTGGTGAGGTAGCTGCATTTTTGGCAAACCATCCATTCGATACTGCCGTGAAGTTGGATTGTGACCGGCCAACCACCCTTAACGCTGAGTGGAATTTCAGTAGCCAGCGGCTTCATTGAAGTTTCAATGCCATCGATGTTTTGGGTGTAAAGCCGTTTGAGGCGCGACTCAGTGCCTAATCGGGCGAGCATTTCGTGGAAGGCGGTGGGCTTGGGATCAGCCTCCGACAGCGACCGGACCATTTCATGGAAGGGAGCCGTCAATGCCTCATCTTGGTAGACGGCTGCATCGAACAGAAGCTTCCCGGAAGCTTTTAAATTGTGCTTTTTCTGCAAAGTTTTGAAGAGTCCATCTGTGGAGCGAAAGTCCGGAACTATAGATAGTTAGAGTGGTGTGTCATGGCAGAATCATGGCAGAATCCCAAGAAACTTACTACCCGCGGCAGTGGAGATACCGGCGCCAGCGATGACGACAATATCTTTTTGATGCCGAAGAGTTTGAACGAGCAAATTGTGCTGATCAGTTTGTTCATGAAGAGATTTAGACAGATCGAGATACTGAGTGGTCCGTTCCTTCGGTAAAGGGTTGCGTCTCCTCTTCGCGGGAGGGGCTTGGCGTGCAGAACCCTCAGCGGCAAGCTCAGCTTCCACTTGGGATGAAGGTGTTGGATAACGCGTCGCTGTATCCTCTGACTCTGACGAATACGCAAGATCAGGAGGAGGAGGACTTAACTCCGAGTCCGAAATATCGGATAGAAGATAATCCATATTCCCCATGGCTGTGTGCTGTGAATGGGCTGAAAGTCCAAGTCACAGCGCGCAGGAGGATGTTCACCAGGGGAGTTCGGGCGGGAAGAAAAGATCCGAGAGTATCTTCAATATGCTAGATCGCGAAGAGATTTGGAGAACGCGATCATGAATATCATGAACGGGCAGAAGGGCAGGAATCAATTAGGTGGAAGACGCTCGGTAGGAATATCAGGAGAGAAGAGTAGGAGAAAGGTAGAAGGTAACCCAGGAGATCGTTGACGATGAGGTCAGCGTTGGAGAGGAAGGGGATTTAACGAATCCGTGCACTTTCAGGGCTTCAGTTATGGGTCCGGAGAGAGAAAAAAAATCAGAAAATCAAATCAGATCAAAAAGAACTGAAAAATAATAAAAAATTGACAGAAAACAGAAAACAGAAAACAATCTTTGTTTTGACCGAAGATATGGGATTCCGCGTGAAGGAATGTGGCCCGGGGAAATTGGCTTAAACGAATAGGAATTGACAAGGGGGGGCGACTTAATGATGTGTGGGATTTATCAGTGACTCGTGAGTAGTATACTTCGGAGGAGAGGAAATTGGGTAGTCACTCACGGTAGAACCAGAACCACTGGAGGTGGGAGTTACATTACTCCGTAGGCTATCAATGATCGTATCGTGTAGGAAAGCTTGCTGAGCACGTCCCCTACAGTAACAGAACTCACTGGTCGCGTACCTTTCTCGCACTTTTCTCGCACTACGGGTCTACGGGCGTGACTACGGACGTGACTATCTCCCAGAACTACCAGACAATCGTCCATTGGTCTTTAACCTGAATGTGGTCCCCTCTTTCTCTATTTACCCCCCTATTATTGTGATGTTTTGACAGTTCAAAAGCCTAACGTTGATTCGCCCTGCCATATAGTGGGTCATTATATATTGCTTTGATTGGTCAACCACCGTTGGCTGGGCTACCCGTCACCTGATTCATGTCACGCGACCTGACTAAGCATTCCCCGGAACCTTGGAAGGCCAACGGTCCCTGGAGGTCCAGGCGCTGACGGCATAGAACAACAGGAAGTTGGTCTATGAATCTGACTTCAGATATTGGAGACTCAAGCCGTTGCATTGACTGTGACATCTCTGTGGGGATCTGGACTCTGAGATATCTTCTTGAACATTGGCGCCGATCTCGGGATCCCCCTCTCTTCCCGAGGAATAGTACGGACTACGGAGTAAAGCCAGCTGGTATTCAATGGTCCGGGGAACTCTGTGAAGCTATGTTGTATTGATTCCCTGATTACCAAACACCGATAGAGTGGTTCGACACTTATTATGCCCCTGATCATGGAGGACGGGATCAATGTGGATGATCTCTTTGGAGAACCCAACTCCTTGGAGCTGGGCTTGTCCGCCGCCTCTCCAATCAAAGGACTCCCACAATGCTTAGATGAGATGCGCCTGTTAGGATGCTGCCAGTAAGCTTGGAAACCCGTTCTAATTTTCTACATCTGCATTCTAGGACTAACGAACCTTTAGGAAGATTGCCTGGTCTCGCATGGGATGTATTGCAGCTATCTCGTCAGACGGACTCAGGGTGATGGTTCGACATCTCCAATGTCGTCCATCAGATGGCAAATGGATGCTAGAGGAAGAGTCAGCGTTGACTTTAACCTTGGAGACCCACAGTGATAATCAATTAGCCCATCTGTCATGGAACGAGACTGGCTCAGAACTGGCTGTCATCGACTATTCGGGTCGCATATGCCTCTATTCAATATCCATTGCATTAAACAGCATCTCGGTCTTGCGTCACGCTGAATTTGACACCAGTGACGACGGCAGCCAGGTTATTGGAATGATGTGGCTGAACTCTTCCCAACGTCATAATGTACGTTTAAGTCTCCAGGGAATGACAAGATAGTCTCTGACATCGAAACAGGTCCATATTTTTCACCAAGCAGCCAAAGTGAACGGTAGATGGGCTTACTCTCCGTTCCGTCGACGCCCTGTCGGGCCATTCCACCCAGTCAACAAAGGCGCCCTGATCTGTGTGACCAGAGCCGGACAGATCAAAATGTTATATCAAAACCCTGATAGTAAATGGGCCGAGGCGGCAACTGAGCTGAAGAACACAGGATACTCGGACAGGTTACTCACGCATGCGTCCCTGACCGCGACACAAGGTATTTGGTTCCAGTCGGAGTTTTGCTTGACCCCGTCACTGACACATACATGTAGCCGGAATTCTTCTCGCAACCTATTCTGCGTGCCAGAAGATTTGTCTCTACAAAGTGCACATCAGTTGGAACCCGCCACAGTGGGAGCCGACACAGGGCAAAATGCCAGGCCAATTCCCCGTCCCTACCTTCCATTTAGTCCACTGCAAGGTGGACATGCCCAGCAATATGATGGATGTCAACCCGGGGCCGGACCACCCCGATCAATCCTTGCCGTTTTCGAACTCGATATACTCACTCACGCGGCTAGAGATTATGCCAGGGCAGGTTGATGGTCCTGCAGGGTCCGGTGCCAACCCTTGGATCTTGGCGGTGTTATCGAAGCCTCTCCATGCCATACACGACTATCCAGAGCAGCAAGGTCCATCGAGTATAATTGTCAGGTGGCATTTAGATTCTGCGCAGCAGACTTTGCATCCCAAGTTTGACGAGGTGACGTCAAAAAAGAGCAACGCTCAGGTAAAGGTACGAACCAACTGCTTTCAGTACCTTGTGCTGGATTGAGACTAACATGATCCTAGCCTAAAATGGAGCTGCGCCGGTTGGAGGACATCTACTGTGACAAGTTTATTGTCTCGGTCGATGTGGTGGAGCATGGGGCAGTTTTGGCTCTCACTCATGACGATAGTTCAATAACATGTTATGACACTCGGACGATGAGCATTCTGCCAGGAGTTGACGATTCAAGCACAGTGACTAGTCTGGCCCAAGTTGGGTTCCAGTACCCACCCGAACCGTCAGGTATGTACGAGACTGGTGCTCCTTTCTGATGTGTAGGTCAAACTGACCTGGACAGGTCTTCATATTGCTTTCTCCCCCAACTCTTGCATTGCTGCCGTTCTGGATAGTGACGGGCAAATGCAATTGAGGGCGATGGAACATTCATTCGGGTCCACAGAGGGTCTCTATGATGAGAGTATGTGTTACCTAGACTGCCTGTGTGAGGGAAAAAAAGGAAAGACTGACGGAGACATGTAGGTAACTTCTCTGTCGCCATTGCGGCCTTAACATTGGCGTTCAGTCGAGGGTCTGGCGCCGAATCCAATACAGATGACATCCTCATGGTTGCTCTTCGGCTATTAACACCAGGTGAGTGTGTCAAGGTCTTCCAACTTATACCAGAGCAAAGCCACTGACCATTTCAAAAGAGGCTCGAATCACATTCATCAGCGAGGTGTATCGCGCGTTGCCGGTGAATTGCAATTTCACCGTCGAACAAGACAAACTCATGAGCAATCCATACATACCACGTTGTCTCAGCTTACAATCTGGCTTGGGCTTCGGGGGCAGGTTCAAGCCTCGTAGCCTATCATCGGCTGTGCCATACGCGATTATCCAACTCCGACATTCCTCTGTTCTATTTGCATATTTCTTCCAATACAATAAAGGAGGACAATCCGACGCTCATGATCCAGGTGAGCCCCAAGAAATACCAGCGAGTTACTTTGACATGTTGCTAATTAAAGACGGAAGCTGTTCTACGCATGGTGTTGGGCAACACCAAATGGACACTGGACTTCTCTCACTTCCTTCTGAACGAAATCTTCGATATGGCCGACGAGTTCCAAGGTATCTTGAACGACCCAGAGGCATTCGCCCAGAAGTGTAAGTGCCTACTGCGCGAGACAAACTCCACGACATAACACTGACTTCCTCCGCAGTGAAGAACACAACCTCCCTCCCCCTCCTAATTCTCCTCTCAAGCATGTCCCGAGCCTTCCTCCGCTTCATCTGTCGCGGTCTCCGCGGCGTCCACGCCGGCTTCGCAACCACAAACCCCGCCTCATTACTGGGCGACTCCAGAATCTACTACACAGAGATCTGCCAAGCATTAGAATCATCACCTGTCCGCATCGACGTATACGAGAAATTCCTAGCCGGAGTCGACTCAGCAGTGAAGCACGCATACCAAGGCGCCGGCTTCGGCGACGCCGAACGACCCGGTCCTGAAAAGGAACTACTAGTCAACGCGCGCATCCCATCCGTTCTCATCACGGCCGTCGCCACGCTCTTCGGACAGACAGTCCCGGCGCTCAGATCGGAAATCAATCGCATGGCGATTTACCTTGGGGACTATAGCTGGCTTGGCTTTGGGAATGACCGCCGCACGGCAATGTACCGCAGACAGCGCGAGGTCGATATCGTCAAGAAATGTCCGCTGCGTCCGCCGTTGCCGTTGGGGAACGATGGTCGTGTGGCGCCGTCGAAAAAGCGGAGATGTGCGCGCTGCTGTGAGGTCTCGGGTGATACGAGTCTGCCCCGGTCGATGTTGTCGTTCAAGATGATTGCTAAGCTGGGCTTGTTACGGTCTTGTATTTGTGGGGGGATGTGGGTTCTGGAGACGGATACTGGGGAGCTTGGAACCGGAAGCGCCGGTGTAGGCGGCAATGGTCCTGGGCATGGCATTGGGATCAACCAGGCCTAGTGAATACTGCACATGGCTCGAATTTTGGCTTTGGTCGCTGGTGCTTGGGGTTCGGTTGCTATGGAAAGTAGCTGTATGTAATTTCGGTCTTATCCTTGATTTCTCTGGGCCATGTTTGTTAGGCTAGCTGCATCTAGACTCTAGAGCCATTTCCGATCATCTATTTCAAGTAGATGCAAGTTATGTAGGTTGAACGTAGTTGAAAGTTCCCTAATCAGTTACCTAGTAGGTATGTGGTTGGCGCTACGAGAGCTGGAGAAGATGATGGAAGAGCAGGTCATAATACTACTATCAATTCCCGGCCAAAGAGTGACCGGGAGAGTAATACGGCAGGGGGGAGAGCCAATCTCCCCACTACACCAGGTACCTAAGTAGCTCCCTAAAGCAAGTGAAAATGAATGGCTTCAGTTCAAAAATCGTGCTCTTTCCGCTTAGTTATTTTCCACGGGTGTTTATCTCATTACTGTTCTTCAATATAGGTATCTTCGAAGTAATGCATTCTGCGTCCGTCCCGGCTTCATCTAACGACAGCATCTTGAAAAGGCCAAAGCTTCTCCCATAGCGCTTTTTCCTGCTCATTTGCTGATTCTCGAAGCAAAAAGTTTTGCTTTGATACACTGAGTCGTTTGGCCACTTCGTCATACTCTTGGGGAGACACGGCCCCATTCCAGCCGGGATAGACCCCTATCTCATCGATCACTCGCGCCTTTCTCTCGACATCCTTCTGCCACTTAGAGTATTCCACTTGCTGGTGTGAAATCTCTTCTTTTGAGTAATGCAAAGGACACGGCACGTTTGGATGGCCGGTTTCATTCGCCCCAACAACTTGTTTCCAGGTGCTTTTCTCACTTAAATCCGCAAGTAGGCTTTGCACATATGGCTCTCCATCGTCACAGATAGATCCGATCATTCCTAAGATTTGGCCGGGTAGCGAATCTTTGTAGCGAAATGCCTGTAAGAGCTCAGGTATAGCTCTCTGTACCTCAATCTCATAGGAAAGCCAAAATGACTGGGCAGCAAATAAAACCTTGGCGCGCTTTCTGGCCTGAGGGTCAAGTGAATCCAAATTATCAGGAAGCGTCGGTTGGACAAAGCCATCCAGCTTTGGCCCATCATATTCTATCAAAGAGGGATGATGAGCGGCTAGGAACATCGGATAGATAGGCACGCCTTGCCAGTCGATAATGCTTGTGATTTGAGACGGATTATCGGGGTCGACAAAGATATTGTCTGCATGAAGATCATTATGCCAAATGACACCACCAGCGATACCCTTGCTATGAGGAATGATATGGGAGTGGATTTTGAGGAAATCTTGCAAGACAGACAACTTCGCTTTGTGGGATGGGTGATAACAGCCGGGCCCGCCAAATATTCCTTGCTGGCAGTCCTGCGGGAAGGTTCTGAATTTCTCTAGGCATGCTGTTTCTCGCTGGACAAGTGCTTCCATCACACATTCCGCCGAATTCCCTAAAGGCAAAGGGTTAGAAGTATAATATCCCTGCTTAGGCGAGAAACCCACAAGGACCCCGAGGAACATCCACGTCACCTCTTCTATCATCGAACCATGCCCGCCCAACTGTAGGACCCACAGCAAAATCGTCGTCAATGACCTGGCTCTCGAAGCTGATATCCTGCCGGCGGTATAGGGCGCCATAGCACGGAAACTGGAATCGAGCGAGATTACACGTAATAGAACCCACCTGTTTCACAATGGCCAATTTTTCACGGGCCTTGAGGTCATTCCAAACGCGACCCAGTTCAATGCCCGGAGCTTTCTCCATCACAATATATTCCGCTCCAAGCTTACTTTCTCCGTCCCGGGAGCAATAAGCAAGAACCTTGGGTACAGGAATATTCAATTTTTCTCGGGCCTTAAAACTAATTAGCGTAATTGACTAAATATTTTTCGATGGGAGAATCTCTCACGAATTGCATGGTTGCTACTTCAGATGCCGTAGTGTAGTGAGCTGGTCCCGCATTGGGGTTGGGTATTTTGACGACCAGCTGCCTCCCATCTTCCATTGTCGCAAGAAAAGCTTTATTGAAGTTCCCCTCCGGTAACCTTGATAAATCGAGACAGACCGCATCATGACCAGCAGCTTCTTCAGCGATATGGATGAGGGCGTTTGGGTCGAATTGTACGTATCTTCGTCGTAATTGCTCTGGCTCGTTCCATAGCCATCTCTGCGCTGAATACCGAAATAAAGGCTCTGGGTCGGAGCCTGCTATTGGTTAGCCAAAGATAATGGCATGAAATAAGGAGACTTGCCAACAAGCAAAGTCTCAGGTGCTCTGCCTCTGTTAGGCGGCATAGTGAGTTTTCGAGTGGTAATGTGATGAGCCGGTAGTTTCATGGATTCGAGTATGGTCCGAGGGCCTCTGGCAGCTTGAAGGAGCATTGTGCGACGCTATGGGTTATGGGAATACAGAGAATGAAGTTGGATTCTCCAAGTGGCTTTACAGCTCACGTGATGGTAGAGACGCCCTATATGCGGACCAAAATATACACATTTTCATCGTCCCATGACATACATGCAAGGCCTATACAAGAGCAAGAAGAGCATGAAAATGTCTAAAGTCGTGTCATGTCAAGAGTCGATTTGCATCCTATTTAGATACATAATCAATTTCCATTTTTTGGATGTAAAAAAAAAGAGAAAACCGACCCCTCCACAAGCTTTCGGGTCCACACTGTCACGTCCTGCTTGTGTCCAAGGCCAGTAACGTCTTCCCACAAAACTCCATATCCGAACAAGTTCTGCGTTTAAGCCTGTAACAAAATACGTCAGCATCGTGTACTGTAGGGTCGGTTCGTCGGAGGGACTAGCTGGTTGGTGGGAAGAGGGCAAATATGAACCAACATATGAACCCTCCTGCCACCATTACCCAACTATCCAGGATTTGTCGGAGTATTTCATACCTTAACGGCGTACTTGCGCTGGGGGAAGTGGATGGCACGCTTGCGCTGCTTGTCGGTGGTCTGGGTACGCTCGTGCTTGGTGAGACGGCGGCGGATCTCACGGGTGAGCTTGGGGCGGAGGTCGAGCGGCAGGTACTTCTTGTTCTTGTAGAACAGACGCAGCTGAGCGCGCTGGTTGGCGTTGATGACGGTGAGAACGCGAGCGATCGACTTGCGAACCTCGCCGCTAAAAAATGAAAAAATTCCAGTCAGCATCAAATCTCGAATATCGATGGCCGTGATATCGTGTGCTTTATTTCCAGCGTCGAACAAGTCCATCTCTTCCTCATCAGGCATTCCATATTGCTGGCGTAGTCCCTCCTCTTGTTCGATGTTTTTTTCGGTCGGGTTCGAGTCCATGCCGCAAATCTTCAAATCCCATCCGCACGAAAAAGAATATCGGGGGTGTCGAATACGCACATTCTCTGAGTCTTTGTGGAAGCGCCGGAGGAGATCTTCTGCACGCGGAGCTGGTTGAGCTCGAGCTTCAACTCCTCGAGCTGCTTGGCGAGCTCATCCTTGTTCTTGCCCCAGAGCTGAGCAGCCTTGACCTTGGACGACTGCGGAAAAAGAGAGGTTCATCAGCATTTTGAGATTGTAGCGGTTGCACAGCAGCACATACCATGGTGGCGTTGAGATGTGTGGGTTGTCGACGTTGAAAATTGAAGATGTCCGGGTGTCAATTTGCGACTGGTTGTGGGACTAGGGCTAAGCGAATTTGTGAATTTAGCGGGTGCACGTGATTTTGGTGGCACTTCCGCTTTTTTTATCTAGGTGCCTGAAGTTTCTGGCGAGTTATGTGCCTGGGCCTTGGGGCATACACTTACCGTATCCGGTTAGCGGCGCTTTTACCCCGTCATGGGGCTGCAACTTACGTAGACTATCAGGTAGCACCTCGGCCCTTGCACGGATTGATTTGGTCTACGTAGTACTTTTGGATATATCTGGGTTCTGCCTCTTCCATATCTCACATCTTCTTGCCTATCATGGCTTCCTCGACTGCCTCCGGGTGGACACAGCTTCGGCAACAAACCCGGTCACTTGAGACTCAGGTACCAATATTTCTTACCAGGAGTGCTATCGGTGCAGCTTACTGACACGCCTATAGACCGAGAACCTCTTCCATACGTATTCACAATTTGCTTCCATCACCAAACCTCCACCATCACCTACCGAAGAAGAGCTACGGCTCGAATCACAATTGAAGGACCTCCTCCAAAGAGTACATCCATTCACCACTATTTGATAGAGATCACAGCTAATCAACGTCCGTATAGCGCGAGTCTCTCATCGCCCAATTATCCCGTCTCCTCGATTCCGAAGCTACTCTCACATCCTCCGCCGTGAAACAGAACAACGTCTCCCGCCACCGCGAAGTGCTGCAAGACCACCGCCGCGAGCTCCAACGTCTAGCTGCAGCTATCTCCGAATCGCGCGATCGCGCAAACCTACTCTCCAATGTCCGTTCAGATATTGACTCCTACCGCGCATCAAACCCTGCCGCCGCTGAGGCGGAATACATGCTTGAAGAGCGAGGCCGAGTCGAGAACAGCCACAACATGATGGACGGTGTGCTAAGCCAGGCGTATGCCATCAATGAGAACTTCGGGGTCCAGAGTGAGACCATCGCTAACATCAATCGGCGTATTGTCGGCGCCGCTGCCAACGTCCCTGGCATGAACTATCTAATCGGCAAGATTGGAAATAAGAAGAGGCGAGATGCTATTATACTCGGGTGTTTCATTGGGTTTTGTTTCTTGATGTTGCTGTTCTTCCGGTAAGACGTGACGGCAGAGCTTTTGTGGCTGGCCTTATACGTTGCCCCTATGTCTTATTGTTATTGTGTCATTTGCTGTCCAGCGAGCGAGTTTCTCTTCTCGAAGGCGTTCGGAGTCGGGCATTCTCCGAATCCCCTTGACGGGGATCTGACAGAACTGATGATGATTCTCGCAATGGTGTCTTCATGGCGCCTTCTTTCTATGCTTTCTATTATACACATTCTCTATTGTATGTACAAACTCAAGTGAGAGGGGATTCAACCACATCCATGGCTCAAGTTCACTCTTCTCACCCCAGGCTCATTCAATACTTGCGAGCTGGGTCCTGCAGCTTGAGAATAGCTTTCTTCTCTTCAATAAGTTTCCGCAATCCAGCATTAAGACTCTCGAGTTCAGCCGGGCTAGCCGGTCCACTACCCGCCCAGCGGATGCGGCATTCCGAATCAACCAGGTAGACATAGCCTACCTTAGAGTTCATCATACCCACAGTCTCCTTGAGGGCTTGGTCAAAGCCCTTTTGCACAAGGAAGTACCGTGAATGCTGCTGCGTAGCCAATTTCTGTCGCATCCGCCACATAAACTTCTTCACCAGGAACGCCTTCAACCGGTTCTCCTCGAGATTGATATCAATCCGCTGCACCAATCTCCCGCCGCTGGCCATCGCCTCTACCAGTCCCGGGTTCTGTTCTGGTCCGGTAAACGTCGCAACTTGGCTTTCGGCCCACACACTCGAGAACAGGTTCACCACCGAGATGCTGCCGCGCAGCTGCGTCGTTGTGTTCTGCGGATCCTTCGGCGATGCAAGCGTTACTCCGTGCATATTGGGGAAGTATAGGGCTCTGTCGGCTTTGAACAGGCGCGGGTTCGAAATGAAGGTCTTGCCCTCGGCGAAGCGGAGATTCGACCATTCACGGAAATACGGTTTGGCGACTTGCTTTGTTCTGTAAAATACCATTGCTCATTAGTACTTCGAATTCTGGGTATCAGGTCTCAGAGAACGAGGAGGTTGAGGATGGAAGCTCGTACAGTTCCTTGCGCCGCTTGATGTGCCGGTCATAGTTGGTGAAATCGTCGCGCCGCTGGCGCATCGACCGCGTGTCAATGCCTGTGTTCTGCCCTTCTAGCGGCACTTCCGGACTACCGATTGGTCGGTCTAGTCTCGGAGGAACGAAATCTGCATCGCCGGGCTGAGGGCCATCTTTGGAGGGCGAGTTCTGTGTGAATTCGGTGGCAGTTGACAAGCGATACGGTGCCTCGCCTCGGGTTCGCGGCACGGGGGCAGGATTCTTTGCGGGGCTAGGCTTTTCAACCTTGCTAGAATATTGGCGCAGGGAGAGGGTTTTGGACTGTAGCTGGGATAGTGTCGCTGGATTGCGGAATTGGCAACTTAAACAGCGGCTGGTCCGCAGGAGCGGGAATTCAGCCGCCGAACTGGTGGGAAGGGCAGCTTTCCACATATTGATGGATTGACTGTAGCCAGTTGGCCCTGTGTTGATTGTGAGGCTATGTTCAGGGTGAGATTTGTACAACGTCGGGCTGCTATCGACCTTGTAGGTGTTGCTCTATCTTCCATGGAAATCAATGGTCACATGACACAGTATATCCATTCTGGGGATTCTGTCGAGGCTACTTCCTGGCATTATTTTGAAGAGAGTCAAAATATAGAATTTTGTATGTACTACCGCTGGATGAAGTCCATATGTAGGAACCATCTCTAACATGCTGGGGTTATCCTCTGGTTTTCGTGTACAACAAAGGGCAGACTGTGTGTCTCGTGACTTGGGCGCCCATTTCGCGCCAGTCAATCGCGTCCACGGTTCCAAAGAACGATCTTCGGTTCAGTCCGAAAAGAACTTCCGACGATGACACTCTCTTTCCTGTATACATATACGCATAGACGAGGTTTCCAATATTGGCTCACAGTGACTTTAGGCATCCTATGATGGCTTTTTGGCCCACCCCCTCCATTGGGAACCGGACTAGGTCACTAGGCTACCATGACGCCGCATTTACTGAGCAAGAAGAAGTTCTTTGCGGCTCTTGACCAGCTGGATAACTCGGAACACCATGAAGAACGCGATGACGCCTATGGGTTTCTTGTAACCCCCGCAGCCAAAGCAACCGACAACTTCATTCCAACGAGTGTCACTACTTCTCCAGGGCACGTCTTACCTGTCCCAGCAGACTCGGGCTCTCGGTCTTCGTGTGATATGCAAAGCAAGAGAGATGAGCCCAAACTTGCTGCTACATGTCCCCCGGTGATTGAAGTCATGTCAGCTACCAGGACCAGAGGCCCTCCTGGAAAGAAAAGGAAGGCCAACAGTGCTAAGGTCGTACCGGATGACCAACAGATCTTCAAGGGATTGATCTTCTGTAAGTACTCTAGCAAGTCGAATGCAACAGACTTTCACTGACCTCGAGTCCTAGTCTTCTTCCCAAGCAACGACGTATCGCCCTTCCGACGGTTGCGCATTCAACGAGCCCAAGACTATGGTGCACGATGGAGTCGGAATTGGGCACATGATATTACTCATGTGGTTTGTGACAAATGCTTGCGCTCTAGCGATCTCTTGAAATACCTCAAACTTGAATCGGTGCCAGTGAGTTCATGCGCGAAACATCCGCTGTTCAGTATTGACAGTGTCACAGACAAATGTTGTTCTTGTCAATGAATCCTACCCATCCGAATGCATCCAATTTCGTTCAATTCTTAACCCCTCACAGCTCCGGTTTCGTGTCGACGAAATCTTGGCCGCTGAGATAGATAAGGCCCCGACCGCAGCGCAGCCTTCGCCTGATTCTTTGCCATTGAAACGATCACGGCGGGAGAAGGAGCAGTCTCCAGACCGGGACCCGTCTTCAATCGGAGAAGCTACGCATACCATCCCTGAAAGCGAGCCATCCACCATACCACAAACCGCGTCTGAAAGCATACCCGATGCAGTGGCCACCGCGCATATCCATGAGGCTGCTACCGATGAGGCAGGCGATCGAGGCTCCCGGGAGCGTGATGCATTGGATGATATGATAGATGAGGCTAAGGCTACAAGTCACTTGGTAACAGCTCTCGTATGTCAGTAGGAGTTATATCAACTGACCTTTCCACGTAGCCTTTGGATCCGCTTGAGTCGCCGGTTGCTACATTTGATGCTGAGTCCGATATCGACACCTCGAGCTCAGAAAACGAGTCGACCCGAAAACAACGAAAAATAGCGCCCCGAGAACACAAAGGCAAACCCGACTGGACCAAAGGTTTCGCCTGTATGCAGGAATTTGACCCAAGCAAGAATCTTGACAACCCAAACAGCAGAACCATAGAAGTTCTTCAGCAAATGCTGGAGTACTATACCAAGACTGCTGACCAGTGGCGAGTCATTGCTTATCGCAAAGCTATCAACGCTTTGCGACAGCAACCGAAAAGAATTACCACACGCGCACAGGCTCGGGCCATCCCTGGCATCGGAGAGCGGTTGGCTAACAAGATCGAAGAAGTTGTCTTGACCAATCGACTTCGTCGACTCGATAATACCACTGATACGCGGGAAGATTTGATAATTCAGGAATTTCTCGGCGTTTACGGTGCTGGTCTTCTCCAGGCCTCTAAGTGGGTTGCTCAAGGCTACAGATCTTTGAGTGACTTGCTAGAAAGAGCCCCCTTGAGTAAGCCGCAGCGCATTGGAGTGGAACGCTACAGTGACTTCTCACAACGAATCCCCCGCAAGGAGGTCGAAGCCCACGGTGCAGTCGTGCAAAAGGCGGTGCAGGGTGTGGACAGGGACATGCAGGTGATCATCGGGGGCTCTTACCGCCGCGGGGCAGTCACCTGCGGAGACGTGGACTGCCTAATCACCAAGCCAGGTGCCTCTTTGGAGCAAATTCGCACCATAATGCTCGGTCTTGTTGTTCCCAAATTGTTCAGTAGTGGCTTTTTGAAGGCCAGCCTTGCCGCCTCATCACACCAAGATGGGTCGAGGTGGCACGGCGCGTCGGCCCTACCAGGGACCAACCTGTGGCGTCGGATCGATCTGCTTTTTGTTCCTGATGCGGAAATCGGGGCCGCATTGATATACTTTACAGGCAACGATATGTTTAACCGGAGTATGAGGTTACTAGCGCGCAAGAAAGGCATGTGCTTGAACCAAAAAGGTCTCTATGCGGATGTACTTCGGAGACAGCAGGTCAAACTGAATGCCGGCAGACTGATTGAGGGGCGCGATGAACGTCGGATCTTTGCTCTCCTGGGGGTCCCTTGGCGGCCTCCCGAGCATCGGATTTGTTGATGCACATGGAAACTTTGCGGGGTGGCTTTCCTTTGCTTTGGTGGGAATATCACGTAGATGGTTAGAGCGAATACAGAGTTGCTAGGATTGTTAACTCCCTAAATCCATACTCTATCGTAGGCCACTCAGCTTCACTTAGTGGTCTGTACTGTTGGCGGGACTGGTGCTATATAATGTGGGTAACTCAGTAAAAACTTAGGAACGAGTGATCTTGTGACGACTCATCGAGAGAAAGCATGCTGGGACTCAGTTGAATTTGCTGCCAAAGTGTCTTGAGTATTGAATAAGTTAAGAAATAAAATAAGTTAGAATATCCAGCTGCATAAATCCATAGAGTACGAAGAGTTCCATGCAGAAACAAGGAGAAGCTGATAGGAGACTCAAGAGAGAGAGAGGCAAGTGACAGTGGCACAAAGTGACTAAGAATTCCTCTTCCCTCCAGGACTCACTTCCTCCCTTCATCAACCCCCATTCCGTAACAACGATCCCTATCTCATCTCGTATCTTCAGTTGCTACTTCATTCGAGATAATCCTTTTTCCATCACCGCCTTTTCCCTACCGCCTTGTCTACATCACCGCCTTTCGTGCGGTGAAGCATCCATCGCGTGTTCCTCCCTTGCAACTCTCAGACCGCCCTCTACTGCCCTGCGTTTTGCCCGATCATCGTTTCTATCATCTCGATATTCGTTTGTGCTCGCGTCTTTGAGTGTCTAGTCCGAGGCCTTTGGATCCTGTCCTAGGTTCAAAGCTGGGACTCGCCGTCCCTAGCGACTGTGCGCGCGAATTTTTCACTTCCACCCATCCCACCCCACATCGCATCCAGTTCCATCGCGTCTATATAGCGCCATACACACATTGATATCCTTTTAGCGGGGCTCACTGCCGTTCTTGGACTCGCGACACTCTGGTTGCTTCAAAAGTCTGCTTGCGGTCTCTGCAGTTCCACCGACACGCCAAAAACGTCAACAAAACACGTCCTAATCATCCACAATGGGTCGCAAACCGAACCAACTCATCCTCGAGTTCTTCCACCGAGGACCTAAGCTGGAAGACGCGAGTAATCGCTACCAACACACATGCAAAGCCTGTGGTGAAGTCTTCCCGAAGGGTCGTATCGACAGTCTCACCAATCATCTGGTGAAGAAATGCCAGGCAATCCCCCTCCGCGATCGCCAACGCGTCTTGATGCGACTCCATGAACTCCCCGACTTCCCTGAGACTGATTCAACCAAGGACGCGGCTGGAAACAAGGGTAAATCCACCGAGGGTGGAGTGCCTAACAGGCAAAATTTCGATGGTCTCAATGTACTGGCAGAAGCCTCGCGACAAGTGGGTGCCTCGGACGTGACCAAGCGTGCACCCGGCTACACCCAGTCCGTGACAGCCGGTGGTAAAACAGTCATCGTCGACCCTGCGCTTGAAGCGGAAGGCTTCCAGGGACAATCGCAGGGACCGGATGGAAAGGTGGAAGGTACAGCAAACGCTGAGGGTATGTTTTTTCTCGCTCATCGCTGCGCGCCTTAGCTCACTAACATTCGCAGGAACGCCACAATCATCCAACGCACAGGTTCCTGCATCCATGTCGCCACCTCTTGGCGATGCGGCGATGTCGCCCGACTCGACCTCGAATGCTCGCCAGTCGCAACTGTCGCTGATCGCGGCCTCCGCTAATGAGATGGTCCCTCACGGGGTGCCGATGGACGGTGACGGCGACATGAAGATGAACCAATGGAACCAGCAGCTCTCTACACACGAGCAGCTTCTTTTTGACAGCTTGCATGAACATGACCCGTCCTTGACTGCTGCCACTCAACGTGCTGCTTCGTACCCCCGTCCGATTGCGATGAACCCGAACACTCAGGCAAAGGGGTTTGTGAATGAATTTGGCAACTCAACTAAGCCCATGAAGCCTAAGGTGCGAGGACGCTTCACTGCAGAGCGACGCCGGGAAGTTCAAGATGTGCGGAAGAAGGGCGCATGTCTTCGTTGCCGCATGTTGAAGAAACCTGTATGTATCGACAAATCGAGGAAGTGAACTGCACTAACAAAGTCCGATAGTGCTCCGGAGATACCCCTTGCACGACCTGCGCTAGCGTGGAAAGTGCTCGACTGTGGAAACACCCGTGCTTGCGCACCCGCCTTTCTGACGAGTTTGAACTTTACAATGCTAGTAAGTTGTTTCTCCTTTTGTTTACCACATTAGACTGACTTTCGTTTTAGATCTCAACTCCACTCTTGCCTATCATGATACCAACAGTATCAAAAACCAGATCAAATTTGAACATTACTCTGGTCGCATCGAAGTCACTCATTTCGAGGAGAGCAACTCTTTCATGACTTTCGCCGGACTCCAGGGTCACCGCGCTTCAGTCTCTGCACTGGACCCCCAGCTCCAAGCTCTCGGTGATGATCAGTTCTCTGGTCCATCGCAAGAAGTCTATCTCCTGGATGCGGACTCCGATGACATCCCAAGCAAACTGGAGCAATACATCAAGAAGAACGCCTCTTATTTCTATGAGCGCGAGACCTCAACCTTTATGAAGCCCACCTTGTTGCTCGCAGCGGAAATCAACCAAGAGAAAAATGTACGTTACTCATTCCTCGGTCTCGGTAACCTTTACTAACATTGATATAGGACCCTCTGCTGGAACGTGTGCTGGAGCTGTGGGTTGCTACCCATATCCTGGTTGATACAGAGCTCACCTGGAAAACCTACTACAATCCCACTCTACCCCCGAACTCGTTGCACCCCCTTTCCCAGCCGTCGGATGAGGGCCGCTTGCCCATCGAGGAGGTCACCGACCCAGAGTCATACGGCCTTCTCTGCAGTCAGCTGCGCGCTGCCATGGAGAAGCGTGCTTCGCACCTAAGCAAGGCCGTCATCAATGACCTGGAACGTCGACTGCTCCAGCGCCAGAAATGTGGCTGGTTCGATACTTTCATTGTGGCAATCATCTTGCTGAACTGCGTCGAGCGCACCTGCTGGCTGTTCCGCTCATGGGACAATGAAAACTTTTCCCAACGTGTAAGTCGTCCGAAGTCTCTCTCGTCTTCCGTATATCGCATACTAACACACCATCTAGTGGCCTCTTGACAAGCGACCTCCTTACTACTTCAACCAGTCGGACCGCTTTGCCAACATCCTAGAGATGCTACTTCGAATGCGCCACATCCCTCCCAAGGCCACTTTCCGTCCAGACAATGGCATCTTGAAGGCAGTTGATGGCAGTGACGAACATGCTATCCGTTGGTTCGATATGATTCAACTGACCCGTACGTTACCTCATCTCCCATTACGATGTGCACGTATCCCAGTTCTGTTGGCTAACCTTTCTGTTTCTTATAGCATACTTTATCGAAGAGCGCAAAAATGCCGTTTTCGACCCCTCCGACTCGCGCTCTCTGGATTGCCATCACAGTGCCAGTCTTCTTGAGCCGAACAACGCCACTTAGTTCCCACAGCAGCGCACAGCAGCTCACAGAAAGCCAAGCCGAGACGGTGGAAGAAAACAGGAAAACCCCAAAAAAAGGAGACGTCAACATTTCTTGAGTCGTCATTTACGCTTTTGTCTTTGTTAGACCCTTGGTATGGCGAGATGCGTGCAACAACCCAGTCCAAGCCTCCAGTAGCCCCCAAATGGGCCCTGCTGGGTTTTATACCGGAGTTTGCTGCAAGTCAAATATTTCATGAAGCGAACAGGAAGGGGTGGTTTCTCTCTCTTCATAATGGTGTTCATGGGTGTTAGAGGAGGGGCTCTTCGCTTTTTATCGATTTACAGTTTTCATACTCTGTAGTGATCCATTCGAGTTTCTAATGTGTCTTGTATTTTCCCGTGATGCATAACTCTCGTACATGTAGTTATGTGCTGTGATAGTGTACAGCGTATGGCATGTGATCCGAGGTTCAGGGACTGGGTCAGGGACTCAGGGCAAACCGAAAATAAAAAACGGGAGACAGGTACTGTGTATGTAACTGCGTACGAAGTATTCGATCTCTTTTCTTATTGGCTGTTTTCGTTACTTTGACATTCAATTTCTGCTTTCACAGTACATAGTAGCCAAATTTTGTAGATGACGTCGGTTCAGGAATCGATGCCACTGACTGGTCGATCGGGGCCACTTCCGTTTCCCCTCCATTCTGTATTGTAGCCCTTACTCCGTAGTCTGGAGATACCCACCCTCTCCAGATTTGACAAACTCTCTCACCTCAACAACCTCAACATGGCTCCATTTCGCAATTTCCTCGCTCGAAAGCCCCATCCCAATGCTGCGGACCCCGCTGCATTCGATGAGAACTATCTTTCTCCAACCCACCGCCCGGCGCCCATATCGATCCGCAGTAGTCAGGAAGAACCCACCGAGTACAAATTGAGTGGTATGGTCGATTGCTGATTGCTCCCGTTTTTGACTGCTGTGCGACGCAAAACCTAGAATGCAGGCTAATCTAAGTCTATACACAGTGGTCAACGATAGCGGAGTCTATCTACCGGTATGCGCCATGTGACACGGAAGAAGGATAAGCGCGAACGGCCTGCTAATGATGGCGATAGCCTTCTCCCCCAGAGAGACCAAGTTTCTGGCGTCGGTACCCGGGCTCCAACAAATCTGTTAACCACCGGAACCTGGTCGATGAGAACGAGCCGTTCTCGATCTCGCGAGAGTCCTTCGATTCTTATCGCCGATCGTTTGTATGCACATATCGCAACCGATCTGCACGAACCTATCTGACATGGAACCTGCAATAGGATATCTCCGCTCGTTCACCCGTTCAGCATCCCGATGCTGGGCCCTCTCGGTCCTCCCTTGACTCCCGGTTCTCTCGATTAACACCCTCGGGCACTTGCTCCACTAGTTTCACCAAATCTGATACCATGGAAGAGGAAGAAGCATTCGAAGAGGTCGGCCTGAATGACGAAACAAAGCCTAAGAAGAAAGGGTTCCTATCCAGGTTTGGTGACTCCAATGGCGACCCGCGACCATTGGGGACCAAATCTTCGAACTCGTCATTCGGCTTCCATATGCCCGGCCGGAAGCGCGGCCATAGTGGTGCCGGGGCAGAGTTGGGGTCTATCAAGGCGCCTCCTTCTGCATCCACTGATGAGACATGAAGTGATGATTGATGAGATATGGATAATGCGTTGTAACTTGCGGTCTAGTTGGGGTTCTTTGGCGTTTTGGGTTTGTTTGAATGCTGCATCGTACACTCGCTTTCAGATGTAACATATTATGGACTTGTCGATGATACCGGCTATCACATTGTCTTGCGAGAGTCAGTTTGGGCTCGTGTTGCTTATTGGCATTTTGTACATCAATTCAACAATGTTGCGACTCGGGCCATCTGTGCTCAAAGATGGCATCACACAAAGTCCAACCTTGAGAGTCTTTCATGATAAGAAAGAAACCTTGGAACTTCACATACTAGTTTCTACTTTCTAGCATATGCAAGAATAAGAACTACATGTATGAATGTAATATGTATTTTGGCGCTTTGCTCCTGAAATTCGGAGCCTCCTAAGTACGCCGAGTCCCACGTCTATCATTCTTATCGGTGCAAACGGTGCAAACCACCGGCAAAAAAACTTCCTCCGCCAGCGGTCAAAAAAAATTATCCACCAGGACATCGAGCAGTCTCCGCTCGCAAAGACCCCAGTTTTGTTACTCGTTTCAATCAGAGATACCCTACAGCCCACATATCCAATATTCTATCATGGCTGGACTAAAACGTCCCGTTGACGGCAGCGAGGAGCGCAATGGCAAGCGAAGCAAGACGAAGGAAGTCTCCGCATCGAAGAAGTCGAAATCCGCCGCGCCCGTGAAGAAGTCAAGCTCTTCTAAGAAAGACTCCAAGAAAGACTCAAAATCCAGCAAGAGCGACACGAAGCCCTCGAAGAAGGTTCAGAAGGAAGAGTCCTCGGACGACGATGACTTTGACATTGACGATGTGTCGGACGAAGACATTGATGCGCTTGATGCCCTTTCAGATGAAGATGCCGAGATGGAGGATGTGAGCGAGGAGGAAGTCAAGCCCCAATCAGACAAGTCCTCTGCTACGACCGGAAAGAGACAGGCTCTGGGAGATCAGACAGAGGCTCTGAAGACCCATAACAACAGTAAGTTTCGGTCTAGCTCGTTGACACGGCCCCCAACTAATCGCTTTTGCTTTTCCAGACAACTCTCGCGAATCCCACATCAAGCAGAAAGCGCTCCAGCAGGAGCGCAAGGCCGCGAAACCCAATGCTGACACCGTTGCCCGCTCCAAGAAGTTGTGGGAGCAGTTGCGCCGCAAGTCCCATGTGCCTTTGGAGCAGAGAAAGAAGCTCGTCAAGGAGCTGTTCGAGATCATCACCAATCGGGTCCGTGACTTTGTGTTCAAGCACGACTCGGTGCGCGTTATTCAAACTGCTCTGAAGTATGGAAACCTGGAGCAGCGCAAGCTGATTGCGCACGAGCTGAAGGGCACTTACAAGGAGCTGGCGCAGAGCCGATATGCCAAGTTCCTGGTCGGAAAGCTGATTGTCCACGGTGATGACGAGACCCGTGATTTGATTATTCCGGAATTCTACGGCCATGTCAGACGTCTCATTCGTCACCCTGAGGGTTCTTGGATTCTCGACGATATCTACCGCACGGTGGCGACCAGGGCACAGAAGGACAGACTCCTTCGCGAGTGGTATGGCCCGGAGTTCATCATTTTCCAGGATGAGAACGAGACCACCTCAGACCTTTCCAAGATCATCGAAGCTCACCCCGAAAAGCGTGGGCCTATCATGAACTACTTGCGCGAGCTGATCAACCAGCTGGTGCAGAAGAAGAGCACTGCGTTCACCATGCTCCACGATGCCATGTTGCAATATTTCCTTAACACCAAACCCGGTAGCAATGAAGCGAACGAGTTTATCGAGCTGCTCAAGGGCGACGAAGAGGGTGATCTCGTCAAGAACTTGGCTTTCACCAGTTCTGGCTCCCGTTTGATGTGCCTGACCTTTGCATACTCTAACGCTAAAGACCGCAAACTGCTTCTACGATTCTACCGCGACACTGTCAAGGTCATGGCTGGCGATCTCAACGCCCACCAGGTCATCCTTGCCGCATACGAGGTTATTGACGATACGAAACTGAGTGCCAAGTCCTTCTTCCCCGAGCTCCTAAACCAGAATGAAAGCGAAGATGCCCGAAATGACGAACTCATTGCCCAAGTCAATGACTTGACTGCCCGTATTGCCGTCCTATACCCCTTTGCCGGTGAGCGCGTCAAGTGGCTCCTACCCGAGGTGGACCAGAAGGTTCTCGAGGAAGTCCGCGAGATCCGCAAGGAGACCTCCAAGAAGGAGCCGGCCATGCGCCGCCTGGAACTCGTCAAGGCTGCGTCGCCGACACTGCTTGAGTTCATCGCTGCCCGCGCCTCCACCCTCCTGGAGACCACTTTTGGCTGCCAATTCCTCTCCGAGGTGCTGTTCGAAGCCGACGGTGACAAGACTGCAGCTCTCGCAGCTGTCGCCGAGGCTGCCAAGTCGCAGACCGAAGCCCGGAACACCGCACATGCGGGACGTCTTCTCAAGTCGCTTGTACAAGGCGGACGGTTCAACCCGGCCACGAAGAGCGTTGAGAAGGTGGAGCCGGCGTTGGACTTCCACAATGTGCTGTACGAGCAGATCCAGGATGAGGTCATGGACTGGGCGACGGGGGCCAACCCCTTCGTGATTGTCGCATTGGCCGAATCGGAGGACTTTGAGAAGAAGAGTGAGCTGCTCAAGACTCTGAAGAAGAACAAGAAGGCGCTGGAGCAGGCCTCTGCGTCGGGCGAGGAGAAGGATGGAAAGAAGAAGCCCAGCCCGACTGCCAGTGGTGCTAAATTGTTGCTTTCAAAGATCTAGACATGAGCGTTTGGGATAGCATGTGTAATTATGTTGTATACATTCAAAAGCATACCTTTATCTTTCAACATGTTTCCGAAATTAGATTCTCCACAGGTGGGACTGGTTCGAGGCCGATCTCAGGGGTTCGTCCATTGCCTCGATCGAGGATGGATCTATGCGCATACACATTACAGCATACAATAGAAGAACGCCAGGCTATTCCAGGTTGCCTTATGCCTATTAGGTACTGTCTTGCATTGACTAACCTTGGTGTCTTCTCCTTGGGACAATCCTGCTCAGGAACAGTTCACGACGGGCCGCGTAGTCCATATACTGCTTGAGCGGTGATTGGCACAAACAATACCAATCAAAGGGAGAAACATGGATTAATCTTATTGTAAACGAGGTAAATAAACGCTAATACGCTAATTACCTCCAGCTGAGATCCTAGCATCTGCCAAATGCACTTAAACTACGACTATTGACAACTGTACAGTAGCTCGAAGCCTAAATTGTTTCACTCTGCCAATTTCCTTTGAAATTAGCTGGGAATATCTTCACAACTACAAATCCCAATAAGGCAATGATCACGACCAGGGCCCACGCTAAAGCCCGTAACGGCGTAATCTGCCTTAAGGGGAGTCCAGGGTAGACTAAACTAAGGCGACCCAACCCGTCGCGACTCTTCTTCCCTCTTCCACCCTCCTTCGACCCATCCTGCAAAAAGTCCACCCAGGCCCCCCAGGGCCTGAGCGCCAGAGAGAGAGACAACCATGCCCTCACTCACACTAACAGATCCAGACATGATCCTGCCATACGAAGGCGACCGCCAATCCCAAACTCCCTCCCCACCCCAATACCTATCGCATATCAACTCTCGCTCTGATCCCAATGCCCCCGTCACTGGGACATCCAACCGACATAAGAAAAATTTTTCTCGCCATGCCTGGACGCCACACGACGTGGCCGCTAGTCGCCGACTCTCGGACATCGGCGAGGAGCAATCCCCTGCTCGGTTGGAGGGATTTGGCGATTCCGACTCCCGGCAGGACCTGGCGAGCTCGCCGTTGCTACGTGACGAACAGAATAGGGACAGTGCTAGGTGGAGTAGCTCCAACTCCACGATCAGTGCTGGAAGCAGACGCGCCTCCGCTTCGAGGGAGGTGGATGAGCCACATAACGGACGCGACGAATCCCCAGTCCATCCCGAGGTCGTCAGAGCGCAAGCTTCAGCGGTCGTTGAAGCTGCAGGTGGTCCCTCGGTTCCCACTAGCAGCGCCGTGGCGTCTGCAGCTGCAGAGGGCAAGGGGCCCGGTGAGGAGTTTTCCTCGGCGATCCTCAGCAGCGAGGCGGAGCGGATTTTGGAAAATGCGAAGAAACGACTGAATGTAGGTGGAGATGTCTTGCGCGATTGTCAGCTTGGAGATAAATAACTAACGTGTTTCGTCCCAGCTTATGGAAGGCAATCTCACTCGAGCTCGATCAACGACCACGCGCGCTACGGCCTCACCCTCGCCCTCGTTCTCGAATTCCAGCTCTGTTCAATCAATGGGCAGGCATCAGCCTGTCGGCGGACTGTATCGGTCTATCTCACGCACGGATCCTAAGAGCTCCTCGCTTCGACGGCAATCGCTCATTGCGGCGCAAGATACGACAAATAATCGCCATTCAAGAGTACATTCGGAGACTAACGTTCCCTCCGAGTCCAACTACCCGAGTGATCCTAAACGCATGAACCGCTCCGTCAGTGCGATGGGTGCGAGCACTTCTTCCAGTCTCCATACCGACGATCGATCCTTCCATTACGAGCCTACGAGGGCGTATCTAACACACCGAGCGTCCATATCCTCTCCCAAGCCACCATTTCAGCCACCCATTCAGGTACATGACGAGGAGCAAGAGGCTCAGGCGGCACAATCCCCTGTTTCCACCGAAGACAGTTCGTCGGACTCGCCACATGGCTTGGGCGCTTCTTCGGAAGAAGGCTCTAAATCTAGCCCAGAGGGGTTCAGCCCAGTCTACAGCTCGTATGGTCCGCCCAGCCGTGCGCAGTCACAGCTGCAGGTGCGTGATCTACAATATCAGATGAAAGGTCTCCATATCAAGATATCTTCTCTCAAGGTGAAGACCCAGGAGGATAATCTTCGCCGACGCAGCTTGCAAAGCCTGCGGACGCCCAGCCCCTTGACAGCCGCCGACCACTGGTATGCGAATGCGCTGGAGCTCAGAGATGGCCGCAGCAGCCGTGGCTCCAACGCCCGGCGTGATACCAGTTCTGAAAACACTCGCGATATGTCGGAGGAAGGACGACGAGAAAGAGACGAATATGCAGCCGGCAACATATCCAAGCACGTCGACGATTGGCAGCGCAATGAACCCGATGGCTATGACGACACCCAATCGGTCTCCGAGAGCATGTACGAAGATGCCGAAGAAGGTGATTACGATGAGGACATCGACCGCGAGGCCCTGGACGAGATTCTCCGAGAACCGCTCGACGACGATCTCGACAACGATATGGATGCCTTTCCGAAAATGCCCCGGCACACGGACGCGACGCCCCACGAGATGCGCGAAGATGCATTCGACTACGAGCACTTTATCCTGCACAGCGCATTAGGAAATTACACTCAGCAACTTCGGCGCGTGAGCAACGGCTCCGCCAGATCAGTCGAGACCACCCGGCCCACATACACCGCGCGACACTCGCGTAATAACAGCAACATGTCCGTCTCGACCGTTGCAACCTTCGCAACTGCTACCGAAGGCGAGCGACCCGATGACGAGGACGATGTCGACAGCGTTATGTACTGGGACCGACGGTTCAATCATGGTTCGTCCCCGTCATCCACTCCCCTTGGACCCCTTGGAGATCACGACACTAATTCCTGGACAGAGTTGCGTCATGGACATGCTCACGGCCATTCAAACTCACACTCACATTCCCTTACCATTGCCCACAGCCACCAACCAAGCCCAATTCAGGAAGTCGAGATCGAGGAGACTGATCGTAGTGAAACACCCCGGGGGCCTCAGTATGATGAAGGCGAGACTACGGTGCACGCCAGCCATTCTCCTCAAAAGCAAACTGGTCGCTCATCCTCTACAGCCGGGTCTGCAACGCCAAACTCCCTCGTTTCGTCCCTTGTCTCGACGGTGCGCGCCGCTTCCAGTACCCCTAGTCTCGGAGGCATCAACCAGGATGATACGCAGATGCTGGAGGCGCTCTTTGGAAGTCTGGGTAATGTGTGCATGGATCTCCAGGCTATCACTACCTCGCCAGATCCGGATTTGAAGGCTGCGCGTGTGCTGCGGCGGAGGCTGGATGCGGCGCGCAGAGTTCTGGATGGAGAGCTTGATGCTTGATTTTTGAGTGAGATTGACGTTCTTTTTATTCTTTTTCTTTTATTCATCGTCATGATACCCAATTTTATCTTTCTTTGGCTTCAAGTGATTCAGGATATTCATTGGTCTAATCACGCGTTAAGCATGTGAACTGTTTGCGACAAGAGTCAAACTGTTACTGCAGATACTCCGTAGTCACAAGGAACATCATTCCCCACAGTATTTCTCTCTCACTTCCAATGACGAATTGTCTGTCAAGGCCTACAGAACTTTCTTGCTCTTCACCGTTAACAACTTTCCAATTGAACCCCTTTTTGCCCCGCGATTCCCCGGGATATTAATTATCCCCGATAAGCAGAGCCTGTCGCGTTCCCACGCCACCATCAACAGTAAGAACGTGCCTTTGAATCATATATAAAGCTGAAGACGAAACTAACGAAGTGTAGACAATCTGTGCAATCTCTGAACATCCATTTCAAATTGGACGTAAAAAAGAGGCAGGAAAAAAACATCACAACACCAGGGGAAGGAAAAAACCATCCAAACTGAACCAACCACAAAGATCCCGAAAACCAAATCCCAACACGGATCTGGATCTTCGCAAGACCCTCCTCCGCTCCCTGCACACTCAGAAATCCCTCGCAATGAGCATGAGCGCAAGTGCAACCAGACCACCTCCAACGGCGCAGTCACAACAGACTTCCCGCCGCCTGCTCATCTTCCAGGAGGCGCGCAATCCCCACAATGTGGCAGAAACAGTCTACCTCCCTGTGAACAAGCTGGGTCTGCCTATCTGTGGGGATGGACCTGAATTGCCGTCTATCTTGGAGTTGCCGTTGCGTGTTTTGAGGGTTTTTACGGAGTTGTTTAATCAGCCGAAATATAAGGGGTGGTATGTTCTTCTTTTCTTCGTCTTCTTCTTGTCCTTTGTTATTGGAGTTGTTTGTATGTGTATGTATATACTAATTCATTCCAGGTCCGTCCTCTCTGCTGGTCCTTACCACGATACCTCAGAAGAAGGGAAGTTCTATGCCGTCGTTCTGGAGCAGGTCGTTCATGTGCCGGCTTATGTACCTCATGACAGTCATATTGGGTCTCCTTGATTTGTTTTGTTTTGATAAGATCTTAGTTCTGAGGTTCTTGTACATTTCATCATTTTATCATTTCACTACTAGCATATTCAATGCGTGGGATCATGTAGTATGTGAATTCCTATCTCTAAGGTCCATGGAGTATGGAGATTGACGATATTTCGTCTATAGGTACAAGCAGATGGGAGGAATAGATAGAAACTTCTATGCTTGTGCCTTTGATTGCCCTAAACCTGATCAGATGTAGAGTGATACTGAATATCTCGAAGTAGCGATCATCCCGATACCATATTGGGAATCGGAACCTGGTGAACCACATATCGATCCCATAGATGAACTTGTATTCTTCCACATCCCATCTCCGCCTTCCGTGAAATACACTCAACTTCGTCTATCAGGTATCTTCCAAACTTCCACTAAAGCTAAAATCGATCCTTCCTCATCACAACTCCCCAACCGAAACAACTCGGATATGGCAGGACCAAAGGCCTGGTTATCTTCCAGACCTTTATGGGCGTTTATTACCTTTATCCTCGCTTTAATCTGTCTGCTATTCGTCGTGAAGGGCATCAGCACCGACGAGCAAACGAAAGACACTCGGTATGACCTCTACCGATGGAAATCGAGACCAACGATCAAACATGACATTTTCGATCCTGCAATCTCACCGACCGTGGAACCCAACGAATCTTCCCACCTCGCACGCCGGGACAGCAAAATCTCAGTGGGTATTCCCAGCAGTCCTGCCGAAGACAAGCCCGTGCAAGCAGATAGCCAGACGCTGGAAGGTCATCACGATGCAAAAGAGAACCAGAAGGACACACCTAGCGGACAAGTTCCAGACAACGACGAAGCTGCGATTGCCCAGAACATACCCGAAAGCGAAAGCAAGAGTCTGAGCGAAAGTGATATCGAGATCAACAGCATCTCCCTTCCCACACAAAGCTGCTTAGTGAATGGCGATTGTGACTCAGGGTACCGGTGTTACGAGGGGTGGTGCTCTCTTGGCTGCGACAAACATCAAGATTGTCCAAAGGGATACCAATGCGACTATGGGCGATGGGGATACAGGTGTTTCACGAAAAAAGGGCCATATCACGAGTGTCGGGAGCATTTGGCGTTTTGTACTTGGGATGTGCAGTGTTGTTCGGGGGTGTGTGGACGTCGGGCGAAGGGGAAGGAGTTGTTGTGTTGGCCTAAGGGGTATCCAGTGTACAATCGATCGTATGATCATTAGCAGGTTCAATTTCTGATTCAACAATGAAGAGTAGTATTTGTTATGGAAAATTAAATTTTATTCCTATTTATTGAACAAAAGTAGGAATAAATTAAATCTGTCATGGATAACCTAGTGGAAGGTTGGCCGCCATGCCAATTACCCTGCTTCGGCGCAAGTCAGCAGCGTACTGGTGCCTGGTACGAATCCTGGGGTTGGCATTTTCACTCGTGCGAGTAATCCACGACGCTGGAGGCCACTAAGCAATGGAAATGAACCTTGAGGGAAGCAATTCTGCAGAGACATTTCCACCCTGGGATGGCGTCGCCAGATTACACCGTCCTGTTACAGGGAACTTGGCAATTTGGCCTGACAACCACTCTTTTTTTTTAGCTTCACTTTTATTTTACACAGTACATACATACATGTCCCATATCACAACCACATCCGATTCTCGCTGGAAATTTCATGTTGTATTTTAAAATCTCCATTTTATACACCATTGCTCCATGGTAAATGCTAAATATACACAGATCAAAGAAACGCCATATAGTACACAGTACAACTTGCGACCACCCTCACCACACAAATGCTGGGAGGATATTTGAGGGCCATCCGAAAGCCAGATATGCAACGCCCATAAAAATGTCCAAATATACAATGAAAGAACAGGCTCCACCTGAGCAGTGGCCTCAATCTTCATATCGCCCGAGGTCGATGTCGGCCTCGACAGGCTTCACAAACTTCGTGCGGAACAAGACTTTGTGGCCAATATACAGCACGGCGAACAACATGAGACTGAGGTAGTTGATGAAGAAATCAGTCACGCTGAATGACGGAATGAAAGCAGTGAAGCCCTGAGTAATGATGATCAGGATGTTGAAAAACAAGCCGTAGTACGAAAAGAAAGGCTGCCAGGTAGCCTTGTACGGTAGAGAGTCGCGGGAAATACCCTGCGCTTTCAAGGCCCTCATAAACGACAGATGGCACATGTTGAGAGAAGCCCAGGTAATGAAGCCAGCCAAGCCAGCGATCTGAATCAGCCAGTTGAAAACCGTGGCTCCGGAGTTCGACACATTGAGGAAGCCCAGCAGACCGAACAGCGCTGTGAAACCGACACTTGCATACGGCACGCCGTGTTTCGTGGTCCGCAAAAAGAAGCGAGGCGCGAAGCCCTCGTGGGCTAACCCGACCAGGATGCGGCTGCCACTGTACACGTTGGAGTTTGCAGCTGAGATCACCACGGTGAGGAGAACCGCGTTGATGATACTGGGTAGGGCGTGAATACCGGCGATGTTCGCAGCGATGACAAATGGCGAGGCGTTCGCATTCGTGGCATCGGAGTCCAGGCGCGGGTCGTCAGATGGCACGACGATTCCAACGAAGAAGATCGTGAACACGAAGAAGAAGACAATCCGGAAGAACGTCTTCCGAATCGCAGATGGCACAGTCTTGCTAGGATTCTCCGCTTCACCTGCGGCAATACCGACAAGCTCAGTACCCTGGTAAGAAAAGCCGGCTGTAATCAGAACCGCCCAAAATCCGATGAATTTGGCCAGGGCATCTTTCTTGGGATCCTCGATCAGAAAAGGGTGGAAGGGACCGGGATGAACCCAGTATCTGAACCCAAGATATCCCTCCTTGCCAACACCTGCGTTCACACAAATGGCGAAGATCATAAACCCGCACACGGTGATGATTTTGACGCTCGATAGCCAGAACTCGACTTCGCCATAGCAGCTGACGGGAAACATGTTCAAAACGATAATGACGACCCAGAAAATAGCGATGAAGATCGCTATCGGGATCGTCTCATCCCAGTACTGAATGATCAGCCCCGTGGCTGTCAACTCGAGCGCGAATGTCGACGCCCATGAAAACCAGTAGATCCAGCCCATCGCGAAGCCGAGACTGGGATCTACTAGCCGAGTCGCATATGTAGCAAATGCTCCTGGAATCGGCAGGTAGGTGGCTACCTCACCCAAGGCTGTCATGATCGAGTACACAATCGATCCGACGAATGCAAATGCGATTAAGGCGCCCACAGGGCCTGCGGTGTGGATTGCTGATCCACTGCCGATGAAAAGGCCTGTTCCTATGGCACCACCTGCATGAAATGAGAATTATTGTATCGGGATTGGGGTATAGCATTCTTACCCATTGCAATCATATGTAAATGTCGACTTCTGAGCCTTCGTTGCAAGTTCGGCAATTGGCGTGTCTCGCCATTGCTGTGTTTCTCTTCATCAATGTTGCGACCTTCTACTGACTTCGAATCCAAATTTTTGATATCACTATTTTCCCTCCCAGCACCATGATGAACACTGGTGACCTGATCCTCGATGGTCATTGTTGTCCACTGAGGCGGTTGAGGGAGCAATAAAGAGGATGGACATCAAAGTGATCTCAAAGTTAAAGTGCGAATTTTTCTACTGTGGTACACGTTTTATCCGGCCGTTTCCACACTTTGTCATTACTGGAAACAGACTAGCTTGTCTCCACTTCTGGATTGAAAAATAGATTAGGGTATTTTATATCGAATTCTTGGCGTATACGGCCCGCGAATAAGCGCATTGACAGTGCTTTAATTACATGCCGGGAGGCTTTTTCACCTAAATCGTACGCCACGCATTCAACGTTAAATACAGCACTATTCCTAATCTGGAAGTGATGGCCTATCTCCGACATTGGCAAAGGGAGTTCCTTGCACTCAAACTCATCTTGTTGGGAGATTCTGATCTTATGTATGAGTCAATTCCGCCATTCGTTTGAAATCCCTGCATTTTTCGGTCAGACTTCTATGAACCCGAGCTCCATTTATACAAAGTGCAATACAAACTACAGCGTAGTAGCCATCGGAGTATAGTTATCCGAAGAGTTTAACTTTAAAGCTTATTTGGTGGTTAAATATACTCCGTAGGTCGACTGAGGTCAGCCATGCAATCAAAACCAGGCAATTGAATCCCTCATCTGGGCAAATTATTTGCAGGGACGAGTCGCTGATTGAGCAGTGAGACGAGTCAGTCCTGCAAAAGGGTGGCTTCCTAACTGCGCTTCCGGACCACCATCCTTCTACGTTGATATAAGTAAAGCGATTATACGATTGCAGCCATACATCGCTTGACCCGAGATCTTATGCTCAACGGGTCGGAGGAAGTCGTTTTGCTAACGCTGAGCAATGATATGTCACATGACGGTTGGGCGTCGAAGTCACAGCCGAGACGCATCTTATTCCTCAGGCTTCAGCAACCCTTAGGGAAGTCCCTCAAGCCATAATGCCAGAATTTCCTGCGATTATAGAAAGCATCCCCGAGTCGATGCGAGAAATGGACTTTTTAGACTCGTCCTACTTCAAAGAGCCTGGCAAAAGCCTCCCGACACCAGCGCAAGTGAGAGCCTTGTCAAAAGACATCCATATGAACTCTCAGCCACAGCCTATTACCTTCGAAGACTCTGGAGTCTTTGTCAAGTTTGGCCGTTATGTCACAATCGCAGAAGCGCAGTGTCTCCGGATGCTCAAACGGACTTTTGGTGATGAGATTCCCGTACCCGAAATCTTTGGGTGGAGAGTCGACGAGGAGAACTTCGTGTTCCTCTATATGAGGCTTATTCGAGGACAGACGCTCCTGGATGGCTGGAATGAGCTCGATAGCCCGGCAAAAAGCTCGATCTGCGATCAGTTATGCCACATGGTGAACCGTCTACGCCGACTTGAACAAGATCCTTCCGATCAGTATATTGGTACGCCCTAGTCAAAACGGAAATTATGTAACTGCGCATCTAATCGAATTCTTCCATGATCACTGAATCATCAGCGACTCAGGGATTATGTTTTCCAATATTACCCGGACGCCGGTCCCTTCCCATCAGTCAAGGATTTCCATGACTGGTCTTCGTTCTTACCACTATTACGGCTCCCCACCTTGAAGAACTATAACGACCCCTACAGGTCTTTGTTGCCGGACAGTGAAGACATTAAATTTACTCATGCCGACCTCCACCAAGGGAACATCATCATCTCTTCTGACAAGCCAGCTCGAATACTCGCCATTGTGGATTGGGCACAAGCAGGATGGTATCCAGACTATCGGGAGTATTGCAAAGCACTCTACACCTCTTCTTACAAAGATGAGTGGCGACGAGACTGGATCGATACCTTTCTAAGCCCACGCTTGCAAGAATTCCTGGTATTCGCAGAGTACACCATGGCAATGGGCGCGGTGTAAACTACTTCCACTCTAGAATGGATTTTCGATTTTGACTGACAGGAGAAACAAGAAGATACTTATGCAGAAATTACAGTACAAAGCGACTGCCATGAAAGTAGGTAGATTAAAGTATGTATGTTATGGATGGGCCCGGCGCCAAAGACCCACATGGGCGGCAGCCTGTAAGGAATCAGTATCGACCACACGATCTAATTGATTGTGAGAAATGCCATCGGCACCGCCCAATTTGATAATGATCACCCACTCTATTGAGAACTCCGAGGGGCTGGTCGCCTGGGTGCCGTTGGAGCCGTGAGCAGAGAGGAAGTGGGCAGGTGCAGCTGCGCCTCGCCTCGCCTCACGACCTCAACCTAAGAGCGCACTCAGGGCCCTTCTGTCTCAGTGGACCTGCTTGCCGTGGTCGCGATTTGGACACCATGCATACTGGGCTGGGGATCGCTTCGATCATCCATTGTGCCCCATCAATTGACGCATTTTCGTTCTGTCAGTATTGCATCTTCTTCCGCTAGCAGTCCCAATAGTGATGCTGCTTGGCGCAGAAGACGTGGTTCGCTCTGTTGGAGCAGATCTTCCCATGTGTCCATACCTCTGGCAGTTGTGGCATTGTCTGATACGAGCAGCACGGTCATACAGATCATCGCCAAGTTGGGTGATCGAGGTCGCTCACATCTCGTGGTTGGTTCTTCCAGTAGGCAAATAATCTGGCTCCCTGATCGTCGAGTTCACCTCGCCGCAACACGCAAACAAAGCCATTGACACTGGAACTCTGTCAGAGGTTCTCACCACGGTCCTATATGACTGTGCGGCTCGAATACGTCAATGCCACAATTGCCAGAAATATGGACATATAGGAAGCATCTGCTCCAACAGAGTGAACTGCGCCTTCTGCGCCGAGCAACGTCATTCTCGGGACTGCCAGCGGAAGAAGACGCCACATTAACACCAAGGATCTAATCAATCGGGCGGAGCGACAGAGGGTGCCAAATGCAATTGGCGCACACAGTGGATGGACGGGCATTTGGCACCCTCTGTCGTGCAGCGGCATTAAATCTTTGGTGTTAATCTGCGGACCTGTTGCTGTGTCGATTCCCAGAGATCGCACGTTGACATCGTGCACCACAACTCCCCAGCTCGGCATACGCACCTCTGAACCGACTGAACGCTTCCACAGATACTTCACCCAGACCTGGCGCCGTGGCGGTGGCGTTTCGACAGGAGTGTGCGTACTGCGTACGGAAGAGTTTTACGCCGTCAGAATCACCCCCACCAACCCCACAAACTTGACTGATCACGTGATAATCACCCACAACATGCGTTGCCGTGCCAACAGGACGCAGGGCTGACATGCCGACATGTGACCACGTCGGTTCGTGAATTACAAGACGTCCTGTCACACTGACGTTTACCACTCACATTGATGTCTATCCGCTACAGTTATCTACCAGGCGTCCTGCCGGAACGTACCCGATCTGCGACTTCCGCAACTGCCGCGGCCCGAGCAGCATTGATGACCCGAGCAGGCACAGAGGATGCTGAGGAGGAAGAGGATGCTGAGGAGGAAGAGGAAGAAGAGGAGGACGAGATGGTGGTCGTTCCATCGCCGGTAGCGGCGGGCCAGGCGAGTGCTCGCGAGGCTGTATCAACAGCAACATTGGATGTGAGCCCCTCTGAGTTGGCCCTTGCGCGCCGCGTATATCTGCGCACGGATGCGCAAATGGCCAAGTGGAAAGCCACTCAGAAAAAGGACCCGACGCGGCCGGGATGGGGAACTGATGGCTGTATCTGGCATGAAGACTGGACGGCGGTCCGGGTCGATATCGATGTGTGGAGTCGTCTGCAACCGGCCCGTACGACTGTGGACTGGAGGAATCCGAAGTCATTGAAGCCTCTGACCGCTGACAAAACGTCCAAACGTATTCGGCGCGTTGTGATGGCGCATCTCGCAGGAATCACGGCGCCCCCAGGGTTATCGTGTGACTCTTGTATGAGAAGGAAGACTGGGCTCCTATCGTGTCGGGTCGTGTTCGTTGCAGACCTCTCAGCGGGAGAGAAGTTTTCGTTCGGCTGGGGTTGCACAGGATGTGAGCTTACGGGAACTTTATATAGGTGCTCCTTTCGGGCGCAGGAGTTTGCGTCCACCCCACAGTGGTTGTTCAACCTTGTCATGGAACTGGATCCTGCCGATGTGCGATTGTCTTCACCTGGCCTGGCTCGGCATCGGGCTGCTTGGGAGGCCAGCAAGGGCCGGCCCCTGCCGGATATCGTCAGGACCAATATTGGGTCCGCGGTCCTGACTGGCGGTGCACGACCATGTGCAGGAAAACGACGCCGAGAAGATCGGTCGGAGGAGACTGCGGAGACCGCAAAGGCTGTTCGCAAGAACCCTTCTCGTGCGTCTGCGGCCCGAGCGGCTCCGAGGGAATCGCCCCTGCTTAGTAGTCATTCCGTGGCTCCTGTCAGTCCTGCTGGTTCATCCCGCCGTGGTGCTTCTGGCAACTATCCGCGAATTATAGTTCCGCCGCTGTCATCCGTGACCGGTGGGCCTCGTGCACCGAAGAGTGGAACTTTTCAGCGAGAAGTGACATATCTGCCATCTCCGGCAGAAGAAACGAAGGCAGAGCAGAGAGCGAGAGGAGTGCCTTCCGGGAAGCGAAGTAGCACTTCGGATATGCGCGTGCCCGCGTATGTCAGTGCAAATCCGTCCTTTGGGCCCACGTATGACGCGAATTGGTATACTTCTCCGTGTGATGTGCGCTCGATTGTCCGCGCACAGGACCTGCAGGGTACCAAGGATGTGTACTACCGTTTGCAAGAGATCGCAGCGCGAGTGGAGCATGATCGCCAGATCTTGAAAGTCGCTCTTCAGAAACAGGATTTGACTTTCGCTTCCGATGACGAGGATGAAGACAAGGAAGATTTGCCCGATCTGTTTGCCTTCACTAGAGGGGGCGTCGGTGTTGGGGATCTGGTGGACGACAGCCAACCGCACTGGCTCCGTCGGATGGCTTTGCAGGAATGAACGTGCATGTTCGTAAGTATTTTGTCTTAATATCTTCTTCCTCTCGCTCCCAGCGGATAACCAATGGTGTCAGTTCTTAGGCGTCGTTATAATTCTTCGAAGAGGATGGCATGATGACTGCAGATGGGTCTCATTTGCGTTACAATTCCACTCGTCGACATCTGACGTGCCCTGCAGATGTTGTAGTGTCGACGAGGAAAGATGGGCTCTTTTACGAAATCGGCTGTTCACGAACGCGAGCTGCAAACACCGCTTTGGCCAGGTATTTGTCCTAAACGCGCGTCGGGTTGCTCATCCATTTCTTCGTGAGGATATGGCCAATCAACCCATTGGAGTTGTTCACCTTTCCATTGGTGCGGCGGTGGTCTGGAATGGCCGTGCAATGCCGAGCTTTGAGCAGGCCAACGAAATGCCGAACGGCTCCAGAGAGGAAGAAATCTAGAGCACAAACATCTATCTACCGGGATGGCCTTGTCAGGGAGGTCAGCAAGGAAGGAAACCAGAGAGCAAATGTCCAGGCTCAGCATTGCCTTGTCCAAGGTACCATTCCAAACATCGGGGGATAGGAGGCATATGCGAAAGTCTCAAACCATGTCATGCTTGACGTGCTATCAAAGTTTCTACGTCAATGACAGCCCTGTAGACTTATGTACACCGCGGCAGAACACTGGAGTCTTAGGGAGGGCCATTCTTTAAAGCTATGTAATTACAGGGGCTTATACGCATTGATGGAGCGTAGAAAAAGCCAAGGAACAAATCCAAAATGAGATGAAACCTTGCTTCACTACGAACCGTCATGTGCGCCATACACACATGCTCTAGGTCGACAGATCGTGGAGACGTGAGGGTACTGGTAGCTAGGAGAGGTGGAGGATCGCGAAAAAGATCATCCATCTGAATGTGGAAGTGCTATGGGTGCAGCCGCTACTGAGCCACTTCATATATTCCCCTGACCCTGAGCCAAGATCTGATAAGTTGACGTCCTGTGGTGGCTTCAAATCGACGTCATCTGACCTACGTCATCGATCATGATGGGGATATATTCGCGAGATGTCTCGCTTTCCTTCTACAGTCATTCTACAGTCTACTTCAAAATCTGAAAATCATTAGTCAACCTGAATCATGCCTCTTGTAGTTCCAGGAATCAACTCCTCGATGGGCGACAAGTCCGAGTGGGTCAACAAGCTGATGGGCAAGAAAATCAGCGATACCAGCAATGAGACTGTCCGTTGCCTTTGCCTTTACAACTCGACAAAGATGAGATACTGACTGTTGTATAGTCTTTTGCGAAGAAAGATCTTCCCCAGTCACACCGGGTTGTGAAGCCGGGTGATATGAAGACTATGGATCATGATCCTAACAGGTAATATACCCCGAGAATGGACCGAAGATAGATTTGCTAACTAATGAAAGACTGAATATCCACGTCGATGAGTCCGGAGCTGTGCATGATGTGAATTATGGTTAGAGCTGGGAAGACAGGAGTCGACGGGCACTGGGCTCATACCCATATCTATGCGATCATTTAATGTCTATTGTGATACTTTCTATTGTTTCTTCTCGTGAATTCTCATATAGAAACAGGCTCACTCAGCCTTCCATCTCAGTAGAGTAAGCGAGTGTCGCGGGAACGTGTATGTACCCTCACCATTCCAGGTTGATTCCTGGATCGCGACTTCTTCTTTACCCTTCATATTTGTCGCCGACAACTCGTCAGCCGTCACCGTGAACACAGTCACACTCCCATGGGCCCCCTCAACCCGGGCCACCGAGTCCTCCACCTCATGTATATTCACCACAGCAACGTTAACGAACCCATCTTCTCCCAGGGTAGCGCTAACATCCAACCAAGGTGTATCCTTCGCACTGCGGATCCACTTGGGGGAGGTCTCGCCCTCGTAGGTCCCACAGGAAACATGACTGCCGATGGTCCAACCACGCATGTAGCGCGAGAACAACCAAAGGGGCCACCAGGTGGTCTGCTTGGTGATTCCGTTTTCGGTGGTCATCAAGGGCGAGATAACATTCACACTCTGCGCGATACAGGCCATGCCGACGTCTTTGCTCTTCCGGACAAAGACATTCAGCCAAACGGCCACAGCGAGAGCATCGGAGAGCGTGTAGCTCTCTTCGGCACCTTTGCTTCCCTCCGCGCGAATTGGGTCCCAGACATTCCACTCATCGAAGCAGATTGTGGGTCGGAGTTGCTCGGGAGGAACCTGGTTTTCCGCCCGGGCGAGATCGATCAGAGAGGAGGTGATCTCGATGGCACGCTCGGCCGAGAGTGGCGCCGTGACGTTGGGGAGATGGGGTGAGGAGGAGGTGTACAGGTGGATGCTGTGCATGTCGATCAGAGGAACTGAGCTGGTTGATAGGGCTGAATGAGCTGGCACAAGGCAATGCTTCAGTGTGTAGTAGTCCCATGAGGCAGTACCATCCTGACCGCATAGAATCAGTATAAGAGTGGGGTCGAGGAGTTTGAGCGCTGCGAAGCAAATTAGTGGGACAGCTTGGGCTTGGAGTGGTATCCGGCCTCACCTTTGGCCCATTGAATGGCCTTGTGAGCGTACGCTTCCTTCGTCATCTGCTCGACTTGCCAGGGTCCCCATGTTTCATTTCCGAGGGCCCAGTACTTGACCTGTGCATATGTGAGTGAGAGCAGCTCCACAGGATATTCCATTCATGCCCCGCAGCTTGGACTTACATTGTAAGGCTCCTGGCGGCCGTTCTTTCTGCGCAGATTGGCATAGTACGTGTTACCGGTACCGTTGCAGTACTCAACCCACCCCAAGGCTGCGGCATTCCGACATTAGCACCTCGTGCGAAAGCCGGGTTACAAGAGGACGAACCTTCATCCAGAGTTCCGGTGCCAAAATTGAAGCAAAGATATGGTTCGGTCCCCAGAGCCTCGCACCATTGCATGAACTCGTCAGTGCCGAACTGGTTCGTCTCGGTTCCGAGCCATGCGAGTTCTGGTCTTTAGACGATTCAATGAGCAAACTCTTGCGGGTGAAAAGGTATGGAAGCCATACCTTGATGGACGTTGATCTTTGGGACCGACACCATCGAGCCAGTGATATGTGGCACAGAAGTTCCCACCAGGATACCGCACGACCGGGATGTTGAGGCCCTTCAATGCCTCCAGTACATCCTTGCGAAACCCATTCTCGTCGGACAGGGGATTTCCAGGGTCGTAGATGCCGCCGTAAATGCACCGACCCATATGTCTAAGGAAAAGGTCAGGTCATGGCCTAGAGACCGGGCTGGACGAACGCTTACTCGGTAAAACCGGAATAAATGTTCGGGTTAATTTTGGAGATGCGCCTGGAGGGGTGAACGGAGATGAGAGGCGTCTCATGATCTTCCAATTTGGTGAAGGTCGCCATTGCTTGGATTGAACGGGGTTCACTTTTGATTTGAAGTTGCGACAATCTGCGAAAACCGCTTTTCAATGGTGATTTCACTGATTTGAAGCGAAAGATCAGTTGAAGAAGTGAAATGTACACAGTATACTGCCGTGAATTTATCAAGACAGGTTAGATGGCCTGGAAGGGGAAAACTCCTGCGGAGAGAATCCGAGACTATGAGACTCGGCAGGACCTCGGTAGTGACTCCAAAGAAAAGACCGACGTCTCGTAACCCAAGATGGAATAGTTGAAGATCTTCCATCAATCGCAGCAAAGAAAGTACGCCACTAGTTCTATACAAGCGCGCTCCAATGCCCTCCCCCGCATGCATCCAGCTCTCTAGTTCAGGGATCAAGAAAAGCACATGCCAAGGTAGGGTCGGGATGCGCATCAAAGGATACCGATGTCAGGGCGGCTTCTAGACATGTTGCTCCGGCGTGGTTCTCTATGTAAAGATCGTCGTCCCCGGATTGAAGTGGAGATCCGAGATCTTCTTCCCCATACCAAATCCACTTTGCCATGCGTCTCTCACCGAAGTGGTACCAGGTATGATCGGAGAATTCCCAGGAAGAACCACGCTCATATCGCTGTAGTTCCTCGTCGGCGTCTTCGCCTCTCTTGGATCATTTTTGTATGGATGTAAGTGACATGTCCGAACCCCCGTCGTTGAAGCACAATCTAATACAGGCGCAGATGATCTGGGTGTCATCGCGGAGGTGATCATCTGTGATTCATTCAAAGCCAAGTTTGCCCCAAATGATACGGAGAAGTCGGTTGCCAAGTTCACAAGCTACAAGATGAATATGCCTAACATCTTTGCAGGGGATTGGTCGTGTCTTTATTCACGGCTGGTGCATGCATCGGCGCCGCATTTGCTGGTCCCAGCGGAGACTATCTGGGTAGAAGAAAGACTATATCGTTGGGATGTTTGGTCTTTACCCTCGGAGGAGGTCTTCAAACCGGCGCAAGAACGATTGCCTATCTGTACAGTGGACGATTTCTGGCCGGATTTGGGTAGGTGATTGCTGCTGCAGACATATATCCCGAACAAAGACTGATGGCATGCTTAGCGTCGGCTTCCTCACGATGATGATTCCTCTCTATCAAGCCGAAATCTGCCATCCAAGCATCCGTGGCCGAGTAACAGCCCTCCAGCAGTTCATGCTGGGAGTTGGAGCCCTTTGCGCCACATGGATCGGCTACGGAACGTACACCGGGTTTGCAAAGGACAACCAAGCCCAATGGCAGCTGCCTCTCGGATTGCAGATTGCCCCTGCGGTGTGCTTGGGTCTACTGATCTCATTCTTCCCCGAGGTATGTATGCGTGTGTGGTGGAAACAAATGGAGTCGCTGACATCTATTCAGTCGCCTCGCTGGCTCATTGACCACAATCAGGCCGAAGAAGGACTGCGTACCTTGGCCAAGTTGCATGCGCATGGGAACGAAAATGACCCTTGGGTACGGGCAGAGTTTGCTCAAATCCAGGAGAGCATCACGTTTGAGCATGAGAACGAGGCCAAGTCATATATTGAGCTGTTGACCAATCGCGCTTCCTTCCGTCGGCTGTTCCTCTGCTGTGCGCTACAGGCCTCTGTTCAGATGACCGGCGTGTCTGCCATTCAGTAAGTGGGAGATATGCGAGACCACCTCCGGGGGTTTGACCATTCGATACAGCTGCTGACATGGCTTTCCACACAGATACTACTCGCCTGACATATACGGTCAGATCGGTATTTCCGACGAAGACACCCTGAAGTACCAGGCAATCAACTCTATCATTGCATTGATAGCGCAATTCCTGTGCATGATGTTCATCGATCGCTTCGGTCGGCGTTGGACCCTAATCGGCGGCAACCTCGGGAACATGGTGACCTTCATCGTCGCAACCATCCTGCTGGCCAAGTTCCCGCCTACGACCAGTAACAGCGGTGCGCACTGGGGCTTTATCATCATGACCTGGCTGTACAATTTCTCGTTCTCGGCAACTTGCGGTCCTCTATCGTGGATCATCCCAGCGGAAGTGTTCGACACCCGCACTCGTGCCAAGGGTGTGTCAATTGCCACGATGCTTTCGTTCGCTTTCAACACGATGATTGGCCAGGTCACTCCCATTGCTATGACGAACATTGGCTATCGCTTCTATTACCTCTTCGTCGTCTGCAACTTTACCAATGCGGTCTTCTTCTGGCTCTTGCTTCCGGAGACAAAGCGGGTGCCTCTTGAAGAGATGAACCAAATGTTCACCAATGCGCCGTGGATTGTCCCTGGAAGTCGCAGGGAAGAGTACATGGTCCATGATTTGGAGCGGAGGGTTGAGGAGCAGGAAGTGAAGCAGAATACGATGCATTATGAGTAGAACGTGGCGGGTAACAGAGGAGGCAAAGGATCACATATCAATTCCGGTTTGACTGCACGCAAGTTGGATTATGATCAGATGGCCTAGCAGCAAGATAGGACCAGGTTGAAAGGCGCGAATTTATGTAGTCTAGTACCAGGAGGTAATCGGGCGAGAACCCTTCGACTCACTTTCACAATTTCTCCACATACACCCAAAGAAGGAATATGGCACACTGCCGCAGTGTACGAGAATTTATTTCCATTTCTTGTGGATCAGCCATGGGACAAGATCACGCAGAGCAGTGGAGGGGATCGTTGTGATCTTAACATGCCATTTCCTGGTCATTAGTCCATTGCAGCCCGTCATTCGGAGTCAGAGCTGTATCCTGCCAGGCCAAGCGCAACTTTGGGCGGCTTCACCGGATCATTGGTCTTTGGTGGCCCCTTATCGGTAGCTGTGACCACCTTGGGCTGCCTGGCAGGATCAGTGGTTCCTGAAGCCGTAGCTGGTACGGCTGGACTGGTCTTGCCAGGTTCTTGCTCCAATTTGTTGGTACTTGAACTGTCCTCTCCACGTGATTTCTGCGTGTCCTTTCCAGGGACGTTATCTCCGGCTGAATCCTTGCGCTTCTTGCCTGGGATCAACGACTCCCGTTCTTTGTTGCGCCGTCTCTTGCGAGCAGAAATATCCCACGTTTGTACCTTTGCAGGTGCGACATCTAATGAGGCGGTGTCAAGTAGCGCTTTCTCCGCTTCCTCGCGTTGTCGGCGGAAGGCTTCGAGTTGAGCTGCCGTCTCCCTTTTCACCGCGGCTTCCTGGGCGCGTGTGGACTCGAGAACGGAATCTAAGAATTCGATCTCATCTTCATCGAGCGAGCGAAATTGGTTTCGAAGGCGGGATTTCTCCTCGAAGGCTTCTTGTTTGGCGACTACGTCAAGGGGGGAAGGTCACCCTAACATGTCAGCCAGATGTCCTCGGTGGGGGGGGAGAGTACGCGGCATGCCGAGTTGGGCTCACTTTTATTCTGCTCCAGCACCTCAAAGAGACTTTTGCCGTCATTCTGTTTCCCTACCTCGGCTTTCCGCCTCCGCTCCTCCTCCAACTCCTGCTGCGCTCGCAGCCACTCCTCATCCCGTTCGGTCGGCTGCTCATTGGTTCCGGCTGAAACGAAACCCGATGACATAGTTGAAGCTGGATAAAGACAAAGCGGGTTCGGGATCCAAAATATCACTCGGGGTACTCGGGTATAATGTGCGGGACTGCGGGTGAAAATTATCCGATGGGGGCGGAAAACCGAGAAGGAATGGGGGTGTGGGGGGAGTGGATTAGACGGAACTCCGAATGAGACACGGACTACGATTGAAATGTAAGAAGATTCTGGAAGGTTGACTTAATCATCAACTTCAAAGATGTCAATTGAAAGATTTGATTGGGAATGAAGTCAAAAGAGTGGAAAAGGGAATTTAGCCAGAATGTGTACCAAGTTGATCGACTCGTGGCCTTTACTCGCCTCGGAGTCGCCATCCTTCTCCATCGTGCTCCAGTATGACGATCGGTTCACTTTGAAGTCGGGTAATTTCTAAGCATTCAAACTCAATCAGCCCCCTTCAGCCCACTTCAGCCCCTCCTTCCGCCTCCTTCTGCCTCCCCCTCCTTCTGCCTCCCCCTCCTCACCCCCCCACTCCCCAACATTGACATCATTCTCCGTTCTTGGACCTGCCCATTCTACTTCTGATCGGACATAAAAGAAAGAACCCCCTGCCCTTGGCAACTTCTCTTTTTCCATCCTTCTCAAAGTACATTACTATACCCAACATGTCCAACCAACACACCCAGTAAGTCCTGGTGCCATGTCCTCCAGAATATTCCCTTCTAACCTCTCTCACAGAAAGACTTACACCCTCAACACTGGCGCCAAGATCCCCGCCATTGGTCTGGGAACATGGCAATCCAAGCCCAATGAGGTCCGCGAGGCTGTGAAGAATGCTCTTCTTGCCGGTTACCGTCACATTGACACTGCCCTGGCTTATGGCAACGAGGCCGAAGTCGGTGCCGGTATCAAGGACTCCGGTGTGCCCCGCGACCAGATCTGGCTCACCACCAAGTTGGATAACACTTGGCACCACCGTGTGACCGATGGCATCAACTCCTCTCTCAAGGATCTCGACACTGACTACGTCGATCTCTACTTGATGCACTGGCCCAGTTCAACTGATCCCGAGGACAAGTCTAAGCACCTGCCCGACTGGGACTTCATCAAGACCTGGTATGTGATATGACTGGTGGCATCAATGCAGAGGACCGTCGCTGACATCTTCCGTTTCACAGGCAAGAAATGCAGAAGCTGCCCGCCACCGGCAAGGTTCGCAACATCGGTGTCTCCAACTTCGGCATCAAGAACCTCGAGAAACTTCTGAACGACCCCAGCTGCAAGATTGTCCCTGCCGTCAACCAGATCGAGTTGCACCCCAACAACCCCTCTCCCAAGCTGGTTGCCTACAACACCTCCAAGGGCATCCACTCCACCGGTTACTCTTGCCTCGGCTCCACCAACTCCCCTCTCTACAAGGATCCTACCCTTCTGAAGCTCGCCGAGAAGAAGGGCAAGACCCCTCAACAGGTCCTCCTCGTCTGGGGTATCCAGAAGGGCTGGAGTGTCATTCCCAAGTCAGTCAGCAAGGCCCGCATCGAGGGCAACTTCGATATCAACGGCTGGGAGTTGACTGCCGATGAGGTGAACCAGCTCGACAACCTGAAGGATCGCTTCAAGGTCTGCGGTGATAGCTGGCTCCCTATCAAGGTCTTCTTCGGCGATGATGAGTAAACACGTTACAAAATGATGAACGTTTGATGAGTGAATAGCCTTAGATACCAAAAGAATTTATGATATGAACCACCATGCCTTTCTATGTAAATGCCAAATGGAAGAGAAGAAGGATACAATTGTTTGAAGGCCTGATAAGAGCTGATTTGCTATTGTATCTCGGATAAATGTACCTCCCTGGCCCAAGGGTCGTGCCTTCCCTACAAGCCGCCTGGGTGACTTCCCTGGATGTAGTGAGTCAAGTGACTTCCCAGTGTATAAAATGACCTTGTAGCAATTTTCAACCTTCCCCTTTCATCATCCCAAGAATCTATAGACATCATCAGAATGTCTGTTTGAATCCTTTCAATAATGTCAGTTGCGGCCATGTGTCAAGCCGGTAAGTTCGAAAGTTCGGGTCTCTTTTCAAACGACTTTCTCAGAGGTTCTTCTAGCCCCGCTGCCCCAACCCGGACGAGGACGAGTCCTTTCTCACCGAGTTGGTTCATCTGGTTGCCGAGAAAGTCCGCCATACTGCTGGCATAGCCGTCTATGAAGTAGGCGGTATGGGTTTGCTGCTCCTCTTGCAGCGGAAGGCTGTCAAGTTCTTGTGGAAAAAGGCTGGAGGAGGGTCATTGAACTCTTCACCTTGACACCTTCTATCATTGCTCTATTATAATTGGCGGCTATCAGCCACGCACTATTTGGGAGCACCAGAAGATGATACTCTGCGGCTTGCGGCTTGCGTGATTCGACATATTCTATATTTCGCCCCACCTCAAGAATCAAGCAGGTAATTTCGAACTTAGATCTCTTTTCAAACGTCTTTCTGACAAGTCTTTTTAGCCCCGATTTCCCCAAACCCAGACGAGGGCTCGTTCCCCATCGGGGTGCCGAGGGAGGCACTCATACACTGCTGCCATAGCCGCCCTTGAAGTCAGCGTATGCTTCTCCGCCACTTCAGACGCAAGAGCCACATACGGCCAGTCAATCTTCCTCAGGCAGACGTACGTGAACAATGCCTGGGGAATTGAATACTCACCGGTCATTGAGTCTACCACACCGTACACGATATACCCCAAGCGATGGTAATGCAGATGTTTCTGCCAAGCAGTGTTACTTCTTTCTGGCCAGTCTGGCAGTCGCCCACGGTCCTGCGAGAAACTCGACACCTATCAGTCAGTGGATTGTACCGGTGTAAGCATCGCCGCGGCTCCCTGGAGGACGGGCTTTACGAGGAGAGAAGATCATTCAATACGTGGCGGATTCAGAAGACGAGTAATTATAATCTTGAACATATTGTAAATAACTCATCAGGCCATTTGTATATCCATACAACGGTCCAAATGGAATATCATCATCATCATCATCATCATCATCATCATCATCATCATCATCATCATCATCATCATCATCATGGGACATATCGCTGATGTACTCGTGCAGGCTCAGATCTGAAGCGTCTACCCGGTAACCCGGTGCAGGGGTGCACCAGATAGAGAAGCAAGATAATGGAAGGGAGAAAGAGCCGCGAAGATGGGTCGAAAGGTCTTTCATGTCGGAGGGCATTAAAGGGAGGTTACGTGACGGCGTATGGGATCCCTAAACCGGTCCCCCGTTTAGTTACATCTTCTACGGGCAACACACCGATCTCAGTTTACAATGAAAGTAAGAAAGTCTAGATCCAAGTCCAACAAAAAGAGAGAGAATACCCAACCGAGCTCTATTCAACGACAACTACCTTCGTACACTCGAGGATATAGGTCCACGATCTAAGAACCAACAACCTTCGCAGTATCCCTAAGAAGAACATGGAAATCCCTAATCTGATCCGCAGGCGTCTCAATAATATACCGCCAAAGAGTCCAAATATCCTGTCCATCAGAAACACCCTGCGCATCTTCCTGTTCGATCTCGAACTCCCTGGTCTCTGGGTTCAGCTTGCATCCCAAGAACTGCACCAACGCAAGATCAACAGGGGCAGGGGGAATGGCCGAAGAGAATCTAGTGGACCCGTACGTCTTCAACTGTGTCTCTATAGCCTTCCACTGCGGTCGCCACTGCTCGAATGATGCTGTCCACTCTCGATCGGTGCCTCCGTCGGCGAGGGTAGCGCACATCGTCCATAGAAAGTGAGAGGTGTTGATCCAGCCATCGGACTCACCAGGTACGCCGGACCCTGTGCTGCCCTCGCGGCGAACTGTGAAACGGAACATATCCCGGCCTGGATCTGTTGTCGGTGCGGAATCGGAAGAGCTGCGATCGTCCTCTGAGCCTGAGTCCTCGTAGTCCGCATCCCAGGCCTCGTCGGCGTATGTAGGGGTCAACTCCTGGAATTCAGCTGTGCTTCTCCTGATCGTATACTGGGAAGACCACATTGTTATAATGGTAAGCTAGAATACAACAAAGCTCTCTGAGTTTATGGTCATGAGGTTTAAGCGGCAGGAACAGCGGTTTTATATCGTATGAAACTGCCCGTCTGGGCCCCGTGTGGGTGTGGGAGGTCAAAGACACTCTTTGTTGTCATTCATTTTATGTTTCGAGACTGAGATCACAATGCCTTTCGCAGACTGCGATTGTATTCTTTGTTCAATATCAGCTAGCCTAGACGGCTCTACCGCGAAATGAAAGGGAGACTGTACATTTCTTTGAAACATGTACTGTGTGGGATTCTGACCCCCAAGCTTCGAACACCAGCCAGATAGCATTGGAAGCCAGACACTCTTCAGTCCGAAATTCTATCAGCAACACACACGGTATTTGCCTTTAAATGCCCTTTTCGCCGTCATAACCCTGTTTCCCAAATCCCTGGCCGACGCCGTCACGCTCCTTTCGCCGATTCTCCAGATAGAACCGGCCTCCTTCATACAGGCTGAGATACAAGCCTAATGCCACCGCCGTCCACCCAGCACGGATCAGCCCACCCTTGAAGAGACCGCGGATGCCTTCATGGCGTATGATATCACGACCGACAGCAATAGGAGATTGACCCGATTTGCTCTTCTGTGCCGCTGGAAGTACATCTTTGCTTCCACGAGTCTCAGCCTGAGTGCCGGAGTCGCTGGCGGAGAGCATGACCCGAGTTTTGATCACATCAATTGGGGTAGTCACCGTCGACGCGACTGGGCCCGAAATTGCCGCCGCGAGACCCGTCAGACCGGCCCGTTCAACCAGCTGATCCGACTGTTGCGATGGCGGTCGACCGTCGTTGTTGCGAGCGGCTTTCCGCTTCCTCCATCGGTCGATCAGACGTGATCGTACGTATTCAAAAAGCGGAAATTGTAAAGCTGTTGTCGGAAGGTTTCGACCAACCAGTGCGGTATATCCACTCCAGAGGCGCCACGGGCGATGTTTAAATCGGGAGAGTACTTGGCGCATGGCGGATCTGTTCCCTTCGGTTGAACGATGGTTGTTGTGGTGGCCGGCCCCAGGGCTCTGTATCATCTGCGCATTTTGCTTTAGAACCTCTGCCGGGGTGAGCATGAGGCATGATACCATCTCTCCGGCCGAGGAGGCAATTCCATGCATGATAGGAGTAGGAAGGGAATGTGTAAATGGCAAGCGAAGACTGTTCAGAGAACGTTCGGTATGTGGCGTTCGACCATGGTGTATGCTGGAGGTGTTCATGGTCGAAGAATTGTACATGATGCTCTTCACGGCTTCGTATGTTGTGAAGAATGCCCCAGCTGATTGTCTTGTCAGCGATGATCGTGTCCATTCCTGAATAGAGGCCATGGTCACCCACAGGATGGAATCGTCGAGAATACCACGCTCCATACACCTTGGTATAATCCTCGGAAGAGCACATCGCGCTGGACCCCTCCTGTACGCGCATTCTTAAAGACCTTCTCATAATTTGGTGACTGGATGCGGGTTTTGAGGGTGTCAAAAGGGTAAACGATGAAATCGACTACGACCGCAGCGAAGGCGCCGGCCTGGTATGTTGGAAAATCTTCAGTTAGCCATTGATCACGTTGACAGACGTCTCATGCGCTGGGTAACAAGGCGCATCTGGATTGAGGATGAGTTGATTGTGCGACTTACAACCCAGATATCGGAATGACTGTTGTACATGGATGCCTGGAGGAAAGAACGAACTCTATCTTCAAGTGATGAACATGTAGAAACATTGTCAATGTTCAGGGATCGAAAATCAGATAAGCCAGAGAGTTATCACTAAGCTTTCCATGATTTACTCCGCGCTTATCGATATCTGCAAGATGATGAGCGATGATGTCATTGATACCCATCTCAGTCACATGCCTCCAAATACAAGCTTGTCTTCTGTTTCTTTTCGCTCTGCTTGTAGATTTCTGTTTTCAATTTGAGTGTCGCCTCAAAAGTAAAAGATCTAGATTCTAGGACAGTACCGCTGTATCGCTGAATAGGTATATCGTACATGGCTTTAAAACTTCCTTCCACTGTATCCACCTTACATCCAACCCTTCGGTCCACCCCAGGTACCCTTGATCATGTGGTTGGCATACACCCAGGGGAAGAAGTCCTTCTTCAGATGCCAGAACGCACGACGGGGCTCACCCTGGTCAATGCCAAACCAGTCTCCAAATGTCTCCTTGGGCACTCCGCCGTACTTGAACTCGGCAAGAAGAACCTTGCCGTACTCAGTCAAGAGCGGGCACGAAGTGTAACCGTCATAGGAGGCATCCAATGACTTGCCCTCCATGCTCTGCAACAAGTTGCGAACAAGGACCGGCGCCTCGGCAGTGACAGCTGCTGCGGTCTTGGATGTGGGGAGACTGGAAGCATCACCAGCCGACCACACATTGGGGAATTTCTTGTGTTGGGTGCTGTTGTCATCCACATCGACGAATCCGGCCTCGTTTGCGAGAGGGCTCTTCTGGACGAATCCATGAGCGCCCATCTTGGGGGTGACATGCAGCAGGTCGAACTCCCTAGTGACCTCTCCGTCGGGAGTGGCGAAAGTGGCCTTCTTGCCATCAACGGCTACGAGATCATGCTGGAACAATCCCTCGACACCACGATCCTGTCGCATCTGCTCAAGGATAGCGTTATACTTAGGCACACCAAACATCACTGGGAGACCGGTTGCATAGCTGATCTTGACGGCAGAGTCGGAGGGCTTTGTTGGGTTGTAGAGGCCAGCTCGTTTCCAGTGATCCAATGCAAGCCACATGACCTTTTGCGGAGCACCCGCACATTTGATCACACCCGCTGGCTGGGTAAAGATAGCGTTGCCTTCGCGGAAGTTTTCAATGGTACGGAAGGCCTTGTCACATGTGTCATAGCCATAAATTGTCGAAACAGTGGAGTTCCGGTCAGCAAGAGCCTCAGTCAGGCCTTTCGTGTTGCCATAGTTGATGCTGATACCGGGCACTACAACCAAATGTTCGTAGTTGATCTTGTCGCCGCCCTGAAGCGTGACCGCGTTTTCGGCGGGGTCAAAAGCACCGACACTCTCATTGTAGAACTTGAATTTGGGATTGATCAAGCTGTTCATTGGCTTGCGCAAGTCCTCTTTGTTTTTGAGACCTCCACCGACCAGGGTCCAGCCGGGTTGGTAGTGATGCCATGTGGCGGGATCAATGATGGCAATATCATCTTGCGCAAATTTCCCCGAGTGCAAGAGCTGGTGACTGATGGAGAGACCAGCAGTACCACCGCCGACCACTACGATCTTGTGGTTTCGGGCTGAGTTCGCTGGGGAGGTTGCAAAACTCCTCCATTGAGCGACAGAGCGCTTGGCAACGGTCACTGTGCGTCTCTGGAACATCTTGATAACGTTTTAGATTAAAGTTGATAAAAAGCCCAGTGTAGGAAGCTTTCCCTTTTCTTGATATCCACCGATGGCGTGATTATCGGATTAACTTATTCCGATATCGGGAATATCTCGGCTTTTATCCGTGTTTTCGGGATGGAACTCAGGTGTCTCCCGGAGGTCTCCCGGACTAACTGCCCCAGTGCCCCCACTGGATCAAGACACCACTCCTTGAATTCGAGACGGTAAAGCCGGAGAAGAAGCAATAACGACCTCGCAGCGACGCAGGACGCAGGTGTTACGGTCGATGGCTGACTTATGAAGAGAAAGTCTAAAAAGAAGATCGTTCGTTGCCGTACTGCATACAGGGTAACAACTAACAAGTCTGGAAGAAGAAAAAGAAAAAGAAAGAGAAGAGCAGGAGGCAAGCAATCAACAAAACCTGGAACTCTTCCTCGCGCCCCGCTCCTTCCCTTGTTGCCGTTCCTTCCTGTTTCTACTTCTAGTCAAGTGACCCTGTCTGCTTCACTTGCCTGAGCACTTTGCCTCAGGCACTCGTTAACCGCCACAGAAGAAGCATTAACGACCTCGCACCTTGAAGGTTGTGCAGGATGCTATGTACGACAGTACGTTTCACGAGATTGTGTTGTCCTGAAGTACCAGTTGCACTTGCAGGAGGCTACGAACGCACCAGAGAGCGGAAGGAACATCGAAGACACGAATTGTATCGGTCACTATCAACATAGTCTGGGGAGGGAAGGAAAAACGAGATAGAAGAGACGCAAACATCCACGACGCCAGTGATGTTCTCCAGGGCTGCTCCGACAGCCTCAGAGGCGATAGTGTCACCAGATGCCTTAGCCACCAGATATATGGCCTTCGTGATAGCCGCTGGAACCTTCCAGGCTTTGATGGCATTTGCCTTAACAACATGCACCTGGTACCGTATTCCGTTTGTTTGCAAACTGAGCGTTTGCCAGTTTGCTAATGATTGGTCATGAACTACCTATTCAAGGAGGTCTATATAAGGAGACTTCCCACCCACATAGTTCTTCCTTCCTTCATCTATATGGATTTATATACCTAAGACGCTCTATTTATCACAACCTCTTTCCATCTCCCGGTAACCTCAACACGTTATGAGCCTCTCTTGAGGTTCCTCCTTTCGCTGATTCATCAAATTTCATCAAGTATAGTATTACTATCAAGGCTATCTTGCTTGCCGAGCATCTCCCAGCAGAGGAGAACTCATTTATGAGCAGAGTATTGACCTATCTCTCATTTTGCTTTCGGTGCCTCACATTGAGAACTATTTTGGTCATTCGATCCGGAACCATTCATACGCCTACCTCCATTACCCAGATTCCACTACACATCAGCATCGAGCCAGTATCCCGTTCTCTTACATCAGTCACGATGGCTGAACCTTCGTCACATCGACCTGCGGCAGAGGACAAAACATGCAAGTCCAGGATGTGGACCTTCGCGACAGAGGAACTTTCAACCTTCAGCACGATTGAACGAACGCATGTCGACCAAATGGACAAAATATTACGGAGCAACAGGCTCCAACATGTGAGCAAGAGGAACATACCTTGGCCTTTTCCAGACGGCCAAACTGAAGAAAAAATGCACAAAATCTCACTGTAAGAGCGATCATTTCTGTCAAGCAGTATAGATCATACACTGATGCAGGAATCCAAGGTCTTTAGAAACCCCACAGATTTTGCAAACGAGCTTCTTGCTTGGTTCTAGGGGAACAGGATGTGACCCCAGGGTGGACAATCAACGATGCGATTCGGCGCGTCTTCCGACGTGCAGCAACAGCGCCTGGAAAATCCATTGTCCTGATTCACTATGCTGGGCATGGGGCGGTAAACACTGGACGGCCGCAAGGACGTGAGGCAAGCTACGACAACGCTGCACCGACGTGAGGCAAGCTACGACAACGCTGCACCGACGTGGGCAAGCTACGATACGGCTGCAAGGACGTGAGCAAGCTACAACAACGCTGCACCGACGTGGGCAAGCTACGATAAGGCTGCATCGATCTCCGTTACCGCACCGATGGATTTTGATCTTTCGCTTGACGCCTGGCACAACCTCGAAGCATCTGTGTAACCCAAGCCCGTGTAAAGCCTGTGAGGTAACGGTACGGTTGCGAGATCGTTTGAGGCGTCTACCTGGCACAAGGCTGCAAGGACGTGGGCAAGCTACGATGACGCTGTATGGACGTGGGCAAGCTATGATAAGGCTACACCGACCGCGTTGAGGGCACGATGGACACCCCTCACGAACCAAACGAGAAGACACGTAACAATAAGGGAGGGGCACGTGCTGCTTATCTGACAGGATATCAGCACGTCCTGGCGGAGATGTTTTCCTTCCTTTCTTCTCTCCTCATCCTTGGTTGCTTCGTTTAATGCGACTACATTGGTCGATCTTCTTCATCATTCCTAACTGGGCGTAACAATATCCAGGACATGGATATCGGAGACACAGACACTATCTTCGTCCTGGATTGCTGTTATTCGCATGTCGCAACGCGGGCATCTAATCCCACGACTCGCACGGTCGAAATTCTTTCTGCGAGCGATGACACACTCCCGTGGCCTTTGCACCACCGCGCAATACCTTGACCGGAAAATTGCGGGGTGAGATTGCTCGGCGCAAGAGCGATGGCCATCGCTTCGTGATACTTTCGGAAGTGATGGCGTCTGGTTTGACAATCATACCAATGCTCTATCTAGATCTATCTCAGATGCTCTTGTTTTTGGCAACCAATACCTACAAGCGAGACATATGAGATTCATTTCCGATAGCAGAAAATTGAGATTACTCTGCAAGTCCTCACATAAGCTGTTCTAGGTCTCTCCATCGGACCAAATCACATATAAGCTAGAGGCATTTGCCTGTCGAGAGATTGATGGCGTGGCCACTACAACAGTATCCCAGTAGATATGCACCGTAGGTGACCAGGGCCGTTTTGTATGTAGATCAATCTATCGTTTCGTTCGTCTCTGATCAAGTTCGTGTAGCAGAGTAGCCAGGGCATAAAGAACTATGAGACCCGTGGCCCTGTTCAATGTGTCTTGTTGTGTTCTAAACAAAATAAAAGAGTTCCTTCTATGACCGAGTATAAATCGATACATGCAGGAGTCCAAGACTCAGCTCCGCTCATCATAGAAGAAAAAAGAAACAGGAAGTCATATTAACATCCAAAATAGAGAACATTTTCCTTCCCTGCGCCGTAAAAAGGTCATGCAATCCCAGAAGCATCGTGTCTCCCCTTCGCAATCATCAACGTTTAGTTCGAGGTCTCGTTGGGCAGCAGGTTGCCCTTGATGGCAAACATCTTGCCCGTGCTGGACGAGACGAAGCTGTCGACCTGGCGCGAGTACTGATCCACCTGGCGGGTGTTGAGCATGCTGTCCAGACGGCTGGGCTCGGCTGGAAGCTTGAACAGGCGCTGCCACTCGTCCTCCGGGAGGAGGGGTTGGTTGAGAGTGGCACGGGTGGCATTCTCTTGTGCGCGCTTCTGCTTCCACGCGTTAATCTTCTGCTGCTCGCGGCCGAGCACACGCTGGTAGTATTGGTAGTTGTTGACCTCGGTGTTGTGGGCCTCGATACTGTCCAGGAGGAGATCGCAGTTCTTCTCCAGGAAGGGATCGATGCTGAGGGACAGGTTGTCGAGGTTGGGGGTAAGAGTGGAGGTTTTGCTGAAGGGGCTGGACTCGAGGGCGGCCAGGGAGGAGGGAAGCTCAGTCGAGGCCGAAGAGGTCGGGCACTGCAGCTGGTGGATGAAGGAAGTGATCAGGTGGGAGTTGTGGAGCTTGACGGGCAGTTCCTCGAAGATGTCGGGGTGGCGCAGGTTGGACTTTTGCAGGCTGAAATTCTGGTCAGTATTGCGTTCATCAATGACAGCGATCGATGCACGTACTCCTCCGAAGTGAATTTGTTCTCCTTGAACGCAGTCATGAACTTCTGCGACAAGCGGAAGGCCCGGAGGCTGAGGCTGCCCTGGGCGCTGCGGCTGATGTCGTGAACGAGGGCGACTGTGCGTTCGTTCAACTGGCTCTGGTAGTAGAATTGGTTCTCAATCACGTTCATGTTAACGAAATTGCCCATGTTGGCGCTGGTGTACCATCCGACGTTGTTGGCATCAGTGTTGACTTCGCGCAGCATACGGATCATCTCTGCAGAGTAAGCGGCATTTGCCTTGGCGCGAGGAGCGGCGGCGGCCGGGTTGGGAGCGGCGTTGTCGAAGTGCGACTCGGCGGGGACTTCGACGACGGGGAATGGGAAAGTGTTGGTGATCTCGAGGGTGCCATCAACGTCCATGCCGACAAGAGCACCGGTAGCAGTGGAAGGGAAGGTCTGGGAGCAGTGCTTGATGATTTTCATCACCACCTGGATCATCCGACGTCAGTATTTCAGGCTGGCGAGGATTGGGGGAGATTTTCTTCGGGGAGCCCATACCAAGGCCTCGACCTGAACGGCCGCGAGGGGAGCTGGAGTTCTGCGATCCTGTTAGTATCATCTTGTCAATCAATAAACACTCATTACTTACTCGGCCATATTGGTAGATTGCAACGGTTGGGCGCGGTTGTGAAGGTCGAGACGGTGGACTTGGAGGGTTTGTGTGAAAGGGACTATTCATTCCTGTTCGGGCTTAGTGTGTTACAGATACACGGCGAAATTTGGTACCATCTTTGACTGTGGAAATAGAGGGGCAATACATGTATATTACGCTATCACACGCTCCCGTTGATGGGATTTGGGATTTTCCACTGGACCAGGGACTTATATCGAGATTTATTCCAATTCTGAACGAGAAACAGATCCCCAGAACATGAAGAGAAGAATACAATTTGGCCTTTAAAGACAAGACTATCAAAGTGTCAAGTCGATGGCTCTCAGCTCAACGCTACTAGCTTGTCCGTAATCTATGTGCATGTCCCACTTCCCCAGAGATCACCGAGATGGACTCCGCAAGACATCATGTCGGATCACTCAGCAACACGCACCGTGGCCTATGGCCGAGTCCATAATCTGCAAAGCATCGATGTGACGACTTTGGCTCCACGTAAAGATGGCTACTGGGTGATGTACATGAATGCCGCAAACCCACCCTCCCCAACCGCCAATGACTGACCTTCCCTTCAATCGTCCAGCTACATCCATGGAGGCGCCTGGCGGGATCCATTGGTTACTGCAGCCTCCTTCAAGGCCACAGAATCTATTCTTCGGGATGCGGACCTGCCTATATCCGGGTTTGCCTCGATCTCCTACCGTCTCAGCGCACACCCCAATCACCCGCAAGACCCAGGCAACACCGCCCCAAATGACCTCCGAGAGGCGAAACATCCCGATCATATCCGCGACGTGGAGGCAGCGCTTGCTCTCCTTCAGAACACGTACGGGTTTGGGGCGCGATATATCCTGGTTGGCCATAGTTGCGGTGCCACGTTGGCCTTCCAAGCCGTGATGGGCGCAGTCGCAGATCATCGTGAACAGGCCTTCACTGGGGGAGCAGATACTTCCGATACGAATGTCAAGGTTGTATCTGCCTCACCTGGACCTCTACCACCTCCGTTGGCAGCGCAGCCCATTGCTATCGTCGGAGTGGCTGGTATCTACGATCTGCGACTCCTACGGGACACACATCGTGATATCTCGATATACCAAGATTTCCTTGAAGCTGCATTTGGAACGGATGAGATGCTCTGGGATGCGGTGTCACCGGCTCAAATGGTTGGTTCTCGCGGAATAGAAGGCGGTTGGAAGTCCGGAAGGTTGGCTGTCCTGGCGTATTCCAAAGACGACCCGTTGGTGGATGAACCCCAGCTGGAGGTCATGAAGGAGGCTTTGAGGCATTGGGAGCAGAAAGAGGCACAGATACCTGTGCAAGAGTTGTCAAACTGTGATAGACGGGTCCGTGTCTTGTCTATCAGTGGTGGCCACGACGAGGCATGGGAGAAGGGTGACGAGCTAGCTCGCGCGGTGAAGTTTGCTTTCGAGCAACTACAGGAAATGGGGCTGGCCCCGCAATCCTGATTCAAGAGCAACATACTGATTGGGCATTGGAAATAGCGTCCGTACATACCGTTCGTGTTTAGCAGGACGCGCATCGGCTTGCGATGTTCGGCTCATGTCAAGCTCGGACCCGGTCCGTTGCAATGAACCCCGTAGAATTGATTTGTTTCAATTGAGACCCGAGGCCTCTAACCTGATCCTTGATTTCTTGAATGGGATGGACTGAAATTTTAGTTACGAAGTCAAAGTAAAGAGACAGTGAGCTCCTCGAATTGGGCCATGCGAGCCAGAAAACGCCATTATTCGTTAATCTCAAGTAAAGAACCATACCACGGATCCCTCGTTGCGCCGAAATATTGCCCATGAAATAGTGATAATAAAACGCTTGCAGTTTGGATTACTTGGCAACGTCCATACGAGCAGAAGCTGCCTCGAGGACCTTGTCATGCTTGGCAGGCTGGGCGTGGCCCTCCGCCTAAGCCTCGTCGTATTCGATCGCGTCCTCCTCGCTCTCACTGTCCTCAATGAATCTGTGTTTGATGTCGACCTCGGCGAGACGCCACTTGAGATCCTCGCGCTGATTGTCTTGGTAGCGGGCAAGTGCGGCCGCCGCGTGTACCTTGAAACCGTAGATCCGGGGCTCGTAACGGCGACTGCTCTTCTCTGGATTGAGCGCCGGGTACACCTGGAACAGGATAGAGTGGAATGACGTGCCAAAGTATGCACCGTCGATGGATGAGTGGCGCGTTGACTTCGGGTTGTAGATATCTTCGCACTTGGGACAATACAGCTTGACTGTGCTGATGTTTGGAAGATCCGACTCGCCTACAGGAAGCAGCGCATGTCCGTCGCACATCACGCGAGGACACTTTCCGAACTCGCTCTTTTTGTACTTCTCGAGCTGTAAGAAGATTAGTAAGTATGACCATAGGACGATCAGCAGACGCAAGTCCGGGGTACCAACATACCATTTTAGCAAGGCCACGAGTGGTTACGATGTATCGGGCATGGACCAAGCCATAGAGGTGACGCGCAGACTTTTCAATTTGCTCACGCAAATCATCGTCGGCGTCGAGATCGAAAACATCGGTCACAAGATCAAGAGCATACTGGTAGTACGAGACCTCGGTGTTCAAACCCGTGAGGTTGAATCGGTCAGTCAGGTAGTCCTCGTCGATTTCGCAAAAGTATTCGTTGCCGCGGGATGAGACGAACTGCAAGATACACAAGATAATGATTAGTATGATCACACACAGAGCATTCGGAGAATAAAAAGAGCAGGACAATTGCATCAACAGCACCAGAGCGATTGCCCCGAGGCCGCCGGCAGCCGCCAGACTTGCCACTGGAAGGTTGTCAAGCGCCATCTGGACCAGGAGGGGACGGATTGTAGGGACCATTCCGGTCGTTTCTGCGCCAGTCATATAGCTCATGAGGAAGCCGCAGAAGGCACAGTAGTATAGAGCGATGAACATCAAGCAAGCCATGGCACCACAATCGAGGATGCAGCCAGCAGCTATCATGCTCCTGGGATAAGATGAAAACGCAAGTTGCAATAAAGCGATACACAACCTGAAGATGCAAGTCGCAAGTAACGAGAGCTTCCAGGTGAACGGAAGAGGTAGCATCATGTATCAGAAGATGGGATGTCACAAAGATGGGAGTCAAAGAGGTTGCAGTTATGATGATGAAAGGAATGACAACATAGTATTGATGCCGAGAGCAGCTCAGAGCAGCTCAAGCCTGTTGCCTACTGTGTCCAAATCGCCGAGGCGACGATGTAATCGCGGCTCCATCGTGGTCGTAGTCAAGCCGCAGATCCCCACAGTGCCCCAGCCGCGCGCAATGTCCTGTCCCTCTGCTCATCACGATAGTAGAAATCCACTCACCCAGTCTCGCCAGTAGCTAGTGTAGTCACTGTCTGTCTCACTGTTAAAGTCCTCCATCATGATGACCTTGCCCGGTTGGAGTCACTTGAAATGTCGTGCGCGGTGCGAGTGTCGAGAAGTCACAGGTGGGGTGATGAGGCCCAGAGTGCTGAAGCGCCCAGTCCTGCACAGCTGGGAAACGCAGAGGGCCAAATATTTGCCGGTTATGCAAGTTGCAGCTAGCAAAAGTTGCTCCTGGCTCGAAGACTGTGAATTATGCCTCGGAGGAGGGAAGTGTGAAATTCATCCCACAAGTGTTTCGTTATCGAAGCTCTTCGCCTAGTGGGGCGGTCAAAATACTGCCTCGGTGGTTCGCCCAGACCGCCTTCAACTACACAGTACGTCTGTCTGCACTCAGTCTGCAGTGTACAACGTAACAACATAGGTGCATATAACGAGCTGCAGCCTCATGGTCTTCCAAAAAATGCATAAATTGCTTGTGAGAGCCACCGCTGACCGCTTGGTTCTGTCGTTGAATGTGTTCGGATAATCATGACGTGGCAGGCCTACATCAACTCATCATCTTCCACTTGTCTTCATTCTTCTGTCTCCCTTCCACCTTTGATAAGACATTATGGCCATTCGAAGCTGTGTTCGAATGGGTGGAAAAGGAATACCCGGCGAGTTTTTCGACTGTCTTGAGGATATTGCGCAGGTGCGTGGTAGGTTCAATTGTTGGGTCAGGCGCCGGACAGGCGGTTGCGGATTGAGACTTGAAGAGCTTTTCGGAAAGCTGAGATCTTTGTAACATTTATCAAAGGTCCTCTCTACAGAGCTCTGTGGTTGAGTAGTGGCACATTGCTAGTACAACCGTACAGAGGTCTCGTTGCGAGTACGCTCTCGGTTCGAGCACGAATTTTCTCTACGGATAGCCTGGTGAAGCCTTAGACACAAGTCTCTGTGATTGCGAGAGACGAGAGAACGGGTCACCCGGGTATAGCAGTAAGCTGGGCGCAAGAGGCTGCTATTTCCCTTCTTTTCCCAGAATTTCCATCGGAGATGCAACGGCGCAGTTCTGCTACGTTTACTTGAATCTCGCCAGCCTGATCCAGGCAATGGTTTTACCGCAGCTTGCAACCGCGCGTGACAACAACACCCGCGATTCCAACACTATCCTGGATCAACTCCGTCGTGTATATGACAATCCGAATAAGGTTCAAGAGGCAGAGGACCGCCTCCTTCCCATTAGACAAGCCGCGGACGAATCCCTCGCCGCTTACATTGCCAAGTTTGAACGTCTCCTCTACGAAGCCAAGGGTCAGACCTGGCCGGATGTCACAAAGATCTCAGCTTTCCGAAAAGGTCTTCAGGCCTCAACCCGCAACCGCTTGACCCAGCAATTGAACCTACCACGTCGGGTCCCTACGTGGAGTTCCTCAAGACAGCCTAAAAGCTCGCCGGGTATTTTTTTTTCCGCCCATTTGAACAACGCAACTTCTTTGAATGGCCATAACACCCGAGGAGACATGGAATCAGAGAACGCGATTGGATTTAGGTCCTATTGAGTAATCTCGAGGCAGCGCTGCTATTGCATAGTATTCCCGCCTTTCATCCAGTTCATCCTTCGCTTTATCAGTCTCCCTGCAACAATTCAATAATTCAGATAACTCATGGTTTCTTTGCCATCTGCCTCCACAGATTTTCCTCTAACGTGAACCGAACTGGCGTCAACCTAGAACGAAGGGTTGGCATTTTCCACGAGTTGGGCGAAGTATGCCTGTCAACGTATCAGTATGGGACTTCATGTTTGTGTTCACTTTCAAAGTAGAAGACACGTACCTGGAACCATGTGCCAGCCTCAGGCGCAGGCTGAAGCGCATCGCTATATCCACAGTGGGCATCGTAGCGGGTTGCGCTGGAATCAGAAGTGCCATCACTTTCGCCACCGGGCTTGACCCAGACAAATGCATCCACCAGAGAATCGCCAGTGTCAGTGGTGGGGCGAACACCAAAGCCAGTTCCCTTGACGTTGCACCAATCACCCCAGGCAGATTGCTGGGTGGGCTGGACTCCGTTACGGCCTGGGTCACATTGGTTAGCATGAGGTCTTTGACCCAAAGGGGGTGCTTTGTGGTCCTGGATGCAGACTCCACCAGTAACATACCAGTATCAACAATGAAGTGGGCATCCCAACCTGCGTTCTGAAGCAGTGGAGCAATGGCATTGATATATCTCTTTTCATCGCAGTTGTTGTCTCCCTGAGTATATGAGGGGCATGTGGACAGAGAAAATGCGTTGTAATTGGCAACGTTAGTCGCAAGTCCTCGCATCGCCGCAGGCTTGTTTGCATCGTTGTAAACACCCGCGAAGAGCTGAGCTGCCGGGCTAAGATTGGCATCCCAACCAAGCCATCCCGCATGTCCTATGCCATTGGTTAGTCCTGTCGATGGATGACTGTATGCCATTGATATCGCCGTTCAACACGGATAGATGCTTACCTGCATCCAGATACATAGCAACATTGTCCAAATTCAACTGGGTGACCGCATAGTTAGTGCACTCCAGGTAAGCGTCATGCGCGTTAGCACACTTCGACACGCCCATGTTGGTCACCAAGTTAGCCAGACTATCAGGCTCTGGTTGAATCGTTGCTTGTTAGCAATGCTCAATGTACACCCGCAGAGGATTGGTCAATGACCATGTTTACTCACCAACCACCAGGATGGTTTGGACATCAGAATACTCGACCAGCACCTCGCGGATAGAGTCGATGTAGGCCTTGTAGTTGTCAACGCCACCATCGGCAATGGAGTATTCTCCGTTGCTTGCCAATGCGGCACAGTCGCGGTCAGGCAGATCGTAAACAACGAAAGTGCCAGCAATCGGTGGGCTGGCACCGGCAGCATTCTTGGATCGAATGTCCTCCAAGAACGTGCTCATCGTCGGCACCTTGTCTGCAGTGTCTCTGGAGATTATACTCAGCGGCTGCTCCAGGGGAATGGGTGACTATCTGACGAACTCACAGCCAGTAGAACGACGGGACGTTAGCAGCCGAGCTGGCGGCAGCTTGGGCAGATCCCGTCATGGACGGCAAAGCTGAAGCTGAAACTTCAGATGCATAGTAAGGATTGGCGTAAAGCTCATATCCAGAGAAGGGGTTTGCCGAAGCTGCTGTGGTAACAGTTGCTCGAGCTGCATTCGCAATTGCAGCCGCTGTGGCGGAAGAAGCCAGCAGGGGCACGAATTGGATGAAGGATCGCATGTTGCCAGCCTTGCACAGATGGAGATGATGTTCAAGCTTGTGTGATACTCTCCAAACTGGTGCAGCAGCTGGGCCTCTTTATATACCTCACTGAGGTGCCTGGCGTGTTGGTCTTGCGGAATATGGAGCCGGGGAGCCGGACAGGATGTCACATCGCATTGTGTGATTCGAGTATCGAATCTGAAAGAACTCCGTTCATTGTTGACCCTTTTCGGTCATTGCCAAGAGGCAATGCAGGGGATATTGACGTTATGTTGGCTGTTCAATGGAGGGTGTTTAGTGCATGTCAGATTACGTCCGGATAATTTGACTACCGGCAGAGACTAGTACGATCCATTGTCCCAAACTCCTAATTGTGCTTTCCTTGAGAGATACTTCCTGACTACGCACATAAACATGGCATTTGTCACGAACGAGACCATCTACATAGCTCGATTGGAAGTTTTCTTAGAACTATGTCACTTCCATCGAATATTGAACCCTGTCGTCGTCTACGTCGTTATCCTCAACCGTTCACATGATTGAATCTGGCTAAATATCTTGATTCCAGATAGATGCGAAACAGCACAGATCGTGTCATCTGCAGCATGAGAATCTAACTTACCTAGATGGTCAAGGGGACAGGGTGCAGTCGTGGGGAAGTCCCAGCATCAACGCGGAATTACATCCTCCGTCCCCAAAGAGGCTTTCGATCGTCGATCCTCCCCAAACTCGACGCGGGGGTAAAATTAGGGTGTATCCACATTATTTCAGAGATCAAAGTCCTTTGCTTCGTCAATCTATTGCAGGTTTTACCCTGTGTGCGGGGGTTGACCGTCAAGGCAAGTGAAAGACTGCCAAAACAAGTCGATACCGGAGCGAGACTGAGCATGCCCATTTGTCAAATTAAATTGACACTGTTCAACCACGTAAGTTGGTCAAAAGGCCGTATAAAAGTTGACGAAATGACGCCAGCCACTTCTTCACATTCCCCGGACTCCGCACTTGAGGAGTTGGGGCCTGTCATCTTCAGGTGAGATCCACAATTACACAGGGTCCAATGGGGAAACAAGGGTCGAAATGAGGATGTTTCAGAGATTGAAAGATGTATCACAATGCTGTTCGTTCTGCCAGAGTTCTTCTTGGGGGTCAATTGACTTGAAATGTCTGGAGCTGCCCAGTTCCGCGGGTGTGGGTAAGGACATCTGGTAGTTACATGTAGAGAAAACAACTCTTTCCGCCCAGATCATATTTCGAAAAGGATGATCAGTGTTCAAAATATTCAATTGAGAAAAAAAAGGTAGGTGAGTAGGTGACAAATGAATGTTAATTGTAGAGCGGAGTAGTGTCATTATCATAAATGCATTCCGAATTCAACCTGGAATACGTGCAAAAGAAAACTGAGAAGTGAAAACAATGAAAAACTCAAGATAAAGCATTGAAAACCGACGATCCCGCAGAAGCATTCGTTAAGAACGCTTAGCATTATCACACTCAGCCAGGAACTTGTATATGCCTTCGTACGCAGAGGTGCTCTCGGGCAGACCGACGTCGGATGTTTCGGGGAAAAATTGTTGATCTCCAAGCTCACTGATGTTGATACTGGAGTAGCTTTGGCTCGAGGATTTCCACGGATTGGCACCGAAGAGCTCGCTGTCCTCAAAACTGATCGCATTGCCCGAGTTCGGACTGGCTGGTGACATCATCCCTTGCCAATCGAGAGACACTCGAGAACGCAATGGAGCTTTTTCGAAATAATAGTCGGTGTCGGATGGAGGAGCAGTGCTGGGCGCGAAAGGGAACAATAGAGCTAGATCAGCGCCAGTACGCAGCTCGAAATCCTCATCTTGTACAATTCGGCCTCGCTGAACCCCGACTTCAGAGCATAGCTGCTCGACGGTCTCCGCATCACAGCCTGGGAAGCGCACCCGTATGGTCGATCGGTCATGAAGGAAGATCGGAAGATCTCCAAGTGATGAGAGCCGCTTGAGGTCATTCATGACAGCAGAGAAATCCTTGAGCGCACGAGCAAAGTCAGCGGAAAGTAGATCCATGAGACCCTCCGAGTTCAGGGTCTTGCATGGCGCGCCGTCCTGCTTGCCGAGAACACCGGCTGAACTGAGTGCAGTGATGGTCGGGGAAATATGAAAGTCAATGTGTGATCCCGGTGCACTGAGTGGCTTGGCATTCATCTTCTGCTCCGCCTGGTGCTGCAGCGCGCTGATGGCCTTGTACCGCTTCTCCCCAGTGCGGGGGTTCACGCCATCGAACCGGACTTTCTGCCCAGACAAAAAGAACGCGCGGACACCCTGAGAGACATTATGGATAACTTGAGCCGGTGCTGCAGGACCGTGTGAGAAGTATCGAGCTCCACCAAAACGCCCAGCTCCAGCAGCGTATCCTCCTGCGGTTCTGCCAAGAGTGCCTCCGGTCAGATTGGGCCGGAGTGTAGAAGCGAACGGCGCACGGCTGTTCAGTCGACTGATGCTTGAAATGATACGAGAGGTATTTCGGGTAGTGGTATCAATTCCAAGTCCCGATCGAATCGCAGAAGAGAAAGCGCGGGCGGCATGAGTCGAGAAGTGGCGACTGCGGGCTTGACGTATGGCGGCAGCTCGACTGATTGGCTGCCGAGGGTTGATACGAGCATAGACTGGTTGGTATTGAACTGGATTGTACTTAGTAGGCTCTGGTAATTTGGAACGTAAAGCCTTTGAAGCCTTTTCATAGGCAAACCTGAGAGGGTGTCAGTTGATCAATGATGACGCATCATCGAGACACCGATATGGGTGAGAAAGATACGAAACATACCTTGCTGCTCTCCAAACTTTGGGGAGCAGTAGATGCCCTGCTGAAGGCGCCATGGTGAGGGTTGAGAGATGAACAACCCAAAACGGATAGTGAGACAGATGCTGAGGAGGAGTAAGGGATGCCTGATGATGCTGGGGTACACTTCCTTATCTCTCCGGTAGACTCCACAGTGGCTGTGCAACGCCACTCGCGTGACTCGAAATATCCATTCTCATTCGAGCAACCTGCTATTTGATATGTTTGACTTATTTGACATGTTTGGCCGACGGAGCGCATATGATATGACCGTCTTGGTGTTCAGCCTTGCGCATATCACATGGACTGCTCTATCGTCTATGGTGTGCCCCAGTATATCCATAGCTCTCTGCCCTTCGTCTTTCATCTTTGCGGGAGGCATTCATCTTCGCATTTTTGAAATGTCCTGGTTCGGAAAAGAAAGTCACGGTCAATTGAAATATCTCCAGAGTTGATGTCTTCCATGTAAGCCCTCACAAGCCTCACAACAATAGCAAGGCATTCGCTAGGACTAGCGCCATAGATTGAGACTGGAAAGGATATGCAACATCCCCTCGCCTGGTGTACAGGCGCAAAATCGACGGTGAATTCTCCGAGTTGGAGACGTTGAAGTGTGATATCCATCAATGTCGAATCAGAGGAATGACGTTCCTCATTGAGAAATCTTACTGTGTACCACAGTGTGCCTCGAAACAAGCTCACATCGTCAATAACAGGAAGACCGCCATGGAGAAATACAGTCCGTATGGTAGTCATATCTTGGATTCGTACCTTGTAGTACTGGAGGTAGCTTCAAAATGTTGCAACAGCGGTGGAATAACAAAGTACCTATATCGCTAGGTAGCCATTGATTGCGTTGGCTTATGGAATCATGGAACAAAGCAGAATCCAAAGTCCAGTCTCAGTTCAAGACATAAAAAACTGCCCGAAAGAAATCCACGGCTTTGTTCTCATAGTCGCATACCGTCGAAAGGTGCTTCTTTGCAGGCTATCTTCGCATTCGCATGCCCTGGCCTATTTTGCCTGACTGGCTTTTGCCTTTAGTCAACTGTACTCTATGTCGATAACCTATGGATGAACTGCTTTGATCCAGATCTTCAGGGGGCCTTTTGTCGAGAAGTGGCGGCCTCAGGCCAACATCACATTGTTTGTCCCCCTCCAGAGTCCAACCTCCTTTTACCCCTCTCCCAGTCAACCCGGGATGAGAATCCCCTGAATTAATCCATGTCTGTACGGATTCTGCAAGCGAGTGCTCGCTTTCGCTCATTTACTTCGCTGGTTTGTGTTGGGCTTCCCTTGGATAGACCAAGGACGTTCACAAATATCTCCCGACTGTCTAAGGGTCAGAACCATTCCGTCTCTACTCTGCTGAAGCCTTGACCAGGGAGTTAATGCGCTGACTCTGCATTGTAGGGGATGATCCGCATTCGTATACCGGAGGAAGATGGCTGAATCGGGACGAGCTCCAGCGAAACTCTCGCCACGTTATATTTAACTTCTCAGCGCTGTGTGAGCGGGCGGTTTCTATATGTCCAGGAGCCACCGGCGTTGCAAATTATGAGAAGAGGGAAGGCGGATTCAACAAAGTCTTTCTTTTAACAATGGACAATGGACCTTGTGTTGTGGCAAGGGTACCTACCGATATTGCTGGCCCGCCAAGGCTAACGACCAACTCCGAAGTTGCAACGATGACTTATTGTAAGGCTAAGCCGTATTTCCTGGCCTTGGGGGCATTGCTAATATGCTCACCAATTTATGTTTATATAGTACAATCCAAGCTTTCGCTTCCGATACCGAAAATACTCCATTGGAACGATAATCCTTCCAATCCGACTGGAACTGAATACATAATTCAGGAGCATGTGGCGGGTGTTCAACTACACCAAGAGTGGCATAAAATGAACTCGGAACAACATATGCTGTGCACCAAAGCCCTTTCATTCGCAATGAAAAAGATAGCTTACCTAGACTTCCCGGCCTACGGCAGTCTGTACTTCGCAGATGCGCCTCTAGACTCGGACTTGAAGATTCCTTTCGAGCAAGGCTTCTGCGTGGGACCACATTGCAGTCCAGTTTTCTGGAACCGGGATCCGGGGGAACATGAGCTCCACCGTGGCCCAAGTCCCAACTGCGGGCCTTGGAAAGATCTCACAAGTTATTGTCGAGGTTTGGTAGATACGGGGTTCTCCCGTTTACCTAAAGAGGCCGTCAATGATCGCGAACTTCTGCCACATCAAGGATCCATTGAAGATCACATTCGTCTATTGAACATAAGCCGAGAGGTGATACAAAAGTTGATTGAAGACAAACGCATTCAGGAGGCTGCTACACCAGCTCTGCTTCATCCGGATTTTCACAAGAGGAATATCTACGTCTCTGCCGGAGAACCAACCGTTATTACTGGCCTGATAGATTGGCAATCAACCAGTATTGAGCCGGGGATTATTTATGCCAGGGAGACAACTGATTTCGCTGAACCCCCTAGGGTCCCCGTGGAAGATCTACTCGAGAACGAACAATATGAAAGGGAGCTTTCTAAAGAACAGGAACGAGAATTAACAGATGCGTCCATCTGTTACCAAACATATGATGTGATCATGACAGGCATCACGCCTAAGCTTCGTCCTGCAAGATTACTTGATCCGACTCTTTTTCGACTCTTCCACTACTGCCACACAAGCTGGAGAGTCTCCGCTGCCGCTGTCCGTCAAGAGTTAATTGAGCTTTCAGCTCGCTGGACAGAACTGAGATTAGAGGGTTCATGTCCGTATTCTCCCACAGAAGCGGAATTGACACAGCATGCTCGAGATTATGATGATTTTGAGGCTGTTCAAGCACTCAAGTCATGGCTAAGAGATAACCTCGATACAAATTCTGATGGATGGATCCCGAATGATGCATGGGATGCTGCGAAGGTTGCTCATCGCACAACGTATAATGATTGGATAGAGACTGCCAAAGAAGCCGAGGCCCGTGGCGAAGACATGACAGTAGCAAAGGCGGACAAGATGTGGCCATTCGATGCTAGATAGAAATTAGGAATAGGTAATCAACAAGCCACGGGCAGCGCCAGTCACTGACTAGAGCACGGGCGATCTCCTCCGGTATCAAATGGTAGTCAGGAGTTCGGATACTGGGCCTTCACAACTATCCACAGCAATGAAAGCGACATCGAGGCAACGAAAGTAATTCGACATTGCTTTTACCTATCTACACAGTACAAGTCACCCATAACATATGATCTCCGATGGGATGATCGAATCCATCCGCTGAACCGCACCTCTGCAGTCGGTAAATTGACAATCTAGAATCCTATGTCAACCAGAATGTTCTCGATGATGTAGTGAATACACATATCGCATTTGCCGTTCAAACCCAGCCTCGCGACCATGAATGGCATTCTCTTCTTCAGTGCATTACACATCATCGGGACTTCAATATCATAGAACCCGGGTGGCCTGGAAGCGACAAAGTGGTGGTCTCCTGCCGCGCTAGCCATATCCACAGCAGCTTCGGTGACTCGCTTCAAATGCTCAAGGACATGCACAGTCAGGTTGGCCTTGACCTCGTTGATGGTTGTCGGCTCTGGCTGTTGTCTGATAAGGCGAGCTTGCTGTTTGAGGAAATTAAGTAGATTGATGCGCTCCACTTTGAATTTGGAGACGGACTTGGGTTCGGACATTGTGGGTGTGTAGCAGATGCGGATTTGTTCTCTCATAGACAGGTGAAAAGTTGGCGATGTCATGAGGTGGTGATGGATCGAATACGAGACTGAGCTGAACCTGTCGGGCAGTTGGTTAGTGATGGTGTTTGGGATGCAAGTGGGTTCATGGTATCTACCTCGACGGAGTATACTTCAAGCTATTCAGCTCGGAGAAAGCTTTGGCTATTATCACGCGAACAATAACTCGGAGACAGCGAATAAGGGACAGATGGGCATTGTTTGCCGTGGTTCACTTGGTATCTGAAGAGAGAGTGAAGAGTATGGAGAGCAGGAGAAGTCAGGGTGGTAGGTAAGAGGTGTTGTTTGTTGATGCCTGGGCAGGTGCTCCTCGAGCCTTAGGTTGATTGTGTCTTTGTCGATGAAGATCTTGTTTGGCTCATGAGGATTCATCTGGTCATGCCCCAATCAAGAAGCCTACGGCAACAGTCTGGAATCTTCCTAGGTAGTAGTCGTACAACGCTACAATGCCTCATCGTGTTGAATATAGCAACCAAAGGAATAAAAGTTGCTGGGAGTATCATTTGAGCTTCATATATGTCGTCACATCCAGGATGGTTCATCATTTCATCACAGAACTTGCAGAAAACTGACACCAAAAGAAAAAATGACAAGCAAAAAACGCTGCAATCAATATACAAAACAATCTCAAAAGGTGCCTCTGATTTAATTCAGAGGCTCGTCAACTTGCGGAACCAACTGGGCTTCTTCCCTGAACCCGGGGGAGCACCTTGTCGACTCCCCGGCCGCGACCTCAGCGCACGATCACGCTCATAATCACCGCTTCCAGAGCTGCTCTTTACCCCTTCACGACGGGAGCCGCGGTGCCGAGAACGAGCATCATCAACTTCTTCCTCCGGATATTTGGCACGGCGGCGAGCCTTGCGGCGAACAGCGCGACGGGCTTCCTCATCCGAGGAAAGAGAATGAGCATTGCCTTCTTCAGCAGCCGCAGGAGGAGGCATATCAATGACAGTTGGGACAATTTGAGGTGGCTCTGGAGGCTCATCCGCCTGCGAGTAGACCCACGAGCTAATCTTGTCTTTCTTGCCGCCGGGATATACCCCACCAGACATGACCGGCTCCCGGGGAGCTCCGGTGCAACCTTGGACTTGCGACGGTGAGCCCGTGGGTCGTCGTATGCGCGGGAGCTACGAGCTGCGCGACGGTCCAGCTCCCGCTCATCGGGAAGGACCTCAACTGGAACTCTTTGCTCGCGTTCGCGCCGTCGGTGAGCTCTCGCGGCCATCATCTCCTCTTCGCGCATGCGCCGACGTTCGCGGCGTTCTATGGCCCTAGCTTCGGCCTCGGCCTCGGCTTCCCGAGCTGCCTGCTCTTCTCGAGCGCGACGTTCCTCGCGTGCAGCACGTCGGGCTCGCTTTTCCTCTCGTAAGCGCTCTTCCTCTTCTTCTTCGCGAGCTCGTTGTTCGCGTGCCCGTTCTTTCCTCCTTGCGCGCCTCTCCTCTGCTTCCCGAGCCTCGATGTCACGGGCTTCAGAAGGGGCCTTGCGAGATCCTCGGCGTGACAGGCGCGCTGCTCGTCGAGCTTCCGCTTCTTCGGCTTCTGTCTCACCGCCTGCGGCGCCGCCAGCGGCATCGGCAACGAAACCTTCGCCGTCGGTATCTGGGCGGACAGATCCTCGGCGTCGATCTTCGCGGCGTGATCTGCGAGCACCATCGCGCTCCATCTCCGCGGGATACCTTCCGTCATCCCCTCGATGCGAGCGCGATTTTCGTCTTTCTGGCATCTCTGACCGTTCTGGACGAGTGCTTTTTCTCAGACCGAGCAGTCCCATTATTCCGCCACTGTCTTGTTTTTTAACTGGCGCAGTGCTGGAACGTTTCACACGACGTTCTCTTGGATGGGGATCTACATAGCCCATATCGTCGGGCCCTGACATGACATCCGGTGGGACACGTGCTTGTTCTGCATCAATCATGACACCATCGTCCTCATCGTCGGGCCGAGGGCGCGGCTATAAATAACGGTCAGCTGTTTGAAAACGACGAAGGGCGCTAAACTTTTTTCAACTTACGTGTCCTTTGGACTTGCGCTTTGGACCCTTGGAGACCTCCCTTGGATTTTGGCCGTCAGCGTCGTCCTTCTCAACCATGACAATGTCGTCGTCGTCAACTAAATATGGGTCTCGAGCGACTATGTACAACGGTAAGTCAGCAAGAAGCAGATAAAAGTGACAAGAAGATACATACCTCCTTTTCGGCCGTCCGTGCGCGGGCGCTCACGCCGAGGCTTGGAAGGGTTCACGCCCATCAACTTGGCTGCCTTATCAGAAACCTCCGGCTTCTCCTCCGGAGATGTCGGAACAGGTTGGTCATCTGCATCCACTGATGGCCGCCTGGATACGGGTTTTGACGAAGACCCCTGTTTGCGAGTCGATTTGCTTCTGGGCGGGGTTGTACCTAGTACCATGGTGGCCAAAGCCACGCCACGTTGGTTTTTCGAGGTTCGTCCCTCTCGTTCGCGGCGCTTTTCCCGGTCAGAAGATGACTTTTCAGCTTCTGGCTCAGGGTCTTTCGGTCGAGATTTTGAAGACTTCGGTCGCACTGCAGCAGGAGAGCGCTCTCGGGTGGACTCTTTCTTCTTTGGTTGCTCTGCTTCCTCCGAGGTCTTGGTCTCCTTCTTACTGGCTTTCTTCGGAGGCGGCGCAGTGCCCCAGAAGCCCCACGAAGACGTGTTCGTATTGCGTTCATTGCGGGCTCGTTCCTTCTTGGAGGACTTAGGAGGCGTTTCAGCAGGCTCCGGTGAAGGTGCCACAGACCCTTCTTTGCCCTCCTCTTCGGCCGCCTCTGGTACAACTTCGACCGCTGGCTCGGGCTCCGGTTCTGCTTCTGGCTCTGGAACTTCTGGCTCATCCGCCGGCGGTGGGGTTGGTTCTCTGGCAGCCGCTGCAGCCGCTGCTGCAGCTGCTTCGGCTTCGGCTGCGGCTGCGGCTTTCTCGGCTTCGGCCTTTTTGTACTTCTTCAGTTCCTTCTTCGACATCTTTGAAAGATCTGGCGCTGGCGGCTCTGGCTCTGGCTCCGGCTCCGGTTCCGGTTCGGGCTCGGGTTCAGGCTCAGGTTGTGGCTCGGGTTCATCTCCAAAGTCTGGGAAGCTTCCAGGAACGGAATCCTTCGAGATTTTCCTCTCCTCTTCTGAGTCAGGAGCTTCCTCTTTGGATGACGTCTTGGTCTTCAACTTTGAGCTCTTCTTCATTGGAGCTTCCTCGGGCTCAGGTGCGGGCTCCGGGTCGACTTTCTTTTCCTTGGATTTACCCTTCGCGATCAGTTTCTCTTCTTTTGCCTTCTCTTTCTTGGCTTGTTCCAGGGCCTTGATGCGCTCTGCCACACTGAGTTTGGAGGTTCTAGATTTGGACGTCTTTTCTGGAGCAGGAGGCTCGGGTTCCGGCTCAGGCTCAGGCTCCGGCTCAGGTTCTGGTTCTGCCTCCGCGGGCGGCTCTGGATCGTTTTCAACATCAATGAGCAAGTCTTCCTCCTCTTGTTTGGTTTTGGATTTCTCATCAGTCTTCTTCGTTGATTTGGTTTTGCTCGTCGATCCGCCCGTTAACGTCGACCAGAACGACTTGGACGATTTTTCTTCTTTGGGAGATTCGATGGCTTTTGTGATCTTCTTGGAACCTTTTGAGGTTTTGGGGGCTAGATCCGCCCAGATGTCGCCAGCGTTGTCATTGAAAGCTTCGGGCTCCGGAGTCAAGCCCTGAGCAGGAGGAGTAGGCGCGGGTGGAGGAGGTTCTTCGACCTCTTTACTCTTCTTTTTCTTCTTCTCCTTAACAGGCCCCCAGACATCCCATGAATCGTCTTCAGCCGGGTTTTCGGGTTCGGGCTCTGGTGCAGGCTCAGGTTCAGGTTCGGGTTCAACAACTGGTTCAGGTTCTTCTTTAGGCGGCGTGTCGGACGGGAGCTCGAAACCCTTGCCGGGAATAGGAAGGCCTTTCCGCACCAATTGCTTTTCTCGCTTCTTGCGTTCCTTGGACGATATAGTGTGCCAATCATCGTAGAGAGGATCGAGAGCAACTTTGGGGGCCTCAGGTTCAGGTTCAGGTTCAGGCTCAGGCTCAGGTTCAGGTTCCGGCTCCGGCTCCGGCTCCGGTATGGGTTCTGGCTCTGGTTCTGCTTTTTTCTTGCCAGAGGTAGCCCATCCGCCAGTCCAGTCACCCTCTCCCGGTGAGGTATCAGCAAGAAGGTCAATCTTCTTCTTCTTTTTATCCTTTGATTTGACTGGAACACCCCAACTGAAGCCAACATCATTGTCCGGCTCTTTCTGTGTCTCCTCGACTACCGGCTCAGGCTCGGGTTCAGGTTGGGCGGCAGCCTTGGCTGCTTCCAGCTCTGCCGCTTCCTTTGCAGCAGCTTCAGCTGCAGCTGCAGCAGCATCATCCTCATCTTTGTATTTCTTCTCCATGTCCTTCTTAGCTTTTCGCTGCTCCTTCTTAGAAAGACCCAAATACCAAGCTTCCTTAGTGAAATCGGGCCTGGGTGCAGGCGGAGGTGGAGGCGCAGGGGCCTCGGGTTCGGCGGTCTTTTCGTCCTTCGTCGTTTCATCGCCGCCTCCCCAGACGTCTTCTTTCTTAGTTTCCGGAGGGGGTGCAGAGCCCAAGTTAAAGTCGAAGTCACCGGCAGACGTTTGAGACGTCTTCTTCGTTGTTGTTGCCCAAGGGTTGTTGCCCTTCGGTTCGCTTTCGGGAGGGTCTCCAAGAGGATCCAGCTTACTACCGGTGTTCCAAGTCTTGCCCCATCCTCCGAAAGCGAACCCAGTTCCGCCGGTTTTGGGAGCCGGAGTGTCGAAGTTCAGGTCCAATTGAGGTGCGACACTGTTCAAACTTACGTCTTGGAACGCCCCCGGGGGCGCGGCTCCATCCTGTAATCTACTTAGAGATCGTGGTGTACGATGGAGAGAGGTAGTCTTACCTTTCCTTTTTTCTTTTTTCCTACAGTCGCAAAGCCAGCCCAAGAATCATCACCGCCACCACCAGTATCATCCTCAGCCCAGCTAAGATTGTTGGCAGCACTGGCCTCGGCGGCTTTGCGTTCTTCTTCCTCCTTGGCTAGTCTCTCTTGCTCTTCCTCCTCTTTCTTTTTCTTCTTGTCCTTTTTCTTTGTGGTTGTACTCCAATCGCCAAGGTCATCACCTCCATCCCCACCATCGCCATTCCCGTCGCCGTCTCCAGCGCCGCCGGAACCACCAGCAGCCCCATCACCACCACCGTTGGAATTGTCGTCCCCTCCGCCATCCCCCCTGCCGGTGGTGGTGGTGGCGGCGGAGGAGATGCAGGTGGTGCTTTCTTTGCAGGGGCGGCTGCCTTTTTTTCTTATGTTCCCGAACCCCTGTAGGATTCTCGAAATCGATATATACGTCCAACATGCAATCTTTCAGCACGGAGGATGTTTGACTCTGTGATTTTCCCCGGCTTTTGGGCGCAACCTTCCCCACACAGTATTTGCGCTCTGCTAGCGGAGGTAGCGCAGAGTATTCGGGTGGCAGATCATGGATCACATCGTCGTAGGGAGGCGGGGGTATGTCGTACAACGGTGGTTCCGGCGATCGAGGCCTTGGTGGAGAAATCAGTCCAGCGACTATGTCTACATTTCGGAGCGCCGAGTAATCTTGCAGGTGAGACTTCATTGACCCCATTATAACCGCCATCCAATCCTGGTCGAGCATTTTCTCCATCTCCGTTTGTACACTGCGGGTGTAGTATGCGACATCCTCCGCGGTGGTTACCCCTGCGCATGCGGGATGCGACCTCACAGACGCTTCCATGTCGAATATCGCATGTGCCAAGTTCACGGTGGCCCGGTAACAGATGCTTCGACTCGGTTATGTCGGGTCGCGAAAGCATCGGGGTGCAGATGTAGCTCAAGTCGCGTGGGATTCAGTCGGTAACGAAGATCTCAAGCGCGTGATTCCAGAATTCGTATGTCGGTGCTGAAGGGTTGCGCAGCAAGGGGAGACTATTAAACAACGGATGAAAGTCAAAATTCAACTCAGATAGCCTCCCTGCACGACCGGCGCGAGTTCTGGTGTTATATCGTGTGCGATAAGAGGACAGATGGCAGACGACGACACTGTGTGGCAATTGATTTACTGTGTATGATGTAGGCGAAGCACAGCAGGTTTAGGAAGAATGTTTGCTGGAGCAAGGGAGAGAAAATAGGAGAATGTTAGAACGGGAGATTCATCTGGAGAGGCAGGGTAAGTTCAGGCGGTGGAGGTGTAGATCATCCATCCATCCCGTTTTGTCGCATTGTATACAACCCCTCCAGCACTCAATGAGTCAAATCCGAGATATTACTTATATGCAATCGGTCATTGTGTCTTTGCTCTAATTTATCGTGTCGACGTGTATCTACAAGTTTGTGAAGTCATTGCAAACCGAATATTATAGCAATCATACTCTATTTTGAGAAAATATAGGTGGGGGAAACATAATCGGAAGGCTGGGCTCTTGGATCGAGTGAGAAGGACGAGGTATAGGTACATGGTGACAACTGGGTGCCGGCATTGACTACATATAACTTGTATTCCTCCATGTAGGTCTTGGCCAATACTTGATTGTAGATGTACTTGGGTACATCGGATGGGTGCAAGAGGTCTCTCTTGCATCTGCATGGCATACTCGAGATGTTGCACAGACCTACCTGTATCGATAAGGCCCCTCTTTATCCATGGGTCGATGCACTCACTTTGCACTTTATCCTTTTCCCGCAGGCCCTCATAATCACCCAATCCATGGAATGCTTGTCCGATACCGTGGTACTGCCCCGAACGGGTGAACCCGTCGAGACCCAGCGTATGAAATATCCACTTCAAGTTAATACATATGGACATAATGTAGGGCATATGCACATACTCCATGGATGCATACCCTGGACACACAAAGTTCATCATATATGCATGGGTGTACTCGACCAAGTTTGCTGGACCCGAGGAAATCCTACAGTTCCACTCATCTTCAATACCACGAGTGGGCTATCAATGTCTGTGATAACCTGAGTAGTACATACAACATGCTATGTTCTGGAAGACCATTCGCCTACATGGCGCAGGTTCTTCCCAAACTGAAAGTGTGTCCTGCAAGCGCAAGGTCCATTGCTCACCGCCACTTGGGACTTGGAGCTAGAAACCTCACTAGCGCGGGGGTGGGAGTCTGAGATGAAGGAAAAAGGGATTACATCTGACTCGCTGATCTGACTCACAATTTACAATGTCGCAGATTGAAGCTGCAACGAATTGTCTCTGGAGAAAGGATGAATCATATGGTATCACTTGGGGCATCTCAACGGCCTAAACAACACAGACCACCAGAAACACTTGATGTCGAAAACGAAAAGGCGAGTGCAAACAAGATCACACAGAGCTAACCGGTCGGCAGAAATACACTCAAACATCATGGCAGCCCCGGAAGTTCTACAACTGAGCCCGAGTTTGAGTCTGCTTCCGTGTAGGAACTCCATATACTTCCTGGTGTTCTTTCTCGTACCGTGCGAGATCCTCGGCAAACAACTCGTTATAACGCTAGGTCCATAGTCAGTCGCTGCAAAACTGGCATACACCAATTGACTAAGAGTTCTTACGTTCTTCTCTGACTGGGTCAGGGCGTTCCATGCCTTGGCGGCGTCCTTGAAGGTTTCGTTCACGGGCTTGCCCTGGTGCTCGCTTGCAGATAAAAACTCCTTGAGGTAGTACGAGTAGGCGGAAGCAGGGTGCCTGACAAGGCGGTCATCCTTGAGGGGACGGTAATCCTTCTTGACAAGACGCGAAAGGGTCCGGCGGGCGGCATTGGCTTCCTTGATCTGGAGAGGGGTGTACGACCGGAGCCATGATTCGTAGGCAGCGGCATTGGCGGCGGTGTTCGCTTTGGCCTGGGTTTTGAGTCGCTGTATCGAGAGATGAGCATACTACTACTAGCGGTTGGGAAAGGATTCGGGGACACGTACCTCTTCGTCCTCAGCACTAAGAGATTTGGCCTGCGCTACTACAGCTTTGAATGCTTCTTTCGGGTCAAGGCTGCTATCCTTGATGGCACTGTATTTTTCCGCGAACGCGAGGGAGAAAAAGCTGGCAGGGAGCTTCTTAGGCGGCGTCAGTGCAGTCTTCTTGAGCTCGGCAATCTCAGCCTTGTGTTTCTGGTCTTTCTTCTTTTCCTTTTGGGCCTCAGTGAGTGGTTTTTTCTTGTTGTTCTTAGTCTTGTCGGAACTCTTCTTCGTCTTAGACGCCTTGGCTGTCTCCGGATCAGCCGAAGCAGTCGCGAACGAATTTGACTGGGCCATCCATTGAATTGACGGGATAGCCGGGGCCTGTAGGCGCACCGGACGAGCGTTGCCTGTCAGACAGATATGACGAAGCTGGTTGTGGAGACCGATCGCGCCAGTAGGGCGAGGGAGAGCACCGACGTGCAGGGTACGGAGGAAACCCCCCGAGCTGCCGACTGACAAGACATGAAGGGATAGGAGTAGAGTATGAGTGATTGTACCGAGATAAATATTGAGATTTTAATAAGAGCTAGCAATTGTGTCTCCGAAAGCTGAGAATTGACAAGGGAGGTCGTGATGCAAGCGGCAGGAGGTCGCGCCTGTGTCATGAATGCAGGTACCTATCCGCATTAGGTTAGTTCATCACATGCATTACTTAAGCCAATTACATAACCTTGACTGACCGCCCGGAGCCTCGGGGCCATTCCAACAATTTGCGCTCGATGCGATAGACAAACGTTCACGTTTTGCTTTTTTTACCCTTCTTTCTTTCTCGGTCGCCTGTGGCCTAAACCAGCGATATCAAACGTTTTAACAGGGCTGTCCCTTTCTCGCTCACTTCACTCCGTGTCCCGGGTGCTCTTGCGTTCCAGTAACACTCACTAATCAGCCTGCAACATGGCTCGCCACGGGGATACTCGCTCACCATCACCTGTAGGCAGCACGTTTTCTTCATCTCGGCGGTCTCGCAGAGATGATGATCGCTATGACAGAAGCAGGCGGGATGATGGGCGTAGCTACCGCAGATCTCGCAGCCCAGAGGTATGTTCGCCGGTATCCCAACGTCCTTATCACCCAATTCCTGACCATGTCTTTGCCTTTCAGAGACGATACCGAGAGCGCGACCGCCCTCGTGAAAGAGATGGATATCGACGCCGAGATGGTCCTGTAGACAGGCGCGATGAAGACACTTATCGACCAGCACGCAGAGACCGATCCCGAGACCGCCGACGGGATGATGATCATGATTTTCGTCGCAGGAGTCGTGATAGGGACTATCCAAACAGGCGAGATGACTCCCGCGAACGGGATCGCAGGCGGAGAGATGGATCTGCTGATTTGAAGCCCAAGCCTAGACGGGATGACAGCCGTGATCGCGCTCCGAACCGACGATCTACATCCAGAACTCAAGAGGTAAGCCCCAAGAATCCTACTTGATACAAAGCTCAAAGATCTAACTGTAGTCTACAGCCACCAAAACCGCCCACGCCGGTCCGAACCGCCCAGACAGCCGAGGAGAAGAAAGCAGAGAGACTTGCCAAGCTTGAAGCGTGGAAACAGAAGCAAGCCGCTGAGCGGGCGAAGAAGGAAAGCGGACAGCCAAAAGATGATACCAAGAAGATATTGGATGCCGTTGGCCCCAAATCGGTTTTATCCCCAGCTGGGAGCTCACCACAGACACCCATAACTCCGGCTGAGTATCCAACCCCTACTGCATATCCCGGAAAGTTTGACCCAAAGGCCATTGCCAAATCAGTCACTTCGAATACAGTAGCCCCTGCTGTTCTTGGTACTGACGTCGCCGTCCCAACGGCAAACAAGGCTGCGTCTACGACGACGGCCAGTATACCTTCTCCTGCGCCCGCCAAGCTGTCTCGTCCTCTGAAAGCCACAGGCAATGTCGGGGGCTTTGGGCTGGGCGCAAAAGCTGCTCTTGAAACCGAGAAACCGTCTGCCACCAAGACTTTGGGTTTCGGGGATGAGGAGTCCACTCGCAAGAAACTTGAGAAGTTGCCAACTCCTCCTGCCGAGGATGCCGGACCAGCTCTCGCGGCTGAGCAAGACGAAGACGTAGACATGCAAGGAGAAGCAACAGAAGAAGACACAGCAGCGGCAGCTATTGCTGTAAATGAGCGACGGGACGAAATTCTCAAAAATGAAGCCGATGACGTTCACATGGAGGATTCAGTGAATGGACCGACCGGCACTGTGTCAATGGACATCGACGAAGCAGAAGAAGTGGATCCCTTGGATGCGTTCATGTCGGAACTGCAAGGAGCCCAACCTACCAAAAAGACGACCGGGGCCACGTTCGCCAAAAAGGACAAGGGCCAACGACCCGAGGCGATGTTCGGCGACGATGATGATGTGGGTTTCACGGCAGTTGGTGACGAAGATGCCGAGGATGTTCTTGCCATGGCAGCAAGTAAAAAGAAGAAACGGGAGATACCTGATGTCGACCATACCAAGATTGAGTATGAACCATTCCGGAAGCAATTCTACACAGAACCCTCCAATCTTGCTGAGATGACAGAAGAAGAAGTCGCAAGTTTGCGTCTCGAATTAGACGGCATCAAGATTCGCGGTACGAACGTTCCCAAACCCGTCCAGAAATGGTCGCAATGCGGATTGGGCGTGCAGACATTAGATGTCATTCAGAAGCTCGGTTACGAGAATCTCACATCTATCCAAGCGCAAGCAATTCCCACAATCATGTCAGGTCGTGATGTTATCGGCGTGGCCAAAACTGGATCAGGAAAAACTGCTGCTTTCTTGATCCCGATGTTCCGGCATATCAAAGACCAACGGCCCCTGGCTAGTATGGAGGGGCCCATCAGCCTGATCCTATCGCCAACCCGAGAGTTGGCCACGCAGATTCATAAGGACTGCAAGCCTTTCTTGAAGGCCTTGGGTCTCCGTGCTGTGTGCGCATATGGTGGGGCCCCCATCAAGGACCAGATTTCTGAGCTGAAACGAGGAGCTGAAATCGTTGTCTGTACCGCCGGTCGTCTCATTGATCTGCTGGCCGCGAACCAAGGACGAGTCCTCAATCTACGCCGCGTCACGTATGTCGTCCTAGACGAGGGAGACCGTATGTTTGATATGGGCTTTGGGCCACAAGTCGTGAAGATCATGTCTAACATTCGGCCGGATCGGCAGACTGTCCTCTTCTCAGCAACGTTGTCCAAGAACATGGAATCTCTGGCTCGGAAAACTTTGCATCAGCCTGTCGAAATTACCGTTGGTGGCAAAAGTATCGTGCCTCCCGAAATTAAGCAAATCGTCGAGGTTCGTAATGACGATCAGAAATTCCATCGTCTATTGGAGCTCCTGGGAAACATGTACGAGGACGAGGCAAATGAAGACGACCGCACCTTGATCTTTGTGGACCGTCAAGAGGCAGCAGATGATTTGCTCAAGCAGTTGATGTATAGAGGTTATCCGTGTATGTCGATTCATGGCGGCAAAGACCAGATTGATCGCGATACCACGATTTCGGAGTTCAAGGCTGGTGTCTTCCCCATCCTGGTCGCCACGTCAGTGGCAGCTCGTGGATTAGATGTCAAGCAGCTCAAGCTCGTCGTCAATTACGATGCGCCTAATCATCTGGAGGATTATGTCCATCGAGCTGGCCGCACAGGGCGGGCTGGAAACAGCGGAACCGCCGTGACTTTCCTGACTGAAGAACAAGACCGCTATGCGGTGGATATCTCAAAGGCCCTTAAGCAGAGTGGACAAGAGGTCCCTGCTGCTGTTCAGACGCTGGTCGACTCCTGGATGGAGAAGGTCAAGTCCGGAAAAGAAAAGAACATGGGCCGAGGATTCGGCGGTAAGGGCTTAGATCGTCTGGACTTGGAACGTGAGAATGCGCGAATGCGTGAGCGAAGAGCATACAAGACTGGTGATGAGCCCGACGAGGAAGAGGAGAAAGAGGAGAAGTTGGAGAAATCAAATGATCGGTTTGACAAGGCAGCCTCGGCAGTGCAGTCGGCTGCCGCACCAGCTGCAGCTCCTTTGTCTGGCATTCCGAAAGGTATTGACTTGGATGGTAAAGTCATTGTGCATCGTACGGAGCGGGGTCCCGCCAATGCATCGAACAATCCATTGGAGAAGGTGGGCTCCGCCGTTGCTGAGATTAACGCACGACTGAGTCGTGCAGGTGTCATGAGATCGGGTGTACCGATTGATAACCGCGGACCTGATGCTGGCGCCTTCCATGCAACGCTGGAGATTAACGATTTCCCTCGTAAGTTTTCATATGTTCCCCCATCTTTCGGAAATTTTGCTAACCATGCTCATCGGTACAGAAAGAGCACGTTGGTCCGTTACCAACCGCACAAACGTGTCCAAGATCTTGGACGCTACCGAAACTTCGATCACCACAAAGGGCGAGTTCTATCCAAGCGGGAAGCAACCTGGTCCAGGAGACCTTCCTAAGCTGTACATCCTTGTTGAGGGCCCGGATGAAATCTCGGTTACCAACGCTATACATCATCTCCGAAGTCTGCTTAAGGAAGCAACACTGGCAGCTGCGGATGATGAGGCGCGGGCTCCGGTGGGTGGCCGGTATAATGTTCTTTAATGGAAGGCAGATAAACCAGTTTGTTCAATCTCAACATGGCTGTACAACATCTTCGAAGTGTTTCCATTCGTTCTCAGATATCACGTTGTATATACAAGTGAAAATCAAATAATATTGTACCAGACTACCAGTCAGGGCTTTGGGCCAACCATGGTGTTTTGTAGATGATGGGATATCAACTCATGATCTAATGGACATGCTAGCACTACCTATGTCTCGGCATACACAGAAAGTGACCAACCAGAATGTTATCATAGTACGTACATCAGGTGAAAGAGATCCATAGAACACCTTTGCTAAATCAACCATGGCATGTGTACCAGTAGCATGTGCACAAGGCAACGGACACCTGAAGGTTAAGGAATGCCTGCACGCAACATAAGCCTTAACACCATTCCATGAACAAACAAAAAAAGAAAAAGGTGAAGATGCGCATCAAAAGAGAGACAAAGGCCACCAATTGAACGCTACAAGGACAAAATTCCACAGATCTAATGCGTAGAAATAGGCATCCGGGCCATGAGAACATAGATGATTTGAATACGATGCCGTTTGTTTGGATTGTTAATTCCATCTCCTTGCAGCCTCTGCCTCATCAGCATCTCGTGCGGCCCGTTCCGTCCGACTGACTTGGTCTAATGTCTGTGCATGCGACTGGGCCTTTTGTGCAGCCAGCTTTGCGCCAAGTTTGCCTTTATTGGCAGATGCGCTCTCAGCGCGTTTCTAGAAGATGCTCGAGTCAGTGATCACCTCTCTACATTGCAATACTCATTAGATAGAACTGTGTTCCCATACCTGTGCAGCAATGGCAGCATTTGCACGTGCCTCATCTGTCCCCGCGGCACTGCCGTCCCCATTGCTCTCACCTAGGGTACGGCCTGGTGTAGCTTTCCAGTTTGTTTTGGTTGGAACTGGGGCCCGGGGTGCAGCATTCCGGTCTGAGGGACCAGCACCCACTACACGACCCGGCTGTGTAAAGGGATCAGTCTCATTGGAAGAACGTGAGCAGATATTGCCCATTGTGATTGTATGACAAGGTGATGGAGTCGAAGTGTATGCGGTGATTAGTGTATGCGTGGGTGAAAGGCAGAGAATGGTTCGATGATTGTAGCCTCGGCTATGAAGCCAGACCAAGACCTGGAGGATCTAATGAAGTGCAGTCGATATGAAGAGATGGGACTGATGCATGCTACCCTGGCGGTAAGATGAGTTGGAGTCGGCAGTTCATTGCGAGGGGTCCGGGGATGTGGCCCGTGTCCCGTGGGCGCCGGGCGATAAGCTGAGAGTCGATCCGGGGCAAAGGCGGTGACAGCAAGTGATAAGGGAAATAGTACATTTTGTAGATTGCAGTCCACCTCGATAGCCCTGGCAATAACTCTGAAGATATTTATGGTATGGATGAGCGACGCAATCGGAGACCATACTCCGTATACAATGATGTATTTAGCACCTCCGAGGCTCTGTCTGCCAGCTGCAATGCATAAGGGCAGGGCAGGGCGGAGGAAAATGGCAGAATATAGCTTAGTCAGGTCTGAGTCCGGGCAAGAGAAACCTGGGATCTGGCGGGGAAGAGGAATTCTTCATTGGAATGCTGGGGGAAGATCTTCTAGATTCAAAATCCATCGAGTTTTACAATGCCTACCGCTTGACTTCATATTAACCAGTTCCGTCAAGGCTGATCGCAAAAACACGCCGCAGGATTCGTTCGAATATCATGACGCTTAACCCCCAGGGTCCTCATCCTCTCCTGCGTCCCGAAGGTCCTCACGACTACACTGGGGGGCCCCAGTCGACATCAGGGTCTGCCCCTAAACCCCTCTTTACAACCTGAATCGAGTCTGCATCCTCAATTTCTCCAAGGTCCTCGCTTCTGCATATTCTGCACGTCGATCTTGGGTAATTCTCCGATCTCTTCGGTCTCTTCGGTCTCTCAGCCGACCAGTCACCAGACCAGTCCAAGCACATTACACAATTGTAAGACGTCCCACACCGTGAGAGGAGATTATTCGGCGCTGCTACGTATTCTATTTGCCGGGTTCCTTGGCAAGCCGTGGAAACTCTGTGGCGCATTCTGACTGTTGGCAGTGCAGGTTCTCGTGGAATATCGTACTTGGCGGTCATTCACCATCTCACTTACGGTCGCACGCCCGTCGGATCCTCAGCTGCTCTCTCCCTTATTCTGCGTCGTACAGACTGTTGCCGTGAGATTGTTCCTGGCGCATCTGGTCTGGTTTGATCAAGGTCCCACTACCTTTCTTATCATTGAAGCGAACCGTGCACCATGACGCCTCAAACCCGGCAAGACGACTTTTGCCTCGAATGCAACTGGGAGGCGTTCCATATCGATGGCAAGGATACGTTAGAAGAGCCGGGTACTTCCCTACAACATCATTGGAACTGCTCAAGCTACGAAGACACATCGCTGCCCCATTGTGAGCTCGACGAAGCCTGCTGTGATGTAGACGACTGCGCGCTAGATTGTGGCTCAACATGCGACGGTTTTACGGGGTGTGATACCTCCACTGCATGCTCAGTTGCTCACTGTGATGATGACAACTGTGAGGACGACGATTGCGAGGGCGATAAATGCGACGAAGATCATTGCGACACCTCCCACTGTAAAGAAGATATTTGTGGGGACACACACTGTGAGGGTATTGACCCTCTATGCTTCGAAGACCACTGCTGCGACGAGACGGAGAGTCAAAGCTGTGGCTATGGCAGTCTCTTTGGTCTCAACCCTTCATTTTCGCTTGATGCAAGCATCTTTCCTTCCACGTCCATGATAAACCATTCTGTCACTCTCCCGACGAAAGACATGCAATATCCACTCCCTGGCACTACCAATCCGAGCCAGCAGCGAAATCTTTTATCCTCATACCAAGCGCATGCCACCCACTGCGAGCAGGATGTGCAGAATCACTTCGATTGTGATGACTTTCAAAAGGATTGGCAGGAGCTCTTTGGGGCATTTCCTGCCCCGGCACAGTCCGACGTTAATCCAGCAGAAGTTTTCCACATGCTTGGGATGTGTTCCGATTTCTCGATATGCCAAGATCAACACATACCAGGGCATCAGAACGGTGTCGACAGCTTTGACAAACCCAGTATGAATCACAATATCGATACCAACATCAACACGCCAGACGCATTCAATTGCTTCAATCGAGAACATCATCATGTCCACAGCTACTCTAAACCGTCCAATGACCTGAACATGCAAACTGTCCGGAGAGGACCGCATCGCAGTCATGATCGCTGCCGAGCTCATACGCATGCGCATTGTCACCCATACTCCCCTTATTCACGACAATATCGATCCAGTGTCAGCTCTCACCTCTACTCCAGTCCAGGGGATACTCCACCGTCTCTCGAGGGTGATGCATCATCCGTATTGACCACACCGGACTTTGCTCCTAATGAGAAGGAGCTGCATATCTGCAAGTGGTCAACAGAGGTTCACGGAACCAAGGCTCCCTGCGGTGCCATATTCTCCGACTCTCGTGCTCTGCAAGAGCACCTCGTTGCCAATCATATGAATACTGTGAATGGTGCCAAGGGCAATGGATATTACTGTTGCTGGGAAGGATGCCACCGTCCAGATGAGCCATTCTCACAGAAGTCCAAACTTCAAGGCCACTTTCTCACACACAGTAACTGTATGGCATCACTTATTATCTCATAGCCTACTGATTCAATGTACTGACGGGCACCCTTCTAGACAAGAATTTCTCGTGCTCAGTGTGCGGCAAGACGTTTGCCAGACAGGCAACCTTAGACCGACATGAACGCAGTCACCGAGGGGATAAGCCATATACATGCAAGGACTGTGGCAAATCCTTCACGGATAGCAGTGAATTGAGTATGTACTCCCGGTCAGTCCTCGAATATGTCCTCTAACCGTCCTAGAAACACATTCGCGCACTCATACTGGCGAAAAGCCTTTCAAATGCACCTGGCCAGGATGCAACTTCACAACAGGCGACGTGAGTTCTTCCGTTCACTTGCTAGCATTATACCCAGTCTTCTAACTATATAACAGTCTTCGAATATGTCAAGTCACAGACTCAGTACGGTAAACCCCCCTTTGGGTTTAGACACATTTTGCTAACTGGATTTAGCTCACGGAGAGCGAAAACATAAATGTCTCTTTCCAGGGTGCACCAAGAGCTTTACTCGTCCAGGTAAATCTTAGACCTTCATCCTGTTTTGCCGGTATACGCTGACACTTCTTACTTCCTAGACCAGCTGAAGCGCCATCAGAGGACAACGCATAAACAAGAATCTCCCGTGACCCTTCAATCACCGAGCCTGGATACTTTCACGATGACCCCATTCACTCTCGTTTGATGAACTCACGCGATTGTCATGTTTTGCGGCCCTGGGGAATATTTGAACATGGGGCCTTATGCGGCCAGGCGTTTTAGGAATGGTAGGGTATCTAATTATCAGGCGCTCCGAGGCTCCCGAGACCGACATCCGCAAAGAAAAGTTTATACCACTCGTGATTGGCGTTGCCGGAATCGTTCAGCTATACTTATAGGTATCTTATTGGAATATCATTCTATGTCATCTTGCAGCTTGCCCCTATCCAACCTTTGATCGACGTCTCCATTGGATGCCTGCTTGATCGCCCTATGACTAGACCATTAGGTGGGTTCCTCAACATCCAGAAGACTTATATTCTGCAACTTTGATGCCTATTTTGCGTTGCCGGTGTGACAGGTCAGGTCACATGGACTGGGATGTGGACGAGAGGAGAGAGAGGAGAGCAGGTCATAGGTCATGTGAGAGGAGGAAGCTCGTTGTTTTTCTTCTATTTAGCCCATGATTGCTTCTTTCTTCTTCCCCTTTTCTCTCCTCCCTCTCTCTCAGGTATTCATCAACCGATCATCGCGAATAGCATTCCATATTCGTTGTCATCGCCTTCGTCGTGGCCTGTGCCTCCATCAAGAACAGGTCCCAGGTCATGCGAGAGGACCATTCGTTGAATCCGTGAGGGTTCTTGTGGTTAGTTTTCTCTTCTTCTCTTCTTCTCTTCTTCTCTTCTTTTCCTTTTCTTCTTCTAATCTTCTTCTTCCCTTCTCCAGTCTTGTTGTCTATGTAAACAGAACCCCTTTTTCGAGAAACCTCGTCACATAACAACAAGACTCATCCTCTTTTCATCTACCACGTGAGCTTCATCTGCAGTGCGTGCAACTGCACCGCGGTCTCGGCGTTCGGTAGACAACACAAAAACACGAACACGACCTCGAAGCCACACTCAAACTCGACCTCGAACTCGACCTCGAACTATGGCTACACGCGGTCGGAAGAGAGGACTCGCGCAGCCTCACAAAAGCCATCTCCGAGGAGGTCCCTCCCTCGTTCTCGGTCTTCCCACAATGGCTACTCTGTTTACTGACAGCCCGGTCAGGGCTGACCACGGTTGTCCCGTACACCCCGGCTCCACACGGTCGGGATGACCCACTTCCCTCTCTGCGATCCGCTCCGGCGCAGACTTCCTCCCCCGCGTCGCACCAACCGGCCAAGGGAGACTTTATATACGTAACCAGGAAGGGAAGATGGTCGCTGCTACCGACGTCCGATGGAGAGACCTTAGCACCTTGCTGGAATGGGTCCGTGCTGATCCTAACCACGCGTTAGGTGCCCTTGGGGTACGTGGCCGAGACACAGCAGCGCCGAAGCTACCTTCGCGAGAAGACCCAGGATTAGGAACTGGAGAAAAGGATCCAGGACCTCGAAGACTATGCGGCTACAGGTGTTGATGGCTGGACACGGGATGCCTACAAGGAGGACGTGACCGTACAGGACTTCGTTGATTCCTGTCGACGCGGTGCTATCATTGCGACTCGAAGGTGGCCCACCATTTCGACTCGCGTGCCACCTTCGAGTCGCTCGTCTTATCAACCTCTCTTGATCGCCTTCTACTGAGGCAGCCTGTAGAGCGTTGCCCCACAAGCCGCCTTGCGCGTTGATGTCTGCTCCCTTGTCTAAGAGCAGCTTAATAATCTCTTGAAAACCTCCTTGTGAAGCAGCATAGAGAGCGTTGCCACACTCGCCGCCCTGCGCGTTGACATTGCTCCTTTGTCTAAGAGCAGGTTGACAATATCGTGATGACCTCCCCTTGAAGCAGCCTGAAGAGCGTTGCCATACATGCCGCCCTGTGCGTTGACATCTGCTCCCTTGTAAATAAGATGGCGTGCAGGCACAATAAGTCCACTGAAGCAAGCATATTATAGCCTAGAGCCCGGTCGAGCGCCTCGGCTATAAGTCCAACTCCCATCAACACTATGCAAACGAGTCCATCGCTGGAATGTCCTTTTCTCTTCTAGGAAGGTGACTATCATTCGAATAATTTCCTCATGGGCCTGAGCCAATACAGCATGGCACGTCCAGAATTCGGCCGCATATTCCGCCAACGGAAAATACCGCTTCATCTTGAATTCGGTACCGTTGATATCCGTAAGATATATCAAGCACGTCCTCGTAATGGAATGCTGGCAGCTGTGGCCTGGAATTGCCCATGACCAAGAAGGTACTCTTTCACAGAAAAATGGGCAAGATGTAACTCTTTATCATTGGCATGGACAACTGTCACTAAGCTGGGACAGTAAGCCAAGATATCAGTCTCGCAAAATACTCGACGCTTCATGTCAAACTCTCCCGAGTCGCTTTCAATATGCGTCGCTATTACTTCTTTAACCTCGGCCAGCGTTAGAGGTCGCCTAGAATGCACTAGAAATTGGAGAAGCCGTGTCGCGTCGTTTTTCAGCTCCGTCGGTATGCTTTCAAACATACGCTGGTATGTCTCATTGAGATTCAGTGGCAAAGATTTAAGAGCCTTCTCTATAGCTCTCTCGTGCAGACACCGAGCCAGGCAGTCTAACTGACACAATGCCCACCTAAACCTGAAAAAGGCGTCAGTAAGCTATCAGGACAAAGCCGTACACTGTTGAAAGGTGGAAGCTACCAGGTTGTATTTTAAAGCGATCTAGTGAGCTACCCCTCCATCTGGTCTAAGATCTCCCTCAGATAGCTGGTACAATTCCTTTCCCAATTCCCCATCGACGCGATACTTTTCGCCCACAGTGGAAAACTCGTAAGGCTCAGTAGGGACAGTATAATGCTGCATAATAATGTCGTACATCTGCCAAACGTCCGGGTCGACACGAGCCTCTCGGACAATATTTCGTTTCCCATCCAAATAGAGCAGCCGAAGTTGCTTGGTTTGGAAGGCTTCCTCATCCGCGATGAGAAGATAGACCTCGGTAACGACCCTATGCAGACTACTGGCCCAATCCAGAATAATCTCATCCCAGCTTTCCCTTTCTTTCCAGTCATCTGGACAATTCTGCTTCACGGTAGAGATATGCTTCTTAAAGTTATTTCGAAACAACTCTAGATGATCGTGAGGTATATATCGTAGCTGTCTTGACTTCGTTGGGCCAGCAACCTCGGGTAGAATCTCAAATATTTGCCTCCAGTCATCGCCGAAATTAAAGAGTTTCTCGTCGTTGAGGCATGCCCAGTCTGAGGCTTCTTCAAACATCTCTTCATCTATCCATGCTTTCAGTGTCTCCTCGTCTTCTAGGTTGGAGCTATAGTGGGTTCGAAGAAGGATAGGTATTCCATCGCCGCTATGCATCCACTCGGCCTTTTTACGGAGGGCATCGGGTCTCCAAGGCTGAAGGATTATTTCAATTTCTTCGGCGGTTGGCTGTCGAGAGGGCGAGGTCGCATGTAAATCCATAAACCATTCATACGGGATCTCGTCTAAGTCAAGGAAGCCGTAAATAAGTCGAAGACGTTGCTCAGAGGGAGACTCTGGCGAGGCTGAATCCCAGTTTCTCTGTTTCAACGTGTTAGCGAGTTCCAAGGTTGAGGCTCTGAGACATACGATCAAATATTGTTCAACGGCTAGTCCGCCCCATGGAATGTGTTCCCTCCTCATGATGGAAAGAGTGAGAAGAAATAGGAAGAAACACAAGGGAAAAGTATCTCGGGTTTATTGAGGTAGTGGCGGTGGGGCTTTAGTGAGGGGGCCAAATTGGCTTGGCTTGGCTTGGCTTGGAGAAAGAAAGAGAGAATATGAAACAAGCTATTTCACTAGTAACAAAGTAAAAAGGATATGCTTGAAAGCTCCATCTATAGCAATTATTTACCATGTATAAGGGAAAGGATCAAAGCCAATTTTATATACAAGCAAGCCGACTACGAGAATGTTCAATAACGGCTCACATATATTTGCTATAAAATATTTAACACCCCACAGTTATCTATAACGCCAAAATTCAATCGACAAATTCCACGCCTAGGTAGGTGAGCCACGGCGTTTGAAATATTGGGGTATATTGACTTACGTTCAACTTCCCAGCCATTCCAACTTTGGCTATCTCTCTTGGTATTGGTCGAGTCCGGGGTTTGGCCCTGTGTGTTGCCAAATGTGATCAAGCATTTGCCCAGATTGTGCATTTGTTGCCAGTCGCTCGCCATGCCTGAGCCGTCATTCCTAAGACAGAAGCCATTATACTTTTTCCCTTTTTCAGTCTCCAACTTGTACACATTGTCCTGACCGAAGTGATTCATTGCGCAAAAGATCGCCTCGCCTCCTGCATCCCCCTCGTAGCCTTCACTGTACCAGCGGCGGCTAACAAAGTTCCACCAGTCGTCAGGCTTGAAGCCATCAGTGATCCATGTAGCACGATAGTCTCTCTTGAACGTCCATGATTCCTTGTCATTGTTCTTGTTTTGCGTCATTTGTCAGAATTAGGTCATTGGGTAACGCATTTACCGCCAGTATCTAGACTTACGCGCACTGAAATGCCATCCGGAGGCGGTTGTTTCACTCCGTATTCCTTCAGTTTCTGCGCAAATTCGTTGTTGGTTCCAAATGTGGCGGTTCTAGTCCACTCCAGAGGGTTCGAAAGAGAGTCAGAAGGGTTATCAAAAGGATCATTAGGGAACCGTAAAAACATACTGTCGTTTCTCCATGGCACCCAAAAGTCTTCCACATCGTCGTTCTTGGCGGTGTCGGCGTCTAGCATTTTCCAATTTGAGCTCATGTCACCGATCATTGCTAGAATTTGTCAGCGGAGTGTCTATTCCAAAAAGAAGAAAGAATTCATCGAGTCGTCATTCAACAGGTACTTACCAAGGCATTGCCCATGCCAGTTATTCTGCCAGTATGGCACGCACGCTGCTCGACGGCTGTTGGAATCGAGATAATGCCCTCCTTGTTCAGAAGACTTCCAGGGAAACTCGTCACACTGAAGTTTCAGAGCGCTGCCCGTGCCCATGAGGGCGTTCAAGTTGTCTGTTTCGTCTGCACATGCGCCCTTCTTTCTTTTTTTGCTACTTGAGTCGGTTGTAGATCCGCATTGGGCTTCGTATCTTGCTTTAGTTGCTGTTTTATCATTGGAATAGGTCAAGTCCGTCGGCAGATTGGGGATTTTCAGGATGGTGTCACAAAAGCCAGCTACCTCTGCGGTCTTGCCCTGGTTACTGGCCCGAGCTCCGGTAAGCTTCAGTCTGGAGAGATGCGCACAGTTGACTATTTCTTGGATTAACAGGAGTTTCAAATGGAATATCGTAGCAACATCAACTCACATCGTATCTCCGGCACTTGGAACCCGGAAGTTCCAGGCGGGCAAGAGCCTGGCAGAGAAAACTCTGAATCATTGGGATTATCTGTGAGAGTTGTCAGCCTTCGAGCTTCTAGTCAGATCTATGGCATTCAGTTTCATACCCGCACTCCCATCTTCGCGACGAGTGAGCCCCATAGCTGCATCAAGGTAGGGCATCGTAGCATTTGTGGATAGTGCTTCAGATCCCTGTCGCCGATGGATGGCGCTATCGAGTGATGGGTCTCTTGTCTCCATGTCTGACGAAGACATCGGGATTGTGCCCTTCTTCTCGTACAAAGTCACCGTGTTATCTGGCGTAAATGCTTTGCGAGGGGCCAAAGCCCAGTCAATGAAACCCAGGATGTTGGCCTTGGCCTTATAACCGAGGTTATAGAGGAGGTAGGCACCAAATCGGTAATGGAAGGCATTGTCCGAGGAATCATAGTCACCATGGGCCTGGAATGACAGATCGCCTGTCACGTACCCTGTCAATTGGGCGTCCATGAGAGTCTTGCCGCCGACCAGCTTGCCGCCACCAATTTTGATGCCGACATTGGCTTCAGGTGTGACAATTACATCTAGCTGTGCATCGACGGCGACTCCTGCATGGAAAACCGGCTTAATACTTCCAGGAGCTGGTGCCTTGGCGTCACTCGTAATTCCGAGTAAGGATCCATATTTCGCCTGAGCCTCATCATTCTGAGGCCAGTAGACCTCGGCCTTTCCGAATGTAACCATTGCTCCTGCATCAAGCTCCCCGTGTAGGGTGATTTTACCCCGAATCTATGCGCAAGATCAGATACTATTCGAGCAATTGGTATATAGTGGGGTATTACCTCGCCGTAAATGTCCAAAGTAGGACCAACCGCTGCAATCCCCTTGACAGCCAGACCTGGATAGGAGAGAGTATCGACAATCTTCTTCCGCACACTGGGGGTCTGCATCTGGGCATTTCCTTCAATATGGAGACCTATATAGGCTTGTGGCTCCATGCCGAAGTAGGCAAATGTTTCTGGTTTACTCGGCGGAATGAACGTTGCTGAGAGATAGTATGCGTACGTTGCATCCATCGCCAGATCAGCCTCCAGATCCATACGGAGATCAGCGTAATAGGTCTTGCCGGGACACCCCCACTGCGCATAGAAAAGGTTGATGGTTTTGCTGAATCCCAATTCTATAACGCCCACGCTAGACTTTGTCACCGTTGTCTAAATTCGTGGTTAGTATGTGCAAAGATACAATTAGCAGAGTCAGGGCACAACATACCAACTTGCTCAACCAATCTCCAAAGACGCCAAACCAGCGCTTGTTATGTGCCGGCGTCGGGTCAGAGGTATCCATTGCCGTCTTTACCTTGATGTTCTCCTCTCGCTTCCGAACATTCTTATCGCGAGAAACGGCCCTTTGCACACGCGATCGCCATTCAGGCTCCGAGAGACCTTGCTCCCCAACGCTTCGTTTCATGCGACTAGCTGGGGAATCTGTCATCTCGTCCCAATAGCCCATCAAGTTCGTGTAATCAACACGAATTTGCACAGGCTCGTCATCTCGTTTTAGTTTGATGTTTTGGAAATTGTAGTCAATTTTGACCTCATAAACGGGGTTTTCGAGATGCTCCAACGAACGGTGTGCCAAATGGTGATCTGGCAACTGGAAATCCCCGTCTGCTTCTTTCATGGAAACGATGCGAGCGAAAGGTCCTTCGCCGACATGGGGTGGCAGTGAGATAATGGTATCCTCTGCACCATCGATAAAGACACGTTTGCACTCTTTAGAATCGGCAGGGTAGTTGCAATAGACATGGAAGGTTTCTTCAGCATGGTCGAAGACGCTGTCCATGACCGTCTGGTTGCTGGTCAAGATGGAACGTTTGGTCTTGACGATCTTTTCAGAGCGACGGACAACAGTTTGACTGCTTGCAAAGTCATTGTCAAGCGAACCGTCCGGACCATCAAGCATTACAAATCCATATGCATCGCTGCCGTCCTCTTCTGACGAACGATCCTGATCTGCATCGTTGTTTTGATATTGCAATAATCCCGAGGATCAACAACAAGATCCGGACAATGAAATCACTTCTCTCGGAGAAAACTGCTTTCGGAGAGGACGTTGGCAAGGTTGCCTGGCTGGCCATGCGCACAAGGCCAGATATAGCCTTTGCTGACTACCTTCTTACAACCCGACAGTGAATATTCCTGCCGTTGAGTCGGAGAGCTTTACATATAGGCATAGTTTGTTTACTGGATCTCTATGTTTCATGCGATGATATGAATTGACTGAATAAAAATAAAGGTACGTTGAGGGGAGATAAGGAATACAAGACGAGGGACCACAAGAAATGAAGATAACCCAAATCCAGCATATCCGAAGTTAATAAGTTATGCCGACATGAGTCATTCCGATCGTTGAATTAGATCGAAATAGGAAGGAGAAGTTGAATTTCTCGGAGGCATGTGCCATTAATAGCAACAGCGACTGAGACTGTCACCCATGGGTGACTCAGAGTCAGGTGAGTGTCTCTAGGAGGAAAGAGTGCCTCTGCCCTTCTCCCCCCTTCCTTCGTAAGATTAATTGGTGGGGAAGGTCAAATCCATTCCCTCATTCATGTCTTCCTCGGTATCCATCTCATCCGAAGTGTTCTTAGTCGCATCTTCGACTTTCTTTCGATCAACCCGGATACGAGGACGGTTGCGACGACGAACTCCATGAGGCTTTTGTCCAACAACAAACTTGTACACAATGTCCGGCATCCTGAGTCCGAACTCGGAGTATTCGAAACCGCTCGCCTTGGCGACCCTATTGTTGGTGGCCTGCTTGAACCGGCATCTGCGATTACCTACACACTCACAAGTTAGCAGGTATCAAGCATGGAGTTGACAGTGATACATACGCGTTTTCAGAAATCTCTTAACATTTTCCTCGGAAAACATGGGATTGTCCCACGGAACTCCCAAGCAGCTACCTAGCAGCGGTTGTGGGGGGCTGGCTCGAGTCGCTTTCGAGCGTTTGGCTGAAGTCAATTATCAGCAGCTGCCTGGCGTTACTTTTAGCAGCGGCACTTACCTTTTCTGGCCGCAAGCTTGGCATGGTGTCTGTTGTCTGCATGGAGCAAAGCTTCTATGAACTGTCAGAGTCAACGTATATCATTGGAGTCACTGTGGTACATACTCTTAGATGGGTCATTCCGATCGCGGAGGTTGAAGGCACCGTTGGACAACGGGTTTCGGCGTCGCTTCCATGACACTCGCTTTCCAAGTTGACGCGGGTTCAGGCTTACATGGCGACCTGGACTCAGGCTTAAATGGTCCAACTGCTGCATAAGAGGCTAAAATACACCACACATGAGTCGGCATCTCAGAAGATTTGCAATAGACAGGGGATGGACTCACCTTCAAAGTATCCTCAGGCTCGGCTGTCACGCTCATGGCCTCAGTCAAATTCATCTTGTCTTTCATATCGGTAACTAGCGCTGCCATTGAGTGCTGGTGTGCGGAAGCTCCACAGACTCCATGAGATGGGACGAAACCAGACCTATCAGAAGTTAGCCAGACTTCTCATTGAGATGGCAAAATTATGGAGAGAACCACTCACGGTTTCGCGAACGGGGTAATGACCCGCTGGTGCCCATCCACTGCGTGGGTCATAGGCCTATTGGCAAGCATAGACGTCCACGGATTGGCCTGGGCCTTGTCGTCCGCGCTGTGGGCAGACATGCTGACGATCACGCTAGATCTAGTACAGCAACAGAAGTTGGAAGTGAGAAGTTGAGAGTTGAGAAGTTGGGGAACTGAGAAGGTGTGAAACCGAGAAGGTGTGGAAGAGCAATGGTAAAAGAGCAGTGGAAGGGAGAAGAAGTACAAGAGAGAAGTGGAAGAGAAAAGTGGGAGAAGCGAAGTATGTAAAAATAGAAGCGAGAAGTGCGAGAAGCACTCCAGGGCTGAGGGTAAACTGCATCTCATGCCCTCGTCTACTGACATTTGCTGCCCTCTGCCCTCTCATCTTGGACTTGTGACCTGCTGCTCTGAATGAACATTAGAACCACACCTTGGAGGTTTCTAGGATCTATGGTATTAATTCACATATTGCTGCCATCAACTCGCATGTTCTCTTTACTTCAACCTCATATATCCCATCGAGGTAGTAGCAGTATAGTACCTAAAGGCCCAAAACTGTATGTTTGAAGAAGACACTCCACTCTCGTCACCCACGCCCTCGTCTACATCCCCCCAATCTGTATAGTCTCGAAAGTCAACTTAAGCCATCAATATGTACAATATGGTTTGCACTCCAAAGCCCGAGTCCAGTCGCAAACATGTGCACTGTTTGTTGCAGGCCACGTGAGAAGATCAAGCCCTAGGTAGGTTCGACGGCCAGTTTACTCACGAGCAGTCGATGTCGAGCACTCCCGGGAGCACCAAGTAGTGACATAGTTATCCTCACGCTGCATTGTCCAGCTGCAACGACTCTCTTGATATGATTGGGAAACTTCACACTGACGTTGGTAGATCCACGCATACTGACGAATTGGCTATTCTTTGGGTTCCAGACCCTGTTGTACAATGAAGTTCATAAAAGAGCAAATCGTGGTCTTGCTTCCAATTTTTTGAAGCAGGTCACAGGTCATGTGAGTTGAAGCTCGTAGTTCCATATTATTTAATATTCTTACGCTGTTTTAGGCGGTTGGCCGCCTCGCCCCTGTGGGCAAGCAGTCCCTCATCGGTTCGAATCCAGCGGAAGCTCGTAGTTGTTTTTCTTCTCGTGTCTTCTTTATTCCTTTCTCCAGTCTTGTTGTCATTAGAATAAGTAATCGGAAACCCTTTTTCGGAACAAGATTCCTCGTCACAGCCGGTGTCGACTTCATCAAACCATGAAGCAAATAGGAAATGATACATGTATGAATCACTATGGTGGAATGTAGACTTCAGGTAATGCTTCAGATATGATAGCATGTTAATGATAGTACCTCAGCAGTGATACACAAAATCCCAAGAGGCTATGCAAAAAAACACAATCTTCACTCCTCCGTAGCCCTTTGTTCTAAAAGCTCGACAGCATTCCTCAACTCCCGAATCCGCTGCCCGACCCGTCTCCGCACCTCATCCTTGACAGGTTGCGAGATATCCGCAGGGTTGTAATTGGTTTCGATAATCGCACCATCCTTCAACTCCTCGAGATCCGACGCCGCCTCACTCTGAACCTCCCCGGGACTAGCTGTGTAGAGACCGTACACGGAAGTCAATTGATCCAGGGCATCGCGAGCAGACTCGCGGTCTGATGCAGCGTAGATGGTCGATGTGTCGGTGCTCTCGGTGGCAATTTCAAATTCATCTTTTGCGACTTCGTACAGCTCCTGTAGTTCTTCGACGAGGAGGTCTGCTTCTGCTTTTCCGGAGGAGCTATTGAGGTCTGTGAAGGTTCTCGTTTCAGCTCTGAAAGGATTCGCCGGGTTATGGCTTGGTCGTAGGTGGCTCGAGCTTGACAAGCTGTATAGGGAGCGGGAGATGGGGTGGAGTCGTTGTATGGGCGATCGGTTGATGTTGCGCGATCGTAGACCCCCGAGGCGGAGCAGGGAGGGGGTTCGTGCGGGGCGAATGTATTGCAGGGTAGACATTTTGATGATATATGCCTAAGAGGGTAAGTCGGGTGAGGCTAATCGGAAATTGAGTACACTGGTGGGTTGCGCTGTCGTTTGAGACCGACTACCCCTGCAATTCGATATGACATCACCAACATCTTATCACGGCACGTGCTGATAAGGTCATTTCTTCCACGGTTCGGATAATTAAAAGCTGGAACTTGATGTTTACCCGAGCGGTGAGCTTTTTGCTTGCCAGGCTGGTCGTGTCCAGTCAACTGGCCTACACACGCGTACGTACATGTACGTACATCATTGATCATTCATGACATCGCCATTGCAATCAAGCGAGACTCAAATGCTGGCGAAAACTGTTCAAACTGTGGTTTGAACCCGGTGATTTGCCTCTGAAAGCTTCATCAATCTCCCCAAAGTTTCGACCTTGTGTTTCATGCATGAAGAAGATGCCAACAATCGCAGTGACAACACAGCATCCACCAAACAGGAAATAAGCCCCGAAGCTGCTCTTCGCAAGGATGACTGGTGTCGTTAGGGCCACCAAGAAGTTGCAGACCCAATTGCTCGAATGTGCTAACGTGGTAGCTGATGCTCGTGTTCGCTGGGGCTGAATCTCGGCGCTATAGACTTTGATGGATATACCCCAGGTCACAGAGTAAAGAGCTGCAAAGAAGTAGATGCAGACAATCACAACCCAACGACCGGGGCCGGCGGATGGATGGACGGCATTTCCAGCATACAGGCCACCCATCAAGAACATCAAGACTCCCATCACCACTCCGCCATATATGATACTGTTTCGGCGACCCCATGTGTCGGCGTATATTAGCCCAGGAATGGTGACAGCGAAGATCACAAGCGCTGAAACACCAGAGGCCAGAAAACTGGCCTCCGACGACGCAAGGCCGGCCTTTTGGAACAACTGCGGCGCGTACTATCAATTGCAGGTCAGTCATAATCGAACCCAGTAAGGCATGGCCGGGGTTCGACGGCACTTACATATAGAACACCATCAATGCCACTCATCTGCTGCATGCCCATGAGAAAGACTGCGAGGATAGTGCGGCCTAAAACATCCTTGGAGAAGATGGCAAGAAGCTTTTCGATGGTTTTTTCTTTGGCTCGCTGAATATCAGGTTCAACTTCCTGTGCCCGCACTTGAAGCGTAACCTTTTCACGCTCCGCACGATTGACACCGAGTTTGTCCCACGCCTCTTCGGCCATAGCATATCGACCATGGAGTCCGAGCCACTGCGGCGACTCGGGCAAAAAATAAAGCGAAAGCCCACATATGATCATGGAGAAGGCAGAGAGAAGGATGAACGGCATCCGCCATGAGAGCGAGGACTGCAAGCGTGATGTCCCATAGCTGATGAAGTACCCCATGACCAATCCGAGGGTCGTGGCCAGCTGAGGCCCGGTCGTCAGGGCTCCTCTAGTACTGGTGGGTGAGATCTCACAGATCAGGACCACAAGATTTCCAAGGAACAGTCCTTCTCCGAGGCCTTCTACCACACGACCAACGATAAACATAGATAGGGCAACCGCGCCTGCTTCTATCGCAGCTCCGACTCCGAAGATGAAAACACCGATGCAGATTCCCTTTGGTCGTCCAAGTCGATCGGCGACATAGCCGGCGAAGAAGGAGGAGAGCGCTGCCGGGATCAAGATACACGAGACGATGAGGCCATGGATAGTCGAGTTCTGGCTACCCCCGAAGGATGCCTTGAAATACTTCATGTCGGTAACAGGGCCAATGATGCCTGTATCCATTCCGAAGAGAATTCCACTTGCGGAACATAGAATGCATGCCAGCACATAGTTGGGTGGATTTTTGAGATATAGTGGGATTAGACCCATTATTTCAGCTTTGATCTGGGGAAAAGATTCAAGACTTTCAAGTCTCTCAAGATCTTAGATGAAATAATGTGAGAGATCAAGTCAAAGTTCCAAAGAGAAATATAAATCCTGTTGAAATGGAGAGTGAAAATTGATGGATTGCTGATCTTGCCCAACGAGGCCTGAATAAACGCTAACTTGACTAGGAAAAGGCCGAAGGGCTGGGCCCACTCATACTCCACATCGTAATCTTTCATTTATCCGTGGACCGTGGTACTAACTATCAGACATCTTGACAGCCGAATAGAAATGAGTTGGCGTATCAGGATTCAGGAAAAGTTGAACAATCAGACCAAACCGATGATTAAAGATTTTCAAAGGATCACATGCCATTCTGCTATATAATTCCTAACTAATCATCTCCATTCGACAAGTCTTCAACAGTTTCATCAGCCAAAAGTCATTAATGAGCGTATACAGTTCGTGATCTCATGCAAATCATGCCTTTCCAAATTCCTCCAAGCCAAACTTCCAGTGTAGAGGGTATTCCCTCAACTCTGCTGCCATATTTCCGAGTCCAAGTCTATCTCGTTCTCGGGAGTAGGGTCTACTCCTGCTGGCCAGTGGTAGCCTTGATATCCTTGTTCTGAGCCTGATTCTGACCGTTGACAGCATAGTTCTGGTAAGAACCATAGTTCTTGTAGTTGCCATAGCTCTGGTACTTGTTGTTCTGGGAGCTGGGGGTGACCTGGGGGTTGTTGACAGAGTTCCAGTTGTTGTTGTCATTGGGCCAGTTGCGAGCGATGATGGAAGGAATGGGCAGGAAATCGCGAAGACGGCAGTTGCGGCCATCAAGGTAGTAGTTGCCATAGCAGCGCTTGTTGTCATTGTAGCGATCGTTGTCATTGTAGTTGTTCCGGTTTCGGCAGTTCCAATCGTCGCGGTGGCAGTTGTCGCGGTTGTAGTAGTCATCATCGCGGTTGTAATCGTCGTTTCGGTAGTTATCGTTGTCGCGCCAGCTGCGGCGGTGAATGGTGGTGGGATTGATGGCGTTCGCGAGATTAGCCTTGTTCCCAAGGCCGGCTACGTTCAGAGATCCCTTGTCGGTTGCAGTTGGGTTCAGTTGACCGGGAAGAGCCTGGTTCAGTTGACCAGGAAGAGCCTGGCGCTTCTGGTTTGCGTGCCACTGGCCGTTGGCATCAGTCCAGCCATTCTGGTTGTTATTGGCGTGCCATTGACCATTGGCGTCAGTCCAACCATTCTGATCGTTCCGGTTGTTGGAGTGCCACTGGCCGTTGGCGTCAGTCCAACCATTCACATCATTCTGGTTGTTGGAGTGCCACTGGCCGTTGGCATCAGTCCAGCCATTTGCGCCGTTGCGGTTGTTGTCGCGCCATTGGCCATTCTGGTTGTAACGGTCATCGATATTGTTGGGGACGAACTGTCCATTCAGCCAATGACCCTTTCGGTATTGGCCACTGGGGTCCCATTGACCAGTCTGGTCGTTGGGGTCCACGGGGAGGGTCGGCAGACCGAGGACAGTCAGAGGAGAGACAGCCAAAAGTAGAAGGCTGTTGATCACGGAGTAGCGCATTTTTGGAGGAAGGCGAATTCACAAGAGCTTTGATGGAAGTAGAGAGAAGTGTTGCTTCTGAGAGTGCAGATAGATCCTAATGCTCTCAAGTTGCTTCTGTTTGATAATGATGATTGTAGCCGGGCTGGTCGACCGGTATTTATACATGAGCGAGACCAGCTCCAAGCTCGACGATTACGTAGCTCAGAGCTGTCTACCTATAATTAGCTCTCTCAACTCGGTACAGTGTCTGAGTCTGGCTGTCGCCCTTCGGTGAGTATTGATGCCATTCGAAATTCGCCGCAAGGGACAGCGAGCAAACGTGTAATCGATAGCCATGCTGCCTTGCGGGGGTTAAGCGAGCCTATGCACGATGATCTAGGTAGGGTGTGATCGATGTAATGGCATGAGTAGTACAGTAAGCAACATTGAATTGATTCGAGCGAGCCTGTAAAGTGTTGTTGCATGTTGAACCTCGCATGCTGCACAAAGGTTGCAGATCCAACCCGCAAGGGGATAAATCGCATTCCACGAAGATCACCCGAAGTCAAGTGACGCAGATCCTATCTGACCGTGTGGAGAAGACATGCTTTCACTCACGTTCAAGGATGCATACACTCGTGCTCCATGTTGTAGTTGACCCCCTTGAATGAATTCCGCGTTTCCCATGCACCACGCGTTGGGAAACTCATTGATGGCGAAACGTGTGAGACACGCAGGGTAGGCATTGCATCACGCCCAGGCTGGGGCCCCAGCAGTGTCTTTGAGCTTTGGTGTGATGTCAATGCCGAAGCTGGCAAAAGTCGGCGAAGTTGCGGTCTGGGTTGGCGAAAGTCAACTTGTTGCTACGAGAACATGACTGCCCCTTGAAAGCACAGTCAACTAGGCACGGTGTTTTTTGGTGCCTGTTCATTGACATATTCTCAATCACAAGTCTGCGAAAGATGTTTGGCGACAAGAACTGTACCAGGAACGTCTCACAGGAGGCCAGTGAACGCCTTCTACCAGAGGAAGAAGGCACTCCCTGGACTAATCATGGAGAATCGACAAGATCAAGCTGGAATGGCGTTGCAATAAGTCTCTTGCAAGTGACTACTCTGGCACTGTTCTTTTTAGTCGGGACTTTGTTTGGCTTCCAGTGGCGTGGAGACTTGGACAATCTATGCAGTAAACATGTCTCCCAATATTGTGAGTATCGTTCCGCATCTCTAAAGAGCACGTCATTGATCGCATTCAAAATATAGCAACCGTGATGAAGGAAGTGGGAATTCAATACAACCTGCAACAATTCAATGGCTCTCTTCTAAAAGAGAACGTGTTCCGACAAGATGCCGGCCCAGAGGTTGATGCAGCGTGGGAGTCTCTGGGGGTCAACTGTGTGTTCTCAGGTTGTTCATGCTTCCTGTCATAGACTAATGGCTTCCTTTACTTCTAGACCGCTCTGTTCGGATTCCAGCTGAAGATGCTGAACAATCTGGACTTGCTGCCGACCAAGTGAAGATCAACAAGAAGTATGGCGGAGGATTTCCGGCAAATGTGGAAGGTCTGCACCACCTTCACTGTCTGGTAAGTCTTTACCCTCGGTACTGTGAAGGAAGCATACTAATACCGAGAAGAATCTTCTGCGCCAATCGTTGTATTATAACTACGATTATTATCACGCGAAAGGCGAAGGACCCTTCACGAACAATGACTATATAGTCCGCCGACACGTGTGTATGTTATTGCCAACCTCTTCGGGCAGACATTGGAACTAACATCCTCTCATTAAAGCTCACTGCCTTGATATCATTCGTCAAGAGCTCATGTGCACAGTTGACAGCGGAGTCCTGGGTCAAATCTGGATCTATCCCGAGAGCCCCGAGCCCTATGTTGACTTCAACACTCAACACAAATGTAAAAACTTCGATGCTATTCGTAGCTGGGCCGAAGCGAATCAGCTGCCTGAAGACCCCGCTGAGGACTTTTTGGAGCCCCCGTCCGAGGGAGATCGAATTTACAATGAGATGCCTTGAGAAGAGAGAAATGGCTCAGTAGTCTAGTAGACAAGCCGATACCATGGTGACATGAATGATACTATGTTTGAGAATCAAATAGACCCGCTACACCTAATAGGTGTAAAAAGATAATATCCCCTTGGGTTCCTCAGCATCAACACTGTAGATATCCAAATATATCTTCGCGCATTTCGGCAAAACATAAACAGCACTCTCATATCCAGGTACCAAAGTTCTCCAAAATTTTCACACTATGGAAGTCCATTCCCACCTAGTTTTTCCAAGACCCTCCTGCAACTCCGTTGATTCGCAGCCAAGCAGAATTCAAACAAGGGATCCAGGATCCAGTCCGCGTTTCCTCGGCGCGTACACCAAAGACCCTTGACTGCCTCGGCTGCATATCCCTGTCCGCTTTCTTCTGGTAACATCGCACATCGCAGATCCGGCGCCAGGTAATGCGGGCTTGGTGAGATCTCTTTCATGGGTGGACGGGACACCAGGAACATGATAGCCGTGTTATGCGTATTCTCATGGAACCTTCCTTTCTAAAAATGCCGATGCCTGTTGCCGGTGTTAGTTCCAGTGCGCCCGCATAAGTCCACTAGTCCAGAGTTGGCCAAGAAGACACAGTGGGTCAAGTCGTTGGGATCAAAGGGGCTGATCTGCAGGCGCGGGGTGGTGAGAAAGGGCTGAGGCGATGACGGTGATTGGCTGTGTCGGCTGCTGCTTGATCGACCCCACACGTTGCCAAGACTTATTTACATCTTGATACAGTCTGATTGGCTGATATACTTGTCGATCATCCAGTGATGGTCGAACTCCAGTGTTGAAATGTAGCACTAGAGGTTGGGGGGTGAAACAAGTGTACCTGGGTATACTCCCAAGTAGACTAGTAGTGAACGAAAGATGTACTGTTTGTACTGTTTAGTTACATCACGGAAAAATAGAATTCCGGACCGGGGTTGCATCAGAACCTTGATACGTCTTTCATGTCAACCGGATTCGGAGGTCTTAAGAAGAACAACTGGAAGCTTCAATTCTTCTCACAACATCCATCTGATTCATGAAAAATGCACTTCTCCGAGTCTCGCGGCCAATTTCTCAATACCGTGCAGGATGCACTCCGCCGATACGATTCACAACTGAAGGAAATCAATTATAAAGTAAGGACTGAGTCATGTACCCCGCGAACCCAAGAGCTAAATTTACGACAGATCTGGTCCAATCCAGAGCTCGCATATGCCGAGCACCAGGCCCACGACCACATCTGTGAGTTGTTCGAAAGCCTGCAGGCCGAGGGCTATGGTGACTATACCGTTCATCGGCAGGTCTACAGCCTCGATACCGCTTTCGAGGTTGAATACACGCACGGAAAGGGGGGTCATATCGTAATTTTCAATGCAGAGTACGATGCTCTTCCCGGCATCGGACACGCATGTGGTCACAACCTCATTGCCACCAGCTCCATTGCTGCATTCATCGCAACATGCGAAGCCATGAAAGCGCACGCTCAGTCCATGGCTGGGTCTGGATTCACGCTTCGTCTGCTCGGAACTCCTGCCGAGGAGTCCGGGGGTGGCAAAGTACATCTGCTCAACAAGGGGGCCTACAAAGGCGTAGATGCGTGCCTCATGGTGCACCCCATCCCCCTTATTCCAGCAGCCCCTACGCTGCAGGGAATGGCTACCGTCGTCGAAGGCGGGTTCCTTGCTAATCATAAGGTCAAGGTTACTTTCACTGGCAGGTCGGCACATGCTGCGGCGGCCCCCTGGGAGGGTGTCAATGCATTGGATGCGGTGGTTGCGGCATACCTCAACGTTTCACTACTCCGCCAGCAGATTCTTCCGTCTCAGAGGGTCCACGGGGTTATTGTTAACGGTGGTGAGCGCCCTAATATCATCCCTGCGTCGGCGACTCTGGATTATTACATCCGCTCGCCGACTGTGAGTTCATTGGAAGATCTGAAGGAGAAGGTGCTGAGGTGCTTTGAGGCTGCGGCGACGGCTACTGGCTGTACGCTTGAATATAATTGGTGAGTGCATGCGTCCCTCCTTTTAAGATGGCTATATGTTCATCACGTTGCAAAACATAGGGGTCCTTCATATGCCGATCTGAAAACGAACATGCCAATTTGTGAGAGCTATGTTGCCGCAATGCAAGCCATGGGCCACCATACTGTGCTTGACGACTCGGGACAAAAGAATGCTCTGGGTGGAGGATCCACTGATATGGGTGTGTATTTCTTTGCGGATAAAATATTTCATGTTGCTAATGCAGGTCATAGGCAATGTTTCATACGCCGTTCCTGGATTCCATGGTCTCTTCACCATTCCCACGGAAGGTGTCAACCATACACCCCAGTTCACCAGTGGTGCTGGATCGAGCGAATCATTCCAAAGGGCTCTCGCATGTGCAGCAGGCATGGCTGTTGTAGCCTGTCAAATACTCATTGATGATAAATTTGCCGGGGATGTGAAGAGATACTTTGATGAACATTGATCGGGTATAGACCTTAATGGGATATCAGTATTGTGGCTATCTAGCGTGCTTAACTTTTGGATACCTGCTCGTCTCACTTCCCAGCGCCTCATCATTCTTGGTTGTTGCCTGGTAGCTGTCTGAAGGTACATCGCTTAAGAAGCTAGGATTGAGGATGTATCAACACTCTTAGTAGAGTGCAGAAATCTTTGAATGAGAAGTATGGAGCGAAAGATAATCTATCATCCATGTTTAGCTGATAACCTAAAGGACTACCTGATCCCATTAACATGGAAGCAATAAGATGGAAGCAATAAGATGGAAGCAATAAGATGGAAGCAATAAGATGGAAGCAATAAGATGGAAGAGAGAGTAGCATCAAGGTGAGAGAGAGAATACCATCAAGATCGGAGAGAGAATAGCATCAAGGCGAGAGAGAAACGGCATCAAGATAGAAGAGAAGGGGAGGGAAATGAAAGATGAATAGCATCAAGATACACCGTAAAGGGAAATAAAAAAGTGCCCCATTACCTACCCGAAGGTAGGCAAACCAGACCGTTCCTGGACCCATCAGAAGCACAAGGCTTCACCAGCTTTCATCGCCTGTACCACTCTTCCTACTAATACCTCGTGCCTCCCTTCTAAATAACGACACCCCCATGCCATTAAGACAGAACGCGAAGGGATGACCTACTTTCTGAAGAGCTGATGGTACAGACAAATCCAACCGGAAATGGAGAGCAGTTAACCACTCAGCCACTGGGGGGGATGGTTACAGAGAAGCACATTTACCTCCTTTTATGCAAACAATTTTTATATAGATATGTCACTGGGATTTGTAGTAGCAATTTCATGGCATTGTAGCGTAATTAGGAGGCTCAAATTTAAAATGGAGTATCTAAAAATGGTTAGCTATCTATCTACCAAGTTTCAATATAATCGGACTAGTAATTGTGGTGGTAAATAGGAATATAATTTGGGGGCTACATCATCTCGAGACAAACATGAGGCTATTCGCAGCTCAACTTTTTGTGGTTGGTGATCACATGTTTACTCAAATCTCAAGGTCGAGGGTTCGATTCACGACTACGACGTTGTCAATATATTATTCTATCATCGCACACCATTATGATTTACCTGTTCTCATCCCTCGGGCTGGAATCATGAGCCAGATGGAGTTTATACCAAGCCCGTCTAAACGTGGATACCCTTTTACACAGTGTACAGCTCATCATTCCCAGTTTCTTTTATCGACAAAGGTTATATACACAGTCTAGTCAAATTTCTATTGCCCCATCTTCATACCACCGTTAGCACACACCACACTCCCAGTACACCAAAGCGCATCAGGCGTGCACAACATGCCCACAACACCAGCAACCTCACTAGTGAACGCCGGACGCCGACCACCCATCTTCTCCTGGATCAACCGCTTCTGCTCATCCGTCAAGCGATTCATCGTATCCTGATTGTTGACATCCAATTTGCTCAACGGCGTGTTATCCTGGTAACCCTGAATATCCTTCCAGAACTGCTCTCCAGTAGCAAAGTACATATCACCCACAACCGGGCCGGGGTTAACGGCATTGACGGTTGCACGGTCAGCCAACTCGCGTGCCCAGGTACGGGTCATAGCTTCGATGGCAGCCTTGGTACCGCCATAGATTGATTGGCCCACGAATCCTAGTGAGGAGGATACGCTGGAGATGCTGACGATGCGACCGCTGCGGTCGGTAGGGAGGTAAGGGTGGCAGGCCTGTGTGAGGAGGAGAGGGGCGAGGACGTTGATTGCGTATTGCCAGTTGAAGTGCTCGGCCTCGATCGGGCCTTTGTTGGTGTCGTTTAGATTGCGGTCTTGGGAGACTCCGGCGTTGTTGATGAGGATGTCGATCTGGAGCTTGTCTTGGACGCTGAAATGTTGTTTTGCGGCGGCGATGATGGCTTCCACGGCTTCGGCGGGCTTGCTGAGGTCGGCTTGTACGCTCTCACATTTGATGTTATGGGTTATGGCCAAGGAGGAACACAATGCTTCGGTGGGAGCGCGCGATGACTCGGATGTGAAGTTTAGCAGCAGTGAGCAACCTTTTTCGGCCAGATTGCGGGCAATGGCTTCTCCAATGCCTGTGTTTATTGTGTGTTAGCCCTGTTTCTTTGGATTCTGGGGGCAGATCGGCTTTACCTCGCGATCCGCCGGTGACAATGCCAAATTTCCCTTCGAGAATGCGAGTCATTTTGATTGATGAGTATGAAATGGAGAATAGAAGATCGAGGGAATTGCTGTCCTACTTGAATCTGCTATTTAGCCGAAGTTCCCCCACCTTTCCCCCCACCGGAAATCAATTGCCCGGAGCACGGGGAAAATGCGGGACCGGCTAAATTGCTTCGGGCCGAGTCAATCGGAAATGCCGGGAATAAGTCATCGCGACTCCGAACCGGGGGAACCTCGAGAAACTCCTAACTCCTTGGGTTCTGCTGTCTCTTCTGAGTCTGCTGGCATATTTTGGTCCAGTCGACTTGACGATATTTCAAAACATGATCATCCCAGAATGATATTTGCTATGAAGATTGCATTTATGTGATAATGTGATCCTGGTCTGTGAGGTCATCTTCAGTGATGGTGCAGTGCTTGTGTCTGCTGTGAATGCAGCTGATCTACTGGATCTCATCTCTTCGAAGTATCCGGTCTATTTCTTACCTTGCTATTGCTTGCTTGCTTTTCTTTTCACAGTAAACGTTGGTCAAGTATCGCAGAGGAGAGCAAATGCCATCGTCCTTGTCAAGTTCCCATATCCGAATGCCACTCTCTGGATCAAAGTGCACTGATACAATTCCAAATGGACGACGGACAATCCAGTCTAGCATCCCTTGAATGAGCAAGACAGCAGAAACATGCAGGTAACTTAACTGGGGAAGAGACAAGGCGATCCCCACTCTACCCCTCATCTACATCACCTCTCCTCCATACTCCGTACTTACCACCTATCTCAACTACATCCTACATCATCTACCATTTCAAACAACAACACCAAGCACACCACAAAATGCCTCCAACAATCCTTCTCCTAGGAACCTGCGACACCAAACTCCCCGAACTCCTCTACACAAAGTCCCAAATCGAAACAACAAACACCGCCGTCCTCCTAATGGACATAAGCCGCACCCCAACAACCCACCCATCAATCAGCATCCCACAAACCTCCCTCCTCCCCACCTCCCCCCAAACCCCCAATCTATCCACCCTGAGCCGAGCCGAGTACATCACCACCTTAACCCCCTACGCCGTCGAAAAGGTATCCACCCTCTACAAAGCAGGCCAAATCCACGGCATCCTCGGCCTAGGCGGGTCATGCGGGACGACCCTAGCAACGAGCGTCATGCGCGACGCATTACCGGTCGGATTCCCCAAACTCATGGTATCGACCATGGCATCCGGAGATGTGGGTGCTTACATCGGCGAAACGGATATCAGTATGATGTACAGCGTGGTGGATATTGCGGGACGGAACCGGCTGCTCGAGGGTGTTTTGTCGAATGCCGCGGGTGGGATTTCGGGGATGGCGAGGTCGTATTTCAGCAGGGGATCAAGAGGGGAAGATAAGGGCGTGCGGATTGGGATCTCGATGTTTGGGGTTACGACGCCGGGTGTTACGGCGGCACGGGAACGATTGGAGAGTGTGCTGGAGGGTTGTGAGGTTTATGTTTTTCATGCCACGGGGTCTGGGGGACGGGCTTTGGAGAGGTTGGCGAGGGAGGGTCAGATTGATGCGGTGCTTGATTTGACGACGACGGAGGTGGCGGATGAGGTTGTTGGTGGGGTATTGAGTGCTGGGGATGAACGGTTGAGGGCGGCGACGGAGAGGAATATTCCAAGGGTGGTGAGTGTTGGGGCGTGTGATATGGTTAATTTTGGGGAGCCGGAGAGTGTTCCGGTTCGTTTTCGGGAGGAGAAGAGGGTGTTTCATGAGCATAATGCCACGGTTACGCTTATGCGAACTACGAAGAGAGAATGTGCGGATATTGGGGTTTTTATAGCTGGGAACCTGTTGCGTGGTGCGAAGGAAGGTGAGGCAAAGCGCACCAAGATGATTTTGCCTGTTCGGGGAATCAGCATGCTGGATCTTCCTGGTCAACCATTCCAGGATTCCGAGGCGAACGAGACATTGTTCTCAACCTTGGAGAGGGAATTGGAGGGTAGTGGGATATCGGTGCGGCGGGATCCCCGTGATATCAATGATCCTGACTTTGCAGTGATGGTAGCAGATGAGCTAGTAAACTTGATCCGTGGAGGATAGTTAGATAGTGATGGGAAGACTCGGGGCTATAATCCATCTACACACTACGAAAACGACTACACGAGGAAAGAATCAACTACACAAGGAAATAATGTTGACGCATAGCTTCGATTGTTGAAGTTCTATACCGTCACAATCGGCCCATGGAGGCCTACACACCAGAAAGAGGTATCAAGAATAAAATCCCATCCGCACGCAGTGTTGAATGCAAGACCATCCCAGGTCATCCCACGCCAAAACAAAACATTTAAAAAAACACCATCCCCGGTGCAGGCCACTTTTTATGCCGTTGAAGGACAACCACTTTTGAGTTCTAAGTTGATGGAGAACCCGAAATGCCAATCATAACATCGTCGAATCATGTTGAAAGTCTATTTCCCAAGTATATCAGACGCAAATTGGAAAGGTAAGGAAATTAGTAACGGTAGATCTCGGGCTTGAAGGGACCCTCGACAGGCAGGCTGAGGTACTCGGCCTGGACGGGAGTGAGCTTGGTAAGCTTGGCGTTGACGTGGTCCAAGTGGCAGCGGGCGACCTGCTCGTCGAGCTGCTTGGGCAGAACGTAAACACCGATAGGCTTGCGGCCACCGGCACCGAACTCGACGTACTTCTGGCCGAAGGCCTTGTCCTCGGCCTTGAAGAGGGCAATCTGGGCCAAGACCTGGTTGGAGAAAGAGCAGGACATGACGAAGGAAGAGTGGCCAGTAGCACAGCCGAGGTTGACAAGACGACCCTCAGCGAGGAGGATGATGTTCTTGCCGTTGAGCTGGTAACGGTCAACCTGGGGCTTGATGTTCTGGACGGACTGGGAGTTGGCCTTCAACCAGGCGACGTCAATCTCGATATCGAAGTGACCAATGTCTAGAGAAGTGGTTAGAGGCAATGTTCAGTCTCGGGTATAGAGTCCGAATGATAACTTACTGCAGACAATGGCGTCGTTGCGCATGGCCTCGAAGTGACGGCCGACAAGGATGTCACGGCAGCCGGTGGTGGTGACGAAGATCTGACCGACGGGAGCAGCCTCCTCCATGGTGTTGACCTCGTAACCCTGAACGGCAGCCTGGAGGGCGTTGATGGGGTCGACCTCAGTGACAATGACACGGGCACCCATGGAGTGGAGAGCCTGGGCACAGCCCTTGCCGACATCGCCGTAACCGGCGACGACAGCGATCTTACCAGCGATCATGACATCGGTGGCACGCTTGATACCATCAATGAGAGACTCACGGCAGCCGTAGAGGTTGTCGAACTTGGACTTGGTGACACAGTCGTTGACGTTGATGGCGGGAACCTTGAGCTTGTTCTCCTTGAGCATCTTGTAGAGGTGGTGGACACCGGTGGTGGTCTCCTCGGAGACACCGAAGCAGTCATCGAGCATCTCGGGGTACTTGGTGTGAACGAGGGAGGTGAGGTCACCACCGTCGTCAAGGATGAGGTTGAGCTTCTTGCCATCCTTGAAGGCCTGGAGCTGCTGCTCCAAGCACCACTGGTACTCCTCCTCGGTCTCACCCTTCCAGGCGAAGCTATAGAATGGAATCATTAGAATATGGTACATCGAAACAAGTTGGTCCAAGATCAAGACTTACACAGGGACACCGGCGGCGGCAATAGCGGCAGCGGCGTGATCCTGGGTGGAGAAGATGTTGCAAGAGGTCCAGGTGACCTCAGCACCGAGGTGAGTGAGGGTCTCGATGAGGACAGCAGTCTGGATGGCTGTGAAAGCGGTCAGCACAAGCTCGTTTGATTTTGCAAACGATCCACGTACTCATGTGCAAGCAACCGGCGATACGGGCACCAGCGAGGGGCTGGTCGGCACCGTACTTCTCACGGATAGCCATGAGACCGGGCATCTCAACCTCGGAGAGCTCGATCTCGCGGCGACCGAAGGCGGCCAGGGACTAGAAGAATGGTCAATGGCTGACGGATGGAGGAAAAGAGGCGAGAGACATACCAGGTCAGCGACCTTGAACTTTTGTGCGGGGGCAGCCATTATGATGAATTTATTCAGAAACTGTGAATAGTTAGTGGAGAGATTCGAATTGATGGGATTCTGAATTGACTGACCAAAAGTGTATGAAGGAGAAAGAGAAAGGAAAGAGGGAAAAGGAGAATAGAGAGGGGAAGGAAAACTCTCCCGCTAGTGAGGGATCGCCAAGGTGCCAAAGGACGAAAAGGTATCGGGTACTCATCTGCCGGGGCATTTAATGTGAGACAGCTTGTACCAGGTACTTCTCAGGTAAGACGCCTGCGGGCTCCGTGGGCTGACTGATGGCGGGGTCTTGCTGAGTCAGAATTGGAAGCCACCTCACTGCCCAAGTGGGCAGGTGGGTGACTTTATTGGTGGTTCTAGATGAATTTTACTGTATGAAGAACACCTTCGGATGATCTTCCTAATCTAGTTGATGAGGCTGTAGACTCAAGATCATCGACATGCAGATCCTTCGTTCATGTACAGGACATGTGCGGTCTCGGGAAAAGAGCGAAACAAAAGAGTCCGAAGGAACTACCAAAGTGGACCCAGCATGACAATCATGAATGCACCCCTTCGTATTCATAGAACGCTTCAAAAATAGGTAGATAGTACTTGGCAAGATACGTGATATCCATAAAATCCGACAGGAAATCGGGGGGCGATAAGTGAGGCAGTCAATCAACGTCAAATAAACAACATAGGTAGTCTCATAAATCATGAAAAGGGCCGAAATCATGATGCCAGGATGAAACGAGTAGTAACACTAGTAAGATATCTGTGGCGTCTCATGGGAGCCATAGGCACTTCCATCACGGTGATCAGGGGCATGGCCGGTCCGGGATTCGTTGGTTGAAGGGGCTTGTTCAATTTCGTCAGGCCAGCGATGCCGGGTTGACGCAGGACCTTGGCTATGAGCACGACGCATTTCACGCTTGACAGCCCGGCGGGCGCATTCCTCCTGGAAGTGGTGGTTCTCTTTGCGTTTCTCGACAACTTCATGCCATTCATCGTATGCGCCCTTGATGCCGAGGGCAGCAAGGCCGATACTCACAGCGTCCATGGTGTTAGCTTTTATGCGGCGTTTTCGGGCCTCCTCGGGCGTGATCTCGCCCTCTTTCAACATTTGCAGGCGCTTCTTCCTCTTTTCCATGCTCCCATACAGCCCGTGCGCAGCGTGAATAGTGGCCACACTAGCCAGACCTCCCGTCAGAAGCATGTCCCGCTTCAACTTCTTGCGTTTTTTCTTCTCATCAGAACTGTCGCCTATGTCAGAATCACTCTCCGAACTCGACGACGCGTGGCCGCGGTCTTTAGAATTGGCACCCGATTCAGCGCGCGGAGCACTGGTGGGTGCATGAGGGGGTGGGTTCCTTTCGTGCAAGGAACGGTGTCGACCTACATCTCTCGAGCCTCTGCTCCGTCTCGAGTCCTTCCAGTAATCATCACTGTCCTCATCTGAATCCGAATAGTCATCGTGTCGACGTCCCCGGCGATGGCGCCGCTCACGATCGTCCCGATGCTCCCTATGTCCCCGATGATGTTCCCTATGGTCATCTCTGCCGTCTCGACTCCGATCATCTCGGTGTCGATCATCTTCTTCCCCAAGTCCCAATGCGGCAATGCCCTTCGTGATGTACTCCGAAACGCTCTTGCTGCGCTTCTTATGGCCGCGGTCACTCTCGTCACTGTCACGGGAATCGTTGCGGCCGCGATGCCGAGACCGTGATCGTGAGACCCGGTCAAAGATTTCTTTTCCCGCAGCAGTGAGAGCACCAGTGGCAGCGAGAGTCTTCAATCCATTGCTTGCTGAAGAACGACCCTTGCCGCCACGGGATTGTGAGCGTGAGCCACCGCCTATGAGATGACTGGCGGCCAGACCGGCAAGCGTAGATTCAACAACATGGCGTGAACCGTGCTTGTTGGGATCTTTGTCAACGAGACCATCGGTGCCACCAGCAGTAACGGCAGCAGTGAGTACGCGCTTTCCTTTTGCGCCAGCCCATTCGCCAGGTTGTTTGCGTTGTTTGAACGCCTCAACTGCACCGGCGGTCAGGGCGGCACGAGCAGCCTGTGCAATGCGCTGCTGGCTTTTCTCACGCTTGCTGCTGCCGCGGTGGCCACTGGGACTGCGAGAATCCGATGATGACCTTGAGTACGATCTACGGCGATGGCGGGCATGGGAGCGGCCGCGGCCGTGGTCTCCGCGGCTGGCAGTTGCAGCGGCGCCCCCGAGTCCGAGGGCACCTAGAGCTTGCTCGCTAAAAGACTTGCGGCGTCTATGGCGGGGTGGGGAGGGACTTGGTGATGAAGCAGAATCGTACTTGGGGCGACGGGAACCTGGTAGACGTTAGAACTATACCCAGTCACAAGGAGCCCATATTACTGACTTCTATCCTCGTAGTGTCTGGCCCGACGAGGACGGGAGGTTCGGTATGCAGTATCGTAGTATGGATCGTAACCGCTGACAGAGGAGGCACGGCGGGCATTCTGATAGACAGGGCGCCTCGGCTGACGCGAATCATAACTGCGCTCATATGCACGGTCTGAGCCTGGCGGGTAGTCACGTTGGACTTCCTCCACCGAGTCGTTGCTCATACGTGGAACATATGAGTCCCGCTCGTGTCTTCTGTAGCGGCCACGGGGATCATCGTACGGATCATTGTAGCTGACCGGGGGTGCATAGCGATCGCGGGGTTCTCGATGACGGCGATCCTCGTAGTATGCCATGGTCGAGGCAAGGTGTGGGAGGGATCACACAAATTCAAAGATGAAGGTCGAGTGCTGTGAGCTGCTACCGTTCACGGGGAAAATATGTGTTGTGTGAGAAAGGAAGATTTGCGATGAGAGATATTTGGCGGGGCTGGAAGGGGTGGCGTGACGTCGATGTGGATTCAGATGGGAAGGAAGTACTGGGGCTGAGAGACTTGGCAGTGGCTGAGAGAAAGATACGAGCGATAGAAGGTTGGGATATACATTGCAAACAAGCACAAAGCCAAGAGAGCAAAAGGACAATTTTGAGATTATATACTTCGAGAACCAAGATCGAAGCCATGACGTACAGTGTGCAGTAAGAAGGACTTTCCTGGGTCGAAAAGGGGATATACCAGCCACGTCGAATGAGCATTTGGGCCGATATTGTGTACAATATCTCGGGTTTTACTCCGACGTCATCCTGCAGTTGGGCAGGTGGGTACCAGGGCGTTTATGATGGCCCAGCCCTACGAAAATGCGGTCAACCTATGTTTTCGCAGTTGACAGGTTCACAATAGTACTTCATTCTAGTGAGATAACTAGTACTTTCTCTGAAGTATACCCCTGGACATACTGTGTGCAAGATCCATGGATTTGATTTATGGAAAGTAAACATTGGTTCCACGGGTCGCTCTCGGAGTTCCCCGCATCCCCAGTGGCTTGCGATCTGACCAACACAATGTTCTGGATGTCATTGAGTGCAGCCAGAACTCGTTTTTGATGCGTTTCATGGATATCCCTGATGGAACGCAGCATTTATTTGGTCCCCTTAAAAAACAAATAGCCTCCCACAGATTTCTTCCCTACATGATACGAGAATCAGAACATGATACAGGGATACCAAAACAGGAAATAATAGAGGCAAATAGTAACACCTCTGGTAAGACCAGACGTCTCGTTATTTGGAATCGTTCGAAGGGTCATGCGGATGGTCGCTGAAGTATTGGAACAAGATGGAAATGTATGTGGAGAGCCCTGAATCCACAGAGCACACAAAAATCACAGTAGACGGACAGAATTGAAGTACACCGCACACCAGTGGCGGAACATGAGAGACCATAGGAGAAAGTCATGGTCATATGCTAGACAGAGAGTAGATCGAATGGTCCCAGGGAAAAGAACGGACATTGTTCCATCAAGGCGCTTGCGGGCCAACACCAGGGGGAGGCCGCACAGCCGTCTCAATGGGCTGACTGAGATTGCGCTGATGAGGTGCTGGGGGGTATGCTGCAGGTCGAGCCATTGCCCATCGACCATCAACATTCTCTGGTTCAGAGGTAGAGCGGATCTCATCCGAGTGAGTCCGATGAGTGCGAATGTGCTGCTTCATGTTATCCTTTCTTGTGAAGGACTTGTTGCAGATCGGGCAGTGCACACTCTTTTCGCCGGTATGCTTCTTGCCGTGGCGCGCAGCATGACCTGAGGTTGTAAATGTCGCAGAGCACCCATGACTCGCAGCGTAAGGGCATGGGTACTTGTTCTTTCGTCCCGTTCCACGTGTGGCTCCATTCTGCGATGTCGTTTCAGATGTGACTGAGCGAGCGTCTGAAGGTGTTTGGGGCGTTGATGGGCCCCGGCCCGGAAATCGATATGGGTCCCGTAGAGGATCCTGCCGGGCGTACGGGTGATAAGCTGATGGTTGTTGGGTGGTGATATAGTCATAGGTTGAGCCATCGGACGACCCGGGCGAAACGGGCTGGACGGCTTCAGTTACTGAGTCAAAGGGATGTCTGGTACGTCGTGATGATGCTGCTGGAGAGTCAGATGCAGCATCGAGATGGGTGTAATGTGGCCCGCTGACGGGTGGGGGCAGATGCTCTGCATGATGTGAACGATACGATGACGATATTTGAGTCGGACTAAGTCTGGGAGCAGAGCGGACGGCAAAGGATGGATTATCATCATTGTTCAAGATGGACACAATGTTCGTCCTGCAACTGGACATCTCCTCAAGGCCCCGATGTGCGCTCACCGGGGCTGGAAAGCTATACTAAAAGGCAGAAAAACAAGTTAGTTTGACTGCTAGCAACCGGCTCAGCCGGGCTCTGGATGCTCGTAGGAACTCTCAAGATCGCCGATCCGAGACCAAGGTAGAAAGGAGAGGAGGGGGTTGAAGAAGAGAACGGGCATCCCGTTCCTTTCTTGCCTCCCGGAGGGCACACGACAAACGCACCGGCGGCTCTCTAAAGATGTTTGTCCTCTGTGTCGTGTAACAAGTCGACAACATTAGACCCTAAATCGGCGCTCGCCTGCAGGCCTGAACAGAAGCCTGATGACTCGAGCTCGTGCCGGACTCCGTGTCTGTTTCGAGGCACGTAGAAGACCAAATCGAAAAGTATCTCCAAGGGCCGTGTAGTCTCGGTGCCGCGACACGCAGTGGTGGGAGGGCGAGATGAGGTCTGACAAATCCTCTTTCGTAAATTTCTTCCGAGGCACAGGTCCTCTCTTTTCCTTGCTCTCTGGAATTTCTTGGTCTTTCTGATTTTCTAATTTTGCAATTGGATGTGGGGAACACAATCCTCAACGGCAGTTGCAAACTGGCCTGGGGATGTTGCAAAAAGGTCGAATTCCAACGCCGGGTTGTCTAACCGTGCAAAGTAACAGTTCTTCCAGAGAATTGTTAGGCTGGGGGGTTATTAATACGAAGCGCTCTGCGCGTGCCCGTGATAGAAATCGAAGTAAAGGATCCCGCAGAATCAGATAAGAGAGCCCTAGAGGAAGGAAGAGACGTGAAGATTTGTAAGACAAGGACGATAGAAAGACGAAGAATAAGAATACAGATCAAGAAGGCTTAGAAGAAAAGGAAAAAAATTTGGACCGGCCAAAGTATGGCCATAAGTAGATTAAAAAGGCAGAAGCCAAGCAGCTCCAGGGTCCGTCGAGGCTCTCCAGAGGAACTTACAGTTCGATACGGCGCTACGAATTAGTTCGGTGGAGTCTGAAAGGAGAGAGAAAATAATATAAAAACCAATACAAATAAATACAGAGTGACAAGACCCCTAATCCACTGTGCAGAGACCCGTTTTCTTCTCCGTTTCTTCCGGGCATCCCGTGACCTGGAGTGTTTTTTTCTTCAGTTCTGCTTGTTATCTTCTTTTTTTCGATTCTGGGTGATCCTCCCATTGTCATGGTCGATGTAGTTTTATTTTCCCCCTTATATGTATGGCATGCATCGTGAAAAGTCTTAACTCCGACTGGATTGTCATTTGGACTAGGGCTTCGGCTGGGCCAAGCGAAAACAGGAAAAGATCCACCTTCTCGGCAGAACTACGGACAGTCTTGGGACCATTGGACCCTGGCTTTGTTTAGGGTAAATCAAATGGGATGTTGTACATTTCCCGATGTATTCGCTTCAGCCTTCAGGGATTTAAATCGGCGACTAAACAAGTTTGACGCGGACAAGCTTTTAGCCCTCGCATCATGGCGGGCACATCCTCCAGGGCTACACTTCACCCATGTCGATACGTGCATACTCTAATGGATCTGATCCGTCGTTTCCCTTCCCCCAGAGTCAAACTACCTAGAATTGAAGACATACGCGTAAGTGAATCAGTGATGATGTTGGTTACTTGGCCTATTAGGGAACTCGCCTCCGGTTCGGGAATGCAGAGCGGGGAATGATTTTCGTTCGGAGATATGGTTTTTTTCTCTTTCAAGGTTTTCGAGGTTGGGAAGTACTGTTTATCTTTATTTACTTTATTGTATACATCGCACTCCTTGAACCCAGTGTTATCGGTGGTATGATATAGGTGCTTAGGTCGCTAACGCTCAGCAATTACTGCAGGGTCATGTAGAAAAGTCTTGGAAACAAGACCCAGCCCTATGAGCTTTAATGGGATGCAACGTTGGAACGAGTCGTTTCGAAAGTCCTCCCTCGGACATTTGGGTCTCTTGAAAGGGTACTTTGCACCGAGTTCCTTGTACACGTATCATAAGTTACATGCTCTTAAACAACACAAGTCTCCACAAATAGCCTTCACGTCCCGTGGTCACGAGAACAATAGAGGTGTTATCAATCTATGTACTCCGTACTGGGTCGTGGTCTTCTATCGGCGGCCGCATCTTCGGCTTCGTCAACTTGTCATCATTAAAGGCAAAGGAGTGCCGTCGTATTCGCATATCCGCCCCACTCCGGAACCATTTCCGGGGCTCTCTTGCGCCCCGCCAGTACATGCAGCGTAGGATGAGAGATGGGACGGTACTCGCAATCGATCTGATCTGGGATAGGGACTGGCTATGTTGGTCATAGTGCTATGTACCTCCTCCCATCCTACCAGGCTACCATCGATTTGGCGTCCTCATGCTTTTACTTTCTTGTGGTTCTATCTCGAACATAAAATCCACATGGCACAATGATCAGGCCGAGCTTCAATCCCCCGATCCCGATTTCAACCTTGGATCTGGTCAAAGACATGGTTCTTGGCTGAGGAGGCGGTCCGACTTGGGGGGTTTTGAGCCGATAATAACTTTGCCTTTCCAAACTGGACGGGGCTTACGTATCCATGGATGCAGGCTACCTAGATTGCCGTGCTTTGGGGTCTAGCCTAGCTCCAGCCACTGAATGTTTATATACTTCGGTGCTTGCGTTGGCCATAGACTTAATCTGCGCATCATGGCTCTGACTCGTCCTCCCGAGGTCCCAGCTTACGCCACGAGCTTGATTCGTCAGGGAAGTGATTCTGGTTGGTCCACAACCTAGTTAATGTTCCCGAAGAACTCTGTTTTCTTCCAATTCCAAATAGCTAAAATGCAGGGACTCGGGATCTGTCTCCCTACGTCGACTGTCAGTATGTAGCATAGCTGGGCCCTAATTAATTGCCCTTCCCGCTTAAGGGGAGCTTTGTTACAGCCGTTCACTCACGCTGTGTGAAGTCGGGTTTAGAAGGCATTTACTGTTTCAAGTCTGTTATACAACAGGCTTGACTGAGTTATGGGACTCGAACGTTAGATTCCGTTGATGATCGGGGCTTTTATTCCCGATGCCGACAAGAAAAACTTTGGCCTCCACCGAGTCCCCACATCGTTCCAAGGTTTGGAATCGAACCCAGTCAACACACACAGAGAGAATTGCCGGCATTTGAAATCCACGATGGACTTCGATCTTGATACTCCGTAATCAGGGCAGCATTCTTCGTGGAATATGCGATTCGGCAAATACCATGCCGGGCTTTTTCCAATCATTCTCCGAATCTTGACAGCGGAGACTCAGATCCGTAGCCCCATACCGCCGAGATCCTCTTGTGGCTTGTGTGCAATTTCGCACTATTGATTTGAGCTATTTCTAGAAACCTGTTGCTATCCTTGGAGAATAACGGGGCTCGGTGCATAACTTCTGAGTGCTTGCGGATTACCCAGGTAATGGTCAGTACTTAGTTCTAACGCCGAGTACGGAATACAGGCTACAGCTCCAGCCGGGTCCATCTGATGACAAAGCGGAGCAAATCGCCCGAGACATCATGCTAACTAGTTCCAGTATCTCAGTTCGACTCCGTAATTTGCTGGAGCTTCGAAATGGGATCGGCAGGACCCCTGGTCTGAGCGCATAAGACCCCAGGTATCGCAATTTAGGCTACAGTCAATCCTCAGATTGTGCTCGGGAAATCGGCATTCCCCCATGCCCTGGACCCCATTTCTCACAGACACGCAAAAGGAAGGTCGGTCCTATGTTGCAGGATGTTCGACTTAGCGGAAACAGAGAGCAACCGCTTATCAGCATTTGGAAACTTATATGATGGTCATGCATCGTCACCGGGCCAGTCCCCGTTTGGCTCTACGGTATCATCCCAATCATGCGGGTCTATGATTCCCTGTCATTGCATCGCAGTGTAGGGGATGCTTGTAATTTTTGATGTTTCTGCTAGTAAAGAGCGAGCACAATAATAGCCACTTAGATCGGTAGCGGGGTCAAGCTTCCTAAAATAAACCCACTATCGACAAGTTGGCGTCGCGGAGACGACTCATAAGCTCCATTATCATGCGGCATGTCTACTAGAATAGGGGTCGGCCGACTGTGGCTTTGCATGTCGCCTGTCAGAAGTGATGGTAACGAGGAGTGTGCATTCATCGATCCACTTTAGTAGACCTACTGTGTATGTATCCCTCCCACGGCAAAGGCATTGGCTATATTCGAACATGGCCAATGTACCCAATTATCTCCGACTTAAGCATCAAAGTCAAAGATATGCTAGCGCCTTCAACATGAACGAGGCTGCGTAAGCAAAAACGTCACCTCGGCGGGCGGTTCATGCGTCATTACCTACGTTGCTGTGTGCATGCTAGGGCGCCGAAATGCTCGCCAGGTTAGCCCCTGCATATCTGGTGGTGATGCATGATGCACTTGGACGGCAGGGAAGCGTGCCTGAGCACTGGTAGCATCAAACAGCAGCATCTAGAGAGACTTGGGGAATCAGAGTCCGTGAGGAACCCTTTGTTCTCAGTGTGGATCCGAAAACCCCATCCATAATCGCTTGTTAAGATATGTGGTATCCTTGATTTGGAATCATGCAGTCAACCGAGGTCGACTACCTCCACGAGACCCTTCCGATGAATGTCCACATGACACAGCTTTGTCCTCAATTGAGACTGCTTGGTGAGTAGGCCAATAGTGTGTGAATTGTCACACTGTTGTAACGAGCCAGATCTTCGAAAGAAAGAGTGCATTTAACTAGAACAACAACTATGAAGAAAGAAGAGAAGAAGAAGAGAAGAAGAAAGGAAACCGCCAAGAAGCCTTTTACCCCCTCTCGTCACATGGAACTGTAGCTTCACCGGGTGGCCAGGGTCAAACTGGATAGACTTGAATATATAGGTACAGTAATCGGAGCCACGCCCCTGACATGTAAGGAACTGGGACTCGGTGGTACTGGTCACGGTCATCTGTTTCGTGGCCTTCAAGTCAGTTGGGCCTCCAAATGTCATGCAGAGAAGCCTGCTGAACTCTTCCAGTCTACGCATCTCCAATGCACTCGGCAAGAAATCAGACATATTTCGGAGATAATGCGGGGGAAGGTGGAGAGTCAGAGTCTTCCGGGTAAGGCGTTATGCTTATAGCTCCCAAATCCCAATAAGAGACCTCACAACGTCATATCAATATTGATATCGGCTATTGCGCGTAGACTGAGGACGCCAAAGGACTATTTGTAATTGGCAATTGCTGCTTATTATGGTATGAGGAGAGCCAGGCGGTACAATGAACTACGAGACGGCAGAAACAAGCGATGTTGCTTGATTGGGTAAATCGACCTGTCGAGCATCCATCGGATACAAGTAAGATATGGATGTCCGCATATCATATATGCCATCCATGATGATAAGCAGCTATCACAGCGGGCTGTGCCAATCATCCCCGCAAGGATTATCGCTAGTGGGGCGCGAAGATTGAGGGTCTGATCGGCGCGCGCAGCACCGCGCTTGATAACATCTCTTTTGGGGGGACTCTGCATGACCTTGCCCTGAATGAGGGCAAGCCCGTCCTCCAGCTACTAAACCAACACCGCTAAACCAACAAACAAGGATCTGGATTGGGCTGCTGGGTATTGATATCCCAGATCCACCTCATCTTGCAATGTCAAATGACAGTTGCAATGGAATTATCGGCAGTCAGCATATTAGTTGCAACATCAGAAAGTAACAGTGTTTGCGGCTCAATTTCGAAGACGGCTCGAATCCCAACAGCCCTATGTGAAAAGTCTACGAAGGTCTGCGAGTAGCCGCCAGACTATAAATAAACGATACAAAGATAAACATCTTTTCTTTTTCTTTCAATGGACAAATCAGCAACCAGCCAGAGCTGCATGCCAAGCAGCTAAGCACCAGCTAAACCCGCTCTGGAATTGTTGTAGCCCTTGTAGGGCTAATGCAAAGTACAACTCCGCCATTAATCTCGGCCCCAGCGGGTTAGCCGCAGAGCCAAGTGGACCCTGAGGCCTCTCCTCCTATTTTTAACGGTTTGCAGACAGCTCTTTAAGGGTGGTGATGCCCGTTTCTCCGCTCTTTGAGTCTTTGTCTTTCACGTTGAGACGTTCCACCATGACCTCGTCGCGGGACTCGCTGATCTACACCGACCGACCTCAGCGAGCTTGGAATCCACTTGAATTCTCCAGGGACCCAGATTACCGCTATCATTCCGCATCAGACAGCACCTGGTCTGAAGAAGTCCTGCGCGACGTAGGCTTGGGAATATCGGGGACGTCAGAAGAGACCATTCGTACCACCGATCAGCGTGATTCAACCGATAGTACTGAGACTACGACGCCCCGCGATGCTTATCAGGTCCCGCCGTCTCCACAGTCTCCGCCCCCACACGGCTACGTGCGATGTCCCAATCGCGCAACGGTCCTCCAAAAACGCCTCTCGTGGGTCCCGCTGACGGTTTTGATTCTTGCGATCTATGCTACCGTGTTTTCGGGTCTATATCTCGCTATCGCCTTGCGCAAACCCCGATGGACCAATGTCTCCAGCGATGGGCCGTTGGTTCCATCAACTGCGGCTCTGTTGAGCGCCTTCTTCGCGAAGACGATTGAGTTGGCTTATGTCACGGTTTGTGTGGCGTTCTTGGGACAGGTGTTGAGTCGAAGGGCTTTGATGAGGGATTCCCGAGGAATCAGCATCTCGGATATGAATATGAGGGCATGGATCATGCAGCCAGGATCGATGATTGTGCATTGGGAGGCACTGCGATATTCGGGGCTTACTTTCCTGGGGGCGATTGCCTTAGTTGCGACTTTCGTGGCGATGCTTTATACCACTGCAGCGCAGGCTTTGGGTAATGAATTTCTTTCCATGTGGAATGTGTGACTCGTGCTAACCAACGGCAGTTACTCCGAAGCTCTCCCTTGGCCCTGCGGAGCCAAGAATACTCCAGGGCAAGGTGACTGCTAGTTATGGAAACAACCCATATCTTGCCTCAGTCTGCGAGACACCGATCACCAATTACACGGATCCTTTGTATTGGAACACCACATGCCTCCAAATCGAACACGTTGGCACCGCATATCACAATTATGAACGATGGATTAATGAATGGAGCCAGCGCGTGAATAACGATAGTAAGACGTCGACCGAACTCAAAAGGCGCCCACAGCCATCAGGTTCAATCTGGGACAACACCACAGTTACTGGAAGCTGGATCGATATCCAAGACATGGCCACACTATCCAAGAAATACGGCCGAATGGTCAACAATATAACCATGGCAATGCCACACGGCGGCATCCCCGGAGCAGCCATGGACCCCAAAAATAAAATCAAACAGCCCAGAGCCACCTCCGGCGAAGGCACATACAACATCGAAGCCTCAGTCCCCTCGCCAGCAGTCAACATTCTCTGCGTCGGAATGACCAAAGAAGAGCTCAGCCCACTAGTCTACGCATCCTGGCCAGGAGGCAGCAAATTCAACCCGACCGCCTGGAACAACTACCCAGAAGAGGACATCCCTCGCTACCCATCCTGGCTAAACCGCACAGTCGTCGACGAGCTCTTCCAGTTCGGCCCGAAATACGGCCAAGTCCCTCCAGTCTTCGGCAAATTCCCGCAACCGTACAACACAATCCTCAATACCACCGGTGCATGGCCCGCAAACGCAATCTACCTCCTAGGCGCCACGGCATCAGAACACAAAGAGATGCCACCATACGTGATGTGCGCAATGCGCGGGAAACAGACAGGCAAATGTTCAACCAAGTACTCCGCAGACTCCAGCGGAGCAGTCCTCAGCGTAAGCTGCGAAGACCCACAGAACGAAATGCAATACGACCGACGTTTCAACGGATTCATCGAGGGACTGTGGAACCCGGACTGGAAGAATGTTGCCGCGGAGTGGGCGAATGCTGTCAGTCTCAACTCGGGTATCACCGACGGCGCAGCGAGTAACGCCCGTTTGCTGATGCAGATGATGCCGCGGTACGAGGAAGATAAGAAGACATTCTCGCTGGACCCGGTCCTCCCGTCCATGGCTGAGGCACTGGCCGTTATGGCGGGGAGCACGCTAATTCTGAGTTCGCGGGATGCGCCGTTCGTGGCGTATTGGAACTATACCGTTAACGGGCATCCACTCAAAGAGCCTGTGTACCAGTTTTTTGAGGCTACTACCCAGGCTGTTGGGTATGCTTCCGGTGGGACGGAGCGGTGGCAAGGTGTTTTCTATGTGATTCTGGTGTTTTGCTTCTTGACCAGTGCCGTGTGTCTTGGATTTATGATTATTGAAGCGCGTGGACGCCAGGTGACTGATTTCACAGAGCCGCAGAATTTGTTTGCGCTTGCTATGAATAGTCCCCAGACGGCGCAATTGCAGGGTGCCTGTGGATGTGGACCGTGGGGGAAGCAGTTGAAGGGGAGGTGGTTTATTGGCATGGCGGAGGATGATGAACATTATTACATTCGGAGTAAGAATGAGGAGAATGTACCGTTTAAGAGTACAATGGATTCCAGCCCGGAACCGATGGAGATGGATGATGGCACTGGCAAGATGGTCAGTCCTATGGTCAATGAGTTCCGGAAGGTGTCGAAGCGGCATTCGTTTTTGGCGAAGCTTTATTGAAGGATAATATGTGGGCAGTTGGATGCTCGCAACGATATACGATTGCAAACGATAATCACTAATGGAGATGAAGTCATGGAGCTGGCAACATGTTGCAAACGTACATAGCTAGCGCATGTGCTTGATTTCAATACACAGGGACATATTATTTCCAGATCCGACATATGTGCAGAACAACATCCAACATTGAAAGACAGGTAAATCGACCAGAAACAGGCACAGCCAGTCAAAGAAAATGACAAGAAGAGATCAAGAACAACCAGCTCGACAAGTGTGGCATAACGCTAAGGAACCGCTCATACACCTTGGCATAAAACGAGGATGCTGAATGACGACCAAAATACAGCACGTCAAATGCAACGACAGAAAACAATAGGCTTTTTCAGGATACCACTAGCCACTTGAGACATGGAAGGCACCGATGAGAAAAAGAGAGAGGTAGGAGAGTCACCGATAGACCTGGCGAGGAGAGTTGTGGAGGGAAAAGGAAGGTAAAGGGAACGTTTGATGGGAAAACCCGACTAACGATCAGCCTGAAGATTGAGCCAGCTCATATCGCTATCAGGTTTGTTCTTTTGTTCGTGCATCGGGATCTCCTCAATATTCGGTGGTATGATCACGCTGGAGCCTCGTGCATTTGACTGCCTTCCCTTGCCTGAGGTGTCTGGCGATGACCAAGGCAAGTCGTGCGTGCTCGTTTGGTAGACGCTGGAAGTATAGGTACTGCTCGTAGGACGCCCAAGCCAACTGCTTTGGCCTGCGCCTTGCCAATTCGGATCGTCGCGCTCGTCTTCTGATGCGAGACTGATTGAATCTACACTGGAGATTCGTGCTGACTGGCTCTCGGGAATCACCAGGCTCTGACTGCCCATCTCATGGGTATTGTGCTCCGTGGTCGGGCTGCCGCTGAAGACGCGGCCGAGGGGCTTAGGCTGGTCAAGGAATCCAAAGTTCAATGGTGTCAAGCTCGTCATTGGCCAGCCGCTTCCGCGGTAATCGGACTTGGTGTAGGCAGAGCTCACGGTTGAGCGGTCGGATTGTACATTTGTGGGAACTTCGTTCTCAAAGTACTTCCCCCATCCTTCGTCGGTCGTTCGATTTCCAGGCTGGTGTCCATGATCTGGGTTATTGCCCGCCCGGTCGGTGTCATCGGTGTATACGCTGGATGCGCCCATCACACCACTTGAGGGAATTGTGGAAAGCGGACTGCCCCTTTCCTTGGACAATCCATACCCCATGCCACCGGGCGGCTTGAGAGATTTCTCTCCGCTGCTGTAATTTCCGGTTACAATGGCCAGCGAGTCGGCCCTTTCATGGGCCACTGGCACAGGAGATCTGGCCATAGGGTAGGCGCCTTCGGTCAGCGGTTCAATGCCCTGATCCTGGAAGCTTAGGCGGTCCTTGCTATTGCCACCGCCACTAGACTCGTTTGGCTGTCTCTTCTTCTTCTCACGTCGCAGCAGGAAAAGAATGATGAGCAAGATCAAGCCGAACCCGAGCACACTTCCAAGAGTAGCGCCAAGGATCATTTTACCATGGTTACTTAATCCTGCACCTCCAATTCCAGCTGACGTTGATGTGGAGGTGGGCGTGGTTGAGGTTGAGGTGGATGTTGATGAGGTCGGTGTCGGAGTAGATGATGTGAATGAGGTGGTGGATGGTTTGAGCGTATTTTGATCTTTTCCATAGAACAGCTCTGTGGAATTCAACCATCCATTGGAGGTCTGGTTATAGATTGCCAATGAGTCGTTACTCTTGCCGCTGGCGAGCACGACCATACCGTTGCTACCCTGAGCAAGCGTGTAATCCGACCAACTTTTCGTCGGGGCAAATGTGCCGTTGTAAGAATCTGTGATGCCCCTCTTTTGCGAGGGCGCAATGACCGAGGCCGGGCTCTGTGGTTTTCCTTTAGAACTGAGCAGGTAGCCAGTGACACTGTTCGGAACAGCCACCATGTCAAACACCTCAAGGACCTTGTTCCCATGCGAGTCTGTGGCGAGCGCGCAATGGGAAGAGCTTGGAATGCCGTTGGGAAGAGTCGCTTCCGAGACGGTCCAACCTTTCTCATCCTCATAGATAAAGATGGCAGTATTGGTTTCAGAACCACGAATCAAGGCGACTTGGGAATCACTCCAAGGCATGATTATGGGCTCATACGATGCTGGTGCCCCCTGGTCAGGCTTGGACCACACGTCGAAAGGCTGCGTTTTCGTTGGGATAACGAGTGTCGACTGAGATATCTGTTTGCTCCCATCTGTGGCTCCCGCGTAGACCAATATTTGTGAAGTTGAGGGGAGGTATCCGACGCCATGCCCAGTTCGATCTTTCATATCCGGGGCTGTCATGGGTACCGTTTTCCACTCCTTTTCTTTGAACGAGAATCGTTGAAGGCCGCTGTTGCCCGCGGGGCCGGCCCCTCCGACCACGTAGAATGCTTTGTTGTCGTCCTCGTTTTCGATGCCATCGATTCCACCCTGGACGCAGGCAGGTCCGATCACCCTATGTTCTGGCGAGGGGAGTGGCTTCCAGGTTCCGTTTTTTTCCAAAGGTATTGATGCGAAGCCATCTGGCGAATAGACATAGAGCGTATTGTTGTGTATGGTGGAGCAATCTCCTTCGATCTTGTGCAAGGGTTCCGGGCCTTTCATTTTCAATAGACGAGAGTCAAGATGAATTTGGACCGGTAGTGAGAGTGGGTGTCCGGCCAGTCAGGGCTTACTAGGCCCAATGCGAAGAACAGAAAAGGTGACTGCCAGAGCACTATCTCATGTCGGATGAAGCGATTGAGCGAATTGTGCCACGATGTCACGCAATCTAGGTGGGATTGACTGCGCAATAGTTTAGGGCAAGTGTCTCACAATTTCTCAACTTGTTTTCACGTTGCAAACTATGATTTCGAGTTGTTACGGTGGAATTGAGACCAGACGCGTATTGGGCGACTCGACAACTCGGGACAAACACAATCAAAGTGGTTTGAGGGGTCAACAAACAAAATACGGACGCGTCGGACAAAGAGGTCAGGTAATCGCAAGGGTTTGAGGCTGGGGCGATCCAATCGAAATGTGCAAGGCCAACAAAAAAAGAATAAACAAATGAATGAGGTTGGCGAAAAGAAAGGCTAGAAGTCCGGCTATCGAATGAGTGCACAGCACAAGAGGAAATCCACGAAAAGAGAGACGAGGGAAAGACCAAGTGAGACAGGGAGAAGGGTCCTCAACCCCCTAACGGCGGAGGTTAGCAAGTGAGAGGGCTAGTGGGCTAGCGAGCGGCGCCATCCCCTAAGGGGAAGCCTTTCGTCATTTTCAATTTGGGTTTTTTTTATTAAATTTGGCTTCGTTTAGGTCATTTAAGGTCATTTAAGGTCATCTTGGTCCCTTGGATTGGCGAGAACTGTCTCTTCTGTTTCGTCCTTCTCAAGCCTGCAAAGGCATATGTAGTTCATGTTCTCTCTGTTTTCTCTCATGATCAGGGGTTCTACCGCGATCGGGTGGAGCTCGTGTACGATGTAAAAACTGGACCCCCCGTTTTACATCTGGCCCTTGGGTAGTTACTGCAACTCCCTCCTATGCTTCGCTTCGACGCGATCGAACAGTAAGGAGAAATGCACATGCATATATGCATAACAAAACATAAAACAAAAATAACAAAAAGACATGAAGCTGGAGATAAACAATACCTCCCAAGGTTCTTTCCCCCTCTCCAGAACCATGGTTCAGTCCTACAGATCCACGGAAATCAACCCGCTTCCCCATTTTGGATCCTGATTTTGACGAAGGTTCCTCGTGTACACAGTACATGACAAGTATCTGCATGTTATTTGAATGCTCTCGCCAAGTAAGAAGTATCTTTTACAGCCTTCAATTCCATTTCCAGGGATCTGAGTCCTCTTCCGTGCCCAATCAGGGCTCACTGTCTACAAATAGATTCAATGTTCACTTCCTCAAACCGTCCATCGTACTCCGTACAGCCTATCGACTCATACTATCGAAGCATCAAGCTCATTCCTATTCCACGTGGTACTTATACAGTATATCGCATGTTCCTATGACTTCCATGGTGTCTGGGGTCGTAATATGTAAATCAAGTCCACCTATCAACGCGTGCCACACGAACATGTTTTGCTGCCGTAGAAATCCTTCTTGCCCGCAAATGTCACAAATACCTAGGTATCATCGACCAGCTGGTCGACGGTTTGATCTCCTACTACCTAGAGGACACTAGGTATCGAACCAGCTCCGACTTGTAGGTAGTTGACTGATGTCAACCTAGGTACCTAGCCCTAGGTAGCGTTGTGAAGTCTTACGTAGGTTCCCATGATATATATCGACCAACCTAGGTAATACCTAAGATCCCATAGGTTTCCACTAGGTACCTTTGGTACTACCTACCTACCTATCTCGCAAGTAATGGAACCTATCATTCCATCTTGAGTTCATTTTCGATTGGTCGCGCTCTTTTTAGAACAACTTACATCCATGAATCATGCAGGGAGAGAATACCTATAGAAGCCATCGTAACCTTATGAGAAGTCCTGCCATCAAGTGTCGCACCCAACGGGCATATCCGGCGACACCGCCGTGATCGAGAAACTACTGCTTCTTGTAGTCACACGTACCTAGGAATACTCGTGAACCTAGAATACCATAGTTTCCTCTAATCATAGATTTTGCATGGGAGATCGGGTGACGAATAAGATACAGGATGTCAAAGTGAAGACAAAGATGGGAATCATTTGATTTGGCATGAATAAAGCCCTCACACGCATTAGCTCTGTCCTTGCTTCCATTGGTGTGCCTTTTGGAGCAGACGGGACAGATTGGCCGCCGATTTGTCGTCCGCAGGGAACACGAAGTCCAAATACTCCTCGTACTTGTCGTCGGCCAACTTGCGACGCTTCTTGACCTTTCGTGGCATCTGTTTGTCGACCTTTTCGGCGTCCTCGGGCGATCCAAATGTGTGTTCGAAACCTTGCCATTGTTCGAGAACTTGTGCGCGCTGTATACGAGTTAGACTGGACCGGATACTGCGCAGTGGGCGGAAACATATACATACCTCTTGCTTAAACTCCTTATCCTTGAACACCTTGTGTGCCCGCTCGAAGACCGAACGCGCACGGATCGTCGCTTGAGAGACCTCGGGTTCTTCCTCTTCGTCGTCCCTAGAGACAATGGCCTCGAACTTGGCGTAGTCGAGCCATACCTTGACGTGATCGGTCCTCTGAAGGAGACGCTCGTACAATTGACGGACACGCTCAAACTCCCCTTCTTCGGTTTCAAACTCGATATAGGACTTCCACACAGCTTCGGGCATGTCGAGGGTCGGTTGCTCGATACCAAGCTCATAGATGGCCCTTACCCTCTCCAAATCTTCCAAAGCAAGCTCCAGTTTTGCGAAGCTTATCCAGGACATACTATCGGAGGGGTTCCATTCAAGCTGTTTTTCGTATAATGTACGGCATCGCACGAACTCAAACAGTCGTGTCTCGATGTTGATGTATCCACGGAAGATTTTGTTTTTCGGACACATGCCGATGGCCTGGCCCAAAGTTTTCCGTGCTGCTTGCAGTTGCATTTGGCGAATCTCAAACTGTGCCTTCATGAGCCAAACCTTGGCGAATGTGAACTTCTTGTGCGGAATGATCTTCAGACATTCCTGATAAATTTGACCGGCACGGTCTGTGTCTTTCGCTTCCATTTCTTCCCACACAGCGTAGAATATCCAGAGATAGATATAGCGGCGCCAATGCCTTTTTTCTTGCGAGGGAGGAATCTGTGCAATGGCCCGTTCGTAGATGTCCCGCACCCGCTCTGGGTCTCCCGCAGTTTCTTCCAATCGTGCAAAGTCGAACCAGATGTCATAGTTGCGAGGGTTTTCTTTAAGCTGTTCTTCGTATTGTACTCTGCGCTTGGACAAGATCACATCTTCCACGCCTTCACGATCGCCGAATTGCTTTTCGAAGGTCGTATAAGCCTTGTGAAGGGTCATGGCCTTGGACCGCGGCAATCGGTCTAAAGCATACTTGTAAATCGCCCGTGCGCGCTCGTACTCCTTCAACTTGGCTTCGAACTTGGCATATGCAACGAAAAGCTTCTCATCCATGAAGTCCTCTCCTAACGTCTCGATTGCCACACCATAGACCTCGCGCACCAAGTCACTTGTTCCATACTCCTCCTCGAAGCGGGCCCATTTGATCCAGTTTCGGGGATCGGGGTGGACCACTGTAAAGCGTTGGAAGATGTTGCGTGCTCGTTCGAATTCGCTGTATCTCTTTTCCAACTTGATGTATGCAGACCATGCACCCTCTTCTGGTTCCCATGACATCCATCGTTCAAAAACCTGGCGGGTACCGGGGATGTTACCCAATGTCTCTTCCATGTAGACATACTTGTACCAGAGCTTGTCGACGCGGGGGAGGATGGTCACGGCACGGTCAAGGAGGTTTCGGGCATGATTGATATTCCGTGTCTTCATCTCGGCTTCGATGTAGCGAATCCATAGCACCACGGAGGTCGGGTCGACATCGAGCGCACGCTCAAAGATGGATCGTGCGCGACGAAATTCTTTTTGTTCGAGTTCCCAAGCAGCATAGCGCATCCAATTGTTCATGTTAATGCGATTGCGCCGCACATAGTCTTCGAAATCCTTTCTCTTCCGACCTTGGTACTCATGTAGTTCTTCAAGATCGGCAAATCGCTGTGTTGGCGCCTCAAGGCCAGGCTCTTGCCGGTCGACAGCCTCGCGGAGAAGTTGCTCCGCAGAGATCTGAACCGGCGCAGCGGCCTTGTTCTTGACCCGGGGAGGGCCACGGGAGGCCTCCATTGTGATTGTTGTTGTACGAACGGATCAGGATATCGAATGAGTTGGTCCGCGATCTGGGATGAGAGACGTGGGGACTGGGAACGACGGGATCGAGGCAAGCGGCGCGAAGATTTGAATTCGACTGAGCTTCACCAATCCTTGGCGGCTGCTTGACCGAGAATATGGCACGAATCTGTCTTACGCCCAGGTTACTGATGGCGAAAGTTGCTTGAGCTCATTCATCAGAGAAGCCGCAATGAAATCGCCGAACTTCGCTTCTGGTCTTTGTCGCCACCCGGGGAGCTCCAGATGACTAATCGCAGCTAGTCATAGGCGGTGAGGAAAGCGGTCAATCAAAACCCAGCTTTTCTTCCCGTGCTTCTGGAACATTACTTCTCGTCAACGCACCTACATACCCAGTGACGTCCTGGGAAGATCACAACTCACCCTGCGCCAGACCCGTTCACCACCTGTACGGAAGTTGTCGACAATATGTCTACCGCCGAAGAACTACTACGCGACTTCGAGGACGACGAGGACTTCGATGTGGGCGAGGACCAAGTCGACGAAGAGCCCGAGGAAGAGCGCAAAGAAGGCGCCGGGGTATCCAGCGATTTCGACCGCTCAATCTCTACTGCAGATGAGTTGACGCGGCTACACAAAATCCTGCGCGATCACTACTCCATCCGATTTCCTGAACTCGAAAAACTTGTCACGTCTCCCATCAAGTACGCCAAGACAGTGGCCATCCTTCAGAATGGCCCGTTCAACGACATCAAGGCTTTGTCCACAACATCAGACAACATGGCTGGCGTGCCACTCAACTCAGTTTTGAACGGGCCATTGATGATGGTGGTGGCGCTGGAGGGAACGAAAACAAGAGGCCGGGAGATGACTGAGTCTGAGCTGAAATTGGTTCTCGATACATGCGAGAGAATCCTGAAGCTTGACCAGGAACGCATCAGTCTCACGGCAAGCATCCAGTCTCGCATGAACCAGATCGCTCCCAATTTGGCTGCACTCATCGGGGCCGAAACAGCTGCACAGTTCCTCAATCAAACTGGAGGCTTGTTTGAGCTGGCCAAGATTCCAGCATGTAATTTGGGTTCACAGGGAGCGCGGCGACAGGAAGGACTGGGATTTGCTACTAATCATGGTGTTCGAGCCCAAGGCTTTCTCTACGACTCGCCACTTCTCCAGGAAGTCCCTCTCGACCTCAGAAAACAAGGAATCCGAATTGTCTCGGCAAAGATGGTACTCGCCACCCGCGCGGATGTCTCCAATTACGCCAAGGACGGCTCTTTGGGCGAAGAACTAAAACACCAATGCTACACGCGACTGGAGAAGCTGACCGAAGCTGCGCCAAACGCCGGTACTAAGGCTCTCCCTGCACCCGATGACAAGCCTTCCAGAAAGCGAGGTGGATGGCGAGCCCGGAAGGCTAAGGAAGCTGTCGCCATGACGGAACTACGAAAGGCGCAGAATCGTCTCGCATTTGGAAAAGAAGAGTCAGAAGTGGGATACGGCACTGGCTCCGGCACGGTTGGCTTGGGCATGCTTGGTCAACAGAACGATGGTCGCATCCGCGCAACTCAGATCGATCAACGTACTCGGGCCCGACTCAGCAAGAACAACAAGGGCTGGGGCACCAACACCCCCGCTAGTGGCACTGCCTCATCACTCCGTGCCTTTGGCCAGGGTGGTCCAGGTGGCACTGCAAGTGTTCTTCAGGCACGGGGCCTGCGCGCATCCGGCGTTGGATCATCTCTACCTGGCCCCGGTGGTACCGCCAGTACTATCGCATTCACACCCGTGCAAGGCCTGGAGTTGGTCGATCCGAAGGTGCAAGCCGAATTGAAGCGTAAGCGTGACGCGGAGGAAAATCGGTGGTTCAACTCTGGGACTTTCACTCAAGCCCCTCAGCAAAACAGCAATTCTCAGCCCGCCGGCAATGATGGCTTCAAGGTGCCTGCCCTTCCACCGAAGAAGAAGGTCGATACTGGTGAGGGCAAGATGGGGCCTCCGCCCAAGCGATAAATGGCCCTGTTGTCCGTGTTTCCACATTGGTGGCTTTTATTGGGTCTCGGCATTTTCGACGGCGTTTCAAGGGGAAGGTTAGGAGACCTGAACTTCTATGATTTACATGATACCAAAGCATTTGTACACTATCCTTCAGGTCTGGCACAGACTCAGAGCCCACCTTTGATCAAGAGTAATGTAACTCGCTTAGTTAGTTACCGAACTCGTTAACTAAGTACTGTGGTCTTTTTTGTAGGGAGGCGAAAAGGGGTGAAAACTGGAATGAGGTTTGGTTTAATGGGATTCTACGATAGACCAATGGTTGGTTCCTCGGCACAGCCTCCTCCTTCGACGCCTCCGGCACATCGTACGAGGTTCAGCCCGGAACGTATCTTGGGAGGAACAGGCTTAGATACGTTCCGAGATGAATCTGGTACGATGAGCAGGAGGCGTCGAAGGAGGAGGAGGCTGTGCTGAGGAACGACGACGTTTTTTTGCTATACCAGGCTGCTCAGCTTGTTCAGCCTGCTCGGGCTGGGTGCAAGGCTCAGTCTTACTGGGGAAAAGAGGGTCAGGATGAGGAAGGTCTTTATCATGCTGCATGCATAGCCCCTAACTCAGCTTCGAACGCAGCTATCTCAGCGTCGATGGCCGCTCTTTCGGCCTCCTGCTGGTTCACCTTCTCCTCCCTAGTGCTGGTTCCATTTTGATGGTCACCGAAAACGGAGTCGTCCGGCTGGTAGTGGCTATCTGATTAGCCCTCTTCGATGTCCTCTTTTCCCTCGTAAGTTGTTGCTTTCTCCTTTAGAGCTCGAGGGGAGGCCTCGACATGTCCCGCTGTCAATGATAACGGTATGGAAAATTCGTTGTCTTGTTTGTTGAAGTTGAATAAGCCGCAACGCTGTCGTACCCGATACCGTGCGGGGCTTGTTGTTGCCTCTTGAGATGAACTTTTGGCCCGGACTTTCCCCTTCTTTCACAAGCAAGGCCAAGTCGGCCATGCCGTTATGCCCACGAAGAGAACGATATACTTGGCCTTGCTTGTGAGATAAGGAGGAAGGGGAAAGTCGAGACCAAAGTTCATATCAGAGGCAAACAACAAGCCCCGCACAATACGACAGCCTTGCGGCTTATTCAAATTGCCGGTAGCAAATCGTTGGTGATGAAGTCAAACTTGGGTATCTATGCATGCCTACCTTACCTTCCGAGATGTCCAGACCCTCCTCGGCTTCTGCAATTTTTATCGCCGATTCATCTTCAATTATTCCAACATAGGGGCGAACGATGTTCGAATAGTTGAAGATGAAGACGATAAAAATTGCAGAATCCGAGGAAGGTCTCTGACTTCTTTCAGTCAGCAAGTGGGTGCTCCAGGGCTGTACCTGTGAAGGGCTAAAGCCAAATGGATTCAATACTGACTAGGCCACATGCAGTGAACGAAAAGCTTGGAGAAGAGAAGGAGCGGAACAAGCAGAGTAACAGTAGAAGTAGGGGGCAAGGCGGTGGCAGAACGTGAGCGTGCGGGGAAAGGCTATGGCAGGCGGATGAATACAAACTATGCAAACTACCCAGCATAATAACCACCGCCTTTGAAAAAAGGGTACAACTGGGATCAGGTGATGGCCTAAAGTGGTTTAGTGCTGCAAATTAAGCGCCAAATGAAACACTAACCAGGGACCAGGGTCCATTTGCCAAGAGATTGCACCATCCGAGGGCATGATTGCTCCCAATCCTTTCGTTCTCACCTAACTTATGTTGTTTTCATTCTGCAGATTCCTCAATAGACTTAGTGGCATACAGAGTGTAAATCTTTGCCAAAGTGATTCATATGTGCACTCTGCTCCTGAGTATCGAAATTTCTATTCAGGAGGCCTTTATACCTAAAGTAGACAGTGGATTCCTGGATTCCTGGAGACTACGAAGTAGATTAGAGTCAAGTGGAGAAAGAGTGTCCGTAGACGTGACCCACATAGACGCCATCGGCTTTGTGCAGCACACAATTTGCCAGGCATGTGGTACAACCGTTGAGAGTCCCATGGTAGCGGTCAGAAGAATTTACTAGGGCTATAAATCCTTTCATCTGCTCACTTGTACACAGTAGAAAATACTTCAAAATCTGTGTATACTGAACTTTTAAGTTGTATTCGAACCCGGTCCTAGAGAAAACACTGCAAAGAGTCTCATTTCTCGCATTGCCCTTGAGTCTTCAATCGAAATCACATCTATCCAGAGTATGGCACCGAGCGTGGCCACTCTGGCCCTCAGCAATACATCCACAGCCCTTAAGAGTCCACGGGACCAGACCACAGATCAGAATGTCTCAAGTGTACCTCGACTGCTGCATCACAGCCATGTCACTACAGAATTCGACCCGCTGAGATTTGAAGCTGCAGCATCCTTGCAATTGAAACTGCCACTCGACAAGCATTATTCAGACGCAGAAACAGATGTACGACTCATCGCATCCCCATACAACGACATTCCCCATCTTCTGAATATAGCTGCACTGGAAACGCAAGACCGACTTTTCGCATTAGCATTGGCATATCTCAAACCTATCCGTGACGACTATGCCACCGCCGAATATACCGAGTCATTCAACTGGACTGAGGTATTTGATTTGTTGAAAGCCTTCTCGCAAGCAGAGGACCATACATGGACATCCCAGTCATATTATGTTGTCATTTTCCGGTCGAAGTTGCTCCCTGATATCGACTCAGATCGTCTCTATGAACTCGATGCACATTCGCATCAAGAGGCGATCGCTAGTGGGGGTTGTTAAAATATTGGTTCGGGGCGAAAAACGACAAGCATGAGAATCTGGCGACCTGTGAGTATTTGACAGTTCTATCTCGTTTTTCCTCTGGTGAAACCTGTGTGTTGAATAGTGGCTAATTCGCTCGACAGGTATTTGGCGTACTCGCAATGATGCCAGGCTTGGTGGCAGAGGACCTTGGCACGCTCAAGCAAGAGCTGCTGCTGCAGTGATGTATCAGCAGATTGTTTTCACTACGTACAGATTGCATATCCACGATGGTGTACAGTACTGGAAGTTGAGTGATTGGAAAGAAGATGCATAAAGAGTTATGTGGAGAGCATGGTCAACGATGCTGTGATTTTATCAGGCATGTTGAACCGGTTGGAATCGGGTCAGGATACTCATACAATTTCTCTCATACATAGAAGCAATTTGCATATAGATCATTGACGTTATCCATACATATTCCACGAGGATACCTATTTCATCTGGGACTAGCAATGTATCTCGAGTCTTCTTGACTTGAAAGCCTAAAGGGGAAATTCTCTTGCAGATCAGCGTTGGCACCTCCACATTTCGACCCAAACTGGCAAGGAACCCCGCCACATGCGGGGATAGTTACTCTTTCGTGTCTCTCCGAGACAACCATACAAGATACGCGGGGCATCGGACTCAAGTATCGATGGATTTGGAAATGGGTTACTTCATAGATCTCTGATTCTGTTTGCCCATACCTGCATGGTCATAGTGAATGGCGAGGATATAAAATGGCACCCCATCTGACCGAATCCTGAACCAAGTCTTAACTCCAAAATCTCGAATGTACCATTTACTACCTAGCTTCAAAATGGTCGGCATCGAAACAGAAAACCTCGCTGTCAACGACGGTCACTTGACACCGGAGAACGTCTCTCTCCTCCGCCCCTCACAACCAACCCTCCCACTCGAACAGCTCCGCAAGCGATACGAAGAAGACGGCTACCTCTTCCTCAAGCAAGTCCTCCCCCGCCAGGACGTACTCGCCGCCCGCGAAGCATACTTCTCCTTGTTGGAATCGACAGGAGTGCTCAAGCCCGGCACTGCACCCGTCGAAGGAATCTTCGATCCAGCCAAAAGCCACCTCGACTACCCGGGTATCGGAGCAGGTCATGCAGGCGGGAACGGAAGACCTGGCGGCGACAAAGCAGCTGCATTTGTTGATCTTGCTCTCGAGGCTCACTATCAGGACTGGTACGCAAAGAAGTTCTGTAACCATCCAGCGTTGTACGACTTCATTGCGCGCTTCTCGGATTGGGGGAAGGATACATTGAGCTTGCGCCGGACGCTTTTGCGGAATAATCTCCCCGGGTCAAAGCCGATTGGCGTGCACTACGACCAGATCTTTTTGCGACATGGTGATCCGACTAGTATCACTGCTTGGGTACCCATGGGAGATATTAAGCTTAATGGGGGTGGACTTATCTATCTGGAGAACGGTGTGTTTCGGGTCTTTTCTGTCCATGCAAACTAATGTACTAATCGAGTTCCGCATGATAGGAGACACGATTGGGCTTGAGATGGAAGAGGCCTTCTATACCAAAGCGAAGGAAGCTGGGTTGAGTGATGAGGAGGCCAAGTCAGCTTTCAACTCAAATATGATGTCCACCGGCTTACTCTCTGAGCATCCGTCTGACTTTGCTCGTGAGCATGGTCGCCGATGGCTGGTATCGGCATATGAGGCCGGTGATGTGGTATTGCATAAACCTCATATGGTACATCGCCTCTTTGCTGATATCAAGAGTTCAGTGGTGCTAACTTCGTGTGCTAGATTCATGCTTCCACTGTCAACAACGATCCAGACAATATTATCCGTCTGGCGACAGATCTACGATTCTGCGATTCGTCCAAGCCTTATGATAAAGTAGGTTATACATGTCGTATGGTCCTGGGCAACTGGAATCGTAGCTAACTCAATCTGGCAGAGATGGATGAACTTTTATACCTTCGGCGATGGCGTGTAGAGGCCATCTGGAGTGGGGAGAGGCTGAGAACCGACGTTCCAGCAATAACCAGAGGAACTTACTGTGTATACATCAATTGGACAAAGGGTTACAATTCAGATTAACAATATGCTACATACTACTGCGTACAACAAAAGCGCAGATAGAGAAGTTGATCCGGTGAGAATTGCATGGAGATCGATCGAAACAGAAGAGCATGCAAGCATGAAACAGTACCATTCCATCATTCCAGTAGCATGCAATAGATTTGACAAGTCTTGTTTTCTAAAATGACCTACTTTATGATCTAGCAAGGGCGTATTTGATTAGTAGGGGGTAAATCTCTGGAATGTTGTGTGTCATTGGGGGTCAACACGGGGTGTGCCCCTAGATCCACATCACGTACTCTGCTTTAGAGATGTCAATATTGCTACAGACATGATGATCCAATACAATCGGTCATCTGTTGTAGAAGCTGGCTGGGAGGGAAAGCCCGATTGCACTAACGTAGTGAAACGCGGAAGCCATGGAGATGCACCGGGTGACGTGTCAGTCAGTAGATTAGCATTTTGGTTTCTAAAAAAACATCATTCCAGACGACGGACTGACTGGCATTGAGGTATTCTCGGGGACAACAAAAGACATGAAGTGTCTGCGGGCCGACTGGCCAGGTCTTCTTGACTCCTGAAATCTACTTCTGTCTTGTCATCAACGATAACCCAAGCTCGAAGTATACACACTTCATCCAACATACGCCTACACACCTCTATATAAGACAGAAATGGTGCAGTCTACAAAGACATCATGGCTCTCTGCCCTAGCTGTGGCACTACTGGCAGTATCCACAGTTCACGCGCATCCAGTCCGCCAGATGAACGAACAGATGGAAGGCCAAGCAGGCAAACTTGATACTCGTTCACCGGTTGGTCACTGAGATGCGAAGCTCCACCAGAGACTACAATGCTAATAGAAGCACAGAGACTAATCCCAAACACTGCGGAGTACCTCAACGACCTCTTTGAGGATTTGGGTCTGAAATTGCCATCTAGTTCAACCGCCACGCCAACTTCCACTCCAGTCGCTACGCCAACCGCCAGCTTCAAGCCCGAGCAGGACGAGCCTGAGAATATTCAGGCGACACCAACCACCCACATCATCTACTCAAGCTCTACCAGCTACACGCCAACCTATGGCAGCGAAGAGGCGGGCTATACACACACGGTGAAGCAGGAGACGAGCCACAGGCCATTGAAGAATATTCAATTGGGGCACGGTTGGAACGAGCCCAACAAGCCTACTGCCGATGATGCTGATGCTATCTTCGACTCGGTGTACACACAGCTAAAGCACGAACTTAGCGATGTGATCAATAGCTCTGATGAGGTTGGATTGGATAGGTTCATTGAGTGAGGGCATCGAGTGCGATGAAGAGAGGAAGAAGGATGATTGACTGGGAAAAGTGAGAGCAAGAGTTCTGGCTTGGTTTTGGTCTTCGACTTGGACGTTGTATTATTATGTTCCATGCAATTCAATCCACATTCGCAATGAATTTCATATGTGTATCAAGAATATTCAAGACATAGGGAAGAGAAAGAAAAAGAAGGTTGAGAGATGGGCATAGATCTCTGTCATGTGATTTCCCCAGGCACATCCTTAAAGTTTAGGATCTGACTTGGCGACTGCACTCCCTCAACCTTAGCAAACCTAAGCAAACATGTCACTGGTGATATCTCAACACTTATGAAGGCGTTCATCAACCCGAGTCTTGACTCTTCTCTACCAAAATGTATCAGGACATTGAGACAGCGTATTCGGCAACTTGATGACAATCCGCGAGGATTAGAGCGCTAAACTCCATTAACTCCGATCTCGTTTTCCGAGCGCAAATCCGGTCCACAGCGATAGTTCCGCCGCCACGACCGAAGGCCGAGGAGATTTCCTGGTCTGAGGCTGGTCATGAGAATGGATATTGTGTAAAGCCGACAACGTCCATCCGTCGTGGCTCGCGATGACCGAGATAATTCTTTGGAGCGGGCTTGTGGTTGAATCCGAGCTGGCGGGTCCCAATTTCGAAACCCATAAAAGGACCCTCCTAACCCACCATGTCCACTTCACTTACCAACTACCGTCTACCTTCTCACTCACATTAACATTCAGTTGATCATTACTGTTCACCTTGACACCTTCTACAATCACCACCATGCCTTCTCTCGTTGGAAAAGAAGTTGCCCCCATTGGCTATGGCACAATGAGTACGGTTCCTCCCTATGAGATCTCGGCGAGAAACTTGCTAACCATATCAGGAATGACCTGGAACCCCAAACCACCATCTCAAGAAGTATGCTTTGAGACACTGAACACTGCCCTGGAACTGGGCGCCAATTTCTGGAATGCTGGTGAACTCTACGGCACTCCAGGGTATAACTCTTTGCACCTGCTCAACGAGTACTTCACCAAACATCCCGAGAATGCAGAGAAGATCGTGCTCAGCGTGAAGGGAGGCTTGAAGAAGGGAGAGCTTACTCCCGATGGCTCGGAAACGAACATCCGTCGTAGCGTGGATGAGTGTCTGCGTCTGCTTGATGGCAAGAAGAAGATTGACATCTTCGAATGTGCGCGACAGGACCCTAACTACTCGGTGGAGAGTACCATCAAAGTTCTCGCAGAGTGTGTCAAGGAGGGCAAGATTGGAGCAATTGGATTGAGCGAGGTCGATGCTGAGACAATCCGCCGAGCGTATGTGCCCTGGTCGCTCTTATTCATGATACTCCTATGAACGCTTCGAAACTAATTACTTCTTTAGACACAAGGTGCACCCGATTGCTGCTGTTGAGGTTGAAATGTCACTATGGTCCACCGACATCCTTGAGAATGACGTTGCCAAAACCTGCGCGGAGCTCCAGATCCCCGTCATCGCCTACTCGCCTTTGGGCCGAGGTGCCCTGGCCGGAACAGTGACCTCGCTGGCTGATATCCCCGAGGGTGATTTCCGATCCCATATGTCCAGGTTCCAGGAAGAAAACTTCAAATACAACCTCAAGCTCATCAACGAGGTCAAGGATTTGGCTACTCGCAAGGGCGTTGCTCCTGCTCAGATTGCACTGGCGTGGATTATTAGCCTGAGTAACAAGCCCGGCATGCCTACCATTATTCCCATTCCCGGTGGTACTACGAAGGACAAGGTGGTCCAGAACATGGGGGCTGTTGAACCGCTGACGGATTCTGAATTCGCTGAGGTTGAAGCTATCTTGAAGGAGCATCCCGTTGTTGGAGCCCGCTACTAGGGGAGTTCTATATAATACTTTTGGTACTGTTAGCCACAGATCATAGACTTGAATGAGAGATGTCGATAATGCCAATAGGTGGTTGCTTTTGTCAGGTCAAGTGTAGAAGAGTCAACAAGGATCTCGCGCGGGAGATTGTCAGAATTGCAGAATTCTTCAGGGTTTGGTCATCATTAGATGGGATATAGGTAGGTACATCCACATGTGCGGAGTACTTGGACTTGTGCAATGTGTCGGGTAGTAGTGTAGAAGGAGCTTACCGACCGATTGTCTGTGATGAATGATGATGAAGACATCATAAGAGAGTTGAACAGTGTGAACAAGATAGTGAACGAGAATCACATTATATGGTCATGGAGCTATACACCGTACTCCGTACAATCACGGTCAATTGGAAGGACAATAGAAAGGAAGAAAAGAGGGGGGCTGCTCGATTGTGGCCAGCTCCCAGCCAATCACGTGCTGTGATACATCATTCACGTGACCAGATACAATAGCCTCCTCGCGCAACGTCGATGGTACTTTCGTAGTGGTTTCTTTGTTCTCACGCGCGTCAATAAGTAATACATTGCCACCCCTCACAATGGCTTCGCGAGATTCTCCCGGCTCTCCTCTCTCCTCCGTGGGATCCCTGGAGACTTCAGATCACGAATCCGTCAAACACGAGAGCCGCGCGCAATCACCCTCGAATGCCAACATGCCGCCTTCCAAGCGCCGTCGCACCGGTGTCGCATCGTGGGACCCACAGACTCCTCTATCATCTGCTCAAGATGAAATACAACCACCCCCTCGCCGACTGCCTCAATCTCCTCCGACAGCTCCGGCGATATTCCCAACTCCCCCAGCATCCTCACACTCCTCGGGACCAATCAGGAAGATGACTACAGCGGCCAGAGCACCGACCAAGTGACTATCTGCCGATGGGATGGATGCGAGGCTGGTGACCTTGGCAACATGGATGGGTTGGTGCAGCACCTCCACAATGAGCATATCGGGAGCCGACAGAAGCGGTACTCCTGCGAATGGAACGACTGTACCCGTAAAGGTCAAACGCATGCCAGTGCTTATGCCCTGCGCGCACATATGAGGAGCCACACACGCGAGAAGCCGTTCTACTGCACTCTACCAGGTAACTTCCCTCAAAATAGCCTCGATCGATGAATTGTCTCTAGACCTCGCGAGCTAACAATCAATTGCAGAGTGTGACCGCAATTTCACTCGCTCAGATGCCTTGACCAAACACATGCGCTCGGTGCACGAGATCGACACCATGCGGCCGCTCGATTCCACCTCCAAAGCTCCAGGCGGCACCACCGGCACCCCAGCCTCGAAAGTACAGCGTCTTCGCCTGAAGCTCACACAACCAAGGGAGCCAGGAACGGAGGCCGAGCCAGTTGCCGAACCCCCCATCGTGCCAGCTCCGATCGCAGGCGACACAGTTGACTCCGAGGAGAACACGATGCCAGAGCTAGGCCCAGAGTTAGGGTTCGACGAATCGGAGCTTGCCTTGTCCCCACGCGACCTCTACCGTCTTCTGCGTCGCCAGGTCGCATGGGCTGAAAAGGAGACCAAGGAGCTGGAAAAGACGTGGGAGGAAATTCGCCCGCGGCGTGAGCGCGCCTGGCGCGAGAAGGAAGTCGTCTTTGACGACCTCATTGACGCCGAGATCAGCCTGTTCAGCGCCATTGTCGGTTCGGTACCGCCCGCACATCTCACTACCAGCCTGGAGAAGCTGCAACAGCAGCAGCAGGAGTTCCAAAATCAGCAGGAGCGGCTGGAAAAGTCGATTGAGGCCCCGACTGTCGAGGGCAACCCTGCTTAATTCTTCTTTTGTCTCTCTGATATTCCTCGTTCCCTCCCTCTCTCAACCCCATTTCTCACGCGCCATGCCGAGTAAAGTCTGGCCTCGGTTGCTCGTCACTCCACCGCCACTTCTCCTCTGTTGTCCTTATATCCTGGTGTTCATGGCGTTGGTGACAGCGGTTCCTTCTGTAATTTCAAGCCCCAGGTAAATGGAAGTCGCCATGCAACGGAATGTACGAATAGCTCTTTTATTCTTAGCACATCATGGATGATTGCCACAATGACATTGTCAATAATCTTAATTATCCCAAGTCCTATGTAGTATCTCGTCACTTATGATCTACAGACAATGTGATCGTTAAGAGAGACCAAGTAGTTAGTTCAAAGACTCAGGGATGTCAGTGGATGATTGGATGATCCTGCATTGGTTCTAATTGAGCTATCAAAGAGACAAAATGTCACTAATAACCAACTGAAACGATCTCAAATACGAAGTAAATCGGTCGACGCCGTGATAGCCACTCCATAAGATACAATGCGGAGAAAGAAGAACAAAAGCAAAGGGGTATGGTTGGCCCAACCCAGGAAGGCCCTAGAGAGCCAGTCCGAAACTCCCCAATAGAAACAGCAGAAAGAGCAAAAGAACACAAACCACCAAGCGCCCCATGCAGTGATCATCCAAGATCATAGGTCATGTTCAATCCGAAAACTTCCCATTCTGTGCTTTTGGGCTCACATCAAGAATCGACGCCATTCGCAATGCCATGCAACAAGTCGCATCCATATGTACCTTGCATCAAAGAGAAAATAGGGACAGACGGTGTTCGCCTTGAGTATGATGACCTGGAGAGTTATGAGAAATGTCTGCGGGAAATGACAATGATGACCCCAAGAGCCTTGGGTCCAATGCAAGAATACAGGAAGCAGGAAGTCCAAGAAAGGGAATCAAGAATATTGTAGTGAGAGAAAGAGAGAAAGATACGCTGGATGCCTATCATCAGGGGAGGAGAGCGTGATAGAAAGAGATCTGATATCAAAAACGCTGAGCATGCATATCATCAAACCGTGCTAAAGCAGAAGTTAATCTGAAATGAAGGATACCAGTACCCATCATAGGGTGCAGAATCAACCCGAGCTGCCATTCGAAGCTTTAGAAGCTTTAGAAGCTTTACTGGCTTCCATGACCTTGTTAAACATCTGCTGCAACTTAGCACCACTGGCGTCCTTGTTTGGCCAGTAGTTAAGTGAAACATAATCCCTGAAAGTCAAGTTAGAATTGGGGCAAATATATGAATCAACCGCTAGAGAACATACCAGAGTCGAACTTCCAAAGAGGGCATCGATTCCGATCCCTCCAGAGTAGTGCGAATGAATTCTCCAATCTTGACAAGAGTCAGACGGAGTTTCTGGGCCCTCTCGTTCTTATTGGGGTAATTCTTGGCTGTGATCATGGACACTTGCTTCAGATTGGGAACAATAGGCTTGAAGAACATGAATGCCATGTCCTCCTTGGTGGAACTGCCATTCTCATGCCCCTTGCGTCGGCGCAGCTCATCATTCGAGGCATCAGATAGACGATGGCGTGGACGATCGACATCGGGGCCAGTCCGAGAGCGAGAATCGTGGTTGGGTGCATGACGATCAATGCCCTCACGGTTACCATGCGCGTGAGAGCGTGGCCTTGACCGATCGGATTCACGGTGTCCCTTGCGTGGATTCTCAGGCCTGCGAGAGCTTGAGGGCGCCGGAGAAGCGGACACACTGCCGCTGCCAGAAACCCGGGAGCCACGCTTGTTGTTGCGGTGGTGATTGTCCACTGCTCTTCTTGCCGTGGCATTGTTATCGTATTTATTCCTCAACACAGACATGAGATATTCAGCCCGTCGAACGAGGTGCACAGCACCCGGTGATTTCGTTGCTTTCTCCTCGGTTTGCAAGCGCTGGGTCTTTCGCTCCACTCGGTGCTCTTCTAGGAAAAATTTGTCGCCAAGGCCAAGCTCAGTGTCATCGCGAATCTGAGTCCACGCACCAAACCCATGGCGTGCGATACCCACAAGAAGCATTCCATCTTCGCGTGCACCCCATTGACAACTGTAGTCTGCCAATTTGGTAGCCTCAGGAAGTCGGAATGTCCTGAAATCAGGAAGTCCTTTGATGATGCTTCGGATAAGGCGCATGTCAGGCGGACGCTCAACGATAGTCCACGCGTTCAGTCGCTTGACTCCGTGATGATCGAACAGGACGGCTTTCTGCTCTTTCTTCGTGGGGTTTCTACCCGATTGTTTGAGGGCCTCCAGCTGATCGAGACTTTCTTGAACAAGTGCGTTTGCCTTGTCCGTGATTTCATTCAGAGAGGCACGTACAGTGTCCCGATCCCGGTTTTGCAATCTTGCATCCTCAAGAATCAGGTGCTCCGAGTCATCCAGATCGCCATAACGAAGGAAAGCTCGAGAGAGCGCACGGTATTCCTTCTCTCCGAGAGGGCGCTTGGGATCCAAGGCGGCACTCTCGTCTTCGCCATCATCGATGTTGACTTGAGCTCTGGCCAGTCGCTTTGCCTTGCGTTCCTCTCGTGAATCTGATGTGTCCGCTGGCGCGTGGCGCTTACGGGGACGATTTTGCTCAATGACTTCGGCAAGATAATGAGCATCCTCTTTGCGCTTTTCCTCGGCCTTGATCTCTTCAAGCTGTTCTTTGGGGATGATGTCGTCCCAGGAAAGATCATCGACTTTGATGTCGACAAAGTCGAACGCTTTCAAGAATTCTTCACCACCATCGGCTTGTATTTGCTCCGCCTCTTCAGTTTGATGCAATTCTGCATTTGCAAGGACAGAATCGATATCGAGCTGCTCCAGTTTCTTCTGGTTGTCGGTTTGCTCGAACATCTTCTGGCCACGACGCTTGAGAATTCGGGAGATATCATCGGTCGAATTGGGCTCGGCAACCACACGCGCCATCTTATTTTGCATATCCGACGCTTCTTTGTCAGTCACACCGCGCTGGATGGTGATGAACTCTAGCAAGAGCTTGTTGCGGGCTCTTTCGATGACCTCTTCTTCAATTGTATCCTTCGAGACAAGGCGATAGACGCTTACAGGTCTTGTCTGACCTATACGATGGGCGCGCGCCATAGCTTGCAAATCGGCCTGGGGGTTCCAATCAGAGTCAAACAAAACGACAGTATCTGCAGTCATCAGGTTGATACCAAGACCACCTGCACGAGTTGAGAGAAGGAACGCAAAGTCGGTGCTGCCCGGGGCATTGTAATGCTCAATCGCCAAGCGACGGGCAGCCGATGGAATGGTTCCATCCAGTCGTTGGTATTTGTACCCACGGTACTCCATGTACTCACTCAGGATGTTGAGCATGCCAACCATTTGGCAGAAGATCAAAACCCGATGGCCGTCGACGCTCAGTTTGCGTAGTAGCTGATCAAGAAGCATCATCTTACCACTACTGGTAATCATGGCACGAAGGATATCTTCCCGACGACTACTACCCTCCAAAATCTTTGCTTCTGCATTTGGGAACATGAAAGGGTGATTGCTAGCCTTTTTCAATTCCATCATGATGTTAAGGAGTGACTGTTTTTGTCCCTTGTTCCCATCGTTCAACGCAGCGTAGTTTTTCGTGAGAATGTTCTTGTAGTATTCCAATTGGACATCAGAGAGCTCCACCCGGATGATTTTTTCGGTCTTTGGAGGAAGATCAGATTCGACTTTGGACTTAGTACGGCGCAACATGAAAGGCTGAATGGCATCGGTCAACTCTGCAAGCTTTTGTGATGCAGCCTCGGAATTCAGATCCATGTCGACGTCGACGTCAATAAGGCCAGGGTTGAGGAAATCCATCAAAGCTGAGAGCTCAGCAAGATTGTTTTGAATAGGTGTACCGGTAATCAAAAGTCGTGCCTGGCATTTCCATTCGAATAATTTCATATAAAGCTGCGAGTCACGATTTTTGAGACGGTGAGCCTCATCCACAGCCATGAATTGCCACTTGAATTGGCCAAGGAACGGCGAGTCGTTCATTGCGTACTCATATGTTGTCAACAGGACATGGAACTTCGGACGTTTCGGATTGCCATCAACCATCAGTTCGTAGTCACGCAAGACAGATCGTGCCTTCTCACTGCCGTTGTAAACAACGTAATTGAGGTCGGGAGTCCAGTGATCGAAGGTGTCAGCCCATGCGGGCATAGTCGACAGAGGAACAATAACAATAAATGGCCCTTGCTGCCGTCTGACATGGCGCATCCAGTTGATAAATGAGACGGTTTGCACTGTCTTTCCGAGACCCATTTCGTCTGCCAGAACGACATTGCGACCCTTGACCCAATTGAAAGCCAGGAAATTCAGACCTTTGACTTGGAAGTCCTTGAGCTCTCCATTATGCAGGAAACTAGGGGTTCCGTGAATGGGCTCGAAGGATTTCCGCGTGGCAACATTTAACTCGTTCTTGTCAGAGATGGGCTGGCGAGCGGTGCGGTCCAAGAATCGGTCAATTTCACGCTGTGCGATCTCACTGACCAGGTCCTCGGGTTCCCAAGTACAGGAATCGTACAACAGACGTTTCCATTTGACAAGGTATTCTGTGGTACCATCCTCGCCATCGCGTACACCAATGACTCGTTCGACCATCTTGTAATCCTCGATAGCCTCGACATCTCGCTCGCGATCAAGGTTCCACTTTTCACGATCCTCGGGAGCCGCGTCGGCACTATATTGCAACCGGATGTCCTCATTGAGCACCTTCCGAACATAGTTATCCACACGTCGTGTGCTGCGGAAGTTGGCAATAGACTCATTGCTTTCCCATGTTGCATGGTAATGTGATTTGTCCTGCCACTTGATACAAAACTCGAAGTCGTTGCGGTCAAGGTCTTTGCTTTTTGGGTCAACACCTTCCTTAAGGCGATGATTCAGAACGACGTCGACAGCGGGACGGGTGTCCTCGACGTAACTCTCGGCCCAGTAGCTCGGTTCAACTTCCTCTGCATCATCTTCAAACATGGCCTCGTCATCCTCGTCATCCTCATTATAGTTTGACACCTTCTTGGCTGTACGCGTTGAGAAGCGTACCTCGTGGAAGGAAGGTTCGTAACTGTCGGGTCGCTGGAGACGTCGTCTTCTCGCTTTGTTGGCACGAGCTGTTTTCCCACCATACTCATCACTATCCGTTTCGGACAGCGACGATACGGTGGCCGACCGGGATGCCTTGGAGGGCTGTTGGGATGGTTCTTTGCGCCGGCGCTTGTGGCGCAGTGTAACGACATCAGAGTCGGAATCGGATGAGTCGGCGAGATGGCGCGTAGTGCGAGCGCGACCACTTCGGCGAAGGCCATATAAGTCAGGATTTTGTCTGATCAGGTCGGTTTCGCTGACCGGTGATGATTTGCGCTTCGCGCGGCGGTCGGGGGGGGGGGGATGAAGAGTTTTCACGGCTGTATGAATTGCGGTCATCATCACTGTTCTCCTCTGCGACATCCTCATCTTCCGCGTCTGAGTCGGCAGACGCGCCATCATATGAGTCGTCTGCGGCATCGGGCTCGGGGGAGGACTCGGAGACGGGGTGAGACTCGATGGGCTCGGATGGACTGCGGTCATGCTGCGTTACCGCATCGCCATCCGTGTGGTTATCATCGGCGATGGGCGAAGGAGGGAAGCCATTGGACATCCTCGAGGTAGAGGGAGGTTCCTGAGCAGATGGGATCACCATGCCAGAGGCTATTACCGAGGGGCAGTCAGCATTGAAGCTCAATTTGGGCTAGGAAAGGCGTGAAAGAGACCGGGACAAGTAAAACAATGGCACGCGACCCGATATATAGCCAACTGAAGCTTGAGACCCAGCTGGATATGACAGGATATTGACTTTGATGAAATAGGATGCTTTTGGGATGACGAGTGGGATGGACGCGGCCAGGCTGGAGGGCAAAGCAACGGGCAGATTGATACACGCAAATAGACTCGAGAGAGAATTGACAGGCTGCTTGATCGACGACAGTTCAAAACTGCCCCGATCAGGACAGAATGGAGGTATTCAAGGATTCGTGCAGTGGGTCGACAAGGCGCGGAGAAGTACCGCGGCGAATGTTTCGGTCGGCACGTCTGCGCTTGAGGAAAAAGATTAAATCAACTTACACTCCATAGCGTGGTGACCCCAAAAGTGGGGATTCGGACGATCAATGTGGAAGATTAGATGGCGGGGTGGAGGCGTGAAGCTGGAATCTTGGGGGAGGAGGAGACAAGAGACTTGGAAGAACTAAGAGTTGGGGAATGACTGGAGGGTTTGCTTCGGTTTGGTTTGCAGAGGCCGTTGACACCTGATGTCTCAGGCGTCAATAGGCTTGACCTGTTTAGGACTAGTGTATTCGCTTGGCGCCTGACACGACGGCAAACCACGTGATATTGCGGATAGCGGATAAACCACATGTCCGAGTCCAACCTGGCAGCCAATCACCGCCTTGATAAATAAGTGACGCTGTCTTCGCCTCAGGCACCACAGCCCACAGAAAGGAAAGTGCGCATTCAATTCTGCCGCCCCTCGTTCGTTGATAGTGTTCCTCTCTGTTCCATTCTGTCGTCGACTCTGCGCAGAAACACTTGGTGCTTTCGTTGAGCCCAATTCCCACTACTGCGACAGCGTTTTTCTTCCGCTGATTACAACTACCCAGCCCCACACTCGGTGCTGATTCTTCTCTTTCAATCTTCCGCTTCATACACCAGGTTTCTACGAACCACGACCATTCACCATGTCTGACAAGCTTACCCGGTATGTTTTCTGCATGTCTTGAAGTGCCATATCATCAGCTAACGGAGTCTTTCCTTCCAAAGTATTGCGATTATCAACAGTGATAAGGTTCGTTGCGAACCACCCCCACTAATAGCACATTTTCCGTTCTCGTTTGCGAATGCCAGGCTCACATCACCTTTTCTTAACTTCACAGTGCAAACCGAAGGTACGCGACTCGAATCAATGACCTATAGTGCTCGCGGGAGGCTGATCCGTTGTACAGAAATGTCGTCAAGAGTGCAAGAAGTCTTGCCCGGTGGTCCGCACTGGCAAGCTTTGCATTGAAGTCGATTCCACTTCCAAGATCGCCTTCATTTCCGAGCGCCTGTGTATTGGTTGCGGTATCTGTCCCAAGAAGTGTCCCTTTGGAGCCATTCACATCATCAACTTGCCCACCAACCTCGAGACCCAAGTCACCCACCGCTACTCAGCGAACAGCTTCAAGCTCCACCGGCTTCCTATGCCCCGACCCGGTCAGGTCCTTGGTCTGGTTGGAACAAACGGTATCGGCAAAAGTACTGCGTTGAAGATTCTTAGTGGCAAGCTGAAGCCCAACCTGGGTCGTTATGATAACCCCCCGGACTGGGAGGAGATCTTGAAGTACTTCCGTGGTTCCGATCTACAGAGTAAGCACTATGACTCAAGTCGCAGGGAATCTTTCTAACACCGCTGACTCTGATAGACTACTTCACCAAGATCCTTGAAGACAACCTGAAGGCAGTAGTAAAGCCTCAGTATGTCGATCAAATTCCCCGTGCGGTGAAGGGACCTATTCAGCAGGTTCAGGAACTCATCATGGCGCGTGCTGCGCTGGGCAACGAAGATGAGATTATGGAGGTTCTCGGTGTGTCTTTATATCTCCAACTTTTCTCAGTATAGCCGCTAATTCTCTTCCAGAGCTGAGACAGGTTGCGCAACGTGATATTGGTCATCTTTCCGGTGGTGAGCTTCAGCGTTTCGCCATTGGTTTGGTCTGTGTGCAGAAGGCCGATGTGTACATGTTCGACGAGCCGTCCTCATACCTTGATGTCAAGCAGCGTCTTGCTGCTGCCCGTACGATCCGCAGCCTCCTCCGCCCCGATGACTACGTTATTGTCGTCGAGCACGATTTGTCCGTGCTTGATTATCTGTCCGACTTCATCTGCGTGTTGTATGGTCGACCTGCTGTTTATGGTGTTGTCACTCTGCCTGCCTCCGTGCGTGAGGGTATCAACATCTTCTTGGATGGTCACATCCCTACCGAGAACTTGCGATTCCGTGAAGAGTCTCTCACCTTCCGTCTCGCCGAAGCGGGCGAGGAGTTCATTGCGGACAAGGACCGTGCTTTCGCCTATCCCGCGATGGAGAAGACTTTGGGTGACTTCCACCTGAAGGTCGAGGCCGGAAAATTTACCGACTCCGAAATTGTCGTCATGATGGGTGAGAACGGAACCGGAAAGACGACTTTCTGTAAGATGCTTGCCGGCGCATTGAAGCCCGATGGCCTCATCTCCGTTCCCAAGATGAACATCAGTATGAAGCCCCAGAAGATTACACCCAAGTTCACGGGTACCGTGCGCCAGCTCTTCTTCAAGCGCATCAAGACCGCTTTCCTGTCGCCTCAGTTCCAGACCGATGTCTACAAGCCTCTGAAGATGGATGACTTCATCGATCAGGAAGTCCAGAACCTGTCTGGTGGTGAATTGCAGCGTGTTGCTATTGTCTTGGCCCTGGGTATGCCTGCTGATATCTATCTGATTGACGAGCCCAGTGCCTACCTGGATTCCGAGCAGCGTATTGTCGCTGCTCGTGTCATCAAGCGTTTCATTATGCACACCAAGAAGACTGCATTCATCGTCGAGCACGATTTCATCATGGCCACCTACTTGGCTGACCGTGTCATCGTCTTTGATGGCCAGCCATCCGTCAACGCTCGTGCTCAGACACCTGAATCTCTGGTTGGTGGTTGCAACAGGTTCCTGAAGAGCTTGGATGTCACATTCCGCCGTGACCCCAACAGCTACCGCCCTCGTATCAACAAGTACCAAAGTCAAATGGACCAGGAGCAAAAGTTGGCCGGCAACTTCGTAAGTATCCTTCGTTACCAGTGGATGATTCCAATATCGATAGTCAACATTGTGCTAACTATGTGCAACAGTACTTCTTGGAAGAAGAGAACTGAAAAGGGCATCTTCAATGAGCATCGTCGCCGCCGTCACTACCGTGATGGCCGTGACTCTGAGCAGCGGCGCAACAGGCGCCGCGGCGATTGGAAGATCATGCGGTTAATGGAAATTCCAGGTGTTTGCAGACCCTCGGCGAGACAGGACAAGGGGCTCCGTCGCAGCACCGGGCTCTCTGGTTCTGATGACGGTTCCCTGGATGATGAAAGCGACGAAAGCGATGCAGATGGCAATAATGACCCCGGCTAAAGGCAGTGGCAATCCACATGCTCATATCCCCGGTCATTTCGCTCATTTGTTTTTTTGCGACATGTTGCCATTCGTCCGCCTGTTGAAACATCTACATCGTTATTCGCCTTCCAGTCTGCCTCCAGGAGCTCTGGTTTTGTTTATCACACCCAGATCCGTCCCTGGGAATACATGCCTGCAGATCTTCCACATTTGTTAAATCTTAATGGTGGATTGGGTCCAGCATGGTTTCTTATTCCAACGGAGTTATTTTTTGTGCTTGCATTAGGTTGGAGGGTTTGGGTTCCAAAAAAGCTCTTCCATGAATTTTACGATTTTAAAGATGGAATTCGCGTCGACGTGGTGAAGTCGTTTTTTCTGACCGGGGATGGCACAGGCGACTGCTGGGAAGCTGCCGGGTTTGATCGCCTATATGTCGTATAGATAGTCAATCTTTTTGTCTTGGTCATTGAAATCGCCTATTTTGTCTTATTCTTGTGCATATTTGATGCAACATATGATTGCAGCAGACTTTTCGAGGTCTGGGGCACTATCCTCAGTCATCGACCTCAGTTCCCAAAGCTGTCTTTCGATACATATATGTACCACCTTGAAGCCTCCACGTGTAAGAGCTGCTTCTCTGGGAGGACGATCTACGATGGGCATGTGGGATGGGCATAGGTATATTCACTTCCGGAAGATAACCTATTCGTTAAAGAGGTAAGAACCAAGGGGAACTACCTACCATGTTTCTAAAGTGGGTAGCAGAGGATCTTAGTGAGGCCAACGATCTCTTCGATGAATAGCTGCCCACGGAGTACGTAGGTAGTCGTCGCCTAAAAAGGCTTGCTAAAGTAGACGAGATGGCGACGTAGATTTAGCTCAATATCCTATCTCAATTGGAGGAACGAATTACTTGCATATGGAAGCAATCGCCAATGGAGTTCACCCCATTTACTCCTCCTCAATCTCTCCTTCCTCGCTGCCAGAGTGGATGGCTTTGTCGTCCTTGCTATCCTCCTTGGGTTCTTCCGGTATGGCAGAGCGGCGGGGTACACGCGCGTCCTTACTGCGGTCTCGCTCGCGGCTATCACGTCGGTAACGTTTGACAGATCGGCTGGCCACACTCTCAGCATCACTTTCACGCCGGCGGCGGCGATCACCACTAGCCACACTGCGGGTGTCAACCGCACCACTGCTACCACCTCCATAATCAAGCTCATCACGGCCTCCACGAGGGTCGCCGCGAGTGCGGTACAGGCGCTCCCGTTCATCCTCACGTCTATCGGGATCTCTAGGACGTGCACCACGGCCAAAGTCCCGATCACGGCTACGATAACGGTCACGGTCTCCACGCTCATCGCGACGGTCACGAGATGGGGAAATACCGCTGACCTTGCGGTAAGTTCGTTCGCGATCGGCCTGTGCCTTGCGACGGTCTGCCTCGTACGCGTCCATTTCCGGCGTATGACTGACCCGGCCGCTGGGGCCTCGTCGTTCCACGCGGCCCTTGCGGTAATCGCGATCGACACGGTCATGGTCACGTCGGCCACGGTTCTGGCTGTAGGCTTCGCGGTCCTTCTCTGCCTCCTCCTCTCTTTCCTTCAGCCGGCGAACGGTTTTGTCGAAGGCAGACTCCCGGAGCTCATCTGACTCGAGGGCCTTGTATTCGTCGTATTTCTCCAGGCGGGGATAGACCTCCGCCCAGGTATCGGTGGCCCGAACAGGCGGCTCCAAGCGCTTGATACGAGACCGCAGCGCCTCCACGGCACGGCGCTGTTGGCGATCGGCGATATACTTCTCGTCTTCCATGCGGCGGACTGCCTTCTCTTGGATACGCTGGAAGATGAGATTGAGGGTCTCGGGGTCGATCTTAGAGGTGCGGCGGTCGGCAGACATGATGAAGCTAAACTCATCAAATGTGGTTCCGCCCGTGACTTCGAATCGTTTGTCCTGAAATCAATGGATTAGTAACACTCCACGTTTCGACCGACTGTAGCAGAGACTCACATCTAGCACATCCAGCACACTATTCCGAGGTCCGCGCAGAGCGCGCTCTTCATCTTCCACGACGTCCCAGAACAGATCGAGAGGAGTTGACCCAGGCTGGCCCAGGATGCCATGATATCTGGGATCGTCTTTGATCAGCGGGCAGATATTCATCCACTTAGTGCCCGCCTTGATCTTACCCTGAGATCTGAGCTCTTTCAGGAGGTTCACAAACTGCTCCCGGTTCTTACGCTCCTTTCTGGCGCGCGCTGCCTTGTGCTGCTGGCGAGCATCATTGAAAGCCCTCTCTAGGGACTTGATGTGGGTTTCAAAAGCCGTGAGAACGTCACATTTGCTCAAACTCTTGAACTTTTGATCCCCTTGGAATTTACTGTTGGACTGAATGATAGCTTGTGCTTCGGACCAGCGCGTGTAAGGTTCTAGGTTGAGTGAACCCAGAATAGCAGTTAGTTCATCCATAGCGGCCTTGCGCGTGGCGGTTTCTTGTTCGAAATGATCCTTTCTGAGTTGAAGAATGTATTCTTCAAAGAGCTGGCGCCTTTCGTCTTCTTCATTGGTAGACCGGAACGTGGTCTCTCCCTCGATGATCGGACGGATTGTCTTCCAGCGACTGTAGTATTTGATCTCGGGGTGACGCTTCATCATGGTGAAGAAGTCCACGCGGAGCTTGGCGAATCTTTCTTTCGCGCGTTCCTTTTCCTGCATTCGCACTTGAACCCCATACTTCTCGAAAGCTGCCTTGCGGTCACGTGGGTCCTTCAGAGCACGGTATTGGGGGTCCTTGATCGTGGCTCGCATAGTGTCTTCCCAAGTCCACTCGGGTTGCACGTTGTGGCGCTTCAGCATCTTCATGAACGCACTCTCTGCCTCCTCAAGAGATTGATAGTTGGGGTCCTGGGACTTGAAATCCGGTGTCGCAAGTATAGCGTTGGCTTCATACGATCCGTATCCACCGCGCCGGTCGCTAAACCCGCGATCACCTCGGTCATGGTCGTCGCGTTCGCGGTGCTGGTCGCGGTGCTGGATTTGTGTGGACAAAGAGGTCCCGCCTGCAACAAATGTAGGCGCCCTAATATAAAGTTAGCATATGAAAGAGCTGCTCTTTAAAAAAGATACTTACGCAGCAGGTGCCGGGGGCGCGGGCGCCTGGGCAAGTGCATCTTTGTAAACCTGCGGCATCTCCCATGTACTCTGCTTGCTTTCTGTGTTGTACCAGTATTTACGACCAGCATCAGTAGTGTATTCCTTCCATGGTTGATTCGCCAGAGCAATCTGCAAATACGGTTAGTCTCAAGCGCGTTGCACCTGGGCAGGGTCAATTACGGACCTCAACTGGAGTCATCAGCTCTGTAGGCTTGTTCCACTGGGTGGCTTTCGTCTGCACATTGTAGTAATAAACGCGACCTGCATCATTTCGTGCCTCCTGCCACAAGGCAGACGGGAGGTGGTTGGTAAGGTCCATAGTTGAGGTTGAAAATATTGGGAGAGAAGTGGAAGCGGAGCTTCGACGATCTCCGCAAAACTGCGCGAATGGTATTTGGCGTCGGCCGTATATCAACACTTATCGGTTATCTCCTGAACTCCGGCCACTTTGTTGAGCTCCTTTGCGACATTTCTTGTTGCAATGCCTAGTCTGGAGATTCCAGGTGAATTTCTGCGTCATGCTGTTCTCGATACAGTGGTGCCCCATGCTGCAGCAATCAATATTGAGGATGCCCTAAGTTCGGCCTTGGAGAATGGAGCTGATGATCTCCCCTCTGTTCTCTCCTCCATCCCGCAACGGTCTCTATTGTTCTTTGGTATGCACTTTTGTAACTCAGCTGGGTTTGCCTCTTACTTACTATCAATTACTAGATGAATTTCTCCTGGTCCGCATAGTCTTACGACTGTCTGATTGCTCAGATACGACACTGAAACACTATCTACCCCGACTCGAAGTAAAGCTGGATGTCTTTGCCGTTGACCCAGCAGAATCAGTTGGAGAAAATCCCACACCAACTCGGGATATCATATTCTCAGGAATCGTGGGTGGTGATGAGGATCCGCTGGTGATCTTCAACGAATTTGAGGGTGATGAAGGCAGTGGAAACCACGTCTATCTAGTTTGGAACATTGAAACCGCGTTGCGTGAGTCAATCGAGAAGTTTGGTGGGATGATATGGAATGAAGGTCACTGATGGTTGCTAGGGCGTCCCCGTATTCAAATACAACACCCAACACTCCTATTCATTGCCTCTGCCAGCCTGAATCCAGCCGACCCTTGTCGGCAAGAAGATCCCGAGGATGATTATCTCCCCTCACTCGTCCCGGCATCGACCAATATGCTGCAGTCTCTGTCGACCGATAAATCTTTCAATAACAAAGAGCCTTTCCTCCCTGCGTCCAGGCTTCTGAGAGTTGTACCTACCACTCACACTGAAGACCCAATTTACAATATTCAGCAACAACATGGCCGCCCCTTCCGTGTTGTGCCCGCCGCGAGTGCAAGGATTAGATACTCTCGATTGAACTCCTACACTGGTATACCGATGACCGTGGCCAGTCTTGACTTCGAGGTTACCCCTTACCTGGCTTGCGAGGTCTCGTTCGACAAAGCGGATCTTCGACTGTCTGAGGGAACGATAGAGTCGCTATCAGACACGCCGGGTCTCGCTCTCCCCATCACTTGCCGTCCAAGAGACGGCGTTACACTCATGTACAAACTTACCCCAGAGTATGGCCCGGAGACCAACCCGTCATCTACGGCCCTGGTCTGCACGCTGGACATATCTCTCGAGGCTATGATTATGGTGGATGGCGACTGCAAACCACGAATTTCTATGCAATGGAGAACCAATGTCGATTTCTCAGTCGCCTTAAATCCGACCTTTGGGGGACCTAGCCCAGCCCTGCAAAGGACGAACCGCCCTACCAGTCTATCCGTATCAACACAAGCGGGTGTAACACCTTCCAACCGAAGCTCCTTACGAGAACGAGCGTACTCTGTCACTGACGTCGGGATAACGATCTCCTTTTCTGGACCTGTCCGTGTACAAGTTGGTACTGTCTTCTCTTGGGATGTTTTCATTGTCAATCGATCAAACGTCCCTCGAAAGTTTGCCTTGATCGCCATTCCTAAGCGCAAACGTGTGGATCCCCGTGGACATGTTGCTCGACCTTCCTCATCGTCTATCACCAGCAGAAAAGAGGATCAGGTGGCTGAGGCGGTGACTGATGACAATATCGTGCATGCTAGGCAAAAAAGCGTGGCTGGCCAAGAGGTGGAGCTGATCAGTTTGAGCATTGATATTCGCGTCGGGTGAGTACTACCTTCGCTGTTGTTTAAACTTGGATCCATCATTCTCTAACCACCTCCATCCCAGTCCTCTTCTTCCAGGAACATGTCATTCGACTGAGCTCAAGCTCCTTCCCCTTGCCACAGGCCCGCTTCATTTGGAAGCAGTACGACTTGTAGATCTTAACACGAACGAAACGACTGACATCCGAGATCTTCCAGACATATTGGCCGATGATCAGCTGCGTCCTACTTGAGAGCAATTCAGCATTGTATATCAATGATACCAAACCAGATATTATGGCCGCTAGCGAAGTGGTCTCTCATTAACTTTCCGTGGCCCCCCCGAAACATCGTAGAACACCTACAATTGCAGTAGCTGTCATTCTTACCTAACTAGGCGTCCAGGTAATGTTATGAAGAGCTTCAATTTAATCATTTACCGTGCTTTTCGACTATTAGTCGCAACAAATGGTCCATTCTGGGCTACCTGGGGATAGTTACAAGTTGTTCCTTGGATGGTTGCAGGGGTTATGCGCCTCTGATACCTAAATCCTGGTAATCAAGGAGCCAGCATGTCTCTGAGCAGCTCATCGCGTTCCTTCAGCATAGATCGTCCTAACTCGAGCATCACGCTCGGCTTCCCCGGAATGGGTCCATAGACCTGCTCAGCAAATATGCGCATTTGGAGAAGTAACGAGGAGGCCACTTCAGCGCGTTTCTTGGCTTCGTGATGCCTTTGAGCCGAAGGTTCTGGAAAAGCCCTGTCATGTTCCAGCGCGAAAGAGAACCGGACACATTCATCTTGCTTGCTGGAGGACCACCAAATCGGCAGAAGATTTTTACTCTCAGCCTTTGTCAAGAATCGAACGATCACCATTCTGTCAGCATGAATTCTGCTGGCCGTTATAACATCCTCGATGGTTTGTACAGCCAGTTGCTTGTCTTCCATTGCCCTCAAATGGATTGTGTCAATCAGAAGCGTGAAGACATCCTTCTGTGTCCGCCCCTGTAGCCATATTTTTGCAGCAAGTCGAGAAAAGGGGGTCTTCATATCGACGTCAAGGGTTGAGACAAGATGGTTTATATCACACGGAGCAGTTGAAGGTTTTGCTGGTGCTTCCAACATTCTTCCAGCCACTGTTGCTGTTACTGCTGGTTTGGCTTGTAATGCTGATGATGGTGGTGGTGTGCTATCTGTTGTGGCACTGGCTGGCGATTGCGATTGAGATGTGGGAAGACAAACTTCCAAATATTTCTCCCAGTCTGCTTTGTGGCAACCTCTGGAGCAGTCACAATCCTGCTCACAACGACATTCGTTCAGAATATTCTGCGGGCACTCAGGTTTGCCGCAGGCGCTGCACGTGAGCCCTTTCCCCGGGGGAGGTGGACTTGAACTTGTCATTTGCGTGGGAGTTTGCTCGTATGATCGATAGAGGAAATACTCGGCAACAAACTGCGAGAAGATGTCAGTTGGGGTCATCGAAGAAAAAGAAAGTACCACAACATTTCAACCGAGCAGCAGGCTCTCTGGGTGGGCTCTTACAGACCTTGATATTGCCAACTCTGGTTGTGCACTTTGCGTGCTTGATTCTTAGCAGAATTTGGAAAGTAGAGAAGGGAGAGAAGGATAGGATGCAAAGAAGCGCGAATGGAAAGGAGACGCTGGGCAAGTAAACAAATTGATACAGAGGAAGCAATCAAGCATCTCTCACATCTCAGATGGACATACCACGTGCCTTCACTCTGAAACCAGATTCACCTTTTAACTCTAATGGAGCTTAAGCATATCATCGTCGGCATATGGCAGCTACTCCATGAAGTGCCATACCTAGTCACTGATAATGTCATATTTCCAACCAACGTATGTGTCTGGGACCATATTTGGGACGACTGTCTTTGGTTAATTGATAATCTGGTCGCATTGCCATTGGGATAGTGATAGCTCGGATCTTGAATTGGTGGTGAAAGTACTTATTGCTCAATGGTGATAAGAGGCAGATCTAAGCGCATACGAGGACAAGGAACATTCTCTAGTAACTGTCCCAAGTCCCAACGAGATGACTCTTTGAAATCACAGTAACGAATGGTCTGTACACAGTATATCAATGTCATATGTCGTCCTATGATCCTATCCCGGGCACCCACACCGATCTACCGCAGCAGTACCGCTCAGAGCCTCAGAAGGAAAATAAGGTATCATGAAGATTGTTCCCAAAGTATGCAGGACTGGCAATTTGGCATAGAATGAGATAATTATAGCTTTAGTTCTGTCGCAGTTCGTTGAATGTAGAATGTTTGAAGAGACAAAGTGCCAGATCAATGACGATGTATAGTTCAATGACTGTGATTGGTCGAGATCACGGGTTAAACCATCTCAGGTGTAGGCCGGGCAGGTGACATCGTTCGTTGGTCACAAAAGGCGGAGACCAAAGGGGAACGAAGATCAAAGATCAACCTTCTTATGATTTAATTTTAACTGGGGCTTGGAAATTTGAAAGCCCGTTACACTCTCACTTCGGCTTTCCATTTATCCTGCCCCACTGGGTTTCCTTGATCTTTGCGTCATACTGGCGCACCGCCTTTCCAAGTCTCCCCTATCACTCTACTTCAGCCTTCAGACCTGTTCCATTATGATCTGTTCAACAAAGCGCAAAGTCCTGGATGGACTAAACAAGAGATACATTTACGGTCGCGTGGTATGTTCAACGGCCCCTTGGAACTGCCCCAGTCGCCACACCCAAACCCCGAGCTGAAGCTAACCCTTCTCGAACCCATCAGCCTTTATTGCATACGATCATTTTCCTCATCGAGATGGCAGTAGCAGCACGGCTTGCTGCCAAATTCAACACCTACTATGGCGAAAGGCCAGGTAAGCCCCTAGCCGCCGGATCCCGCGGGATGACAGCAGTGACTGACACGATTGCTATTAAATAGTGCTCACAACGATGGTCACCAATGCTGTAAGCTCATCACGAATTCCTGTCGCCTCGAAGAACACGCAGTTGATTGATATCATAGGTGCTTGGTGGTGTCGCCGATACCGTTGCGCAGTTGATCACAGCCTTTAGGACCCGCAGACCTCAGATGAGCGGAGATGATTTCCTTTCGATAGAGATTCATGACTTGGACAAGCAGAAGCCCCCTGCTGTAGGGGAACTGGGATATACACGGAGCCCAGCAACATCTTTCGATTTTGAGCGTCTGACCCGATTCATGTCTTATGGCTTCTTCATGGCACCGCTGCAATTCCAGTGGTTTGGCTTCTTGTCCAGGGCGTTCCCGCTCACCAAGCTGAATCCGACTGCTCCCGCTTTCAAGCGTGTTGCCTTTGACCAGTTGATATTTGCACCATTTGGTACATTTTGCCCTTGGTTGTTCTTTGACGTGTCTGTACTAACTCGACACATTAGGTCTGGCGTGCTTCTTCACCTACATGACGATCGCGGAGGGTGGTGGAAGAAGGGCATTGACGCACAAATTCAGTGATGTGTACCTCCCAACCCTCAAGGCCAACTTCGTGCTATGGCCGGCAGTACAAATTCTCAACTTCCGCGTCGTTCCCATTCAGTTCCAGATTGTGAGTCCCTTAAGTTCCGACATACAATGACACATACTGACCTTGTTAAACCAGCCTTTCGTATCCACCGTTGGTATCGCATGGACCGCATACCTGTCTCTGACAAACTCCGCCGAGGAAGCCTAATCGTATTCCCGAGTAAATGAACATCATGATAACGATTCCGGCTTCAAATTACACTCTTCCTTCAGTCAAAATGTGCAGGCGTTTAGAGCGATCGACCTGGCTTTCGTGTATATGGTAACCTGGAGGATTTTGCATTCCAAGATATCACGGGATTGTATCTTGCATACCTGGGAAAACCGATATGTGCTTTTTTGTTTTTGACTATTTTTCGTGATATGTTCGTATGGCTCAGGACAATCTTCAACCTTTTTTCCGTTTCTGCTCTTCGACCTCTTCCCCAGAGCTTCACGTGCTTCCGCCGGATATTAAACCAACCAAGCGTATTAGCGACTATGAACAATTCCATTGGTACAACGTTATAGAGGCGATTTCTCCAGAATCCCCCGAATCCGAGGCAAGAGGACCCCCAATGGCCCGGCCTTCCCCGTATATTGACGGTAGCTGTGACATCAGTCCCGCATCAGCCCGATGAGTTCTCCGGGGATAGTCGGGTACAGGTGGCTCAGGTACCAACCTTTAATATATACTTTTCTGGAAGTGACCAGCATCGTACACCACAAAGTACCGTTCTCAAATAAGTACAAGACCGTGAAGTATCTTTGGTGCTACGGAGCGACCTCTTCACCGGCCTGCCCCACCAAACCAACCCCTCCACTCTTTACTGATCGCGACTCACCGGAGTGATTAGTTCTTCTTCTTTCTATCCCTTTTCTTACTTCTCCATTAACCTCCTACCAGACCATAAGCCCATAATGTCTCTCTCCAACAAGCTCCCTATCACTGACGTCGACCTCAAGGGCAAGCGTGTCTTGATCCGGGTAAGCTTCCATACAGTTGAACTGAGCTTGACCGGCAGTCGCTAATTGAAATAGGTCGATTTCAACGTTCCTCTCGACGAGAACAAGAATGTCACCAACCCCCAGCGTATCGTCGGTGCCCTGCCCACCATCAAGTATGCCATTGACAACGGCGCCAAGGCCGTCGTGCTCATGTCCCACCTTGGCCGCCCCGATGGCAAGGTCAACCCTAAATACAGCCTGAAGCCCGTTGTTTCTGTACTTGAGAAGCAGCTCGGAAAGAGCGTCATCTTTACCGATGACTGCGTCGGACCCCAGGTTGAGGAGACCGTGAACAAGGCTTCCGATGGTCAGGTTATTCTGCTTGAGAACTTGCGCTTCCACGCCGAGGAGGAGGGTAGCTCCAAGGATGCCGAAGGCAAGAAGGTCAAGGCCGATAAGGCCGACGTTGATGCGTTCCGCAAGGGCCTGACTGCTCTCGGTGATGTCTACGTCAGTATGTAACTCCCCGGTCTCTTCCCTGCATTGTATGGACCTTGTGTTCCTAACCTCGACCCAGACGACGCTTTCGGTACCGCCCACCGCGCCCACAGCTCCATGGTTGGCGTGGACCTCCCCCAGAAGGCTGCTGGTTTCCTCGTCAAGAAGGAGCTGGAGTACTTCGCCAAGGCTCTCGAGAGCCCCGCGCGCCCCTTCCTTGCCATCCTCGGTGGCGCTAAGGTATCGGACAAGATCCAGCTGATCGACAACCTCCTGCCCAAGGTCGACAGCCTCATCATCACCGGTGGAATGGCTTTCACCTTCAAGAAGACCCTTGAGAACGTCAAGATCGGCAACAGTCTCTTTGACGAGGCCGGCAGCAAAATCGTCGGCGAGATCGTCGAGAAGGCCAAGAAGAACAACGTCCAGATCGTCCTGCCCGTCGACTACGTCACCGCCGACAAGTTCTCCGCGGACGCCACCGTTGGCTCGGCCACCGACGCCACAGGTATCCCCGACGGTTTCATGGGTCTGGATGTTGGCCCCGAGAGTGTCAAGCTCTACCAGAAGACCATCGGCGAGGCCAAGACCATCCTCTGGAACGGTCCCCCCGGTGTCTTCGAGCTTAAGCCCTTCGCCAAGGCTACCGAGGATACGCTCGATGCCGCTGTCAAGGCTGCTCAGTCCGGCTCCATTGTCATCATCGGCGGTGGTGACACCGCTACCGTGGCCGCCAAGTACGGTGCTGAGGACAAGATTTCCCACGTATCGACCGGTGGCGGTGCCTCGCTCGAGCTCCTCGAAGGCAAGGAGTTGCCCGGTGTTGCTGCTCTGTCCAGCAAATGAATCCTAAAAGATAGCATGCAGGGGAAGGGTCTACATTGGCGTTTTCCTCCGTCGAGCGTGTTTACGAAACTATAATGTACACAGCCAATGAATTTCCTTATAATTCCAAAACTCATTCTACAACTCTTCGTCCATGCTCTTACCTATAACTGAGTTTTGTGCCCAAATACGTAATTGAAGCTTTGATTACGATTTAAAGAGACACTTCAACTGCCCGACGCTCTCACATGTACGTAGACGAACAGAACAAGGGCAACTAGAATCAGTCGAAGCGTAGCGCCGGTTATATGTAGATGGCATCGAACAGTGGAGATGCGTTTCAAAAAACCCGACTGATTCTATCTCAGACCGATCGACTTCGAGATATGCGCACAATAGGAAATTGGTAGTGATGGGAGGTCAAGGGGGACATCATGATAATGATTTTGAAAGTCGAGATTTGCGCTATGGGGAATGAATCGTAAAAGAAGAATCAAAACAACCGTATCTCATTTCCTCCCCGACAAGCTCCCGACAAATGCATGTGGCGATGATGGTTCTGAATCCTCCTGGTATATCCTCCCAGTGGTTCCAAAGACAGGGGACTGGGTATAGGGTACGAGATGAAATGGCCAGCCAACTCGATGATGAACCCATTTTGGAACCTAACGCGGTGTAGATTTTCTTGGTATGCTTGTCTTGGGTGTCTGAAATTATGCCGATGCTTCCACTTTCTTCAATTCTTCCCTAAATAGAGCCACCGATATTAGTGAATGCGACAGTGAAAGAGATGGTGGGCGCTTCGTGGGAAATGGAATGGTGTGAGAGCGTCGGCTCGGCGTTGGTGTAGGTATGAGTACAAGCCAAGTAGGCTTGTGACCAAGGAGAAATATAGAATTGATGTTGCCCCGGTGTATATGGGTATACGAGGAAACGCGAACTTACTGGAGCTGCTTTGAGAAGTCCTCTGCGGCGTCATCGTCATCCCAGCTCTCTTCCCACAGGTGCTCGCTACCGCCATTTGCTGTCGAGCTAGCGGTCTGCTCAGCCTCTTCCTGTGGCCAATCTGGATGTCACATGGTTAGCTCTGTTGGTCTGTTGGACTAGAGGAGGGCTTCGGTGTCTCGTCGATACCTTCAACTGGGAAATCCTCGAACTCGTCGTCTTCCTCCAAGACTTGGGGTTTCTGCGGTGGCTGGGGTTGCTCTGTAGCATCGTTCTTTTGGGTGGTAGGGTTTGACATTGTGAAGAGTATTGTTGACCGAGATCGTCAGAGTAAGAAGTAGCTGTAGGAGGTGTACTACTGTGTACGTAGATGGAGAGGATGGAGGAGGTGGCAGCTGAAGGCGGAATCGCGAAGGTTTGACTTAGTAAGACGGCGATAAGGGCGATAACGATGATGTAGTTGGCAAACAAGCGGAGAACAAGTTGGGCAGACCAAAATACAAAGAAAATCTGGAAAGAAATAGTTGACGATGTAGAATACAATATCCGGAATATCGGAGAAAATTGGGACCTTGTCACCTTGTAAAAGCACAAGTTGGTCAATTGGGCACAGTTATCTCCATACGCTCGCCCCTCGGAGTTGCCGGACAAAAAGAATCCATGGGAAGAGCCTCAACGTGTTGTTATATGACTTTGCCCCCCCCCCCCTCAGCTTTTCCTCTTTCTCCCCCTCTTCTATCTAGGGCATTTCTTTCTTTCTCATCGTAATTCTGTTTTTTCTATGCCCCGGTGATGTTCTCCATCGCACGATTACTATCGCTCAGTTAACATTCTTCCCGATCCGGAGCGCTCTCTCTTTTCGGCTCAGATTGCCCTGACCCGGAGACCATCGTGTTTCCACTTCAATTTTCCACTTCAAACAATTTGTCCTTGCTATACCTGACAGTGGTTATCGCCATGTTGCGAGTTGGATCGTGGCTGTATAGCAAAAAGCCGGCGCAGTCTGTGGACTCGTCGGTCGAGTTGAAAGACTGTGAGTGTTGGAACTTACTTCCACCTGCCAGTGGCATCTGGCGTGTGCGGAGAAACCGTCTGATTGTAAGCTAACCGCGATGTTTTCTGGCAGTGGTGCATGCGATGAATGGTATCTTGACATGGAATTGTGCATCCCCCAGACATTGGCTAATTCCATGCGCAACTAGCGGCAACACTGATTCTCAACGACGATGTTGATGGCGCAGAGAGTGGTCTTTCTACGGGTTCTTCGACCTTTCATACTGTAAGTGATCGTTGCTAGAGATATGACGTAGCACATAAGATCAAGGCGCTAACTTTGCATCAATCAGCTGGGAAAAGGCGTGGTTGCCTTCGTTCGGGCAACATTGGGATTCGAACAGGAGATTATGCGACAAGGTCCATGACATTCTGCTCTTTTTTAAGCCACACTTTCTGACACTTTCGCAGCATCCGATCGTCTCTACGAAGCGGAAACCAGCGCGGCCAGCAACCAAACCCGGGCTCAGCATAACGCTCAAGCGTCCAATGCATTTCACTCCGAAATATATGCCGCTGGCACCGAATATGCGCTATGCCAAGCAATCGCGCAATTGATGAGTGCGGTGGTTGGGGTGCTGAACGAAAGCCTGACAGAAAGTATCAAGGCGTTCTATCGGTTGAGAAAGGCTTACATCACGCTGGACGCCATCATGAAGATGGAAGAAAAGTTCATGGAGCAGAGAGACTCGAATAAAGTTCTACTGCCAACTGTGGGGGAGCTTTCAAGTTCGAGCGCTGCATGTTCAGACACGTCTAGCCTTTCGTCAAAACGAGGCCCAAAATCAGCCACCGCCGAACACGCGGATCTCAATTCGTCACTAAAAGGGTTGGCCATCTCTTGCCAGGAAGATTCCCCGGTTCCTTCGGGCACTTCAACGCCTTCCGCCAAGCATATTCATCATGACCCCGACTCGGACATCTTCAAAAATGAGATCGATGTCTTTGTGCACTCCGGTGCCAACTTCTGCTTTGGTATTCTCCTCCTACTAATTTCCATGGTTCCTCCGGCATTCAGCAAGCTTCTTTCCATCATTGGCTTCCATGGGGACAAACAACGAGGTCTGAGGATGCTCTGGCAAGCTAGCAAGTTTCACAATCTCATCGGTGCCATGGCTGCTCTCGCACTTCTAGGATATTACAACGGTTTCGTTCGCTACTGCGATATTATGCCCGATCCAACTTCGGGCGAGGCCGATGTCGAGGGTTACCCACGGGAAAGACTCGCTGCTTTGCTAGCGGAGATGCGGTCTCGGTTCCCCAATAGCCGACTTTGGCTGCTCGAAGAATCGCGGATGCTAGGTGCAAATAAGAATTTGGACGGTGCTTTGGAACTGCTGTGTACGGATAACAAGAGCCCACTTAAGCAGGTCGAGGCGCTATGTGTATTCGAGAAAAGCTTGAACGCACTGTTCCTCCACCGATACCAAGTCTGCTGCGAAGCATTCATTGAGGTGAGTTCATTTCCGAGATACGCGGGCGGCCCGCACTGACCCTTCTTTAGTGCGTGGATCTCAACTCGTGGTCCCGGTCGCTGTACTACTACATCGCCGGATCCTGCCATGTTGTCCTGTACCGGCAATGCCTTAAGGACACCAAGCTGGAAAAGTTTGCAGCAGAGCATGCCAAGAAAGCCGCCTTGTACATCCGGAAGGCCCCCGAATTTGCCGGCAAAAAGCGCTTCATGGCCCGGCAACTGCCATTTGATGTGTTTGTGTCTCGGAAAGTGGCAAAATGGGAGGCGCGCGCCAAAGCGTGGAATGTGCCTCTGGTGGATGCAATTGGTGTGGACCCCATTGAAGAGATGATCTTCTTCTGGAACGGGCACAGTCGCATGACCAACGAGCAGCTGGAGGAGTCCCTGAGCCGACTGGCATGGTGCGAAAGCGAGGCCAACCAGACGTGGTCTCGCGAAGGAATCGAAGAAAAAGCCATCTTGGAGCTTCTTCGTGCTGCCGTTTTGCGATCCCTTGGCAGATATGAAGAGGCGAAGAACACATTGCAGACTCGCGTCCTGAGCCATGACAAGTCTGTCTTCAAGGGACACCTGAAGGATGACTGGGTCCATCCAGTTGCCCATTTTGAGATGGCAGCCAACTTCTGGATGGAGCGACCTACATTCCAGGTACTACATGGCACCGCTTCTTCTCCCAAGACATCGGATGATGTTTCCACCGGGTCTGGAGAGTTGAGCACCGAGGCCGAGAGAAAGCAGGTACGCCAGTGCAAGGAGTACCTTGACCATGCTGCTCGCTGGGAGAGCTATGAGCTCGATGCTCGTATTGGTCTGAAGGTTACAGCCGCGATGGAAGCGGTACACAAGTGGGAGAGTACGCATCCAACAGCGTAAAGAGGTGTACTCTGTTTGGGGGAGGTTCACTATTCATATCTGCTGGGTTTGTCTGTAGCATACATGCATCGAGTACAATGTAGAGATCACGATTTAGACGTATCACAAGCTTTTTTACTTTTATCCGTTACCCACAAATGTCATCAAGTCAACTTCTTTCATTGGCTGCTTCAGTCCCCGAGGGTCCACTATGTCCACTATGGTCCACCCGCCACCGTAGGTCCGTAACGTGTGACATCGGACTTCGGCACCGCACCCGAAGGCCGAAGCCCGTTTCCAATACTCAACAAGTTTGTGCATGTTCAAGGCTGCACATTAATACCTCGATTCGATTGGTTCAATTCTTTCTGCTGATGTTCTCTCCTTTCTATACCAACAAGGCCTCATGATCGGCAACGTCGCTCCCGAAGCAGAAGCTCTCGGATAACACGGCTTCTCTGCGTATTCGACAGGCTGATTTCACTCATCTTGAGCTGACGCCTTTCCGCAGGGCAATTACCCATCTCCACTCTCCATCTGATCTCTTATTTCTGCCTGCAAATCACAAAATTTCCCTTCCTATTCTACTGCCTCTTCACTTCTACTCCTTAGGCCTTTGATATAATCTCTCATACTTCCGCCTTATACAAAGCCGGCTGCGATATCGCAGTGAGCCTGAAAATGGCCCACCGGACAGAACATGACGACTCCTCCAGCTCATCGAGCAATGAGATCGAACCGCGCCACAGCAGCATTAGAAATGGAGTCTCACCATTAGCAAAGCAAAGCACTGCGGGCAGTTCTGGTTACTCGGTCTTGGAACAGCGCACGCAGTCAATAGTCTCGCGCATTCGCAGTCGAGTGCCCGGCCAAACGGCCAAATTTAGCCATCCGCTCACTCATAGCAGGACTGGTCCTGATGTTATTGTCGATTTTGATGGTCCGGATGATCCATACAGACCTTTAAACTGGGGGTTTAAGAAAAAGGCTATCACGACCCTGCTATATGGACTAACAACTATGGGTAGGTCTTCAAATCGGGGAGATGTCATACGGAGCAATGCGCTAACCAGTGATCAATTGCAGGTGCGACGTGGGCGAGTTCGATGTAAGCTTCTTTTTCCTTTTATCTTTTGGACTTAGCAATTTATATGGACTTGGTGACTGATTATCAGACTAGCTATTCGACAGGCCAGGCGGAGATCAGCGAGGAATTTGGCGTCTCGATTGAGGTTGCCACGCTCGGAACCTCGTTATTATTATTCGGCTTGGGCTTAGGACCATTGATCTGGGCGCCTCTATCAGAGCTGTATGGCCGCAAGACCGCCGTGCTACCGCCTTACTTTCTCGCAGCCATCTTCTCTTTCGCGACAGCCACTGCAAAAGATCTCCAAACCATCATGATCACCAGGTTCTTCACGGGCTTCTTCGGCTCAGCCCCTGTGACCAACACAGGCGGTGTCCTGAGTGATATCTGGACCCCCGAAGAGCGTGGAGCTGCCATTGTTGGCTATGCCATGGCCGTGGTGGGCGGGCCCGTTCTTGGACCTATTGCAGGTGGTGCTATTGTCCAAAGTGATCTAGGTTGGCGATGGACCGAATATGTAAGATATTCATACTCTCGGTTCCAAAAGAACCCTCAACTAATGCCCACCAGCTCACCGGCATCATGATGATGTTCTTCCTACTCCTGGACCTGCTCTTCGTCGATGAGAGCTATCCGCCAATACTCCTAGTCTACAAAGCCCGCCGCCTTCGCTTCGAAAGCAGCAACTGGGCCCTCCATGCCCGCCATGAAGAATGGGACGTAACCATTAAAGAAATCGGCAACAAATACCTCGTCCGCCCCTTCCAGCTCCTCGCCACCCCAATCTGCTTCCTCGTCGCCCTCTACGCCTCATTCGTCTACGGCATCCTCTACCTCAGTTTAGCCTCCTTCCCAATTGTCTTCCAAGAAATCCGCGGCTGGAACCAAGTCGTCGGTGCCCTCCCCCTTCCTCGCCTACCTAGTCGGTATCCTAATTGGCGGAGCCGTCAACCTCGCAAACCAAAGATTCTACATCAAGCGCTTCAAAGCGAACAATAACCGAGCCGTTCCTGAAGCCCGTCTCCCTCCCATGATGATCGGCTCTGTCCTGTTTGCCGCGGGCATGTTCGTGTTTGGCTGGACGAGTCCAAAGCACATACACTGGATTTGTCCGAATATCGGCGCCGTCATGATGGGTTTTGGCTTTTTTACCATCTTCCAGGCTGCGCTCAACTATCTTGTTGATACGTTTCAGAAATACGCTGCCAGCGCCATTGCCGCGAATACCTTCCTGCGCTCGATGTTTGCGGGATGTTTTCCGCTCTTCACTTCGGCCATGTTCCATAATCTGGGTGTTCCCTGGGCTGCGAGCGTGCTGGGGTTCATTTCTGTCGCATTGATTCCCATTCCGTTCCTATTCTACAGGTACGGGAAGCGAATTCGAGCCCGGGGGACGTGGTCGAGAGAATCTGTTTGAATTTCTGCTGGGCTTGAGTTCTATTGGGCTCGTGTCCTTGCGTATCTATCTGGACCTGTACATGTTTTTGAATGACTGGGCTATGTATGGGGTTGATTCTACCCCTATCCCTACTTATGAACATGACCATTGCTTGCATTTATGATACCCTTGAGTGAAGTCATGTCGGTTTGATGTGTTATTTTGCTACCAAGCTATTGTGGTAAAAGCGTTACTTACGACTTACAGAATGGAGAAGAATTGATAGACGGGTTTCCATATATTTGAGTATGACAAAGAAGCAAAGACAACACAGATTCAAGTGGACAAGAATAAGGAAAATAATTAAAGAGAGAATGTAGTGGGTTTGGGCAATGATTACCGCGTATGTCCGAAAGACATGCATAATGAAGACATAAGAAATGAAGGGGACATGGTAGGCATTCGACATGAACATTAACACAAAGGAAATGGTTTTTTTTTGTTTTTTTTTGTTTTTAGAAGAATACGTTGTGTTCTTCTTTGCTCTGTATTACTCTTTGCAACACACGTCAAGTCTCAAGCTCGACTCGAGATGATGCTGTTATTCCGTCGAGTCAACTTCCGAGCCAATGTCATTGCCTTCTCCCATGTCTTCTTCTTCTCGACACGGGAAACAGGGTCAGGCGAGGCAGCGCCAGTCGCAAGATGCTCGACAGGCTCTTCCTGATGCTTCGCGTTATACAAAGCCAGCACAGCCATCTGTCCCAGGAAAGAAGGATGCTCGATAAGGTCCTCCAGACGGACCTTGAGACCCTCTTGTTCAAGGAGCCAGGTCAGCTGAGCAAGGTTGAAGACATCGCCGCCAAGGTCAAAGAAGGAGGAATCCAGCTGGAAGGCAGACTGGTGCGTGGGCTTGTCATTGGAGTCCGGGTCGACAGTGGCTGGGACGGTGCGGCTGGGCAAGACCTGATGCCAGGAGCGAGACAGGATGTCTGAGTGCACGAGCAGCTCTGCAATGGAGCGCGACTTGAGGTGCGCACTGAGGAAGTGTTCGTCCGATGGACGGGGAGGTCATCAATGGTCTGAGGTGGCAGGGAACGCAGCGTGCTCGCGGAAGGCAGCGAGCTGTTGGGATTCGCTACGAGCGACTGTGCAATCTCGCAGGCCATATCGAGAGCCTTTTCTGCGAACATTGGCATGACAGGTCCCTTTTCGGAGTAGCCGAGGGTAACATCAAGGCCGCGTTCGCCGGAGGGGCGAGAGACCAGGGTCAGATCGGCGAGGTTGTCGTTGACACCGACACCACCCATGCGGTACTTGTTGCTGTCGAGTTCGATCGTTCCTTCGTAGTCGACGTTCTGGTGGAAGACGGAGGTGGTGAAATAGGTCCAGGAGGGCCAGTCGGTGCACTGCTTGATGATCTCACGGAAGCCCAGAGACTCGAATGGCATGTTGGAGACTTGCTGGTCTTGGAGATAACGGAATAGATCCAGGGCAGTCCAGTTCTCGCTGAGTTTCACGCGAACCGGGATAACGTTGACACAGGGACCAACGGTGTTTTCGATGCCAGGTACTGTGGCGTTGCGACCGCTGATGGTCAGACCAAAGACAACGTCGGATTGGGCAGACAGCTTGGCGAGGGTCAAGGCCCAGGCAGCCTGCATGACGGTTGCAATGGTGACATTTCCAAGGGCAGTGGGTGGGATCTCGATCTTCCTGTGGATTTCGGTGAATGCACCCACGTTCTGGAACATGCTTGTTCCCTTTCGGCGTACAACTTGGGTCATCTGAGATCCCTTGAGAAGGTCGGACCAGTGGCGGTAGTGGTCCGGAGTAATTGTACCCGGTAGCTGTCGCAAGTAACCAGCAAACGGAGTAACGGGAGGCAACGGTGTGCCTTCGTATCCGTGCTTGATCGCAGCCATAATCTTCGGCAGACAGACTCCATCGTACTGGGTGTGTGAGAGGCGGATCAAAATGCGGTGCTGATCGCTGCCCTTCTTTTTGACAACGTAGAACTGCACGTATTGTTCACCCTCGCGGGGTCCGTACTCACGGTCCCTCTGTTGCAGGGTCATAGTAAAGTCGTCGAGAGCGCGATCTGTCTCATAGACAAAGATACTGGGACGGATCTTGCGAAGGACAACCTGGAAGAACTGGTCATGGAAGCACACAAAGACTGTGCGCAGAATATCGAAAGCATCGACAGCCTTCAAGCAGCTCTCGCGAAGGCGTCTCAGGTCCAAGGGACCATTACCTTCAAGGTAGAAGTAGTTAAGCATCCATCGGGACTTGAAAAGAGTCGCCGTCAAAGACATCGCTTGGAAATCAGTGACAGGGAGAACATCGGCGATGCCACCCTTGAAGACACCGATCTTGGGGCAGATACCACTCTGTACTGCGGCATCATCAACACATGACGGCTTGAGAACCTCGAGGTTCTCAGTTGAAGGGGATGGCCCCAGCGTCGTTGGCGTGATGTTGAGTAAATCACTATCAACCTCTTTGTGACCGCCAGACTTGAGATCGACATTGAGGAGTTGCTGAGTGACGTTGGCGGCCCGAACTGTCGCCAGCATGTCTGCGAAAACAGGGTTGTGGAAGACATCTGCGACAGTAAGTACCAGGCCCTCTTCGCGAGCCGCGCTGACCATTTTCATTGCGGTGATGCTATCACCGCCCAACTTGAAGAAGCTGTCCTGATGTCTCACCACGTTGGGTGAGAGACCAAGTGCGCTACTCCAAAGGTTCCACAACTTCCTCTCCACATCGGCCGACATCCCATCCTCGCTGGAACGGGATGTCGCCGAACAAACACCCGAATCATCCGCCTCTTGCACGCCAAACTGGTATGGCGAGTCGACAGTGGCCTCAGTGTGGCCACCGAAGTTCGACAAACCCTCCGTTTTGATGGGAGGAACTGTCAGTTTCCCTTCTCTCAACATCCGACCAATAATTTCATGGACGCGATCATCAATGATTTTTTGAATGGCACTGCTATCAATCGCATCTCCGGCGGACTTCGCCTTGTCGGCCAATGTGGACTGGGAACGATCCCAATCCATTGACTCCGACGCAGCTTCAGCGCCGAACTTGGACTGCTCCAGAGTCGCATCGGGCGACTCAATAAATCCAGTGAAGACCTTGGCAATTGTATCAGTCAATGCCTGTGCCTCCTCATCTGAGACAACATCGTTCCAGTATCTCAAGAGAATGCCCTCTTGGCCTCGTGCAATCTCAACGTTCACAGTCACCGCATACTGAATGGAATTAGTTACTGTAAGAAAATTGATAGAATTGGTACTCACCTCGCTGGGGTCATGTGCGTGCTGAAGATCGAAGGACAACCCCTTTTCTTTGGGGCCACCCGCGACGGAGTGATTCTGAATTGACAGGGTAGTGTTGAAGAGCGACTGTCCCTGCCAGCCAAGCTCGTGCTGGATGCTGGCGAGAGAGCAACTCTGGTGGGGTATGCATCGAATGTAGTCATCTTGAACATTCTTGGACACATCAGTCAAAGTCTGGTGGTCTGAGAACTGGACACGGCAGCAGAGCATGTTGATGAAGATGCCGACCATATCCTGGATACCGTTAACAGGGGCATCGCGACCAGCAGAAAGATATCCGAAGCAAACATCATCGGAGTTAGTGAATTGTCGAAGAACAATGGCCCAGGCTGAGAGAGTCAAATTGGCAAGGGTCACAGAACTCCTTTCGCAGAACTTGAGAAGCTCCGGGAACCGCTGGAAGTTCATCATAACACCCTTCAGCGCTCGCTTTGAGCCAAATGTGGCGGATGGGGCAAGGTGGCACGGGTGAACTCCACCGAGGTATTGCTTCCAGTGACCGAGGGCGTCAGCTTGGCTCTGAGACCGGATGTATTTGATGTAGTCGCTGAAGCGAGGTCCAGGTCCCTCGGGAATCTTGCGCTCATAAGCGAGTGTCAAGTCACGGAGGAGGACATCGACAGAGCCTCCGTCAATGATTGCATGGTTGATCTCGAGCTTCAGAATCACACGTCCAGTGTTCGTTCTGCAGACAGTGAGTTGGTGAGAAAGCTTGGACTGGCGAACGGCATTCAAGGCACGAAGAGAAATTGCAGCCAACTTCTCTTCGACCTCGGAGTCGCGGCACTCCACGCAAATGTTGTTCTCGCGGAGGTCCTTGAGCACCAGCTGATCGAAAGATCCTCCGGTGTAGTTGCTATCGACGAAGATGGTTCTCAAGACAGGGTGGCGGTCGACGAGGGTTTGCCATGCTTGAGAAACCCTTTCAGCGTCGACCTTGCCATATTTGGCATCCTTGATCTCGAAAATGGTGTGGAACATGTAGGCATTGGGGTCGCGGAGTTGGCTGAGCAAAAGACCCTCCTGCATCGGAGAACAGGGATAGATATCCTCGACCTGATCCCTGTCGCGAATGCCCGCCCTGCGGAAGGTGCTGTCGGTGAGCATTTGCAGGCCGTGGTAGTTGATCGGCAGAAGAGGATAGTCACTGAGAGTTGGCTCGGGGGTGGCCGTCTTCAGTGTGAGAAGATCCTTCTCGAGGGTTTGCTTGCACTGAATGATCCAGCGGCGGATCGAGCCCTCATGCTGCATTTTGCGATTGTAAGTGAATGCGACATTGAGACGACCTTTGATGATAATGGCCGAGATCTCAAAGAGGGCGAAGCGTGCAGTCTGAGGGCCCATGTCACCCGCAACGGCGAAGTCAGAGCTGTCGAAGACGCTGCCATGGTGATGGAACAAGGAGTCGTCTCGCTCAAGTTGCTGCATTTTACCCAGATAGTTGAAGAGGATCTCCAATGGAACTGGGAAGTCGGCTGCCTGGTTTTGAAGGAGGCTTTTAGCGAAGTAGGGGCGTCCGTTATCTGTGATCTTGCGCCGGGTATCCTTGACGCGCTTGATGATGTCGTTGAGAGCACCTTGGCTTGTTAGTCTGATATCTCCGAGACGGGCAATGATAAACTTACGAGCGTCGAAGTCCACTAGCAAAGGCGCCATGGTAGTGAACCAGCCAACTGTTCTCGAAAGATCAATGTCGGCTTCCCATGGTTCTCTGCCATGACCTTCATTGTAAACAGTGGGAACCTTGCGATCGGTGAAAGTCCGACCGAAGGAATGAATGATGGCAGCAAGTAGGATGTCAACAGTGTCTGTCCGGAAAACACTGTGGCAACCATCCAGAATGAAGTTAGTAGTGTCCTCACTCAATGTGAAAGATTCCATCTTGATATCTCCATAGACATTGGGTGTGTCTTGCATGCCCCAATACGTCAAGTTTGGCTTCTCGGAAGTGAAAGGCAAGGAAATGTTGGCATCGTGGGTCCTGACCCTCTCCGACTGCATTGCACACCAGCTTTGGAATGACAAAGCCTTGTCCAATGATAAAGATCCAGAGACAACGAGCTCTTCGAGATCTTGAAGCACAATGCGCCAAGATACCATGTCAATGCACAAATGGTGAGCCACAAGGAACAGGACCTGACCACCGGCGCGGAGATTGAAAAGATCGGCGGCCAAAATAGGACCGTTGAGAGGATCAAGGTAAGTCTGGCTCTCGGCGATCTTGGGAACCATCGCGCGAGTGTCGCTGACGGAGTGAACGCGGAAACGGAAAGATTCGTCGACCTCCTGCAAGATCATGTTAGAAGATGGCGGAAACAAATCTCGGCTCAAACTTACCGCTGCGGTCTTCTGCTGCCAGTTTCCATCGCTAGTTGTGCTGAAGCGGGCACGGAACATGGCGTGCTGGCCGATGACAGCCTTGAGGGCGCGTCGGAGGACCTCTCCCTCACAGCGGCGAACGATACGAACGGTGATACTCTGGTTGAAGCGAGCAGCCCCTTTGTAGGATTTGGCGCTCTGGAAGTACAGCCTCTGAACGGGGGAAAGGGCAAAGCCCTCACCAGCTCGCTCTTCACGTTGAGAAACAGGTGTCTTGGTACCGGCGGTTTGTGCAAGTTCCTTTACCGAGCGACTTTGCAGAATGTCGTGCAGTGTCAGAACAAGTCCCTGCTTGCGAGCGCGGGAAATCACAGCCATTCCAGTGATGCTGTCGCCGCCTGTGAAAATGGGTCAGTATATGAATATCTCAAGAAAGGAGGAAGCTTACCCAAGCTGACGAAAGATCGGTCGACATTGACCTTGGACAAAGAGATATTCAACACCTGGGCGAAGATCTCGCGAATAATCCTGAGCGAGCCACTCTTTTCATCTCTTTCTTGGGGCTTTTCCTCGGTCTTCCCGCGCTTGATGCGATCATAATCCGCCATAATACGCTCGTATGACAGATCATCAATATCCTCAAGCCAAGCAGTAATCTTCTTTCGGTCGAGCTTGCCAGAAACCAGCATGGGGAGCTTCTTGATCAGTGCCCAAGTCTGCGGAACCATGTATATGGGAAGCTGGTCCTCGAGGTTCTTCTGGACGTCAACAAGCTCATTGTAAGCATGGCGCTCAAGCTCATCCTCGTCAACAAGCTCACAGGCCTTGTCTGAAATAAGCTTGTTATCAGCTGCAACACTGTTCAAAGACATGACAGTGACCAGGCGCTGCTTGAGCGGGCCCTTCTTGGGAAGAATGACGACTGCATGGCGTGTGCGAGTATCTTCGGACAAACGATGCTCAATCTCACCGAGCTCCATTCTCTGGCCGTGCAATTTGACTTGGTGGTCCTTCCGGCTGATGTACTGAATGGAACCATCGGGGTTGTAGTAGCAGAGATCACCGGTTTTGTAGATACGCCGGGGACCAGGAACAGTGGCCCTGAAGTCCTTGATCCAAGCGGGGTCGGTCGTGAATGCCTCTGCGTTCTTCTCGGGGTTTTTGAGGTACTCTCGGGCCAAGGGAGTACCTTCAAGGGCAAGTTCTCCCACTGCACCCAAAGGAGTCAGCCGATCGTGATTGTCAGGATCAACGATCCAGGTGAGGGTACTGGGAATGCCATAACCGATGCGCCCGGGGTCGCGGTTGGCGGCCACTGCATTGTCGATGACGGCGAAAACACACGTCTCGGTTGGTCCGTATCCGTTCATGAGGTGAACGGAGTTGGCCCACTTGGTGATGACTTCGTTGGACATCTTCTCACCACCGCAGACCAGGTGCTTGAGGGATGGAACCGAGGATGGCTCAATGATGCTGGCAATTGAAGGAGTGAGGAATGTCCAAGTAACATTCAGTCGACGGATTGCACCAGCCACATCGTTGAGACGATCGTCCTCGCTGGGTACGCAGATTGTACCTCCCAACATGAGGATCGCAAGTGTCTCCATGACAGCGGCATCGAAAGTGAGTGAGGCAAATTGGAACACTCTCGAGGTTGCATCCATGTGGACCCACGGGGCGAAAGCCATGATACTGCTGACCACGTTGCGGTGCTCAACAATGATGCCCTTGGCGCGACCGGTGCTACCAGATGTGAACAAAGCGTACGCCATATTGGATGGTTTGACCTGAGCACGGCCGCGGACGGTTGACTTGAGGGACCCATAGGCCTTGATGGTGTCTTTGCTGATGGGGATAACAGTCTTCACAACTCGGCTATACCGATTGGTATAATTGGGTGTGCACAGAATGATGTTGGCGCCGACGTCGGCCAGAATCTCTTCGTGGCGAGATGTAGGGTGGGACGGATCGAGAGGAACATAGCCGCCACCGGCGATGAGGACACTGATGAGGGTCACCATTGCCCAAGCTGATTTGTCAAGGCACACTGGAACAAAGACTTCTGGACCAACTCCACGAGAGATGAGATAATTGGCAAAGCCGGATGCGAGATCCCAGAATTCTCTGTAGGAGAGGTCACCATCCCATGCACACACAGCCTGAGCGTTCGGAGTCTCATCACACATGTCACGAATGAAGTCTTGCACGGTTCGTTCGACAGTGAGCGGAGTCCGTTCGTTCCAAGTACCGATCTCCGCCTTGTCTTCAGGGCTCACAACCTCCAGGTCTCCCAAAATGCTTGTGGTGTTCTTGGGCATCGAAATCAATTGCTGCAGGACATGGGCAAACTGCTGGATAATGCGTTTGGTCTGCCAGCCATTGATGACAAGTTCATCGTGGTGAACCGTGAATGCAATGCTTGTCTTCGTGACACCACATTCCACAACAAGAGGGTGAGTGAAGAAGTCTTCGCTTGTCTGACGCTTCTCGTCGACCCAAATCTTGTTGTCGAGTTCGCCATCACCAGGCTGGATCACAAGCAGGTTCTTGAAGTCGCAACCAGTGGAGGCATCCTTGTTCAGCTGACGGATGCGCTGAAGACCCGAGTGCAGGTGCGGAATCATCTCAGTGGTTGTTTGATGAATCTTCTGCAGGTATTGTAGAGTGGACATCGCATTGTCGACCTGAACACGGGTCGGTACAGTGGTTAAAACAGGACCAGCAATATCCGCAACACCAGGGAGATCGATGTTCCTTCCAGACAAAGTCTCGCCGAAGCAAACATCACCAGACGCAGTTTGTGTGGCAATGACGATTGCCCATGCGGCGCGCATAAGCACAGGGATGGTAAAGTCGACGCTTTCGGGAGTGCGAGAGATCTCCATAGAGTGATGCTGAGTGTTACCAGCACGAACGGCATCCGGCAATGCATTCTTGTTGTGAGGGAAAGGTGTGCTTGACAGGTCCGCTAGATGAGTCTTCCAGAAGGTGTCGGACTCCGCCATGTTTTTCTTCACCAAGTAGTCAATGAAAAGGCTGTAGGGGGCACCAGCACGCTTGGTCTGTGAGGCAAAGTAGTTCTCTTCGACCTTGCGGAAGACCAAAGGAATACTCCAACCGTCATAAAGTGCGTGATGAACAGACCAAACGAAGTAGCTGGAAGAGGAACCACGCGGCTGAACCATGGCATAGCCAGTAAGAGGTGCACCATTGTGACTGGGCAGTCGAAGGAAGTCATTGGGAAGAGCTTCAAAGGACTCCGCCTGAACCCAAGCGATAGGAGACTCCTTCAGCACAACCTGAGCAAAATTCATAGCGTCGGTGTGAACAATGCGAGTGCGCAGGATCTCCAAGTCAGCGACTGTCTGTTGCCAGGCCTGCTTGAACCGACCGACATCGATACCATCAGCAAGGCGGAAGGAAGGCTGAGCAACATAGGCACCGTGATGTTTGATGGAGAGTGTCAGAAGACCCTCTTGCACTGCACTGCAGGGATACACGTCGGCGACAAGGTTCTTCGACACTTCGCAGTTGTCGGTAATCTCGTCCATCAGGTTGTCGATGTCGATTCCAGCAGGGAGCAGGGAGAAGGGCTTGACAATTTCCTTCTTGATTTCAGCAGCTCCGCTAGAAACGACGCAAGTCTTGGCCATCTCAATCAGAAGCGGAGAGTTGAAGATGCTGGACACAGTAAGAGAGATACCCTCAGCTTGAGCAGCGCCAACGAGGTTCATGGCAGACAAGGAATCACCACCCAGTGCAAAGAAGCTGTCATCGGCGGTGACAGAACCGACTTCCAGGTCAAGAGTCTTCTCCACAAGGGCCACGAGCTGTGCCTCAAGACCAGTAGCCGTAGACATCCCTCTATTGTCAGAGGTATTGAATGTGATGTAAGACTTTAGGGTGTCCTTGGATAGGGTCTGGGCCATTGCCTTCAGTCTGCGACGGTCGATCTTTCCAGAGGAAGTGAAGGGCAAGTTCCGGATAGGGAAGAACAGCCGGGGCATCATGCTCTGGGGCAAAAGGTCGGGAAGAGAACTCTTCAACTTCTGAATGGCATCCATGTTGGATACTGAGATGGGCAGTAGCAGTGGATCTGCTCCAGAAACAGTGGTGGTGAGTTGATCACTGCTGCCCCCGTTGGAACCATGGTCCTGTACAGTGAAGAATGCAGCAAGACCCTTGGCGATGGTCCGTTCTCCGGGGACGACAACATCGACAGCAACTTGTGAATCGTCAGGGAGGCAGCGAAGGCATTGTTGTTCAATCTCCTCGAGTTCAATCCGCTGGCCATTGAACTTGATTTGAGTATCTTTGCGAGAGATGAAGGCGAGACTGCCATCGCTATTGTAGCGAACCAGATCACCAGTGCGATACATGCGATCATCGCGCTTGAACACACCCTGCAGGCCATCGTGTCGCACCCAAACGGGACACTGGAAGAAAGAGGCTTTTGTCTTTTGCTCATTAGCAAGGTATCCACGTGCAACGTTGCTTCCTTCGAGGATCAATTCGCCGACAGCGCCGACGGGAAGCAGGCGGTTGTAGTTGTTAGGATCAACGATCCACACTCTGCAATTCGGCGCTGTTCCAATGGACGTGGGATCCTCGCTGACCCTGTTTCCATCCCAGTCAACTTTGACACCAACTGTGGCAATGACTGTGGCTTCAGATGGACCATAGGCATTGATGACGCATCGATCGCCCCAGCGGTCAATGTGGTTAGCGGGCATCTTCTCACCACCGGTGGTAATAACCTTCAGCGTTGGGACGCTCTTTGGATCCAGAGTATTGACGATGGCAGGGGGCGCGAAGATGTATGCTGCCTCCATACGGCGAATGGCACCACTCAGGCTGTTCATACGCTCATCCTCGCTGGGAACGCAGACACAACCACCAGTCATCAAAGTCATCATGATCTCCAGAATACTGACGTCAAAGGTATAGTTCGAGAACTGCAAAACACGTGTTGTGGTGTTCATGCGCAGGGCATCAGTCATGGCAAGAGCTGTGGTACTAAGGGCAGTATGTTCGACAACAGTGAGCTTTGGCTTCCCTGTGGTACCAGAAGTGAAGATGCCATACGCCGCGTTCGATGGCGCAGGACGAGTGCCGGGCATACCCAGAGGCGAGTCAGGAAGTTGGGAGACGGAAGTCTGGCAAACAGCGAAGGATTTGTCGACCAGCTTCGAGACCTTTGCCAGGAGAGAAGATGAGCACAGGACCAGATGAGTGCCGATTTCGTCGATGAGCATTTTCAGGCGAGAATCTGGGTGCGATGGGTCAATCGACACGAAAGCTCCGCCGGCCTTGATCACAGCAAGCTGGGCGACGATGGCCCAAGCAGACTTCTCGAAACACAAGACGACGAAGACTTCGGGCTTGACACCTAGACCTGTGAGATAGCGAGCCAGACGGCTGGAGACTATTTCAAGCTGTCCGTAAGTTAGGTTCTTGTCCCAAGAGCAAATAGCTTCTGCGCGGGGGTGAAGCAGCGCTTGCTGTTGGATTAACTCGTCGGCGCACTTCTCCACTCTCGGAGGCGATGAAGCGTTCCAATCACGAATCTGGCGGACTGAGCGTGCGGGGAATAAGTCCATGTCTCCAACTGTGCGCTCAGAGAGATCTTGGGAGATTAGGTCGTCCACAACCTGGCTGAACAGATCCATGACATGGCTGACGTAAAAGGAAGAGAGAGTGTCTGAGGAGTAGGTGAAGTGAATATCGGCGTCAGAGTCCGAGACCTCCGTTTCAACCACAATCATATCAGTCTCGGAGGCGCTTGGTTGGCGGCTACTGTCTTTCCCGAGATTGGAAGCTGTTCGGTAGTGGAGGGAGGTGTTGAAGAAAGTCATGTCATCGAGTCCAAGCTGATGCTTGATGGCATCCAGAGCAGCAAGGTTAGCGACACTGCTCTTGAGATCCAACTTTGCTTTCTGTAGAGCATCTTGGAGCTTGTTCTCATTCTGGACGAGGAAGCGACAGGTGGAGAGCTCTTCGCCATCCAGAATCTTCCCCTCCAGGGCTGCTGCGGAATACCCAAAGCAAACGTCGTCCGAGCCAGTGTACCACCGAAGAACGACTGCCCAAGCAAACTGGAACAATACCTCGACAGGCAAGCCAGAGATCCGACTGAATGCATGAATGTTGGCGGCCTGCTTGTTGAGCGTGCGCATCGCGCGACTGTTTTCACCTGCTTCGTGAGAAAGTGCGGGGGAAAATGCAAGGCTCGACATCAGCAAGATACTCCTTCCAGAAAGTGATGCTAGCCTGGGAGAGGCTGGCGTGGCGCGAAACGCGATTAGCAGAATTGGACCCATTCCAACACTTGATGTCGAGTAACTCGAGGGCGGTACTCGACAGCCCTTGTGTCTCGGTCTTGAGGGCCTGGTGGTTTAGCTGTCTGGAAGAAGTCAAGGGGAGGGAAGAGATAGGGATGTAAATACTCGGAACCTTGTTATTGGGAAGGGTGGTACTCAAATGAGCGTGCAGACTGGACACAACGCCCTTCATTTCGGGAGTCGCTGGCTGGAGGACCGGCTCGCCAAATGTGCCCGAGATGGTATCTGACGATACCACGAAGGCAACGAGAGAATGCATCTTCGTTCCGTCATGTTCCAGTTGAACGCTCTCCAGAATGCACCTCTTCCTGGGACCAAGGAAGGAATCAATGCGCTCCCGAGTCTGGATCAGGTCGCTAGCCATGGTAAGTGCGTTGCGGTCGCTCTTCCGTCCCAGGAGAACAAGGGAGCCGTCGGAGTTGTATCGAACGAGATCGCCAGTCTTGAACAAACGGCGACTACCCTCCCGATGCCTTCCCGGAAGCCAAGTGGGGTTGTCGAAAAAGTCGGGGCTCGCTGCGGACTTCTGATTGAGATAGCCCCGAGCAAGAGCGGGTCCTTCGAGTGCCAACTCTCCGACACTACCGATGGGGGCAAGGCAGTTGGAGTTGAAGGGATCCAAAACCCACGGAACACAAGAAGTGCTCTTCCCAATGAGAGTGGCCTCGTTCTGGCCCTGGGAACAGAATACATGGAAACACGCGGAGGAACTTTCAGTTGTGCCATACAAGACCTGAAGCTGCAGATCATCAGTTTGCCAATGATCGAGAACCCACTGGGGGACTGCTTCACCACTGAGAGCGATGGACCGCAGTCCAGGCACATCTTTGGGCGAAAAGAAGCTTGCTGCGGTGGGGGTTATGCTAGCAACATTGACATGTAGGACATTGATCGAGCTGGCCAGCTTGAGTGGGTCAATATCAGCGGGAATGCAGAGGCAACCGCCCCACATGAAGGTGCCAAAGGCCTCCAGGATGAATGCATCGGAGGTATGAGGCGCAAATTGGAGTGTCCTGGAAACATCGGCAATTGCCATGGTGGTAGCAAATGCTTCAGCTCGGGTCATGACAGTTGAGTGGTCCAGAATAACACTCTTCGCAACGCCAGAGGTGCCGGCAGTCATGGCGACAAATGCGATGTCGGATGGACTTGCCGCGGAGGTAAGGACCTCATCTGTGAGGTACTCGAGAAGAGACTCGCTGACAGGTATGACGTAGGGGACGATATCCTCGAGGATCTGGGCTTTCTCGGGCGAAGCCAGCGCAACCTGGACCACATTATCGACAATCCATTCCTCAACAAGTCCCATGGTCTGAGGGCTGTCGACGGGGATACATCCACCGCCGGCTTTCATCACTGCCAATATAGAAACAACGTTCCACACAGATTTCTCAAAGCAGACAGGGGTGAGAGTTCCAGGACCGACACCAAAGGTGATGAGATAGCTTGCCAGGCGAGAGGAGTATTGGTCCAGTTTGGAATAAGTCAAGTTGCCGTCCCAGGCAGTGACAGCAAGGGCATCAGGGCGCTTCTTTGCCATCTCTTGGACAACGCGATGGGCGCATTTCTCAAAAGGCTTGGGGGCCTTGCTGTTCCAAGACATGATCTGGGCTTTGTGGTCGTCACTCAGGCTATCCAACTGGCTAATCTCACCATCAATGTTCGCGGCGATGTTTTCGAGACATCGGAGATAGGTGCTAGCCACACTAGTGGCCTGAGAGTCTGAGAGATTTGTGGTCCAGTAGTTGAGGTCAATCCTGGCTTTGGTGTCCGTAGCCTCGATGTTGATGTAGACAGGGAACTCAGCGGGATCATGAATTGCTCCGACCTCGACACATTCGATCTCACTACTGACGGCGTCTTTGGAGCTCGGGAGACGACGGTAGGATACACCAGAGTTGAACAAGTTGGTGTCGGAGAGCTTCAGTGCATGCTGGATGTCAATGAGCGAAGTGTGGCGGTATTCCAGGCTCTCCATGTAGTCATTTTGGATTTGGTGGAGCACATCGCTCAACTTCGCATCATTCTGGAACTTCATGCGACAAACCAGGAGGTTGATGACCGGACCAATGACCCACCGGACACCCTCAGCTGGGACATCGCGCAGAGAAGCCATGTAGCTGAAAGAGATATCGTCGGATCCACAGAAGAGGCGAAGCGTGAGCCCCCAAGCGGCATTGAAAACGTTGGCAAGAGTGATTCCGCGCTTTTCACACGTTCTGTAGATCTTGGATGGCTCCGAAGTTGACTGGGATCGACCTAAGAGTCTTGGGTGACTGCTGGCCATCAGTGAGGGTAGGGAAATGGCAAGGTTGGGTATCTTTGAGGTACGCGCGCCAGTAGTCGATGCTGGCTTCAGTTGGCGCATCCTGCAGATACTGAATGTAATCCCTAAACAGAGGCTGAGGAGTCTCTTCCAGTCGTCCGGCATATGCGAGCTGCAAGTCACGCATGATGATCGAAATGGAGTTACCGTCCATGGCAGCATGACTGATCTCGATGCGCGCGAAAAGTCGGCCAGTCGAAGTTCGGCAGATAGTAAACCGGTACGCAGGCGCAAACTGGCTGTAATCCTTGGGCTCTTGCTTGTCAAATGTAGCAAGTACGTCGCTGTCACCTGATGACTGCAAGAAGACGGGCGTGGCATCATAACTCTTTAGCACAATCTGGCAGAAAGGGTCCCGAGGAGTCAGATTCTCAACGAATATCGTGCGAAGCATGGCATGATGAGAAACAACCTGCTGCCAGGCATTCACAAGGCGCTCCAGATTTGGCGCGGTCGCTCCGGTGCCACGAATTTCGAATGTGTCATGAACGGCATAGTAAGAGCTATCGCGTTTGCGACCGAGAAGAATGCCCTGCTGCATGCGAGAACAAGGGTAGATATCTTCAACAAGATCCGGGGTCTCAATGCCCATCCGAGGCAGCTTCTCATTGAGCATTTGCTCCAAGGTCGGGTAGGTCAACGATAGCAAAGGGAATGAGCTGAGAGTCAACCGCGGCGCGAGGGTAGGGAGCCGTTCAGCGAGCGACACGAGCAGCTGCTGACAATCGGAAACCCATCGGTGAATCCGATCTTGGTGCTGCATAAACTTGTTGAAGGAGAAGTTGAATCGGACCTTTTCCGCAACGACCATGGCCGAGATCTCGAATAAACCAAAGCGCGGAGTCTCGCTGCCAAAGTCAGCGGCACCGCCTCCTTGACCAGCTTCTCCAGCCATTTGGTCGACCAGCTGGAAGAGACCATCCTTCCGCTGCAGATCCCGATGCTGACCGACGTAGTTGAAAGACATCTCAAATGGATAGGGATGCTCGGAGGCTCGGGAACCCTGCACTGGCAGAACTCGGTTGGTAAAATCAGCGCGCCCATTGTCTGTGACACGACGGCGGAGGTCCTTCACCTGGATCAGGGTATCAATGGGGTCGTCGGACTTGTATGCAGAGAGGAAGATCGGGTGTAGGATGGTGAACCAGCCGACAGTATGCGATATGTCAATGGAAGGGTCCCAAACTTCGCGTCCGTGGCCTTCGTTGTAGATGGTCGGAAGGTCCCGATCGGGGAAAGATCGGCCAAATGAATGGAGCATCGATGCCAAGAAGAGATCAATTGGCTCAGTGCCAAGAGCTTTGTGGCATTCCAGCAGAATGGCGTGGGTGTGCGCCGGGTCGATCTCAAAGGACGCACAATCCACATCGCCGTATGTAGTCTTGTTGTCCTCGAGACCCCAGTAACCAAAGTCCGGGGCAGCCAGAACATCTGTGGCAACTTTGTGTTCGGCTCGCAGGGTGTTACAATGCTCATTCTGGAGGCGGCACCAGGTCTGGAAAGGCAAAGACCCATCATTGCTGACAGTCTTCTCGGGGTTCAGGATGATATCTTCCAAATCCTCCAAAATGATTCTCCACGAAACAATGTCAACGACCAAGTGATGAGCAGTCATTGATAGAACGCGGGGGTGGCCTTCCACATCGAAGTAATCCACAGCAAGCAGTGGCCCAGAGAAGCAGTTGATCGAAGACTGGCTGTCCGCGACCCAGTGCTTGATCTCATCCATGCTACCAACACTGTGCATTCGCCATCGATATGATCCCTTGATGTCGCGGGTAATGTGTTGGCTTGATGCCGTCGCGAGACCTGTGTCGGTGAACCGCGCACGGAGCATGGAGTGCCTGGATACCAATGTCTCAATCGCCTTGCGGAGGTCTCCTTCCTCGATCGCCCTGTTCAAGCGGGTGAGAATTCCCTGGTTGAAGTGACCCTGGCCCTCCTTGCGAACACCAAAGTGAAGGATCTGAATCGGCGAGAGGCTGAATGGTTCATCAACTGCTTCGTCGTAGGTTGTAAGGTGTTCGATTGTCTTTGCGCGTGTAGCGAGGTCACGGATAGACTTGCTGCGAAGAAGTTCCTGTACCGAGAGCGCGAAGCCTCTCTTCTTGCACAGGCCGACACATGTCATAGCTGCAATTGAATCTCCGCCAAGGGCAAGGAAGCTTTCATTCAGATTAAGCTGGTGAGGTGGAATGTTGAGGACGCGGCTATATACAGCAGCCAAGGCTGCCTCTCTGTCATTTGCAGGCTGTGAAGCTTCTGTGCTGACAACGGAAGCAGATGTGGTATTATTAAGATCGGGATCGGTCTCCATACCTGCAACCCAAGTGGCGATGCCCTTGCGGTCGAGTTTTCCGGAAGGTAAAAGAGGCAGAGCTTCAACGCACAGCCAAACCGCAGGGACCATGTACGTAGGGAGACGAGCTGACAAACGCTCTCGGATACCTGGGACAAGCTCGGCCTTTTTCAAGGCGGGAATGAGTCGCAGGGGGACCAAGTCCGAATCAGCCTGTTCGGCAAGCAAGCCAGTGGAAGAGACAACAGCGGCCAACCGACCCTTGGAGAAGCCAGTCTTTGGAAAGAAGACGGAGCAGTGGGTCACGTTCACGTCTTTACTGAGTTGGTTCTCGATTTCGCCGAGCTCGATTCGTTGTCCGTGAACCTTGACCTGAGTGTCCTTCCGACCAATGTAATTAAGTGCACCAGTGTCGGAATTATACCTGACCAGATCACCTGTCTTGTAGAATCTGCGGTTTGAACCACTTTCAGGGTCCAACTTTGTCCAGGCAGGGTCGTAGATAAAAGACTCGTTTGTCTTTTGGGGATTATTCACGTAGCACCGGGCCAGGGGTGGGCCTTCCAAAAAGTAGTTCTCCGGGGCAGCCCACGGGGACGAGTTCATCATGGTTGTCCGGATTCACCAACCAAGTCTTCACACCAACAGGCAGACCGATATCTTTGCAATCGGTGTCTGGTGTGACATTGGAGTTCAGCACGGATGCCACGCTGGCTTCGGTCGGTCCATAACCATTGACCAGTTTGATTTTGGACCAGGTGGCCAGTTGCGACTGAGACATTGCCTCGCCAGCTAGAACGAGACTCTCCAGCCCTGGAACAGTCTCGATTTCAATGAAGCCGATGAATGACGGGGTGAAGCAGGCCTGCGTGACTCGCATCTCGTTGATGGCAGTCACAATGTCGTTGAGCCGAGCCTCCTCACTCGGAATGCACACACATGCACCATGAATGAGCGGCGTCAACGTCTCCGCCAGACTGGCATCAAATGTGTGGGCAGCGAATTGAAGACATCGCGAGTCGCGGAAAACGCGCAAGCCCGGCCCATGTACAATGGAGCCGGACAGGAACGCGCGGTGCTCCAATAGAGTTCCCTGCGAAACATCAGTCAGCTATCCCTGCAGGAGAGTCAAAGGAAAATTAATATAAGAGACCACGAACCTTTGGTTCTCCAGTTGATCCAGAGGTGAAAAGAACGTAGGCTGCATTTTTGTCCTGTGACACCCGATGCAAGATCCACGCTGTTCGCGGGGTCGGACAGACGATCCAAAGTATTAGCGCAAAGAGGTATTAAAGTCTCGACGAGACCGCTAAGTTTCTCAACAAGGCATTCAGAACACAACACCACCGAGGCTTGGACTGATTCGATGAGACCTTGTAGTCTGGGAGTTGGGTGAGTCGGGTCCAATGGGACAAAAGCTCCGCCGGCTTTCATCACGCCAAGCATTGCAACGATGTTCCATTTCTATTCGCTGTCAGATACACTTCACCGAAAAAAAAAACACCAAAAGTGTCGCAAATTCATTTTATTGAAGATTCGACGGAGAATTGCAATCGCGACTTACCGACTTCTCAAAACACAATGCCACACGGATTTCCGGCCCAACTCCCTGCATGCGGAGATGACATGCGAGCTTCGAGGCTTGGTGATCCAGTTCCGCGTATGTAAAACTACCATCCCACGCACACAGCCTCGCGGTCTGGTCCGCTCAGCATTTGGTCGTGGATCGCCTCGTGGATGCAACGATCGTGAAGCTGCAGAGTCGTGGAATTCCACTTGCGGATGCGTTGCCAATCATTCTCCGAGAACAAATTAAGCTGGCTAATAGCGGTGTTCTCGGCAGCAAGGACTTTGGCAAGCAACTGCTCAAATATGGAGGCCACGGTCTTCATCTGATCTCCAGACATATCGCCCTTGCGCCATTCAAGGAAGATGCTGATGTCTCCACGCAGGACCTTAACATGAAGGCGGACTTGACACTGCGCACTGTTAGCGATATCCACCAACGGTCGCGGGTATCCCGTCCTCCATGAGGCTTCAATTATACTAACATCGTCCGGAAGAGCTGTTGCCAAAAGGGGTTTCGAAGGCGAAGCAGGTGGGTCGTATGTGCGCACCGTGAAGATGGTGTTGAAAGGAAGATATCCATCGGAAGCGGCGTCCGAGCTGTCGTTCAGCTGTCTATTCGCGCTGTGTTCGCGCACCTTATCTACAATTGCCGCGATAGAGTCGTTCTCGTCGATGGATATTCGGATCGTCGAAATGTGCACGCCGGTCGAACTCTGTACAGATGTTTTGGAGGAACGCGAGTCGCCCTCGAGATGTTGATACCCGAAGCAAATATCTTCGGAACGGATATAGTAGTGTAGCACGAGCGCCCAAGTAGCTTTGAGCGTGGCGTCCAGGCGGCCTTCATTCCATGCGGTTAATAACTGCGCATGCTGGGCGGCCGTAGGCCTCGTCTTCATCGAGACAGGCCGTTTAGGCCCGTCAACCGCCGAGGCGAACCGAGGGAGATAGCACTTGGTGGATTGGGCCATGTCGTCTGATGGCTAAATGCTTCCTGGGCGGTTCGTTTCGTTTTGCTTGGGGCTTTTCCAGTCGATGAAGGAAAGAGTGTGGGCCTCGAGTATGGAGGATGACAGTAATCCAACAGAAGTACTATTTCCAGTGAGCGCCCGCGAAGCCGGATGGTATCTGTTATTTTAAAGAGCTACGTATGGGGGCCTTTTTTTTACAAATGAAATATTTATTAATCTCCTAACGGATCAAGACTAATTACGCTGTACGCCCGGGGACCCAAAGCTGCATTCGCCATGCTCTCTGAGTGCCGCAAACCAGTCATACGGGGCGCCAATGGCTTAGGGCAATGGTCAAATTCCATCTCTTCCTTGCATGGGACGTAGACGAAAGGGAGACAGAGACACTACGTGGATCAGGTGTCCTTAGGTACTGGTGGAACCAGGTCAGACAAGATCTAATTTCCTAATTTCTATTTTCGACTATCAATGTAACCCTTGGCCAACTACCCGGTACCAACTACTAAACGGTCATCATGCAGGGGAATCGCCCCAGACCTCCTATCCTCTTGGTAGACAGCCTCGTCTTGCTCTTCCAAGCGAGAACGCGCAGCTCCCCGATTGAGCCCCCTTGCGGTCTGGAACGTGGTTGAGGAAGTTTAGGGTAAGAGGACAAGACATCTGAGGCGTTCACGGTGTTTGTCATCGAGTCGATATTAGCCAGAATGGCGTTAAGGATGCCTGGGCTTTTTTTAACTTTATTGTTTATTTTCTTTGACTTTTTTACACTTCCTCGACCGACTCGGCTCCAGCGCCATTGACAGCCTCGTCTGTGTTGAACCCGCCTAGGGCAAGCCGCACAGACGCATGACCCATGACCTCAAATGGCATTTGCCCTCACTTCTTACTGCGGATATAGGTTCTAGCTTCTCCGCCGCATTGGCAACAGCACAGCTATACGAGCCTCGTGAAGGGCTGAGACGGTTATGCGTTTACACCGACTGATGCGCACATGGCACCAGCCCCAGACTGCTTACTCCATGCTCACCTCCCTTTCGGGGATCTTTGCCGATGGGTGCTTATGGCACGGCCATCCGAGAGTTGGGGTCTGCATCAGTAAGGTGTGGCGAGGGTACGAAGGATTTGCCGCGCAGTTTAGGCACTGTCACAGCAGTGAGGCGCCGGTGAATGCGCCGATCCTGATCGCGATCGGAAAGTCAATGTGACACACAATCTGACAGTTCGTGTCTTGCCGGGAAAATTCAGGTGCTAGGAGAGATTAGGAAAAATAGTACTAGCAACGCCCCCACAATGAAAACTTGGCCGTGGGGTCTCTAGATCCAAGGTACCATCCCTTGATACTTGACACTCATACTCATACTTCGGATCTCCCCGATCTACCTAGCCGAATCTGTGTACTCCGCCCGGTGCAAGGATAGAGATGACTAGCATGATCTCGATCTTCGCTTAGATTACAATGCTATTGGGTCAACTGAAACCGACCAGGGCGATGTTCTGTTATTATCTCAGTACTCTGATGAGGTCGAGATGTGCCAATTATAATTACCTAAACGTCAGTACTCGGCATACCCTATGGAGCCGATGGTGATGTGTAAACAAATCAGTCACTTAGGGTCTCGGTTCCTGCAAGGGTCACAAGGGGGGAATCCCGCGACCTGTCGACTTGGCACGGTTAATCTGATCTGTTCAGCCATTGTTGTATGAGTATCGTACTATTGTATTATTGGTGTATTTTTATCTTTTTATATTTTCCTTCAATATTGATCCACTGAAATCAGAACGCAGGAAAGGGGTACAAAAAGCTATCTCGGCTATCTGAGGAATGTTGATGCAATACAGCCCGTCAAAAACATGGATTATTGCCTCCATGTGGTGTGGAATGTGGAATGATGATCTTTGTTCCGTACTTTTTTACTCCGTATTTTAGTTCGATTCGTTCTCGTATATCCGATCTCGAGAAGATCATAATTGCACGGATATAGCCCCGGTCCACACGCCGAGACTTAGTGGAAGATCAGGTTCTCGGCCCTTTGGTGGGCGCTAGTGCGCGCTAGTATGGGGCTGGGATAGCGCCCGCATTTTGGCGTCGATCGGACAATGGCAATGAACATGACAGGATCTGAGGTCAATAGTTTCATCTTTTATACCTTCATATCGGGTACTATATTTATATATCGATTCCATCTCTTCATATCTATGTTGCACACAAGAAATTCCATCTTCATCTCCCCACGGAAAAGACGGAAAAGGTCTCTCCACTACAGAGCAATTTGAAATCCACTGCATAGGTACCAATGTACTGAGGTGGAGATTATGCACCTGATTCGCCACTCATCCACCACCTTTTCTAAGACAATGGAGAGAAGAGCAAGAAGAAGAGAAAGAGAAAAAAGCAAAGAACACTAGGATCCCCTACCCTCCACTACAGCTTCATCGTCAGGTGCTGTAGTGCTGTAGGTACAGATGCCGAGTCGTGCAGATTGATTCGGTGCTGGCCCAGCGCCACGAGCACCACACAACTTGGAATGTGCAGGATTTCAACTTGGTCGGCCTCAATTCAAATCTGGGCGTAATCCCTACGTCAACCGATAAAAGTCCGAAGAGCTCGACACTTATATTTAGTTTCTGCTTGGGGATAAATTGAACGATTGGCCCGGACGACCTTCAAAGGTGAATCCTGGCCGCCACTACGGAGCTAACAAAAGCAAATAACAAGAAAGCAGACAAGCGATTCAAGATTGAGTATGGTTACAGTCGGGACTAGAAACCTCCAGTTTCAATCGGCATTTAATCTCCTGGTGATTATTCTTGGTGTTCTCTTAGTATACATCCAGCTCCAGCTGGTTGGGATCCACCACCCCAGAGTATACACCGGAGTATTGAATATTTCCGGCTTGGGGAAGGCCATGCGGTCAAGAATAGCAATTAAAATAAAAATAAATGAGTTTCCACTAGAAAAGTCAAAGCGGAAGATCTCCCATCATGCAGACTTGCCCTCACCTGAATGGAAACTCTTTTACCTCTCGTACCACTGGTTCAGAGAGCATAAAAAATAAGAAAATAAAAAAAATAGAAAATAGAAAATAAAAATCTGAAAATACCCATTCGAGCCTCAGTTTCTGCAAGGTAGCACGACTCCCTCGTGTTGGGATTAGCCCTAGACTTGCCTTGATTCCAGGGGCGAAAGATCTAGTGATGCCACTGCATCCCCCACATCCCCAAGGGGGAAATGAACTTCACAAGAGTCCTGGAAGTCAACACCCGAGATGAGGATGAAATCATCTTACTGTGTAGAACCCCAAGGCAGACAGTCTTCATACCCGAAAGAGGAAATCAAATATAAAAAAGAAAGAAAAATAGAAAAGAAATTCATGCAAAATGAGAATCCCCGTTCCCCATACAGAGACACATAAGCCGAGTCTAGATGAACTCCTATGCCATTGTAAGATGGTTGCATCAACAGTCTCACTGTTGCAGGTAACCACTGACAGGATCACAAAGGGTGACTTCAGGGAGTTGTAGGTCTCCTAGATGTACCAGGTGGTGAGCTCCTGCAGAGGGGCTACTTTAGCCCTATGTAGCTTGTTGTATGGTGCTTTAATAGTAAAGCCAATGCTTTGCATGTCACTTTTCTGATGCATCCAATCTAAACCCAAACGCTCTTTTGCTTCTCTTCTCATGCAAGTTTCTTTAACCCCATACACTCTTTAGAAATTCTAATTCCCCGTGCCGCTCGTTCTGCGTCTTTCTTCTCTTCAACCATCCTATATCGTCAGGTGGTTCAGAGTAGAGATGACATCCTCTCGTTCTTCAACGGCTTTGTGCCGTGATCTGGATAATACCCTACGTATCGATGCGGGATCGTGTCGTGGCGGTTTTGATTTCTCGCTTTTGTTTGAAGAGACGATTCTCGAAATCTTACCTATTCTATTAATCCTAATCACTATTCCCATCCGTCTGTGGCATCTGTCCTCGAGACGGAACAAGGTCATTGGATCATGGTTGATCTTCATCAAGCTTGTAAGTTCCGGGCTTCTGGGTGTTGAGGAGCATCGAGCAGTCAGCATTGCTCCCAAAAGGGAATTGCAGCTAATACCCCTCTCCTATCAGATATCTTGGTTGGCACTCTTAGCACTTCAAATTACACAAACAGCCTTGTGGGCCCTTCCGGCAGCCGATAGCACCAGAGCCTCAGTCCCAGCCAATGTGATCCTGTCCGTCGGTGTCGTCGCTCTCGGTCTGCTGTCGTATGCAGAACACATGCGCTCTGTGAGACCGTCGTTCATTTTAAACACGTACCTCTTCTGCAGCCTCCTTTTCGATATCGCTCGGTCCAGAACGCTATGGCTTCGCAGTGTGGATACATTCAACGATACCATTGCCATTGTCACCACAGTCGCCGTGGGTGTCAAATTGGCTCTCTTCCTCCTGGAGGCGGTGGAGAAGAGACACATCCTCAAACCCGAATACGCTGATTATCCTCCTGAAGATACTGCGGGTTTCTACAACCGGGCTGTGTTCTGGTGGTTGAACCCCCTGTTCAAGATTGGCTTCAATGGTGTGCTCCGTGTGGACGACCTGTCCTCCTTGGACAAAGAACTAAGTTCCGAGCGTTTACTGGCTCAATTCGAGGAGAAATGGAGCAAAGGTGAATCCTCATCTTCACTACCTGGGAGTCATTATTGCTAACCGTATATTCCTTCAGTGACAAAGAAGTCGCCCAATACCCTTCAATGGGAGTCTGTCAAAGCTGTCAAATGGCCTCTCCTCGCCGGAGTCCCGGCAAGAGCCTGCGTTGTGGCCTTCAACTTCTGTCAGCCTTTGCTTCTGGAGCGGTCACTCTCGTTCTTCAATTCGCCAGTGAACAAGAGCACCGAGAACATTGGATATGGGCTCATTGGTGCTTACATCATGGTTTACGCTGGTTTGGCGGTTTCAATGGGCCAATATCAGCACCTCACCTACCGCGGCATCACCATGGTTCGCGGTGTTCTTGTCACGATGCTCTACAAAGAAAGCAACATGTCTGACTCTTGGGGAAACCGACCCCGCCAACTCCCTTACTTTGATGAGTGCAGATGTGGAGCGCATCACACAGGGCTGGCAAACCATGCACGAGATCTGGGCCAACTCAATTGAGATCGCTTTGGCTATCTACCTTCTTCGGATTCAACTCGGAGTCTCCTGTGTCGTTCCTGTTTGCGTTGCTCTTTTCGCTCTCATCGGATCCTTGGTTGGCATGTCCTTCGTCGTCGCCCGGCAAGCCAAGTGGCTGGAGGCTATCGAGAGGCGTATCTCGTCTACTTCTGGTATGCTTGGTTCCATCAAAGGGGTCAAGATGCTTGGCTTGCAGGATTCCTTCATGAAGTTCATTCACGGTCTTCGCATCAGCGAACTCGATATCTCTAAAAGTTCCGTACACTCCTGGTCTACAACATGGCTTTCGCCTGGTTGACTCGGATCTTTGCTCCGATCTTCACTTTCGGTGTTTATGTTGGTATCTCCAGCGAGCCCTTGAACGTCTCTCGGGTCTTCACATCGCTGTCTCTCTTCTCGCTCCTGGCAGACCCTCTCTTGACCTTGGTGATGGCGCTCATGTCATTCGCTGGCGCCGTCGGGTCTTTCCAGCGTATCCAACGGTTCTTGGAAAAAGAGAACCATGCCGATCGGAGACGCAGCCCCTCTCAGACTCTTTTCCTCGATGACCTCGGTGAGAAGCGGCTGCTGTCAAAGGCTGGAGACCTTGAGCTATCCTCGAACAACTCGGACTCCGTCGAGTCGCTGGGTAAGCGCTCCAGTGCTTTGTCATCTGTCAATGCCGTCGTGGTCCGGAGTGGAAGCTTTGGCTGGGACGCCGGGAAGACTCCCATTGTGAAAGATATCAACATTACCATTTCTCAAGGCAGCTTCGCTGTTCTTATTGGACCATCTGGATGCGGCAAGACTACTCTGCTCAAAGCTCTTCTCGGAGAAATCCCTTGTGCCGATGGCAAGGTTGAGCTCGCATCTCCCAGCGTTGCATACTGTGACCAGACTCCGTGGCACATGAATGGTACTATCAAAGACAGCATCGTTGCGATGTCCGACTATGACCCCAGATGGTATTCGTCCGTGATTCAGGCCTGTGCTCTGGAGGAAGACCTCTCGCAGTTCCCTCGCGGGGATGCGGCCGTCATTGGAAGCAAGGGTATTGCCCTCAGTGGAGGCCAGAGCCAACGTATCGCACTGGCGCGAGCAGTTTATGCCCGGCGAAAGATTATCATCCTCGACGATGCCCTGAGCGGTCTTGACGCTACCACGGAGAACCACATCTTCCACAGCCTCTTCGGACACATGGGACTTCTGAAACAGGTCGGAGCGTCAGTCATTGTCGCCTCATCCTCGGTCAAGCGCCTTCCCTACGCCGACCACATCATCGTCTTGGACACAGCCGGTCGAATCTCGGAACAGGGAAGCTTCGGTGCTCTCAACAAGACTGGCGGATATGTGTCAAGCTTCGGACTCGGGTCGCCTGACTGGGACTACAAGCCTAAGCGGTTTACCGAGTCTCCCAGTTACTCTAGTATCGACACCGTCGAGAAAGAAAAGCTGGCACTGCTTGACGAGCCGGCGCATTGCGATCGCGGTGGTGACCTCGGAATTTACACATACTACATCAACGCAATCGGCTGGGTCCCGGCAACCATCTTCATGGTCGCCATGGCCGGCTTCGTCTTCTGCATCTCTTTCCCGAGCATCTGGCTGAAATGGTGGGCCCAGTCCGACACCGCACGTCCCAAGCAGGAGATCGGCCACTATCTCGGTATCTACGTGATGCTCGGCTGTATCGCCATGCTCGCACTGATTGTCGGCTGTTGGCAAATGATCATCACCATGGTCCCTAAGTCCGGCGAGAACTTCCACCGTAGGCTGTTGACCACTGTCCTCAGTGCCCCGATGCTGTTCTTCTCCACGACCGACAGCGGCGCGATCCTCAACCGATTCAGCCAAGACTTGCAGCTCATCGACATGGACCTTCCCATTGCCGCGATCAACACCGTCGCTACCTTCTTCCTCTGTTTGGCACAGATGGCTCTCATCGGTGTCTCCTCCAAATACGCCGCGATCTCTTTCCCGATTGTGATGGGTATATTGTTCCTGATCCAGAAGATGTACCTGCGCACTTCACGCCAGCTTCGTTACTTGGACATCGAAGCCAAGGCCCCGCTATACTCTCACTTTACCGACTGCCTCCAAGGACTTGTGACCCTACGGGCCTTTGGGTGGCAACATGCGATGGAAAAGAAGAACATTGCTCTCCTGGACCACTCGCAACGACCCTTCTACTTCATGTTCGCTATCCAGCGCTGGCTCACTCTGTCACTCGACATGGTCGTCGCGGGCATCGCGGTTCTTCTGATTGTCTTGGTTGTCGCTCTACGTGGAACATCCCTCAGTGCCGGCTACGTGGGTGTCGCTCTCTTGAACGTGATCCAATTCAGCCAGAGCATCAAGCTCCTCGTCACCTTCTGGACGAGCTTGGAGACCCACATCGGTTCTATTCAGCGAATCAAGGACTTTACGTCCACTGTCGAGTCGGAGGATCAACCTGGTGAGGACCAGGATGTACCCCCTAACTGGCCTTCGAAGGGTGCCGTCGCCTTCCACTCCGTCTCTGCCGCCTACAGGCCCTCCGAGCCAGTCCTCAACGAGGTCTCTCTAACCGTCCAAGCTGGCGAGAAAGTCGGCATCTGTGGACGAACCGGAAGTGTAAGAACAAATTTCCCAACTCAACCTTTCAAATTCTCCTAACAAAATTACAGCGGCAAAACCTCTATGATCATGAGCATTTTCCGAATGATGGAACTCATCAGCGGCACCATCACCGTAGATGGTGTGGACATCAGTCACCTTCCCCGACGGGAGATCCGCTCGCGCATCAACGGTGTCTCACAAGACTCGCTCCTCTTCAAGGGCAGTGTCCGGTTGAACGCCGATCCGACGGGGACATGTTCCGATCGAGACATCCTAGCGGCTCTCAAGAGCGTCCAGCTTCTGCCTGCGATTCAAGAAAAGGGAATTTGTCCACCGACATCGACGAGATTCACCTATCACACGGCCAAAAGCAGCTCTTCTGCTTGGCGCGGGCTCTTCTTCGCCCAGGCAACATCCTGATACTCGATGAGGCAACTAGCAAGTAAGTGATCCTTTCCTCCCTCACTTCATGTTCTCCACCCGGAACAATAATCATTGTCTCCACATCCACTTCCCCCCTGCATACATCCGAGCCCCTCCCCTTGCCTCAAACATTGAAACCGTCGACTAATCCAACACCCAGCATCGACACCAAAACAGACGAAATCATGCAACGAGTCATCCGTGAGAAATTCTGCAACCACACCATCATTGCCGTTGCTCACAAACTCGACACAATCCTCGATTTCGACCGCGTCGTCGTCCTGGATACCGGTCGAATTGTCGAGAACGGTGAACCCTACGCTCTGCTCACCGACCCCAAATCGCACTTTAGCAGGTTATATGCAAGTGCCATGGCAATGGAGGAGTCGGATTAGATTGGTTGCTTTGCTTTTGTTATTTGTTGTCTTCTTCGAGTGTCTTACACTGATTGAAGCCTGGATATATTTTTTTTGGGTGCGACGATCTTCCCACATTCCCTTTTTCGAGGTACATATCGACATCGACATATGGCTGTTTCTGATATTGAGTCGGGTTTATTGCTGGCGTTTATACTGTTTTCTGGTTTGGCAGTCTCATTGTTTTTTGCTCTGATGATAATGTCTCTCTTGGCTCTCGTTGATAGTTTTGGATCCTGTCATGGAATCGTGCATAATTTTACTACCTATTGGGATGACTCCTGAGTGTAGAGAAGCTGCCGTAGATTGAATCGAATGAATCTGATGTCGAGCATAGGCAATTCGTAGGGATCAATTAGATAGGCTCGCCAGTTGGCCATACCTAGCCTTGCCAGTTGGCTGGAGACTCGCCAGTTGACGGGACGCTCGCTAAACACGCGTACATGGAAGTAGATACTGTCAACTGGACAGATGATTTTTGTACCTTATTTGATTTAGGAAGGTCCATACTATTCACTTTGTGTATATACTACCGACCTAGTACCTACATACCTAGGTTAAAACTAGGTTCCAGTCCAGTACATGAGGTGCTACCTATGTTCCATCACGTTGCTTAGTTAGGACTTGGGTGGTAGGTTTATCTCTCGGGTCGCCCTAGGTCGCGTCTTACCTGTAGAAAATATATCCCGAGGACATGGGGGGGAATAACGACACAACCTACCTAATCCCGTCTCCAAGACACCCCAACCTAATCACATTTTCGAACTCCATCAATACCTACCTAAGTACCTACATCTTGGATCTGTGAAAATACTACATGGATCTATAGTAGTTGAACCTTCGGACAACATCAATTATGCGTCGGAGCCGAAGGCGGTCCCTCCACAGCGAACCCACGGCTTGAAGCCGAACCTCAAGCGCAACACAAGTCAACCTAAGAGACGCGACAAGCAAATCATATTGTGCGCCCCATCCAGTAATGCAAAATTACTCTAACAAAGAGAATACCGAGAGACACCATTTGAAGTACCATACATTGGGACAAAAAGAAGATAAAATTGGAACAGAGGCTACAATATCAGGCCCCAAAATGCAAAGTCAGAGATGAATGTCTCAAAGCCCCGACTAGAAAACCATCGTGTCATCATTATCCACATCCTCCTTCTCTTCATCCGAAAGACCAAATTCCCAGTCGCCACGCTCAATACGGCTGACGCGGTCAAGCTCGGACTGGAACTCACGACGCAGGTGCTCGAGTGTGACAATGATGCGACGCTTAAGCAATGGATTCGTCGCAGGGACTTCGAAGGACACGGTACTGTCGCGCCGGGCCGGGGCGGATGACTTGCTGCCACCTGTGCGGTGGTCGGGTGCGAAAGCCACGGCATTAGAGGATCGACGCTTGCCTCCAACTGGCGTGGGAGAGGCAGCGTCGGCATCACCCATGGAGATGTTTCCGTCTTCGTCGGCTTGTGCGCTTGCGCGTCTTCCAAGGGAGGGGATCAGGGCGGCGTTTGTTGGAGGGCCGTTCTCGACGAGAATGTAGGCTTCGCTCTTGTCGACGCAGGCGAGGAGGTTGATTAGTGACAGGAGTTCATGGCGGATTTCCTTGCTTTCGGCATCGTCTTCCTCGACTGGCGACCGGGCTGCATCGGCGGCTTCCCGGCCTTTGCGGATGAGGGCTGAGGACGGCGCATCCCGTGCTTTGCGCAGGCGCTGGACGTTGCGATAGGCAATCTCCGCAGCGCCGCGGTAGTCGCAGCGGGCGATGCGATAAGCCTGCAGAATGCGGGTGTAATCAGGGGAGGCTGGGAAATGCTTGTTCTCCGCATCCAACCACGATACGTTGTTGGTCTGTTTGCGGGTCAGATGAACGAGAATCTCGTCAATGAAGGAGGCAATGCTGGGGACGAGGGTGGTAGGGAATCGAAGGATCTGCTTGAGTCCAGCCGTTCCAGGCCCAGAGACTGCCAAAATAGTGGAGATGAGCTCGGTAAGCTGGGACTTTTGTAATTTGAGATCTTGCAGTCTAGCCAGAGCTGAGTATGCCTGGTCAAATTGGCAAGTCTTAAGGGCTCCAGTGAACAAACGAGACAGAAGATCGTCGCGTACGGTCGGGTATTCGGCGTCTTTTCTCGGCCCAGACTTCGGAGTCAAGGGCCTGCAGCGCCAGGCTAGCAAAGTCCGCGACATGGGGAGTATGACCGCACTTTTTCAAAGATGGAAAGCACGTGCTGGTAGTATTTTGCAAGGCCGTTGTGGAAGCAATCAACATCGAGGATGTCTAGAAGCTCTGCTGACATATCGGAGAGGTTGCCCATTGGCTTTCCGCTAGCTGCATGGAAATTAGCACAGGTTCGTACAAGGATTCGCCAGGAGATACATACAGAGCAGATAGGCTGCCTTCCGGAAGTAGATTGCCGCGGCATCGAATTCCGACATAGCCACATGCAAGCGACCCTTTATATAGGTGGACCAAGACGTACTTGCTTGGAAGCGAAGGAAGTCCCACGCCAGGTCGATGTTGTTTTTGGCGATCAAGTCACACTGGATATGAGCCACTGCATGCTGATAGTTCACCTCACCTTCGCGAGTGATCCAGGCCACGACATCTCTGATGCCCAACGTCAAGGTGTAGCTTTGCGGGGAGTCAATCGCTTGTTGGGGCTTGATATCGGTTACAAACAGATCCTCGAGGATGCTTGCGGTTCGTTGACTCTTGGTCTTTGAATTGCTTTCTTTCGTTGAAAATCTCTGCATCGACGAATCAGCACCGAATTTGAGTGCGCTGTCGGGGCATTTGCGGACGTTCGAGCTGAGCCAGTTCATCATCTCATATTCACGCAGGAGATCGACAAGGGTTGAGAAAAGCTTGGACGCGTCGAAGTCGGACGTGCTTGTTGGTTCCCATTCGCCATCCACGAACGTGACTAGGATTAACAGATCATAGAAGATCTGACGAGAGATGGAGATTGTCTCTTGTGCACCACTAACAAGAACACGAGCACCGAAACAGGTTGAAGCAAGTTCCGAATCCTCTCCGCAAAAAGTGAAGCGACGCTGTATGGATGATAACAAGGAATGCATCCATTGACAAACAGTCGGTTCGCATGTATTCACTCAAGGCGGCATCTAGATTATCAAAGGCCTTGTTGGAAATTTGATTGGTGAAATCACAGCGCTCTCGGAAGCTCTCCATGCGGTCCAGGATCGACGAAGATGGTTCGGAGAATATTTCGGCCTGGAGAGCGGCCCGGCATGCCCCGTCGAGCTCGGCGGAGAAGCTCTTCCGAAATCTGTCGCCACTTTCAACAGTCCAGAGGCCGTTTCGTAGTGCGGACCCAGCTCCCTTGGAATGTTGCGATGTCTCCAGCGGTCCATCATCTTTGGCACTCCACTGGCGAGTTCTGAGCTGGAGTTGTGCAGGAATAATTCCGTGATGCTGCATTCGCGCACCACGGCGCAGGAGTCCGACAGAAGTAGCCACGGCATATCAGTGTACGAGTCGTAGGCGAGAGAAATCGGTTCGAACCGGCGCTTGTTGAGATCTTCCGCAACTTGCCAGAACTGACGCCATTTTGAATCCGTGTCAGATGTATACCGGGGAGTAGTCCATCTCCTCGTCGGCGAATTTCCGAAGAGACACTGCCGATGCGATTGTGGAGCAAAGTCGTTCCGCCAAGGGCAAGCTCTTTTTCAGTCCTCCAGACGAGACCGACGAGAGAGGCTTCACGGCCTCTGGTAAACAGCCAGGGCGGTCTCAAGAACCTCGGGTAGATATCTGTTCGGCTGCAAGAGATACTGTAGCCATTTTTCAGTGGGGTCTACGACATCATCCATGACCAATGAAGGCGGCGATTCTTGCCTATGGCTTTCGAATGTTGTTGAAACCCACTTGGTAGACCAATCTGTGACCAGAGTTTGAAGGTCAAAGTGCAGGGTGTAAAGTTGGTAAAGGCCGTGGTTTCTCCAGAGCACCCACAGTTCCATTCCCTTGCCCTCTTCCCGGGTCTTCACCTGGAAATCAGCGATGCTCCAGAACATGTTGCCCGTGGCGTCGGGGTCCACAGGTCGGAAAACGTTCTCCGCAAAGAGTTCCTCGATAACCAGTTCAGATGTCAAGCCACCTTTGACAGCCCAGAACTTGAACCTGCCATCCTCAAATGGCGAATATGTGACGACATAGAAACGATGGCCGCCGTCCATCGCTCTCTCGGCATTGAAGACACGCATGAACGATGCCTCGGCGGGGTTCAATGTGTATGCGACAAGATCCGGATCTTGAAGTGAGCGTCCCAGGAGATCCTTTGTGGCCGCTAGCTTATTCGTAGCAAGGTTCCAAATCTTGAGGGTATGGTTTAAACAGATAGCGAAAACGTAGGTCTCGTCGGAGGTAGTGGCAATCGCATTTGCAACGTTTAAATCGAGGTTGCGCCCGTCATGTCGAATCGAAGATGGCGCGTTCCATTTGACAAGGCCTCGAATCGAAGAACCCCATGTGCGTTCGTCCAAGGTGAGAGGAGACCAATGGGAACCTGAATCGAACAAGATCAATCAGTCAGAGCGATCGCAAAACGAGCAGTCTCAGCAAAGGGCAAGCACTCACCATCGTCACCGGCTCTCCGGGTCAGCCGTAGAAGCGCGCCATTGTCGAGGGATATAAACAACTCCAGGGGGCTGCTCGCGTGGAGTCGGTGGGGATTCGAAAAGGCCAAGGGAGCCGGCAGAGTTGTCTTGCACCAGTCACTCACATTTTCATCGATCGAGGAGGTTCGGCGGAAGAACTCGGGGCGTAGAGACAAGGTGTGAAGGTGCTTCGAGGCGGTAATCACAAAGACACTGATGAGTTCATGATCCTCCGAGTCGGACAATTCGACTCCAAATGGAAGAATCTGTTCCTGGAATCCCAATCGCAGGGTCACATTGTACTCGTAGACTTCTGTCCCGCCCTTCGTCAGGTCCGCGCACTGGATCTCCAGCACTTTATTGTCGTTGATCACGCGCCATAAGAACGTCCTGGGATAGACCTTGCGCTTCCGGAAGTAGATATCGCCTTGAGTCGCGAGGTAACGTCGGGAGAATTCATCTTCATCTTTGGCGATGGGGACGTCATCTGAGGTGGATGAGATCGAGAAGCGTGGACGACGGGCAACGGGCTCTAGGGTCGGGATCTGAATATTGGCGACCGTGGTCGGCGAGTAAGGCCGCAGGTCGACCCTTGAGTCTTTGTAAATTTTCGCCATGATCGATTGACAGTGGTATCTCAACTTAGCACTCCATGGCCGGGAAGTGAGAAGGTTGAAGATCGAAGGGCGGGAAGCTGGAGACTGGAGCTCAAAAAACATGTAAGTCTTGGCGCGACGAGAGGCCTGAGATTGATGGCTCCGCGTAGTCGCAAGGACAAACACATACCTACGAATATTACTTCCTTTCTTCAGTTCATTCTTGATGCTGAGGAATCTTCGCTTTCTATTGCGCTTCTATTAAAAATAAAAGAAATATCGCTGATATGCCATGGACGGCACAAACAACGTAAACAGCTATCTCAATATGATACTCGTCAAGTCACTAACATCGTGTCAAAGACCAATTCGGTGGCCATGGAGAGGCTTTGCTCATTTATCTTCCAGGTCTTTCTCGCTGGGATCACCGATACCGTTATCATTGATGGCGAAAAGACAATCACTCTCGGGAAGGCAAGGGCTGTCATAAATCTTGCAGATACGAGTCTCGCCGCGTCCCTTCTTCAAACTGAGTCGAGTAGTACTGGCATGGGCGATGATATTACCACCGATAGGTTTCTTGGGATCCGGGTTGAACATGGCACTGGGTCCACCGTCAACCTGGGCAACAACTTGGTTCGTAATCACGACCGCAATGCCGAACTCGTCTGCGAGGCGTTGCAGGGTACGCATGAACTTGGCCAGATGAGTTTGCCGTGACGCGAGCTCCCCACGGCCGTTGAAATCCGTTCTGTACAGAGATGTCGCCGAGTCAACCACCAGAAGGGAGAATCGGGTTTCACACATCATCTGAGAGGCCTGATTGAGCAGCTGGAGCTGGTGATCCGAGTTGTATGCTCGTGCATATGCCACATTATCAAGAACCTCCTCTCCAACGAGGCCATATCGCTGTGCGACAGCCAACAACCGCACTGGACGGAAAGTGCCCTCGGTATCGATGTAAAGACACTTGCCTTCACCACCGCCCATATCGAACGGCAGCTGGCAAGTGACCGCAAGAGTATGACAAATCTGACTTTTTCCCGTCCTGAATTCTCCAAAGATCTCCGTGATTGACCCGGTCTCAACACCACCTCCGAGCAATGTGTCGAGTCTCTTGGATCCAGTAGTGATTGAGATGAGCTCACTTCTCCGGGCATGCATTTCGGTTGCCGTTGTGAATCCCATAGGTACCAGCTTAGAAGCTAATGCGAATATGCGTTAGCCATGATTACTCAACCTCGATGAAGTCAATCACGGAAAAAGCATACCTTCTACTAGGATCTTGGTGGCCTTCTGTTCCGATATACCCTTGATCTGTTCCAACAACCGCTTGGGCCTAGATATTGGACAATATGTCAGCCATACCGGAATAAACATGGAAGGAGGTGTAACAGTGAGATTCTGCTAGACAATGAACCGCAACGGCCGCGCGAAGGTCATGGGGTACGTACGTGTAGGCGACAGACTCAACGGTATTATATCCTGCATCCACGAACAACTTAATATCTCTGGCAGTCAATCCAGAAACACCCTGTCAGAGCAACGTTAGCATTGTAGCCCACCGTTCTGCATCAATTTTGAGACCTCCACTCACATCCAGCGCAGAGAGCGGGGTTGGGGCACCAGGGCCAGGAAGCCCATTGTCCTCATATTGCTCTTGTCCCTCCATATTAGAGTTGATTCACTACGCTTACCAGCGCCTGCAGTATTTCGATGCCTCTGTGGCAGATCTTTTCGAGTTGAATGCGCGGGGGAATGGATGATCCACTCAAAACAATACGCGTCAGGGGTGGATAGAAAGCCGGATGTAAAGGGTAATATCCTCGGTTGAACTGACAGAAAACTTTTTGGCTTTGACCAATGGCTCAAGAAGCAAACAAGACTAGATTTTGAAAGGAGAGAAAAGTGCGGGTTATCGGTCTGTGGCGAAAAAGGCCAAGGTGACTCCGAGTCAACAACTCGGACGCGTCAGATGGATCGCGAGGTCACGTGTGACGTTGCTGCCTTGGGCCTTTCCGGGGTTTGAACAGGTCACCGTCCCTTATTCTTGCAGATGTCTGAAAATACTCAGATGGCAGCACTGGTATGGATGGATCTTACTTGGTATTACTTTGATTCTATGGTAAAGAGGTCTGTATCATCTCGGCGGACCAACTACTATTCAACCACTGAATCGTACGCTGATCGTCAGATTGCAAGACAACGCTTTTTAAAATCGTAAGAATACAAAAGCAAAGCACTACACGCTGAGACCTCTTCTCTTCCGTTAGAATATGTTCCCTCAATGCTGCTGCGGCCAAGATACGGTGTCTGGGAACTGCCCATGAGTCGCTGCAACGCCAGATCAAATTCAAGGTTAGATGTCTGAGCAAGTGAAAACCTCATCTCGGAGACCTCCTCAACATTTGTGTCCACAACTCCAGGTTCTTCGTGAGACCAAAAGCTTCAGGGGTCACAGCTTCACGACTATCCATTTCCAGAAGAGTGGCGCAGGTGCCGGAAGGGACGAAGGAAGGGATTGCGGAAATTCCGTCGTTGGTACTCGCGCAAAGTTGGGCCGAACTCCAGCTGCTCTGCTGGCAGTCCCATTCTGATATTTTCGTTGAAAATCTGGCTCATCCTGCGCCGGAATTCCTCGGATGATCGCCGACGAAGAACCCCTATGAAGTGAAGAACGACATTAGTCTCTCTGCTTCATCCCCAGGTCGTAGCTGGCCTGACTTACTCGATAATCGGGAGGTCCGTTTATTCTCTGAGGGACTATGAGACGAGAGTTCGGTCATGTCTGGGACATGGTCTAGGTCACCGCCGGCGCCATCGAAACCAGCTCGGTACTCCTTGGTATAAGGACGAGGACTTGGGCCGGAAACCAGCGCGTGAATACCGGGTCGCTTCTCACTGCGTTTTGTGTCTTTCATCCCTACCCGTGATTCCTCTTGCACAGGCGATATTCGGAGGTCATCTGGATTGATGGGCAGACTGGCTCGGCTGTAATGATCGCCGCGTCTGTGATCTTCACAATTGAAGCCCGCGGAGGCTAGGTCTACCTCGGACACGACTCCATGCCGGGCAGCCGTTGGTATGGTCTTCGGAGCCATTCGGGAACGCTGAGGTCCAACCGAGAGTGTGGGCTTTGTGGTAATCTGTGGACTCTGGGATCCGACGGAGGCGGAAGACATGGAGCTGAAGCTTCTCGGCAGCGGCCTCGGTGCTGGAGTTGCAGGCCGGCTCGCAGCTGGACTAATGGGCTGGCAGGGACTCTGTATGGGTGTATTGGGAGTCGAAATCCAGATCCCTTCTACCTCGATCCCTCTGTGCAAAGCCCTGGCACCGAAGGGGATGTCATCCTGGTGCAGCATCGGGTACAGCTCGGCTTGCTTTTCACGATCTTCCGCCTCTGTTGCGGCATACTTGCGCAGTCTCCAGCGATTCCAGCCAAGGACACAAAAGCGTAGATGAACACCACGGCCTGTAAATTCTATCAGTATGTGCCTTTGCGGCCTTGTGGTTCATCCACGTACGATCAACATGGCAAGTACCTGAAGGGTTTTTACAGTCAGTGCATAGCCTTCTTGGTCGAGAACTGTGGACTTACCAAGCTCAGCTTCTGCCATAGCTCCCAGTCCACCCAGAACCCCATGGTGGGTGGTGCTATGTAGTCCGATTTGGGGTATCCAGAGAAGAGTAGGGTCTATATTCAATAAGGGGTAGGTAATAATCAAAGGCCGATGAAAGAGATGCTGAGTTGCTCCTGTGGAAGGTTCCGAGTTGAGATCACGGCATTGCTTGTGAAAGGAAAGAACGAACCAGATGTGGAAGGAGGCAATGGCATGCCACCTTCCAATACTCGAGCTTCCCAAAGCGCATTCCATTCCGTAAATATCATCGTTCCCCTCTCTTTGCTCTGAACCTTGATGAAATTTTCAAAGCAAACTTGCTATCACATGCAGCTATACAGGACTTGAAATGGAAAGATACATCACTGCGTCGCACTTCATAGACCTAGTAGATTGGACAGGCTACTCCTGCAACTGTAGGAGACTACCACTCAGTTCGAAATATAACTACGGAGTATGGATATGCTATATTGCCGTATTGATTGAAAATAGAGCATCGAGGTCAGAGGAAGAAAGACAGGCACAACGAGATGAATAATAATGAAAAAAAAAAAAAAGAAATCTCTCCCTCGGGGAATCGAACCCCGGTCTCCCGCGCTTATCGGTTTTAATGACAAGCGGAAATCATCACCACTAGACCAAGGAAGATAAGATGGCTGAGTTACCGCTCGGCCACTTGGCTGGTTGATGGAATCTGTGTCTGTTTTATAAAATATAAACAAAAGAAAATAGAGCCTTGGGAATCTGCTGGTGCTCCATTCACTAACGTTTATGGTTTTGTGGATAGTGCGAATAACATCGCGAAGGCCCCGATCTATGCATCTATCTTCTTAGACAGGTCGTCACTTAGACTCCAGGCACACGCGTGATGCCTACGATGGAAAGAGAGACCAAATGTGATCAAATCTTGAAATTCGCATGTATGCATGGATTGTTATATATATTGTAAGAGGTACATATCGGCAAAAATCATCATCAAGAATCCCCCCCGGGCCATACCTAGCTAGGTAGCCAGCTCGTCTCTGATCCTCAATATATACGTGATCACCCGGGCCGTTCGCTATACCAACAAATCATCGAGCCCCATGGCGAGTGATTATTCAAATTCGACGTCTGGCTCTTTTGGCATTTTTGCCAAGGCGCATAGGCTAGTCCACCGAGCTGTTTACACTTCTTGTCGATGTATACGTAGCACTCACAAGCATCGACAAACCATGACTTAGGCTTCGTCAGTTTACTGGAGGAGCACGTGGACCAATTAAGGCCACCCTGAGTCCACCACCGGCAGGAGGTAGTTGTATCCGAGATCTCGGTATTGGTGTCCTCGGAGAGAGTGATGCATTCCCCTCGAACTTGTTCTCGTGGCCCTAGATAGAGAAGTAATTGCCTTTGCAATCTGCGTCCTCATAGAGTGTGAGCTGCATGTTTCCGTTGGATTCACCTCGCTGGTGGTTTTTGTTAACGGGACTGCCTTTTTGGTGGTTTTGGTTGAAGTGGTGGTCGCCTTGGAAGTTGTAGTCGCTTTGAGAGTTGTGCTTGTCTTTGAACTCGTCGTCACCTTCGAAGTTGTATGGCGCAAACTTGAGATTGTGCTTGCCTTTGTGGTGGTCGAAACTGCGGAAGGCTTGGATGCAGTGGTCCTAGTACCGCTGTTGGCAGTGCTTTGCTTGGTCGGACTCTTTGCTCCACAATTGAAGATACATGACTGGGCCACATCGCAAGAGGCCGAGCTGGTACTGCATTGACCTGTTTTATTACACTGTAGACCAGATATATTAGAGATGGAAAGAATGACATTGACCACACAAGACTCACGCATTTATCTGAAGGGCATGGGTTTAGTGCGGCGAGGTTGGCATAGTTGTCAGGTCGCATCGTCCCATAACCTGTGGACCGCAGGTAGCCTGTGGAAGAGCAACCGGCATTGGAAAAGCACCCGAACTGAGACAAACGAAATCGCCCTGCTGCATCTTGGGGAACAGCCCCGCCAGTCCCAGGAACCAGTATTGAATGCTTCGATATCGGCAGTAGTAACATGGTAGCCGTCGCTAAGCGTTGCGCAGTTATCCCCTTGTTGAATGGTATAGGTATAACAGATACCATTCTTACCCGGTACAGGTGCAGCACGTCTCTGGAGTGAATGACCATGGCTAACACCAGAGCGGCGACCCGAAAGGGCAGTCGCCATGTGAATAAACAGAGCGACGAGAAAGTGAACGGACTTCATTCCAAATGAGGTGACTGCCTAGGTGTAGAGATACCCTCTGGTAGAGAAGACCAGCCCGCCCTTTATAAGTAGTTTAGACACAAGAGGACATGGAATAAAATGAATAACACTCCCAACTATACGCAACACCCTCTGGACTAGAAGTAGCTACAGTATTAGCATACAGTTCATTGTTCAACTGCAGACACTGGGGGCTCTCATTCCCTCGCCGTGAATGATTGGCCGACGAGTTTAAACAATTTGTCGGAAACAAAGAGGAAGATCACCGGGGGATCGACTTTCTCGAGGTGTCCTTTGTCAGTTGACATCTTAATGCCCAGGATCAGAAATGAATAAGAACACCATTCAGACGCTTGATGATCACTATTGAGACTCTATCCTAAAGGAATCCTCAATAGAGCCCCCAGAGTCATCTCTTCTTCTGATTCGAGCGCCAGAGGCAAAGAACTCTTTCATGTCTCGAGACATGCGGCCAAATTCATAAGGGAGACTAGTTTTCTCGCCACAGTTCTTACTGCCAAGGCACTGTCGGGGATATGGGAGCGAAAAAGAAAGAAAACAACTTGCGCACTCCCAGAAGTTATAGACATTTTTGCTGTCTATTTTTGAATGTCATGTCTCCGCAGGATGGTCAGAATGAGTTGCTGATGCCAGTATCTTCAAGATTTAGCATCTTTTTCATGTCTAGGAGCCTCACCTGCTGGAGCATGAGCCATGAATTCTCGTTTTGATGAAAATACCGTCGCCTACCTGGTTGGAACACTTAGGATGGACTAACTAGGCTGCGAAGTCCGAATTGTGCACAGTTCACATATTTATGCAAGAATATGCCTTCTATCTTGATGCTGACACCCAAGTCTCTATTCAAGGTCCACACCAAAACACGCTTGTCATGCATGACTATACACTATGCACGGGATTTCTTCAGTTTCTCTGGGCAAAGTTGCTTGTTAAAGCTTGGCACTCTTATCACCGACGGACTACTGGCCTGGCCATAAGGCGATATTGTTCTTCAAGCCACAGTCACATCGAGTTACCATCGCTTACGGAACGCTCTCACCAATTCCCTCAGAATAGAGCGATCACTTCCATATCGGTACTAGGTAATCTTCATGTTTACTCGAATGCTTGATCTATGCAGTATATCCTCTCGGACCTGTCCCCGCGCTTCAGCAATTTGTGGTGACATGGCTTGCGACATTCCTAGCTTCCGTCGGAGATCCGAATGAAAGTGCATCTCTAGCGTCCAGGTGCTGACAATGCCATTGGATTCCCACGCGAGGATATCTCCGGCATCTTCAGAGGAGACCGATCAACCGGTTAATATTCGCGGATAAAATGGACTTCTTTGGGATGCGAACAAATCGCGAGATATCTCAGACCACCGGCCTCCGAAGGTATCATGAAACATGCAGACTGTTGTTTGTTCGATGAGGGTGATGTTACATTGGAACTGCGTCTGAACTGACTCGATCACGCCGAGTCAAGTCTCTTATCATGTTCTTCTTGACGAAGCGACAAGGAGATGTGAAAACTATATAACCAGCATGTTTCCTGACGCTATCTTGGTTCTCCCAGATTCAATCATCCATCTTTTCCTCTCTTGCCTTCGAAACAGCCTACCAGTCTCTTGCCCAAATCTGCATCATGAAGGTCTCGATCACCATTTGCGGAGCAGTACTGCTTGCAGCATCAGCCATGGCAGCTCCCCTCACTGAGCGACGAGCAATTCGCAATGCTGCCAGAACCTCCGGCCGTTCAAGCCACCCACCCTATAAGCCCGGAACCTCGGAAGTTCTTCATCTCCAACTCGACGACCCACGAGGAGTACAGCTCAAACTGGGCTGGAGCTGTGCTGATCGGCAAGGGCTTATACTTCTGTCACTGCAGAATTCACTGTTCCGACACCCAAGCTCCCATCGGGTGCTTCTTCAAGCAAGCAGTACTGTGCCTCTGCGTGGGTTGGCATCGACGGCGATACTTGCGGCAGCGCTATCCCTCCAGACTGGTATTGATTTCTGCATTCAGGGACGCACTGTGTCGTACGATGCATGGTATGAATGGTACCCGGACTATGCGTATGACTTCTCTGGCATCTCGATTGCGGCTGGAAAACAAGATCAAGGTCACTGTGGATGCTACATCCAAGACCACCGGGACCGCGACGATTGAGAATGTATCCACCGGCAAAACCGTGACCCACACATTCACCGGCGGAGTGGACGGTGACCTCTGCGAGTACAATGCCGAATGGATCGTTGAGGACTTCTCAAGCAACGAGGACTTGGTCCGTTCGCCAACTTCGGAACTGTGACATTCACAAACGCCCAGGCCTCGACTGGTGGCCAGACGGTCGGACCAGCTGGCGCTACACTCATGGATATCCAGCAGGCAACGGCGGATCTTGACCTCCCTCCTCCCTCACTAGTAACAGTGTCAGCGTGAGCTACTGGTGAAAAATTCAGGATAGTGAGCTCGACCGAGACATGCAGCATCATTTGGCTGACAACACAATACTGCACTGGGAATTGGAACCGTTGGATACTCACAGATTCGAGGGAACTATATGATGTTTTTTGTTATGCATGGTATGGAACTTTGTTTGCATCGGGTAGTATCATGGCCACAATCACCTCTCGGCTCAATTGCACGTTTTGAATGACACAATATTCGCTCCAACATATTCTCGTAATATGACATAGGTGCGGTCCCTATCCATGTAGAATCCACTGCGGACTGTTATGCTAGTATTCCTTGATCAAGGAAGGGCCAAAATCCACCACTACCGTCTCAAGCAAGGCAGACTGTTTCGTGCCACCTGCTGAGTGTGAGTCGACACATAGATGGATGGAGAGCTCGAATGTATACGTAGCACTTAAGACATCGACAAACCATGAGGTTTAGGGATCAACGAGAGTCGGGAACTTACGAGGAAGCGTTTGGATACGTTTGGGCGTTTGCCAGCTGCCACCGTTGTTGTAGAGGTCACGCGAGGTAAGAGCAGTATCTGGATCTTCATCAGGTAGCTCCTCGATAAGAACTTGGCGTGTTGTAAGAACGAGGTTAATCGCTTTGTCGGCTTGAGACTTTTCGTGCTGAAGCTCGAGGGCCCGTTGTACAGGATGGGTTGATGGCGGTGATGGCTCATGGTTATGAGTACAGGTTATCTCTGGTGATATGCCAAAGGCCCTGTTTGATCTCACCTCAAGAAAAATGACGAATTGGACATTCATTATTTCCTTGCGGTTAGATCCAAAAAACAGGCCTTTTGGCCTCTAATTAGAGATAACCTGTCGCCCTCTTGAGGACTTGGGGGGCGGGGAGGGTCACTTCCTCGCAACCGTATCGGAACTGCAGCGGTCCACACTGGACACAGGACGGAGCATGGAACCTCAGCGCCCGGAAGGCACTTCCCTGCCTGGGGCCCATGCACGTGCACTGACTTGATATCTGACACATCAATTCCCGTGGCGATGGACATCCGAGTCGATAACATCCCCGAGGGTGAAGGCGCCGGATTTCCTGAGCTCCACCGTAGGTTTCAGGTAGAGCCAGCATCCTTTACCATCATCCAGGGAGCTGTCGTAGCCCCTTTCCGCCCGCTTGAAGAGCTGGTCGTAGGGGGAATCGCTCGCGTTGTCCGCCTTCTTTACCCCTGGGGGTGTTGTTTGAGCTGATCGAAGAAGCCTTCACGGGAAATAGCCAACTTGTTTATGCTTCCTCGCCCACGGGGTCTGCCGCCCGGCCCCCTTTCACGGATTGTTCAGGAGTGTAAGTGCCCACCATTCCGGGTGCTGAGGTTCCGTATCCTGTGTCCAGGGCGAACCGCAGCAGATTCGACACGGTTGCGAGGGTGACCCCCCCGCCCTCCAGGTCCTCCAGAGGCTTTCGCCTTATCCTTCTTTCGCTGCAACCTTCTCTCCTCCTTGCGTTTCTTCTTGGCCATCGAGTTAGCGATGCGTTCCTCTTTTGTCCTCGTCACTTTCTTGCTCGGAGCCATGTCCCGTCTGACTCCGGAGGGCTCTGTCAGTGGTTTCCGAAGTGTTGTCGCGGTGAATGGACTTCTGTCGGAAGCAGAGGGTGACATTGTGGACAGTATCATCGGAGTCGAGATTCTGTGTACTTTCATGAGAGGGCAGTTCCGATGTTTACACAGTATCAACTATCAACCTAGTCCGAACCTTGGTAGCTTCCCCAACGGACCCACAGCAATGCTTAGTAGGGAAAAGCCAGGGTTGGAGCCCTATCCATAAGCCTGGGCCCTTAACCGAGTAAGCGCAGCCTGAAGCTCCTCAGGCACATCAAACCACCAGATGGAAGGCCATGAGAACTGTGTCGTGATATGACCTTTTTTAGCTTCGACCAGAGGGTGAGAAGGGCATAAACGTCCCCCTCGGAGTACTAAATCCGCAGTCACACTGAAATGTCTGTACCTGTTGAGCCGTAGGCGACACCAATTTCCCGGCTCAACAGGAGAGTTGGGAGGAGGCACCTAATTCCGAGGGGTGGCCTCGAACCAGTATCACCATCCTATTGGGATATAAATCCTTAGAATGAATTCCATTTCCGACCCCGGGATCATTTCAATTGATGATGCGCACAGCCTATCTTATCTAAAGTGTTGGACATCATGTCAGGTCGCATGTTCATGCCACCAATCCCAAGCCCCATCTCAGAGAAAACAAATCACTCTGGGATCCAACGTCGACCACAAATAACATTCTCACTCGACTATCAACCATCAAGTCCATCCAATACCGTAGCAGACGGCGCAAGAAAACTATTACCGGTCATTGGCCTCGAAAAATTCAACAACCGATCATGCAACCCGGGAGGATTCCCCACGAACATCCGCTCGAGCATCTTCTCAATAACCCATACCGGCTGGTGTACCCAATGAAGTAAGTACCAAACTCCCCACTCGCCGGCGATCCAAAGGGCATATTGTCGCGGAGGATATCGTGCTCTTCTTGGCCATCTTCGTCCTCAATCGTGCTTAGCGTCTTGTGCGAGGCTTGCTTCCCCTCCTCGGCGTCATCGAGCTCAATGTTATCTGGCTTTGTCCGCCCAATCACCTGCTCTTGCTGTTCGGTCGATAGGGATTTCCAGCCGGCCAGGTCGTGGACATATTTCTGTACGACGACGTAGCTGCCCCCCTGCGCATCTGGGTCGTCCTCGCTGGCGACGAGGACAGAGGATGGGAAGATCTGGGCCCACGGGGGTTCGCGTTGCCGTCGACAAAGCCGAGGAGATCGCGGGCGTCAAAGTAGCGGGAAGCCAATCGTTGCATCGACGAGCTGCACGGAGTCGCCGAGGCGGTCCATGAGCCTGGCGCCCAAACTCAAAGCAGAGATCGCGGCGCTCCGGAGCGGATGTGGAAGAGGAGGTCTCGGGGTGGAGACGGCGGAGTGTTTGGCGCCCTTGACTTCGCGGAATGGGTGGAGTTCTTTCGGTCGCGGCAGGTTGGTGAGTTCATCCCAGATAGAGCTGCCGATGCCCACAGTGCGAGGTGGAAGCTGGCATCGAGTCTCGGAAAGCGACATTTTTGGCTAGGGCTGGAAACGCTGGCTAGGGTTGGAGCGGAGGGTTGGGATGGCTGAGGGTTTTTGTGACGAGAAGCGCGAGGAAAGTCGCTGATCGGGTGAGAGGGGCGATGACCGCCTGGGTGCTAGCGGTGGTTAAGCTGCTCATTACTTTGGATGATTTAGTTCTTAAAAACAAGGCGCTGTGTGGTCCAGTTGCTGCGACCAGTATGTGAGGGGGGAGGAGTTGGGTGAGAGCTTCTCTAAGTTTGGCTTCGATAAAGAATGAGGATAATATTTGTTAAATGAGTAGTTCTACTGTCTAGGCCCGGGCGGGACTCATTCAGAGTCATGAATAAGTAAGATGTCATGCCATTCGTGACTTCGAAGCTTGGACATTGTCATGGTGGATCCCAGGATATTAATCCATCTGGGCTAACTAGATGCGGTACCAGATCCAGTGAGCAGGTCGAGAACCTGATACGTCAGTCACCTCGCATCTCAGACATAAAAAATATTGGGAGGGTCTGGACTCCGTAGACTAGTTGACAAGTGCTCAGCATCCGATACCCAAAAATCGAGACCATATGTCCCTCAAGTGCTCCTCACACTCCCCATTTATACACAGAAATCTCATACCTGGATGCTTTTGGCCCGGAAGACTTCGGGAGACCTGGACAGTTCGCATGGCGCATATT